GAATGCGACACGTATCCGCAACACCATCAACCATACAGTTCAAGCACGCAATAGGCATGACTTCTCCAAATTGATCGATATAGCGAATCTGTTCACGGCGATAGGAAGTACTGGATGTCTCGATATGCGCAGCTGGACGTTTGGGTTTAGAGACGCGAGGCATAATGGAAAGGCTTTGAGGACAAAGCCAAGTGGGGAGGGGGAATAGTGTTACGGGCCGTTGTTTAACACACCGGTATCAGGCCCGTGCCACTGACGATCATTACTCTATTGGGATTGCTCTCTGTGTTATCCCGCCAAGCCGAAGGATTGAGCAGAGAGGACAGAGAACACTGCAGCCTGCTGCGGGGTTCTCTGCTCTCTCCTCTGTAATTTACGACAGAGAATACAGAGAGAACAGAGAACGACATTTGCTATGTGACCACCAAGTATATAGGTAGGCAGGCCTTCACTAGGAAGTCCTGCGTTCAACTCAATTAGTTATTCCAACAGTCCCTTTGGTATACACTACTACACACTACTTGCTTCACTTGTTCAATACTCCTCTTCACGAGTCCAACCACGTGACCTACGATCTCCCCTGCAGATAGTTGGCCATAACAGTAGTATTAAAAAGGTCGTTGTCGAGGTCTATATTAGCATAGAAGAAGGTTAGGAAGCAGAGTTTTCTAGAAACAGCGATATCGGTTACCTTCCATTCGGCTACAGTTCCAATTTGTATGGCGGCCCCACCAATTTCAGAATGTGGATTAAATGCTAACGCACTGGCCAGAAAAACCTCATGTGCTCCGAACCTCATGTGCTTCCTAGTCTTGGCGGACGACCGAGTTTCTTTCGTGCAACGATCGAGGGTTCAGAAGAACAAGGTTCAGTGCGTGCTTCTCGCTCTTTCAACTCCTCTTCGTCCGAGATTGAGACGATAATGGGTTGTCCTGCCATTGGAGTTGTCGATCTTACGCCCGTAGGCAGCCTTATGTGCTGGATGATGCCTTGGCTCTACGGCAGTTGAAGGAATGCCATGGTCTAAGGGGACTATTGTATGAAGTTGCGAAGCCATGCTCCCTGACACCTGTCTGCTCTGATCTTGACCTTAACTAGTAATGCAGTCTGTACAAGCACAAGCTGGTGGATCTCAGAGTCACACCAACGAAAAGCCAACTCGTCCGGCTCGTTTTCCCGTTCGTTACAGCTCAACAGGGTGCAGATGGGCGCAGACCGTGCATGCGGCAGCATGGACCACAAATTGTGTGGTACTCACCAAAACCGCCGAGTCTCGATGTTTTCTGAATCGCAAAGACCTAGTTTAGCTTGAGCACGTAACTTCTTGGCTCGTTGGATAGACGCTATATCGATGACTCCACAAAGACATTGAGGAGATATATGCCCGTGTCTATATGGACAGAGGGAAAGCAGACGGGTGTTTTTGAAACCGCACGGCACGGTACGGTCTGTTTTCAAAGCGCTCGCTTCAGCTTCCGAGTGCCGTTGATGTTGGACGAAAAAGAAGGTTTAGGGTCAACGGTCTAGCGGAGACCTGCATGATGGAACAAGTCTGTTTGACTCTTGGACCGTCTGTCTGACAAGAGTCGAAGAGAAGGCGCCGAAAGTTTTGGCTGACGGCTTGCAGGAAGCAGCAAGCGGCAAGAATGGTGGTACGTTAGCGGGACTGTGGCGCAAGACCTGGACAGGAACAGGGATAGACAGCTGATGGGCGATGCGGAACAAGGGCCCAGGATCCATGGCGGAGCAGCGACAAGGTCGATAATCGACAAGGCCCAATTTGAGATCAGCGCCCGCCGACCGATGCACAAAGCTTTTGTCCCGAGAAGCTTGGGGTGGATTAAGCAGAGCGAGATGGCGCTGCGTCCCCATGCCCCATGCTTTCGCTCTCATGCTGTGTGATGACTGTGGATAATAATAAAGAGCACCGAGCGACGACTCGACATCCGCCGCAAGCTATCAAAACACTCGCCACATCCCACCTTGGGCCCATTGAGATTCTGTTTGTTCCTTCTTGCAATCCACAAACAGGCTTTTTCCTTCCTCATCCGTTTCCCCACCTGTGTCGCGTGCTGGATACATAGCCAAACATTCTTTCAAAACATCCACTCTTTACCCATTGGCCGTGCCAGTTTCTCTTCGAAACATAACCTTCCAACCATCGACCATTCCAACAACCCGTCCTAGACTTGCCTGGAAGTAAGAAAGGGCGTTTGCCTGAACGTTTCATCCGGCTCCCGAACAAACCGTCGTGTCTTTCTCTCGGAAAAGCGTTTGATGCTTTCCTTGCCCATGACATAGCAACAATTCATCCCATCACCACCCCATACAAAGCAGAAACATCTCGCAGTTGCTTGCTCTCCCGAGTCCCACCCCTCTCAGACATGGACACAATGGAAAACGCGTCGCACTCACGCAACGCTTCTGCCGATCACCACTCTTATGCACTGATCCTTGAGCACATTCTCAACGACCCAGCTACCTACGAGCTACCTCTGCGCACCATGTACACTATCAACTCCACCCCCGCCGCACGTGCTGGACANCCCCTCTCCCAAACACGCACGCGTGAGAACTCAATAGACTCGCGTGCCAGCGATTCACCAACCTCGCCAACTTTTTCCTTCCGCAACGACACGGCCACCGAGTCACTGTCAACAAACCTCATGGCACAGATGGCTAGCCTTCCATCGCAACCCACCTCACTACCGCCGTCTTTCATCACCGCCTTCCTCCGCAAGGCTTTCTCCGCTGACCTTCGCTTCGTCGACTTTCCCCAAGCTTTGACTGGCCTCGACTACCTCAAGGACCTTGAGACCAGAAGACGCAGAGAAGTTGCAGCCGCTTTGGAGTGTCTAGGCATCGACCGCAACACTATTGGTGCCGCGGAGGAGGAGCTCTCTAGACGCTACCCTGGCGTGCTCTCATGGTTCCGTACACTTGAAGAGAAGGAACGCAAGATCGAGGCTCTCTACACACAAGTCTACGTTGCTCTTCGCCGCTGGGTCCTGATCAACGAGCTCTCATTGACTNNCCCCTTCAACAAGCACAACTGTATCGCCATGCTTAACACTCTCTACCCTCCCATCGTCTCTTCCCAGCCTACCTCCAAGCTCACTCCCGGTATCTTGAAGAAGCAACGCGATACTTTCTTCAAGTACATCCAAGCTGTCGAGAAGAACGGTCCCGCTGTCCTGATTAACCTCATCCAGCAAGGCAAGAAGCCCACTGACGAGAATGGTTGGGCATCAACTCGCAATACTCTCGACATGTATCTGCAAGTCGCCAACAGTCTCATCTCGGAATGTCAGGAGATCCTCTACACCGACACAAGTTCTATCATTGACTCGGCTGAGACCAAACGCAAAGGCCGCAAGGTTGACTCTGGCATCAGCTTCCATGATTCTGACCAACGCCGCCCTTCCTCTAGCAGCAGCAAGAGCAGCAAAAACTCCTTCTCTGAAGACGCCCCAGTCAACGAGATGCGTCGCAAATCATCCTCTGGCATCCTCCGAACCTCTGGTCTGATGAAGTTTGCACGCGAGATGAAGTACATGGGTTTCAATAGAACTGATGTCGATGAGATGATCAAGCCCTCCGTTCCTACCCCTACTCCTGCTTTCCCCGAGGTTGAAGCACCTGGTCCCGACAGATCGTCCAAGAGTCTTCGCAAGATCCGCAGCTTCAGCAACCTCGGCGGCCTGCGTTCTGGCAATTCAAGTTCGACTTCTCTGGCTAGCAGTGGTAATCGTAGTGATGTTCCTCACTTCGACGCCGACGAGATGAAGAGACAACGTCTCATTTATGAAGCCAATGCTGCAAAGCAGCAAAAGCCTTGAACTCTGATGTTTGCACCAAACGCTCCAAACACAAAAACACACTGTACAGTAACGACTTTTACGACCTTCAACCGCCAGCATCTGTGATCAATGTTTCTTTTGTTCCGAATTATACCCCTTTGCTGTTGTACAAATTCTTGCAATCGATGCCTATGTCTTGCACTTGGCACACATATCATCACCCACTGTTGACGATCACGCATCACGTTCCTTTCTCTTCATGTTTACTTTTCGTTATCCTCGTCATGGCGTTTTCACGATACAAAGGGGCCTGGGAAATTGGGTGGCTAGCATTCTCGGAAAGGAAAGGAGGAAACCAAAAGTGATATGGCATCTGACGAGATGGAGTTGAAACTTTGGCGTCTCTGCTTTCCTCGGAAAGGTGGCCGGCGATGCCACTTTTACCGTTGTTCTCTGATACATGCATTAATGAGCTAGGAAGGGGAAAGGGTCCACACTTTGCAATTGTGGTATGGAAAATGTATCAATATCTCTCTCAAACTTTTCCTCCATGACTTTTTTTACTTTCCTATCGTTGCCCCTTGATGCGTTCACGCAGTTGACTTGACTATTGTTTCCAAAGTAGTGGACGTTTTCTCTCCGACAATGACTCGCTGTAGGAGTCCGCGGCGCCTCTTTCCATTCAAAGTTCTGTCTCATCTTACTGCTCTCGTCCTTGCTCGACCGACGACCGTCGCTATGTTGTTTTTAGAACTGTGAATCTCAGACATTGTTGAGTTCATCGTATATCGGTACGATATACCGACGATTGTGTTCGAGTCAGCGAGCGGGAGAGCTGACAAGTAGTTTTCATGAGTCGAAAAGGCGAGTTGTCTAAGTCATGCTGTGGTTGGTATGACCCTGACGACTCATTTGAGCCTCAGCGGACAAACGTTTGTCCACTTGAGACTTCATCCGGTATGAGTCAGCTCGTCAAACTCGCGCCCTACCATCAACAGTCATAGCAGTTGTGTATAAGTATTGAGGAAACAGACTGTTGCTAAATTGCTTCAATCGTGTATCTCTTCTGCTCGTTCTGACGGAAACAATCGATCGAGGTCTTCGATTGAAGTGATCTGACGAACCTCCAAATCCTCTGACAACCATTACCACGCTACCAAAGCTTCTATTACTCGCCCGATATAGTCAATCTTCCTGAACATGGCAAGCTTGCAGTACACCACTCTGGACGTCTTCACGACGAAAAAGTTCGCCGGCAACCCACTGGCTGTGTGTCAGGTACCCGAAGGCGTCACCCTCACCCAAGAGCAAAAGCAGACCATTGCCGTCGAATTCAACTACTCGGAGACTACTTTCTTACATCCATGCTCGAACGAAGGCAGTGAGGTTCCCGAATGGCCACTGGACATCTTCACGGTCAAGACCGAGCTACCCTTTGCCGGTCATCCAACCATTGGAACTGCATGTCACATCCTGAGTCAAACAGGCAAGACCAAGGGTAGATTCAAGGTCAAAGCCGGTATCATTGAACTTGACTATGCGAATGGCGTAGCAAAGGCTTCTATCCCTCACAACACCCACATCCACTCTACAACCGACTTGTCTGCTTCTGCAATGTTGGAATGGCAAACTGGCCTCAAGCCTTTCTATCCGTCTGGAGACCTGAAGCTCGATGTTGTGAGTCCAGTCAAGGGCATGAACTTCGCCGTGGTTGGGCTCAAGAGTTTGGAAGAATTGGCCGCTGTTACCTTGCCTGGAACAGAACTCAACTTTTCTCTCGATGCAGACTGGAACGTCGGACCCTGCTTCAGCAAATTCTTCGTCCGTATGCCTGATCAGGGTGATGGTGTCAGAAGGCTCCGAACCAGAATGATCGAGGGCAGCTTCGAGGATCCGGCAACTGGAAGTGCGTGCTGTGGCTTGGCGGCATACTTGGTGTTGCAGGAAGGTATCCAAGACGGAAAGGTTAAATTTGACATCCTGCAGGCTGTTGAGATCGGAAGACCCAGTGAAATTGGTGTTGAGATTGAGGTCAAGGGTGGTGAGATCAAGACGGTTGTGCTTTCTGGAAAGTCTGTGAGTGTTATGGAAGGCAAGATCTTCTACGAATAGAACCAGCGCAGATGCAGTCTCATTACCATCTACCATATTAATAAACTATAATAGCCGCTACTTCCCATCAAGCAACAATGAAAAAAACAAGCTGTGCAAATACACAATTTCGTTTGGGAACGTTACAGTGTCTGCAGAGAGCCAATGGCCGACTCGCTCTCCCAGGCCACTACCATGTGCCTCTAGACTACTGCGCGTTTTTATGACTCACAGAAGGCAGAGACGCATCTCGGAGAGAGCTAAGTGATTGGTTCGCAGGGTCCTCACTCATTCAACAACCAATTCGACACCAGCCATGTCCCAGGCTACAGTATTGACTGTGCTTCACTTAGAGTTCATTCGCACTCACAGCTTGTCTGCGCACGTGTCTCCCACTTTCACTCCAACAGTGTAAACAACGCAATCATCGTCCTTGTATTCAACTATCAAACATCTTGCACCGAGTTCTACACCAGGTCTACAACTGTCCTCTCCAAGGAGTATGCATAAGTCAAACATCTCACGATCGCAAGCTGACTTCTCGTCAGATATCGCGCCATGGAGGTTACGCAAGTCAAACAGGTTATACCAGTCACGCCGCCAGACCTTACAGAGAAGAACCTCGACAAGCTGGCCGAATATGTCTTCAACCAGCTCGAGAACTGCAGAAGCAGACCTTGGATATGTGCATGCCGCTACGAATACATCAATAACTTGCGCCTGGGCTACCTAAACTGCCTCACCATCCCTGATCAATCTTCTCTTCGTAGATCGTCTCGTATACGCGATCACAGTGATAGGCTCTCACATCATCGCGCAGCTTGTCAGAAGGTTTACGGCATCCTCTATCGAGATGACTTGCGTCGAATCCCATATCTTACTTGGTCGGACGATGTTCTTGTCACCTCGCTCAAGCAACGCAGAATCACTCTGCCCCGTCAGCGAGTCAGGGCAGTATATGTTTCGAAGTTACAACACGCCGACGTAACTCGCACCTTTGCATTCATGGACTTGCCTCAGGAAATCCGTCTGATGGTCTATGAGTTCGCTCTGCAGTTCGATGAAGACTTCTACACCAAAAAACCATACGGCCTTAAGCCCGCAACCAAGCCAGCTCTACTGCAAACCTGCAGCCAAATCCGCGAGGAAGCAACACCGATCTTCTACCGCATCAACCGCTTTCTTCTTCGTTTTGGCAAGGACGACTCGGCCACTTCTTGCCGCACGTTATCTTGGATGAAGAGATATGTGAGTGCTACAGATCTACAGAACCTGCGCTACATCACTCTCTCAAGCTTCCACTACGGCTGGAGTTACCACATCAAAATCGACCTCAACTGTCGCGACCCTCTCAAATGGACCTTGCAATGTAACCATGAATCCAGACATAATCTTTCCTGCAACAACCATTACCCGCTCTCGGAAGAAAGCACAGTCATGCAAGAAAGGTATCCGAGAAGAAACTGCGCTCTGGCAAAGCATCACCAGAATGCTGGACTGGTTGCTGCAAATCTTGCCGCTGCTCACAAAGCCATTGGTGAGCTGTGGGAAGCATGCGGAGAGAATGGTAGAATCAAGCCATCTTTCGCAGGACTCTTGGATTTTGTTGGAGCAGTCAAGGACATCAACACAAACCTGACTCAAAGATAGACTCCATGCGATGGAAGATTGGTTGTCTCTGAAGCATGGAGCTCTGGAAACACAGATGGTAGATGGCAGCATGAATCACATTGCGCGTTCTCATGGTTGAGGGTACGAGGTGGAGACGCGTAAGAATGATGAAGAAGCAGAATACCCATGAAAAACGCAAGATGGGAGTTGGTTGTGTCTCATGCTCACAGGAAATGGTATCAGACGCGGTTCTCAGTTGCGTAGTCAGCTTCTCAGTTGATCTCAATCTTCCCCATGTGCTCAAATCTCGTCGCAGTTTGGCCAAAGAAATGCACAATACTTTGAAAAACAATGTTGCTTCCACAGAGAGAAACCCCTTGAAGGCTATCTCCTTGGCCAGACCGGGATTCAGAACGCAACTGTGTATTACGATAGTCGAGACACCATCCAAACCTCGGGATGAGGAACAGGCGAATGATTGAGATACGCTAACTTCATTACACGGAGAAGTAGCTAATATAGATCGACTCAATGCTCTTGTGCTCCGAGATGAGTCTTCATGTGTTCGCAAAGCTTGTTTGGTGCTTGGTCGTCAGAGAAGAGAAAGTGGAAGCGACAAAGTTCGAGGGTATAGAAGGCCTGGAAGGTTTGGTTCACGATGGAACAAATGCTGCAGAGTAGAGGGGCAAGGAAGCGTGAATACCATTCTTGATACAAATGAGGATACTAAAGCAGTAGGTAACAAGAGAAGAGTAAGGTGAAAAGTGGAAAAGAGTGCAATGCAAAGCAAAGCACACCAGACTTGCAGAACCATGTTCGAAAGAGAGGAAACCTCAACCAACGCCTCAGCAATTCAGAATATTACGGTGTCGCAAAAGAGAACGATCAATTAATGATTCAGTCGATGGCAATGTCACTTTAGACTTCCATATCGAGGAAGATCCACTTGTCACTTGTGCAAGCGACGCCCTTTGACCAGCGGTCCAGGGTAGTAAGCTCGAAACCGACCCAGCCAAGGTCGCGAGTCAAGTCTTTGAGGTCTTCTTGGTCGGCAGAGCGATCAAGGCAGACGACGAGGTTGGAGCAGCCAAAGTCTTCGCTACCAGCCAACTCGAGAAGGCACATGAGGCTGTGAAAATGGTTAGTAGCGGGTTAAGAGATAGGAGATACAAGTCAAACATACCCATTCTTGAGGTCAGGTCCGATGACCGACTTGTCGAAAAAGACGAACAAGGTGCTTTGTCCATTCTTGTCGGTGACAAAGCCACGGAAGCGCAAACCAGCAGAATACTCCCAGATCTCGACCCAGTCACGCACAGGGTTGTTGGGAACAGCCATGTCGATAGCGCTATCAGTCGAGGGAGAAGGAGAAGGCAGCGGTGCACTTTTGTCGATGCTTGTCTTGTTGTTGTAACGCATACCCATCACAAGCGAGTCCTGAGCGACGGTGTTTCCCTCACCAAGAAAAACGGTGTCCAGTGTCTCGCAGAAGAGTCTCTCACATTCTTCCGTGATGGTGTATGCGGCGCCTCTGCTGCGCGAGCGAGCCTTGAGGCCCGGGCGCTGCGGCGACGACGAAGCCCTGTTGGCGGGCGTCGTCCGTGGCGACGGTGGCGGTGACGTGCTCACCTCAAACCCACCACCCCGCTCCTGTCGTGGTGTTANGTCTGGTGAAGGTATGCGCATATCGAGCCATGTTTACGTACCGCCTGCCCCGCAGGTAGAGTAGTGGAAGCCCTTCAGGGCCATGTCGACGGCATCAACGGTGTAGGCGCTGGCCTGGATGTTGGAACGGGCGGCGACTTCCTTGGTCGCCTGGTAGTAATTACTACTACTACTAAAGTGTTGATTGGAATAATTCGCCATTGAGAGGGTATGCCACGGTTGCGTGCCGGGGCTGGACGGTGATGGGTAGGGTTGTCTGAGACGAGTCGTGAGAAGACGTAGAGTCTGTTGAAGGGCAGCGAGAGCGTGCGAGGGTTGGCGGAGCGATTTGGTTGCGGTTGGAGCGGACGAGGATGCGCAGGGCTTGTACAGGATTTATGAATCGTCGTCGTTTGACGCTTCGAGAAAGCACTAGCCGTGCACCCCCGCCCTCCCACGTGATTGAATCTTCACCTATCAGAAACTCACTTGACGACATGACACTCTTATCAAACGGCTACCGTTTTGACATCTCCTCTCCACAAGCATCAATCACATGTAGACTAGGCACAATGAACGTTCAGTGAGGGGCATTCGTGATTTGTGATATGTACAGTGAACGACTGTCCGTAGCCGATAATGCAGCCTTTCCCTTGAAAATATGAAGTCCCTTCCTCCCAGTAGTGCCCGTCAATAAGTGAGATGAGAGAGGCCTCCACTCTCTGCATGCCCCAACGCCGCGCTTGATGATAGATAGTTGGATCCAGCTCAATATGTCTGGTATCCAATAGAAAACATGTAAAACAAAAGAAACTTCGGGTGTTGTGTTGTATAGCGTTTCACATCTCACGGTAGTCGACCGAACGCTGTCTGCGGTTGCGTGCTTGGTGACGATGTGGATTGACAGGGCGGCGGATGTATGCACCGTCATCGCCTTCTGCTCCTTGTTGTTGGATGTTGTTGTTTGCGTTGTTCCAGTTCTGGTTGCCTTGCCATTGTTGGCCTTGTCCTTGGCCTTGGCCATAACCTCCATTCTGACCCATCATCTGGTTGTTGTAGCCGCCGCCGTACATGTTACCTCCACGTTGATGTTGTTGCTGTTGTGGGTATCCCATGCCGTTCATGCCACCCATGCCATTCATACCGTTCATGCCGTTCATGAAGCCCATGCCTCCCCATCCTCCGTTCATCATCATCTGGTTAGGCATGCCCATCATGTTCATCGGCATACCCATCATGCCAGGGAAGCCCATNNGCCCATAGCTGGGTTGAAGCCGCCCATTCCNCGGCATACCTCCTTGTTGGTTGGCGAGAGCGTTCATAGATTGGATGAAGTTGTTCTGGTCAAAGGCACCTCCTTGTGCTGGTGGCTGAGATGCATTGTTCTGCTTGCGCATAGCTGCGGGGCCAGTAGGGATTCTGGTGTTATTAAGCTCGTCTTCGGCAGGACGCTTCTTCGACTCGGTAGCAGCAGTCGCTTGCGGGGTCGAAGTAGCAGACTTTTCTCCATTCTCTGAGGCTGGCTTCGGTGAGTTTGACTTTCTGTCAGACGCAGCGGCTTCATCGGTAGTCTGCTGCTCAGTGGTTGGTGGTGGGGTAGCAGACTTCTCCTTTTCCTTCTCCAGCTTCATCTTCGCCTTATCCTCCTGGTAGGCCTTGATCTTGTCTACGGCCTCTTCGTCGGGGATGAGGTTGTCGACTAGTGTGTTGTCTGAAGAGCAACCAGGGCAGACAAAGTCATTTTCAAGAAGAGCGTTCTCGATACAGTCACGGCAATAGGTCTTCCCACAGCAAGGAGTTTTCATTGGATCGACGAACATGCGTTTGTCAATAGGACATTCCAAGCCTCTCTCGCTCAATTCCTGGCTGTCTGTGTTGGCAGCTTCGGCCTTGTCGGCTGCTGCCTTGGCCTTGGCCTGGAACTTCTCCCACGCAGCCTCATCTGGCTTAGCAACAACCCATTCTCCGGTAGCAGTATACATGACTCCGGCTGGCAACTGAGAAACGTCGATCGTTCCATCGCTTGATAATGCGGTAGGTTTCTCGACGACCTTGAGGAAGGAGCGTGGAATACCGGTGGTACGTCTAAACTTGGGGCGACCGTCGAAATTAGGGTCATTGTTGGTGGGACATGCTTGAATCCAGTGACCCTTCTCACCACAGCGATGGCAGGTGTAACCCGGAGGAAGGGGCTTGTCTGGAACATTTGCTGTCTTCTGGAAGCCGCCAGTACGGTGGACAGCCTNTTGGTTGGCCATCTCTTGCTGTTGCTGCTCCCACTGGGCACCTCCTGCCTGGAACATAGCTGCAATCTTCTCTTCTTCGGTCATGTTGGGGTTCAAGTCTTGAGGGGCGCCATTGCCCATAGGTGTTCCGGATGCAGCGGCGGGTTTAGAGGATTCAATACGATGTTGGTTTTTGGCCATGACGGGCATCTTGCCGGAGACGTAACGTGCGGCTCTACCAGCACCGGGCTTGGTAGCAGGAAGACGTCTGGCGAGGACGGTGGTACCACGGGAGATAATAGACGTGTCATCGTTGTATTCNNTTGACAGAGTCAGTGATTTGCGACATGAAAACGAACATTTAGTGGCTGTTAGCTTACCTTCGTTAGTGTCGAGGTTGTAGATGTTAAAGTCGAAGTCAGTTCCATCGCCGAGTCTGCTCATGTTGATTATGTCTCGCTTGAGCTCAAAGACAGAGATACCAGTGCCGTCAAAGGTCACTCTCTGAACATCCTTCTGGTTTTTGAACCTGAAGAAAACGGAAGAAGACATGGTTAGGGTTTACCACAAAGGGCGAGTTAACGTTAGAAGCAGTGGAGTAGAAGAAACCAGATGGATTCCAGGCTCAGATTGTCAAAGAAGGACAATAGGTCTTATTGAGATTTTGCCTCGTGCGAATGCCGACTATGGTAAAATGTTTTTTCTTGACTTTTTCTCTGAAGGTTTAGGAGGTCTTCAAGACACTAAACACTATGGGGATACAAGATCTCTGAGTAAAAAGGGAGAAAGAGTGTATTGGTGATGTGTGAAGCCTTCAGGGCAAAGGTTTTGTATGTGAATATGCAACATGCACAGTCGCAGGCTTGTCCCTCCTCTCAGACCAATTCCTCAAACACTTCCACTTGCTCGTGTGAAGATCTTGCGCGGCTGACTCACTGGGCGACAATAGCGCGTTGCTGGCACTTGTCGATGGGGCGCACGCGGGCGATATGTAGACAAGCGGGCGTGAATATTCGAGACGACAAAGACGATGGCCGTGGTGGATGACGGCTGATGGGTGAGTCGTGTGGGTTGATGAAAGACAAGAGGAGGATGTCTTGTCGGCGAAGTCCAAGCTGAGGCGCAGGAGCCTGGAATTCACTTAGTCAGCCGGTTGCCTTCGGCAAGAACTTTCCGAACCTTTCCGAATCCGGACAACAATGGCCTTCACTCACTCTCACGCTCTCAAACCAACTCTACGATGATAGAAGTGTAAACTGCTCAGAGACAAAGTACTCGAGTCTGAGAACAATTAAAAGCGCATGAATGGCCCGATATTGCAATGGCTACTAGTCTCAATTTCATGCGAAAAGGCACTGAGCACATGCATTTCACGCTCAGCTCTGTCTCATTCCTTTAAGAAGCAATCATTGTCTATGTTCTTCCTTTGTCCATCTTTCCATTCTCAAGGAACGGTCACGACCACCTTTCCGACCGCTTTGCTATCTTCCATGTACTCATGTGCTTCGCCTATCCTCTCCAAGGGAAATGTCTTATCAAGGAAATGCTCTGGTTTGAATGTCCCAGATTCCACTTTCTTGACTACTTCTCCAACAATTCTTTCCACACCTTCAGCCTCTTCTTGCCCAGGCTCCAGACTGTAGAAAGTCATCTTGCGCGTAGGCGGGATAAGAGCAGGTGTAAACTCCTTCATAGCCCATTGCTTAGTCAGAACACCTGTAACCACAACCGACCCATGTTTTGCCAGATTCGGCAGGGCAAGGGACTGAATTGTATCCGGCCCAACAAGTTCCAGCAGACAGTCGACGCCTTTCGGTGCTAGCTTCTTCAGTTGTTCATTGAGCTCGTGTTCGAGAACGACGTGGTCTGCTCCGACAGCCTTTAACTTCTCAGCCTTGTCCTGCTTGCGTGTTGTAGCGATGACAGTGCAACCGCGATCTTTTGCTAATAGTACCGCCCAGACTCCGACACTGCTCGTTGCTCCATGGATCAGGGCAGTGGCGCCTTTAGTGAGTTGAGCTGCTTCGAACAGGGATCCATATGCTGTCCACATGGACATCGTGATGGCACCCAGCACATCCCAAGATAGGGAAGTCTGTGGTATCCTGAACAGACGTTGAGCCGGGCAGATAACATACTCAGCGTAGGCTCCATCAAATGCTTTGCCTCCTCCGTAGATGAATCCAGTGCACAGCTCTCCTTTGTTGAACTTGGTTTCAGAGCCTGCTTCTTCGACTGTGCCCACGAACTCCTCACCTGTGCTACTAGTCAGTGGAATTCATAGAGAGCATATTTCTAATGACTTACCAAGGATCTTTGGAGGGTCAGGATGAAATTCATCAACAAACATTCCGAACTCGGGTGGTGCTGGTTCATCACCATTTCGACCACGAAGCTCAGCACGGTTCAGGCCAGCGGCCTTGACCTTTACCAGAACCCAGCTTGGTGATGGAAGTGTAGGTCTGGGATACTCTTTATCCATCGTGAAGCATTTCGACGGAGGGCTGGCACCAGGCGATGATAGCACGGCCGCGGTCATCTTACCGCTAGGTGTGTTGTCCCATGAAGGCATATTGATGTCTTAGTAGTTTTCGTGTCGATAGCTGATGAGTTCAAGAACATAAATGTATGGATGTACAGATAGTGAGGTTGACAAGACTGTGACATCATCAGCGGCTGCTAGCAATGCGTCTTGAATGACATGCACTCTTTCAGAGAGCCTGTGATTTGGCTTTCTTGAGCGATACAAGAGAAGACAACTCGACGAATCATGGCAATTTACATAGCACAACCTACCCCCTAAATGGGCAATATTGAGTCATGAGAATAGGGATAACATCTTGTGCTTCTATACATGATCTAGACTCGAATTTGTTAGTTGTCAATCTAAGCAGTTCAACTAATTCATAAAGAGCGCAATTGTGAGCATGCTTCATACACAGTACAGAAAGCATGGTACCGTCTGTCGTAAACGACCAGTCTGGACATGTGAGAGATCATATCCTCCCAATTGTCGAACGACATATGCTCTAATTCCTAGAGGGAAACATTGCTCGTATTGCGCCTGGAACCATGGCTAGCGCACAGACCGGGGACATAACGTGGTTGCAATCGCATGGCGAATTTGGCTGGTTTATGAGGATACGATCTGGAGTCTGAGAATTGGAAAAGACGAAGAGCGCTTGAGGATTTTTCAGATATGATACATGAAGAGGCAGAGGGGGTCTATTGGCGATCGAGGGTTGGCGCGGAAAGAAACGTTTACTCGTCGTCGTTCTCCATGTACTTCTGCTTGAGGTCCTTCCATTGACGCTATAAGGTGTGTTAGCCATTGGTGTGTAGCAGTGAGGTCGAGCAATTCGAGGACGTACGCCNCTGGTTGATGGAGTTCCAGACGCTGTTGGAGGCGTTGTCGAAAGNCGCTGCAGACGGGTTAGACCGGAATGGACACAAGGTGAAATTGGTTGGGGAGATAGCGTACATCTCCATGGCGAAAGCACTGGTGAAGACGAAACTGAGGAAGACGTAGTTCTTGCGGAAGAGAGTGCTGTTCGATAGAGTCAGAAGGTTGGTAGGTGCGGCCGAGGTGGTGGATCGAAGACTGACTTGTACACACTCTGGAGAGCCTGCAAGAGACATTAGCAGCGGAACTCAGGAGGCGCATAGACAAGTCTCTTACAGGAGAGGCCATTGTGAAGATTGGAGGGGTGAGAATGCGACTGAAGGTGAATGTGGTGAACCTGCGACTGCAACTGGCGACGACCAGGGAAGTCGCCGTCGACAACCTCAACTTCGATGGTCAGCACGTCTTGGCGGTCTTGGCGTTCGCGCTTTCCTCGTCCGAGTCCTCGAATACTCGATACCGACCGCATTGGACTATTGACTCTTACTATTGTACCTGAAGGCTTCCAATTCCTGGCATCAAGATGCCTACTGAAGCCTCCAACGTGTCACGCGCTGGTATCACAACCTCAGCGACTGGCGAGCGACACATCCCCTCGTCCATCCGACCTGATGGTTCTGTAAGAAAGGAAATTCGCGTACGCCCTGGCTACCGTCCTCCGGAGGATGTCGAACTTTACAAGAATCGTACTGCCGAAGCATACAAGAATCGTGGTAAGGGTGGCGTACCAGGCGCTGACTCTGTCTCTGCCACACCGGACCCTCCTTCCTGCCGCTGCCAACAAGAACGCAAAACGTAGAGAGGCCAGGAAGAAGGCCGCAGCTTCTGCTACAACCAATAACGATACACCTGCTACAAACACAAACACAGCCACTGTCCAATCTCCCGCTTCTGTCGAGCCTGCCAAACAGGAGCCTGTAGACTCCGAAGTCGAGAAATCAAAAGAGGCCAAAAGTTGGCCAAGAAGCTTCGCCAGGCGCGCGATCTTCAGGACAAGAAAGAGAAGGGTGATGCCTTGCTCCCAGAGCAGTTTCAGAAGGTCGTCAAGATCAACGAGCTTATTCGCCAGCTTGAAACTTTGGGTTTTGATTCCAACGGAGACAAAAAGTCAACAGAAGCAGAATCGTGAACCACCCAAGACTAACCCATCTCTATCACAATCGCCTTGACATTCATCGTGTCATACAGTCCAAAAGGCGTCTCATATCGGACATGAATCTCATCTGCCCTGACTTGCAACATGCTGCCTCTTCCACCGCCAATTCTCGAAGCCACTTGTTGGCGCAGTTCGTCAATCGCTTGGACTTGCGACCAAAACTCAACACCGTTGAGCTCTCCGGCCAGCTCAATCACCATGGGCTTCTCGTCAAATTCGGCAATCTTGTAAGGTCCAGAGAGATCTGTTCCTGTCAGACAGCTTGCTTGATTCTTTTGGCAAGAGAAAACTTACTGCATTCGTGCCCGGACGGTATGACGACCAATCTGGTTCTCGAGATGCCGTATAACGCTCTCTGTTCCAGCGTAGCGAGGACTTTCTCTGCTGCGGCAGATACCAACATCGAGCGAGATGCCGTTGCTTGGTCGGCCAGACTGTATGGTCGGCTCTCTGCCTTCGTATCCTCAATCTTCCATCCCTTTGGCACGCTCGAGTACTTTTCTTCGTAAGGAGGTGGTTGGTCACCCATCTTGAACTGAGGTAGACGGAAAATTATGTCGTGCTGTGTTGAAGTGCTGCTGTTTTTCGAAGTTCGGGCTGACACCTGCGCCTCAGTCTCGTTTGTATGCCTGAGAAACTCGCAAGGGGGTGCGATCGTTGTCGAAGATAGTTGGACGAATCTGTCAGGTGCCTGAATTTACCTTCCAGGCGTCTTCTCGAATCCTCCGTCGACTGAGCCTACTCACAGCCGAGTGCTTGGCACCAATGACTGTGGAGCCTCTTCAACTCCAACTCTATCATGCTCAAGCCAAGACATTCTGAACTTCGTGTTGCCGTCCATTCCGGCATCTCGTGCCGACCGTATACTTGGCCAACAACGCTGCTACCATATGGTTGCTCTCCTGAGAACTAAAGAGCATCTAAATTGTCGCCTGACTCACTTCAACACAAACCAGGCATCATTGAGATCGATATCCGGAACAACGGCATCGCAATAAGGCCGTAGGATGTGGCTCATCCCAAGGCATGTTGGCCTGTCATGAGTCTTGGGTAACTTCGCCATGCGAACTGCAGGTCAGATGCCCATGATGACTGGTTTCGGTCAACTATATAAGATACAAATACAGTCCCTCTTTCCACCATCCACAAAGTCACACTCGTCTTTCCGCACAACTACTACTCACACGTCACCGTCAAGATGGTTTGGGGATATCATGCTGCAGAGCCTAACTCCTACCTCGTCATCACTGGCGCAGGTGTCAAGGGACTGAAGCTCACCAAGAAGGCTATGGTCCTTCCTTTCCAGAAGGTTACCAAAATTTCAGTCACACCATTCCACTTCACGACCGACCTCCAGGCCATGACATCGGAGAAGCTTCAAGTCTGTTTGCCAGCCGTTTTCACCATCGGCCCCAAGGACGACCCCGAGTCACTCTTGAAATATGCTGGCTTGATGACGGACAACAACTCCGACGCTGGCGTTGCTAGCCGCGAGCACATCCAAGCCATCATCATGGGCATTGTCGAGGGAGAGACAAGATCTGTCGTCTCCAACATCACCATGAAGGAGCTCTTCGAGAAGCGCAGCCTTTACCGCACAAAGGTTGTCGAACACGTTCAAACCGAACTCACCCAATTCGGTCTCCACATCTACAACGCATCTATCAAGGAGCTTCGCGACATGCCTGGCTCCCATTACTTCGAATACCAGTCCCGTAAAGCTCATGAGGGCGCACAAGCCGAAGCAAAGAGAGACGTAGCTTTTGCTCGTAAGTAGCTAACCCTAAACCCTAAGCTCTTAATATATAAGATGCTTACCTCGGTGGGCCACAGGTATGCAGGTGAAATCGGCGAAGCCGAGAACGTAGGTAGAACCAAGCAGGAAATCGCAAAGATCAACGCCAACACGGCCGTCCAAGAAACCGAGCGCAAGATCGAAAAGGCAATGGCAGAATCACGCTTCAAGTCTCAAGAGATCGACATTGAAAGAAAGCTGAAGATTGAGAGTATCCAAGCCGAACGTGCCGCCGAACTCAAAGACGCCGACCTCCAAAAAGGCGTACAAGAAAGCAAAGCCCTGATGGAACTCGAGCGCATGAGAGCAACCACCGTCACAAAAGCCAAAGTAGCAAAAGAATCCGCCGCCGAAGAAGCAGACGCCCAACTCTACAAAGCCCGTCAAGCAGCAGAAGCCTACGCCTTCCAGCAATCAAAAACCGCAGATCTCGAACTCTACACCACGGAAAAACAAGCAGAAGGCCACTACCACAAGAAACAGCGCGAGACAGAGGCAAAATTCCTTCAAGACAGTAAAGCTGCCGATGCCTCTTTGTACCGTAAACAACAAGATGCTCTCGGTGACTTTGAGATCAAAAAGGCAGAGGCGGAAGCTTTGTACGTCCGTCACGAGCGCGAGGCAGCAGGTATAATCCAACTCGCCACCGCGTACGAAAAACTCGGCAATGTGTTGGGAGGACCCCAAGGCGTGCGCGACTGGATGATGCTGCAAAACAACATTCCCGTACAGCTTGCAAAGGCAAATGCAGAAGCCATCAGAGGCCTGCAGCCGAAAATCAATGTCTGGACTACTGGTGCGCAGGACAGTGCTGCTGCAGACTCGTTTGCTCCCATCAAGAATATCATGCAGAGTCTGCCTCCTTTGTTCTCGACTATCCAGGATCAGACGGGTATGCTGCCTCCAACTTGGTTGGCGCAGATGCCGAATGGCAATGGACGAACGGATTCTGCTCACGAGCTCCCACTCGCTGTCGAGAAGCACAAGGGTATTAACGGTGCTTAGATCAGAGGCCACAGGACGGGCGTCTTCTGTCTTTCCTAATGTTTAGTGTTTCGTGTGTAGGCTGGGGGACTCGTGATGTCTTGAGTCTGATGGAGTGTTCTTTCTTTCTTACTACATTTGTCGTCGCCAGTAGGCTAATCGTCGCGGAATATCTACCTTAATGACCAATACACATTGTGAACTTACTGCCTATGCATCATCTCGTCTTAGAAATCTGATAGCACTGCAACTGCACATGGTAGGCCGACAAGGACGATCCACACAAGTAGAACGGAAAGGTTACAAATGACTTATTGATACTATCAAACGAAAGACTAGATTAGACACGCTATGAAGCGAAAGAACGAAGAACGCCATAGTAAGACCCCACAATCGTCAAACATGTCTGCCAGTTTCATAAAGGCCAGAACACATATATGCATGCATTATTTGTTTCGTCTTGCTGATGATGTGAGAGCGAAAAAGCAGACCGACGGTCCCGCGTGACAAAGCAAAAGACGATGATGTGCAGAACAAGACAAGAAGCAACAGATCCTCCACGCTAAGTATCAGAAGCAAAGGCGTAAAGGGTATATCCCGAAATGCTAGAGAAAGAAAACAAAGAAGACTGCAACTGGTAACAAAATGAAAAAGAAACCGAGCTAGAAACCTCTCCTCAAATATGGGCGATGTCGATGGAAGACAAGAGCATATGAAGAGCCATGTTACTTGATTGTGACAAGTCCGCGGTCAGTGGCAGGCAGAATTGCCAGAAAAGGCAGGCGTCCTAGGGATCACGTTCGTTGTGAGAAGTCGCGATGTGGGAGACTATTGCTAGTGATTCGAGTTCTGTTAGATAGTGGCATCGAGGGAGTTGAACGAGTCGACAGATTCGATGGAATCGCCAGTCAGACCCTCATTTCTGTAGAGATCATTCCCATCACTCTCAGGAAACAGAGTGCGATCGATTGCTTCGAGAATCAGAATGTCGCTGACCGCGACACTAGAAGCATATTGTAAACGGCGAATGAAGGCGATTGTGCGACGGAGCAAGCTTTGCAACTTTTCCTTGGGCACCAACTCTTTGAGCCAATCAATGTTGCAATTGTAAACTGCTGCAAGAACAAGCATATTGCCGAATTNGTCTGGACAAAGTCAGCTATCTTTTAGAGCAGTTCTAAAGATCAGAAAGCCTTACGCATGAGCAGTTCCCATGATGTTGGTGACTATCAAGCGATGCTCAAAATTTTCTACTCCGTCGAAAGCTACGGTACTGCGCATGGCAGCATCGATGCAGATACGGCACTTGGACTTGATTGCTTCTTCGGGGTTATACTGTCTGATGGCAGTGAACAGTGCAAGCTCGGTTTCCCGATGGCGGCCGTTGGCGTCTTTTGTTAGCTCTTCGAGAGTCTTGCCGTTTCCGATTTCGTACATGACATGTAGAGCATAGTCGAGATATGGCCGTGTGCAAACGTAAGTAGCCCCATAATACTTTCCTCTCAAACGAGCAGCGACAATGTCTGAAGCTGGAGGGTCATCATCGGACCATGAATACTCATCTACGAGTGTTCGCCAGCCTTTCAAATCCTCTGTCTGCTGCCATAGAAGCTCGGCAAGCCTCTGAGGATCTTCTGAAGATACTGCTTGCTGTCAGTATTGTCTTGGCACTTGATTTTAGAAAACATACANTTGTCCTCCATAGACATCAGTGTGGATCATGTTCAGCTTTGTGCGCAGATAGAGTTGAGCCGAATAATACAACGTGATGATGTACCTCTCCCGCTCCTCTTCTGGACTCGGTTTTTCTGCCAGAGCTATGGGTTGTCCAGGGTAAGTGACTGATCCTTCAAGCAGATGAAGTCCACTACGTGGGTAGTCCCATTCGGCGAGTATGTCACNTATTGCACCATTAGCCTTGCCACAGCACTCCGGCATTTGCACGTACCTCTCGAGCTGTAGAGCCGACCAGAAGGTCAGAATAGTTAGGTTCTCATGCTTGTTGAGGTTCCGTGCCTTTTGTTTGTCCTTCATCGTGTTGTCCAAACCGTCTCTGACATTGAATAAGTAAACATTGTAGGGCGACAGTTGTGACAAAACTCACATTTTCATGCGGTAAAGGCAAGTACGCGCTGCCGTGCTTATCCAGCTCCAACTCTCTTGGACTCTGGCAAGTTGACCTTTGTAAAGACCAGCAAGGAGGCGTGCTTGAGCGGCTGCGAGCTCATTCGAGTCTGTGAAATCGCCAAGGATGGACGCAGCTTCCCGGTAATAAACAAACCCAGCTATCTTCTCATGATTCTGGGCTTGCCTTTTGTCTGATGCTTGAGTTCCAGTATCATCCCAGGATTGAGCACGTTTGACTCCAGCAGATGTGTTAGCGACAGTGCTCAGCATCTGTCTCGGCGAAGAAAGGTTAGGTTTGAGATGAGGCGATGGCATAGTTGTGTGCAAAGAACTCGACTTGCTCGTCGAAGCAATCTCTTGTACAGGACCAGGGAGGGGGTCACCAGTCTCACAGATCTTGCCCAAGGCAAGAATCAAGTACACTATAGCATTAGTAAGGTTCCTTTCCGGTGCACGTTTGGGTTGTGAAGATGGAGAGCCGCTTGTTTGTTCTGCTGGTGTCAGGCCAGTGGCGTAATTCTCGCTGCGGACTTGGACTTTTCTCCGTTTGTGTACCCGCTCGCCAGCGCCATTCTGGACAAATAATGGCGAGTGATGATTTTTGGCTTCCACGCAGTGCTTCGGTATGAACGTGTCTTTCAGGTATTTTCCAATCCTCTCAATATCAACGAATGGATGCAGGCGGTGGATGTTCTTCTTGTAGGAGTTGAACAAATTGTCAATAGTGTCGGTATCCATAGACATGGCAGGTGAACCAGGAGTAAAGGGCTCAGACCGTCGAGGATCGTTCTCAGGGGTCGAAGTCAGGGGATCGTCCCCATTTGAACTGCCTGCAGGACTTGCGGCGCCAATGTTCACCAATTCATCTCTAACACGTTCACCAGCACCATAGAGACGCAATATACCACGATCTTCGCCTTTCATAACATAGTTCTCGTTGATGTTGCATTTGCTGGTGCGCACGAAGGGTTGAATGGAAGGCCAACGAAGCAACAATTTGTGCGCTGCTGTGGTGTGTTCTCCAATTTCCCACGTCTGCTGTTGAACAACCGTCAGTTCCTCGACATTATTGCCGTCTATAGTCATGGCATCCGAGTTGTTCTGGCTGGGTGGATTAGGTGTATCGATACGAGCCAACGGCGGCTGAATGGCAAAGTGCTTCTCCAAAACACTGAGACGATCACTCATTTCCTTGATAGACGTCAAGACTTCAGTAATCATGTCGGAAAGAGCTTGGTTGTTCTTGTCGGCTTTTGTGGGATGTGAATCCTTGTAGTGACACGGCAGACCTTGCTCCTTGCATGTTGCGCAAGGACGATTCTCATCGCACTTAGACTTACGCTCCCGGCATCTATCGCAGGCCTGTTGACAGAAAATAAGATAACATCGCAAAGATCAAAAGACAGTTTATCCTACCTGACTGGCGCGCATACTCTNTTTGCGCGAGTTTGGATTCGTCATGTGCATGGTTGGCATGTACTGTGGGTAGTACCCTGGCGGTGGTTGGCCATAAGGATCCAGCATGGGTCCGACTATGTAGTTGACATGTTCACTCTGCGGTGGTGGCGGTGGATGCTGCACATAAGCAGCTGGATGATGTTCCATTGGTGGCCGAGTGCTAGGTGGTTGTCCTGGATGTTGCGTCTGAGGTTGAGACTGAGACTGAGACTGAGTCTGAGGCTGCGACTGCAGAGGATTGCTCGAAGGACGCGGGTATTGAGGCGGCGCAGGAGGTGGTACAGGAGGGAGATCTGACTTGATGACGGGAGCCCCGTGGACAGCAGGAGGAGGGGNGTATGGATGTTCTGCCCTCTCCGGGCCCTCAGGATGCGGCGCAGGGTGTACTATGGTCGGCGNGGGTTGCTGGCCGTGGTATTGATGTGGTGGAGGCGGAGGTGGAAAGGCGTCGACACTTGGCAGACTATGAGGTCTGGGTGGATGGTAGACCTGTTGGTTGGAAGGAGGAACAGAGTGGTCGGATGGGAGTGATGGACGATGATAGTGCTGGTCGGGGCCGGCTAGGGGTGCACGTCGTTGATCCATCGACTGACAGCTTTGACTCGTAGACGGCTGTCCGTGTCGGTGGCGCTACGACGTTGCAAGTGCGTACGCAGGGCTCCGCTGGACAGGTAGGTGGGCAGATATGGTAGATCAGGGCGGTAGTGGTAACGGCGGCGGCAGCAGAGACAGTAGTAGAAGCAGAAGCAAAGCAGACGTCCTTTAGCTCGGATGCTCGAGCGAGCGAATACGGCGACGGTCGGAGATGAGCTGAAGAACGTCTGGTCGAAGACGTGGCTCAGTAACCTGTGCGATGGCTCCTGCTCAGATCAGATCGGATCTGGTAGGATCAGAATGCGGCGGCGGCGGCGACGAAGGTTCGAGGCAGGTGGCAGGGGGGGCAACGTGGGCGAAATCAGCGTGCAGCGTAGTCGCAACTGGGATGCTGAGGTGTCGGGTCGAGTCTAATGACTTGTGCCTAATCCGAGATCCCTGGCAATGAATGACGATGGGCTGTCGAGGTCGAATCTTGGTGATTTGCTTGTCCCCTGCAAGATACAGTGCGATTCGCTGGGCCGTCAAACGCTGGTGCGCACGCCGGGATCTCGTTTGTCGAAAAAGTCGTCCTTCTTGCGGATCTACGCTACTGGGCAAGGGCCATGAGCATGATAGACACGACTGTGGTCCCGGCTCCCAGATACACCCTCTGTCTAGCGCCAGTATCGGCCGCTTTAGCTTCCGTCGACGAGAGGCGCCCAAAGACTGACAGTCTGCGCTGGGTGTTAACAACGACTGACATGCAGCTCTAGTGTCTGGAGGAAAGAGCTCCCAAAACACCTGCCCGCCCGCCTTGAGCTTTGTGCGAGTCAGGAAGTTCGCGGCCAACCTCCGTGACTCGCGTCCGCCCAAAGTCAATTCGAACCTTCATTTGACACTCTAACTATATGACATCTCGTACACTCCTCCTCCACTTGATTCAACACTCACACCCAATAATTCCTGCCGTGCTTGACCAGCCTGGAACTGATCTTCTGTTTTCTCGATGACTGACTCTGGAACAAACCCGTTTCTCCGAGGCGAAGCTTAATTGCCATCTTCAGAAATACTCATGTCGAAACCTATGGACCCTGGTGCGTGTGGCTGGATGCACTGGGCAGTACAAGACAACCAACAAAAGGCAACCTCCTTACGTGTTTCCACCAAACGGCCGTACCTTTACTGGGGGTCGTTCGAATCTAGGACCTGGTTCGTTCAAATCTGCTTGGGTTTTGACCATCTCAATCCTGATATATTAATCTAACTGCCATGTGCCTCCCTCGAGGCGAGCATTGCTGTGCCTTCACCGCAATCTATGCTGCTTCATGCGTGCCCAACAAGAACATGCCGTTTCGTGAATACTAATCAGTCGACTGACCACGCAAGGTGAGCACAAGTACTTTCCTAAACAAGAACTTCTCCAAGCACAATTATTAACCCCCCCATGTCAGATCGGCCGTTTACCTTCCCGGATCCCGGACATCCAAACCTGCGGTGTGAGTGATATGACGATCTCCCACTGTTACCGACACAACCGGTTTCAGATTTTGAACCCTGCTGCCAGGAATTCCTGGTCATGTTTCCTTCTCGGCTCCTGTGTGGGTGACATGATATACCAAGGTTTGGTATTGAGCATTCAGGATTCTGGTCTAGAATGTTTCTCAAACGGACCTGATTCCTTGCACTCGGTCCAGCACTCCAGATATGATCACGGTGGATCGCAGGTATATGTCCGCAATCTGTGTGACCAAACGCTGCTGCAGTCCCACCGCTACAACTTTCCTAAGGCCTCCATTTCTCTCATGACATTAGTCGGACTAAGTTTCTTAGCGCGAGGTGGAGAACCGCGCCCACGGTTTTTGGGAACCTTTGACATGCAACGGGGCGGAGCGTCGCGCAAAGTGGAGACAGAGTTCATCCGTTCACCGTGAGTCGCGAGACGGGTTGAACTGGCGCGCCTAAAAACCACATCGTCCCGTGCTGGGCCCTACTCACTGCAAAACGATGCTTCTCGATAGGGCATTGTTAACAGCGCACACTGCGTGCAGTATGCTGAGAAATTTCATCGCTCGCAGGATGTGATTGACACTCATGAGATAGGAGATGCTGCGGAAATACAAAGATCCCGTATCCGGATGCCAGCCATCCTTCGAGGGTTCTAGAATCATGATACAGCCATGACTACGATAAGGAAGCAAGCTGCCAGCACGTTGTGCAGAATCTGCAACTGGGCATCACGTCGGAAGCAGCGCTGGTTGATTGGATCTTTCGACCTCAGTCGCGCTGTCGCACCACATCATCACTGCAGCCCAGCATGCAGTTTCGTTCACTAATTTGCGATTTCAAATCGTTTCACAGCGCGGCGGCCAGCCACCCCCCGCATACATGCATATCTTGCATGCAGGCTAGAGCAATAGGATGGAGATCTGCAGACCGCTTCAATACATGACAGCCTGTCATGCAGAATGTAGCGATTGCGTTCGTATAGCGTGCCACTTGGACTGGATCCGTTGCTCTCCTCCGATCAACCCCGTCACGCCGTCTGCTTGACCGTCGAAGGACTTTGACTTCTGTTCCTTTGCTAATGACGGGTTTTTCTTTCGTCTCTACACACTACGTTTACTACGCTATAATCGGTTCTGCTTCTAGAAACAGTCGAAACTCAAAATATTACTCAATGTCGTGCATGATGAGGGCGCATCATTCTTGCCTCGTGCAAGCAGCCGCCGACGGCGAAAAGAGGTGGCTCCACTCTACATCCACCCAGGTACTGCATTCGTCGAATTGCGCAAATTGCCTGCAGCCAACACCTGTTCAATGGACCGGTCAAGCGCTCACCCAAAAAAGAAACACGCCGAGATGCTGAAAGAACGAATCATGCTGTATCGAGTAGATGTCCATCAGAATGATGAGGAATACGAGCAAGATGCACCTTCCATTTGTTCTGAGACCTGCATGGCTAGTGGCTTCTTCGATCATCTGCGGGTTTCGTGCTCGTGTTTTTGATCACGGAAGGTCTGGGTGAATGCAGTCCTATCAATGGCCGGCGTGGCCGCCGCCGTCTCGTGTGCCCGAACCCAGGTTTCGATCTTGCCCCTGACCAAGACGGCTGATCCATCGGGCAATTTGTTCGGCTCGATCATGGCAGTCTCGCTCAGGGCCATGACCACATCCTCGGGAGCAATCCAAGTTTGCTGAACGATCTGGTCAACAGTCCAAGATCGATTTGAAGGATTCGACAGGATGGTTCGACAGATCGAGGCTGACCAGTATGCCAGATAAGCCTTTCTTCCGAGGCTCGATANGGGCTGGTGTGTTCTGTCAGCGTGGCGTCCCAAAATATGGTGTTGGAAGTTGGCTTTCTCACGTTTCTCTGGACCTCCGAGTCTGCCTTCACGCCGACTCAGTTCATAGCTCACACCCATAAGCAGCTGGCCCAGGCCGCGTTTCTGCCAGGGTGGAAAGACCAAAATGCAAGCCACGTTATTGTTGTCCCAGCTCATTTTCTCCTTGCTGAAAAAGCCCACGACCTGTCTCTCGGCGGTTTGCGGCTCGGTGAGCACGAGAAGGTAGTAGCGAAAAGTGGTGACATCGTAAAAGACGGACTTTGTGTCGAGGAAGAGCTTGGCGAATAGCGAGAGGTTCTGAGAATACANACTGGGTTTGTTGTGTTAGCTAGATGTTCAGGCAAATTTCTTGACATATGATAGATGCTTGCGTACTTTGTGCTCTTCGCCGTCAATCTCGTATATCGATTGGTCGGCCGTCTGATATATCAGTGTTCCCGGCGGCGGCGAGTCTCTCAATGGACAGACTCTCTGGATTGTGTCAGCTTGGCCTGGCAGTCGTGTGCAAGTGAACAAGGACGATCTTACTCTATGCGCAAGGTACGGCATGAGCTCCTTGGAGTAACGAAAACAGCACTCGCAGACATAGAGGCGCTCAGCCTTCCTGCCAACAAGATCTTCCGGGTAGAATGAAGGATACCATGGCTTGATCTGGATGTTGCCCAAGACGACGTTCAAAACATTGGGTTCGGTAGGAGACTTCTTGGGCGTTGTCTGATGCTGTTGTTGCTGGGGCTTCGTCTGAGGGGACACTGCAGCAGCGGCCATGTCGTGGATTGACGAGTATCTGTGTGCGAGTCGTTCGCATCATCACTGAAGCTGAGTGCAGCAGCTCATGCTGGGATCCGGGTGTTCATGCAGTGCGAGCGATGCCTGGTATTTGTATCACGGCTTCAAACCTGCTCGTTCATCATCGTTGCGACGCCGAGGTCCATGTCCGCCAAGACAAGGCTGTACAGGCTACATACAAAGCACATGTGGGTGATATTTTATTTGTTTCGAATTTGAGCTTTGATGACTTGCTTCATGCCATTTGCCTTGCCTAATCTAACTATGTACATGCTAGAGCACGTCAGGAGTGCATTGCTTTGACAGGCGGCTTAGCCTCGTTTTTGCCTTGTTCGATATGCACGGCATCTATAGCACTGCATCTCAACCCAGATGCCTTACAGTTGCGTCCTTGTATTTGTGCTTCTATAGTTCTCTATGGCAGCGTATATGCCTTCCGGGCTAGGCTTCTCGGCACACACATGAGGCTCATATCCGAACTCTTTGATCAGATGATCGCGTGTCGTAGGACCAATGGTTGCAACGAACGTTGTGATTGGCGATGATTCTGCAACCTCTGGTTGGTAGCGGCCAGCCTCGTCGAGCCATCCTAAGCAATCGAGCATCGCTCTGCATCCTTGAGGTGAGAACACGACTACCCACTGCTCCTTGATACCGGACGCAGTGTTCTCCTCGAGAGCACGAGCAAAGTCGATATGGAAAGATGCCATCTCGCAAGTCTCGTAGATGACAACCTCGTGAACTCCGATGCGAGCTTCTTGGGGTAGTTCAAGGGATTGGAGGGACTTGGGAATGATGTCTCTGCGCACTTCTCCTACCAGGAACAAAAGAGGGAGCTTTTGGCCTTGCCTTACCGTCTGACTTGTGGGAAGGCTGTTGTAGTGGTCCAGCATAAAGGTGGACAGGGCAGCACCATTACCAGTCTCCTCTCCAATGATTTGACACTTCAACCCTAGTGATCGTAGCCCTCTGGCAGTGGCTGGGCCAACAACATAAAGTGGTAGAGCTTCGGGCAGAAGCTGATCTCTGGTATCAGGATTGAGTGACTCGACTATCGATGTAAAAGCCTCAACAGCACGTTGTGAAGTAAAGATGATGCCGCCGAAGCTTGACTCGGTAGCCGGAGCAGCAACAACAGAGTTGAAGCCTCGGGTTGAAGTTATGTTCTTCAACCAACTCAGGGCATCCTGTCTGAAGCGATGTTCAAGGACCGGTAGAAAAGTTGGTAGATAGTTGTTCCAGCTGGCGAAGATCTCTTGGTAGCCATCAGCTGGGATGGAATTTGTCTTGAGCAGCAGCACAGGAATGTCTGATGTTGTGGACGACATTTCGAATATATGATGGTTGGCCGAACTGTAGAAGCAAGCGGGAAGAACCGAGAGGTGGTCGAAAAGAGGCCCGATGGCACCCGAGCACGGACGAACGAGCCCCGGACGCGGACGGGGCAACTGACAAATGCGAAATATAGAAAGATTGGTATCATGCCTATAACTGAGATTCCGTATCCAATCCTCTCGCAATTCGGCTGCGCTGTGACAAAGACGACCGGAATGCCGCCTCAACCACAAGACGCGACGCCCGAGCAACAGGCTCAGGCTGATCAAGAAGACAGAACACCCAAGCAGCTACCGAAGGGCGTGGTCTTGGGTCCCGATGGCAAGCCGTACGTCAATAGCCACTAGACAAGATACTAGATCACATACTGAGGTGAGAACAGGTGCCGTTCATGCACATCAGTGTCCTCATGGTTCGCCATGGCAAAGCAGGGCACAACGAATCCCTCCAAGGTCGCGACCACGACACCCCCAGCTCAAGCAACTGCCTCCCTCAACATGCCAGCCGACTGTCCACCAGACGTAGAACAGCTCGGTCGCTCAGCGTGGACACTCCTTCACACCATGGCAGCAAGCTATCCAGAAAAGCCTTCGCCAGAGCAGCAAAGAGAGACGACAACATTTATGCAACTATTTGGCAAGATGTACCCTTGCTGGGTATGCGCCGATGATTTCAGAGCATGGATGAAAGATGGCAATGAGCCACGCGTGAGCAGCAGGAATGACCTTGCACAATGGATGTGCGAAGCACACAACGCCGTCAACGTCAAGCTGGGCAAGAAGTCGTTTGACTGCAAGAAATGGGAAGAGCGCTGGAGAACTGGCTGGAAGGACGGACGATGTGGTTGATCGTGCCTTCTATTTCTGTTCATACACAATGCGATAGCGATTGCTCCTCTCGCCACTCACCAGGAGCGGGAGCAGCGTTGTTGACACAAAGCGAGCAAGACGGCACAGTTTGGAGCTCTGCACGCGCACTGTGAGCTCTGTCTGCCTGTGCCGGAAGCAACCTTACTCGACTGAGAAGATCTCGTGCGTCAGCATCACAAAAATCAATGAGGAAAACACGTCCAAGTGGAACTAATAATGACGTATGCGGGAGCTCGATCACGAACCTCGCGTAAGACTCGCGTTTCGAGACTAAAGTCGTTACGATAAATACTCTTAGAGGTTCCTTATATACACTCTTCAGCTCCTCACTTTGATCCTACAAGCTACAAGCCCTTTCTGGACAATCACTTCTTGTTGACATCACCAATCGTCAGCCCCATCACGCCATCACTTTCACCTCATCGACCCAATTGCACCCTTGCCAGCTCGGCATCTCCTCACACCTTTCCCACATCACCCACATCATGCCTGGCACACGATCATCTGCCCGTTTGGCTGAGAAGCAGTCCAGCCCTCCTGCTGCCTCCCAAGAAACCAAAGACAACAAGCGCAAAGCCGACGACTCCCAATCTTCTCCCTCTAAGAAGGGTCGTAAAGACACTGCTGAGCAGAAGACCATTGAAGAGACCCTCAAGCCTGCTGAGAACAGCAACGGTGACTCTGAGACAAAGCCATCTGGCCAGGCTGGTCAGACCGAGCAGCCTGAGCAGAAGCCCGCCGACGGTTCAGCTGAGCAATCATCTGAGCAGACCCAAGCTGAACAGAAGGATGACGGCTCCATCAAGCAGGTTGGCGAGTCCTACCAGGGCCAGAACAAGGAGGGTGAATCAAAGGATGATCCCGAAAAGGCTCTCAAGGATTCTCGCGGTGGCCAAGGTTTGAACACCATTGAGCCCGAGAACCCCAAGCCTAAGCCCGAGGACCTCCCTATCGTATGTACCATCTGACCATCCGCCATTGCCTTGACTAACATTTGCAGNGACGACATTCACCGCGACTTTGCTAAAGACCCCAACGTTCCTCTGAAGGAGAAGCCCACAGCAGACGAGGACAAGGGCGGTGCTGTAGAAGAGAGCAAGGATCGCGCTGAGCAGATGCCCAGCAACATCCAAGAAAAGGGTATCATCTACTTCTTCACTCGAGGTCGTGTCGGCATTGACGACCCTCAGAGCGTTCAGGACCTGCAGCGTAGCTACTTCGTCCTGCGTCCCCTGCCCAACGGCGCAAAGTTGGGCGATGGCGCCATCGAAGACGTCAAGAACAATCGTCTCTTCGCTCTTCCCAAGAAGGTCTTCCCCAGAGGACCCAACGATAAGTTCATGGTCTTTGTCGAGAGGGCAAAGGCTTCCATGGACGAACTTAAGAAGGACTTNTTCCAAAGCTCAGAATATGAAACTCAAACTGCAGGTAACAGAACCACACACCCCATCACTNNCCCCCTCGGCGAAGGCGTGTATGCCATTACCACGACAGGTGTGCGTTCTGAATCTCACCTAGCCTACATGCTCACCATCCCTCAAGAGCCCGGTCAGATGCAAGAGGACGTTGGCATCCGCTCCAAGGGCAGCTTCGTGTTGAGTCTCAAGAACCCTACCGTCAAGGGTCCTTCATACGCAACCCTCGACCAGCCCGCAGAGTTCCCTCAAGATGTCATCGACGGCTTCCACGGTCGCAGTTGGATGCCTGCTCAGCCCAAGCACCTCGACTACGCCAATGCCCAACTCCTAATGATTGGCGAATCTCTTGATGACAGTCACGCACTTGAAGCCACAGCCAACGACCAAAAGTCAGACAACAAGGAGACGCCACAAGAGGAGATTGAGAAGCTCGAGCATGAAGACGAGCTACGTGTCGAGCATCTCAAGGGAGACGACACGGTGTTTGCGGATCTGGGACTCTCTCACAAGGAGTACCCTAGTGTTCCCACCACCTGGTAATCGGCGTGATTCTTTGAACCTGCTGTAGTCTTGTATCTTTGTAATGGAAAGGGAAAAGGAAGGAAAAGAAGGGATTGTGCTTTAGGCTTTCTTCGAGCTAGGCGCCAGGGACGCATGGACGAAGGACAACAGATCTGTCCTTTGCTACTATACTTCAGAACGACGTAACGAGAAAGAAAACAATGAATCGAAATGAAAAGCTTCAACAAGTATACTATCTCCACTCTTGACTTGTGATGTGTTTATTATCGCCTTGCCATGCTTACGGTCGACCGTAAATGTATCATCCAAGTAGTCATACAAATTCCTCTCGACACAGTCCATTATCACAATCATATCGTAATCACGTTCGGCTCGTCTTACAGTACATCTCCAGACACAGAACTGTTGTGAGGATGTGTCTTTGTGGTATACTTTCAATCTGTAGCTTCGAAAAACAACCAAAAATCGTTCCTGATGACTGGACGCTGCACCAAACCCTCGAACCTGACATGGATAAGACGAGAAAAGCCTGGAGATGATATGGAGACGCTGTCTTGACCAGAAATCTTCGAGGTTGAATGGTAATCGGTTATATATTGGATGGTGTTTACGAAGACAGGGTCGTACCAGTGTCATTCTTTTTTCTTTTCTTCTTCCTCTTTTGTCTCCTTTGTTCTCCTTTTTTCTTACTTTTTTTTCCTTTGCTTTTTGAAGACATTTTCACTCGCAAATCTATCAAGAAAATCACACGAACAAAAAACTCTTGTTAAGTCTATGGCAGGCAGTACGAAATGATTTGATCCTTGAATTCTTAGGCAGTACTATAACTTTGCTTCTGGGATACGCTTGCTGATGCTGACAAAGGAAAAAGTAAAACGAGCAACGAAGCAGACAACGCCCCACCCAAATGTTGAACTCCTTCCTCTTTTGAAGGACAGTGCGATGTAAACAGAAGAAAAGACGTGCTCAAATCGCGCTCAAAATCCCTTGCGAGATGGGAACACGACGACAGAAGAGGAAACGACAACTCCTCTTCAGATATTATTCATCTCATATCTCTAGCTTTCTTGTTTGTTTGTGTTTTTTTCTGGCTGTATCATGGCCCAATATCAGAGAAGCCAGCGTTGGCTGGTCTGGTACCATGGAGTCTTTTCGTCTGAGATTCTTCTGGTAGGACTGGAGTCGGCATCGGACATGGCAAACTGGAGCTGTTGCTTCTCCGGCTCGCTCCTATCGATCGCCTTGGTGGAGTTGAACACCTTCGTTATGATAGGCAGATTTCTGGCCCACGATCCAGGTTCGGCGGAGGGGTCGATGATAGGGGTACGAGGAGTGTGAACGCTGAGACCAGGGGTGCTGTTAGAAGAGCAAGTAGGAGTTTCAACCAGGTCGGTATTGCTTGCGGCGAGAGACGGCGAAAAGTCGGCGGATGGGTAGTAGTTCATGGCGGTGGCATTCGACTTAGGCGGGTGATATTTGGGCTTGTCCAGAGTACAGTCGCTACGAAAGAATTATGTTAGCGACCCGGCTCGAAAGCATTAGGATCATAAGAAGTAGTACTTTTAAATGGCAAGAGATATATGGCAAGAGATGAAAGAAAATAGATCCAGAAGACAGAGAAGTTCGCAGCTCAGGAATTACCGCATGATTTCCTCGAAGATGAGCTCTGTTAAACATCAAAATTAGCACGTTCTTTTTCTTTCTTGTAGAGCAGATCTTACGCTTGAGCTGTTCCTTGGTGAGGTTGTCCTTGTTCTTGTCAAAGTCGAAGAACTCTTCGGGGATGGCGTCTGCGGTAGGCTCGTCTTCGGGGTCGTGGTAGGGCTCGAGGTAAGGGTGTCTCAGAGCTTCCTCAACCGTAATGCGCTTAGCAGGGTTGAAGGCGAGAAGTTTGTCGAGCAGGTCGAGGGCGAGATCTGAAGTCTTGGGGAACATGGCCTTCCATGGGATCTTCTTCTTGAAGGGCAAGCTGCGAATGTACTCGCGTGCACGACGCGACTTGATGCCGTAGTAGTCTTCCATGGTGGGCGTACCCAGAACGTCAAGGATGAGGGTGAGCTGATGGTGGTAGTCTTTGCCAGGGAACAAGGGCTTTCCACTCAGCATCTCGGCGAGAATGCAGCCAACCGACCAAACGTCAATGGCCTTGGTGTACTCCTTGAAGGTAAGCATAATCTCGGGGGCACGGTACCAACGGGTAGCAACGTATTCGGTCATGAAACCCTGGTTGTCTTCGGTAGAGGCGGCTGAACGAGCGAGACCAAAGTCGCAGACCTTGAGATCGCAGTTTGCGTTGAGCAGCAAGTTGGAAGGCTTGAGATCGCGGTGCAAGACATTGGCAGAGTGCATGGCCTTGAGAGCGCGCAGGGTTTGGTAGATGAAGTATTGGCAGTGGTCGTCGGACAGCTCTTGGGTGCGAATGACACGGTGCATGTCAGTCTCCATGAGCTCCTGGATGAGGTAGACCTCGGTGAAGGTCTCGTAGCTGCGCGGCTTCTGAATGTCGAGGATCGAGATGATGTTTTCGTGGTTGAAGTAGCGGAGGAGCTTCATTTCACGCAGCGTGCGTAGACAGAACATGGAGTGGTCGAAGGGTGTGATCTTCTTGATGGCCACTTTTTGGCCCGATGGCTTGTGAAGTGCAGAGCTGGGAGCGTCAGTCTGGCTCGGTATACATCAATGGTCCAGGATTGCATACCACACAACACCGTAGGCACCCTCGCCTACTACGTCTTGAATGTCATACTGCTCTGACACGTTGAAGGAGATCTTGCGGGATCCGCTCTGGGGAGCTGCGCGCGACATGGTTGCGATCTGACTGGCGGCAAGGCTGTCGGTGAAAAGTGCGAGATTATACAAGGAAGGTGCGAATCAACTTGACATGGTCAGCCGAGGAATGCAGGTCGACTTCTGCATTCTTTCTTTCACTCACCGAGCTGTCACTCCAGGCCGTTTTGAGAGATGGAGATGCGGGAAAGAGGGTCCAGCCGTTCTTTCTTTCTTTGGATGCTTGTTCTTTGTTGGCTCGCTGATTGCTCAAATGTTTGCTCCAGCTCCGGTCTCTGCTTGTTTCGCCTTTGGTTTGAATGCAAGAAAGACAAGTCGCTCAACACGAAGGTCAGATGCAAGAGCGCCTTGTCGACCCATGGCGGGGCACCAACTGAAGCAGCCCAAAGCACAGTCCCGCAAATACGCGCCTGTTTCCGATCCTCCTAGACCCGCCCATTGGCCAAATACAGTCCGCGCTACTGACTTCCTTAAATTAAGTCCTTCCCGTCTCCTTTGTCGCAGCCATCTTGGCTCCCACTGCTTGGAACAGACGTCTCGTCTATATTGATATATCACCAGCTATCACATCCCTACCCGCGAGTCCCGACCAACCGTTTATAACGTCTATCGATTGCGCCTATGCCGTGTCTTTGTAGAAACCAGCCATATTTTTCTGTATCTCTATCCGATTACCTATCGTGTGTCTATAAGACAAAAGGAAATTGCATAAACCTCCGTGTAAGCGCCATGCTGCATGAGTCCGCACCGAATCAAATCAAAAACCCCTTGACCATCGCAATCCCAAATTGTCATTGTCTTGTCATCTCGTCCTGTTGAATGTCGTTTTTCACATTATACCGAAACTTCAGGACCTGAGCGGGAGCCGCAGTCCCATTCTGCCCTTCCCCTTCCCACCCAAAGAGGGCGATTGTGGCTGCATCATGGCTGTTGGGCTCGTCGCATCTGGATCAGAGTCGTTCTCCACCAGCGTCCAGCTGTCTTCTACCTCCACTTCGCCCTCGTCTTCCGCATCCGTGTCGCCTTGCGCCGCTCTAGCCACACGTTGCTGAACCAGTGTCTTTGCATATTCCATGTCGCGATAGATGGCCTTGATGACTGTGCCGACACCATCTTCGGATCGGATCTGCTCTCCTAGGACCCTGGCTTTTTCAATCATGCGTGAGTCGTGCGTCGCGATCCATATCGCTTTGCCTAGTGCGTTCTCCGTCAATTTCAGGACCTTCTGCCCAACTCCAAGATCTTGGACTTTGCTGCCAAAGAAGAATTGGTCACCGAAGAAAGGCTTAATGATGGTTGGGATGCCAGCGCGAAGACTGGCACCAGTCGTCCCTGCTCCGCCATGATGGACAGCAGCATCAACCTGTCTGAACAACCAATCATGCGGAGCAGATGCAATCTGGAACATGAAGTCCGGCAAAGGCACTTCGAGTGCTTTGGCATCCTTCTTGTCCATACGATCGGACCAGCCCTTGGAAAGGATGCAGCGAACATCTGCTTTCTTGACAGCGGCGATGATATCCAAAGTAAGTTGCTTTGGATCGGGAACAACCACTGAACCGAAGCCGATGTATACAAGCTTGGCTTTGTCCGCGCGTGCCTTCTTGATAAAGTCGAGAAGCTCCTTCTGAGGGGTAAAATTGTCTGCTTCATCGAGGAACCAGTATCCTGTCACTCGGATCCACTCTCCAAAGTCAAGAGGCGGAACAACCACGCTGGGCGAGAAGTTGTAGAAGAATGGAACCTTGTCTTGCTGCATCTTCTCCATGTTGGTGGCTTTCAACCCCAGCTCTTCTTTGCGCCACTTGTTGATTGTACCCGAGGTGGCTTTCCAGAATATGTTTTCGAAGACGACATAAGTCATGTAGTTGTATGCACCACCCATCCTGTTGTTCTGCATGCCAAAAGCATGAGGATAAGCGCGCGTTCTGGTCCAAGGCATGGTAAAAGCTCTGAAGTAAGGAATACCAAGAGCTTCAGCGATGTGAATTCCTGCCATGGCAGATGGGCTCTCAATCAGGAGGTCTGAATCCTGGCACGCAGCCCAAGCTGTTCTGAGTAGACCTCTGACGAAAGGCCAAAACTAAGACTTTTAGTGTATACTCAATGCAAATAGCTGTAAGTCTGAACGTACCTTCTGGTTTGTCTCATAGAGAAAGGATGGTGTAAACATGCCATGATCAACGCAAAGTGCCATCAATTCTGCTGGGTTACCTTCAACGGGTGCAAAATCAATGCCGTGACTCCTGACCCAATCACCAAACTCTGCATGAGAGGCAATCTTCGGTCTGTGTCCTTCAGCAAGCAGACCTTTGCAGAGGGCTATATATGGCTGCACGTCTCCACGAGAGCCAATAGTCAGGCAAGTAATGCGCAGAGATTCCTCAGGCTTGAAATTGAGAACCGAGGCGGCTGGGTCATCGAAAGAAACGGCCGGCGAGTCGTTATCTGTAAACATGTTAAGGGAAAGTACAGCATTAGAAGACTTGATTACCGTACCTGGCTGATCGATGCCACGAGGAACCTGGAACTCGACGCCACCACGATCACCTTGGCGAGCTTCCTGCAACAGAAGATTTTCTGCTGCTGCTGTCTCGGCGTCTCTCTTCTCATCTTCCGTAAGCAAGACAGATTCCTGGAACGGCTCCAAAGAGTCGAGCGAGCGCAGAAGAGTGATCGTGCAGTCGTCGCGTAGATCTTGTGAGCCGAATTCGAAGAAGATCTCTTCGTGGCCTCGGATCACAACAACCATACCTGAGTAGCCAAATCGGAACCCTCTTTCCTTGTCAACATCCATGATGTCTTTGAATGGCACGACAAGNNCTAAGGAAAGTTAGCAGAGCTAGAGCATCAAGGACAAATTCGAGCTTACCTTTGTCCAATTCCCAGGCATGAAGCTACGAAAACACAGCCTTGTACTTCCAACGTACAACTTGCCGTACAGAGGCAAGACCCTGTGGAAGAAACCAAAGAATGTTGCCACAAGTTTCTCAGAGTCTGGCAGTGCAAAATGGTTTCGGAAGCTCTTTTCAGCCTCGCGAACAGTCATTTCATCCTCAGAATCTTGCACCTCTTCTCCAGGCAACAATTCGTCTGCCTCAGCATAGTGTTTCTTACCACCAGCGATCATGCCAGAGAACTTGTCATAGTACTCCATAGGAGAACTTCCAANAAGACCGCTGACACGTTTGCCAGAATTGTACAAGAAGCCTGAGGCACGCTGAATCGGAACAGCACCGACTTTCATCAGACCCCCCAAGGTCGAAGAATCTGATTGTTGCATGTCTTGGAGTTTGGTGTCTGATGTCTTTGTCAAGATATTAGCTCCAGCTTCTTTGCCAGGTCTCTTGGCTGGAGCAAACGATGCATCCGTGGCTGTGCTGCCCTTTGCATGATGCAATGCGGTGTTATCAGCATGATACTTTCCAATGGTTGGCTTATGGAACATGACGCTTCCACTCAGTATGTGGCTACCCGAAGCATCCGTGCCAGCTGCAGATTCTGACATTTCGCTATCGTTGCCTTGGTCAGAGGATGACACATACGACTCTGAAGTATCATGTGGATATTGGCCCCACTGCTTCTGCTTCTGACCGCTACGCTGTCTTGTAGCGCGGTCCGCAATGTTGTCCTCTTTGCCTTGGGAGAGATCAAGAGTAGAACGTTCCAACTCGCTACTTGATCGAGCACTTCTGGACGTGAGACCAGAGGCTGGAGATAGTGTTGCCGTGACATTCTCATGAAGACTTCCAGGAGCAGGGCTCATAGATGGCACGCGAGACCTTCTTCCGTGTACTGATGATGGTCGACGATCCGCTTTGGTGAGGACTGGTGAAGCAGGACGACTTGCGAGTACACGCTGAGCGCTTGTCTCTTGCGTTAAGCTTCGCAGCACACCAAGTGCCTCTTCACCAAAGCCGAAGAAAGAAAAGAAGTANNCTAGATGAAGTTTAGCAAGAATCTAGTTGTAGATAAAGCAGGTTGAATGACATACCTCGTCAACAGCAAACGTCTCATCGTTATCGATGACTCGAATCTTGATGGTGTCGGCGAAATCTGGATAGTTGCTTTCCTCGATATCAACAACATTGTCGACTGGCAGGCAAATCTTGACACTGTCACTGTTGTTGCGCGATCGGAAGATGACCTTCTGTATCTGCTTGACCCACTCTGTTGCGCTTGAGGCAGTCTCTGCCTTGAAGTGGTATGTTTTTGCATCTGTAACGACAGAGAAAGACGTGCTTTCCTTATCCTGTCCTTGTGTTGCCGTTATGTCTGCTGAGACACCGTAGCGCAAATCTATAACATCTCGTGGAGAAAATGGAGTCGAAGGATCCTTGTAGTATGACAAGACATCGCCTTTGAGTACGAACCAATATTTCTTATATCGAGGGTTGCGTTGACCACGCTTTGTAAGGTAGCCAGACTTCACTGTGACGCCAGTCTTCTTCTGTAGATAGGCGTAGAAGCAGATATGACGTTGTGTGATGTAGATGAAGCCTTGCAAGAGGACGCTCTGAAGATACCAGCAGGGATACTTTGCGACAACCTTTTCGGCTTCATCGAAGTTGAATATATCTTTCAGAGCGTCCGGCAAGGCTACTTGTGTCCCACTCGATGACATATCTGGGACAGGGCTCGGCTTCCTGCTGGCAGGCTTCCTGATGGTGGACTGTGAAGACTCTAGGTCTGTCCTGGTATGGGAAGTAGGTTCGGGCGCATCGATAGGCTTGGAGAAGCGAGTGGGAGTTGTGGTGGAGAAGGAACTCGTGGAGGCGGGCCGCAAGCCGGGTAATGACTGTACCAGGTTGTTGTCAGACACTCGTTTGAGGTGGTTGTTGCGGGACAGCGGGCTGCGGCGTAGTGGGAGTGTCGAAGGTATGGTGGACTTGTTGAATCTTGTGGGCGGTGTTGGATTGGCATCATCGCTATCGCTGTCGGCCTCTTGGAGCATGGACCGCATCGTGTTGGCCTTGGACTGAGTTGCGGCGATGATGCCAAAGACGCTTTGATGCATCAAGGCCATGTCTATGATTTGTGCTCTATCCACCTCTTGTTCTAACTCTTGGTCTTGGTCTACATCGTCGTCGAAACGGAAGCGTTCGGGCAGCTCCATAGACACTCTTCGATGAGCTTGCCGTGTATTGCGATGGGAGGACATGATGTGTGAAAGGTCGAGGTCCAGGGCGGAAGCAGACGATGACTGCCCGACCTGAGTTCCTGATGCAACAACGTGGTCGAGGCACGAGGATAGACGAACCAGTTGGATGCTGCACGCGCCCCTCGAACTTACTGCTGAATCTGGGGTTAAAGCTCGTGACAGGGCGTTGGATGGGAAAGAAGAGCGGTCTTTGTCTGTTCAAACATCACTGTACTGGCTGGCCTGTTTCGTTGCTACATATCGCAATACGGGACTGGATTGGAGCCTCAAAAGGTCCGTAGCCCTCGGATCTGCACCTTGATAGGCCGCAGATTACTCGACCACCTTTGTGGCCACCGCCTTTGCTGTGAAGCCTAGGTTCCCCACACTTTTCGAGCACGTGCACGTCATCTGATCGATTGACTCTTGGGCTCTTGGACATGGTATGAGTCAATTATCGACTACGCATCGAAGAAGGACGGAAGCAGGTTGATATAGAATTAATACAAAATTTATGATGGAAAGATCACATATATCGTTGCGGCGACCTGCCGTCAAACCGTGATACTCGATTACAATCAATAAGCAACGCTGATGCGACTAACCGCTCTCATATCTGTCTTCCTTCAACATCATCACTTAAGCCTTAGCCTTGGCGAGACCAACGCTATTGCTACCGAGGTCATAGACCGAGTAGTACTTGCGGAGGAAAGCATCACCAAGGATGGCAAGAGGGCCAGCAGGGGCAGGGATATCGAAGCCCATGAACGACGAGATACATGAGCCCTGGACCTCAAGGATGTAGTCGTAGGGAGTGATGGTGAAGTTGTAGCCGGTCAGAGTGAAGCTGAGGTCAGGGAGAGAGTCACGCTTGTCACACTCGACAGTGTACTGGCCGTTGTAGCCCTTCTTAGCACCGATCTCCTTGTTCAGCAACTCAGCAAGAGTGCTGGGGAGGGCAATGAGCGAAGTGCCGGTGTCGAGGATGGCACCCATGTTGTCGAACTCGGCGCTCTCCTTGCCAAAGGTGATGGCGTCAAGGTCGACCTCCCAGTAGGCCTTGCGTCTCAGAGGGAGCTTGGTGAGCTCGCCGGTGTAGTGGTCCTTGTTGACGCCACCGAAGATGGCCTCGGACTCAGCCTCCTTGTCGTTGGTGTCACTGAGGTAGAAGGCGAAGACAGGCTCGTCGAGCAGATCTTGGGCAACCATCTCGTAGAAAGGAGGAGGAATCTTGTTGACACTGATGGTGTCGTATCCAAGACCAAGGATACCATCGAAGCGGCCGAAGGCGAAAGCAAGGCCAGGCTCCTGAGTGGCTTCACCAAAGAGCTGGTTCTTGATCTTGATGTCACCAATCTGGACAGTGTCCTGGGAGATGTAACCTTCAACAGCGCCGGAGCCGTAGCGGATGGCAAAGTCTGAGCCGTTCTTCTTGTATGTGGAAGAGTCACTGTGGTCGTACTTGTTGTGGAGGTAGCAAGCGATGGAGCCACACTCAGACGAGGGAACCCAAAGGTTGGAGCTGCCGGTGTCGAGGACGACCTTGAACTCTTGAGGAGGGTTGCCGATAGCAATCTCAGAGAAGTCTGCAACATGATTAGAAGTTTGATTTGCGCGGTAGCATTAAGTTCGACATACNNACTGAGCGTTCAGGAAGTTGCTGACAGCGACGGGGTGGCCAGCCTCAGCGTGCACCGAGGTCTCCTTGAACATCTCATCGATGTGCTTCTGGGNGCGAACGCCCATGTACTTCTGACCAAGAGCCTGGACGTGCTGACCGATGTTTGCACCCTNCCTGCGATAGCTGTTAGTCGACTATGGATTGAAGATGAACATGACGCCACTCACAAGCTGCTCAGAAAGAGGAACCTTCTTGAGCTTCATCTTGTGGACACCGGCCGAAGCCGAGCCAAACAGCGCACCGGCTGCCATGAGAGAACTGCCCTTCATCTTGTTGTATCTGTATGGGGTTGAGGAATGTGTGGAGGGAAGTGGAAAGATGGAGGGTTGTGGAGGACGGATGGAGAGGTAGTCGATGGATAGCTTGGTCGGACCAAGACCGTGGTGGCTGCGGGCGCCAGTGCGAGTCCTCGTGATTCCCTCGGACGTCAACGTCATCAAGGTGCCTGTGCCTGCTGTTTGTCAAGTTAGGCAGCCGCTTTCGATCGAACCATTGACTCCGTTTCCCACGGCCGCCAATATTTGCAATTGCAATATTGAACGGTATTGGCTATATACTTTCTACCTCTTCGATTTATTCCATTGAACACAGCACAAGATTGCACTCAGAATCACAGCACAAGTTCACAAGAAGCTGGGCGCCTGTTCATGGGTCGACTGTGCCTTGCATGACTAGCTCCATCCTTCCGCAAACTCCGTTTCAACCAGACGCCAAGTCCATCACCTGCCGCAAACAGTAGCACTGGGCAACCACACCCAGGCACGTTCACAACTTAATCTCGTTGTGCCTCAGACTCAGCTGGACTCCCAAGTTCTTTGCAACTCGGGCTGTCAGACCTTATCACCACGCTTCTGGGAGATGATTGTGAAGGACAGAGGCATTGCCAAGGAAAGAGCCCGAACGCTCGCGTGCTCTGTTCAAGTCTCGATGTAGCCAATCACTCCATAGTAAGCTGTCACCGAGGTATTATCTCGACGATGTAACCAAACCTGCTCTGTTGTGCACGAATTCGATCTTGTGCGAGCATTTGTTTGAGTGCTATCTACTGAAGATTCGATTGCACTCTCGAAATTGGTTTGACAAGCATTTTGGCATAGAGAAGTGGCGCAACACGACCTCCCCGTGTGCAAAGTATGTAACGCGTTTGGTGCACAATACTATTAGAAAACAGAGCAGTATCCACTGAGAAGCGATCTCTTACCAGCTCTCTTTGGCCAATCTTGATTTTTGGATAGAACTTTGCATTTTTATAGTATGTACATTACTCTCTGCTATGGTCGGAGTGCAGTAGAAGTCGCGTCCTTTTAGCACACGGGGAGGGAGCGATACGGGGCTCACAACCACCCTAATTAGACGCCAGCAACTCAACCTCCATACACATATACGTGTGCCATACTGAAGTCAACATTCGTTTATACCAACCAAGCTCAGACGAAGCAAGACACAAGGTATGTGATTTCTTAATAGTCATCTTGTTGGTTCAATTTGCGAAGACTCTCCTCCCCACAAGCGAGCATTGCCAAATGAACCCAAACAGGCACTTACACCAACCCCCTATCCAAAAGTGCGATTTCTATCAATTCTCGATGAATGTTGGTTCTGACATACTTTATAGTTAGAAATGGCTGCTTCGTACACTTTCGAAGACCTTTCTGGTGCGACCCCCACCGTGTCAGATAATCCATATGACGGCCTGATAAAAGCTTGTCACAACAACGCTGTAGGTGAATTACCAACCTCGCAATGTTCTAGGTCTGACGACATGTAGGTTGAGATTCAAGCTCGCTATGAGACTCATCGCAGCAACCGTGGCGCCCAACAGAAGGAGAAGCTCACCTCTCCAGACTTTGCAGGTGTCACTGTCGACACCATCCTCGCAAAGCTAGAAGATCCAACCATCGAACCCGGCTTCCAGGACCCAAGAAACTGCCTTGTGTTCTGGGCTCGTCCTCCGCCACATATCAAAGCTGTCATTGCAGAAGTGCANAAGAGACTGAAGGCAGTACTNCCCAAGTAAGCACTTGCTTATCTCAAGGACATGGGCACAACTGGCTAACAACAGGCGTACGAACATACAGATCTCTGGACAATGCCACAAGACAATCTTCACATGACAGCTCTAGAGATCACTCATTCTTTGACCGCTCCAGAGATCGATGAGCTAGTCGAACAAATCCGCCCAGGAATTCCTTCCATCACAGATTACACATACACTCACCGGGCCCGTGTAGTCAAACCATCGCTCTCCTACGACGCTCAAGCATTTGCTCTGTCTTTCCTGCCTGCAGCTGGCGAGCCCTGCACTGCGGATCCTTCCCGCAAACCTGAAGACGATGACTTCACATACCACCACTTGCGTCGCGACCTCTATGCCTTGAGTTCCGCCACAGGCGTCAAAGTTGCGAGCAGATATGTTGTGCCCTCTGCTCACTTGACCGTGGGTCGCTTCATCAAGACCTCTGATACGGAGACCGCAGAGGGCAAGGTCGATCACGCTCGCATGCAAGAGCTTGTAAAAACTGTTGACGAGATCAATGAATGGCTCAAAGCTGAATACTGGCCTGTAGAGGGCGAGGGAATCAAGGCTGGCGGTGAATGGATTGTTGGCGAAGGAAAAGGCCTTGACAACCGCAAGGGCGCGCTCTGGTATGACCTCCTGTTGCCAATCCATGTATCGTCTTGTTGTACTAACTCAATCCGGTTTATAGGNTATGGTACTGGAGAGACCATCAGACTAGGCAAGGGATTCTAAGTGATTCCATCGTTGCATTCACGATAATTGCTTTCCGCCAGTATACATCCAGAACTATAAATACTCGTATTCGCGCTCGGTAGAGAATGTCTCTGGCGTAGAAAGATATCTTGCTTACACAAAAGGATAGACAATGCTACTCTTGCTTGCTCCAGCCATATCCAGTCTCTAGGTTCACTGTACAGAAACTGAAACTTTAGGAACTCTGTCCAAGTCGAGTCTATCGACGACTCGCTCTCCTCTCCAACATATTTCGTGTGTTCTGCAGGCCAGATTGTACCTCACAGCAATTTATCCCCACCAACGTGGTGAATAGTGTTCTCAACACCTTACTCCTTATCTCAGGATTGCCATTCTATCTGCAGCTCCATCCCCCAGCCAATCTTCAGTCAGACAAGACCACTTTCCTAAAGCAGCATTGACTGCGAGATCCGACGGACCGTCCTAAGTATACGCACGTAAGAAGCACTGTTAGCGTTTCACTAAGCATTTTACTTTGCAAGATGCATCACAGCAAATGGTTATAATAGCTATAACTTGTCGTGCATATGGCTCGGGAGGAACGGCTCACTTACGGAGTCCACATTATCTATCTCACCTTTCGGCCGTTAGGGTATGTGCGGATATGCGCAAAGCGCAGGAGAAAGAGGTCAGGGGCCTGGTACGGTGGTATCAGCGTACTTGTCACGTCAAGTCATCTAACAATACAACGTACACATGGGCTCACTCGTCTGAAAACTGGCGGGTGTTGGCAGGAACAATGTTCATCAAAGGTCATAAATAGAAGTGTCTTTGCGACAAAACAAGCCTAAGCATTTACACCTTAGCAGCAATCTTCGTCCCAGCCAAAACTATCCTAGCAGCCAGAATCGTGCAAGCACCACTCAACGCCATGATACCGCCAAAGATTTGAAGACCCGTATACTCGCCCTCCCACCGAGTAATCAAAGCTCCACCGATGGGATTACTGCACAATGCTGCAAACGAGATGATTGCAAACACTGTACCGTTCCTGACTCCAATCTCTCTGACATCCGAGATCTGAGCAACCAAGGAAGGGGCAAGAGAGACAAAGGAACCACTTCCAAAGCCATAGAGAGCGGCAAAGACGATGATGGGAGCATTGGATGCGGCTGGTAGCCAGAGGGCGAGGATCAAGATGCCTGCGAATGCCATCATGATGGTCATGACGTTGTATCGACCGATCTTGTCTGCTGCAACGCCAGGCAACACACGACCGAAGAAAGACGCACCATTTAAGATGGGAACCAGGTACTCAGCCAGCCTCGAAGACATGCCTAGAGTCTGTGCTTGAAGGATAAGATAATTAATCGGCAAGAACATGGCAAAGAAGAAAAAGAAGCTTCCCAGCACGGTAAGCAAGTATGGTGTTTCCTTGAGCGGCCGAATGAACTGCATGATGTGGAAAGGCTTGGGTCGAGGCGGAAGGCGTGACTTGACGGTTGCGTTGGCGACGAGCATGAGAGCGAGAACCAAAAACCCACAGACGCGCATTGTCCAGCCAAATCCGATTCTGGGAATCAGTTTGTTGACCATGATTGGGAAGATCGCACCGCCCGTAGAGGATCCAGCAGCCATGATACCGAAAGCAGCGGCACGCTTCTTGAAGAACCAGGTGGGCATCACACTCATTGCNNTACCGAAATGGTCAGTATCTTCTGCTAAGGACCGGGGATAAAGGCACATACCTGGATAGAAGCACATACTAGCTCCGGCAGCGCTGCAGATACCCTGTGAAAGCATGATCTGATAGTAATTGGTAGCAAGACTGGCCATCATGAGACCGAAGACATGAAAGCAAGTTCCAGTGAGTAGAATGTATCTAGGACCATAGCTATCAAAGAAGTAGCCAATGAAGGGTCCTAGGAAGAACATCAAGAAGGTCTCCATAGACGGGATCCATGATACTGTGCTGGGGCTATCCCCTCGTAGTTGATGTGTTTCGTAGTATTCTTGAAATACTCCAANTACCTGAGGACGATCAGCAAGACATTCGACAAAAGATGTAGATCGATAGCTTGGTAGCCAAGACAACGGGAAATGCAAGGTATGGTTTTCAAGAAAGGGAAGCAGCAACTCACAATTGATCCATCCGAAACTGCAAAACATGCAGCAGAAAGCACCTAACACAACCAACCATGCATCACGCCCACCGTCAGGGTTATCTCTAGGGTCAAACGCCGGCGGCGGTGTAGCAACTGCATCTCGTTGTCCATCATCTCCAAATGTGGGTCTTTCGGCCGTAGCAACTGCTCCCTTCTCCTCATCAAACATGCCGTGTTTTTCGCCCTGTTCCGCCCGCAGCAAGTCTGGTTTCGAGCCCATGACAGTGTCTTGGAATGATGAGTGCGAAGACTGCGTCTCGAGATGGTGTTGATGTGCTGCCATTGTCGTTCGGTTATATATCTTCTATGCGTTTGGCAGTACCAAGACAGCGGGAAACGCCAAAGTGTAATCGCGGATAGCCAGGGAAGTCTAATAAGAAAAGGACGCCCAGTTGTCGTAATGCCTCGCCTTTCTTAGGATAGAGGTAAAGTGATAGAGAAGAGGAAGTAGCCCTCAAGAGAGATGGTGAAGGAGGAAAGAACGATGCCGAAGTGTAGCGATAGACCTACCATTATAGTGCTGCTAGGATATCTAGCTCAGAGATTCCCATAAACCCTTCGGGCGTAGCAGTCATCAGCACATCGTTAACATGCTCTCTCGGCCGAACGATGCTTGAACACGCGCACGTATCATATGTAGCTCTCTTCTCCTTACTCGTCCAAAATCCCACGAACGTTTGAAGCAGCGCTGTCTAAACCGAGAAATACAGGCGTCGCTCTCGGGCACGCCGAACTTGCCGTCAGTTCCCCTCCTCGTGACGGTAACGAACTTTGGCCATTGCTAACCACGATTGCTTGATGATCAGCGAGATAGCCTTTTCGCTTCAGAACGAACACTTCTTCTACTTTTGCTGCATAGTGCTCCGCACGTAGCGAAGACGCGGCACTGCCAAAGTTTGGTCCGTGATTCTGATGTGAACTCCACGCCCTTGTTGTCGCATGCGGATATAACCGTTGCTGATCAGATAACATTATGCCTCAAGTTATGGTTCGGAAATATCAGGCTCACGGGAGAACGAGAGACGTTGGTGGACAGGTGCTTGACTGAAAGCACAGCGGATCATCGGTCGTACGGTTTCGTAATATCTAGTAAAGTAACGAAGGGAAGCATATAAACTCCAGTCCTTATCCTTCATCTGCCGGTGCTATGCGCAATAGTAAAGAGAAGACCATACCTCCCCATGCAGTGTCGTCAACATAATAATGTACTAAAGCAAAGGAGTTCACAGAACAATCGGTCCCTTGCAATCTTGCGCCTCAACTCCATCCCAGCACTCATCGTCTCACATGTCGAGCAGTTCCTCCGCATAGGTGTCCAGTTCAATGATTCTGAAGCGACCATCCCACTTCTTCTGCCAAGCTGCCTTCTTGTAAGCTAGACTGATGTTCTTGCTCCAGCTAACAAGCTCGACCTTCCATCCCTTCTTCAAGGCACGTTCGGCCATCTTGAGGAAGCCTTCAGAATACTCGGCTTGGGCAGCATCACCAGTGGCCAGCACCATAGTAGAGGGAGTCTCGGTGTCAACAATGGATTCCATCATTTTCAGGTGGATAATCTCGTCGACACCTTGCTCGATATACCTCTCGGGAGCATAGACAGGACCGGTGTTGCTCGTTTCTGAGCCACTGCCGGCGCTGTCTCCTCCAGTGCTAGTGCCGTTCTTGTAGCTACCGCTACGTCTGCGCCACTTCTTCTCCTGTTCCTGGAAATATTTCTGGCGCTCGGTGAGCTCTCGCGCTTTGAGCACCTTATCCAGGATGTTGCACTCATAGCCGACACGTTGGGCCACATCGAATGCGGCCATGTGAGGCTTTGAGCCAACCAGGCATCGTTTAGCGACAGGTCTGCGACGCTCCATGAGCAGAGCCAATGCGTCGAAGGATAGGTCCACCTTAGGGACATGAACGTTCGGCGGAATGTTTCTTGCACGCTTGAGCTGGTCGTGGAAACCAATAAAAATGTTTGAGGCGTCAACAAAGACGTGAATGCCCTTAGGGTCATTCGAGTGTGTGATTGAGTTTGCGGGACTAACGAGACTTGCTCGGTCCTCATAGAAGTCACCAATGATCTTCAGAAGTAGGGCCCAGTTGCGATCCTCGCCAGAACGAACAGTTTTGGGCTGAATTGCCGAACGGTTGTTCTTGATGGGAGTTTCGCTGACCTGCTGAACCTTGTGGAAGGGGTTCGCATTGGCGTCGGTAGATTTATAGGGTGTTGACGTCGTACGTGTCGGTTGTACAGATGCAGGAAGCAGAGGGGAGGAAGTCTTGGTAGCAAATGGAGTCGAAACTGGCCATCGCTTCTTGAATTCTTTCTGGTGCTTGGACTCTGGCGTTTTGGGAAGCGAGTCGAAGTGCAGAGGCTCCGATTGAGGCGGCGGGGATGATTTCTTCTCGGGTTGAGGAGCTTTCGTTGGATTGGTAGTGTCTTTGAACACAGGTTTCGAGATTGGTGTCTTCTCGGGACTTGAAGGACGGTGAGCTTTGCCAACGAGTTCGGCGGAGACGATATGGGCGCTAGCCTTTCTCGCTGGCGTGTCGTAGAAAGAGAGAGAATCGAGCTCAGGCTCGTCGGCATCGCTAGTATACTTTGCAGCACCAGCGGCCAACCTTTGTTCCCTCTCTTTCTTGTTCTTCTTCTGTCGTTGCTTCTTAGTCAACTTCTTTTCGCTTTCGTCTTCGTCCTCCAATGGCGCATAATCGGTGAGATCGCCGAGATTGACTTCATCTCTCCACTTGATGCCGCCCTTGGCGATACGCTTGCTGGGAGTACCATATGCAGCGCCGTCACTGGCATAATCGGCCTTCTCAGGCATGCGCTGTTGAAGAGTCGGCGAGGCATCAGCAGGCTTGGGTGCAGGTGAATTGACAGGAGTGCCCAGGTATTGCCATATCTTGCCAAAATCTCCCAATGATACACCCTCGTCGACAGCATGGAAGCTCTGTAATGGCGAGGCAAGTGGCAGTGAGGAAGAGGCATTCATACTGTCATGCTTGGTGATTGACGGACGTGACGGTACGTCTTTCGCATTGGTCGGAGAAAGTGTGTTGATCAGCTCGAAGACATGAGAGAGGTCCCATGGTTTGCTAGACTGTACAGCAGCCATGACAGGCGTTGTGTAGGCAGATAGCGACGTGTGTTTGGGCTGTAGTGGGGTTGTTGAGCGGCAATGAGCGTAGGTTAGATATGGCGGGGGCGAGAGTGATGGATTAAGGGTGAGCAAGGCTCAAGAAGGGTAGTCGTGTTGTTTGTGTGAGCGAGAAAGCTGCACATAATAATGTCTCGTCGTGTCGGTTCCAGAAGGCGAAGAAGGCAAATGTCAATTGACACCGCTTGCCAACATGTAGTCATCCATTGCCCCACATTAGCGAACTCCTTCCAACAACGCCACCACGACCCTGACGACCAGCATCTGCTTTCATCTTTGTTCGAGACATTCTTGCAAAGCAATTCTGCCTCTTCTTTCATCTGCCCGATTCTGGCCATGAACTGCTGTGCTGAAGTACGAAAGAAGGGTTTGACTTGTTCGGATAGTGATATCGAATCTGTCATGACTTTTATCCATCTGTCCTGCGATGCGAGACACTCTTATCGAGTACAACAATCACCGGTTCGCAAAGAGCAACAGCCATATCCATAGCTTTCTACTACCTATACCACGTATCGTCTCTATCCTGAACACACAATATTTCTATCCAAAACCTGAGTTCTTCGGTTATTCTGCAGAAATAGGCTTGAAGCCTCGGGTCTCAAATCCACCCCAGACAAGTCTCTCTATCCCACACTGTACGTCTCCATACCATTCTCTCTACCAACCACAAACACCCAAATGTCCGCCGACTTCTGGGCTGGCTACGTATCAGGAGCCGCCGGCATAATAATCGGCAACCCTCTGGACATCGTGAAAGTAAACCTACAACGAGGAGACAGAGGAGCACCTTTACTCGTTTCCACCCCAGCACAACCAACACCACCAATTCTACCATCTGCCTCAACGACCTCCCAAACAACCAATGCAGCCAAAAACCTCTCTACCTTGCTCAAAGGCACCGCAGCCCCAATCCTCGGCTATGGCGCTCTAAACGCATTGATGTTTATAACCTACAACCGCTGCATGGAATCCTTGCATCAAGACCCTGCTCACCCTTCCTCTCTGTCCAGAACCTGGCTCGCCGGTGCTCTGGGAGGTCTAGCCACTTTTCTCGTCTCTGCACCTACAGAATTGATAAAGTGCAGAGCGCAAGTCAGTGGCTCTGGACACAGTTCTTGGCATATTGCAAAGGAGCTGTGGAAGGAAAGAGGATTGAGGGGTTTGTATTGGGGTGGTGGCGTTACGAGTGTGAGGGATAGTGTGGGTTATGGGTTCTAGTAGGTCTACTTCTCTCTTCTCCTAGAAATTGAGTGGGTCGTGCGTGGCAGGAATTGTGCTAAACATGTGNNTAGCTTCTGGTCATATGAACTGAGCAAGAGACTTCTCATATCGGAGAGGCTTGACGTCGAAAAACCAGAATGGATGACCATCTTGCTCTGCGGTGGCATCGCTGGTGTGGTGACTTGGGCCTCTGTGTTTCCATTAGGTATGGTCAACGCTCTTCTCCCTCATAGTTCTGGAGGTTGATAGATACTGATGTTCAAGTTCNNAGATGTCATAAAGACTAGAGTGCAAACTCAAGGCATATCAAGACATCCGATTGGCATGGCTTCCGGAGAGCAGTCTGAGTTGCTCCCATCTAGAGACTCGGGACGATTAGGCACCATACAGATTGCAAGACAAGCTTACCGAGAAGAGGGATTGTCCGTCTTCTTCCGTGGCTTGGGTGTCTGCAGTTTCAGAGCTTTCTTCGTCAATGCTGTACAGTGGGCAGTGTATGAATGGATGATGCACATCTTGCTACCCGCAAAGGCCGGGCCAAACTCAAACAAACATGACTAGACTACGATAGATCAAGACTTGATTGGCATAGAAGATTTAGAGAAACAAAGCTTTTCATTGAGAAAGAGGGAAGAAGGATATACTTCTAACTATCTGTCTTGAGTAATGAAAAGGAAAGTTAGTGGTCATTCTGAGATTGAGCAGTGCATCAAAATTATATGAAACGCATAATGCCATCACTCATCAGATGCTCCTGCGCGTGCATGTAGAGCACTGAAAGGTTGGTCGTTAGAGAGCATCAGCAAGAGATGCTAGTAAAGTCGCGGGTCCAAGAAGATGTTTGCGTTATCATCCTGTGATAGGCAAGAGGTGGCTTTACATGATCTGATCCTGAGTAAGACCCATGGGCATGCCGCCGGTCTGTTCTTGGCCTTGCATGGGGTCGACGGCAGGCTGCTGGTTGGAGTATCTGACGTAGGTCAGACCAAGAGGGCGACCACCGTATTGGTATCCAGAGAATTTNNGGCTGGAAAGCTGTCAGAACATAGCACACTTGCGAGCAGTGAGGCACAACTTACTGATAGCAGTACCGGCATCCTCTGCGCTGCCAAACTCGACGACACCAGTGCCGCGCGAGCGACCGTTGGGCTCGTACTGAATCTCAGCACGTTCGACCTTGCCGATGGTAGTGAAGAGTTCGACCAGATCTTCGTTGCTAGTGGACCAGGGGAGNNCTGCGTTATGTCAGTGTACTATTCTCGGGATCGGTGCTTTCGAACAACTTACGTTACGGACGTAGATGACAGGGCCGGGCTCACCACCAGAGGTTGCGAAGTCGGTGAAGGGGTTAGGAGGAGCAGGAGCAGCAGGAGGACCGCCGTGGAAACCGCCAGGGGGCGCACCACCGAATCCGCCGCCGAATCCTCCACGGCCGCCGCCGAATTGACCACCAAAGCCGCCACGGCCCATGAAACCTCCACGACCACCGAACTGTCCACCGAAACCTCCACGTCCGCCCATAAAGCCACCGCGGCCGCCACCGAAACCGGGCGGGCCAGCGAAACGGTCCTCTCTGACTTCAAGGATGCGGCCGTTCCAGTCATATCCGTTGAACTGCTGGATGGCGACCTGGGCGTCATCTGGGTTGTCGAAAGCGACGATACCAGAACCCTTCATGCGGCCATCGGGAGTGACATGGACGTCAGCACGAACGACAGTGCCAGTGTGAGCNNTACAGCAAGAGTCAGTACATCGTGCATACACCAAATGCACGAGTTCGAGCTCACCAGCTTGACGGAAGAGATCCTTGAGATCTTGCCAGCCAACAGTGTAGGGAAGCTGAAGATACAGTCAGCATCGTCACGTCGTCATCAGGAAGGCTATACAAACGTTAGAGACGTAGATCTGGCGGCTTCCACCCATCATGCCGGGGCCACCACCCATAGCATCATAGCCGCTGCCGCCAAAACCGCCGCGCATGCCTCCTTGGAAGCCACCACGCATACCGCCGCCTTGACCACCGCTGCTGAAACGGGGCTCTGCTTCACGGTNCCTGCGAGATGAGAAATGAGCTATGACAGTCAGTCTTCCAAACAGGTTGTGGGGACATACCTCGCGAACGTAGACCAATCTACCCATGAGGTTCTGGTTTGAGAGTGTGTTGACCGCGTTTTGAGCTTGATCTCTGGTTGCATATTCCACAATTCTGTGACAGGTCAGCGATTGTTGACAAACAGAGAGCATCAGACGAAGCTTACCCGCATCCCTACAAACACCCGGGACAAAGTCCTTCCGTCAATCCATTGTCCTCAAAAAAAGCCATAGCCAGGGAAACCAGCCAAAAAATCATGAGCCCACCTTCGACATTCCATTTGGGAGAAGCAAGACATCGGCGAAGATCACCTCACCAGCNNTGCAAGCGGGTCAGAACCAATTCAAACAAGTTGTTGTCCGGTCTTTCTCACCTTGGCGCATAAAGTCCTTCAGGTGGTGCCACTTGACATCGTAGGAGAGGTTGCCGACGTAGACACGACGGTCTTGTTGAGAGTGTTCGCGCACGTTCTGCATCATTTGTTCTTTGGCGACGACGCGCTCTTCGAAGTTTCTAGCAGGAGCTGCTGCTGAGGCACCTCCTTCACGATCGGAAGGATAAGCGTTGTTGTTGGCTGCGTAATTGGGAGCTGCGGCGGATCCGTTGACGGGCGAGCGGGACCTGCGTTCGTCTCTTCTGTAGTTATCACGCGAGCGTGAGCGGGATCTGGAATCGTAAGAGCGACGGCTGCGACGAGGGCTGCGAGAGCGGCGGCGCGAGCGAGATCTGTCACGCTGGGTGGGATCAGTACGTAGCCTCAGCGGTAACTGACGAATGGATTGACGACGAGGAGTTGGTAGCGATAGCATTGGTGCAGAGTAGGCAGGCGTGAATTGATCGAGGAAGCTCAGCAGCAGAACCGACTTTGGTCACTCGACTTGGGAGCTTTCTGACGGAGATTCTCATTCTCTGAGGGGTGGTGTGAAAGAGCGGAGTGTGAGCTGTGGATCTCGAGTGATGGGCGACAAGCGATGAGCTCGAATGAGGTTCGGAAAGGTGAAGAAGTGAAGGCGAGTGCGATGCCAGGTGCAACTGCAATGCAGCAGTCCAAATCCACAGCAGGTGCTTTATGCCTTCATCCAGCGCGCCTTCCCAGCACGCGCTGCGACAAGCCGGTCGCGACTGCGCAATTGCCCAAATTCAACGCATCGGCGTGTAGAGATCCATCGCAGCTTCCTTGTCAGACACCTCCCACTGGGCGATACATCGCAGTCGCCCACCCACTGCTACTGCCACCACCAATGCCAACGGTCGCAACACATAAACAACAACATGGGGAGCTGTTAACTTACACTCTCGCGGGGACGGTAGTTATCGGAGTCTGTTTGCTGTGTGATAAGCCTTTGGGGGACGAAGGGAAGGAGAGATGGGGAGGGGGTTATGGAACATACCACCCATTGTACGGCAACGGAAGGGTAGAGGTTGAGCTGTCAAGCGCCGAAGAAGTGCAGACCACAGCTACAACAACGGAAGGAATGACAGGGGTTTGCCTAAAGCGCAAGTCTGCGTTAGAAGATGCACCAATGAACGCGAGTGGACAACGAGTCTTGATGATGGCTAAACCGGCCAAGTAGTGTGTAAAGGCTACCCGAGTATCGTCTACGCGTACTGCCACCACCACTCAAGATCGCCCGATTGATGCCGGCTCGTTGTGCCCCCTCCCTCGACACACACCACACACCAAGGGTCTCCTCAATAGCCCACAGGAACAAGCCTTGGCCGAGACTCCCATCGCCCACGAGTCTCAAGTCCGTCGCCCAACCATGTCACCACTTGGGTGCTTCTGCACTCACCTTGATAAGATGGCGCGAAAGCGGCAAGCGTTCGTGATGCAAGCCTCCGGGAGTTTCTGAGTCGGTAAGCACACGCAAGCAAGTTGAGCAGCTGCTGGTGACGTTTGTTGATGTGGAGTCGTTGTGTTCCCGATGCAAGAAGAGTCGTGAGTTGCGATGCGCACGCGCAAGGTCTCTGACCAAGGACACCGCGCTCGTAGACGTGGAGAATGCCAAGCCAGGATGGCTCATACTCAGCTCATCCAACCGTTCTTCACGACGAGCCGTTGCAGCAACCAGCTGAACATCGAATACGAACACTACTTGAATTAGCACTTGAGATTCTACTTAGTGTTGGGATCTTTGAACAATCCGCTTTCCAGTTCTTCATCTTGTGAGAGTGTTAATCAATCCTATATACCACTTGACGAAGCATTCGGTTGTTGAGACGCATTCAAGGTAAGCTGCCCTGCACATCACCTGTTTACTAAACCCGAGCCGTGTAATCATGCTCGTACCGTTGTCGCGAATTAAACATGTCTCAACATCAAGCTCTTTAAATATAAGAATCCGTCTGTCTCGACCGATAGCATCAAGAGTCAACTTTTCATAGCTGACAGGCTATTATATGAACCTATCTCACTATGATGAGGAGCTTGGACTCATGGCAAGGAAGAGTAAAGACAGCTCAACAAGCCTAAGAAGTCTCGCCCTCAGCCTCCTGCTGCACCTCCTCTGTATCTCCTCTGTATCTCCTCTGTATCTCCTCTGTATCTCCTCCCTGTGTTCTGAAGTCTGTACTTCCATCGAACTCCACCTGCAGCGACAAGCAAAATGTAGACTATAGAAAGGCACAGTCGTTTTCGGAAACAAGGCCTATCCACAGAGAGTCGACAACTCATCGCTTCTCAGTGGATACTATCTTGTTTCCTATTGCTATCGTGCATTTCCACAGCCACACGCGTTACATACTTTTGCACACGAGGAGGCCAGAATCGACAGTCTAATCAGACGAGTAGCTCTACCCCCAAGTCGGTGCATCATCTTAGATTTGCTGGGACATGTGCATTGTCTGTAGGATTGCTGATACTCTGCTTCCTGTACATTGCATCCGACGGAGCATCAACAGTGAAAATTGGTGAACGAGCACCTCTGCTGCCGAGGATAGCCTGAGCCCATTGGCGTTGCGAATTCAGCTCAATGACCATGGCTGAGCTGTATGGTTGGATGGGAGCCATGTCCGGGTCTTATCACGGTTGCAGGAATCTTTGCGCATCGTTGCCATCTTGCCCTCCGGATGGTTGTAGAAGCTTCTATGTGAGATTGTTGGGGGTTGATTCGGCGTCCTATTTCAAGGCTCTTTTCTCTTTGGGTCTGAAGGTGATGCAGTAGCTTCAGGAGTATTGCGAAGACGCAATCTCTTGCCTTGTCCAAACACAAAGTCCTCGTAGGGCATTGCACGACTCCAATCAGCTACGAAGCAATTGTGACATTCGTAAAGATCTGAGCCGAGATCTGAACTGTCATGACGCTTCCACTATAAGTTGAATCCTAGATGAGGATACGTGTTGCACGTAGCACATCGATGCTTCGTCTGGTTTTCAGACAGAACTGGCGTGTGGGTCTTCCATGTCATGTGTTCCCAGATATGGGGCCATCTTGTAACGAAATTTCGCAGTCCTTCCCTTCGTTTGTACTCTGGCCGCTGCTTATTCGCGTTTCGTCGAGCAATTGCATATGGTGTCTGGCCCCACTCAAGATGGTACTGTCGGGCGTAGTCGAGGTTGCCGTAATATGCTTTGACATTTTTCTCTCGAAACATTTCCTGGGCCTTGAACGGATCTTTGAGACGTCGACGTTTGTAGCCTGCATTCTCTCGATCTCGCAACTCTCTGTACTTGGGATGATCCTTGGGTATTGCCATCTGATCTGTTTGATACACATGGAACAATCGTAATGGAACGGAAAACGTAAATGACCGTGGCACAACGCGGAACCCAGTCGAGGGAACTAGCGAAATTAGGTTGGAAAACATTAGGCAGATGATCAATACAAAAAGTTGTGGATGAGGATTGGGAAGGCATGTTATCAAGGAGACTACAACAATCTTATATTGGAAGCCGCGAGGCGGCATTCCCCGCTATGGTATGCAGCAGCATGAAGTTGACCGAGATGAAAGATGTTAGGAGATTGTCATTCACGAGAGGCAATTGCGAAAGACGATCGACATATCTGAAGGTATGGGACCAAAGGTTTCGTTCATAAATAATCTGAGACCCTCGGACGAATCATGGAAACCGTGACTGCCAGATGCAAAGCCCCCAGCCGAACACCCGCTACGAGCCATGCTAATCTCTATACTACAAGCTGCATCGAATAGCAGTGGACTTAGACGATGGTTTCAAGCTTTCTGGCGTACTCAAGTGTGTTCTCGATGACCTTGTCGCTGGTCGCAAGAATGTCTTTCTCGCCCTGTGCCAACTCTTCTTGCTGAGCAGGGAAGTAGATGCGACCATCCTTGGCGACCCAGCCACGCGAGTGTGCGAATTGAATGACAGCGCCTTCAGAGTCAAGGAAAAGGAGGTTCTTTGCGTTCGAGATGGGGAGGGAGGNGTATGCGCGCTCACTGCATGAGGCGATTTCGGAGCGGATTGTGTTAACCAGGACNNCTTGGATACATGTTAGCACGTGGTCCAGTCGACAAGACAGAAGATGTTGTAGTGATACCTCTGAGAAGACGGCGAATTCGGGGCTGGGCACTCTTTCTCCCTTGGTCTCACCCCAGACGCGGTCGTAGCTGCCCTCCATCAAAGCCTGCTCCAATCTCATGGGATACTGAATGAAGGCGTCATCGTCCAAGCGCTTTCTGCCACCGAATGCCATCTCAAGACCTTCAATGACAGTGTGGAAGCCGGCGTAATCTCCTTGGCTCAGCAGGAGTAGTAAGTAGAGACCAGTGATCTTGCTCTGGTTACCGTGCTTGTCGTGAGAGCCCCATCGGTCGTGAGGTAATGAGTAGAAGGGCTGGAGTTGTTGGAAATAGCGTGTGAATGACTCGGGATCTCTTTGACGGATTGAGACGAAGGCACCGATCTCGAGGACTTCGCGAGCGAGAGCGAGATGCTGGTGAGATGTGGAGGAGTTGGGGACGAGGGCGTGTAGCTTGAGTAGCGAGATCTTTGCTTGTGACAACAGAGCGGAGGCGTTGCTGAGGTTGCTCTCGGACAGCGAATGGAGCTGCTGGATTGTCTTCTTGACGTCGCTTTCGGACATGTTGATGTGAGCGCGAGTGCTTATGTGGAGTGAGAGGTTTGTATATGTAGACGAGGCGATGTGGACGAGATGGTCGCAAATGAAGGGATGTTTCTTGATGATAGACGCAGTCGCCGCTCGTGAAGCTACTGAGTGTGACGATGGTCTTGAGCTCGGACCATCGACCCTGCTACATCAACATTCAACACGCTCTCACTTCCGACAAACCACTTTCATCGACTTCGTCCTTTCACCATTGACCCCTCCTCGACGTCGAATATGAGCTATACAAGAGGGTCTACACGGCGTTTCGTGTCTCCCTGGTCTTTTCTTCTCAGCCGTGACTTGAATCAAGCACGCGAGGACCTTCTTCTCTAGTGCTTCGGACTTTTCTTGCTTTGAGGACATGTTACTGTGTACAGCGCCGCCTGACACTTTACGAAGGACTGTCATGCATTTAATCATTACATCCGATCACGAATAGAATCTCCATGAACAGACTGCCACAGGAGCTTCTCCCTTCGGCTGTCGGGTGAGATGAGGGCGGAAACCCTCCGTGCCCCTCCGTGCTTGGTTGCCGGTCTGGCGTCTTGACCAACGGCATCGGTTCCTCCACATCACATGCCATTGTTTGGCAAGGTACCATAGGTAGGGAAATAATTCCATTCTTCTCTTTATACCCCCTCTTTGTCCCCTTCCTCAGTAGTCCCTGCATACATCTCGTTTTGATCTACCCAAGCACCTACCGTCATGCCCTCAATCACTCTCAGCCTACGGACGGTTGGACATTTGGCCAGAAATGGCTCCAAGGTACTTGAGCGCTCGCTGTCATGACTATTCATCAACCTGACTTTCCTCAGNCCTCACAATCTCCTTCGCACATTCGCATCCTCAGCCAAGCGATCAGAGATCAACAAGGTCTACTCATCAGCTGAAGAAGCCATTAGCGATGTCAAAGGCGACTCCACACTTCTCTGCGGCGGCTTTGGCCTATGTGGTGTACCAGATACTCTGATCAATGCCGTCAAGAACAAGCCCTCGATCAAAGGATTGACTGCCGTGTCAAACAACGCTGGTATCGTTGGATCTGGTCTTGGTCTACTTCTTGAATCCAAGCAGGTCAAGAAGATGATTGCCAGCTATGTAGGAGAGAACAAGGTCTTCGAGAAGATGTATCTCACTGGCGAGATTGAGCTAGAGCTCACACCACAAGGAACACTTGCCGAGAGGTGTAGAGCAGGCGGCGCTGGTATACCCGCTTTCTTCACACCAGCAGCCTTCGGAACTGTTGTCCAGACTGGAGAACTCCCTACAATGCACAACAGCGACGGATCAGTCGCTCAATACTCAACACCCAGAGACGTCAAAGTGTTTGACGGCAAGAGCTATGTCATGGAAGAAGCAATCAAGGGCGACTACGCCTTCATCAAGGCATGGAAGGCAGACAAGCTAGGCAATCTCATGTTCAGATTCGCAGCACAGAACTTCAATGGCGCTATGGCTCGCAACGCAAAGGTCACTATTGTCGAAGCCGAGCACATCGTTGAAGTTGGCGAGATCGACCCAGCAGCAGTACACGTTCCTGGAATCTATGTCGACCGAGTCATTCAAAGCAAAGAACCTAAGAACATCGAGAAAGTGGTCAACGCGAAAGACCCAGCCGAAGCCCTCAACGCTCTCGGCAGTGGTGACGCTGCAAGCAAGCGCGAGCGTATCGTTCGACGAGCAGCCAAGGAATTCAAGAACGGAATGTATGCCAACTTGGGTATTGGTATGCCAATGATGGCACCAGCTTTCGTTGACGACAGCATCGAGGTCCAGCTCCAATCTGAGAACGGTATCCTAGGTTTGGGAGCATACCCTCAGAAGGGCCAAGAAGATCCAGATCTTATCAATGCTGGTAAAGAGACTGTTACACTGCGTCCTGGTGCCGCAGTCTTTGGCTCTGATGAGTCGTTTGCTATGATCCGCGCTGGCAGGATCCACATGACTATGCTTGGAGCTATGCAAGTATCGGCCAGAGGAGATCTAGCAAACTTCGCTATGCCAGGAAAGATCAAGGGAATGGGAGGTGCGATGGACCTGGTGTCCAACCCCGANAAAACGAGAGTCGTTGTGACAATGGAGCACACCGACAAGAAGGGCGGACCCAAGATCATGAAAATGTGCGAGTTCCCGTTGACCGGCAAGGCGTGTGTTTCGAGAATCATCACAGAGTTGGCTGTGTTCGATGTCGACTTCACAACAGGATTGACATTGATCGAGCACGCGGAGGGAGTCACTGTTGAGGAGATCAGATCGAAGACGGAGGCGCCATTTAAGGTGTCAGAGTCATTACAAGTCATGCAGCAATAATTATGTCGAAAACCAGACTTCATATCATTCAGATGACATATCAGGAACAAACGTGTTGAAATCAAAATATTGTACAATTGATATACAAGTGCTCTGCTGAAGACACGGCTGTCCATGGCCGAATCGACTTGAGAACAGTGAGAGAAACACAACCCATGTAACGCCAACCCAATGCTTTTAGAACAAGCGAAGAGGCATTGGTATCGTCGCCTTCACACTTCACTGAAGGCCTTTGCAGTGCATCTTCTGCTCAACGACCGCCAAAAGCGTTTCTTGCCAGTCCTTCTCTCTTCCCCTTGTACCCCCTCTCTCATTGCTTCCCCTTAGATCCAGCCAAGTCGTGTGTTGTTTCTTGCCGTCAAGACAACTCAAGGCACAACAACAACACCCATACTCCCCGCCTGCGCAACCACACTCCTCGCCACCCCCTCCAACGTCAACCCACTCAACCTCTCCTCCCCATGCTTAATCTTCGCAATCTCATACACATGCTTCAAACTCACCGTCCCCACAACNNACCCAACCCTCCATTTCCTGCCGTCAATTGTCCTCCCGAAGCTTTTCCCACACCTCCCAANTCCGGCTTTGGAGTTTGGTCCTGCGACATTGCCTGCGCCGCGCAATTTGTTCTNTTTGGGCTCTACACCGGCGGCGGAGAGGAGGAGAGAGGCGGTCGGTGGTGTGCGTAGTTCGAAGGTGAAGCTGCGGTCTGGGCGGACGGTTACGCGTGCTGGGATTGGTGTGCCTGGGACGTAGTTTGCAGTGCGAGCGTTGAATTCCTGGTTGTCTTTGATGTTAGGTTTTGCTCTTGTTATATCTTTCTTGCATTGATCTCATTCTCTTTCCCTTATGCAGAGTCCGAGGGAAAGAGCTTCGAAATCACACACCTTGCAGAAATCCATCGACTTTACACCTTTGGAACCCAGTGCGGGACCGACTGGCGGCGAAGGCGAGGCCTGTCCAGCGCCAACAATGAGTTTGACAATCTGGTCTGTCTGGATTGCTTTGCGGGCCATGGTTGTGATTGTATATGTGTGATGAAACTGGTTTGCGCCTGATCGCGACCCTTGCGATATCTCGGAGGTCTCGACGTCGGGCAAGTTTTTGTGGTCTGTGCGCAGATTGTGGCTGGGATTGTCACCCTGGTTTGAATAACATTCGTCGTTCCTCCCTCGCTCGATGTGATGAGCTTGGAACATATGGACATGGGTGTATAGCCTATGTTAGTAAAGTCGGCAAAGGAATATAGAGTGGCATATGTGTATCTGACGATGGGCATCGTCTCATCCGTAGTGATTGTGCAAGTCTTGATCTTACTGTAGTCTGGATTCAGTTTACTTAGAAAGGTAGCATGAATTTATAATCGTGTTTATTCGGATTTCTTGACATTATGCATTACAGTAACAAGAAGAGGACCCTGTCTATCAGCAAGAGATATCTCAGTGCTTTCCTCTCCCTGCCCAACCACTCTCCTCCTCCCATGACCCCATATTGACCTTCTCTTTGTCAATGTTTTCACATTATCCTTCTCTTTCCAATCGCCCCAAAACACCACATATAATATCCTCTAGCAATCAGATGTATATCAAAAGTAGGACAGCACTCCCAGACGCACACAAAAGCGCCGCCGGTGCTATCCACAGTACCTCCCAATGAATCAAAAACCTTCGGTCGTTAGATCCTAGAACCATCATGGCTCTCGGCTTCTCGTACATGTACATTCTCCTCTCATCCCGCTGTATGCATAGCCGTGAAATTGATGAAGAAGAAATAAAGACACAGGTCGAAGCGAATGACGAAGAAGGGTATCAAAAATCCCAGAAGACTCCTAGTAAAACATGGTCCTGGGAAAGAATGCACAGAAAATGCCGGGTTTGCAGGATAGAGTTTCGGGTGACTCGTTTCCCTGCTCGGCCAGATCGAAGTGAAAGCGCTGCACGCGCTGTATAGTGCTCGGCGGGTTGTCGTAAAACAGAAGCCGAATCACATGTCCATATAAGAATGCTAGTCAGGCAGACAAAACAAACTTGCTGATCAGGCAACTCATGACTTTTGTTGGTAGTATTCGTTGTCCGATGTCGAGGCCAGAGTATCACCCTCCCAGGACTCGTCAACGGGGCTTCTTGCACCAACCGAAGGGCTTCTGCTGGAGGACGCTACCGAAGATGAAGAGCCGATGGTCCACTCATCACCGCTGTCCATGCCGAAGTTGGCTGGGTGGAAGTCATCCTCGGCCAGGTCGGTAAGACCATAAGCATAGCCCTCTCTAGCCTCACCAACCTCGACATAATCGTAATCCCAGCGGAACATCTTGCCAGGCTGCAGTCTCGGCAGGAACTTGCCCTNTGCAATGTAGTAGGCACCAGCAGAAAGCAAGCTACCACCAACAAGGTCAACAGCGTAGTGGTGAGAAAGATACATGGTAGACCACCAGAGCCAGCCAGTGTAGATGATGAACAAGGGACGAAGCTTGGGGAAGGTGTGGCTCATGAACAAGGCTTCAATGGTGGCACATCCAGAGTGTAGCGAGGGGAAAGCACCAAAGACCATGGGCGAGGCGGTGAAAGTAGAAGTGTACAGATCAATGCCGAAAAGCTTGTCGATGGCGGCGAGACCAGCGGGAGAGCCTTGCATAGAGTAGTTGGCAGGAGCGAGACCGTACATGTTCTCGTACCATGGAGGCGAGCAGGGGAAGATGAGCTGAATCATAACACCAGTCAAGTTCATGTAGCCAAAGGCTCTTGCGAAAGTGGGAGTGGTTCCAGGTGGACCGAAGAGGAACATGAGACCAGAGCAGACGAAGGGAGCACCGAAATGGGTGATGCCGTAAGGCAACCAGGCGAGGACATCGAGAACGACGGCTTTGTGGGCGGATAGAATGTTGCTCAAGTTTGCGCCGTAGAGGATGTTTTCAAGGGCAGGCAAGACGCGGACCCAGATCGGAGGCCTGTATTTGCCGTCGATAAATCTGTTCAGGTCGCGTTAGTTGAGGAGATTGCAGGACTGGGAGAAGGATGAGACGTACTGGCATGAGAAGAAGAAGACGAGCCATGCGGCAATTGGCAAAAATGGCAGGAAGAATTGGCGAGTGATAGGCAACAGCAGCGACAGCATCAACAGCGTGGCCACGGCAGTCTTGACCATGGGACCGGGCGATTGGATGACGCAGAGGGCAAAGATGCCGACAATGGCGAGCAAGATATATTGTGCATCGTAGACAGACCATTGATGGTCACGGAGGGAGCGCAGTGTGTCCTTGGGGTTGAAGCTGGTCTGCAGGGCCGAGATGGACGACGAGGGCGTTTGTCTGCTTCGGATCTTTGAGCGTGTGCTGCGGAACTTGCGACGCAGGCGGTGCGGCAGCATGGTGGGTAGAGATGGAAGGAACTTGTTGCGTGTGAAGAAGCGTTGCGTCGACTCGGTGTCGTCGGCGCCCCCAAGGGCAAAGTATTTGCTGCTGCTCATGTCTGCAAGTCCTGGAAGGTACGGAGGAGGAATACGGCTTGGTCGAAACAAGCAAGCAGAACGGAGAGCCAGGCACCAGTCGTGTCGCGAAGCAATGTCGAGACGGAGAGAGAAAAGTCACAGGCTCACGACCCAGGTGCTTAGGCCTACTGTACTAGGATGCTTGGGCAGTTATGAAGTAACCATCAACTTTGGCTCTTTGGCTCGCATCCTCTGCCTCTCTCTCGGCAAGCGGCGCAACCGCTGCGCGACCAAGCGCGCAACCAAATCCCGTCTCCGTCCTAATTTCCAGTCCCCATCCTATCATTCCACCGCAAACATCAGTGCTCGCACCAGGTCGCGTGCGCCTTTCCGCCCCAACCTCGTCGAATTGACACCTCTCTGCTCGAATTCACGCTGTCTATCTCTATATATCCATCTCTGTCTGTTCCATTGTAAACCCCAACATAGATAGGTACACTGCCCGGCTGCTCTCGGAAGCTGACACAGCCGTCATCAAAACTTTCCCTAAGCCCTGCTCCCAAGCCTCGCTCGTCATGCCAATGCAACAACCAAGATGCATCAACCAACATCATGTGCAGAAAAACTCACCAAAGCATCCTTCGCTCCTCCAATCCTACCGTATTGCTTCGTATAATCCTGCTGCTCCCCTTAACCTGATGCCTGAAAATCCCAGATCGCCAATCTCACAAGCGTCGTTGATCGCAAACAGATGCATTAGCATCGGCGCTTGGATACAACATCCCCGACTCGTGAATCAGTGCCCATACAAATGCTATCTCACAGCCACCGTCTCTCGACGAAACCACAGCGACAAGAAGGCAAGATTTAGACGTATCCGTTTTCTTATCACTGCAGTCACAGGCGTCCCCATGCCAGATTCTTTGGCATCCTCGTTTCACATTCACAGGCTGCATGCTGCAGCATCCTCACAATCGATACCCCAATTGCTTGGTGCTTTGCATCCTTTTCGATCATGCACGCTCACGCGACATAACGTTTCGCTTATGCTCCCTATCCTTCCTCAAGCACAAAAACAAAAGGAGCCACCAATTTTCTCTTTCACCGGCCCTATTCTTTCACCGTCTAGACGCCTCGAAAAATCTCTGCTTTTCCAACTGCCGTTTAGAAAAAGGCCATTGCGGTGAGAGAAAAATATGGTTTGCGGGAACCGCATCGCTTGCGGTTAGGGTCTCTCTTCGGCCGAGTTGAGATCCGCTTTGCTGCTTTGGTTCGGAGCTTCGGAAGCAATTTCTCTGTCTCCAGACCGTGAGATTAGTTATGCAAGAAACTGATTCCCCTTTGTGCAACCCATCCACTTTCTTCTTTTTTTTGTTGAGAGCAAAACCAAACCATGGATCCCACAAAGATGGTTTGATGCAGGTACGATGCCCTCACATGTAGATCAAACACGGGAGTTTCGCGTGACACTGCCGCTGCTTTTGTTTTGCGGTTTCCCCAACCCCCTTGCATATATGGTTTTCCCCAGTGGTCTCTTATGCGAATGTTCCCACCCGTGTGGAGGAGGAGAAACGGAGAATATCTCCCGTGTTGTGTTGTTTGGGGGTTTGCGTTGACACGGTGACCACCTTTTGACCTTTGACCACAATGGTGATCACTGGTGAGTGCTCGTCATGGCAGATCCAAGCACAGATTGTGTTACTTGGTTATTCAATTGGCAAACCAGTGACCAGTGTCTGTCCATCGAAATTACATGAACTGTTCTAGCAGTATGGCACAACGGCTGTGGGCAATATCACAGGTGAACACTGATGGATGGAAAAGGAAATGGGCAGGTATGGCAGGTAAAATGTTAAGATTCAAAAGGTGTTTAAAATAGACACCAGAAGAAGAGAAAAAGAAAGAAAAAAACCACTGCTGCTGTTGAGGGCATCGAAATCCTGCTCTGTTTGCTCGCCTTTGTGCCATAATCATCGAAGAACAAAAAACCCCGAAAAGAAAACTCCATCTAAATTCCAAAGATACCGCTTTCTGTGCTCGAAGTCATAATTCCATTGTTGTGTTTTCCATGCCTCGTGCCTGTGTTTCTGCACATGATATCCTTGGGTTTCATGATCCCGGTCCGAATGCTATAAGTCGTCAAAAGTCATGTATGTGAGTGTGTCTGTCTTTGCTTCATTGACAAGTTCTGTATCCATCATCGTAAATCTCATGGTTCTCAATGACTTTCGAGCCATGCATCGAGACTAGCGTTAAACAGCGAGTCGCCAGGACCGCCGTACATGCTAGGGTTGAACTCGAGCATGTCTTCCGAGCCCATGAATGCGCTCTCAGCAGCATGTGTTGCATTTGGTGAGAAGTCGTCCTTCTCGTCAATGCTGTGGCTTGAAGATGTTGCTGCAGGCGATAGGCATTCGTTTTCTTCGATGATGATAGGTTTGCAGTCGACAGAGGAGAAACTGAATGTGTTGTCGCTTGAACCAAAGGGTTGACTGGGGCATTGCGAGCTTGGCGGAGGACTGTGAGGGAGCTGAGGAGGAGACGAAGGGGCCACCTTGACGTCTACTGTGGGCAAAGAGCTAAGGTCGTCGGCAGTGTATTTGTACTCCTTCTTCGGTGATGTGTTGCCAGTTGAGAAAGGCGACGTAGGAGGTGTGTAGTGAGACAACTCTGCGACGGGGTACTTGCCGTCTGGTTGTTGATAATTGGCAAAGTCCTCGGTATCGAATTCGTTGTTGACGTTGGCGGCAGGTGTACTGGGGTAGCTGGCCTCGCTAGCTGAAGAGCTTGCGTAGGCAGTGAATTCGGAGTTCCTGCGTGCGTTGATCTCCCTCTGGTGAGCGGCTCTCTCAAGACGTTCAGAGATGTCGTAAGTGTTCTTGCGAGGACGACCGCGTCTGACCTGCGAACGTTCGAAGCCTGGAAGGGCACCGTCGCAGACACCCCGTTGACGGTGGCGTGTGAGGGCATCTTGTCTGGCAAAGCCGTTGCCGCAAGGGCACTTGTGAGGCTTGTCACCACTGTGGATTTTGGCGTGACGCTTCAGGTCGTGCTGTCTAACGAAGCACTTGCCACAGTGGTTGCACTTGAATTGACGATCACCAAGATGTGTCTGAACGTGGGCACGGATGTTCTCCTTGCGACCAAACTTCTTGTTGCATCCCTCGAAGAGACAAGTCCACTTGCCATCGCAGTGATCTTGGGGGCTGATGTAGCGTTGGACTTCCTGGGGCGAGACGCCAGTGTCCTCGATACTAGCGTCAATGTCGAGAGTTTGCAGCATAGCCTCACGAGGAGAAACTGCTGACCGTTGAGGGGAATCTGTGTAGTAGCTCATGTTGGAAGCAGCTTCACTGGGAAGCATCATTGAGTCGTGAGCATAAGTCGCGTGGCTGGGAGCAGGCGAAATAGCCTCGTAAACAGTAGGCATGGGGTTGAACTTGCCGTCCATAGGAGAGCGCATGGGTGAGCTGGGATCGACCATAGACGATGTGTACGAAGGTGTACATGAGTAGTCGCCAGCAAATGATTCTGCGTATACGGAGTTGTTGTCTTGGTAAGGCTCCTGGACTTGAACAACGGGGACGTTGGCGTACTGAACCGGCATTGGTGACATGCCGGGGTGCATGGGTGAGACCGCAACCGAGTTTGGCATAGGCGAGACGTCTAGAAGAGGTCCTTCAGGATGGCCAGACATGGATTGCTGGTAGTTGGAGCAAGGAGTTGTTGGCCGTGTGGCAACAATGATGGGAGTGTTGGGCATTTGAGGTTGCGATTGAGAAAGTGGTGTCTGAGGAACATAACCATATGTGCGGTAAACAGTCTGGATATGTTGTTCAAGGTTCAAGATGGCTTGCTTTGCTTGCTCTGCAGAAGCAATGTCCTGTTCCATGAAGGCTGGTCTGAAAAAGTGCTGCTGGTTAGGGTCCATGTGATATAGTCCCGGCTGGTATGGTCTGTGCTGCTGCGTTTCTTGCACTGAATGCTGTGATGATGGTCGTTGTTGGTTAGTTGGCATACTTACCTCTTGTCGTGAAAGGAGAGTCATGCCCTGGTCGATACTCAGTCCGCGGCGGTGGCCAGAGGGACGTTGTCTTGACGAGGCAGACATGTGTGTGTTGATCATCGGAACCTCGAGCGAGTTCTGTCTTCTGTGTAGTTGACGTCGTCGTTGGATGCTCGAGGTTGGGTTGTGTGTTGACAGCATTTTGGTGGTGAAAGATTGAGTCCGGATGGGGTTAGTTGTCGAATTGGTCGAGGATAAGTTAATATCTCGGTATTCCGGATCTGTGAAGACATATAGTTAGTACATGTGCATGTTATACAGTTTGCAAGAAGCAAGCAATTCATACCTCACGCAGTGCAAGCCGCGTCCGCCGGGCGGAGAGTGTCTTAGAGTCTGATCAGGTGCGTCGCACTAGAGCGAAGCTTGGTGGGTTGGTATATGGGGCCTAACGGCCTTTGGTATGGATGGTTTGGAGGTGTTTATTTCGCGAGGGAGATTGAGATTTGTTCTTGCAGATAGATGATATCTACAGACTTTGGGAGAAGAGGAGTATACAGGAATGAAACGCGGACGGGCACAAGGCCTTCTAATGAGGCCTTTGCTTACCTGGGGAGCGTCTTTGGCGCTGGTTGCTAGGTGAAGCTGGACCATCTGTTGACGTTGCTGCGCAACGTGCAACGCCATGCACCATGACGAGCCAAAATCTTGGTTTCGTCCCGCTCCTCTTTGGGGCCGCTGTCGTTCTCTCCACTCGCACCCGAAGGCGGTGAGCCTGATCTCGATGGCTGATGATCAGATAAGATAGTTCTTTCCCCATCTGGCATGTGAAAGTGGTCCCAGAATTTGTCGCTGGCGGGTCGAGACTTCCTAAACTTGAGGTCGCATCTAGTCTCTCACAACCACCCAACATGAAGGTACGCTCTCTGAAATACCCTGAAGATGTCTGAGCTGACTCTCCAAGATCTTGGATGCCGGTACCGAAGTCCTCGACGACTACGATGTCCTAAAGTTCATCCGCGACAAGCGCGCTCAAATCAAGGCCGAGAAGGACCAAGCAAAAGAAGAAGGACGACCAAACTCACACAGGCCCGCCAACTTCATGAAGTCGTTGCAAAGGTATCGCACATCAGTCACAACTCCTACTTCTCATGCTCATACATGACCANNGCATGAAGAACACCTCAACGACAAGGACCGTTCTTTCTTGAACAACCCTAAATACGACAACGACTCGCAATACCTCAACAAGCTGATGCAAACTCTGGGTCCAAGAGTGCACCTGACAAAGTCCGAGTACTTGATCCTCGCCAATCAACGCCCTTACAGACGCGCCCACCTTGCCGCCATGATCGAAGACGCCGATACTCGCTTCACTCTGGAGGAGCAGAATTTCATCAGAGATACCGTAGCTGAGATCCTGGGCTTCCCGGAGGAAGATGGTGAAAATCTGGATGCCAAACCTGTTGAAGTCAAAGGCTGAAGAGACATGCCCATTCAACACTATAGAAAACCACCCCAAGACACCCAGTCACATTCCAAGACGGTCCAACTATACGACTGCTGCTTCAAAACTGCAACAAAGTCAACACAGCACACCGCATGCTGCAAAAGCACACATGCACGAATGGCATCAATTGGGACGATGGAAGATTCGAGGAGAATCGGAATACGTGGTGCGAGACACCACATTGCCCAGCTCAATCAATGTTTGAAAGCTCGACCTGGTGGGGCAGTCCATCAAAGGTCACGAACAGGTCTTGTTTCTACATTGCCGCGTGATGTAGATCTATGTAGATTCTGCTATTCGTCACTTCCGCATGCGACGGTTGATAGCAATAAACACGATTGCTCCATCTTCTAGCAGCACTCTACTCCAGAACAAGTCGTCAGCTCCTGTTCCTGCCGAGGCTAACAAGACGCCGATCAGCCTTTCAGCTCATTTTTTCGACGCCATGTCAACAAGTCAACGCCATTTGTACGCTATCACCGTTGCGATAAGCAACCACCTAACCTTCTTTCACACCCAACGTGATTGCCACAAGCAGAAATAAAACCTGTCATACCCAGTCTAAGAAAACATCTGACTACCTAGACTGGCAATTCTTGACTCGTCAACATTCAACTCCCCATCCGCCTAATGGATCAGGTTTTGCAGTGTTTATCGCTCTAGCCTTTTGAAGTCTCCTGACTCTGTTTACCATTGTACCAATACTCACAGGCCCTATGATTGTGCAGAGCAAAATTGCCCAGGTGGCTACCAGGAAGATGTCGGAACTACCGCCTCCCTCTACGGTGCCAAACACGCCATTGCTTTCTGCTAGTGAAGAAATCAAGAACCCGATTTCGCCTCGTGCTACCATGGCGCTTCCGAGCATTAGAGATGGGTATAGGGATTGTGGTTTGGGAAGCTTGCGGGGNNGTTTGTCTCTTGCGTTTGGAGTTGGCGGAGGGTGTCTGCTGCTGTTCGCTCTNNTCGAGGCAATTGGGGTTTCGTTGGATGTACTTGTATTGGTTGGTTGCTGGCCTTCAGGTAGTTGGACTTTGGCTGATGTGCTTGTGAACCTGACGAGCACAAGACCGCAAGCTAATTTGCCTAGCATCATGAGGATTGTGTAGACGATTCCTCGCCACACTATGGCACCCCGGAACATTTGAGTGATGGGGATGGAGAAGCCAATCGATGNCCTGTAAGTTGGTTAGTATATGGAGAACATGGTAAAGGCGAATATGATACGTACGAAGAAGAATGGCTTAAGTATTGAGTTCACAGCTGGTGCATACATGTGTTCATATATCTTTGCGCCCTTCAATTTGTCATGCGTCTGTAGAATAGGTTGCCCAGTCACTGTCTCGCTAGCCGTGAGAGTCGATACATCGGACGATGAAGGGTCTAGGGATGTGACTCGACTTGCGGTCAAAGGAGAAGCCTTGCCTTTGCGTGCCTTCTTTGCCGGTCTAAGACTCGAGCGTTGTTGTTGCAGTGTCGTGCTAACAAGAGCATCCCACCAGTTGATAGCAGCTCCAGCTATATAAGCTGNCAAAAGGTTGGATGTGCCAGCATAAGTCGATCCAGTCACAAGTCCTAGAAGGATCAAGGTATGACCCACGAAAGCTGCGATGGGCGTGCAAGCCCACTTTTGAAGCCTTGACTGCTGTTTCTCCTTGTGTTCAAAGCTTGCCATTTTTGGCAACAGATGTTGTGTGAGTGGTTTTACGGTTGCCCAGCAGATAGCAGGCACAACGACAGCGAATGCAATGGATACAAACACAGGTCTGATCACCGTAACAGCTGAGAAGGAGTCGGCAGATTGTCCGAGGTTCGATATGACTTGAACCATGACAAGTCCCGCCACGTCATCCAGCATCGCGGCACTAGACAAGATGACACCAAGTCTGCTCTTGTCCAGACCGCTAGTGCTGAGAATAGTAAATGTCGTTCCTAAGGAAGTGGAACATAACGCGGCGCCAGCAGCAAAAGCCTGGACAGGTGTAGCCCCTAGTAATCCCATCAAGACATATGACATGCCAATGGGCAGTGTGATACCTATGAGAGCCACAAGTCCGGATAGGTAGATGTTAGATCGCAAAGATGCGAACGAGGTCGACAAGCCGCCNNTTGAAGAAGTTTCAGTAACCATGTACATATCGTGATTTGGAATCTACTCACCTTCATAGACTATAAGAATCAACCCAAGATACCCCAGTTGCATCACAGTCTCTTGTACCTCCTCAGAAAGCCAATTCGCACCTGAGGTGCCCCATGCCACTCCAATCAAGATCTGACCCACAAGACCACAGTAGATGGCATTATCGAGAACCCAGTTAATGCAATTTAGGACCAGCAGAAACGATGCCTGGATTAATATGGTGACGATCTCGGGTTCGTGGTAGGGAAGCGCGGCCAACGCCATGATGACCAAGGAGAATCAGAGCAGACGCGACGACGGTTCGAGTACTCTCTAGCGAAGTCCTACGGTTATATAACAATCATCAGAATAGAACTTCGAATTGATATTCTGTGCGAAAACAAAGGTCGTTGTTCTGTTGGATCATGGTCCGGGCACGTCAACGCTCATCTCACTTGGCGCGACCAGGGCTGGTTTTGTAGCGAAAGGTTTTCCTCCTTTACTCCTCTCTAAGCAAAAGTCGACTTGAACATACGCGAGACAGCACATTGAACAGTGCGATGGCTAACCTGACTATGGCTCAAGCTGTAGCAAAGTAACGTAGTTCTCTACTCGGCAATCGTGGTCCTTACCATGGAGACATGACCTGTCTGAACATTATGCATATGGAACACCTAAATAAACATGCCACTTGAGCTACAAGACATCAGACGCTCTCAGTAAGTCACTAGGGTAAGATAGAAAGATGATCTCCATATTCTGCCTAGAAGAAAACGCCAACTCCGACGACTAGGTATATCCGCTTTCTATCACTCCCTTCATCCTTCAACCAAATCCTTGTCCTCTCCTTCTTCTCTTTCCGCAATGTCATCTTCTTGACATACACTCTTCCGCTTGCTCCGACTGCCTCTCCTAAAGAAGTCCTTGATGGCATCTGTTTTCGACGTGTCGCCATTGTTGCTAGAATGTAAGGACCAACTACTACTTGATCTGCGGCGGTTGTGTTCCGCCAGAGCTGAAATTGTCTATTAGATGATATCTCTGCTACTGCAGAAAACATTCTCCCGCAAGACTGGAATAAGGGTATGGCTCAATGAAGCTCATAGAGAGGATCAGAACATACCATCGTGTTCTTCATTGCTTGAAGCTTTCTTTAACTCTTCTTTGATTTCTTCTGGTGCGACNNTGTGTTATTCCAAGACTGCAGTCAGCCCGAGTTCCAAGGATATCATGACGTTTGAAAAATGCCTGAGAACGATCAGGATGCGAGACGCACTCATGTTTCCTGCACCTCCACGACCTATGGAGATTCGATGTGGTGGCGACACTATCGGTTGCTCTCCACTCCTCCTTCTGCTGGATGTCATGGCTTGATANNTTCTGATGTTGTCTTTCTGATATCCCGAAAAACAGATGGTTATGGCAACTCTGTTTGCAGTGCCACTCTCACTTCGGGCGTGCGGTTCACCAGATATCTTCGAATGGCGATCGCTTTATATTCGTCGAAGTTCTTGCTGGCATATCCTTCACCAGATGTGTTCGTAGGTGGTTTGGCACTCGCAAAGGAAAGCCGACGAAGGAGGAACATCCAATTCCTCTGCCCCAGCCCAGTTTCCTGCTTTTTCTCTAAATTCTGCTGCAGCTTTACGATGATGATCGTTTGGAAAATACCGAGGCATGGTTGGTCACCAAAGCAAAAATGCTGGATGATCAGAAAAGTATATTTATTCGAGATACGTCATTGTGCCGGAGCTGCCTCCATTGATTGGTGAGTTTGCCTCTGCTTGTAATTGTGAAAACTACGAGTAGGATAAGGACAATGCGAGGAATAATAGGGTGGACAGAAGACCATGAAGTGTGTGCTAAACTATTGGCAGAGTGAACTCAGTTCCATCGCTAACCAGCTTGTCACGAACATCAAGACAGGAGCCAAAAAAGACAATATGAATCATCAAGCAAGGATTGATAACAAATCTATTAAGGTGGATTAATTCGAAATTAGTACTGCGCAATCGATCGTTAAAGTCGTCGTTCCTCTCTGAGGTACCTCCGAATATGCATTGTGGCCCGTCTATTCCTGTCCCTGCAGGATTATGTGGCCTGCCAGGATGAACTCGCATCGACAGTGGGCTCGCATTAGACGAGAACCTGTCTTATGCGACACCATCAACAGCATTATCAGCGCGACGACGGTCCTTCTCAGCCTCAGCACCATTCTTAGGTCCAAAGTAAGCCGGCTCTTCATCGTAGTCTCTCAACTTGAGACCCATACGGCCAGGGTTGATGTTCCAATGTCCAGCAATCAGCGCAATGGAAAAGCAAGGCTTGGCCAGGAAATCCAAGACTCCGTAGAAGACAGCCTCTGAATCAGGAGGGATGACATTGCCACCCTCGGATACACCCCAGGCAATAGGGTAACAGAGCCAGACGAAGAGAGTCAGAACACCGCAGATGAGGTAGCAACGGTAGACGTCGGAGCCGAGGTGTTTGGCGTGCTTGCGGCCTTCGACTGCGAGGTTCCAGAAGATAGCGAACATGGCCACGGTACCGAAGGTCCAGAAACCTGCATCTATGATCAGTATGTATTTATGAAGTGGAGGATGAAGTAAGAGCTTACCCCATTTGTAACGAGTCTTGACAAGAGCGCCGATGAGACCAGTGATGATCATGACCTCGTCGAGGAAGATAGTATAGAGGATGGTAGGCCAAGGCAGACCAGCGGTAAGGAGAAGGTCCATCAGGAGCAGCGGTGTGGTGACAANACCTAGATATGTTAATTCACTGTTCTTCAACTGCACAAACAAAAGAACTTACCAGTCAACGTAACGGGCGTAGAAGATCTCGCGGTTAACACCAGCGACCTTAGACCACGTCCTTGGGAACTCGACATCGATAGGTGTCCAGCCAAGATTAGAGCCCATGGTGAAGTAGGCAATACAGGCAGTCATGTTGATAGCGGCGGTGATGTAAAAGAAGATACGGTCGGTACGAGGCTTCATGGCAGAAGCAGCGATCGTGCCCAAAGCGACAAAGCCCATGACAGCGCAAATGGCAAAGTAAAAGTCCGAACCGCGGACGGTGATGGCGATGTCGACATGCTTATTGTTCTGGGTGTTCGGGTTCACCTGAATGGCGTCGTTGCGTTTCTCAAGCCAACTCATGATTGTGTGTTCTGGGGATGATGGTAGGTGATGGACAAGAGCAGGCGACGGACTCAGTATTATAGGAGACGGGCTCAGATCTGATCGTCAGTGGCTCATGATCCTTTCTTGAGGAGTGTTTCTCCGAACAGCATGTGGCAGGTGCGTCCAGCGAGTCACAGTCACGTCAGAGCTGTGATCAACCACAAGAACGGCTTGTATCTTTGACTCTTCTGCTCTTTCCATGTGGCATGTACCCTAACACTGCTCCGTGTAACAGTGTCTTGACTGTTGATTTGATGACCGCTATCAGGGCCAGGTCGAGTTGACAACGTACAGGTTGCACGCATTCCATCCTTCTGTCCTCGGACGGTATTTCGACCAAGCTACACAAGCGACAATCCCGGTGGGCGATTCATGAATCGAGAAGAGAAATCTCTAGCTCAGAAAATCAGCGATTGCCATGGCTGCAAACTCGTGCTGATGATAGTATTTGGAATAGCATTCAAGCAATGCCATGGCATCAATTCAATAACTCTTGAATGTGGCATGGCGGCCGTGCCTCCGCTAAATCATGATACGGCAACTGCATCGTGCATTGTCAAATGGACGTTGGAAGATGCCGTGTTTCAAGAGCTGGCTCGCGTCAGGATTGGTCAGATGAACAAACAATGACGAAAATATGAGCAGGTGGTTGTGGTTTTCCCTAGGGACCGTCGGCCGATATGACAACTCCGCCACTACCTACGAATTCTCAACTTCTCAACTTTGCAGATTCTCAGATTTCTGTTTTGGACCTGGTGTACCTATGTTTCCTATTATAAAGACCTACTATTATATGCATATATACATATATTATACATTCTATGTATTTCATACAAAATTATACTATATATCGAAGAGATATTAATAATAGTAGGGGCAGCTATGTAGGGGTATGTATAGCAAAGCTAGTAGCGTCCGTAGCGAGGTCGAGATTAGACCCCCACCACGGAGCGCTTTGTCTCTAGTTCTACTCTTTATAAGCCTATAGAGATAGCTGCTATCCTACTATATCTCTTATTTTGTACTATGTTTAGATAGGTATATTTAATAGATATTATATGTAATAACAATATGCTAGATAGGCATAGCAGAAAAGAGCTATAATAGCTAGAAAATAGCATAGAAAAGCTATAATATATAAAGATGTAAAGTTATAAAGTTGCAAATCTAAGAATTCGTAGGTAGTGGCGGAGTTGTTATATTAGCCGACGGTCCTAGGCCCACATAGGTGGAGTGCGGTTCGGCCTGAAGCTTAATTTTGTGCCTCAAAAATCTTAGCCTTTTAGCATGTCTTTCCTGTAAATGGTCTCTAGCATGTAGTAGAAGGCGCTACTCTCTTTTTCACATTAGATAAGGTCCATATTCTGATTACTACTTTCTGTAGAGGTTGCAACATATACCCTCCACTATTAGGAATATTGATCTTAAATGCTGTACTGACTACCAGAGAACAATCACAAAGATACAGACCACTAGAGCCATCGTAGCAGGCTTGAAACTCGATGCAGGTTGCTGACCGCTTGCATCAGAAGTACTAGTCTGGGCTGACGACGCGCTCTCGATCCCGGTTGAAACTGCCGCCACCGACGATTGAACACCAACACGAGTCGAGGACCCTGACAGCATTGCGGTGCTCGAACCGCCTTCAACATCAGACGTCGAACGGGAAGCTGAACTCGAGGTCGTAGATGCGATACCCTGCCAAACATATCCACCAAGTCCTTTCGTTGTCGTGCTCGTTCCCGACTGGATTACTACTGCAGTTCCACCTACAGGGATACTCAGAGTCTCGCCTTGAACGACGATGGCTGGGCCGCCAGGGTACAGTGTCTGCGACGCAACGATGATGCCAGAGCTCAGCGGTGTAAACGGCAATCCCTGAGAGCCCAAAGAGAGTCCAACACCTCCAGAGGCTCCTCTGGCCAGCGAACTCGTTTGGCCATTGACGACAATATTGCCAGTAGCATCTGGTGGCAGACTGAAAACTGTACCACTTACTGTAACATCGCTGCCGCCTGGTATCAATGTTTGTGATGCAACGACCAACGGAATCGCAGACTCAGCGACTGCAGTGTAGGTCTGTGAGCCAAGTGTGAGCACTGCGTCGTTCGATGTGATTGCTTGTATCGCAGTCGTCTTGCCATTGATGACCACAGAGCTTCCAGATGCTGGTAAAGAATATACGGTCCCTGAGATGTCCACAGCCGAACCACCAGGATTGACGACTTGACTTCCTACAACGTATCCGCCTGCAAGCAGCGGCACAGCTGTTGCACTACCAAACACCACAGCAGAAACTGTTGTAATGTCTGGATGTCCCATGACAGAGGTAGCTCCATTGATCACGATATTGGCTCCAGATGTTGGTAAGGAATAGGTTACACCTGAGACTTTGATGGCTGAACCTCCAGGATTGAGGGTCTGGTCTGCAACCAGGTAGTAGGCGCCCGAAGACTCTGGCTTTGCTGTAACACCGCCAACGACTACAGTTCCTGGTGATCCCAGAGAAGCATGTATGCTAGAGATAGGCGCTGTTTGTCCATTGATGATGACGTTGCTCGCAGAAGGCGGCAGAGAATATGTGGTGCCAGATATTTCGACAGCAGGTCCTCCACGGTTGAGAGTCTGACCTGCTATAACGTACTTGTCGGATGCTACAGGCGTAGCTGCAACCTCACCGATGGCAACAGGCACAGACAGTGCCGATGATTGAGGTGCCACTGTCGAGATAGGTACTGTGTTGTCATTCACAACAACATTGCCCGACTCCTGCAAAGAGTAAGTTGTTCCCGAGACTTCGATAGCTGGACCGCCAGGTTTGAGCGTTTGGTCTCCTATGGCATATGCGCTTGCGGCTGATGTTGGCTGAGAGGAGCCTACCACTACAGTACTAGGTGCCTGTGCCAACTGAGTGCTTGCAGAAATGTCGACGACATGCTCCCCCTGTGCTGGGTATCGTGATTTCAGCAGGATTGGCATTCGGCGAAAGTATTGTTACGGTAGCACTGCCAATGACGACGACCACTGGTGCGCTTGACTGAACAACTCTGGTGTTTGAGTCTGCTTGAGAAGAACCTCTTGGGCCTCCGTCCTGAACAGTAGACGCTTGGCCAGATTTGTCGCCAGGACCAACAGAATAGGTCGCAGAGGATGCTCCCTGAGTGTTAGCAGGGTGAGATGGGTTGTCAGAATGCTTGTCTGCAGGAGCCTCCGAGGGTGCACCTGCGTCTTGGGTGACGGCCGGCTGAGCAGATTGTTGAGAAGGCTTATCAGAGGGTGCTCCTGCTGTGCTGACAGGTGCTAGCTGATCAGACGATGTACCTTCTTCTTGGACCTTGCTAGACTGAGTAGGTTGATCTTCTATACCCTTCGAGGGGACCTTCGAAGATGAGCCTAATTTTTGACTTCCAGCAGATTGCACAGGCTCATCTGAAGGCTTCTCGGCAGATACCTCTACCGTGATAGGAGATGGCACAACTGAAGTTAGCGCCTTCGTACTGCTTACGATCGGCAGTGTTTTGCTGGCAGGTACAGCCGACGTGGTAGCTGCCGGATTGAAATACATGGCATTTGTCGTGCTGGTAACAGCAGACGAAGCCGTTAAAAATGAGACGGGGATATGAAGCTGAGGAGCGCCAGCAGCAGATACAGGCGAACAACTCATAATATTGGGAACCCGAGACAGGATAGAGGGTTGTTTCGTCAACCAGGCAAACAACTCCTCGCCTATCTTCGTCACAACGACCCTTTGGTTCCATGTGCTCGTCTGGAACGACACTTGACTGTCGTAGCTGACCCAGAAGCTAGTATAATTAGTACCGCTGTCATAAAGTGCACCTTTCGCTTGGAATGGGAATCGCGCAGCGCTTGAGAACCAAGATTGGGCTACTGAGGAGACGGCGTATGTCGGACGGCGGCCATCGAATATATTAGTACCCACACATACTCCGGCACTGTCGACATTCCCAAAGAACGCGTAAAAGTCTGTAAAATCCATAAAGGGTGCTTGGGTCGCTCTGGAGTACCAGCGTCAATTCGAGCACTCGGTATGCGGCCTTGTATAGCACTCACATCATGGTGGAGTTTTCCTTCACTGATTCTACTATGGTTGCATCGTAAGCACCACCATAGTATGGGCCATTGAGGTCTGTTGGGACACCCTGAATGATAGCAGGTCCATCAAGGTCGCCGAGGTATACATTGTCATACAATGTTGAAGTGGGAGGTGCAGTGATTGTTGCTGTAGGGATAATGGTGTCTGATGCAAGCAAACAATCAGCATCATCACAAGTTTTTAAGGCAACTGCGAACCCTCGAGGAGATATCTAGCACAGCGAAATAACACATGTCTCAGCGCTAGGTGACTGTTCACTTGTGTAGTTGTAATCTGTCGACACATACTGTTATAGCGTAGGTATTTCGTTACGAGATATCCATCGTTGACCGAGATATTGTGCCCAGGGTACCAATGGTTCAATTGAACTCCTGGGGCGTAGAGTTCACAGCAAACCGGACCAAGAGCTGCGGATGTCGTTGCATTTAAGGAAGTCGAAGAGTTTGAGTATGAAGAAGTGGCTTGTCTAGGAATCTGCAGCGCAAAGCTGCCCTCGTCAACAAGACGTACAATCCGATATGAGAGAACATGGCTATGATGCGAGATTGTATTTCAAGTCTGATGACAGGATCTGGCTACTTATGTAAGTCTGGAGCCTTTTGAATCATGATCTATTATGGTCCCAAGCTTCCTGCAGCCGCATGCTCGCGCAGAGGATTTGGCACGCATCATGCAATCCTACAAGCTCTGCAACATGAACATTTAGAGCGGACATTTGACTTGTTGTTGGCGTATGCCGCTAACTTGTCCCAAATAAATTCTTGCGAAGTCCTCAAGTCGGCTTTTGTGAGGGGGTGTCGGCGTGCATGCATGTATTTCCGGTTGGTCAGCCTTGTTCCTAATATTAGAAAAGCTGAACGCCAGCCGCACGAATAGTTTCCTGCATGACTGAGCCTCTCAATGAAGCGAAATCCGGTAGAGAGGCTGGCTGAACTTGAAGCGGAGCCAATGATTGGCTATAATTTGGAAGCGATGTCACGCACAAGGCTTCATCCATATCCCGACCACATATCGACCAAAGCCTCCATCTGCGGCACAAGATCTTTGATAGTAAATGGTTTCGTGACCACCGAATCCATTCCAGCCTCAATAGCAGCAGCAATTTGTTCATTACGAGCATTAGCCGTGATTGCAATAACCGGAACATGGCCAGAAATTTCTCCAGACTGTTCGAGAGCGCGGATGCGGCGTATACAGGTCAAGCCATCCATAATAGGCATCTCGACATCAAGCAAGATTAAACTCAGTGGTGTAGCTTCCTTGGTCTTTGAGAGATAGGTGGTCTGAGATAGATGATTGAGAGCTTCGAGGCCGTTCTCGGCTACATCGACTTCGCAGCCAAGTTTGCGCAGCTGTTTTGACATGACTTTTGAGTTTATCAAGTTGTCTTCGACGACTGTGACATGNNTTAGACGTTGCTCTCAGATACACATCTGGACAAACTTACGCAGAATCCGCATGTCTTTCACCAGAGCTTTCGCTTGCGGTACTACGTCGATCTTCTCGAGCACTTTGACCACGTCGAAAGATCCACCCACAGAATGTGGCAGGTTCTTAACACTAATTGTAGACCCGACCGAAGCCACAGAGCCGGCACGACTCTTCCGAGCGGCGTGCTTGGCCTGAATGTAAAAAGCGAAGCGGCTTCCCACCGAAGGTTCGCTGTGTAGACCAATCTGACCTTTCTGAAGTTCTACAAGCTCGCGACTTATGAACAAGCCTAAACCGGAACCGCCGTATTGCTTGTATGTTTTGGGAGNCTTTTCGACGTCAATTAGCTGAGTCTCTTGGTTCCGACACAAACATATAGATTTACCTTGAGCAAAGCGTTGGAACAGAAGTTGCGATTCTTCTGAAGTAAGTCCACAGCCAGTATCCGTAACACTGAATAGCAAGTAGACATCATCGGCACCATCGTCTAGATCTTGAGCGGAAAGCATTGCTGAGACAGTTTCGGTTTCGTCAAAGTCCTTCTTGCGTGGTTCGATAAACTCAACTCCGCAGTCCTGAGCCGAAGGTGGTGTTGAAAAGANTCCGTATGTCAAAGTAATGCGACGGGTGTCCGAGTTCCGCGTGAATTTTAATGCGTTGGTGATGAGGTTGATAATGATCTGTAACAGCCTGCTGGGGTCACACAGCACATCATCAGCAGAGCAATCACTCGGTAACTCTTCGATCTTGGTTTCGATGTCGGAGCTCTTCATCTCAGCTTCAAACATCTTGAGTGCTTTTTCGATCACCTCCCGAGGTCTAGTTCTCTCAGGAGCCAGCACTAAAAGATTGGAGTCCAGCTTAGAGAAATCGAGTACCTCGTCGATGATGACNNCTGCAAGCTGTGTCAGCTAATGTCTCAAGTTAATCAGTTGGGAGAGTTCAACCTTCATATGCAGAGCGCAAATGTTGATCGTGTGAGCTGCATCGGCCACTGTATCGAACACCTCTGGAGGCAAAGTCTCTGCTGGTATGGATATGACAGATTCTGTCAATTGTATGATGCTGCTTAATGGATTTCGCATCTCATGNNCTTCGAATTTGTCAGTCCAAGAAGATATCATTGAATCAAATACTGGACGACCCACCGAAATCATGTCTATGAAGTTTTGTGCTTTTCTTTTAGTGTCGATTGCTGCGTTCATTCTCTCGGTCATAAGAGCTTCTGTCAGCTTCTTGTTAGTGATGTCTATTAGATATCCTTGGAACGTCACGAGCACATCGTTCTCGTCACGCTGTGGGAAGACGACAATCTCGAGCCAACGTGCACGAGTCGGTGACGACTCCGTGCCTGCCTTGACACGAAACTGGAACACCTGAACTTCGTGAGACTCTATGACCGCTGCCCAAGCTTCCTTCTCGAGCTGTTCATCATCGGGATGAATGCAATCGCGCCAAGCATGTCCAGTCTTAGCCTTCTCCATGAAGTCTTCTCTTGTGATACCAAGAAGTCCAAGGAAAGAATCGTTGATGTAGATAGGGATGCCATCGCCTTGATATATGAACATGCCAATTGGGGCGTCTTCTGCCATGCGACTGAATGTCTCCTGGTTCTTCTCATTCTTCAGAGTCGCAATACTCAGCTGTCTGGTAAGCTTTTCTAATTGAAGACGATAGCCGAGACCATCGTCCGCCTGTAGCATTTTTCGTTGGCTAGAAGGAGATTGCAATATGATGACTGCTTTGAGGAGCATCTCGCTCAGCGAGTCTATGAATTTCTTCAACTTCTCATCTACGCGCCTCCGGGGATTGATACCGACGATTACCGAGCCTTGAGCAGAGCCTTTCACGTCAGATATCGTAAAGACGAACGCTGAAGTGACTGTGCCATAGTCGGGCACGTTAATACCAAGCTCTGGCAACAAGTCGCTACCTGTCAGGGCGATGACATTCTCGCCAGCTTCTGCCTGATTAAAGACCTCAATCAGTTCGCTGGACGGTGTTTCAAAGGCCGTTTGTGAGGTTAAACCGGAAGAGCCATAAAGATCGTACTGCTTGTGTCCGTTGGAGGCAGCAGCCTTGGTCTGCACTTTATACAAGAGCGTATAAACCACATCATCAGCAACCTCATCCATGATGTCCAAGAAGTCAAGCCAGAGGCCAGAAAGGTCGACAGCATGTGTGGTTTTCTGGAGGAACTTTGATGAGACGTCTTCTCTGTTTTTGCGAAGAACCCCAGATGTTACTTCGTTGAAGCAACTCACCGAGGAAATCCAACGACCATCCGAGCCAATGAAGGGAAGAAGGAACCAGTCGAAATACGACTCTTCGAGAAATCCGTCTCGTTCGTGCAGAACCATTCTTTCCTTGTTATAAACAGATTGGCCTTCTTCCCAACCCCTTCGAATCAGCTCTACGGTATCATCGTATATGGTCGAGCCCCAAATATCGGCTAGCTTGTTGCCTAGCGAGACAGGGTGTCTAGAACCATTTAGCTTCGAAGCAGATTCATTGTAGAACTGTATTAGATCTGGGCCCCAGTAAATGATCCTTGGTCGTGGACAGTGCATAAAGCTAAGTAATATCTCACGCAGCTGTATCGGCCATTGGTCGAGACGTGGGCCACAGAGAGCACCTATGGCGGTTTTGCTCCAATCGTAGTCTAGCAAGTAGCGGATCCAGGAGTTGATGGGTACTTGATCCGGAAATCTGATCCAGTCATGTAGCATAGTATCCAAAGAGCCATGATCCGCAGGTTCAGCAGGAGGTGACACGAACACGTGCTTGCAGTATATGACAATATATAATTTCCCAAGCTTTTTCTTAATCCACTCTCTGTTCCCAAAGCTAGTGGCCGGCGTAGCCTTTGTCGCGCACGGGGCGCTTGATTCAGTGAGGATCCAGTCTTCCAGCGCATGTGACGGGATATGGGCGAGGGCATGTTGGAACGCGAGATTTTTGAAAACACAGGTTGATCGCGAGCCCGAAGAGTCCAAGATGATGGTTGGGCGGTTATCGTCGACAGCGAGCTGGATCAAAAGGTCGAGCTCAGGTGGCAGCTCACCGAGCGAGGGTTCGGATAACATGATGTGCATAGCGCTGCTGATGATGAGTATAACTTCTCGGCTCAGCACATTGTGGTATGTGATGCTGAGGGACAGCGAATGTCGCTCGGTGTATTGCGCCCGAGTCCACCTCTTTCCTCGCGAGTAAGACAAGATCCGGCAATGCCTTCGCGCGACGAAGGAGAAGGAACCAGCCTTTTGTTAAACCGGCAACGGCGCCGCCGAGGGTCTCGAACGTTATGGAAGGAAAGTTAGACTCTACTTACTCGCGCGCACCTGCCCGAACCACCTACCAATTCATTTTTTGGTTAGCTGCGTTTCAACCTACAGATACTCCTGCGCATATTGTGGCGAACTCTGACAGGATGCAGTTCTTTTGAAACGTGCACATACAAAACCTGTTCGAAAAGCAAGCATCGCTGAACCTAGACCTTGACCCTGTATAGCGAGAGTTCGAACGGTAGATCACGGCCCTGCGGTCGGCACTCCGAGCTGCCGAACTTAACTTTATCCTGCGAACGATATGACCCTGCCCACAATTATACCAAGGATCAATAAATGCACTAGGTATGTTTGTATCCTATGAATTGCCGAGTAAGCGATGATTGTTGCTATCGGGTGTTGAGATTCTTATTCAAAATCTAGGCAAGACAAACATGGCATGTGGAAAGTGCGAAATTTCGAAGAGGTCGGTTCGCAAAGCTGTTGGCCAGGGCGTATACGAAAGAGGTGAGATCGTTTATCATTTGCAGGGCGTTATTCGCCTGCCCGCTTTCTATGGACACAAAAGTATGCCCAAATCCATCCTTTGTCATGGATATCATCATCTCTATGTACTAAAGACGCAACGCAAGAGTTCGTGAAACATACAAGCATTCCATCGTTAACTATCTTGCACCACAGTCCAACGTCTTTTTGGAACTCCTGCTTCACGAGGGAAAGCGCCATTTGGAGCGCTACCCCAGAGACCTTTCTGGCTGAGAGATCGCGCCAACTTTGGTGGTGGAGTATCGTCGACCGTAGGGAGCGCAGAAACACTCGACTTTGCCTCTTCTTTGATGGCAATCTCTTCTGTTTCCGCTGGCGAAGATCTGGAGTCGGCTCTCGGTGAAACTGAGCGTTCTGGAGTCGGCGCCTTGGGTGTAGACAGACGTGCTGCCAACGAGTTTGACCGAGCTAGTGTATTAAGGAAGTTAGGTGAGTCGCTGTCTTTGGCACTTGTGGGATTCCACAGGCCGGTCGGAGAGTCGTTCTTCACTGCTGATGGAACAGCAGGACTGGTTACCACAGGTGTAATTACTGGGCGGGATGGACGGCGCATGCTACCAAGCGAACTGTTGATTCTGGCTCTCGGCTCAGGCAGACTCCAGTTTGAATCGACAGGAGCGCCTGCTGAAGCATGTGAACTGGCAGATCCAAAACGTCGGCTACGTGATTGAGGCACGGTCTGTGAAGCAGACAACTTGGGAGAAGCCACTGGGGGTGCAGATGCCTTGGTAGGATCAACACCAGGACGAAGGTGTTCAGATGACGCAACGATCTTCATCTCGTAGTGAGAAGATAGACCTGAATCCACAGAACTCTGCCGACGCGGTAACGGACGGGGTGCAGCATCAGCAGGGCCAAGAGCTGGCGAGTGGCCTGAAGCTGGCGAACCAACAGGTGACATGTGCCCGCTGGTAGACGGTGAAGCAGATGCGTCATCTTTGCGTACAGCCATAGTGAGCGAGGCCATGCCGACATCAAGTAGTACAGGTTGATTGGTGAGGGCGCCAATCAAAGCATTGCAGCCGGCTCCGTGCGTGATCAGGACCACAACGAGATCTTCGTCATCGTCATCAACAACAGCTTCACTGCTATCGTGGGCGGGCTGTTTCGCCTCCGACTGGGTCGTGTCATACCAGTCAACCATACTGGACAAGCCATGGCGGAATCGCTTGTGCATCTGACTCCATTCTTCACCGAAACGACCACCATCACCCCAAGATTGCGGCTCGCGCATACTGTCCCACTTGTAATCGACCTTGACACATTGATCGCGGGCGTGAGCAACATAGCCGCGAGGAATAGGATCGCCAGGAGAAATGGCATAGGTTGGGGTAGGAGGAGTGTAACCAGGCGAGTTTTCGTGCTTGTAGGGCGCAGAAGATGAATCGGCAGGTCTGAACTGTTCGGGAGCCTTGGTGGCACCAAGACTGTTTCCGCGGTCTCTTGTAGGGACGTCGCGCGAGAAGACGCGCCAATTCTCCAACGGACCATTGGTTTCATGTGACAGAGGGGATGGGACGTTGCTGATCGAGTGCGAATGCTGACGGGCAGGTGGAGGCGTTCCCCAAAGATTGCCCCCNNCTGAGACGACTGGGGAGGAAGGTGTATAGGTCTCGATCTTGTCTGCTGGACGAAGAAGCTCAGCCTTCGCACCTGTGACCATCAAGGTGCTCTCGGGCGGCGGCGTAATCATTTCGAAATAGTCGGGTGATAGCCATTCGCCCAAAAAGGCATCGACTCGGAGGGTGGTACGACTCTGCGGTATGTGGTCCTTCTGCTCCCTCGGCGAACTGCGTGGATACTCGCGCGACTCTTCATGGTGCTCGGGCACGGGGCGTAATTGGGGAGAAGCAGAAGCATCTCTGGGCCGCAGACTGGGAGAGCCACGGAGCTGGCTGAGTGTTTTGAGTCGCGCATCGCTGCTCTTTCTGGCAGTCGCTGGCAGGCCTTGGTACTGCGACAAGCCAGCGCTGATGCCGATACCCGTCTGCACGCAACGCTGGAACGGCGACGAGTGTATCACGACCTTGTGTTTTCTGCGTTTCGTCCGCGATGTCGACGTCGATCTCGCGTGGATGTTTGCTTCGGAGAGGAGAGAGTCGTTAATGCCCAGGCCGGCATCTGTGGGCGGTCCAGCAGGCGACGAGGTGCCCGACGAGGNGTCTGACCTTTCTCGTTCGTGTAGGAGACTGGCAATACGCAAACCGAGTGCTCTCGACTGGATCCAACCACCGTACGTGAGTGGTGGATCATATGGAGTGGGTGATGATAGATGCCATGACTTGTCGGCGGCGTCTAGTCGAGCACCATGTCTGTTTGACAGCAGTCAGCTGTTTTCCGCCAGTCTGAAACATGATAGATATCGGGCCTACCTGACTACTATCACGACTGCTGGTGCTTTGGTCATGGCGAAGTACGAGCAGTCGGGTGATGTTTGATGGCTCGCTATCCACTACAAAGATCCTCGGAGTCTAGCAATCGCCTTGCAGCTATGATGCTGTCACTGCTGCTATCTATCAAGCTCAGTGCCGCGATGATGTCGTCGTCGTCGAATTCGTCGACTTTACTCTGCACAACGTCGAGCAATGAAAAGTGAATCCAAGAATCAAATGGTCATACACAAGTCGAGCGAGACACGAAACACAAAACACCACAGGCAAAAGACTTTCCCTTCTCGACAATTAATCGGCAACTGGCACAACCGAATCATCTCCATCCGACACACACCACCACCCAGCCCGAAGCCCGCCGCTGCGAGCCAAGCAAATCTACAGGCTTCCTTGCCCCCACCTTTAGCCAACGTCACAAATCGCGTGCTTGCTTAATACAGCTGCTTAGCTCCGCATCTCCGTGTCGTCAATTTCCGGCTGAACCAACACCAACCAGCCACCGTCCATAACTCGTTCAAACGTCCAGCGAGAGCCAATGCTTGTGACCAGCGATTGTACAGGTTCCTGCTCGCGACACCTGACGGCCAATACAAAGCCAGCCTCGCCATGCTGTCAGCTTTCTTTGAGGCTGTGGATCTGCACCTCTCAGCCGCTTCGCCCTCCTTTTCCTGCTTCTGCCTCCTCGAAAATGCCTCGCAACGAAGCACCAATCGTTGTAGAACCCTCACTAATACCGCACCGACTCTCTAGCTCATGCTGAACTGCTTCAAACTGTCTCACAAGTACGAGTACGAAGTCTCTTAATGAGTCTCAGGATTTCGGGCCTAGCTGTTCCGGCAACTGCTTCGGCTGATAGTAAAGTCCCCTGAGGAGTATCCAGGTGCACGCCGGCTGATTCCAAGCACCCGAAATTTGACCATCTGATTTCCTGTCTTGAATTGCCTGATACATACATGAAATATCCCCTGCCTATCACTGGAGGTAGTCACCTCCTGTCTCCTTGTGGATCACATCAAACAGCGGCTTGGCGCTGAAATATCCTGCCATCGGCGACCCAATCGCTTTGAATGTGTACACTGCATCCTCTTCGTCAATCTTCTTGGTCTCGCTTCCACGACCCCCTGCTGCTGCGTCTGCTAACAGTTGTGCCTGACAACACTTCTCAAGCGACACAAACCAGAACACAGTCTCTTCCACTGTCTTGCCAACAGTCAGGAGACCATGGTTTTGCAACAGTGCCGCTTTCTTGCTGCCCAGACATTTGGTAATGTTCTCTCCTTCCTCGGCTGCAAGAACAATGCCGTTGAAGGACTCGTAGAGGACATGGTCGTTATGGAATGAGCAGGCGTCTTGTGTGATGGTGTCCAGCTTCCTGCCTAGTGAGCAGAAGGCTCGGCCATAGATACTGTGGCTGTGTGCTGCAGCAATAACATCAGGTCTTGCTTTGTGGATGGCGCTGTGGATCATGAATGCTGCTGTGTTGAGCAACCTGGTCTCGCCACCACCGATGATTTCGCCTTCTTCGTTGACATGGATCAGGTCAGACTTATTGATCAACGAGAATGCAACTCTGTGGACAGAACGTATCAGCAAGATGACACCCAAGCTCAAACAATCTGATCTTTGCTTACCNNCAAATGGATTAACCCAGAAAGTCTGTGGGTCCACTGGATCACGAAGGGTAATGTGACCAGCAACTCCCTCATCAAAGCCATACTTTCCAAAGATTCTGAATGCAGCGGCAAGACGACCCTTGAGATATTCTCTTTCTTCGTACTTGTCTGCAAACTTTGGTGNGCCTTGTTTGATTGTTAGCAGATATTGCAATCTATCGCCCAGTGGAGCCTCTTACTTGGGGAACTTCCCCACCTGAAGTGCTGCAGAGGGTTCATCGAGGCCAGGCTCATTAGGCGCCACGCCTGCCTTTTCTGAATCTGCGTGTGGAGCCATGATGTTTCGTTGTGTGTAGGTATATGGATGTGAAGTATATTAAGGCAAAGAAGAAGGAGTAAGCAACTGCTTTTGTATCACTGCTGACCTTTTAGCTGAGGTCGAGGTAGGTTCGGCTGTCGGCCTATCGGTTTACCCATGGGGCGAGGCGGGGTAATTTAGGTACATCTTGCAGATCATCAACACCACCACTGGTCACAGGTCAACAGCAGCAGTGCTTGCCGCATGCCTGTGAGCACATACAGCTGTGCTAAAGCACGACTGTTGTTGCCATCATCTAGTTATACGAAGTGTGTACGATTCCTACAAGCTTACGGCGGCGTACAGTATATTTTGAGGTCGCCTGATGCTAAGTATGTATGAATGAAACAATATACGAGCACGCATGCACTGAATCATCTATATCGCTGAAGCTATCAGCGAACATCTATAGAGCAATCAACTGGAAGATGGCTTCTGTCGACCATAACCAGGAAACTGCACAAAGTGCCAGAAAATGCCAGGAGCGTATTTAGACGAGGCCAAAAACCAAGGCAGAAAACAACAAAGATAGATTCTACATAGCCAATGTACAAAACGAGAAAGATACAATAACATATTGTTACAGAAAGAACCAAAAATCAAATCAAGAAAGAAAAAGATGAACAGAAATATTCCGCCTACGCTATGCAAACCACCTAGCTAGAGATATGCTCTTTCCACGGAACCGACACTGCTTTCCAAAGGACGCCGTTGCTCTACCTGTTTCACGTCCTTGACGAGGAGGAAAAGTTGTAGTATTAATACAAGGCAAGATTGCTGTGGGTCGCTCTTGCCTAAGCACTTCGATCCCTTTGATAGATCAGTTTTTCTTGTTGTTGCTGTTTCCCTTCTTGTCATCGCTCTTTCCTTTATCGTTGCTCTTTCCCTTGTCGCCGTTCCCTTCTTCGTCATCGTTCCTTCCCTTCTCATAGTTCTTTCCCTTGTCATCGTTCTTTCCCTTCGTGTCGTTGCTCTGGTCCTTCCTATCGTCACTTTGCTCCAACTCGTCGGTCGTCTTCTCCTTCTGATTATTCTTCTGCTCGTTCTTCTCAATCCCCAGATTGCTCAGGCTCCCAGCATCCAACATCTTGCCCAACTCCTTTAACTTGACCGGTTTGGTCATGAAAGTGTCGATGCCGCTACTGTAAGCTTCTTGCTGTGCCTGTGCACTTGCCAATCCGGTGAGTGCAATGACTGTAGTAGGTTTGATGTTGTTGGCTCGCTCGTGGGCGCGAATCTTGCGTGTTGAGGTTAAGCCATCCATGACGGGCATTGATAGATCCATGAGAACATAGTCGAATGGCGAATCTATTGCTGCATCGCCATCGTTGGCTTTTTCGCATTGGGATTTGTAGGCTTCTAGGGCTTCTAGTCCGTTACTTGCTGTCATGAATGCATGGCCGCTTCTCTTGATGTAGGTGACGAGCAACTGCAAGTTTACTCTGTTGTCGTCTACCAGAAGCACTTTACGGACAGGCTTATGCGAATCTGAATTTGTTCTGGAGAAAGGACTCATAGACCCGCCTATGGGTGCTGGTGAAGAGGGAGTGCTAGCGTTGCCCAATGGTGACGTGTCTAGTTTAGGCATCCTGGACTTGCCTTGTGATATCTCCATCGTGTCTTTTTGCGGGTGTTTCAGCGGCGCATCCCCATAGTGCCCCTTATCTTTCGCTTCCTCGGCCATGGCGTGGTTCTCCGAGTCCAGGACTTTTTGGAACGAGCTGTCACGCAGATGTTGACCATCTCCCAAGCTATCGTCCAACACCTTGCGAACAGATGGCATGGGTTTGTTTGTCTTGGCAATCTTGTTAGCCTCCAAGCAGAGTGTAAGTGATTTTGCCAGTTTCCGTGGTCCGCACGGCTGGGACAAGACTCCAGTGATATGTGGCTTTGGGTTGTGCATCATGGCATTGGCGGCAGAGACGCTGTTGCAGATGACCAGCAATGGTATATCGGCCTCTTGGTTTTGGGCATCTTTGTCGGACTTGCTGTCCATACGCTTATCCAACTGGCCTTGAACTTGCTCAAGACCCTTCTCAGTGGTAAGGAATACGTCGACACCAGACTGATCCAGCCCTTGAGTGATCTGCATATCCATTCCGAACCAGTTCTGACACATTCGGTGGAAGGAGGCCATGAATCTATGGTCCGCGTTCTCTGGCGATCGCGTCTCGGGCTGCGGCTCCTTCTCGTACGAGTCCGCATCAAATCCAATGAATCCGATCCTCAGCCCTTGGGTCTTCTTCGCAGCGCTTGTGATAACACTTCGGTCCACATCCTCTGATCGTACTGGAGTATGCATCATCTCCAAAGTCACGGTAGTTTTGGTTCCTTTGCCCTGCTCACTTTCCACCTCGATCTCACCTCCCATGGATTTGATGATGGCCGAGATGATCGCCAAGCCCAATCCTGTGCCTGGTTGCATCGGGTCTTCTTGAGCAAATGGAGTAAAGAGGCTTTTCTCGAGATACTCTTTTGACATGCCTTTGCCAGAATCTGTGACGGAGAGCGTGACCTTAGAAAACCCTCCATGTTCCTTTGAAGGCAATGGCTCACTGTCGAGCTTTACTTGTATGAACCCGTTACTCGTATACTTAAGGCTGTTGTTGAAGAGGTTGCTCAAGATTCGACGCCATGCTCCGGCCTGAGTTCTGAAGATCCAATGTGAATCCTGAGCTTTTGAAATGTCGACAACGACCGAGACGTTCCGATCGCCATCAGAGGCTTTCGCGCCACCTTCAACTTGTTTGTTCGCTCTAGGCATCTGCTCAGTCTCACGACCAGCTCTGATAAAGTCGTGGCCAGCAAAGACAGTTTCCAGTACCTCTTCAGTGACCACACTCAGATCAACATCAACGTCCAGTGCGAAGTTCTGTTTCTGTTCATCTGGATTCGAAGTGCTTGTGCGGGTTTGTGTGCTCTTCCTGGTGAAGTTGTTTATTTTGGCAAAGTCGAGCAAGTGATCGATTGTGTCGAGTAGAGTATGGCCGCAGGTGGCCAGAGTGTGCACAAGATTTTCTTGGAACGGATCAAGTGTCGAGTCTTCGAGGCACTCGACACTACCGAGTATACCNNTGGATGGGAATACTTTAGTACATGTCTGGAAAATCTAGCTATGTATGCTTGACCTACCATGGAGTGGACTGCGCAATTCGTGTGAGATAGACGAGATGAAATCAGATTTTGCTTTATCGGCGATTTTAGCATTGATTCTTGCCACTTCGCTCATGGTGCAATCGCTGAATGCTGCGAGATAACTAAGCTCGGAATGTGTGGTAAGGATTCTGTGAGGATCCAGGGTCCAGGCTATACAAGCGCTGAAGAATCTCTGATCAGAATCCCACATTGGGCAAACGGCAAAACTGCGAACTCCAGGGAATAGCTGTTTTATGGTTTTGGCCTCGTTAGTCCTCAAACGCTTGCGTTTCTTGACAGTGCCTCTTGTCGAGACTGTACTATCAATGATCTCTGATTGTGCTGCATCCTGCTCAAGTCGCGGATCTTCATCCTGATCAAAGTTGAGAACTTTACCATGTGGATAGCGACGCAACAGCGATCGTACGAATTCTTCAGTCATACCATCAGTGAGTTTTGCTGACTGATCTCCATGCGCGCTGTTCATGGTAGGTGTTGATATGCCAAGAATTTCAGAAGGCTTCGCACTGTCTTCCCTTTCCAAGTTCTCACCGATATTTGAGTTGGATGGTTCTGCACTAGACTCGTTAATTGAGTCGCTCTCGGAGGCTGAGGATAGTTTTCGCCGCTTTGGTCGCTCATCGGCGGCGCGGTCGACAAGACCTCCAAAAGTGGTCTTCGCGGTAGCATCGAAGATGACAACGGCATCGATTTGCAAGGACTCCCGGATGATGTTTGCAGCCCGACCAAATGTTGCCTTGACTGCAGGTGCGAGGTGGTCGGTAGGAGACGTCTTCTTCGACTTGGGATCTTCCATTGAGTACGACGGTCGCGCTGATGCATTAGAAGTGTGTGAGCCTCGCCGCGAAGGCGACTTGTCGACGTCTAGAGAAACACCGACATCGGTGAGATCCGGGAAGTCACTCTCACCATTCAGCTGGATATCGGGGCGTTGGTCGTGATGTCTCGAATATTGGCGTTGAGCCCAGCGAAATGGTGTTTCCTGTTGGAGATCAGGAGCCTCCAGATCAGCGCCCAGGGCTTTCCAATCACCCAAAGTGTCTTTGCCTTCAACGAAGCATCCAAGACCATGTACCATTCTCTCTCCCTTGATGCTTTCTGACTGCGAACGGAGCATGTCAAAATGTATCATGACTGTTGTGGCCATGTCCTTCATAAATGCTATTTCTTCGGGCGAGAGGCCGTCTCGAGGCTTTTCATCTATTACGCAGTAGGCGCCAATTTTGTAGCCATTGGGTGAGACAATAGGAACTCCAGCGTAGAACCTCCATCCATGGTCTGTTGTGTATGACTGGCCGCTGAACCTCTTGTCTTTGGACAAATCAGGGACCACAAAGACTGTTTCGTCCTTGGCATCGTCGGCGTTATCGGAGGGAAAGTTGATTGTGTGTTCGCAGATACTCCCTCTCTTGGGCACGATGGAGACACCATAGTCTATCTGATCGCCTGGCTCGTGAACGGATTCGGTCTGCATACTAAGAGATTTTGTGGCTTCGGCGAGGAGATACTGATAGTTCCTGTCGAAGAAGGATATGAAAGCACGTTTACAATTCAATCGGAGGGTTGCTAGTTGCGCAAATGCCGTCAGTGCTCTGTCGGGCGACGTGCGAACCCGTCCTGGACTTGGACTATATTGGTCTGCGTGTGTGGCCACGCGGGCCAATCCAAGCTTAATGGGTTGAAAATANNTCTGCACCGGAAGGGTTAGCTGTCTGGTCACACTCTATGTCAAGGCTGCGCTGGGACATCTGTACTTGTAGAACTCGCGCTCGTGCTCGACATCGTAGGGCAGTTCCGAGTCCATTACCGGTCCCGGTGGACAGAATGTCATGGTTGTATCAGCTGGCAATCAATTTCAGCCAACATCAAAGGCAGACGAAACAGAGTCCTTCACAATCGGCACCAGTGGTAATAGTTGAGGGCAGAGCAACGACGACAAGTTAGGTTACTGACATGACAGCGAAAAGCGGATCGTCTCGCCCGTCCCACTGATGTCATAGTTAATCTCGGCTTTTGGACCCTGAATCGAAAGTCTATACGGAAGGAGACAGCTCCGGTGGGACACGAGCGTTTGTCACTGCCTTTAAACTCATGCTTACCGACATCTTACATGCAATAGTCAGACTAAGCAATACTAAAGGTATAGTGTTAGATTGGCATGTCAGGTATGGAAAAACTAGAACGGCAAAAACTCGATATTGGGTATCTAAAAACAAAATGGCTAAACAACAAGAACAAGGCAAAAGAGAGCTTTGCAGCTTCCGAAGATACTATCTAGGCCGTACATTCGTGTATATTCATCTTTCCAATCCTTTACTAAGCTCGGCGATCTCGTGATCCGCCAGCGCTGCTAACCATAAGCACTTGGCCAGGATCTCAGCATCAGCTTTGATGGCATATCTGGAGCTGGCATCTAGCAGACGCAACACTCCCTTGACAATGGAAGCAGTAGTGCGATGACGCTCAAAGTTGACGAGCTTTTCGTGCGATCCGTCCGATGATGCTCTGCCAGTAGGCGCGATGAATGCTGGCTTCTGAGCATTGAGTGCGAGGTCGCGGGTATAAACGCCCAGGAAAGGAATGACACCTTTACCGGCCGACATATCATCGTCGCTCAGCGCAGCCGCTGCGCTTTCCATCTCGGCACGTAGCACGGCAAAGTTACGCATCGGGCTAACCAACATTTCGAGATCTCGAAGTGCATCTTTCTCAGCTTGTGCTACTTTCGACCACGTCGTGCTTAGGCGAGAAAGATCCGAGGAAAGTAGTGCGATAGTGATTTGTGCTGTTGTTGCAAAATTGCGTAGGCTGCGATGCGAATGTGTTGCAATGTGTATAAACTTCGTAATGCACTGAGCACGCTCCTCCGATGTTGCACAGAGCAAAACAGAAGAGATACACCATTTGATGACAAGATTGAATCGAGTGATGATCAAATCAATACTGCTGACATCTGTAACATCGGAGGGAAATGCGTGGATGTACTGCGCCCAGTCTCGGACGGATGGAACCTCTTGCGACCAACTGAGATTGACTAAATCCTTCCAATCGACAGAGTCCAATGCGTCCTTCTCGATGATGGTGAACTGCATAGCAAGAGCTTCAGAAGTATGTGCCAAAATAAAGGGCGTGTGTTGCGTTGGAAGGTTGCGTGTCCGTGGGAGAGCAGAGTGATCTGCCTTCTTCGCGAATTGATCCGACAGTAACAGTTCTGACAAGCGAAATGATTTCTTGGATCCTGCAACTGGCGGACCAGGCAGCAATAGCTGTGTATTAAACTGGTCAAAACCGTGATCTGATATGTTGTCTGCTGTTGTAGGCGGAGTGAGAGGGTGTGGTCCAGGAGGAGGTTGGATTTGGTCCGTAGGAAATTGGTCTGTAGAACCTATAACTGCATCCTCTTCTTCTGCATCGAACAGGAAGCTATGTGCAGCATCAGCCGACGATTTCGCTTCATGTTTTCGCGCATGCATCGAATTGCGGTCAACAAGCGACTCGCCATCGTCAAGCAGGAATGTGGAGGCAGGCGTGTTTGGAGTGTCTGATCGTTTCGATTGGTCTTCAACGGGAGTAACAGGGCGCTCAGAATCTTTCGCCAAGTCAAAGTTCGCAAAGTCCCTGGTTGCGATTGATGAATTGTTGATCTCATGTCTTGTCCGTGTAGACTCGCTTGGCTGACTGACAGCCGCAGCATCGACTGCGTCATGCCTTCTATGCACGGCTTTGGCGACTTCAGCTCCGGATCCTGTTGGTCGTTGTGGCCAAGCGAACGTGTTTGTCTCCTCTGGAACCACAAACTCTTGACGACTGACTTGTTGTCGAGTAAGAGTTGGAAAGTCGCCACCGTCATGATCCAAGTCGAAGGACTTCACTGTCTTATCAGACGAGCGACTTGGGACATACCTGCCCTCAAGCTTAAGTAGTGCAGATTCAACACCCCCATCATCNNCCTCGACCACTGGCATCTCTCGGAGTCTAGCTACTTCGGCTTCCATTGATGGGCGCAACTGGCGCAAAGACGAATGAGTAGACAGCAGTCGCAATGAGCTTCTTCTCGCCGCATCGAAGATATCACCATCGCTGGCCTGGGGTCTAAGAGCAAGTCCTGTAAGCCGTGATTCAATTTGTGCATCATCAAGGTCTCCAGAAGTGATAGTCAAGATCGGCGACCCATAAATGGAGACTGGTGATGTGACAGAGCCTGTTGATTGGCGTCTATGAGAGCTTCCAAGATCATGAACAGTATCGACGCCACGAAGATTGCCTCCTGGCTTGCGACGTAGCTGTCTAGCAGGCCCAGGCAAATCGTTAGGGTTCACCGGTGACGATTTGCGGAAGCTTAGAGCCGGGCTTCCTTCTGTAGAGACCTCTGGTGAGTACAGTTGACCAGTACCAAAGGATGTGGTAATCTCGGTATCAGGACTGGGCTTGTGATCTCCTACTAGAGCCACAGGCGTTTTAGGGACAGTTGAAGCAGTCGGGAGTGGTGGAAGCGGTGCGGTTGGTGGTGGCGAGTATGGGGATGACATAATGGACAAAGTCGTAGGCGCGGTGGACAAGGTAGCAGACTTAACCGGATTCACCCAAGACGGCTGGTCATAATTTACCATGTCGTAAGGGAGTAAAAAGGCAGTGTTGTTCATAGCTACGTCTTGAATAGCTGCTTGATTGTGTTCTCGCGTCGTCTGTCTTGACAAGTCGTAACTTGTCGCTGACTGTGTAAAACCAGCAGTTATTTGTGTGATATCCGGAGTTCGCTCAGATTCATCAATCCCTGTATCGTCGATGATCATGATTGATCGACTACTTGTAGTCACATTGCTGAGAAGACGAGATGCCCCAGGACGCACTGCAAGGTTGGTCTCGATTGTCTTTGATCTGTTCCGTGTGACTGGCAAAGTATTGGGCTGGAACTGAGTCAACTCGTGCATTGTCTCGTTACCTTGCTGTTCCCAAGAGCGCATGACCATTGCGGCCAAAGCATCCGTATGAACAATTTGTGCCTTTCTGGCTTGCATTTGTCTGATCATATCTCTCGGCTGGGGCTCTGTGCTATCCATCTTGCGCAGATCACCAGAACTAGCAGTCTTGGGTCGGGAGCTCAGTGTAGATCTGCCACCATGGCGTGTGCTTAGCGCTCGACGTACGCTACCGAGAATGTTTAGGCGAGCATGCTGAGGTTGAGCTCCTGACGCTCGTGAGAGTGTTTCCGACAGACTAGGTCTGGTATCGTCGGGATTCACTATAAAAGTAGGACTTGGGGGACCAGGTCCAATGACATTTGCCGAACTGGGATGGATAAGGAGACCTCTTATGATTCTGCCGGGTCGGATATTGATCTCTGTATTTGGCTGCAAGGAAATCGGGCGATCAACACGAGAATCACGCAAAGCATCAGAGAAACTGTCACTTCTCTTGTGTCGATGGAACCCCCTCGACCTCGAAGGCGAGTGATGGTTTGGTTTTTCAGACTGGTTCTTCAAGTCATGCTTGGAACGCTTCAACCTAGGGAACGAGCAGGATGTGACCTGAATACTAGCCTCACTAAGGCGTGATTCTGTAGGTGGTCGTCTCAAGGCCACTGTGGATATGTTGTTACCCAGATAGGACGAGTTTCTTATGGTTGATTCATTGGTCATCGAGCGCACAGCTGTCATGCCATGAATCTGCGAATCGCGATCACCACCAATTCCGAGTGGCATGTACGAGTGGGGCGCAGCAATCGACCCCCAAACAAGTACGCACGTCCGATTCCAGCATTTTTGTAGCTCGTTGAGTACCTGAAGGTCTCCCCCAGCGCCGCCCTGAGGCATTTGTGCCACATGTAGAGAAAGCTTGTTGACAAGATTGCAAAATAAGTTTCGAAGCTCGTGGTCGGGCTCAAAGTCTTGAGTGAAATAATTCAAGATCCAGTGGCGCAAAGCAACGAATGTACGGACACGCACGACTCGTCCAGATTCATGAGTTTGCGATACGGCCCATCGTAATCTGGCTACCAGATACTTAGCCAGATCAGATGGCGACAAGAATGCTCTGTACGTTAGAAAGAAATCGGACAAGAGATCGTAGTCCAAAAATTTCACGGAGGTGATTTCGATGATCAGTCGAGTGGGTATTGCAGCAACGATCTCGTTTGTACCGTCCGCATACCTGACATATCGGCTGTTGTCTGGATCTGCAGCCACCTTGTCGTAGATAGTATGAGGTATCTCGTCCTGATCCAGTTCCAGAGGCGGAGTAGCAAGCGGCGAAGGGAGCAGCTGACCACGTTGAGTGTCCACAGCGGGCGATACTGAAGGAGAAAACCAGGAGACGCTCGGGGATCTGCGCAGATCTATCGAGTTTTGGTGGCTTTGGGAAGCAGGTGGCATCAAGCGATCCAAGCGGTCAGTTGAGACTTGTCGCAAGTCTGTCGTACTAGAGAAGGCAGTATGATACGAGTTGTGGAGGAAGGCGGTTCCACGATCACTAAACCTCGGTGAACCAAGACGGAAGTTAGGAATGGGCACCTCAAGGAGAGGTGCAAACAGAGAATCAGCAGCATCTGACGGTGGTGGTTTCGACTGCTGGTCTTTCTCTTGAGCGTGTCTAGGAATCGAGTCAAGACTCGGTGAGCGGAGACGGGGGGCCCTAGCCGTTTCATGTCTACTCTTTCGACTGTAGCCGCTGTCAAATGACGATCTTCGGCGGGGTGCGATGAAGTCATGGTCTGGCTGGCGTATAGACAATTGAGCCGCGCTCTGATGTAAGCCGTCATGCCAATAGAGGCCCGATGGAGTGTGTTGGTGGGTGTCCGAGGTGTCAGGGGGNNGAGTCGGAGGAGGACGAAAGGCTCTTGGATAAGGACGAGCAACCGGTCTAGGCAGCATAAGTTTGGGGTCCTGGGCTGTGTCCGGAGTGGGTTGTTCGAACCTCAAGTACATGGTGCCATTCTGGCCAACATTTGCAACACTGAAATGGCGGTCCACCACCTTGGACGGAGGGTAGAGATGGGGTAATGAATGTGATTGTTGGTGTTCGTTCTTCTCGCGGTGGTATTTGAGACGGGCCATCTCGGCACTGTCTTTGGTATTGCGAATCGACTTCTTGCGGACTTTGCGACGGAGGATAGATGGCGGCTCGCGCAGCGGCGATAGTGGCAGACGGGGTATGGCCGAGTCGTTGTTGTTGTTGTTGTTGTTAGGCGCATTCGAAAGGCCAACATTACACGAGGGCTCTGCGTGCAGAAGAGGCCCTGTGTCCATGACAGCTCATGGCCGCTGTCTCCAGGATCTCGACGAGCACAAGAATGTCCGGGCGGTACAGAGTGGGTGAGTGCTCAGTGCGATAGAGACGCGACGAGGCTGGAAACGTTGGAGATGGGCACAACGGCCGTTCGCAAGTGCGCAACGTGGTACACGCGCAGAACTGCAGACTGAATCAAACTGGTGTCCGGGTGTATCGCAACTTAACCAGGTTATCCGGGTTTGTTGCCGACAAGTTCCAGGGTGGAAGCGAGAGTGCGAGATACAAGGGAGGCCTGACGTCGACGTGTTTATGCTGGTACGTTTAGGGAACAGGTAGAGGAGAATGAGAAACAACAGCGCTCAGAGACGACGCGAGACAGCAAAGACATGATGCTAGATCATGACTTCGCCAGGTCTCGCCGACCGCCTGTCTCTTCACCATGACATCGTCCATCTTGTCCGTGTGCCTCAGTGCCTGTGCTTGCCTTGGGGCCTGCTCGGGGCTGAATGAGTTATCATATTAACCAAACGCTAACCGCTCCCGCGAACCGTATTCGAGTCCCCGGCCAATCATCGTTTTGACATCGTTACAAAACCACGTTTTGATCTGGCTCCATGATGTGCAAACCATCAGATCAAGTCTAGCAAGTCTAGGCTTCGCTCCACCTTTCCGGCAGTGACAACAAACGGACTTTTCTTCGTTGCTGCATTCGTTCGCGCCTGCATCTGCAAAACACATTCGAGTGCATGGCGTGAGACGCTGCTGCTTTGAACTTGCTTCGCATATACAGCGCTCCTTTGATTGTCAAATCCCCAATTTCCCGGTCGATTGCCGACGTAATCGCACCGTCAGAAGGGAAGCGACGGCCTTGACCAAATCAAACACAAAAAGCCAAGCCATGCCTTTTTAGCACCACTCTGAAACATCTACTCGGCTCCTCGGCAGCATCGTAGTTTTGGGTTCTGTTGTTTTCTTCCATCATCTCGCTACTCATGCGCTTCTTTTCTAGAAGGACCGGCCAAGGATAATCCAAATTGTCGTCACTTTCAGCAGACAAGCAACTTCGGATCCTTGCTAAATATAAGGCGTCTTTAACTGCCTGCTGTCACTACCGTAGCCAGCCACCAATTGTATAAACTTCTGCTCATATCGTTTATTTGATTGCCCGTCCCAGGGAACACCGAGCGGAACATGTCATGGCTTTTCCACTCTGGTCATCAAGTCAGGGCTACAGAGCATATTGCGAGGCCGCCGACAGCCACCAGATGGCAATCCGCTCCATCACACCCAACTCTGATCAACACATATAGTCGGTGAAGAATAACATTCACACACGTTGTTCTTGCCTATGGAAAGTCCTTCTCTTTGTCGGCAATGACCGGGTCCGGCTCATCTCGCTACCAAGATCTTCTGTAGTGGGTAAAAACCCACAACAAAAAAAAGGGAAAGAACGAGATCAATTTTCACACAAACTCAACGGAACACGAGTAGTGAAAGTTCAACATTTTCATGATCTCCGCTAACTGTATACCAATGCTATGCTTTCTGTCAGATGTATGAGCATATCCGCCCAACCTCTAGTTATCGATGAGGTTGTTACAAGAAGATATGGGATATTCAAACACGCGAGCGCTTTCGCTGCTGCGTTCCAGCTCTCGTCGATACAAGGTCGAGGTATTACGGATAAAGTGCATGGGTTCCTGGAATAACGTTCCTGTCGCCCTTTCTGCCATGCAACCAGACAACCTTGATATCTTGACTGTGATAAAGATCAGCTTGATCCTTGCCGCCGTCATCGTCCTCGGCCTGAGAGATCGCAAACACATCACGACCGAGGCGGATTTGGTGGTTGATAACAGTGACAACACCAGCATCTGCTCAAGTCCCTTCTTCAAGAACAAGACCATCAGCCAAGATGACCCCAACAGGAAGGGTATTGGTATGTTATTCGAGCTCGATCAGTCCCTGTTACCCTCAAGGCCGTTGTTACACAGTATATACAGCGATGAGCTTGACGTTGTATCTAACATGAGAACGCGTAACTTACATGAAATCAAGCGGTAGAAATCGATTAAGACAGTCAATTACCATCTTTCTCTCAGGAACCCACTGGCCTTCGTCGTTCCAATCTCATGTCTCGATGGAAGACAGTTGTGTTGTTACAACACAGCTGGCCCTCGCAACTACACCCTGAATCCAACACATTGTATCTCTTTGAACATTGTTCGCCTTTCTTTGTTTTACAAATTCGGTGTTGTATGGTGTTTCTTGTCTTTCTTTGAGCTTCTGATGCTTCTCATTGTCTTCTCTAACAGTTCAGTCTATTGTCATTTGTTCTACTCTGAAGATTCTTTGTTCTTGATAGCCTGTTCAGTAGTATGCTGTGCCTGCAGAATGTCCGTTCAAAACATACATAACCATCCTGAACTTCCTGAAACCCATCTTTTGGTTTCTTTACCTCCACACACAACAATCCAACCATCCCCTTACAGGTAAGTATAACCCCCTAGAAGTTTGCTCACAAAGATACAGGTAATCATGTCTCAGCAGAGCCAACCTTCCGAGGCAGACGGATCCCCCGAAGTCAATGAAGAAGAATTGGCAAATCTGCTCACCGCTTACATCTCGACCCCAGCTCCTGCTCCGGTTATGGGTACGTTTGATGGCCAGCCCATTGAGCTCACAGATGAGAGCAAGGCTTACATGGCTGATGCGGCTGCACAGGCTGGGCTGTGGCTTACAGTGAAGGGCTCCCGTAAGCAGCACTACATGACATTCGCTCCACCTGAGGATGGCTCTAACATGGTTCACATTGCTAAAACACCTCCAGAGACTCCTCCTCGTGAGCCCAGCCCAACGCCTGTTCCTCCTCCTTCGGAGCCTCTCTCAGCACCTGCTCGGGTTTCTGCCTCCTCGACCACCGGCAACAGTCACACTGGGGCCGGTATCCGCAAACGTCCACACAAGTGTACTCACTGTAAGTCCACTTTCTCTACAGCTGCTCGTCTTACTGTACACATTCAGGACTATCACTCTGACAAACTTGCCAGTTCAGCTGCACTAGTCACTAACCAGGCAGCTCAGAATTAGGTGGTCTTTTCGAGGTAAGTCACTCCAACCCCTTTGTCTGCTAACCTTTCCAGGTCATCAGACCCTTCCGAGACTTTTTCTCCTGCTCCGCGCTTTGCACCTCAGGCAACTTTCCAGGGTCGTTGTCCAGAGGCTGAATTCACTACACCGGGAGCAAGGTTTTTCCAGTCTCGGCCATGCTCTTTCTTTTCCCAACTCGTTTTACATATCCTTTGAACTCAAAAAAAAACACCTGAAAAACAAGGAAATGGAAAAAAAGGAGGATCTTAATTTTTCTCTTTGATGGGGTTTGGAGCATGGTATACCAATGGGGCGTTCTTAATTGATTTTCTTTCTGGGATTCTCAGTTCAAAATTGCGTCTAGCTCTCGCGGTTTACCCCCAACCTCGCCTTTTACTGGTCTTCCTTTTGCATTTGTTTGTGAGAAGGGAGACTGGATGTTTTGCTTGGCTGGGTCGTGATTGAGCACTGGTAGCTTTTACATAGTATTTTCCATCAATACAAGTATTTTTTTCTAAAACGTGATCTTGTCCATGTCTGAACTCGATGTACGTGAACTTTTGTATCTCAAAAATGAAGTAAGACCAACCGAAGCATTCTTAATGGCGTAGTAGTGAAATTGATAGGAAGAACGTTCCTAACCTCTGAGCATGTATGTCACTCGTTCCCTTCTCTGATTGGTCGCTCTGTTCTCTATCGTATCCCACCGGCGGAGTACGGATGAGACGCGGTCCGAAAAACCTCTGCGAAAGCACATTGGCTCGAATCTATGGTCAACTGCTTGGCTTGGCGACTGCAACTTCTCTAATTCCATCAGGAAGGAGCACTGCCAACCAACCTCTCTTGACTGCATATTCGTGAAGTGCTCTTCTGCACCCCTCACTCATAGCCAACCCCCGCAATGATCGGCCAAACATCACCAGCAGTCACATTCAGCCAAAATGTATAAGCTCGACATTACCTCCCAAGTTGGCAGGGATTCAGGCTTGGGCTCCTTCTTGATGCTCAGACATGCGGGGGTTGCATATACGATGTCGGCCTTGCTTGCAAAATTCATGAAGTCGGGTTATTGATCTCCAAGAAAGGTAGCTTGTAGTCAAGCCATGTGCGAAGATCTATTGCATATCTGCAAGACAATTTAGCCGGCATCTTGGTACCGTATTGTCAGGAAGCAGCTTCCTCATGCTTTAAGACTATTTATTAGAGACGGTAGGACTTGTTTATCACCATTTCTCTTCTTGTTGGTCTCCTCTTCCTTGAAAAGCTCTGGTACGATGAGGTCTTTCAGCAGTATCAGCACAGGCATTGGCCTAGCAGTGCTTTCATTGATCACATCAGTCCGCGGTGTCTCAAACTCTACTTGTCCACCAGCGATCAACTACACCGCCAATTTCGAATACGTTGAGTGCCGTCAAGATAGCTACTACGGCCGCATCCTCGGCAGAGAACGCAAAGCAGTTTTCCGCGATACCAATACTCCTCAGTACTGTGCTGACTATTGTGGCCGATCCGGATACCCATGGGCTGGAGTCGAGGCTGGAACGTAAGCTGCGCCACTGTACTGGAAAAGCTGCTCGTTTGCTGATTGATGGCTAGCNCAATGCTATTGCGGTGGACAACCTGATGGCGGAGCAGTGACAGGCAACGCCAATTGTTCGACCTACACTTGTTCTGGAGACGAGTCTCAGAAATGTGGTGGCCAATACTTCTTACAGCTCTATAAAGTCACAAACCCACTACCTGTCGAGAAGGTTGACGGTGATGTCAAGCGTCAACCTCTCTGCCACACAAGTCCTTTGTGTGAGCACACAGTCTGTGATACATCGCTACCCATTGCAGACAGAATTGCATCGCTCTTGTCGGAGATGACACTGAACGAAAAGATCGCCAACACTGTGAATGCTGCAGACGGTGTGGGCCGTCTCGGTCTGCCAGGCTACGACTGGTGGAACGAGGCTCTGCATGGTCTTGCCCAGGCTCCCGGTGTCAAGTTCAACAGCCCAAATGGCTCGGCTTTCAGCTATGCCACATCATTTCCCATGGCCATCACGACCGGCTCTGCATTCGATGATCCCCTCATTGGACAGATTGCTGATGTCATTGGGAGAGAGACTCGAGCNTTTGCAAACTTCGAGCAATGTGGTTACGACTTTTGGACACGTAAGTCACTGTGACAGGGACTAAGACTATCTGCTAAATGACTATACACAGCCAACATCAACACTTTTCTTGATCCTCGCTGGGGTCGAGGTCAAGAGGTGCCTAGTGAAGATGCATTCCATACTCAGCAGTACACCAAGCAGCTGATTCCTGGTCTCCAAGGCGGTTTAGACCACCCAGAAGAGAAACAGATCATTGCTACATGCAAACATTTCAATCTCTACTACGCCGAAACTAACAGGTAAGTCCGTCAACAGTTCCAACGTAGCATTACTAAAGTTCTCGTANNTAGATATGGCGAGAACTACAATGCTACCGTTCAGGACTTGGCTGAATACTTCAACCCACCTTTCAAATCTTGCGTCCGGGATGTTGCTGTTGGATCTGTCATGTGTGCATACGTAAGTCGAACAGATGAGAATACGTAATCTTGTTCGGAACTGATGATTGCCATANNGACTGCCACTTATGGTGTCCCTAACTGCGCAAGCGAGTACTTCTTGCAAGACACTTTGCGTGAAGACTGGAGCTTCGATGAACCTTACAAATACGTCGTTGCCGATTGCGGTGCGGTTGAATATATTCAAGATGTTCACAACTTTACCGACACACCTGCTGTAGCTGCAGCTGTTGCTCTGAATGCTGGTACCGATCTAGACTGTGGTTTTACCTTTGGAACATACTTGAACGAGTCGGTGATCAACAACTACACCACGGAAGCACGATTGGACCAGGCACTGACTCGTCTTTACACTGGACTTCACACTGTTGGATACTTTGATGGTCAAAACCGTTATGCGTCTCTGTCTTGGGGCGATGTTGACACCGAAGATGCTCGAGCTCTCGCTTACCGATCGGCTTGGGAAGGCATGGTTCTCCTGAAGAATGATGGCCTGTTGCCTCTTTCTCCGAAGTACCAGAAAGTGGCACTCGTAGGACCATATGCAAATGCCTCCAGTCAGATGCAGGGTATCTACGCCGGACAAGCACCATACATTGTCACTCCTTTGCAAGCGGCAGAAGCAAACTGGGACAACGTCCAATATGCATTTGGTACTGGTGTCAACGGCAGCAACACAACTTTCTTCTCGGAAGCGTTGGAAGCCGCAAGATCAGCCGACCTTATCATTTACATGGGCGGTATCGACAGCACGATTGAACAAGAGACACTGGACCGCAAGTCCCTCACATGGCCTGGCAACCAACTTGATCTCGTGCAACAGTTGAGTGGCCTCGGTAAGCCTCTGGCCATTGTCCAGTTTGGAGGTGGTCAGGTCGATGATACTGCGCTACTTGCCAATGACAACGTCAATGCCATCCTATGGACTGGCTACCCTAGTCAAGAAGGTGGCAACGCTGTCGTCGATATTTTGCTTGGCAGACAAGCACCAGCTGGACGCTTGACCACGACTCAATACGCCGCCAACTATGTTAATGAAGTTAGCATCTTCAATCCAGACCTGCGTCCTAACGGAAGCTATCCTGGCCGTACCTATAAATGGTTCACAGGCAAGCCAGTTCTGCCTTTTGGCTTCGGACTCTCATACACGACATTCGATCTGTCTTGGTGTGGCAAGCCTCTAAAGCAATCCTACAACATCAAGAGCCTGTTCAACAAGCGTCAACACCATGGTTCAAAACCCACGCCTCTCGACACCTTGCCTTTCGTCACTCTTTCCATAACTGTCACGAACACTGGCAATCACACTTCCGACTTCTCGGCCCTTCTCTTCCTTTCCACTTCCAACGCTGGACCGGCACCGTACCCAAACAAATGGCTTGTCTCCTATGCTCGCGCTCATGGCGTTGCGCCTGGAAAAGCCCAACCAGTTGATCTAGACATTTCCATTGGTTCGCTGGCCCGCGCTGATGATAATGGAGACTTGACTGTGTATCCTGGCAAGTACAAGTTGGCGGTTGATAACGATGAGCTTTTGACTGCCGAGTTTGAGCTTGTTGGTGAGCCCGTGATCGTTGATCGATTGACTAGACAGGGAGTTTACGAGTACACTGTTCCAGTGCACTATAACGCTAGTGCTAATCTGGTGTGAAAGGTAGATCTGACACATGTTCTTCAGAGTTAGTCGTAGTCGAACAGATAGTAAAGAGTATTGATGAATGAGAATTGCCGTTAGAGCTCTTGAACGTCTGAGTACAGAAGAGGAAGCTGAAACTTGAGTCGTGCTTTCCGTAAACATCACCTTCAAGATCGCCATCTGTCTGGTAAACACTAATTCGTCTATGACCACCATATCTGATGTCGATGTCATTTAAATTTCACAACTACTTGACTATGATCCAACAACTTTGTATTTGGCAAGTATGGCATCATACTGCTGCTGATTAACAGCCAAAACTTTTCCATGCTTGACATCCTTAGGGAAGCCGCTCATATCATCAGGTACCCAAGCACTCATGTCATCCAAAGTATCAGCCGTAGCCGGGATATAAGTCTGCAAATCATTCTCATCAATCCAGAGATGGAACTTTCCAGCATCAAGATTGTCCCTGAAGATCAAAGGGCCCTCGTTGTTTGAGTACCGTGAAGCAAAAGTGACGCGGACATCGTCAGAAGCACCTCCCACATTGACCCAGTCGCCGAGAATGCCGTTCTCAGAGCGTTGTTGATAGATTGTGTAGTCGACTTCTGACTTGATCCAGCGGTACCAGACATTGGGTCCTTGTTCGGNGGTTGCGATGAACGTGGCATCGATAACAGGATAGCCAGGATAAAAGTACAGTTGTGCTTCTGAGAAGGTGACGAAGTCGTTGGTGGTGACATACATGAGTTTGTTGGGAGGCTGAGGACCAGTACGATCAGGATCGGTCTCTGGCCAGAAGCGAGAGGCGAAGACCACGATATACGCGTCAATTAGAGGCTCCCAGTATGCCTCAGGTGCCCAAGCATTTCCAGCGGTCTCGTTGACAAGGTTCGGGGTGAGACGAGCCTCGCCCCAAGTAGCCAGGTCCTCAGACTCCCAGATGACGAGCTGTCTTGATCCAAATCTGGTAGCTTCGTTGAAGTCGTTAGTGAAGTTGTTAGCAAGCAGGTCTGTTGCGATGAGCCAGAACTTGCTGCCGTCTTGCGAAGGCACGATGAAGGAATCTCGAACGCCTTTAGTACCAACGTCACTGCGGAGGATGGCTTGCGTCCCTGAGGTGCCATCTAGAGAAAGAGCTTGATATGACAGGGGGTCATTGCCGTTCGACAGGTGCATGTAGATTGCTTCATCATTGACAGGGAAAGAAGTGAACAGATATCCGACTTTAGTATCTCGTTTTGTCGGCATGGCTGAAATCGAGCTGATGGCAGTCAAAGCCAGAAGAGGTTGTAAGACTTTGGTCAGAATCATCGTTTCGAGTTCCTAGGGTTATATTTGGTGATACTGGAGGATTAGATAGTGGAACAGGCTGATGGTATTTATTTCAACCGATAGTCGCAATAATTCCTCCATCGTCATCTGTCAGTGATTCTGATGACGGTATGGATAGCGCATTCGCTTCTCCCTGCATCTTGACAAGCCCGAGCCAAGAACATATGTCTTGGTATTCGGTTTAACAGTAAGGACGATGACATGTTTTTCGAGCGACAAGATCGAATTGTGAGTAGCTAGTATGCACAGCACGTGAGGAGATCGCCTTTCAGCCTGAAGCCCCGGGCAGCTGCAAATTGCCGTGTGGAAGATCCTTCTGCTCTAGGAAGCTCCTCCGTTGCTCCCCACGGGGCAATCGTATGTCGTGGAGCTCAAACAGGGCCAGCATCGTAGACTCGGGCTTGTACACGACTTGGCACAACAAAGTATCAAATTGATGATGGATGAAACACTGTTGTTGATTCTGTGGGCAGGGATAATTGCGGATGAAAATACGGCAGAAGCCGCTCAAGAGGTCATTAGTTCAAGGACGTTCAATCCACACAATCTTGTTCTTGAGTGCAAACAAGTATCGATGGCTAGGGGTCTATGAATCAGGAATACATCTCAAGCATCAAGATGTACATCCAGGCGTACTCGTTCAAGTAAGGCTCCAGCGCTTGCTCTAATCAGAAGCTCCAATCATCCTCAAATCGACAACAGGCAAATATGGCACGCGCGTATTCCCAATAGCTAGGATACCACCCTGCTGTTTCCCAATCGATGAGGACCACGCTTGAACAATCTGAATCCTCCGATACCATGATGTTCTTTTGCTGAACATCACCATGAGTGAACACAGGTTCGTGCCCAGAAAAAACGGAGGCCCACGCTCTTTCGTAGAATGTGGCTTTTCCTTCCGAACGCGCTTCTGAGGCAGCGTATTTCTTCAAGAGTGCTTGATTCAATTGATCCTCGGACTCGAAAGGTCCACTTCTACGGCTCCAATCTTCGTAATCCTCGAACAAGCCGTCAGGAAGGGGATTTCCGTGAAGAGCGCAAAAGCGTGCGGGAGAAGGCAAGCGCCGAAGCTGATCGAAAGTGGTCTTGAGCTGAGATGTCATGCTTTCCTTCGCCGAAGGCTCCAAGGTCGGCCAAAGCTCTTTTAATGTCTTTCCCTGAATCTNTTCCATGACAATAAAGTTTTTCTGCTCGTTGCAGTCACGATACAGGGCATATACCTTTGGTACCCGTACTGACGTTGATTTCGCAACATGTAGCATCACTTCGCCTTCGTCCAGGCTGACGTGGAATCCATATTTCACGACATATGAGCCCACCACGACCACTTTGCGTCCACCCTGATCGCTCAGAATTTCTGATGACAGTACTATCTCTGCAAGCGTGGGTAATGGCGAGGGTATTTTGTCCGGAGCTGCCTCATAGATGGTCACTCGCTGGAAGTCCATCTGCGTCGATGGTAGTTCAGAGTCTAAGAGAAAATGCTTTTACAATCAAGCCGTTGCGATTGTGTACGTCTGTGGAGATACTTAAATATATCTCGTCTCTGTGGGGTTGAAAGAACTGGACAGAACACACTCGTCGCGTTGTAGTATGAAAGATTGCGACCGAAGCTGCAGCGGGAGTCGGTGAGGAAGCGACGTCCAATCTTCTGGGTTTTGTGCTCCAGTGCAGACAAGCATCTTCACACATGCCCTACTGTCAACATAGGGCATGTCGGGACGATATCTAAACAACATACATGACCAGTCTTAGAAACATTATATTTTTCAATTATCCCAACTTAAGCACATACGGCCACAGTCAGCTGAAAACTGGGCATCCCGTCCGCTCTGCCATACATAAGCAGTTGAACGGCAGATTAGTACTACGGTGGGTGACCACGTGGGAATCCCTGCTGCTGTATGTTTTGTTTTTCCTCATGCTCTGGTTACAGCATCCTCTGTAGGAAAGATTTTTTTTTATGTTTTTTTTTCTTCTTCGTTATAGCGACATGAGATAAGGGAGCATCTCAGTCAGACATACCCCTGAAAGATGTCAGAGGCACTGGGAAATCCCATACGCGCGAGCTCAGCGGAGTCGTCTACAACACGCAGTACCCAGACAGCCGGCAACCAACATAAGCTACTGCCAAGGCGGAGGCAACATAATATGCGAAGGCAGAGGGGGACGACTGAGTACCATACAGCATATATGTAGCGACATGAGCCGTTGGGAAAAGTTTGTCTACATGAAGATGAAGAAAATCATAACAACCAATGTCATCGTCTCGATACACATTGCTTGCAAATGTCCGACATCATTTGAGGCTTCGATAGTGGAGGTTGGCACACCTGTCGAAAGTATAGTGGTCCCGTTCCCACCTTTAGAAGATGGAGCGACGGCTGCGGTATTGATGATTGAAGGAGTGGACGAGAGACTTGCTAGAGACTGTGCGGTCGCCGTGGTGGCCATCTGTATGGATGCTGTTCCAGTAGAAACAACGTCGGAAGAGCCAGACGACTGTTCGGAAGATGAAGCCAATAGGCCTTGACCGAGGAGGCTGGATGCCATGTATTTTGATGTTCCGTCTGCTGAGGATACATCATCAGATAATATAAATTCTGCACTACTGCTGGCAGCCACACTTGACAGCGAGGAACCGAGCGATCCCTGTACCACTGCAGCACCCGTTGTGGGCGGCAAAGAGTTAACAGCGTTCCCAGGAGATGATGCTTGTACTGAGTTCGGGAGCAGCGGATTGACAGGTAGTGTAGATTGGAGCACAACAGTCTCTCGAGTCGTTGAAGTCAGAGTTGTCGTTGATGAGACTGCTGCTGAGGAGGCTGTGTTGAGGTTGGCTGATGCTTCGGTGGTGCCTTGGCCATCGGTCTTACTGGCAGGTGCAACAGGAATCACGGTGGCTCCTTTGACAGATCCGGGTTCATCTGGCTGTGCAGATGCCACAGATGAGAGGGGCACAACGCCAGCTCCTGAATTCGAAGCAGAACCAATTTCAGTTTCTGTTGAGATAGTTACACTGGCTTTGACGCTTGCAGTCAAATCGGTCGATGGCTGAGAAGATAGAATGACCGACGAGCTCAACGCCTCGCTAGGTCTGTTGCTTGAGATACCACGAACAGTCGAAGCTTCCGGAGCAGATGTAGCAACCGAAAATCCTTGAGAGCTGGAGCTGACATCAATGGATGCAGGCATATCTGTCTGGCTCGCGATCTGATCTGTTGATGGTAGTTCTGCAACCGAAGAGGTAGTTTGCTGGATCTGACTTGCGTCCAGCAAAGAGGCGGACGTGGCGAACGAGCTCTGGATCCCTGCTGTGGAAGAAATTAAAATGTTAGTCTGGGCAAGATCCGACGTTTCGAATACTAAGGCAAACTTACCATTAGGCACAGAAGCAACAGTAGATGACGTGGTCCTCTCAGTGTTGACAACATGAGAAAANNAAGCAGTAGGAGCTGCTTTCACGAAACTGGTAACAGTATCGTAAAGGTAAGGGACCTCTGTAACTGCTTGAGCAGGGCTCCACGCCGTGCACTGGGGTTCCACATTACACGGCGCAAAATTACAACCTGTGTATGGCAGCACAATAGACCGATTGCCCCACAGCGAATATATTTGGCTGGCCGACACAGTGACAGCCTCGACCGGCGCCAATGCATAAAGCCATCCAGTTGGATCGAGCTGATTTGTCTTGTCTACAGGCATTGGAAAAGGTGAGTGAAAAGGTGTGGGTAAACTTGTTTGCTGCACAAGACAGCAGGTCTCGTTGAGCCCCTGAATGGTAGTTGGAAGAGCAGCATCCCAAGTCATTTGAGTACCGAGGGCTAGAATCTGAGTAGGGTAGGCNNACTGTTCGATCCAAACGGTTAGTCAAGAAGAGCTGGTATCAATTTTGCATGCTGAGAGCCCTTACACTGTGATTCTGGACCCGTCGGGCCCTTGTACCACTGCTGTGACGGTGCGAGCCTTGTTCGTGTCGGTGCGTGTCAATACCTTCATAGACGTGTTCAAAGCATACTCCGTATTCATTTCAGTAGAGGTCCAAGTGATATTGCTCGCTGTGTTGATCATCACATGTATGGTTCCGACAGTCGTTGGCGTAATAATCTGAGACCATGTATAACTAGAGGCAGACATGGAAGGCCCTTGCAACGAGTATGTAGATGTAGGACCTGGGCCTTGAGTGTGGTATTAACAACTGCATCAGATGATACCGACAAAACTATTTTACATACGTATTGCTGGTGTGTTTGTGATGTAGTTGCAGGTATAACCTGCAAAGGTGCTCGGTATGATCCAAGCTAGGCACAAATGCAGAAAAAGCAGAGTCATGTTTGCGATATACTTGCGTCGATCCAAGTGAATTTGAGATCTCACAAGTTCATTCCACCCGAGAACACTTGAGCAATATATATGCTAAGTGAGCATCCTTGGGCTTTTCGGTGTCTCTGCAGCCTGCTCGTTGATATATCGGCATCCTTCCAGTGGCTTGAGCTGATTGCTCGCAAGTATCTGGTAGGTACTGCGCCTTTGAGATAGTTGGAACAGCCTTGTTCATGCTCTGCCGTCAATATTGGCCAGCTGAAAGATATGCTTCGTCACTTGAGCTATCTTATGGGCCGGCCCAAGCCTCGAAAAGCCAGCCTTACTCCTAGAAAAAGGTTCATAGAGTCGATATTGGCCAGCTGAAAGATGTGCTTCGTCATCTGAGCTATCTTGGGCGCCAGTCCAAGCCTTGGACAGGCCAGCCGTGGGAAGAGGTTCATAGGATCTGTATCTATCACGCAAACCTTGACATAACTACCTCATCGAGAGAGTTGATCTCAGCCTTTTCTATATGTGGCGCTTCTCACGCAGTAGAAAGGCATAGTTGTGCCGCTCTGCAGATTCTCATGACCTGGTACTGTAGATAAGGTCGGATCCAGACGGTTCCCCGCATCGGGCTGAGGTTCAAAGATTTGAACATGCATGGCCCTGCTGGTTGTGGATTTTGGTTTTCTCGTGTTTCCCACGAAGATGCTGCAGCTGCTAGTTATCGCAACATACGTTACATCGGTCGTTTCGAAACCCGCAAATGCGTCGGTTGGACCATTGAGCGTGCCACCAAGCGAATACTGGTAATGTTGATCCGATGACTCCTTCTAAAGAAACATTCTGACGGTTTTTATAGGGATGGCGCAGACAACAAGTGGTCGACGTTCTTCGTTAACATCGGCACTCCCGCCCAGACTGTCCGTCTTTTACCCGGAACATCGGCCAATGCGNNGGGTAGAGACGTCATGTTGCATTACTCGCATGCACAATTGCTGACATGCATACCATCCAGAAGTACAATATGGGCTGTGCTGGAGGAGGGCTGCAGTATCGTCAACCCCGATCTAGATCTTACCAGCTGCAGCCAGTCCCGTGGAGGTCTCTTTCAACGCAACCAGTCGACCTCTTGGTCGATACAAGGTCTCGACAACGGTGGAGTCTTCAGCCTGGCGACTTACGAAGAAAGTCTGCTTGGCCTCGGTGATGCTGCTTCCTACGGGTTTGACTCATTATCACTGGGTCTGAACTCTGGTTTGGAGCCCATACCGCATACGCTCCTCGCTGGTCTCGTGAATAACAAGTATTGGGTAGGCAGCTTGGGACTCTCACCGTTCCCATTCAACTTTACCAATTTTGTAGATCCTCAGCGCAGCCTTTTGAGTATGTTATTCAATCGCAGTGCGATTCCCAGCTTAAGTTGGGCCTACACTGCAGGAGCATACTACCGAGGCCAGGATACATTTGGCAGTCTTACGCTTGGAGGATACGACACTACACGCTTTGTGCACAACGGGGTGAGTTTTCCTTTCGGAGCGGACCAGTCGAGAGATTTGCTTGTCACTCTAAATTCAATCACATATGACACGCTCGGAAGCGCGCCACTCCTAACTGAAGACATCGACTTCTTTATCGACTCCATGGTTTCTCATCTTTGGCTGCCCATAGAGACCTGTCGTGCTTTCGAACAAGCTTTTAATCTCACTTGGGACTCGACCGAGGAGCTCTACCTGCTCGACGATTATACTCACAACAGTCTTCTTGCGCAGAATGCAAGCTTTACGTTTACACTCTCGAACGGCAGCTCTTTAGACAGCCCTAGCAGCAACATCTCAATAGTCCTCCCGTACGCTTCATTCGACTTGACCATCGAACCACCATACGTGGAGTCTGAACAGAGATACTTCCCTCTCAAACAGGCTCAGAACTCCAGTCAGTACACTCTTGGACGTGTCTTCCTCCAAGAAGCATACGTCGTGGCTGACTATGGACGGCGCAACTTCTCCGTATCACAGACTGTCTTCCCAGGTAGAGGTGTCGCCCAGAATCTGGTCTCAATCCATCCTCCCGGATATGATGCAGGAAACCGAAACCGAAAGCTCAGTGCTGGAGCCATCGCAGGGATAGCTATCGCAGGAGTCGCCCTTCTGGCAGCAGTCATTGGTTTCTTAGTGTGGAAACTGATTCGTGGGCGTCAACAACATTCACAGCCAGCCGTGGTTACTGGCCCTATCACAACAAACTATTCATCCAACGAAAAGGACGCTCATGCGGAAGAGAAATCGGGTTGGACTGATGACTCAAAGACACCGCATGACATGCAGAGCTTCGATCGTCACGAACTCTTTGCAAGAGGTCCTAGTGTTGGAATGCCCGAACTCGAAGTACCAACCAAGGTGCACGAGATCGATGGACGCGCTGGTCCTGCTGCTGAGCTCGAAGCTTAGATTGACTGATCTCTCTAGCTATTACAGATGATTTCTAGCTGCAGAAAAGCGGGGGTGTCGAGGGCTTAAATCTGGATTCACTCTTTTTTGTATATCGAATGATCTGTAACTAGCGATCTTTTCATGGTTTGTGCAATTATCATCTCCAAATTCTCGAATTGTTTATGACGACATCTTGACTAGTAAGCTCAGGACGAGCTACTCAAGAGTGACTTGCATTCATCATTTCATGTAGTGAATGAAAGTGGTAAATTCGCTGTGATGTGTCGGTCGTTAAGACATTAAACGAGGTGACCAGGCTAGCCATACCAAGATGCTTGGCTGAGGTCCCGCGGCCAAGGAGGAGGCAAAAGTGATCTGCGAAGGATGGGACGGGACGACTGAGTACCATCCAGCATTTATGACGTGGTGAGTAACTTTGAGCTCTCTTGTTAGTTATTATGCTACTCGTCCACAATAGTTCTCCAGGTTCTCCAGGTTCTCGTCCCAATAACAGAGATTTGATAGGGTTCACAACAGCATGGTATTCTCGTTCTATCTCGCGACCGCATGCCTGCTGGCCATAGCATCGGCACAATCATCATGCGGCCCCTCACCATCCGGCAAAGTCAGACCTTCCATCGCTTCTGGATATAAATGGCAGGTAGTGGCAACTGGTTTAGCACGACCTCGTGGCATCGCTTTCGACGACCAGGGGAGATTGCTTGTCGTCGAGTCCGGATCTGGCAACTTGTCGGCGCATACACTATCCGAAGATGGTAGCGGCTGCGTAACAGTCAACTCATCGAAGAATGTAGTGACGGGCTTGAGTGTCAGTTCTGCCTCCTAAAACACGAGAGAAGACGAGATCCCAGCTAACTATATGAAGCTGAACCATGGTATCGCTTTTGACAACAACAATCGCATGCTCTACGCTTCGAACACCAACGACACATATGGATGGCAATACGACTCTTCTGCGATCTCTGTGTCAAATCAGCAGACGCTGGTTAGTAACATGTCGGGGACCGATCACAGTACGCGAACGCTCCTGCTTCCGCAATCAGCACCAGGCATGTTGGTCATCAGTTTCGGTAGTTTGAGCAACCTCGATCTTTCAGCGACAAACATGGATTCTGGCACAGCATCGGTCAAGGCATTCAACTTGACAAATAGTACCAATACATACACCTATCAGACCGATGGTCTTCTTCTCGGATGGGGTCTGCGCAACGAGGTCGGTCTTGCAGAGCATCCAGCAACTGGTGGTATTTGGGGTGTCGAGAATTCTGCAGACCAAATGACACGGCACGGTGTTGACGTGCATGCCACCAATCCAGGCGAAGAGCTCAACTTTTTAGGTTATGTCAATGGGACCGAGTCCGCACAAGAAGGCTCGAACTTCGGTTACCCTTGGTGCTTCTCAGCTTGGAATCCTTCGATCTTGCCTGACAACGGACAAATCGAGGTCGGCACACAGTTCGCCATTGATGCTTCTCCAGACTTGGACAACCAGAACAAGACAGACGCNTTTTGTGCCAACCAGACTCAAAGCAGACTGGTGTTCACCTCACACATGGCACCGTTGGATATCAAATTCAACGACACCGGCAGACAAGCATGGATCACTTTCCACGGCAGCTGGAACAGCCCTCAACCTGTCGGTTACAAGTTATCAGTCGTCAACTTTACAGATTCTGGAGAGCCAGTCGATGCCCTTACAAGTAGAACAGCAGCTGTGGATATCTTTGGGAACGCAAATAACTCGGTTTGCCCCAATGACTGTTTCCGTCCTGTCGCGATGGCGCTTGACAGTCGAGGCAGAATCTTTCTTTCGTCTGATGCTACGGGCGAGATTTATCTTGTTACTAAAGACGAAACTGCTGGTGGTACACCAACTACTTCACCCAGCTCTTCAACATCGTCCTCGTCTGGTGCATCGAGCTCAACGACCTCCGCTGGTAGTGGCATGTCTGCAAGATATTCATCATCTGTCTTCGGTTTGAGTTGTCTGTCCATACTAGCATTCTTCTTTATGTAGAACAAAGACAATTTAGACCCTCTCTTCCAAGATATGCTTATCCCTCACCATCGTTCCTCGTTACACTTCGCTTGTTATGGTGTCCCGTGAGCTCGATGAAAGTGACTTGTTAACCTCTCTCTTCGCTAGCAGGTGACTGTGTCTTTCAGAACAATAACTGGCTTGCCATTCGAATTCAATAAAGTCTGGCGATACGGAGGAGTTGCTTTTGGTCAGTTCATGTTGTCCCACCCAAAAGGAATCCTTCCGTATTGCGCGCATCGATTTCCGAAAGGTTTCCGCTCCAGGGCTACGATACCAGCGTCAAAGCTTTCCGACAACGCCAAGATCGTATAGAATACGGGAAGCCAGCCATTCCATTTCGGTCACGGAGCCCTCGACACCGAGACGAGGAAAGTGTCAACTCAAATGTGTCTCGATGGTCTACAAGCCGTTGACGTGCTTGTGTTGCTTTCGCGCATCTCGGGTGGTTTCGTTCCGCAACGTTGATTCTGGATCGACCGATGGCGTCCGATAACAATGCTTGCTGGTACTCAAGTACTCAAATCGATAATCGGTTGTGTATGGGGGCAGGTCGTTCTTCTACAGTCATTGATACGCTAGCTGTTGATAGAAGGCCAAGTTCCATACTGAAATTTTGGTGATTGTTACATATGCTTGTATGCAAGGCATGAAATTGAAGCACAATGCCAATCCCCGTATTTATGAGACCAGGTGTACTATCACAGTCTTGTGCGTGATATGGCTTCTCAGTGCACCCAGATTCCTGGTCGAGAGCAGGCGAATTGTTCACGGAAGGCAGCATGAGTCGAGCCGGATATAAGCCTGTTAATCTCACACCGACAGATCGTCCTCTTGAAAGTTGACGCGTGCTGAGTACCCTGGTGTAGTACTTAATCCAGAATCGCCATCTCTATACACACCATATGTGAAGCTTGCCATTAGATGTGAGGATCTGGTGCGGCGGTTTCGCTCCTGTTCTAGAGTCGAGTTGGTGCTACCAAGGCTGATGACTCGAAAGTAGAAGCCAACGATTGAGACAGCTCACAACAAAGTGTTCTTGGAGTACAGGTACAGTTGGAACCTGTGTTGTAATCCTCCTCATACGAAACCAGTGTNAAAGCTGGCATTAAAGCTTCTGAGCTCCGTGAGCTCGAAGCCAAGCGGGTTATCGTCTGCGAATTTTGCTTCTTGCACTGCGAGGTAATATTGACCGAAAACAAGGGCAACATCGCTATTGGGATACTCGATGTCAAGGGCGCTTCTGGCTGATTCTGGCGTGAAGTCTCCAGCTATGAGGACGGGCGAGGACCGAGCCCAAACGTCAAGGAAAGGTTTGATACCTTCGTACTTGTCGCATTCNNTGATGTTCGTGATTGCATGTGATTTGATGATGTGGATATAGGCCAATTTTAGTTCTTTAAGCTTTCGAGTGAGGGAAGCAAACTCAGGCGCGAGACTAGACATGCGGAAAGCGCTAGAGGGATTCATGCGGAAACCAATGCGGTCAGCACCTATGGCGTCTGCGATCGCGATTGTAATTTCGAGGGCGAATGTGACACGGCCCTCGACATGGCCACCAAACTTGTCTACGTGCCTGTGTAAGGATTGGTAGACGAAGTATCCATTGGCGCCGATCTCGACACCATCGAAGCCGGCAGCCATTGCGTTTTTCGCTGCTTGGACGAACGCTTTAGTCGTCGACTTGATCTCTGCTTCGTTTGAGAAGTGGGTATGGGGCTCGGACGGTGAGTCGCATCTGTCGATGGAGCATACATCGCTTGAATCGCTGGTCTGGCGACCTCTTGTACCTTTCGAAAGAGCTGCATCTGCCAGTGGCTCAAGAGAGTCCAATGAGAGAAAGATGTACGCTTTTTTGGCGTGCACGGCGTCAGTGATCTCTGCCCATCGAGAGATTTGGGCGTGCGTCCAGATACCAGGAGTAGACTTGCCTCCACCCAGTCCCAGAGACACAACAGTAGCTTCGGCGATGACGAGACCACCTTCAGAGGCGCGTTGGGCATAGTGTTCTACCGCGGACGGCGCTTGGACGAAATCCTCATCTGCGAAAAGTCTTGTCGTAGGAGCCATAACGATGCGATGCTCGAGTTGGATTCTGCCTAGCTTGAAGCGCCGGAAGAGGTTTGAAGAAGGCATTGTTGCTGGCGTCAGGTCGGCGGGCGTGCTGATGTTCGCTGCGCGTGAGAGCCGAGTCGGCCTTCAAAGCTAGCTGCCGGCAGGCTCGTTGCTGATGAACAGAGCGAGGTGTTCATGGAAAGAGATGAGAGTCGTATGCCCAGAGGAAAGGCTGTTGACCGTTGACATAGAGATCATGATATCTTTGCAGGAGAGGCCCCCAAAGGACGGCTTGACCCGGCCTAGATTCGTTCATGCCAGGCATATTGAAGCTCCTTGAGTAATAATGTGCGCGCAGAATTTCCAAACTCAGAATGGTCAGGGCTGAGACACGTCGGTGTAGCCCGACGCTAGACCTTGGAGATTCAGGGTATCAACCTTCGGAAGATGAATTCCTCGAAACGGCCAAGTTTACGTTAGAACTTCCACCAACCAAAAGCATTTAGGAACAACTACATTCCGATGCGGAATCTCGTTGCATGCTTTGAACAAGTCACAAGCCCATGGAAAGATGATTCCTCATCATCGAGGAACTCCTTTTGGACAAGCATGAGATAAGTCTTGAGCTTGAGGACTGAGCCAAGAAGCTATAATTGACGGATAGCTTCAGCCAGCCAAATATGATCATGAACGAACCTCAATCAAGATGTGCTTTCGTATTGCTTGATAATCGACGAACCGTCACCTCGCTACTTGTGGCCTCCAAGCTGGATATTGTTCGGCACTTGGATGCAGTAGGGTGACGCCAATGATCGGAAGAATATCTGGTCTTGTGTCACTTACCATCTGTCTACCTATGCTCTTTGCTAACCATAGGCGGCCAAGGGAGAAAAGGTCGACGGGACCTGTAGCTTGTCCCGACAGGAAAAGTGTGCCCTGAATGACTCGTGCCTGGCAACTAGGAAAGTCCACTGCACCGACTTGCTTGCAATGGCACATCGTGTTCAAGGCGGGTTTATGGATCTCGAGAATGCTACTAAACAAGTCCCGAAGCTCTAGTCTTGTGAGCCAAGCCTCGACACGAGCCTCTGGCCACGTTGTTCTGGAGCCGCGTGTGAAATCCAATCTTAGGTTACACTGTGACGTTCCTCAAGGTCCTTGTTAACGTCCAAAAGCTCCAGCGGTCAAAAAAGAACTTCATCGGAAGGGTTCAGACGACGGATGTTGAGTCATCGACTTGGTAATAGTGACAATGAATGCCAATTTCTCGAGCAGTGCTCGACACTCTGGGTTGGCGATAGCAGAAGCTCAAGAGATGACCTTGCGCATATCCTAAAGTCATCGTGGTTCTCTGCTCCCCAATCAGTTGACCACACAAGCGTGCTGGAGAAGAATTCGGTCAATGCAAGATCAAGTTCCGAGCGGGGAGATCCGACGAGTCTGACACAGACAGACAGATTCGAGTCTGTGCAACGCAACGTGTATGACGCAGCGACCACAACGAATCGATCTTGGCGAGGTCGCTAGATTGGTGGTCGACGATATTGAATTGTCCAAATTGTATCCGGTGTCAGGTTGAACTGTATCTGCGAGTACGGCTCTTGGCGGATGTCGCTGGATGATGTACCCAAGAGATATGCGATGCGGACAAGTTGCACTTTCGAGATGTCGTAGGGCGGATTTTTTTTGTACTGTGCGGATATGTTTCCGAGTGTTGCATCTCTGACGGGAATCACATTGCGATTTGCAACAATTCTGGGAGTTGGCAAGAGCGAACAGGAACGATCTCGTGAAAAAAAAGACGAAGGGCAGCTTCCGTTGTATATATTTGATGCTCAATCTGCCGCAGCAGTCGTCCTCGTGCTGCTTCGGTCAACTTCCGTGGTCATTTTCCGTGAGCTTGTAACCATCAGAATAATTTAATGTTCACAACTTTAAAGGTACTCCACTCCAATCGAACGTTGAGAGCGATGAAAACCGTGGTACTCAGTTCGAGACAACGGCAGTGATTGTTGGCAACAATAATTGTTCTTGACATCGTGGCACTCGTTGACAACAGATATATAACTAAAACAAAGATGTGTGATCCCAAACACTCTCACCTCCAGTTCATCAAAACAGATGGTGTATTTCCTTACATCTCTAGAGAAGTGGCGAAGCAGGCTGCGTCTGGTTCGGATCCAACAGATTCTGATACAGACTCGACGAACGAACTTGGTGACTCCACAACCCCCAAGGGCGGTCTGCTGTGCCAGCCATAGTGGCCCAAGACTGTACAGTCTGCTGGGTTGTCAAATATGCCAAAGCCTGCTGATTACTTTCGGGGTACGCATTGTGGATGGTTAGCGCTGTGGTCTGAATGCCTGCATTGGTTTGTGTGTAGATTGCTTGCATGACAGCAAGTTCGATGCTCGATGCCACAGTGGTGAAGCCGTGGTTTTGCATCAATACTACTGCATAGTCGGCTTCAGTCTGAGTCGCGTTTGGCAGAGTTCTGTTGGAGGAGAACTGAGCTGCAAGTGCCGCTCCGAGACGCTGTGAGCGGATGAGAAGGTCCTGGTTGTCACCCGGCTCGTAGTACTGGGTGATGTTGAAGTTTGGGACAACCTCTCNCTGAACATGAATGATAAGTAGAGCACATCAAGGATAAGATTTGTGCATACCTAAAAATCCAGCCATATGAATAGATGGACGTAGGGGAACACCGCTGAAAGTGTATGGAACGACCTGTGGTGAATGGCTATGGACAACACTGTTGATGCTAGGGAAGCGCTTGTACAGTTCGCTGTGGATGTAACGTTCGATGAATCCGCTGGGCGCATTCGGATCAACTGGAGCAGCATCTTCGACATAGTACTCGACTAGGTCACTACTGTTGGCAACCAGAGCTGGAGCTAGGTTACGAGACATGAAGAAATTCGAGCCATTGTTCGGGTTACGAACAGACATATGACCATATGCATCTAGGACGCCATTGTAGTGGAGGATATGGAGTCCAGTGATCAGAGTATTGAAGACAGTGGTAAGATTAGCTGCAACCATTTCTGGAGAAGACGAGGATGGAGGTAGTGGTTTGTCAGAAGAAGGACCAGCCATGATGGGAGACCTGGAGTTTTGTTCTTGTCCGAATAAACAAAATCCGTATACATGCACAAAGTCGTAGGAAGTATGTCAGATATCGCCTTGTCGTTGTTCCGGAGGGATGACGAGATTGATCGACTAGATGATGCTTTGTGGGGATGCGGCTCCAAAAGGCAATTGCACACAGCGACTCTGATTCAGCACCGGATACCTTGTAAGATAGATCCTTGAATGCAGATCTTGGTACAATTGATGTACATACTTGCGTAACTCTACAAGTTTAGCTTCCAGAAGATAACAACAATATCTGGAATAAGTGGAGGCAAAAGAGAGAGATGTTTTCATCAAAGGGAGATACTCGGTCAAGTCGTACTTTCCCTTCTACAGAACGTACTTCAGGGCGATGTGGATTCTCCTGTTAGAGAAAGAAGTCTCCAGATCAGCTAAAGAGTCTACAGCAAAGACGAGTGAATATCATTTCACTGTGCCACCGCAGAGAAAGAAACATAGGTAACCGAGACAAGGCTCGTTGTTGTGCGACGCGAATGCGCCTTGAACGAATAATTTTACAGAACGACACAAACTGGCTGCATCGAAAATGCCACGATCCCTGTTGAGCTTACAGCTTGGTACAGCTCAATCACATCCAGCAGAGACGGAAAAATGGCTGCGATGCCACGGCATGGCTCGTCGAAGCTGCTAGGTAAGAAGGAATCGAGTGCTTCTCGAAAGCTTCCCCTCGTTCTGCCACATTTCTGCCGCATCTTCGGCAGCTCGAATTGTTGCCGAACCTTGGCTCCTTCGCGCCCAACCCAAGCCCATCTCGAAGCCAATTTATCGCCATTATTGAGTGCCCGTCCGTCATCACGGCGAGCTTGAGCAAAAATCCGCCGCTTCATATCAGAGACAGACAAAATCGTGCGAGATCAAGGCTTGAAAACGTCTCCCAAGAACTTCCAGCCAGCTCCAGAGCTCGATCAGCTATTTCGAACCTCCGCGGGACAGATCACCGACTTCTGCTGTATGCAATGATGATCAACAAGCGAGAACATTTCATTCATCCGTAGAAATATTCCGAGCACAGGAGCATCTTGTGAGGCAACGGGTAAATAAGTTGAGCTAAATCATTGTCACACTGCTAGTGATATGCATTCTAATATACGTTTATGGTCAGCGCGTGGGGATGATCTCTAGCGAAGCTGCCGTAATCCGTTCTCGTGACGAGCAACGATGGAAGTTTGAGAGATGAACCGAGAGTGCTGCCGATACGAAGGTAACTCGGACGAAATTTTAAATTCACTCTCTGGTTATGCCTACGAGAAGCATTGTCACCTTCAGCGAAGGCTGCAAGAATCTTCTCGAGTCTCTGAATGATTGATGCTTGGTTAACTAGTGGCGCTCGAGACGACCCCAGGAGGATCACAAGGCTTGACTGCGGGCCGAGGGACGTGGAGAAACGTGTGATCGTGGGGAAGATGACTGCACAGCTGCCTGTTCCTGGCACACTTTGAAAATCATCCGTCTGCATGCAAACAGCATGTTGCAAATCGCCTGAGCAGACGATCTCGACCGCCATGCCCTACCCCGTAACCCCCACCGGGAAGACTTCTATATGGGGAACAGTGGGGACTCCGCAACTATTCGCGATCTCATTCGTGACACGGCTAACATTGCAGCAATTGTTGGCGGAATGCTTAGCGATACTACAAGTCTTAGCTTCATGTGGTCATGGGGCTAGCTAAAGCCCTCACTATGAGGGCAACGGTAAGCACAATCATCCTGTTAATCCCGCCGGATTACGGTAGATATCAGACCGAGTTCGTATGCAATGGTCTTCGCTGAAGATGTTGCTACAATTACAGCTTGAACATAAATAGAGAAGATGGTGCCGCCTGTCTGTCGAACATCAACTCCTCTCATACCTGCAAGCTACTGGTATATCCTCCCTCACAACTCTATCATCACTCAAACATGCGTTCAAGGACGAACATCGCTCTCGGCCTAGCTGCCACTGGTTCGTTGGTCGCCGCCGCTCCCTGCGATATCTATAAGAATGGAGGTACCCCTTGCGTAGCTGCTCACGGTACTACTCGCGCATTGTACGATGCCTACACTGGTCCTCTCTACCAACTGAAGAGAGGCTCCGATGGGTCTACGACCGATATTTCTCCTTTGTCTGCTGGTGGTGTTGCCAACGCTGCTGCGCAGGATTCTTTCTGCAAGGGCACTACCTGCCTCATTAGCATCATCTACGACCAGTCTGGCCGTGCCAACCATCTTTACCAGGCTCCAAAGGGTGCCTTCAGCGGACCAGATGTTAACGGAAACGACAACTTGGCAGGCGCGATCGGAGCTCCGGTAACGCTGAATGGCAAGAAGGCGTATGGTGTATTCATCTCGCCTGGTACTGGTTACAGAAACGACGAAGTCAGCGGCACAGCCACTGGAAATGAGCCCGAGGGCATGTACGCCGTCCTCGATGGTACGCATTACAACGATGCTTGCTGCTTTGACTACGGAAATGCCGAGACGAGCAATACAGACACTGGTAACGGTCACATGGAAGCCGTCTACTTCGGCAACAACACAGTTTGGGGCAGTGGCTCTGGCAGCGGTCCTTGGCTCATGGCCGATCTTGAGAATGGTCTGTTCTCTGGCCAGGGCACGAAGTTGAACTCTGCAGATCCTTCGATCTACAACAGATTCTTCACCGGAATGGTCAAGGGAGAGCCTAACCAGTGGGCACTTCGCGGTGGCAACGCCGCATCTGGTTCTCTGTCGACATACTACAGTGGCGCTCGTCCCACTGTTGGCGGCTACAACCCCATGAGCCTCGAGGGCGCCATTATTCTTGGTATTGGAGGTGACAACAGCAACGGTGCTCAGGGTACTTTCTACGAGGGAGTCATGACCTCGGGATACCCATCTGATGCCACTGAAGCCTCGGTGCAGGCCAACATCGTGGCTGCGAAGTATGCTACTACGTCCTTGAACACGAAGCCACTCACCGTGGGCAACAAGATTACGATCAAGGTGACCACTCCTGGCTATAACACTCGCTACCTTGCCCACACCGGAGCCACAGTCAACACACAGGTTGTCTCGTCATCTAGTGCCACTAGCCTCCAGCAACAAGCCAGCTGGACTGTCCGTACCGGCCTCGGCAACAGCGATTGCTACTCGTTTGAGTCGGTTGACACACCTGGAAGCTTCATCAGACACTACAACTTCCAACTCCAGCTCAACTCGAATGACAACACCAAGGCTTTCAAGGAGGATGCGACTTTCTGCTCGCAGACCGGACTCGTGACTGGTAACACTTTCAACTCGTGGAGCTATCCTGCCAAGTTTATTCGTCACTACAACAACGTTGGATACATTGCCAGCAATGGAGGTGTTCACGACTTTGACTCTGCTACGGGCTTCAACAACGATGTTAGCTTTGTGGTTGGAAGCAGCTTTGCTTAGGGGTGAAAAGTAAGGATGAGGTTGATGAACGTTTATGACAAGAAAAAATCATGAGTTTGTAGTTTTGATATCGTAGCCGTAGCCCTGTGAAATATCAAGTGTTTGTCTCTCAAGAACCATGTGCCGTTGTAAAGAAGAAAAGAAAAGAGGCAGCTGAGGCTCTTATCGGACGATAGGGCTTGATCGGCAGTCGGCTCAGACCCTGAGCCCATCGTCATTGGCTTTTGCAAGAGGAGACTCGGCGACTTTGGTTTGATCTTGTCTTGTTCTCTGCACAACCTGACAAGACAATTTGCGATCAATCAATTTCTCAGTCCTATCAACGCCACTTGTCCATCTTCCCAGCGCCTGCCTCTCACTTCCACGTCGGCCCATCATCTGCATCTACGCCGCCAGAAACGCCACCTTCTCGCACCAAAAGTACCCCTCCTCGATCAACCAACGCACATCATGTCGACCTCATCACCAGTACCGCGTTTCGGCTCGCCCGGCGGCTCCTCTAGTTCAGCGCTCCTCCTCGGTCGCCAGTTCAAGCAGATGCAAAGCGACAAGGACATTCCCGGCATCAGCTGCGGCCTGGTCAATAACAATGTCTTTGAGTGGGAGGTCATGCTCATGCTGCCCGACGAAAGCGGTGGTCTCTATGGCGGTGGCTGTTTCAGAAGCCTGCTCCATTTCCCAAGCGAGTATCCACACATGCCGCCCAAGATGAAGTTTGTCACACCCATCTGGCATCCGAATAGTGAGTTGTCCCGATTATGGCTTTCCTTCTGGTGGCTTATTCGCTGATCATCTCGTAACNNAGTCTATGAGAGCGGCGAAGTCTGCATCTCCATCCTGCATCCTCCGGAAGAAGACAAGTACGGCTACGAATCTGCCGCCGAACGATGGTCGCCCGTCCAGACCCCCGAGACCATCTTGCTCTCCGTCATCAGCATGCTTTCATCACCCAACGACGAGTCACCAGCAAACATCGAGGCCGGCAAACAATGGCGCGAGGACCCGGCTGCATTCAAGAAGAAGGTCAGAAAGTGCGTCAGAGACTCTCAGGAGAGTGCTTGGGACTAGTCCAGACCACACATTGTCTATCAGCAACACAAGGCGTACATGATGAGCCTGGCGCTCAGTGGGGTTACTCTCTTGTCTTTTTCTCTCTGTTCATTTTTATGGTGCATTGGCGTGGCTCATGTCTTATTCCATCTTTACCTTTTCATCATTATAGCTTCGAGTGGACGCTTTAGCATCCATCGTTTGCTCCTGTATCTTCCCGATAGCTATGGGACCTCTTGTGGTAACAATCACTGTAGATCGTCTATCGCCAAATCTGCATATAACCAATCTCCCCATTACAAGGTCGTTTAGAGACACAAGCATTAATGGCAATGTGCACGACTTGCATTTCCCCAAGCTAGAGCCGTGAGGATTTGAATTGCAGCAAATGACTATTCTCTGCAATTAAACCATCCTTTCAGAAGTTATCGTGCATTGTCACGAGCCAACTACAGTGTTGCATCAGAGGCCAAAGTCTCAGATATTCTACTTTGAGATGGATGAGTTTACTCTGCGAACCGGCACTTAGAAGCTTAGCTCAGACATTCATAACATATGTCTAAGGACAGAAGAAAAGGTTACAATGTTATGGTTACCGTTCAGATGGCAGGGTGTGTTCGAACAGGGTTACCCCATAGCTGGCTGTGTCACCCTGGTTCTGTCTATCACTCCCGGTATATCGTCAACACAATAGCATTCTTCTTATATTTTAGGTTCTATGGCATAATTGGACATTTTTTCATTAACTAGTTGCACTTGTAAAGCTAGTGGAATGTACGGATTGGTGTTGGCATGGTTTCTTTATCTTTTGTCCCAGTCTTTCTTGAAGCTGCATTCTTCGAGCTTGTTTACTTCGAGCACTTCTATATCGAACATACCTTGATATAGATGCCACAGTATAGACTACATCATATACCGACCAAACATCGCATCTCGCATCTCGCATCTCAACCTCGAAACATTCGGACACCAAAACGCAGAGAGCGGTTGCCCATCAAGGTCCGGAAAGTCGGAGGATGAGAGAGCGGGGAAACCCAAAACAAGAAGGACCATGATGGGCACGATGTGCCGAGATAGGCAGCTGCAGTTGGGTTCAATGCAGCTTATCTTGCCGCTCGTTCCATTCAAGGCAACGATTTTAGACTCGTACCTGCCTGCCAGCTCTGCATATCTTGAGTTCTGTCGTCTTCTCTTTATCTGCTACTTACTTCTTCTCCATCCCTCGCCGATTGTTCTCTTGACAACCTTTTGATTGCCGATAGAATACGAGAGTACCAGACATGGGTAGTGCAGAGTCAGTGCCACGAGAGCAGAAGCAACAGAGGTCTCCAAGACTGGACCTTCTGGCCTTGCAGGAGAAGTACGACGCCTTTCGCGTTACTGAGGACCACGAGACCGACAGCATGATTGTTGAGCGCAATACTGGACGGGACGACAGAGGTAANACCCACCACCCTATAGCTGTGACGAGCTATTCCCACAAGCAAGGAACAATGCCACCAGGAGCANNTATGACTGACAACCAGTGCTCAACAGATCAGGTCCGCGCAACACGCCAAACCCACGTCTCGGGTGCCAAAACCGAAGCTCTGATCCACACCATCCTTGAAGACCCAAAGAATCGTCTAGCTCTGTCAGCGCTCTCGACTGCCAACCCATCTAAAGTTCTCGAGAAACCTTCGGCCATTCTCAAAGACACCCAAACCTTCAATGTTGCTATTCCCTTCGAGGGCTCTCCCGTTACGAACCAGCGCAGCTCGGGAAGATGCTGGATCTTTGCCGCCACGAACGTGTTCCGTGTTGCCATCATGAAGAAGTACAACATTGAGAAGCTTGAGCTCAGCCAGGCATACCTGTTCTTCTGGGACAAGGTTGAGAAGAGTAACTTCTTCCTCGAAAGTATCCTGGAGACTGCGGACTTGCCTGTTGACGATCGTCTTGTTTCGACCTTGATGGACTCACCTGTCAGTGATGGTGGCCAGTGGTCAATGATCCAGAACTTGGTTGAAAAGTATGGATTGGTGCCGCAGACGCTGTACCCAGACTCTTTCAATGCCAANAACTCGGCTGTTATGGATCGTCTTCTGACGACCAAACTGAGAGAAAATGCATTGCGTTTGAGAGCACTCAAGAAGTCTAGCTCTACTACTGCAGAGACTTCTGTAGCCGCAGCCAAAGAGCAGATGATGCAGGATATCGTTAGGATTCTGACGCTCACNCTTGGTCGCCCTCCGTCGTCATACACCAAGTTCACCTGGGAGTTTTACGACAAGGCTGGTAAGCTGAAGACAGTGAAGATGTCGCCAAAGGAGTTTGCCAGTAGTTTGAACGACACCCACGGACTGCGAGCCCTGGGTGGTACTGATGTACACAGCCTGTTCAGTCTGGTCAATGATCCTCGCAACGAGTTCAACAGACTGCTGACTGTTGACTTCNNCCTCACCAATGTGTCAGGAGGGAGATACGTTACCTATGTGAATGTCGACAAGCCAGTCTGGAAGAAGGGTGCCATCGAGATGATCAAGAAGGGCTGGCCAGTCTTCTTCGGCTCCGACGTAGGCAAGTTCAGCGATTCCACACTAGGCATCATGGACCCCGATCTTGTCGATTACGAGCTCGGCTTCAACGTCAAGTTGGGCATGTCCAAGGCTGAGAGGCTCATGTCTGGCGAGAGCGCAATGACCCACGCCATGGTGTTAACTGCGGTACACCTGTCACCCTCCGGTGAACCAATTCGTTGGCGTGTCGAGAACTCTTGGAGCGAGGATGCTGGCACCGATGGTTACTTCGTCATGTCTGACAAGGTAAGTTTGCTCCGTTTATGCTGTCGAACTGTGCGTGCTAATCAAACGTTTCCATATAGNTGGATGGACGAGTTCTGCTACCAAGTTGTCGTTGATGGCAGTTGTGTCAGCCAAGAGGTTAGGGATATACTCAAGCAAGATCCCAAGGTGTTGGACTTGTGGGATCCCATGGGTGTCTTGGCGTAGAGTAGAAACCCTGTTGTTGATCTGACAGGATAGTTTTGTGTGAAATAATGAATTGATGCAAGTCATACTCAAAGTGGTACACACTGGCGGATGGGAATATTGAATGTCTTTCTCTCAGATCATGCTGATGAAGATCGAAGTTGTGGTTTTCTGATTCGGGCAATCAAGCAAAAGCTGTTACAACTGCTGCAACGCTACACGGCAGACAGTGTTTCGTAACCCTGCACATGTGAAGCAGAGTACCTGCATGATGTTTGATCGGTCAAGATTTACAGGCGACGCCCGCGAAGTTTGCTTGACCTGTATAACGAAAGCCTGTGAAAGGTCGTTGCACAAAAGTAAGAGGCCTTCGGATGACAGCCGTTCGTATCACTTGCCATATTCGCAAGAGGCTTCAAGCCCCAACACGTGGAAATACGAGGTGTTGCCGTGTGGTCCAAACATTAAGCTTATACAGTCTCGGGTCCGCTTCGAATAGCGTATTGTTGAATCGCAAAAGCTGAACGGCTTCTGGCCTGAGGAGCTGAATTGGGATTGACTTTGATATGGGAGATGGCAACTGAGTGTTTGCTGTCGCGGAGACACGACAGCGGCCGATGTCCCGAATCGATTTTGCTCATGCACAGCTCTCTGTCGTCGCGTCCCCATGCAGAAGATCTCCGAAGGCCAAGACTTCCGCGACGCAAGGCTCATAATCGGTACTGTACGTACAACAGCGAGAAGGTGACATGCGCTGATCGTTATGGCAGGCCGTTTCAGGGGGAGTTACAGCGAGTCAAAGACACGATAGTCAGGAGGCTGCGCGAGTCAAATCGATCTGGACTTTGTAGAGAAATGGGCGCCTCGAGATTATTGCAGTGTCAGCCCTGAGCCAGTCACGGAAGAGGCAAGCCGCATGTTGTGATGGCTTTTGTTGTGACCCATGTCGAGATTTCTCCTGCATGAGAGATGCACTCAAAGTCGTTGTGGGGATCGTGGCGGCGGTTCCGCACGGTGAATTGGCCCTTAGGCTTGGAGCTTATCGCTCCTCCCTGCTATTAGTCGGGACCCGAGACAGCCAACCTCTGTTCATCGCGGAAGAAGAACAAGAGTGAAGCGGCAGGACAAAGAGCAAACATGATTTCAAGTCCGTCGGCCCGTGAGGTAAGAATTGTCACGCGATCATCGGAAGAATAATCCAGAGACTTTAGCAAGCAAACCTGCTCGCAGGGCAAACTTTGACATGCTTCCCCTGATCAAAGTGTTGAACATGGAAAAAATTGGCATGGATGCACACCTCTGCCACTTGCCAAGGAGCTATCTTTTGCCGGCCGCGCAACAACTCCGCGTCACAGTTTTGAAACGGTTTCGCAGTGATTAGCCTGCACGGCCACGGCTCATAGAGTTCAAACAACGACATGACGACCAACGTCGAAAGAAAGCACTGAAGTGGGGATGGTGGGCTTCTCCCTGACCTCCAAAGGGGCGCCCGGGAAGATCGAGCGGACTCAAGTGCAACCCTTGATCAATACTGCACTGCCCAGTGTCCATACGCGACCAAGACGGCTCAGTAGATAACTACGCCATCGCACCTGCGTTTCCACCAGCCATTTCTTGCTTGCCAATCTTCTTGTTTCTGTCCCCGCTCCCGTCCATCCAACACGACGCTTAGCCGGCCAGTCCTTTTCTCAAAACATTGAGCTTGCGCTGTTGCATCTCTCCTCTATCTTTCCACCTTCCCACGCATACCGACATATTACGCCTGTCCGGCCGATTCCTTCTTCAGTCGCCAATATCTTCTAATACACACAACTATCACAATGGCTTACGCAAACTTGCCCTACACACCCAAGCCCATTACGGACATATTCACGGCCGACACCGATATCGACCGCAGAAAGTGCCAGCGTGTCGTGCCCATGCGTGTCCTTGCCCTTGGTCTCGGACGTACCGGAACTGCTTGTAAGGCAATCGACGTTCACTGTTCTTGGTCCAACTTCTGACATGTAATCCANGCTCTCCGCACCGCTCTCAAGGAACTCGGCTTCGACGACTGCTACCACATGATGTCTGCATCGGTTGAGAANCCCCCTGACTGCCTCATGTGGCAGGACGCCTTTGCCGCGAAATACGATGGTGTTGGCAAGTTTGGTCGCGAGGAGTGGGACAAACTTCTTGGACACTGCCAAGCTGTTTGCGATTGGCCTGCTGTTGCTTTCGCCAAGGAGCTTATCGAGGCCTATCCTGAGGCCAAGGTTCTCGTCACCACTCGCAATGTCGACACATGGCACGCTTCCACCATGAAGACTGTTGACTGGCGCGCAAACGATCCCGAGCTCAAGATGGTCTCGAGATTCGACTGGGGATCCGGCCTCTATCAGCCCATGTTGCGCAAGTTCTGGGATGTCTTCTTTGGCGGTGACTTCGAGAAGAACGGAAAGCAAAAATACATCGACTACTACGAAGAGATCAGATCTCTGGTCCCCAAGGAGAACCTCCTCGAGTACAGAATGGGCGAGGGCTGGGAGCCTCTATGCGAGTTCCTCGAGGTACCCGTTCCCGAAGGCAAGAAGTTCCCCCACACCAACGACACTGATGGATTCGTCGATCGCTGCCGTGCTCGCAACCGCGCTCAGATGATGAACGTTGCTTTCCGCGCTCTTGTCGTTGGTGGCAGTGTTGCTGCTACAGCCTTCAGCGCCGCCATGACTATCCGTCGCTTCGTTGGCTCAAGAGGCTCTCTCTTGGCTTAAGCATTCTTCCTACGTTTTCATGTGTATATGGCGTTCAATCCTGAGGTTAGCGTTTGGAGCATCATTAAAAGAAGGCGTTGAAGGTTTTGATGGTTCGAGGATCCGGCTATTTTCACTCGGAGCAAGGGTACAGAGGCGATGTCACTTTCTGGAAAGTGCAATTGAGCATATGGAGTTGCTATAGAAGCGGTTTATTATTCTGGATTCGCATTGGCTTCATCGGCCATTGCACGCATTAGTTGTACAGATTTCTTCCATCCAAGTCACAAGTTATTCAAACGACATCAGTAATCTCTCAAGACTCAACACAAGTCCTTATCACCTGGTGACTCATCGATCTTCCAAGATCTCTGTGTGGCTTGTTTTGAGGTCGATTTATTGCTCCCAACCACTATGAAACAATTCTCCGAAATACGCAACGCAATCAATCTTCCCAGCCGCCTTCGTCATGCGCATCTGTACTTGTACCACCAATCGTAGACATCACTCAGCACCCGACTCAAAGAGCATCCCTGTACATTTTCTCTTGTCTATTGAATACATGGAACAATCAAGCAGCTGACCACTCGACCACTCATCATAGATGACAACTTGCCGGATAAACTGATCAAAGTACACGGATGCGGATCCGAGGAGTGAGAGTCCGCCGTGTTTCTCCCAGCCGTGGTTCTTGCGCAAAGCAATTAATCAAGGATACTATCGATCGTCATGAAGCCCGGTGGTTGAGGGCACGAGCGTCTCGAGAGCCCGGCCTCCTCTGTCATCAGCGGCGTTTCTCGCATTCGACAAAGAGCGAATCTTTCACCGTCCGGTATCAGAGCAGACTTGACACAGCGGGTGGCTTTCTGTTCTCAGGACGAAACTGCGGCAGGGTCTTGGCAGAAGTATACATTAGATGAAAGTGGCGCCAGGGGGGTTGAGCCCCGAGAGAAGGGGTTTCGTTTGGTTCCACTCGGGTGGTGGAAGCATGTTTGCCGACGCCGGAGAAAGGTTGCTTGCTTGACAGGAGGCTTCATGATTCAGGTTTGCTGATCTTGCTTTGCAGTTTGATGCTCTTTCAATAGACGGTAACAATGCTGTATAACGGTTAGAGACAGTTGTTATCCTATCTCAACGAGTCCGCGAGATCCACATCCTCCTCCCGTGTAACGTTGCAGCGACAGCAGATGCATATCGTTGACAGATGCTGAAACTCGTTGTGGGCAAATCGATCTTCGAAAGTCCCGGACGAACATTGCCAAGACTGTTTGAGTGCTTTGCCGCGTGGAGGGTTGGAGAACTTGCATTGTTGTGGAGCCCTAAGACAACAATCACTATCACCTTCAGATCATCATTTGCTTCTCTACTCGAAATCGTGCAATGCACCAAGCATTCAAACGAGTAAGCAGTACCATATGGAGGCATACGAGTGGTGTCTTGTCACGGCGGTAAATGAGCGCTTGAACAAGCTCTCGCGAGGATTCAAATGTTCTCGACGTCGAATCATTGCTGGACCAACTGCCGCACCACTGCATGCTGGGACCCACGATCACTTCCTTCTGTCATGCATCCATGCTCTGCCCCTAGCATGGACCATTTGTGTGTCTGTCTATCCTTGCGGGTCCCTTGGCAATCATTGTATCCTTCCAGTCTCCCGTGTAGATAGACCATCCACTGCCCCAGACCGGAACGCCGTTGCTGAACGTCGACTCCCTATCCCTTTTGCTTAACGGCTTTCTGCGCTTACCTTTCGATACAATAATTGTCAGAGGACCCCCTTCTGTTTTGGCAGCATTTCATCACCCAACTGCTTTTACCCTCCTTGAACTGTTCACCAAACGGCCTGTGGCCGGTCGCAAAATTGTCTAATCATTTATACACACAATATGCTTTCTTTACGATTACTATCTTCAGTGCTCTTGCTGGCAGGGTCAGCATTAGCAGGTCCTGATAATGAGACGAGTCCTACACATATTTTCCGTTCGGTAAGCAAGATTCATGAGTGGCGCCTAAGGCAAACACTTTGTCGCGTGCCGCTCGAAAGTCAGCAGTCTCGAAAGATTGCTAACCAGCTTCCATGAGCANNGAGACCAGATTTACATGCGCCGATGCTTGAAATGACCTTGTTAAGGCCAGAGCTAGTGGCACCAGGGTATATCATGCTCGCGCCATACCGAAATGTAGATCCTGGACCTTATATCTATGACAATTGGGGGCAACTAGTCTGGTCCGGCGCTGGTTCGAGCGGACCCAAGACTGCACATGCACCGCATACTTGCGACTACAAAGGAGAAGAACATCTCTGCTATTTTCAAGGAGAGCAACATCAAGGCTTTGCGCGAGGCCATGGAGTCATTATGGATAAACACTACCGCATCGTCAAGACAGTCGAGAGCTCCGGAGCAGGCGCGTCAAGTGATATGCACGAATTCAGATTGACACCATATTCTAACGGCACAACTGCGCTCATGACCGTCTATCAACCGCGAATGTACGACCTGACAACAAATCCCAAATTCCAGATCAAGGACGGCATGGGCTGGATTGTTGAAGGTGTCTTCCAAGAGATCGAGATTGATACTGGCAGAGTGGTATTCGAGTGGAGGAGTACGGATCATCTCGATCCTAGCTTGACCTACACATTCCCAGCACGAACAGACACTTCAGGAAATGGATTGACGGAAAACACTCCTTGGGATTATTTCCACATCAACTCTGTCGACAAGAACCGGGACGGCGACTACATGATCTCCGCTAGACACATGGCTGCAATCTACAAGCTTTCTGGCGTCGACGGATCCATCATGTGGGAGATGGGCGGCGCAAACCCAACTTTCCACCAGACCAACTTCAACTTCTCTTCTCAGCATCACGCTCGCTGGGTCAGTGAGAACGAGACACACACAATCCTGACTTTCTACGACAATGCCAGTAACGGCTTCAACAGGACAGACAAGTTCTCTCACGGTTATCTTGTTTCGATCGACCATATCGCAAACACCGCAACCATGATCAAGCAGTATGGCGCACCTGAGCCTTCTGGAGGTATGCTTTCTGGGTCTCAGGGCAACATGCAGATTCTTCCTAATGGTAACGTTCATCTTGGTTGGGGCGAGCACCCATACTTCAGTGAGCACACCGCCGATGGATCAGCCGTCATGTACGCGAAAGTCGCATACCGCGCTAGCAATGTCATGATCTACCGCTCACACAAGTTTCCTTGGGTCGGCCAGCCCTTAACCAAGCCAGCTCTATGGACATACTCAAAGACCAACGACGAGAAATCTGGCATGGTCTTCTATGTGTCCTGGAACGGAGCAACTGAAGTTGCGTCCTGGAACTTCTACGCCAGCGCAAACAGAACCGGCCCATTCAGTTTGGTTGGAAACACCAAGAAAACTGGCTTCGAGACTGTGATGCGCTACAACAATGTCACAACATGGGGGTTCGCTGAGGCTTTGGACAAGGACGGGAATGCGCTTGAGCGCAGCGTCATCCAAAAGACCTTTGTGCCCAGTGCCACACTTCGCGATCACTGCGATGAGTGGGCTTGCGGCAGGGCAGAGCCGATCCGTGACGAGGACGCCCACTACGATCCTTACAGCCAAGTCAAACCTGAATATCTCAGTAACAATCGCGGATATGATACGAGCGCATATTATGCCGAGTTACCAGAAACAGCTGAGCAGGATGCTGCAGAAGCAAGAATACAGCACCAGCAAGCCGCAAGGGCAAGAATGTTGGTGGGTGTTCTTTGCGTGACCGCCATAGTCGGGTTTGTCATCATTGCGTTGATTCTCGTCCGCAAGCAATTGTCAGGCGCAATGCCTATCTCCTTCGTCAGGAGGGTGTCTGATGTCAGGGATGCCATCAGCATCAGACTGCTGGGCAAAAAATATGTACAGGTCGATGAAGAGGAGAAATACTCTGACCGATCTTGAACAACTTGTTTTTCTTATGTCCTGTCATTTCTTCATTTATCTAGAATCACTATATCCTCAGCGAGCATTGGGTTGGAGTTTTTGGAAATGGTCGATATTTGCAACTGTTCGAACCACATATTTTTTATGTTATATAGCATTCACTCAGCGAGGTTCTTGTATTTACGATACCAAAAATGCTTTGAGTCACAATATCGAAAAAAAGATGATCTACATACACATCCTTGTCTTTACTTGGCCAACCCTGAGAAATGTGAAACTGTCGTGATTCCGAAAGCCCTTCGAATGAAACAAGAACAATATGTTTCTTACCCTACGAATCTTGATCGTCTTCAGAGGACAGTCCCTAATCAAGTCATGTCAACCACATTGAGAGATACTCGCACATGCCCTACAAGCATCAAGGACGGAAATAACAGATGACAGTTATCAGCCCCTATCGCACACACGGCATACACAACGTTGATGGCGCCGCCGGTAGTTAGACAATTGGTATTGAGCAGGGACAGTGGCTTGGCGATAGACGGTATGGTGGCTTCCAACATGTTTGCGCGTGGACAAACGTCGTCGGCAGAGTGCGTCAGGCAGTGCCACCAGTATCACCAAGCATTCATTCTGGCAGGGCGGAATCGATCAACTGAGCGAGTACACGCATCAAGCTGGGCTTGGCGCTGTAGGAGTTTCGGAAAAAGCGCTTGGTTGCGGCGTGCTTCAGGAGACGCATCAAGCATCCATGGTCAATTTGGAGAAGGCTGACAAAGTGCAAGGGGGGCGGAGTCTCTGGAGGCCCCACTTTCTCATATGCGACCGCTTGACACGGCGGACAGCAATCGTCTGCAGATGCGCGGCCGGAAAAGGCCTTGGCATGGTGGGAACAGAAGATGAACAAGTTACAGATCAGAATGCGACCAGGTCGATCTCGGCTGTCATAGGGTTTGATTCTGTATCTTGTGTATGCGTACTTGTGTCCTGACTTCCATCCTTCTTGTTTATAGATATCGGCGAAGGTTGTGAATACGAGGTCCTTAAAAGCTCGTGTTCTCCTGCACGTCATACGGCGTCTGGACGAGGCTCAACATTTGCGTACTCTAGCATGCACCGACACCAGTATAAATCCGGCCATCTTCGCCAACGATCAAATCACCAAAATGTCGACGGTACACGGCCGGAACGTGAGGGCACCGGCTCGCCATTCGGGTCACCGTACATAAGAGAAGAGGAGGAAAGCTACTTTGAGCGCCAGCTACCCGCATACCAAGATGGACCAAGCAGCGGGCCGACGACACCACGCACTCTTGAGGCAGGCACTGGCACGACACCTGTTCCTGACGCCGCAGATGGTCCTGGTTCGCCCTCAAAGCCTGTCATGCCCCCGCGATCATCGTCCTTGAAGCCATACCAGCTCAAGACAAATGTCGAGCGTGTACCGCAATTGCCAGCTGGAGCCACAACACCACTGGACAATCTGCCTACGCCAGGACTGGTGACATATCCTCCCGAGCCTGCGACATGGACAAACATGCCCAACAAAGGCCAACTCGCCCTCCTTGCTGCCAGTCGCTTCGTCGACTTCTTTCAGATGGCTGCGCTTCAGACATACATGGTACACCAGCTCAAGAGCTTCGATCCCAGCCAGCCCGATTCTGTCATATCGCATCAAGCAGGTATGCTTCAGGGTAGTTTCACCGCCGCCCAGATCATCACGAGTATTCTCTGGGGTCGCGCGGCAGACCAACCAGGTGTAGGCAGGAAACTGGTCCTCAACATTGGAATGATCGGTACCGCGATTGGTTGCATTGGTGTAGGCTTCAGCACCAGTTACCGACAGGCTGTTGCTTGGAGAGTCTTGAGTGGAGCTATCAACGGCACTGTAGGAGCTGCTAGAACCATGGTTGCTGAATGTACTGATAAGCGTTGGCATCCGCGTGCCTTTCTGCTCCTTCCTGCTGCCTTTAATGTTGCAAATGTTTTGGGTCCAAGTAAGCCGGAAAATTGCCGACTAGATTGCTTTTTGACATGCTAATGTTTCCATGACNNAGTTCTCAGTGGTCTTCTCGCCGATCCGGTAGTGTCATATCCTCACTTATTCGGCCCCAATTCGACATTCGGTGGCGCAGAAGGAATCGCCTGGATGAAGAGTCATCCCTACGCTGCGCCAAACCTCCTCTGCAGTCTGCTGCTGATAATTGAAGCACTGCTCTGTACTTTCTTCCTTAAAGAAACGCTCAAGGGCTTTACAGAAGTCGATGCTAGTGTCTTCAATCCAATAACTGTCGCCAAAGGTATCTGGAATAGGCTCTACGAGGTCAAAAACAAAGGCTACAAACTGGTTGGTGAGACGGCTATGGCTCGGAGAGGTCTCTTGTCTGGCCGCGACGAAGGAAGCATCGAACTCGATCGCATTGCCGACGCCAATGAGACTCGTGAGAGACAGGATTCGCATGCTACTCGTCCTATGCAACGTCTTCCTTTCGGTCGCGTGTGGACTCCCAACGTATGTTGGACACTTCTCTCGATCGCCATTTTCGATTTCCACATGGGCGCCTTTTCAACCTTATGGATCCTGTTCTTGTCTACTTCTCGCGAGTTTGTGCCTGGGAACAGCACAGACGGCAAATCACAAAAGCAAGAAAGAGGCGTCTTCAAGTTTGGTGGCGGTCTCGCCTTCCCACCTCCCACAATCGGCCTCGCAATGGCTATTATCGGCTTCATAGGCATCATCCTGCAATTCGTCCTCTATCCACGCGCCAACGCCAAATTCGGCCTGATGCGCTGTTTCCGATCCTCGCTATTCCTGTTTCCTCTGGCATATTTCCTGGCCCCGTATATTGCTCTCATGCCCTCTGACTCTGCTTCCCCAGCCCCGGCATCAGGATTCTGGATCTGGCTTGGTATTGGTGGTGTCGTGTTTCTTCAAGTCGCTGCTCGCACATTCGCGCTTCCGGCTTCGATCTTGCTGCTCAATAACAGTTCGCCTCATCCTTCTGTTTTGGCGACTATTCATGGATTGGGCCAAGCGGATAGTGCGGCGTTCAGAACTATTGGACCTATTTTGTCTGCCTCTTGGTATGGTACTTGGCTCGAGCGTGGGGTGGTGGGTATGGCATGGTGGTATGTCGCTGCCATCTCGGCTGTNGGAGCTGCGGCGAGCTTCAAAGTCAGAAATGGAAATGGGCATGAGATTATCTTGCCGGGAGAGGAAGAGAGGGCTGATGAGCCAGGTCCTGCTGAGCCAGCGAGGAAGTAGAAAACAAAGTTTTGTTGCAAGTGGCCATTCACGCGCATCCTTGTATGTTGGAAACCGCTCTTGTCTAGATGAGCGCGCAAGCCTCTGGTTCAATTGTACAGGAAAACTCTTGCGAATCATCATCATCTTGATTTATCTATTCTCACAAACCTAAACATCAAGAGTCTTGTTCCTTGATTGTTTCGCAGTGCTTCTTGCTTCGCAGTCGATCTTGGAATATTATGGATTTGATTACTCTGCTACTGGGAATTCCCTACCTGCTTTTTCTCAATTTCTAACGAGGTTATTCGTGTTTGGCGAAATCATTTACTTAGCCAGGCAACGATTCCAATGCCAATCTCCCTCGCCACAGTGAGCGCAGAACTTGTAGCCACAAGGACACAACATGTGTGGACAACCCTCACTCTTTCCCTCACTACCGCTTCTCTCCATCATCTGACCGCAATTCTTGCACTGTTTGTAATTTTCGTCTTCACAAAGCTGTAGTGTTTTCTGCAGGGTTTCATCGATAGCGGACTCACCTTGATGTGCTTTTTCTTTGCACAGTCTACAAGTGTTTCGAAGCATAGTAGTAACGACCTTCAGGCGAGGTATGTCAATCGTTGTGGATAGCGTCAAGCAGTGCAGAGCGTGTGAGATAGGTAGAAATGTGGTCGCGTGCCATGATACCGGATCGGGAAGGCAGCCAAGAAGTATCGGACACGGGTAAAAAACGGCAGGTACCTACGTCACAACTGGAGACGCACAGACGGACGTTGTGGTGATGATGGACAGGACAATTGACGGACGGCTGGTGATGCTGACTTTTTCTCGACTCGAGTTCACACATCCTTTGGACAACTGCTACTAGGAATCGATGGATCCGCGCAATTCAATCGCAGACATTGCCGGACCGGCGGCAATGGCAAAGCCCAAGGCTCCGCANAAGTCGTACGCTTCAGCGCTAGGCGACGAAGCGGACTCGACTCGAGACGGCACAGCCAACTCGACAGCAGGTGGCAGCAAGAAGAAGCGCCATCGCGCTGGAAAGAAGCGTCGCAACCGCAGACAGAGCTTTGCTGCTCCTTCAGAGTCGACTGTGGCCGAACGCGATGACGATCAAAATCAGCGACCGACTTTAACGACGAGCCGACCATCGGCCACACAAACCAGCTTCTACCGCCTCAAGTCGGCCGCACGCAGCAACACCAGCCTCGAGAGCGACGCTCTCCTCGATCACCGCGATCACCAACCCATCCGCCCTCGTCGAGGAAGCATCCAACAGCAATCAAGAAGCACGGCCGGTCTCTTCCCTCGCAACCACCGCAACTCGCAACATGGCATTTCTCAGTCGAGTCCCGTCAAGCCTCGCCAGCTTCACTACAGCGACGATGAAGATGAAGAGGCCGTGACCGATCGTACTCCCTTAATCTCTCAATCCTACTACGACCGACCTCAAATCGAACGCAACAGATCAGGTCATCGTGCCTATGGTGGCACTCGCCGTAGACAATCCGCTACCTCCCACACATCCAGCAAGCGAGTTAGATACCAGAGCGGCAGTGACGATGACTACGATGTCAACAATCCTCCATCCATGCCAGGTTCCCCTAAGCTGGGCACCCTCAACGATGTCATGATCGCTCAGGAGTTCTCGGGCTCTCCTTCGTCCGAGAATCGTGATGCCATTATCAACATCGACCGTGACAGCAACTCAGACCGTCTTCCTTCTTCTTCACCGCCAACCCCATCTGCCGAGGCTCGCAGACGTACACTTGCCAACCTTGCCGAGAACGATGTTTGCTATCCTGGCAACATTGCAGAGTCAGAGCTTGGTGAAGATGATTTGACACCCACCGATCAGGGCCAGCGTCGCACTAGCCGTCGTAGACGCCACCGACAGTGGCCTGATCTTGATGTTTTGGACGAATGGAGTCGAATTGAGAAAGAGGAGAGGGACCATACCGAACAAATCCGTTCGAAAAAAATCAGTGAGCCAGTTATGGTTGGTGGCCGTCTGCGGCCCGCAAAGACNCAGTGGCATAGGGAAGAAGATGATGCCCCCTACCGCTACACCTACTTCAACGAAACATTCGACGGCACCATCCATAGCAGGACTATCTCTGAGCTTTGTCAATTTGGTGCCACCTTCCGTGAGCTCTTTAATCCCGAACCACCAGAGCTTAGTGACGATAGCAGCTCAGATGAAGACGACCATCCTCCACCAGAAGCTCCGTCAGGCCGAGAGTCTAGGCTTAGTTCGATCGCTGGTGATGGAAAGGCCCCAGATCGCTCAGCCTCTGCGACACCTGCTCAATCCCGACCACGTATGCCCAAGGAGAAACGTTATGGTCCTCGTCCCACTTTCTGGCTAGACGTCCTGAGCCCTTCTGAGACCGAAATGAAGATTCTTGCCAAGTCCTTCGGTATCCATCAACTCACTGTCGAGGATATCATGATGCAAGAGCCTCGTGAAAAGGTTGAGCTGTTCCAGAGCTACTACTTTGTCAACTACCGCAGTTTCGAGCAAGACAAGGACAATGAGGAATACATGGAGCCTGTCAACATGTATGTTGTCGTCTTCAAAGATGGTGTCATCAGCTTCCACTTTTCCATGACTCCTCACCCTGCCAACGTCCGCCGTCGCATTCGTCAACTTAACGATTACATGTCTCCGACAGCAGACTGGATTTCCTATGCCATCATTGATGACATCACAGATGTGTATGCTCCCTTGGTCCAAGTTATTGAAGATGAGGTAGACGAGATTGATTACGAAATTCTTGCTCTACATTCGTCTGAGGAAAATGCAGACGACAAGGCCAAAAATAGTGCAAAGGCCAAGGAGCTTGAGTACGAGAAGATGAGCAAGGTTGCCGGAAGCGATACGCAGTCCGAAAAGGGGGAACGTACGGCTGGCGATAGTGGTGGTGACATGCTCCGACGCGTCGGAAACTGCAGAAAGAAGGTTATGAGTCTTTACCGTCTCCTTGGTAACAAGGCGGATGTCATCAAGGGTTTTGCCAAAAGATGCAACGAACATTGGGAAGTTGCTCCAAGGTCTGAGATTGGTCTGTACCTTGGCGACATCCAGGATCACGTCGCAACCATGACAGGCAATTTGTCTCACTACGAAAAGTAAGTTCTGATCCAAGATGACCGCCCCGATTGAAGTTACTGACAGCGTCTNAGTCTACTCTCGAGAGCGCACGGTAACTACCTTGCTCAGATCAATATCCGGATGAACGAGCGTGCAGAGCAAACCAATGATGTTCTCGGCAAGCTCACCGTGCTGGGTACCATTGTGCTTCCTATGAATATCGTCACTGGAATGTGGGGAATGAATACAAAGGTAGGCGAAATTAAATGCATGTCCCGATCAAGGATCACATACTGACAAAATACGCAGGTGCCTGGGCAAGACGGCGAGGACCTGACCTGGTTCTGGGGCCTTACAGCTGGTCTGTTCGCTTTCGGACTGATCAGTTATTTCATTGCCAAAAGAGTCTACGGTATCGTCTAAGTTTGGCTATTTCCCTTGCCCAGAACATGTACAGGGATTCTTCACATCCGTCGAATAGTGCGCACATCTATGCGTCTGCATGTTCAAGGATTAAAGGGATTTGCAGGTGTCACCAGGGCCGGAACGGGCAGTCTGCAAGCCACGTACTAACCAACGGATGCGTTGATGCCCTGTATACAAGCAGGAAATCAGAGGCGTGTGGATCTTTCTTTTTTTTCCCCTCCAGGGGTCTCTTTGTTAACCTAAGTATTACTACCAATCCTATGACGAACCAAATCAGCGCTGAGCGTTGCATTGCAGCAAAAATAGTCAGCTGGTCAACATTCTTCTTGTCCTGATACGTCCACAAGCAGGCTATCACAAACTGTCATGCATAAAGGGTACGTATGAGGTCGAGCGATTCGACAAGGTTGACGTGCAGCAGATGGCTTCAGAGCATCTGACTCAATCCTTGGCTTGTTGGGCCTCTTTGGACAGCCAGTGCTGATTGGACCATGCCGGCACATCACCTATCATACGAGTGCCGAGAGCATCATGTCCATCACTCAAATCATTCTGACAGCACGCGCTGAGGCCATCAGACAGGGCTGGGGCCTAACCGGATGTTCATTTAGCCATGGTTGAAACGCATCCGCGCTGCACCTGTGACAGTCGGTGGGACACGAATTGGACGTGTAAATACCGGCTGTGGGGCACCAAACGCGATCTGTTGCCTTGTGCTGTAAATCTTCTCGGGCAGGCGCGGTCCGTAGGGTGCGTAGTTTCGTGATATGCAAGCCATGCTCCGGGCCCGAAGCTTCGGGTCCCTGATCTGCAGCCACACGGAGGATTATCTCGACGCTCCATCCAATGTCTTTGTCCCATCTCGTCTATTACCCTTGTACGCAAAACAAGAACACGCAACTCTACATGTCGGGGGCCCAACGCTTCGGTTTAGCTGCATGTCGCACGTCGACAGTGCTCAAAGCTGACAAAAACGAGAGTGGCCATGACATGGTGAAGACCAATCTAGATTAGACCACTCTATACAGCCCGAATCGGTTGAGCCTAACACTCCATGCGGCGCAGCAGCCCATCTACCGTGACAGGGCGGAGATCGAATCCTCGGATCCTGGGAACGACATTAGCATCTGGTCCCAGACCTACGGTTCGAGCATCAGAACAGACAACATGTCGAGCGGCAGTCTCTATCTGTAAGGTTGCTTTGCTCCACGCAACTCCTTCTTTCGCAGGCTTCTGTTACGGAAGACGTTTTAGCGTGCACCTTGCAGACATGCCTATTTTCACCTTGGCAGGCATCGCAATTGGTTCAACATTACCAAAAGCTCATGCAAGAAGAAGAAATGTCTTACGCTCGCTGTCGGCGATTTCCTCCTGTCTGAGGCTACCGAGAGCTTACTTCGCTCATGTTTCGGGGTTCATGCGTCTCTTTGATTTGATGCCTAGGCCCCCGAGTGCCCTTGAACATTTCTCACATTCGTCAGGGTGCGTTCACACTGGCTGTCGTTCGTGTACCACCGTGCAGTGCAGAAAACTGGGCTTTCCACCATCCGTACCCACACAGAAGCCACCGACCAACTCATCGACTTATATCTCCTGATCCTTCCTCGTCGTGATATAGGGCTGGTGTACATTATACTTTTCCATGACTCTCAGCCCGACCATCAAGACCGAGATCAAGTCGTCGATACATTCGATATCGTCTTATCTCGTCGTGCAGCCTTATCAGCACACAAGTCAGTCGAAGATGGCAGACCCTTCTTCGTCGCCTCCGATGAGAGCCAAGCCAGAGCCCACAGACAGTCTGAGTCCAAGTACCAGTGTTGAGTTGCACAGGAGAAGTAAGACCGGATGTATGTTCTCTAGTCGCATGGGGCACGCAGGACGTTGCTGACTTGTTCCAGGCAAGACTTGCCGACGTCGAAAAAAGAAATGCGATGAGGCAAGACCAGGCTGTAAGTCTGCTACGTTCCTATATTGCCAACGCCTTATAGATCCAGTCCCTTGGGGCTAGAGTCTTTGAGGTGTCGCAAGAACGATTCATGCTCCTCGGTCTCCTGAGTCAAACGTCGAGAGGTGTAGCATGTGCTGATAGAAGTCCAGGNNCCAGAACTGTGCGAAGAACAACATCATTTGTGGCGGATATGAGATGAGGAAACCTTGGAGGAAAGGGGCCCGCAGTAAGAATTCTGGTATGACCTGTTGCTAGCTGCAGTCGTCTGGGTGGGCANNAGCTGACAAGTCGAATGTAGCTTTGGTCATTCCTGAACTCCCGCATATCATCAGCGCGGTAGACGATCCTCTGGACTCACAGCTCCTCTCTTACTTCATCACACACGCTGGTCAAGCCTTAAACATATACTCCGAAACACATAATCCATTCGATGGGTTCGTGGTTGACATGGCGTTGGCAAACACAGGCCTTATGCACTCGCTGCTCTGCCTCTCCGCATCTTGCCTCCTCGTTCACCAGCCGACGTCGGCACAAGAGGTTGTTGTCCGACATAGCCACCACTTCGACCAGGCTGTCGTCACTCTTAGAAAGGGCGTCGAAGCCTACAGCTCAGACAGTTCGACGCAAAACGCAGACTGCATCGTGCTGCAAACAATCATACTCGCGCATGAAGCGATTGTCACAGGAGAAGCAAATGGCAGCTATCGATGCCATCTGGCTGCAGCTTCGAGACTTGTCGACAGTTGTGGAAACTTGAGTGCAGATGTGCAAAGTTTTGCCCGTCAGTTCCTCTTGTACCACAACCTCGCCAACACAATCTCATGTCTTGACCCAGTCAATCAAGTCATGAGGTCACACGTGCAAGCGGACGAAAGTGGAACAGTGGAGCAAAGCACAATTTCGGAGGGCTGCGTCAACGGAATCTTGCATGGTCTTCTAGAACCCATGACACGCACGCGGCAGGTCCGAGATGGCATACGCTTCCATCGCAACACCAACAACTCGAGATGGTTCAAGGATGAACAACTGCTCAGCTTAGCGCTTGGAGTGGAAACACAGCTACGGACATGGCAGTCGCGGTTCGCGCCGAAAACACCACAATACTGGTCATCACTGGTGTATCGTCAGAGCGCCTATGTATACCTCTACCGGACCATCAAGCCATCGATTGCGAGTCCAGTATTGGCACAGTCTCTGTCTGATGGATTGTCGTATGCATCGCTTGCGCTGCGAGACATTATGAGGAACAATAACAACATGCACAGCTGGGTCTGTGGCGTGCTGCTGCCACCGCTATTCTTACTCGGATGTGCGGCCTTCGATCCGATACACAGACACGCGGTGCTTGAGCTTCTAGAAGATTTGCACGCCTGTAATCAAAGGACCAGTATCCTGCATGCAAGAGCAATCTTGGAGGAGGTCTGGTCAAGGATGGATGCAGCTGCACATGGCACTACTGATGATGACGCCTGGAATTGGGAGATTGTTATGAAGGACTTGAACGTAGATGTCATGCTGTCATGAAACCGCCGAGGCATTGAGTGTTCTGCTCTTTTCATGCTTTTTGCTTCTTGGCTAATCTCTTTCGATGGTATACATATTGTCTACCTCAGCCGTGTGCTGAGATTCGCTATTCATACTGCAATGACGGCTTAGTGGCGTTTGAGCCACAACAATGCACGATATCTTCTAGAAAGCATCCAAGAGTCTTGCAATCTCCCATTAGACGCATCTCTGGCACGGAATCAACTGTACAAGCTCATGGCTGCATTTGACATGTTGACACATACGTGAAAGTGCCCTGTTTATGGTTACGAGAAGGGAGGGCAGGATGGAGAAATCTGTTTGCGCATTTGTATATCTTAAAGACCGATCACAGTGTGATTGTGAATCAGTCTATGCTTGGGTTGACAGACAATGCGAGGTTATGTCAAGCAGCAGCAGCAGCAGCGACAACAAACCAAACAATCTCTGTGCATTGGATGTCGTTCAACATGCAAGACATTCATTGGACGCTCGGATGCTTCTCGGCCACGTCTTCTGTGTTGTTTCACCCTGTGGAAGCGAACCTCTCCGCCTCACGCACGCACTCCCAAAGACCAAGATTTTGGGAAAGGCAGCATCAAAGACTAGTCTGCAAGAAATGCACTCTGCTCTTGGCAGAAGCCCAGGAATCAGGCAAGACAGACATGGCGAAAGTTTCGTGCGCGAAATGGGTCGCGAACTCTGTCGCTGCCTGCTTTGACTAGTCTGAATGATATTACAACCAACCTTCCATCCAAGGAACAAAGACCTCAAACCAGTACTGGAGTATTCGCAAGAATGAGCGTTCGAGTGGGACTGTTACTACTGCTAACCACTTCAATGCTTAGGCTAAGTTAGGAATGAAGTTGGGCTCTTACTATTATTAGATTGTTGCTACTGAGGGATATCAATCTTCTAGTTCTGCTGATATTACTGTTTCCTAAAGCGTATCGCTTGTGAGACATGTGAGAGAGGTGAAAGTCGCAAGATGATGGAAGGAAAATTTCAAAGGGAGGTGTTGATCTTCTTATCTTTGTTTTCTCGTTTTCTTGTTTGTAAATATACTCTTGGGTTTGACCTGAGTTGGGATTCTTTGTTGATACCTACATTTGTACCTTGTCTTACCTTGTCTTACCTTTACATAGAACTAGTGTTTATGAACCGAAATCTGGATGGGCACACTTGTATCATCATTTTTTTCTGCACAACAAGGTCTGCCGCTCTCGCCGCATTTCATTCTTGTTTCTTGTTGATGGATTTTCTTTTTTGCTTGGTCTGATGGCCATGCCTCCGCCTTCCATCCTCATTGGTATATAATATCATACCAAGGTCATTGATTGGAGATCGATATCATGTTTGCTAGGAGCACAGGTTAACGGTCTCTGATTTGACATGACATGACTGTGACCATAGGAACAAGGGTACACATGTATATCATCATACCATAAGCACCGTCTGATTCAGCAAAGATACACATCATGGCACGAACGTTGTAATGGTACGGGTGCTACAGACAAGCAGAACAAATCTAGGATACTGAATAATCTACAGCCACCATAAGGGGTAGGCAGGAGATTTCTTAGGCTAAAAGCTAGCGTACCGCGACAGTTACTGTGACTACATGGTGAGGTAACCAGTAGATGGTCATGGCCTCAAAGATCACGCTGTGAGTCGCAGTATGATCAGTAGATGTTGCAAAAGCATACATATACACAAACCCTCAAAGCAAGTCCAAGATACCCTTGCCTCTCTATACGTCAACCGCACCGCAAGAAAGAATAACAACAAATGCCCAAGCCGAAAAAAAAGAAGCCTCAAACCCTCAGAACTTATCACCACTAAATTAAACCACACGACAAGTATACATCTTGCAAGACACAACAACAAACCCCCAGAAAACAAAAACCAAATCCTCTTACAAGCAGACGGAGAAGACCAAAAATAGTGCCATACCAGAGCGACTACGAATGGGGGTGCCCCCGCGCGTGCATAATCCTCTGGCATGGCACTATTAGAGCCATGAGCGGGACTCGAATCCGCGACCTCTCCTGACGTGAAAACATCAGGGGCGTGATAGCCACTACACTACCATGGCTGTTTGCTTGTAAGGGGACGATAATTCAAAGTATATAAAGGTTGGGAGAATGGGTGCGAATAGTGTGGATGGTGTGTGCGGGATGGGCCGAGGATTGAGGGAGTTTTTGTGATGGTGAGGGAGTTTTGGTTGGAAGGCACGGATTTGCAGTTTCCTGCAACACAGACGTCGGGACGATGAGAAATGATGGGGATGATGGAATAAGGAATGAGCGAGTCGAGTGGCTGTATAGGGAGGCAGGAGCGTCCTGTTTAACGATTGAGGATCTTCAGAGACAATCCGAAATGGCAAGACCTACCTTTTAGAATACCGCCAAACAACAAAAACGATCAAATAGGGAAAGTAGAACTCACCACATCAGAACAAGAACAGACAAAGTCGACGCAGTATTATCCTGACACAATCTCGTTATTGGATTATCCATTTCGATATTCAACATGCTATGCTTTCTGTCATACCTACGTACAAGACAATCACAGGCGGCTAGAAGCAGCACCCTGGCCCTTTGGCATCTTCTTATCGACTCCCAGAGCTTCGACATCCTTAGGCTTGTAGTAATGCGGCGCCACCTCAGATAGCCATTCTGGTTGAAGAGGGAAACACGAGCGCATAAACTCCTTGCTAGTAAGGACGAGTTCGTGGTAGATGGTCCATTTGGGGCGGTTTCCAGTCGCAGCCAAGACTGATGAAGGATGCAACCAAGTGGTTTGGTTGTTCTTGACAGTGCGGTAGCTGTCTCCTCCTCGTTGTATACGTGCGGCATTGGGGAAGAAGCCTGCAGTGAGTGCCTTGAGGATTGGCGGGATGTTGCTGGCGCCGCATGAGCTTACAGTGACTTCAACGCGGTCACAAAGCTTTGCTAATTGATCGCGCACGTCTCTTGCGCGTGTGAGACTGCGTTGCTGCAAGAAATTCTCCTTTGCCCATACTTGAGAGAAGTCCGAGTCAACCCACTGATTCCAGATGTTGAGGTATGTGAGATGATCACCGCCATCTTTGACAGTGAATCGCTCTCTTGTTGTGTCTGCCTGTGTCTTCTTGTCTTTTGGTCTATAGAAGAGGGCACTTGCTTCACCAAGCATGGAGACAATTGACAAGACTTCTTCCACACAGCCCTCCTTGTCGGCCGCAAGGATTGCCTTCGCCAGCAGGGGGTCTGTTGGGAACTCCGCCATTTGTCGGCCAACGCGTGTGAGTTCGCCCTTATCGTTCAGAGCTCCTAGAGCGTACAGCTGTTCCAGCGAACGGATAAGCATATCAGGAGATGGCGGATCCAAAAACTCAAAGTTGAGCAGGTCATTGATGCCCAACGACTTGAGCAGTAAAACTACACTTGTCAGATTGGTCCTCTGGATTTCGGGTGTAGTTGATTCCGGCAAGTCGTTGTAGAAGGCCCACTTCGTATACAGACGGAAACATTTACCAGGGCCTGTACGTCCTGCTCTTCCCGCACGTTGATTCGCGGAAGCGCGCGAAATGGGTACGGCGACAAGACTTTCCATGTTGGTGGCTGGAGTATATCGATTCTCTTTGACATAGCCAGGATCAATAACGTATACGATGTTGTCAATTGTCAAACTCGTCTCGGCAATGTTGGTAGCCAAGACGACTTTGCGGACCTTTGGTGGCGTCGGTTCGAAAATTCGGTTTTGCATATCGGTGGGCAAGTTCGCATAAATGGGACATATCATGAGTTCTCCAGCAGCAGCACCCAGCTTTCGCGCAGTTTCCTGCAAAGATTCATTTGCTTGCTCAATCTCATCTTGTCCAGTCAAGAATACCAGAATGTCGCCCGGCATGGGTTGAGAAAGATGGATCTGGAAGACTGTCGTGATTGCAGCAGATAGATAGTTGGCTTCTGGTTGCATGCTGTAGTTCATCTCAACGTCGAAAGTTCTTCCAGGAATGTTCATAATCGGAGCGTCATCAAAGTAGGATGAGAACTTCTGTGCATCAAGAGTGGCAGATGAGATGAGAATCTTCAGATCTGGTCTGCCACGCGCAATGTCCTTGATCAAACCAAACAAAATATCGGTGTGTAATGTACGTTCGTGAGCTTCGTCGATCATCAAGGCGGAATATTTACCGAGATCTGGCTCGGTCAAGAACTCACGTAACAACATACCATCAGTCATGTACTTGAGAATGGTCTTGTCGCTGGTTGCATCCTCGAATCGAATGGAATATCCGACCTCGTTACCAACCTTGACACCCATTTCTTCAGCCACACGAGTAGCGACCGACATGGCAGCAACTCTACGAGGTTGTGTACAGCCTACCATCTTGCCGTCCTTGGTCATTCCGTGTTCATGAAGATATTGGGGTAGTTGTGTAGTCTTTCCGGAACCAGTTTCGCCAACAACGATCAAGACTTGGTATTTGTCAACGGCAGCGAGGAACTCGTCTCGATACGTGTACACGGGCAAAGTCTTTCGCTTTTCCTCAATGGTCTTAGCTTTCCTTTCAGCAGCAACGAGCTGTTGGGCCAGCTGGCGTTCCTCCTGAGTCTGTTGCTGCATGCTACCCGACATGACACGGTCAGTCATCCATTGGATTTGTTGGTCCTGATCAAAGACATATTCGTAGTCGGCTTCGTTCACACGCTCAGAGACCATTATCTGGGCCTTCGTTTTGGCGAGCTGTTCATTCTCCCATTCTTCATGTTCAGTAACAAATCTTTCTCTTCCATACTCGTCTCGGTCGACATGACGGCTGTTCAAGGCATCTGACTTGGCTTTCCGGCTTATTTTGCCCTTTTCTGTGATGTAGTCGTCCGGAAGAGCATAGCCTTCTAGATGGTCGTCGATACGTAGACGCTCTTCAGCAATTTCGAGAGTCCTTTTGTTCTTCTCAAATTCGGCCTTCTCCTGAGCTGTGAGTAGCGGGTTCTCGCGAAGTTCCATTTGTTCCTCAGCGACTTGCTTGCGGAGCAGGGCAAGTTCCTGAGCTTCTCTCTTCTTCAAATATTCCTGACGAGAGCGTAATCTGATATCGTCGAGTTGTGCCTTTCTTTGCTTAGGGTCATCGGCCAAGGCACGTCGAGATGCGGAATCATGCTTCGAGCGATCCTCGACAATCTTCTTGGTACCGCGTTCATCCTTCTCTCTTAGACGCTTCTCGAAAGCAATGCGCTCCTTGCGATCGCGTTCTTCTTCATCTTCTACGGGTGAAGCTGAACGACGAGGAGAGGCGGAACCATTGTCAAGTCTTGCACGCTTCAAGGCGGATGGACGCGACTGTTCCTCTTCAGGTTCCTCCTCTTCCTCGTCATAGTCTTCATCACCCCAGCGGTCGTCAAANNGTCGCCATCGTCTCGTCGGCGCAAACGTTTTGTATGGCGGTCGCGGCGATCATGACGGTCTGAGCGGTCTTTCTTGTCTTCTGTGCGATCGCGGCGGCGAGTGGATGGTAGAGGNAGCAGACACAGGCTGTTCATCCTCGACATTCATGTCGAGGAGGGCATAGCGCTTCTTTGAGTCCTTGGTCGAGGCATCCTTTGGTCGTGATGAGGAAGAAGACTTGTCGGACTTTGGTAGGCGAGCAAAAAGCTGATGACTGAAAGTGCGCAAATCCTTGTCGTCGGCATCAATCATAGATTGGAGCTTGTCGTGAAGCTGATCGGGGTTCTTGACGGAAGTGGCAGTCTGCTGGACGAAGTCGACAATCATGTTCTCCGAGCCGCCCACCAGCTTTATCAAGTTGTCTGAGATGAAGGTTCGTACGTCCATGTTGAAGTATGCCAGATCCAAGATCCAGTCAAGGATGGCTGTGGTGTAGGAAGAGGGATGTATCGGGCAGAAAGTTGGTATAGATTCGCGAATCCGCCAAGCGTGCGTCACTGCTGGAGGGTCGTTCTCATCAACACATCACCCTAGACGCGACCAAGTCTGTCGTCGACCAGCCATGTTCACCTTCACGCCGCTGTTGGGTGCCCAGTCCGAGTCGGCTGCGTCGCAGTCGCTACTGGAGCTGGATGGAGGCGTCAAGATCCTCGTCGATGTGGGCTGGGACGAGTCTCTGGACGCCGACAAGCTCGTCCACATTGAGCAGAACGTCTCGACCATATCGCTCATCCTGCTCACCCATCCGACATTAAATCATCTGGGCGCCTTTGCGCATTGCTGCAAACACATCCCGCTCTTCTCGTCCATCCCCGTCTATGCCACCACTCCCGTCGTATCGCTTGGTCGCACTCTCATCCAGGACCTGTATGCCTCAGCAGCTCACCAAGCTTCCATTGTCCCAGCCTCAGCTCTGGCCGAATCCCTGTCCAAATCACAAGTTCCCGCCAACTTCCTCCTCCAACCTCCCACCAACGACGAAATCGCCTCGTACTTCTCCTTGATCAACCCTCTCAAATACTCCCAACCTCACCAACCTATTCCCTCGCCCTTCTCANNCCCCCCTCTCAATGGTCTTACTATCACCGCATACAACGCTGGTCATACCCTTGGTGGTACCATCTGGCATCTACAACATGGCCTCGAGTCTATCGTCTACGCCGTTGACTGGAACCAAGCAAAAGAGAATGTCTTATCAGGTGCTGCTTGGCTAGGAGGTGCTGGAGGAGGTGCCGAAGTCATTGAACAACTGCGCAGACCCACTGCTCTGGTTTGCAGTACNAAAGGTGCCGACCGATCACATCTCGCAGGAGGACGTAAGAAGCGTGACGATGCACTGCTCGCCTTGGTCAACCAGACTATTTCCAATGGTGGTAGTGTTCTCATCCCCACAGACTCTAGCGCTCGCATGCTCGAATTGGCCTATATTCTGGAACATCACTGGCGACAAGGAACCAATGGTCCCAACCAAGAACTTTACAANAATACCAAGCTGGCATTTGCTGCAAAATCCGCTTCTGCCACCTTGCGATATGCTCGTAGTATGATTGAATGGATGGATGATGCAATCGTGCGTGAGATGGAGGCTGCGGTACAAGGAAGGTCTGAAAATACACANAAGAGTCAGACTGGTCGTGACGAAGACACGCCCTTCGACCTGAAGTACCTCAAGCTGGTCGAGAANAAGACGCAACTACATCGCATTCTTGACTCTGGGAAGCCTGCTGTTATCCTAGCAAGTGACAAGTCTCTCGAATGGGGCTTCTCTAATGACGCTATCCGAAAAATTTGCAACGACCCAAGGAACCTTGTCGTCTTGACGGAAAGAGCTGCAAACCCATCGCCAGACGACAAAGGCATCGGTCGTTTCCTGTGGGAGTACTGGCGTCAACAGGTCGAGTCACGGGATGAAGATGCGAATGTAGTCGAAATTTCGGGTGCGGAAGCTCAAGTACGCCACCTGGATGTAGCACGTCTCGAAGGTGATGAGAACCTCCTCTATCAACAATACCTAGCGCGTAGACGCCAAATGCACAGCACACTGCAAGGCGACAACACTCTTACAAAGGAGAACGCGGCAGAACTGGCTGATGACGGCTCCTCGACCAGCTCTGAATCCTCCGATGAGTCTGAGAACGAACATCAGGGAAGAGCACTCAACATTTCTGCAACCATGACACACAGGCGGAAAGTAGGTCTAACAGATGCTGAGCTCGGCATCAATGTGCTTCTACGACGCAAGAACGTTTACGATTATGATGTGCGCGGCAAGAGGGGACGCGAAAAGGTGTTCCCTTATGTTGCCAAGCGCGGTCGTGCAGATGATTTTGGTGAAGTGATTCGACCGGAAGAATATCTTCGTGCAGAAGAGAAGGACGATACAGATGGCCAAGATGCAGCAGAAGCAAAGACAGAGACTGCTGTTGGACAAAAGCGCAAATGGGACGAAGTCGCACCACGGGCTATTCAAAATGGTCGAACTGACAAGAGAAACAAGAATGACGATCGAGAATCTACAAATGTAAATTCGACAAACCAGGATCATGACATGAACGGCGATGCAGCTAGCGAGTCAGAAGAGTCCGATTACGAGCCTGAAGAAGCACTACCGGAAGGACCTCTCAAGGCTGTCTTCACCAAAGAATCGTTACAATTCAACCTGAGGATAGCCTACATCGATTTCTCTGGTCTCCACGAGAAGCGTGATCTGCAGATGCTCATCCCTCTGATTCGACCAAGGAAGCTGATCTTGGTCGCTGGAGAGGAAGCAGAAACTCTAGCACTTGCCGAGGATTGCAAGACTTTGCTTGCCACTGGCGAAGGCAATGCTGTTGATATTCTCACTCCGATTATTGGTGAGACTGTTGATGCCAGTGTCGACACGAATGCATGGACACTCAAACTCAGTCGAGACCTGGTCAANAAACTCGCCTGGCAAAACGTCAAGGGGCTTGGCATTGTGGCTGTCACAGGTCGTCTTGAGGCCGTGCAGAAGATGCTCGCTGCTGCAAACGGCAATGGAGATGAGGCCATCAAGAGAAAGAAGCAAAAGATGATTGAGGGAGGTGATGAGACTGATGCTCCCGAGCAGGCAGATGACGGTGAAGCTGAGACCGAGCCTGTTCTCGATGTGTTATCGACCAATCCCTCAGCCAACAATCAAATCACAACACAGCCACTACATGTTGGTGACCTCCGTCTTGCTGACCTGCGAAAACTCATGCAAGCTTCTGGTCATGCCGCTGAATTCAGAGGTGAAGGCACACTGCTAGTCGATGGTGCTGTTGTCGTCCGCAAGACTGCTAATGGCAGGATTGAAATTGAGGGAGGCAACTACATGGTATCTGCTGGACGTCGTGAGAGTGCATTCTTTGCGGTCAGACGCAAGGTGTACGAGGGCCTGGCTGTTATTGCCGGTAGTTGAGTTAAAAGTCTGCTGTAAGATACCCAAATTCATCATCTTCAAATCACTCCAAACCTGTGAACGCACAAAATTGTGCGTGGTTGGCCGCATGTTCGGCTCCTGCCTGTGATTGCAACCAATTCTTGATTTACATGACACTGTTGACCGCTAGCGCATGCTCAATCTACAAAATTCCAGAAATTGATTCATCATGCGACAATCATATGCTTCTATGCTCACGTTGCGCTGGTCACACCTTCGGAATGACTTAGCATACTCACACCATGGGACAGCGCATGCGAATTGACACGAACCTTCCCAATCTATAAATCACCCGCCACTTCCTTCCTCAATCCCAAACTTCTACCTCAACATACAACGACAGTTTACCTGTTCGAGTATCCACTGCCCAACACTCTCAACAGCAGATCGATCAATCAACAAGTCTCATATGGGTAGCTCCCAACCCTATACTTGGAAACCATACAGCTATCAACTCGTTGCTCCTCCACCACCACCTCCAATGCCAAGCTTGCTCGCCATGCCTGTGTTGGTCGCTCCCTGTGTCGCTGTGCCTGTCAAGCCTGCACCACTCAAGAACGTGGCAGTCGCTGGCTCCTCCACAGCAGCAAAAGGCAAGGAATTGGTTACTACCACCAAGACCACTGCCGCCATCAAAGGCACCTCTTACAAAACAGTCACAAAGACTGTTTTCAAAGCTGTGTCTTCGGCTGCCAAACCACCTTCCAAGGCATCTTCAGCAGCAAAAGCACCACCCTCCAAACCCCCTTCCTCAGCACCCCTAAAATCCACAACCTCCAAACCATCCAAGAAGTCTTCGTCGCAAGTTGCCGCAGCAGCAGCTGTAGTTACTTCCAAAACCGTGGTTTCAGCTTCTACATCCTGCAGCAAACCCTCTTCTGCAAACGCCTCCCATGCCTCCTCTGCAGCCAAAAGCACCCAAAGCCAAAAAGCAGCAAATATCACAGCGGTAACTGCACCTATTCCTCCCTTGCCAGGCATGAAATACATCTATCCCAAACACCATACCTGTCTGCACATTATCCTACGCACCAAAGTGTGGGAAAAGATGTTGTTGCTGCAAACCTTGTGGCCAAGACGTTTTACGTGCCTTGTGGGATGAGTATCACAGAACTGATTGAGCAGTTGATGGGCACTGAAGGAGAAAAGTGTATGGGTTGGGCACTTACAGAGGTTGCAGAAAAGGGCGATGGGTGCTTTGTTAAGGGCTTGAGTGTGGAATATGGAGGGGATAAGGCTAAAGAGGCGCTGAAGCAAGTGGGTTGGAATGAGAAGAATGGGGTTGAGAGACCTCCTGTTTGGATGGTTTTGCACAAGATTTGAGGACCAGAGAGAGGAGAGGAAGCAGTGGAAGTGTTCTCTGTTGTGTGGTTTGGGATTCTTGTTCTGAGATGTCTCTTTGCTTGGAGGATATGCATGACTATGGATCGTCAAGGAAAGAATGCTTTTCCTTATCTCTGTTTTTGCTTTTTGTGGTTCTTGTTGAGGAAGCACTGGAGTTGAAGTTGCAAGCATCACGGGTTTTCCTTATTTCTGCTTTTCTTGAGTCCTGTTTTATCTTTGCTCTTTTTCTTCTTCGTCAGCAAAGAGAACGTTCTTACGATATCTGAATGCACATGTCCAAGTCACAAACCCTTGAGAGAAAAAAAAGAGTATAGCATACATGACTAGCCAGAATGCAAAGAGCCAATCTGAGCATACACATCATATTCATCTGGAGCACACTTTACCATCTCCCTTTTTCTTTCGTTTGTAAGATTGTTTGTCGAATGTTGGAAAGGAAAAAAGTCTTGGAATTGCTTTCTCTTGTGCTTGTGACTTTGATGGGTTGGAACCATTTACCAATCGTCTGGTTCTTCCTTGATGGTGATACGGTCTATTGTGTCATACCTGATCAGGTGATGTAAAGTTACTTTAACTCCTTTCTAGTGCAAAGCAATTGGTAGTCCTTTGTTCTCGGATGAGCATGTACCTGTGAAGTGCAGGACTTGGAATCTCTCGACATCATCCACGAAAGCAAATCAGGTAGTCAACAATTCATTGTTGAAGTTGAGAAGAAAAGTGAATTGTGTGATGAGAGGTAGAATAATGTACAAAGACAGAGGAGTGACAGAAGAAAAGAGACAAAACAATTCCTTTTCCTTGCTGATGATGAGTAGAGCCTTTCAAAAAAACGCTAGACGCTTCTTTTGTTGTCATACACAAAAATAATGAAAAGAGAACGAAAAACGCCTGGCTAAGTATGATACGAGAGACAAAACCAGTTTTCCTTTTACTGATGGCAGAAGAAATATTCCTAGTGCTTGGCACGAGTATCTTCGAAGCTCTCAAGCACGCTGTCGGTCACGCTTTGAGGCTCGGTGGATTGTGTGGATGATTCTGAGGGGGCGGAGACTTGTTTGGGAGCCATTGAGCGGGCCTGGCTCTCGTTGACCTTGCCGTAGACGCCCATGGCGGTGGCGATCATGCTGCCGATGTCTCCAACATTGCTGGGAACAACAACGCTGGTGCCCTCCTTAGCCAGCTTGCCGAAGGCGTCGACGTACTTCTCGGCGACACTGAGACTGACGGCACCCTGGGCGCTCTCCTTGCCTTGAGCAATAGAGTTTGCGACAGCGTCGATACCGGCTGCGGTGGCGCGAGCCTTGAGGAGGATGGCTTCGGATTCACCAGTGGCCATGTTGATTTGTTCAGCGCGCAAAGCCTCGGATGCCAGGATGACACTCTGCTTGCGACCTTCGGCGATGTTGATGGCACTCTGGCGCTGACCCTCTGATTCCAGAATCTCGGCACGCTTGCTACGCTCGGCAGTGACCTGACGGTGCATGGCTTCAACAACACCGGCGGGGGCGTGGATGTCGCGGATCTCGTAACGCAGACAGGTGACACCCCAGTCCTGGGCGGCCTCGTTGATGGCTTGTGTGATATTTGTGTTCAAGGCAGCACGCTCTTTCAAAACGTGATCAAGAGACAGCTGACCAATCTCTGAGCGCATTGTGGTTTGGGCGAGTTGTGAAATGGCGTATTCGGCATCTTCGACACCGTAACTGGCCTTGTAAGGATCGAAGACTCTGGTGTAGAGTACACCGTCCAGCTCGAGAGTGACGTTGTCGGCGGTGATGGCGCTCTGGGAGGGAATCTCGATGGCAGCTTCTTTCAGACTCTTGACGTAGGCGATGCGATCAATCAGAGGAACGAGGATGGCAAGACCGGGCTGCAAGATGCGGCTGAACTTGCCCATGCGCTCGACGATCCATGCTGTTTGCTGAGGCACGAACTTGACGATGGTGTTGGCGGGTAGTGATGAACGTTGGAAGTAGCTCGTCGGCTCGCCCGAGGCGGGGGAACGGGAGAAGAGCGAGTCGGCAGAGGGAAGAAGGCGTGGCGGTTGCGAACTGAAGGCGGCTCTCTGGATAGTGAAGCGGCTGTTGGCAAGGACGGCGAGCGAGCGGCGGGATGCTGCTGGCCGTAATGCGCCTGACCGTGCGATGAGAGTCATAGCTCTTTCAGCCATGATAAGTGTGCCTGGATATGCTGTGTTTGTTGGAGTAAATGCGATGGTGAGAGTGGAAGGTGGACATGATGGCCACTACTTCTGTGAGTACCAGCGTGGGGCGGGCCAAAGCTTCCTCTAAATTCCGTCATCATCCATCCTTCTTTCCTAACCAATTCTTTCTTGCCCACTCGCGCAGCAAACATGTCGGAATACTGGAAGTCGACGCCTAAATACTGGTGCAAGTTTTGCTCCACTTACGTGCGCGACACGGCTCTCGAGAAGAAGTCGCACGAGGCCACTCCCAAGCACCAGAACAACATCCAGCGCTCTTTGCGCGACATCCACAAGAAGACCGAACGCGAGGATCGCGAGAAGCAACGCGCCAAAGATGAAGTCGCTAGATTGAACGGCCTGGTCTCTGGCAAACAACAATTCAATTCTGTCGCCTCTGCCTCGCAACCTTCCGCCCCGAAACTCAAGTCTACTGCTCCGACCGGTCCTGCTTCTGTTGCCGAGCGAAAGCGCCAAATGGAACAGCTCGCTGCTATGGGTGTCGCTATCCCTGAAGAATACCGTCGTGACATGTCCATCCAAGGAGAGTGGTCTACCGTTTCGGAGAGACCCGTCTACTCTCGTCCTGTCAAATCTACCTCAGACGATGAAGATGAAGACACCAAGGCCTTTGGCGTGAGAAAGCGCAAACTTGACGACGAAGAAGACCAAGATCTAAAACTGGCTCCCAAAGCCTGGGGCTCGCGTCTCAAGTCATATCCTGGCGCAAGTAGCAATACCGAAGAAGACCTAGATGCTTTGCTCTCTGGCGCCACCACCAAGAAGGAAGTCAAGTCTGAAGCATCAGATCTGCTGAAGAAAGAGGTTGATACCGATACTGCTGATACCATCGCTGCTGTGCCAGAAATCACAGAAGCTGCCTCCGCCGAGTCTGAAGTCAAGGCTGAACCAAAACAGGACCAAGAAGCTCCTGTCGTATTCAAAAAGCGCAAATCGAAACGCTGAAGAACCTAGAGAACAGGCTCGAATCTCAAAACACTATTCATGAAGGACTACACATCTCATCCGCAGACCACGCCGGGATTTCCAGTCATGCGTTGCGAGCTGTAGCTAAGGCCGACCTGCTGGCAAATATGGCTATCTAACTAGACTATCACGCTATAACGCAAGGCATGACCACGGAAATGTGCTGCCGGCGAATTGTCATGTGAGGCCTAAAACAGCATCGACGTCAATGGCCACGCGACAGCATACAATACCACGCGAAAGGCAACCCAACAGAAGCAGCTGTCAAATGGCGATCACGCCAGAGACATGCTAGGCAAAGGCATGGAAAGGAGACGACAGACGCAGGGGTCAAATCGATCATCAATTCTCAGGCATTCTTGGTGAGCGGCAGACCAAGACATATAATAACATAGGCGAGAAAACTTAAGGCTTTTCATATCTTGATCATTTCATGCGAATCCGAAGAGTCTTTTCGCAATGGCTCTCGTTGGGGCTTTCTAGATGAATTGCGTACGAGTAGTGCGTAGATGAAACTTGATGAAACACGTAATATCGGACTAGTAGATCGACTTTGAACGCGTCCCTGCCAAAGCGAATTGATTGCTGGCCTTGGACAAGATCGATCGTCAGCATTCTTGAAGAACATCCAATGCTGCTATAAACAATGGTAAGAAGAAATGTAGCAGGTCTTGAGAAAAGGGATATTCGGCCGAGAGGAGTGACGCCATCTTTTTTTATGTCTTGTATAGGGGTTTGGAAACGCTCTCGCAGCTGCAGGCCAACGGAACATATATAAATACCATGGCAACCCAGATGTTCAGTGGTTCGCGGACAAGCGAGGCTGTCATCCGTGAGAGCCACACTGTTACACGTTGACAGCAAGTGTGGAATAGGCGACGAAATTGTAGGGAGTTCGCGCCATCGCTCAAGCAACGCGGCTGCATCGACTCGCGGAGATTAATATTGCCCTGGGCGGCCGTGACCGACGACGGCATTCTGGAAAAAGGCCCTTGATCCGGGTTTGGAGTGTCGCATATCTGTTTGTCTTACTATTCGTGTCCAGCAAACACCATCGACATCAACACCAACACAGAGTCGCTTGAAATGGACGCGTCTTCGACATCCCCCTTTTACGTCCGTCGTCTCCTGCACTAGATGTGCCTCCCTCACTAGCTCTCTACCCTAGTGGGTGTCCTCCCCTGGATGCTCGTTCCGATCGCTCAGTGTCCACGCCGTCAACGATATCTAGCTCTAGCAGATCCGTATCCTCGTCTTCGGCTCGTTCAGAATCAGGGCGTCGCAAGAATGGTTACATGCGACCACAAGGCACCGCCTTTTCCGACTCTGCCCGCAATCGCGACAGTGTCATGAGCTTGGGAAGCATTGCTCACATGCAATACTACTTTGCTCGTACTGGTCTTCTCGATGGCAAGGGTGCTCAGTTTGCGAAGCCAAAGAAAGGCGTCAAACAACTAGACACCAACGTCGCAATTTACACCACATCAGAGGATGGCTTGGTCGAGAGTCCGAAAGAAGCCAACGAAGAATGGTCAGAGCCTGTCATGCTACCACCAACTGTCTCAACATATGCCTACAAAGAGCCAAATGTACCACCCCCACCAGATCTCNNCCCTGTGCTTCGTCAACAGCTTCGCGAAGCTCTGGACGATGCTCAAAAAGTACTTCAAGAGTCGGCCGAAGGTATCACGTACGACGATGCTACTCGAGAAGCAATCGTCGAATCCGTCCGAGCCCCTACGAACCCCGATGAACCTCCAGTCGCTCAAGGCTGGCACGAGATTATGGGTCTCCACCTCCTCGATATCATCACCCTGGCTATTCGTGCCGCAAAGACATACTACACATCACACCCGCGTCCGCAGCAGCTCTATGCGATCCAGTCGGAGCGTAAGATTCGTGGAGACTTGTACGAAGTCCTCGATGTTCTGAAACGCGCAGCCGCTAGAGAATTCCGTGGAGGCATCAAAGAGGAGGAAAGAGCTGCGATAAGTTCTTGGATTGATAGCATCAATGACCTGATGTCGAAAGAGCAGTCCCACGAGCAGGAAGAGCAAGACTCTCGGACTAAATGCGCCTGGCGTCATGGAGATTGGACTGGTCGGGAGCGCGAAAGAGAATGGCTTTTCATGTCGTCTTTCGACACCAACTCAGACCCTCTTCCACAATGGACCGAATCTACTCCAGACGAACCTTCTCCTTTCCTACAGGCTCTTCAGAGTGGCCTACGATTGGTGCAGCTTCACAACGAGATGGTACGCCGCTCAGAGCGACCGTTCGGCGAAATCAAGACTTTCTTCACAGACGTAGCAAAGCCATATCGATGTGCCGAAAACTTGCGCTTTTGGTCAAAAGCTTCAGAGCTTCGATGGGAGACCGTCTTATCGTTCAACGTGCTCCACGTTGTACATGGCAAGGACGCAGAAGCTTGGAAACAGTTTGAAGAGACTGTATTCAAGTGGTGCCGTGGAGTAAGAGAGGAGATTTCGAAAGAGTGGGCAGAGTCTGAGAGATCTGCGTAACAAGGAACCTGACCTTTGAGTTGCGAGGCTCTTCTGTTAGTGCGGTAAGGTGCCGAATGCCGGTTTTCTTCTTTCCTTTGTCTGAACCATATTATTTCAAGTCACTTAATGCCTCCAGCGCAGAACCTAGATACCCCAGAGGCAGGCTGTTTTTGTTCTCTTCTTTTCGATTCTACATCACCTTTATTCGAATCAATTTGGAAAATGAAGATTCATACCCCTCATTATCACCAACAAGATCTTGCTCGCTATGCCCTTACCTTTCCAAATAGTGTGACCGGGTTGTTCGGCTCTTGTTACTGGTCACTGCCGTGATAAGAGGGGGCATAACCATGTCTGGTCTCACATCGACACCTTGGCGCCACGCGCGTCCACACTCTGGCAGAGACGGCAAAATCACACTCCGAAGCTGTATAGCCAAGGATCAGGTGAGGTCCAAATTGGTCTGTAGTCCGAGTAGTCATTGGTTCGGTATTTTGTTCTTGCCAGAGCCCTGCATCAACCCCACACTCACCCCGCAGCAACAGTACGTACCAGTGGGATTGTGCTCCAAGACGTTCCTTCCTCAGACATCTCCACAATTGCCCCGCCAAACTAGTCAGGACTTCAAATGAATTGCTGTGATCGATCCTGAGCTGGTCTGATTGATCTATCAATTGCCTGTCCGTTCATCGGAGCAGAGGTCAATTGCACCTCAGAGCTATACAACTGGATATGTCTACATCAGCAGGCACGTGCGAGAAGCTTACGAACCACACGCGCCTCTGGGTACTTCAGAGCTCTGGGAGATCTGTCCGACCAATGCTAACCACATACTGATCTGATCATAACGCATCGTGCGGGGAACAGGTTACTGTACGTCCCCTATTGCATGGCTCAAAAGGAGCTACTGCAGCTCCTGCAATCGCGAGAGACATGCCTGGGTCGATGGGATTACTGGCCTAGCTACAAACATGCTCAGATATTGAGGGTCATGCGCTTATTGGGTTGGCACGGCTAGCTCGTGAAAATCGGATCCTTTTGAGCTCGAGCAGACCTACTGCTAGTAGTATCGAGCTTGGGAGCTCTCGACCATTCGTGGTGCTAGGTGCATGTCTCCCCTATGAGCTGGGACTTGTCTCAATCCCACGATTGACCCCTCTCTCGGTGCCACATAGTGGTATTGTAAGCTATGCAGATGCACAGTCGCTTTCCAGACCAGAAGTGTGGCCACAGAGATGCTCTCAGACATCGTCTCTCATGGGCATCGCCTGCTCACGGATAGTACTGTGCATTTCCATAGCTACTATCTGATAGGCTTCCACATATGGGGAGGTCGGACCAGCTCCCGCGAGAATGCTGACCACGCCCTGCTTTCCCCCAGCTGTAGCTGCATGAAAAGGCCGATCCATACAAGGATGTTCTCATTGTAGTTCCATCCCACGCCGCCTTGATCACATCTAGCCGCCGTTCGAATGTGGGTTCGTACCTGATACGTGTGGATTTCCCCTCACAAGCACTCCAATTCCATATATCCGAGTCTTGTCAAGGATCCAAGCGGGGCTGTGTGTTGAACACGCGTTAGCTATTGTGGGACCTGAGATATATATTCTGGATGGAGGATGCCCTTTTGAGAATTCATCAGACTTGCTTCTGTCACCTATCCAGAGAAGCTTTGGATCCTGAACATCATGACTATTCCAGACGAGGTCGATATCATTGTTACTGGCGGAGGATCATGCGGGTCAGTATCTGTTTCCTTGCTGTCTGGAATGTATCGTTGATTTTGTTTAGTNTGTGTCGTTGCTGGCCGACTGGCCAACTTGGACCATAACCTCCAGGTTATGCTCATTGAGGCTGGAGAGTCTAACCTCAACAACCCTTGGGTGTACCGTCCTGGTATCTACCCTAGGAACATGAAGCTGGACAGCAAGACGGCTTCATTCTATTATTCCAGACCTTCGGAATGGTTGGGTGGTCGTCGTGCTGTGGTGCCTTGTGCTCACATCCTTGGTGGTGGTTCTTCTATCAATTTCATGGTTAGTGAAGAGTCAATGTGCAAAGTTCGTGCACAGTGCTGACAGATCAACCAGATGTACACTCGTGCTTCAGCCTCCGACTACGATGACTTCCAAGCCAAAGGTTGGACCACCAAGGAACTGATCCCTCTCATGAAGAAACACGAAACCTACCAAAGAGCCTGCAACAACCGTGACATCCACGGCTTCGAAGGCCCCATCAAGGTCTCTTTCGGCAACTACACTTATCCTGTCATGCAGGACTTTTTGCGTGCCGTAGAGTCCCAAGGCATCCCCGTTACAGACGATCTCCAAGACTTGAAGACCGGACATGGAGCCTGCCACTGGGAGAAGTGGATCAACAGAGATACTGGACGTCGTTCAGACTCTGCTCATGCATATATCCACAGTACCCGTGCTCATCACTCTAACTTGCACTTGGTTTGCAACACCAAAGTCGAGAAAGTGATTATGGAAGGTGGTAGAGCTGTTGGCGTCAAGGTTGTTCCTACTAAACCGCTTACTCCTGGTCAAGACCAAGCCAAGATCTACAAGGCTAGAAAGCAGATCATTGTTAGTGGAGGCACTCTGAGTTCTCCTCTTATCCTTCAGCGCTCTGGCATTGGTATGTTCAAGCCTAACATCAATCTTAAACACTTGAATATTTACATGACATACNNAGGTGACCCTGAGAAGCTTCGTGCTGCAGGAGTCAAGCCACTGGTCGACCTTCCCGGTGTCGGTCTCAACTTCCAAGACCACTACCTTACTTTCTCAGTGTTTAGAGCCAAACCTCACATCGAGTCATTTGATGACTTCGTCCGCGGTGACCCTACCGTGCAGAAGGCAGTGTACGACCAGTGGAACGTCAATGGCACAGGTCCTCTCGCCACCAACGGTATCGAAGCCGGTGTCAAAATCCGACCCACCGAGGATGAACTCACCCAGATGGACAAATGGCCATGGTAAGCATTCGTCTACCCCCTTCTCTGCCTGTTCTCCGATGGTATTATGAATCCTTATAACGTGTACTTCATTCTCTGCTATACTCGGAGTGCAATGAACCAAGCAGACCCATACTGACACACATTTTTCAGTCCAGAATTCCGCTCAGGTTGGGACAGCTACTTCAAGAACGCCCCAGATGTATGTGATCTCCAATGTCTGTTTGACCAGTCTTGCCGTCGCCGTCCATGTATGGCGTGCGCAAGTCGAGGGTCAGGGTCGTACCCAAATCGCCCCCCCCCCCCCCCCCAAATCTCTCCCATCCTCCTCCCTGCTCATCCCTACACATTTATACACTCTCTACAGCGCTAATACCGAAACAAGAAGCCAGTGATGCACTACAGCGTCATCGCCGGCTGGTTCGGAGACCACATGATGATGCCTCCCGGAAAGTTTTTCACCATGTTCCACTTCCTGGAGTACCCATTCAGCAGAGGCTTCACGCACATAACCTCTCCCAGCGCCTACGACGCCCCCGACTTTGACGCAGGCTTCATGAACGACAAACGAGACATGGCACCCATGGTCTGGGGCTACATCAAGTCCCGCGAAACCGCTAGACGCATGGACGCCTACGCCGGTGAAGTAACTTCCATGCATCCATTCTATGCCTACGACAGTCCTGCCCGTGCTTTAGATATGGATCTGGCTACTACAAAGGCATATGCGGGTGAAAATCACATTACTGCGGGAATTCAACATGGAAGTTGGAGTATGCCCCTTGAATCTGGCACTGCGCCTTCGCCGTCTTTCCTCAACAGCAACAAGCAAGAGATCCGTGAGGACTTGACGTACACAAATGAAGACATCAATCATGTTATCGAGTGGACAAAACGTCATGTCGAGACCACCTGGCACAGTCTGGGAACTTGCTCCATGGCTCCCAAAGAAGGAAATTCGATTGTCAAGCACGGAGTCCTTGATGAACGCCTCAATGTCCACGGTGTCAAGGGCTTGAAGGTTGCTGATCTGTCGATTTGTCCTGACAACGTTGGGTGGTAAGTAAAGCAAGTGTACAGACAGCATGAGTGAACCGACATCAGATGGCCCCAATACCCATCAGGTGGCTTTTCGACTGCTGTCTATACTTTCCATACGCAAAGAAACATGCTAACCGTATCTTTACTTCTNAGTAACACTTACAGCACTGCACTCCTGATAGGAGAGAAGTGTGCTATGCTCGTCGCCGAAGATCTGGGCTACTCAGGCTCGGCCTTGGACATGAAGGTGCCCAACTACCACGCTCCCAGAGAGATTGCTGGTTTGTCTCGTCTGTAGACAGACATTTATGATGAACGACAAGTCTGCTTTGGTTGTATTTACCAACAATGTTTTGCTCTTATTGATAGTCTATACGCTAGCTCGAGGACACGACTTGTTAATCAATCCTTTCTTGACCTGTCTCTCCATACTGCACCTTCACGTATCGGTACACCGGCCGGATGTACAAGTTAGCCACTTTGATACTGCGAAGTTTGTTCTATAAAATCACTATTACTATGCATCTGTTTTTCTTCTTGTAAGGATAAAACTTGATATGTGTGTCTTCCATATAGTGGCCTTAGAACTACTATAACCCGAGAAGTTAGTACACAGTAAAACTATTTAGATGCCATACCGATTTTCTCTATGTCTACTTTTAACTAATATCTACTAATGACAAATTAAAGGTATTGAGTTATCCATTTGGTTGTATGCCTCTCTAGCAACCTGACTTGATATCTGCGTTTAACTATAATTACTTTCAACCATATTTTATCTGGCTACAATAAAAACCATCAAGTGTTTTTAGTGTGAATTCTCATGGATTTTGGTGGAGTGACCGGCTTCTCCTCCTGGCTGGTTTTACTAGAAGCGAGGGTAATGACTCTCCATTATATTTGACAAGCACTCGTTTCTTTGGAATATATGGCTACCCTAACCAGATCCTTATATTTGATCATAGTGTGTTCAGTACTGTACTAACGTCTTGATTTGTGCGAGAATTGCATCCATTACGCATAATTAGGTACCCTTTCATTCTCAAACCACGCATCAAACCACATCACCTTCATCAGTCATAAAACATACCGCCATAAGAATATGTAAAAGGAAAAGAGACTTCACAGGTGAATCCGAATCCTCCCACGGCCCTCGTCATTTTCAAATCCTGCCCCCACTGTCCAATCCAGAAATGATACTCTGGTTGCTTCGTCTCGGATTGTCAATATCCATAGCCCCGCTCAACACTCTAACAACCTNTTTGCCCTGCTTGGATCCAGCAACAAGGACTTGTGCAGGACAAACTACAATCTCGTCTTCGCCTTCACCGAGATCGTCTCCTTTCTTGACGACCAGAGGGAACAGTACAATCTTGACGACTGCTTGTATACGCTCCAACTCGTCATTGCTGGTATAGTCCCCAGAGCGTTCGTTCATGAGAGCAGCGTTGAAGTGCACTTTGCGGACTAGGTCGCCTTGAGTGTCGTACTCGGGTTGCAGGGGCGGCAGCATAATGTACTCTGCTTTCTGAGAGCGCATCTCAATGGACAGCTCAACCGCTAGTCGAAGAACATTGCGTAGTGACGATAATATCTGTGACTCGAGTTGAGCGGGAGGTGGCAGCAAAGCAGACAACACACTGAAGATTTCTTGCGCGACGGCTTCAGTGTCGAGGTTGCGCTGGGTTGCAAAGGCTGGTCGGCGTGACAGGAGTGTCAAGGTGGTTGCTCTCCACTGAGCTACTGCGCGTGCAGGTCCGACTTCGGAAAGTATCTTCTCCAATGACTTGAGCTTCTGTCGCTGTTCTCTATCCATGCCGAAGAGGTATCTGGTAAATACGTACTCCCAGATCATAGTCATTACGACTGACATGAAGACGTCACGTCGGCGAACACGATCTCCGAGCAGCTTGTCGACATCGGACCCATCCAGTATGGCATTGTCAAGCCTAGCTGCAATCTTCTCGTCGGTCAAGTCTGAAGTCAGGCGACACATGCGGTTGTCGGAGTACTTGGAAAAGCGCAAGACCCATTGCTGAACATGCTGACATAGCTTCTGGCACGAGGTATCGAAATAGTCCTCATCACGTGTCGTCAGGTAATTGTCGCCCTTGGATGCTAGGATTTCGCTCTGGAGGAGACGGATCTGTTGACTAGCCACATCAAGTTCCTCACGCAGCTTTCGAATCTCGGCATTCTTGTCTTCCAAAGCATTGGCGATTTTCTGTCGCACAATGTCTTCCATGTTATCACTAAGCTCATGATGTTGTCTCTTGAGACTTTCGAGCTCCTGACTCGTCTGCTGCAACTGTCTGTGAGCCTGGCTATGTTCGTTTTGCAAGGTAGCGTAAGGAATATCGTTGTTGGCTGTGAAGCTACGGTTTACTTCGGAAAGATTGTTGTTGACATCAGTCAACTTTGCGATCTCCCGTTGCAATGGCTCGAGCAGTGCTCGAATCTGTTGTATCTCTGCATCTTNTTCTTGGAGTTGCAAATCACGTGTTCTGAGCATATCTTGCAGTCCATCATCGTCGTGGGTTGAGCGACGAGCAGGAGTAGTTTGGTCGATGGCATCCTGTAGGTAACGATTCTCGGAAGCGAGTTGGTCGAGTTTAGCTTCTAGGTCAAGAATGTGCATGCTTTGGCGTTTGCGCATGCTCGGCGGTCGCGTCGGAGACACGGTCGGCGAGCTACGGACATCGCCCCAGCCCTCCTAGAAATCGCATCAGTATCTACCATCGTGCAAGATACTCAACTACTTACATAGATGTTTGCCATGTCCGAAGGACGGGAAGCACCGTGGCCGTTGAACTCTTCGTCTTGCAAAGGCGGTGTGGGGGGAGGTTCGATGGGGATTGTTGTTGGTGGTCCATGCGTCGGACCATCTCCCCGCCTCCTGCTAGCCACCCTCAAATCACCTGACAAGCTTCTGTTGATTCTTCTCAAGGAAGGAGCAGCAGAGTGATTGCTGCTGAACTCGTTGGTCGGAATTGTTCTCTGTTGCTACGCATTGATCGATTTGAGTCGACGGGTCGCAAAATTGGAACCTGGTCATCTCTGCTTGGTCCGGCAGCTGGGGATTCCTCCAATTGAGATGAATGAATCTGTGCTCGGAATGGTTGTTGTGGTGTCACGGAACGTCTTGCGGCTTTGCTAGAGTGTCCTGGACCAGGAGATCCAATATCGTAAAGACTCTTCTTTCTAGTCAAAGGTGGCGATTGGTCGGGCTGAGGATGAGGTGGCATAGGAGCTGGCGAGATTGCTTGCTGATACGAAGGACTCGGTGGAAGAGGTGCTGGAGGTGTTGCTACTCTAGAGGGCACTGGCGGCAAAGGTACGTGGAATGCTTGTGGGGGACTCGGTGGTAGAGGAGCTGGTGGAGTTTGTGGCCTGGAACCAAGATCTGAATCTAGGGATTGTCTGGGCTCATAGAATCTGGTCTGCTTCTGCGCGCCTCCTTGTGACGCATCTTTGGGCTTGTCCAGACCAGTCAAATCTACCGGAGATTGGAAGAGGTACGAAGTCCTGTCTTTGGTGGTGGATTCTACGGGCGAGACAGGTTCAGCTTCTGCAATTTGCTCTTCCTTTTCCGCACGGAGATTGGATGAAACAAAAGGATCATTCGCATGTGCTGCTTGACCAGAGGTTAGTGCTTCCTTCGCAGTAGGCGGCTCCAGGTTGTCAAAAGACCATGTTGGTGGCTCGTTGTGGGCTGCAGCAGGAGCAGGCGGTCGTGGAGAATCTGTGATTGACGCCGCATGCGCATCTTCCAGTGTCGGATGCGGTATGTCTTTAACCAACGTCTCAATCATCGATGTATCTGCTGATTGCTGAGGATTTTGGTCTACACGCTCTTCTTCTGACTGGACTTGATGATCAATACTAACTGGCAGGAATTGCGAGACTTCAGAGGTGTGAAAGAAAGTGGGTTTGGCTGACCTCGTTGGCGATGTGTCTGTGAGTCCATCGGTACTCCTCTCAGCAGTCACAAGCTCCTCGCGATCCTCGTTAGGCTCCTGGGCAGGTAAAGTGTCGATTTCTCCCGGTACTGCACTTTGTATGTCGCCTCCTGAAAAATAAGATTCGGGCTTCTCGGTAGATTGTGGCATTTCTGGACTCATACTCTCAACTCGTGTGCCCTTCTTGCCTTTCTTCTTCCTCTTCGGTACGGCAAAGAGAACTCTTCTGGCTCAGTCTGAGCATCCTTGATCTCAGCCGAAAGATTGGCAAGAGCATCGGGTGCAAATCCAGATGCGATCAGTCCAGTCGTCAGGGCGTCAGAGAAATCATTGCTCGAAGGCCCTCCTGCAGGGTGGAAGCTTTCAGTCTCAGGTGGCTTCCTAGAAATATCTTGCACAGGGCTCGCACTTCCGCTTTGACCACTGTTCTTCTTAGGTCTTCTTGTTGTTCTCGTTGTGACTTCTCCAGGATCGGCTTCTCCCAAACTTGTGGGACTTGCTCGACGATGAAACACTGGATCATCGATAACAAGATTGGGATCGAAGCCAGAATCTTGCAAGCCTGCCGCTAATGTTGCTGCGAAGTCTATGTCTTGGGATGTGTCAACATGAGTAGGAATGGACTCAGTCTCTTGTGCTGGGGTGTTCTCCTCTTGTTGAATGGCAGTCTCAGCTGACGCACTTTCGACAGCTGTAGGATGGGCAGCTGGCAAGTGTTCCTCTTTGTAACTTGCTTCAGGTTCTGGCTCGAGCTTCAAAGATACGGTTGCTTGATCGTCGGCATGAGAGTGTTGGACTTTAGACGTGGGTTCTACGATTGCTGAGGCCCCGGGTTCAATTTGCTGCTCATCAATGATCGGGGCTTTTTTAGCCTTGCGTTTCTCTTTCTTTGACAGTTTTCGAGGGAAGCTCCAATCATCATTGGTATCGGGACTGATCACCGATGCAGGTTCTGCCTTTGACAATTCAGTTGCGGCAGCGTCGCTGGCTGGTGGAGCTGATATATCCACAGCTTGCTCTGGCATTGTAGATTCAACAATTGGCTCTTGTTCATTGCTTTCATCAGGTAAATCATCGTCCAAATTTTTGAGCTTCTTGGCTTTGCGTTTTTCCTTCTTCGACTGTTTCGTCAGCAGCTCCCATTCGTCTGCGACAACTGTACTTGGCTCTTCCTCGGTTGTTGACGGAACAGTATTTTCGACTACCGTAGGGATTGGCATGTCTGACGTATCTCGCGGAATATCGACAGGTTCAGTGATAGACTTCTCAAGATCATTTGGCAGGCCTGGTAGCGATTTGTCATTAAGCACTTCTGGCTCTACAGTCCCTTGCTGAAGTTTGGCCTTCTTCGCTTTCTTCTTGCTCTTCTTGGAGGTCGAAGCCACGGTAAAGAATTCGTCTTTTCTTCAGGCACTGGCGTCTCAACGATTTGTGCAGTAGACTGCTCGTTGTTTCCAAGGTGTTCGACCTCGTTATGATCCAGCACAGTTGTTTGCGTAACCTCATTGTCAAGATCTTGAGGCGTTTGACATACCCCGACATCCTCGAACTTGTCGTGATCCTCAGAGCCCAGTTGAAAACTATTTACAAGATTGCCATCGGGAGCAGTTGCGGCGATGAGATCGGTTGGCGGACTCTCTACGTCCTTAGTGGCTGATTCTGCAGCAGTTGTGTCCGCAGGCTGTGGTTCGAGTACATTCTCAGCGTTATCAACAAATTCAGGTGTGATCTCGGCAGGCTCTTTGCTGTCAATAGTGTTTTCAAAGGCAGACTCTCTGGTGACCTCGGTATCCTGAGTGGGACCTTCATCCAGCGTAGTTGACTCTGGGATAATTTCTTGTTCAATCTCCGACCCAGTCTGAGCAACAGGCTCGGCGCTAGGCGTTTGAGATGGCTCGACAACAGGTTGTCCAACAGGAGCTTCGTAGGAAAAATCTGGGACCGGTTCCCGAAGCATAGAGGGTGGGTCGTCCTCCTCAGCATCCCGGCCCGTGGTCTTTGCCTCTGCTTTCTTTGCCTTCTTCTTAGCTTTCTTGGACAATTTGGCTGTGAAGGGCTCGAACTCTTCGGTTGGCTGCTGAGAAACGATATCATCCGTAGGTTCAGTAGTTTCTTGGTTTCCGCTCATTGAAGCTGAAAAGTCTTCTTCGGCGACGGGTACAGTTGACTCAGTCTCAGAAACCTGAGTTTCGTTCAGATCTGAGTTCTCGAGAGTAAGCTCTACAGGCTGCTTTGATTTCTTAGCCTTGGTTTTATTCTTCTTTGTCATTTTCAGCGGGGCAAAATCGGTGACAGCTTGAGGCTGTTCTTCTGACACGGACTTCTGGATAAATTCTTGCTTGGGTATGAATTCATCTTTTGTTGTCGGCTCTTCGACACCTTTGGCAAGTGTATCCATTCTGTTGACCGGTTCTTCTGCGAGCAGAGACTCATCGATCGGCTCAACGGGTGTCGGATCGCTATCTAGAGGGACAGTGTGATCTTCGGCCGTAACAGAGGTAATGTCTGCAGCGACTTCATCCTTGCTTACTGTTTCGTTTGTGGAAATCGCAGCAGGTTCTTCGGCTAAGATCAACTGGTCAAGTATACTCGGCGCCTGGTCTTTGACGTCAGCAGGCTCAGAGCCGACCATTTGGGGCAGGATATCCTGATCATCGGCCTGAGCATCGAACGAAAGGTCCACAGGGTCCACACGATCGTTCTCATCAGGAAGGATGTCTTTGTTATCAAGACGCGTGAAACCTGGCTCGATCATGTATAATGGTCCTTCCATAGATTCGGACTTTTGTGCAGCAGGTGTAGCGTCAGTGGTAACATCTCTGTCAGTCGCGTCAGGCTCAACAGTATCTGACCCTTCCTTGTTGACATCTGAGTGACTTGCAAGGTCTATTGAGGACACCTCGGGCTCAACTTGATCGAGTGACGGATTTTTCAAATTCGTCTGCACTTCCTCAAGGTTGCTTAGTGCAGTAGGCAAAGGCTCAGCCTGTGTTTCATCTGAAAGCTCTGCTTGCTTTAATTCTGCGACTGTATCATGCTCGGCTGTGTCAGGAAAGTAGCTGATTGAATCTCCGGTGATCGGACTTTGCTCAGTAGTTTCCTCAAAGGGTGATGCTTGGCCTGACACTGAGGACTTCTTTGCTTTCCTTTTCTCCTTCTTTGAGAGCTTCCTGGCTACTGGCTGTTCTTCGATGATCGCTTCTACCTCGGCCAGTTGCTGTGGTGCCGAAGAGACATCAATATCAGTTATCACAGGTGTCTCGGTCTTGAGTTCAGGCTCGAGCTCAACTGGGAGCCCGGTTGACTCTCCAAGTGCTGCTGCAGGCTCTGGCTCGGCAACCTCTTCCTGGACAAACTCGGACTCAACCTCCTGGTGCTTGGCCTTCTTTGCCTCTTTCTTGTCTTTCTTCGATTTCTTGGGAGAGATTGTCGCGAAGGCACTCGTCTCGGCAGTATCTTGAGGTCCAAGTTGGTCCGAAACGCGGTCCAGAACATCAGGTTCGCCGCTTGCTGAGATGATCTGTTGGCTTGCTTCCGGCTCGGACAAGACTTCTACTTCTTTGGTGGAGTTAGGGTTTGCCTCCGGGTCTTGCAATTGCCTTCTTTCGGTAGTGCTAGCAGGCTTGTCGATCGGCTCCGTCTGCGTCGTAGCAGGCAACCCAGACATAGGCTCTGGCATGGTATCAACGACTGGCTCTTCTTCCAAATGCTTGGTAACGGCTTGGAGATGTGTCTGCCCATCCTTGGTCTCCTCAAAGACGGGTGCTTCTGAGTCTAAACTAGAAGTCACTTCGCGAGTCGTATCATCAGCAGTGGCATCAGTGGGGTCACTTGGCTTTGGCTCTGAAGAGAGCGGCTCTTCGAAAGGGACAGCTGGTTCGTCCTGAGCGCTTGCTTGTGTTGGTGTGACAGACAGCCGTCTGAGTTGCTCGTGTGGCGCCGAGTCAGCTTCGTGTTCTTGGAAAACTGTTAATGGTTCGCCTTCGTCCGTAGGAACAACGAAGTGGTGCTCTGGGCTTTCCTCTACCGGAGTAACGAAATACTGGTCCGCAAGCTCATCGGCGGGCGTTGCGAAATACTGTGCTGCAGGGTCTTCTGCAGGCGTTTCGAAGACATCTGGCGTGATAGGTGTTTGTTCGATGGCGCTGGAAACCTCAGGTGGTTGTAGATCTGGAGGTTGTGTAGTTGGAACGTCCTCGATTGTCTGATCGACCTCTGTCAAAGGCTGTTTGCCTTTCTTGCCCTTCTTTTTCTTCTTCTTGGAAGAAGGCATGGCCCACTCATCTTCGGCAGTAGCGATAGAAAGCTCAGGGTTGGAAACTGGCTCTTGAGGTCGCATTTGGTCACTCTCAGCGGGGATTTCATCTTGAGTGTCAGACTGGACAGATACGTGGACCACCTCAGGAGTCTCTGCGGCAGGTTCAGGGACCAGAGATACAGCTTCAGACAAATTGTCTCGTACTGAGGCTTCTGCATCTGCAGCTGAAGACAGTGATGTGTCTTCAACTACGCACGGAGCTTTAGTTTGCTCACTCTCTGCAACTTCAAAACCGGAACCCTGGATGTCGACATCGCCTGTCAGCGTGGGCTCCACAGCCTCAATAGTTTTGTCATTCTCGATGGTGTCAGGGTTATCAACTTGGGAATCAACAGCTTCCAAGAATTTGTTCTCGGTTGTCGGTGACCATTGTGAGGTTGTTTCAAACAGTGCTTTCTCTTTTGCTGCTTTCTTGCCTTTTTGCCTTTCTTGCTTTTCTTGAACGGCATGGCCCAGGGATCTTCAGCTAGTTCAGGTTCTATACTCAGTAAGGCAGAATCTTCTCCTTGGGCTGTATGTGACAGAACATCAGCGGCGGTCCCTGTTACACTTGAATCAGGGAGATTAGCACTAGTCTCAACCTTATCCGGCGCGTAATCAAACGTGCTGGCGGTCGCCGTAGCAGACGGCAGGTCGTCTTGAGCGATAGGCGCAGCGCTCTCAACCATCTCAACATCTTCTCTGTTATCTGCCGATGCCTCGATCTCTAGTGGCAAGTTTTCTTCGACTTGTGGTTGAGCGATAGAGACTCCTATATCCTTGACGTACTTTTCGTCGTTCTTGATTTCATCGACTGTTGCATCAGTCTCATGGCGATCTGCCTTCTTCCGGTCTGACTCTGATGTGTCTTCGGCAGTGTCAGGGACGATACCAGATTCTTCAACAAACTCAGGATGTTGCATCGGCTGCTCAAGAAGTCGCTCAAAAGGCTCCTGTGTCAAAACGTTGGGCTCCTTTGGCTCATCTTCAGGTGCTTCCAACTCAGCCTTGGATTCATCAGCTGCCTGCGATTTACTGCCTGGTAGCCAGGAGAACCAAGAGGATCTTTTACTTGTTGCTCCTGGAACAGTAGTTACCGGGCTTCTTGTGTTCTCCTCAAGCAGTTCTCCAGATGCAAGCTCAGCCTGTTTCTTGAGAGGCGCTTCCGGTACAGGTGTTGACTCCATGGCTAGCTCTGAGATAGAATTGATAGCTTCGGGCTCATTCAGTTCGTCATGAGTCTCCTGAGGAAGTGCTACTTGTTCAGGTGACAGCTCAGCCTGGAGTTGAGAAGTATTCATTGGCTCCGCTGCGATCTGTGGCTCTCTTGTGCTAAGTTCTGAAGCTGATTTTGTCTCGACGGACGGTAACATGTCTTCCGGAATCTGGTCTGTAGGTCTCCTGGCGTCCTTGTCTAGGCTGAGCGAGGGATCTGATCTTGCAACTGGATCCTCAGTATTGTGCTCTGGAGCTTCTCGATCTGAAGTGGCCAAAACAGCTGCAGNCAGCGGCAGGGACCGCGATTGATAGAGCAGCTTTCTTTGCCTTTTCTTGTTCTTCTTGCGCTCTGCTTTGGACATGGTATAGTTTGGCTCTTCGATTTGTGCATCATCTTGAGGTTGCTCTACATCGACAGGCGTAGCGGATCCAATAATAGCATCAATTGGAGCGATCGCCTCTGCGGCTTCGATACTGGATTCTGGCTCCCGAGCGGTCTCTCCAGTACCTGCGCTTGCTTGGCCTCCTTCGACTTCGCTCTTGGCTTGACTGTCTGTGAGCGTCTCCTGTTGAAGCTCTGTTTCCGCGATCAACTGTGGCTCTGAGGGTTCTTCGATTGACACTGGCTCTGAAGGTTCTCCTAATGTCGTTGGTTCAGAATTCAGATCGTCCGAGACCACAGACTTCTGCTTCTTCTTCTTGCCCTTCTTTGACTTCTTGCGTGACAGCAACGGAGAACCAGGCTCGACCTCCGGAATCGAGACTCCAGTCTCTTGCGTTGGAGCAGAACTCTCTACTTCGATGGGAGTCGTCGATTCTGGCAATGGCACAAGACTGGCCTCGACAAGGGTTCCTTCGCTAGGCTCCGGATCTGACGTGAACCAAGTGTCAACTGCATCTTGTGCATCCTTTCTTCGTCTTCTTGCGAGCTCTGCTGGAGTTTCGCGTACGGGACTCGTGGTTTCAGAAACAGAGGAGGTTCCCAGTTTGGCTGCTTTCTTGTTTTTACGCTTCGTGGTTGAGATTGGGAGGTTGGAGCTAGCTTCTGGTTCTTGTGATTGCATGACAGGTTCCGCGGATTCTTCATGCATTGATGCCTCAGTATTGGGAAGCTCCTCGTCGGTCATTTCACCCCATACATCTGTTGCCATGGGGTCTTCGTTAACAACAACTTTTGTGTCCACGTTCGACAACAAGTTTTCTTCGGCAGAGTTTGATCCAGTCTGTTCATCGCCTGTGAAAGCGGGCTCTTCTTTCGGTTCATCATGGTGCTCGCTCTCCGCTTCCTTGCGTAAGTGTTCCTCGCGCTCCATGTCACTCCATGTGTAGTACTCTGGTTCCAAATGAGGGCGAGACTCTAAAACATGCTGGGGAAACTCAGTCGCTTTAGGTGTAGTCTGCGTGGATCCCAGCACGTCCTCAGGCTGATCCGTAAGGAACTGATCAAATGCAGGTGGACTCGAGTTGTCTTGTTCGCTAGGATCAAAGTCCTCTGCTGCAGACTGCCAATCTTCACTACTCTGTAAGCTAGATGAACTCGTGCTACGGCTTGGGGGTAGACTTGGCAAGTTTTGCTCAGCTTCTTGGTCTTGAGGCTTGCGTGTGCGTTCGAGCAGGTACAACGGTCTGAACTCGGTGGAATGCATGAACTCCGTAGACAACGGTCTCTTCGCTTTCGGCGTTATTGGCGATGACGGTGATTGCGCAACAGGAGAGCTAAAGCTGGCTGAGCGTTCCTGTGGAAGACTAGGAGATGTTGGTGGACGACGGAACCTCAATGGAACAGCTGTAGAGGAGCTGATACGTAGGGGAACAATCGGTCTAGTGGGTGTCATATATTCGAAAGGAGGTGACAGCGCCTCTGATGGGGTTCGACTAGGTTGAGCTTTTACGACCTGGTGTGTTGGGCCTTCCACGTCCGCTTGTACCGCAACATCTGGTAAGTCCTTCCGCTCGTCAAGAACCGTCGGCGATGTTGTCGAATCATTCGGTTGCTCCATCGCTTCTATCTTGTCATGTGCTGACAGCGAGAAAGTTTCTTGTGGATGTTCGACTGATTCCGGAGCCTGGAATGATGGTGGAGCATCATCCTCGGGTAGAGGTACGGACTCCTCATCCTCTACCCGCTCCACTAAAAAAGACTTGTCTTCGTCTTTGATGGTCTTGCTGTCTCGTGAGAGCGATCTTGTGTCGTCCAGATCCAGATCTCGAGCACGATGTCTATGTTGGCGCATTGACTCGGAAGTTTGGGATTGAGTATCATCGAACTCATTCTCTGGAGAACGGCTGTGGTCCCTACTACGATGCTTGTGGCGTCGCCTGGACTCCGATGCTTGGGAACCAGCATCATCTTCATCTACACTACCATCACGATGGTGTCTTCGTCGATGTCTAGAACTGCTTGAGTGTCTCGAAGAAACTTCGTCCTTTTCGGCATGTGAACGGGATCTAGAGGTCGAGCCTCGGCGTTCATTGAACTCATCGACCACATGCTCAGAGCTATGACGGCGATGATGATGCTTCGAGCGTTCACCATCACCATTGATGCGTTTCTGCTCATTGCTGGGAATATCATCTGACGTCTTGCGACGGAAGAGACTCAATATGCCACCCTTCTTCTTGCTCTTGCTTTCGTCGTCCTCCCTTTTTGAGCTGTGGGAACTACGGGAGCGAACAGATGATGCATCATCAAAGTCGTCGTCGTCACGGTGTGATCGCCGTTTGTGCTTACGAGAACTCTCATAAGGTTCAGACATTGCGACTGATGCGCTTCTGCGAGGGGAGGTTGACTTCTCCTGTTCGCGATGGGATCTACTCTTGCGTCTTCGGCCACTATCTTGATCTCCAGCAGGAGCAGAGACGACAGATGCAGCTCCACGCTCGGACTCGGGAGAAGTAAGATCCTTGGTTGTCGCTATTCTCGTATCCTCGATAGGGATTCCAAAATTGTCGTTGGCCTCATTCGCTCGCGACAGAGGTTGATTGTCATGTTTTGAAGCGTCCAAGGGCTCGATGTATTCATCCCAGGTCATAGCAGACCGAAGTGGAGATCCTATGGTAGGATAGTTGAGCAGACTGTTCCTCTTCGACTTCTTCGGTCTCTTGCTACCAGGAAGCATGTCGAGATCGTCAAAGGCATGGCTGGGAAGAGATGGTCGTCGTTCATACACTGGTGATGTGGGTGTGGATCGCGATACAGCATCTCGGGGTTGTGACTGTGAACGGCTTGCACGTTGGCGATCGACTTCTGGCTCGCTCATTCTCCTAGTTGGAGAGTGAGAGCTGTCACTGTTGATGAGAGCACCAACCGCAGCTGCAGCACCAGCTATTGCACCAGCCACGGCATAGTCTGTAGACTGGTTGTCATCGCTAGTGTTGTGGGGTTGCCCAGATCTCGATGTCGAGTCACGCAGCTTCCGTGCAGAGTCATCGTCCGTCGGAACAACACGAGCTGGCGAGGAGGCATGATGTTCACCATCCGGCGACTGTCGATCTTGATCCAAAGATGCTCTTCTTGCTTCCTTATCTCGCTTCCTTCTCTGCTTTTGAGTCGTGAAGTAGTCATCCTGGTCTTGCTCGTGGAATTGTGAGGGCTCTGCGCGAGGGGCTTGCTGTTCTTGCATGACCTCACGACTGAGGTTCTGAATATCTGCATTGAACGAGTCTTCAGGTCGAGGAAGTGAGTTTGCGTCTTCGAAGCCACCAGGAACATGAGGCATACGGTCGTCAATCTCATTCACATCATCAATCTCACCCTCAATGAATCCTTGTACTGGGGGTGCGCCTTCGGTACCTGGCGAGTCGAGTGTGAAAGCAATGTCGGAGACACTCTCGAAGAACGGCTGTTGGTAGAAGCGTTCCGAAGATGTGGTTGGCGACTCCCTGGTAATCTCCTCAACTAGTTCATCTGCCTGATCCTTGCTCAAGTTCGTGTCATTGATCACGTTTTCATTGCCGTTGAACCTTGCTTGAGCTACCTCAGGATAATTGTATCCGGTGTGTGAACCAGGTTCCCCATGAGGCAGCTCGGAGACAATCTGCTCTTGAGATGATTGTGGAGTCGTGATCTCGTAGAAACGAGTTTGATCTTCGCCCCAGCTGACCTTACTCGACTTTTGCGGCTCGGTGTCATCGTTATACTTCTGACTAGGTTCTCGAACAGTTTTCTTCGAAGCACTGATTGGCGATTTGTCACCTTTGGCTGAACCGGCGTAGCTTGCAGGTGGTGTGGGTGCAATCACGTTGAGCTTGGGAATATCCCATGGTGCCGTACTCTTGAGATCCCTCAAGTCTGCGAACTGGTAAGATGGCTGGTAGGGTGGCGGTGGCTCGTTAGGCATGGAAGCAGCTTGATCTTCCGACATGTGATAGACATGGTAATCGGTATCGTCGATAGGTCCGTGGACTTTGGTCTTGCCTTTCGATGGTTCGAAGAGCTCCTTGGGTGCGAAGAATTCAGCCTGAGATGGTGCGGGATCCTTGTATCTGCTCTCGAGGTCAGCAACAACCTTGGCTGCTGCCTTTCTAGCGAGCTCTTCATGTCGAGCTAGCTCGCTGTGGCTACGCCTGCGAGTGAAGAAGTCTGGGTCGATGAGGTCGTCGTCCATAAGAGGTTGACCACTATGTTCATTAGACGGTTCGTAAGAACGAGTGGCATAAGGCATGTTCGAAGGGTTGTTTGCATCTTGTTGAGGTTGACTGGCGTAGTAGTCTTGTGATTTGCCGATAGTTGCTCGAGAAGTTGTAGAAGGGCCAGCGGCTGACTCTGGAGAAGAAACTTGTCTCGCAGTTGCCAACTGCTGGGCTTCCCAAGCCTCGCGCTGCTTTTTAGCCTCAGCTTCTTGAGCTTGCTCCGCAAGCGCGTTCTTCATGAACTCCTTGATTTCTTCTTCCCTCTGACGATCTTCTTCTCGCTCTCTAGCTTCAGCAGCCGCTACTTCTCGCAGTTGAGCTTGATATCTGTCGGCCTGTTCGGCAAGAAGCTTCTGACGCTCTGCTTCCTCAGCATAACGCCTCGCGTTTTCAGCCGCTATCCGGTCTGCCTCTTCTTTCAATGCTCTTTCACGATCGAGGCGAGCACGTTCCTTGTTTTCTCTAGTCTCTACTTTGGCACGCTCCTTGCTCTCTTTAGCATCGTCTTTGCGTTGCTGACGCTCCTCTTTCTTAGCTTGCTTTTCGGTTAGCTCAAAGCGGACATTGCTGGGACTGTCGTCTCTAGCTCTGCTTTTGCCATTGGAAAGGATCCCAGCTGCAGCCGCGCCTATTAGTCCAGCTATCGCAGCATTACGCATGGTGTGGCTTGACACAGGACTCGATTGTGTACGCCTCAGCTCTGTGGGCAGAGCAGGGCGCGTGAATANCCGAGGACTAGGCTGATCAACATGAGAGGTATGAGGCGGACTCTGATTACCGAAGATGCTAGATTGCAAAGGCATGACCGGTTGCGGCTGTTGTATTGGTGTGTGTTCGCTAACACATTGCTGCTCTGGGAATGCACCAGGCATTGATGGATGGCCGCGTTTTTCAGAATGCATTGGGCTAGAAATTGGGACTGAGTGCACGTATTGCAGTGGCTGCGACGAGGTTACACTAGGTTCCTTGCCGGAGTAAGCGTCTTCGTGATAGGTTTTTGAGATGTCGTCAGTAGCGATCTTCTTGTTCGGCTTACGGCGCCAGCGCCAGCTCCACTTGTCAGTACCAGAACTTTGTGAAGTAATCGACTCAGAGCTACGTTGTCGTCTAGGGGCTTTGCGATCGAAGTCGCCAAATGCGAGGCCAGAAGAGACACTCTCATCATCGCTTGCTGACTCCCAGCCCTCCTCCTCACTGGTGTTCTGCTTACTTCGCTGTGTGGTATGACGGATGTCTTGATTGCGTGATCTGGTAGGCTCTGGTTTCTTGCTGCTTGGCTTGCCTCGCTGTACCGCGCTGAGAGCAGCAGCAGTAGCACCAATACCTAATAGAGTAGCCTTGAGATGCTCGTCTGAACTCTTTCTGGTAGCTCTTCGTGAGAACTTCCCATTCTTGCTGGGATGAACACCAAAGGCAAGATCAGAGTTGGCAGATGATGAGGATGAATTGGCAAAGTTAAAGAATCCCTTCTTCTTGCTCTGCTTGGGTCTGCTCCTACTTGGTCGTGCGGAGAAGAAGCCAGTGAACATACCTCCTTGCTGTGGTGATGATGAGCGTGAAGCTGTTGCTGACTTGCGCTTCTGCGAACCAGACAAACCCAAGATCTGAGCCAGAGATGGACTTTGACTTCTCGACCGACTTTTATAGCCTCGGTGGGATGCTGGATGTGGTGATTCGTTTTTGACCCAAGGACTAGGATGGCGCACGTGAATCTGTTCCTGGCTGTGTCGCGAACCTCCAACAGTCGCAACGCCTGACTTGGTGCTATCATAACGGCCGTCTTGACTACACCTCGAGTCCGCACCGGTGTGCTCTGGTCGTCTTGCTGAGTTCTGGGTACTAGTTTCGAAGCGGTCGCCTAAGTCATCGTCCATCCTTCTGCGGTCGTTGGTGCGCTCTGGTCTGCTCTCATGACCCGACGAATAATTCTGAGTCGTCTCTCTACGACGGCTGGTTCTCGAGGTGTCACTCCTTCTTCCTGACTTGACACTATAAGTGTCGTCAAAATCCCGAGAGTTTTGCCACAGAGACTTTCCGACCTTTGATATGCCGTATGCAGCGACGCCAGCACCCAGCCAATCGGTTTTCTTGCTTCGGCGTTCGCTGTCTGATGAGTGGTATCTCGCATCCTTGTCAATCCTACCATACTTGGAGCCATTGGTATATGAACGACGGAGCGAGTCACTAGAGCGTCTTCGCAGCGAATCAGAAGACCGTCTCCCTCCCCGATAGTGCTTCCTAGGAGCGTCTGTAACAGCAGAGCGAGGATCAAAGCAATATCTACAAACACCAATATACTCGGTATACTCTTCCATCTTGCGCACATCTTCGTAGTCTTTCCACCATTCCACAAATTTGCTGATGGGACCTTTGTGCTTGTGCTGCATCGCCATGTTTCCGGAAGTGTACGGCCTTGGAGGAGAGTATACTTGACCACTGTCGTTGCCGATAGGAGCTGAGTGGTTGTGCTTATGCATTCTGTGATGATAGCTCTGAGCACCTGCTGCTGCTACTCCCGCGGCTGCAACATATGGCAAATTTTGATTTGTCGAAGCTTGCTCACCGTATCCTGGAAGTTGGCTAGGCAAAAATGTGTTGTAATCTTGATCAGTGTATGTGGTTGCATGAGGTACAGACTGAGAGTGCTGGTGATGTGTCTCATGCGAAATAGGATGTTCTTGTGCGAAGGCTTCAGTGGGACGATGTGGTTGCTGATATGTATAATTCTGATCGTGAAGAGCTGCAGCATTGACATCAGGTTGGGTGTTGATCGGGCCAGTAGTGTAAGAATTAGCAGGATAGGCAGGACTGTTAAAAGATCCTGTCTGTCCGGTGGGATGGTAGGATGTGTTTTGAGGGGCATTGAAGGCTTGCGTAGGCGCATGCTGGTTCCCAGCCTCAGGAGCCTGCATTGGGACCTGTGAGTAGTACTCGGGGGCAGCTCCCGCGCCTAATTGAGGGACCTGGTTGACAGATGAGGAAGAAGGTCGGACCTGGTCACCAGCATAATACGTAGCAGCAGCACCTTGAGCCATAGTGGGGTTGAATGCAGAACGCGCAAAGGTCGAAGGATCCTGACCGGGGAACTGGTCTTGCACGTGAGAAGATTTACCGAACGAATCTTGTGAATGGTCTTCGTAAGACAATGAGTGGTTGTTCAACTCTATTTTCTCGACCGAGGAGTGATGCTCCAGACCTTCGTCATATCGCTGGCCAGCATCATCCTTGTAAGCTCTGTTCAAGCGTGGGTCATTGTCTGCATGAGCACCTCCTGGAGGCAGGTCTTCTGCATGTGAATATGTATCTCCCCATCCATCATCTTGCATGCTAAGGCTCCTGATTGCATCCTCCGTCAGTGATCGAGGCTCGAGTTGATGGAGTCGATCAGAAGCGGTGTAGTAGGATGAGGGACCGGAAGAACCATTCAAAGGAGATTGGGCCGAGGCCAGATTTCTATGTTCGGTTTTGGAAGAGCGTTCGTCCTTGCGAGAGTGTTTGCGATGCGTGGACGAGGATGCTACTGATTCGGGACGGCGACTTGATTGATCTGCCTTTTGCGCTTAGACGAGGATGCCGAGTTCTTGCTACTGAGTGATCTGAACATGGCCGACTAAACTTGCGTACCAGACGACGGTACGCGCTCGCAAACAACCAGAGGCTTCACCGCAAGAGCAGTCCGAGGTGCAGGTAAACAAATTAAGACTTTTGATTATATCGATTATCGTCGAGTCTGAGATGATTCTAGGGTCATGGTATCGTGAGTCGTGAAAGGTGCGTAAAAACAGCAAACGACAAAACTGAGGTGCAAAGCAGGAATCTCACAAGTGCGACGAAAGACGAAGGTGTTTGGTTCATCAATTGTGGCAGGCGCTGGGTCGTCGCGTTTGTGCCTTCCCCATGCACCTCGCAGCTCACCTTTACCTGCTTGGGTTTGGTGCCCGACTACTTTCCCAGCCTCCCGCATTTTGGCAAGCCCACCCGTAAGCAGGGCAACCGGAAGCTTATTGAGAGTGTCATTGCAAGTGCCATTCGGTGTTCTGCATAGGAAAAGCGAATAAGAAGGGCTTGTGTGAGAAGGACATGGAAGTTTTCTTAAGCTGGACGTCAAAAGGTAGGTATGAACGTTTTGCGGGACCCCATTTTCGGGTTCAAGCTTTGGAGTCAAAACGGCCCGCGCGAACCACTGCTGCGTTCTATGTACATTCGATTACGAGTCATACTGCTGTCTACTGAATGTGAGCCATGGATTGGAGGAAATGTGTTTGTATTTTGGAGCGAATCGTGTCGCTCTTCATGCTCAACCTATGTCTTGTTCTATGACTAGGTATGCTCGAGTCACCACTATGTTTGGCTGGACGCTGTCGTTGTGGCCTTGTCTTATGTGGCTCTTTCATCTTGCGACCAGATGATGTGTGAGTTGTGGCGTTAACGACACTTTCAGACATTGTCGCAAGATTGCATCGAGTTCGTCGAGCAATCCAAAAGACGCTCTTCATGCTTGTGTCAAGAGCTAGCGGTTTTGCTGTAGCTGGGTATCTCGTGATGCCACTCAGTATTTTGGTATGGCGGGTAGGTTTTAGCCAACGCAACGCAAGTTGGATGTCAAAGTTGCACTCTTCAAGCGACTGGGGCACCGAGCTGAGCGCGCAAAGCAATGATCTGCTGGCGCGATACAGGGTCGAGTTGGTTGATCTGATCTATGGTCATAGACAAGACTTGAGCAATCAGGTCCTGCTGACTAGGCGCAGCAGCCTGTTGAGGAGGTGGCGGTGGTGCAAAAGCAGGCTGTTGGACAGGGGGTGTGGGCTGTTGGTAGTTCTGAGGAGGGTATCCAGGGTAACCAGGCTGAGGAGTAGGAGCGTACGCGCCTTGAGGAGGCTGAGGCATGGGTGGTGGAGGTACAGGTGCTGCAGCAGGGAACTGTTGGTTTTGAGGAGCAGAGGCCTGGACAATGCTGCTGAGCATGCTCGTGTCTACCAGGCCGAGAAGAAGAAGTGCCTGGAAGATGGCGTAGGCGAGTTGGGGAGCTTGGCGCAAGAGTTCGGTTGCTTGGTTGGGATCCGACATAACGAGGCCCTTCATTTGCGAGATAATATCAAGTAACTGAGGAGCTGGAATGGCGCTAAGTGTCTTAGAGATGGCGTCGGGGCATGTCAGACCAGCGGGCAAGTCTGTGCCAGGCGGGAGGGGGGGCAGCACCGGGGGCTGCTGGTTTGAACCGTCGGCAGGATGTGATTGTTGCATATTGTTGGAGTTGTCATTGCTGTTATTGCCGCCTCCGCTGTTGTCGTTGGACCAGTCGACGCGCAACTTGCGGCCCATGATTTCGTGGTCATTGAGGTTGCGCACTGCTGATGCAGCAGCGTCTGGGTCTGCGAACTCGAGGAAACCGAAGCCCTTGGGTCTACCAGTCTCCTTGTCGTGCACCAGTCTGAAGTTGTTCACCGAGCCGACTCTTCCAAACGTGTCAATGATCTGTTCTTCGCTAACACCNNTGAATCTTGGTCAGCGTTTGTCGCGTATTGCACAAGAAGACACACGCGTACCGTAAGGGATGTTGCCAATAAACACGACTCTTCCATTCTTTTCGGGCGCCATGTTGGGTGGTCGTGATATGTTGAAAGATCGTGAGTAGAGTAATGCCGAGATGTAGCAAGACTCGCGACTGGAAGCTCGCTCTTAGTCCAGCCGTTCAAAGCCTTGGCTTACAACCATGTGAAAGTATGTCAATCAACAACCAACTTGTTCACTTTGGAAGCATAAGATGAGGGTATTCCTTACTCAATGCCAAAAGCATCTTGGTTACCACCTAATAGTTTGTGTCAATGCGCATGATTTTTTACCACTTTCCTTGAATGGCGGAGGGTTGATTGTTGTATATCAGAAGCAGTCGAATATCTTGGTTCCATATAGAAATCAGGTTCTGAAAGACGGGAGCCATTTGACGCCTGCAAAAACCTAGCACATACACAATATCTATTTGGCCATCTCATAGCATCATTGAGAAACTCTCAGATGATGTGTGGTCGATGTTGTCGTCAATTTGGTGTCCAAAACTGTTGTCAAAGGGGTGACCCTGTATAACAATATCCAGAGAAACCGCAGACGAGTCGCCAGCATATGTTCCAGCTCTTTGCTAGGTTATACGAGCCATCACATCTTCTCTACGGGTGTCCACAAGACGCAGACAGAATTCCCAATGCCTGCAAGTGAGCGTCCAACATAAAAATACATTTCCTGAACATTGTTTTGTACAATAGCAAGGAGCAGCCACGTAGAATCGGCTGTCTCTGAGCCTGGGTCTGCAAATACGGTGCTGCCGCTTCGTAGGCTTTCTTATGCGCTAAGACTCTCAGCAACCTGCTTGGCCTCACGCAAGTTGCTCTTAGCCTTCTCATTCCTCTTCATGGCCTGCTCCTTGTTGTGCTTTGCTCTTTCGTCAATCTTGCCCACTGCATGCTTTCCACCAGGCAAAACTCCCTTTGNCAGCTTTTGACCCTTGTTTCCCATCAACCCAGCCTTTCTGGCACCCTTCTCGCCCTTTCCAGCTGCAACACCTTGTCCAGCCTCGATTTCTAGCGCTTGCAGTTTCTCAATAGCAGACTCTGAGCCTTGTGCAGCAGCGCGACGCAAACTGCGTCGCTCGAGTTTGGAATGGCGTTTGGCAAGGTAGGCAGTTTGAGATTCCTCTTCGCTGGGGACGGGTGGTCGTTCGGTGATGGGTGTACCAAAAGGAACGAGGATCTCTGACACAACGTGGCGGACGTGTTTGGCAGCGCGGANAGGTCTAAGAGCGACAACGTCGCCAATGTTGAGCGAGGAGTTGGGGTCATGGACTAGGTGGTCTGAGTGGTCCTTGAAGTGNNCTATAACCAAGAAAGAGATGAAGTCAGCACAACTGTTCTTCAGCACAAGCACCACACTTGGGCGCATTGTGTGAACGAGCGGATTTACCTTTCTCAAGTAATTGTTCCATTTTTGACTGGGTAGTCTGACTTTGACTGTCCTCTCCATCTTTCCAGCGCTGACAACGACACCAACCGGTCGCAACTTTCCAGATGTGCTTCCATCCGTCTCTTCCAGTGCCAGAGTCTGCGGTTGGGCATCCTGGACTACTGGTGTAGTGATAGGCGTTGTGAGATCTGAAGGAACAGGCAGTGTTGATGAGGCGGGCGCGACTTCGGTGGCAAAGGATCGTGTACTGCGCCAGGCTTGAATTGAAGGGCGTGTGCCTGCGAAGGCCCTCAAGGGAAGGCTGAATGTCCTGCTGGCCATGGTTGTGTGATATGCTGGTCGAGACCCTCGCGATTTCACGAAAGTAGATTTCCAAGTTGTCGCAGAGCGTCTCGACGCACAGACCATGTTCCCTTCCGCAACACCTCCGAATGCGAGGTCCTGTATGCTTCTGGTCGACTACAGCAGGAACAAGGAAAACAAATTGTGTGAAAGAACTTCGAGTCGATTTGTAAAATAGCAATCGCCACTCTTCAGGTGTCTATAGCGTCATGAATGAGAAAACTAACATAATTTGCAACCCCAAGTTGACCTTCAGCCACTCGCCATCTCTCCTTACGCCGTGTACGCCAGCCCATGCTATCGTCAACAAGTCAAATTTGACCCTTGAAGCTCTTTCCTCTAGATAGTGGTTGTGGCTCTCTTTGTGTCAGGTCTTCTAGGAGTCGAGGTGCCTGAATTGACGCCAGAGCCAGTGTCTTCGTTCTGAGTAGCGGTGCTCTGCTGCGTGGTCTCCTCGTGCATCTTTCCATCGAGCTGCGATTGCTTGACCTTAATCTTCTTCTCGGCCTGTTCGGAGATTCTGGTGAGCTCATTGACGAAAGACTCGCCCCACCAAGCACTGGTGTACTTGTTGACATATTTGGCAAGCTTTTGGTAGTTGATGCTTCTCTGCTCATCTCCCATGGTTACAGCGTCATGGATAGCATCAGCCAATTCTTCCGTGTTCCAAGGGTTGACAATGATGCTGCCGTTGAGACTCTGAGCTGCGCCAGTGAATTCGGACAAGATCATGGAACCGTGACGCTTCTGCTGGGTTGCAATGTACTCGTATGAGACAAGATTCATGCCATCACGGGTTGACGAGACAAGACAGACGTCACTAACTGCGTAGAGTGCAATCAGTTCATCGAACGAGACCGACTTGTGCATAAAGTGGATGGGCATGAATTCGATGGTTCCNNTGTTTCTTGTTAGATGATGGTCAATTCTGACGTCCTTGGAAAACATACCGAATTTGCCGTTGATTCTGCCAACCAGTTCGTTGACGACGGCACGGAGGTTCTGGTACTCCTCTACATCCTGTCTTGAAGGAACAGCGACTTGGACGAGCACGACTTTGCCGATCCATTCGGGATGTTCAGTCAAGAAGACTTCAAGCGCATGCAGCTTCTGAGGGACACCCTTGATGTAGTCAAGACGGTCAACACCGACTATCAGCTTGACACCTTGGAACTTCTTCTCAAGTGTCTGGATACGTTCCACGACCTTAGGCTTCTTGAGGCCTTCCTCGAACTTTTCGGGATCAATACCAATAGGGAATGCACCAACGGTAACGACCTTGCCCTGGAACTCGACTGTGTTTGGTGTTGTTGGCAATTGGCTTTGCTGAGCGTTAGCAACATGATAGTAGATGAAAAGAACCGTGTAAGCTTACAGGATTCTAGAACAACTGCTGAGGAAGTGCCTAGCATAATCATAGGTGTGGAATCCGACCAAATCGCAGTGTAGGACACCGTTGAGGATCTCGTTACGGACAGGCAAGATTCTGTAAATCTCGCTACTGGGGAAGGGNNGAGTGTGAAGGAAGAAACCGAACTTGACGTTGCGCTTCGAGTCGCCAATCTCTTCGCGGAGCATAGCAGGAAGAAGCATAAGATGGTAATCGTGTACCCAGATCAGATCGTTGTCTTGGACGTCCTTTGCGATTTCTTTTGCGAACAGACGGTTGGCCTCGCGGTAGGCATTCCATGCAGACTCGTCGAAGGTAATCTCACCGGGGTGGTAGTGGAAGAGGGGCCAGAGGATTGAGTCTATCGCTCAATGTCAGCACAGTGAAACATGACAGCAAATTCGAAGGGACATACTAGAGAAGCCGTTGTAATGTCTGTCGGCCAGCTCATCATCCATGAAGATGGGCACTGCGCCGTACTCCTTCCATAGTCTATCCTTGACCAGACCGATCTCATTCTGAGGAACCTGGATACCGGGCCAGCCATACCACTGGAACTTTGTAGTCTTTGCGAGTCCTGAAAGTCCACTGACTAGACCACCAGAAGACATTGAGAAGTCGTAAGTAGCGTCATCGGAGCGCTTGATGGTAATAGGCAGACGGTTGGAAACGAGAAGGAGGCGACCTTTGCCATCGCTGGCAGGCTCTGAGGGATTGGCCATGGTGATATGCGCGCCTTGGTAGTGGTAGAGCTGTCTGTCGCAATAGTCAGTATGTTTGCAGGCGTAGATCGAAAGTTGTAGGCGGAAGCGAAGGAGTGCCGCAATGACTGAACAGCCACAATATACAATCACATGTCAATGGGTACTTACTTTAGCAACGTTGGGCAGAAACGGAAGAATCAGGTTTCGTAGATCAAAGGCAACAGGACCTTTTATTGTTGGGCGAAGAAGCAGGAAAGGTGTGATGTATTTGTGAGTAAAGAGCCCGGTCTCAACTACAAGCTTGCTTTGGACGCTCGGGGCTGGTGTGGAGCACTGGAGGATGCGGCTGAAAATGCAGGCCTGTCAAAACTCAGGGAAGCTTGTTGGCGTTTGTGTCCTTAGGGAGCTACAGGAAAGTTCACGGACAGTCACAAGAGGATGTTATATTGGTCTTGTAGCAGGCTCTCCTCTCTGTTTACCACGGATAGAAATTCTTGGAAATGTTGAGGATATTCTCCACGCCCTTGCCAACTATGGTAACATCGAATGTTGTGGAAAGGCCGTGCGAAGGAAGTTACACGGATTGACGTCACGCTTGTATAGGAAAGAACCTTGGAATTGAAGTGCCTGAGACTCACGATTGCGATGAGGCTTGCAACTAGCTAAGAGAGCAGTTTGACCCGTGAACGAGAACACGATAACCAGTCGGAGTGTTGATGAGCGTTCGGGAGTTGTGTTCCATGGCAAAAGTGATGCAGCTGGCCGAACGAGGAAGCCACTCCGAAACCAAACGTCAAACAGAAACGTGGGGCAGCTGCGCGTGAACTGCTTTGCGACGCGTCTTCTGCCAATGCTAACAGTCCACACAACGACGATCTGCTTCACTCTGCAACACAATGTCTTCCGAGTCTGGTCAACCTGACGCAGCACCTCCTTCTGATGCCGTCCTCGAAAAGACCTTACGCGACATTGTGCGCAAGGCCGAAGTCGATCCTATAACTGTCAAAAGAGTGCGCACCGCTGCCGAGGAGCGTCTAGGACTTGATGCTGGTTTCTTCAAAAGCCATGACGAGTGGAACGAAAAGAGCAAGNNGGAAATCATAGAAGACGCTTTCGTATGCTGCACTGTACATCTCATCTGTTCTTGATCTGTACTAATGGCCCAANNGAACCAACCATCTCAGAAATCCCCTTCACCTGAACCTACCCCGCCAAAGAAAGCACCATCTCGAGCAAAGACTACAAAAGGACTTCCACAAACAAGACAAAGCCAGCTTCTAAGCGCCAGAAGCGCTCCGTTTCTGGATCAGAACAATCTGACTTCGAATCCGAACCAGAGCCTGAGCCTAAGCCTAAGCCCAAACCTAAGCCAGCTCAAAGCAAGTCGCAGACTATGATTTCGGACGATGAAGAAGAGCAAGACGGTTCCAATGCCGAGGTCCAGGAAAAGGAGGTTGCTGCTGGTCACGATTCCGAGAGCGAGATGTCGGTAGTCCTAGACGAGGCACCACCAAAGCGCAAGAAGAGCACGAGTGCTGGCCCAAAGACTAAGGCACAACCTAAAGCGAAAGCCGCCAAGNGCTGCTGCTAAACCTTCCGAGCTCAGCGAAGAGGATCAAACTATTAAGCGGTTGCAGAGCGAGCTTGTAAAGTGCGGTGTGCGGAAACTCTGGCATCGCGAGCTAGCCAGTTACGACACACCAAAAGCTAAGATAGGCCATCTGAAGCAGATGCTGAAGGATGTTGGCATGACTGGACGTTTCTCTGAGCAGAAGGCCAAGGCCATCAAGGAACGAAGAGAACTTGAGCAGGACCTGGAAGCCGTGCAAGAAGGAGCAAAGCAATGGGGCAATGATGACGACGATGGATCCGAGTCTGAAGATGCACCCCGACCTCAACGCAGAGCAGCTGCAAATCGTTTTGTCGACTTTGGCGAAGACGATGAAGATGATGATGACTAATGACGAGTAATGAGATTCGAAGATGTTGTTGGCTGCTTCATCTCTGGACAGTTGATCGCTGTGCAACTATGCTAAAAGCAGCGACTGAAGAGATGAACAACACCAGGTTGTAGAACTAAATGCATCCTTATCAGCATGTGTTCATGTACTCTTCCTAACGGACCCACGTCGTGATTGGTAGAAATTGTGAATTATGATAGGAGGTGTACGATCAGAACCAACCACATGAAGAGAGTGGAAGGAGGATGATGGTAGGGGCAAGTATCGAAGAAAATTATCCATCAGACAGGTCACCAACATGTTGTGCATCGATCTTACCCTCCCCGTGTGCTAAGAACTGTCACACGACGTGTTGGCAAAGAACATCGTTCCCACTGAGATAACCCTATGGCAAGGCGTCTCCATGGCCAGACTCATATCCCAAACGGGACTGTGTATCTCGACAGCTTATGATACCCTTACACCCTGGACGGGGAGGGGCCCAATTCTGAGATTGTGACAGTCTCGATCGCACACGGGGAGCACATGTCATGATAGTGATAGGTGATATGGTAAGAAATAACGAGATGGGTGCTAGATGTCGCGACTTACAGCATTTCTTGAATATGCGCTCTCTTCCGCTTCAGTACGGGCTTCAACAAAGAGACGACGAAGATTCGGAAGGTTGGAAGGCTGCTCTATTTTAGCATATGTATCAGAATCGGCCATGACAGCAAATTACCATGACAATCGTGAGGCTTGTGCTTATGGTAAGAAGATGAAATCGAGGAGTGAGGGTCTAGAGTGGGAGGGTAGGTACGTGCATTAAAGTTATTCACAGTTATGCCTTCTCCACGTCAGTCACAACTTTGGCGGGCACCTGTAGGGAGCATCAACAACCTTCATTTCATTGTCCCTTTCACCATCAACAACGCAATACCGACTTCTGCCTCACCATCCGACAGCCTAGACTGGATCCAGAGAAACACATTGACAAGAGCTGGGAAATACAAATACAACGACAAGATGGCGGTCAATCGGCTCCGCAGTGCTCTGGCGGTGCCTCGTAAGGGCGAGACGTACGAGCTTCGAGCTGGTCTGGTGTCGCAATATGCCTACGAGCGCAAGGAGTCCATCCAAAAGACCATTATGGCCATGACGCTAGGAAAGGATGTCTCGGCCCTGTTCCCTGATGTGCTCAAGAACATAGCCACTGGTGACCTGGACCAGAAGAAGCTGGTTTACCTATACCTCATGAACTACGCCAAAAGTCATCCCGACCTCTGTATTCTGGCAGTCAACACTTTCGTACAAGATTCAGAAGATCCAAACCCTCTGGTCAGAGCACTGGCCATCCGTACCATGGGATGTATTCGAGTCGATAAGATGGTCGATTACATGGAGGAGCCGCTACGGAAGACATTACGAGACGAGAGTCCCTATGTGCGCAAAACTGCTGCTTTGTGTGTGGCCAAGCTGTTCGACCTCAACCCGTCCATGTGCCTGGAAAATGGCTTCTTGGAGACATTGCAGGAGATGATTAGTGATTCAAACCCTATGGTTGTCGCCAACTGCGTCACTGCACTTGCCGAGATTGGAGAAGCAGCGCCCGAAACCAACGCATTGATCGTGACACCTCAGACGCTGAAGAAGCTACTGCTCGCCCTCAACGAGTGCACTGAGTGGGGTCGCATCACCATTCTATCCACTTTGGCTGACTACAAGCCCACCGAGCAGAAGGAAGCCGAGCACATTTGCGAGCGCGTCGTGCCACAGTTCCAACATGCCAATCCTAGTGTCGTTTTGGCTGCCGTCAAGTGTGTCTTCTTGCACATGCAAAACATCAACCCTGAGCTCGGCAGGACCTATGCTAAGAAGATGGCGCCTCCGNNCTTGGTATGTGCATACAAAAGAGTCTGCCTCGCATTGCTAATCTGTTCCACAGTCACTCTCGTGTCATCCCAGCCCGAAGTCCAATATGTCGCTCTGCGTAACATCGATCTTCTACTCCAGAAGCAGCCCTCGCTCTTGTCAAAGGAGATGCGCGTCTTCTTCTGCAAATACAACGANCCCCCGTACCTCAAATTCCAGAAACTCCAGATCATGGTCCGCATTGCCAACGATTCAAACGTGGAACAACTGCTTGCCGAATTGAAAGAGTACGCTATGGAAGTCGATATGGATTTCGTCAGAAGAGCCGTCAAGGCCATTGGTCAGGTTGCCATTAAGATTGAGAACGCCTGCGAGAAAGCCGTCAATGTCTTGCTTGAACTTATCAACACCAAGCAAGCATACGTTGTGCAAGAGGTCGTGGTTGTTATCAAGGATATTTTCAGAAAATACCCTGGTTACGAGGGCATCATTCCGACATTGTGTCAATGTATTGACGACTTGGACGAGCCAACCGCAAGAGGTGCCCTAATTTGGATTGTTGGCGAATATGCCGAGAAGATCAGCAATGCCGGCGACATCTTATCTGGTTTCGTGGATGGTTTCGCAGAAGAATTTACTCAGGTGAGTTTTGCTGAATCGTGTTTGTTTTAAACGTTCGCTAACGAGCTGNNACAGACGCAACTTCAAATTTTGACTGCTGTGGTCAAGCTCTTCTTGAAGAAGCCTGATCAAGCTCAAGGATTGGTGCAGAAAGTCCTCCAAACCGCAACAGTAGAGTGTGACAACCCAGACATCCGTGACAGAGCATACGTCTATTGGCGACTCTTGTCAAGTGACCCTCAAATCGCAAAGAACATCGTCCTCGCACAACGACCGGCTATCACCTCAACAATCTCAACTTTGCCCATGCCGCTGCTCGATTCGCTTATGCCAGATCTTTCAACACTTGCCTCTGTTTACCACAAGCCACCACAGACTTTCCTCGGCCAAGGTCGCTCATCTGCCAACGCTTTGCAACAAGCTGCAATTGAGGAAGCCGCTCAGAACGCACGCGAAAACCCCTTGGCTGCTGCAGCTGCTGCAGCCGCTGTTTCAGGACAAGCAAGCACCGTGCAAAGCCATGCCGAGAACCTCCTCGATATTGACTTTGACGGTGCAGCACCAGCCAGTTTGCAAAAGGCACCTGCAGGCGGCTCATCAGGTCTCGAGGGTCTCGCTGGTACGCCCATGCGTGTTGCTAGCCCGACAACGAACGAACTCATGGGCGGCGGTATGGAAGACCTCATGGGTATCTTTGGTTCTTCAGGCGGTGCTTCTGCTGCACCTGCTACAGGTAACTCAGGCTCTGATGATTTGATGAACGGATTCGCGAGCTTGAATATGGAGGCATCACAACCGCCACCGCCACAGACACAGTTGCAAGGCGGAGGCGGCAACAAGGCTAACGAAGATATTCTCGGCCTGTTTTAGACAAGCAAGCTCTAGGAAGTCACCTAATTTGTTCCGTTGTCACTTTAGCGAAAGTTGTTGCGTCCTTATAGACCACATAAATGTTGTTCTCCATCGCACTTGCTTCTCAGCATTGGTATTCTTGTTTCTTCGCATCATCATGACAGACTGCAATCCAAATATCTATCCGTATTTGTTCCCAAAATCACGTATCCTATCTCCCACCATGGTCTACTCCCAGTGACTTCGGATATAAACCGGATATAACAAAACCAGCGAGCTCGCAAACAAAACCTTCAATATAACTCAGGGTCACTTGCGTGTTCAACAACAACCCACAAGAACATGACTTCAATCAATTCCATTCAATTCCAGATCCTTGATCTACCTCCGAGCTGCATCGAATTTTGCCCAACATCTCGTGACTGTTTTGTCGTCGGCACATATTTTCTGGAGAAGAAAGAGCAAGATGCTGGTGTAGAAACCAGTGCGGGAGACGAAGAAGGAAACAGTGGAGACACAGACAAAAACCTCAGACCAGAACTGGTTCGTTGATTTTGTTCAAGGTTGAGGGTGATGAGGTGTAAGTTTTGTTTTCTTTCTTTTATCCTTTATCTTAGCACTTTGTTATACACCTGGTTTTCTATCTGTTCTCAGCTTTTTACATCTCATGCGATTCCGTTCAGAAGGAAGAAAGACGAAACAACTAAATCACATCCCATCAAATCTCTTGCACGAAACAAGAAAAAAGACCAAGAAAGCTTACATCAAAATCCTCTTTTACAGTAAACAAATCTCTACAACACAAACCCCCTACGCAATCCTCGATATCCATTTTTCACCACATGATGCTTCGCTCTTAGCAGTAGCAGCATCAACAGGAATTGTTCAACTTTTCCGTTTCTCTGCTTCAACAATTTCTCTCCAACCTCTGTCCACATACCAATTTTTCGAACCAGAGATTTTGGTATTGTCGCTAGCTTGGCATCCCACTTGTGCAAATATCCTAGGAGTAACGACTTCTTCTGGTGGTGTTTATATCGTGGATGTTTCTGTATCTGAGGCAGAAGCAAAGGATACAGGGAAAGAGATTCTGGTTCATGAGTTAGAGGCTTGGACACTGGGTTTCTCGCATACGGGCGAGGAAGTCTATTCAGGTGGTGATGATGCTACGTTGCGCTATTCAACGCTTGCTCCTGCTTCTACCTTTGCTCAAGAAGAAGAGGAGCAGGAAGACTTTCTCCTACCCAATGGCAAGACCGCCGCGCCCATACTGCCGGCGTAACAGCCATCCTGCCCCTCGCCAACGAAAAGATATCCTAATCACAGGAGGTTACGACGATAATATCAGAGTTCTTTCCTGCCCCACCATCGGCAGAAAACAAGTCCTCTGTGAGGAAAACCTTGAAGGCGGTGTTTGGCGTCTCAAACTGCTTACTTCCGCTCCTCAAGAAGGCAAGTATACGGTTTTGGCATCGTGTATGCATGCAGGTGCGAGAATTGTTGAAGTCACGAAAGACGAGAATGGGGAGTGGAGTGTTGAAGTGCTGGCGAGGTTTGAGGAACACAAGAGTATGAATTATGGTAGTGATGTGCAGCCAGGTTCTGCGGCGGGTGGTGAGCAGACGATCATCTCGACGAGCTTCTATGATAAGCTGTTATGCTTGTGGAGGTTTGAGCTGCCTTGAGAGGATGGCAGTTGTGTATGTAGAAGCTCATCATGACTAGAGGAAGCAGCAGTCTGCTTAAATCACTTGATGACACGCCTCATATATTGAACGACATATCGAGAAAAGGTCACGCAGAAACATATTCATGCACAAACAGGAAATGGTATAATAAAGATTAGGGGTTTGCTATTTCAACTAAGAAGACGCATAACTCGTAAACTCATGACAAAGGCACTGATCGCAATTCAGAGGACATTACTACTCAACGTTTTCGAAACCCACACTCTCCTAGGGTACAAGGTCTGCTCCGTACCTAGCCGAGGACACGAGCAGCTACATTGCGAGCGTGCTCAGAGTCGTGCTCGCCAGTAAGGTGCGATGTCTCGGTGGTGGTGTGAGGCTGGGTTTCGGCTTGGTCTGGTATGTAACAGGCTCTTGACCAGTTACAGAAGGCTCGGCCGAGGTGGCATATTGTTCGGTTGAGGCAGGGTACTCAGAGTGCTGAGTAGGGTATTCGGAGTGTTGGGTAGTGTACTCGGTCTGCTGGGCAGGGTACTCGGACTGCTGAGTNGTACTGTTCAGAGTGCTGAGCAGGTACAGTGTGAGCTCCTGCATCGATAGAGCTGGAGACGTCACTAGCGCCTTGCATGGAGGCAGCGGGCATGGCGTTGACACCAAGACCACCAGCATTGGTGTGAATAGGCTCGACGTCGGGAGTCCAGGCTCTGAGCTCGTCCTCGGCAACATTCAAGACTTCTCTTGCGGTCTCGGCGTGGGAGAAGGTGGGGTGGACATCTCCGGGAACGATGGGAGTGTCGTCAACAAGGTTGAGCAACTTTCTAGCGTTCTTGGCCAACATGATCTGCTTCTCGGCACGCTCAATGATGGCAGCAGTGTGAATGTCGTAAGCCTCCTTGAACTTCTGGCGGGTGATATTGGTAAGCTGAGCCTCGGCGACGAGAGATTGAGCCTCTGCGCGGACAAGCTCCTGCTCAAGGGTGATGATCTTGGTGGAGCTGGGCTCCTTGTACTTCAGCTTCTGAATCTCATCGGAGATCTAGACAGATGAGTTAGCATACTTGGTTGTCGCGTGACGCGCGATGGAGCTTACCTTGGCCTTGTGGTCGCGCGAAGGCTGGACCGAAGACTCGGTGTTGCGGATCTGCTTGAGGACACCTCTGCTGTCTTCGAGACCTTGTGCGAGGACATCCTCTTGCTCAGCAATCTCGGCCAGCAAAACACCGAGCTTGTCAGAGATCTCAGAGATGGCGTCGTCGCCAGTCTCCTCACCCCAGTCGCTGAGTTGGGAGGCAATGTTGGCCTGCTCCTTGGCTGCGGCCTCGTATGCGCCAATGGCGTGGTTCTCGGTCTTGATCAAGCGATAGAGCTTCTTGGAGAGGTCGGGCTGTTGGATACCACGAAGACTAGCCATGGTGAAGCGGTGCTTGCCGGATGACTTTTCGCTGCCATGTTGGCCCTTTGATCTTATGGAGAGGGAACGGTTCCTATCCAGGGCATTAGATACGAACAAGAATAGCGGCGCAGCCATGGCGAAAGATCAATGTTACTGACATGATGAAAATAGGGAAGCTGAGCTTTCGAGGTTAGGGATGTTTTGATTGATAGGTTCAACAGAGTCGCAGTTGCAGTTTACGTCTCTGTGTCTTGATGAAAAAGAAGTCGAAGGTAGGAATGTGCAGAGGAAACAAAGATCAAGATGCAGGCGCGCGACCAAGAGACCGACGTCATTCGTCTCACATGCTCGCCAGCCGTTGCCATCCAATTTGAGGGTCCAGCCACTTGCGGACATGCTTTCTTCCGTTTCCATACCGGGCATCCGGCATTTTGAGAAATATGCTCTGTCGAGTCCTTGTCCTTAAAGTCGACCTCTGCTAACTCTACTCGGCTGTCCTATGTACAATACCGCTTGCTGGTCCGAAAGGAGAGAAGGAAAAGCCGGCTTGATCAAAATCCACATACCAATTCAACTCTGCACCCTCGTATCCACTTCGTATACAACTGCCCAACAGTATTCTCCAACTTGCTTCTCATTCGTACAATGTTTCATAATCCATAACCCAGCCAGTGATAATATCATCGCTCGACCACTCTGATATCGCGGCGAGGGTAGCTGACCGAAGGCTGACTCGAGCGGTAGACGTAGCGGACAGAAGTGTCGCTGGAACGATAATCGTTGCCGTAGTTGCTGTATCGACGACGGTTTCGTGGGAGTGGGGAGGTTCGTCGAGCTGGTCCGGCGTGATAATTGGATACATGTCTTGCTGGCTCATCCCAGCTGCGACCGACTCGCTCTTCTTTGCTGGTGATGATACACATGCTGTCCTAATGCGATGCCGCTACTCTGCACAAGGTGTAGCGTAGATGATTTGTTTTCTGGTCGCTTTGTGATAGTCTCGGTAGCTTGCTGGCGAGTGCAGTACTTTCAAGGCAGGAGTGATGATCGATTTCTGATCCAGGAGATTGCAAAATTGCTGATTACTCTCGAGTTGTCGACGATACTTGCCGTCCTCACAATCATCATGTGGCATCATGACGCGGCTCACCCTGGCCAAATTAAGTGGCGTCGAGTCAGCTACTCAAAAGACATGTCTTGCGACTTCACTGAAGGTCAAAGTACAGAGCTCAAGAACCATTGCATTGAAGTTAGGATTTTACTGTTATACATGCTCTTCATGGTGGTTCGAGGTTTGCTGTGGTATGTGCTTGAAACATGAAGCACCACGACTTTTGTCCACAGCGACCTACGCTGCACAGCTATGCTGGCCAACGTCTGCTCTGAACAATCGTCTCTTCCTCAGCTCGATCAAAAGAATCTGGGATACCAATCTCCGAGGGTTCTCTCTCAGGAGTTTCGGACAGGTCAATGTAATCACCACTTCCCGCCCTGAGAGCGGATGTCATTGGATCCTCATCCATGGGCTCACCAACATCCTTTTCTGCATCGTCAACTTGCTCCTTGCTCTGACTCCTCTCGCGGTCCACGAAATCCTGGCTCTTGTCTGTGACATCTGCTCCAAGGTCCTCCGTTGTGTCTAGGTCTGTGACACTTGCTTCAAGATCCTCCGTCGTGTCTAGGTCTGTCTTGGTTCCATCGTCAATGCCATCGGACATCTCTGTGTCTTGTCTCATGCCATCTGTTATGGTGGAAGGATCATTCTTGACGGCGACTCTCGCTTTGCAGACGACAGTGTGGTTGAGGCCCTGGATTACGATCAACAGACTGTACAAGAGATGGTCTCCTGTATAACTTACCTGACCTTGATCATCCCATTCTAGCCGGCAAAGTTGTGGAAAGAGAGATGCCTGGACCATTCCTGTCTTTTCAGCAAACATGCCGTCCATCTTTGAGTGATCAAAGGGAATCTGGACTCCTCGATGAGTAGCCGGAATCATATCGAATGTGTACTGCCATCTCTGGTATGGCAACATGCTCATGGTCTCCAGAAGTGGTCCCAGGGCCTCCGAGAGCTCCTCGTGCATGTCATCAGTGACTTTCAAATCGGTCAAGTCTTCCAGAAATCCCTTGATATTGTTCAAGACGTCCTCCAGTATGAACTCTCTCGCGTTGTCCATAGATTCTCGGTCCTTGTCAGTGAGAATCTCTTTTGTGAGCGAAAGCCAGTGCGTGGTCTTCTTCCGTGTCTCTATGGTTTGAGGCCCTAAATCACAGGTTAAGCTCTGCTTCTACCGGACAGCAACACTGCCGCAGGAACTCACCAGAGATGTTTCTCCAGCATGCTGTAGCAGCTTCGATTTGATCGGTAAAGGGGGAGCCGAAGACCTTTTCTGTGTTTACAGCAGCAACAAGGATATAACCCACTGTTGCGATGCAGAGATGCAATTGGTCGTCCAGGGTATCGTTCTTGTACTCGGGCAGATAGACGCAAAGGTCCCCCTGCCACTCTGAAAGCTTGACATCGATATCTCCAGAGCAAAGGACCTGTCTGGATCCCGAGCTGTGACCGGTTGACTCATCAAGATCTCGTCTGCGAAGAACCCCATAGAAGCAATCATGGACAGTGGTGTAAGCATAGCTCATGGTTTCTCGGAACGTCTCGTCTGTGATCCGGTTGTCCAGCCTGGATGAAGCCGCAACCTTTTGCTTGAGCTTGACGTTATCCTCATCACGTTCTTCAATCCATTGGTCTTTCTCCTCGAGTTCTTGATCCTTTTCCTGCAGCAGTTGTTTGTAGCGTTTGTTCTCTTTCTGCAGTCTTTTGCCGCTGTCTCTGTCGATTTGTTCTTTTCTGTTGCGAACCTTTCGTCGCTGATTTTAATTCTTTGAATTCCTTCCTTAGTTTTTCCAGACTTCTTTTGTCTCTCTTGAGCTTAACTCTCTCTTCCTTGAGGGATTTAATTTCTTCTTCTAGTTTGCGCACTTCCGCTTGCAACTTGCCGTTTGCTTCGGATAGTGCTAAGTTAACACGCCTATGAGATTGCTGTTAGCCGTAGTTGTGAGTGTTCTAGGTAATGCGGGACTGTACTCATTGTCAGGCGCAGTGTCGATTTGATACTGCCTGCGGGTAGTCGGAGGCATGGCTGATGTTAGGAAGCGTTGGCAAAGGGCTGGTGTGAGCGTCGAGAAGATGGTCTAGAGCGATCTTTGAAAGAAAGTGACTGCTTCGAACAAGACCGACCGTCTGTCGAGTGAGCTTTCGAGACTTTGTTTACCTCCGTTCACGTCAGCTTCCAATGTTCTGACTACGCTTCACTTTTGTCCCTCCTCCACCTCTGCTTGTTTACACCAATCTTTCCCACCCCACTCTCTCTTTACTCATCCTTCTTTCTACACAAACCTCACTATTACACATCGTCACCCATTGATCCAAGGCATTTTGAGGTCGCCTTTGCTTGCATCCTGCCCTTCGAGCATTTTCACTTATTCACCCAAGATCTCTTTTTGTTTACACAAGATCTCCCTTTTGTCCACACAACATCCCTCTTTGACCGATCCAAGATCTCTTGGGAACGATGGTCAGAGATCGCCGCTCGTCCAGAGTGGACGACACTCTAATTGTTTCGATTGACCTTGGAAGCACTTACTCAGGGTAATTACTCATCATTGCTGGAATTCCAACAGCCACATATTGACACAGATATAGTTCTGCAATCACTTACTCTGGCAAGCCTGAGCCTCCGGAGCAGCTGCAGTCTATTNNGCAGGGTATGTTGATCCAAATGAACAACACCAGACATGAGCTAACATAATCTTCTAGATGGACGGGAGGAGACAATTGCGAGAAAGTCCCTACTCTGCTTCGCTATGAGATTTCCGCTGAGAACACTCCTCAACCCAAACGATCACGCAACAGACGCGCTGGTAGTGATGAGAGCGCTCTNTTTATCAGTCAGGTGCATGCTGAGGTCGCCGAGTGGGGCTTCGAAGTCGATCAGGACCAAGAGCACATCCAGTTTGTCAAGCTTTTGCTTGACCCAAGCCAGCAACTTCCTGAGTATGTCTCGCGCACAGAGCTTGAGGCTCGCTTGAAGAGAGCCCACAAGACTGCTGTCCAAGCAGCTGCAGACTACCTTATCAACCTGAAACAGCATGTCTTGGAGCACATCGAGACACGCTTTGGAGAAAACTTGTTCGGTGACACAAGAATCGAGTTCGTTCTTACAGTCCCAGCTGTCTGGTCGGATGCGGCCAAGGACGCTACCATGAAGGCTGCAGAATTGGCTGGCATGAACGAAGACGACAACTTGTCTATGATCACTGAACCTGAAGCTGCTGCTCTTTGCGCTCTGAAGACTGTTGCAGGCGTCAACGTCAACAGAAAGGATGTCTGGATCGTCTGCGATGCAGGTGGAGGTACGTCAGCGGAAGATGGTACTCTGCCTTGCGGCAGACCTGGCAGTGTGCTATTGTTTTTCGAGAAACTTGCTAACTTTACTCTGTTTTGTNNAGGTACCGTGGACCTCATCTCATACGAGGTCAAGTCACTTTCTCCGTTCGTGATCGAAGAGGCTGTTCCAGGCAACGGTGATGTTTGTGGAAGCGGTCTGATCAACATGCGCTTCCAAGCATATGTGAAGTCCAGAATGGGTACTCAAGCTCTCGAGAGATACATCGAAAGAAACGACCGAGCCTGGGCCCAATGCTTGAAGCATTTCGAAGACCGCACCAAGAGAGACTTTGACCCCGAAAAATGGCCTCGCAAGGTCTATCCCATTCCTTTGTGGAATGCTCCTGATGAGCCTGACGCCGACATCGAAGACAACCGTATCAATTTGTCTACCATGGACCTGACCGAGATCTTCCGTCCCATCGTTCAATCTTCTTTGAAGCTGATCCATGACCAGTACGAAGCCTTGTTAGAAAAGGACAAGCAACCCAGGGGCCTCATTCTTGTCGGTGGTTTCGGAGTTTCCAAACATCTGATGCAAACCATCAAGAACCACTTTTCGGCAGTTGCGCCTGGATTCGAGGTCATCAGACCCAACCACGCCTGGTCAGCTGTTGCTATTGGTGCCGTCCTCCATCGTCTCGAAGGTGCTTCGATGGTCAAGAGCCGCATTGCCAGAAGTCACTATGGCGTTCTGACCCGTACGTATTGGAAGGCGGGAAAGCACAGCGAAGAATCCAAGGTTTGGGACCCCGTTGAGGAGACCTGGTACGCCGACGATGTGATCCAATGGTATGTCACAAAGGGCCAGTCGATGGTTTCTGGAAACTACATTCCCATGCCTTTCTTCATTACCAGTCGGGAGCCTACTGAGAGCGAGATCATCACCATGATCATCAGTGATGAAGATGAAGAGCCCCTCGAGTTCAATCCCACGGAGAAGACTCGCAGGCTTTGCGCTATCACTGCTGATCTGAGTGATGTACCTCGCAACAAATGGAAATCTCGCGGACGTGGAAAGAAGAAGTATGTGTTCCTCGAGCACAGCGTGGGCTTTACCTTTGGCCCGGGCGGCCTGCTCTTCGACGCCAGAGTTGGCCAGGAGGTTGTTGGCACTGCTAGAGCCGACTACGAGCAGTAGATTTTTCTTTTTTGAGGATGGGTCTCTTGGGATATGCGCTTGAAAAGCAAGGACAGGGCAACAGAGGACACGGTACCCTGGCGGTACGAGTGGCCAACTTTGACACTGCTTCCTCTAGAACACACCCAACATTGACGCTTGTATAAATGCGAAATGGAGTTCAAAAACGAGATGGTCAACTCGGGAGAAACTAAGACAAAACGGAAAAGAGAAGCATAGGAGAATAACGAGAATGAAGACCAAGATTATCAAGAATTACAGCTGTTCAAGCTTTTTCGGTATTGTTTCCATCCACACTGATAACTTCGTCTCCCGCATCACCATTGTAAGCCACTACACCCTGACTGATTCTCTTCTTCTCTGTCCTTGCGCACATCCAAGTGACTCCTGCTGTCCAGATAGCCAAGGCGATGGAACAGCCGATCATCGCCCACATACCTCGAGTAAACTTAGGTGCAAAGTCTGCAGAGTAGAAGACAATGCTCCACCAGGCATTAATCGCGCCAGACCCGCAGTTCATAGACGCAATCACTACGGCACGAAGGCTGTCTTCTTCGTAGCGAAGGGCGTCGTTCGCCCAGGCAAAAATATTGCTNNTGGCCTGCAAAATTACGTCAGTAAGTCGTAAAGCACGAGGAAGCAAGAGCAACTCACAAGCATAGACAGAGCCAGCCCAGTAGTAGGCCGCAAATGTCGAGGCAGTGGTGGCAGAAGGCGCAAGAATCATTGCTGACGTGATGACACCAGTAATGCCAATCCAATACCCAACAAGATATCTCTTGCCGCCCAGGAAATCTGTGAGCGTAGCCCAGAAGATTGTGGATACAATACCGACTGCAGGAACTCCGGTGGGATAGTTGTTGAGTTGCGAGATTGTGTATCCGCGCTCCGGGTGTGCCTTCATGTATAAAGCGAGCAGTGAGTTTGAAGAGAATGATTCGGTTTCACCAGCAATGATCCATAATATGACAAAGCCGTAAAAATACCAAGAGCCGAAAACTCGCTTGACGAAAGCCCAGTTGAAAGGCGTGCGTTGGACATGAAGAGGCACACGAGAGCGGGCAAGCTCACGTTCGGCTTCAGAGAGATATGGCACGCTGGTCGTTTGCGGAGTGTCAGGAAACAAGAGGAAGCCATAGACAGCAACGGGTATACAGATGAGCCCATCCACAATGAACAGCCATCTCCAGCCAGCTAGTCCTTGCAGGCCGTCCATAGAAGAGTGGATGCCAGTTTGGATGAAACCTCCGATCATAGTACCAGCGAGACCAGATGCCGTAAAGATACCACTACGTTTTCCGAGTTCGCGTTCGGTATACCAGGCTCCCAGAATGTAGTGTGTTCCGACAAAGGTGCTCGATTCTGCTAATGCTTGGAAGAAGCGGATGGCCATAATCGATTGAGGGTTGTGGGTGCCAGCCGTGACCATAGTCAATGCACCCCAGACGAGCAGCATCGAGGGAAAGAAGATACGAGGTTTAATGTAGTACAAGGCAAGATTGCTTGGAATCTGACCAATGACATATCCTTGTTTGTGTCAGTCATATCGTCTCAGGAAGGAACAGTTGCCTCCCCATGTGCTGGAAGCTGTCACAGCATAGCTGATGAAATGCACGATACTTTCTAGACCCACCAAATGTCGATGGAGAAATCTGGTGAAAACGATCTCTCTGTGGATAGAAGTCCCTCCTAGAAAGTATTGTGCATTTTCATAGTTACACTGTGACTGTCATCCGCACACGGAGAGGTGTGACAACTTACCGACAGTGAAAACAGTATTGATCTGTGTGAGCTGATTGCCCTTGAAATTAAGGTCCTCTTTCATACCACTAACGTATGCATTGGTGAGGTTGCTACGATCGAGCTCGAGACTAAGTCAATACAGAACATAAGTATAAGTGGCAGAAAAACTTACATAGTTTAAAAAGTACATTAGACAGCAAAACGTCAAGATAAAGAAGTCGAGCTTCTGAACCAGTTTTCGCTCTCCCTGTGAACTGCCACCAGGGCTCAGATACTCTCTGAACCTCATAGCAACTGCCATGTTAAATTGATCTCCAGAAATTGGTAGTGATTAGATTAGGGTAAGGTGTAATGTTGGGAGTCGTTTGTAACTTCATATCTTATATGATCAACGCAACAACAATACAGTCGTATCAAGATAGGCCATGAGAAGTCCAGCGGCGTAGATTGTCGATGATAAGACCTGTTTCGTCAAACCACAAGGAGCTTCCAGTTTAACAAAGAAAAAAGCCCTCGGCTGGAATGATCAAGGTGGTTTGCCAAGCTTTGCGGGGGGCGAAAGATAGGGCAGATCTTAGTGGCAGGGTTGCCCGAGGCTGGGATCGACGAGATAGGCCTCGGGCAATGGCCATCACGTGCGGAGTCCATAAAGATGGTTGCTCGATCTTGAGGAGGTGTAGTATCAAAGCAGTTTATTCAAACTACAATCGGACTCGATCAATCGACGAACATGACCCGCAACTGGCAAGATATCGCAAAGACNAAGCGAGCAGCATTGCTCGACTCTATCCCCGCAGAATGGCGTATACCAGCAGATCTCATGCCTCTCGAGTCTCAATTAGATGTGACAGGCTTTCCAACCGAGAGTGGCTTCTTTACCGAAGGCGAGTTGAAATACACTTCTGCCAAAATCCCAGAACTGTTACAGCAAATTCACAGAGGCAAGTGGAAAGCAGTAGATGTGACATCAGCTTTCTGCAAGAGGGCCTCGGTATGCCATGAACTCACGAACTGCTTGTCCGAGACTCTCTTCCCGGAAGCACTGGAGAGAGCAAAAGCCCTCGATGATCAACTTCANAAAACTGGAAAACCTATTGGCCCACTTCATGGTCTACCCATATCGCTCAAGGACAACTTCAACATCATCGGCAAAGACTCGACTATTGGTTTTGTGTCCTGGGTAGATCAGCCGGCTACCTACAATACAGTTATGGTGGATCTCTTGATCAAAGCTGGAGCGGTACTCTATGTCAAGACGAACGTCCCCACCGGTTAGGCTATCATCATCAAAGACCACCATGAATAGTTTGCTAACTTCTGTACCTGTNNAGCAATGATGATCGCAGAATCCGTGAACAATACTTTCGGCCGCACCGTAAACCCTCTCAACAGAAAACTCACATCTGGGGGTTCGTCAGGAGGTGAAAGTGCATTGATTGCATTCTCAGGGTCAGTGCTGGGAATTGGCACCGACATCGGTGAGTCGATAGTGGTGCTGACATGCTCTTTGAATACTTGACTGATGTGATTTTCAGGCGGTTCTCTGCGTATTCCCGCAGCTTGTACTGGTATCTATACACTAAGACCTTCTTTCGGCCGATTCCCTACAGCCAATGCGCGGTCCGGTCTATCAGGACAAGAAGCAGTCAACTCTGTGAATGGGCCAATGGCTCGCACTCTGGACGACATCGAGTTCTTTGCGAAGAACGTTGTAGGTGCAGAGCCTTGGAAGCTCGATCCGAAGTGTTTGCCAATTCCTTGGCGTTCTGTTGACGTTGGTCGCAAGCTGCGGTTGGGGGTCATCTGGAACGATGGCATGGTCATGTGAGACTATGGTTCCGTGGTCAAAGTGAATGTTGAAGCTGACTGCAATGTCCTAGGNCCAACACCCTCTGTCCGCCGAGCGCTCAAACATGCAGTTGACAAACTGCAGCAAGCCGGCCACGAAATTGTTGAATGGAAACCAGAGCTACACTCGGAAGCAGTTGAGTTGNNCTTGTAAGTCAATCGCACTGCAGTTGTAGCTTGTGACTAACAAAGACGAAAGGGGCAATTCTTCGTGGCAGACGGGGGTAAGTCGGTCAAAGAGATTCTGGCTCCAGTAGACGAACCTTTCAGAGAAGAAATGCTGCCATACAAGGACGCGACGGAGATAGGGGTGCATGCATTGTGGCAGCTCCAAGCAAAAAGAACGAAACTGTGCAAGGATTACCTCGATCGATGGACCCAAGCAGGTCTCGACGGAATTTTGTGTAAGTACGACTGTATCAGCTTGCATACTGGGCCTAACGCATGATTCTGATAGGCNCCGACAACACCCTTTGCGACAGTGGAACACGGCAAGTTCAAACACGTTGGCTATACAGTAAGCTCCTCATGCCAGTGAAGTACTTACATACGTGTTGTCGCTGATTCTGAAACANNGGGCGTATTCAACATTCTAGACTATTCGGCCGTGTCGTTTCCCAGCGGCATAGATGCAGACAAGCAGTTGGATCAGGCTGAGTCGGGCATGGAACCATTGTCGCAGTTGGATGCACAGATCCAGGCAGAANNTGTGAGTTCGTGGTTGACAGCTGAAGACGAACATGCTAACTATTGGCTAGACAATGCGGAAGTGGTTCATGGAATGCCAGTCAGTCTGCAGCTCGTTGCCAACAGGTTGGAAGAGGAGAAGGTCGTGGCAATGACGAGGGTGGTCCTGGAAGGACTTGGAGTCGCGATGTGACGCGTATGAGAAACACTTTTGGATCAACGCGACTTTCATACACTCGTGACAGTGGTATAGCATTCTTCGTATAGAAGGGAAAAACAGGTTTCTCTATTGATGTGGTCTCAGTGACTGGGTGTTGTCTCATATAAGGGAAATTGCAAGACCAGTCAGAGGCGTCGAGTGAAGCAAGAGCAATCAAAGTTTCGAGAACAGGGTGTTGTCTTGCCCGAATTTGGCGGGGTGTCAAATTGCTCTCAAAAGACCTTCGTTTGCTCAGAGTGACATATCTCAGACACGGCCGCCTTTTCTCTCACGGCGGTTTTCCTATTTGATGCACCTGACAGAGGTTCAGCTCTTGTTTCTTCGCGGCCGTAGTCTCGCCCAGCGATCGTCGCCAGACGTGTCAACCTGAAAAGCCAAAAATATGTTCGCTCTGAGGTCGCGTTCGTCTCCCCGCCAACTTCGTCACCCACTTTTCCTGTATTCAGTTCACAGCTAACAATAACCTCACCACCCAGTTAGCAAATACCTCTTCGGTAACGCCAACAAAGAGTCCATCGTCGAACTACCCCAAGGACAGCTATATCTTGTCCGCCCGCGATCGCTCAAAGGCTACTCAGAACTTATCTTCAAAGACGCTGCTGCCTCAATTCGCCGCACCGGCCAGGAATACCAGTACCAGCTCGTTGTTCAACGTGTCTACGAAGAAGGCGAAGCAGAACTTGTAGGAGAAGACAGTACACAGGACGACCGACTAGACGGTGTAGCTTCGGACAAGGACGAAAAGACTTTCCTGCTTGACGAGGGTCTGCACTTCCGTGTAGACATCAGAGAAGACGGCGAAGTCGTCCTTGGCTGGCTCGACCTTAGCGGTGACGACGGAGACTTGTTCGAATTTGTCTGCGACCCTTCCGCAACCCCCGAGACCGCCTCATCTTTTGCTCTTGTAGCTGCTCAGTGCCAGTACGAGCGCAAATATCGCAAGCCCCGAGACCTCGCTACCGACGACGAACTACGTGAGTTCAGTTTCGACCACGAAGACCCCATCCCACAAGCGAGTCCCATCCAGAGCCCCTCACGCTCCCCCACCATCTCTCGTTCGCCAACTATTTCTCCGCCTCCCACCACTCCTCGCATGCCATCCTTAAACAAGTCCAACTCTGGAGTCAAGCGCAGCGACGCCATGCCCAGAACCTCCACTAGAGCTGGCAAGGCTCCTCTTCGAGCTTATGAGGAGGCCCCAACGACCGCTCCGTCAGCCAAGAAGGCCCCTGAGGCCCTCGAAACTCTAGCCGATCAAGATGTCGAGCTCCATCTCTTCGACTTCCAGTCCGGTACTTTCGTACAGCAAGCCGAGAGCGTCAACGCTACCGTCACAGAGATCGGCAACTGGAAATACTGGCTTCAAATAAACAGCAATGACAGAGACTGGCTTGGTCAGGAAGTCGTTCCCGAACTCAACCCTGTCTTCAACTTCGAATACCTCTCCTTCATTTTCAATCACTACAGCGAAGATGGAAATGCCTACTCGTGGCTTTTGCGCTTCAAGGAGAGAGCATCACTAGAGGAGTTCCAACAAGGCTTGATGCAGGCTCTCTGGGAGCACTCGAACCAGACCAAGTGGCTCAAAGCAAAGGATACCGAGAGAGACTACGTCCTTGATGCTTTCAACGACCTCGTCTTGGAAGACAGGGATGACGAAAGAGAGGCTGAGGCTCGTGAAGAAGACGAACAGGAGGAAGAAGAATACTACGACCCTGAAGAAGAGGATGACGACGGACAGAGAAGCGAGCACTACGATAGCGATGAGTCGGAAGACGATGTTATCGCCAGAGATGAGGATGGAAACGTCAACTCTCAGCTCGCTGTTGGTTACAAGCACGATCGCTCTTTCGTCGTCAGAGGTTCCAAGATTGGTGTCTTCAAGCACACGCCTGACAACCATCTCGAATTCTCCACAAACATTTCCAAGGTCGAAACACCTGGCGGCAAGGTCTTCAACCCCAAGAAGATCATGCTACACGCCGAAGATCGCAACATGATCATGCAGGATGGAGACAACCCCAACTCACTGTTCCGTATGGACCTTGAGTATGGCAAGATTGTCGATGAGTGGAAGGTTCACGATGATATTCCTGTCAACACTTTCGCCCCCGAAAAGGTATACTAGCGCACTTAGCTCGGCTTAAAACTCTGTACTAACTAGCGTCCANNGAAATTCAGTCAAATGACCGGCGAACAAACCTTCTTGGGTCTGTCCAACAACGCCTTGTACCGTATTGACCCTCGTCTGCAAGGCGACAAGCTCGTCGAATCAGAGCTCAAGCAGTATGCTACCAAGAACGGATTCACCGCTGCAGCCACCACCGACAAAGGTTACATTGCTGTCGCTTCAAGCAAGGGTGATATCCGTATGTTCGATCGCCTTGGAATCAACGCAAAGACACACATTCCTGCTTTGGGTGATCCGATTATTGGTCTTGATGTGTCCGCTAACGGTCGTTGGGTTCTTGCTACTACTCGCACTTATCTTCTGCTTATCGATGCTCTTCAGAGCGATGGCAAGAATGAAGGCAAGCTTGGTTTCGAAAAGTCATTTGCCAAGGACTCAAAGCCCCAACCACGTCGTCTGGCACTCACACCCAGCCATGTCGCTCAATTCCAGCATGAGACCAAGGTAGCTTTGTCCTTCACACCTGCGAGATTCAATACCGGACCCGACTCCGATGAGACGACGATCATCACCGCAACTGGACCTTTCATCATTACTTGGAGTCTTAAGAAGGTTCTTGCTGGTCGCAAGGATCCTTACAGCATCAAGCGTTATGCTGAAGATGTCAAAGCAGACAACTTCCGCTTCGGTAGCGACAAGAATATTGTGGTGGCTCTACCCAATGAAGTCAACATGGTAGCCAAGAGGGCATTGCAGAGACCTACACGTGAGAGCATCATGGCCACTCCTAGAAAGACTGGCCGTGGTAGCTACCTCAGCAGAAACGACATTGTCAACAGTCCTTACTGATGGGATGAGGCTTCAGATTACGACGAAACGATCAATCTTCACTTCGCAGGGGACGATAGTTTTGGGGAGATGAGGACCGTAGTTAGCTTTGCTTTCCGATCGTAGATACCACGAGATGTGTTTTATCTCTCCAATCAAGCTCATAAGTCTTTATATGTTACTTTCCGGACCCCACTGTAAGAGCAAGCACGGTGGTGGTGAGGGCTCGGATTTGACTCCTCCTCCGCTAGGTGAAGGTCTAAATTCCGAACCCTCAGGAATTTTGACAACCATGTGAAATGACCTATAGGATGATCAAGCTTTAGGAGCCCTCTCCGACTGGCTGTTGCTGCTTGGTTGGTCCGTGCGCAATGCTGGTGACTGGTGACCGGTGGAGGCTTATGTTTGGCGTCTACAAACCTCATTCGTTGCGAGTTTTCCAACTAGGATTTTGGATGTCAGGTTGGTACCCAAACAAGGGTTCTTCCGGTGCAGCAATCAGTCGGAGGCCATTTTCGCAGAGGCTTGACCAGATATGGAACGTTTCTCCTCCGACAGCGCAAGCAACAGCGTAAGGCGACAGGCGCACGTCTTTCCTGCTAACATGCTCAGTACATCAGCTCTCAGACTCGATTGTTGATCGTCCTAGAGCAAGACCAATTGGATCTACAACCATCGGCTCTCGCAACGGCCCTACCTTAAATAGCACAACGCTGTTTACAAATGTTTCTGCTTGTGACAACAGACAAGGCTCAGATACTAGGAGATATAATTCCACGAACCGCAGGGTCTGCGATCTTGATCAGTAAGAAGACATAAGGACTGCACAAAGGCATGGATAACACTGGTCTTTGAAGAACAGCTGGAGAAGGATGCTTACATGCAGGTGCGACGGAAGTGGACCAATAAGGCGAGGGGAGCTAAAACGGAAGGCTCGTTGCTGACCACAGGGCGTCTCAGGATGGTTTGGTGAGAGTATTGCGTGAATTCGAGCATTTCAAGGCCGACACCGCAGCAACGACGACGACTGTTGCGAAGATTGTGTTGCACAGCATACGCAGTCCATCACGTGGAATCCCTGTTTGCTGGCAGTCTCTTTGGCACTTCCCCGACCGCAGTCTAACCCAACAACCAAAGTCGTGGTGCCAGTGGCACAGCATCCGAAACCGCTCGCCCGTGTCTCTCGAACCCCCCTTTCGCGGCTTGCTCGACGACAAAATTCTTCGTGTCCATCAATGCTGTGAAAGCATGGGCTGAAAAGCTGGCCCATCTCGTCAACCACCAACATCATGGATATCAATTCTACCGGCTCTGGCGAGCGCTATCGTGGAGGCATTCCCAAGGACGCTGCCGATTGGGAGGCATTCATTCTGAACCAGCAGGACATGATCGGTGGAAATCCTCATGCCCCTCCATCCAGACGCCGCAAGACCGTTGTCGGCATTCCCAACTTTGGCGAGTTTCTCCGTGAGTTCGAAGACCGAGCCAGCGAGCAACGCCGCCGTACGAGTGCGAGAAAGGACAGCCATTACACTGCATACGATGACAAGGACGAGCTCTCTCACAACAACATGCACTTTGGCAACGACTCTCTGCCCCCTTCCTTCTCTTCGACTGCTTCATCAATTGGCACTAAGCGATCTTCAACTCACGTGCCTATGCCTAAGAAGCAGTTCACGCCAGGTTCCCGTCACAGTCGCCATGGTTCGGCCTCGAGGCCCAAACTGCCTGAATCCTTCATGAGCGCTCCCGATGTGCCCCGTCCTGAGAGTCCCGAGACATTCAAAAGAAAGATCTACGAGCACAAGGCCAAGTTTCATGTCTCACAGCAGAAGCAACGCAACCACTCGCGCCCGCGCCACAAGTCTCTGCTCAGCTCCTGTCTCTATGAACACCCACCTGAACCTATCATTGTTCCGCGACCTCAGCCTCCTGTCGACTCGAACGAACATATTCCTGTTACCATGTATGCTCTCTGGCGCCAGGACTGTGACGAGCAACTCAAAGACAAGCCTGCCATGTCTCATGTGCCAGTCCCTCCAGTGCCAACCTGCTCAGAATGTGCCAACGCCTCTATTCTCGGCGGTCAGCCTGTTCCTATTACTTGTAGTGACAGCCTCGACAAGGTGTTTCGCAGTGGCATCAACGAGAAACCTGGCTCATTCGCCTTCAGCAAGACTTACTTCAAGATCCTCAAGGGAGAACGTCAGCGCTGGCACACTGACCGCTTCGGCGCTTGCAACCCCAGCGTCAAGTCTCGCATTGTCGCTGACGCACAGCAGCTTTTCATTCTCATCAATGGCCTCTTCGAGTCTGAAAAGCTGCGCATGGTCGAGATTGCTGAGATGATTCCTGAGCATGTGCCTGCGCATGAGTCTTATCACACGCCTGATTACTTCAAGTTCAGACCCGATGAGCGTCATGCTTGGTAGATATGTTCAATCTCTGCAAAGAAGGGTCTACATTCATGGAGCAAGAGCTCCGATCAATACACGAAAAGAGTCAAGAAAAAGCTTGTTCACGAAGGAATGAATTGCATGTTTTCACGTCAAAAAAGAAAAAAAAAAAAAAAGAAAGCAAAAAAAAAAGAAAAGAAAAAAGAGAAAGACGGGAGAAATCTTGCTGGTCAATCGACTCTCCACTCTTGACGAAAAGGTATTAGGGGAATGGGTTTCGCGACAGAGACATTGTGCTGGCACGTTACTCTCTGTTGACTTTGTTAATCTTGAGTCCATCCTCCTCCTTTCCTCGTCTTTTCACCTTCACTTCTCGTTAAATAGTTACCAAAAGAACAAAAAGAAATGGAATGCCTGCCTCTTTGTCTTTACATACATGCTTTGTATACTGCCTTTGTTGTCTATATACACTTCTTTTGTTGTGTGATTAGTATCTACTCTTGCCGGCTATGCTTTCTCTCGAAATGGATCGCGGCTTCCCCGGTGCAAGAAGCACTTTTTCAAACGTAGTTTTTTCCAGTTGCTGTCGAGACAATGGTTGCACTTGGTCTGTTAGGCAACGATTTGTTCGATTTCTCTTTCGCCTACAAGTATCTGTCTGCAATCAGTCATTGCCCTCCTTCTTAGTGGCCTCAGCAGAGATGTGTACAGCAGAAAACTATGGTCGGTTCGAGATGAGACTGATCCTTAGGCAGAACCGTAGACTAGAGTTATGCACGCTCTAGTCAGTGATATAATGCAGGGAAGGAAATCGATATCGCCATGGATTAAACCCTAATCTTTTTACTGCTGTGTAGATACATATGGCAAAACATTCATACTCCCCTCTCACCCTATCTCTATAGCGATGCTCACGTCCTGTCAGGGCCAAAGCAAAACAAGACATCTTTGGTACTACTATTTGCACAAGGAGGCAGAACAATATTGATAGACCAAAAAAAATGTCAGTTGTTGATTTTCAGTAGGTACAGTAGATGAACATTACGGAAAGTGATTTATAGTTTGCTTAGAATTACTGTACTAGGCGGTCTATTCGTCCCCATCTTACTAAACTTTTAGCGGGCAGAAGGAGAGGTATATAAGGGTTGTTGATTGTATTACATGGGGTTTGGAGTTGGTAAAACTCTTAAGGGTTGATACAAGCAAGATGTCTCTTTGTGTAAGTATCGTCGTAGGCCGAAATTACTTACTTGTCTCTATAAGTAAGTCTAGAGGAGATTACAGTAAAGTCATCTTGTCAGAGCTCAAGGAATTTGTCTATCACAGGTTAATCTAGAGTACCACGTTCCTCTACTCTGTGTTTCGATGCTTTGCTACTCTGTTATTTTGACAGTCACCTTGGATTATAAAGCGCGGTTCACCAAATGTTCGTTCTAATCACAGGAAAAGCCTGAAAGTGCAAATAAACTTGATGATTATGATGTGGCTATATACACTTAACGAGACTTCTTGGAACCTCTGCCTCCTCTTCCTTTGCCCTTGCCTTTTTGACCTCCGCTGCCGCCACTACCATGAGCGCCTCCACTCATCATGACTCTGACCTTACTAACAGGCAACACACCAATGACCTCTACATCTTTCCAGTTCTTGATGAGTTCAAGCTCTCTAGGCCAAATGCGTTCGGTATCGGTCATGGACTGATCAACCCACTTGTTGACAGTACCAGCTTTAGCCCAACTATCCATGATCTCACGAATAGCTCTGCCCTTCTTCTGCGCTCCAGGCTGCAACTTGACTTTATACTTGTACTTTGCCAGTGCAGCCCAAGGAGCACAAACAGGAATAGCCTCCAGCAACTCGTCGCCAGCAAGAGGAGTCCCCACATAAGCATCCAACTGCGTAACAGCACTACTCTCCTCTTCATCCAACGCCTCAATGCCCTCTTCCAAATTCAACCTGCGGATTTCTTCAGCTTCCAAGCCTTCTTTTGTGCCTTTTCGTGTTGAGCGCGACGCCGTTCTTTGGCGGCTTCGGCGCTTTCGACCTTTTGGCCTTTTTCTTCTTCTTCGGCCGAGCGTTTNTTCTTCGGCGGCTTTGGAGCCGAGGATTTCCATGGCTAGAAGGCGGTCTTCTTCGTCTTGGTCGGCGTATTTTTGGGCGGCTTTTTGGCTTTGCCGCGTTTGCCGCGGACGGGCTTGGTTTGTTTGGGCTGNGTTAGATGTGTTCTTGGGAGCTTCACCTTTGCCCTTGTTCTTGCCGCTAGCCTTCTTGCCTTGCGGTTGTGCAGCTTCTGAGGCCTCTGGCTTGGAGTCTTGTTTCTCCTCGCTTGTCTCCTCTTCACCCTCAGACTCGGAGACACTCGAGTGTGCATCTTCATCTGCCATCTCAGAGGGCTGCTCACGCGATTGCTGTGCTCCCCGAGGCTGCAGAGGATTCGAGCGTTCCTCAGGGGTTCTTGNCACCCTCGCTAGCAGATGCATCACCCTTTGCGCATCAGGGAACTCGTCATCAGACTCATCAGTCTTGCCCTCATCCTTGACATCAGGGAACTCATCATCACTAGCCTCATCCCTTCCAGCATCTGGGAAGTCGTCATCCGATTCTTCGTTGGCAGCTGCTTTCGAGTTTGCCTCCTGGGTCATTCCACGGACATCATCGTTCTGCAGTCTGTGTTTGACGTGTTTGGCCTTGCTTTGTTCGCTGATTTGCCAGATGACTGCAAAGCCAAGAAGAAGTTGAGCAGGAGGAAGGAAGTTCTTCTTGCCGCGAATCATGAAGCCACCAGTAGTCAAGTATTCTCCGGTAGGAGCAGTCTTCGAAACCTGATCGGCGTTTACCCACCATGCAGACATGACAGCCTTGGAGTCCCAGGCACTTGATGTGCAGACTGACAGGTTTCCAGCTTGCGACAAAGTTGATGGAGGGATCTCGTATTCAGCTAGTCCAGGGTTGTTCTTGATAATGACAGACGAGGCGCCATGAAGATCAGCATGGACGTAGATATCACCCTTCTTCAAGTGGCGGCGGTATAGAAGCTCGTTTTGCTGAGCATCCTTACCACCGAGAACCAGGTAACCATCAGAGGAAATGAAATAAATGAACTTCTCAAACCAGAGCTGTTTGCGAACAGGGCGAAGAACTGCCTTCTCTTGTTTCAAGCCCTTCTTCAAGTCTGCTTGAATTCTTTGTTCGGTGCTCTTCAGCGCCTTGGTGGAAGCCTGTTCGGTCTTTTCCTGCTTGGTAGCGGCCACGCGCTTCTGGTCGTAGTATTGACGTGCGTTTGACCAACCTGACAAGCCAAGGTCAATATCGACAGTAAGACGCTTGTCTTCCTTCTGGGTGCTCTTTGTGGACTTGTTCTTGTCCTCGTCCTCACTGTCCGAGTTATCACTCTCAGTCACGTCACCCATTTCTTCTTCCTCTTCATACGAGTAATCAGACAGTAGTAAAGTGACGGTGTTTTCCTCAAGCTTGAGAGGAAGCTTGATGATCTCGGCGACGGCATTGTTGCGACTCTGCTCCATCTCGATCAGACGTTCGATTTCAACCCAGTCCATACCTTGAGCGATGAGACCATTAACAGCTGCGGTAGCCTCTTCAACACGGTCCAGGTTCGCCTCGATAGCCTGGGCTTTCGTGACGTTGAGTTCCTGTGTTTGCTGGAGAGAACCAATACGACGGGCATGTTCTTGACGGGCTGCTTCCAACCTCTTCTTTGCCTGCTCTTCTCTTTCATTCAACTTGGATTCAAGCTTCTGACCCTCGATGGACGAGAAGAACTCATCCACTGTCTTGTTGAAGCCTGTGAATTCCAAGAAGACATTCTCAGGGTTGTTTTCAAGCTGCTTGGGCTTGAAAGGATGGAAGTCGTCGTACATCAGGCCCTTGGTTTTGTCCTCTTCAGTTTGAGCGTCTTCATTCTTCTTGTCTCCAGCAGCCTTCTTGTTGCGCTTGCATACAATGTAACCAGTGACAGTTTCGGCAGAGGTAATGTCAGCGAGAACCTTGGAAGCCTCATCAAAGACAGCCATGAGTTTGTCAAGAGTCTCTTCATTCTCGAGAACCTCAGAAGGTTGCACGTTCTTGTCGAAGCCAGTAACTTCAAAGACGTGGTCAAGCACAACAGGAGGGAACTCTGTGATTGAGACGGCTAGAGCTTTGCGCAAAGCATCTCCAGGCTTCTTCTTGATCTTTTTAGTAGATTGATCTTGAGCCTGACGCTCAATGGCCTTCTCTAGACCAGCGCGGACTCGATCCTTGGTCAAGGGTGGAACGCCTCCATAGTTTTGACGCAGCTCGAGGTTGTACTGGAGGCCTAGACGGTAGCGCTCGTGCTCTGCACCTTCGTCGACGTTTCTGAGCAGACCAATGATGTTGAGCTCATTGTCGGTAAGGACAATGTTTCCGCCAGCATAGAATTCGAGGAACAGATGGTATTGGCCGTCGGAGAATTGGATGTCGATGATGCGGTCGGTACCGATCTGGGAGACCGAGGTGACTCTTCGGGTGCGCAGGTACTTGCGGAGACGGGTGATGAAGGGCGAAGGGGCGGCGGCGGTGGCTCTAGCAAAGGTGGTAAGGTGGCATCGGAAGCCAGAGTCTATGATGAGCTGTTCGCGACGCTCTGGTTTGGCAAACTTGAACAGGAAGATTCGTGACGAGAGATCGTAAATGTTGGAGACGCGCAGGCTCACTAGCGCTGACGAGAGCTCATGAGCGATGACCTTGACGTCCAAGGACGAGAATCGCTGCTTCATGTTTGNTTGTACAAATGTGTTGGTGTGAGAAGAGAATCAAAAGAGGGCGACAAGCTGCTGCCCCACCGAACAAGTCCATGACCATGACATCACCGAGAAAAGAGCCATGATTGAATAATTGAATTCACGGTCAAANNTCACTGACTCGTTTTGGTCGTCTGGTCCGTCTAATCTCAGTCCGGCCACTAGAATGGTATTCCACAAAGCACTCGATGATTCGTCGTGACGCTTGTCATGCTGCCGCCGTATAACGCCTATAACTCCTTTTGCCAGATGCCATGACCCTCACACTCGACTATTCTCCTAGAGACCCTGTCGTAATCTCTCGCCCAACTTCATTTTGCCGAACTGCCATGCCTTGAGCAGACCCTCTTCTGAGAGGTCGATGCCTTGGACACTGCTGATGTCTTGGACAGGAGGCTTGCTGACACGCGATGCAACAATCACGGGATCCGTCTCGAGCACGATACCGTCGTCAATAATCTCGTCAATGGCGAGTGAAACCAGATCATAGTTCTCAACGATTGTGCGCTTGTCGACAGAGTTNNCCTGCGGTCCGAGAGTCAGTATTAGGTATCCTGGTCCGGGGCAAGATTGGACGTACTTGAGGAGGATATTGAGAGAGTCGCGCAGAGCCAAAACAACAGAGTAGAGCAAGATCTCGTTCTCGTCGGCACCTCCGACTACATAGAGCATAACATCGCTCTCCATCTTGAAGACTACAATTCGGTTGTCATAGAGGATAATGTCGCTGTTCTGCTTGGCTGTCTTTTCCAAGAGTCCCTTTTCAAAGGCCTTCTGGTCCTTGAGTTGAGGGTAGGGGTTTGCGCCAGGGAAGTCGTTGGCTGTGGCATTGGCAGGAGCATGAGGAGGAGAGTAGTATTTGGCGAGGATGCGCGACGAGTCGTCGGCCGCCAGGATCAGGACGGCATTGACCGAGAAGAGCGACATGTTGGGCGACATGATGGGCGACTAGGTTGATTCCAATTTTCGCAAATGGCGAGTGTTGAAGGAGCGTGGTTGAATGTTTGGATTGTGGCCTCAATTCAGGGAGCTCCAGGCGTTGGTGACAAGTGACAGCAGCAGCGGCCAGCTGTCCCACGACTTTTGCGAAGGGGAAGACGAAGCGACCTCTGCCTTCACATGCAACTTGCGGAGTTGAGCCTCTCCTCCGAGATTTAGAATTATTTTGAGTTGACTATCAATTCTGGACAATCTTGCTACTGCTATAAGAGAAGAGAAGGAAACACTCGATGCTGCGCGCGTCTACTCTGCAAAAGGCAGGCGCTTTCGCAAAACATGGACTCGCCGTAGCCACACGACCTGAATCTGGTCTGCTTCTTTCCCGACTTTCTGCTCTTTCTCTCACGCGACCGACTCGCTCCTACGCAACCACTCCCAAACATATTCGAAGACGACANAAGGCTGCACTCGAAGCTGAGCGTCCGCCTGCTTTCCTGCGTCATGTCGAGCTCCTTCGAAATGCTCTCGATACGAATAATATACAACAAGTAGCCTCTGCCTATAATGTCCTTCGCAACAAAATCCCTCTCGGCAACAAAGATGTCGCAGACATAGCAAGAGCTCTACACACCTCTCTCAGGCTGCTTCCACGACCTGTCCGACAGACTCGCATTCCTGCTGAACTCAGCAATCTCGCCGACCTCCTAGTCCTCGATGTTCAAGCCAAGGTCCTGCCTCCGAGTTACGATGCGCACCTGCATTTGTTGAGTTTTTACAAAGAGTCGGCTGCTTTCGACAAGGGAACTGCCTTCTGGTCTTGGTTGGTAAAGCAAGACGACGACTATGTCAATGCAAGTTTATACGGTGTCGCTCTTGAGCTCTTTGCTTTCCAGGGCCGTCCTGCCGAAGAGACCGAACAACTCTATGAGAGCGCTCTTGCCCGCTTTCCTGGCACNTTTTTCCAATACCATCTTGCACACAACGCAGTCATCGCTGATCGCACTCAGCCTACCCTCATATCAGGCATCCCTAAAGCTCTTCTACAAGGCATCTTGACCGCCCGCATCTTGCGTGGCGATGCCAAAAACGCTTACCTCACTCTCGACACCACCTTGAGACTTTTCCCTTACAGAATTCCTTCTCGATTTGTTACTCTCTTTGTCCAAGAACGTCCTCTTGACGAAGCTTACAAGATCTTCATGCTCGCCTGTCAAGCTGGTTCTGTCTCTGGTCAGGATACTCTGAAAATTCTCCTGACAAGGCTGAGAAAGGCTGCTGCTACAAGCCCCATCGAGAATGCTGCCCTACTGCGTGCAATGCTCATGGCTTGCTACGCGCATAACAGCTCTGGTNNGGCCCCCCTGAACAACAGGTCTCTCAACGAGCTTGTCATAGCCATCACTGTCCTTTTGAAGGATCATGCCTACACTAAGATGTCTGCCGATCAATTGCGGCCCATAACCGATGCCATTGTTGCTTTGATCAGCGACCTCTTTGACGTTTGGATTGCTTCAAATTCACCTCCAGGTATAGCCTCATTCAACTCGATGATTGCCAATCTCGCGGGTCGAGGTAAGCGTAAAGACATTATCGATCATACTCTCGAAGCAATGGAGCACTATAGTCTTAAGCCAAATACGGTAACCTTCCGTTCCATCCTGGGAGCCGCCGGCGAGATGCAAGACCCTGAAGCAATTCGTTCAGCTTGGACCAATCTTGTAGCCAACCGCATCGAGCAAGGTGCTGCTTTGGAACTCGTAGACTGGCAAAACTTGTTGAATGCTGCTAGGCGCATCAATGATCCGGACTACCTGCAACAACAGCTAGTCAACTTCCAACACATCGCCTCTCCTCACATCCTGGACCGAATGAGTACTGCGCTCCAGGCTCAAGGCTTTTCCAGAAAACTCAACCCAGACAAGAATGACAACTCAAATGATCTGAAGACAAAAGCAGAGTCGATGAAAATCCTCGAACTTCTCAGGCGAGATGTGGAGTACTTGTCCAACAATGCAGTTTCCCACCGTAATTTCTACACCGAGCCAGTCTCCGTTTCTTTGTTGAACCGTTCGAGTTTGTATGCGAATGTGCCGGAAGAATATATTCGCACAGTTTACGATGAAATGACAACAGACTCGTCAACGAGTCTCAACATCTTCCCTCCATCGGCTTCTGATTCGAGAACAGATACTGAGGCAGAAGCAGACGCAGATGCAGGAGAACAGACACCACATATGGGACCAACAGGATATCCTCTTGATGAACTTCGATACCAAAACTGGAAGACGATCAACGAACTACTGTTTGCTGCGGAATTGCATGACAAGGAGTACATGGACGCTGTTGACGATGCCATCAAGCGTGGTACGCCACCTCCTAGCCGCGACACAGAACTGAAGAATGTGCCAAAACTCGACGACTTTGCAGGCTTGTGCGACTTAGAGACCGTAAAAAGCGATGACAAGCAAAGCATCATCGCAGACGATGAGAAAGTTGTAACACTTGATGAGTTCCGCGACAGAGTCTTCGAACTTCGCGGTCGCAAGGCTTGAGGCAACACATTGCAATTCATTATCGTCATCTCTGGTTAAGCGGAAGTTGGGATGAATAAGTTCCCTGAACCAAAACGCCGGCACGATGATGCCATGAACCATCAAACTCGATGGAAAAACAAGAACGAATACAATGCGCCGATCAGTTCTACTGATGTCCTTTGTGAGGCGGCTGTAACACCCCGAAAAACTCCAAATCCTCTCCTCTTCCATGACTCCAACTACTCTCTTGATTGGTGCTCCTTTGTGATTATTCGGGCATATAGTGTGCATCGAGTGATAGGTTCCAGCCCTTGTCAGTCAGATGACTAAGGACGATGGGACGAAAAGGCCTCGGTCGGCGACGGCGGGGGAGCAGGCGTCTCGTCCTTTTGAGCGATGCGAATCTTGAGATCCTTGGTGCGTGGTTGTGAGGCCGAAGCTGCAAAAGCAGCGTTGATATCTTCGTGTGTGAATGAGTCGGAGCGCAGGATGAGGCGCGGACGGCTGGCAGCTTGAGGGTGTGCAGGAGTCATATTGACTTGATGTGATGGTCTTCGATGTGTGGAGCAAGAAGTTGCGTCAAACACAAGATGACTGCCGCCTCTGGAGACGAGAAGCGATGTGATGGGTGGCTCAAGTGGTTGGCAAGAACAAGACCTCTTGTCGACTTGATAAGCTATCTGTGGCTTGGTATCAAAAGCAAGTCGCTGCTTTATGGATTTGGTAACCTTGATGGAAGATTGAGGATAAAAAGTTGAGATAAACCACAAATGCCAAACAGGCGAAGAGAGGTCGGAATAAATATCCCATCCCTCCTCCTCTGCTCATCACATCTTCCGCCTCCACCACCACACAACGTATCACCGATTCAGGATAAAATCCCACACCGCCAGCTTTTTTCTTTTTGGGGTCTTTTCCGAATGACAAGCCGTCATCTCATGCCATCCTTGCAACCTCTTTTTCTTTGGCTGACACGACACGCCGCAAAAGCCGTTTCCCGATAGACACCACATATGCGCCGCACACCTTGCCATCTCTCCATATCTGCACCCCTTGCCCTGCTGCTGCTGCTTTGGAGTGCATTAGACCAAACGGAGCCGTGATCCCGCGCCCCGCGCCGTCCCTCTTGCTACCGAACTTTCGGGTTCGTCTTCTCGGTCCGTACGAACGTGGGCGCATGGATTCGACACCATCGCGTCTTTTTGTGTTTTACCACCTTACCATGACTATGCAGATCGTGGAGTGTTGCTTTCTCTTTGTCAAAGGATGTCACGACGCCCAGCTCTTGTGATTGGAGCTCTTGGAGATTGATGTACCTTTTGTGATTAGCTCAGCCGTATACAAGAGACGAATAACAGCCCAGCTATGGTTGGGAAGTATGTTCTTTGTTTACCCGATGTTCTTGACCGCAAGTTTCTGTCTTTTTATGCATCGCGGCTTCTTATATTGGGGGAGGCTTGCATTGCGGCTTCCTGGGATTGATTGACAGCGAACTTGCCGATCCCGAGCTCCAGAACTTCTTCGTACGACTTTTCATCTTTGAGTGGATGGGCATTGCTGGCCACTTTGTTGATCACCATTTTTTGGGCTGCCAATCATGTGGGGAGGTATCTTACTGCACTTTACGGATGCAGACGTTGATTCGAGACTGCTTTTGCATCTCAAACTCGTCACCCCATGTTTTCTTGAGTCTGACACTGATTAGCACAAACAGATTGGACAGGCCCATCACCGGCATGCAAGATCCCCAAATTGAGGGGCGTTCTGCTTTGCTTGGAACCAGGGGTATGGGATTTTTAGTGGCGGTCGTTGTTGTCCTTCCTTGATTCGTTGTGATTGATTCATGCACACTCGGATAATTATCCATGATGCTTACATGATCGGGTAAACAAGAATCATCAAGCTAGACCAACATTTGTTTCGCCAGTTCTCGAATCCACATGTTTGAGCAAGGACTTTGTCTGGGAAACAACGGATTTCACTTTGACTCTTTCCATTGGAGTGTACGAGGAAAGGCCACGACCTTCTGGCCTAGAACAAAGTAGTAACAAGGTTGGATACCCACATTGTTTCATTGTGCTCCCTCACACAGATCCACAACTTTCTAGAATCTCTGGATTTGTGATCCGAGAATGTATGCATGTATACATTCTTGATAGGTAAAGCGGACCGGTTTACCGCTGAACAGTTCAACAACCACCACTCTCCATGATTCGTACCTTTCTCTGTACCTGTCCTTGCGATCGTGGTTTTATGCTGTGCTTCAGAGTCATGGTGGAGCGTCAAAGCATCGGTACACTTCCATCATCGATGCTTGACTACATGCACATACGTTTTCAGCCACGCCAACGTGCCAGCGAGAAAAGCAGGCTCTAACATAAAAACTAGGGAGTGGGAAATAAAAAGTCCGGAGAATAGGGGTGCAGAGCAAAAAACATGTATAGCAATATAGCGGGGTACATTTTGCAAATGCGAGGGAACTTGCAGGTAGCCGTTTCGTTCAGCGTTTGTGTTTGTGTAACAGTCAGGAGAGCAGAAGTGAGGCTTGAAAAGTAAACACGTTCAAAAGATGGAGAAGGTGGGGTTTGTGGGACACGGGGACTGGAGTCCGGGGTTTGGGTTGGTGTGAGTGAGGACTCATGCTTGTAACCAGTCAGGAGAGTGAATGAGGGATGTTGGTACCCGGGTTGGTGGGTGCTTGAGGGGTTTGTCTTGTAGCTTTGACGGCAGTAAGATTTTCACATAGATGAAAGTGTAGAGATTGACATGATGATCGGGAGATAAGGTTAGGGAAAGAGAGCGCTTGACGCATTAACAAGAATACACATCTATGATAAGCAAAACATCCAAGAAGCACATGAAATCCTCCATACTTCAAATTATCCTGGGAACGTGCTCAATCGTTTGGCATCTCTGTAGCTTGACTGTTTACAGCAGCCTGAACACTATGGCAAAGTTACCTCAAGAGATGGCTTCTAGGCTCGGTGGAACACGAGGTGGACTGGTTCGGCAGGCTGCACCACAATATCCGTCTTCAGTCTTGGTGGCTCGGCCATCTTGCACTCGACTCGCGAGTAGGTCTGCAAGATACGGACGGTCGTGTAAGCCACTTCGGTCAAAGCAAATTGCTGACCTGTCAAACTGAATTAGCTCGAGCTTCCAGTATTGATCGTCAGTAAGGGCTTACCGATACAAATACGTGGTCCACCGTTGAACGGGATGTCTATTTGACCGGTCAGTCCGAGCATGTTGAGCTGTCGGTGATATACTCACANTGTCCACATCTTTGGGTTCCATCCGTCCCAACGATCAGGCTCGAAGCTGAGATGGTGGGGGAATTTCTCAGAGACTGGTGGGTAGATGTCTTCGCGGCGCTGCAGGAACAGGGTCGAGTAACCAACGGGAGTATTGGCTATCTTCATGTTAGCAAATTGATCAGCTTCTGTCTATTGGTCTGACTTACCAGGAATACCAATAGGCTGGGTACCATCTGGACCGCCTCCACGCGGCAGAGTCGTATCCTTCAGAGAGACTCTGACATTGAAAGGTACGATGGGATAGAGTCTCAAGGTCTCGTTGATAACATGGGTAAGGTACCGCATGTTCTTCAAGTGAGTATAGGTAGGCTTGTTGTTCATACCCACATGCTCCTCAATCTCACGTCGCAGCTTGTTGACAATGTCAGGTCTTCTGGAAATTTCGCTGAACAACCATGAGAGTGTGCATGCGGTAGTATCACGTCCAGCAAGCAAGACAGCAGTCAATTGATCTCTCAAGACCGTGCGATCGCGCGTGAAGCTAGCAAGCGCATACAGGAAGTTGTAGCCTTCGTCTGACTTGGACTTCTTTTCGAGCTCATCGGGCGTCAGCTGTAGTGTCTGTTCAATGAACGGTTGTATGAACTGTTCCATTATATTGAGAGATTCATAGAATGCCTTGCGTGGCACGAAACGGTTGAGGGGCCCAACACGAGCAATAGTGGATTGGACACTCTGTACGGTGGCAAAAGCGTCAGAGAAACGATCCTGAGGGTTTTCCAAGCTGTTCACACTGTGGCCAAGCAAGAAGGCGGTGCTGGCGTCCAGCGTGAACTTGAAGAACAAATCCATTGCATCTACAACTTGGCCATCCTTGGAACCACCGAGCATGGGAAGCAGAACTTCCAAGTGTTTTTCAAAAACTGCTAGATCAGAGACACGATCTTTGATGAACTGAGGGCGGATGAGTTGACGAGATGCATGCCATTGCTCTCCATCCGTGGTGAAGATNNACCTATCGCACATCAGTATCGATTTTGTCATCTGAGGTTTGTATTGCTTGTTCTTACTATCTCCCAGGAAGTCATGCCATTCAGAATTGAATTGTGCACCTTNTCCATAGTCATGGAATTGGGTAGCAAGGATAGCTTTGATATTCTCTTCATCTGCAGTCAAGACCAGTCGGTTTCCTACGATCCTGATCTCACGCGTAAAGGGGTGGACTGCCGACTGGTCTGCAAACATTCTATACCATCCTGCAAGCAGATCGTGTTTGCGCTGGTCATGCACGGTTCTAGCTACGAAGCCGAGTCCAAATGGCACCCAAGAGTTGATAGTTTTAGCATGAGCTCCCAGAGATCGGATCTTGCGCTCCTCTTGAATTCTTGAGAATAGATGTCTTGCGAGCAATAGGACTGATATGCCGACTAGGCCAATTAAAATCGAGCTGTGGTCAGAAGATGCGTCGGACCGAGTTACGGCCATTTTGCCACGAGGTGTCCCACACAATTGGTTCTGCCTTATGGTTATCTTCTGTTGTGGGGTATTTTCAAAGGTTTAGGGGATCGATATAGGTTGATATGAGATTGATTTATATTCGAGTGGGTTGCAGTCATGAAGTCTATGGGGTCCTCGGATAGCTAAATTTCCGGGCGGCCTGAACATTCGCAAGCGTTGCCGAGTTAGGCATAGTAAGCTCGTACCTTCCTTGCATGATTCGTTGTGAGATACTTATTACTCCGAGTACCCCTCACCTCATTCATCCACGCGATGTCTGAACAAACGAATCATAGAGCGCACTGAGTGCCGTTCTGCGTACAGAATGGCATCTGAATGGGCTCGGCGCCAATGCCTCTTGCGACTAAACGCTCCCGCATCTCACTCAATCTTGGACTTGCGGTTATCTGACTGCGATTCTGCCCATGCTCGTCTTTGGCACCGCTCCAGAGCACTTCGGCAGCTGCACACGCACGTGGCCATACTTGTCTGTCGATATTGACAGGATCAGTCTGCTCGCTCCAGATATGAACTTCTCCGCCCAGGACAAGATGTGTCAGGTTTGCTGGGACGCCGTTCAGCGGGTTGTAAGCATACATCACTCTCCAGTTGTGCAATGGCGCGCAATAGTCGTTATAGGGATAGTATGTCTGAGAGACGTCAGGGTAGAAGTCAAGCCATTGGCCATGACCACAGTCAAGGTANNCTAGCAATCATTCATCAGCTTAAAAATTCACAGTATCCTCGCTCCGTGAAACACTCACCCAGTAGTTGTAGTTGCCAACAAGAGCTTTGTGCCCTTTGCTGACAGTCTCTGCGACTGCCTCGTCGCTTTGCCAGGTCTGAATCACGACATCAGATCCTAGAGTCAGGTTCCAGGTCAAGAGCATTTCCTCCCATGCAATTGGTGTCAAGCCAGCAGCCCGCACCTTGGCATGAGCTCTGTCGACAAAGGCCTGCATCAATGGCTGCAGAACAGCAGTGTCGTTCGAGCGTACAGTATCGTCGAGATTATAGGCATTCACATTGACTTCATCACCACCAGTGTGGAAATACGACGAGTATGGCAGAACTCGTGGCAACAAGTCTTCGAAAAGGGTGTCCAAGAATTCGGTCACCGCTGAGGAGTTCAGCTTTAAAGTACCAGACGGTGGCTCAGCGGCGTATGCTGACCAGTCCTTCTCGTTGAACGCAGCTATGAGCTCAGGGTACGAGTAGGCGATAGATGAGGTGTGGCCTGGCATGTCAATCTCGAGAATCACCTCTACACCTCGAGAGGCACCATAGTCTTGGATGTACGCCATTGTTTGAGGGCTGTATGTCAGACCCTCACGGTACGAACCTTTCTCAGCTAACATGGGCAGTGCTGGGATTTCGATCGGCCAAGACTGAGCATCTGTGATATGCAGGTGCAGGCGATTGAATTTGTTGTACGCAAGCGCATCGATCATCCGGATTATATCAGCGGGTGCATACCAAACTCGCGAGACGTCCATGTTCAGGCCCCTATGCTGGAACTTCGGAGCATCTGTTATGTTTACTGGAGTGTAAGGTGTGTAGACTGCGCCGCTGGAGTGCTTGTAGAACAGCTGAGTGAACGTTGTCAAGCCATGTGCAATGCCAATAGAGGAGGTCGCGGTGATAGTAGCCCGGCCATTGGTCGAAATAGAGAGTGAGTAGGATTCGTCGACCTCACCGGCCAGAGGCTTCGTCACATTTGCAGGGTCGGCATCGGTTTGTTCCAGGTACACTGTTTTGATGTAGGTGCAAGAGGCGTTCATCGCAGGCTCGAAGTCGGAGTGACGAGGGTGAAACTTCCATGGAACGAAGTTTTGTTCGAATAGAGTCTGAGTAGTGGACTTGATCGCTGTAGATATAACCTTTTGGGACGATGTGTTGTGGTGGCCATAGTTTCCCTGCTGCAAGATGAAGAGGTTAAGATCTTGTTCGAACGGCATCTGCTCTGGCTGGGGCAATGCTACCTGTGCGGCACCATTATAGATGAACTTGACTGTGCGATCCACAAACAACACCCCTTCTCCGGTGGTCATCGTTGATGGTATTGGCCATATCGCCAGAGTTTGGGCGACGAACAGACTGAGGAAGAGATGAAACAACATCGCGAACGACAAGACGCGACAGATTACAGCAAACGTACTCTCCAAGAAACAACTTATATACAGTATGGAGATCAAGACAGGAGTAGGAAAAGAGAGACATCAAGTGTCCCTTGCCAAACCTTGGAATTTATGTTTCATTGTGCGTGCGACGAGGACAGCAGAGATAGGCCTGCTGCAGGCCGAAGGGGGCGCAGGCGGGGTTGGGCATGGCGTTGCACATCAAAAATTGACTTTGGACAAAGTCGCGTCTGGTGTTTTGCTTCGACAAGGGCACTCCTTCATTTATATAATGAGGTATAGACAGACGAGCGGAGAGATTAGTCCGTGCTACCGTGAACCACTGTGACAAGCGGTCAAGCTCTCCTTGCATGGTTCCTCGCCATAGCACGAAAGGGAAACCAAGCGATCATCCCTGACTCGTGTCGGATGTAGATGAGGCAATAGTATGCATGCACTCGTACTTGTATGATCACGAACTGGGACTTGAGGTAGTTCTCTGGCTGCCGTTTCAGCTGAGATGCTAGTCAGAAAGCCAACAGCATGCTTGCGAATCGCTGTAGCACACCATGTTCTTGTGGCTGATACAACTGGAACACTTCCTTCGCGCTTCAGAGAGCAGCCATAGATCGGCGGTGGTGCAGACCAGTTTAATCATAGGAAAGGTGCACGGCGTACCGATGCGATACGCACGTAGCTAACAATTGGCCAGGGTCACACATATGGTAACACTTTTGGCCAGTCAAAAAGCCCTCGCAATTCGATCCAATATTTGCCTTTCTTTAAGAGTGCGTACCTGTGATACGTCTACATATGTCAGACTCTGATACAAGGAATAGAGTACAGTAGCAATAAAGCCACAGTTTCAAGCATGGCAATGCAACATCACCACCCAGCCACTTTAACGATGCTGTCCTGGAGTCACCTGGACAGCTTCCGATGATCCCTGCATCAATACCGATGCAGAACTCCTAAGAACTTTTGACCCACAACAGCAATGGCTATCAGGCCACAGCCACAGGTGTCTTCGTGTACTGATGGAGGCCCAAGAAGCCAAGAGCGTGAGAGTTCGTAAGTCTTCCGCAACCCCGACTCGACCCCGCGTTGCCCTGAATCGTAAGGAGCATGGTCTGCACTCATAGCAACAGACATTGGTTCCCGACAATGAGAGGTAAGACTACCGGTGTTCCAAGGTCAGCGATGTCCACTGTCAAAAGGATGCGGGGTGATGATGCGGGGTAGCATTGACAAGATGTATAAAGGTCTGACATGAGGAGACTCATGTATGGTTCCTGTCCAACATTACATTACCAACACGATGGGACTTCCTACCAGTCAGAAAGCAGCTGTGAAACAGGGAGAGGGCAAGTCGTCAACCGCGCCGGTGAAGGATGTCCCTGTCCATGAACCAGGCCCTGGTCAGATCCTGGTCAAGATTAACTGGACGGGCCTGTGTGGAAGCGACAAATCGCTGATATACGACGAGTGGGTTACTCAAGGCCTCAAGATGCTTCCCGTAACTCACGGAATTGCCGGTCATGAAGGAGCGGGAGAAGTCGTTGCGGTTCATGAGGATGTGAAGGACCTGTGGAGCGTCGGAGATCGAGCTGGTGTCAAATGGGTTGCCAGTGTCTGCAAGAAGTGCGAGTTCTGTACCAATGGCACCGACGAGCTTCAATGTCCCAAACAGCTCAACTCTGGCTTCTCGGTCCAGGGTACATTCGCAGAGTACTGTCTGACAGATGCCCGATATGCTACAAGGCTGCCAGAAGGTGTCTCGGACGAGGAAGCAGGTCCAATCCTGTGCGGAGGAGTGTAAGTCGTGTCTTCAAGCTGTACACCTTATCAATCGTGCTGACTGATGTGCCCAGGACGGTATGAGAAATTAAACAGAGTCGTAAGCATGGACGCAAACTGACCAATACAGGCCTATACAGCTTGCAAGCGAAGTGCAGTAAGACCTGGCCAATGGATCGTTCTGCCAGGCGCTGGCGGTGGACTTGGCCACCTTGCCGTCCAATACGCAAAAGCGATGGTCAGTTGATTAGCAATTGTATGATGGTTGCAGCTCGTTGACTCGACGGCACAGGGCATGAGAATCATCGCTGTTGACGGCGGAGATGAGAAGGGCAAGCTCTGCAAGCAACTTGGTGCGGAGCACTATATCGACTTCNNCCTCGCCTGCAAAGATGTAGCTGCTGAGGTCACGAAACTCACGACTTTCGGAGCCCATGGTGTTATTGTCTTTGCCGCAACCCGAGAGGCATACGGATCAGCTCCCAATTTTCTTCGACCGGGTGGCACAGTGGTAGCTGTCGGCTTGCCAAAAGACGAGACAATCATCGCAGGAGCAACGCCCTTGACGCTGGTTTTGAAGAGGCTCAACATCGTTGGGTCTGTGACAGGCACTCTCAAGGAAGTGGAGGAAGCGCTTGATTTCACGGCCCGAGGCCTGGTCCGACCCATACTCACAAAGGGAACCTTAGAGGATGTTGACCGCTTCTTGCAACTCTTAGAGCAAGGCAAGCTCCCCGGCCGAGCTGTTCTCAAGATTGCTGCTTGATGGTTGTCATGAATTAGATAGCGGGTTGCTTGGAGGCCAAAGAAGATTTGGGAGGCCTGTTTTTGGACAATAGTAGAACACTATTGGAACTTGACTCTAGTGACCAAGTCACTCGAGGACCATGATTCGTGTATCATGATTCATGTAAAACTCTATCACCTACTCTTGAAACCTCATCTGTGTTCCCTGTGACTCTTGACATGCTGAACCCTTTGACCAGGGACCTGAATGAGAGGTGTCAACCACTGTTCGTGGACGATGGTGGCGACTCTCGCCGCTGTCGGCAGGGGGAGTCTTCGGTAGAGGCATTTATGTCGCGCGCTCGCAACCGAGTACGGCGTCTTCGCGCTCCCGAAAAGTGTTGTTAAACAATAAATTTTTCTCTAGTAATGGCCGCCTTGGGCCAAGTCTTGTTATTACTCAGCCTTGGCACTCAACGTAGGGTTGACTTTTCGACGACCTCTTGCTGTGCACTATGATGACCTCAAAGGTTGCACTCTTGCCGTCACAATTTCATTGATTCTAGCCGATCAGGCTGAACGAGGGTTAAAGAAGCAAGAATCTCACAGTCATTTTTACCGAGCAAAGTCGATCATAAATGGATCTCACGAGCGTCTCGCCAGGCCTCTCGCGTGTCGAAACGTTGTCGGCCACCACCGATGCCTGCAAAATTGCCTTCGGGACCTTCACGGGAATCGGCAGCCGTCGCGACAGCGAGCCGATTTGACTTTCCAGAATGTAGGTCGCTCGTGTTTGGATGGAAACTTTTACGTCGCAAAACTCGACCCTCGCACCGCTAAGCGTGACTTCTACCTCTTCATTGGCCGTGTTCCTCTGTCTACCCCAGCGAAACAGAGTACAGACTGCAGAATGGCACCTTTCAACAGATGATCCATTCTGCTTGTCGTCCGGGCCGGTCAGGGAGGCAGGGTGGACCACGATAACGGGTTCTGATGTGTGAAAGAGGCCCGTCATCAGAAGGTTACTCACCAGTAGGTCGCACTTTGAGTCCTAGCGCTGATGTAGGTGTTCATTAAAGACCTTCGAAGCCCCCTTCGCGCCTCGTAGCTTTTTATCGTTTCTTAGCCTGACGCCTCTTTGCTTGTATTTGCTTGACATTTGGACGTCCGATCATGGATCACGAATCATCTGCAGCTGAGTATGTGTCTTTCTATTGCTCCTGCAAGCGATTGCATGTGGAAATGCGCCCGCGGTAACACGATCCTGCGAGGAATACCAATTCTCTGAAGCCTTCCTCTTCGAAGAATATTTCCTCGCGCGACGTGGTGCTGCTGACTATCAATTTCAAGTCGTGAACATCGGTCTCGGAACATCCTTACTGACGCAGAGTCAAGGCTGCACGCTACTGCTGTCGAGCCCCGCGTGAAAGACCACAAAGACATGGCTGGCGGTGTAGAACCAACGAAACCCGAATATCCCCACGAGGAACACGGAGAGATTGCAAGCCTCAGCAATGATGGAGAGGAGCCTACCGAAGAAGAAAGACAAACACTACGAAAGGTTTCCGACAAGCTCCCATGGGCCGCATTCATCATCTGTATCATCGAACTTTGCGAAAGATTCACCTACTACGGTCTCTCTGGTCCTTTCCAGAACTATATCGAAAACAGCTACGGTGGCAGAGTGCCTGGAGCTATTGGACTTGGACAAACTGGAGCTACTGGTCTTACTGACTTCTTCCAATTCTGGTGCTATGTATGTTAACCTGAAGCTACAAACACCACGACTAGCGCTGGCGCTTTGTCTCAGTCTGTGGGCAAAGCCCTTACGGAGTGTATTGGAACACCTTTAGGGACAGCGCCTTGCGGAGTTGAGTACACTCGTCTAGCAAAGTCGTGGTGTTCTTGCCCATCCAACTTTGTGAAATCTTACTAACTGTACCTTCGCTTTAGGTATGTCCTGTCCTTGGCGCAATTGTCAGTGATCAATATCTTGGAAAGTACTGGACCATCTTCTACTCTGCCATTATCTACATCATCGGCAACCTGATCTTGTTCTTGACTTCTCTCCCTGTCGCCATCGAGAATGGTGCTTCTCTGGGAGGTCTCATCGCCGCCATGATCATCATCGGTATTGGCACTGGAGGTATCAAGTCCAACGTTTCGCCTCTTATTGCCGAGCAATACCAGAACACCAGCCAGTTTGTCAAGACCTTGAAGAGCGGAGAACGTGTCATCGTTGACCCCGGAAAGACGATCCAGAGAATCTACTCCATCTTCTACATGATGATCAACGTTGGCTCTTTGTCGTCCATCGCCACCACCGAGCTTGAGGCTAACATCGGTTTCTGGCCTGCTTATTTGCTTCCCTTCCTCATGTTCCTAGTCGGATTCGCTGTTCTTGTTGCCGGAAAGTCCAAGTACAAGGTTAGAGCCCCTGGCTCCGTCATTCCCAAGGCTTGCAAGGTCATGTGGATCACTATGATGAACAAGGGCAACTGGAACGCCGCCAAGCCTGAGTACTCGGAAGAGTTTACTGGTGGCAAGAAATACAACCTGAACTGGGATGGCATCTTCGTTGAGGAAGTCAAGCGCGCTCTTGTTGCTTGCAAGGTCTTCTGCTTCTTCCCCATCTACTGGGTTGTCTACTCTCAGATGCTCAACAACTTCATCTCGCAGGCTGGTCAGATGCAGCTCCACGGTATCCCCAACGATTTGATGCAGAACTGGGATCCTATTACTATCATCATCTTCATTCCCATCATGGACTACCTGTTCTACCCTGCACTCGGCAAGCTCGGATTCCAGATGAAGCCCATCACTCGTATCACTTGGGGTTTCTTCTTCGGTGCAGCGGCCATGGCCTACGCTGCCGGTATCCAGAAGCTCATTTACAGCAGTGGACCTTGTTACGACCGCCCTGGTGCTTGCGAGGCTGCTCTGCTGCCCGATGGATCTTACGCTCCTAACAATGTTCACGTGGCTATTCAGGCTCCTGCATACCTCTTGATTGGTCTCTCTGAAATCTTCGCTAGTATTACTGGTCTCGAGTACGCATTCACCAAGGCACCCGCAAGCATGAAGTCTTTCATCATGTCACTTTTCCTCCTGACCAGTGCTTTCGGTTCAGCCCTCGGTATTGCGCTTTCGCCTACCGCTGTCGACCCCAAGCTCCTCTGGATGTACACTGGTCTTTGCGTTGCCTGCTTCCTTGCTGGTGTCTGCTTCTGGATCATCTACAGCAAGTACAACGACACTGAGGAAGAGATGAACGAGCTGGAGAAGTACACAGCACCAGCTAAGTCAGTCGAAGTTGCCGACGAAGAGAAGGCTGCTGCTGCTGAAGCTCCTGCTCGCGAGAGAAGCATCTCTGAATAGATAATGGAGGAAAGTGTACGATTAGTGGTTTTGTAACGGATTATGTATATATAGCTCAATGAAAGAAGCATCTTCAACATTCGTGTCACTTCCTATAAGCTTCGTGATTATAGACAGCAGCAGTTGGTGTCTGCTTTGGTATGAAGTGAAGGAGCGACAGAGCATTACACGTGACCAGTATGCAGCCACTTCCGGCCGGCGTGTGATGGATGACGCGCCTCGGCTTGTGCTCGTGTCGCCGTGGCTGCAAGCGCCAGAAGTCAAACAACAACCCATAGCCAAAACATACCTTAGCTGTCCGCCTGTCTATCCAAGCATCAACTACTACATGCCAGCTCAGGCAGTTGGATACCTTGTCACCATGGTTTGAGCGGGCAGCCACAAGAATGATAGACGCCTCGACTCGACTACGCAGAGCGATCCTCTTATCCGATGCTTTGCTGGTCAAACGCATCATCCGCTCCAACCCTGGCATCTTACAGAACCCAGACTTCAAGGACAAGAGTAATACGAGCTTGCACCTCGCCGCCCAAGCTGGTTTCGAAGAAATAGTGGTAAGGACATATCTCCGGCGCATTCAACGGCGCTTCAACCGTCGCGATAGAGCACAGAGACCAATACCTTCTACTGTANNGGAAATCCTAGTCGACGCTGGACACGACCATGGGGAAATATCACGTAATGCCGACTGGGACACTCCGTTGATGTTGGCTGCGCGACACGGCAATATCGACGTCGGCATCTTGCTCGCCAATCGCTTCCCACGCTCCATCCCTGTCACCAACAAGCTAGGCCTGGATGCGGTATATATACCATGCCCATTCCTTGTTACATGACACGCGCTGACTCGGTGCCTTCTTAGNCTCGCTCTATCATGCCTTAATCCTGCGTCTACACCTCTAGTATCCTTACTGTTATCCCACCCAGAATACCCCGCTTCTGCTGATGGCCGCGACAACCACGGCGACACACCACTCCACCACGCATCTGCCTCAGGCTCCCTGAAAGCCCTCCGTATCCTCNNCCTCTCTGCAGGTGCCGACCCAACAGCCAAGAACGCCTACGACTGGACACCCCTCGCATACAGCCAAACAGTAGCCGCAGAAGTCTACTTCAAGAACCTCGTCGCCGAACTCGAACGTAGGAAAGTCGAAGACATGCGTGGCGAGCAAGAGAGAAGGGAAGAAGCCATGAAGCGCAAATATGCCGGTGTGCGTGTCGTTACCGAAGACAGCGAGGCTTCTTCGCGACCCAGTGACGATATGACCAGATCTGAGAGCAGCATCTCTATTTCTAGCCCTATCGATCAGAGAAACGCCTTCACACCGACATCATACACACCGACGATTGCAAAGAGCAATCCATGGGTCAGTGGTGGCTTTGAGACGAGAGCACGAGCATGGAGCGGAGAGTGAAAGAATGCGCAGCATCACGGAAATCGACCTAACAGCAAAGACTGTTGTAACGAAGCCATGAGAATATTCCCAATACCACAGTTCAAACACCCAAAATCAAATGTTCCAACACAGCCATCGAGCACTTGGAGACCAGCGGCCTGCTTTCTGGTGCTATTGAATCATCATGCCAGCATCCGCTGTAACAGTGCATACAGCAGTATGGCAAAAAGCGGACAAGGGTCCCTCCAGTTGAGGGCTTACATAGAATATGGATCCAGATGTCTGAGCAAAAACAAAACATACAGCAGCAGGGATTCCCACGTGGTCACCCACCGTAGTACTAATCTGCCGTTCAACTGCTTATGTATGGCAGAGCGGACGGGATGCCCAGTTTTCAGCTGACTGTGGCCGTATGTGCTTGCTATGCTCTCAAGATACAATCAATAATGTGGTTTTCCATCACAACCACTGCAAATAACTCGTAAAGCATGGGAGCTCGGCGTGGTGCAATCATCCCGTTCTCAGTTCACATCATCCTGTCTTCATATCACTACCATGTCAGGAGAGGTCCAATCAAGCAAACACGGGCAAACAACTCTGATGCTAGACTGGTATCCCGCTCTTTCGTATCGTAATGCACGCGACACGACTGTCCTCTCTAAAAGTCAGGAGGATGCACTCACAAGTCTCGCGACGACAAAAGCGGCAGGTAGACCCAAACGCTCTGTCTCTCGAATCCTGCGACAGCCACACAACACTCCAACCGAGCAACAAACGTCGTCACGCGCGTGGATTTCTGCATCTTTGGTTCGTCAGCTATTTTTGAAATATCTTCTTGGTTGTTTCTGGAAGGTTTTCTGGGAAGGACCATCTCGTAGCTTTATGGTATTGGCTGGCGAGCTTGTTGTTTCTTGGCTTGGGAGATAAGCACTCGATGTGTCTTTGGTCTAGCAATGCGGCATATTCTTGCTGTGCTGGGTGTGTGATGCAGTGGTTTGTAGCGGTTGGGTATCATTGATGGCGCTTGTGTAGGTACTTAATGAGGTCTACGCCCTTCGAGGTTTGAGAATCTCTACCTTGAGTTGAGTTTTTGTGGTATGCTTCTCCGACTAGATCGAGCATGAGATTTAGCTAATACACATATAGTCGTGTCTTGAAGCTCTGCCGTCATCATCACAAGCCAAGCAGCCATAATGTACGGGGAGTCGACNAAAAAGAACGGACTCTCCAAAAGCGCTCGAGCTGGTGTCATCGCCGCTGTAGTCATCGTCGTCGGCATCATCCTCCTTCTCATAGGCTGGTTCTTGTGGCGCAACCGCAAGCTCAAGTACACCAAAGACTTAGCAGAAGCACAAGAAGGAGTACCGGCATGGCCAACAAAATGGCCCACAAGAGCAAGGCCTACGGCCACCTCTACGCAATCGAGGAATGGCCATGGCGAACCGGTTGAGCTGGTACCGCCGGCCTATGATATTGCTCAACCATTGCCAACGTATGAGGCGCCGCGATCAAATCAGGATGTGCTGGAGTCTCATGAGTTGGTCAACATGTCACATGGATACGAAAGGCACGAACCAACACGCCAGAATGTGTAGTCTTTTGGATACGAAAGAGAGTGTGCGTTGCCGTCATCTTAATTTGACCAAGTCTGTCGCCGCTCTGGTAACCCTGCCATCATCAATCTCATACTTTCTTTCGGGTCTCTGTGAGCAGCGAAAGAATTTGAATGGCTGTTAATGGCCTCCCAGTACATTTTGCTATCTCCTCTAATCTGCTGTATATCTATCTTGTATACAGACGTCGTTGTCGAGACGATATCGCTCATTCCAAATCTGACGAGATTTATCGTCAGGAAGCTCTCGAGCGTTGCATGTGTTCTGACATGGCTAGTTCTTCATAATTGAGACAGAAAGGAAAAACATTGATTGTTGATATGGACGAGAACACCACAAATTCGAGATTTGATCGGAGCAGAGTCTTGTTCAATTATAATGTTCGAGTTTGGGCTATTATCTATGCTTGCCGCCCTTTCTCTGTCTAAGCTCATGTTCTTTTTTGGGATCCTTCTTCTCAATGACCCACGTCTCGACGACTTGTTTTGTTTCAACCCTCTTTCCCTCTGTTTGTTTTGCATCCTTGATGCGTCTTAGGTAGCCCATGTAAATTGCGACTTCTGCAATTGCAACAGCGCCGCTGCCGAACATGCTCAAGGCCATTCTCTGTGGAACACTCCAATGCCGGGCGGCGATCCAGATGGCGACGCTACAAGCGATGATAGAGACGAGGACGTTGATGATGAGTGCTAGTTGGCGATTGACATCTGTGTATGTCACCTCGTCATCTTCGTCCTCTGGCCGTATACGAGATGGTTCGGGTACGGATGATGTAGGGTTGATCAAACGTTGGTATGCGATACTCTCCTCCTCTCTGCGAAGACGGGCCATTAGGGCAGTGTATTCGGCAGTCTGGTCGAAGATATCAGTAAGGGATAAATGCGAAGGAGTTGACGTCTCGCGTGTGCATACTGGCTGAGGCTTTGGTTTTGGAGGGGGCACATAAATGTTGGCCCCCTTGAGCAGAGCATCAAGTCGAAAGTCATTCTTGTTGGNAAGATGGCTCTCGCGCAGGAAGCGCGCAACTTCAATCAGCTGTGCATGCGATACAGGAGCGCCGACGGTGGGCTCGCTCAAGGAGGGGTCGCTCGACGTGTCATGCTGTTTCTGGTCTGACAATTGATTGTAGAGCTCTACGGCAGATTTGGCAGCAGGAGTCAATGTCAACAGGACCATCAGGGCGAGTGTCAAAAGTTGATGACGGCGATGGGTGTCGCACATGTGTAGATTGAGCTCGGACCACTATAGCGGCCGAAAATGCCATGAGGTGTTGGATGGAGTTTGGTCCTTGTGAACGACTGACACTTCAATTGGCCACCAACGCTCTTTCCCTCGACCATACACGCCTTCTTTTCCTGTTGTAAACGGAGTTCCAGCGGGTGTCGTTTTGTTCGTGCAGTCTTTGTCCAGGAAATGAGCGCTTCCCGAGCTCGAGCATCGACGCTCGCCATCACCTCTCGTTCGCCGTCATACCGATCCTCATGTCCTAGATACCCACACCTAACACGATCAATACCCTCATGTCTTCCCTCTCAACGGCGGCATCAGTCGTCGGTCGCCGCTGCCATCCAGACGGCCAAGCACATGTTCAACAATGCCGCTCCCTCACCAATCGGCATTGATCCTCTACAGAGTGTCGCCAAAGAACTCAAATTCTTGACTGGAAACATTCAGCAGTTACTCGGCTCTGGTCACCCCATGCTGGATACTGTCGCAAAGTACTACACTCAATCCGAGGGCAAATATGTCCGTCCCATGCTGGTACTGCTCATGTCGCAAGCCACCGCTTTGACTGTCAAGCACGAGCGATCCACCCCTCAAGCCCTCGACGTCGACTCATCCATGTCGCCCTCTACCGTCCTCTCCGACTCGAACCCCTCGTCTCCTCTGACCTCTCCTCCCGTCGTCGAGGATCTCGCCGACACCTCTGTCCTCNNCCCCTCACAACGTCGCCTTGCTGAGATCACCGAACTCATTCACACTGCCTCTCTCCTTCACGACGATGTCATTGACAACTCCATTTCTCGCCGTTCCGCCCCCTCGGCCAACATTCAATTCGGCAACAAGATGGCTGTCCTTGCCGGCGATTTCATGCTTGGCCGCGCCTCTGTCGCCCTTGCACGTCTGAGAGACCCCGAAGTTACCGAGCTGCTCGCTACTGTTATCGCCAACTTGATTGAGGGCGAATTCATGCAGCTGCGCAACACTGCTTCGGACGAGAAGCACCCTACCTACAGTCAAGAGACAATGGAATACTACTTGCAAAAGACATACTTGAAGTCCGCTTCGCTTATCAGCAAGTCGACAAGAGCTGCCGCCATCCTGGGCAACTGCTCTCCGGATGTAGTAGAAGCTGCTTACAGCTACGGAAAGAACCTTGGTCTTGCCTTCCAGCTGGTCGACGACATGCTGGATTACACCGTCAGCGGAGCCGAGCTCGGCAAGCCTGCTGGTGCTGATTTGGAGCTNGGTCTGGCTACCGCTCCTCTGCTTTTCGCATGGAAAGACAACAAGGAACTCGGGACGCTTGTTGGCAGGCGATTCGCCGAGGAGGGTGATGTCAAGAGAGTGAGTTCCATCAGCTTCCAACTTGCGATGCAAAACACACTAACAGTTTTAAGNGCACATGACCTTGTTATCCAGAGCAACGGCATCGAACAAACTCGCGCCATGGCCGAAGACTATATCAACAAGGCTCGTGAAGCCATTGCTTTCTTCCCAGAGAGTCAGGCCAAGGCCGGCCTCTTGGACATGTGTACAAAAGTTTTGCAGAGGAGAAAGTAGGCATAGATATATAAACATCTCCTCTATGTATGTTATGTGGGAGGACGAAAATGTACTTTTACCCATCTTCTCTTCCAGGTTCAGACGATGAGCACTTATCAACATCGACATCGCCGCATCTGATTGTTAATACTTCTCGCAGGTTGAGCTATTCACAAGAACGAGCCAAGGTCTTTCAACACCGTGTCCTAGAGCCGTACGATATCCCGATTGAGATCTCATGGCACCTTCGAGTGATGATCTCTGCTATAAAAATGCTGAAGACTTTCTAGAAGAGGAGTGTTTTCCACAGAGACAAGATCATCCTAGGGTATCTCTATGGCCGCACTCTAGTATGGAAAGCACTTGCGCATTTCTATAGTGACACTGTGACGGTGTGGAGTGTACGAGGAGGGTTTGCATGGCTCAAAAGGAAGTTGCGCCTTCTTAATATGCTATTGATATTGGAAACAAAGGAAAAACAAAGGAGAGATATCACACTAACGGTCCTTGAAGACCATCCTGAGGCCCAGCTACCCACTAACACCAACTCCGTGTGCTTTGACCCCTTTCCACCACCAAATTTTGTAGTTCCTATAACGCCATGACAAAGGAAAATATCTCGCTTCTTGTTGGAAGTGTTGACGCTATTGAGGGAACACGTCCTCAAGGCTGGGAAAGGTAAAATCAAAGTCGACTTCTGGAACGAAGAGCTGCGAGAGCTTTCTCTTTGGGTATGAGAGACNCTGCAGAGCCAAAGCGTCAGTAAACCAATCTCACTGATGATGACAAGGACACAGTGATCTACCTGACATCAGAGTGCTAAACACTTTTTGCGATGTAGTTGATACTGAAGATGAGACAGAGGATGCAATTGAGATGGCATCGATGTCTTGAATGTCTTCAACATCCATGAAGTATTCTTCAAGGATGGAGCGAGGAGATGGGCAGTCCGAATCCGGGATAGAGGTTTGCGAGAAAGGTGACAGAGCGATTGTGAACATCTTGCTGAAAGGCAGGGTAGATAGTGATTCTTGGGGTGTTGATTCAGAGATGGTGATCAGAGTGTAGATTGGTAGACACAAGATATGATGCTGATATTGCAAGATGAGTTGGATGATGAAGTTATATTCTGCGTCTGCTGTCGACCTTGTTATATACCTGACAACTCGTCACCTTGTTGTCGTGGACAATATTACTGCACCAGATACAGAAATTGATTCATCGGTATGTCCGATTCATCCTTGGCTTGTTCACGGCATACCGATGTGAGCAAGACAACGTGGAGCTAGGAGAACCCCGAGTTACCCTATTCAAAAAGCGTTCTTTGGTATACCAAGAAACGGAAGAAAGCTGAGGGTCGAAAAAGCAGCTGCAATGACTAATGTGGAAAGAGGTAAGCTGAGTCGAAATTCGAAAAATGTTCCATGCAAGCCATGTATGTGGTCGAAGCGTTGCCAGATCTTCGATGCCAATCTCAGTCAAGCTTTCAGCTGTCGTGAGCACCTGCACATCATCTCGGTGGCATACAACAACAAGTCAGATTATGGGAGCTAATCTGGCTCTAGGATCGATTTGGACAATCGAGATAGCCCAATTGGGAAAATGACACTCGCTATCACTACAACACGTGGTCGTTGAAACCCGGTTTCTGATCTCAATTTCTTCAGCTGAGGTTGCGCAAGCCTCACAAACCCAAACCGTTGCGCACCCGGCAGCCGAAAGTTGCCCTCCGAGGAAACCATGCTGACTCTCAACTTTGTTTTTGAGCGGCTGCTGTCTCAATCGCGATTCAGCTGAACACAATAGTAGGTGTAATCCTATTCAACCAACGTCTGCAAACGTTTCTCGACCTTCCCGCACAACGAGCTTATGTGTCTACGCACAACACTTGACCATTGTCCAAGTGAGTATGCGGCGACGCCGAAGTTGACATGTGAAGATGTATCGGTATCTGCGAGAAGGAGAAGTGGTAGCATTCATGTCTTGTGACAAGGTTGTATAAGTTAATGGAATGCCACCACGAACAATCATCATTTCAACCAAGTCACCTCTTATCATCATGTCTTCTGCATCATCTGTGTCTAGCATTGANAAAGAAGTCACTCTCTTCTCGACTGTCGAGTTGACTTCTGAATCTGTTCAATCATGCAACAACTCCGATATTGAACAAGCAAACCAGACCACGGATGACATTCCCAATGGTGGCCTGGTAGCTTGGTTGCAAGTCTTGGGTGCATTTTTCCTTTGGTTCAATACTTGGTGAGTTTCAATTTCAAACCCTTGCTGTTCTTCGCTGATTAGCCTTAGGGGTCTTGTCAATGCCTTTGGATCCTTCGGTACTTACTATGCACTTGGCCCTTTGCGAGAGTATCCATCATCGACTATTGCATGGATTGGCTCTATTCAGGCTTACCTCATGCTGCTTGCCGGTGCTCTCACCGGACCTCTGTTCGATGCAGGCTATTTCCGAATGCTTCTTATTACTGGCTCGTCGCTGATTGTACTTGGGATGGCAACGACTAGTGTCTCCACTAAGCTCTGGCAGATTATGCTTTCTCAAGCCTTTGCTGTTGGTTTGGGTCAAGGATGTCTTTTCTCTCCATCGCTTGCCATTCTTTCCACGTACTTCTCAGAGAAGAAGTTCTTCGTTGCTATGGGCTTGGCTGCTGCGGGCAGTGGTCTTGGTAAGTCCATTGACAGAATACACGTGGTCGAGTGCCTGCTGACATTGTCCATTGAAGGCGGCACCATTTACCCTATCGTTTTCCACACGCTGCAGCCAAAGATTGGTTTTGCAGCTGCCACTCGTGTGATCGCATACATCGTCTTGGGCACTCTTCTGGTATCGAACCTTGTGCTCCGGGTACGCTCTTTGCCTTCCCAACGACGCAAGGTGTTCGACATGGATGCCTGGAAAGAGCCCGCATTCACTGTTTACGTGATTGGCTCCATGATCGCCTTCCTTGGAACCTGGACGCCATTTGTATACATCGAGGTGTATGCCTTGCGTTACGGCATTACATCCAAGGAACTCGCCTTCTACCTTCTTCCCATCATCACTGCTGGTTCTATCTTCGGCAGAGTGGGACCTAACCTTGTCGCTGCCAGAATCGGTCTGTTCAACGTCGTCATCCCATGCGTTCTTACCACTGGAGCTCTTGCTTTCTGCTTCATCCCTGCAAAGACCCAATCTTCGTTGATTGCCGTGTCCTGTCTGTATGGCTTCTTCTCTGGCTCCATTGTTTCCATCATTCCTGCTCTAGGCGTCTCGATCTCGCCGAGCAGAGCAGTCATTGGAACGCGTATTGGTATGGCTTGTGCGACGATTGGTCTTGGTATGCTTGCTGGTACCCCGATCTCTGGCGCCATTCTGAGCAAACACGGATTCACAGCTACTTGGGCTTTTTCANNAGGCGCAGCTGCTATTGTAGGCGCATGCTTTTTGGTAGTGTCTCGATTGCTTCACGGAGGACTGGTGCTCAGAAAGAAGATATGAGCGGCGTCGAGTCGTCGAGACTAATGGTTAGTCACGAAACAAAAGTTGTTCTTGTTTAATGTTGCAGCCTCCTGCCCATAAGTCTGCTATGTTGTAAAAATAATCGTGAGATTGGGCCACGCAAATTGGCTCTCATAGTGGTCGCTGACTGTTGTCCTCGTTTCGGTGAGTATGCTGCGGATGGATCACATAAGATTGACCACCTCGCCACACGCCAAATTTCTCTGTTCGAAGAGGTCAAACCATCATGACAAGATCTGAGCTCAAGAAAGGTGTTCTGTCAACCCGCCAAGTCGCCGACAGATCAAGCTTCGTCAAGCCTCATACGCAATGCCAAGATGGCTTGAGGCATTGCTTGGCGTTGCTAGAGATATATTCACGACTATACCAAGTTTCGTTCTTCTCCTTTTGGGAAACAGCTTGTCGGAGTTCCACCCAGTTGAGAAGCTTATTCCGAGACCATCGTTAGCCATACCGCGCACCGTCAGAAGCCGACCGCAAGGTCAAGACGGCTGTGACGGCTCGCGATACCCCACTAAGTACCCCGTGATTGATCCCCGTTCGAGAGCGTAAAGCGGAGGACGGATCCACCCACGAATCGATTTTGGCCCACCTCCACCAGAAACAAAGAGGTGTGAAGTCCGACCTTTGGCTACATGCAGGAAATAGATCGGCAACGCGACTTATGACTATCTTTTGACGTAGTAACGGTGAGCCTGCCCTATTATAAGATAAGACCTTGTGCCTCTACATTTCGCGACTGCATTTTTCGTTTCTTTTGCTTGCGTTCCCTCCTACACACTCACTGAACCATGGGTTTTCTCAAGAAGAACACCGAGAGTGTAGAACCTCAACAACCACAATCCGATATCACACACGAGAAAGACCTGGAGAAAAACTTCGAAGACGTCAAGTTAGAAACACGTCAGACTTCGGTCGACAACGGCGGTTCAGCACCATTCATCGACCCTGTCATTGAGAAGCGCGTTGTGCGCAAGATAGACTGGCATCTGGTACCGCTGCTTATGGGACTTTATTTGCTCGCTTTCCTCGATCGCTCAAACATTGGAAATGCNAAAATCGCCGGCATGGCCAAGGCCTTGGACCTAACTGCTGATCGCTACTCGTGGCTCTTGACCATCTTCTATATCTCGTATATCCTNTTCCAGTTCCAGGTCCTTGGTTGGAAGAGATTCCCTCCTCACATTTGGGCATCTTGGGCTATCTTTGGCTGGTACGTGTATTGTGGGCTTTTGCATTCTTGTGTTCATGAACCGAGGTCCAAAGCCAGTGTTGTTACACTTCAGAGGTAGCTAATGTATCGAAGGGGCGTGATCTCGAGTTGTCAAGCCGCAGTTACCTCTTGGGAAGGAGAAATGGTACTCAGGTGAGTGAAGATCTTTCGAATCTAGGGACACCTACTGAAACATTGTTGAAANAGATTCCTACTAGGTGTCTTTGAGGCAGCATACGGTCCTGGTGTTCCTTATCTGCTTTCGTTCTTCTACCTCAGACATGAAGTCGGTTTCCGCAGCGGAATATTCCTTGCTGGTAGGGCTCTCAAATCATTCTATTCAACTTGCAACTAACAAGCTGACNNAGCTGCACCTCTTGCAACATGTTTTGCTGGAGCACTCGCATACGGTATCACCTCTGGACACGCCGCGATCGCGAACTGGAAGCTTCTCTTCCTTGTAGAAGGTCTACCCACCCTTGCCATGGTACCAGTCGCATATTTCTTCCTTCCGGACAGTCCGCAGTCGGCCAGGTTCTTGAACGAGGAAGAGAAGCGCGTGGCAGTGGCAAGAGGTGTACGCCAGACAGGAACAACCGAGCGCGTCGGTCGCATCAGTTTCAAGGATGTTGGCTTGACATTCATTGACCCAAAGGCCATCTGCACTGCATTGATGTACTTCTCGTGCAATGTGTCATTCTCTTCTCTGCCTGTCTTCCTACCCACGATCCTGGAAGAGATGGGCTTCGAGTCCATCACTGCACAAGGTCTCTCTGCGCCTCCATACTTCTTGAGTTTCCTCATCACCATCGGCTCTGCATGGATTGCCGACAGGACTCAACAGCGTGGATTAACCATCATCATTCTTTCTATCATTGGAGGTGTTGGTTACATCATGTTGGCAACCACATCAACCACTGGCCCTCGTTACGCTGGTGTCTTCCTTGCCGCATCCGGGGTATTCCCTTGCATCGCAAACATCCTCCCATGGGTTACAAACAACCAAGGCAACGACGATCGCCGTGGTGCAGCATTCGTCCTTCTCAACCTCATCGGCCAATGCGGTCCTTTGCTAGGTAAGTAAACCGAAGGTACAAACACCACGACTAGTGCTAGCGTTTGTCTCAGCCTGTACGAGCAGTCTCTGGAATGTGTGTTTCAATGAAACACCGTCCGGGACGGCATCTCATAGAGCTAAGTCCATTCGTCCAGCTAAGTTGTGGTGTTCTCCCAACCAACGTTTGATATCTTGCTAATTGTACCTTCGCTTTAAGGTACGCGCGTGTACAACACTCCACCTTACTACGTCAAGGGTCAGAGCATCTGTGCAGCCTTTATGTTCTTCAATGGCTTGTTGGCACTATTCCTTCGTACACTTCTTGCTTATGAGAACCGCAAGCTGGATAAGCAATACGGCACCATCGAGGAGCAGAAGAATAGGATTGCGGCGACTGAGGGATCAGAAGAGGCAGTCGTTGAGGCCAACTCTGGCGTGGAGAACTTTGGCCCCATGTATCGTTATGTCTTGTAGATGGCGTTGTCAACTTCTCAGTCTCGTTATGCAGTCGAGCAATACTGAAGCATGATTCGCTTGTCCCGGTTCATGCATGTGCTCCAAGCGTGGGCGCTTAATGTGCAGGTGCCACCAGCCACGCACTGGTTCAAGACTTGACTTCTCAAATCCATCCATCCATCAAAGCAAAACTCTGAGGCTCTAGAGAGATACAGAAGCAATGGGCAACTCAATGTGGCCTTGTGATATTGACCAATGTGAACAGCCTGCAGTGCGCGGCTTGGGCGACTGTGTGATATGCAGCAAACACCTTTGCTCTGAACATCTGCAAAGATCTTTTCATCAGTGCCCAACTCCCGAGGTATCAGAACCTTTCTCCTATCAGTTCTGAAAGGCCGACTTATGGATATTTCAGGACGGAAATCCCTATTATGCAGCATTCGCAGAGGCAGAGGCGCAAGAAATTGCACATTTGCTTAGTCGAATTGATCTGGAACAACTCCAAAGGGAGGCGGATTCGTTACATGACAAGGTTCCTTGTCGAGTGGAGATCCCTGAGAACAAAGAGAACGATATNGGGGGAATGAATTTCCACATACGCATCAGATTCGAAGACGAGATCATTTGGCTAGCTCGTATCCGTCGCTGCAATGCGACATCTCCACCGCCACAATTGAGGGATCAAATAATTGAAAGCGAAGTCGCGACGCTCTCTTTCCATGAGAATACCAATATCCCTACTCCAAGAGTCCACGGCTATGCTCTAGAAGGAAATGACAATCCCGTCGGAGTCGGCTATATTCTCATGGACTGTATGCCCGGNAAGTTGCTCGATTTCTACAGCTTGGGTGAACTAGGAAAACAGAAGATCATGGAGCAACTTGCTGATATGTTCATTGAGCTGCATCGTTACCAGTTCAAAAAGCTGGGATCCTTGGATATTGTTGGCAGCAGGCACGTGGGCCCACTTGCTCGAGAGTGCCTCACCGATTTTGGGGGACCTAGCATGCGTCCTCTAGGTCCCTTTGAGAATCTGCAAGACTACTATCGAACGACAATTGGACTACTGCTAGACATGATTCGTCGTCGAGAAATATACACGGACCGGCCAGTGGATACCTACTTGCTGTACAAGTTCCTTTACGACACGTTGGAACAAATATGTCCTCGTGAAGCAGAGCACAGCACCACGTCCTATCTCAAGCACGCTGACGACAAAAACCATATCCTTGTTGATGGCGATTTGAATATCATGGCGATCATTGATTGGGAATGGGCTTTCACAGCTCCCGAAGTCCTAGCTTTCAACTCGCCAATGGAGATATTTCCATTATCAGACTTCTTCGTGGGCAAAAGTGACATTGGGCAGGACGAAGCACGATTCGCCGAGTGCTTGGANAAGAAAGGGGCTACAAATCTTGCAAATGTTGTACGCAATGGTAGAGTCCATCATCAGTTCGCCTTTCTCTGTACCTTCGATTTCTGTCTTGGATATGAGGAGATAATGAGCTTGTTTGAGGGGTTGAGGAAGAGCATCGGGATCGATCAGCAGTACAGCTGGGGGCAGTGGAAACAGCTATATCTGGAGCGATATCGTGAAGATGATAGATTGAGGGACATCCTACAGAGATCTTCACCACATCAACGTTTGTCTTTAGATGGCTGAACTTCAAATCCAAAAGCGTTGCACCGTGATCTTTATTTTGAACAAGCTTATCTCTACTACAGTAACAATGCGGAACCAAACAACGCAGCAATAACCACTGCACCAACACTGCGCAAGACAGAAGCATCACTAGTCTCGTCTTCAGACAAGGAGTTCTGCGGCAACTTGCCACCATCTGCAGCAAACGTCTTCATACAGACGTACTGAACACTGGGCTCACTGCCTTACTCATCGCCATAGACAACTGTGATCACGGGCGTGACTCCCGTGCGACCGGCACCAACCTCGGTATCGTTGTTCGAGGAATCAGACAGCAGCGGTCCGGACTTGAACAGGAATTGATCCATGCTGACCACAGCACGCAGACTGTACTGCTCGGGGCTGACGGGCTGACAACCTTGAGACTGGGGTCTGGCAACCGTCGTGTTGGCGTCTGTGCCTGTCAGAGCGCCGCCGGCTGCCGTCAGGAAGGTGGAGAGCCACGGCCCGACGTTCTGACGAGCGCGGATCTGGGCATTGACGTGTTGGGTCAGGGCGTCGCAGCGAGGAAGAACGTTGTCGCCGCTACCGTAGGTGCTGTAGTCGAAGGAGTCGATGATGCTGGTCAGCACGTCTCTGGTGCTGCCGTCCAGAGCCCCGTTACAGGACGTCGTGTTCAAAGCTTGCGCCGCGTCTTCTGGCAGCGTCTGCGCCTGGTACTGGAGCATCAGCGCACAAGCGCCATTCTGGCCCGATGCGTTGAAGTTGGCGGGAACGCCTGCATAGAGCGTTTGAGTCGTCAACCAGGCACCAGAACCTGCCAGGTCGCCTAGCGGAGCGCCGTCGACGAGGGTTAGGGAGAGAGGGTCGTTGGACCCAGGGATGGAGAGTACGCGGGACGCGATGCCGACGCCGGTCTGGAGGGTGGCATTGGCCTGGCATACGCTGCCGCTGCTTGCGTCGATGCACGAAAGATTGCTGCAAGAGATGATATCGACGCTGGGGTTGTCATCGTTGCTTTGGGCGGAAGCGAGTCCTAGCAACAGTGACGAAGCACCGAAAATCGTCTTGAAAGTATTCATGTTTTCGTTTGAGGATGAAAGAGGATGGAGTAAGCTTGGTGATGTTTACTCCAAGACATCACCGGCATACCTTATATGTCCAGCTTCACCGTCTGAGAGGGCGGGTTTAGGCCACCATGTCGTCTGACGTAGATGCCTCTTCTTTGCCGGCCGTACGCATACACTTGGACGGCGCTCCATGACTCTGCATTTGATTTACAGAGGCACACATTGCAATGTTATAGGCCAAGGGTGCGTGAAGGAATGCCAAGGGTCCTTGGCAGTCGTTCGTGCAGCAAACAGTGGAATACGCCGAGATGCCAGTTTCGACTACACCTCTCCTTAGAAAATCATTTGTCGACCGTGTTGGTGCTGTGGTTGCTTCCTTGCCAAATTCGACCTCGGGCTGCTACAGCTGTGGGTGGTATTCGTCCGATCTACATGACTTCGATGTTGCGATAGTTTGACGTCGAAACGCCCGGACCAAGGACGCTGTGCCTACTCGTCGTTTCTCTCCTATTCTCGTTATGTTGATCGACGTCACCGTCACTCTCCTGCCTCTTTTTGGCGGGGCATTATTGGCACTGCTTTCCTAATGCAAACTTTAGGGTAGACTCGGAACCTGTATAACATTTGGTCAATGGAACATACCTGACTTAGGACTGGTACACAAGAATACTGTGCCGGCACCCTTTGAATACAGTGGGTCCGTTGCAATTGCTTCCTGTAGGTCTTCATCTGCTTTGCCTTGCTGTTTGTGATACATATCAAGCAGTGTCAAAACCTATTAGGCATTGTGGTTTGCTTGATACTGGAATAGACTCCGAATAGTCTACGGATGGCCGACATCCGACCAAATCTAGTGATACACGCTGCCTCAGGTGTCGACTCCACCAGAGTGCTTTCAATTGGATGTCCGCTCTGACTTTGACTCTTATGGAAGGATGATTGGCCCTGAAGGCGAGTCTGGCAGATCGATCAACAATTTCCAAGCGATGTTTGCACTAATGGAAGGGATGGCTTCGCAGTAGACGCTCCTCATGGCCACAGGGCCTTGGTCGTCTGCAGCGCCATAAACTCGGTCGGCCCTAGCTTTGTCTCGTACGCCGAACGCGGCTTCTGTTACATGCCGACCAAGATGTTCCTCAACTTCTGCGACGACGTAGAGGCCGGAAACTGCTGGGAAGACGAGGCGGACGTGGCCATCACCAAGGGTGGCCTCGTGGCCAAGGATGTCCTCCCCACTATGCACTTCACCAAGACCGTTGATTGGGAGGTTCCTGAGAACCAGACAACCGCTTAGATGACGCAGAGGCTTGGTGTCGATGTTGGTTTCCGTGATAGAAAGCGTAGCTGCTTGGGCTTTTCTTTCCAAACGACCAGATACGAGCGCTGCAAATTTACGACGGATATAGCTGGTGAACGAGATTTTAGACAAGTAGGATTTGGTCGAGGGAGAGGAATAAGAAGTGGGAATGGGAATGGAGTGGAACGCATGTGACTTCTGTACACCGCGTATCTTAGGCCCCGACCTAGCATGACTCGAACGACTCGTTTCACATATCACTTTCAACAACTTCTCGCCCTTCGTGCATCACCTCATAACGATACTCACAAACAAGTCGCCGAGATGTGGTCGAAGTTCTCTTCATTCTTGTGACGCCTGGCCAACAGGCTCAGTTGCTTCGCGCACCACGACGAAGAAGAGGCCGCCGAGCTTGTCATCGTGAGTGTTTGTTCCCGGAGTGATTGTCTTGTACAAGGCCTTACAGACGTTTGTAGGGACAACCTTTTGACCAAAAGAAGAACGTCGTTGTCGTTGAGGACGGCGTTCTCAAGGTCACACCAGGTCCGATCTGATGGGCGGGATTGGTCTGTGCGTCGACACGCCACATCAACGTATGTTTCTATAGAACGTCCACCACTCGACGTCGACTCGCTGACTTTTTATAGACTCATATCATCTAGCACGCGTGTGCCGGGATTGATACAATAATTTCAAGCCCGGGTCAGGAGCAATGAGTTCTGCGGGCATATCGAAGGTTGAGATTCACAGTTGATCTCCCTCAAACCCTTGACCCTGTCGATCAACCTTGACATCATCCAAGATCTCGGTGAATTGACAAAAACCAAACATCTCTGGGGTTCAACACTCTCTTGCTGCAACCACATCCGGGCAACGCACACGATTCGTAACACACACTGCTCCACATTCAATGCACAAAATCATGGCTCATAGCTCGTTACACAAGTGGTTCGAAGCAAGAATTCGCAGGGCAGGAAGATCGATCTTTGCTCTATATGCAGCTCAACCGCAAATCATAACCTTTTCTTTCTCATCTGCTATCTGAGCTTTCCAAACTCGTAACGTTCTCCCAACATGGATCTTGTAGATAGAGCTTCCCATCGGCCGCATTAGGTCAATGCATGAAGTTTTGGTGGATTGTATCCATGTCATGTCTATTCACAAAGGTAGTATATATGCCAAACCATCCCCAGAGACTTTGTAAGGAATCTTCCTTCTACACTAATCTCTAACTCCACATACTCTTTATACGATGTCGTCCTCATTCAATATAATCGAGCACCACACACCGTGTCAAACCATCAGGGAATACCCTCAAGCTACATCGACGTACCAAGAAGAAAAACTATATCTCAGCGCAAAACAATACATCCCTCTCAACCGCACACCCCAGAAAGGCGATGTGACCATTCTTGCAGCCCATGCATCGGCATTCCCAAAAGAGCTATATGAACCACTTTGGGAGGATCTACTCAAACAAAGCGAAAAAGCCGGTTATGGTATTCGCAGTATATGGATGGCAGATGTAGCAAACCAGGGAGCTTCATACGTGCTCAACGAAAACAAGATAGGGAACGATCGTAAGTTTCAGCACAGTTGAACAAAGAATTACAAGGACCAATGCTGATGGCTTATGTTCNNAGCAAACTACGCCGACCACGCTCGCGACCTTCTTTCTTTGATCAACACACACCGCGAAGACTTTACTCGACCGATCATTGGTATAGGTCATAGTATGGGCACAATATGTCTGGCACTGCTAGCCCAGATGCACCCACGCCTCTTGACCTCCATCGTCATGCTCGACGCCATCATAATCCACAAACAGATGCCTGCATGGATCCCAATGACACGCCTACCTTCTTTCCGTAAAGACCTTTGGCCCTCTAGACAAGCAGCAGAAGCCGCATTCCGCAAAAACGCCCTCTTGAAACCCTTTGACGAGCGAGTGGTGCAGAAGATCCTAGAGTACAGTATCAGAGCCACACCAACTCTACTCTATCCTCAAAGCTCTGCAGAACAACGCTTTACCCTCACAACGCCAAAACACCAAGAAGCTCTTTCTGTTGCACGGCCAAATTTTGAAGATAGAAATTGGGAGGCAACGCCTGATCTGGTAGCGCGGTCTACTGTTCCAGATCTTTGGCCTTGTGCTCCTTACGTCTCACCCTTTTACAAGTCAGAGGGAAGGACTTGTTGGATGTTCTTGCCGCATCTACGACCTTCTGTTCTTTGGCTCTATGGTAACAAATCATACACTATGGACCCAGACGAAAGACGTGAGAAGATGAAGAGAACAGGCACTGGTTGGAATGGTTCGGGTGGTGCAGCGATGGGAAGAGTAAAAGAAGAATTTATAGAGAATACTGGCCATTTCTTATGTTTTGAGAAGGTTGCAGAAACGGCTGAGAAAGTGTCTGAATGGTTGGATGCAGAGGTCAGGATATGGAAGGATCTAGAAAAGGTCACATTTGACGAACAATGGTTGAAGCAAGATGCTATAGGTAGGCAAAAGATGGATGGAAGATGGTTGGAAGGTGTCAAGAAATGGAAGGGGCAGCAGAAGGCTGTTCCTCTGAGCAAGCTTTAGATTGCATGGGCGTTCAAGCGAACTTTCCTCTCAATAGAATACTCGAGTATGAAAAAGTGAACATAAGCATCAGGAGCCATGTTCATATTCATCTGTCTTTTAGTAACGACTTCCTTCCTTAGGGGATGTACATAGTTTGTGTGCAACTTCCTTTTCGAATTGGCCTTTCTGCTCCTCTCACATCTGAATTTTTATGTACTGTTGACTCTTTTGCTCGTTCGGATGGGCATGCTTGTTGCCAACTTCTGGATATTTTCTCCGTTTGTGACAACTAAGTCCATATTCTTCGCGTCTTTTCGTACTCGTATTTGGAGTGTACTCGAGAAAACTCCAATTGCTGCTTCATTGTTGTTAGACTTTAACAATCGACCAAGCAGTCAATGATATTCTGTGATGTGATGAGGCGACTCATTAGGAAGAAATCAGATCCGGGATACTGGAGATTTTGTTCTTTGACTTGGACAACTAATCCAAATCATCTGGATGAGGCTCTGGATACGAGTTCAGATTGATATCGTTCTCATTTTGAGGTGCTTCATTGGCCGCAAGCGACGGAGTATCTCTCTCGCTGTGGCTGTTTTCACCAGAGGTCATACCAAAAGAGTCGGGGTTATAAACCTCGATATTCGACTCAGCTGGCACCCAATCGGCGACGACGGGATCGATGTCATGCATGGTGTGATTAAGCCTGCATGTTCCGTACTTTCTCGTCGTGTCGCACTTTTCGCGGAAACAGATATGTCCCATGTTGCAATTCTTCAGTCGACAGTTTCCTTTCCGGTCACACGGATAGCTATGAACAAAGTGTTTGAGAACAAGCTTGATATTATCTGGGACAGGGCTGTGATCCCAGACACAGTTGGCGTCGCCTTTTGCGCAGTATCCTTTAAGTTGATACTCATTGCAAAGTTTTTTGTTAGGGGGTGCAATTCGAGCGTTGTAGGCTCTCCAGTCTTCGCTGGAAGGTGTTGGTAGTAAGAAGTCCAGTCTGTGTCCGGTGCTGTTGACAGGGATAAGATTGGCATTCTCTGGTGTTTGCTTCGGCAGGCAGCTGGAAGGGTGCGCACGAGGTGTGGCAGGCAAGGGCGGAGGGAAAGCCTGGCCAGTAGTAAACCTATGTGGTAGAGCAATGCCAGATTCAGGNNGGGAAGCGATGTCTGCGTTGCTTGGTGTTGGGGTTCCAAATTCTGAAGATGGTGGGAAGAATGACGTTTGTGTAGAACTTCTTTGCCCAGGCTCATTGCCAGAGCTGTATTCATTCGAGCGCCACGAGTCTCTACCACTGCTATGAGACTTCTTGCAGCCACTTCCGAACTTGCAGATGCCTCGGAGATAGTGGGTACAGATCGGTGTGTTGTTAGGGGCCGCTCCAGAGTGCCCGTTCGGCACAGCAGTAGGTTGCGCATGTGCTACTGGAGCCTTGGAAATGGGTCGTCGAGCATCGAGACCATCCAGAGGGTTGTTGTGGAATAGACCGTTGAGGCCATCAATATCAAGTCCAAGACGGTCGAATTCAGGACTAAACGATGAACCACGGGCAAGGGTGATCTTCTCGTTCTTTCCATGGTAATTAACGTAAGGGGTCAGCAGGTTCAGATAACCAGTATCATGGCATCCGGCAAAGAAGATGTGTTTACATTGGTTGTTCTCCGCGAAGAGGCGGAACATCTCACGGATCTTATTGTCCGCATTCTCCTTCTTATCGCCTGCGTCGACGAAATCGAAGAGATCATGTGCGCGTGTGAAGTTCGAACAGAAGGGGCTAAGAGAGCGTGCCTCATGTCCGACAAGGCCTGCACGCGCCAGTGTTTTGGATAACCCAGCAAAATTGGTGTAAGCGCGGACCATGACTTTGCAATTGTCGTACTCATGGCCACGTCGTGCAAGTCTGTCTCGAATAGTATCGTGAAGAAGATTGGCCGCTCTGATACCGCCTTCCGCACCACCTTTGATTAGAGAATCTTCGAANNCTGCTTCCTGTCAGTATGGATAGATGACCGGGCTATGCCTTCACTGAGCGAATAGCAATCCTAACAAGAGAGAGACGAAAGTGATCACATATGTCATGTACAGCAGGAAGAACTGAACGAATACGAAGTGCCAACGACTTACCACGTAACCATCGGCATCGATCAGAACAAGGACAAAGGGGTTTCTGTCTTGACCACGAGCAAGCTTCTTGTACTTTTCGCGAGATTCCTTTTCCTCTTCGTAGTCACTGCGCAGAGTGCGGTAGTCCTCGAGCAGTTTGCCGTAGGTGAGAGTCAGTTCGTCGAGCGCATCCTGGCGTGCCTTTGTTGCGAGATTGAAGTCAGCAAGCTGCCTCCCGAGTTTATCGAGATCTGTTTCGGCAAGCATGGTTGACAATAAATCCAGGCAGCATGATGGAGATGCGCTGGATGTTGACTGCCCGATGACTGTCAGAAATTCGACGTGGTGTGATGAGATGCCGGCTATTAAGCCGTGTCCCGAGCTTCGCTCAGAAAGCTGACCATGCATGCATGCTGAGTTGACTTGATCAGACAGGTACCTATCGCATTTCAATTTCATATGCCTCTTCGTCGATCGACAATTGATCTAGAGTTAGGAACAAGATCTCCAAGACGCTACTAACAGCTGGGCCCTAGTTGCTCGTCGTCCTACGAACCAAGGTCTTGAAGTTGGGGATAGCCGTTGGAGAACCATATTTAGGAGCACCATGTGACGCTGCGACCTATGAGATATATCCGCTTTCTCGGGACAACAAGATTTTGAGCCTAGTCTGCTAAGGCCCAGAGAGACACTTATATCACCATGATGCAGTTAAAGGTGCATTAATGATTGAAGAGGATTTGATACAGGAAACAAGGCTGACGGCACGAGACACACAAGGCTCAAGCTCACGAGTCATCGACAATCTAGATTCATACCTTGATGAGCAGCAATGAACAGGAAACACAAGTGGTATNNTTATGGCAAAGAAAAAAAGAAGTTTTTGGATCACATTGCCCTCATTGCATAAAACCGATGTACATGCAAAACTGATGCCTGCACTGATCCAGTCGGTCCCCGGTATGTTTCGCACGCCAGAACGTAAGCCCACGAAGGAAGAACACCAATCGAACCGAGAGTACCGCCGTAACGGACTTGNTGCCTTTTCGGATATCATCAAGCCACGCCGTGACATTAGCTCGTTTATGCCTTCTTCTCCTCGTCCTCGGCAGCGAAGGCGAGTCTCTTCTGCTCGACACGCTCCTGTCTGCGCTCGCGGGCGGCCTTGGTCTTGGCACGCTTAGCGTCCATCTCCTCCTTGAGCTTGGCCTCACGGGCCTTCTCAGCCTTGGCCTTGTGGATCTGTGACATGTGTTAGAAGAGGGTGAGTATGCGAAGGTAGGTCGGGCGAAACGTACGTGCTCAACGAGAGCGCGCTTGTGCTTGAAGGTGTTACCCTTGCTCAGGTGGTAGAGCTCGTGGTAAAGGTGCTTGTCGATCTTGCCAGAGGCACGGTACTTGACCAACAGGCGACGGAGAACGCGCTGGCGGCGCATCCAGACGATTTGGCTGTAAGCAGACTATCAGTGTCTGCTCTCGAGGCTGTGGTCGAAGGTGGAGCAGCCATACCTGGGCATACGGGCGTCCTTGGTACCCTTTCTCTTACCGAAACCACGGTGGCGACCGAGGCGGCGAGCGGCGTTGAGCTCACGGGCGCGGGAGCGCGAGTGCATGGTAACGGGCTTGCGGATGATCAGGCCATCGGAGACGAGCTTGCGGATGGTCTGGCGGGAGTTGGCGTTGGAGATCTCGCTGACCTCGTTGGGGTCAAGCCAGATCTTTCTCTTGCCGCAGCCAACAACGGAGGCGGCCAGGCGCTTCTGGGTGCGAAGGTTGACCCTGTAGCAGACGCATGTCAGTGCCTGTTATGCTGGGTCATGGTGTGTGATGAATTTTGCCGCCCGGAGGAGCGCTGATAAGAGGAGGCGACAGGTGGATGTGTGGATGGCGCAGGACGACGAGGGGTTTTCAGATGTGGTATGTCGACAGGCTCTCCGGACGGCGGTTTGCTGATACTGACATTTTGACGGGTATGGAGGGTTGCTGTCGTTAGTGATGGGTGGCCGTCGCTCTCGCTCAGAAAGAAAAGCTCAATGGACGTCGGAAACGTGAGGGGGTCAAGTCACATGACACAGACGCAACCACAAAATTCTGTGTGGGCTTTTGTCCGACTTTTCGCTTGGCGTCCCTGCCTCGCGAACAATCCTCTCCGCTTTGGCTTCAGTCGCAGCTTCCTTGCTTGTCGCAACGAATGCTCTCACTCGTCAATTGACATTCCAATATTATCACAGACACTGCTGCATTCCTCTACAGTCATTCTATGGTACTCTTGGGTTTACTCTGCCTCGACCAAAAATGATCGTCGTCGGAATATCATGAATCATCCAACCTAAACCGCTGCGGACAAAGCAAACACCATTCGTCATGTCACTTGACCTCTTATCACAATGCGGACCCGGCCAACCGCGAACATCAACGTCTGACCAGCAAATCCGACAACATACTACCTCCCCATGTGCAAAAGTATGTAACGCGTGTGGCTGTGGAAATGCCCAATAGCAATAGGAACAAGATATTATCCACCGAGAAGCGATATCCTGTCGACTCTCTGTGGATAGGCCTTATCTCCGAAAACAACTGTGCCTTTTTATGGTCTACATTCTGCTCTCAGCTACAGTCGGAGCATGGTGGAAGTTATGTACTTTAGCGCACAGGGAGGTAAGTAAAGCTGACTTCTCTCAAATTGTATTGATATGTCGACGCCGTCACTGCCAACCGGCTCTGGAAAACAACGAGTCGTGCGCTCGACGTTATCTTTTCCTGCTACAGCTTCTATGTTCGCATGTAGGTGGCAACAAAGCAGTCTTTCATCATTTTCATACCTGGTCAGGTCAAAGCTCATGCCAGGAATAATATGTTCCATCTGCTGAGGTAAGCTACATTGCTGCAAACGACAGTGTGCTTCTATCCAGGTCTACTCTTGGACCTTGTCATGTCTTATTTCTCCTACGCACTGCAGACACCGTGAGTGTTGGTAGTTCTCCTTTCTCAATCTGTTCCCATTCTTCTCAGAAAGATCAATCTCGATACATGGTCATGAACAACAAATATTGCACAAACATCCCAACTCCCAGCCGATCCCTTTGAAGTGAATCGCCATCAGTGAATTTGCAAGTGACTATCAGCCAACTTCCACTGAAGCGCGGACCTCCGACTTCGAGAGTCGCATAGATGTATGAAACGCGTCGCAGACGCGACGGCGTCTCGACGTCGACATCAACATCCATACCACCCACAGCAACGATCTGTTCGCCGAGACTTTTTCGTCAACACCGGCGAGATGTCCAACTTCAATCAGCTTCCACCCCATATGCATCCCACCTTCATACACTTTGTCCAGGGCGCACCCAACTTCCCTCACCCTCAATTCCATCACCCTCACGCCCACCCGCAACCTGCACTCCCCTTCCAGAACATTCCCATTCACCCTGCCCTCCTGAATCACAACTTTGGCAATCAAAACCATGTCTTCCAGCAAAACCCTGGCGTTCAGAACCACGCCTTCCAGCAGAACGCTGTCCCCCAGCAGAACGCTGTCCTCCAGCAGCAACCTGCTATGCCTGCAGTCAACACTGCTGTTCGTCCAAAGGTAAATTCAGCACCAACTTACACGGTCTTACCATTGCTGACCTTCATCTGTGCAGGCCCCTAGACCCAAGCGTCTGCCCAAGAAACCCAAGTCCAAGCCCAAGTCTAAGCAGTCGTTCAAGGATGTCCCCTTCCCATTCATGGAACTCCCGCTCGAAATCCGTCTGATGATCTACAAGCTCCTGCTTGAAGAGACTTCCACTGCTCTTACTCTCCTCACCCAAGGTAGTTCAGAGCAGGAGGTAGTTCGTCGTGGTTGCCTCAAGAAACAACAACCCCGCAGAACAGGAAGACAGATCCTCTTGAAGACGGTCTACAAAGCCAACGATGAGACCATCACACACCTGCAACCAGTCATCTTGCGTGTGTCCAAGTCCATCTACGACGAAGCAATCTCCATTCTCTACCGTCAAACTCTCGAGTTCGAGCACCCCATTACTCTGCAGAAGTTCCTCTTCGCCATCGGTCCTGAGAACCGTCTCTTGCTGCAGCACATTGTCCTGCGTGGCTGGCAGGATGACGAGTTTCTCGTCTGGCAGCAAGCATTGGCATCTGCTTTCGACAGACTCATGACTGCTCAGAACCTCAGAAGCATCACTATGGACCGTCACATCTACTCAAGCAGCGACAGACCCAAGATTTTGTGGGACAAGTGGAAGTTGGTCCCAGTCAATCACTTCAATGTGCGCGCCGAGTACTGGGCTCAATTCATCGACGCCGCCAAGGGCAAGGGAACCGCCAAATCCCTCCTGACGTTCACTGAGCGCAACTTTGGCTCGGAGGACGACATCGCTCAAGGTGCCCAGGACTATCTGGACCGCAAGAAGTTGTTCATGGACAACATGAAGCTCGGTTGAGACTGTTTGTGTGTGTGCTTTCATAGCACAGTGCCCAGCGTGTCAACGTCTGACACCAGCTACACATAACTCCCTGTCTAATCCCAATGGACAACCCATCGATAACGGTATGTCGTCTTTCGCTAACGACTATGTGAATGAACTCTGATAACAAGTCCAGGCGTTTCAAAGGACATTTGCAACGACCCAAAGAGCTTCAAACACGCGATTGCTATCACAAATGGTCTCTCCAACACAATCATCATCCCAAGCGATGCGCAGTTGCTTTTTCCTTTCTTTGCTTCATCTCCTTGCTTCTTTTCTTTTGTCATTCAAACATTCGAAAAGCACACCAACGAAAGACTCCCGGATGAGGTCTTCAAGCACTTCACCACACAAAAGAGTGGACACTTGCTCGATTTTGCTTTTACTTTTGCTTTTGCTTTTCCTTTTCCTTTGTCATCTTCGCTTTCAAAAAAGCACACCAACGAATTGCTCCGGATGAGGTTTCCACACACTGCATCCCAAGAGGCGAGCACTTGCTTGTTTCGTTGCTATTCGTTTTGCTCTTCTTTTCCCTTGTCAATCATGGATTCAAAAGCACAACAATGAGAGTTGTGCACGCAGCTGCTTCTGCAAAGGCACCCCAAGAAAGGGCGTGCAAAACAAGTCACTCATTTCCAGAGATACCCCATGCGAGAAACGAATGAAATTAAAATTGCTTTTTCTACTTGTCTTCTACTTGATCTTGATTCTCGTGTAGGTGCGATCGAGTGAATTCACGGTGATATGATTTTGACAGGTTTTCCTCTGTGCGTGTTGACCTGACAAATTGGTGCTTTGGACAGACGCCTTGTGTCCACGACGAAACCGCATGCAAGCTCGAGACAAACTGTGCACGGACGATGGGTGTATGAACGACGAGAAGGACCGTTCTGAGAACCATGACCTTAGATCTTGGATAGATGCGTTTGGCGTGTCGCGTGAGAAAGCCATCTCTTAATCGTGTAAAAAGATTCGCTTGATGGTCAGGGGCGAAGTGGTATACAAGAGTCGGTGTAAGAAGCTCAACGGCTTTACCCCTGGGAGTGGATCGCTGACTCATAATTGACGACAGGAAGCACTGCCTACATACTTACGGCCCTTCTGAGATATAACGAAGCTGTAAGATGTAACACGGTAGTTGTTTGGCCGGATGAGCGACCGAAAGAGATCTTGATTGATGATCGCATCGGAGGGCAGGGTGTCAACGTCAACCAGGCTTTTCAAGACTGATACGGCAAATGCTCGCAAGCCTTGACAGCCGTGTCGATTTGGAATGTCTTGGAATACGATCAAGAGACACATGAAGCATGGCGTGTATAACAATAGAAGTGGTCGGTCTCCTAAGGCAGATCCGCACCGTGTGAAGCGAGAACCAAGAATAGTCTTGGCTGCGTTTGACCATGGTGTTTCAAAGTCCTTATAGAAGGTTGTGGTAGTATAAGAAGAACGGAAAGACGAAGAGCCGACCAGAAGCGATGTCTTGTACATATGAAGGGTTGGATCAGGCCTGTCAGAAGACTCAAATCGACTGACAGCGTGCGAGAATAGCTGAAGACGATGTTAAGTTCATGGGAACGGATGTAGCTGCCGTGACAAGTCAAACACACGTCCGACAGCGACAGACAAGACGGTCGACGTGTGTGGCTGAGTAATGGATCAAGTGGAGCAGAACGTGCAGAATCGATCACAGAGCGGGAGGGAATGCGCAAACGATAGTTCTCCTTTCACAAGAGCATATGAACTCCTATTACAGGGGGGATAAGTGTAGTGTATCGTATATGCATGGTAGCGAGCATCAGTGATGTGCATGGAGAGTAAACAGCGTCCATGAAATGAGACGTTGCGATTGCAACGTTTTGGTCGTTCGAGTAGGCGTACGGGTTGTTATGACATTACGAGTGGGCGATCCAAGGATTGGCAAAGGTGACCAGGAAACCAAAATGTTGCACAGCTTGGATCAGGCATTGAACCGGATGGCAAGAGATCTGCTCTCAGCGCGGCTGATTGACAGTCTGGGAGAGATCAGGGTGGTGGGCATGTTGTATGGAAGATAGGGGACGAAGTCGTCTCAAGTTTGTCGCGGCATTGAACGGGAGATTGCATGAGGCCAGTGCGCGCCAATCGGAGTCCGACCGGGCGGTTTTGGCGTGAGGTTAGCGTGCTTTCTCCAGATTTTGATGGTCGTCGCAGCGTCGCATCATTTTGCGAGGCGCTTCACCAAAGACATGGACTTGCTCAAGTCACGGAGCGTGGACGGTTGGAGGACGGTTGTGTAATTGCTGCTCTTTTCTTTCTCTTCTTCACCTTAATCTCAATTGTATCCGCAAGTCGTTGAAACGTCGTCCCTCTTTTATCGACGTTCGTGAGTCGGCCTGGTGCTAACCTGCTTTCGCTCATTTTAATTCTGTTTATCACGCGCCGAACGGTCTGGTCACCACAGGTCACCCACCTCTCATATACCAAACATTCCTCGCCGCGCACGCCTGCGCTTTTGCTTGTTGTCGATTCTCCGCAGGCGACCGTCCACCCTCACATTCGTTCCAACTCTACTGTCGACATCTCGACGTTCCACTCTTTTCATCAGCCTCAGTCGACTACTAACCAACAGCCTATAACAAACATTAATCAATTCTTTCCATCACCATGCATCTCAAACCTCACCGCCACATGGCTCCGCACCTCTCCAAGCGCGACAATCCTCCAGCCTATGAAGTTGATGTTCTTGACTCTCTCGACAAACGTGCCCAGGTCAAAGAAGTCAATGGTGATGTTGCGACTGTCTTCTCGGTTGTCTATGTGACAGCATCCGCTACTTTCTCCGGACCTACAGCTGGCTTCGTTACCCTCGGAGCCAACNNCCTACCACCTCCGCAAAGGCAGCCAAGTCTACTGCCGCAAAGGACACCGACGACGATGATGATCACACAACCACAGCGAATGTCAAGCAATCGTCACCAGCAGTCAGATCCAGCACCACATCCACATCGTCCGCAAAAGTCACGAGTACCTTGTCGCCTACTGCAAAGTCGACTGCCAACGCTCTGTCTTCTTCCCTCTTCATCGTCATCAACACTCGTCTCATCCTCATTGGCCGTCATCACCTCATCTGCTGCTGCATCATCTACAATCGCCTCTTCATCAATCTCATCTGCCGCAGAGGCTCAAGCCACATCTTCGAGCTCAGCTTCGGCAACACCGGTCGAAGATGCAGCCTCTAGTGGTCTAAGTTCAGGCGCAAAGGCCGGTGTCGCCCTTGTGGTTATCTTTGCTATCGGTGCCCTGGCTGGTCTTGCCTACTTCCTCATTCGCAAGAAGAAGGCTCAACAGAAACAGGCCATCGGTATGGAGAGACTCGATGATGAAAAGAAGGGCTTCATCGGCCAAAGTTCAAGCACTGCGGCCATCCCTCAACCTCCTGCTCAGACACGAAGCACTGGTCCGGCACCCCGCCTTAGTTATCGCCCTACATCTCAATGGTCGCCCAGCGTTCTTGGAGATGCTGAGAAGGCTGCAGCCGGCGCAGCTGCTGGCGTCATGGCCAGAAACAGCGATCCAGCCAACCCCTTCGGTATTCACGCCCAAACTGTCGAGTCTCAGTCAAGAGATGTCATCTCGCCTATCCCTGAAGAACGCTCTCTCAGCCCACCTGTCGAGCTTCAAGGAAGTCCCGTGCCTAGTCCCACTGCAGCCAACTTCAACATCAGCTCTCCCGCAACTCCTGGTACCGCTGAGGTTGGTATGGCTTCTGCTGTGCCTGTATCCGCTCTCGCAGGTGCCGCTCCTGGCGCTGTTATCGCCGATCCTCCCGGTAGCACAGTTCACCGCGTTCAGCTTGAGTTCAAGCCATCCATGGATGATGAGCTCGAGTTGAAGGTTGGCCAAATCGTGAGAGTCCTACACGAGTACGATGATGGTTGGGTAAGTTGTTCCTTCACCGATACGTGACATCAATATGCTAACATGAAGTAGGCTCTCTGTATTCGTATGGATCGCTCTCAGCAAGGTGTCGCTCCTAGAACCTGTCTGTCAAAGGCTCCTTTAAAGCCGAGACCTATGGGCCCTCCTCCAAGTGCAAAGAATGGCCCTCGTGGCCCTGGCTCTATGGGTCCTCCTCCCAGACCCATCGCTGGTGCTAAAGTTCGCCAAAACTCTTCCTCGTCTCAAGGTTCTGCTGCATCTCAACCACGTCGTCCTTCAATGGCTCCTTCGAAACCATCATCTCCTACGCTAGCCGAGCAGGAAAAATTACGACAAAGAAGCGTTTCTGCTGCTGCATCGCCAACCAAGGCACCCAAACAGTCACAGCAGTCTGGAGACTTGGCCGCCGATGCTCACAGTCGTAGTGCTTCAATGGGTACTGCGTCGAGTGCCAGCAAGTCCACCAACGTTTCTGGTCCATCCACGCCTCTCGGTGTGCCGACTAGGAAGCCGGTTCCTGGCCAGGCTCTCTAATTTTAATGAACATTGCTCTCAAGCGACGCAGCCATGTAAGACCCAGCCAGCTAAAGACAACAAGAGCAACGAGAAATGCAGCGACCCAGCACAAGGAGACCACGCGCGCCTTTACAGTTTACAAATACCCTTCTTCGTTATTGTCGAATTTCCTTGTTCTTCTTTTCTTGATGCCGGACACACTTTTTGGTCAAACAGGATGCCGATCCGTATCTTGTTGTTTTCTTCGACTCTGTGTTTTTTTTGACTGTCGTTCGCTGAACTTTCCATTCTTATTGTTGTTTTTTCATGAGAGCATTACGAAGGCCCAGCGCCACAGTAATGTAATGTACGTAGACAAACATCTGAACGTAGCAAGAAATGCCGATTTTCCACTCATCAATTGATTGCTCTCTCTACCTGTGAATGACATGTCTCACTTCACGACATACCATTCCACAAGACCTAGACATCCATTAAATCGATATAGTCTACTCATGGTCATTGTTGATCGATATTTCCTTTGTATAAAAGCGGACATGGGGTGCACAGACCACCTCCTCCCAGCCTGAGTCGCATTGCGACTTTCGAATCCGCAGACGTGCCATTCGGTCCAGAACCTCACACGAAATCCGACCTCACACGCGCCGCCATCACTGCAATCACAAAACCATGGCGACACCAACACTAGACCAATTTCTGTCTGAAATCAACCGCATCACACTGCTCAAAGATTCTGCGCAGTTGTCTTCATACCTGGTCATCGAACCTCCCTACGCACCTTCCTACAACACCATAATCCACGAACTGCGAAAGGTGTTTCCTAAAGGAGGTGCTGATGTTGATTCCACACTGGAAAAGAAAATCATCAAGGCTGTGAAAGTTATTGAGGGAGGAGATGATCCAGAAGTGGCTAGTTGGAGTGCGTTTAGCAGGTTTATGGTGTTGTATTTTGGGTTTTTGAGGGATGTGGATGTGGGAAATTTGTTGGAGACTTTTGGGTTGTTGAGTGAAGTCTTGCAGTAAGTGTTTTCTTTACTTTTGGTGTTTCTTGATGGTTTCGTCTTTTGTGGTTGATGGATTTTGATGGGATCTGCTATTCTCATCATTGGCACAAGAAAAACACACAAGAAACAAAAGCTCATCAGAACAAAGGCATCTGCATCTAACTAACACCACCACTCCATCAGAAAAGCAAACTCGGCACTACAAAACCAAACCCATGGCATAACAATCCTCGACACCGTAATTTCCTACTCACGCATGTTCGCCCGCCTCGCCATGGGCCTCGACAAAAAACCAGAACTGATCGCTCATCTCACAACCACAGCCTCCAACGGCGGAGACGACTCAGGCCCTCGCGAAACCCTCCCAGAGCGCGCCGCAAACATCATCAGGTACGCCTTTGTAGCCTGCCTAAACGACCGCACCGGCACCTCCGCCTCTGGAATCGACAAACACGGCACCCCCGAAGGCAAAAAACGCGGTATCTATGTGCTAGCAAACCTGTGTCTGAAGATTTTGTTCGCGTGCCGTAAAACCCGCGGTGCAGCTCAAATCTTTGAGAATATCTTTGTGTTGAGTCCGCCGTTGGGGGCGTATCCAAAGGCTCAAAGGGTGACTTATCTGTATTACTTGGGAAGGTTTTTGTGGGCGAATGGACATGCGTATCGTGCGCAAAAGGCGTTGCAGCAGGCGTGGACGGAATGCCATGGTCAGTGTTTGCAGCAGCGGCGCTTGATTCTCATTTTCCTGATCTCGGCGAATATGGTTTGTGGACGTTTTCCGTCTGAGCAGATGTTTGCGAGACCAGAGGCTTGTGGGTTGAGAGAGAGGTTTCAGCCTTTGTGCAGGTATATTGCAAAGGGCGATATTGTGAGCTTCAGACGGCATTTGGATATTGGATCTGAGCACTACGCGTGGTTCTCAGGCTACAGGTTGGATTTACAGTTGAGGAACAGGTGTGAAGTTTTTGTTTGGAGGTCTATCTGTCGAAAGACGTTTATCCTACATGGCGATCCTGGCAACCCAGAGGCTCGCAAGGCACCCACTTTCGACTTGAAGGATGTGCTGGCCATCTTCCGTTGGCAAGAAACCGTCTACGCCACACCACCTGGAGCCTCGCAACCCGACAACTACATCGATCCGGACTTTGTCGGCATGGTCGACGAACCGGCTGGCGAGGACGCCCTCGATCTGCCCGACATGAACAACATTCACTCAAAGATGACGGCACTGATTCACCAAGGCCTGCTTGGCGGCTATATCTCCTTCTCAAAAGAGAAATTCGCCATCCAGGGTGCGAAGCTCAAGGGAGCGTTAGCAGCTGGCTTCCCGAACGCCTGGAAGACGATCGAAGCACGCGCAGATGACGAGGTACCTGGCTGGAAACTGGAGACCAGCGGACCTGCATTTGGAGGTGGCGTTGTAAGGCTGAGTGGAGCGCGACCAGTAGGACTCTCATAGGATGAGAGTACCCTAGATTGGATCGTGTCCCCGGTCGACGAAAAGTTTGTTGTTCCGGCGAAAGCAAAATCGAGTTCTGCATAGCGTGTGTGTTGGTGCATCGGAAGGTTGTCATGGCTGGAGTTGGGGTGTATAGCATTCGATACCCTTTGTCAGTTGGTCTTATCCACTGGGGCTTGATAGCAAATGTCGTATCATCGATTCATAAACTCCCTTACATCCCAGACCAGAACTCTTTCGTCCCAAGCACAGGTGGCGCACCACCCCTCTGCACCAAAGAGACACCAATCAACACCCATTGCGAACTCGGTGTGTCGATCCATACGACCCATTTCGCGAGCACCTTGTCCCGTGGGCATAGCCATCTTTGCATGATCTACACCCATCGCGCTGCCATCCGTCCAGACGCGACATGACATATCATAACTGGCGCTGAGCAACACATCGCTCAAGTGTGGACTCCAACTGATCTTTCTAACAGCATACTCGTGGCCTGGTAGGACAGCCATAGGGCCGCTGGGTTGTCTGATGTCGAAGGTGCGTATCATGCCATCGACACCAGCTGTTGCGACAATTGTATCTCTATACTTGTTCCAGTCGTGTGTCAGGCATTCGGTGGGACCAACGCTGGTAGGTGTGAAGTTCATAGGAGTCATCTTGGGAGGAGCGTGGATTGGTATTGCGAGGGTCAGGTGGTTCGAGGCACTTGCGGGTGTTCGAAGATCCCAGACACGGAGGTGCGAGTCTCTGGCGACGGCGGTGACGATGTCGGGGCTGTGTGGTGAGAACTGGGCGGAGTAGACGCACGAGTGTACGGGAAGTGTAAGGAGCGATGTCTTGGATTCGGGGTTCCAGATCTTGACAGTGCCGTCCCAGCTGCTGCTCAGGAAAGTTGTCTTGTGGCCGAGGTTCCAGTGGACGGAAAAGACCTCACGGGCATGTTCAGACCAACTGGCAATGGGAAACTGGCTGAGGTTGATGTCGAAGAGCTTGACGCTACCATCTCCGCCGGCAGTCAAGAGCTGGTTCTCGTGTGCTTCTGACCAAGCCGTGTCGAATAGACAATCTTGAGTCTCGAAGAACTTCTCGCAGACGATGCCGCGATCCGTCAGGTTGAGAATGAAGAGGCGACCATTGCCTACCAGACCAAAGTTGGCACCGGCGCTCACACACAGCCTGCTGTCGAAGAAGGGCGAGTACTTGACGGCGTAGGGATTGAAGCCTGCTGTCCGAAACTCGAGCATGGCTGACGGATTGTTGATGGGCGGGAGAGAGGTGTGGAGAGAGCACTCGGGGTACTTGTATGGGGTGTGTTATCGTGTGTGCATCCCTTGATTGCAGACCGAGCAGCTGTCGAGAAGGAGGGTAGGATTGGGTAGCAAAGACAAGGTGGTATTCTTGTCCACACCTTGACACACACCCCACCTTCCTGCTCCACAACCACAACTTCCACCACCTGCGTGACGCACCTTCCGCTGCTGCAAGCAATTCACAGCCCGACAGCCGAATCGCCGAGGGCCCGAACTTCAGGCAATGAGGTCCGTGCCCTCTTCTTCCAACCCGCTCTCCAACCCGCTCTCTCGGTTCTTTGACGCGTCCACCAAAACACATCGTGTGCTGTTCGTGCATCTCTAGAAATCAAATCGTGAGTATGACGCCGCTTGGAGAGTACCTGAGCCATGGATGCCTTCATTTCGAGGAAGCGAAGACACAGGCCTACTGATGCAGATGCGTCTCTTCCCTCTATCCAAAACAATCAACATGGTGATCACGAGGATACCACCGATTTCAAGCTTGCCGTGCTTGCATCTTTGCACCCTGATGTCACCCAAGACATCCTGCTTGAAGCCTTGCTCTCTTCCGATGGCCAAGTTGATGCCGCTTCCGAGACCCTGACTGGACATAGGACCACGTCCTCGGGTCACCCAAAGAGAGCCAAAACCGTGGGTCATCAATCAACTCTGACCAATCTGGTGCGCTCCGCTAGTGGTGAACTTCCTATGAACAAGAATCTCACAAAGAAAGGAAAAACTCTCTTTCTGTATAGTCCCCAGGATATCGAGACACATACGCCATGTTCTATCATCCACAACTTTCTCCCTGCCGAGGAAGCTAATTCCCTGCTTGCAGAGCTCTTGGATGAGGCAAAGACATTCGAGAAAGAGACCTTTCAGCTCTTTGACCGTACCGTCGAGAGCCCTCATACCATGTCGTTCTATGTCGACAGCTTGAAAGAAGTTGAAGAGCAAAAGACAACATACGTCTACAACGGCAGCAGAATCAAAGACATTCGACAAACACCCCCAAAAATGTTGTCTGCATCTACAAAGGTGTGTCAAGCTGTCAACGGCGAGGTTCAGCGCCGAATCGCTCAGTACTATCCCAATGGTGAGAAACTGCGACATCAAGATCCCAAAGAGTGGAAGCCAAATACTGCTTTTGTGAACTGCTATGATGGACCTCAACAAAGCGTTGGCTATCACTCTGACCAGTTGACCTATCTCGGTCCTCGTGCTGTCATTGGAAGCCTCTCACTAGGTGTGGCTCGCGAATTCAGAGTTCGCAAGATTGTCCCCAAAGACACCAACAACGACTCCGATGATACAAGCACTGCAGACTCACAAGGCCAAATCTCCATTCATCTGCCCCATAACTCATTGCTTGTCATGCATGCCGAGATGCAGGAGCAGTGGAAGCACAGCATTGTCCCAACCACTGCCATTGACCCACATCCCATTGCTGGAAGCAAGCGGATCAACATCACCTACAGATGCTACAAACCTAGCTTCCACCCAAAGTTCACACCTAAATGTCACTGCAACATACCGACTGTACTTCGATGCGTACAAAGAAAGTCCGAAAATTTGGGTCGCTACATGTGGATGTGCCATGCTGGTTATACACCAGGTCAAGAAGGTTGCACTTTCTTCGAATGGGCAGAGTTTGATGATGATGGCGAACCTCCTTGGAAAGACAAAGTGGAGCAACCCGAGACTGGCTGAGAAAGAAATTCAGATCATGTTTGACATAGTGTCTCGTTCCAGGGCGCCTGCATGCTAAGCAGAAAAGAACCCAATGGTCTCTCACTATTCTGGCTGCTTCAGAAACCGGCCAGTCGTATCAATCGAGCCGGTGCATCATGCAAGACACAAATCAAACTCGACACTTCGTCTACCAATAAATACTCAGTTCCCATCCCTGTCCACGCAACAAGTCGCAATCGACTCAGATCAATTCCAACATGACGTCGAAAAACTCCCGCCCTGCTTTTTCGATGCCAATGGAGATGTCGTGATCTCGATGCTCACTGAATGGGTGCCAGCCGACCCCGAAACGACAGATATGCGCACATCGAGTGACAGACTCAGAGCAGTTTCTCCTTATTTCGCTGCAAATCTCAAGCCAGAATGGCTCCACAACAAAGTTACAGGCCAAGAGCTATGTGGTGATGGTACATTTCGTATCATGAAGCGTTTTGAACTTGAGCTGGACAGTGATGGAGAGGACTTCCTCGTGGGCAAGGTAAATATGCCATCAGACTCGACCTACAACAGACTTTGACTGACATTTTTTTTTCTCAAGACAGCTACAGCAAATCCTGAGCTTCGAGCTGTATCGGCCGAGATCACTATGGGGACTGTACCTCGGACGACATATGAGACACGTCGACACCCTCAGCAGCTCAGCAGCGAGAGAGCGTACAACAAATTGTTTGGCCACCCAAGCCTCAATATGCTCTCTACAGTTAACCTCCTCGGTTTCTCCATGATCTGTGGATTTCCAGTTGAGACCGAGCGTATTCTGTTGGATCGTCACGAAAACATGTGTAGCCTGTCCGTCACTCGTATTGTTATACACTTACTTCACTGGATCCATTACTATGGCACTCTGAAAGACGTGCAGGCAAGACTTGGTCAGTTTATCAGATCAGAGGTTCCACCAGATGCCATTCAATATTCTACGCTCCTCTACCTGCGTATCGCCTGTGTCATTCATGATAGGTCGCTCTTCAACTGGATTCTCGACAAGAACCCATTCTTCTCTAACGACATCTGTCTCAGCATGAAATCAATGGACAGTCGCCTCGGCATCAGTCTCTGGGCCCCGGCCTTCGAGCGTCACTTGAACTTCTTCGGCTCTGTCCTCAGAAAGCTGCGAAACCTACCCGACAGGATCCCACCTTTTGTGCAAGAAGTGTTTGCAATTGAGGAGTGGAAGCTCATCCTGTACGTCTGGAACTCATGGCTCATGGATCTCGCAGCAGACAATCGCGCCCAGTATCAGGGAGTTGATCCGTCCATCTTGGCTCTATACTCGATCGCCACTTCGGACTTCATTCTCCCTCTTCACAGCTTCCGGTACACACCTCTTGTAGCCGAGCACGCAAACCATTACCTTCAACATGCCCTGATTCAAGCNAAAGACGACACTTCTCGGTACATCACTATCGATGAAAGCGAGCCCCTAGGCTTCCGGATCAACAACAGCGAGTTCTTCTCGAAATATGGTTACCCGTGGGATTATCGTGTCGACGAAGACACAGATGAGGAGCTGTTTAGGCTGATCGCAACAAACAACATTGCAGCGATGAATGAGGACTTGCGTCTGGACCAACAGGAGGTTCACGCTTGATTATCAATAGGTTATGTGGACGCCATGGAGGTTGGTGGACATAGATAGCTAAGGCACACGACCACAGCTGGCGTAGCGACCTTCGACCAAGAGAGTTTGAACAACGCTGGGATTTTTAGTGTAGAAATGCAAAGTATCTTTTCACACCGAGACAAGATGTATCAGAAGTTGTGCGATCATCAGCTCTTCCTGTACTCTTCTTGAGATATCCAAACAACGAATCTGTATATACATGTACCCAGCAGCCCAACCTCGCACATCCAAGCATGCGAAAGTGACTATTGTATCTCCTCAGCCTTGACGGTCTCAATATCCATCTCCTGTAAGCCCCTATGGAAAGACGCTTTAATCGCCGTCCCTACAGCATCCACATACTTTGTGTTCTCCACCTCAAGATCCAAACCGTGAAAGTCTTTTCCTCCCATATCGTTGTCAGCATGTACACTAATATACCGATGTCCCATCATCAGCGCCAAGTTTCTGTATCCCCTGTGCCCGAGTTTGTGGGGTAGGATCTCGACCACAGTGGATGAAGGCGCATTGGGCCGACCAGGAAGGAAAAAGAGGTGCGTCATTGCGGCACCGTGAACGCCTACGAGGACTTGATGGCTATGCACCATACGCACCTGCTCAGCAAAGCTATATTCACCGAGATCGCGGACGTTAAACACCACAGAAGGATATAGTTTTTTCAGGGCGGAAAGTTTGCCATCGAGGTCGTTGATGCGGCGTGTCTGTGTGCGTTTGACGATCAGCACTTGCAAAGGTTCGGAGACCTTTTNGGGCCATTTGGGAGGGAGTGCTGAGAGGTCCATGGTTTTTTCGTCGAGGGAGAGGGAGGTGGGAGTGGCGTTGTAGAGGGTTAGTACGCGGTCGCCGAACACACGGCCGAGGTCGGATTGGCTGCAATGGTGGGCCGTCCACGTTCCCTCCCAGAAAGGATTTGAAGCGCCCGGAAGAGGGAGAACCACACGGTCGAAGAATTCGAGATCTTCTTGTTCTCCAGCTTCAGCGCTGTCTTTGGNGTCTTCAGACAGTTTGAGTGTTGGGTTGTGAGTAGGGTCCGAGAAGAAATCCCAGAGATCAAAGTAAGGGCCTTNTTTGTGGCCGTCTACTACGATGACTTGTGTGTTGGCCTTGTCGATTTCTGGGTTGTAGTAGGCTGCTCCTTTGTCTTCGGCATGCGGCGAGGTACTCATAGACAACACATCCAGAGTCATGTAGTAACTCATCAGCTCCACAAGATTATGCCAGGTATTAGCAGCACTTCCATGAGGAGACCCAGCTCCCTCGCGTCTCGCAACAACGCCGAACTTCTTGGCTGCCTCTGGAGATCTGTTTTCCTGACTTCTTTGCAATCGCTCTGGATCTTTCAGACCAATGTGTTCCTTGAATATATACTGCAAACCCGTCCACATCATATATTCCGGAAAGATCTTGTAGAAAGGATCTTCCGGATCATGAGCACAATCCATGTAGAACTTTCTCTTGCGGCGGTGGAACGCTACATTGGACGCGATGCAAANAGTGTCAAGTCTACCATCCGAAGTGATACGTGTTGAGAAACACTCCAGCGTTGATGTACTTCCGTTCGGGTCGCAGAAAGATGTGCGGTTCCGGCTTAGGTTGTAGAGATAGGCGGGAGAGAACAGAGCAGCACAGAACTCGTCTTGTTTGGGTCGTGAAGTGTATGCATCTGGCAATGCAAGCACAGTAGGCACAGGGCTCGAAGGATGTGTCTCAGATACCTGCAGCATCAGGTTGTGAGCAGAAGTCANGTCTACGATACATGAGCGCAACCATACCTCATTTTCAGCATTCTCTTTGGTGCCATATAGTGTTGTCAGTGAGTCAATATGTGTTGTCAACGAGTCAACATGTTCGTCGATATGCAGCGAACTGCGAAAGTAGAACAGAGAGAAGAAGATAAGAACCGCTCCAGCAAAGATAACGCGCAACTGCGCACGAGTTGACACAGCCATAGTACAGGAAATCTGTGCTTCCACTTCACAAAGTAGATTTCACACAGGCAATGGCATCACAAGAAATATCAAGAAGTGGGACAAGTAAGGAAAAGGAGAAAAAGGGAGTCAGCACAAACTCATTTCCACGTCCTGTGCAAGCCGGTTGTCGAAAGAGGATCGCAAGGGCTGAAGTACCTACAGTATGCGCTTCTACATTCCTTGCTTGATGGATTGAGCCAAGCTAGCAGCCACCTGCGCCAATTGAGACCCTGTACGGTTCCATGTGAGTCCAATAACCTCACCGATAGACTTGAGATAGCGAGATAGGGATGAGCTGAATGTGACGACCAGTAGCTGAACCATAACCAAAAATCATCTTAGGGGAAGATGCAGTTGTTAGGGAAGACCAATAGGACTTCTCGGTGTCGCCGAATCGGGAGAGGCGTCAGCTACCGGTATTATCAGTGTTTGACTGTCAGGGACAAAAGCTTTTCTTGATGGCTGTTGGAAGATTCAGCTGCGATGTTCCTGCAGAATATTACCGGCGATGTAGACATGTATCGAAACCGTGGTACGGACACCCACTGTTATGACTTGGACAGACAAGGCTGCACCACATTGTAAATCATTATAAGACATCCGAACAGTTTCCAGTTCACATCCTCATCATGGCTGTATGATATCTGTGTCTACGAGCCAACGGTACAATCAATGCAATGCTTGAGGACTATCTATTTCTGTGTAGATGGGGGAACTCACACTAAGGGCGCCATTACGCAAAACGACTTCAGCTCCCCAACTTCTCTCCACAATGTGTTCGAGACCTTTCCGCTCATGAACACCACATCCAAAGAATGCGATGAGAGACGCAAAACTATCTGTTCAGCACTGGGTTCCGCAAGGCGACCTTGAATAATCAAGTCGATGTAATCGAGTCTGAGGTTGCATAGCCTGGGCCACAGCTGCACTCAGAGTCACCTGCCTATCAATTCTTGAGTGTCTTGTGATACCACTTGCAAGCCTCGACGCTCAAGCGATAGAATCCTTCGATATTTACCAGTGATCCCCTAGAATGGCGTTGTTGGGTCATCATGCGTCTTTGCTGCGACGAAGCTATCCACGTACGACAGGTCATTTGGTTTAAATGGAGTTCACTGGGTGAAGTGGAAGCTGACAATAATTCAACACCGTTGTCTCCCACTCTTACGTTTGTGTGCTTGCTGAAGTTCAAGCAAACCGATTTACTTCGCATCACAACAAGTTCTCTGAAATATAGCTTGAGTGGATTGTAATACTTTTGTTTTGTCATGTAGACATGATATCTACTGTATCCGAAAAATTTGCGTCGAAGACGCAGATGTCTATGTAACGAATTCGTCTTTGAGGTATAAGCAACTGCTGCTTAGGCCATTGGTCCTTCATCAGCCATGTCAACATCACCAGGCGCAGCTTCTTGAGTGGCCTCAGGCAAGTCGCCCTGACCAGCCTTGACCTTGCCTTGTTCGTATGTAACTCTTCTCCATCCCTCCTTCTCACTGGAGTCCTTCAAGAACTCAATAGTAGGGAAGTAGTGCTCGTTCTTCTTCATGGTGGCAACCCAAGGTTGGTTGTCGAAAGTCATTATCTTCAGACGGAAGTAAGTGTTGTCAGGGATCTTGTTGATCTCCTCAACAAACTTGTCGAGATCAGGTGTGGGTACACCGTTGACGTGTGTGATGAAATTCGTAGGCGCGAGGCCGTACATGTATGCTGGTGAACCTGCAATGCGCAGAGAGATGTAGACATCCGAGTGAACCTTCTTAATCTGTTGGCGCACGGCGTGATGAGGACGATGTAGAACAGCACCACAGAAGACGACAGCTCTGTCCGTCTCGAATTCATGTGTCGGCACGGTCGAAACCTTGAGCTTGATCTCTTCTCTCTTGCGAAGAATGACGGCGTCGAGGTACTCATTTCTGTACATGACATCGAAGTCTGTGACGCGTGTGACAAGGCGATCGTTAAGGGTGAGGATGATGTCGCCCTCCATGAGACCACCAAGATGATCAGAATCAACCTTGCGGACAATGAAAAGTTGATGTCTCTCAGGGTCCTCCTTTTCGACCCTGTCGATCCACTCCTGCGAGAGACCGTGGATGCGAGCCTCACTCATTTGCATGATGTGGGTCTCAAGGTTGAGGATGCGCAATTGAGGTCTGTCTCCGTTCTTGATATCATCAACAACAGCATGTAGAGCGGCTGTAGACATGCCAAGGTGGTAGGACTGGTCGCGTCCATTAGGCGTGCGTTCACCAAGATAGGTCATCCACAAAGCCTGAACGGTTCCATCTTCGGCCACAAGCACACCGCTTCCGCAGCGCTCTGACAAGCTGGTATCTACTGTGATAGCATCCAAGTTGACAGCACGGTATCTTGGAGTTGTTGTGCTTGCTGGGATGGCAACTGATGTGATGTCAGTGACAGCTGTCTTAGCAACCACTGGTCTCAAGTTCTGGTTGAACCCGAAGAAGATGGTACTCTCTCCCTGCTTGATTGAGGTAGTCGCAAGTTTGGCTGATTTAACAGGAGCTTGCACAAGGCTGGCATCATACTGCAAGATAGCGTAGTTCTGCAGAGGATGCATGAAGACGACCTTGCCATCAACGATGATCGAGTCAGCTACAGTAATGGTAATGTCGCACATGTCGTATGGCAAGATTGCTCGTGACACAATGACAAGACCCTTCTCAGCATCTATGACCAAACCAAAGCCAATCTTTCTGCCCTTAGGAAATCCATCCAAGCGGAGCGGTAGGCTGACCGACACTCTGACAAAGCTTCGTACGATGTCGACGGCGGCAGGATGTTGTGCGCCGGCCATCTGAATGAAGTTTGCCTTCTTGGGCTGGGGGTCGGCGGCAGGGAGTTGCTCAGCAAGAGTAGTGGTGTCCCAAAGGCCAGTCTTGTCGTTTCTGACGTGCAGAGACATTTNTCTGTGCCAATGTCTGTCAACGGAAATGATGGAGGTGTTGAGAGTGTGCATGTCACGAAGATGCTTGTAAGTGACGACGACACGAGCACGATCAGGGATAGCCTTCATGACTTCGACAAAGGCATCGAGGTTGGGGGTAGGCTTGTTGTCGATAGACTGAACGAGCCAGCCAAATTCGCAACCCTCAAACCTGAAAGAGCCACCAGATTCGCAGCAGTACACACCATTGTCCTTGAGGGTGACAGCATAGAATCGGGCTTGTTGGTAAGAGAGCTCGTGAAAGAGGGCACCAGCAGCCGAGACGTAACGGTCCGGAGTGATCGCATGCAAGTCGCCAACGTCGATAATAGCTTCAAACTCTTCACCACCTCTTTGCACAAGCAACTTGACTTGACCTCCAACGCTCGAATCCAGAATATCATCTAGGCGAACAAACTGTGTAAGGAGCTCGTCGTTGACCTTGATGAGAACATCACCCTCCTCAATCTTGCTGTCTGCAGGACCCTTGGGCAGGACAACCTCAGCAACCAGCATACCAGTCTCCTTGGGGAACTTGGCGCGAACCTCGGCTTCACGCTCAGAGGTCAGGCCAAGTCTGCGGCACTCATCAAACGGCTTAATAAGGAATTGTGTTTGGATGCTTCCTCTTGAGACGTGTTCGCCCTTTTNGACCAGTTCCAGCGCTCGTAGCGGTCGATCCAAGGGCAAAAAGTAGTCGGTCGCGGCGCCATCTTGTCTTCCTCCAGCCTGCAAAGCGACAGCATAACCCTCGACGTTGACGACAGGACTGCCCGAACTTCCTCCACTGGCGGCAGCGGCAGCCTGGATGTAGTTTGTGTTGAAATCGCAATATCCTTCAGAGTATTCGGGAGCGTTTCTGTCCAATCTTGAGATAACACCAGACAAGATACTGAGCTTCTCTCCAGCATCGTTACCAACCACTCTGATTTCAGCACCGATGCGTGCAAGGTCGGGGCGGAGTTCGATAGGTGCAAGCTTCATGTACTTGATGGCCTTGGGGTCGAATTTGAGGAAACCGAAGTCGTGAACGGGGTCGCGGTATACGGGGTAGACGTCGCACTCTTCGTGGTTGTCAAAGATGCAGTATCCCCAGAAGGGGCCAGAACCAACAACGTNGCTATACTATGTCAGCTTTGAGGTCAGAGAATGTAATATGGACCAACTTACTCGGTTGGTCAGGATATAACCGTTCTCAGCATCAACGACAAAGCCGGTTGCTTCGCTCGATAGGGCCGGGTCTGTATCGAATGCGCTGGTCTGGCAGAAGTGGATAGAGACGACTTTTGAGACGACAGTTTCGATGGTGCGCTGCCATTCGACAGAGTCTGTGGTTGCGGCATGCATTACGGGTTGCGCATCGGCTTCATCGTCTTGTGAGAAGCCGTTGACGGGCTCTTCTGCGGTAGCATCTGATCTGAGCTGTTTCAGAGGTCTGTCCTGAGAAGAGCTTGGGTGTTCTTTACGCTTGACGCGAGCCTCTCCATTCTGCTGGCTGTCCATGCTCTTGAACGTTGATGTGTTGCGCTGGGCCTGAACTGATAATGCGATACGCGAAGTGTGGGCGGTATGCGACTGGGAAGATAGTAGTGAAGAGCGCGATGGGTTGGTCGAGAGGCGAAGCGCTGATGTCGATGTATGGAAAAGTCGAGGAAAGTGCGAAGAGGGACGGATTTCTCTCAAGAAGGTACAAAAGCCTCTTTGCATTCAGCTATGCGCAAGCAGTCAAGCATGCGCTTTATATCCAAACAAAGAGAAAACGACGCCCGATGCTTTTATTGATTCTTGGTTAAAAATTTTGGCTTCTTGTTCGTTCGATGACTTGCCATCACCTTGATCATCAAGCGCCTGAAACAGGCAACTCTGCCGACTGTTCTGTTTCTCTTGGAACCCCAGCGCCTCTTGTTCGTTGCAACCTCTTTCTCTTACAACTCATGTCTTCACTGACATGTCTCAGATGATACGTGCCCTAGGGCATGTGAGTAATATACGTTCCTGATTCCAGGTCTCCTTTGTTTCTGCGACATGAATGCGGTCGGTTGGTCTAAGTTATGCATTGTTTATGCACACTTTGTGCAAATCCTCAACCAACACCTTGATGTGAAGACAACATCAGGTTGTGTATGGAGGTATTGTGAGCATCAATGGTAGGTTGTGTGTAAAGATTTACGAGTATCACTGGGACCCTTGATCTCGCCTTCACTTTAGTGATACTCAGTTTCCCGTTGGGGACCTCTGTTTTCTTTCACTCGACTCTTGCTCAAATCCCTAGTTCTCTTCCATCCTTCTTAAACTACTTTCTCACAAGTTCCTCTCCTTTTCTTCTTCTCTACAACAACCTCTTCTCAACCTTGCTTTTCTCCAATACAACCTTCGACGTCTTCCACCTTATCTTGGATCCAACTTCTTGTCCATTCATCGACGTGTCGATAACTCTTGGCTATCTGAGTCCAGGCTCCCCTTCGCACTGTTTTCTCCTGCAACAAGTAGGATCTCTCTGCTCCTATCTTCTGGAGCCTTTTGAACCTGCCTCACACACCTCCTTTCCAGCGACCTAGACTTTCACCTTGCAGCTCACTCCGCATCTTCTTCTCACCACGATCTATTCACCGCACCCTGCCTGTCATCTCTCTCGACTTGCAAGACCCCAACATAAATCTGCGGCCAAGTCTTCCGATCTTCCCTCCAACATGAGCAACGATCCTCGCCGTGAACAGACGTTCCAGGGCAATATGGCACCTAACCACTTTGCTGCTTACGGCCATCACGACCAGAAATCTCCGCAAGCAACCACCAGTAGATCTGGTGGCACGAACGCACAGCAACTGTCTCCTTCCCAGCAGACATTCGATGCAGCTTTCTGGAACAACCCTGCCCTTACTGCGCAATACTACGGACATGGACAACTCGCTCCTCAGAGCTCTTCCTTCCAAAACGTTTCCCACATGTCCAACCATCAGAACATGCAGTCTTTCCCTCCTACTTCGTTTGGCAACCCCAGCTTTCAGGCTCCCTTCGATCCTGCGACACAGATGCTTCAAAACTGGACCATGGCTCAATCTGGATACAATCCAAGCATGCAGTACTCTATGCAGCAATATCCTATGCAGCAAGCTCCAATGCAGCAGATCCCCTTCGAACAGACTAATTACGAGCAAAATCCCGGTCAGCAAGCTCAAGCACAGCCAGAAACTGATGTCAAGCAAGATCCCGAGTCCACTGATGCATACTCTGGCGGCCACGTCGATTACAACATGGAAGACGATCCTAGTGCGCAACTGATGGCCGAGTTGACACAGGACATTACCGGATCTGCTCGCGCTCCCACGGTACCCGAAGAAAACGACACCAAGTACCAGGACGAAAACCAAGGCTGGGGATCCTCTGTGGTTAACGCAACCCAGCTCGAATACAATAACTCGATGTTCGCAGATGCTCCGACTCATCAAAACTCTGGCTTTGAGCCTTTCAGAAGTTTCGAGTCACAAGACCCAGTCACTGAGGCCGAGAAGGCCCAAGAAGACCAACTCGCACAGCAGGTCGAGCAAGTTGTTGCGGACTTGATTGATGAGGGTATGCAAGACGTCGTTCCTGAGGTACAGACTACTATCAGACATGCGTAAGTTTTGACCACACGTTCTGTTTGACGATATACTAAAATGCTGCTGCAGNNACCTGAGTACACTGACGCACCCGTTTCCACCGACCAAGCTCATGATTCCTTCTCTGGTGAACGCCTCCAGCACTCTACTTCTGCTAGAGAGGCATCCTTCCCTATCGACGACACGGAGCAGAGTGCCAGTGACCCAAAGATCGTCGTTGAGGATGCTCCTGAAGAGGAAGTGGTCATGCAGGACGACGTCACAGAAGAGCATGCTATTGGTGATCATGAAGATCAAGATGACGTCTCTGACAATGACTCTGAGGACCACGAATCTGACGAAGAAGATACTGTCGAGAGCGAAACTGCGGAAGAGGAGGACGCAGACATTGATGTCTCCGATGCTGAACCATCTTCTGATCAGGACGCGCACGATTCTGGTGCTGAAGTCCCCCATCAGGTTGAGTTTGAGGGCTACACGCTTACAGAGAGCCTTCAAAAGACCATCAAGAAGACGATGGCGAAGAAGGAAGATAAGGAGCTGCACCACAAAGCTTCAAAGCTGCAGCCTCATCATCTTCCTGAGCATCGCTACTGGGTTGCCGTACTAATGCACACCATGCAGCCCCACAAGGCCAAGGTCGAGAAGGATTTTGTTTGGCTCAAAGGCCACAAGGTAAGTCTGATCCGTCTACAATCAGATGTAACTTCGACGACGAGCTGCTAACTCTCTGGTAGNACCAACACAGTCGAGACCATTTGGAACAAATACCGCGAAGTGACCACCGAAGAGCAGCACCAGATTCTCTTCTGCGGCAGAGTCCCAAAGTTCACTGACACACTGGAAGAGCTGGACAGATTCGGCGACAAGTTGATCGTCTTCCGCGCTGCCAAGCAGGAAGTTATTGTCATCGACTGAGCGACAAGACGGATGTGCTGGACACAAAGTCACATATCAGATATTGCGTTCACGATTTACAAAGTATGACTTTCGCAATGGCGAATCGAAGATTGACGAATGCGGAAGCGAAAGCTTTGAACATCGAGGCCGAGGGAGGAGGATTTCCTTTTTGTTAACCAGGCGATGGCCTGCTCATGGTTTCTTTTACGTACAGCCTGGTTGCTCCATCAGCTAGAGGCTTTTCACCTTGGGTTGCTGCAGAAGGCCATAAGGATAAAAGCTTCCACTATTCCTGCCTAGACAGGCTCAGTATACTCTAACGAACTTCTTGAACACACTCTTTTGGTGCGGTAAAACTCCACAACTCCTTTCTCCCATGGTATCAATGCTGTTAAATCCACACATCACTCGAGCTTGTCCAAATGCTCCAACCTCGTCAACACGACCTGTTTACTCGTCTCTTCAATCTCTCCTGCCAAAAACACTTCGTCCAGAATAGCGTAGACNNCTATCATCCACCACCCTTGTCAGCAAACACCACTCGCGTATTCCTTGTCCCTCTTGCTGCTTCCTCTTACCTTGTAGAAGTTGAAGACGAGATCCAGCTCGCACACATTCCCAAAGAACTGATCCAACACTTCGACAAAGAAATGTATGGCTTCTAGGTATGCTAGTTCGTTGTCGTTTGCATCTACGCAGGCGCAAAAGAAGAGGCCGGCATAGCGACGGTAGACGATTTTGGACGAGCCGCGGAACTCGACAAAGTTGGATTGGTGTTTTTGGTCGCGGGGAGCAACGAGGCGGTGGATNNCTGAGGTGGTGTGGAGTGTCAGAGGAGATGTCTTGAGGTGGTAGGCTTCGTGGATGGTGTGGTTGGGAGGGTTGGTGGATTGGTACGAGGGAAAGGTGGTGTTTACCTCGCCTTTTAGCTTTACTTTCTCTTCGTCCTGGTATGAATGTTAGTTGTCTGCGAAACATTGATCGAGAGAAGTGCTTACACTGTACGGCGCATACCATTTGGCCAAGCGCGTCTTTCCCCTGAATGTCCTTTAGTCTGTGTGCTTCCAATTCGGGTCCAGATCTTCTTACTGCCTGTTCTGGATCAGGATGAAGGAGAGAACCATCGTGCCTGATTTGTTTGACAGTCAGGCCGACAAGAAGAGGACCTTGATCGCTGGTCTTGTCACTGCCATCCATCACCAACCCCACGATTGTCTTGGCGTTTGTGGATGCGGAGTTCCTTTGCTTCGGGAAAGAGCACTGTGACTTCTTCACGAGCATCAAATTGCGAACACGTCAATGTCTTAAGGTCATTGACCTGACACTGATGGCAGACGCGAAAGTCTATCTCAATTTGCCGATGCTCTAGATCCAGATCAATTTCTAGGTAGCTGACTGTTTTCCTTGACGCGTCTTTGTTCGGATCCAACATCTGAGCTTCCACTCATCTCACTTTTCGCGAGCTGGTTTTGCCTATCAGCTTGCTATTCCAGCATCGATCCAGGGAGTGTGCCAACTCAAGTTTCTCAGGAATCGCCAAATTACAGCCTCCGCCGAATCAAAATCTCATCATCATGGTCTGGGACAAATTCAACCGCTCCAATGGTGGTGTTACCATCGACTTCTACCCAAACACACTTGACAACATCTTCTGGTCAAAGGAAGGAATCATCGCAGTTGGTGGCAGTGATCGCGTCAGTCTTTTGTAAGTTTCATAATCTTCAACTCTGCCTCATCACAATTGACATTCTCAGGTACCACGTCTGAAGGCGATTGCATCGGATGAGAGAAGATGGGACAAGATCAACCTCAAAACAAGTTTCTTCACCCTTGACGATATTCAACTCCAACTTCCATTGAGCTGGAAGAATTTCTCGATTGGTGAAGAAATGTCAGAATCCTTTGTTCACGCTCTCGACTGGTCACCTCCGGGACTTGGCAAACACAAGCGAAGTGTTCTAGCCGTCCTGACTTCCAACCATGTACTATCCATCTGGGAGTGCGTTGGAAAGCCAGAAATTGCTAGTGATTGGGTGAGAGCTTGCGTCATCAACCACGCCCTTCAAGCACATTACAAAGAAAAAGATGTTCAGGATCCGGAAGAAAGCGAACATGATCATTTCGAAAGACTAAGAGCAAAGCAACGCATCAGAGCATTTGCGTGGAGTCCGGCAATACCAGACTCTTCGCTGTCAGGCGCTTCTGGTGACTGTTCAACAAGAAGCCCATATCTTGCCGTTTCCAACGATCGTGGAGAAGTTTTGATCATTGAGATACAGACACCTCACGATATCTCAGAACCGGATACGACACGTTGGGGTTTGTCTGTAGTGGCTTCATTCGGTATCGATGTCCCCGACACCAAGAAATCGCCCCTCAGCGCTTGCCTTCCAGTGACGTTCAAATGGAGAAGCCCGTTTGTGGATCAATTGGCCTGGAGTCCATGGGCTCTGGATGCTAACAACATGCCGACGTCAATACTGACCTTTACATCTCAGTCGTCTTTACAATGTACGAGTGTAAAGATTGATGACGAAAAATCCCCTACTGATGTGACCGTTGGTTCTATCGTTTCGCTGATGGACGAGATACCTGATACCCACGCAGCCGGATGCATAAGATGGGCTCCAAGGTTGAACAGTGCGAAGGAAGCATTTCTTGTGTATCCAACGCGAAGCTCGTTCTATTGTCTGCAAGCTCAGCCAGGTCTTAATCTTGAGTTCCACGTCTCTGCGCAAGAAATCAACAATCCTTGGGACGAGATTGCTGGTATGTTATGTGTTAAAATATCCGCTGATGGCCCGTCTAACAAACTNGCAGGCATGACTTACGTGCAAGACGACAATGAGAATATCTCAGTGCAAATTGCATATCATCTCGGTTCAGGAACTGATCGCATCACCAGTCTGGCCTTACCTTTCACAGCAACTTCTGCTCTTGGCTCCACTAACTGGCAACATGACTTGCTGAGAGGACAAAGACGCTTCAGTGATGAGTGGAATCTTGCAGGTAATGTCATGACTAGAGCTTATGGTTTATGTACCGCTCCATTCGGCGATCTGGTTGCTGTTAATGTCAGCTTCCATCCAAGCGATGGAGTTGAGTACACAACAAACTCAGACGAGGTCTCCTATCTCATTACGAGCCAATGCAATGACGATCTGCAATTTGCTCTCGCCGGATCTCCTTCGAATGCATATGGTAAGTTCGCCTTTGTCTTCTACATTTTCAAGATACTGACATTTGTCNNAGAATTGACTGCCGAGGCTCTACTTTCCAGCTTACAAAGTCTTGCCGTGCGCGAGCCTGAAGCTCTTTCTGACGAAGACTCTGTTATCGAGCAAATCATGCATGCGCTCGACCTTGCAGAGCTGCCTTCAATCAGCTCCAATCAAGGACAAATCACAGAAGACACCCCTGTTGAGCTTGTTGTGCGTCAAGTGAGGCAGAATATCTTGTTCAACCGCGACAGTGTCCGCAGCCGAGTGGCTCAGCTGCTGAAATATGTCAAGGCTGACATACCCAAGACCCCGCCGCTCGACGCCACGGTAGTGCTCAAGATTGTCACAGAAATCTCGCGACTACCGCATTTCGTCGCAGATGCGAGCATCTTGAGCAGTTCGATCATGCAGATTCACTGCCTGATTCTGGCGAAACTGCAAGCACGAGCTGGCAATGCCGACGCCGACATCTCGAACTCAGAGGAAGAAGAGATTGAGAGGTGCGAGATATGTCATAGTAACATACCTTTTGAAAGTCTCCGATGGGCGAAGTGTGTTAACAATCATCAATATCGTGAGTCAACAGAGACGTTCAAGCAGCGCGATTCCAACTCCAAATACTGACCATACACTNNAGCTCGCTGCACTCTCTCCTTCCTCGCCATCCAGACACCAGGCACTGCTAAGGCTTGCTCTATATGCAATGCTCAGTATATCAATGAGTTCATGATGTCGGGCTTCAAAGCCGAAGACAGCGAAACAAACACCAATGTAGAAGCAGACGGAGATGAGACTATGCAAGGGACTACAGACAAGGAACCTCCAGTATCTCTGGCACGCATTCTTTTCGCGGCATGTGATAGATGCGTCTGTTGCGGAGGCAAATTTACCGGCTAATTTTAGTATGCAACCACCCGCATTCCTCACCACAATGGTGTGTTTACCACTCGACTTCCTTACAAGGTGATATGGCAACACGGACTGTCTTGGCACTATCGCAGAACATCGACAAGATGTATTCAATCTGTTAGATATCAAGAACAACTAAATCGGCGTCGCTCTCTCACATCATTGTGTCAATATGAATCCTATGCACGAGATTCGCATGTCGGCATCGCCTGGAAGAGCACCACAGGTCATACACCAGCATGAAGTGGGCAGTCCAGTACGAAGCGTACGTCCAGAGTTCCTGCTCGAGTCGATCAATAGCCAGGCAGATTTCGGACCGCGAACATTTCTGGACAACCCATCACCAGACGAGGAAACACATATCCCAGACATACCGAATACACATACTTTGCCCGAAGTCGATGGCTCTCACGCTGAACAGCCGTCCTCCAAGCAAAGACGATCGGGCCACTACCTGGGCGGCACCGCAGAGCAGTTTCAATCGAACTGTGCTCCAGATCGAAGAGAGCCCACGCCGCCTTCGCCTCGCTCGCCTGCAGAGCAGACAGATTTTGAGAGATACCAGCAGCTGACGCGTGAGAATTGCAAGAGTGGATTTGATAGCGATGAAGATTCTTACATTGGGTCGGTTGAGGAAATGACGCCCGTTCGACCAGCGAGGAGAAGCAACACGATTGTGGACAGTCTCTTCCACCATAACTCTCCACATGTGTTGGAGGAAGAAAGCCCGATCTTGCCAAAACATCAAGACCTGGCGGTGGCCAATCACATCAAGGAAGTGCATCTTTCCACAATGCAAGCTCTGACTGGCTTCACTGGTTCTTCAAATGCACCACCCACACCTCCGCCGATACCGATGCGTGACTCACGGTATCAAGACTGGCGAAACTCTCGATATCGATCGGTCTCGGCGCCTGCGAAGAAGGTTACTATGGCTCCGCCACCTATCGATACATCGCGGATATCAGCACAACAACCACATGTCAAGACACCGTATCCTTTCCGTGCCATCCATCGCAAGGAGTTTGGCCGTCAATTCTCAGCATCCGAACCTACTCTTCGCAGTCCTCGCGTGCACGACAGCATACTCACACTCAGCATCCGTCGCAGTAATCCTAACAGCCGGCTGCGGCTCTCTACACTCACCATTCCTGCCAACAGCGAGTTCAGCGCGGTCAAGAACCGCCATCACAGTTCCGATCGTGGTGGNAAAGAATACACACCCCAAGACTTCGACGATGCAGAACTGTTCCGCCAGCTACGGCGCCACTACAAAGATCTCATAGGACCCTGGCGCCACTTCTCTGCTCGAAGCTTGACGATGGTCTGTGTAAGCGGCGATGCCAGCAGACAAGCAGACTCAGGCTATGGATGGCTCCTGACTCCACGATCCCCTCGCACGCTCGCCTACAAAGGTCTCAACGACACCTTCAGCGAAGAGAAACTCTTGCGCTTNTTTCACAACCCCAATGCAGCAGGNAAAAGTCGGTATGCGTGGGTGAGTTGGGCACACAGATTAGCCGATGCACCCGCAATAACCACGCCTTTGCCTCCTTCTGCTTCTCCATCTGCAGCACTAGATAGTGCACGCACACCTGTCTCTGCGGGAACTACATCAACGGTCAATAACCGCTTCTCGATGATCAGACGAGCAGAACAGCATGAAGGCCTTGAGTTCGTGGTCTCATGGTCCGTACGGCGTATCCTTCTTGCTCTCACTCTGGTTCTGGTGCTTAGTCTCGCGGCAACCTTGCTTTGGGTCTTTCTGGGCAAGAACTCACATTCTGCTGCAGGACAAGCTGGGTTTCTCGGTGCTGGAGATAGGGTTGTTGCAGGAGTCGTGATGGGGATTTGTGTTTTGCTGATCGGGTGTTTTGGGGTGGGAGGATGGGTGGGGATCAGTTGGTTGGTGTTGTAGAAGGAACGATGGTCATTGGGGTTTGGTCTCTTGTCGTCTTTTGTCGCATCTTGAGCGTTTGTTTCGTATTGTTTCGTATTGTCTCTTTACCTTTCTAATACTGTCATCTGTCGTTTGAAGCATGTGTGATTAAATTTGTGCTCTGTATCGGCTCTCCAGCATATATACTTTTCCATTGTGCTGGTCATTTCCAGCCTCGAAGATACTTCGTCGTCGATCTAAACAGCGTGAAATCAAGATAATATTATGTGCTAGCAGCCACATTAGCACATACGGCCACAGTCAGCTGAAAACTGGGCATCCCGTCCGCTCTGCCATACATAAGCAGTTGAACGGCAGATTAGTACTACGGTGGGTGACCACGTGGGAATCCCTGCTGCTGTATGTTTTGCTTTTGCTATTGACAACAGCATCTAATCAATGTTCTTACTTTTGCGGCGAGAGATGGTTGCTTTTGCAGCGAGAGATCAAGTGTCACGTCTCAACCCAGATGGAGTAGCTGCCAGTCTTTAAATTGGTGGCACGAACCTGACGCGCCAAAACACGTCTCCCCACATCCGAAAAAGGGCACTTCCAGACCACCACACTCATAGCTACCACAAACAGCGATCACCAAACAACACAATTATTGACCATCAGAATCAAAAGCTCCACCAAATTCAGTCAACCCAGATTTTGTCAAACGCCAATAAACAAAAATCGAAACTCCGAGACTCAGACACACACAAATCACAAAAACATGGATATCGACGACATCCTCGCCTCAGTATCACATACCGAACGCATACCACAACGAACTTCAGATCTGCAGGCTTTGACCAGAGCTTGGGTGGCTGAGAGATGTGCACCGGAACTACTGCCGTATCCAGAGGAGTTGATTGATAGAGTTATGGATAGGATAAAAGTGCAGGTAAGAATGTTTTCTATTTTTTTCTCTTTGTGGTTGTTATACAGATTGCAAGAGAAGGAGCAAAGAGAAGCAGGAAAAATCTTGAAATTAGGAGCTGGAAGATTGGCAAGTTCGTGAGGAAACATCTGGCGAAAAAGGGGAGCTTGAGAGTTCAAAGAAGCAAAAAGCCAGCAATAGGAAGGAACGAATGAGGATGCACATTTAACAGAGAGCGGCACGCCAAAGATGACAAAAGTGCTATCGTCTGACACAGCAAAGAGCTAACCCGATTTCTCTCGTATAGATCGAGACGGTAGAAGACATGACAGGAACCATGGACCCATCCGCAAACTTCAACCTCATCATCACACAAACAGAACTCGAAAGATTCAAATTCCTCATTCGATCGTTTCTACGAGCGAGGATAGCAAAAGTATTTCCACCACCCCCAAATCATCAATTTTCACTGACTTAAAACAATCTCCCAGCTCGACAAATACCCTCACCACCACCTTCCCTCTCCAAACCTCTCAGCCACGGAATCTCAATACCTGAACCACCGCGTCAGTCTCCTATCCCACCACTTCTCGATGTCTTTTCTGTCGTCTTTTCCTGCGCAGCTGCAGAAACTGGATGATACGGCTGGTGGGATATCGATGGTTGATGCGCCGGATGTGGATGCTGCGGTGTTTGTGAGGGTGCTTAGGGATGCGGGTCATGTGGAGGTGCAAGGAGAACAAGGGGTGGGTGTTGTGGAGTTGAAAAGGGGCAATATTTGGTGTGTTAGGTGGAGTGCGGTTAAAGAGGCGTGCTTGAGGGGGGATGTTGAGATGGTTTGAAAGAGAGTATGAAGTCTGGTGAGAGCATGGATGCGGAAGTCTATAGAGCTCTTTCATGGAAGGCTGCACGATCAAAGCATGATAGGAGTCGATTGAAAGTTGCGGGTATGCCATGCGAAAGAAGACTGTCATTGGTATCATAGCTTGCCAGAGTCTGCAAGAAAGGAGAACGAAACATTATAAAAAAGACGATGAACGATGGCGAGCCACCAGCCAGTGATGACATATGCTCAGTGAACCTTCAGCCATTCGAGGACGACTTCGAAGGCTTGCTTCTGGGCTTGCTTGATGGCTTCATCTTGGTACTCACCAACGACTGCGAAGCNCTGTGATTGATTGTCAGTCCAAAAGTTCCTCCACTCAACAAGGTTCGACTTACCGTGTGGTACTCCAGGATAAATCCATTCCTGTACTTCGACACCCTTCTCCTTCAAGCTCTTGAGACCAGCCTCGCGCACCTCATCGCTGAACAGAGGATCCTCATCCACAGTCAAGAGACCAATAGGACTCTTGACACCAGTAAAGTCTTCGCGTTCGATGGTTGCGCCATGAAGAATAACAGCAGCTTTGACAGCAGGACCTCTCCTGATCATGCCCTCCTCAACCTTACCAGCCGCCTCTTCACTGACCTCCTTCTGACCCTCGAGCACATCGGCTCCCAGTTCGCTAGCAAGCAAGAGCGCAAATCTGCCACCGACACTGACACCAACGCAATATACACCGCCACCAGCTTGCACGGCATCAGCGAACTCATCCTTGACAGCAGTCAAGACCTTGTTCAACCTGGGCAACACAGAGCTAGGCGTATGTCTCGCCAGCCACATATCCAACCTAAAGCTCTTTGCGACCTCAGCAGCCCTCAACTTCAACTGTTCGAGGAAACTGGTCTTGTCGTCACCAGCAGAAAAGACAGAGTTAGGTGCCGGGTCGTTGTTGAATTGGTCGGGCATGATGACGAGGTATCCTTGTTCGGCGTAGGCATCGGCTTGGAGTTTGTTGGCTGGTGCATGGATGCCAGTACCTCCCGTTAAGAAGAGGAGGAGTTTGCAGGGGGCGTGCGGGTAGTCGGCAGGTTTTGTGATGTAGCATTCGATGTCGTTGAATTTGGTGATCTCGCCCGTGGGGGTTTGGGAGGTGGAAGTTGGTTCTGTGACTGCATGTTGGTATACGACTGTGACTGAGATGATGGAGGTGGCTTACGGCCTCCTTCATGGACTTGGGCTTCTTGGTTCTTCAATCTTGTTAGCTTGTTTGCGTGAGCATCATGCGTTGGCCGTGTCGGAACTGACTCCTAGACTCGGGCCTTGGTCGACGGCCGAGTCACCAGGGACGGCGCTCTGCTCAGCCTGGTCACTCTCAGGTGCTCTGGTTGCTAACTCGTCGTCTGCCATGTTTGCTTGATGTTGTGTGTTTCGTGGATGTTTGTGGTTGGCAGCAGATGGGAGGGAGACTTTACCCCACGACCGCTGACGTCGAAGGGTCTTTGCACAGTTATGCAGCGTTTTTATGCATGTTTGCTTCCACTACGACCCTGGCTCAAACGCAGTAACATATCAGACCTTCAATCTCTTAACTATCGAGGTCAGAGAACCAGAATCACACGGTGCTGATTCGTCGATTGACCCTCTATACCGCTTGATGCGATGATCTGAACCGGAATAAGTTGTTCCAGACGAATATATGCTGAACAGTCCATATCTGGGCAAGATGTTGTATTATTCTAATGTATAGATGCACAAGTCTGCCTTGAACAATCCTCTTGAAGCATCTAGTCGGAATCACTCAGCATATCCTCGCTGCCGTCGTCACGGGCGATGTGTGTTGTCAAAGCTTCGATAGCAGCTGCACAACCGTCCTTCACTGCCTTGCGCTCCTTCTTGCCATTGGCAATTTCGGCCTTTCTGACCACCTTCTCGATGAAGTATCGTAGTCCCTGCACCATGTCCGGAACGTCTTGAGCTTTCGAGAACACTTCGTTGACAGAGAGTTCCCACTTGCTGCCCTTGGAGTNTTTCATCATCTTGACCAAGATTCTGGTTAGCAAGACTTCNNCAGTAAATGTGTTTGTCTTGGGTTGCAGGTAAGCAAAGTTGAGCGTTTTCAGAGCTGTGATGGGGAACCCGCCCTCGGTGATCAGATCTGCGTAGAAGCGAGCGAGGTTCACAATCTTGCGAGTGCTCATGTTCTCGTCCTCGTCATCATCGAAAGCATCGTCCTCATCATCCGCTGTCATTGCCTTTTCGCCCATGCGCTTGAAGATGTCCCACAATCCAAATTGGAAGGCTTTGAGCATGCGCTTCTCGCTGCAAAGCTTCTTGGCGATGAGCGTGTAGTATGGATTGTAGGTTGCTTCAGCACCTGCGCAGTGAACCAGGACGCGAGGAATTTCAAGCTCTTGGGCCTTCTTGAAACCCAGCTTCAGAAGGCGCAGATGAGCATCCTGATAATCAGAAGCTGACATGATAGTGACAAAGATGGCACGACGAATATCAGTGTTCATGCCTTGCTGACGTGCTAGTTGAATCAAATCAACACTGCCGTCATCTGCAGACACTGTCGTTGAGTCGTTCTTTGAAGCCTTGACAGCAGGCTCATTGGAAGCGTCCTCATCCTTGGATTGCTTTCCCGGATCGAGCCAACTTGCACCAACAAGCCACCATTTACCCTTCTTTTCTGTATCGCGGATATCTGCCAATCCAATACGCAGAGGCTCACTTGCCTTGAGAGATGACCTGTTGTTGAGAGAACCCAAAGTCTTCCTCATCCTTGTCGTGTGTTCCGACACAATAGCAGAAGCTACGACACCAGTCTTGACACGGTTGTTCTTAAGGTTGTTGATGGTCTCGATCATGAATTTTGTCCTTACCGACAAGTTCGCTTCTCCGATACGGGTGACTTCCTTTTGCACCAAAATGACAATGTCCTTCAATGCCGAGGGATCATCTGCGCGAAGTTGAGGTCCAGAGTTGCGGATAATCTTCAACAAAAGTTCTGTGTTCGCTTCGTTGAGCTCTTTAAGGAACAAACGAATGTAGTCAAACACAAGATTACAGCCAACAAGTTGGAAGTTGTAGAGCTCGGAAACCAGGGACATCAAGTTGGAGGTTTCCTTGCCTGCCGTAGTGCTTCCAGTGTAGTGTCTGTCAAAGTCATTGACGATGCGCTCAATGACTTGAGCACCGAAATCTGTTCCAATAACCTTGTAAAGAGCCGCCATGAAACCTGCATGGAGGATGAGGAAAGTGTCCTGTAGAGTAGTACGATCGCAAATGAGTCCAAGTAGAAGGTCAATAAGTGTTGTGGTGACGTATTGACGAGGGTTGTTCTGGTAGATTCCTTCGATGGTTTGTAGGATAGACAGCAGGTTCGCCTCAGAAAGACGGTTGAGCTGACCCTGAATTTGACGACGAAGACGTGCCAGAGCTTCAGTATCTGATGATGGAGCGCCTCGCAATGAAGGCGGAACGTACTTCTGGACTGGAGCAGCACCAGCAGGTACAGGAGCAACATAGGGATTCTCGCGCACCCTCGGTGCAGGTGCCTCCCTCTTCGCTTTCCCCATCATCTTCGTCAAAGTCTTCGAAATTTTCCTCGTCCATATTGTCACCATCGTCTCCGTCTGACATATCCTCGTCCAGTCCATCTTCGTCGTCCTCGTCCATGTCATCTTCATCGTCGTCTTCCAGTCNNCGTCAAGGTCGCCATCTTCATCGCTTTCACCTAGACCATCCATGATGTCGTCGAGACCATCGAGCTCGTCCTCATCACCGCTCATGCCCTCGTCTTCCTCTTCCTCATCATCTTCTGAAGGCTCGTCCGCGACAGCAGCAGCTTGACTGACCTTTCTCCTCTTTTGTCGCAACCAATCATCGTCATCCGAGCGTTTTCTTTTTGGACCATCATCTTCCTCATCGCCGTCCAGGCCTTCCAGTAAGTCGTCGAGTCCGTCATCTGCAAAAGCCTTTGATCTCTTTGTCGATTTGATTCCTAATTTCTTCTCGAGGGCGGCAATCTCGGCGTCATCTTGGGCTAACCTATCCTTGACAGCTCTCGAGACGCGTACAGGCGGCGGTGGTGAATCTTCGAGAGTCTTTGATTTCGGAGGGTCTTGCTNTTTGGTCGTCTTCAAGATTGACTTGGGCTTATCCTCTGTTGTAGATTGCGACTTTAGCTTGGATGCAGGTGGCGGTGCAGGTTCGTCATCGCTCTCGTCGAATTCATCTCGTTGCGGCTGAAGTTGGGGACGTCTTTGCGGTTGAGGTCTCTGTGGTGGCGGGCGAGACCTTGATTGCTGGTGGCTCTGTTTTTCTGGTTTCTCTCATTCTTGCGACGCTCCTTCCGTGTTGGTGCGTTCTTTTGTTATTGCTAGTATCACCGCCGATCTGGTCTAGCAGTGCCTTAGGTAGCTTCGGTTTAATGAATGAGTCGTTTGAACGCATGGCCGATATCTTGATCAGAAACCAAAAATGGCATGAGCATAAAATAATTATCTTGCCCGAGAGCTTGGCGGCATGTGAAAAGTGTTCCCCACATTCTCGGAAGTGTTGACAACGGTGCGCCCCAGGTACCTGCCTTGCCCTGCCTCACCAACATCCCCATCCTTGCACGGGCGGTTGGTATCTTGTAGGGATACATGATTTCACGATCCAAGTGCCGGGATCTGGCTACCACAATCTCTTTGAGATCTGTTGGAATACTCCACAATCGCGAATGCGTTAGCACTGGTTAGGCATACGGCGCGCCATGTTGCACTGTCCTGACTCTTGCACTCGAGGTCGGTGACATTGTGATGGCAATTGATTCGAGACGATCAGGGATCATGGTATTCTCTGCCATCTTTCAACAGATACTGTTGGTGGCCTTGCGAGAGGCTGACACAACCTCGCCGACCACCAGTGTTTCCAAGGCCTGAAGGATTCAGGGACCCACAACCACAACCAACAAGCTTGAAGGAATATCGATGCAATGCCTGCTTAGCCTCCACAAAACCAGTGCAGAACGAACGGCATACCTCCAGGGTAGGTGTTGGTGTCTATGACCTGTGTTGCACTATGAGAGCGCGAAGGATGAGGGTCGGCGACCATAGACCCCCTCTCATCTGGCGTACATGGTGCAGCGCAGAGCATACCAGATCTGTGAGTTGCTCCTGGTATAAAAGTACCATCGACGACACTCTTCATATCTTCTTATCATCACACAACTTCCGCAACATCACTACACCGGGAAACCCGTTACCACTGATCATCATTCATCTCCTTCCCTTGCCATATCTGCCTTGATAATGAGTTTCAAAGCGAAGTCCATGAGCCTTGTTACTCTCTCCGCTCTCCTCTTCTCGAGCGAAGTCGCTGCATATGCCCAGATCAAGCTTTATTCCGATGGCCAGTGTCAAAACGCTATCGAGNNGGGGGCTACCTGGGGTTCTGATGTCGGACTCGAGAACCAGCTCAACTATCTCGAGATCACCAATGGTGTCAGAGACGGCCAGGACTTCTCCAACCCTGTCTCAGACCCAGTCTTCCCAGGTACCGCCAATGCCACAGGTGGCGGCTCGGTCGTGTATTTTGATGTTCCTGAGCCAGACAACACTTGTGCGTATGTCATCATGACCGACTACCCAGTCAACAAACAGTACGGCGACAACCCTTTGCCTGGCCAGGCAATTATCTGGGCCTCCAAGGCCGGATGCTATTATGCAGAGGTCCAGACTCACGCTTCGCTCTTCACGACTTATTGTTGCGGAAGCGGTGATTGCTCCACCATCGATCTCGGACAGACCTCCATACTCCCCAACAAGCGAGATCTCTCTAGCACCCCGGCCCCCAAGACTAAACGCACAGCCTCTTCTCTCACCGGTTTGGCCGCTACTGCTAAGCTCAGAGCTCGTGATGATAGTTGTAAACTTTACAACGCAGACGGCAGTGACTATGTCGCTACCGCTAGCAACCAATACACCAAGGTCGGACGCCAACAGGCGATCAGCGGAGTCGAGTACTGCTCGAACGCTCCATGCTCGATCTCCGAGTCAGGTACCGTTGATACTACGACAACGCTGACCTCGTCCTCCTCTACAAGCATCGATGTCGATACTGGCTTCAGTGTGAGCGTCAAGGCGGGTACCAACTTTATCGTCGAGGCCGAAGTGAGCGCTGAGGTCTCTACCTCGGTTACCAAGACCTGGGAGACGGCCACAGGCAAGGATGTCAGCAATGGCACCAGCCAGAGCGTCACACATGAACTCAGCATCGTACAGGGACAGAGTGCTTTCTTGACCTTCACGCCCACCTACGTTTGCCATCAGGCTTATATGGCTTGCAATGGGCAGCCAATGTCTAGTGAGCCTTTGGAGTACTGCACTGTGCCTAATGACGAGAGCATCAAAAGCAACGGTTATTTCTCAGCCGTCTATTGCTAAGTCGCAGGCTGTATGGTTAGAGTCATAGGTGCGAGCTGGAGACGGATGATACGTGAGAGAGAGTTGTGTATGGGAGGTTGATATGTTGGCTGTTGTTGGCTGGACATTATCTGCTTGCAAACTTGAGGCCTGCATAGCACAGATTAGGTAGTCCTTACATTGATTTTTATTCGAGTTTATGTGTCAGGATAAAATTTATCCGTGTCAGTATAAGTGTACTTTGAGCGCACCGGCTCGACTTGACCGACGGATAAGAAAAGGCGATTGGTCGGTAGCGACTTCCCCATTCACATCGCTGCCCGCAACGACGCCTGACAAGTGCTGTGTGCTGCTCCATCATCTTCTATACCACACCCACAACCATGTCGTCACATCTCAGCAACGATGAGGTACGGTCGCATGACAACTCAGTGATACGCAAACTAACATTGGCCTAGTTCTTCACCAAATTGGTGTCTCTTCTCGAGACGCGCCAGCANAAAGGTCACGGCAGCATCTGGCTGACACAGAAGCGACGTACGCAAACAATCCTCTCGTGCTCCCCTTCGGCGCTGACCCATTACAANGTGACTCTCGACGGTCCCTCCGCCTCCAAACCCATCGATTCTCCTCTTGCCGATCTGGAACGTCCGTTAGCACCTCTACCCATTCTCATTCGCGCGACAGACGGCAACTCGCAAACAAAGGATCGCAAGAAGTCGGAAAAGATCAAGCTCAGCACAGTTGTACAACCCGATGATCTGGAAGCTTTCTACACCCGCTACGCAGAAGTTTGCAAGCAGGGCATGCAGGCCTTGAAGAAGAGAGATCGCAGCAAGAGAAAGAAGCAGAAGCAGGGCAAGAAGAAGGCTCAAGAGGACAAGAAATGAGCCAGCACACATCTTGTTGGATGTTAACGAGTAACGACGCCTGTCAAACATGAAGGAAAAGCCGCGCCGTCTATGGGCTGCATGATCCATGGGAGATGCACTGCTTGCAGTCCCGATGTAGCCAACATGACTGATGGTGTGCTTGCTGTCGAGACTCGCATTGTAAGCTTTCGACCAGAAGATTGCTGGAAGCGAGGTCGACCGGGACAGTCACAAACGAACAAGACGCACGAACGTTTGTATGCTAAGGGTCACTGGAAGTACGGCCTGTTTGCCACAAAAGGATGAAATAATCTCCAAAACTACAGTTCAATATCTGCTTCGGTGCACAACTTGTTCCTTTTCACCAGTCCTTTCGTAACAAATTCTCACAGCGCCAAAAGCACGATTCTGGCATTTGATGTTTCTCTTCCGCCTGCTTCTACCAGATTTTAAAAAGCTCACTCGCTACGTAAGGCCTCACTTTTCTGTGCAGAGCCCCTCTCAGGATCCCTTGAATGAACAAAAACTTCCTCTTCTTTCATACTCTAGGAACGTCTAACCTCTTATCATAATCTTGCTTTCCCTCTTGTTCTGCAACACGCGAGTTTCTCGAGTCAGAAACGGCAACGCACACGAGACACCTGCAGCCAACACCAACTGCTACACCCATCAGTAAGCTTCGACACGCTCGCAACTGTATCATGACTGATAAAATCACCGCAGACATGACAAAATCACCTCATCAGGAGCTTGCTTGTAAGGCAGCTCTACCCGCCACACCAACCGGTTGGACCCCAGTGCTGTACGATCTAGAGTCTATCGAAGGGCAGAGTATCGTCGCCGCTGTCAAGAAGGATGCCAAACTGGCGGCCGAGAACTTGTTCATCGCCGACATGAACGGACGTCTTCTCGAGAAGCTGGTCGAAATGAAGGGTGACAGCTTTGTGTTCGAGCATAGCTACGTCAATATCAAAGAACTTCCTGGCCTCATCTTGGATATCTTCGAATGGACAGAGCACAAAGTCAAGTGCGCAGGGATGAATGCGGCTGGGATGAAGCGCATCACTTCCGCTGCTCGCATCTGCTCCGCTATCCGCATTTGCTGCCTTCAAATCAAGTTGGAAAAGTTCTCTGAAGAAACCGCTTAACAGTAGACAAGATCGGTGAGCATACACAGAGCAAGACTTGATGATCTACATGATGTGCTGACGGATTTGAAAAGCATCGCACTGCCCCTTCACAAGCCGTGGCAGACAGTTGTGACTAGAGATGAACAAGACAGGAAGGAGGTCATGAGGGGTCTGAGCCAAAAGAATGAGAGCAACTGAAAGCCGACTCAATCGACCCCACACTCTTTCAATCAAGCACGACGATCTGAGCTTGAATTCTTCATCAGCTGGCACCACCAAACACAGTCAAGGCAAGAAACGGGAAGCTGTCCGGGGATCCGTCCACAGACACGTGCTTTACTCGAGTATATCAATCACCCCCTCAAAATCAAACTCAATTGACCCACTCAGTGTGACCTCTATCATCATGTAATTATTGACCGTTGCGCTTTTTCTCCTACGCTTCCACAACCGCGACATCTCTAATCTTGCGCTTCTCAGTACACTCATACGCTGAAAAACACGCAACATTCTATTGGAGGTTGTTACGCAATGATCGGTAGCTCTTGGGCTCAGAGGGGTATGTCTATCCACCTCGACGCTTTGCCTCAAGAACTACTCTATGTGTACAAACTCAAGGTCTTGCTGGAGCATACAACGCCCTTGTCGATCCAGAGCGAGTTTGCTCAGAAGACATGTCATAAGGCCTGCCAGACCGGCGTGAGCAACCGGAGGAGACGAGTAGGAGGACAAGAACATAACAACTCTAGCATTCACACTTTTGTTGTTGTCACAGCTGACCCCTTAGGAGAACCTCAGAACCGGTCTCGTGTCGTCTCGTCCCCTTGGGTGACGACGAAAGATGCTTCGACATCTCCACTTGGACTCATAGGGGCTTTCGCTTTGTCCATCGTCGGACCACCAGCCCAGAGGTCCTTGGAACGGAACGGAAATAACCATTTGCTTATGATGCAGCTGGCATATAAAGCCCCAATCGCCCCGACATATCTTGCCTCATTCTTTGAAGACAATCCTTCTCTAACCACTCCTCTCCCGCCACAAAATCACAAATCATCCACAATGGGCCTTGCAGCTATCTTAGAAATTGTCAACGTTTTCTGTCTGGCCACCAAAATAATTGACTGGCCCAACCCCCTATGTACCTACGGTACTGATGATTCAATGTCGATTGAGACAGATGATCCTTCCCAAGCACTCAAGAACCGCCTCGAGACAATGCCAGACAATTTGGGCATCGTAATTCCAGACGGCCCCATTGGACAACTCCAAGCTGAAGGCATCATGTCCACAGCAATCTCTGCCATGAAATCCCAGGCAACTGTTGGACCGGACGCCATGTCTCAGGATGAACTCGCCGAATACCTGGCTCGATTGGCGGCCCCGGAGCCCACCACGATGCTGACCGTCGCGGCCAGCCTTCCTACCAAGCGCGCAGAACCCGAAGTGCTTTCTGAATCTGAGCACAGTTCTGAACAAGAACTAAAGAAGACTGCAGGCGAAGTTCAGAGAGCGGGCATTTTCTGCATACCAACTCCGTTTTGGCCGATCTGCCTTTAAGAAGCTCGCACAGGCAACGCAGTCGCCTTCATGATCGTAAGTAGCCCACTATAGCTATCCCAAGCCATGAGTGCTAATCTTGCTAAGCTCATGGAGATGAAAAGTGACCATCTATTCATGATTCTGCGCCGGTTGCAGTTCGTGAACGTTTTTCAGAAAAAAGCAGCTCAACCTGCACACGTTTTGGCAACAAGAAAGTCGATGTTGATTTGAGGCAAGAGCTAGGTATTCTGTTTTGTCGTTCTGATGTGCTTTTCTCGTTGACATACTGTCCTTACCATGACCGGTTTCATAATGTACCTGCTTTATTGTATAGTTTTAACAATGGTAACGTTTGTTTGTATTTCACGTATACCTCTCTTCTTTTCTTCTATCTCGTAACTCGAGTCTCATTGCCCGCGTTTGGCTCCCATCCCATTCACAAGGTATAAGGGTGTTACAAGCTATCAAAATGCACAGTAGCTTTCTGAACATCAGGTTGACCATTGAAATCGATCGAAACAAGGCTCTCTCTGTGGCAACCACGTTCTCCACGTCAGTATTGTGCATTTCGATAGCCACATCATGACGGTGTCTGGCACGCGGAGAGATACCAAGCACGACAATCCAAGCTTGGTGTGAGCAAAGGGAGTCTTCAATGACTGGATGGGAGATACGGAAACATCCGGGGATGTAACATTCAACTACGTGTTGGCCCAGTGGTAGTAGATACAAGGTTTGCTGACACTCTTTCTTATATTTTGTGACTTGTTTGCTGAACACTGTTGATGCGTTGTCATCAAGCATCTCCATCAAGCTATATTCATCAAGGCTTTATCAAAAGCAACATACTCCCACAAGTTTACACCCGGAATCACAGACCTACTACTACCACGACAAGTTTTTCAACAACTCACACAGACCTTCACAAAACAAGATCTTGATCACAGTATCACAATGCGTACTTTTAAAACCCACACCTACCTCAGAACGACTCAACACCGACCAACAAAAGAAATAACCACCATCCACTCAAACACCAGAACCATCACCATGTCAGGCAGCAGAAACTACTCCAATCCACGTTGGGAATCTCAAAACACCTTCCGCACCATCGTCTCTGTAGAAGAACAAGAGCGAGCAAGAAGGCATGGGCGTGAAGTGCCCTTTCTGGAAGGCAAACTCGAGATGCTGAACAGACATCTCCTGGACACAAACCATCAGCTCAGAGTCAAGCTTGATGAATTGGCTGCTGTGCAGCGTCGGTATGAGGAATTGAATAGGGCTCATACCAATCTTATCACCACGCACAGGAGGGTTGCAAGGAAGAATGGGGAACTGCTGCAGGAGAATGACATGTTGAGGGCTCTGCACAGNGGAGGTCGTCGTTGAATCGTGTCTGACAGGGTGAGACACGATCAAACAAGAGCTTGAGGACTGGGAGACACATGTCAGCCGCATGATATCACAAGTGTGGAAGACGGAAGGTATCATGCATCTCTGGCGAATGGAGGCATAGGATTTGTATGCAATTCAGGAAAGAGCGAGTATGCTTGTAGTTGCCAATCGCGAAGTTTCAGGGGCAAGATGCAGGAAGCCGTCATCAAATGATTTTTTCTGTTCTTTCCATCTTGAATTCGCTCACAAAATCAGCAACGAGTGAAGGAAGCCTATTACGCGTGATCGGCTTGACAAGAAGCTGTGCAAGTCACTGGATAATTTCCAACAACTTTCATCCTGGTCTTGTAAGCTAGACTTCGCTCACTCTGTTACCCGCATGGATCTACACCCATCACAAAACCAACCAACAGCATCACATCTCAAGCTATACAACTACATCCTCAGGATCAACACTGTACGCGCCATTCAAATCACGGAGTTCCCTTTCGGGCGCAATGGACGAAGAAACTGCCAAAGAGATTCGCGGACTCCAGGATCAGTTGAGTTCCCTCCTCTCTCGCAAGCGCAAGAGGGACAATGATGCTCTAGAAGATGAGGTCAAGCACCTCAAACAGCGTCTGACAAATTCACTCAAGAGATGTCAAGACGCAAACGCCAAAAGCGCACAGCTCTCAAAGAAAAACAAAGAGCTCGAGATCGAGAACGAGCTACTTGAAAAGTCAACCAAGGATCAAGCACATTCTATCAGCCGTCTAAGTCTCGAAATCGACGAGCTGAGCTGGAGCAAGAGAACAACAGACTCAAGGCCAAATTGGAGAGATTCGAGAAACAAGAGGCTACCACGAAGAATGCTATCTCGGCTATGAAGGAATTTGCTCTGGCTCTCGAAGCTGTATCTGAAATCGATATCGAGACTCTTCCCTGTAAGTCAGCACCTCAACGATCTTTAAATGTAGATAGAAAGATCAATTGATTAGCTGACAACATTACAAGAAGAAATCATACACACTAGCACAACAGAAGGTGCTCCATCGTAAAGAAATTGTCGAGAGTTGGGAGACACAAGCGAAAGGGGAAACAAAAGGCGCAGCTGGTTGTGAGGACGAGGTGATGGAATCAAGATAGTCCTATTGCTTTTATTGGTGTTCACTTGTCACCAATATTTCACTCGGGTTGGCGTCAGTGTCGGCCACGATCTCGCTTGATTATCCGTCAATATTCCACACCTCAAACTTCAATAAGAAGTCACTCTTCTCTCGTTTCTTTGTGCTCACGCGAACAAACACTAAAAACATATCTACATCAAGAACCACCCATCATGGTTACGCCCGCCGACATGATCAGAGAACTTGCTCTCACCAACAAGCGCCTTGTCAAGAAGGTCGAAGCTATTCAGCTCGACAACCACAACCTCAGAGTCACCAACGACATGCTCAAGAACAAGGCCGCTACCGACCAAGCCGTCATGAACGCCGCCGTCACCATCAAGAATCTCGAGGCTTACAACCAAACCCTTGAGAACGAGAACCTGCACCTCAGAGAACAGCTTGAGCACTGTGCCGAGAAGAAGAAGATTGACCAGAAGTTGGAGATCTTGCGAAATGAGGTTGAGGCCATCGATGAGGAGCTCGCTAAGCGTGTGGCGGAGATGAACATCATGCAGGAACTGGGCGACAAGATGAACTTGTTGAAGCAGCTTAGTGGTCAGGAAGATGGCCAGAAGGAGAACGAGTCGGATTCCGACGACGTCTTCAAGGAGCGCACTAAGAAAGCCAACGAGTGATTCAGGAGTAAGTTTTTCAAACACTCGCATATCGACAATGTCTAACGTCGAGATTCCAGTACTGTATACAACAACTCCTCTGAGCATCTGAAGACTTTTTCGGCTGTTGCTGTGACAGAACGACGTCCTGGTGTTCTGTTGAGGAAGTTTTCGCAGTGCTCGCATGAGGAGTAAGGAACGCACTTGCATTAAATAGTCACAATTGGCAAGCACCTTCAGTAGAGAATGCACCAAGTACCCAATATCCAGTCCACGCGAATAAACATAATTCATAAGCAAAAAGAAGTTGTCGAATCGATGCTTCGTCATCCCTGATTCGAACCCTGGTCATCCAGAGTTGAGATCCTTATGACCATTTGTTCCTGTAAGATTGATTTTATTTTTGTAATCGGTTGAGTGGTGTAACGGCTTACACTCCTGATTGGTAATAAAACCATTCGATCCTCGCCTTCGACTCTCACCTTGTACGTCTTAAATCATGCATACAGCCAGATGTCCGTCATCTGGTGACTAAGATCAAGCGACGCAGAGATTGGTTTTCCCATAAGAGCTCAGCTCTGGTTTTTTGCTCTTTGTTATAGTCACCGTTATGAGTCTTGCTATGTTGTGCTCGTTTGCTTTTGACCGAACCGCTTTGTCTCCCAATCGCATATTCAAATATTCCGTCCTCGCTACGGCAACAGCGAACGACACAAACGCATCATCTTTTGTTTCTTCAACCCCCAACGCTTCTTGATTCACCAAGCTGCAAGTTTGTCTGCAGTCTTTGCAACTGCAATGGCTTCGCGTATCAACCTGCTCACGCGTTTCTTGAAGAAGGCAATCACCCAGAATCGCACTCCAGGAACCACCTCATTGACTGTCACGTCCGGAACTGTTCAAAAGCTCAAGAGGGCCGCAGAAGAGAACGAGGACCTACTCGCTGAGAATAAGAAGCTGCTTGTTGACAACGAGAACCTTCGCGTCAGAAACTACGAACTCAAGAGAGAAGTAGAAGGGGCTTACAGACAGCTCTGGAGTCAGGAGATTGAGGGCGGTTGGCACAAACGACCTTGATTGTGCGTTTGCTTTGAGCTCTCACTCCTTTGTTTGGTCTAAACAGCACTGACATCTAGTACTTTCCAGACAAATCTTCTCGTGCCGCCGCAATAAATAAAGACACAACATTTGCACTTCAGTCAAGATCTCCGATCTCCTTTCCAAGACACCCCTTCAATAGCCACGCTCATCTCTTCCACCTTCTGAACCAACATCCGGAAAGACAAGCACGTCTCTTGCCTTCACCATGGAAGCTGCCGCAGAAACACAGAACGACCTGATCAACCTACTCAACGAGAAAAACGTCGCTCTCACTNNGGAAACCAAGGCCGAAGCAGCTCAGAGTGCTGGTGCTGTCAACAAGATCATCGAAGAGAACCTTCAACTCAAGTCTGAAAATGAGCGTCTTCAAGCCGAGATCAAGGAACTCAGAATCAAGCTGTTTGACGCAACTCAACAAGAACGCAAGATGAATGCTGGACGCCTGCACGATGTTCTCAAGGTTCTTTGATCATCTCACAAGATTCTGGATCGCGCTCATAAAGAAAAGTCATGAACAAAGTTGGTACGACGAGGAAACATTATTGCTCGACCTCATATGGCAGAATTCAGGGGTAAGCCAGCCCTGACGAAACATGAGCGTGAGCCTGAAGACTGACATACTATAAATGCAGAAGCCAGGAACGATGAGACCTACTCTCTGAGTATCTCAGACGCTCCCTAAACGGTATTCGTTGCTCTTTCGTTGGCAATTCTAGCACAAGATCAAGAAGAAAAGTTCAGAGATCCTTCAACAACTACCCCTGCTTTTAGCTAGCGTTTCTAGAATTGCATTCTCTTACCCTCTTCTTCAACTGTCCACATTATGAACTATAACTTTTGTATTGAGATTGTATGTATTCCAGATGATGATTGCATGTATGGTGTCACAGGGTGTGGTCGGGTGATTTTGCCATCTTACGAAGTGAATCGGAAGATGTTGCTTTCCTCAGTTAGTCGAACCAAGTATCACTAATATAGAACTTCCGGATTCGTTGCACGCCTGATACCTAATGCACCTCCAAGATTATACAGAGACATGACATCTCTGAGAGGAGTAGAATTGATTACAGGAGGCTAGCTGCTGGATATCTGCTCGCTGAAAGTGATATAACATAGAAACGTTTGTGAAGGTTCGAGAACGGTAACTCAAAAACCATGACACTTCGGTTCAGAATAAAAACACTGCAGATACAGAATTTGTGGACAAGAGGCAAAACGTGACAGCGGCCAATACGAGGGTCGGACTCACATCCGACAGAAGTACGAGGCAATGGTTCCTACTTCTCCCAGCTGCAAACACTACCGGTTGTATGCTCAGTCAAACATGCTGATGTGCATCAATGATCAAGTGAACTGAAGGAGAAGAGATCTTCGTAGCCAAAGTAGTCTGATTGAAGAGTTGAGACGAATCTTCACTATTTCCGTGCATGGCACTCAGACTCAGTTCTATCCCAGTTGCTCCTTCCGTTTGTTGTATCTTTTCACTTTATTTTTTTCAAGAGTGTGTCAAGTCTCGAGGAATGCGCGTACTTTACTCAACTGCGACTCAGTGATCGACCACTAGTATTGACCTCTCGCACTTTCCTACTTCTCGAACAAGTCCCGTCACACGCCTCCGAGCACATTTACCAACTGCATTGATCAACAAGCGCCAGCGCCAACAAACTACTCGTGACCTACTTGAGTATGGCATATGCTGCCGTAGCACGTCTGGTACGTACAATCTCACCCGATTCGAGTACGATCCAACTATTGGCCTGCGGTGCTAATGGAAGTCTAGCAACACGAGGTTTTCGTCCTCAACCAAAGCAAACAGCAGCAACTCCAAACCATCCAATCGTTGGAGAGGAAGAACGAAACACAGAAAGCCACTATTGAGCAAAACGTCAAGACGATCAACGAACAACACACACAGATCAAGGAACAACACACACAGATCAAGAAGCTGGAGAAGAGAATTGCACAGATGAAGGGCTCTGAGAAGATCCAGGAAGAGATCCTTGCTCTCAAGGCTAAGCGTGCCGATGCCGAGAAGAAGATCGAAAGAGAAATCGCTACACTCAAAGCCAAACACACAGAGGTTGGTGTAGAGACCGACAAGGAACTTCAGGAGCGTGAGAGAGAGCTTGAGATGGTCGAAGACATCAAAGAGCAAGGCCGTTGAGGGTGGCTCGACATCTTCCAGTTCTGTTCCAATGATCATGCATATCGGAGGATTTCCGTTTCGACTTCATTAAGTGAAGCTTCACTTTCTTACCTACCTCATTTTCACAATGTCGAGGGCACGCATTATGGTTTCTAGTTTCAGTTCACTCTCTTGTCGCTCTCACACTCAAATAATGAGCAAAAACTCTGCTTCTCTTCGCTACTTCTTGAATTCAACTTCGTCCATCTTCATCGTCAGGGCAACCTCTGTCATCTTATACCAAATTTATCATCTTATCAGAGAGCTCGCGCCACCAATCATACTCCACACCACGCAACCATGTACTTCACCGACGAGCAACTCGAGAACGACCCAGAGTTGCGTCCCAGAACCTGGCGCTCAGACACCGCCTTCCAACAAGAGCGTCTCGTTCTCTTCAACCGCCTGGCCGACATCTTGCACTCCCAAGCCGATGTCCCACCTCCTGCATCCGACGAACCATCTCCGGCCTCACCAACTTCAACAACCGTCGCTGTCGATCCCGACAAGACTCCTCGTTCTACTTCATCCATCTTCTCTTCGACTCTGGCGTCCAGCATCACCTCGCCCACTCGCTCAGTCTCCTTCTTCTCACTGCCCTTTGGCTCTTCTTCTCGTCTCTCGGTTGCTGGATCTGGTCCTGTGCCTCACACACCCATCGTCTTCAACTCGCCCCAAACCAGCACTTTCAGCTTCGAGACTGCCAATCCTAGTCCTGTGAAAGTCGACTCGGTGATGGGCAGCCCTATCAAATTCCGCAGCCCCAGCATCTTCAGTCGCAAGCACAAGAAGAACCACAGCGCTTCCAGTATCACCAGAACCACTAGTACCACTAGTTCCATCAGTATCAAGGAAGGAAAGATCTTCGATTACATCAAAGCTGCAACCATCAAGAAGAGTGCCAAAAAGGCTGGAAGCAACAAGAGCAACGCCTCTGACGACAACAAGAGTATCGACACAGACAAATCAAACGACGAAAGCACTGTCAAGGATTTTGACAAAGTCGACAGCAACAGTGGTTTGGACAGTAAGGGCAAGGAGTATGTTGTCGAGTGTCTTGGTTTCGGGGATATTGGTGATCCTCAGCCTATTGAGCATCAGTATCGCTTCGTCAAGGCTCAGATCAAAAAAATCAAAGAAAGGGTTCTTGGTCAGAAGGTTACAACGACCAAGTCGTGAGGGGACGCTCGGTGACTTCGGATGATCGCCTTTCGGACATGGTAGCTAGGATGTCTGGTGGACCCGAAGACAGTAAGAACGACCGATAGCTAGGGAACGCGAGAGAAAAGAAAAAGGAAAATGGAGAGGAAAGGGGTGGTTAAGTGGTGAACTGACAGTACATCTGTCCATATTTCTTTGCTCGTACCTGTATCTGCTTTGCTTCTGTTCTCTACTTACAATAATCACAACCATCAAAGCAAATTGCCTGTCCTTGAACACCCACCTTATCCCATGCCATGGATCCTATCGCTTCATAAACCAGTCCCGGGTATTCTCACCAACCGATGCTCCGTAAGCAGAAACTCCAGCAATGCATAACTCCCAACAACTTCCGCATGTCTTCCATCACCTCTTTCCGAATCTACCTCTGCCGTTAGCTTTCGAGTTCTTGTTCTTGATGTTGAGCTTTCTGAAGTTGGCGTGTGCAGTGGCGCTGATCTTCTTGGCTGTCTTTTTGACAATGCCATCGCTCTTGGAGCTCTTTGAAGCATTGTCTTTATCCGTAGTTGTAGTCTTTGTTAGTTGTCGTTTACGCTTGGCTTCTGTATCACTGTATGCTGCATCTGAATCTGCGTCGGAGTCGATATCATTCAGTGCAGCAGGAAGCTGTGTTTCAGCGACATTGCCTTCGTTGTCAGAAGTCGGTTCGGGATGATCTCCTTGAGCTGGAGCTTTGGGTTTTGGTGCAGGTCGCANCTAAGAATGATTAGTATGGTTCATTTTATTGCGTTTTAGGCCGGACTTACTGATGACACGCTTTGTCTGGCGCTTCAAGCCCTTCTTCTTCCACGGCTTTCGGAAGACGCCGTTGTTCTGCTCTTCCTCTTCTGATTCTTCGCTCTCGATCGCTTGATCAGGACCCAGTGGCATAGCAACTTGACTGTCTTCGACTTGAACAGCAGGCTTGACTGGTTCATGATCGTCATCACCGTTCTCCATCTCGCGCATCATCTCCAGCTCTTCATCGAGCTTATCGTCCTCCTGTTTTCGTAGACCTTGGATAATGCTGCTTAGACTTCTAACAATACCACGCTTCTTGAAGGGTGGTTGCCGCATTCTGCCGATGTTCATACTCTTCATCTCGTGATCGTTTTCGGCTTCCTCGACCAGAGTGTTCATTATGAGCATGTTGGATGTCCTACGCAAGAAGGCGGGTGTCGAGAGACCCTTCGCACTCGATGGCGTAGCGTGAGTGGGCTCATCATCCTCACGCTTTCTCTTTAGAGGTGTGGTCGAGACGAACGAGTCGAGTAAGAAGCGCTTGCTACTTGATGCAGGAGTGCGGTCATGTACGTTCTCAGGTGGCGACTCGTTATTGCCGAAGAGAGGTTGTGATGGTTTACTCGGTGTAAAGTTTGCATTCGCTTCTATGGATGCGAGAGCGGTTCGAGATGCCTTGGATGCAGTTGACGACAGGTCGTCAAAGAGACTCAGAATATGGCCGTCCTTTTGTGGTGTGGGGCCTAGGTGCATTCGTACAGCGGCAGGCGTGGGTTCCAACTCTACTTCCTCCTCTTGTAATGACGGGATGCTCGGGACAAGGAATTGCGAGTTGGGCTTTTGTGGTGTTGCTGCTACTGGGCCAGCTTTCTTAGGGGTTGCATGAAGTGGCTTTGCAGGTTTCGTCGATTCGTTCTGCTTTGTCGGAGGCCGCTTTAGCCTATCATACTCTCTGTACTTTGCAGCTGTCATCAACAATCAGTACAACCTCTTGGACACGAGGTCTCGTGCTTGCATACCAATCTCGACATTGTTCCTAATGTCATCACGACTCGGTCTTTTCCCACCGTGTTGCACAGAAAACTGTTTTTCCCATGTTTTCAACTCTACACGCAGAGTTTGCATCCGCTCTTCCGACATTGTTTGGCATACATGTGTTGTGTGGACTTTGCAACAAAGGAGGCTCAAAGAAACCTCGGAAGTCGCGACTCGGACGCGCTTGTCTCGCGAATTTGGTGAGGTTTTGATGACGTGCATCAATTTCGGCAACCGCTTCCTTCTACTTTATCTATCAACAACAAACTGCAACTGTATTTTACTGAGGATCCGATGCCGAGCTGTTGTACTTAGTGGGAGGACTGACCCTCATGCCATTCTTTGGTGATTTCGAACCACCGCGTGATGCTGGAGCGATCGCGCAATCTCAGCCCCGAAGCTTGCAAAGCACGAGTGCGCTTCAATTCCGAGGGCTTTTGTAAGCTAGTATTGTGTCGGTCGACTTGAACGGCATTTTTGTTCGTACGTACATATATAGGTAACAAATTACCTTTGTCTTGATTGTACACTTTTGATACTGTGTCATTCGTGGATTATTCAGCTACCCAATTGCATCTCTCGCCTTTTGACCTCACCCAGCGATCCTCCCTCATCCTATTACTACCATGGCTGATCCATCGATCTACACATATCCATCTCCTCTGGAAGGTTATGAGAACCTCCCATCTCTTCCAGAGTATGTCTCATTTGTACTGCGCAGCATACTTGTTTCGATAAATATGGTCTTAATTACAGTGATCTAACAATGGCACAGCGAAAAGAACGCAGATGGCAAGTCTTATGTGAACCCACCAGCAACCAGACCCAGCCCAGCATACGAATCTTTTGTCTCGCCTATCACAAATGACGAGCGCGGCGGTTTTGATGTCCACATATACTTCCAGCAAAACATAGAATCTGAGGTCAAGTTTGCGACCGAATTGTGGGAGCGCATTCGAAGAGAATGTAAGTAAACTCTTCCCTTTGAGGTTGAGACTCGTGGGCTGATGTTTTCTTCCACAGTCCCTGAGCTGCGTGTTTACAGACTATGGGACAAGCCAGTTGGCCCGCATCCCATTGCCATGTTCGAAGTCAACTTGTTTACGCCAGCTCAATTTGGTGCCTTCATCCCATGGCTGGTTATCAATCGTGGGCCCTTGTCAGCACTGTTGCATCCAAACACTGGCGACGATATTCGAGACCACACGCAACGTGCTACTTGGCTTGGGCAGCCTTTCCCACTTCAGGTTGGTCTGCTCAGGAAGATGCTGCAGAAGAGAGCTGAAGAGGCTCAAAACGGCCAGAAGACGAATTAAATATACATACAATACGGTATTTTGTGCCTTTTCAGAAGAGAAATGTGCATCAGATCTCTGGTCTAGAATATGATGCCAGGAGCTGAGAACCCATTCCAGCCCATCTGTTGCTGCTGTCCTTGAACAAAATTTGGATCAAAGTGACCGTATGCTGGTTCACCAGAGACGTCATCCAAGCTTTCGTAGCTATCCATCATGTTGCCGTTATTATTTGTCGCAAAATCGCCAACTGCGTGTAGGTCTAGCCAAGAGAAAGTAAAGGCATTCGTGTAGGCTCCTTGCGGTGTCTGGTCAATATTCATCTGGGTCTGTTGCTCGGGTTGAACAGCAACCTGTGCATTTTGTGACGTCGGTTGGTACACTGTCTCGTCTCCACTCGAAAGCGAAGTGGTAGGTTGTGGTGGAGGCTTCCGCCAGAGTAGTCGCAACATCCTGCTGTATCGATCCCCGACGTCGTTCTGGCAGGAGCTTGCCTTCTGTAGTCTTTCAACAGCTTCTCCCACGGTTCTCTTTACGTCTCCGCCGTCCGCGCCGAGAACTCCAGTTGATCTTGCTTTGTACAAAAAGACAGCCGAGTAGATGACATAAAGATAGTACCGTAGGGGCATATATCTGAACTCTGTCGTAGGATCTAGTAGTGTGTTGGAGATGGTCAGTAACTTTTTGGCAGAATCGATTGAGTCGTAGATGAACCGTGCATCTGGTGTTGCAGCGATGAAGTCCGTGAATGCCACTCGTCCATTAGAACGTTGAGGGCCTCGTGAAGATTGTTCATCACTATATTCTTGCGCCATACGAGTCAGAGTTGCTTGGTATGCGAAAGCATTGACGTAGAGTCGAAGGTATTCAAAGGAGATGATGAGTGCAGCCTTAATGACCGAGGTNNGCCTGGGCTATTCGTTAGTCGTGATCTTGCTAAAAGGACGCGAAGATTACTTACATGATAACTTGCCCCACCGGTCATACCAAGCGCTCATGGCCTCGCGGAAGTCATNCCTATTGCGTGGTTAATCTCGTGACTGTAGATTTGTTCTTGACATGCTTACAATGTACTTGACATATTCTCCACCAAAATTTAGTTGTGCACTTCTGTTTTTCGATGAGTACAACACATCGTGAGCGTTACTGAAGAGCTGGGTAAGCTCCAAGTGTGCTTCGCAGAGAGCTGCAAAGTTGTCCGTAGGGTTACCCGGATATCTGACGTCCTGGAAGTCTCGAGAAGAGAATTTGATCATAGCAGGACCCCTGCTCCAGAAGGCTTTACCAACGCGGACGGAAATATGGCGATCGCTCATGTAACATCCAACCCAAGCAAGACGTCTTCGAATATAGTCGGGTGCTTCAGGGTCCGACTCGTTCACAAAGCCTGTCCGATCAATACCCAGGAGATAGCCCATTCGAATGGCCATACCTGAAAGCATCCATGCGGTCTGCTCCTCTTCTCCTCGGCCGACTGCAGCCATTGATTGTGGAGGCCGCGGAACCCATTCAGCCAAGACTAACAGCGCCTCTACGGCTCCCAGAGTGGCGATTCCGCCATACATGAGTTCCGCAATGAGCTGCTGCATGTGAGTAGAGCAAGCCTCATGGGTGTCCCACCAGGCTGGCTCGTCCTTCGAAGCAATGGTGCATACAGCTGCTAGGAGATATGGTTCGTGCACAGAACTGGCCGCAAGGTTCTCAGCCTCGAAAAGAAAAGGCGGTACAACCGAGTAGAATTGGTGATACTTCATTTTGTACCNTAGCGAATCTGATAAGTACGGATCTCAAAATGCCTCACAACCACTATCATACCGTTCTATAAGTGTCTGCATCATACCTAAGGACACATGGCCTTTCTGGTACGGTGGAAACTGTATTTGCATGACTGAAGGTGAGGGATGGTTAGATGAGGGTGTTCCATCCGGTGCGTGCTGTTCTGCGCCGCTTTGATGTGGAGATCTCGCATACATGGAACCATGCGCGGAGGGCGTTTGTGCGGGTCCTTCGTTACGACCGGCCACGTTAGCTAGAAACTCAAGGGCATCGGATGGATTCTGTAAATTGGTGGATACAATGCTTTCGTCGACAGTCATTTTCGTGCTAGGATGAGAGGTTGGTGCCTCTGGGACTGATGCTGGTGTGCTCCTCGGCCCTGGCGTATATTGCGGCCAAGATGGCAATCGTCTGTGATAGTTCTCTTCCCTTTCTTCGCGAATACTATCCTGTTGCACCTGAGGAGGAGGAGGAGGAGGTTGCACAATGTCTTCACTTGAAGAAGCATTGCGAGAGGCTTCATTCTCTGGCTGTTCCGACTCTGTAGCACTGCGTTTGATTCTTCTGCCTCCACGATGGGATGGTCCCAGAATGCATTCGTGGTTTTCTCGAATACATCGCTCGCAAGGTGGCTTTCCTGGTTCGCCGCTGCCATNATCTGGAATTGATGTTAGGATGAGGTTCTGACCAGGCTACATGCCAATGAGGATCGTGATCAAGGCAGCTTAGTGGCTTGAACCTTGTCGTGATAGATCAACACCACCGCAACTGATGATGAAACCAAAGGAAATCGATAGCACCTACAGATCGCAGCGACTTTTTCGTTGTCGGCAATGCAAACAAGCCCTGTAGGTTCGCTTCTCCCGCTCGGGTATTCTGGCGCGTCGAATGGGGGGCAACATGAATGCCTCGCCTTGAAAGGGCAGTCCGGGGATCTCGCGCGAGTCGCGCGGATCATGCTGCGCCATGATGAACAGAGGGCGACAACCAGATACACTGATCAGATTATTCTGGTAAAGTTTGAAAGAATCGCAACATGTCCAAGTGCAGACACGATATCAAGGTCGATGTCAGCGGCAATGATGACTTTGGGAGAGTCGAAGATGGTGAATGGAACGTGAAGTCGGCCTTCTCGACCCATGTACCTGGAACCCTATTCGAGCTGGTCACCGTTGAGAGCTGGGCCTCCACTTTTCTTGGCCACCTGCTATGCACACTCTGGTCGAATGATGTGACAAGACACTTGATTTTGGACGACTCTAATACACAAAACGAGGCCTGATTTGACCATGTGCTTTTGAGAAAGAAGATCTGGTGCCGCTCGTTTAAGCAAGCTCCCTCGCTCGGAGATCAATATAGCTCAGTCGGCCCGAGATGCATCACATGTCTTCGTTTTGGTCAACACTATTGTGACTCTCTGCCTGTAAAGATTGAGGCAGAGTGTTCCGATCCTGTCTGAATCCAGGGAGTGAATCATTGAGTGACGATGCAGATGGAGAGTGGTGGTGAAGATACCTCAGGTAATCGAGCTCTGCAACTGACTCAAGTGGCCCGAGCGTCTATAAACTCCGTTGCGATTGCCTGCCATCAACTTTCTTTTCTATGCGACCGTGATCATCCTCCAACAAGCCTCCAGATATGTCCGGTCGCAAGGATTTCCTGAGCCAACCGGCGCCCGAGAACTATGTGGCCGGCTTGGGTAGAGGTGCGACAGGATTCACAACCCGTTCAGATCTCGGTATGTACTCACTCTTTAGGCATGCTCCATCCACGTCGCTAACATACACCAAAGGTCCCGCGCGTGAAGGACCTAGTGAGGAGCAGATCAAAGAGGCTCTTGCCAAACGTGCCGCCCAGCTTGGAAACGCTCCACCGACAGCATACGGCGTCCCCGGAAAGAAAGAGGACGACGATGACGATGATGAACGCTTTCAGGACCCCGAGAACGAGACTGGCCTATTCGCTAGCGGAAACTACGATCGCGAGGATGACGAGGCCGACAAGATCTACGCCGAGGTCGACGCAAAGATGGACAAGAGACGGAGAGTCAGACGCGAAGAACGCGAACGCAAAGAAAGAGAAGAATACGAGCGCAACAATCCCAAAATCCAACAGCAGTTTGCCGACCTGAAGAGAGAACTTGGGGGCCTCACAGACGAAGACTGGCAGAATATTCCCGAAGTTGGAGACTTGACAGGCAAAAACCGCAGAGCAAAGGCCAACTTGCGCGAGAGATTCTACGCTGTGCCAGACAGTGTTTTGGCTGGCGCAAGAGACTCAACACAATTCGACACGACTGTCAACGATGATGGAGCTCAACCTAGTGCTGCCGCAGACAACCTCGAGGGTGCCATGACCAACTTTGCCAACATCGGAGCTGCAAGAGACAAGGTCTTGCAAGTCCGTTTGGATCAGGCTGCACAGGGTGACGTCGCTTCTGGAACTGCTACAAGTATCGATCCGAAAGGCTATCTGACATCTCTAACGAAGTCTGAAGTCAAAGCTAGCGAGATTCCTGTTGCCGATGTCGCCAGAGCGCGTGAGCTGCTGAGATCGGTCATCAATACTAACAAGAAGCACGGTCCAGGATGGATCGCTGCAGCCCGTCTGGAAGAATTTGCTGGAAAGATTGTAGCTGCAAGAAACCTGCTGGCTCAGGCAGTAGAGTTCTGTCCAAAGTCGGAAGATGTTTGGCTAGAATCCATGCGCCTGAATGAGAATCACAACGCCAAAATTATCGCCAAGGAAGCCCTCAAGTACAACGATCGTTCGGTGCGCCTCTGGGTGGAAGCAATGAAGCTAGAGACCATCATGTCAAACAAGAAGCGAGTCCTCAGGCAAGCTCTGGATCATGTTCCACAGTCTGTCGCAATCTGGAAGGAGGCCGTCAACCTCGAGGAGGATCCAGCCGATGCCAAACTCTTACTAGCGAAGGCCACTGAACTCATTCCGCTATCTGTAGACTTGTGGCTAGCGCTTGCTCGACTAGAAACTACCCAGAATGCACAGGTCGTTCTGAACAAAGCAAGAAAGGCCATTCCAACTTCTTGGGAGATTTGGGTGGCTGCTGCTCGACTCCAAGAGCAGATCGGCGCTGAACAGATGGTTGGGAAGGTCATGGATCGTGCTGTAAAGTCTTTGGCCAAAGAGTCAGCCATGCTAGAGCGTGAGCGCTGGATCGAAATAGCCGAAAACTGCGAAGAAGAAGGCGCAAACCTTACTTGCAAAGCTATCGTTGAACACACTCTTGGATGGGGGCTGGATGAGGATGACGACCGTAAGAAGATCTGGATGGACGATGCAAAATCATCCATGGTCAGAGGTCGCTACCAAACAGCTCGCTCTATCTACGCCTATGCGATTCGAGTGTTCCCGAACAGTAGCATTATCTGGCTGGCCGCAGGCGATATGGAACGCAACCATGGCACAAAGGAGTCTCTTGTCTCCTTGCTAGAGAAGGCTGTAGAAGCCGTACCTACCAATGAGGTGCTGTGGATGCAGCTCGCGAGAGAAAGGTGGAATGCAGGAGACATTGATGAGGCTCGTAGAGTCTTGGGTAAAGCCTTCCAACAACAACCTGGAAACGAGGATATTTGGCTGGCGGCCGTCAAGCTCGAAGCAGACAACGGAGAAGTTGGCCAAGCCCGCGAACTCCTTAGGACAGCACGTCAAGAGGCAGGTACTGACAGAGTCTGGATCAAAAGTGTTGCTTTCGAAAGGCAGCAAGGTGATAGAGAGGCTGCTCTCGACCTCGTCAATCAAGGTCTACAGCTCTATCCTAAAGCCGCCAANGCTCTGGATGCAAAAGGACAGATCTACGATAGTAAAGGTATGCTTCCGCAAGCACGTGAGGCCTTCAACACAGGCACCCGAGCGTGTCCACAGAGCGTACCACTGTGGCTACTTGCAGCTCGTACAGACGAAAAGGCAGGTATTACTGTCAAAGCACGCAGTATTCTTGACCGAGCCCGTCTCGCAGTACCAAAGAACCCCGAACTTTGGGTTGAATCGGTGCGACTTGAGAGACGTGCAGGTAACAACGCTGCAGCCAGCCAGAAGATGGCACAAGCACTACAAGAATGCCCTACCAGTGGATTGTTATGGAGTGAAAGAATTTGGCACCTTGAAGCACGCACTCAACGCAAGCCTCGAACGCTGGAGGCCATCAAGAAGAACGACAGCGATCCTATCCTGTATGTCACAGCTGCACGCGTCTTTTGGGGCGAGCGCAGGTTAGACAAGGCGGTGACCTGGTTTGAGAAGGCAATTGTCCTGGACCCGGATATTGGTGACTCGTGGGCATGGTACTTAAAGTTCTTGAGACAACATGGTACAGAAGAGAAGCAGGAGGAGACTATCAATAAGTGCGTGCTCAGCGAACCCAAACACGGAGAGGTTTGGCAGAGCATTGCAAAGGCTCCAGAGAATGCCAAGTTGGGTATCGAAGAGATCCTCAAGCTTGTTGCAACCAAGCTAGACTAGAGAGATCTTGTAACATGATCCAATCCCTTGTCAGTAGGTTAAATATCACGATTAAAATAATGAACAAACCGGGCTTCATTCACGAAAGCCGACGACAAGCGCAGCAAGACATACTGAATAACCCCTGGTGATCGATGACTGCCGAAGGCTCAGCTCGCCGTGCCGACTCGATGCACGACATGTGGAGAATTCAGTGATGTCATCGTGGAGAGTGGCAGGCAGGATCGCATCATTGTTTTCTACCTTCAACAGCTGTCACTTTCTCTTCTTTCTTTCCACTCTTCATCTGTTGTTTCTCTTGGTAAGTCGCCTTCTCAATTGTATCTCACCTCTTCTCCTATCACGAAGACATCGCTTGTACCATGTCCTTGATTGCCCCTCTTCGCCGTCAGCTACCCCGCGTCATCCGAAGAGCACCTCTGCTCACCTCTGTTCGTCCTAGCAGAACACTTCAATCCCACTACCAACCTTTCTCAACCACCACCGCAAACATGTCTTTCAGCAATGCAGACACCGGCAACAAGACTGCCGACCCTTACACCGCCAAGAACAAGGAGCAGCCCGAGCTTAAGGAGAAGGTTGGCGACCTCATCAGCTTCGTCGAGAAGTCCAAGTACTGCATGATGACCACTCGCATTGCCAGCAGCGGACTTCTTGTCTCACGCTGCATGGCCCTGGCCGCCAAGGAGGGCAATGGTGTCGACCTCATCTTCCATGCCAACAGCGAGTCTGGCAAGACCGATGACCTCGAGTCCGACCCTGACGTCAACCTGGCCTTCTTGCAGCCTTCTGGCGAGTGGGCTTCCATCTCCGGTGTTGCCTCCATCGAGAGCGACCGCGAGAAGGTCCGCAAGTACTACTCTCCTGGCCTCAAGGCCTGGTTGGGTGATCTCGGCGACGGCAAGCACGACGGTGGCCCTGAGGACCCCAGAATCATCCTCATCAAGGTCAACGCCAAGACTGCCCAGTACGCCATCACCAGATCGGCTACCGGTGCTGTCGGCAACTTCGTCGAGTTCGCCAAGGGTGTGGCTACTGGCGAGACTGCCCAGGTCAACAAGCTCAGATACCTGGACGAGTCAGAACTCCAGCAGTGTAAGTCATCAGCCGATCTCGCCCATATTCACCATACTGACAACTCCGTAGGGCGCTCAAGCAGCCAATAGGCTAATTCATGTAAACTAAGCCTGACCGGAGGCCAAAAGAGCCAACATCAGCTACGACATACTAGCATGACACAAAGTAATGAAACAAGCACACTCAAACTTCTCGAGTCCAACCCTGTAGTAATCAAGAACTGTGCATTTGACATACCGTAGTCATCATGTGTCTTTCCTTATCGATTTCATCGGTCTTCAAGCTGGGGTCTGTTTTGCAGATCAAATACGCTTATTCTTGCTTATGTCTCTGTCCGTTTCTGAACCAAAGTCTGTTCTTGTCATTCCCGTAGGCTCAGGCCGGTGAGCGAACCATGGTCAATGCGTATGCTGACTTGGAGTGACTGAACAATCATGAGGCTGAATGTGCTCGTATTGCTCGTATTCCTCGCGGTGAATATGACCCTGACCCAATCATCGGCGACACACAACGCACGACACAATCCCTGGACTCTTCTGATACTCGATCCTGCAGATCAAGGGAATGGTCCAGACTCAGGACCAATTGTTTTCGCTTGCAGGATCATGCAGATGAGGGGGAATGGTCGACTTGTGGATCAGCACATAGGATCTGGAACACGCGACCATGGATGTTAAGAAGACATAGGTACATTCTCCTTCAATCGACGACTTTGCCCAATACCGTAAATGATATACCAGCCAAGGTGTGATGTCTGCTATACAGAGATGCAGTCCTTCAGCCATGTATCCGAGTAGGGTGAGACCTGTGTGTCTACATAGGAGGATCCTGAGTCGTGATCGATGCTGCCCTACCCCGTCTTCACATGTCAACCCCACTCGAGCTTTGACCCTGCCACACACGCAGCGTTGCCTTCAACTTCAGTTGGTTGCCTTCATGCACCCATACCAACTGAGCCGTTAGCACCTCGCGCCCTGAATCTTACCAACTCGTGTCGAAAATCTTCCCCACGGGAGGCGCCCATGGGGCTTTTGCGGCGCTTTAGGCCTTGCCACGCACATGATTGAAGGTTTTCACGGCGACGCCGAACTAAACAGCGCTATTGTCTCCGACCGGCCTTGCATATCCATGCTCGTAGACTGGTTCACGGACTCAGAATACGGGCCGCGGGACACGCTTCAAGCAAACGTCCCGAGGAGATGGCCCGTCGGTTTACTCAATTCTGTCCGAACCGCTGGAGGATTATCGAGACATACCGGCGAGTATTGCCGCAAGCGCAGCCCGAGACCACTTAAACAAGGGAGGCTTGAAACTTGGCAACCACCCGCGTCCACATTCTCTTCCGCCGCAAGCGCCACGGCATCATCCACACATTCTCCGCACGCCGCTCGGAATGCTAGGCTAGCATGCGTTGTCTGGCGGATCCGTATCTTTGTATCTTTTGGCCGTCGAGACTCGAGAGTCCACACATGCGCCTGAGAAAGGTGTGTCTCTAGGAACAAGTCAAGGTGAAGACTATCACTTTAGAAGCTGTCTCAGGTCAAGCAACATGCCGTGCTCTTGACAAACTCCACTCTGAGGAGCTTGTCGTTTCAAAGCTCTCTGGGCGATGGTGCCTGAGTGTGCTTAAACCCTGTTGACAGTCACCCTTGGCCGCCCCTAGTTTGTCGCCAAGCGAAATCCACCTCGAATGCAGAATGCAACCACAGATTGGCAGGTCGCCCAGATCCACATCTGTACCAGACCTCGTGACTCTGTAACATGTGAGATGGGTGGATACCCTTGCTAGTGAGCTCTGGAAGCGGTAAAGGATCGTCGCCGTCAGGCGAATCCTCCCAACGCTCGAGGATCTTTTGTGATATTTATTGGTGCATCCTCCCCACCACTCCACCTCTCCACTCTTTCTCCAGACGCTTCCCCAGCAGTACCCCAGGCCTGTCAGATCATTTTCCCTACTCGTTAGGAGAAGCAGCCAAGATGACTGAAAAGACAACATTCGGCGATATCAATTACGCTTCGCAAAAGAATGAGTTCACCTCTCACAAGGAACAAACAATTCACGATGAAGCACCTGCTCGTCAGGGCTCCGTCGCCCTCAACATCGTCGACAACCCATTGAGAGTAAGCAGCCTACGCATCTCTCGATCACTCTTGTACTTTGTTGGATTGGAGCTGATCACGTTGAAANNGCGTCACGATAAAGAAACTACCGTCCACGATGCTATAACATTCGCCGAGTCGAACGGCATGGCAGACCAAGCAGCTCTCTTCGGTAGAGCCGCTCTCGTCGCGCGTGACCCAGAAAATTTCGAATCAATCCCCGATCTCACACAGGACGAGCGTGCAGCACTTGTTTACGAGAGAGACCACAAATGGCATGGACCAAAGATGCTTTGGTTTTCGATTGGTCTTTGTGCCATTGGTGCCGCCACACAGGGTTGGGACCAGACTGGTTCAAACGGAGCCAACTTGTCTTTCCCTCAGGATTTTGGTCTTGATGAGAAGAACAATGCACGCGATGCCTGGATTGTCGGTCTTATCAACTCCATCATCTTCCTGACTGCCGGGCTTATGTAAGTTCAACCACCACTGATCCTCGTGGCACAGCTGACAGCATTTAGTGGTGCTTTCATCGTCGATCCTCTTAACAAATACCTTGGACGAAGAGGTGAAATTTTTCTTACTGCTGCCTGTCTTACTGCCACTCCCATCGGTTCTGGTTTCGCACAGTCATGGCACGGTCTTTTCGCTGCCCGTTTCATCATGGGCATTGGTATCGGTGCAAAGAACGCTACCGTTCCGATCTATTCTGCTGAGATGGCACCCGCTCGCATTCGTGGTGCTCTTGTCATGTTCTGGCAGCTTTGGGTCGTCATTGGTAGGAACACATTCAACTTAGTCTTTCTACAATCTTTATTGACTTCTCATCGCNNAGGCATCTTCCTCGGATTCTGTGCAAATGTCATCGTAAAGGATGTTCCTCGCATTGCCTGGCGTCTTCAGCTCGGGTCTGCTTTCATTCCATCCTTCATCCTTATGGTCGGTATTTACTTCTGTCCCGAGTCACCACGTTGGTTGATGAAGCACGGTAAAATTGCCAAAGGTTTCCAATCAATGGCTAAGTTGCGCGCACACCCCATCATCGGCGCACGCGATTACTACTACAGTTACGTGATCTATAAAGAAGAGATGCAGGTGGCCAGCGGCTCAACTTACTTCACTCGCCTGAGAGATTGTTTCACCGTTCCTCGTATCCGCAGAGCCAATTACGGTGCTTCAACTGTCATGCTCGCCCAGCAGATGTGTGGTATCAATAGTAAGTAAACAATTCCGCCTTGTATGTAACTTGATCTAACGATCTATNNAGTTATCTCGTTCTACAGTTCTAGCATCTTCACCAACGCCGGCTACAGTGACGACCAGGCCCTGTTCGCATCTCTCGGCTACGGTGCCGTCCAGGTCATCTTCACCATTCCCACTTTGTTCTTGATCGATACCAAGGGTCGCAGAACCTTGTGTTTAATCGTAAGTCCTCCACCATGGTACGGGATAAGCATCTCACTAACTTTCCCAAGNACATTCCCTCTTATGTGTATTTTCCTGCTCGCCGCGGGTCTGTCGCTATTGCAACCCACGACCGTGAGTGACGCTGCCAGAGTTGGACCAGTCGTCTTGTTCGTCTATCTCTTCACAATCTGCTATTCTCTTGGTGAAGGCCCGGTTGCATTCCAATACTCTGCCGAAGTCTTCCCTACCATCCAGCGTGAGCAGGGTATGGCATGGGCAGTCTGCATCAACAACACCTTTGGTAAGCCACAAAAACTTGCAAATAGGTGACCGTCTCACTAACATTGTCTAGCTGGTATTCTCGGATTGACATTCCCACGTATGCAGAACGTCATGACACCCACTGGTGCTTTCGGCTTCTATGCTGGACTTAACCTCATCGCCTGGGGTATGATCTTCTGCTTCGTTCGCGAGACCAAGCAACTCACCTTGGAGGAAATCGACCAAGTCTTCTCTGTGCCTACCAGGAAGTTCCTCAACTACGAAGTCGGTACCTGGCTGCCGTACTTCATCAAGCGCCATGTTCTGTTCCAGAAGAGCACTCCCAAGCCTCCACCAATCATTGAGAAGGCCGAGTGGGTCGACAGCAAGCAGCACACTCTTAACGGTTAAACAATGTCGAATTGATCGCTCGTTTTACTGTAAAGAATGACAAGAGTTGGCTATACGATATTTATGAGTTTTAAGAGAGGAGAGATACCCTTAGAAGGCGCGATGCGAAATGAATATCCGCAAGACTGGTAGCGTCGTAATACTTTGTCGATTTCACATAGTGCTCCAGGAAATATGTGACTCTGTCGTTTTCTCAATATATACCCCTCTTTTCTATAAGATGCTACCTAGAATGTTCGTAAAAAGGCTTTCAGGAGGTCTTTTCAATTTTGATTTGTTTGTTCTGAAGCTCTGAAGGTCTTCTGTTCTAGTGACAGGTGTGAGGCCTAGATGAAGTTGGAAGTATATTGCGGTCTGACGGAGCACTTACCAAGATCCTGAATCTGGCCAACCAGATTCAACCCTTACAAGCTGAGGTGATGTGGTGTAGTGGTAGCATGTGTCGTTGTGGAGGTTAAAGTCCAGCAACGCCGACCCGACGGCGGTTCGATTCCGCCCATTGCCAGGATCGTTTCTTTTGCCCTTGTTTTGCTCGGGTTTCATCAATCTTTTCGTCTGTCCATTGAGTGGGAAAAGTTGGCAGAGAATTTTGTCGACGGACTCGAGAGTGAACTGTGCTTGCCGAGGCTGATAGGCTTATGCACGGAGCCGCGTGAGTTATTTCGCATTGGAGAAAAAAGAAATAAAATCAAGCGTTGAGGGTTCGAGACTTTGAGACGTCGGCTCCTGCTCTTTGGCTGACTTCTCAACTAACACGCTCTGCTCGAGTGTACTCTCATCTTCTTCTTATGATTGTTTGTCGTCTCAGACTACAACCGAATTCTGATATAAACTTTCGTCCGAGTAGACAATTTGATGTGCAAGATTCGTGCTCACATCAATGGTTTGTTTCTACGAGTGAATTTCTGCCTAACCTATATATCACGTAGACTCGTGACGAGAATCATCACAAGACAAGAAGCTGTCTATGAATCAATTCTCTATTCTCTCGACTGCCAACCTGTATGGCACTCGTGCTAACAATATCACATGTAACCCAGCTGCCAGTATCGAGGACTGTAACCATCGCATAATTCGAGATGTTAGGACGACACCCGCTATACACGGATGCGCAACAACCAAATTCACTCATACCAGCGCATGATATGTCTCGAGTCATCCGCGCCGAGCATTGGCATAAATGGGTGATTCACTGCTGTACATGAACGATAACCTTCTCAACTCTCTCCATCTTCTTCTCAAGAAGAAACCCCACTGTCAGAACAGAACTCCAGCCACAAGTTGAAAAATCACGATGGCCAACTCCAACTCTTTCATCCAGACACTTGCAGAAATGCAGAACAAGACTTTAGTCGAAGCCTTGGATTATGCAAAGAACACACCAGAAGATACATTGGCAGGAGACCTCAGCCTCAAGGCCAGCGCATCGAAACGCGTCCACTTTGGCTATCCGACCGTTCTCCACGAAGCCTTCGACAACGAGTTGCACAAAGTCAAGCTCCTCAAGAAGAATCTCGCAGATAAGGACAAACTCATCAACAAACAACTGACCTATATACAAGAGCTTGAACATCGACTCTTAGAGGAGCAGCGTCAGACCCGGATCTTGCACAATAGACTTGAGAATGAGCGCACACATTCCTGTTACCTATCTCAAACACTTTCAAGAGCACACGAGGAAGTATTGTCTCTGCGAAACCAGGCAGCACAGTCTGAAGTCCTTGAATCTACACTCAGAGAAGTGCTTCACAAGAAAACAGCTACTATCAAAAATCTTGAGGAGCAGAATCGCACACTCATAGCTGTTCTGACTGAGGTAACGTCTCGCTTGCATAGGCCCGATGATAAAGCTTCTCACCAAACTCCAAAGAAGTGTGATGAAGACGTACCCTCTCAGACTATAGACAGTCACGAAGAATCATCAACACAGGTAACTCAGGCGAGTACGACATTCCAGCACAAATCTGCTGCCATGCCTCCAACAACAACAAAACCTGTCCGTGGTATTCTCAAAGGACCCTCAACAGACGACTCGGCACTTACAACACTCATAACCTCAGCGACAACCTGGATGCGCTCTTATTTCCAACCGACCAATACACGCGAGGTTTGTTTCAATAACGACGAGTGCCAACCGAAAATCTCAAGTCCAGAGTTCAAAGAACGCGTCAGGAGACAACTAGATCCTGAGCAGTTAGCTCTTGCCAGAAATTACATGGTTAGTTTGCAAATGCCTGACACGATCGAAAGAGTAGAGCAGGAACCTCAAGGCCCACCTTTCGAGTTTAGCAAGAGAAAACAAGAAAAAGAGGAACAGAAGACATTTACACTGNNGAGTCCTATGCAGCGAATCAGGATGGGGAGGATGGAACAATAAGATCAGCGTTGAGTAGTGGTCTTGATCAGACCGAACAGGAGTGAGTGCTTAGACACACAAAACTACTTTTGAGGATGCATTATATTGCGATAGCGACTAGCTAAGTAGATAGGACTAGAGTTAGAATGAGACGTATATATCAACCGCAATCTTTACCACATTTTTCCACCGATAACGACCGACTTGATATGCCAAGTATGCGAGTGGCTGCCTAAGATATGGAGCGCAAAGGAGTGCTACAAGGAAAGAAAACTTCATAACACGCGCTGAGAGTCATCGAGGGAATTTCTTTTGCGCGTCCTTACTAAGTGTTATTTAGCTATATAACAAATACCCTGCCAGCCCACGAAGAACTGAATTCATCCATCCTCCACTCCACTGCATCCACTCCAATCCAAAGCTTGCCCCAAAAGCCACCAAAGAGTAGGAACTCATACATTTCCTCTACTACTCTGAAAAGTCAAGTCGAGTCAGCCAAACATGAAGAACTCGAACATTGAGTATACCTTCAAGTCCATCAATATGTCCAACCCACACATCGAGATTGACTCCTTCTCAAAGACAAACATCGATATCAGGTATACTCCCTCTTCACACCACAACCTCAATACTCCACAAACCGCAACAAAAACATCACAATGGTATGGCATCAAACTTGCAAAACAACAATCCTGGCAAGAACAAAGGGTATTCGCCAACCACCAATTCGTCAGATTTGTCTCTTCCTCTTCCACCTACACTGATAATTCTGCCTTTGACGATGANAGAAACAGAAAAATCACAGAACCCAACACCCCATGGCAATTCTCAAATCTCGCAAACAAGGTTTCGAAACTTGAACAAAAATGTTTTGCCAATAGTTTTGCAAAGGTAAATGCTGAGGGGCCAGAGGAGATGGGAGAGGAGGAGAAACAGGAATAGCGGTTTGTGGATTTGGCGAGACATTGGGAGAGATTGGAGCAAAGGCTTTCGCCGGGAGTTTTCGGGCAAGGTGAGGTTTGGGGCATCAAAACATGTAGCGTGGGAGAACCTGAACGGGAAGGGAAGGTCATAGGAAACTTATGAGCATCGTGGGTTAGGAACAGATCGTGGTATATGAAGAGATTAAAGACAGCCTTTCATCATACAAATGGTGTCCTTGAGGAGGTGTATCAATCTTGCATCGCCGTTGTTTTCCTCATGTTGCTCTTAGTATCGTGAGTGAAAGTGCTGTAGGGGCAGTGATTTACAGACCATCCACACTTGTGCTCAATGTGAAAAGAGACGCCAGACAAGGATTTGAATAAGTAAAAGGAGGTATCGAGCAATTTTTGTAAGACAGAACCCTTTCTGTCACATACCGAACAAAATCCCCCAAACCAGAAAGACCAAAAAAGAACACCCCTTTTCGCAAAAAACCATGATTCCGCTAATGATAGTAGAAGAAAAGTGAGACGAAACATTAGAAGAGATTAAGCCTTGAAGCCTTTGCCTTCGAAGCCAGGTCTTGCTTTCTTTTGGCACCGCCGCTGCCACCTTTCTTACCACCCTTTTGGCGCCCTTCTCGGCGGCTCTCTTGGCTAGGTTCTCGGTTCTCTTCTTGTCCTTCATCTCCTTGCCCTTCTTGACGTTGTCGATGCGCTCGTTCCATTGTGTTGCGCTCTTTGTCTTTTGGTCTGTCTTGCGCTTCAGAGTCTTCTTGAGAAGGGATTGGTCGTCCTTGACGCGTTCGCCGTGTGCGCGCTTCTTTGCGTTGAGCCACATGTCCTTCTCTTCAATCTCCTTGCGCTTGTCTTCGTCCATACCGGCGAGTCGCTGGGCTTTCCTTTCGGCAGCGGCCAGGGCAGTCTTGATATCTGAGGGACCCTTCTTCTTCTTGTGTGCAGCAATTGAGCCAAGTGTGGGATCAGTTTCTTCATCGTCAAATGCGACACGGCCGAAGGAGAAGTTGTTCTCGTCTACAGGACGCGGTGAGAAAATGTCGGGAGTGGCCAGGGGACTACCGCTTCCACGCAGACGCTCATTGTTGAGACGCTCCTCCTCTTCCTTGGCCTTCAAGCGCAACTCCTTCTTGTGCTGCTTGCGGGCCTCTTCCTTCTTGCGGCGCGACTCGAGGAGTTCCTGTCTGTTGCGAGGACCGCCGCTGGGACCATCAGCCTTGCGCTGAGCACGTAATGCTTCGATACGGGCCTTCAGGCGAGCTTGTAGTTCTTCGGCGTTGACCTCTGGCAACTTAAGCGCGAGTGCTTTCTTAGGCTTTGTGGTGGCGGGTGCGTCTCCTTCCGTGGGATTTGAGGCAGGAACTATTGATGACGAGGAAGATGTGGCAGNATTGGTTGGTCGAGTTGTCAAAAACTTCGGGTTGGCTGGGGCTTGCCGGTGTTGAGGTTTCGTCGTCGTCAACCAGACCAGAGAAGTCCATAGCATCGTCAGCAGCCTCATCGGCAGATACATCGTCGGCGTCTTGCATATCCTCATCGGCAGACTCTTCAGCACCAGCAGCGGATTGAGGTTCCTGCTTGCGAGCGGCCTTCTTGGCTTCCAGCTTTGCCTTTTGCTTGTCGGCCTTTTCCTTCTNNTCAGACGGCGCTTCTCTTTTCTCTTCTCTGCTTGTGCCTTCTTGCTGCTTGGAGTAGCGTCGGCGTCATCGTCGCTGTCGTCGTCATCCTCTTCGTCAACTTTTTGCTTTTTGGCGGGTTGCTCTTTGGCGGCGGGCAAATCGATCTGTGCAGAAGACTCTTCATCGTCGTCGTCGATTCCCAACTCTCGCTTCCTCTTGCGCTCATTCTCATCCATAACGTCCTTTGCGGATTTNNTTTGGTTTGCAGGGTCAAGTTTTGCGCGCTTGGCCTGGCGCTTCTGTTCTTTTGTTTGCTTCTTGCGCTGCCATTGGTCCTGCAAAGAGGAGTGTGAGCAGGAGAGGTGGTTATGGGCTCAGGATCATGGACATACGCTGTTGTCCTTGGAATAGTATTCGTTGGCGGGGATCAGCGAAAGAAGACCCTCGAAGGCCTGAGCGTGACTTTCAAGACGTGCCTGCAGGAGATGAGTATGGGAGCGGGAAAAGGGGAGAGAGACTTGTATACCTCTAGATCGTCAGCCATGATGAGATTATATCAAATTCTGAGAACAAGTGTGGCAAGATGGACGATGCGAATGTGTCGTCTGCATCTTCTTTCACGGCGAACTTTTCGTCTGCGGGTTCTGGCTTGGCGCGGCAGCGTCTGAAACGGGCGATGACGATCAGTCTGGGGTAGTTGGTAGCTTCATGTTCGCGCGAACTGGCCAGAGCGACGACGATGCAACCATGGAAAACTTCGCCCTCGACGCAACTCACAAAGGCGGTCTGACCATACAACACTACCTCGACTGCTCCCCCAACGTCGTCAGCGTCTTCAAGGAGGTCAACAAGCTGGTCCTTGTTGTCACCATTGGCTTGGTTTCCGTCTCTCTGCTGCGCACCTTCCGTCCCTCGACCTCTCGTGCCTCGTCATGATCGCTCGACTATCACCCACCTCGCTAGCATGGATGCTTTTCAGCGCCTCAGCACAAGCCTCGTATGTTATTGAAGGCCTCTCCTTCGGCCACAAGGGCGCCATCTCACCAAATGGTCGCGCCGTACCTGGTTGGCACCTCTCTGGAGAGAACCACACCCCTCAACTACTCTCCGATCGCATCATTCTCACTCCTCCCGCGCCTGGTGGTACAAGAGGTGCTATCTTCGCCGACAATCCTATCACCCAGCCAGAGTGGGTCGTCGAGACCGAGTTCCGTGCTTCGGGTCAAGAGCGTGGCAGTGGTAATCTGAACTTCTGGTTTGTCGATACTGGCCGTTCTGCTGTCGGTCAAAGCAGCATATATACTGTCGGCAAGTTCGACGGTCTTGCCCTCGTCGTCGACCAGTATGGTCCTCGTGGAGGTTCTATCCGTGGTTTCTTGAACGACGGCTCGGCCAACTTCAAGGATCACCACAATGTTGACAGTTTGGCTTTTGGTCACTGTGACTATGCATACCGCAACCTGGGCCGGCCTAGCAAGCTGCGTATCGAGAACGGTCATCATGGCCTCCGTGTGGACGTTGATGGCACGCCTTGCTTCCACAGTGAGAAGATCAATCTTCCTCCTGGTTACTTCTTTGGTGTTTCCGCCGCTGCTTCTGAGAACCCCGACTCCTTCGAGGTCTACAAGTTCGCCGCATCTACAACAAACTCTATCACCCGTGAGGAGCCCAACACCGAAGCAAAACGTCAGCACCTTGAGAAGCTCGACAAGTTCCCTGGTTCTCCTGAATCTCTTCCCGACGCTGATGCCAGCACTATTCTGGATCAAACACACCAGTTTGCCGATCTTCACAACCGCCTGCAAGCAATGAACCACCAGATCGTCAACATGTACGGCGAATTCGAGCGCCTGTCCCGCCAATTGAACGACCGTCATGCTGAGTTGATGGCCAAGGTTGCTGGTCCCAATGCTGGCGATTCTAGTGACAAGTCGCAACAGCCTACTGGCGAGGCCCTCCTTCCTCTGAGCCGTCGTGTTGAGAACATCGAGCGTATTGTGCTCGCTATTCAGCGTGATGTTGAGGGCAAGGACTACCGTGAGCATTTGACAAACCTGCAGCAGTCTATCGAGGGCGTTCGTGGGGGCTTGACAGAGCATCTCCCTGAGACCATTGCTCACAGTAAGTTACTCTTCAATTACAAATTCGTTATTAGATCGAAATGCTAACATTCTTTCTANGTGATCTCGACTGCAGCTCCCAAGATGGGCATGTTCATCTTCGTCGTCATTGCCTTCCAGGTCATGCTCGCCGGCGCCTACATCATCTACAAGAGACGCAGAGCAAATGCTCCCAAGAAGTATTTGTGATCTCGATACACCCTGCATGTATATCTCTTTCACAGTATGTTCTTGTTGATGTTGAAGTTTCAAAATTAGCGTTTGTTCATGAAAGCTGTAGAAGTTAGCGGATTTTACATAACTTTGTTGTATAGAGAAAAAGGACTTTTTATACATGGACCGCCACTCGTGTTTCAGATTTGCCGGGCGCCTAATTCTGGGTGAGTTGATAAATGGCTCCTGCCTAACTGACATTATAGCTTCTTCCACTTGACAACAACCCACCAACAAGTTGATTGGCAGAACGAGATGGCAGCATGTCCAAAGCTACCCAATGAGTTGATGCTCCTGGTCTTCAAACACCAAACCACCGTCTCCGATCTGTTGGCTCTGTCATCAACCAGCCATGCTATGCGATCACTATTTTTGGATAACACTTCCGGCATACTCTCTGAGGCTTGCAACAATACGAATCTACTATCTGCCGCCAAAGCTCTGGTTGATACAATCTTCGAGATTGCAGAACTCCCGACCCATCTCTGCGAATGCGCGGTCGCAAAAATCGAACCAGAGAATCACTTCCACAAAAATGTGTCGAACCAACGGTATATGATCGACTCGATGGCTCCGTTTCCAGCAGAGCTACGCGCTGTGCGTACCCTTTCGCGAGCTATCAAATTTGCTAGGGTAGTCGCAGACAAGGCTTCCTGGTTCTGGACCACCCGAGCGAATAATTGTCAAGTCGATCACAAACCATTGACGGTTGATCAGGATAAACTGGCTCAGATATATCTACTTCTGTGGGTTTGTGCGGAATCGCACTTTTCGCCTGACCACATCGCTCGCGCTACAGACGTGGTGGCTACAATGCCTAAAGAGGCACTAACTATCTTATGGGAAGTCTTCGAATTCTCCGCATGCGATATGGACACACCAACAAAACTCATCCTCGGAATCGAAGATCCTAATGAATTCATCGATAATAATTCCCATGCGAAATCTTGCGTCATGCTGAGTTCAAGAGGGGACAGGTACGATCCGGATGAGGATCTCAACATCAGCTTTTGGGAATGGTGCAGTACTCGCTATGTTCTTCATTCTGCAATACAACATAAGCGCAGGAATTGCCCAGCGGAAGATAAAAGGGCATGGCTTGGTGAGAAACCTGAAGGATGCACTTGCCACGACGCGGTGTTCATCGCGTGGGATTTGGTGCAGATGGAGTGGTGGCATGCCTGGAATAGCACACCATAAGGCTTATTTTCTGTCCGCAAGGCAATATTGTAGAGAGAAGATATTTTGGTGTGTCCACTATTCTGACATGCTCTCCTCAATATGTTTCAGACATCTCACCTTTTGAGCTTCACTGAACTGGTCTTGCTGACAGTTCCACTTGGTAGGTGGCAAAGATCAAGTGATGGAGGAGTGAGATGTTTGCTGATGGAATCTTTTATGGCTGGGCAACACTCAATGGAGGGACATTCGTACGAATCAGTACCCAAGTAGATGACAGTAAGATTGCAGACATTAGGTGTGTTTATGCACAGGAAGGGGAGAGAGGGGGGCAGCGTACAAAGAATGAAAGTCGGGCAGAAACACCACATGAGAGGCTCGAACGAAGCCCTCTCGACTCCGAGCAAGTGCTGCTGACCAAAGTATCAGCTGGGAGCATTACAGAAGCTCGGATAAGTGCAGCTGATAGTTCCTGGATCTCTCGTCTTATCAGAGACGGTATCCATCGGTATCACATCCATCTCAAGCTCCTTGACCAATTGCGAGCAGCCAAAGTTGGTTCCTACTTGGGGACAAGGTGCCTTTATGGTTCCGAGTCCGTCTGGCTCCCCGTTCTTTCCAAGCTTGTTGTTTTCCCAAGCCACGATTCTCGCGCCCTTGAAATCTGTATCTGGGTGCTCCAAACAGTACTGATACGCGGCCCACTCCTCGCCGCAACTGGCTGATGTTGTGTGTATCATATGCTCGTCAGATCCAGGAGCCGTCGTCGAGCATCTGCGCAGAGCTTGAGCAAGAGCAGCGCATTGATGAGCCTTGGCGCTCAAAACTGCTGGAAGTTCTACAGGGTTTCTCCCGTTTGAGGTAGGAACATAGAATATGGACTTTCCCCTGCCTTTTGCAGAACTGGAAAAGCTGACAGTGTTGCCTATAGCTATTGCAGACATCACTGTGGGTTTGAACTTGTTCGCTTTGTTATCCTTCATACCAGCGGTACTGGCCCTCCAGAGTGTGATCATATCGGCGTGTGCTTGGTCGACCAGTCCAACGAATTGTTCGGGCGTCCAGTCAGTCTGGACGTTCTCGTTGAAGACCACATACGACTTGTAGACCTGGTAGTATTGGCTTGTCAATTCTTCGTCCAGTCGAATTCCAAGCTGACCAGGTGCTATAGCAATAATACATTGGAGAAGCGTCGAGACCAAGAGTAATAGAAGAGGACGAAACATCCTGACAGCAGGTATGCCACTCCAGAGAAGAGTATATGAACAGATGATAAGACGAAACAGCTGAGCCAAGCAGTGCCTGACTTGAGGACTGAGATTTGTAGATATTGACCAAGATCAGGGAAGAGAATCAGAAGAACGAGGTAATGGCCATGATGAGATTGTCCGGGATGTACCTACCATCCTATATCCTAACATACCCTCTGCCGAGGGGCTTCTGGAGGCCAGCACCAACAAGCCAATGACTCTGATTCGCGCGGGCAGATTGACGTCCGGCCTAAGTGTTCAACATGGAACACACACCGCGCTCGAGGTGCTCGTACATCGTGGGATGTGGCTGTTTGAGGATTACCTCAGACTGCCAAGCCGAGTATTTCTACAAGGTCTCAAAACAGGAAAGACATCCAGATAGAGAGAGGGTGCATGGCTGGTAGTCTGCAAAATCACCTGCGTATGGCCTCTACCCTGATCAAGCAGACGTGCAAGGTCGAAATGTTCTAGAGTGTCAATGTTCGGTAAAGGGTCTCTTGAAAGGCTCGCAAGCGCATCTCAGCCATATGCTAGCCCATCAGAGACGGTTATAGAATTTTGTTTCGAACCAAATGCCTGGTGTTGTTGGGTCAAATAGACATCCAGGAAGATGCAGTACGTGACGCCCGGGCCTTCAACCCTGTCTTTCTGTCTTGACGCGCGCTTCCCTTGTTCGCGCTTGTGCCGCCAAGAGGTGCATAGCGGGACCTCGAACCTCAAATTAAACATCGACTCGTGCAGGCTTTGCAGTCGTCTCACTATCCCGACAACGAAGGATTCCTTCTCATGAAATTGCAGGTCACTCTTCCGTCGGGTAGCGCGGCTGCCCATGCGTCTACACTCGAACGTTGTCGCGAGGCGCAGTCATTACCAGATCCGAACCAAGCAGTCTGCACGTCTCTCACTACGTTGGGGATTGTCCAACAAGGCAACTAGGAGAGAGCGCGGGTATGAGATTCATCAAGCGTCTCGAATGGTGATGGTGTCGTGAGCCCACCCCAAGAAGGAATCATGGAACCATGGAAAGCCTGCGACACACCATATTATAGTCAAGTCAACAATTTGCATCCTGCAGTCCTGCAATCGCTCCATGGCGGTTTCAACTCTTCGCGGATGGTCATGGATCAAGCGCTGCTTAGGAGGCATCTAATGAATTCGAAACTGCTATAACTCTTCATGATGTACCGTTTGTACACCTGGATATCTATCGCCCGCCGGAGCATTCGAGATCATATTCTTTCTCTTCTTACATACCTCTATACGTACGACTGCGTGATGTTCTGGAGAACTGCCCTCGTGCTGTTGGTCTTTGATCTTCCACGCGTGCTAACACAGAGTTTCGACATCTCAGATGATCGAGACCCTTACGATTTCTCTTGGATAAGGAAATGGTCCGCTATTGGTGATTCGTACGCAGCTGGGATAGGAGCCGGAAATTCGTACAGTATCGGATCTGGAAGCTCGGCTTCATGGTCTTGTTCCAGGTACGACGGAGCCTATCCCAACCTGATCAATTTACAGCTTGGAACCGATCCTGGAGATATCGACTTTATGTTCAGCGCATGTTCCGGCGCTGTTACTTCGGAAGTCATTCAACAAGCGAAAGATTTGACTACCGGTCAGCAGATGATCACAATCAGCTCTGGAGGCAACGATGCCGGATTATCTACTATTGTGAATGATTGCGTGTACACGTACAAAGCTCAACTGAGTGGCGACTGTACGGCTTCTCTCGACAAGGCTCAATCTACCATAGAAAGCGACAAGTTCGCATCGAAGCTTGACGAACTGCTTAGCATAGCTAAATCTAAACTCGCGGATAATGGCACAATGTAAGCGACACAGTGTTTGATCGTTCGACTCTAAACTGATAAANNGAACAGTTACTACACTGGATATGCCCGGTTCTGGGACTCATCTTCGGCGGACTGTGATTCAGTGTCATGGTCTATGTGGTTCCTGGAAAGCACATGGCAATATCTGACGCAGGCCAGACGGCAACGTATGAACGATCTGGTCGACATGATGAATGCGAAGCTCGAGGCCGCTGTCACTAAAGCTGGCCAACAGGTTGTGTTTGTCAATTACGATTCCTACGTCGAAATGCTCAATGGCCGATATTGCACTCCTGGTTTTGATGAGAGTGCCGGCCAATCAGCAAATCGTGATTATGGTTTCTTTTATCAGATGCCGACAGAAGACAAGCCTCTATTACAGCCAGGCGCATATCCTCCTAAGAATGAACCTCTGGACCATGATGAGCTCAGGAAACGTGAGGGTTCCGCAGAAAACAACGATACGCTTGGAGCTGTCATCGGAAGCTGGATCGAAACAGCNATTGAAAGACAACCCGGACTTGCAGCTGAGAAACGAAAACGCTAATCAGGATCTGATCGCAGAGGTTGAGTCAGAGAAGAAAGAACTCAGAAAACGAAGTATCAAGGCTCGACGTGCGGTCAATCCCTCACATCCGGNGGTTCTTCGAGCTCTGAGATATTGCGTCGTGGCTGGAACCACACATCCAACGGGAATGCATCCACTACTGGTAGCGTGCTCCGTCCTACAAGCAGCGGAGCCATTTGGAACGCGAGTTTAGCCAGCAACTTCAGCATTAACAGCACACACCAACGTTTCTTTCTCACCGACTGGATTGGCGATCTGATCAAATGGAGATTTGTGCCTGATAGTGTAAGCAGAGTCTTCCATCCTACCCAGGCCGGCCACTTTTTGATCGCAAATGTCGTGCTATGGAACATGGCTTCGGTACAAAATCCGGGTCTGATGAGTCCAGAAGTGAAGACGCTAGAGTCTCTCGAACTCACATGTCCTATTCCGCCTGCGCCGATGTGCGAAGGAAGTAGTACCAACACCTGGACCGATCGGGATGCAACCGTTTCTGCTATATCAGAGTTCTGTAGCAAGGGAGAGAACGTGAATGGCACGGCTGGTCAGCTTACTTCTGGAGTCTACGAAGACGGTTCTCTGAATTACGTCAACCTATCTATTACATGGAATGCTAGCTCTGCGATAGGAGATGGTACATGCAAGACGTACTTTATGACAGCCCTGGACAGCTGCGATACCGATTCTGGTCTCAAGCATGGTGGCTCAATCGGCTACATGGACGCAGAACTGAGCATTACGCCGCTGGTAGTTCAGCGGGAATGGGATGGAGGTCGCCCAGACTACCACGTCTGCAATGGACTCGACAACAACAAATACGTCAAGCAGAGTCTTTTGGCAAGCAATATTCAGGATTATTGTTCCAAGTCTGGAGCGAATTTGGTCGCCAGCGGTGACTACCTGTTCAGCCAGGATTATAACGTCGGCACACCTAATGCCGTCACTATCAGTACAAGATGGCCGACAGGAGATCACCATTACCAGGTGTTTGAAGAGGAGTGCAACTACTATCTGAACACAGTGATGAACGGCTGTGACACAGCAGACAACGTTATGAACTGGAAGCATGGCGGCCATATGAGTGACAACAACAATGTTGTCTATACAATTACACCTCTGGCCGAAAGACCTCCTCCACCCGATACCATACAGGCCTCATGTACGTTCAAGTTCTCATGGTTCCATCACTATTTCACAGTCAGTGGTGGTGGCTGGGCAGATGTCGACAATGGCAAGGAGCTCATGAAGCAACTTGGTGGATGTGGTGCGATGACCAGTCCTCACTTCCACTACTTGCCCTCACCCGATGGCGTTAATGAGTTCTGGGGCGACGGTAGTCTGCCTCAAACTATGAAGCCGGGCTGCATTGAACGGGCAATTGCCACAGCGGGTGGCCCCAAGATAAAATGTTCTTGATACTGTAAACAGTGAACCATTACCAATTGTGTATGAAAAAGCCTTTTCCTGTCTGCGTAGACCATCTCATTTCACTTGATTCGTAGCCGTCACTCACCAGGAACACTCCTCATCCAGAAACAAAAGTGCATGTAATGACTCGTATTTCCGTAGCTGCTTCAAAGGGACGGACGGTGTTTCAGAAGTATGACGCCGCACACAGTGTGACACTTAATCATTCACCGTCAGACCAAGCACTTTTAAATATTCCGCAGCGCTCTCGCTATTGAATCTCTCGTCGCAACTTCCTGACTTTTGCCGATACATTTCTGAGATGGCGCCGCCTCTTCTCTTGCCCAACGAGCTAATGCTCCTGCTGTACAAACACCAGACCACGATGTCGGACACCCTGGCGCTATCCTCCACCAGCCGCAACATGCGGACACTCTTTCTGAACAACGCTTCCAGCATCATCTCTGCGGTCTGTAAGAACGTAGACCTACTATCTGCTGCCGAAATCCTGATCGAGACAATCTTCGAAGTCGCAAAAATCCGTGTGCGTGTCCAGATACCGAAGACTATCACTTCCACAACAACGTAGCAAATCAACGTCATGCCGCAGATGCCTCAGCTCCTTTTCCAACCGAGTTACACAAATTGCGCACTCTATCATGGGTCCTTCATGTTGCTATGCTAGTTGCAGACAAGGCAATTGAGTTCTGGACTGCTAGAGTTGCCATGTGTCCAGCCGACCACGAACCACTAACAGTCGATAAAGAGAAGTTTGTCCAAGCATATCTTCTCCTCTGGCACTGCGCGGAATCTCATTTTTGGCGGAGCACAATGCACATATCAGGAGATTAGGACATCAACTACTTGATCGAGAGATAAGGTTATTAAGGGAGATTTACGACTTCTCCTCATTCGATCTGGACCGACCGACGAAATTACGCATAGGAAGTGCGGACCCAGATGCGGACGAAGAGGAAATCGAGATAGAGAGATGTTGGTTCCAAGTCGCGGGAGGAGAGAGACTAGATATATCCCATGATATGACGACTAACTCTGCTGAATGGTGGTTCTGGAACCACTGGTTCAATGGTGCATGGCGTGGTATAGAAGTATTCGACAGAATCCGAACGGAGTGGGAGAGGGAGAGGCCGGAGCAATGTATATGCCCAAAGGCAGTACTCATCAATTGGGATCTGGTGCAACTGGACTGGTGGCATACTTGGGACCGCACGATATAACGGAGCTCCTCGGCTAGCCTATCGCCGAGGAAGACAACGTCGGCCTCAAGATACGTACAAACTGGCTGTAACAACCCCGAAAGGCATTTCAAGAGCTGTTCTACTCTTTCCGCCGACTCATCGGCCGAACTAGAGTTAGTGTGCCTGGAACACGGTCAAGGATTGCTGGCAAAACGATCCCTACATCTCATCTCCAAAACATTCGAAACTCCCTTTACCCCGTCACGATACCGAGCCTCCAAAAGAAGGAGTCGCAGAAAACTCCTTCCCCATCAGCAAAACCATCACATAGTCACTGGTGCATCCCTCCCAAGACCGATGATCGAAAGTCATCCCTTCGACGTGGCTCGATCCACCAAGACGAAAAGCTCCCATTTGATCGTCGAGGCTCAGTTTCAACATTATCCAGACCTATTAATCACATCACTTTGGTCTCGACGTCGTTGAATACCATGATGCATCAATATGGATACTCATCACAGCTTCAGCTTGTTTGGAGCAGCTGCTTCACAGCACCTAGACACGAGGCCTGATTCAAGATTATACTGTAAAAGCAAATCAAGCCAGCTCCATTCTTCGAGTGGGCCACCCAACAGCACCTTTCATGGGGCCTGTGAACAGTAAAACGTGAGAGACAGTATCTAGATTGCCGAAACAGCGAGATTGTCGTTGCATCATCTTTTGAACATTCATGTTCAGTTTCTTTCATAAAGTCACGCTATGGGAACTGTGCTGGGTAGCTTAAGAAAGCTAGACATTCTCAATCTCGGTCTACGGTGGTCTCGCAGCCTATTCTGAGCGTCATCGATGTGTTTTCGAAACCGAGCAGTGGGTATGATGAAAGAGTAAAGGTTAGAAGAATCTAGCATGCAATCATTTTATATTCATGCAGACCATAAATAAGCTTCGTAAGCTATATCTGCTGCCATTCGAGCCAATCGCTCCTGAAACGCCTGTTTGAAACATCATATACTTGGTCCTCCTGGCGGGTATTCCCATATGAGCAAACGCCATATAACTCCTGTCCCTGCATTGGATATTACAGCTCAGCAACGTTCTTAGGCAGTGCCTCTGGGCTTAGCCTTGGCTTCCTTCTTCTCCTTGGCTGCCTGCTTCTGCTTCTTTTTCTTTTCTTCCAGCTTGGCCTCGTTCTTGCGCTTCAAGCTTGCCTGCTCTTCGGCGGTCTTAGCGATTGGCTTGAAGAAACCCTCGAGTCTGCTTTGCTGTGCGCTCTTTAAACTTTTGGCGAGACGGGCTGCTCCGTTCTTGACTCTGTCTTCGCTGAAGCCCTTCTCCTCGACAAGGAACTTGACAAGACCATCAACGTCAGGTGCCTTCCACTCGAAGTTGCACTCTGGATCATCGGCAGGGCGGACATCAGGTTCTTTGAAAAGAAGCTTGGCTTCGGCCCAAGGCCAGTCGTCTGGAATTGTGTACTTCTTGTTGTTTTCGAGCATATCGACAACAGCCTCGAGACTTTTGTGTTCCTTGATCATGGTGTAGGCGACCTTCGGGCCAACGCCCTTGACAGGATCAACGTAATCGCAGCCGAGCAGAATGCACATGTCGATGAACTGTCGGTATTGGTCAGCACAGTTTGCCAAGGACGTTGATGAATGACCGTCGCATACCTGATCCATGGTCATGTCCAGGCCTTCCAAGACCTTGTCCAGATGAATTTCTTGAATGGGTTCTTTGCGTTGTTCACTGAAAGTGAGCTTGCGGAGGAGAACAGGGGCGTTGAAGGTCAATGTATCCATATCCTCACTGGCAGCGGCATAGACTTTGCCGGCACGAGCCAGGGCAGCACACTGAGCTTCGGCCTCAGTAGGGGCAATGATGTAGGGAATGCCCATCAGCTTGAGCAATCGCTGAGCTTCGGCATTGTGTTCCCTCGTGACACGGACAGTGCGGCGACTGAACTTCTCCATGTCTTCAGCGGTACCCGTCTCTTTAGCTTCTTCGTGTGCCTCCTCGGCTTCAGTCTTGCGCTGGAAACGTTTGGCGAGTTCTCCAGACTTGAGCTTAGGTGGAGCGCCATCAAAGACGTAGAGGGGCTTGATGCCATTGTCGGCCATACGCAGAGTGCGATAGAACATTCCCATGAGATGTGATGTAGTCTCTCCAGATTCGTTCATCAATTGTTGACCTTCAGAGCGGACGGCGATGAGGAACGAGTACAATGACATGGATGCATCGATGGCGACCTTGCGACCGAACTGGTTCTTGATTTCTCCAGTCTTGACAGCATCTGGACAGTGCTCATCGATGACTTGGAAGAGGTCTGGATGGAGTCAAAAGTCAGCTTTATGATGGACATTGCCGGGATCGCTTTGCTTACGTTTAATACCCATCTTGACGGGTGAGTTGGTTTGAACGCGAGATGGTAGCACTGAGAGGGGTTGTCAAGTGACAGCGTGACGGTCAGATGGTGTATGGCAGACTGTTCTGTCAGAAGCAGAAAGTGCATGTCCGCGAAGCTGCCTGACGCGCACTGAGTCGCGTTTTGGAAAGTGCAACCCGGTGACGTAAATCAATTACTTCCCGATTGGGACAACCACAGTTTATCATCTATCGCATTGCACACGTTCCTGTAGACTCGAACTCGTGAATCTCGGAATAAGCCACACGAGGTTCTTCGCAAGTCACCTACCGAACATCTTGTCTGCATATCCAAAGATAAAGGTCACTGGCACGATAAAACACACGATGTCGGCCGTCGACTTCCAGCCTCGGCATGTCGACCCTTCATACAGCGGGGCGTAGCCGACTTTCCGATACAGCACCCATCTCCTTTGCCGCCATTCTCTTGCATGTTTTGTGTGCTCCGAGTAGTTATATAGTCAATACTTTACTCTTCTCTTCTCGATTGCTCCACTCTACTTCTCCTTTCCCATTACACATTCCGCACCATGTTCAAATCAGTCGCCCGCCAGACAGCAAGGCAACTGGGCTCACGAGGCTCTGCTGCTGCAGTTGCTCGTCGCTATGCACATGCCCCTGTGGCCTTTGACTGGACGGACCCTCTGGGTGCCAGCAACATGTTCACTGAAGAAGAATTGGCTATTTCAGAAACAGCCGAATCCTACTGTCAAGAACGCATGCTTCCTCGTGTGCTAGGTGCGTCTCACGCTTGACAATCGCCTACTGCAACCGCTGACCCAAGCNNAGATGCATACAGGAACGAAGACTACGACAGAAAGATTCTTGAAGAGATGGGAGAATTGGGACTGCTGGGTGCTACAATCGAAGGTTACGGGTGTGCTGGTGTTTCATCAGTCGCATCGGGTCTCATCACACGTGCTGTCGAGAGAGTCGACTCTGGTTACCGTTCAGGAATGTCCGTCCAATCCTCATTGGTCATGGGCGGTATCGACGAGTTCGGTTCTCAGGAGCAGAAGGACAAGTTTTTGCCCAAGCTGGCCAAGGGTCAAATGCTTGGTTGCTTCGGTCTGACAGAGCCCAACCACGGTAGTGATCCTGGCAGTATGGAGACGGTCGCCAAGCCCCACCCTACCAAGAAGGGTTACTTTAGCCTGAGCGGAGCAAAGACCTGGATCACCAACTCGCCTATTGCAGATGTTATGCTCGTGTGGGCGAAGCTGCAGGAGACGGGCAAGATCCGTGGTTTCCTGGTTGAGAGATCCGAGTGCCCTCCAGGAACATTGGAGACACCCCCATTAAAGAACAAGAACGGTCTGAGAGCTTCTCTTACTGGTATGATTCAGTTGGATGAATGCCCAGTACCAGAAGCAAACATGTTCCCACACATTGAGGGTTTGAGAGGACCTTTCAGCTGTCTCAACGGTGCTCGTTATGGCATTGCTTGGGGCACCATGGGTGCTCTCGAGGATTGCATTGCAAGAACCAGACAGTACGCGTTGGAGAGAAAGCAGTTCAAAAATAACCCAATCGCCAAGTACCAGTTGGTGCAGAAGAAGCTCTCTGATGCAACCACGGATGCAGCTTACGGTATTCTTGCGGCACTGCAAGTTGGCCGCCTGAAGGATGAAGGCAAGGCTGCACCAGAAATGATCTCAATGATCAAGAGACAGAACTGCGACAGAGCTTTGGTGAACGCCAGAGTGTAAGTGACATCTGCTGAGCATGATTTCCGAGAGTACCTACTGACTTGTGTGTAGNNGTTGCAAGAAGTGTTCGGAGGAAACGCTGTCAGTGACGAGTACCACATCGGAAGACATGTGGCGAACTTGTTTGTCACTCAGACGTACGAGGGTCAGAGTGACATTCATGGTAAGTTTAGGCAAGACAGTCTGATCCGCTACGATGTACTAAAACATGAGCANGCTCTTATCCTTGGCCGTGCAATCACTGGTCTTCAAGCTTTCTGTTAGATGTGCATACCCGATGAAGAGTCAGGCGCTGGATCTGGTTGACAGGTTGACGGATGCCCTCATGTTGTGTAAGATAGCCGAAACAGAGCACACAAAACAAACAATGTACAAGATACACAGCCCGATTGGGACAGAAGCATCTGCCTGAAGATGGAACGCGTGATGTCGTGCAGTATGATCGACGCCGAATGGAGGTGGTTTACAATATTGTGTCGGATGCATGCACGCACAGAGTCTGTGTCTTGTTGGATACCTACAGAATTGGGCTGCAAGCCGAAGCAAGCACGAGCAACCTGTTCGAACTCTGGTGGGCGCGTGATCTTCAGGCGCCTTCCTTGGAGATTTTACACTGACAGACTTCATAAATCGAACGCTGGCAGACTCAGACTTGACTTGAGCGTGTTTCCCTGTCAGCAAGTGAAACAACAGTGAAAGTGAGAGAAAAGCTTTGTGAAGAAACAAAACAGGGTCGTCCTTCTTTGTTGTGTTGCAACGAGAGCGTCGGTGAGTCGGCAATGACGCATCGGCCGTGCTGAGGCCAATCAATCTGAACGCTTGCCAGACTCCATCCTTTTCGCTCACATCCGCGACGACTCCTCGCTCCGCATACCACACCCAAGAACACCAACGCAACCACCTTCAAGGCAGCGTTGATCATTTGTCTTCAACTGTCACATACAACCACCGCACACCATGGCGCTTAAGAGAATTAACAAGGAGTTGACCGATCTCGGCCGGTAAGTGACAGCGCCCCTCTGTCCTTCCCCCTCCCCCACCTTGATGATGGTTCATCGTCGTCTTTGGCGAAAGCCCATGTCGCAAGAGCAGACACTGACAGACATGTAGNNTGACCCTCCCTCATCCTGCTCTGCTGGTCCCATCGGAGATGACCTGGTACGTTGCTGAAAACTCCGCCTCAAAATTGAGCGCCTGCCTCGCGGCCACTCGAATCTTCCGAAACAGAACTCCTTCTGACTTTGTTTGCCTCCANNGTTCCACTGGCAAGCCACCATCATGGGTCCCGTAAGTCTTTGATTTCCTGGTTGAGCGGTCGGTGGTCGAGCAATGCCGCCGTCGCCACTTCCACAACAAGCATAGCAACAGCATGGCTGACTGTCTTCANNGGGTGACTCCCCATACTCGGGCGGTGTCTTCTTCCTCGCCATCCACTTCCCCACAGACTACCCCTTCAAGCCTCCCAAGGTCAACTTCACCACCCGCATCTACCACCCCAACATCAACAGCAACGGCAGTATCTGTCTGGACATTCTCAGAGACCAATGGAGCCCTGCTCTGACCATCTCNAAAAGGTACGTTGTTGCGTGTTTGCTGTATCACCGCTTCCAAGCAACACCTGGCAAAAAAGTTCACAGATCCGTCTGTTACTAACACAACCCCGCAGTCCTGCTTTCCATCTGCTCCATGTTGACCGACCCCAACCCTGACGACCCGCTCGTTCCCGAGATCGCACACGTCTACAAGACTGACCGCTCGCGCTACGAGGCCACAGCCAGAGAGTGGACAAGAAAGTATGCCATCTAAAAAGTCTAGCAGCGAAGCCCATCATAGGGCACGATCAATGGTCGGATTAGTGCATCAAGGATTATCTTATTTCCTTGGCGTGCAGTGGCATTTTTCACGACGAATGGATTTCGGGGATGGATCGGGTTCTTCTGTTGTCGAGTTGAGCGGCGGTAATCACAGGCCAGCCTCTCCCTCGAGAGCGTCTGTCTGCTACTGCTCGTTCACACGCAAATGCAAAGACCCACTGCTTCGACACGCATGCACGACTCGCCTTTAGCCTTGCTTTTCTACTGCCAGACACATGCGATGGAGTGTTATGGCGCATCGGTTCACTTTCAGAAAGTCAGATAGACTGGTAAAACACAACATACGGAAATCCCACATGATAACGAACATTCTCTGAAATTTTCTTGTTTCGATTTGTACATGTCTAAACGGTTTGCTTGGGTCCTGTCTGCTCATACATAGAGCGTAGAGTTGAGATGGCGTCTGGAGATTCCTCCTCTTCGTCGACCTCTCTGTAAGCAGTCTCCTCTTCGTTCACCTCACTCTCAGCTTGACTTTTCATCTCCTGCTGCTCCTCAACAAACTGACCACCCCACAAATCCACCGGGATCCTCATCTCGTCAAAGTATCTCTCACTGTTACCGACAAACTTTCTGAGTAGAGGAGTAGCATCATCTCTTCTTTTCGGATCTTCCATCTCCCACAGCAGGTCATGGTAGAGCTGTTTGAAGGTTGCTATTATGTCTTTGATGGCCAGGGCGCTGCGGCTGAGGTCGTTGTAGGCGTCTCCGGGGTCTTGGAGGTGCAGCATCCAGGGTTTGTAGGCGGAGGGAATGGCGATGCGGTGGCGGGCCCAAAGAGANNCTGTAAAGGTATTGTTAGTCTCATGTGAAACAAGATAAACACGAATAGCAAAAAAAACATACCTCATTAACTTTTCTAGCCTCTCTTTCATCATGGGCTTGTCTTGACACCTNNTTCGGAATTTGGCAAAAGGCTCAATGCTCAATGCTTCTCGGTAGGTATCGAACTTTGTCCAGAAATCGAGGAAGTGGAGCAGACTGCTGGCTGCGCGAACTGTCGTTTGTTGCGGTTTCTGCTTGTTGTAGTGTTTCAAGGAAGCTACACACATCATGAACAGAGTGTAGGAGCCTACACCGCCGTACCAAGGATCCGAAAGACCGCGCAGATTCAAGGTGGTTTTCAACAGCAAGAACAGCGCTTTCAGTTGTGGGAACTCGGCGAGGTACTTTTTGGTTGCCACTCGAGCACCGTGGCTGAATTTTGTGGATACGATTTGAACTTTGAGGCCAGTGGGTTTGTGGACGGCTATGACCAGAGGGAAGTAGGCTGCTTCGTTGATTGTAACCTGAGCGAAGTCTTCGTGTTTGGCTAACAAGGACTGGATGACGCGGAGGTGGAATACCATCCGTTTTTTCCGTTCAGCCATAGCTCCTGCAGCCCATGCTGCTTTGGCGGCTTTATCGTTGGGCTCGCCTGTGTACGGAATTCGCTTGGACGTTTTGTCTCCAATACGAATGTCAATGTCCGAGTTTGGCATTGCAAGTCCGGTCGACTGAGAACCGTATGTCTCGGCTTTGAGACCCGGATCTGATTGTTGGACCAAGTCAATCAGGATTTGGGAAATCTTTGCTCTCGCAGCGTCTTCTGCAGGAGTCATTTCCATCCACTCGGCGAATGCTTCTATCTCGCTTTGAAGCCAATATCTCGTGGTGTATCTCTTGCGTCTTGGTCGACGACTCCAGGGCTCCTGGCGTGGGTAGCCTTTGAGTCCATAGATGATGGGTTGTGCAAAGCCGTAGTAGGACAAGAAACCATTAGGCGCTAGATTGTCAACGAACCTCGTAGTTGATTGCCGGACTTGTTCTTCACGAATGATGGCGAAGACTCTACGCAGTGTCGTGAAGAAAGCACCGCGATCGTCGTCTTTGTATTCTGGTATTGGCTGCAGGGGATCTTCGTGCCTGGTCAAGAAGTCAACCCATTTCTGGTACTGTTCCTTGGTCCTGGTTCGCTGCCACTCGATTTCTGCCGCCTTTTTTGTGGCTTGGGCGACTCTATCCAATGACCGGAGTTGAAATGCAGCGCCAGCATCTACCTTGTCGGAGGCGTCTCTCTGAAGCTTAGAGAAGGCTCCCAGATCAAGTTTGTCTTTCTCTTCTTCTTCTTCCGCAGAGCGTTTGGCCAATACCCGCCTGATGGGCGCTCGATTCTCTATGAAAGAAGGGCGTACAATGTCAGGGTCGATTCGTTCGGTGGAAACTGTACGAATGACGGAAGCGCGATTCGCATTTCGATGTGCTTCGAGTGTGGCTGACAAGTCGTCTGGATTGATGTGTTTGTCAAGACGTTTCAGAGCGGCTAGACGCATCTTCTGTCGTGTGTACCATTGCGCAGATCTTCCCGCGACATTGTGTTCATGGCGAGATTGCTGAGGTGAATATGTCACAGCATGGCGAAAGATGTAGTGTAGGGTTTGTCGGCTGTCACGCAGACGCAGCAGCTGCGATTGGCATGGCATGAACAGGATTGTCGTCTTCGGTGCGCGCGTGGGCTGTCTATATCCCTGTCCCAGTCTCTGTATCGACCCGTCCAGATATTCTCGAATGCGACTGATGTTTGCCTGCGTGATGCTTTATCCGCCGTTTCGTCCTCACGAATGTAGAAACGGCGCGGCCCGCTCTCTGCCCCGGTTTGGCGGCGTCAAGGTGCGACCTCCGAAGATGCCGGCAGGAGTTGTGACAGCTTCTTATCTCTTGCTCATCCGACATCTACTTGGGTATGATGGAAGTCTTTTCATGAAAAGCTGCTCTAGCTTGTGCAATCGATCGACAGGCGTTTTTCTCTGTGATCATAGTACGTTGGAACCTAAAGAGTTGTAGGTAGCCAGATGCTGAAGCTCATCTCTAGATCTTGCCGGGTAATTCACATCCGCATGACGATTGAGCCGGTAGATCAGTACGGTAGCGGACAAGACTTGAATGAAGCCATGTGCATCCATGACCAGTGACGTTGTGAATACTTTGTAAGCTGATATAAGCTCCTTTCACCGTTACTTTGAGTACCTCGTCTCTTGCTCCGTACCCCAGACTTCTTGCATACAACTACAAACACCATAAGCAAGGGATTCATAGCTAGCTATCTTGCTTCATCTGCAAATTGAGCTGTCAGCTTATAAGCGCGATGGCGGAACACATATCTGACCCTACTGGGCTGCGAAGCAGTACGGGATATATGCCAGTGAGCAGCCATGACCGAGACTAGTGCATATGGACTGCTGACACAGGACAGATTGAACAATATGGGTTGATAGGTAGCTAAGCTCTACACGACTACTGAAGCTCTAATGTTCAATGTTAACATTCTCTAGGAAACATGCACACCAGTGCTCTAGTGGTATGTATCAGAATCACATCTATGCTTGACTACAACTGACCAATTCTTGAANNGGCAATCGATGGAGGAATTGACATGATGTGCTGGTAGGCATACGACAAACCACTTGCAGCTCGAATGGCGATGAATTGACATTTCTCCTAGGCCNNTGACTTTGATTCACCATCTGTTTTCTGTCGCATGCTGGACAAGAACAAGGGTGGTCACTTCAACATCGGTCCTCCTCCAGGTCTGAAGATCACCACGAAGCAACAATATCTGCCTAGCAACAACATTCTCCAAACCAGATATCTGCACGACGATGGCGTCTTGACTCTTACAGACTTCTTCCCACGTCCTCTCAAAGTCGACAAACTTGGCCCTTCAGTCGGACATGGCAGTACTATCGATCCTCGCAGCGGTCTCAAGAAGTGGCTGGTCCGAAGAGTCGAGTGTATCAGAGGTGCTACAGACGTCAACGTGGAAGTCTTCCCTGCTTTCAACTATGCTCAGGACTCTCACACCACCGAGATTGTGAAAACCGACGACGAGGCACAGCGGGTTGTACACTTCCGCTCTGAGAAGTTGTCCTTGGAGCTTGTGGCCACTATTGATTGTGGTGACGATTCTCCTTGCCCAGAGTTTTCCTTCTCGAAGAAACAGATTGACGGCTGTTCTTTGGGTGAAGGTGTGACTGCAACGATCAATCTCAAAGAGGGCCAATCCATTTCCTTTGTGCTGAGAGACCTCGAAGAAAGCAACAAGGAAACCATCTCCACTGCTCTTCTTGACCAGATCCAACAGGACACTTCGACTTACTGGTTCAACTGGATCTCCAAGTCAAAGTACAAGGGACGCTGGAGAGAAGTCGTCAGCAGAAGTCTGATGATTTTGAAGATGCTCACGTATGAACCAACGGGAGCCATTGTTGCGGCACCCACCTTCTCTCTGCCCGAAGACTTTGGCGGTGGTAGAAACTGGGACTACAGGTATGTTTACACCATCGCTTGATCGAAATCGGTACTAATTCAAGTATCNAGATTCTCGTGGGTCAGAGATTCGTCTTTTACCATTTACATACTTCTCCGCATGGGCTTCACCGAAGAGGCAGAAGCGTACATGAACTTCCTCAGCGACCGCCTGATTGACTCTCGCAAACCCGATGGCGGTCTTCCAATCATGTTCTCCATCCGTGGTAGTACCGACCTTCCAGAGATTGAACTCTCCCACCTATCCGGCTACCAAGACAGTAAACCCGTCCGTATCGGCAATGGCGCAGCTTTCCACAAGCAACTAGACATCTACGGAGAAATGATGGACAGCATCTACTTGTACAACAAATACGGCAAGCCAGTGAGCTACGACCTCTGGGTCGCAGTCAGANNAAAACTCACAGACTACGTTTGCGGCATCTGGAAAGAAACCGACATGTCAATCTGGGAAGTCAGATCCGCACCCATGAACTACACATACTCAAAGATCATGTTGTGGGTAGCCATCGACCGCGCCCTACGCCTAGCCGACAAACGCTGCTTCCCCTGTCCAAACAGGATGAAGTGGTTGGAAACCCGCGACCAGATCTACGATGATGTGATGGAAAAGGGCTACAACCACGAGATGAAGTGCTTCATTCAAAGCTATGAAAGCAACGAAGTCTTGGATTCTGCAGTCTTGATTGCTCCTTTGGTGTTTTTCATTGCGCCTAATGATCCTCGCTTTACCTCTACCCTTGAACAAATCCTTCTTGCGCCAGANAAAGGTGGTCTCACCTCTACTGGCCTGGTCTACCGCTACAACACTTTAAAATCCGATGATGGCGTTGGAGGCCGTGAAGGCGCATTTTCCATGTGTACTTTCTGGTTAGTGGAAGCACTAACCCGTGCGGGCGCCTACGACAAAAAGTATCTCATCAAAGCCATCAACATTTTCGAGAACATGTTGAGCTTCTCGAATCATTTGAATATGTTTTCGGAGGAGATTGCTAGGAGTGGAGAGCAGCTTGGAAATACTCCTCAGGCGTTTTCGCATTTGGCTTTGGTTAGTGCTGCGTTCAATCTTGATCGCGTGACTCAGGGAAGTGGCGGCATGTAAAAGAATGTCTGACTATGCAGAATATGAACAATCATGAAAACTTCATGTATTTGATAACCGAGAAGACTGAAGTGCATGTGAGTAGAAAGGGGTAGTTCGGATTCATATTTTATACAAGTTGGGAAACAGCCAGCCATAAAACGCCGTCAGAGTATCTTACGCTAACCATGCCGAGGAAATGTTTGTTTTGTGAACAAGAGAGAAGATGAAAGCATTTAGATCAAAGAACACATTTACTTGTTCTGCGATCTGTCGTGGCCAAGGGCGTTGACATTAAGACCAAGACCTTGAGTATCGAGGTAGACCTTGTTGTTGCTCTTCTCGAGGATGGAAGCGACGTTTCTGGCGTTCTCGAACTCACGCAGCTCAATGTAACTGCGGCTCTTCTTGATGGCATCACCAATCAGTTCGGCGGAACGGGCCTCACCCTGGGCGCGAACAATCATGGCTTGCTTCTCCTGGCGAGCCTTGTCGACGACGAAGGCGGCACGCTGGGCTTCTTGTTGGGCGACCTGCTTGGCTTCGACTGCGGCGGTGAATTCGGGCGAGAAGGCAAGGTGCTAGAAATGCGTGTTAGCAAAGAGAAGTTGAAGATATGGCGAACGCGGTCGTACTGTTAATGAGACATCGTCGAGCATAATGTTGAATCTGGCAGCACGCTTCACGAGATGGTCGCGGACGAGTCTCGAAACGTTCTCTCTCTGGGTGATCAACTGGGAGGCGTTGAACTGGGCAACAACACTCTTGAGGACCTCATTGACGATACTGGGAAGGACGCGCTCGTCGTAGTCGGTTCCAAGAGTACGGTAGATCTGAGGCAGGGCATCGACACGGGGTCTTGAAAGGACACGGCAGGTAATGTTGACCATCTGCAAATCCTTGGTTCCGGTAAGGGAGGCGACGTTGCGAGGCTTTGCGCGGACGTCGTAGACGATGGGAGTCTCAACCCATGGGATCTTGATGTGGGTTCCTTCGGGGTAGATGTCGCCCTTGACACCACCAATACGGCTGTACTTGACGGCGCGGCAACCACCATCGACGTTGAAGAGGGCGTTGTTAAAGAGGTAGACACCGCCCAGACCGAGGGCGATGACGGCGATACCACCAAGAGCGCCCTTGGGGTTGGGTGTAGGGCCTCCGGCTCCGAATCTGTACATTTGCCTCGTCTCAGCTCTCTTGTTCTTTGATCTNNTGAATCACGTTCTCGTAGGAAAAGGAAAGTTTGCGCACTTTCTGCCTGATCTCTGTGCTTGCTCCAAGCTCTTCTGCAGGTTCTTCCACATATCCCGGGGGTCTGACATGGTTGCGACGATTAAGGCGAACTGGGTGGTGATAGAAGGTGTCATTGTGATTCCAGTAGCTTGAAGGTCGAAGGCGTCGATGATGCTGCAAGCACGGACCGACCAAGTCGCTCCACGTTTTTATGCACCCGCTTGTGCTACTCGTTTATGCAAGTCACCACCATCACCGTTACATGTCAAATATTGGCATTCCAAGCCTCTCGCATGCTCGTTTCAAATGTTGCTTCTTACTGGTATATATTCGCGTGACATGCACTGGTTGTTGCAAGTATCGTCAATCCACTACGCTTGTGTTGGCGCCGTCGTTGTCAAGACAGCCGAAAACTTCTCGGCATCTTCGGCTGCAGCAGCATCGAGTAAACAATAGCCAGCCTGCTCTTCGTGATCCCCTGCCACCTAATAAACTTTTGTTCCGATAATACTTTATGAGTCCCCTCAAAGGATAACTGGTAACCAGTTGTCCTACTTGGCCTATTACACGATACGTTTGACTCGCCGCCTGACTCAGCCACATTCTGACGACAGCAACGTTTGCTGTAAAGTGCCTGCCTGAATTGCTAACAAGATTGATATCATATCAACTCTGCCTGTTCCATATCTTGCAATCTGTATCTGCAGAACATCCCTTGCAGCCATGGCCTCTGCGATCGAGGCTAGATCCTTGGCTGTTTTAACCACTATTGCTTCCGACCCTCCGCTCTACCCAAGAAATCCAACCCAACTTCCACATGCACCCTTGACCTTGTATATCGTAAGAGTTCCTGGCAGCAAAGGTACGAATAGCTTGAATCTGCTCAAAAGTTGGNNTGTTAACTTGGATTCAGATGTCTTCTTGACCCCTCTCAAACCACGGGAAAAGGTCGTTAGTGCCGAAGATGTCCAGAGCTCCTTATACTTCTTGCATATCGACATCCCAGAAGATGACCTTGTCGAACTACCAGAAGAGATACCGGTGCTGGACACTCCTGCTCTCTCAACAATCAGCCGCAAACCACTACCAACACCTCCGACTTCTCCTGCAGATGGATCTCCAAGACAGAGGAGTGCCGCCTTCGACAGTAAGCCGCAACTTGGAGTACCCCAGCGCAAGCCAGTTCGTCAAAGTCTTGATCTCCCGGACATTCCACCGCGACCGCCTATGAGGAGCCCTCTAAGTCAGCATGGCCAGTTTACTCCGAATGAGCTGCCCGATGGAAGACCGTCATTCTCCAGACGGCCACTCAGCAATCAGTTCCTGGATCCAAATCTCATTTCAGGTCGGCCTTCTGTGAACTCCCGGAGCTCTAATACTACGGAAGAAGCTAGTCGATCCTCGTATGATGGCCCTTCAACTCCAGAANNGAGGGACGAACGGTGTGTCTCACTAACCCTTATTCGTCGAGATCCGTCGTCAGGCTTTCAATGGAACGTTGCAAAGATTCGTGATCCACCGGTTCATGGAGTGTCCTCCGTGTTAGGAGGAGATGGCTCCATCAAGACCAAGAAAACAGGAGCTCCACTGTTCATCGAGATTTACAATCCTGGATACTCCAAGTTCTTGCAATTTGATCAGATCAGACCAGATTCTCGAGGTAGTGCTGATATGGCTTCTCTCTCGCCAAATCTATCATCGGACCATGATAGCACGTTCCGCAGACGACTATATATGGATGGATCGAGGTTCGGCGACCACTCATATGGACATAGCAAGACTCCTTCTTGGAATTGCGAGCAGCAAAGTCAGCGTTCTTCGGTGCAATTGAATCGACAAAGTCTGCAAGCTGTACCGAAAACGCTGGCAGACAGGAGGAGCAAAGGCTACACCTTCCGGAGCCCTTGGGGTGGTAAATGCGAGTTCTCGACCGGCGCAGCTGGTAGATCGTTGAAGGTACGTTTGACGTGGACCGTCTCTGGTACAGTGTGGTGTACTGATATCTTGCAGTGCAAACATGTCCTTGACAACCCATCAAGTGCAACGACGGAAGTTAGTGAGCTGCGTTTCAATCTTCCGACAGGCAGCACCTCTAAGAGCAGTACATCTACTGATGCCGGAGCAAAGAGATCTTCAGCAATTTTAAGACCAGCCTTACACAGACACTCAACCTCGGACGAGCTCACCAATGGTCCTCTTTCTCCTGGTATGAGCAAGTTCTTGGACGAGTATGGTAATATCGATCTTTCTCTTGGACAGGAGCGTGCTGGAGGTGGTTTCCAAGGGAAGCAGGCAAAACTCGGAAAGCTCATCATTGAGGATGAAGGCGTCAAGATGTTGGATCTGATAGTGGCAGCCAACATGGCTCTCTGGTGGAGGGCGTACGAGCGAAAGCACTGAGCGCGAGCACTGAGCGCGATGCGCCAGGCTATACACGACCGCAATGCTTGGAAGATGGCCCACACAAAGCTATAGGCGCTGCACGATAATGTTGAAAAGCCCTTCTTGTTTACTACTCGACGCCAGCAGCAATAACAAACCATCACGCGTCATTAACGCGCGGACCTTGGCCCAGTATGGACACATCATGGAAGATTGTTTACAAGCAGCGCAGAGAAAGACGTGCCTCGAGCTCAACCGTCAGTGCCGGCGCAGGCTCAACACCTTCTCCTCCTCCCTCACTCAGACCTCTCGACGACATGAGACACATCCTAGCCCCTGAGCCTGACTATGGCGCAGAGACAGCACAGCTCGAGATGTCCATGGATGGTATTTGGGACTTCATGAACCAAGTCAGCACAGAAGGCCCCAATGACTTTCCCAAGACATCCCATCTCAAGATCATCATCGACTCATCAGACTTTGGTGACTGGGAAGATGATAGCTGGTAAGATGCAGTGTAATGATATGCGCATATCAGATATCACTAACCGCCTCCCTTTGCAGGNTGTCTCTTTCTGGCGACATTCAAACCCTTTTCCCAGAAGGTCACTCATCTGAGTATTCACATCAAGGGCAACTTTGTCTTCACTCGCTACAACTATGTCAACCCTGAGATTTCCATCCAAGAAGAAGTGCTCGCTGTCAAAGGCAAAGGCAAGGGTCTCGATCTTGACCTGGGACCTTACAACGCTGCTCCTGTCTCCAACAACGAGAACAAGGCAGGACCCTCACAGAAACCCAAGTTCACTCGCTCAAGCGTGAACTCCACCGCCAACGCTGACTGGATGCCTTCTTCACTCAACACCTCCGCCGCCGACCCAACCAACAAAGGCCCCTCATACATCAACAAGAAAGTCCCTTCTCACTACATCAACCTTCACATCTACGANAAAGCCATTGTCCCAGCCTTGATCGATTGCTTCAAAGACCGCACTTCCCCACTCGCCTTCATCACCATCCAAGGCGCCATGGAACTCTCCCTCCGCCGCCACATCATCAGCTCCCTAAACCCCTCCTTCATGTCCTCTTTAATCCTGCTCGCCGAAGCCGGCTACTCCCTCAACGACTCTGCCCAAACAACACAAGTCCAAGCCTGGGAAGCCAGCACCCCCGAACTCGTGTTTTTGAANAAGGGCATCCAGGACCCTGATGACTTTGGCCAGTGNGGAAAGGACAGTATGCAGAATGTCAATATGCATTCTTTGGGGGAGTGGGTTGTGCCTTCTGGTAAAGGTGCGAGAGGGGTTTGGGGTTGGAGGGTTGGTGGGCCTAGAGTTAAGGTTTGGAGGGGTCCTAGTGGTGGTTGGCATGGCAGAGATGGTATCTGAAGGATTGCTGTTGCAGCTCTTCTCACATTCACCCAGAAGAGATGATGAAACGACGACACCGTGTGATGATCGATACAACGATGGAGGATGACTATAAGGGGAAGGCACAAGAGATGATCGGTGATATAAAGACGAGACATCAACGAGAGAAAGAAGAAAAGGCAGCCAGGAAAGGCGTGTAGAGTAATACACAGTCAAAATCAAAGAATCTCACCTCTCTGCCTCTTACAGCTTTCATATCTTCAAGCTACTCATTGACCTGGCCATATCTTCTGCAACGACAGCCTTTCCTCCTTGATCTTGTCACAACAAATAGAAGTAGAAGCATGTTCTGAGGCTCTTGTAAGTCATACATTCAACCTACTGGCTTTCTTGAACTATCCGAGCCATTGAACTTGTTTGGATTTGCGACCATGGGAGACAAGCCGGGCTTTCCTGCTATTGCTTTGATGCTGATACAGCAGCAGAAGAATCACGAAACACATCAAGTCTGCAGAACCAGAGAAATAAAGAATAGTATTCGTTGATTTGGACTCTTGTCCTCTTTCTATGGGCAGAGCCTGGCTCCGCTCTCTTCTCATGCCCAGCTCCTTTCCTTCTCTTTTGACACATAGAGCTATGCTATCATGCTAAACAAGACAAGACTCCTGGGCTTGTTTGCTGTTGAATATTCTGATCCCGAGGTTTCTGGAAACCGTCTCCACCTCGTTTTTGGAGACGCGTATCTAGTAAACCTTCTTCTTCTCGTCGACACTGAACTGGCCGGGACCCATGTTGACCAAGAGGAGAAGACCACCAACAATCGACAGGATTTGGAAGAAATCGTACTTAGCGAAGTCCTTGTGAGGGTGGTTGTGGTGCANACTAGAAAAAGCGTTAGTCAATACAAGAAAATCGCAGAACAAAGAGTGGGCTCCAAAGAAACTTACAGTCCAGAAGTTGTTGACGAGCAAGTTGAACACACTGAGGATGACAACAAGCATCACAGCACTCCACTTTGCCTTGAAGCCAACAACAACCATAACACAAGCAACAGCGCCCAGCAAAATAACCACGACTCTTCCAAAGCTCCACTCGCCAGCGAAGACGAAGCCCACAAACAGGAAGATGAGCAAGACGCGTCCGGCAAGCTGGAAGTACATCTTGCGGTCCTTTTCGTCGAGGGTGGGTAGCCCGGCGGGGGCGAAGCGCTTGCGCACCCAGCTGTCGGAGAGTACCATCAACAGACCTCCCATGACCGACAGGTTACGCAGGAAGAAGTTGAGGTCGAAGATGAGGCCGTAGCCGAGGGCTTGGGTGATGACGACGCCGAAGAGACCCATGACGGCGTATTCGCTGTGCTTGCGGACGATGATCATGAAGGAAGAGACGCTCATGGCGATGACGTTGGCGATGAGGAACAGGTGGGTGATGCCGGAGGGGACNNTGATTGTAGCGTGTTAGTTAAGAGTCTTGTCTCAGAAGCATATGAGGGACGTACTGTGTCTGTAGTCGTGCAGGTAGGTGAGCTGGTCGCTCCATTGGGTGATGATGCGCAGGGCATCTTCGAGGAAGGTGACGACGATGAGGAAACGGCCAATGGCAGGGATATAACTACAGCATTGTCAGTGGCTGGAGCATGTGCGCAAGCGTGTCCAAACAACTCACGGCTTGACGGGATGTGACAAGGTGTCGAGCCAGTCTTCAATCTTGCTCGTCTGTTCGCGAATAGCATCCAGCGGACTGGGATCATTGGTGGCGTCTGGTCGTCCGGGACCGCCAAAAGAGGGCTGCGAGCCCAGGTGGTATCCTGCCGTCCCTCTGATTTGAGCCATGGTCGTCGTGGAAAAATGGTATAAGGGGGGAGAGGAGAGAGTTCGGAAAGAGTCTCCTCAGTTGGCACGAAAGGTCTAGAGAGAGGCTAGAGACGTGGGGAAGAATAGACCACTTGTCAGCAAATCGAAGCTTGTCGCAGCTAATCCGCTAAAGTCCCCTTTTGCTGTCGTCTTCGTTTGATTTTCCCGCCGTTCAGGGCCGACAATAAATACCTTTGTACTTGTATGTGACTCAATCTCGACTATGAAAACTTCTTTAAACCACTCTTGTCGACGCTCTAATTACCTCTCTACCGTGACGCATACTGTCTGCAGTCCTCGGCACGTTCAAGAACACCATCAAGCTTTACGACCATGCTCCACAATGCCATCATCGAATAAAGCACTTCTGATAAATATAGATATAGAATTCAAAAGCATTTCATTTTGGATACATCAAAATACAAGACTAAACGGCAGGAGTAACGAAGCACCCTTGGAACTCCTGTTCTCAAACCAGTCGCATCTCGTCGTCTCCCGTGTGTTTTTGCGGTCTTGTGAGAAGTAGTCGATTGTTAGCAAAGAATGAAACCAACCCCTCAAGATGCCCTGTGGGAATACCCTTGCTTCGAAAACAAAAACATGAAATAATCTGGCATTCTGCCTTGACTCTTTGAATCTCGCGTCTCTGTCGAGAAGAGTCTGTATTAGAACAAAGAGACTTTAGTAGCACTCATTCGTTCTTGTGCATCTACAAGAAATCGTGCCGGAGCCGACATTTGCAACCCAGGTTAAATCAAGCAGCCCACTGAGAGTCGTCAGGGTGACTGCCCGCATCGTAACCAGAGTCGTAGAGAGAGGAGAATCCATTAGTCGAGGAAGCTGCGACCTTGGGGGCAGGTGCAGTGACTTTAGGCAAGGGAGCGGCCTTCTCAATGGGAGCGTTGACCACAGAGCCAGCATCACTGGTGTTTGAATCCTCAGAACCGACAACAGGGGCCTTCTTCTTCTGCTGCTTCTTGCCCTTGGGCACAGTGTTCCAGCCCGAGTCGTCTTGGCTGATCTGCTTGGCGAGTCTCAGCTGGTCTTCCTCAGAAGCTCCGGTGCTAGCGCTCTGGTCGAAAGTGTCGAGCAGGGGAGCGCTCTCGCCAGTGACGGCCACAGCAGGAGGCTGAGTGGCGCGTTTAGCAACATCAGCAGCCCATGCGCTGCTGGTGGGAGGCACAGGAACGCCATTCTTTGCAGGCTCTCCACGAGCTTCACGGACAGTACGGCGTTGGGTCTCGAGCAGAACCTGGCGTTCCTTCTCCTCGGCCTCTCTCTGAAGTCTACGTTCCTCAACCTTCTTACGGTTCTGTCTCTGCTTCTTCGTTTCTTGCTCCTGGGCTTGGCTTTGGCGAGGCTGGTTAGCCTTGGTAGGCTTGTCAGATCCAGTGAGGCGGAGGACAGATGGGCCGGCAGAGGCGGGCTCGAGCATGTCTGAAACATCACCAGCAGCCAGGGAGGGAGACATGGAAGGGGTGAGGTCGTCATCAGCATCGGCAGCATTGGATGAGGCGGAGGAGAAGGTCTTAGAAGACTGCTTCACTGTTTTGTTGCGCGAGTCGGTGCGAGCAGGAGGGGCAAGGCTGGTACCCTTCTTGAGGCTGGCGAGTTGTTGAGCCCAAGCCTTGTTGTCTTCCTCTTGAGCGACATCGTCGTCCAGCTCCTGACGCTTGGGTGCGGGAGCAGGTGTGAGAGAGGGGGCAGGTGTAGTGGTCTGCTTCTTGCCAGCCTTGCGCTTCTTTGAGCCATCCGAGACCTTGGTGGTGCTGTCATCACCGCTCTGGACGCTCAACTCAGGAAGAGTAACGCCGGTAGCTTTGGTGGCTTCGGACTTTGGCTTCGGCTTGGTCGATTCTCGTCGGCGGGCAGCTTTGGGTTGAGGAGCGACAAAGTCCGAGACTGAGGCAGAGCGAGTTCTGTTGGCGACGGGCTTGCCGTGCTGGAAGTAATAGTAGTAGACGGCGGCAGCGCCGATAAGGGCGACTGCCCACGACTGCCAGGGCTCCATTTTAATAGATCGCTACCGCACGTCAGGTCAGTAGAGCGGCGAGACGAAGGAAGTCTGGAGGGCTCTTACTCAATTGAGGGGTGCTGAGGTACGAGACTTCAGACGGAATTGACGAAGAAGAGGGCTGGGTATGAAATGGAGGACACGGGACAGGATGCAAGGAAGAAGACTCAATGTGGTGCGGAGGCGCAAGGACGAGCGATTCCCAATACTGGAAGTGGTAGGTACGTCAGCCTCAACGCCGGCAGACAAGAACAAACAACACGTTTACAACAAGCTTGAACAACCACACTTTCACGTCTATCTGGACATCCTTCGACTTAATGCTATGTACGACCTCTTTTCGCCGGAACAATGACCTGATCACCCCAACATTGCCTCAACAGAGCGCATTACCGACTGTCACATGAGGTATATACATGCTCAATGTCCGCCAACTCTTGCCAAGAGCTCGAGCTTCCAGCCGCACTGGGCTCGGACTTGGTAAACAAGTGACAGCGAGGGCAATCTTGACACAAATTCACTGCTACATAGAATAGGGGGTCCAATCGTTTGACTCGTGGAATTCGAGAACGGATAAATTGTCTCGTATAGACTTGCCCTCGCGTTGATAGTATCGAATGCCGAGATTGAAGCTCATCTACTTCCGAAATAGCCACTATACGGCGGGTATCCAAACGCCTACGCCACCTCTATCATCACTTTGCACACTGTCTCCAGCATCCAGCACCCTGAGTGTCTTCTGGAAGTATGCATCCACTACTCTAAGTGCTGGCCAGACCCAATGTCCCTTCTGACCTCGTCGTTCTGTCAGAGCATCTTCTTCGACAGGATATACCAATATTCTGTAGTCGACCTGGACGCGACTCATCGGGGTGAGGCTTACGGCTCTGTGCTTTGATCCGCTGAATGCAAAGAGATCGTTTGCTTCCATGGTCAGATTGAATGTCAAGAAGTGCATCGATGGGTTCTCTAAGGTGTATGAGACAGTGATGGCTTCGTCTTCTGTGTTGGGAGGAAGGCTGGCTGTGCACAGTACCCTAGGCTCGGCAGACGGTATGGTCATGCTAGGGACTGCGAGCATAGTGATTGTTGTATCGTCATCGCTAGCATCTTGTCTACGCCAAGTGACTGCTAAGGACAGTTCCAATGCAGAAGGGCGTCGATCCTCCAGCGTCAACTTGCGCACTGCCAAGATGTGAGGAACATCCATCATATCCTTCAGAGCCATAGTACGTAAGATCTTTTGTGGTTCAGAAGAGTCCTCGACTTCACATACAGCGTTGCTGGTGACTCTATTAACAACAAGCCGTGTTGCTTCGACGAGTAGAGGTTGGGTAGAGAAGGATACGACGCGGCTGGTCAAGCACCATCTCTGCGATATGCCTCGTGCTGGTTTCGTCTGTTCGTTGTCATCCTCGGAAATGTCTGGTAGGCTGAAATAATTTGGATATGCTCCTGTGTGCAAGCGCGGTCCAAAGTCGTAGTTGGCCTCGAAGGGGCTGACGAAGGGTATCACCGACTCCAATGTCTTCGTGACAGGTGTTTCCGGGTCTGAGGCCAGGCGGTAATTAACCTCCAGCCTCAGAGTGTATTCTGAAAGTTCCAGCGGAGCCTTGAATTCGAGCTTCTGGGACTTTGATTCATTCGCCGATATCTTGCCAATTGAGAGGTTGGTCAAGTCCGTGTCGTTGGCTTCGTTGTTGTTGTCCTTCCAAGCGAGCTGTAGACTGACTTCTGCATTGTCCTGTCCTTCGGCACGTACATGGGCATTGACCTCCTCTGCTTCCTCGTTGAGAATCTGAATATCAAGGGTAACTTTTTCGCCCGTGAAGTATTGTTCTCTCAGATTCGTGATACGTAGCTGGACCTTTGGTGGCTTCGGCAGTACTTGTATGGTGTTTGGCTCTGCTCGAGGGATTTGCTTTCGTAGAAGCTTGTCTTCTGACTGTAACCACCAGTTTGAAGAACTTATGTCTGTCGGACGACTGAGCACGTGCTCGAGGGTGGCTTCGGATGCCTTCAGAACTAAAGACGCACCAGTAGCGCCAAATGAATCGGGATCGCGAAGTGGAATTGTTAGATTGAAGACACGAAGTTGACCAGGCTTGAATGTCAGATTCGCACTCGTCAACAAGCCCTTCGCCATAGGATGTGCTGGATCATGCTCTTCTTCGACCTTCAACTCTGTTGCCAAAGATTGGCCGACGTTGTCGGAATGGTTGATAACCAAGCTTTTAATATTGGTGTTGAAGTGAACACGAAGCTCGCTCAAGGTCAAATCATTTTTGTGTACTGATGCATTGTAGACAACTGCAACTTGACAGGTAGCAGTATCTCCTACGAAGCCTGCACCTGACAGAAACGAGAACGAGAAGGTGANCTTGATGATGGTTATTAGCTCGCGTCGATAGCCTCGATGCGAAAACTCACCTGGACAGACCCTTGACTGGGTATCTAGAAGAATATGCATGCGCTCGTCGTTGCTGCCAGTTGACAAACACCGCGATATATCGATATTTCTTTGGGATTTGAGGGNCTGCTGCGCGTCAGAGAGATCCTTTGCTTCGGTTGCAGAACACTTACATTCATACGTAAGCTCCCAAGCACTTTCAGCCTGAAGTTTGATGTTGTCCGTCTTTTCTGCAGAATCGTATATCAACTCTAGAACTTCGACTGCTAGGTCGAACCATTTCTCGCGTCTCCAGATCATGTTCTCCCATACTGGCTGCAGAGTCTGAAGCACTTCATCATAACGCTCTGCCTTGTAGAATTCACGCGCGAGGTCGATCTTGACTTGATGGACTGCCCTCATTTGACCTCTGTTGGACATGATGCTTTCCACCCGCTCAGTCTGGCTTTGCAGATCCAGCAAGTAGTCGTAAGTGCTGTGGCCAGACAAGGGTGCCTCCTCATGAGGCTGGGGAACCATGTATGTATCGTATGTTCTGGTTCGACTTGCAAGTTGGGCTGCAGTCGTCTCACTCGGAAGTGTCCTATCCTCTTGCGGAATAGCCTCTGCTTNTTTCTTACGCGCCATAAGGTGTTTGCAGGCCAATCTCCACCAGTATCCTGGATGATGAAGCAGATGAAATGGCATCATACGTTCCATGGTTGAATACAGTTTTTCCGCTGGAGCATATATGGTAAGGGAGGCAGTCTGTTCTTCAGGGTCGGACAGATCCACTGATTTGAAGACGGGCAAATCGGCCATCTCGATAAGCTGCGCCATCATCTTCGCCCAGCGCGCTTCCCAGGCTTCCCAGCTGTAGCTGTTGTCAGTTCCCTTGCCACGACGATCGATTAAATCTCGCATGCGCTCTTTGTAGTTGAACCAGGATTCGGCAGTACCAGATGTCATGCCCCTCCATATTTGACAGCGTAAGACACGGAAGGCGATGATATCGCAGAGTAATCGGGCTTCTTGCCAACGAGCTGACCAGCTTGGAGTGTGTTCGAGACTTCCTTCAGGACCGAACAATTCTTCCAGGGCAGACTCATAATGTCTCTGAGCTACATCCATTTCTTGTCGGAACTCTGCAAAGACGGCTAGCTTGAAGTCGTAGCGTACGTTCCAGCCATTAACAGTCAAAACTTGCGATGTGCCACGACTTGCCGCAGCGGTTATAGGCGGAGGAGCAGCACGACCTCGTTTCCTTCTCGAATGTTTTGTTAGGTCTCTGTAGTAATCGATGCAAACAGGCTGTAACGCTCTCAAGACACTCGAAACAAAGGTAGGCAGGTCGGTCTGGGAGTCAGACACATCAAAGTGAAAGCACGAAATCTTTGGATCGAGGGAAGTTGCTCTCCTGATGTTGGCGAGGCGTTCTTCAAAGTCGAGAGGAGAAATGGCAGCATCATCTGAGACGAGAACGACAGCGTATCTCGTCTTGAAGCCGGATCTGATGATTTCATTTCTCGTATCGTTGATGTGGGTTTTCAAGGCGGCATCGTTGCTCGGATCTGAGTCCAACGTTTGGAAGGAGAGATAGACAGCAGGAATGCGGGACTGATGTTTTGCCAGCCATAGAGGAGTCATAAGACCATCGGGAAAGACAGGAGAAGAAGGAGAGAGCGGAGATAAAGGCGAATGGAGGTCATGGCTGGTGGAAGAAGAGGGATTGGGACTTGCTGGAGGAGATTGAGAGGGCACGATAGGCGGAGGAGCGGCCTTCCTGGGAGGATAGACAAAGGANNCTGTGCTGGTTCAGTATTACAGACATTACGCAGTGCAGGTTAGCAGCGGCATACCTACCCTCCCAACACTCGACAACTTGAAGCCTATCAGACCAGATCTTTCGGCCAAGGCCTGGTCACTCCAAGACAGAGAAGCGCCATGAGTTCGCAAGAATTCGTCCAAGATGGAATCGGCATGAGGACCAGGTAGTGGGGGAGAGTTGTCGGTAATCCTTAGGCCACCACCTTGAAGAGGGTTTGAAGACGGCGTGGTCGATGCATCGGTAGACGACTCGGAGATTGGCAGACCAGCTAGGGCGATGAAGGGCAGGTTATGGGCGACATAGTCTTCGGGATAGGCCTCCATGTCTGCGCGATCATGGCATGGCAGCAGTGTTTAGGTAAGTTAGTAGCTGCCCCGTGAGTGCCCGTGCAAATGACGCGCTTGGAAGCTGGGGCAGTCGAGAGTTTGAGGTTGCGAGTCAATCCACCAGGCCGCTCTCAATTTCTGCCTACTCTTCACCACTCATCCTTTCTACCAACACATCTTTTCCACCTCTGTCAGCATGGCGGCACAACAGACCATCATCGCAGAGACGATACGCGGCATGAAACTGGCCATGCGCCGCCGCGACAACGACTCAGACTCCGACACGTCCATCACCCAACCCACCAACCGCGGCAACAAGCTCAAGCGCAATGCTCGCCATGTGCGCGAAGGTCGTCTCGACACCACCCATGGTCGCAGCTACAAGAAGCGCATCGACTACGCTGGCTACGACCGCTACATCCTCAACGAGAATCCCCTCCGCTTCGACGACGACGGCGACCTCATAGACGACGACGACGAATACGAGCCAGACGACCAAGACAGCTCTGATCAGACCGGCAACCCATGGGCAGATACCAAACTCGAAGAGTTGCTAGCTCCCTTGACTTCGGCCGCCGATCTCGCACACCACCCCTCCCTCTCAGTGCCCTTCCTCTCGAGGCCGATTAGCGAAATGGCAGAAAACGCTCGCCAGGCCATGCATCGCGAAAAACAGACCTTATGGCACATCAAGCAGTTGTTACTGAGGTTGCGCGGCGATGATCACTGGATTCCTGTTGGCAAACTCGAATCAGAACACGACATTATGCTTCTAGACCCCTCGGCCGCTCCTATCGACGACAACCTCTCCACCACAATGCCACCCGAGACTTCTGCCATAGACCACTACAAACCTGAAAACACTACACAGTCACAACCAGAGCCGCCGCAGCAAAACGGTGCCCAGACAGATGGTGCCGACCAACAACAAAATCCCTCCGATACTCTTCCATCACCCGATGCCTCGCCCGACGGTACCATCCAGCACGCCATGACGACTAGACGTCAAGCCCGTACATCTCCGACCCCCGACCCCAATTTCCCTTCTTCGTCTCCTGCTCCCTCGTCAATACCGTCAATCCACGGCTTCTTTCACGTTCCAGACTCCGCACTACCAGACCGAGACTACGGGCTCCCTGCCAATGAAGCAGACGATACACGCCGACTGTTATTACTCTACTGCCAGAAACAGGAACAAGTTGTTCGCGAGTCGGAACAAATGCTCGAGGGTTTACTCAAAGCAGATCGCATGAGGAAAGACGTCTGGCGCTGGTGCAAGACAGAAGGTCACTTGGGCGAAATGAGCGACGGCGAAGATTGGTACGACATGGAAGAGTGGAACTTGAGCGCACCCTTACAAAAGGGCAAAGAAGAGGAAGAAGTAGAAGACGAAGGCAGAGTAAANGGTAGACGAAGACGCGGTGCACAGCACTAAGCTCTTGTCTTCTCTTCTCAATCAATACAATATCTGTCTTTGTACAGACTACATTCTCACAACTTTGGCTTTCCTGTCTTTTCGGGGTGTGCCTTGCTTGCTCCACGATCATTCTCTGTTGGCTCTGTGTCGCTGGTCTCGGCTCTGAGGCTCACGGGGTCGCCGAGCTGAGTAGGGTTCTGCTGTGCTAGGTCTTTGAGAGACTTGTGTCCATCGCCTGACTTGTTCGGACGGTCTTTCTCGGTTGGCTCTGTGTTGGATGTCTCTGCCTTGAGAGATACCGGGTCGCCGAGTTGACTAGGGTTGTCTTTGGCTGTGTCCTTGAGTGATTTCTTGATATCGCTCATGTTAGTCGATGGCTTCGCTGAGTTTTGATTCTCGACTCACATAGCCCATGGTGATGGATAGAGATGTTTAGGACTTTGTGTTTGGATATTATCAGGATCTGAATTGACAAGAGATAGAGCTAACAAGAGGAGTTCGATAGGGCTACCCTAAATATCAGATGCTTGCTCGCACAAGAGAGATCGATGATGACGATGGCCCTTTCCCCGCGTCCAACCCCCATACTTTCACATGTCCTCGGCAACGGCTCGGCGTTTGAACCAATTTTGTGCAAGAAAAGAAAACAAGAAAAATCCCACCACATTCAACACCTCAAAGTTGGACAAGTTGATATCGCCCTTGATCATCTCTTTCTAGCTTTGCTTCGATGTTCTTGGATGCCAGTTCCATCGCTCTCAATGATCGGATCTTGTCTTCACGGGTGCTGGTGTTGGTCTTCCATGCGTGTGTTGAGCAGAAGAGAAATGCCAATAGCGAGGTCTTCCAGAGTACTGTGTCATTTCGTCTACTCTGGACGATTGTCAGAAACAACAATACTCCAGCTGCTAAGACGAGTGCAGCCGGCAAGATTAACCACACCCAACGAACATGGATAAAGGTAACTGACTGCCATGCCGTACCCGCAGCTTGCATTCCATCTTGAGTTCGCAGAGCATTGGTCACGAAGGCTGCCAGATTAGTCGACATAGCAGCCGTATCTGTGTAATCCAAGGATGAAGTCGCCAATGTGAGTTGAGTATAAAAATCAGCTCCTTGGTATCCTGCTTTGAGTATCAATCTCACAGCGTACTTGAGAAAGTATTCTTTGCCTTGGCTGATGGTGAAGGTGTTGTTCAACGCAACAGGATAATCTCCACCTGCTGTACATACAATCTGTGTATCGTCAAGATTCAGTGTTTGGTTGGTTTTATCCCACGTCTCTGTAAGTTGCAGAGGAAATTGCTGAGCTGTACCGAGATTGAGGTCCGTTCCTTTGGAAGTGGCATTCTCGAACATCCATGCACACCAACTCAACTCGCAAGTCGTCAGTCTCGCTGTCCAATTCGTGCTTTCTGCAACCACCAACGTCGAGAAATTGTAGAAACTAGGCGTGGCATCGTATACACCATCCATTGTGGAGGTGTTGATAAGTGGCATGGGTCCCCCTGGCTGTACTGTGCCTCCCAAAGTCCCAAACCCAGGGACCTCAAATGAACACTCCAAATTCTTGGAATCGCCCTCGCAAGCTCCTGTGCTGGTTTTGGTTATATCCACACATTGCGAGCAGATTCCCAGAGTGGCTGAGGCTGGCCAAGTGCACTCTGCAGTGCTACACTCAAAGCCCGGTGTAGCGTCTCCCTTGAAGATGGCCGCTAGAAGCACGTCTTGCAACTCGCTCATCATGGTATAATCCAGATACCAAGAATTTTGCGAACTCAGGTGTTGGGTAATGGGAAAGCCTGCTGCTCCTGCCTCAACCACGACATTTCTGTTCACAAACCCCAAAACCTGCTGGCCAAAAACTTCCATAAAAACTGCTGCAACAACAATAGCACCCCCAAACCACGCAGCAAAAGAGATATGTCTTACCTTGAGGACGAGTTTGACAGCTCCTAAGGGTCCCTTGCTGGCTTCATCGAAAGTTTTGAGGTCATACAGAGATCGTGCGTGTAAAGAGTGTTGGAAATGATGCCATTTCAGCTGTCCAAGACAACAAGCTGTGGCATAGATCAAAGCAGCTTTAGTGGCAACGATGAGAGCCGATACAACTGCATTCAAAGAGATGGACAAGTGCCAGCTAGCCAGTGGTTTGTTGTTGAGAACGAGCAGACCGATGGCTATGATACAGAGAGTTGCAGTTGCAAAGGTGAGGCAGAGGAGTTCTGCCCACCAGTCTTTGAGGACTTGGCTCCATGTGTGGGCTCTAGTAAGGCTTCCTGGGTCCTCGAGAGCAGGATCTGGATATGCAGATGATGACCTTGAGGATTGGCTATGCTCAGGCGGATCTCTACTCGANNAGGAGGGGGCATAGCTTGTATCGACCGATGACCAATACTTCAAGTCCTGTCGATCCTCATGGTTGATGTCTTCTAGAGAAACAGAGTCTTGTGTTGCAGATTTCAAAAATGATGATGGTGGAGGTGAGCTTGACATGCTGCGGTTTGCCCTTGTAATCCGTTTTCAGGAGTCTGGAAATGGAAAGTTCTTATTGTCTGCGGCGCCTGAGTGCTCCATCTTTTACGAGTGCTTCCTGACATGTTTTAAACAGCATGTTGCACTCGAGTGACAGCACATGTTTCAATGATCCAATACGTACAAAAGATGCTGTCGTGATACAGGGAAGACGGTGGCAACCCAACTTGTTGGATTACCGAAACTTCGCGCGCGCGCTTCAGATGACTACATATAACTCCAGTCTCGACTGTATGACCGCGACGCCAATTCTATGCTTCGTTGAATGGATCGCAAGGCTGAGGCCATTGGCACTACACGCAAACATCGTCGTCGATATGTCCAAAAACCATTTGGTGTTGTCCACATTTTTAGTACAACCATCTCCCCTGTACAGCAGATCACAGAGTCACACGAGCTTTTGCCGACCACAGAAACCATAGCAAACACATGCCAGCACCCGTTTGTGAATCCTCTCTGAGTCCGTTCAGAGGTTTGACGACAGTAAAGATTTGGAATTAAGAAAATCTGCCTACTCGAGCGCAGAGCTCGAGCTCCTCTTTGATGCCTTTTTGTCCAACCTGACAGTTCCATGCGCAGATGCCATAGGACTGGCATCAAAGGGTTTCCTTCTTCTCACAATCTGGTATCCTCGATCCAATTCCACCTCCACTGCACATCTAACTTTTAGTGCATCCACAGCTGGCCAAACCATTTTTTCTCCTTTCAAGATCCAGTACTCTACACTCTGCCTGGTAGGATTCTCGAGCAATCTCCAGAAGTCTGAGAAGCTTACTTCAGGAACAAGAGTCAAAGAAGCTCCAGGAATGTTCTCGTCCAGCAAGAAACGACGGATTTGTGCAGGCAAATAACCTAGAGAATCTAATTGATGCAAGCGATGCTGAACTTCCATGACCATGACTTTCATTAGGCTGGTGGTGAGAGATGATCTGCCTTTGTAACCAGGTTTGGGACTGTGGAGATCGCTGCGAAGGAAAGGTGCGATGTAAGGGCGAGCTTGAGAGACGATAAAGTGGTTCACATTGAAGAGTTCGGCTATGCGCGTGAGAGGTGAGTCCCGCTCGGATGCGTAGCCGAGAGGTGTTGATGGGCGTAGATTGATCGGGTGGGTGGAGGCCCAGGGAACGATGTTGCCTGATTCGTCCTTGCATTTCATGGTCAAAGGAGAATACAAGACTTCAGAGGCGTTTGAAGCTAGAGCTGCTGACCAAATAAGCTAGAGAAGTTGTTAGTTGATGTGCTGGCTACTGCATGTATCGTTTTGACCACATACCACATTTGGGGCCGTGAGATAATTGAGCAGGTTAGGCATGCCATTACCCATTGGAGCCACAGTGATATTCAACACACGCTTGGTTCGTTGATAGGCTTCCATGAAGGTCAGGTCTCCCACATTGGCACGAACACATTCTTCTAGCACCTGAGCATCCAGAAGATAGCCCTCAGTAACGAAACGCTTGGCACGTCTGAACCATGTCGAGAACCAGCCATGCTGCATCAAACCGCTATTGCCGTTCTTAGACATCTGAGCCGATCGTGTAGCGAAAGCGGTGAGATCAATGCCCTCACCACTCAAGAATTTGAGTAGTTCATCTTCATTGTGCACACCAACAAGGGCGGCCATGAGAGCACCAGTCGCCGTTCCAGATATAATACGTGGTAGCAGACCTCCTAGATGTAAAGCTTTCACCACACCAATATGGCAGAGTCCAAAGATTGATCCTCCTTGTAGCACAAGAACACTACGTCCCAAAGCCTGTCGAGTGTCGTGAAGAAGATCGAGCTTGGCCTGGTTGGTCAAACTTGTGTCGTACATCGGCGAGGTAGGATAAGCCGTGACATACTCGACAGCGAGCGCGACTTGAGTAATATAGTCTTCAATCAAGAGTTTAGTACCGGCATAAGCACGATTGAACAGACGAGGTGCCGTGATGTTCCCAAGGTTGCGGACCAGCCCGGAACGCAGAAGATTCACCAGACCAAGAATATCATCGTCTTCTCGAGCTTCTAGGATATATTGTAGTCTTGAATGAATCAGGCGATAGTCATAGTGTTTCGAAGAGGGATTCTNGTCGCCTGGATTATGAATTGTAAGTCATTGTTCTCAACGATCACGCGAGGAAAGATCGAACCAGAGGTCGTTGCCGAAGAGTTCGTCCAATGCGAAAGCTGCAGCCTCCCACTCTTCATAGTATCGAGCAGAGTTCAAACATTCCAGCTGAATGTCCTTTTGACTTGGACGAGTCCACCACGCCCATAAGCGNNCTGTGGAAGATCAGTTGAGAACATGACAACAAGCAGATCACATCTATGTACGAACCATGTGCCAAAAGAAAGCTACATCGAAGAAGAGTCTTATCAATGCTCTAAGAANAGCTGTGACGCTGCTGCTCCTGCTTCGAGTAGCCATCAGCTGTCGTTGAATGCAGCATCTCTTCCCAACGTTAAGTTGTGTCGAGGGGAGAAGGCGGTTTGGTGCCGCTGTCACATGAAAGACGTCGGTGCACGGACGGACGACCTTCCTTCTCTGATCAACCGGAGTCTATGCAACAGCGACTTCCTTCTCACAGTCACATTCTCGTAAAATCTGCTAGATGTTCAGATGGACACAAAGTCATCATGTCTTGGTCGACGAGACACTGTTCGATGTTGTAAGTCAAGAAACTTCCACCGACGTCAATGGACGTCGACCTGCCCGACTGTTCCATTCCTCTGTAGTCGATTCAAGAGGCTGAAGGGTGTCGAGTGTGTTGGCCATGGTTGTGAAATTTGCCATTACATTCCAGAACACGTCCAGCTCCCAGCACGTAAGTATCGACACGACGCATCTCCGCTATAATCCGCGAGCCCATTGGCCCATTTCGAGACACGAAACTCGGTCAAGACACGTCCCTTTCACATATACATTCTTAGATCGAGTTGGAACCTCGACAATGAGGCTGGCGCATTCTACGCTATTCACGTTTTTCTACAATTGTTCCTCTATTGAGCACTTATAAAGATGCTCTCCTGTCTTTTACTCTGATTTCTGTCTTCCATCGCAATCTTTGATTCTACCTTGATACAGCAAAAATGGCGCCCTCATCAACAGCAAAGCTCTTCCTGCTGGCACAACTACCATTCTTGGTACACTGTCACCTCAAGCTCAACAACCCAGTCCCATACTCCAAAGACACAATTCAACTCGGTCCTTTGAGAAATGTCGCACCCGGTTCAGAACAATCAGACTTCCCTTGTCAATCACAGCGAGAGGGCGGTGCTGACCCATGGATCGTCGACCAAGAGAATGAACTTGTTGCAGGAGAACCTCAAACCATGACCTTTGACGGATCGGCATCTCACGGCGGAGGTTCCTGTCAGCTCAGCGTGACTCTGGACAGGCAACCTACTGCCAACAGCACATTTAAGACAATCGCCAGCTGGATTGGAGGTTGTCCCATCGACAATTCTGACGGAGGCACTCACCCATGGAATTACACAATTCCGTCTGAAGTTCCCAATGGTAAAGCCACTCTAGCATGGAGCTGGGTTTCCAAGTTGTCTGGTCAGCCAGAGTACTACATGAACTGCGCACCAATCACCGTCTCTGGTGGCGCTGAGGATACGGAAGAGTTCGATCAGCTCGAAGACTTGTTCAGAGTCAATTTGCCAAGCTCAGAGTGCGGCAGTCAGCTCAGCAGCGATCTTGAGATCCCCAATCCTGGCAGATATGTCACTACCATTGACACACGAGCACTCGCACCCCCTACTGGAAGCGGTTGTGCCGCCATGGGTCAAGCTTCAGCCACCCAAAGCCCTACTGCAGCACCTTCAAGCTCAGAGAGCGCTACAATCTCTTCCGCACCTACGACTCTCTCGCCCGTACCCTCGGCAGTCAACACGACAACCGCCGCTGCTGCATCTACAACATCAGCTTCAGCATACATTCCATCTTCCTCTCCAAGCATTGTCCCAGCTCCCTACAGCAACAGCACATTCTGCAGCACAAACGGCGCCCTCGTCTGCAACGGACCCACCCAATTCGGCCTCTGCAACTTCGGCCAAGTGGTCTGGCAACCAGTAGCCCCCGGCACAGCCTGCGAAGACGGCCAAATCGTTGGCGACACTGGCGATTCTCCTGCCTGCAGTCCCGACGGCTCACTTGTTTGCAACGGCACAGACCAATTCGGTCTTTGTAACTTTGGACATGTGGTGTTTCAGTCTGTTGCTCCTGGTACAACTCGCAGTGATGGACAGATCATGAGAAAGAGACATTTGAGTATACACAGACGTAGAAGTATGGGTCATGGTCATCACGGTAGATTGTGAGGTGGGACAATCGTAAAAGAAGGGATATGGCGTTTTCGGGCATAGCAAGGCGTTTTTCGGGACATGTATACATCGGTATGAGCAAATAGAGAGACATCGGCTGCAGTAAACACAACAAGTCTACAGGTTTCTTCTATGTTCATGAAAAACTATAATTCGGTCCTGTTCTTAGCTGTCTTCGACTTTGTGCAGTGAGACAACCAGACCTTTTTCGTATCTTGTGGCAGAAAGACAGAGTCTCATGCTCAACGCTTAACAACAAGTTTACTTATGGTTCATCATTGACCTTGAGCCTAGAGAACTCTTTGAAACATGGTATTGTCTTTATTACTTTCTGTCTCTACTTCACGGTGTAGAAACCAACACCAGCATCTAAGACAAGATCTTGGTTCACAGCGTCCAGAGACAGAAATCAGTAGGAACTACAGGTCATGTCTTCTACAGCCAGCCTGAAAACATAGAAAGTATAAGAGTATGTATGCTACTAGTCTCCAACTGTCTACCTACTTGTTCATCAACGTTTTCTGCAATGACTCTAGCACATGTGGCAGCCCTCCTTGGAGGTGTTGTGCTTTCGGAGGCCGTGAGACTCCTCAATCATTATGGCTACTACAGCAACTTATCGAAGCTCTTCGAGAAACGTGCAGAGCTGGTTGTCTGTATCCTCATGGGCTACTTCACAAGCAAGATATGCGAGGAGTCTTCTTCAATGATCGCTTCAATCATGTTACATGTCGTCTTTGCTGGTTACGGAGTGTTTGTCGACGGATTGCTTCGTTCGACTCAGGTCTTGCCCAACTTGCAGTCAGAACACCAGAGTGCCTGCTTCAGAACCGCCAATGTTGCTGAATGCCGTGAGATCATCAAAAGTGGAACTGGTCCTGCAGCTCCGAAGAACACTCTATCTGCACTCGAAGCTCGCGCTCGCCCCAATCAACGCCTGAAGTTGGCTTTTGGTATCCACAGCTGCTTTACCTCCTCGGACGAGAAATCATGCAGGAACTTCAGAGCTTCTGTTGAGAAGTTGCTCTATGTTGACGAGAAGGAATGGGTCAACTTTGCCGCTGTTGCTCGTGAGACTGCAAAGGAAGCTCTTGATGGCGACAACGGAGATACAGCAAGCTTGTTCGGTGTGGTCCAACTCCTGACTCTCAAGACTATGTTGAGAGTGCTGTGGCCTGATCGCGATCCAAAGCAAAGCACGAACGAGCAGATCTCTGCGCTTGCTCATGGAGTAAATATGCAGTGGCTTCGCTCCAAGGAAGCCAACGACAGCGACGACCCATCTTGGCTTTTCGACAAGCAGACTTCACTCAAGGACGCCGTCAAAGCTGTCTTTCCAGATTGGGTTGAGGCAAACAGCAACGAAAATCTGTGCAACTTGATCCTTCCTGGCTACGAGACCATGTGGCGCGTAGTCCTCCGCTGCTTCGTCGAAGTCAAAGCTCGCAATCACAAGCAAGCTGGCGGTTGGGAGAACGTCTTGAAGAGCTTCTCGAAAGAACCAACAAAGCAGAAGCTTGAAGCCGAGTTGACCCAATCTGATCCTAGAGTGGCAGCCGTACATGTTGCGAAAGAGGCTCTTCGTCTTTACCCACCCACCAGACGCATCTATCGTGAGCATCGCGATGCTGATGACCAGAAACCCAATGTTTCTGCTGATGTCGAGGCTATGCAACGTGACTCAGATGTCTGGAAGGAACAACCAGATATCTTCAAACCGGAAAGATGGATTGGCAAAGAAGAAGGCTACGATCAAGGCTATATGCCTTTTGGAGCAAGGCCCTTCAACTGTCCTGCGAAGAGGTGGAGAAACGTACCCATGCCATTCGGCCTGTCTATGATCGCTTTGCTCGTGGGCACATTGATCGAGGTCACGGATGCCAAATGGGAGATTCATGGAGACTTCTCGGACAAAGAGGAGCCGCTCGATACTGATCGTGAGGCACACGGCGCAGCATTCTTGCAAAGAAAGAGTTCTTGAGGGTTGGTGGTAGAAGAGATGAACTGTTGGTACTCCGGTGGTTGTTCGCAGATAGATAAATGATTTTTTTGATCTCGGTCAGAAGCAGCGGGCCCAGTTGGAGCTTCGAGATAGGTATTTTATGGTTCTCGCAATCGTCATACAAGTAATCGAAAACTGCGTGTTATGCTCGATCGTGTTGCCATAGTCCCGGCGAACCACGAGAAGAGTAGACACAGGGACGGTCTTGTCCTTTGTTTAAAAAAAAGTTCGCAAATTGGGTTGTTTGTCCCCGGGCAGACCCTGTCCTTAATAGAATAGAATCATTGTGCTCTCTCCTGCCATTCTGATTGTACAGTCATGCGAACTCATCATGTTACGAGATGTGTGCGTGAACGTCGACTTAACAGAACAGAGTTCAGTCTCCAGCGCCATCATGCAGGTCAAGCAAGTCCCTTCCAAGGATCCTCAATGAACGATGGCATGAAGACAACCATATCACCCTTCGCATTCTTGATACCTCTTCTGAGTGCCGCAAGCTCTTGAGGAGTCGGGAAGCCAGGAGTCCAGTTGTCTGCTTGCGCGTCTCCTACTCCTGCTTCCACAGCTCTTGCCTGTTCTGCCTGCACACCTTGCCCTCTCGTTGTTGATGTGGCGCTGTCCTCTACGTTGCCTTGCTCCTGAGTCTCCTCTTTTGTTTCGCTAGCCACTGGTCTTGTGCCCAAGGGGATGTCGTTGGCGCCGGTGCTGGCTGGTATTTGGTTGCCGCTGTCGTCGATGAAGGCGTCGTCTGCGCGTGCGGCGTGTTTGCGACGCTTGCTGCCAAAGCTTGTGAAGCCCATTGCTTCTGCAATAGCTGGGTCGATTTCTAGATCATCCACGTCCATTGTGTGGTTGTTGGTCTGTTTGACGAAGATGGTAGATGTGGTGATGGAATAGGTGGTTGGATGCACTTGTGGGTGAAGCTGGAGAAAGTGCTGGTGGCTGCTTGCTCGTGAAGCTCTCTCTTCTTTCTTCTCATTGCACAACCAAACCCCCATCTCTCACTCTCCTGCAATTCAATTGATATTCACAATTTTCTTTACACTTAAGAACTAGCAGTTTGAATGTATCGTAACCTTCGTACATCTAATCATACACTAATATTACATATCGTCTTCTCCATGCGCATTTACTGCATGCTGTTCAGCTTGTCCTTGGCCTGCTGCTTGCCCTCCTCGGACACGTAGTGCTCGTTGCCATCGGGGTTGTTGATAGCNNACTATATATCATGTCAGCCTCTGTCAAACGCTCTGCTGAAGAAAATGGTAACTCACGCCTTGAGACCACCAGCAACATTGCCAGGGTTCTGGTCGATATCACCCTCACCCTGTTTGCCGTAGAAGGCCTGCTCACCACCGAGCTGCTCAAGAACCTTCTTGCTGTGCTCCTTTGAGGCGTCGGAAGTGTTCTGTTGCTTGGTGTCAGTCATTGACGTACGAGAGCTGGACAGAGAGACGAACGGNNGATTGCTCAGGTTTGCCTTGTGGCCAGTAGCCTGGTGGGAAATGTCTTCGGCGGTGTTCTGCATGATGAATGTGGTGTTCGAGTAGGTAATTGGGATGTGCTTGGTAGATGTGAATGAGATTGAATTGATCAGAATCACTATCTGCCTTATATACACTTATGATACCTGTCAAAGCGGAGCAATGACGACCTACCAGAGCGACTGAATCAATGACAAGTCGATGATAGCATTGTAAATATGAGATCGGTCGCGAGAGAGGATCAATCACGATCTGCGTAAATCAACAAGGTGGACGCGACCGTGATCGTGATTCAATACATGTGCCGTTTTAGGAAGTCGCGCGTGTTGGCATTCCATCGATTTTGTGGAGATCGACATCCATGATGACGAGCACCCTCTCAAACATCTTGAGCTAAACAATCAACAAACTGACAGTCAAGGACAGATAGACATTTCTATGACTGCTTTGGCTAAAAGGGATGCTTAAAACAAGCTGTAATGAAGAAGACGAATTCCTTCTTCCTTGGTCATGAGAATGCAGACGCTCAAAGATAACTCCAGTGACCGTACCCCCTTATGCCCGTGAATCATTTGCGATCAGAGAAACAGAATGAATGCCAAACCAATTATTACTCCAGCAATGGCTGCAGAAAGACCCAGTCCCCTATGTGCTGCCTTTGGATGCGGTATCGTGAAAGAAAACAGAATCAGAACTGTTCCTCGGAGATCTCGTCGACGTTGAACTTCCAGTTGCCTGTTCGTAAAGTCAGCCAAATCACATTCGAAAGTAACGCGAGTCACGACTTACCCTNTTTCAGATTCTCCGCTGTGTCGCCAAGCAAGATGATGCGACGCTTGTTGCAATAAGTGGTCTTATCCATCATCTCGACCTTGAGAGCAGCAAGCTGATCTGTAGGCTTTTCGAACATTCCACTCAGAGCCTCGACGGCCATCTCCAAATCCTTCTGATTGTCCTCGAAGATTTCGGTCAAGTTGTTGCGTTCCAAGTAATAGGCAAAAGCATAAGTCCACTTGAGAGTTTGTCGGCATTGCTGAAGAGCTTGTGATGCATAGTCGAGGAACTGCACCTCGATCCAAGACATTCCTGACGTCGACTGGAGCTGCATCATCTTCTTCTCGGTCTTCAGATAAATGTCCTTGTCAAGCTTGGCAGACTGCTCGTGGTTGGCATAGCGGTTGTAGTAGTGGAGGTAGCGCTCGAGAGATGCACGGCTCTTTGCCTGAGCATCGCGTGCAGTGTGACCACTCTTTTCCTCGTAACGATTGCAATTGTACCAACTTGTGCCATGCTCCGACCACAATCCCATGCACATCCAGCAGAATTCATACTTGCACTTTCGGCAGGTCATGTGGTTACAACCACCATTCTTCTCAATGGTCGAGTTGCATTTGGGGCACTCTTTGGTGTTTGCAGAAATCCAGTTCGCTGTTTCGGAGTCATCTTCACACTTTTTCAACCAAAGCTTGACGAGCACGCAAGGNNGGGTAGGTTGATGGTCGTTAAGCTGACATCCGAAACAAAAGCTGTGACCACAATCACAGTTGACGGTCGGGACGATCTTGTTGAGCTCTTTCTGCTTGACTGGACAATCGACAGCGTAGACGCAGTTGGGGGCAGGACACCACCTAAGATTGTCCTTGTCATCAACGTACGTCCTTGTGAGAAGCTCATGGTATCTGTCTTTGAGGTCTTCCGTAACGAGAAGTTCCAAACTTTTCGAATCGACGATGTTGTTGCACTGCTCGCCAGGACAGCGGATACGCGCAGCCTCTCCTTCGTCCTTGATCTTCTGTGCCAGATATTGACGGTAGCAATCGACACAGAAGCGATGGTTGCACTTCATGGCGAACGTCTGCAACCCGGGTGTATCGTCACAACAGATCTCGCACATGAATCCATCGATAACTTCCAGACGGGGCGGGGTAGCGATGTCTGAACCAAGACCAGCTTTCTCCAGGACCTCCTCTTGCTTGTCCATGTATTGCTCAATCAGACGCTCCTTGTTCCAACGCATGTAGCGCATAAGGATGGCAGTCGCTTCGTGAGGTTGACCAAGAATATTGGATACCTCTTCTATTTGCCGATCTTGCTGGTTCTGAATATCTTGTGGACTGTAGACGGAGAAGTCGACCTCGTAGGCCTTCTTGCGTGGCTTGAGGTCTTTATCTTGTGAGCCAAAACCGATGTCACCATCGTCGTCTAGCTCGATGTCGGAGTCTGTGAAATGACATTGTCAGTCTATGGGTTCAAAGTCACGCTGCAGCAGGCACATACCGGCACCAAAGTCGGCAACACTACTGTTCTCATCATCCATGTCGAACTCGGCATCGCTGTTCAAGGAAACGGCACTGTTGTAATCATCGTCGGACTCCATGGCTTTGACGGAACCCTTCAGAGTCTGAGGGGTAGCGGGCAGCTGGTCGGGCGAGGCGGCGGGCTTATCTTCAGCGGCGTCGTAAACAGGCTGCTTGGCGGAGAGGGAGTCGGCTGATTCGGAGGCGACGGGAGAGTTGACGGGATGGTGGATCTTTGCTTTCTGCTTCGCGGCCGTGTCCGGCGACAGCAGCTTGCGTTTACGGGTGATGGGAGGCGTGGTTGCGATATGTGGCGACGAAACAGTCGCCGGGGCCGTTTATGACGGAAGAGAGCGAGTTGTAGTGTGGAGAGGGGCAGGCTTGAGCGATTGGCGTGTGGGTGAAAATGACTGTGACGGCTGACGAAACAGGTACGGGTGCTTTGACAGGTGACTGAGGAAAATGATTGCTAGGGCTCGGCGTGTTATTGTGCTTTCTAGAAGACACTTCTTGGTGACTGATTCAGATCTGCGTCAAAGGCGTTCTTCTGCTTTCTTCGACCGAGACCGACTGTTGCCTGTGCCTGCCAGAGATTCGAGATTCTGAACCCGGCTTTAAGACATTCCACGTAATTGACGCCAAGAAGGCAGGACCTCGATGCTCTTTGTTTCGCTCTTTCCTGTTTCATCTTTCACATGCTAGCAACCACCACAACTCTGTCAAATGCACTTTCAAACATGAGTGCTCGTGTATTTGTGATTTCATGGGTATCGTGCCACTCTGATCTACTCGTCGTCACTCTCTTCCTCACTCTCTGATTCTTCTTCACTGCTCTCTTCTTCACTCTCCTCTGCAGCCTTGATAGCATCCACAAACTGGCCCATAGCAAGCTTGATCTGCTTCAACTCATCGGTGGCCTCGTTCTTCCCATCCGCCCACCATTGCATAACTCCTTCAAATTCCAGCGCATCGCCCATGTACAATTCGTTGCAGACGTGAAGCATGATTTTCTCTCCGTCTGGACGGTGACAGACATCTGCTTGTACAAGCAGCAAGAAGTCCACCTGGTCAGCCTTGTCTTCATGAGCATCACCACGGTCGAACATGGTACGCTCGATGAGCATCTGTTGGATAGGTATCGTCTTCTTGGCCGCTTGTGCTGGCGTAAGGCCTTCTTCGATCAAGCTTGCCATGCGCTTCATGAAAGCTGCCACCACTGCGCGACGCACCATATGCGGCGATGCATTGGCAGACATACGCAGTGCCGTGAGCTCGAGCTGAATGTTGGCTGCCTCATCACCTTTCTGCAGTGAGTCGTAAATACTGGCCGCTGCATCGTGGTGGAAATCGACAGCCTCGCGGCCAGCCCTACTGTCCTCTGAATCAACGGATCCGATCGAACCGAAACTTTGTGATCTTGTGCTTCTTTCTGCTCCACCTTCATACTCATCGCTGTAAGATTCTGAATTGAGCGTCGAGATCGATTCGGCTGATTGGTTCTCCATGTTGTAGATGCTTGCTGAGTGCAGGCTGTGGTGCTCCTGGTCGTCTTCGTCTTCATCTTCTGAAGTTTCGTACTCGAAGCCTTCTCCTTNTTGCCCAACAACCTCCTTGTCTGTCTTTCCGCGAACGATTTCGTCTTGGTCGTAACCCGATTCGCGTTTCACCTTCGTGATCCTGGACTTGATCGTCATGCCGTCAGAGATGTACACGCCGTATGACAACAATGCACCGGGCATAATGTTGCACTTCTTGCCGACCGAAGCTTCGTTTGCAACAATAGCATCTTTGACCACTGTGCCATCACCAATCGAAGCGTCGTCCCAGATGTACGCGCCGCTGATCTTGACGTTCCTTCCAATGATGCATCTTCTACCGATCACGCTGTTAGAAATTTCGCTGCCGTCGCCAATTGCTGTTGCCCGACCGATTACAGTCCTCGGGCCAATATGACATGATCTCGCTAAGACGACTCCTTCTTCCCGGTAAACATTGCCTTTGGTAAGTCTGTAAGTCTGATCGCGCACCAAGTTGCTGTCAGGGCAGATTGGGTAGGCCCATCTGCTCAAAATATCCTTGGTGACGGCGTCGTAGGCTCTCAGGTTCTTGACTCTGGCGGCATAGTGCTCATCGACGATGTGGGTATGGATAGTCTTGCCGTTCAATTCGTAGTCCTTCAACACGCTGTGAAGGAATCCTTTTCGCGGGGCCTCGTAGTCGAAGTTATCACTCCAGAGCGCGAGGACATCCGGAGTACAAATATCGATACCACAATCAATCAAATCTTCCCTGATCTCAAGTTCGTCATGCTCTTTCAGAATATCCGGATCCAGAGTAACCAGGTGCGAAGGCTGATTAGGTCGCATTTGCTCGTAGTGCAGACAGCGGTTCTTGGTAGGGTCAAGGACGAAAACAGGTGAAACGCGCTGCATCTTGGTGCGGTGGGCAGTGCCGGCCTCGCGAAGGACCATTGTCATGATTGCATTCTTGTCTTTGGTACGACGCTGGCGGTGGGCGGCGATGGCGGCTTCGATAGGCAAGTTGCTGACCACATCGCCGTAGACAATCAGGAAGTCGCCGGTAAGAACAGCGCGCGCATCGAGGTCGCGCATAGCATCACCGATGGAGTTGGATGAGGAGCGAACGATTTCGACATTGTTGAAGGGAGAAACCTTGGAAGTCCATTTTGACTGCTGGATGTATTCCTCAACCTGGTCGGTATGGGCGCCACAGTAGACAAAGACTTCGTCGACTCCAGCATTGGCAAGAAACTCAAAAGTGTACTCGATCAAGGGAGTGTTGGCTAGAGGAAGCAGACANNCTGCACATCTTAGATTGTGTTCGTCTCGTTCTCAAGGTCGTGTACGTACGCGAGGGCGTTCAAGTGTGAAAGGGCTGAAGCGAGTCTCGAATGAGTCCGCGAGAATCTGTGTTTGTTAGCGACTGCATGACAAAGGCAGTGCAAGGCTACATACCACAGCCTGAAGCGGCTCTTCAACCTCTTCCTCGACACGGCCCTTGTCAGCCTGAGCAGCCTTCTTCTTGGGTGCCATAGTGATATTGTCGCGTAGAGAATAAAGTTGCGAGTGAGTCAAGAATTTGGTCAATTCGACCTGACCCATGCGGGATGACACGCATGTTGCCAACAAGATGCCTATCTATTTGCAACAATATACCATCATTTCGCTGATAGAGGCACAAATAGGACGCATAAAATTCCTCGGCCTTCATTACAATTATCCCTCTGGAAACGAGATCCACTCAAGCTACACCTTCACGTCGTGTGCCCTCACTTCGCTTCTCCCTTCACTATGGGAGGCAGCTCAGTGGCAAGGGACCAGATCCCAATTCTGCAGGAGCAAACGCGAGCTCCTTCCTTCCTCCCTTGCCCTCGAGTGCTGATTAGCTATTCATTCAATTGTGGGTTCTTCTCTTCTCCAGCTTCATTGCATCAATTGTTCTTCTTCATCTCAGTGCATCAATTGTTCCCCATCTTTTCCAATAATCCTTACATGTTCTCACCCAACTATGCCGCCGTTCGTATATCCAACACCTGAGCCAACAGATTCTCCAAGTTCGCGCGATGAATCTCAGAAGCGGAAGTTGGCAGACGATCTCGATACTACCACGCCTCAACCCTCACAACCTTTAAAACCGAAGAGACANAAAGTGTTTGTGGACCCAGGAAGCTTATGCTACCCAGCGTCTCACTACGCTGGACACCGACCTCCNCTCCCAATGACCTCAGAACGCGAGGCCATAAATGCACTGGCCGTTACCTGGAATTCCAAGGATCGTTCTTCGCAAGAACATAACATATGGCAGCTCAATCAATTCAGCATCTACCGCAAGGGTTCCGATCACAGACATGCATATGAACTTTGTCCTTTGCAAAGCCTGAAGACTGAGAGCGGGGTGAATGACCTCCTATTTGACGGGATTCTGAGCGTCGATGGTCAAGAACGATTTGTTCAGGGTGTCTCATTCGAATGCCTAGCCATGGAAGGCTACGGAGACGAAGGCGACACGGTTTCTGCCTGCATTCAAACGGTCTTGGCTTGCAAAGCAAATGTCTGGTACGAGCTCAGAACTCCTGCAAGTCAATACCTCCGCTATCATGTTACCTTNTTGTGGGTGTCAAGATTCACCAAGTACGTAGTGGATTTTCTCGAGCACTCCGAGCAACCTGTCACTCTAAGCCTGTTTCGACGATCCTTCTATCCGTACTTGATGCAGAAGTATGGATCGTCCTCTGCTGTCAATGGTTGGTTGGCGCAACATCCATCTCACGACTTTGGTCAAGCGTTCTGTGCCAACCTCGGCTTCATCATCAAAGAAGTCTATAGTGTCAACGACCAGCTTCTTCAACAGCCCATATTCGGCGAGACAGATACCAAGCAGCTTAAAGCAATCCACATGGAGAAGACTGCATACGACACTACGGTTGTGACCCCATTCGTCTTCGAGCTCTTCCACAAGATGCCTTTTCGTGGCCAGATGCAGGTCTTACCAGAGGTCAGTATTGCCGCGCTTCGAAAACAAAAAATGAGGAGGATCGAACTGGGCCTTACACCCCTGGACTACCCCCCAACACCTATGCCGATACTTTCCTCCTGCAAGAAAGCAATTCGAAAAGGAGATGTTGTCAGTGTTGCTGCAGACAAAAGTACGCAGTGGAGGGCCTCTACCGGAAATTTGTGGTTTGCGTACGTGCAAGAGGTGCGCATACTAAAGTCTGGCGCGCAAAAACTCGATGTCTTGTGGCTTTATGAGCCATCTGACACGACGCTGGGCCATGGTCATTACCCATACAGGAACGAACTGTTCATGTCTGATAACTGCTCTTGTGGTAGAGACTCCATTGATGCGGAGCTTGTTCGATCGATTATCACAGTGGACTGGTTTGTCACCAATCCAGAGGACTCTAAAGACTGCTTCTTTGTCAGGCAGAAGTTCAGAACAGAGCCACAGCTTGGAGCCTATGATTTTGTGCAACTTCAAAAATCAGACTTTAGTTGTGGGTGCAACAACACCAAGACGGAGATGGACAAAGTCAAGCAAGACTTTGCACTCGGCGATACGGTGCTTGTTTAGCGGCTCGTTGCTGGAAAAGAGTCATTAGAGCCTGCCATTATCCGTGGTTTCAACCTTCGCTCAATCACTCTGCAAGTATTCGTCCGTTGTGGCCGTGATTTAGACGACAAGCAGGCCGCTCCAAATCAACTGGCACTGAGCGATGAATTCCTCGAGCTCGACCCAGATTATGTCACTCGCCATTGTAGAGTTGCCGCTTTTGCCAGTCTCAAAGATATTCAAGCACCTTACGATCGTGATGGCGCAGGAGACCTCTGGTATGTCATCAGCTCTTCGGCTCCCACATGGACTTTCATCAAGCACGAGATTGCTGCAGATAGCAAACTCAAAGGCATGGGCATCTTCTGTGGAAGCGGTTCTTTCGATCGGGGATTGGAGGAAGGTGGAGGCCTCGAGTTTAAATGGGCCGTTGATTGGGCTGAAAGGGCTCTTCATTCCTACAGAGCCAACGTAGAAGAGCCATCGAAGCTGAATCTCTTTCTCGGCAGCGTCAACGACTATCTGGGCAAAGCCATCCAAGGCACNAAAGACGGTCGCATCGCCAACATTGGCGACGTTGATCTGCTTGCAGCAGGTTCTCCATGTCCAGGGTTTTCGGTTCTGCAACGAGATCGAAACAGTGTCCAGTCGTTGAGAAACTGCTCCCTCGTCGCTTCTGTCTGCTCGTATGTAGACTTCTATATGCCGACGTATCTGGTACTAGAGAACGTTATTGGCATGGCAAGAAACCCCTCCAATGCGAAGGACTTGAACGTCTTCTCACAGGTCCTTTGTTGTCTTGTAAGCATGGGCTATCAAGTGCAACAACTGCTCATGGATCCAGGCAATTATGGATCTTGTCAATCACGCCAACGAATTTTCATTATCGCGACGGCTCCAGGTCATAAAGCACCAGCTCCTCCACCTCAGACACATACCTGTAGCGAGCTGGAAACGCATGCAAGAGCAATTGGATATGCATCGAATGGCCTCCCCTTTGGGAAGCGCAGATATGATGTCTGTCCGTTCGTCTCTTTGACAGCAGAGGGAGCATTCCAAGATCTTCCCATTATCGGTGATAGTCATGTTCAAACGTGTATTGCAGCACCTGATCACCGCACTTGCAGACACGAAAGCTCGAAAAAGCGAGCACTAATTCAGATGGTGCCTCGATGGCCGTATGGACAAGGCTTTGTCCAAGCTGTGGCAAAGGGCAAGATGTCCAAGAATGCAATGGCAACTTATGCCTGGCAAAATAAAAACCGTGCTAGTGCGAGCAGCAGATCATGGGCACGTATCTACCCAGATCGTCTAGTTGGTTGTCTGACCACAGACATCAAGCCCCACGACTCATTTCTTGGGCGTACGTTGCACTATGACCAGCACCGTACTATGAGTGTGATGGAAGCTCGTCGGGTCCAGGGCTTGCCTGATCACGAAGTCATTCTAGGCACCCCAAGTCAACAGTGGTACCAGATTGGCAATGGCGTAGATCGCAAGGTCGCCTTTGCCCTCGGCATACAGATTGCTAACGCATGCCGCGAGACTTCGGCTCATCAATGGGACATAACAGCCTCGTTGCCGGTCGCGAGAGAGATGACCCCTCTCGAGATCAGATCTGTTGTTCGTCATGAGACCCCTGTTCGTGATCCAGTTCGGTCCGCCGCCTGCGAGGCACCCACTACTGTTGCTGTAATTGAGGAACACATCAGGGCTGGTGGTGTTGTCCAACAGACATGCTCCGGTGAGGTCTCTGTTGGTACCTCGGTTGAGGTGGCTGTCAAGAGCGCTCTCCCTTCTCAGTCGCTGGTTCAAGGAGTTTCAGGGGTCCCGCAACAACAGAAATTGTTGAAGGGCGGCATAGAATATATCATCATCGATTGAAAGGTCTCAAAGCATGCTACATCAATGCCGGCGGAGAATCGGGGAGTTCCAGAGGGCTTACAAGGGAGACATTAGAGACAGGTGGTTGTTATTTTATGATGCCATTGCTACAGACGAATTACGCGCAAATGATTACCAGAATTCGAATTCACTATTACGCCTGCAGAACAAGCATGATTGAGAAAGCCAGGGTCATATTGTGTCTGTAATCATTACAAAGCCAAAGGGCTATTGCTCTCCAAATCCAAATCATTCGTGTCACCAATTGTAGTGCTCCAAATTCTTTCCAAGAGGTGTAGTTCCAATGCCATTACTTGGAAGCAAACGCACAAGTTCCCATGTCGATCTTGTTGACTGGAGCCTCGGGCCTGATATCAAAGTCAAAGATGTCAATGGGAAGTCCCAAAGTCGTGCAAGCATTGGGGANTCTGCGACACATTGTCAGCTCAAAAGCCTCAAGATAGCTAGCAAAATTTGGAAGAAGACTCACATCAACAATGCCAGCAATGTGTCCTTGGACAGGCGCACAACTGAGCAGCAGATAAATCTGATAATCACTGTAGCCATACCTCCTCAAATACTCAATGCATCTGAGCGTAGTCTGTCGATAAGCCACCGTCGTATCCAAGAAGTGCTGCTTGCCATCCGAGTCCACAGAGAAGCCTTCAAAGTAAATGTGTCTTCCAGGTCCAAAGTTTGGCTCCACAGCACCGGGAATATAAATCGGAGACTTCATCCCCAAGTGCTTGACGCCATCTTTCATAACTGTGAACTTTATGGTTATGACTCCTGCCATCTCGATAGCACCGCAGAAGGAGATCTCGCCATCGCCTTGCGAGAAGTGCAAATCGCCAACACTGAATTTTGCGCCGGGAACGTGGACGGGCAGGTAGACCTTAGAGCCGCGAGACAGGTTCTTGATATCGCAGTTTCCACCGTGTTCAGGACGACCGGGGATAGTTCTTGCGCCTTCCTCGCCGACTTTTTTNNTCTTTAGGGCTTCGTCTCCAGCACCGGCGTGCACGTTTGTCGGGTTGGGGGGTTGAGCAACATCGCGGTTCATGTGTGAGCACTCAGAGATGAGTTGGTTCTCGCGACGGTTCCATTCTGCGAGGATTTCGGCCGAGGGAGCACAGCCAAGGATACCTGGATGGATGAGGCCAGGGAAGCGGACGTGAGGGATATGGCGGGAAGAGCAGAAGATGCCTTCAAAGTCCCAGATAGCTTTTGCTCTATCGTTTATTAGCCATGAATGCCCCCAGCAGTCAGATAGCCAGCAGTCTTACGCATCAGGATACAGTTCATCCAAGAATCCACCTCCATTCTCCTTTGCAAAGATACCTGTAAAGCCCCAAGGTTGGTCTTGCAAAGGCTGCACGTCTTGAATCTCTACAACCAGCACATCGCCAGGTTCGGCATTTTCAATCTCAAACGGTCCGCTGAGGTAGTGGATCTTGGTAAGATCAACGTTCTTGATGTCGTCTGCATCGTCGGTGTTTTTGATTTGGCCGCCAGTCCAGTCGACACATTCGATTTTGACTACTTCACCATCTGAGATTTTGCCAGCAAATGGGACTGTTGGATCGAGTTAGTGGTGAGTTCCAATGAGGGGAAGAGAGATACTGTCGGGGTGCCAGCGGTTNNCTAATTGGAGTGTCAGTCAAGATTATATGGGACGAAAATGGCTTCATGTCCTTACGTGAAGTTGAGGTTGGGAAGCTGCATCCTTCTCCAAGTCGACTTTGGCAGCGTATCTGATCTCCGATTTGCCCATGATTTAGAAGGTGCTCTTGAAGCTTGAGAAAAAGTTGTAAGAGAGCCACGAGAGGGACACTGGGGCACATTATATCCAAACCTCGGGTCAGTCATGACGAGTAGTCAGCCCGTGTCGGGCTCTATGTGGATTGGCAAGAGATAAGCAATTGACCACACAAGAGCGGCAGGCGTGTATGTAACAATCAATCGTCACGATATGCCAATCAAGGTGTGGGGTAGCTTGCTCCATCGAGGGGTATGGCATGCACGGACGGGCGGAGCAATGCCGCTGGACATAACTCGGCCTTTATTTATCTGAATTGCAATGAGGTAGACCTTGGTTGGTATTTGTTTGTTCTGTGCTAAATGCTGCTGGAGCTTGTCGAAACCATCTATAGACTGAGATAGCCTAGGTGAACTGGCGTCCCTTGATAGCCGTCGTGTCCGGCTTCTCGCCCTCCTTGGTCGAAGTTATGTTCAGCGCATCGAGCTTGTCCAGTGGAAGCTTCAAGAACTCATGCTTGTTGCGCCAGTGAGCTTGTGTCTCGGCGAAGTTGGTCCACTCTTCGGGTTGTGGTGGTGGATCGGTGACCTTAGTGATTAGGAAAGCAGTCGAAGCTTCAGCAATGCCGTAGATGAGCACGCCGAGCAGAGGAATCTTGAGGAAGACGAAGAAGCCAACACCGAACCCGAAGAGGACACCCTCGCGATCGTGGAACCAGATCTTCTTCTGTTGAGGTGTGAAACGGATACGCGAAAAGTAGGGCTCAAGNNCTGTGGTGTTTGTTAGACTTGTACGTATATCACAAAATCAAATTGAGCGTACCAATTCTCTCATCAAACTTCTAGAAGCAAAGTAGCTCTGCAGGAATTGGACCAGGTATCTCTTGGGCAAGAAGATGGAGCTACCAAATATGAGGATGGCAGGCTGCAGACCAACCTGCTTGTTGAATGTGTAGAAGGATGCAGCGGGCAGGACGAAGCGACCGACGTATGGTAGCAGCGAGAGCAGGTAGACAGCCAACGAGATTCCAGCCTTGCGGCCGTACCGCATCAAGAATTTGATGGCGGCTTGCTTGGGTGCGTTTTGCGAGGGTTCCTTGCCCGCAGCAGGAGCAGGACCGTGATGAGTGTATTGACGCATGTTGGGATAGTACATGGCGCGGAGCTGCTTGGGGTCTTCACCCTTGTGTTTCTGGACGTACGTCTCGTCAACCCATCTCAGCGATTCCATGAANNCCTGACACAATCAGTATACCGTGCTCAGGCTAGACGGTCGCAACACTCACATGTTGTCCAAAGAAGGACTAATGTATCTCATGAAACTCATGAGGAAGAAGGGCAGCTGTAGGACGGAATGCTCTAGGAACTCAACACCGTCCATGATTTCTTCATCCCATCCCGAGCTCTTGAGGTCTGTGAAAAGGCCGAGGAATGCGATGAGTACGCGGACTCCAAGTGNCCTATCATGATGTGGTTAGATGGTCGGTCGTCTTTGGAGCGATTGTGGAAAAACGGGACGGAGGGGGCGTACAGGAATGGCGACGAGGACACGAATGGCGATACCAGCTGCAACAGCCAGAGCGGCCTGTCTGTAATGCTCGGAGGTAAAGAGTTTCGGGTTCTGTAATGCTCGGTAGGCTTGAGACTGTCAGTCAGTCAAGCTGCGTAGGCACGCGACAGGATGTTAGACATGCTTACCACCGACGACGGTGAGCTGCGCACCACGAAGGATGGCATTGGGATCAAAGTTCGACATGACTGTCTGCTATCCTCTGATCTGGATGTGACAACGACAAGATTGGTTTCTTCAATTCAACATTTCCTTTGCTTCAACTTCCAAGCTCATCATCGACACGTTTGCCGACGTCATGGTCGGTCGGTGGTTGTGGAATGCCGAGGCCCCGACTGAACCATCCAGGGGTTCGCTGGTGAGCGGGCGGCCCTGACCGTTACTATCCTAGACGTTGCTATGGACATGATAAAGAATGCTACACGTCTCTATTTATGTATGCAGATACTTGTGCCCGGAGAGAGGAGAGGAAAATGTTTTTGTTGCTAGGCATATGGTCAAGCATGACTCGGGCAAGTCGTTACAAGAGAGAAGCTGACTCCTGTCAAATGTCTCCATCTGAAACGACTAGAGAGCAGCCTTGTATAGATCTAGTACAGCCTTGTTACGTAGTAGTTCCTTGCATAAAATGACTCCTTAAATTGGAGGGAACCTTTTTCTCACTGGTTCGATATGCCCCGCATAGAAAAAGACAAGGGCAGTGTTGGAATGAAGGCGGCCGTCTCACTAATGTCCATTCACCTTTCTTAACATCACGCCCAACATCCTACCAAAACCACGTCGGGCCGGGGACTTGGGGATGCCATGTCTTCGCGGCCTTCGTCCAGCACATCCAAGGATATGCCGTCGGCCTCGGCTCCAGGCACAGCTCTGCGACGATCTTTCACCCTGCCTTCGAGACTCGCCAATCCGAACAAAGCACAACAACAGGTCGACATTGGCTCCGCCGACGGAATCGAGACTCTGTTTGTCCATCCTTCGGCCAAGATTGTATCCTTCAGTACAGCGTCGTCTCTGAGATCGCGACCAAGCTCAAGATCGAGCATTGCCAGCTATGATGGAGAAGCAGATGCGTCAACGTCCCTGCTGTGGACCTCACCCACCGAGCGGACTATGGCTGCTGGTATGACGTGTGACATACAAACAGAGCGGTGGCAGTGCAGCTGACAAGATCCTNNAGGACCTCTAGAAATCTACCGCGTACCTGGGTCTGTCGCATTCCTACATTCTGGAAGCTTATTACACGCCATTCTCCCTCGTTCGCAATGTTGGTGTGTCGACGGTGTCTCCAAGTTTGCCATGCGCGTCTTACCAAATACCTACTACCGTATTGAGTTACCCGGAACCACTCAAGAAGATCTGGAATATGTTGAGCAGCTCAANAAGACACTGGCCAAAGTTTTGTACTATGAGAGAACAGCCTGTCCTTTTCAAAGAGGTTTCGGCGAGGATCTGCCAGAGATGCCCAGTAGGAACTCGCGAAGAATGTCAAGAGAGTTCATCGAACCTGCAAAACGCTGGAGACTTGACAAGGTATGGAGGCCAGAGGGTGCGGAACTTGAAGAACCACAGCTCTTGCATCCAAACAGAAGTCCCTCGAGGTCAGATACAGAACGATCAGAGGTGGAGGACAACACAAGGGTAGAGGAAGAGAGCGGAACAGAACAGGACACAAGGCCAGCCAGCAGAGACAAGCCACCTCAGCTTTCTGGACCATTTCCCTCCAAAAAGCTGGCAGCCATGCGCTCTGTCACTGCTCCACCACAGTTGAGCCTCGAATCGTCACCTCCGTCTAAAGTCAACAAAGTTCGGAAAATGGCTGGAATCTTCGACCAAACTGCTCGCGATACTGTGCCACCTCATGCACGTCCTCTGTCATCGGCTCTTGTGCCACGGCTACCACCAACTCCTGAGTCTGCCAATGATCACGATCTACCCCTCAACTCCCCTGACTACCATATTCATGAGAACATCACAAACGACGAGCAGTCGAGCTCGACTGTAGCCAAACCTGTCGCGGTGGTGGTAGACGAGACTGACGTTTCTAATCTTATGGAACCCTTGATCATCGTCGAGCAGGTAGGCGATGAACCTGAGCTGGACGAATCTCAAGATTTGGCCAAAATGCCTTCTGAAACACATTCAGAAATCGTTGATACAATCGATGAGACGCTCTTGCCAGAAGAACCCCAAGAACAAGCAATCGCAGGAGCCATGGATGCGATAGAAGAGGTACCATCTACCACCACTGAAGTCGAACAACCAGCTTCAGTGGACTCCATCGAAGAAACACAACCAACCCACGGCCTAACCGCATCACCTTCCACCTCAACAACCGAAACCACAAGTGCCACCTTCACAGCTTCCTCACCAGCTCTCTCCACAACCTCCCTCTCAACCGCAACATCCTGGTCTACTCTTCCCGTCCTCACCCCCTCAGAAGCAACAGACCTCCTCCGCCAACGCCGCGGCCCCTCTCCCTCCTCCTCTCCCTCTCTCCGCTCAACCTCTCCTCCTCCCACAACCACAACCCAAACACCCGCCAAACCCACTTCTTCTTCCACAGCTCTCACAAAAACCTCTCCAGCCCTTTTAGTCCGCAAAACCTGCGCTTTGTTTTTAGGCCCACCGGCAAATCTTGTAGCTACTATGCTCAGGATTGCGGCGAGGTTGGTCGCGAGCGGCGCGTTAAATCTCGCCGAACCGGCTTTTCACGATATGTTTGCTGCTGGTGGTGCTGCGGCTGCTGCAACTGCAGCGGGTAGATTGAGGGGTCACAGAAGAGTGCCGGGAAGCTGGGATTTGAGTGATGATGATGAGGATTGGGGGTTCTGAGGGTTTAGGTTTTTGAAAAGAGGAGTTTGCAGGTTTGAGGGAGATGAGCAATCTCTCCTATGTTCTGTCTTTTGTTTCCAACGTTACGATACCCCAATACACTCGATTGCTTTTTTTTTTTTGCTGTTTCTTGTCCTCGGTTTTCTATATCAAGCATCGAGCAACAGGCGCTTAGGTTTAGCACTGAGTTGAAACTGGTATATGCCCAGTCTGAGGCCTACGTACGAATGGCACATCCACACACAATTCATCGTTGTTAAAGAAATTCGTTTCGCTTTGTGCAATGTGTAGCTAATCGAGAGGAAGCGCCTTTCTCAAAAGTATTATCCGCTTTCCCTCATTCATCTTCATAATGACATGCCAGCATCTCTCAGACTCCTCACGCCGAAAGGAAAGACTTGGGTACTTTCTTTTGCAGCGCTTAGAAGTTGAGCATGGACTGAGCATCCTTGATACCAGCAAGCTGGCCCTCCTTGACTCTCTTGAGTGTGAGAGCAGCAATCAAAGCGGCACCGACACCACTACCATCCTCGGCAGTCATGATCTCAACAGGGTCGGCGTCACGCTTGCTCTTCTTCTCGGGCCAGTCCAGCATCTCGCGAAGGGCCTGAGCACCGCGGGCCTTGAAGTGGGGGTACTTGTTAAACACCGAACCGTCGGCACCAACGTGAGCAGTCTTGTAGCCCTTCTTCTTGCAAATAGCGGCGACACCACAGGCCGAAAGACGTGCGGCGCGAGTACCGATAAGCTCGGCCAGACGGCGGATGAGTTCGAGTTCGGGCTTGTTGCATTGAAGGTTGAATTGAGTGCGCATCAACTCGGCAGTCTCGGACAAGTTCTCGAAAGGATCNNCCTAGGGTCATGTTAGCATCTCTCGCTTTTGAAATATACAGAAAACTCACTCCTCAATGGCGGCAAGGACAGAGGCGTCAATGCTGTAAGGCTTCTTGAGCTTGTCGATGCTCTGGCCCTCGAACATGTGCTTGCCCTCGTGCATATCGAGCAGAACGAGACGGAAGATTTCGCCAAGGTACAGACCAGCAATCATCTTCTCAAAGGCTTGTTGGCCTGGACGAGGTGACTCCTTGTCAATTGTCTCGTCGTACTTGGTGAGAGGAAGAACCTCGTGCTCGTTGTCGAAAGCGCCGTACTCGCAGTTGATGGCAATGGGAAGCTCGGGGTCGAGGTTCATGTGGGCCAGCTTGGGGATGGAACCACAGTTCTCCATGTAAGCAGCGTTACATCCAGTACCGAAAATACATCCGATCTTCATCTGGTCATCGGTGTAGGCAGAGGCGATCAGAGTACCAGTAGTGTCGTTGATCAAGGCAGTCAGCTTGATGGGAACACCACGCTCGGCCAAAGCCTTCTCGAAGGGAGGAACAACGTCCTCGCCCTCGACACCGTCAATGTCGAAGCCCTTGGTCCATCTCTGCAAGATACCGTGGTCGATGTAGTGCTGGGTGGCAGGGTATGAGAAGGTGAAACCAAGAGGAAGCTTATCCAGCTTCTCGCCCTCGTGATGGTATTCGATGAACTGTTGCAAACAGTCGGCGATGTAGCCCCACAGCTCGTCAGCAGTACCGGTCTTGAGCTCTTCAGGCATGCGGTACTTGGACTGGATGATGTCGAACTCTCCCTTCTCTTCAGGCAAGTGAATCTCACAGACACGGAGGTTGGTGCCGCCCATGTCGAGGGCAAGGAAAGTACCGGTCTCATGACCAGTAGGGAAACCCATACACCAGGTAGGGTTCATGGGCTGTGGATTGTTAGCAACCGCNNAACCTTGAGGTATCGATGGACTGATACTGACGATTGTGGAGCCCTCCTTGGCAAGACCCTTTTCGAGCTCCTTGACGAACTTGGTGACAATCTTGTCAAGTCTCTCCTTAGGGACAGTGAAGATCTCTTCGAGGTGCTTGATCTGAGCAAGGAGATCCTTGGGCACATCGGCCATGGAACCTGATGGTTGTCAGAAACCCATGTGTGTCTAGCTCTTTGGCAAAGTTGACTGACCCTTTCTTGAAGGGGGNNGTCTGCGAGGACCGAGACCGACCATGTTGACGGGTGTGTGTTGGTTGGTTTAAATGGAAGGGTATGGAATGGTGGGCGTCAAATGCACGCTTGTGGAAATGAGGTAGAGGCAAATGAAGACTGTAGATGGATGTCAGCGAAAGTCAAAGCGTTGCAAGCAGTCTAGTGAAGAGAGTGAGGACAAGTCTGCGCCATGGACTAGACTGTGCGAGGATGAGATAGAGAGTGCAAGGCGGGCGGTGAAGCGTAGTACGACCAGAGGCTAGACTGAAGCGGATGCGATATCGAGGCTTCAGTCATGAGGAACCCCAGCGCAGCAAGCATAGGCACAAGCTGCGACGGCTAAGAGCATTTGATGCTTCATGGTTGTTTCTACATTAACACGCCCCTCACCGAGAGCCCCTCCATTCAACAAAGTGCGAACGTGCGGGGGAAGCTCGACGATGGGGCAGGCATTGGGCGGCCGGACTGGGAGGTAGAAGATACCAGGCAAAACACAAAGCGAGAGACGACTTACAGGGACAGATCAATGGAATGTACAACGACAAGGCGCCCGAGGTTTGGTTGAGAAGCTTTTGTGTAATGGTCGTGCTTGCTCTCACGCTCCGCTCGGCGCTGACGTTCACTGAGCTCCGATGGTGTGACGTAGCCTCCTTCCTTCCACACAACTTGGAAGGTGCACAGGGCACTGCCATTGGCCATCACCTGAGCTTCCATGCAGTAGCTAGCTCCTTCTTCTTCTTCTTCTCCTGCTTCCCCTCTCACAAACTCATACACAAACAAACCACTCTCCATATCACACATCCACGACCTCAATCACCAACAACCACACAGTTAGTTCCACTTCTCCACCACCACCACCACCACCACCACCACCAATCCAATGTACTGACCTCCAGCCAGACCACATCATGTCTTCCGCACTCAGAATCGCTCGCGTTGCCCGCCCCCTCGTTGCCAACCCCCAGGTGGCTCGCTTTTCCATCGCTCCCCGTATGATGGCTGGTGGTGATGCCGGTGCTCCCAGATCAGGCGGTGCTGCCTCAGGCGACGCCTTCACAAAGCGCGAGGAAGCCTCCGAGAACCTTTACGTCAAGCGTCACGAGCAGGAGAAGCTTGAGGCCCTCAGAAGAAAGATCAAGGAGGGTGAGGCCCAGCTCGCAAAGGACAAGGCCGACCTTGACAAGGTTGAGAAGAAATAAACTTGATGGCTGCCTGTAAACGACATCAACGACAGAATGGCTACGATTCATGCGACTTGCATCGCACTTGACGGAGGATACCACCTTACCCTTTCTTGTACCATAACTACTTAATCCATCGAAGCCTATTATCAACCACTCAGATCCATGGTTCCGTCGTCTTGTAGCTCCATGTCCTTTGTTTGTGCGTCTAGAACAGCAGATGCGAGGAAGATGAAGAGGAGGAAGCTTTCAGACAGCTAAAAGTGTACGATGGAAACATATCAGCATTGTACGGCCGGCGGGTTGACGACAGGCATGTGCTTGAGATGCTAGGCGCACGGACCAGATGTCTGACATTCAACGCCGGACTCTCCAAGTCGAACAGATAGCAAACACCAAGTTGATACTACACGTACCTGGTCAATATGCCGCTCATTGAATCGCCAATGCCGCCGCTTGAAACCATCTTCAAGAACTTCTCCGGCACATGGAAGCTCCACCGATCACTCACGAGCGCCTTGCCTGGCTTTCCCTCCGGAACTTTTACCGGCACTGCCACTTTCAAGCCTCACAGCGCATATGACGGCAACTCCCTAATGTATCATGAGACAGGCGAACTTATAACAGAGCAGGGATTCAAACTGCTGGCCAACCGGAAATACATATACCGATTCAGCCCCGATGACGAGAAGATCGCAATCTGGTTCGTGAAAGAGCCAGCACCTGATACCAACGAAGAAGTCGATTATCTGTTTCACGAGCTAGAGTTTTCTTTTCTTGATCAACGCTGGATTGCTAAGGGAGACCACTTGTGCGAGAAAGACATGTATTGGGCCTTCTACGACTTCAGACTGGAGGACAACATGAAGAAATGGGGCTTACGATACAAGGTCAAAGGACCACAGAAAGACTACCTCAGCGACTCGGCCTATGAACGTATCGCCTGATTATAACATCCGTGTGCTGGCAGCTCTGTTGCATTGCCTCTGACACTCGATGTGAATTCATCGCGTAAAAGCCTGCAGTAAAGCGACTAGCCGCAGCCGTGACACATCACATGGCGTGCTCTACCTGTCCAAAGAGATTCAAGTTGCGCACTATCCCCTATAAAAGGGCTACCATGACTCTGTAATGGAGATTTCTGTTAGGACCAAGCAATATTCCAAACCTCCATCATGTCTTCACCACTGGAAAGAGCACTCCTTCGTCTCCAAGTATTTTCTAAGGGACCAAGTCTGGGGTACTTACTCAAAACACATCTCACTACCCAAGATATGTTGAACCTGAGGCTAACCTCTCGTTCACTGTATGATCCTGCTGAGCTCAACGAGGTTGCTTTTGAGACGATCTACATCCACACGCCTGTTCCCCACGGACGGAAACAGTACACGAACACGCTCAGGACAATCGGATTCCTTTGTCGACAAGTCGTAGTCAAGATCGCGTATCCATCAAAGATATGCTGCTCAACAGGAACACCATCTCTTAGCACAAATGTACCGACCCCACGCTCTAGCAACGGAAGTGATACAATCTCCAACATTCTTGACTCCTACTGTCCATATGCCGAGCCACCCATCGCTTGGAAGTTCGTTATCCAGAGGAAGCCTAGCGACGTGGACCAGGACCTGCTCCACCAATGGTGTGAGGTCTTCAGGCTCTTGCCGAACCTGGAAACTGTTCACATTGCTTGCAATGGTGATCCCGCTTGGCTTGGCTGCACCGACATCGAGTCTGCGCTCATCATGTTGCGCATCACTCTCGAGCGTGTCAATCCCAAGCATATACATACCGTCTGTCTGTCGCCCATTCATGTTATGGGTATCATGCACCTTCGTTGGGCAGGAGCCGGCGCATATGGCGAAGCATGCGCTTCTAGAGATCCTGTCTGGTACAGGTTGAAGGCTCTGAAGCTAAGAATTCTCAGTCCTTACACTGAGGGTCGATTGTCTAAGAGTCAGACACAGCTGTTCGAGAAGATCTTTGCAGACTATCTACGAAGCTTCAGCAGAACGCTGACGAAACTCGAGCTGTCGTGGCTTGGTGAGGCAGGTCCAAATCCTTTCAACGTGGGACAAGACCACCAGACTATGAAACCGACGAACACTTGGAACAGACTTGAAGAGCTCCGGTTGATCAATGTGATCATGCATTGCAGCAGTTCGCACATCCAACAGCTGGCGCCAAACATTCGGAAGCTCACGATTGCTGGAGGTACCACAAGTGGGGACCAGGTGGTGCGTAAGCATTGGAAGGGTTGTCAAGGTCAAGAGTCTGAAGGCCCGGACAATGGCAATGCAAGTTGGATGAGCTCGCGAGATGTGCGCCTGTCAGCGATACCTGAACCTCTCTTCCAACATCATCTTGCATGATCTTTTCAGAGTCTAGTTGTATATCATAATCCATCATTTTACCCTGAACACAAAGACCATGCAAGTGAATTATGAAGTGTCTCTTTCCAACTGAGCTGGATAGATGTCGACCATCCAGAGTGAGTTTCTCGTGCTATCAGATCAACGGGTAAGGCGTAAGGGACCTTCGGAGAATTATCAACTCTATCCCCACCATGTCCGAGATACTCGGGTTTATTGGAGTACAGAACACAACCGCGCCGATAAATGTTCGGTATGATATCTACTGGAGGCCGGGCGGTGAGACTTGGCAGCTTCTCGTTCAATATCAAAACCTCTGTTGTTTTATACTCCAATACCCGAAGCTCTATTTATGTCGTCGACGCAACACCTTCGGACATCTCGAACACTCAAAACACCGAACTCAGGACCACGAAACAAAAAACATCGTGACGATGTAACACGGTCGCCCGGCACGTAGGTGGGGTCAGTAGTGGAGGAGCCGTCTTTACCTTTGCCCGCCATTAAAGTCAACACTGCCGCTCTTTCCTCCTCGAGTGCCCTCTTCTTTCCCATTTGCATTTCCTTGACGATATTCTCGAGCACTTTTTGGAAAATATGGCTGCACCAAACGGAGGGTATTTCATACAGGACAAGCTGTACAAGACAGCTCCGCACCATGAGAGCTACAAACAGCTCTGGGAAACCAAATGGAAGAAGCCTGTAAGCATTGGCTCTAGAAGTTCACCATGAAAGTATCAGACTGACCAGCTGTAGTGCAAGATGGGTGTCTACCCATTCATGTTTTCTGCAGTCAAAGATTTCGAGCCGATAGTCGAGAAGCTTGTCGCGGTACGCTCGACCCACGAACAATAATACGACTCTTACTCACGAGATACCAGNGGCGACTACAAGGAACCATACGACTGGGATGATTATGCTCAGGTCTACTTCCCTAAAGCTGAAGAGCTGGTTTCGGAAGCACAAAAGGCTGAGCAGGAGGGAAACAAGGAGAAGGCATCTGAGCTCTACTTGTGAGATTAAGAGATTCAGAAAGAGAGGAATCCTGCTGACAAAGTACAGNNACGAGCGAGCGCCGTTTACCGTATCTCCAGATTCCCGGCACCGCGATCAGACAAGCAACGGTATGCCTGGCAAGAAGGCAAGAAAGCTTGCATCAAGGGTCTANNGGGTGTGTATATTCATCGTGATCCAGAAAGACGATGGCTGACATTCTGTTACAGACTTCGCGAGCACCCCGTCCACGAGATCGAAGTCCCACACACTCACGGCATTGAAGGAGAAGGCAAGAGCATCCCTATCTACCACCTGCTCCCATCAGATGCCAGCGAATCGAATCCTGCACCCGTCGTTCTGATCATGACCGGTCTGGACGGCTACCGCACAGAACTCGCCGTCTGGATGGAAGGTTGGCGTCAAAACGGTGTCGGCAGCATAGTTGTTGAGATTCCAGGCACCGGTGACTCTCCTGCTCTCGCATCTGACCCAACGTCTCCCGACCGACAATGGAGCAGTCTGTTGGATTGGATTGACACCCAACCTGCAATTGCAAAAGACAAGGTCTGTGTCTGGGCATTCTCGACAGGTGGTTACTACGCCATTCGCCTTGCACACACACATCCCAATCGTCTTGCTGGTGTGGTTGCACTAGGCGGTGGCGTACACCACATGTTCGACGAAGAATGGCTGAACAACGTCAACAACCTCGAGTATCCCTTCGATCTTGCAACAACACTCTGCTACAAATACGGCTACGGCAACGACTTTGAGAAGTTCAANAAGGAAGCAAAGAAGTTTTCTTTACTCGAGGACGGCACCTTGGACAAGCCCGAATGTGCAAGATTGTTCCTTGTCAATGGTACAGAAGATGAGATCTTCCCCATTGATGACTATTACCTGTGTTTACTGCATGGAGCACCTAAAGAAGCAAGGTTTATCCCTGGAATCAAGCATATGGGTGAACCAGAGAGCTTNTTTGTTATCCTCAAGTGGATCTACAAGCTCTTTGGCCTCAAGGCCAATCCGGTGGATCAGATGAAGACTATCCCCTTCAAGCCCAAGTATTAGACTACATAATATCAAGCGCTCTGCTTTCAGTGTTCGCGATGTGCCTGGACAAAAACTCGCTCTTTCGCAAATGAACTTCGTATTTCAATGACAACACGATAGTTGTGGTTTGTGTTGCGCAGACTAAGATGTACACATGCCAGCAATCTGGATTTGTACACTGAGAAGCCGAGTGCAGAAGCATCAGAGAAGCCGGATCATCAAATTAGGAAGGCGTGTTTTTCTTCTGTCAGATCAGGAAGGCACACTCTACCATACCAGGAAGGAGTGTTTCTGTCATATTGAGAAGGCACTTTCATAGAAACAGGAAGGCACACTCTATCAAACTAGGAAGGCACGATCTTCTGTCAGACTGGGAAGGCACGATCTCTGTGGTTTTAGGAAGGTACGTCTTTGGTCAAACAAAGAAAGCACGCTCTGTCGTATAGGAAGGAGCGGTTGTATCAAAAACAGGAAGGCACGTCTTCTGCCATATTGAGAAGCCACGATTTTTCGTCAAATGAGGAAGGTACGACCGTGTTACTAGAGTATATATTCATCGACAACGTGCGAGCTGATATCAGATTTTCTCTGAAAAGTCGAGCTGAGTGGCGCAGCGGAAGGTTCGTAACATTCAAAACACTACTCACCTTTGAACTCATCACTAACTGATAACAGCGCGCCGGGCTCATAACCCGGAGGACCTTGGATCGAAACCAAGCTTAGCTATCCCTTCTTTTGCTTTTGCACGCTATACTTGCTGGGTATAGACAGAGGGAGTGGTGGTTGGGGGTGACAAGTTTTTGTTTACAGTGGGGCTCGCATAGGGCTCGAGCACTGGTGGATACTAAACGGAGTTTTTTTTGACTGGCGAAAGGGGTTATTGGATCGAATCGGAGAGGAAGCGGTCTTTTGGCTGTTCTTTTTGCTGCAATTGAGCAAGCCTTTGTGTGGTGGGAATGATGTTTCTCTTTTGTTGATCTGTAAACGCAAAGCTCGAAAAATTTGTCCCTTGCGATTTTGTTTGTGGGGCACAGAGTTTGGCAAACATCAACAACACTTGAGTCTCCTTCCCATCGGGTACCCTGTCCTGGACTTTCCACTCCATGTTCGGATTCAAAGATTGTGCATCTGTGCTAGGATACAGCATTTCTCATAGTGCTTGTGTATTGACTATGTTTGTATGACTGATGGACCCATATACCCCAGTAGTAGCATACCTATTCTACTTGACGTAAGAGTAACACAATCGTGTTCGCAGGAGACCTTCAGGTCTGTCTCTTTGTCTTTGTTGATGGGCTCGCTCTTGCTGTTCTTCCTTCTTGCTTCTGCTTTTCCATCATGCGTCCTTCTTTCCTCTTGTGTTTCTCTTTTCCTTCTGGGTCGCTCCTTTTCACATTGCCTTCTTCATGCTTCCATGCCCTCAGACATTCAACAGTCAAGGCGATTGGAACCCCCGTGACCTCTTGCAACATCTTGACAAATACAAGCGATCAAGTTGCCTCCCATAAACCCTTGAACCCAGCCTTGTTGCTCATGTTGGTTTGCTCAGCCACAAACCACTTGAGACCAAAAGGAGCACCTTCGGGTCTAGCTTCTTCAGGTACAGGCAATGCCTCCAACCTTCCACTCTCTTCATTGTACTTCAAGCACACTCTCTGTGTGTTGAAACATCTCTGCAGCAGTACTTGCCTTCGTTGTTGACTGTCCACTGTATGGAGCTCTTTTGCAACACACTGCGGACACACATGGTGGTGTGAGTGGTAGTGTCCCAGTGCTGAGTCTTCTTCTGGTTGAAAAAAAAGGCGAGTGTTGCCGAAGGCGGCGAGGAGAAGGCGCCAGTCTTGGGTGGAGAGCAGGTCTTGTGGTGCATCGCTGTTCAAAGTGCCATCGTCATACCAGACAGTGAAGCTGGCGTTCTGAGCATTATTGCCGATAGGTGCAGGCGAGCTTGCATAGTGAGATGGTGAAGGCATGTACTCAGGAGAGTTTTCTCTAGAAGGCGCTTCGACAAGGTGTTCAGGAGTGCCGCTTTCGTGGTGAGATGGCGAAGGCATGTACTCAGGAGAGTTGTCTTTGTACGGACGTTCAGGACTGTCGCGTTCTGTCTCATGTTCGGAAATAGTATCTTCAGGGGACTGTGCAACAGAAAGATCTTCTGATATGCTTTCCGGGATCGAAGTCTGATCGACCAAGTCCAGTTGACGAGGAACAGGAACATCTGGGACCACAGCTCTGAGAGTTCTGTTTTCTTCTTCCACAGCGTTGATTCGTTCTTCGAGCACGCGGTTCTGCTCTTGCAGTGCAAGGGTCTGCTGTCCAAGGGAACGAGTCCTCTGTTCAAGAATCTGGACATTTTGCTTGAGCTTGTTGAACGAGCTCAGCACAGCAGATTCAAAACGATCGTATTCCGTACGCAGGGTCTCGATCTCTTGTCTCAGCGAGCGTTGAGGTGTTTCCATGGTCTGCGTGTCTGTTTTAGTGTTTGGTTCAACTGGTCAAGAGGGTAGAAAGAGATGATGGCAAGTTGGCATACTAGTTCTTGTACGATGGATCTGGACAAGGTGGAATGGATAGATTCTGTTATGAGCGTGGTGAAGACGAAGATGGTGAATCCGTTGTTGAGGAGTGAACGTGTCTGTGGTTCATTGTCGTGTTGAGCAATGTCGGCGGCGCCAGGTTTTGAAGAGAGGTAGCCAAGGTATCTCGTCGGGAGGGCGACCAAGACGAGATCAATATCAAACGATTCAAGGGGGATGACAACAAAACTGAAAACGAAGTGATTGTTTTACATGCGTACCTTTGATTGCAAGCTTGCAGTCATATATCTCCAAACTAATCTAACAACAAGAAAGACGCCAATCAAATGCTTTGCCGTACAAGAACATAGACATCAAGCAGTGAAATGCGTTACAGGCAGGGACTGTTGCAACCCATCCGACCTGCCTGTCAAATGAAGAAAAAGAACTCCCGATTAAAACTTGTGCAGTGTGCAGTCTTTCGCTCACCAATGAGACTGCATTCTTTTGGACATTAGGAACACAATCAACCCGGTCTTCTGTGCATGGGGTTGAGTGGGTTTTGAAGCGATTGTCCCATTGGTACACCTGGTCCCATGTGTGGTGGCATTGATCCAGCACCAAACATTTGCTGCCTCTTAGCATCGCCTCCAACGTCGCCGGGCCCGCCCGAAATGTCGGATATTTGACGTCTGTGTGGACCACCGGGTTGAGGTCCGAGACCCGGCGGCATACCACGAGGCGAGCCACCATAACTGATCTGTGAAGGCATACTAGGAGGAGGCATACCGGCCTGCATGTGATAAGGGGCCGATGGGTGACCGGCTACTCCCATGCTGTATTCGGTTCCAGCAGCATCGCTAGCCGCTGGTGACATGCCTAGACCGGTTCCGGGTGATGTCCAGTTGCTGATCGTAGCTGGTGAGGTAGCAGGCGACTCTTCAGCCTTCAGTGCGTTCTTTGCGGCTACCTGGACAAGAGGAGGTGGGGGTGGCCCCGCGGGGACGCCATCAATCTGTGAAGGTGACTTCTTGAGGTGACCGAGGTGCTTTTCCAGCATGCTTAGCAAACCTTCCTTTGTGAAGGGCTTCGGAAGCACATCGTTCATGCNCTGCAGCAGAGTTAGCACAACAGCCAGTGGCAGCCTATTGACAGAGTACATACCATGTTGGAAGTACATTGCAATGTCATCACTGCGGATATTGGAAGTCATGGCAATGATTGGGGTGTTGTCAAACTGTCTGATCAAATGGCAAGCCGAAACGCCATCAAGGTTAGGCATGATAATATCCATCAGTACGAGATCGTACTTTGCGCCAGCGTTCATCTTGTTGACTGCTTCCAGACCATCAAGCTAAGATTGGGTCAGCACAAAGAAGGACAAGAGAGAATCGAATTTCCGACTTACAGCACTATCGACAGCGCAGTGGAAAGCGTACAAGAACTTGCCGCCTATTCTTCTGCAGGTCTGATCATCTTCAACAAGCAGCACTTGAGGTTGTCTAACCCAGCCAGGGTCATATTGCATGCTCTTCTTCCTTCCATCAGCGACAGGAGGTGCAGGCGCAGGCTCGGGAGCCTTTGTTGGCATTGCATAAGGAATATTGTGGATGTGTTCGCTGAACATGGGATCGATGCCATTCGTTTGACCGACGGGATACACAAGGTTGTCGAGTTCACCATATGACATGGATGTGGACGAGGCAGCGGAGTGAGGACCCTGGGGACCACCTCTAGCCACTCTGGCACCGGTTCGGAGCGCCAGATCCGGAGGAGGTGTGGTAAGGGCCGAGTTCATTCTCAAAGACATTTCGTTCATGTGTTCGAGGTTACGAGTGTTCAGCATATGGTCGGCGTTGGTCTCTGAGAGCAGTTTCGCGGCATGCTGCAGCGGCGATGCAGGCTCATCTTCTGGAATTGGTGCAGGAGGGAGTTGCTTGCCGTTGGGGGCACCAGTAGCCGGAGGCGCAAAGGGATTGGTCGTGCGACTTTCTCTTCGTCGTTGACCATCGACCGACTGCAGGAAGTTCATGACATATTGCATGACATGCTCGTGGTTGACAACTGTCTTTTGGACGCCGATGAGTTCCTGCAAAAGCATCGAGTGGTGCATGCTGAGTTCGTTGTAGCGTTCTTGCAATTGTTGCAATTGCTGTTGTGTTGCGACAAGTTGTGTATTAAAAAGATCCATTTGCTGGGTGGGCATCATTTCATCCATCATGGCATTGGGCTTGCGCGGCGCAGGGGCTTTTCTTCGAATGTTGTCCAGGGCGTCCTTGTTGTTGGCCTTGAAGTCGGGGTGCTTGAACTCCCATGCCTGCCAATCTGTTAGTTCTCCCAACCGTCTTCTGCTGCATCAAATACTGGAGCGACGTACACCAGCGCCATAGGGAGACACGCCGCCCTCTTCGTTGTTATGTCGGACTTTGTGAAAATCATATTTGTTGAGCTGACGCACGAAACTGGCAAAATTGCTGTGTTTGAAGTGCTTGGGCAGGATGTGCTTTGTGAATTTCTCGTNTCTGCAGGCCATCTGGTTAGCGAAGCCTAGACGCGTGGAGGGATTCGGTATGCGCACTTCGAGGACGACAAAACTATCACCTTCGTTGCCCCATCGTACTACGCTCTCGTCTTGTGGGCTCTCCAACATCCTATCACAAGCCAATTAGATGACGCCATGCATGGTTAATGCGCGCGCGCAGCCCAATGACCTACTTGTACAACTTGCGAACCTGCCAAGACAAGAAAACGGAGGTTAGCCATTGCGGCAGAGTGATTGCGCCCTTATCTTTAGACAAGAGCGTGGTCAACTTACAAAGTCGCTGGACGTGTTTCCACTACCGCCTCCCTGGTTGTTGTCCATGGTCGCGACGGGGATTGCTGTGGGCGATGACGTATTCTGTCTGGTTCATGCGACGCGCAAAGAATTTGCACGGGTCGAGATGGCGGTCTTTTCGAGGTTGGCGGCTCTGTTGAGATAGAAGCGGGGTTTGAGGGCGAGCGACTTGGGGGGATGCCGGGAAGGGTGATGTAACAGGCGGGAGCCGAGTAGAATACAATGAGCGCGAGAGGGCTCGTGAGCGTCGGCGCTGGCTGAAGCCTTTTGGCGGTGGTATGGCGCGAGATATGCAGAAAAGAGCACCGAGGACAATCGAAGTTGCGAGCGGACGAGAGTCTGGAGCGCCAGAGTTCAGCGAGATCAAAGGAAGAAAGCTCGAAAAGCAGGGTGCAGGTGTCGAGCCAGAAACGATTCCGAGGCTCTGTGCAAGACGGATGCCGTGGCTTAGCGTACGCGATAAAGTGGATCTGCCCTCCTTGTCTATCGCTCGAGTCGGAGGAGAAAAGAAAAATAACTTGGCCCATGGTTGAATACGTGCATGCTAGAGTCAAGATCGGCGCCCCCATTACTGGTACAAAGCTTCCGTTGCCGATTTGTGGAATGAATGCTTTCTTCCTCCATCACCAACACCACCACATGTCGGCACACTATACCACGTCTTTTCTGCCGAGCACCGAGTACCGTCTTTGCACGAGCCCACACCTCCTGTCCAAGAGATCCGTGACATGTGTTCCACTTCTGCAGGACTAAGGAGAGCTGACGACCTCCCCGGTTAAGCTTGAATCTAATAGTCGGAATGGCGTCAACGGCTCCGCTAATGCTGCCTTTGTCAAGCCATTCGGGTCAAAAGGCTGAACGTATCGTGGGCCTGCAATTCCAAAATCGTCCAAGAATTGAAACTCGCGGTAAACGTCCTGCTACAGCTTTGGTCGCCGTGTTGGAGATGCGACCCCGAACTACGGAAGTAGTACTGTAGCGACTTCTGTCATGGCGCTGTGCAGAGGTGTGTGGGATTTCTAGTAAAGTAGTTAGATGCAATGCATTTTCCTTCATTGTCAGGTCACCCTGTCGATTAAAGATGGCAGTGATCGCGTAACCGATGGTATGGTAGAGAAGCACCAATCAAAAGCTGCAAACAAAAGCTTGGTTGTTATCTCCAGCTTAAGCTCCAAGCCCTCGATATTCTGGCCTTCCAAATCACCCACCTACCCCTCACCTGTTCGTTGTCATCCGTCAATTAAAGAAACACCTTTCCCCAGCTCGCAACCATGTTCACCGCTCGTGCAAGAACTGCTCTTTCCTCGACCCTTCGCTCCACCCGCACCCCTCTCGTCAATCGTTCATTCCACGCTTCAGCGCCCATCATGGTCAAGGTCGGCGACTCTATTCCGGACATTGAGTTGATGGAGGACTCTCCGGCAACAAGGTCTCCATCCCCAAGCTCCTCAAGGGCAAGGGTCTCATCATTGGTGTTCCTGCTGCTTTCAGTAAGATTGCTCTCTTGTTATAGTCTATCGTTTGCTTCACCACCACCCCCTGCGCCCCGAGCCTCATGCGCTTGCGCGCCTGCACCGAGTCTAGTGTTAGGTCAATCGCTGGTCATTCACGGCTTGCTCTCCGAACAGATCGCTAGCTCGCCAACTCGATGCCGCCCATGCACCTACATGCACTAATCTCCACCAAATCTGGATTCCAAATTCTTGGACTCCTTGGTCTATGTGTCGCTTGAAGAATGAACTTGGGTGTAAATGCCGAAGGAGGAAAGTCCGGCTAACATTCCTACTCCCTACAGGCCCCTCATGCTCCGAGTCCCACATTCCTGGTTACATCAACTACAAGAACCTCAAGGACGCTGGTGATGTCTTTGTCGTTTCGGTCAACGATCCCTTCGTGTAAGAGCTAGCAAATGCTGCAGGACTGTTTCAGAGCCAGGGTAATAACTTTCAATGTAGCATGAAGGCATGGGCCCACGACCTTGATGCTGACAAGAAGAGCGGTGTAAGTTTTCGTAACCTATTCTGCTGCTGCTGATTCGGTCATGCTAACCCGTTACTCTTCAGATCCGCTTCCTTGCCGACCCTGACTGCAAGTTCACCAAGGCTCTCGACCTCGATTTCGATGCTACTCCCATCCTCGGCAACCACCGTAGCAAGCGCTACGCTCTGGTCATCGAGGACGGTAAGGTCAAGGAGGCCCACGTCGAGCCCGACAACACTGGCATGAGTGGTGAGTCTCTTGTAAACCCTCAGACAAAGTGCGTTACTGATCTTTCTAGTTTCGGTTGTCGACAAGGTCCTCGGTTAGATGCTCCATATCCTGCCCTTAACACGATGTATGCGAATATACCCCAGGGCCATGTAGTAATGACAAAAGATTTTACACAACAACTATCACGTTCCGTTCTTCTCTTGATCAACTGACAGAAGGGTATCTCGAATTCGTGTCTGAAAACACTACACTCCTTCTACCATATCCCAGAACGATGTACTTGTTGCTGATTCCGACTGGCTAAACTCACATGACTGGTTTTGAACTCTCCAACTCTCTGGAACTGTCAGAGCTAGGCATTCCAAACGTTTGCCAGCTGCGAGTGTTCAAGTACACACGCAGATTTACTCCATGTCCTTGACTCTGGAATAGAATATCAGGTGACGTCAGATCATCATGACGTTCTGCAGATGTGCTTCCTCCGAGAGACCTCACTTCATTGATTGTAGCCTAAACACCAATATCTCACATCAAGAAAAGCCATGCCTTCCCAAAGACAAGCCATCCACGCCTCCTCAGCTCCAAAGCCCAACGGCAATTATTCACATGTAGTCCGTGAAGGCAACACCCTACACGTCGGTGAGTCCAACCTCCTCTATATCCAAACCCCAAACTTCAACCCAAGCATCCACCACAAGACCACAGCACTAACCCACCCTCCACANGCCGGCTGGATGGGCGACGACCCCTCAACAGGCACCATCGTCTCCGGCGGTATAGGTCCTCAAACCCACCAGGCGATCCAAAACATCAAAGCCTGTTTGGAAGCCGCAAACTCTAGTCTCGATAAAGTGGTCAGGAGGAGAATTTATATCATGGACATGAAGGATTTTAGAGAGGTGGATAGGATTTGGGCAGAGTACTTTGAGGAGCCGTATCCCGTGAGCACCTGTGTGCAGGTTAGTGGGTTGGCTAAGGAGGGTGCGTTGGTCGAGTTGGAGGTTGTTGCTGAGGCTTGATTTAACCACGCGATGATTTGTATTGCACCAGAGAAGCAACACATGACATCTACTACACATCAACATGCAGGTCATCGAAATGTAGAATCTGAAGGTTTTTATGTCTGATTGGTTTTAATGTACTTTAGCTGTGCTAAACCCATTCTACAATATCTTTGTAAGCAGCGAGGAGCCACTACAGCGGTCTCTGTCTCTTCCTAATCTCGCCTCGGCCAAGCCAAGCCTTATAGAGCCGAAGAGAGCGTGTGAGTGACACATGAACGCGTCTGGACAAGCGTCATAGAGAGTGCAAAAACTTCCCTCCGAAGTGACATAGAGCCTAGCAGAACAAGGTGTTGTTGGAAGTCATGCCCAGAAGACCGAGATCGCCGTGCTGCATGTTCTCACACAGCCAAGCCTGCTTTTCCTCGTTATCGATGGCATTGACAGCGAGCGAGAGCTGGCGAACAAAGATCTCGGTGGAAAGGATTGTCATAACGTTGCGAGAGTAGTCAAGAGTCATGAGTGGCTCATCGTGGTCGAGGCATAGGGCACTACGGACGATGGTCGAGTTGATGCCCTCCTGAAGCTGAGCTTGAGACATGTACTGGTACTGCTCGCACATGACCCAACGGCCGGTGACAGTAGAGGCACTGAAGCTGTACAGTGTAGCAAAGAGAGCGGACGCCATGTTGTAGATGAGAGAGTCGGCAACAACAAGAACATCGTGCGAAGGGTCGACCCAGGCAGTAGGGTAAGGACGGTTGGCGCAGAAGGCCTGACCAACACGACCAGAGCTCAGAGCTAGCTCGTCGTTGATGGCGGTGTAGTTGAAGTTCTCGCACAACCACTCGTAGCTGGGCTCGGGGTTGTCACCAAAGGCATGAAGAAGCTGGGCAATGAAGATGTCGGTGCTAGCAAGCTTGATCTGAGAAAGTGAAAGGGCAGAGGAGTTGGACACTCTGGCAGTAGCAACGCAGAAAGCCTGCTCAATGGCGGCGGGCTTAAGACCAAGGGCAGCCCAATGACCATGACCGAAGAAGGAGATGTTCTGGCAACCCTGATCAACAGGGGCCAGACTCTGCTGGGAGCCGGCGACCTGCCAGCCCAAGACCAAGGAGGTGTTGGCCATGATCTGCGAGTGAGCGCTGGCTATAGATCGTCAGCATTGAAACATTGAGGTGTCGTCGAGTTGACTCACCAANNGGACCTTCTCGCTCAAAGCAGCGCCTTGAGCAAGGCCGGCAAGAAGACAAACAGTAGCGACAGTAAAGAACTTCATGATGGACGTGAGACGTGAGACGTAAGAGGTGGACAAAGTTGGATAAAGGAGTGTGTGTTGTGGGAAGAGAAGAGAAAGCGAAAAGAGTGTGGAAGTGGAAATGGTGTTTGTTTTGGAAACGAAAGTGAAGAGGCAATGTTTGACTGTCAGTCGCGCTTTCCGTAAACTTCGCTTGTGGTTGAGAGCTTCCCAAGAAAGTAGAATTGCTGTAAATAAGTTTGTGCTTGCCTACAACAATATTGGCTCCTCCCCATGTGCTAAAGACAGTCACAGTGTAGCTGTCGAAATACACAATATGCTCGCTTAACTATGGCTTCCATTGAGAGAACCTCAATGAAGGCTATCTCAATGGCCAGGCTTATATTCGAATCGCAACTGTGCATCTCGATAGCTTATGATAACCCTTGCAGCTCGGATGGAGAAGGGGTTGGTCAGGAGGAGGAAGATCAGTTCAATGGTCGCTCGAGATGTCCGGTGCCTACAGCATGCAGTCAAATGTGGTTCGACAAGCAGACTATGCAAACGACTGGCAACTATAGCCTATTTCCTGTCATTCTAGCAAACAATTAATGCGTTCAATCACCAGGACAACCGTCTGTACATTCTCTGACATGACAACGAAATCGTTTTTCTATTCGTGTGGTGCGTATTCTTGGGATGGAAAAAAAGACAGGCTTGATATTACAACGCCTTGGGAATCAAAATAGTGGTAGAAACATACTGTACATTCCAAGAGCATCTAGTCGAGAGCACCATCGGTTCTGAGCTTCTCGTTGCCCCACATCTCACTGGTCAAGCTGGTCAAGCCCTTAGCGGGCTCGCAGGACTGGCGGCCACTGAGGGGACCAGGAGTAGGGAGCTTGACGCCTTGTGCAGAGTAACCTCTTCCTTGCTCAGGAATTGTGGTACCTGAGCCTCCAGCACCCTCGGCCTTTCCAGCCTCGCCAGCGAGACCGGAAGCTTGTCCAGATGCGCCGGCCTTCTGTGCAGCTTCTCTAAGAGCCTTGAGCAGCGATTTTGTTGTCTCGGGAGTCAAGTCCTCGTAGTAGTCATCGTTGATCTGGACCATAGGGGCATTGGCGCATGCACCCAGACATTCGACTTCAGTGAAGGTGAAAAGCTTGTCCTCGGTGGTCTCGCCGTGGTGAATCTTAAGCTCCTCCTCAATGGCCTTCATAACACCGTCGGATCCTCTAAGCTGGCAAGGGGTCTAGGGAGTTGTTAGTTTCGCAGCTTGTCGAGAGTCTTGGACCTGTAGACATACGGTGGTGCAGCACTGGACGTGGTAGCGGCCGACGGGCTCTCTGTTGTACATGGTGTAGAAAGTGGCAACCTCGTAGACACGCATAGGAGGCATTTCCAATCTGCGGGCGACCTCATTCATGACGCTGATGCTGCAGAAACCGTGTTGGCGCTGACCGAGATCGAGCAGGGGCATGACGGCAGCCTTCTTGTATTGCGAAGGGTATCGGCTGAGGACTTCCTCAATGAGCTTCTCATTCTGGGCGTTGAACTTGAAAGGGACGTCGAGGTTGTTCTCTGGTGAATCGCGGTGNNCTGGTGATATGACAATTAGAGGGTGGACAGTAGTCCAAGAGGCGAGTGAACATACGACGAAGAGCGAGTCGCTACGAGAAACGGAAGAGACGGCGAATGAGCGGTGGGGTTGTTGTCTGGCGAGGACGCGCAGAGCTCTGCTGCTGCTTCTGAAGGCCATAGGGGCGAGCTTAGAGGCCATTGTGTCGAGAGAGAGTTGTGGTGTGTGAATTGAGTCGAGATGCGATCTCCAGGTCCCAGTCGTCAAGAGTCCAACTTCGACTTCGATCCGCCGCCGCGTCGTGGTCAGCGTCGCTCGGCCAATCAGACGCCGTCATTTCACGTGACGATTACCAAAGATATGGAAGCTATTCCATTGAACGATGCTCTTTCTTGATATCTCTACGTAGGAGCCACATGCAATCAGTCATGTTTGCTACAGTATAGACGAACGTGCGGCGAGTCTATGACCTGAAAAGACAGAGAAATTGCAAGTTCGTAATGTTGGCCTGAGATCGCGATAGAATGTAGAAGTTTTACATGTAATTGTACAAAGGTCGATAAGCAACCTTTATCGGCCTAGAGCACCTCTCGGCTGCAGAATTTCAGGATGCCTGTGCACACTGGGCATCAGACCGAGGCCAATTGCTCTTCTGACAGCCTTGGCCACCTTTCTCTGGTTGACCGGTCTCAATCCTGTGTCCTTGGAGTGCTTGATCTTGCCCATCTCGGTCATAAATTCCGACATCATGGAGAAGTNTCTGAAACATGTCAGTGGCAGTCCAAGCTTCGCTGATTGAACAAAACGTACCCAGTAGTGATTCAAAGGATTGATCTTCAGCATATCAAAGACGTCCTTCTTCGGCCTGCCCTTTGGTTGACCCTTGCTCCACTTGGCCATCTCAACACCACTAAGATCGTGAGGAGCGTAGACATCTCCGTCCCTCCACTTGCGTGTCATTTGTCTTTCAAACTCGACAGTCTCTTGCATAGCATTCATTGTTGCCTCGTCCTGTCTGTTTCTCCTGAGATCTCTTGCAGTCTGTTCCAGAAGCTTGTGAGGGTCGTTTCTGGCGACGCCCGAGTCCTGTGAATTGAATGGAATGGTGCGTGTGGTTGTTCTTGGGTACGGGGGAGCTCTTGGGCGAGCTCTGTCGCTTGTGGCTTTGAGTGACTCTAATAGACCTAGAGGAATATCAGCACATGCATACTACGCGTACCAGATTGCGATAGTTACCTCCGANNAAACATCAGATCGCTTGGGCTCGTCGGCGCATGGTGTCGACGAGGCGAATGTGCGCACGCAGGATGGATATGAAGAGCCGCCGCGAGTAGCGACTCGTGTGAAAGGACGCATGACGGACATGATGCGGTACGTGGAGATTCAAAATATGCCGTCGTCGACTTGTCTGGATAGTTCGGGAGTCTGGATGTTGGCCGCAATTGAAGGTCGCGGGAAAAACCGAAGACTTTCTCAAAAGTGTCAGTCCGACGTGGAGAGAGCAGCAACGCCGCGCGACAGCTACGAATAATTATACGCCCAACCTTCTACTTTCCCACTCCGTCGCGCCTTGGTCTGGACTCTTCTTCTTGTACATTCTTTTCGTCCTTCTTGTTTCCGCCATTGACCCGTCAACCCGAGTGCCGGCATGCGCTCTCACCTCAATCGCGTTGTCTTTCGCAAACTGCTGGCCAGCGAACCCATAGCACACCGCGGTTGTCTTCGTCCATACCAATATCTGTCGTCATGTTCGCCCGAACTCCAAGCCCTCCCGAGGGTTCAACGTCGCTCCTTCATGAACATCTTCAAGAAACCTCAACGTGTGACTTCGGAACCGAGAATGGCCCCTGGCTTAGAAAAGATGATGGAATACTCCAAGATGGAGAGACTCAGTGCAAGACTGCCGCCGCCCGACGACCTCCTCAAGGCTGTCACTGCCTATTTTCTCTACAAGTCGACCTTCAGGACTATTAGCAAGGATATTCCCGACGTTCAGGCCCAACATCTCCTTCGCTGTTTAAAATACCTAGATCAACACCTTGGTTTGGCAATTCTCGAAGCCGAAGTGCTACGCTCATGGATAATTGTCCTTGACCATAGAGCCCACAAGAATTCTTCCATCCACCGAGAGATCGTCGAACTCTTATACGGTGCGCTCTGTGGGAACAGAGCACAACGAGGAAACCTCTTGTCGCTGAGAGACAGGTGGGCTTACACAAGAGCCATGTGTGCTACCGGAGGCACTGCGAAAGCTAGAGATGAAGTCATTAGATACGGTCAGGCACATGGTGACACAGACCAAGATTACAAGCCCATAATGCATTGGGAATTGATTATCAAGGGCTTCGCAAAGGAACAGAATGAGCAGGAACTTCTTCGTACTTTGAATCACATGGACGAATATGCTGTCAAAGGATCTAGACAGTCTATCATGGAAACAGTAACAAGGTTCTACATCGCTGAAAACAAGATTGAGAACGCATTCGAATGGTACAACAGAATCAAGGAGCATGTTGATGATGAGTCAAGGTTCGTTCGCTTACAACGGAAACTGCTTGTTCTAAGCATGCATACCTCAAACATGAGGCTTGGCCAGCTCGTCATTCGGGACATCACGGCAGGAACTCCAACAAAATATCAGTGGGATATGATATTAGAATGGGCTGTAGCGACAGGCAAGGGAGCCGACGAGATCGACCGCATGATCGGTGTCATGGAACGAGCGAACCAATCTCTTCCGAAAAACGAATGGCGGACTCCCGATACTTTGACGTTGAACAGACTAGTCAAGGTGGCGGTCGATCGCAAAGATCCATACCTTGCCGAACGCCTCATTGCTATAGGCCGAGCAAGAAACATTCAACCCGATGCGCTGACGCTCATCTACCAGATGGAGTATCGCCTAGCTGTCAAGGATGTTGATGGTGCTTCGACTGTGTACAAGCATCTGCAGTCTCATGACCTTTCGAAGAACGAAGATATCTCTGTGGTCAACGAGCTTATCCGCGCTATGTGCGCATCTGGACGACAAGACTTTGACAGCATAATGAATGTCGCAGCTGATCTCTCAGACCGTCAAGCACGTTTTGAGCCCGACACCGTATCAGCATTGTCCGTGTTGCATCTTTCGCGTGATGAGGTACACGACGTGATTGATCTTCTCAACACTCACGTTTATGGCTTTGACATTGCTGGACGTGCGTCTGTACAGAGCACGCTGATTGACTATTGTCTCAGGCCTTCGACAACAACAGCTCAAGCGTGGGATACATATATCATTCTAAAGCAGGTCTTTGATGATACCACTCGAGAGCAGCGCGTCAGGATAATGAACGAGTTCTTCAGACGGCAACGTCCAGACATGGCAGTACACGTCTTCAACCATATGCGAGCGCACACTCGGCAGGATACCATCCCTAACGTTGAAACATATGTTGCATGTCTATCCGGGATTGGCAAAGCGAAGGACGAGGAAAGTCTTGAGGTCGTCTACAATCAGCTCAAACTGGACTTCAACATCGAGCCAAACACACTGCTCCAGAATGCATTGATGAAAGCATACACGAGCTGTGAGTCTCCCAGAACAGCTTTGGGCTTCTGGGACGACATTGCGTCGAGTCGCGAGGGACCGAATATCAACAGCATTCACCTTGCAATGAGAGCATGCGAAGATGCCCCATGGGGTGATGAGAAAGCACGCCAAATATGGACAAAGCTAAGTCGTACTGGCATCGAGCTGGACCAGGATCTCTGGGCTAGCTATGCTGCAGCACTGGTAGGCAACGGCAATGCAGATAATGCCATCCGTATGTTGGAGGAAGCACATGTCGAACAGGGACTCGACATGGACACTCTAATGTAAGTTTTGACAATGCAGATCATTCAAGGGCAAAGGACTAACGTATCGTAGNNAATTGGATCATTGTACAACGCTGCTCCAGGGCAAGTCAANAAAGGTGTTGTCGAGGCTTGGGCTGGGGAAAGATATCCAGAAATCTGGACAGCGCTGGAAGAGATAGGCACACGCATTTCAGAACAGACCGAGCTACCTGAGTTCAAGATCGATAGAGAGGTTGAGCCATAGACTCGCATCAGAGCATGATATCTGTATACATATATGTACAATTACGAACAGCACGATCTCGAAGAACATTCTTTGTGAAAGGATCGTGCATCTCTACAGCTACACTGTGACTGTCCTTAGGGAGAATGCAATGCAAATGGACGAGATGGAAAGGGCCAAGGGAAAAAAGACGTCAGCGTGCATTTGGCTGACCGGATGACTGAAGGAACAGGAGCAGGATTTTGGGTTGGAGGGGCTTGGATTCAGGCTTCGGCTTTGACAGAAGCAAGAGTCCTGACGATCTTTCTCGGAGGGTAAATGGCTTGAGATGAGCTTGTTCCTGTCAAACCTTAGAGTGTTTGGGCAGCAACAAAGTGAAGATCAAAGACTTGATATTCCGTGCCTGCTTGTTCTGTCGGTGCACGTGGAAACGCACGTCACCGTTTTTGAGTGAAGGAAGGAAGCAGCGTGCAGCAGGAAGGAGGGCTGCGTTGATCACCAGCCACCACGGTCGGCAATCTCTTGGTTGCAGTTAATTGCATCCGTCTGCGCCTGGTTGCCTGGCTGGCTCTGCGCAATGTCACCAGTCCGCCCTGCTTAGCCTCACATACTTTCGCTGTTGTTTCGTTCATCTGCAGTTGCTTGTCGACTCTCGTTTCCCCACGAACTCTCCACCTCCGCCGTCTGCTCCACCCGTTTTGTCGTCCGCGGATCCCAACGGCCAGTACCAAACTGCCGTCACTGGTCCCGCGCCGTCACCATGTCTGTCATCTACAAAGACCGTGACGAACCACGCACATACACGACCGTCCGCCGTTACCGAGTACCAGACCGAGCATTTGAGGAAGAAGATGTCTACGAGAAACAGATAGTCATCAAGCGCGACCGCGAACAGGCCCCTCGATATGACCGTGATCTCGCATACCGCACCGGCGAACGAGACGCTCCAAGGGAAGTCGTTCGCTATGAACGAAATGTCGAGCGTGCGCCTTCTCCTGACCGAGTACGTGAGTTCCGCTTCGAACGGGAAATAGACCGCGAGCCCCCTCGTCGCGATCAATGGGATCTGGAGAGGTACACTCGCTCCACCGAGTACTATCAACCACAACCCATTATCATACGCCAAGAACCGCAACCAATTATTATCAAGGAAGCCCCTCGACAACCCGTGGTCCTTCAACGAGAGGAGCCCAACTACGAACTTATCGAACGTGACGATGCACAGAGAAGGAGGGATGATGATGACTATTACTACGAACGGACCACTCGTGAGGTAGATCGAGGTCCGCGTCGTGGAGGCGGTGGTGAGGACTTCTATGATGAGCGTTATTACAGACACGATGTTGACCCCCGGGATTCAGCGTCCAACTACGCCGACGACCGCTATAGCAGCGACGAAGATATTGTCATCACTCGCACAGAACGTAACGGTGGCTCGCGCGACCACTCGCCTCACCATCGCCGTCATCTAGCCGAAGGTGCTATAGCTGGACTTGGAGCCGCCGAGATCCTCCGCCATCATCGCCGAAAACAAGGAGAGGAGGGTGGTCATCGCGGTCGTCAACTTCTGGGCGGTGCTGCACTGGGTGCTGTTGGAGCTGAAGCTCTGAGCCGTGCCAGAAGTCACATGCGAAGCTCACGCTCGAGGTCGAGTTCCAGCGATCGTTCCTACCGTTCCAGCCGACGTGAGAGACGCCGTCGTCGCCGCAGCAAGAGCAGAAGTAGGAGTCGCTCTCGTGCGCGTACTTTGGCCAAAGTCGGTACAGTCGCCGCCGTTGGTGCTCTTGCCGCATACGCTCTTCGCAACAGAGGTAACAAGGAAACGGTTATTGTTAACAACGAGGTCCCGCCACCACGCCGCAGCAGGTCTAGAAGACGCCGTTCCTCGGTTGGTAGTGCTCCTCCTCCATTGGACGCCAGAAGCAGGAGTGAAAGCAAGCATCGTGACCCCGAACATCGCAACCGCCGTATTGCTCAGGCTGGCCTTGCGTCTGCTGCAGCTGCTGGTATCTTGGATCGCGTACGCAGTCGCTCGAGAGGCGGCAGAAGGTCTCGATCTAAAAGCAGAATTCGCACGGGTGCACCGATCGCTGCGGCTGGACTGGGTGGTGCTGCTATCGCCGGCTTGTATGAGCGAAGTAAGGCTCGCAAAGAAGCGGCTCGAGACGACGCATCTGAGCCCGGACGTCCCAGGTCCAGATCTCGTAGTAGATCTGTTCCTTATCCTGATGATGAGCCTCGCTTGCGTAGAGCTTCGAGTGATCCCGCGCTTATAGAATACGGTGACGATCCGATCTACCCGAACCGACGTTACGAGGAGCCACCAGCCGAGTACCGCCGCAGGCGCAGAGATAGTTCGGCTTCTTTGAGCCCTGACAGACGCAGACATGACAGATCAAGTCGCTCGAGATCGAGAAGTCGTAGCCGAACTAGAGGTTTGGCCGAAGGCGCTGCTGCCGCAGGCGTTGCTGCTGTAGCTGCTCACGAACTGGGCAAGCGGAATGAGCGTAAGAGAGCAGACCGTGANGCGGGACCGAGATCGCAGACGTGAGTTCCCCGATTTCAAGAATGTTTGATGATCTTCTAACAGTCTACCCCAGGCCATGAGGAAGAGGACGATGTGTATGCACACGACAGACCATACTCTCCGCCGCCAATGGGGGCCAATGCTGCATATCCTCCCACACCCCAGAGCCATGAGTTCTACCCAGCCACTAACTCNTTTCCACCTCCGCCAACCGACAACTACCCACCTCCGCCAATCGACCATTATGGACACCAGGCAGACTACCCACAACAGGACTATCGGCCGTACAACCCTGCTGATTATCCCCCACCTCCGGGAGCGGGTAGTGCTCCTCGTGGCCGACGTGACGAACGTTATCCCAGCCCCGACCCCAATCTCGGCTATCCTCCTACTAATGAGACTTTTGCTGGTGACTCACGCTACGCTGGCGACAATCGCGGCAGGCCGGGTCCAGAACATGTGAGTTCCACCACTCCTTCTGGTATTAACTCTGATCCACACGACTCTTCTGGTGGGTGGTTCGGTTCAGTTGCTAGTCTTTCCACTCTGAATAGAAGCTAATGTCACATACANGATGGTGTAAACAAGAAGAGTGTGCAATTTAATGTACCGCCTAGCGAGGGCATGAGTTCGCCAGATGCGCAAAGGAAACCCAATCCTCGTGATGCAGACCCAGATATGGAATATTCAGAAAGCGATGGACACGATGACAGAACCAGAACGAGAAGCGAATTGAGTAGCAATGGCACTACAGAAACAGAACATAAGCGCAGACGACGCAGGCGTCATCGCTACCACGATGATGATATTGATGAACACGAACGTGACGACGGTCACAATAATTCCCACCACCACCGCCGCAGACGCCATAGATCCCGCGATCCTTCAGCACAACGACGCACAGGTTCGCCAGACAGCGTAAATTCCAGCGAAACAGTCGAACTACCACCACGCTTTGATCAGGAAGGTCGTAAAGTACCAGAGCGAGGCGAAGATCCTTTGGCCGACAAGATCGAAGACCTACTCCATGGCAAAGGACTCGCTGGAGGTATCTTCAAACGACTCACTGGTGACCTGCTCGGCGATGGCGCTGTAAAGAAGAGACGTTGATACCCCCTTGCTTGCTACACAGTTTTCCCAGTTTTCCCCCTTTGTTTTCGATGGATCTTTTTTTGCTTGCACCCAGTCCACCCCCATTTTGCTGCTTACTCTTTCTTAATGAGAAACACGAATTTTGCTGGCTTTTCTTGATATCACTGTTTCCTTCGCACATTAAAGGCAATTTCTGCTTTTTCTACGGCTGAGGTTTGCTTTGCTGGTTTGTGCTTGTTGCTTAGCTCCAATCTCCTTTATCGCTTTGGGCAAATCACAGAAATGAGTCTTTTCATCCGCTGAGATTGAGAGTCTTTGTGCAGTGAGATGTTTTGTGATGTATGATTCATGCGTTTGCTTTTACAGGTAGCTCTGAGCCTTTGAATGATATGGCAGGTGCTTTGGAACTTTGTAGATCAAGGTTTAGTGCTTGTTTCCTCTTCATACAAGAAAAGAGCGCCGTTTGACGGTTTCTGCATTTGGTATATCGGATGCGCAGAGTGCCGCTGGGGTAGGAAACAGACGAACAAGTCGGAGTGATCATGGAGGATGTGATGGTAGACTGCTTTGGTGAGATACACTAGAATCTTGTAAGACTGCCGAAAGCTATGGCATCAACGCAATGGTAGTTCAAGGCAGAACAGTAACTGAGCAGAGGACAAACATAATGTTGAATCTTAAAAGACTTCGGTATACATTATATGAATGTGTTGACATGATAAAACAAGGCGACGAAAATAAGAACAGGGTGATACCACCATCAACCCTCCGTCTCGAGATCTTTGCCCAGCACGATCTATCGATACAAATAGCCATTCGAGAACCGATTACCATAGTAATCAGCCCACACCTCATCGTCCTCGAATCTAGGATCCACGTCTTTTGCTTTCCTCACCACCTTGATATTTCCATCCCAGAACCCTTCGACAGCTGGCTCTTCCTCTCCTGCCGTCAGTCGTTTTTGGTATTCTGACTTGGTTGCTTTGCGGAATTTTGAGAGTTCTGCTATTACATCGATCTCAGGTTTGGATTGGTCTTTGCTGGGTTGGTTTTGAGGACGGTGAGAAGAGGGCTTTGGACGACCCACAGAAACTTCCATGCCAGACATGATTGTCAGTGGTCTCACGGGTTCGAGAGAAGTGTCCAGACTATTCGTTTCACCCTCGCCGAAGAAAGAGAAATCGGTTTGAGAAGCTGCCCACAAAGCTTCACTGTCTTGATCCTGGGTAACGGATTTGGTGCCCCGGTGTCTCCACGCACTGGCAGCTTCGCTCTTCTTCTGGTCTAGACTGCATGGCGCTACTTCGAGAATGATTTGCTCAAGCGCGAAAGATTTGCGCATGATCTCTTNTTGGTGTGAGTGGCTTGTTCTTCGACCGGGTGGTAGGGTCCAGTCTAGTTGTGCTTGAAGTTTTGCCAGGGCTGTTTCTTCGGCGCAGGCATGTATGAGTGAGACGAGTCTATTTGGTGTCTCCAGTGTCGGTGATGATGGTGGGACTTCAGTCAGGACCAAGGTGGTTAGATGAGGCAAACTACCGGGATGGAAGCCCTTGGCCTGAGTCAAGTGTGCCTGTAACCGATCTTTGCGCTCTTTGACGACCGAGGAGTAACTACGACCAAGACCCCGAGATGGAAGAATGGGGCTGGGGGTTAATGTCTCGTTGGAGATTGAACCTTCGCTCTCTTGCTCGAGCACTGTTACGTGCAAGCCAGATTCATTCGTCTCTTCTGCCTGAACGGGTATAGGAAGATCTTGGCTTCTCCTCCGTGCTTGATGTGTTCTCGTATTGGGCTTCTCGAATCCTGTGGGTGTCACCACGATGGAAACAGCATCGCCAGACACTTCGGTTGGGAAAGAAGTGTCGCCCAACATTTCATAGACCTCTGTATCGTGGCCCAGCTCAGCAACTCCACATGGGTAATTGGAAGTATCAGCAAGCTCGCAGAACTGAGACGTCGACTCGTTGGCATTCGTCTGAAACAAGGGTGGCTCTTCCGTCACTAGACTATGATCAATCCGCAGATATGTTAGGCTATGACTTGCCGACTCGGCCAAAACAGGAACTAGCTTCGCTAGACTGGGAAAGTTCATGCTGAACGAACCATCTTGTGAGGCCACCGCAGGCAAAAGACTCCCAGCGTCAAGCACATGCAGTCTTTCAGCTCTTAACAGTCCCGAGAGGCCCTCGACAGTAAGTTGGTTGTCTGAAAGATAGAGATGGGTGATACCACTCTCTGGGGCGTCTTCAATAGCCAAGCGGCCGACGAACTTGTCTGTGAATTCATTTCTCAGGAAGGCCTCGAAGTTGAGCCCCCGCACAATAGCGAGCATCTCGGCACCAAGGTATGGCAGTAATGATGGTGACATGACTTGACCATCATTGTTCCTTCGTGGGGGTGGCGTGAAGCAATGCTGAAGCAAAGTGCGCACACTTCGATCTGTAAGTTGGTTGTTCCGAAGGTCCAGGCTTCGGACTCGAGTTTTGATCGCATTCGCCAATATGAGCACATCGTCGTCTCTCAGCGATATACCTCGTAGCTTCAAAACCTGCAGACCACGGAATTGATTAAGCCCTCGAAGTACTTCGGGACTTTTAGCCGGGTAAGTCCAGGAGAGATCGAGGTATAACAACGAATCAAATCGTCTCAGAGCTTGCTGTAGACCTGTCGCAGTCACGTTGCTACATCTCGACGCATCTAGCAATCGCAAGCCGAAGGGCGTCCGAGCGGGAACTAGCTGGTTTCTGTTATCAGAGACTCGCGTGTACCTCAGCGCATTCAGGGATGCATGGTCGAAGAACGGCAAGCCGCGGACAATTAATGACTGCAGGTTCGGCAGACCTTCGAGGACCTCTCTCAGCCAGTCTGCATGTGGTCCGTTATAGATCTCAGCATGGGCTGGAGGGAGATGGAGAGTATGTGTCAAAGACCTAACACTTCGTCTAGCCCATGGAAGGGTACGAATGAATCGAGTCAACGCAANCTATAACGACACGCATGAGTTCACTGATCAACGAGCAGGTTGTTGAGACATTTCAAGCATTCGACATAACTTACCATAAACTCTGTCATTCTCGTCTCCGAAATGAGAGGCAGGATTGCCCCATAAGTAAGGAGCGAATGTCGCATGCCATTGTTGGCATACCAGTGCGGCAGAGCAAAGGTCTGAGGAGGAGATATAGTCGGCAATGAGATCCCAGGCATTCACTGTAGTGGCTTGACCATAAGACGGTGGATTTGCTTCCATGATTGAATCATGATGTTCTTGGGCAAGTTCGAAGAGTTGGACCTTCCCTCGTACTTGGTCAATGGATATGGCGGCAAGTTGGAAGTCATGCGCTTCCTCGCCAAGCATGGACTGACCAAAAGTTTGTCACATAAAGCACGCTACAAGACCATGACTAAGTGACAAACTTTAGTGTTCAAGGATAGAAGGATTCTGCCTTAATCTAAAACTAGGCAGTTTCTCGAAGATCACCTGAGGCTCAATATACAGTAACGTTTTCAGGCATCTAGTTTACAATATGTACACGGACACGGCATAGTGTGTCCTGATCAGTAGATCTACACCTTCTTCCTGTCCTGCCTCTTCTTCTCTTCAGACTTCTCTTGTTCCTCATCAATAAACAACATCTCCTGCGCACTCCACAGCTCAGAGTAAACACCTCCGCTATCAACAAGACGCTCGTGTGTGCCTTGCTCAGCTACAACACCATCCTTCAGGACAATGATAACATCCGAGTCGTAAATAGTGCGGAGTCTGTGAGCAACGAAGATACTTGTTCGTGCCTTTTCCTTGAGGATACTGTTAATATTTCCAAGGAGTGCTTGCTCCGTATGCGTGTCGAGAGCCGAGGTTGCTTCGTCGAAGAATAGGAATGGTGGATCTTTCAACAGCAGACGGGCAATTGCAAGACGTTGCTTCTCACCACCCGAGATCATCATACCGCGCTCACCAACCATAGTGGCGTACTTGTCGGGGAATTTTTGAATGATATCGTGAACCTTCGCCCGTCTAGCAGCAGCTTCAACCTTCTCAGGCGAAGCCTCGAGATCACCGTATTTCAAGTTGTGCTCAATGGTATCATTGAACAGAGGCGTGTCTTGCGGAACAACACCGATTGCCTTACGAAGGCTTTCGATCTGAACGTCACGGATGTCTTGTCCGTCGATCAAGATTCTGCCGCCTTGGACGTCGTAGGAGCGGAAGAGCAGACGAAGAATGGTAGATTTACCGCATCCACTGGGGCCGACAATGGCAATCTTCTTGCCAGCAGGAATTTCAAGGTTGAGGTTGCGCAGGATTGGTCTGTCGGGGCGATAACCAAATGAGACATTCTCGAACTTGATACCTCCTCCCGTGAGCATCAGAGGCTTAGCATTCTCGGGTTCCTTGATAGCCACGTTCACTTTCTGAAGGTTGAACAATGTCTCCATGTCTAGCAAACTCTGTCTGAGTTCACGATACACAGAGCCAAGNNGGAAGTTTAGAGGCACTGAAAGTTGGAAGACAAGCTGGTTGATCATGACGAGATCTCCAACAGTCAACTGACCAGTGGCTACGCCATCCGCACCGTAGTACATCATGGCAGTCAGAGCGCTGGAGAAGATCAAGTTTTGTCCACTGTTGAGGAAAGCTAGTGACGTGGCGACCTTGATGGATGCATCCTGGTAGTTCTTGAGTGCGGCGTCATATCTGCCAACCTCGTAGCGCTCGTTGTTGAAGTANNCTAGATAATGTCAGGAATATGTCCATATGTATGCTCGAAAGGAGCGCACCTTGACGGTCTCGTAGTTGATCAGCGAGTCCACTGCAACCGTAGCGCCCTTGTTGTCAGCAGCGTTGGCAGCCTTGCGGAATTTGGTTCTCCATGATGTTGTCAAGATTGTGAAGGCAGAATAACCGACCATGGTAGCAGCTGTGATAAGAGCGAATTTGAAGCCATATTGCCAGGTCTAGGATAACATTAGAAACGCATGGAATTGAAGCCTTGAGGACAAGCTTACAAGAATACCACAGACCAATGAGATCTCTAAGGCCGTGGGGATGATGTGGAAGACCATAGACTGCAAGAGGAAACTTATACCCTTGGTACCTCGATCAATGGCTCTTGTTAGGCCACCAGTCTGTCTTGATAGATGGAAATTTAGGTCAAGTTTTAGCAAATGCTCGAAGACAGTGGCCGCAACACGGCGGATAGCCTTCTGGGCAACACTTGCGAAGACTGCGTTACGAATTTCTTGAAACACAGCAGCACCTATCCTGGTAGCACCGTCTGGACGAAAATCAGAATAAGGTAAGGAAACATGGGGTGGCGCATGATCTTACANGGCAAATATGGTAGCGCCAGCGACAGTGACGGCGGTACCACCGACTGCAGCAAAGTCTATGTTCATGGAATCTACAATGGACTTGAAATAGAAGGGAACTTGGACGTTCAAGACCTNTTGGATGCCATTAACATGACAGCACGCGACATGAAAGATATGGATTATAGCTACCTTTGCGCCTACGAGGAGAGCAACGGACAAGCCGACTCTGAATCGAGTGCCGAAATCATCTTTGGGCCACAAGTAGTGAGCCATGTCCTTGATGATGGCCCAATCGGCCTTGCGCTGTTCCTTGTTGGAAACAGTCTGCTCTGCTAGGAGCGAAGGATGTTTGGCAGGAGCGGCAGCCTCNNTCTTCTGTACAGTGGGAGTGTTGGTAGGCTCTGCAGCTGAGACCTTGGTCTCTTGCTGGGCAGTCTTCACGCGAGTGTCGTCCTTGGGGCGCCATGGTGAAGTAGTAAAGACGCGGACGGTAGGACGGATACTTTGCTGGCAGGTGGTGATGCGAGAAAAGGCGAGAGAAGTAGGAGCCAGCCTATGGCAAGAATAGATGCCTCGAAGGGCACAAGCGGCCGACATGACGGGACAGATTGCGTATGACTACTATGTTGGATAGCTCAAAACACCATGATGGCCAGCTTCTCGTAAGAAGAAAGGACGATGTAGATGGATTACAGGTTAGTAAGAGGGACGGGGTCGATCGCCGAGACGAAGCAAATGCAAGCAAACAGAGCGACAACGGATGACTGACAAGCAGGAAGAATAATGAGCGATCAAAGATAAAGATGGGAGTGGGATGAAGCATCTTGTCCCACACTCAGCACAGACAGGCAAGCACGTCACTCACGTCGGCTTCGGGAAGGCACGCGTTGCTGCTTTGGCAGCTGCGTCTTGATATTCTTCTTTTACCGCCAGTCGCAATGTCTACTGCAATGCGCTGTCGTGCGCAAGAGCTGCTCCGTCGCAGTCGCCCAACCGAGAGCCTGCGCTCGTCGCCGCGACGATTCGTACAGATTGCGGCCACCCCATCGTCAACCAATCCTTCTGTAGCCTCTGCTGCTGCAGACGGCACTGCTCCCGGTACCTCCTTTGCGCCCTACATTGCAACCTTCCAGCCTTCTGACATGTTTACCTANGATGCTCAATTCGAGGTCTTGGGCAGCCCTTTCTCTCTTCTTTCCGCATCCATCTCGGCTTCGCAGAACCTGTATACTCGCAAGGGCTCGCTAGTTGGCTTCCACGGCAATGCCGAGAGTGTGAGCATGCCCCATCTCTCCTTGGTTACTCTTCGATACTCATACCCAGTCTTANNGACCGTATCCTCGCTCTCCGTCCTCGAGCCCTTCCGCCGCGCCGCATTCGGCATTCCTTTCCTCTACCAAAAAGTCACTTCGACTGCTCCTTATACCGCCCTGATTTCGACCAAGTCTCCTCTTACCACATTCTCTGTCATTCACCTCGACGGTCGCCTTGACTGGATGATCGCCCAAAGGAATGCTCTTCTGGCCTGGACCGGTCACACTCTTTCCATCAAGCCTCAGATCAACACCTCCATGAGCCTCGCACACTGGGGAAGTTCTCGTGTTACTGGCCGTGGACTTCTCTGTTTGTCGGGCAAGGGTCAAATCTACCAGCTCGCCCTTAAGTCTGGCGAGGAGTACATTGTTCACCCCAGCAATGTCATTGCTTATAGCATTATGCAACACGCTCCTCAGCCATACCGTTTCAAGTCATCCAACTTGCGCCTGCAAATTCCCAACGCATTCTCATACCTTCCGGACACAAGGTTCTTCAAGGTCGTGCGCCAATCAAACGTCTGGCGCTTCCTGGCCAGCACTTTGTTCACCATTCGCACCTGGGCCCGTCGCTCAATATGGGGAGACAGAGTAAGTTATATAAACAGCATACATATAATGTACCTTTCTGACTCGACTTTCTAGATGTTCCTCCGCTTCCAGGGACCTGCCAACATCCTCCTGCAATCCAGAGGCGCCAAGTTGACTGACGCCTTCACTGCTCGTGATGTCAACGAAGCTGGTGATGCTCCTGCAGGTGTGCTCCAGGCTGGAAAACCTGCCACACCCACAGTGACCGACGCAACTCCTTCGACTCCTGTTGCTCCTACAAAGCTCAGCTACGCAACAGTGGAAAGTGACGGTAAGGTCACCATCACCAAATCATAACGATCCGCTCCTTTCTTTCAAGAGAACCTTTGTACATTTATTTCTTGCATGGCATATTCACCTTTCACCATTCGGTCCAATCCAACCTCAATCCTTCGACCAAACTTCATGTCGACCTGAGATCCTTATAGAAGAAGACTTCATCAACCAACCTTCCGTCCTTGGGAGACAACCCATATCTCGGAATGGCGCCGAGACGAGTGTAACCAAGCCGAGGGTAAACGCCTTCTGCGGGACTGCCAGCCTCGGTATCGAGAGNTCTTGCGTGCAGTCAGTTTTAGCTAGACCACCAGAAAAGCACTTGTCACTTTCTTACCAGCAAAGTAGTTCCTCTCATCAGTGCCACCTCCTCCAGCTTTGACATGAGGCGCTTCGCGATGCCCATACGTCTGTAGCGTGGGCTGACCAGGAGCTTTTCGACACTGCCTCTGAATGGTCCTGTCTCAGTAGCCTGGCTTCCGAGGGCAACATATCCTGCCAATTCCTCCTGACCGCTTTCAGAAACTACCATCTGCATAAACATGATTTTTGTGCCTTCAGTGACTCTAGCAACGTTGTTCTTCCAATACTCAAGAACTCTGATATCGGGTGTTTCGAGATTGACGTGTTGGAAGGGAGGATGGAATGTTGCTAGAGTGTTGTCTGTTTCGATACAGTCTTCATGGATGAATGCAAATGCAGGTGTGAGGTAGTCATGCTTGACCGGGTCGAAGATGATCACAGGTGGAAGTGCCATAGTGCTGTTGTTCGAAGCTCTGAAGATTTTTAGGGATCTTGAATTGTATAGATTTTGTTATACACGTTTACCCCTGGGAGGCAGCAGCGAATACGGATTTTGGCTTGGCATTTCGAGCGCCCTCTCGTGAGGCTCATCTTGAGACACAACCTATGTCTTCTTCGAATTCTGTGCAAATGTGCAGAGAGAAAGCGTGCTGTTAATGCTATTTTCTGGAAGAGCGTACGGAATACACTGAGTACGTATCTTATTATAGTGCAGGCTGTGTAGGTAGCCTAGACCTGCCAGTATGGTCGCGTGCAGCTACTAGATTTGCCCACGCAGTGTCTGCATGCGTGCGACAACGTCGTTGATGTCTACAAGTACCTCTGGAGCCGGCATCCGAAAGTCGAGATTCAAGTTTCAGAGTCCACATTTTACCAATTTTAAACAGGCTGTTCTCTCCGCGGGCATGAGATCTGCGAGTTTTGAAGAGTGATGTGCGAAATCTGTCGGTCAACGTCATACGACCAAATCCCTGATTCCTTACGGGGCGGCTGGGTGGCTTGTTTATAAAGGATACAACGCCAACTCCTTGTGGGCTTCTTGGATCGTCGCTTCAGCTCCTGGCTCTTGTCGCGTGTCTTACTGAACACTTTTATATACTTGCAAACCTACAGTCGCTTCTCCTGCGCATAGTCTTTCTAGCGACGCGTATTCCCTGAACACAAGCAAGGCCAAGCTTCCTTAGCCTCCGCGGCAACCATGCGTTCTTCTTTGGCTTACGGAGCCTTGCTCCAAGCATCGCTATACTCTCTCGCCAGCGCTTCGTCAGCACCTACACCTCGTCGCGTCTATCAAGCCGAAGCTCTCGCAGCTCAGGTCACTGCATCCCCCGTCGACATCTCTCCCTCACGCACCGATGAGAGACTCCGCCGCGATATCCTCAGCGATGTCAAGTCAGACGTTGGTTCAGTCCTCGGTGGACTCGGTTCAGACCTTCCATCATGGGTTGCTTCAGGTGTCCCAAACTTCTTCCAGGGTTTCCCCACTGGTGACGCTGTCGTCTCATCGCTCGGCCTGAACGATGCCCAGGTCTCTGCATTGCCAACCCAAGTCCTCAACCTCGACCCTTATGCCAACTGGACCGAGTCTGGCTGGAATGTCAGATTCCACGGAAATGTTTACAAGCAGCCTAACACCTCTACTGCCGATTTAAACCGCCTGGCCAACATCTTCCTTGTCGACACTTCTGTTGAAGATCTTCCTCCGGACCAAGCAGACCGAGCCCGCAATGTGACTGCCAGCATCTTTGTCATCCAGCAAGGAGACGTAGCTGTTGCTCCTATCCACCTTGATCCTGCCGCATCTCAAGGTTCTTCTGGCGAACCGGGTGGTGGTGGTGCAGTTACTCCCAGCGGCGGAAACCAGACTGTGACCCTTCCATACAACACCACTGTTGAGGGTGACTTTGATGTCTTTGTTCCCATTAACGGCGATGGTCTTATGAATGGAAACGAGACTGAGGAAGTTCAGCGCTTGAACACTCATGTCGAAGGCGCTTCTATCGGAAATTCCACAGCATATCTCGTACCCACTACCGGTCTTACTGTCGTCAGTGACATCGACGATATTCTCCGTATCACCAAGATCTACGAGCCTGCTCAGGGTCTGCTCAATTCCTTCGCGAAGCAATACGTCGCCTGGGAGAACATGCCCGACATCTATGCAAACTGGAGCAAAAGCTTGCCCAACATGCACTTCCACTACCTGACAACCACTCCTGAGCAAGTCACCAGAGACTACATGAACTTCACCTACAACAACTACCCTGGAGGCTCGTTCGACACACGCCCTCTCAACTTCTCTGATGTCTCTGCCACTCTTTCCATTCGCAAGTTTCTTCTGGTCAAGATCTTCGAGACATTCCCTCAGAGAAAGTTCATTCTTGTCGCCGACACTAGCAACAGCGATGTCATGAGAGACTACCCTCAGATGGCAACCGACTACCCTGATCAAGTGCAGTGCATCTTCTTGCGCAACACTACCGCCACAGACCCTGGTGACAGATTCCCCTACAACACCGAAGGTTTCAAGAACTTGAACCAGGAGAAGTACATGTTCTTCCTCCACCCTGATGACCTCACCAATCTCGATATCGCCAACGGACAGTGCTACAACCAGTCGATTGCCCAGAACCTGACCTTTGGTTACCAGGGACTGCCTCTCGGTATTGGAGACACACCCACTGCCGTTAACGCTTCTGCTACTGGCGCCGCCAACAAGACTGGCAAGAGTGGAGCATCTGCATTCAAGAGCAAGGACGTTGTTGGTGCACAGAGCTCGTTGGCTCTCGTCGCAGCACTGGGAGCTGCTATGTTCATGTTCCTCTAGAATTTTCTCACGATTTAAGATATAAACAACACTGTACGACTGTAGTAATAATGACAAAGCCTGTTCAACTGTATGTTCACGTGGTCAAATTCCTTGTGTCGAGTCATGGTTGCACCAAGTCTTCGGGCCTAACAGAATGCAGGGACTGCAGAAACTACATTCCAAGCTTGACGCCAACAGGAAAGCAGTACTTGTAAGAGCAGTTCAGGGGTCATATCCAGCCGAGAACGAGCGGCGAAATATTTGATGAGAAAGACGCGGAGTAGCTCGTTGAAGCACGGTCTTCAGCCAAGGCATAGAGTGTCGATCTATGGCGGCAACAGTCCGAGCTGCCGCTTCTGGCACGAGCTTCTGAGTCGTCTATATCACAGGAAGCACAGTATTTGACGGAGAGTTATGGGAACAAAGCCGGAATGAGGGAGTGGTTGTGCTGGTAGAAACAAGATGACGAGCAGCTATATAGCATCAAACGGGCATAGTACGCGATCGGCAAGCGCATAAGGTTTGATGGGTCGACTGAAGCGGCGGGAAAGTTCGCAGGCTACGTCAAGGGCGGGTTTGAACAGCCCTGTGGAGACTGCTTGTCGCATCGTCAAACTTGCTTGTTCGTCGTGGTCTCCACGAGATCTGGTGCTACTTGGACTCAAGTTTGTTATTCGGTCCATGAATTTTTTGTTTACGGCAGGACCCTGAGCCCTTCCATGAGTGCATAGACGGCTGCGACGGCCACGATCAGGCCCAGATTTCCAGATTGCCCCCCCTTTGAAGATGATGGAGGCCAGAGTCAAGGCCGAACTGGAGATGCAGTTCTTGGTCGCCCGCCTGTTTGAACGTTTGCGAACTGAGGCCCCTTCCTATGATTGGGATGACACTATTGCACCTTTCCACTCGGTATTTGTCTGTCTGTCCATGAGACGTCGAGCGTGCTCGCTGACCTGACTGTGCAGNTCCTACGACAACTGGCATGTCCACGGATATCGTCGTGCTTCACAACCCATCGACCGCAAATCGAGCAAACCCTCAAGTAGAACAAACAGCAATGACCGCCGCAAGGATCGCGATTCGGATAAAAACAGAGACAAGGAGAGCGAACGAAGCGTATCTGATGCGCAACAGGGCTTCGATGTCGTCGCTCGTATATCTCGTCACACAACCCGCCTCGAGCGCGAGTTCGGCCTTGCAAAGAGACTGAAAGAACAAGATGATCCAGACTGTCGCCATTTCATAGACCCCATCGAGTTCCGCCGACTGCCCGCCCGCCAACCTGGAGAAGTCCCTCTTGTGGCTTTCATTGCCCGAGCCCCCGATAGTGGCGGCAACTATATGAAAGAGCTTGTTGAATTTGGCCCAAACCTACGCCGCGCACAACTGCCTACCTCGCCTGTCAGCCCGCACGGAGAACCTGACACTGACCATGCGCTTGTCTCAGAGCTTTTGCCTATCGGCCTCTTCCTTGATTTTGCTATTGGCGCGACCGAATGTTGTGAAATCCTTCATCACAGCAAAGAATTAGTGCATGGAGAGCTTCGTGGTGATGCCTTTCATTTTAGCAAGGTGCAACGAACTGTGCGCTTGATCAACTTTGGTTCTGGAGCCCGTTCGTTTGAAAATGGCCTCACATCGGCTGGTTGGAGCTCGCTAACCTCTGAAGCTGGTGTCGAGAATCGTCTTCAGTTTATTGCTCCGGAACAGACTGGTCGCATGCCCGCCGAACCGGATACAAGGACTGATACATATTCGCTCGGCGTCCTCTTCTGGACCATGCTCACCGGCGTACCTGCCTATCGTGGAGACAATCCTCTTGAAATCATGCAAAGTCTACTATCGCGCCGCATTCCTGCAGTCGATAGTGTACGCACCGATGTGCCTCAAATCATTTCGAACGTCATACAAAGGATGACACAGAAGAAGATGAACGATCGTTATCAGTCCTCATCCGGCCTGAAATATGATCTGCTGGAGATCAAGAGGCTACTTTCTGAAGGCGATGTTGACGCACTGCAGTCTTTCAAGCTTGGTTCCAAGGATGTCTCTTGCTTTTTCAATCTGCCTAACTCGCAGATCGGACGCGAGGAACAACGAAATCTAATCCTCGAGGTCATAGAGAAATCTGCTTGGCGTTCTACTCAGACCATATCAAGTTCCAANAAAGGCTTGCATAGCTTGAGTTCGCATTCGTCGGCTTCAATGTCGACGCCCACTCAGATCGATCGTCATGAGAGTGGTCTCCTGGACGAGATAATGTCTCAGAGCACTGGTTCTAACGTTGATCAAGAGNNCCCAAAATCTCCCCTTCCAGCAGATAGATCGGATCTTTTGAAGCAACAGCATGAACACAGCTCGCAAGAGAGCAATGTGGCCTCTAATGGTGTCGAGCTTGAGCACAAGCCGTCATTGGACAGCAGACCCTCGGTGTACAACCTTGAAGGCAGTCAAAGATCTTCCGTATCGAACACATATACTGGTCAGTCCGACGGATCTGTCCTCCGCACTGCGCAACGCCTCAAGCATATTGGCCACACTGAGGTTCTGTGCCTCAGCGGTGCTGCAGGTCTTGGAAAGAGTTCTCTATTGCATGACGTGCAGAACATGTCGAGAAAATATGGCTACTACGCGTCGGCCAAATTCGACCAAGTGAAACGGGCACCTTTTGAACCAGTAGTGCGCGTTGTGTCATCTCTGTTCCGCCAAATCTTTTCTGAAGGCGATGTCTCAACACCATTCCACGACAACATTCGTACATATATCAAGCCGTACTGGGGCTTTCTTTCCGGATTCCTTGATCTTCCGCCTTGGTTGCTATCTCAGTTTCCTACTCATCAATCCTCTCTAAGCTCAGACTCTGCCTCGTTACGGTTGCCTCGCGAAAAGTGTGGCGGTAATGGAGATACAGCATCGGATTGGCTGCGCGCTGGTGGCAGTAATTCGAGCAAGTCGAATCGTTTCGTTCGCACTTTCCTTGATGTTCTGCGATTGCTAGCACTGCAGAAATTCATTTGCATAACACTTGATGATTTGCAGTTCGCAGACGAAGAGAGCATTGAACTTCTAACCAATATTGTCCAGGTCAAGATACCTCTAGTACTTGTACTTACATACCGCGATGAGGCGGCTCTTCCTGCCAAACTTCGCNNCCCCCTCCTCGATAAGGCAACGAAGATTGATCTCAAACCTTTCACCGAAGAAGAGACGGCAAAATACGTATCCATAACCCTGCATCGCTCTCCCGAATATGTTCTGCCTCTGGCCGCCGTCATCCAGCAAGCGACTCTGGGCAACCCATTTTTCGTCCGAGAGATGCTTGATTCCTGCTATCGAAAACACTGCATATATTATTCATGGCGTTCTTCTCAATGGGAGTTTGACCTCGATAAAACCTTTGACGAGTTCGCTTCGCCAGACGCTAACCAGTTCTCGACAAACAACTATCTTGTAAAACGACTGAAAGATCTCTCAGACGATTGCAAATCGTTGCTTTGCTGGGCCAGTTTCATTGGTAATACCTTTTCTTTCACTCTCGTCAAGCGAGTCATGAGTTGCGATTGTTCCAAGCAGTCGAAGGATGAATATTTGCCGCCAAAGAAGAACCCGGTGACTGGCTTGCAAGATGCTATCGGCTCTTATATCATTGTCGCGACCGAGGATGAGGATAAGTTCAGGTTTTCTCACGATCGGTACATGCAGGCCGCAGAACTTCTTGCCAATGACTGTCGCAAGGAGGAAATGCACTATATCATCTCGGCATCCTTGATGTATCATGACCCTTATGACAGTGCCACAAAACCTACCCAGCTTCTTTTCGACCAAGCCAGACATATCTGTAATGCAGTAGATGCTATCCAAGCTCGACCCAGTATCGGCAAAGGCCCGTTCAGAGATCTGCTTTACCAAGCAGCAGAGACCGCTCGAGAGCAGGGAGCAAGATCAATATCGCTTTACTTCTTCCAGCACTGTTTGATGTTGCTTCCTGACGATCCTTGGAAAGAAGACTCTCCTGAAGGCTCCTATCAAGAGACATTGACACTAATGACTAAGGCAGCTGCGTCCTACTGGTATCTGGGATTCTTCGAAGAGGCCGAAATCATACTCAAGGAGATCATGTCAAATGCCAAGGCTGCAGCAGATAAAACACCTGCATTCATAATTCAGAGTCGAATGCATGCACAGAAGGGCGATTCGCATATTGCCTTTCTCAATATGAAGCGAGCATTGGCGGATCTTGGCATTGATATTCTCGATACGACTTACGAAGAGTGTGACAGGGAGTTCCACGAGATTATCAAGCTCGTTGATATCTCTGATCGACAGCTGTTCGAAGGAAGAGAAGCGCCGATCGATCGAGATCTCTTCACAGCAGCAGCTGTCATGATTGAACTTCTCAGTGCTGGATTCTGGACTGACTCTTTGTTGTTCTACTACCTGACACTGAAGATGATGCGATTGTTCCTCGAGAGGGGACTATTCCCACAGATCGCCGTAGGCTTCGTCCATCTAGCTTCTATCGCAATTGGCCGGTTTGAGATGATCGAGAAGGGTGTCGAGCTTGGAAACACAGCCCTGAAGCTTTTCGACCTCTTTGACACCGACACCTATACAATCGGCCGTGGCGTTACACTGCATAGTCTCTTCCTTGGACACTTCGTTTCAGACATCTCAGATCAAATACCCGTCTTGGAACGTGGCATGGAGGCGACCATCCTCGCTGGCGATAAGTTGGTCCACCTCTTGAACGTTGGCGTCATGTGTGCATACAAGCTATGGACTTCTCATAACTTCGAAGAAGTCAGTGCCTACATCCAGTATCAATATGACAACTTCCCAGATTGGCCTGCGGATCTGCGTGGGGGCGTCTTCCTTGTATCAGTACGTCAGTTCATTCAAGCGCTACAAGGCAGGACCAATTGGCGTCAGGCCGCGCACATTTTCGATGACGACTCTCATCAGACGCAACAATACATCGACTTCATCCAGTCACATCCCACTTCTGCCGTTCGACCTCTCTTCTTCTACAACAGCTACCGAATCGCCATCTTCTATAGATTTGGATATTGGCGCGAGGCGCTCGAACTCGGCAAGTCTGTGCTAGAGTCTATCTCAAACGTTTGGTGCCTACGACATGCCTACTATTGCTACTTCTACATCTCAATGTCGCTGATTGCGAAGCTACGTGAGGAACCTAACTGTGCGGATCGAGAGAGCGTGCTCAAGACCATCTACAAATTCAAAGCTAAGATCGACACGGCGAGTCGCATCAATGATACAAACTTTGCTGTTTGGTTGCATCTCCTTCGCGCGGAGATTGCTGACATCGAGATGCGATCCGACGAAGCTACACTATCGTATGAGACTGCTATCGACCACACTGTAGTCCATGGCCTTCGTTCTGATGAGGCTTTGTGCTACGAGCTCTATGGCGATTTCATGGTTCGAAAAGGAGCAACTCGTCCTGCACGTGCGATGATCCGAGATTCCATCTCTGCATATCGTCGCATCTCCGCTACGGCAAAGGCAGATCATGTCAGCGAAAAACATGAATTTTTACTGCTTGGCTCTAGAACCATTGGAAATGCAGATGCAGGTACTCAAACGGTCGAGAATGACAACATTTCGTTCTCTATGGTACAGAACGAAGCTCCTCAAGCATCTGATGACAGAACGCACGAGTGGCTCACTCCGAGCGCGACCACCGTTCCTCATCAACACGAAACGCAGCATGACCTGCAAGGTGGATTCTCTGCTGTCGGACTTGATATGATCGATCTCGCCAGCATTCTTGAATCCTCGCAAGTGCTGTCTTCGGAGCTTAGAGTCGACAAGCTGCTTGCGAAGCTGACCAACATCATTGTTGATAGCACTGGAGCCGCTTTGTGCGGTCTTGTTGTCAATGATGACGAGATTGGTTGGAATGTCGCAGCTGTGGGAGGACCGGACATTTCTTATCAGGGCAATGTCGGTCAGCCCATCGGCGATATTGACGATCCATTGTCAAAGCAAATCACGTTCTACGTTCTGCGGTTCAAAGAGGAGCTTTTCCTGCGCAACGTGCTTGACGACGAGCGATTTGCAAACATGCCTGCGTCTTGGAGGCAGAAGTATCCCGAAGGCAAAGCCGTGATTGCCTTGCCCATTCTACATGGTGACAATACTCTGCTCGGATCAATCTACATCGAAGGACCTCCAAACTCGCTATCCCAGCGTAACATCACCGTTCTTCGCCTGCTTGTCAACCAAATCTCAATCTCGATCGCCAACGCATTACTCTTCAAGAAGGTCGAAAAAGTCTCTGCGAGCAACTCTTCCATGCTTGAAGTTCAGAAGCAAGCTCTTGAACAGGCGCGCGAAGCTGAGCGCAAGGCCAAGGTTGCAGAAGCCAAAGCTATGGAGATGGTCAAGCTCAAGGAAGAGGCAGCAAAGGCGAAGAGTATGTTCTTGGCGAATGTATCTCACGAGCTGCGCACTCCATTAAACGGAGTCATCGGCATGTCCGAGCTACTCAAGGGAAGCAACCTCAATACTGAGCAAGAGGGCTATGCTGACAGCATTCGTGTTTGCGCGGACACTTTGCTTTCAGTCATCAACGATATCTTGGACTTCAGCAAACTCGAGGCTGATAAGATGGCAGTATACTCCGTACAGCTGTCGTTGACGCAGACCATCTCCGAAGTCGTCAGAGCTCTTTCTTACACAAACCTTGAGAGGGGCTTGCAGACTGTCGAGAAGCTTGAGATGCCTTCGAATTTGCTTGTCATGAGTGACCCTGTCCGTTTGCATCAGATCCTTATGAACTTGCTCAGCAACGCGTACAAGTTCACAGCNAAAGGAACAGTCACCATTAGAGCATTTATCGAGCACGAGACCGAAGATACTGTTCAGGTGACTTGCAGCGTGTCAGATACCGGTATCGGTATCACCGAAGAACAAAAGAAGAAGCTGTTCCAGCCGTTCAGTCAGGCAGACAGCAGCACAGCACGCAGCTATGGCGGCACTGGCCTCGGTCTTTCCATCTGCAAAGCCATCATCGAGAAAGTCTTGCACGGCAGAATCTGGCTCGAGAGTGAGATTGGCGTTGGAACAACTGTTGCCTTCTCTCTTNNCCCCTTCCAGAAGATCAGACCTGGTGCTGAAAACGGAGCAGCTCAACTCGCCGATTCCATGGCAGCCATGTACAAGCCTAGCGAAGACGAGATGAAGAAGTCGTCATACATCAGTCTTGCTCACATCCCTCGTGACAAGCTCAGGATTTGCATTGCTGAAGACAACCCCATCAACCAGAAGATCGCCATCAACTTTGTCAAGAAGCTTGGGTTCAAGTGCGAGGCATACGGCGATGGCCAACAAGCAGTCGATGCCCTCGCAGCAGCAAGCAAAGCAGGCTCTCCCTTCCACCTCGTCCTCATGGATGTGCAGATGCCCGTGCTCGACGGCTACAACGCCACCAGAGCAATCAGAGCACACCCGGACCCCATCGTGCGCGAAGTCTTGGTGATTGCCATGACGGCATCTGCCATCCGCGGCGACAAGGAAAAATGCCTTGAAGCAGGCATGAACAATTACCTCGCCAAGCCCGTGCGAGCACATGTTCTAAAGCAAATGCTTGAGGGATACTTGAATCAAGCGCCAAAAACAATGACCAATTTGCAACAGCAAGCTAACCAGCTTTCGCAAGATGTGCTTAATGAGGCGTCGATGTATACTCCTGCTGGCGGGCAGGTTCCTCGGGACAGCCAGGTTGATGGCGAACAGATTGATGGTCAACAGACTGATGGTCAGGAAACGCCAACCCCAGCTACTGTCAACTCCAAGCCGACCACCTTGCCAACGAGGCCTAGATGATGCATGACCCTTTGAGCGTGATCCTCGTATATTTGTCTCGACTTTAGCATCGTTCTTTCTCTTTTCACGTTTCTTTTGCGTTCTCTTTTGGATGGGGGTTTCACTTGACAGCGTGTAGTGCAGGGGGGATTGGGGTGTTTTTCTCGTTTTTCTTGCGTGGAAAAGAGGACAGCGAATTCTTCAGGAATTGTTTTTTGGTTGCAACTGTTTACTTCTTTGTACTTTTAGAGGGTTTTTCTTTTTATTGAATGATACCTTTTTGGTTTTTTTTTATCCTTCTTTCCATGGGTGCTTTACTTGCATTGTTTTAGTTTCTTCTTTGAGGCATATAAGGGTCACAAGAGTAAGATGGCCATGTGTTTGCTAAATGCTTCCTCACAACGGAAACCATATCCTACAAACTATGATAGGGATACCGTCCTACACTATGCGCGGTTCTAGGCTCTTGTACGAGCAGATGTGGCATAAATTGACCCATTATAAGTAGAAAACTGGGTGACCCTGTCTTCAAGCCTCAGCGACCGTTGTCAGTTCGCACGCGTCGGACGCGACCAGATTTCAACGGGGCGGGTAAAGTAAAAGGCATAAACGAGAGCACAATCGATAAGGGGTGGAGTGCATGAAGAAGAGGGGTCTGATGCCCTTGTGTCTTAAGACATTTGTACAAAGAGCGACCCTTCAAAAGATCAGAAAAGAGCTCGTTCGAACCGATACCTGGTTGGTTTTTGGAGGAAGAAAGAAGAAAAGACCAGTCCAGATAATCGTGAGATCCTAAAAGTATGTAAAGAGAAAGAAAAGAGAGACGGAGAAACGAAAGTGGAAACATGCTCGTGGTCCATGAAAAGCATGAGGAAACAGAAAAGACTCCAATCCACTTTTTAGAGAAGCAGAAAAACACCACACCATAGAAAGAAGAACCGCACAACAACTCCAATCCACATGTCCCACATATAACACAAGAAAAGCCATCCGTCATAGGAAACCAGAGTCAAAAGAGTATTGTCGGAGGCACAATCTACCTCACAGTCTTTGCCATCAACTCCTTGACCTTGACGGCAGGCCCACGCTTAGAGGACGTGGTGCTGTGTTGCCAGGATCCCGTGCTGCCGGTGGGACTACCAGGCGACTCGTTGAAGATGTACTCACCGTCGACGTAGCGGGCGCCGGTTGTGAATGTGGTGCGCTTGTCTCTGCGGGCGTAGCGCTGCTCCAAGCGGTATAGCTCTACTTTGGCGCGGATGGAGTCCATGAAGCCCATGTTTGCGGTGTTTTTGTTTCTTTGGGATTGTTGTGTATGTGTGGAAGAGGTGGTGGTGGGTCTTTGGTTGGCGAGGTGTAGTGGGTGGATAAGGTAGTCAGGGGTTGTAGAGAATGTGAGTCGTGTATAGAGAGTGCAAGATCGAGACCGAGTGTTTATGGCAAGATGTTGTCGTGAACGATTGAAGGTTGGCACGTGTGCAAGCAGTGGTGGACTGAAACAGGTTGTTGTTCAGGCCGATGGTGAAACGAATGGAGAGTAGCCTTGTGAGTCGAGCCAGGGGCCGGAGAGTGGCTCGTTCAGAGGTCGGAAGTCAAAGAGAGTGATGTTGGCGAGTGCAGAAGAGAGAGATTCAAGAATGGAAAGAGCAACAGAGAGTCAAGAGTCAAGAGAGGGCTCGAGGGGAAGTCGGAGGGCATGCACTATGCATGGACACTGGACAGGCCTTCTCCGCCCGCACGGATAATAGCCTGAGCCGAGTGATATGCATCTCGCCAACTGACTCAGGCTAGCGAGGGGTCCACGTGGGGGTGATATTCTTGTTGAAGACGCTGTCCTCCCTTCTACTTCTTGATTTGGCACATCTATATCAAGATCCACCTGATTTTCTATGGGGCCAGTGCTTGTGCCTCTCTTGCTTCTGCTTTGCATCGCCATTTGTTGCAGTCCCCGGGACTTCGAACAATTCACGCCCAGAGTCTCGGCAAGCCACGTCAAAAACACGTTGTCGCTAACTTCCCAACGGCGCGTGAAACATTCGACCGTATCTCTAGCTGACTCTGGCACCTGGCTACTACTGCCGACACATTTGCCATCACCATAGTAGACACCTTAGTTCGTCAACAATGTAATCTTCCGAAATTCATAACGATTGCTGTCTTGCAATTGCCTCACTCACGGGAGCTCAACCCACATGCCTATGAAGCTCTACCTCTACGCCGAATGCATTCAGGAAAATCCTTGTAATCGTTCTTCCACCTCCTATCCGCTGCGAGTCTCGGGAACGCTTCCCTCTACAACAGAAATGGGTCCAACGTTGGGTGCATCAACCTGGCCATTGAGCATAGCAACAGCTGAGATGACATCCGATGGCTCGAGCAAGTGCCAGCTAGCCAGAGTCTGTTTCGAGCTTGCGCCCACAGTCACCGAAAAGACGTGCTCCTTGGGCAGCTTCGAATTGCTGAGCGATCTGAACATGTCTTCGTCGGTGAAATCATCTCCCAGACACAAGACGAACTCAGGTGCCATACCCTGCTCGTGGCCGTACTCTTCGACCAGACGCTTCGCGATTTCGCCCTTGTTGACGAACTTGGGGCGCACCTCCAGGTTGGCCTTACCAGGCATGACCTCGACATCATACTCCTTGGCAACAGTGTTCTCCAATTGCTTGCGGCACTCGTTGGCCTGGTGCACACCCCAATCAGGGTCCGCACGACGGTAATGCCAGGTCAATGCAATCTTCTTGCGCTCAATGAAACTGCCTTGGGTGCGCTCGGTGTAGTGTTGGAAAGTGTCGATGACTTTCTGTTGCCAAGACATGTCTTCCTTCTCTGTCAGATTCTCCCAATGTTCGCTCTTGGGCTTGCGAAGGAAACTGCCATGCTCGGCGCTGAGACCAAGCTCCGAGATGTGGCCCATCCACTCATCCAGGAAAGCCTGATCACGACCACTGATGATCCAGACAGCATTGCGGGGATCAGATGCCAGAGTCTTGAGAGTTCGGATAACACGGTCGGAGGGAATAGCCGATTGTGGGTCCTTCACAATAGGTGTCAATGTTCCATCGTAGTCGAACATGAACAAGCGCTTGTCCGACTTGCGGTACTGAGTGAGGAGCTTAGTCTTATCCAAGGCAGGTGTGGCAATCGCTTGGTTGAACGAGGTAAGGTTGGTGAGCAGACGCTTGACGTAGTTGTTTGTCCATGTTTGCACAGTGTTGGTTGTGACATTTCTGTACAACTTCTTGTGCATCTCGTACTNTTGCCTGGGGTCCATGACCAAAGCTTGATGAATCTCGTCTGCAGTGCCTCCCAGATCCCAGGGGTTGATGTGAGTAGCATTCCCCAGACTGCCAGCAGTTCCAGAAAATTCGGAGATGATCAAGGGGCCATGGTTGTCCTTCTGGCAAATGACATACTCGAGGGCGGTAGTGTTCATTCCATCACGGACACTTGTGATCAGTCCAACATCAGCAATGCGGAGAAGCGCAAAGTACTCCTCTCTCGACAAGTACTGAGGATAGTGCTGAACAGGAGTGAAGCTCAAGGATCCGTAAGTGCCGTTGATTCTTGCAACCAAGTCAGAAATCTTGTTGGCGGTCCTATCCGTGCCTTCTTCCTTGTCTTCGACACTGGTCGGGCTGGTCACTTGGATCAAGACAACCTTGTCATGCCATTCGGGGTGACGCTCCAAGAAGATTTCGTATGCTTGCAACTTTTGAGCCACTCCACGAACCGAGTCAAGACGGTCACGACCAACGATAATCTTCTTGCCAGCGTATAGCTCTCTGATGCCAGCGATTTTTTCGTCAACCGCAGTATCGTTGAATGCCATTTCGTGAGTCTTTGCAGCATTGATACCGATAGGAAGCACCTCGACAGCAACATGGGCGCCATAAGCATCAACTCCGTTTGCCGAAGAATCGAATCCAAGGACTCGGGTACAGCATGAAGAAAAGTGGCGAGAGTAGCTGAAGGCTTGGAAACCGATCATATTGGCTCCGAGAACGCCCTCGAGAATGTCCTTTCTTCTGCTCAAGCAGCGGTAGAATTCACTACTGGGGAATGGCACATGTAGGTAGAATCCGATGTAGATGTTCGGGATTCGCTGACGGAGCAGTCCAGGAAGCAGAAGCAAGTGGTAGTCGTGGATGAGTACGATGTCTCCAGGCTTGTAGGTCGAGAGAATTGTATCAGCAAATGCCTTGTTTAGGCGGAAGTAGTCGGCCCAAGCCTTGCGGATGGAGCGGCCATCAGTAGGCTCATTTTGCTTGTAGTGGAACAGAGTGTACAGCTCGTGCTCAGCATAACGGCGCCACCTGGCTTGGTCCTTCATGACAGCCACGTCACCATCCATCTCGTCAGCCAGCCAGACAGGCAATGTTCTACCTTGAGGATCACGGTCAAGGATCCTCTCCAGTTTTTGACGATCGTCTTTGGTGATCCTCATTCCTTCGGTTGAACCAGGCTCGGGCGCAGGGACGTTCGAGTCCACGGGGATGGGTGCAGATGCCTTGTTCAGAGGTGCTACATTCATGGATGATACGTTATTGTCGTCTTTGAAAACACCATTGCGGGTCTTTGGCTGAATCTCTCCGGTCCAGCCTACAAGTGTGTGGTTCCAAGGAGATTCGTGTGATGACAAATGAGCAAATGAGTCGAATAGTGCAGAAGTACCTCTGCGGCTTTGAAGTTCCCACTCGGATCCTGGGGCATAGGCAATCTTGTGAGGCACGGTGAAGAACGCACTTATGACTTGACCGCTAAGGTTCAGACTCGGATGAGCGGCCTTGGGGTCGACATCGGCCTGGTCAGTGGTTTGCTGATGTCCTTTCAGACTCAGACGACGAAGCACATCTTCTCCAGCACCATCAGTTTGACCTTCACCTGAGTTAGTCAAATTCACAGTCGATGTTGGTTGCGTTTCCAGTACCTTNNCAGGGGAGGCAACTTCGGGAGAAGAGACTTTGTGAGTTTGGAAGAACGAGGTGCGACCAGTGACATCCACAGCCGGGGTGACAGGAACTTCTGTATTCTTGGGGTCAAAGACAGGGTTGATCGAGCCAAGTCGAGGGTTTGGCGGACGGTTGGCCATGATTCTTATAGTAGGAGTTTATGTGAACCTGGACAGTTGGTCAGCATCCCGCATTGTGGACGAAGAGCATTCTCAGTGCTCTTGACACAGTAAAATGATGAGATCGTGGCATGCGTGTCGGAGGTTTGGAGCTACACAGGCTTCAGGAACCTGAGATGCAGCTTGTCCCAGACTGACAAAAGGGGGTTAAGATGAAATAGGACGCTGTACATACCTCTGGATGCTGTCAGGGATTGACACCACAATTCAGGCTGTTTCCCGCTGTTTGTAGGGTGAATCTCGAAGCGGCTGTGCAGGTGTGGAATATGTCAAAGTCAAATTCACGGCGATTGACCCATACCGTTGATTTTATTGTGTATGTGAACAGGTTTTGTCAACACCAGATTAGAAGATTCTACAAGTAGTGCGTGCTGGGAGTGACGTGTGAAGCGCGTTGGGCGTCGTGCACCGACGACGTTTGGCCCGCTTCGACCATTAGTGGAAGGTCACGTGTATAGAACGGCCACCGAATCCTGTAGAACACAGCCTGCTGGCAGTCAGTGAATCGCTCTTGTAGATGTCCAGGTGACTGACCAGAATTTTTGCAAACATCTCTGGCTGCTGACCTCATATATAGGTTTCGCTCCTTTGTAATCCCGATACTTAGGATTTCTCCAAAAGATGATCTGCCTTGTGTGTTGACAGCTATCGAGTCTGGAACTGGACTTGCGTCGAATAGGCAGATGTTGACGTTCGTTAACTATCAGCTCGATCGCGCCCAAAAAATATTGCTTGGCTCAACAAACAAGCGGGCAAGTCATCCTGTCGTAATGAAACACTCCTCCCACTCTGACCAGGTTATTCAAGGTGAAGAGAGAAGGGTTGTTGAGTCTAGCTTCGCCTGCCTTGATATAGAGATCAAGCTTGCTCTCGTATCCGAGTAGTCTTGCTCTTCTACGAAACACCAACAATGAACAGCTCATGAACACATGTTTCCTCCCCCTTCTACAAGTGACTAGCAGAACACAAGATGATTCCGGCTTGGTCATCGCTGACTGCTTCAATCTGATTGCGCATTTCCGTCCAGAGCTCTATAGAACAACGACTTGGATGCTTCCATGGCTTGAAAGCCAATCTGGACATCACTCCGTGACAACATAGTCAAGCTTGCAAGTTGTACCCCTGTCAATCTATTCCTTTTGAACTTCTCTGAAAACGCGGCTCAAGCATCCAAGGACAGGCTGCAAGGCACAAACATAAAGGGTCCTGACACAATCTTGATAGCTGGCACCTAATCCGGTCCTATCTGAATGCATACAATTTACGTCCGGTTGGTGATCATAATGATCGTGGCTGCATCTCTGAAGTTCAATAGATACTCCGACACGACCCAAACTGGCTGTTGTATTCAAGCAGAGTGTGATATTGTAGAAACACGATTGTGATACGAGTATGGTTACAATGAATTCCTCACCTACACAGAGCTTAAGCGTCCACGTCAATTTACGATGTGCTTTGTGGACCAGTCCAAGATCAAAGACGAGGGGCTCCTCGTAGCAATCGGAAGGCATCGTCATAGGTGAAGCAAAGCACGATGCCCCGCACAAATCGAGGCGCCGAAATTGGTGCGCGCGGGCAGCTGTGCACTGCAAACCACCGAAGTTCTCTGCGACCACGTCAAAACTCTTTACACACTTCTATATACAACCCCGGATCAGCTTGAAATTCAATCTAGATCTTCAAAATGGCCACCACCGCAGCTCCCGCCGAGATTGGTATGCGCACTTCCACCGTGCTCTAGCAGACAGGAAAATTCGGAAGCTAATTGCCTTTACGAGCAGACTACAGTCTGAACAACCCAGACACGTGCGGCCCAACCCTCGACTTTCTCAGAAACGACGCCAGCTGACCTCGGAATTAGNNTCTTACCAAGTACAAGACCGCCGCCCAGATCTCCCAGAAGGTTCTTGAGGCTGTCACAGGTACATGACGTGACACGAACGACAAAAGACTGAGGACTGACATGCGTTCANNAGGATGGTGCACTGAGGGTGCCAAGATTGTCGAGGTTTGCGAGAAGGGCGACCAGCTCCTCGAGGAGGAGATCGCCAAGGTCTACAAGGGCAAGAAGATCGCAAAGGGTATTGCTCACCCTACCACCGTCTCGCCCAGCTCTTTCGTCACCCCCTACACTCCCCTCAAGTCTGACGCCGAGGAGGCCGCCGTCGAGCTCAAGGCCGCCGAGTGCGTCAAGATCCAGCTCGGTGCTCAAATCGATGGTTTTGGTTCCATTGTCTGCGACTCGATCATTGTTCCCTCTTCTGAGGCCAACGCCAATGGCGAACTCGAGGGTCGCCAGGCTGACCTTGTCCTCGCCACCTACTACGCCAACGAGCTCCTTTTGAGAACTATGCTCCCCGCTGGCCTTCTCGCTTCCGGTTCCGAGGAGGAGATTGCCAAGGCACGTGCCCAGAAGCCTTACAGCCAGGGCAAGATCACTCAGCTCCTTGAGAAGCTCGTCAAGAGCTACGACTGCAACCTGGTCGAGAACACCACCTGCTGGCAATTCGAGAGAAACGAGATTGAGGGCAAGAAGAAGATCATCCTGGCTCCCGGTGAGGGCGTCAGAGGTGACGGTCTCCCTGAGGTCGGCGAGGCCTGGGGTGTCGAGATGGGTGTCAGTCTGGGCACCGGTAAGGTCAAGTCCCTCAGCAACCGTGCCACTCTCCACCGCCGCACCACCACCACTTACGGCCTGAAGAGACCTAGCTCGAGAGCTACTCTGTCCGAGGTTGTCAAGAAGTTCGGTACTTTCCCCTTCTCTATCCGCCAGCTTGAGGACGAGCGCGCCGGCAAGGTTGGTGTCGTCGAGTGTGTCCGTGGTGGCGTTCTCCGCCAGTACGAAGTTATCGGTGACAAGGACAACGAGGCTGTGTGCCGCCTGTTCACCACCGTTGGTAAGTTTGGTTGATATTTCCTACGAAGCCAGCATATTCTAACCATGAGAACAGCCGTCACCAAGAACGGTATCACCCGTTTGAGTGCTCCTCCTACTCCTGACCTTACCAAGTTCAAGACCGACAAGAAGATCACCGACGAGGAGATTCTTAAGATCCTTGAGCAGCCTCTTGCTAAGGAGTCCAAGAACAAGAACAAGAAGAAGAAGAGCGCTGCTAAGCAGGCTGAGACCACCGAGGCATAAATTCTTGTCAATACGCAAAATGGTCGAGGACAGAGCTTTTGAGCGGAGCTGGAGCAGCCATACTGAAACATCTCTGGTGACGGAGACGCAGTAGGATGGCATATGACGGCATGAACAGCAGAACAAGACACGAGTCGGAACTGCTTACGGTGGAAAGTCAAAGAACGAGGCAAAATAGCATGCCAGGCACTAGTCACAAGCAAATCGAAGTCAGCTAGGAGTGCCTATACTCAGCTCGAAGCAATATTACGCATCACGTCAGATATAAAGTAGCAGATCAAATGGGAAATGGAGTGATTTGCATATGAAAATGATGATGAATGACTGTTGAAGGGGCTGGTGTTTGGCCATCCTTTACCCTTGGCGCACGGCGACGAGATTCCTTGAAGCCACACACCTCGACACGTCAAACACAGCTTTCACAGGTCTCGAAGTGGAGGAAGAGCGAGTCGACGCGAACAAGGGCAGGTTTTGAGTGACGAACGAGCGTGTTACTGCGTCTGGAGAGGGTGTTTCTTGCGCGACCAAAAAAAGTCATAGGCGTCACGGCTGCACCTTCTCACGCTTCAGATTCGACGCACCTGCCTCCCTACTCAACACCGCAACTTCCGCCCGGCGGATACCTACGCATCCACATCCAAGACTGAAAGCATTTCTGGCCTAGAAAGAGATATCAAAAACAAAATGGATTCGACGCCGTCGACCAGGAGTAGAAACCGCAGTCCTCGTGTACCGCCATCGACCCAAAATCGTAGNCGTCCAACAACCCCCGTTCAGAATGGCTCAACCGAGGACTGGATAGAGCCACCGCTCGCATCGCCCATCCCCAGTTTTGAAGAGCATGGAGGAGGCCCGTACGGAGTACTCGAAGATATGCAGGCTCTTGGCAGTCGGCCGACAGCAAAGGTCAGAGGCAGGGTGAAGCCAGACGCTCCTAAGAAAAGCGCTCTGGGCAAGTCTCTTGCCAACCCCATGGCCACTGCATCCAACCAAGGCACACCAGAAGCCACTCCTGCTCCTATGGAAGCTCTCCCTGAACAACCACTGGTCATTGTCGACGATGAGCGTGATGATGATTACACGCCACGTCCATCCAAGAAGCCTGCGAAAGCCCGCCTCTCGCGCTCAGCTGCCAACACTGTCAAATCGACCGCTTCGCCAAAGCCTACCACACCTTCAGTCGCAGCCTCTGACACTCCTGTACCTTCATCCGTTCCTACCCCTGTCGCTTCGGCCACACCAAGTGCTCCTCCTCCAGCTTCTGCCAAGCGCCCCTCACAAATCACCAGGCCAAAATCTGAGGAAGTTGCTGAACACCTGGAGTCATTTGACAGGGCCATCCCACTACCATCAACACCTCAACAAATTCATTTGCATAGTATCGTAAAAGCTGCCGTCAAAAAATCTATCGAGGTTGGGAATAAGTATCTCGGTCTCGCTATCCAGGAAGTCTTTCTCCAAAGCTTTTCAAAGCCCGAATTAGTGCGTTTACTGCAAGGCATCCTCGACCAGACCTCCACGCCCCAAGAAATCCTCATCTTTAGAGAGCACATCAACCAGGCCAAAAAGAGGATCAAGGCTCAAGAATTGAAAATCAAGGAGGTCGTAAGTGAAACCAAACCGGTTCCTTCACTGNNGCTCCCGAAATGATTCCACATCCTTCTATTGAGACGCAAGCGCTTCCGCGAAAACCCAAGATTTCACTTAAGGGGCCCAAGAAAACTACACAGAGTGTTGTCNAATCCTGCCGAAACGCCAACACTTCCTCCACCCACAAAGAAACCGCGCACATCAAGCGTCTCGAGCTCTTCGTCCTTATCATCACTTACCTCCATTGAAGAGGAAATGCCTCCTCTTAACCCACCTGCAGCAGCTTCTACTTCGCTCATGGCCCCTCCGGAAATGAACGGCTCTGTCAAGCGCTCATCCATGGAAGCAGGAAATGACGAGAATGATCGAAAGTTCCAAGCAAAGAAGCAGAAATTCGAACAGAAAGTCAACCGTGATGCTCCTACAGAGGAAAGCCATGTGCGACCAGATCTACCCGTCACCTCCAGCGCACACCAAAATCTAATCGTGCCACCTGTGCAACTCATCGCGAATGGAGCCAGCAGCAAAGATGTCTCAAACGGTGCAGTATCGCCCCTGACTGATGTCTCATCGCTATCGTCTGCATCGCGCAACAACACACCCAAAAGAGCTTCTATGCCTGCTAAGGTGATGAANAAGAAAGCCAAAACCAAGCACTCGTAAGTGACAACCTCGGGGAGAATGCGCGCAGTGAGCACATCATCGGCCGCTATTTCCCAAGTCGAAGAAACTGAAAGTTATGATGCTAATTGCTGGTGTGCACGAAGGCCAGTCAANAAGCAAGCACCTGGGCAAAGTGCTGACGAGGACGGAACAAGCCGCAGAGCCAGCCCCAGTGGCCCTGATGTGAATGAAGAGGTACGGACTCCTTGTTATCATTTCTTGCCAACATACTTTAGATCATCCATTTTCTTGTGATAATGATGATTCTGCTGGTTGCCTCTGATCAACACTCATCATGAAATCGCTTTGCGAAAAACTTTCACTGACACCCACACTTCANNGTCTGACAACAACGACTTCTGCACAGCTTGTAATACCAGCGGGTTTCTTCTCTGCTGTGATGGCTGCGACAGTTCATTCCATCTGCACTGTCTCGATCCTCCCTTAAGTCAAAATGCGCCTGAATTGAACGAGGCTTGGTACTGTTTCGGCTGTACCGCAAAGCGCGCACAACCCCAGAGACAGTCTCGTGGCCTCTTTGCTGCTTTGCTTCTCAACCTTGAGAAGCGCAATCCATCAAACTTTGTACTTCCGCAAGACATTCGTGAATACTTTGATGGTGTCGCAACCGCTAAGGACGGCAAATTCGTAGAGCAACTTGCTACAAAGACTCGGTAAGTCAACAGACATATTCACGAGCACCGCACCATACAGTCGGTTGTCGTGCGAAATTCTGGGCAAGCAATATAATACAGGATCATTTACTGACTATGTGTAATNAGAAGAGGAGCTGGTTACGAAGAGCTGCCTGACCACTTCAAAACAAAGGATGCTAAAGGGCAAGCTATCTTGTGTTACAATTGTTCTCTTTCGTCGCTTGGTCGGCGTGAGATTATCACCTGCGATCAGTGTAGTGCTCACTGGCACCTTGACTGCCTTGATCCGCCTCTTGCCAATGCTCCTTATCGTGACCACACTGGCAGGAAGATTCGCGACTGGCTCTGTCCCCTTCATGCTGATCATGTGCTTCGCCAGATGGAGGTGCCACGTCTGGCTGACCGACAATTCCAAAGAGAACGAAGAGTACACATGCGTAGACCCCGCGCTGCGAAGGTCATTGATACGGCTCTCAGTCGCGACTTCATCAACGATGGCGTGATCGAGATAGCTAATGACTCGAGTGATGATGAGTCCGAATTCGAAGAGATTGACGTTGCTGGTGTTGTCTATCGCCTTCCCGAGAAGGGCATCAAGCTTGATTTCATTGACAGAGTTAGACGGTCAGTGTTTCTTTATCCAATCTTGACTAACTCTTACTAACAGTCTTGCAGAAACCGAGCAGCCGAACAGTATTACAACAATCGCCAGGCCCACTCTCGTCCTAACAAGAGAAGGAAGGTACTACACCACGACGAGAAGAACAGCTTCTTCCGTCGTTCCTTCGCAGAGCAGCGTACTGCGCTTGACTTGGTTGGTCTTGCCAATCAACAAGCTGATCTGAACTTCAACGGAGATCAAGTCAGCAGTCTGCTTACCACCCTTATCGTAAGTTCAACTATTTTTGACTACTTGTCGATTCATGTGACTGATTGTTCAATANNGGCCGAGGCACCAGCCGACGTGGTTGAGCAGATGATCGAAGCGGAGAAGGCGGCCAAGTCGTCTGACACAGCGGGCCCTCCCTCGCCTCCGGAATCAGACCAACATACCGAGCAAAGCGCAGCCCAGCAACGCAAGACACTGGAGCTGCTCCAGACGCTCATTGCAAGAAAGCTTGCCACCTTGCCTGATCAGTGATTGGACCGTATTTTTGTGATTGGCTGCAACATATACCCCACTTCATTCACGTCTGAGCTTTCCCTTTCTTCTGAAAGTCTGGCTACGAGCATGCTACTACGAAACGGTTCATCGTTTTGATCTAGAGTGCAGTACTCGTCTGCGACTCGAACGGACACCTTAGATACAAGATGTCCCTCCACCAAAAAGCTCGGTCACAGGTGGTATACTTGCAAAGCTTGAGTGTCGGTCTTGTGGCAGCGTATCTGACTCTGTTTTCTTCTTATCTCATTTTGCGGCATGGATGGTTCATGGGGCAAGAAAGGGAAACCAAAACATTGTACTATAGCTAGTAATATTTCTTTTGAAGCGCTACACAACGTACGCTATTCCTCCGTCTATTCGTTCTGTCCCTCTCGTGACTTGTGTTATGGTTTCCAGCCTGGAGTCCTCCCATTCAGGGAAGCTGGGCTATATAGTCAGGGGCCAGGTGTTCTGTCTTGTATGAGGAAAAGAACGGAATCGGGGACAGTGTGCAGCAGTGGCACTCTCAGCGTTCAGCCTTACTGTGTCCTCGTCCAGAGGTATATCACAGAGGAAGCATTGCTTAGATCAGACTGCATTGCCCTGCACTTTACCATCCATATCTGGGAATATGTCAACTGGATCCTTGCTTTACTTTTGCATTCTCCAGCAGAGCTGGAACGGATACATGTCTTACATAAGAACCACAGCTTCAAATACTCGAATTATAGAACCTTTGTTCTCTCGATCGACAATGAAGATTTTCCTACCGCGCAAGCGATAAACTGACAAACAATTACAGGAACTGTGTGATGTCACTTTCAAATCAGATGCGTGTACCAACGAGGCAAGCTCAGAGAAAGAGCTCGCTCTTTCTTAGGCAGGGAGGAGTATCGAATGATGAATACAACACTATGCAATGATATCTACAGCCCAAATTTGTTTTGGCGTAAAAGAGCAGGTGATATAACCATCTCTCCCTTGTGTAATAAGCGATGGAAAGCATCTGCGCCGAAATGCACGACAAGCTGCCAGATCTGATGGATAGCCAGGAAAAGTTGACTAGAAGAGCGACTCTCTTGAGGCAGGAGCGATACAAAACCACCATCGTGATACACAATCAGCTACAAACCAAGAATACATTGAGGGAAAGAGCGGTCGAAGAATCATCCTTTGACGGATATGACCATCTCTTAGTAATGTAATACCTTGGCATATCTAAGATTGTGACGGTGGTTGGCGCGGAAAGCGTGAGAAAAACATGAATATTAACAGTTCTTTTACTAAGAATTATCTAGGGAGAGAAAGAAAAGGAAGGGGAGAAAGTCGCTCTCAAAACCCTCGAGTTGCAGCACACCGTACCTGCAATGGAATCTCTGGGTGCCCCACAGAAACATGAGAAACAAGACCTCTGTAAGAGGTGAATTCCCTCCGGATCCAGGCAGAATGGGCATCGAAACTCCGTCCACAGTTTTGTCGGGTGGGTTTTCCTCACATGGTCCAAAAGCGCTTCACGATGCCGTAGCTTCGAGGGGCTAGGACAGAATGGGCAGGGTTGGGGTCGCATGTGTACACCATCCATTTGATGCCTGTTCAGTGCCGATGGACGGTAGTAGCTTCTGTTGCATGGGCCACCGTTAAGCGTCTCGAGTTCGCACTTGTAGGGTTTGTCGTCTTGCGTAGATGCAGAAGGTAATTCTGCTTCCTCTTCCGCACCACTGAGAGCTGGACTGGCGGGTTGAGATTGCATAGTTCTGGCTGGAGACACATCTACGATGTGTTCAGGAGCACCGCCAATTTCTGGTATATTGAAATCGGATGTGTCGATATTTGGGATATCTGGTAAGCCGACAGGTTCTGGCATATTGAGGTTGCGCGGATCCACGCCATTCATGTGCGAGCCCATGTTCTACGAAGGCCCTCCAGGTGCGAGGACATTATCCAGTACTGCGAACAGTTCCTCTCTGTCAGCAGCAGTCGCGCCTTCCCAGCCCAGGTCGTCGTCTTCATCAGTCATCATGGCATCGCCGTCTGCCTGTTTGTTATCCAGATCGTGGTGGTGGTCATCGCCATTAGTTGGTGCCATTGGTGTGTCAACCATGTCCATTTCAACGTTGTCCATAATTTCCTGAGCAAGGAAGGGATCTAGTCGGTATCGTGTTTCGTCTAAGCGCATAGACATGCGCACCTCTTCCATACTGAGCGGCTCCCTCCGAGTGAGAGCTTCTTGCTCACATGGCAAGTAACCGGCAGCACTTCTACTGAGCTGTCCTCGATCCACAGCATCTTCCTCGCTGCGCATCTGAGCGCGGAACTTTGCTGTTATTGGACCCAGGTCTCCTGGAGCGTTGCTGCGTGTTGCCGAGAACCAAGTTGTCAACAACTCCTTGACGTAGGTCTCTGTGGCAGTCTCCACAAGCTCTGCTATGGCCTGCAAAGCGGCGGATGTCATTGGTACTGCCGACAAGCCCACACCTTCTTCGTAGCATATAGGCTCGATGCGGGCCTGGATGTCTCCTCGTGAAGGAAAGTCTAGTTTCTCAGAAGCCAAGGGCACGGCGTATCGTCTCCGAATCTCCAGGTCCCAGTTCGTCTTGCTGAGTGATGTGGCATTTGTCGGTATGGCATCGGGTATTTGAGAGGAGGTGACGGGTACTGTCAGGGCAGTTGCGTATGTAGCGTTCTCCCGCAAAGGACCTGATGGAGGCACGGCAGGAAGGTTGTCCTTAGCACTTTTAATTCTCCTCCTGTCGCGGGCAGATAGAGCCATAACCTCGCGTTTTAATCTCTCTTCTGCCTTGTCACCACCACCTTGTGAGACAGACTTGTTTGCGCTGGCCGAAGCTGGAGCGTCGGTGGCTAGCACCCAATCTGCGACGACTTGCGGTGGAGGGTCGCGGTAGATATTTGAGTGTATAGCACCGAATATCTTATTGTGTAGGTGGACGGTCGAAACCAGGGCACCATTGTATGAGACGCTCGGTGCGTATGAGAGAAGTCGATCTGTGACTTGAGACAATTCGGCCTGGTTGAGTTTTCCTANAATCGAGAGGGTCAGCGCATGTGCAGTATGAGCAGAAGTAGCGAAAGAGATGGTACCCATGAAGAAGGATGAAAAGGTTGACTTGTACTCTAGCCATGACTCTCCAAGAGCGGCCTTGAGTGCGGTGAACAGTGGTTCCGTATCGATACGTGGAACACCCATGCGCATTGTCGACGGTGTCTGCATCTTCGAGTCGAGCGACTCGACGCGCCCAAGATCTGGTCCATCCATGGTTGCTGTGTATGATGTGTCGTCCTCGTGTATGATGGCTAGGTAACGCGCCTGTCGTCGCTGTGGTGCGAGTTCCTTTCGTGACTCACTTCAACCCATTCATAATCAGTATCGTTGGAGTCGGGATGTGCCCGCGACAATAGAAATACTATAATATACGTGGTTGAGGACCCGGTGTTGTGCGTCAATAACTGTCTCCTTTTACCTCATTCTCCACGAATTGACGTTCGGGAGAGAGAGCGATTGCGGCCGAGGCCTGGGGCTGCTGCCTCAGGCTGCTGACGCTACAACTGCCGTCCTTCCTGCCCTGTATGACATTGTGAGAGAAATCCAAGAACATTCAGCCAGTAATACCAAAGACATCAGACGGTCGAATTGCTCAGACACTACCACAGCTAGTTACTCGAAGTACAACAAAAGTCCAAACACTCGGCCTGAGCCAGAAAAAAAGAATCCATTATACACCTTTTCAATAATTCCACCCCAATTGCCAATTGTATGCTTTAACCTCCCAGCCCCTCGAAAAAAAAAACACCCAAACAAAAAGCCTTCCCTTCCATCCGTAAACAAGGGTCGTAGAAACCGCCTCTACTCGCTCAAAATGCTAAAAAAAAAAAGGTCTTGAATGTCATAAATTCTTGAAGAAAAGAAAACAAGAAGGAAACTCCCCTGCACGAGACGTCTGATAGAAACTTAATGCAGCTCTGTCATGAATGCCTCGACGCTCTCCAAATCATCAGCTTCTATCCACTGCCACTCCTCGCTGTGGTCCACCTCTTCTAGACGCATGCGGCCGTGACTGTCTATCGGGTCTTCTGGGTGCACTACTACACTAGCACCGATGGCTGCTGTTTGACGTCGATTACTCATCGGCAGCTGATACCTGAGCACTCCTCGAAGTATCAGTTCAAAAGGTTGTTGGAGCACTCTTTCCCAGCGCTCTGATCCGCCACTTTCGGTTTTATTGCCAGGATATCCAAGACGAAGCTCGCCTAGTGAATAGTGGGTGTGCCGTTTGATTGGCGATCCTTCAAAGCACAGCGCTTGGTCGAAGTGTAGGATTCTGCCGAGGAGCATCGTTTGCGAGTCGCCTTCGATGGGATCCGTGCCTTTGTCTACACCCGAGCCTGCGTGCCAATGGCCGTGCTCGTCTTGCCATGGGGTACCTCCAGCCTCTCCATGGGCAGCCTGACGTCTTCGCTGAGCTGTTGCTGGTAGAACACCGTCGTCTCTTCCAATAGGATTGACATACTTGCTTTTCGCAAATATGTTAACATCCATATCCGTCACAGTCACGCTCAGGATATTCGGATTGACGGCTCCGACCAACAAGTCCAACATAATCTCTTGCTCGCTTGCCAGGACGTTCTGGATCTTATCCACATGGAAATTGGTCAAAGGCTTGTTGAACATGACCAGCAACCCCACAGCACCCATTGTCACCATCATGACCACCAGAAGGCCCAAGATGAACCCTCCAACTCTGCTGAATCGTGATCGGGGTTCTCTAACGCCGTAGTAGTCAATTGAGCGCATGCTATTGTCGCTGTTCAAGCGTCTGCCATAGTTTCGCTGGCTTCTCGGTGTTCGGACGCTGCCCAGCATGGGTGTGCGCTCGTCGTCTGCACCTTCTCCTTCGAAGTCATATTGCGAATTGTCCATCTTCTTGCCAAACAGGCCGGAAGGTCGGTGCTGACCGCTCTGTACACTACGTGGTGTACCGGGCCGGGAGGATGCTCGCTCTGAAACGGACAATGTGGTGCTGCGCAGCTTGGAGGCTTGAGTGAAAGGCGAGTCTGGGTCGTATAGAGAAGCTCGACTGCTGCCGCCGGGACGGCCGAATCTACCAATATGCCTGGCATGGTGGGCCCGAACAGTGCCATCGCCCATAGCTTCAGGGCTGTCCAGAACGCTATAAGGATTGTTAGAGAATTTCATGCTCCGCTTGCCTGCAACACGATGATCGCCGTAAGGTCGCATTCCATGGCGGAAGTCGCTCTGGCTATGGAGGGATGTTCCGCTAGGTGTACGCGAGTGGTGTCGACTAGCCCTGTGCTGTGCCTCTGGCGGATTTGATTCGTATACGAACGTCTCGTCCGAATCTGACGAGTTGGCTTCATCGACGGCGTTTGCAACTCTGGCCTCGAATATATCGGCCTTGGAAGAGGCTGAGCGAATGGATGCATTAGTATTGTGCGATGGTACATAAGTTAAAGCAGCGCGACGAAAAGCAGAAACGCGACGAGGCGAATGAGCAAAAGACGAATCAGTGTCTTCAAAATCATCGGCAGAATCAATCGAGGGTTGGGCTTCACCAGAAGAAGTGGGTATATTTCTGCGGCGGGAAGAAAACGAAGCAACAGACGAACGATGGTGCAAATGCAATGGGGGATTAAACACACCCGTTCCGTTGTTAATCGAGGGCGCCTTGCGCGTCGTTCGCTTTCTCTCCTTTCTCGGTCGTATCGTTTCAGTGCTGGGCTTCATGCGAAGAGAACCTCCTAGGTCGGGTCTGCCCAAGGTAGATCGGTCGATGGTGGCAATCTGCGACTGCGGGATAGAACTGACGGTTTCTGTCTCAACAGTCATGTTTCGAGTACCTTCAGAGGCGCGTGATTTGCCAGAACCGAGACCGGGATATATCGATTTGAGAGCGGTAACATTCTTGGGACGTATATTCGAGCTCTGGCTGGTTCTGCGACCTCGATCGTCACTCATGTTAGCGTCACTCTCGCTTTCTGCGAGTTTGGAAGATGCCTCTCCATTGTTATCTTTTGGTTTACCACGAACAGTCGGAGGGCCGTCGTCCTCAGAATGCGCCTCGTTCCTGCATACCACGTAAGCTTATGTGCTGCATGCGGATTAAAATACTTTGACAATGATACCCTTTCGAGTTGGTGTTACCACCAGGCGCTATATTTTCGACAACAGTCTCAAGAACAGGTCTCGGACCGCTGGGACCTCTGGATTGCACTTTCGAGGCTGGTGGGGGTTGTAGTTGAATGGGTTCTTCTTTGATGCCATCGTTCAAGATTGAGCGTTCCGAAGGGGTCGAAGAGGGCTCGACAACGATAGAAGGAGGGGCGGGTTTTTGGTTCTGAGATAGAGCGGAATTCCTGCGAGAGCGAGCGGACGAGGGAGGGGGTGATTTGATGCGAGGTGACGGAGGTACAAAGGTTGGAGTGCTCTCGCCAGAGGCAGTGGCGAGAGGACGTTTTGCGCGGTGAGTCGGGTCACAGCATCAGTAACAGAGTTGGGCGATTGAGCCTGTTGCGACTGCTGGAGTTGAGGGATGGTTGCTGCTGAGAGAGCACGTTGGATGGCAGCGGCCGAAGGCACCGAGGTGGGTGTAGACAAGGCCGGAGTACGGTGAGGGCTGGTATCATGACTGCTCTGGCGGGACCTCAAAGCACCAGTCCTGCTCTGTACGGCTGAAGTTGGTGGAGTACCGTGTTGGCGCATGACGGAGCGCACTGGCGACGGGTTCCTGGATGAGCGAGGGCTCTCAGAGGGAGCGAAGGTGGCCGATGCTTGTTTCCGGAGGGTGGGTATCGAGGATATCGAAGTGGACGATGCGTGTCGCACCGTAACAGGGCTACTGTCTCTGCTGGATGCGCTCCGGGGCGCCCCGTGGGCGTCGGCCATGGCTATTTGGGAATTTGTGGTCGAGTTTGATCAAGGCTTCTTCGACAGGAGTCACGACGGACGGGGCATCTGCATGTTGTGTTTGCGACAGTCGGTGTGCGGAGTGCTAGCGACAGACTCGGACAAGTGCAGAAGCGAGAGCGAGATCAAAAGCAAAAGAACTGCCTTGGCCAGATGCAAAGGCGAGGGCGCTGCCAGGTGCCAGGGGTGCGTGAAGGAAGCAACCAAGGTCATCGAAACCATGTCATAATGTCGCCGCCAAGATACAGCCAGAAAGCCATCGCTTCCCTCTTCCTTGTATCCGCACTTCGATCAATTTTCTGGAACAATTCAATCTTGCTTTAGCGCTGCTTGCACAAACTATATTCTCCTAATCTCCTACACAATATCCAGTAATTACACAACTTTCTGCTTCGCCTGGCGCCCTGCCTTATCCCAAGTCTCGGTCATCTGTCTTTCCGATATCTTGCACTCTGTCGCGAAACAAAGCCAACAGCCTCGGGGTAAGCACAAATCAACAATCATCACCCAGCCGACACTGGCACCATGCACAAGCCGTGTTTCATCACCATGTTCAGATCAATCAATTGTCGCCATATCAGCTACACGCCTAATAATCTTTCCCCTTGCTTATAGCTTCCATGAATGCTGCCGCCTTGGGTTGAAAAATACCCGACATGTGCTCCTGTGCCACTGCAAACGCCTGCGCAACGTGGCCACCTGCCACACGCTCGCTATGAAACCAAGAAATAAAAAAGCCATGTATCCCATGATCAAACGCCATTTGGTATTTTTGCCATCCCATGAGCCAAAATCACATAGACCAATCGCCGAGCAATGTTGTAGTAACGAAATCAGAGCAACAAAACATAGCAAGAATGCCCAAACCGGCCATCTTCTTTCAACGATGTTCAGCCATCGTCAAACAAATAGAGATAGAGGGCAGCAAAAAAAAAGGTGGTAAGAAGAGAAAAAGAAAGGTGGAAGATGGAATCCTTGGTTCCGGGAATCAATCGTGCTGTCGTTACTGATACAAGTTTGATGTTGCGTGATAATCTGGTCATGCCCGAGAATCGGCTCGCCGCTTGGGCAGCTACAATGCTTGTAATTCATTGGCCGTAAACGTTTCTTCGAAGAGTGACTTGCTTGTCGCTACGTTTGTGCTGTTGGCCTTTTTGGATGTAGGGGTCTGTTACCCTCGTTGCAAATCATGGATATGCTTTAGATGTCAACCATGTCGATGTCGTGACCAGCGTTGAGGACATCATCTGCTGGTCCCCAGTTGCCCTCATAGACTGTGGCTCCTGCGCGTCTTCTTTGTTCGACCCACTCGACGCCACCGCAGCTTAGGAGTTCGTCGATCACCGGTCTCTGTTCTGGAGACGGGCAGATCATCCACTCAACAACCTTGTCAAGTGCCTCGCTGTCGTTGGGATCAATCATGAAGTTGGGCGGTTGAGCCAACTCCCTTCTTCGGTGACCAGTCACGGTAGGCTGGTTACCCAAATCCATGTCGTCGTCGAATCGGATAGTTTCCTCATTGTCGTCCACCATAGGCTCGCCAGACTCATATCTTGGAAGGCTGTTTTCAGAACTCCAGGTGAGGCTAGGCACGTCGCTGAGGTCACCGCTTCGCAGTCTTTGCCAGTGCAAGCCATTGTCGGGAAGAACAATGTTTCCAGCAATCTCAAGCATAATCATGCCTAGAGAGAAGATGTCGGCAGGCTTGTCGAACTTGCCAGAAAGCACTTCTGGACCGATGTACTCGCGGTCACCCTCGCCCTCAATGTGTCTTGGTGCAGGCCATGTTGTCGCCATACCAAAGTCTGCGATCTTCAAGACTCCTTCCCAGTCAATCAACACGTTGGCTGGCTTGAGATCAAGGTGGATGAATCCAGCATCATGGATGCACTTAACGCCCTGNNTAGCAATATGTTAGTATAAATCACGAAGATGCTGGATAGCATGTGCACATACCTGAGACATTTCGAGCAAGATCTTCCAGATGCGGAAGTCGTCCAATCGACCCTTGAACCCGGTCTGAGTGAGGAAGTCTTTGAGGTTGCCGTTTTCGCAAAATTCGGTTTGAATGTAAAGGTGATTCTTCGACTCCCACGAATCGCAGAGATCAAGGATATGTTCATTACCACGAAGGGCTTGGAGAACATGAACTTCCCTCATCTTGTTCTCGCGGTCCTTGACACCGAGATAGGGCTTCTTCGACTTCTTAACAGCCCAAACGTTTCCAAGCTTGCGTGTGAATTCGTGACGAGCAGCCGGGCTTCCAGCGACAGGTTTCGAGACGCGGAAAACCTGAGAAAACTCTCCAACACCAATGGCCTGGACACTTTCGAACCGAGAAGTGAGTGCTGTATCGACATCGTTTGCGAAGAAGCCCGAAACTGATGCTCCAAATGCGCCAGGTCTGATGCTTCCGCCAAAGTTGAGTCCTGAGTCTCTTGGTCCAGTAGGGGTAGCGGGTGGGAAACTGTTCGAGCTTTGGAGACCGCTCATACTAAACAGAGCTGGCCCACGGTGCTCGCCAGAGATAGACAGACCGCTGGGATCTGGTGGGGTGAAGCTCTCCTGAGGAGTCTTTGGTGGAAGATTTGCATCCGTAAAGCTCGAGCTGGATGGCGTGACTGCTAATAGTTGCTTTGCTTCAGCATCTCCTGCAGATGAGGTAGAAGAAGAAGAAANAGAAGGAAATTCCCGGCACCGAAGAGTAAGAGGAGATGGGCAAGATTTGCGATGAGACTGCCTAAGGCTCATAGCTTGTTCAAAGGAAGGAGAAGATGGCGAGCCACATGGTGTGATAGTAAGAGATGGAGTCGAAGTTTCATGTATCTTTGACTCCGAAGAAGGAGTAGTTGAGGAAATATACTTACAGTCATTGGCTGGCTGCTGTTCCTCAAAGTTCGGAGGGTTGAAGGTATCAGGGGCAATTGATGATCTGCGTCCAAACAAAGAGCTTCGCAGGCTGTTTCCTTTGCCCTTGGATGTTGGTCGAATGGTTGTGGAACCAGAAGAGGCGGCTTTGGTAGGAGTCGGTGGCATCTCGTCACCACTTGCTTGTACATCCATATGACCGAGGGGTGACTTGTTCAAGTCTTCGTCGGTGATGCTAAGGAAGCTGCTGCGTCGATTTGACTTCCCAGAAGAGCAACCAAGACCGAAGATGTTCACTCCTTTACCAAATGACTCAGGAGACGCTTGGACAGGGTGCGGGCTCCATGGAGTCGTTGGCGATCCAAATTCGTGTAGTGGGCGAGAAAACTTGCCAAAGTTGGCTGCTGGAGCTGGGGTGCCACCACCGAGATGAGGNNGTAGAATGGTCTTCTTCGAAGGTGTATCGGGCATGTTCATGCTGCTACCGAATGAAGACTGGGGAAGGTCGACATTTCGATTACGCTTAGAGATCAAGCCGGTCGACATGAAAGCTTGTGGCAATGGCTTTGCCATCTTGAAGGCTTCCGGCGTCTCGAACGAATCGCTCGAGCCGCTCGAGTCGGTGTGCGGCTTTGGTCTGAGCGCACCAANTGGGCAAACTCTTGGAAAAGCCGGGGTAAGGTTTGGCAAATTGTGGCTTCTTGGGTGATAGGCGTGGCGTGTCCTCACCGAGACTTGACGCTGAAGAAGAGGGGCTCAGTGCTTTGGAGAGGGGTGAGGTTTTGGTGCTGAGCGAGAAACGGCCTTCTGCTCTGGGGGAGGAAGATGAATCGAGGGCTCCAGACCACGAAGGGGCAACGAGCCATCAAGAGACATTCTGGCGCGTGCCTTGTTGTGGCCGCTTGGAGACTCGCTCAGATCTGAGTAAGGTCTGGCGCGAGGTGCACCAACTGCTCGTTGCTGGAGTGTAGTCCTTCTGAGGCTGAAAGGCTTGTTACGCTGGGGAGATCGTTGACGCACAGGAGACACAGGCGTAGGCTCATCATCACTGAACCCATTGTTGGCACTCTCAAAGGCTTGCTCGAAGACATCGAAGTCAACACCGAGAGAGGCGCTGTGCAAGCTTCGTCGCTTGGCTCTGGGACTACCAAGATTGACCTGATCGAGGTTCATGACACCATCGCTGCGTTTGAGCGGACTAGATTTCGCCGGAGTTCCATTCAAGGCCAGTGATAGGCTGTTGCGACCTTTGAGGAAGTCGAATTTGATAGGTTCATCGTCGACTTCAAACCGAGCATCGCGGGGCACTTCCAGATGCCTCGAAGTGGGCGAAGTTAGATATGAGTTCTCCTGGTCGCCGGGAGTAGGTTGTTGGGTAAGTTCCATGGTTACAGTGTTTGCTTGGCTGCTGGCGTCACTCAAAGCGCGTCTCAAAGTGTGCGGCGTTTCCTTGCGCGCATTGGCGCGAACTGGCGCGTTTCGTCGTAGCAATAACTTGTTTTTGAGAGAAGAATCGGCACCAGTGTTTGCACTTAATGCACGCGACAGCCCAGAGCGTGGAGGAGACTTCTTCGGAGACCTGGAGACAAGATGGTAACGCGACGGCTTCGAGGGAGAACGCGATAGGGAACGGCGGATCTGCTTGATGGATGGAAACGCGTCGATAGAGTATTGGGGATGTGTCGGCGAGAGCAGGTGAAGAGTTCCTCCAGCTGAACGGTGGGGAGAGTATTCAAAGTCCATGGCCAGGATGACGGTGGTGCGTCTGGAAGGACGGGGCGGCACGAAGGGCGTTTGAAGTGGATGCCGAAAGTATGTATGTTGAACGGAGAGCTTGTATCGCGAAGCGAGACGGTTGACACAGCTAGGTGGCCATCAACACGCTCCAGTCTTGCTGGGTGAGGGCGTGTGCAGGACGGATGCGACAGATGGGATCGGCAACGCGGCAGTCAGGTGTACCGCGACAAGCAGAGAGTTGTTGGGTAGACGATAGGCGTGGAAAGCTGAGGGANACGGCGATCGCAGGNACTCGAGTATTGATGGAAATTAGCGACGTTGTCGTGCTGAGGTGGCGGTGATCGAAAATGTAAACAGAGGTACTGGGTATGCGACGGCGCGGCGCGTGTATTCAGAATGGGCGGGGATGAGGCTGATTGAGCGGCTTTGTTGTGTTGAGCNNACAGCTCAGGCTGCAAGACGTCGAGTGTGAGAGACCGAGTTAGAGAGACAAAACAATCCGGGCGGTCCAGGCGGGAGAAGAATGCGAGAAGATCGATAAATGGGTGCGAGTGCGAGTTGCAGAGGGAAGGCGCCAGCAGCGGCGGAGGGCAACAGCGTCCGATGAGCATCGCGACAAGCGCACTGACCCTGCCTTGCATGCACGGAGCACGGAGCAGCTGCCTTGACCAAGCCTCAAGCCGTTCAAGTCCAACCTCAATCATAAACATCATGCCAAACCCACACTTGCTGGCGCCTACCCATGTGCATAACGAATACGATGACGACCAAATCTCTTTTGACACCATGCAAATCTGGTCCGTCTGCCTCACACACGTCAAGTCCACCGCTGTCTGCTGTCGAGGCGTACTTTTGCTTGGCTCAGCCGAGAGCTGCGTGGTCCCTGCACGGTATAAACAAACAAACGAATAACAATCAATGCAAAAAGCATTTTTCTTTCATGACGCGCATCAGACGCTGCACATCTTCTCCTTGCACAATCCTGTAGCTAGTCAGACCATTGCACAGTACCGGCTCACTATTCACTAGCCACTTTGTTCGTCTACCGTCCGCCTTCCAGCTGAGCGATGCATTGCCGTTAGCCCCTCATTACTCTCTCTTGACCTTATCCTACCCTCTCAAAGCTCAAGCTCCTCCTGGACTATTGTAAATGTCCGAGGGCCAACTAGATCGAGATATGCCACAATTAGCGCCAGACTCACATGATAGGGTTGCTGGAACTAGCTAAACAGTATTTCAAGTCAACCTGCGTTTCACCGCCTTGGACAAGACTTGCTCCGCTGCCCGCTTGTGAAATTGGAGTTGCAAGACCACCGCATCTTTTGTCAACCATCATTGATCATTTTGTCTATTTATACAACTGGAGCTTTCTGAAACCAGGAGGCTGCTCATGACCAAACGGTCATGAAGGGGTGGAAGTTACTGCCGTACCGTTCGCGAGATGTACTGTACGTACCACCAACGTTGTGCCCAACACCCTGGGGTGGTTCCCCTTGGGCTTTGTTTGACTCGACTGGTTTATGTAACGGGCCTAGTTATGTAGCTGCATAGCTGGCGTGCAACTGAACCAGGGCAACCACGATTGCAAAGGGGGGCTCTGCGGGTTCAATGTCTGCACATACACGTGAATATCCCCTCATTGCTTGACCGCTGACTCGAATTTCATATCTCGTACTTACCAACCACCCCAACGTTTGCACATCATCTCTGCTACTGACTCGGAAAACCACTCGAGTCTTGACTCTTCAAGACCGCATGTTCGTCCACAGCCAGTCTCGATTGTCGACCGAGGTAGCCTTTGCTTATTTCCGAGTCCCCGACGGCGTCTGCGATCACCCTCGTGGATAGCAAGAGGGGACGAAAAAGTTCATGGCGCGAACGCCCACTCCCGGCGGGCCTAAATCAAGAAAGGTAGAGTTCTGAGTCCACGAATCCACTTCCCACCCCCAGACCGCACCGTGCACCTCCTGTCACTCTCTCTTTGTGTGTGTGCTTCTGCTTCACCGCCGGGCGGCTCCTCGTTGCATCGCTGCAGGTCCCAGAAGACCTGCAGCCGATCTTTGAAGGTCAATTCCTTACGCGGACCGGTCTGGTCGGCCGGCCTTACTACACTGCCACTCGAATATCGGCATTGAAGAGGTCAGAGAACAAGCCACGTCTCTTCAAGCCCAGATGAATATTGTACGCATAAATTATACAGCGAGCAGACGTTGTTGCGAAGCTCATTCCCAAAAAGATGTGTTTGTTTACTTCCGGCGCCATCTCCGCCAGCCATCCGCTGCCCTGATCATCCTTGAACACAAAGTTTAACCATGCAACAGTTAGAATAGTGCTCACACATAAACCCTATTTATGCTGATCAACCGAAACCATTGATGATACCCGAGAGCTTACAACATGTGGGGGAGATGGCGTGGCAGATGCGATGGAAGCACGAGCTTTCCAACAATTAGGCGTCAAGGCAAGCATGCAGAACAATGCCCAGGAGACTTGTCTAGAGCTACAGAAAGGAGCATTGTTCCAAGGAGACGATTGTCTCTTGTTGCCCCAGCATCCAGCAGCTAAGGGTCCCACATAAGGGGTCAGACTTTGAAGATCGAAGTTCGAGAGGTTGAGAATATCAAAGTATGCCTTGAAACAGCATTGTGGTTGCGTGCGCCTCTTTCCACCGCCTTGCCATCTATACATGTTGCTAGGGGACTACTTCCAACTTTCGGCTATAGTAGTGTATGGAGTAGGCTCTATCGGGCAAGAGCACACTAGAGTGATAGACAATCAAGGCATAGTGGACATCGGTCAACGAGAAACAAGTTCGTGCTTTTTCATGGTTGGACATTATTGACATTGCCGCACGTTGCAAGACAGACACGAGTTCGGAATTAGTTGCCATCTCATCGCTGATTTCCTATCTCGTTGATCGAGGTCAGTGCCTTTGCTGAATGCTTTGCTGTGTCTTCCTCTATCAGCTGCACATCGCACAATCCTTCAAGCCACTTCAATTCCTCTTCATTTCGATCTTGGAGGATGCACCTTCCATCCCATATACCTGGGCTCGTCTTGCGCAATCTTAATATGGTGGTTCGCATATAAATTGTTTCTCCACCATCGCCGTTGCCAGTGGAAAGTCATTCGGTACGGTCCGCTGTGAGGATGTTTTGTGACAATCAAACACAGCCCTATATTCTCATCCGCCATGCATACCATGCATACTCGATCCTGACTGCATTGGTGCATGCGTTTGCATCTGATCTACCCCCGATATTTGACATTTAACGATCCCACGCGTCGTACGACGGCCACATGACGCATACCATGCGCTTGTAAGATCCAGTCATTCAGTACGGCGATACGATCTTGATGTTAATCTTGTTCATGCAATCGTTGCAATCGCCAAAGCAGAGCCTCAGCTGAGCAACATCAACATCAATCAAACATCACTTTTCTTCTTGCCTTGATTTCGAAGTCTGGCTTTACGGACACCTTCCTCGACCTTGTCTTTGCGCCAGCCACACACTTCGGCAAACTCGCACATTCGACATTTGAAAGCCTCTTCGATCTCGACGCCTTTCGGCATCCGTTCGCCGTTCCACCAAGCCATTGTTTGCATCAGGTAAGCGTCGAGTACATCGGAATCGTAGGCAAAGGTCTTCGATCCTATAACAGAGCCGCTGCCAGATGCTCTGTACTCAGCCATCAGGACATCGCCGATGGGCGATGGCGTCGATGGCTTGTTGGAGAATGGCATGGCAAGCTGAAATTCTGAGATCATCAACGTCCAGAGTTTCTCGAGGCTGTTGTGCGCAAGCAATTCATCGATCGTGTCTTGTATAGGCATCTCTGCTTGCTCAGCCGCTTCGATTTGGTTGTCGGATTCGATACTGCCTAGCTGGGCAATAAACATGTCGCTGAAAGCAGCGCTGCTATCGAGAGCGTAGCGAGCAAAAACTTGCTCAGCTGGCACAGAGTTCGATGCAAGTAGTGACAGCATGCGATGATACATCATTAGCTGCATTGAGGTGGGCCGGAAGGAAGCTTCGCCTTTAGGCATGTTCTTCGAACCTCGAGTCTTTACGTCCTTGATGTAGATTTTGCGAGTCGCATGCGAGGTCCCCAGCCAGCCACCATCATTGCTTTCGACTGTTTGAGAGCCGCTGAAGAAAGTGTCCAGGTTGCTCTGGTTTTCCGATGTGACTTTTTGCTTCTTCGGTCTTCCTCTCTTCGGCCTTGTCTCTTTCTGCTGAATCAGGTTCACTTCCAACTCCTCATCAGGACACTCATAGCTGAGCTCATCAATGATTCCATTGACAACTTGACCTTCGATGACGGCCCAAGTCTCAAATTCGCGAGCCTGTCCAGTTACTCTCAGTGTTCGTAGATTCTGTATGATATTCCAAATTCGTAGCCCAAAACCATCTTCCTTTGTCTCAACCTCAACCGTGACAGCCTTTTGCACTTGTGCGCCAGTAACCTTGTGTACCGACTCACTCACAGTATTCACAGCGACGGGCTCGAGTTTGCCCTTCTCCAAGACTTGGTGTACCAGCCCTCCGACAACATCCAAAGGCACTGCAGTGCGCTTCTCTTGATCCAAGGCTTTTGTACGACTCTGTCCACAGTCTCTACTGGCACNAACAGCCTTCAGCTCTTCTTGTAGAATTCTGTCAACCAGTAGGCGTATCGTGTCGACAGGCAAGACAGTCGCGGCCTGTTCTTCCAGTACCTTATGTACTGAGGAGCCCTGTTTCATGGCAGCTGTTCGGCGGACTCTTCCATACTTGGTCAGGCTGTACCAGTACTGTAGTTCGCACCATGCAGGAGATATGATGTCGGTAACGGAGAGGGGTTTCTTAGGAGGTGTACGAAATCGTTCGATTGGTGATCGCATGTCCAGAGGGTTTGGTTGTTCAGGTTCGGCATCTACTTGTACGGACAAGCGTGCAGCATCGGATCGAGCTGTAAAGCGCTGTCGTCAGCGGTCAGCCCAACAATCAGTTGGCGAATGAATAGGGACGTGTAGGATGTGCCGCCTATGCACAATGACTTACGNGGAGAAAGAGGAGCGGTTGTACTCGTCGTATTCGATCTCAATTGAGGCCTCACCGACAGGGCCATCGCGCGAGACCATCTCGAAGATAATGCCCTCGTCATCGACATACTTACGCCGTGTGCCTCTCGCAGAGGGCGAGAGCAGGGAAGTGCTCGGCAAGACTTCAGCATGGTTGCTTATCGACGTGGAAGGTTGCGACGCAGCTTGCGTAAGGAGGACCGAGAGTGTTGCTTCGTCGTCTGTTCCAAACTCGGATCCATAGTCGCTGTCTTTGCCATCGTCTAGCGTGACGTCCTGCCCAGTCATGATGTGCTCGTCATCATTGTCGGTGGCGATGGCAAGTATGCAAATTGAGGCTCGACCAACACAATACGTATGTGATACGTGAAGTCTTGGAGCCAGTGTGCACGATGATCGTGTTGCTCGGATTTGATACGACACTTTCGACTAATTGATTTTTGTTTCGTTTTTTGACAGTCACTCGTCAGGGTCGGAAGCTGGAGACAGCGGTTCGAAGGGAGCATTTATTGTTCATGAAGAGGACTTTGCCTTGAGGCTTTCTAACGTCACGCATCTATCCAGGAGTTAATAATACATTCTGACAAGCTATGAAACTACTACATAATGGCATCAGAGCAATCAATCATCGGACTTCGAAGAGCATATGTAGAAGTCACGACTTGGACAGGGTGCTGGTAGTTTCTTGGATACTAATGCGTTTTCGCGACAAGTCTTGGCTCTATATGACGTCTACGCGTTTGCACACGTCTTCCACTTCACTTTCAACTTGATCTTTCAGAAAAAAACATCAACCTTTCAAACATGCCTCCTAAGTCCAAGAAACGTGCCAGCAAGGCTGACGATTACGGCTCTGATGGCGGCTTCGTTGAAGACGCTCCCAAATCAAAACGCACCAAAACAGCAATCTCCAAAGACAAGCAAGTCGACGATGATGGCAATCCTTACTGGGAGGTGAGCTTTTAGGCATTTCGAGTATGATGCAAGCTGACCGTCTTTAGNCTCTCTGGAAAGCGCCGCGTCACCTTGTCAGAGTACAAAAACATGCACTTGGTAAGTTCCTAGCCCTGATGCATGATTGGTGTCATGCAAGATTCTCATGCATAACAGATCAACATTCGCGAGTACTACGAAAAGGACGGCAAGACGCTCCCAGGAAAGAAGGTAGGTCGCAACAACTCGTTCTATTAGCTGCCGAGGCATGCTGCTAAGCTGCTCAGNGGCATCTCGCTTTCTCTGGAACAGTTCTCGGCTTTCCTCGGAATCCTTCCTGAAGTAGAATCAGCCTTGAAGTCCCAGGGTCAGGAGCTTCCTCGTCCAAACTACGGCGAAGATAACGTAGCCGAAGCCTCTTCATCGGCCAAAGCCTTCAAATCCGAGCAAGACGAGGCCGAGCCCGAGCCAGCTGCTGAGGAGCCAGAGACAAACACCGCTTCCACAAGCAAGCTCGACAGATTCAAGTATGAGAAGAAGAACCACGAAGCTACAAGCGACGAGGAAGATTGAGACTGGCTTCTTCAGCAACCAGCTGCAAGCAAGAATGATGAGCCAAACAATGACTTGACCGTCCAAGTTGACATGAAGGCTGGACTGAGATCATTCATGGTCTATTGCATGATTACGACTTTGCTTCTTTACTCGAGATACCCCCTTAACAAGTACATATGCTAACGAAATACTCTTTCCACACTGAATATTCCATTTCATCAACTGATGCTTAGGGGTCAAGGACCAGGGATCTTGTGAGCTTCGGGCCGCTCCTTCGTTACTCACGTCACATTCGAGTAGACAGACTCCTAGAGGTCGTAGCGGTAGTTTGAGTACGAGCAGTATGGCCTGATGCTGACTTCGGACCCGTTAAGGACAGACAATCGACCTTGACCGGAATCATTAACAAGCACGGGTGAAAGCGAGATGAGCTGATGACTAATTACAGTGTGCCTTCCTACAAGCTTTCGCGTCTTTTCGTGAACAGCCGGATCTTCGAGTTATCCGGATCTAGATACCCCAGTGTTGGGGTACCCCGCACGGCGGACGACAATCATTCTGGGGCGGAAACCCTCCGTCAAACCGTCCGTTTTCGATACAACACGTCAGGTACTTGAGTACTACATCGCATGGCTACTTGAGCCGCATACCGAGGCATCCTACAGCCAGTCGGTCTCGCAACCCTATCACGGAGCTATCGGATCCCCTAATTCCAGCCAATATCTCCTGTTCTCCTCTTTCCACCTACGCAAGCCATGTCACCGTTATAGCAAGCTTAGCCGGATGTAGACATGTCGACGGCTTGACAGTCAAGCCTGATGCTTGTCGTCTCCTCTTGATGAGCTTCTTTCTGCCATCGCTTCGCAATCCTCGTTGTGGAATCATCATGTCCACGAGCTGGCAACGAGCAACCTTATGGCCATGCTCTACATACAGTATGGTGTGCTTCTTTAACCATGCTTTTGTTATACTGCAGATCTGGTACCGTATGACCCAACTGTAACGGCAAATATCAGATGTCGATCTGGGGACCCCGGAAAGGAATGTTCTGACCCGCGCTACTCGTACATGCAGGAGTATTGATCCTCGCGAGGCAAATACGGCTGGTTGGCCGATGGATTCCTTCGGCATGTCTCATCTACTTGAGCGCGTCTAGCATTTCTCTCCGCGATGAGTCTGCGGGCGCTGCAAGCATCGACCAGTAGTACCTCGGCATGAGTAAGGTATATGAGGCTATGCGTTCCCTCGTAGGATGCCACAGATCTCCTGTGTTCCTCCAAAAACCATCTAGCGATCATGGCGGACAACAACATGCACAGACTTCATACGAACGACCTTGAGTTGGGTGCTACAGAGGTATGTCATCCTTCTTGCCTAGACTTCGATCAATTTTAACACTCCCTGAAANNGGCTATACAAAAACACTACGAACGCCATGTTGTCTCAACCAAGCCAGTCTCTCAGCGCAAGCTTGACTATGAACGGGCAAGACCAAGATGGCTTCGCGAGATGATGGCCGAAGCGTATGTGACTGAGCCACCACTAGTTAAGCAAAGCTTACTGACTTTGACTGGGTTGCAGNNCACTGGTGTCTTCTTCTATGTTTATCCTGGTATCGCTGCGACAGCCTCCTTCATGCTCAACAAAGAAGATGCTGCGTTCGGAAGTCTGCTTCAGGTTGGCTTCGCGTTTGGATTCGGCATTGCCTTTGCTATCATCACTTGTGCTTCTACATCAGGANNGGGTAGGTCTTTCTGATGAAGCTTCGTCAACACTGTCTGACATGTTCGCAGCCACTTTAATCCCGCCATGACGATATGCTTCGCTACCTGGCAAGGTTTTCCCTGGAAGAAGGTCCCGTACTACATCTTCTCTCAAGTCTTTGGTGCTTTTGTGGCTGGTCTCTTCGTTTATGGTCAATACCACCAACAAATTACCGCGTTGGCAGCAGCGACCACCGCTGCTGGCCAAGGAACAGTGTTCAATGGTGGGCCAGCCAGTATCTTCTGCTCCTTTCCAGGCGCCACTCAGACAAATCTCGGATACTTGTTCTTCATCGAGTTTTTCGTCGATTCATACATTGGTTTTGTTCTGTGGGCTTGCCTCGATCCGGCCAATCCTTTCATATCACCTTCGGCAGCTNNCCCCTGGGCCATTGGTCTAGTCTATAGTGTGATGGTTTGGGGCTTCGCCGACATCACTATCAGTACCAACTTGGCTCGTGACCTCGGCACTCGTATCGTCGCTGCCATCTTCTTCGGTCGTGAAGCCTTCTCCTACCACAACTACTCATGGATTGCAATTCTTGTCAATGTTCCTGCCACACTCTTTGCAACAGCATACTACGAGTTGCTGATCCGAGACAGCTTGCAGAAGATTGGCAAAGGAGCTGCTTTCCATGAAGACGGCGAGGAAGGATTGAACTTGCATCTGGTCAAGAGCAACATCAGCAGGCAAAGCCCTATGAGTCCCAATATGCAGAAGGTTTTCAGTCTGGGATCTAATGGGTCGACTTTGCACTCGAATCAGAAGATGGAGACTGGCTTTTCGCTTGCGGCCGAGACGGGCAGCAACAATGCTTAAGAATGTGTGGGAGGTGACTTGCAGGGTTGTTCGTCGAAGTCGAGTAAGCATGGTAGAGTAATGCAAAGCAAATCAACCTGTTGACAACAGAACAGCCTATTCGATAAAAGTGTAGAAGAGATTGTCTCTCTTGATCGTTTCAACTTTCTCTAAACCCAGGAACACTGCCAATCATGGTATGTCAAGAAAAGTACCTAAATTCATATCTGGTTCTTCCCAGGGATCATCATCCTCACTTCCAGAGTCGTGTGAATAGAGTAGCTCTACTTCCGCAGCCATTCTTGCCTTCCAAGCCGGATACTGAACATTCTCTCTTTCCCACCATTCCTGATAGAACTCCAACCACTCCACCAGCTCATTGAAGATCATGGGATGAAGAAAGAATGCTGGAACCTTTCTGGTTCTTTGTAGAAGACTCTCCATTTCAACTTCTGCTCCTGATCTTTGATTGTGTTCGGACGACCTGGGTAAGTTGTTGACAATTGATGATGTACGTCCTTTGTGCGAGAGCAGTAATAGTACGCCAACCAGTGTTGATGGCCGTGATAATCGCCACCACCCAGGCAGAAACCGGTACTGACATCCCAACCGTAGTTTTCGAGGCCGCTACCAGGCAGATTATCGATGTTGTATCGACCCCTTGTTATGTTGTATGGTGACTGGCCTGTCATTCTGGCGATGTTTGCATTTTGGATACCGTTTATACCGCAGACTCCCGAGTTGCGTAGATCGATATCGCGGAGTCCGTCAGTTTGCTTGAGTAGGAGGATGTAGTCTTCTGGCAGATCAACGGCTTTGTAGTCTGGTGTATCGTGATCGTAGTCCTCATTGATCGCCTCGTGGAGTTGTTCGAGAAAGGCAGAGAGTTGATCAGCAGGGGCTGGAGGACAAGTACCCTTGTCGTGTTGACCGATATCTACAGACAACAGCTCATTGACCGACGCAAGATTATAGTGATCAGCCAGGGCTATCCAAGATGTATGGTTTAGGACCTTTGCGAGTTCTTCTCTGCGTTTCTCGAGAATCGTGAAATCGACATCAGGTGCCTCGCATGCACGGACTTGCTTTTCCAGCCATTGTATATTGGATTCTTGCTGGATCCTCTCGAATCAGAAATTAGCTTGTTCCATACGCTCTCTGGTGCCGAGCCCGGACATGGTCGTCATTGGTCTGGATCAAGTTGGACTAGAAAATCTTGTTGTTGCTGTGTGATTGAATTGTGGCATTGTTTAGTATGATTGTCCAGCAGCTTGGCTGCTAGATTAAGGATCAAGAGCGTGGCTGTCTGAAACACGAGCGCACCAGACTTACCATCAAGCACATACAGCTGCTATCAGCTGAGAACTGAGCATTTAAAGCGTGCTGCTGTACATCACGTCGTCCCCGAACAAGGATCAAGCCTTGTCTGACCACGTACAACTCCTTTAAAGGTAGTTAGGGGAGATCTGTAAAGAAATGATCGACTTTTGTGGGGTAGCAAATCTCCGTGTTTTCCGAGTGCTCTTCCAAGTATCGTTAAGTCCTGGGGGCAACTCGTTGACGATGGGCTAGATAGTCGCGTCAGTCAAGCTGTCAAAGGAGGTGAGCACTGAGCAGATTGACCCCTCTTTCAAGCTCCATAGCGGCTGCAAGATGATTGGTTGCTAGCAAAGCCAAGTTGTGACAAGCCTCGCCCAGAAAAGCCAATTGCGGACAAGCGATGCATGCAGGACGGCAGCTAGGCGTCATTGCCTGTGGTCAGGGGTCATTTCCAAGGTCTGGAGCTGATCAAGCTGGTTTCTTTGCTTGCAGCATGAGCTCACGAGACGTCAGCATGGTTACGCGTAAGCTGAACAGCAAGCCATCGAGTGACGACTAGCTATAAGAAGGTCAAGTCAGTCGTTCTTTCCTTACTTGTACTTTCCATCCACATCACATCTCCCAAATACCACACTTCATCCACCGCTTCACACACATCTACCATCATGTCTGGATTCATTCGTGACGCCGAGCAGGCCTTCGAGGGCGGTAACAACAACCAGCAAGACAGCAGCTTCGGCAACCAGGGAGGAAACTTCGACAACAGCAACCAGGGCGGATTCGACAGTGGAAACCAGGGTGGCTTTGACAATGGCAACCAGGGTGGAAACTTCGACAGCTCCAACCAGGGCGGCAACTTCGACAACAGCAACCAGGGCGGCAACTTTGATAGCAACAACAACAGCAGCAACAAGAGCGGCGGTGGCTTCGAGAACACCCTCAAGACAGGTGGTGAAGACGCTATGCTGAACAGTGGTATGCTACTGCTACACTCAATCTCACCTGCGATGGCTAGCTAACGACATGTTTCAGCGGCCAACAGCTTCATGACCAAGGAAGGCGTTCCCCAGGGTGCTGATGGAGCCATCGACGGCTTCATGGACCAAGAGGCCAACAAGTTCATGTAAAGGATTGACACTGAGTCTCCTTGTCAAACGATTCAATGAAGATGAGGACACTAGAGCGAAGCACCAAAACATCATACCAACAGGCTAGCTCCAGATAATGACTTATGAAGACCAACAAGCATTCATGCATTCTGCTCATGGCTTTTTTTTTTTTTTGCTTACTCCCTAATGCGTTCTCGCGTGGGTTGATGAACATGAGGTGGTTGTCCGTTGAAGTCGACCTCTGAGAACACGCTGGTCAATGATCTGAAGACGAATCCTCGCGTGTTGCAGGCCCGAAGACAGAGACAGGACACGTTATACGCTGATCTTTTATTACTCGTTGCATTAGCACATTGTTTTCGATTTGCACAAGTTGGCTGCGAATTAGACTCGGCAATTCAGAGAAATGCGGGGTAAAATTACAGCATTAGGTAAGCAGCCCTCGAATACACAAAACAAGCAACCCGAAACATCACGTACCCAGTTACCTTATTCAACCTGTTCTGGTGATCTGATATAAGTACACTCATCACAGCTCACACCACAAAATTGACGTGCACGGGTATGTCTTTTGCTACAGTACCTGTCGGTCTTTTCGAAGGGGAACATCTGGAGACATTCCAGGGAGCACCATGCTTGTACAGATTCTGTCCGGCCACGTCGTCCAATCCTTTGATCGTTCTGATACCCGGAGGAGCACACAATGCCCGTATCTTCTATGGAGGTCACGACATGCATAATCCAGATGATTTCTTAGCCACGTGGCTCAACAAGCTGGCCTATGGAGTTCTGAGCATCTCATATCCATTGGAAAGCCAGCCTGAGATCATGCCCGCTGTAGCTCCCCATTTTCGGATCTCTNNGATTGGGGCCAACAGGCAGCAGAAGTGACCCGTCACGTTATCGATCAGAACAAGCTAAGCCGAGATGTTGTTCTAGTTTCCTGGAGTATGGGAGGCAGAATGCTCGTGCCGTACTGCAAAAGAGCGAGAAGGCTAGGCTTGAACGTCGAATCATTTATATCTCTGAGCGCGACGCCAGGTATCCCAGGAGTCAGACCCGCTTCTCCAGGCCTCGTAAGCACTAAAGCGGGATATGCGAGTCTGATGTCCATCTTCAATCACTTCCTAAAGCAAATCCACGAACAGGCAAGAAGTAACAAGGAGAAGCCCGTTTTCTCTGACGACGTCTACCGCAGTTGCTACTTCGGTCACACACCGGTGAGCCTTTTGGGCCATGGCATGAGGTTTGATCACGCCGATGTGTTCATCGTTGATAAGTATCTATCAGACGATGATGCAGCAGCTCATGAGTTCCACCATCTACCATGGATTTCCTCTTTGACGCCCACAAGCCAGATGGACGCTCGTCATGCTTTGACTGACAAGTCAACATGGAATTATATGCTGACACAGAGGCTATGTGCTCTCTATGAGAGATCTCCTGCAAATTGCTCGGCAAGAGGATCCAGCTGGCAAGAACTGATGCAGTTTTCTGAATCGGCACAAGCATCACTCTCAGCGACGATTGAAGGCAACCACTTCTTTTCCTTGGTAAAAGAGGCGCAGCAGCCACCGCAACAGCCATTGTTGAGCAAGTCCGCATCGCAGAATCGCTATCATACAGGCTATTCGAGTTGATCGGCGAGATGCAAGCTTAGCTCGCGACTTCGCTGCTTTCCAGCAGGCATGGTTTGACCTTGCAACTCTCTGAACCGCGCCTTGTGCCAAGGTTGTTGATGTACACTGCATCTCCAGAACCTAGCTATAAGAGCCAGATGCCTGAGATCCTTCACATCTTACGCCCATGCTCCAGAAAGCATCTCCTTCTAAAATTTGACACTGAATTGTTCTGCGTCCGTGTTATCCAATGAGGCCAGTGGTGCTTACAGTGTACAATAGTCCCAGCGATATCGCTTCTGGAGCAGGCTACGTACCCGCGTGTAATCCTTCGCAACGTGGAGAAGTGCCTCTAAAGACGAGGCTGACAAAATCACAATAATCTTGGAAGGAACTTTGGAAAAGACAGAAAATGGCCATGCTCAATTACATTTCCTATGCTATAATTACAATCCTCTAGATACTTAAGCGAATATCATGTCCTTTTCTCCATTAGCTACTATAGAAAAGAGCTTACGTCTCTTCCTACACCTAGTTCTCTAGTGGAACAGTGAACTCGACGAAGCTAGGGTTACTAATGTCGATGGTCTTATAGACGTCTAATTCCTTTAGCTACATATAGAGAACAGAGTAGTAAAGGTCGTCGCGGACGGTAAGAGTCGAGGTAGGCGTAAACGAGTAAGGGATACCTAAGTTCTAGCAGTTGTTATAGATTCTGCTATCGGGATCGAGAGTGCTTACGTAGGGCGTGCCACGAATGGTGTTTATGCGCTATTATAGATTAGCAATTAGCATGACACATGTTAGTAGGAAGTCTTACCGNNCTCTTATAGCCACCGTCACATTATTATCCACTATATTAGCCTTCGTGCATACGTACGAGTTACACGTCTTTCTAGGTCGCCGAGCTCCCTTAATCGTAGAGCTAGTAGGGTCGCTAACTCTCTTAAAGCCCTATTCCTCCATCTCTACCTTAAGGGCGTTAATGGACTTTAGACGAGGTGCCGGAACACGGGTAATAGGTCTAGATGGATATTTAGCCGTAACTATCTAACTAAGGTAATCGTATTTAAGTTAAATAAGACGAGCAGTCTAGTAGAAGTGCATCTAAGCCGGTGTGTTATCTATAATCTACTACTTAAAGAAGTTAAGCATTCTAAAACCTATATCGTACTACCCCGATTTACCGCGTCCGGTACGGTTCTCGCTAATAGTAGACTTTTAGTTAACCTATAGGTATTTCTGCTTCTATTAACCATTTTGTTCCTAGGTAATCTTAAAACCGAGGGTGTTAATCTCCTCTACTCCTACGAAAGGAGTAATGTCTAGAATATAGAAGTATAGAGTAGGATGTTCGACACCGTGCTTTATTCGCTCCTAAGAAGGATAGAGTTTAGTTACTTTAGCGGCTTTAAGCTCGTCTTTAAAAGCCTTTAGAAGCTCGATCGTCTAAGACTTAGGCTTTCTATTATAATTAGAGATGCTAATATCGAAAGCGACGATAGTTAATCTAACTACGAACGAACCTTAAGAGTAGATATACCTATCTCCTACATTAAGGACGACGTAAAGTACTTTCTAGTACGACTTCGTCTTAAGGAGTAGGTAGTTAAAGTTAAGTCTATCGTAGATACCGAAACTCTTACGAAGAACGCTACCTAGCTAGCCGTACTTCTCTACGACTTATATAGAGACCTTATATATAATAAAAGCATCGGTCTTAATAAGTCTAGCGCCTACTATTACTACTATAAAATTAGCCCTCTTAAGCGGAAGGTTATTCTTATCTAAGATTAGATTACGGCGCTAGGTCTAGAGTAAATAAATAATGGCTTACTCGCCGTAGGTTATAAGGTTTTCGAAGTTAGGTAGTATAGTGTTAAGATCTATTAGGATTACTATGTCTCGGATACGAGCTTCGCGGATAAGTGTATAATACGTAGAGCCGTAAGCTTAGTTCTTTAGTAAAANAGGTAAACTATTATAGTTATTTAATCTCGTCCTAAATTTACTAGCCTTTCCGGTATAGATAATGTAAATTTCGTTTCCGCTATACTTACTTTTATAGTACTTCGAAGCACTAATAAACTTAGTGTATCTATATAGATAGACACTACTAAAGGTAAGTATATTAGTTATATAAGGTATAGCTACGTCGAGAATATCGTTAAGAGTAAAATCCGGGTCCTTAAAGGTAAGAGTGTAACTAGCGTTATTAATGCTATTAGTAAGATTATAGGCGATTTAGTACCGGTCTAAGGGATCTTCTATATCTTTAAGGATGTAACGAGGAAGGCCTAGGGCTATAGATTCCTAAAGGAACCCTATATAAAGATTAAAGAAGTAATCTATAAGCTCGTATTAGGAGGTAGTTACGGGCCCGAAAGTCGTAAAGGAGATTCGAGGAACGGTAATACTAAATTAAACTTTAACATCGCCGTACTTTATAGGCCCGACTTTAAGGTTATCTAGCTCGAACTAGCTATTAACTATATTACCGTAAGAGTCCTTTCGGCCCGGAATAACGATCCTAGCTAACTATATAGGATTATCTACCTCTTTAATATATCCTTTATTACTAGGGTATATATAGAGTTTCTCTCGTCTAAGGTTACGATCGGCACCTAGTATATAGTAAGTCTTTTTAATAACTTTATAAGTAAAGCCGATAGTATTCTCCTCTATCTCCGGCATTATCTTAAGATTTAATACCTTTATCTAGAATAAGAATTCTCGGCCGCCCTTAATACCGGAAACCCTTACTATCTAGTCGGAAGGATCTTATTCGTCGATATAATAAGTTCTACCCTTCGGTAGCTAGTCTCTACGCTCGTCTATCTCGGGGTACTAGACCATTATACGCGTACGACCGCCGAGTACGTTAGGAGCTAGGGGTAATAGCTCGTCGTTATTAGCGCCGTCGAATAACATAAAAGCGGCATAACTACGATTATATTAATCTTAAGATTATATAGTCGGCTACTCGAGGGAGAGGTTATAGAAAGTAAACATAATCTTTAGGACGGGTAGAGGACGGCGTTTAAGGAACTACTTATAGGCGCCTCTAGGTTCGCTCTAGATATCGTCTTCTCTAAGGGAGAGATTATTATAGTTATTAAGGATAGGACTATCGAGGTCGGTAAGGACGGAACTAGAGCTATAGCGTTATATTTAACCGTAGCGATAGACGCGACTAGGGCGGCGCTTTAAGCGGTACTTTAACGGGTAGTATAAGGCGCGGGCGCGTACTTAGTATTAAGTTAATACCGTAAACATCGTAGCTTTAGGTAGTAGGCTTAATCGAGGTTAAATGTATGTATTATAGATAGGGTTATATTAACTAGGGCTAGTATAGAGAGCTTATATAAGAAGTTAACGTTAAAGGAGGGTTTAGAAGAAGTAAAGGTTAAAGGAGGTTAGGTAAATTAAAGTTATAAAGGTTAGAGGGTAGTTTAAATAGTGTAGAGAGAGTCTATAGGTTAGCGTACGTATAAGTAAAAGTAAGCTTAAGTAAAAGGACTAGTATTATTATCTTACTTAGAGTTCCGTTAATAATACAGAAATTCTAGCGTACTCTAAGACATAATACTATAGTAAAAGTGCCGGAAGTTTCTAGAAACTAGGCTAGGTAACTAAGTGAAACTATAAGCGGTGTTTACTATCGATTAATAAACGCTAGGTAATTTTAGTCTATAAGTAAGGCCTTATTCTATAATAGGTGTTTATACCTAGAGCTAACTAATAGTAACGAGGTTATAGCTAGGCGTTTACTCTTCTAACTTAAACCTATTACTCGTCCTTAAGAAGGGAAGGGTAATACGTAGACTCTATATAATATGTAAAAAATTAGAAGTTTAAATCTATACACCTAAATCTGCCCTCCTCTATATAGCCTAGACCTTCCTCTTTCTATATAACATACTACTCTAATATCCTCGACCCGTCTTTATTAAATCTTTATATATTAGATCCTAATTAGTAGTAACTCTATATCTTAATAAGGGGCTATATATTCTTTAATAGCATCTAGAAGACTTATATAGACCGATAAGGAGATGCTAACTTATAACATCTATAGAGAGTTCTAGTTCTAATAATAGCGACGTTTATAACTTTCTATTAAGATAGGGTAAATAAGTAAGGATACTACGATTATATTAGTAGGGTTAGCGAAACGTCTAGAAGGCGAAAGTATAGATAGGATATCGTACCGAAGCTATAGTAGTAGCGAAGTAAAGCGCTAGCGCCTTAGTATAGATAATAAAGCCGTAGATTTATAAAGGTGTAGATAATAAAGCCGTAGATTCGTAAAGGCGTAGATAATAAAGCCGTAGACTCGTAAAGGCGTAGATAATAAAGCCGTAGACTCGTAAAGGCGTAGATAATAAAGCCGTAGATTCGTAAAGGCGTAGATAATAAAGCCGTAGATTCGTATAGCTCTAATTAATATCCTAAGTAGTATTATAGTAATTAGACGACATATATACTAGCTACTAGAACTCGGCGTCGAGTATAATATCGATGCTTTCTTCGTAAACGCGTCTCTACCAGAACGTTTATTACCGCGCTCGCCTCGATAGATTACTAGCGAATAGGTAAGTACATTTCTAATAGTAGGCTACCGACGTTTTATAAGAGTGGCCCTTAATCAGTCTTAACCTATCAATAAAGGGTTACATATATTTCGCGTATAGTTATAGGCGGCGGAATTAATCTTATACTTCTAAGGGGTTAGTATATACTAGAAATCCGTTATAAGGCGCACTAACTATAATAAGATTTAGAAGCTACTAAGAAGCTAAGCTTCGTAAGTAGACTATATCCTTCCCTTATTCTTATCTTCGCGATTTGCTTTAGCCTCGAGGTTACTACTAGCATCGACGCTATAGTGTTAATAAGAACTGCTAACCTCTCTAAGCGAGCTCGTAGATAAAAGTGCTAAGCGTAGATAATGTCCGCGATGCTAGTGTTACTAGAGACGAGGCTTCTATAGGTAGAGCGTAGATAACGTCCGCGATGCTAGTGTTACTAGAGACGAGGCTTCTATAGGTAGAGCGTAGATAACGTCCGCGATGCTAGTGTTACTAGAGGTTACCTCGTACGTCGGAAGTATAAGCTAAAAGCTAGAACGCCGAGTCTAATGCTAAACGTTATAGATTAACTAATAAAGTCGACGGCGTAAAGAGCCTAGGAAGGCTCTAGATAACGTCCGCGATGCTAGAGAGGAGTAAATACTTTAGATATTAGATAAGGTAAGAATGTCGTTAAATTATTGCTTCGTCTTTAGAATCTTTAGAGGCCCTTTAGATACGGTTAGTATGTCATACCTTAACAGTCGATATAACTTACCTTTTACTAACGACTCCCCTTCTCTTTTCTTACCTACTTCTAGCGTGCTCGGCCGAGAAACGGGAGGGGAGTCGCTAATGATTAAGCCATCCTTAGAATGAGGACCCTAGTGGACTTCGCGAAAGCCCGAACACTCTACTCCATTCTCGTACTATACATCCTAGACTGTCTGAACGAACGCGAAAGTGGCGGACTCGGTTAAAGGCATTTTGTGTACTTGAACAGTGATTTTGACAATGATCTGGGACATTCTCGCCGGCGAAATTCTCTAGTGGGGGTCACATCGCTCCTTCCCAACTTGCATTCGCACCCGGTAACAGACTGGGACGACCTAAATGTATGATGTTAGCCGCGATCATTGCCCTTGTTGGAGCGGTGGTCCAAGCAAGCACATTTTCTCTAGGACAGTCTATCGCAGGTAGAATAATATCAGGTGAGCATCGCATGTATTCGAGGCTTTCATATCAAGTCTGACAGCACTCCAGGCTTTGGAGTTGGCATCTTCACAGGTACAGTGCCAATGTATGTCAGTGAAACAGCGGATGCCCGCCACAAAGGTAGTCTCGTCTTGCTCGAGGGCGTCTTCGCTCTTAGTGGCATTGCCCTGGCTGCTTGGATCAATTTTGGAATCTATCATGCAAGCGGTTCCGTCACGTTCAGATTCCCTCTAGCTTTTCAGCTCTTGTTTATTCTGGTTCTCCTTGCGTGCTGCCCATTTCTTCCTGAGTCCCCAAGATGGTTGGTGCTGCAGCAACGTAACGAAGAGGCGGCCGTCATCTTGTCCAGGTTGATGGACCGAGATGTCGACTCGCCCGAGGTCACTCTTGAAGTCAACAACATATTCGCTGCGATACAGCTCGATCAAGGTCACAGAAATAAGTATTCTCACAATCCATTCTCGATGAACAAGAACCGACACTTGCACCGGACGCTTCTGGCATGTGGAATGACGACCTTGACACAATTGACAGGCATCAACGTGATCCCGTTCTATTCGAGTATCATCCTTGAAGGTACTCTGCATTACTCGCCTACAGTGGCGAGGATCTTGTCCGGATGTCTTAATATAACCTTAGCACTGGGTGGTCTGACTGCCATCTTTGTGGTGGAAAGAGTTGGCAGGCGCAAATTGATGCTTGCCTCGACCTTTGGCATGGTAGTCTGTCAGGCGGCTGTAGCTGGGCTATCCTCGGACCTATCAAATCCAACTTCAGGACAGGCAGCATTGTTCTTCTACTTTGCTGCACTGTACATCCTTCCCGTCGGCATGTTCATCATCCCATTCATGTATGCATCCGAAATCTCGCCTTTGGGTATACGGTACCAAGTCGCCGGCATGGCAGCAGCTTCAAGTTGGTTGTTCAATTTCATGGTCGCCGAGGTCACTCCCATTGCGATCGATCAGATTCACTGGGAGTACTATCTCGTGTTTGCGTCTTGCAGCACGGTGGGCTGTTTTGCAATCTACTTCCTCGTACCCGAGACTCAGGGACGTACACTGGAGGAAATTGATCTGATCTTCCTAAAATCCAACTCAATCTTCGACATGGTGCGTGTGGCTAGGGAGTTTCATGCGGATCCTGATCACTTTGAACTTGAGCCAGACGACAAGAGTGGAGCTCAAGTGGCTTATGAGGAGCGATTGTAGAACGTTTGAAGACCTAGCATTACGGTGGATTAGGCGTGGATTAGGCTGTAGTAAACTGCAGAGAGATATATTGGATGGAGAAATGATACGGAGGACATCTCAAAATAGTTGGCAAACCAGAGATGCAGATCTAAGGCGCGTGACGATGTTTGTTGCTCGGTTGAAGTGTTGTGTGGCTGCGAAGGATGCGAGAGACAGAGCGTTTGGGGCTACCTGCCGCGTTTGTCGTCGCGAGACTGATGAGTGCATCCTCCCTGACATACAGAGCAACGCTGGTGTCTCATACATGACAACGCGAAAGAGTAAAATATGATTTGACATCGATATGTCGATATCATGCTATGCGCAATAGTCTATAGACGACTAGGTCAAGTTAGTCTGCTCGTATCGCTATATAGCCAAGCAAGATTGTCGATGCTGAAAGCCACCATGCAGCAACCCCAAACCCCCCCTGGATATCATCTTTGCACACCGTCCAAGAAATTCCAAAAGAAGACTTCCACCGAAGAAAACGATCACCAGAATCAGCCCAATCTTTTCGTGGTCCCATCCTTCTTCATAAGATATTCCCCAACCCTGAGCTGGCTCTGTCGATGTTCCTTGTAATCTACCGCAGATACGTTTTGGCATTAGTTCTAGTAGCCATGTCTGGGTACTGTCGACAGATTCTGGATTTTCAAAACAATCCGTGAGTACATGAGCTGGAACCGGAGGACAGATGTCTCCATATCCCCCGGAAGATGTGCAACGATACTCATTACCCATTGGCACAATTCTGTCTTCCGGCGGAAGACATCTACACGTGTTGCTCGGACAAGAAAGGTAAGGAATATATGGACGTTTGTTTACAGGGAGTCTGAACTACATTTAATCCATCATTAGTAAGTATGTTAATTGTAGTGGGTGCAACTCCGTGACCTACCTCAACAAGCTTAAGCTCTCTGACTGTACGTAGCGATAGATATGACCTAAGCGCTCCGCGGTGAGTTGCGAAAAATTCTCGGAGGAAGAAGAATAGAGCTTGATCGTTGTCGATATTGTGTAGAAAAGATCTTCCTGATGGATGCTCTTACTGCGCTTTCCTCTCTGCATGCACATCATTAGAATATCTCCAGCCTGAATATTGGATAGCCGTTGCTGGATCTGCGTCCCATGATTTACAGTTGTGTTTTGCCGTGGTAGTATTGGACCCTTTTGTCTTTCTTCAAAAGCGTCGTTGCCCATTGAACAGCCTTGTTAGTTGTTATGGCCCAGTATGAGTTGCCGGGCGTAGTTGCAGTATTACCCATCGAGATAACCTTGATCCCTCTAGACCGTTCGAGGTTGCCGAAAACCCTCGTTATACCGCCTCCCTTGAGTTCTTTGACATCACTTGTATATCTCTGGCCGACACCCTAGATCATGCGCTGTTAGGGAGCGTTGCCGTATATTGCAGGATGCCAAACTTACACTTTCCCATGTTATACGTGTATAACTAGGGCTCAAAGGTCCTGGAACCAAATCTAACCACACCATGAGCTCTTGGATGCGTCTCATTCTTTGCTTCAAGATGGCAAGATTACTGAACCAATTCAGTGCTGCGTCTAGAACGAGTGACTTGTCGCTAGAAGCTCGTTGCTCAGATGACGACGGGATTGAGAAAAGCGCCAGATACGTGAGGATTGTGTCGAGGTATTCATAAGGTTGTTTTGGGGAATCAAATGATGAATCCTTGAAAGTTTCGCCCAGTAGGTGTTCTCTCGTCGTGAGTTCCGAGGGAAAATCGTTTGCAAATTGCTCCATACTGGCCCTGTACCTGCCATATCGCTTGAGCAGCTGCAACTCGAACCGGCCCATCATGTCTTCGTTGATCACGAAACCTTTCGGCACATGCTTGTCTTCGCCGTGCCATGTCCAGTAGGGTGCTTTTACAACAGTTTCTTCTCCACCCATCATCCTTGTCTTTTCTGGAGTTGAATTGATGCTCACATCGTCATGGTGCCTGTGCTCGTCGTGAAGCACCCAGTCCCATAATGCCTCTGATATATATGCACTCCTCTGCAACCACCGCGGCCAAAAACACAGTACGAGAGCCGTAAGTGGTATTGCGATTGTGATTACAGAATTCATCCACACAATCCACACATCTTTTGTGAAAGTTAGTCGTCCGCCCGGTGTCTTTGGATCGATCGAGAAGAGGGTCATGACGAGAAGTGCCTAAAACGAATTAGAGTTCCTGGTAACAATAGAAGGAGCGAGGAACAGTGGAACGCACCAATGTTGCTGGCAAGAAAATCGAAACAACAACCGTGATGGTCCTCATGACTGCACCATCTTCTTTGCTCACAATACTTCCCTCAAGGGCCATTCGCACTCTTACCGATACGTGTATGTATTCTTGCGTATCTCGCATCAACACCTCCCTCAGCTGGGTTCTTCTGTCCATGGGATCGGTGACTCGGTAGCGTCCAGGAGTGCGTACGATCCGCCCCACCAGACTCTGCGGGAATGTGAATGAATTGTACGGAGCCCCCAACGCCCACTCGTGAGCAGGAGGATATGCAGGCCAAATTTCCATATAGTCGTCATAGAATTCAATCCAATCTTTTCTGTCTGGTACTGACCTGTCCTTGAGCCGAGTGCCTTCTCCCGAAAGTTGGTCCATCATCCAGGATAAGGTGATGTCTGCCATAGTGGTATTGTGACGAGATCCTCCTATGTCAGCATGGGTCTGTTCAAAAGGTCAGGTACCTTCGATAGTCAAGTCTGCTGAGTACTTACACCAGGAAACCAGACTTGCTTGAGGTTCTGCTCTCCGGTCAGTTCTGTTCCTGAGATAAAGACTGCTCTCACTTACTGTCTGGCATCCTTCAGGTCTATGCCAAACAGCTGGCGAAAACAGTGCTCGGTGTTCGTCCAGAGCCAAAGCCTGGAACGCATTGAGAACGTTATCTGGTATCATGGTATTGAGCCGCTTGAACTCGTGGAGGAAACCAGGTTGAAACCACGGATTAACAGGTATACCGAGCGCACCTACTTGTGTTAGCCCTTTTCGGAGTTCAAAATAGCTCTATGGACACTAGAGTAGTCTTGCAAGAGCTTCACTGCAATTCAAAAGACAATGAAACACTTACCAACCGTTTCCCAAACTGCAATAGCTCGAATGAACACATCTTGTTGGGAATTTTCTCGGACCGGAACAGTATGAATCAGTCCAAAGTTTCGCAGCAGTGCTCGATATTCTTTGAGATATGCTTTGGCTTGAAGTGGGTCGTCGGATGGTGTTGTAAGTTGATCGACCTTCTTTTCGTCCCGGTAATGGTCCCAGAATTTCGACTCCTTAAAAGATGGATGACCAGCATGCTGCCAATCATAGAAAATTTCATCGAAGTAGGGAAGCCCCTTCTTGTTAAGCAGCCCGAGTTGGCAGATGAGTTCACCTACACTTCTCGCTATGAAACTTCCACGCGAGAATCCAATGAGAAATATAGAGTCTCCAGATGTATAGTTGTTGGCCAAGAACCTGTAAGCCTCTTCGATGTTTTTGTAGAGTCTGAGGTCGGTTCCGCCTCCGACTATATGGTTCCACCATCCAAGTTCAGTCTCTGCTCCAACTTGATAGTACACTATTTGTGCATGGTGTTCACTGTCTTCGGACTTAATAGCTCTTGAGATTCTGGCCACATTGCTGAGATTTGGGAGGCGCCTTCGCTTGAGCAAGCTCTCTCCAGCCCAACCAGAATCACTGTGCTAGTCTGCTGTCAGCGTAGGCAGCAAATTGTCTTGTTCTGATACACACTGTCCATGTGCCTAGTTCAAAGGGTCAGATACTTCTTGCCACTCAGTTTCGTCAACACGTACCGTCTAGAGCGCATATAAGCTTCTTAGGTCTTCTGCTATGTTCTGAAGTCGGACCTATGGCCATCGTAGATTCTCAAACAGTAAGGAGCTTGTTAAACTTGTGGCACTATCAGGCCACAGCGATAGTCCAAGTTTTGAAAATGAGACAAGGAGGAAGTATATCAGAACCTTGAGGATTCACATGTCATTTGACTCGTTCCAGGCACGAAATCGCTTCGCCCTCTTACTGCAGAGATGACGTCTGCTGACTACAGGGTGTATTTTGCGTTAGATGGCGCGGTCATATGCAGACGCGTGCAGATAGCACATGCACAGCCTCCACAGGCACGTATGGTCAGTCTTGTATGCGTCCTCTTAGTTCTGCTGCGAGCGCCGAGATAGTTGCTCTGCGCAGCAGCATACGCAGACGGATGCAATTATCCTCGTGAGTATACAGTCCAGCGCCTGGCGGCGTTTGCGGGTTTGATCATGAGAAAGCCATCTTGCATCGGACAGACAAGAGTTGAGAGCCCGATTAATACAGCAACGTCTAGCCGCATTCCCACCGAGCTGTGTCTGCGCCTCAGTGGCAGTGTACACGAGTACCAATCGTATATCACTACGGCTGCACAATACGCGAGCTGTGCGTTCAGGCAAGCGTCTTGACTGCGAAGAGCGAGAATGCGTGGTTTCCTCGTAGCTTCCGTTGAGAGCTGAGAACCTTGACGCCTACGCCGTGAGTGAGCAACCGGTAGAGCACCACGCGCGAAGCCATTGTCATGCTAGACTTTTGAGCGCGTATCGCGTGCATAAAGAAGCGGGATACTCTTTGGCGTCGGGTTTTCTTTTCCGTAACTTATGTGGTGTGCTGCATAACAGTAGTGGTACGCTGACTGAAAGACACGAACGGAGAACGTGATGCACACATGGAAAGGAACCAGGCATGTTTTCTTCCACATCTAGAAGTATATATTATACTCATACAGCATAATCAGCACATACGGCCACAGTCAGCTGAAAACTGGGCATCCCGTCCGCTCTGCCATACATAAGCAGTTGAACGGCAGATTAGTACTACGGTGGGTGACCACGTGGGAATCCCTGCTGCTGTATGTTTTGCATTTTGTCTTCTTCTCAAGAAGATCAATCGCGTTTTGGAGCAGAAAGGTGCGATCGGGCCTGCTACTGCTTGCTGTGTGGTTTGTTTCTGCTCTTGGTATCGGCATCTACAATCGTTCCCAGCTTCGGGTTCGGGTCAGCCAACAACGGATTCTCCATTGACGGGACTGCCTACTATTAAGATACCGGTCTTAGAAGAAATCTTGATGCTGACGTTTTGTTCTTTTGCTGATCATGTATCTCCCGTATGTAGGTTATGAATGACATGGACGTGCTAGGCTTACCATAGTAGGATGCGACGACAGGAATCTAGGTCTCTAGGATTCTGGATCGTGGCCGCATGAGGAAAATGCGGCTGAGTAGTCACGCCGCTGTTGCTGGCTCAGCTCTGCCCAGCTCGCTCCGCATGTTTTCTAAAAGGAGGCAATAATAGCGTGTCAACCCGCAGATATCTGGCATACAGCTATTGTCGACAGCCAATCGTACCTTGCGCCACCAATATCTCAATACATACGTTTTACAAGCACTCGAAATGTCACTTCCGCTCACCGTCCGGCTAGTATACCATTCATCGCATAGATGATTCGGCGGTGCGACAGTTACGGCGCTTACAAAGTTGATAATAGCATGCTGATATCGAGCACGTTGTTCTACTGCAACTCGCAGAATCCAGGCATCCTCAATTGTTTTCAGCTGAGCCGCGTATGGCATCAAGGTTCCAATGTGGCGCCCACCATGTCACATGATGCCTACCCTTGCTCGGTCTGGCATGGTATAACAGGCCTCCCCCTCTCTTCAACCAGATCACAAGCTGTTTCGTTTCCCCATTGCTTGTCAACTGACTGATTCGCCTGAAGTCTGGACTCTCAGAACGCTGTGAATTCGCGGCAAGGCTACAACCAATCGTGGCAGTATCAATTGAGTGAACACTTTGAAAGAATGCCGAGTGTCCACATACCAGGGCCTGGAGAGACTAGGGCTGCGAAGCGTGGGAAATACGCAAAGCTCCAAGATATTCAATACCTCGCCGCAGTGATCAGAGACCAGGAGCTGGATTTACAGAGTCCATCAAGTCGACCGACATTCTGGTTTAATGGAAGAGTGTACCACTACAGCGAAGTGGCTCGACGCATCAGAAGAGCAAAGAAAGCAGGCAAGATTCCGATACAGGAGTCGAGACATCCCCTCACACAGCCTGAATGCATTCAAATCTTATCCCCATCGGTGCCCGAAGCGCAGTGGACCATTCCTATTCGACCTGCTGACTACGCTGCGGATAGCTGGCATGAAGACTCGTATTCGATCCCGTCCGAAGATCATTCAGCCTGGGTTGATCCCATAGAGAACGTAACTTGGGCTTGCCACCAACAGTTGATGTCTTTAAACAATGGCGTGAGAATTAGTTTCCCGCCGACTTCTCCTGACGAGCTGCTCATACCCTCGAGATTCTGCGCCATGATCATTAGATACTTTCAAGGTGCTAATGAGAACGGTCTCTTCGTCATTAACAATGCTGGGGAGCTGGTCAGTCGCACTTCAGCAGGCAGTTGCGCCAATATAAACAACTTTCACAGGACCGCTGTCACGGCTATTGATCTTCTGGAACGGGGCTGTGCCAACCAAGGCTTTGTGTTGGTCTCAAAGGCTTTAGTGCTTATCGAACAGATTCTGAAAGATCAAGACCCAAAGCTCATGGATGTTCTCTGCGATGTGTCCATACTCCTTCTCAGCAAAGGTATGGGAGACCTATACGACATAATGAAGGACAAGATCTGCGCCATGGTGAAGATCATTGCGGAGGCACGGGGTGAAGAGCACCAACCATGGGCACAAATATTCGCCTACATAGATCAGTTCCCAAGATCACAAGTGGTGGACAACATGCAGAGAGGCTGGATTTGTGGATTCGACCAACTTGAGGCCGCACTTGAGGAGCAACCATGGGAAGGGCTCAACATATCCTGCTCCGTTGATTATTCTCTGCGAATGGGGCAGAATGCGCAACGTCTTTGGGATGTAGTGGTGTATCGAACAGCCCGTCTCTCGATTGATGACCCCGAAAGGATACAGCAGCGACTCGCATATGGCAAAGTTCTCTACTTACAGGGTCGCTATAGCGAAGCTTTAGAGACACTGGCACACATTCTCTCTCAGTGTCGGAAAGCAAGACAACACGACGACCTGAGGTGGATGGCGATGGAAATAGACGCTCTCGAGGTTTCGGCACGCTGCCATTTTGCTCGCAGCAAATCGACTTGCAACTGCAATGATGCCGCTATCGCGGAAGTTTTGCTCGAGACCGCTGTTGGACGGAGCACGAGAACAGAAGGAATCAAGTCTCCCACAACAATAGCTCTGCAACATACTTTGTGGCTTTGGCTGATGGAACAAGGCCGAGCTGATGAAGCTGCATTGTTGAGAAAGTCCATGGACGATGTTGTGGGCGAGCCTCTGATCGAAGATGTATGAGCAAGATCTGCCCTCTTCAATCAGCTTGCGGGTACGTCAAGGGTTGAGCCACGGCTCATTGAGCGCTGGATACTCGAAGTCGAGACTAGGTCAGAAATTGTCTGCTTGTATCGCTATATAGCCAAGCAAGATTGTCAATGCCGAAAGCCACTATGCAGAGACCCCGAGTGTGCCCCGTATATCATTTCGATACGTCGTCCATTACCGAGGCCAAGAAGAAGACTTCCACCGAAGAATACGATTCACAGAAATCAGGCTATTCATGCATTACACGCCTGACCTCTTCTACGACGGTGTCGTAAACGCCCCCTTCTCGCCGCCCGCCCGCTCATCCAACAATACACATGCCCCAAGCCTTCAGATACCTTCATGTGCACCGCCTCATCTCTCCGCTCAAGCATTCTGCATGTCTCGCGTGTCGACTCGGGGCTATACACATTGTTGTATCCACCACCGCAGACCGAGAACGGAATTCCACGGAGCACTTTAGGAAGTCCATCTCACACTAAATCGGAGTCCTCGAGCAGTGGTGCTTGTGATTGATTGAGGCTTAATTGAGCTTGACCGTTTCAATGCCGAGCATTAACGAGCCGACTTTCATCGATTCACTACAGGGATGCTAAAGACAAATCCGCTGGTATGATCGTCTGATACGGCTAGACTGGGGCAATGTCCTCCTCCCCAACGTAGTACTTGTCCCTGACTACAGAATGTTCTCGCAGAACATGGTTAGCGTACCTACAAGATGCAGACTGTTTATTTTCGTCTTGGTAACTGGCGCGAATGCCGATCGGTCAAATACCCTGGTTATGCAGAAGAGAGATCATGCACGCTAGCCATCTATGCGAAAACAGTCTGCAGAGAGCGGCAATCGTTTTTGAATATTCTCCTGGCCAGCGCTCCAAGCCACGGTTCAGCACACATACGCTTTGTTTTGGTTGTGTGCAAGCCACGCGGCTTGCTGCTTGTTGATCAAGGGAACCGAAAGGTCCCCAAGTTAGACAATCCCTTCTCAATCAATTAAGTGTTCCGGTTTGTTGACTTGAATTCCACTTTAGTTCATTCCCCGATTGAAACCATTGTAGGAACAAACTTCGGGCCCTTTGTGTCGTCTAGGACAGGCCACGAAAGAGAAACGGCAGAGAAATCGACAAGACAAGCATCATGAGTCCCAGCCCACCATAAAACGGGGCCGATTTGCTTGAGGTGAGGCTAGACCGGTGCTTTACAGATGGAAGGCTGAAGTCCGAAGGGAAGGCTGAAGGATGCATGCAGATGCTGCAAGATGTAAGCGATACTCAAGGAACGTGAAACCTTCCTGTAACAACAAGTATGTGATATTCAGGTGGGCGGTGCTGGCGCATGCCTCGAAGTCTGTTGAGATTACTTTTCTTGCGGTGGCCGCCATCTTGTCGCTTTGAGGTCTCTTTGCACACAATTCACACTCATCTTTTCCCACCACTTCACTGACATATCATAGGCTTCTGTCACAGACCAAAGCCATGACTGGGATCAGAAAGGTCATCTTCTACGCTCTCGCAGTCCTTTCTGCCGTAGATGCTTCCCAGACTTGCTACGCGTTGAATGGTGACGCTGTTAGCTATGATTACGTTCCCTGTAATCAGTTCAGTGGTGCGACTTCGTACTGCTGTGGAGCGAATCGTTCGCTCGACAATCTATCATTTACACCCGACAAGTGCTTGACTGACGGCCTGTGCTTGGCCGTGGCCCAAGTCAATGGCAGAGAGAAATGGACCTATTTTCGCGAGTCTTGTAGTTCACCAGACTGGCCTACCGCCAACTGCCTGAGGGACGTCTGCACCTCGCCAAACGAGAATGACGCCAATGGAAATGCTTTTATGACGCCCTGCGACAATATCACTTACTCAAATACGTGGTGCTGCGGGGACAACAATACTGCTTGTTGCGGAACGGACAGCGCCATCACTCTTGCTGTGACTCTCGGTGCCACCGCAACCTTGAGTTCAACGAGCAGCAGCCCGACCACTGCGACCTTAAGTTCAACAAGTAGCAGCCCGACGACCGCTTCATCTACGGCAACGGCTTCAGCTTCCGCGTCGTCAACCTCATCCACAGACTCCAGCCTCTCCATCGGTGCGCAAGCGGGCATTGGCATTGGTGCCACAATAGCCGGTCTATCACTCGTCAGCCTCGGCGTACTCTGGTTCATGCGACGACGACGCGCTTCCCGTTCCACCAGTCCCCATGATCCCAGCAGTCTGATGGGAAGTACCCTCGCATCGAGCAAGGCTCAAGTCTCATATCGGGACTACGAGGGTTTGGGCCAGAAACCAGACGGTTTGGAAGAGTGGCACCGACCAACGGAGCTGGACTCGTATGAGGTCGGCGAGTTGGATTCACACAGCCTTAGAGAACTCGATGGCAACAATCATGATGCGAGACCTTGAACATGAAACAGAAGTCGCGTTCTTGCACATGTGATTCGATCGAATAGGACATGTATATCGTCAAGCAGTTCTACAATCAGCTTGCTGGTACAGGACCGCATTATGCTCAAAGAAGAAAGCACAGGCAAGTTGCTGTGTCGGAAACAGGTGTCTGATAACGAATGGTCAGTCGGCTTTGCCCACTCTGATGATTACCTATGGACTGTAGGCGTACCGCTTTGAGAGACCCTAACCATTACAATGCCGCTTGATGTTTCCTAACTTGTTTGATAGAGAACATGTAGTTTTGATAATTAGCATCATGGTATTCTCCGAAAACCACAATCAGAAAATGAACCCCAAGGGTTGTCGAAAAACTAGCAAACAAGCGAACCAGAGAACAAGAAGGCAATGATTTAGCATGGGCAACAAAAAGTAGCACCGTGGGCAGGGATCGAACCTGCGACCTCCCGATCCAAGAGAGAGAATATTAGGGACTTAGGTAAGCGAGTATTAGGGGCTTAGGTAATTAGGATCGGGCGTGATACCGCTACACCACCACGGCTTTTATTTAGTCAAAGGGGACCTAAGATATCTTGAATATAAAGGTTGGTGATGCTGGCGACGAAGTGGTGGTGTGATGAGCAAGTTTGAGCGGCCTCGGCCGTCGTCGGCGAGTATGGAAGGCTCGCTCCGATTGTCCGTGAGAAACAGATGTCTGTTTCGCGACAAGTCGTTCTGTTGCTCATGTTCTTGGAACGTGATAGTGCTCATTTCCAGTGATATGTGGTGTTCTCAAGGGAGCAAATCAGAGTCCAAAGAATGCGGCTCATGTTGGCGACGGTCCAGTTGGAGGAAGGGCCATATCGCATATTTGACTCGCGTTTGCGATTGTCGTATTGGTGACACCCGGTTTCTCATGCTCAACAGGAGCTCTTTCCTCAATCTTCATCCAAGAACACAATACCCTGTTCCTCAACGACCGGACCCGTCTCGCCGTCCTCCTTCCCATCCATCTTAACCGCAACATTAGGCTTAAACTTCTTCTCCTTCTTTCCCTCTTCAACACCTTCACCCTCCTGCTTCGGCCCAAGTTTACTCTTCTCCTTCCTCTGCCTAGTTTTCTCCCTCTTCAATCTATTCTTCTCCGTTTTCTCCGCATCCTTCTTTTCTTGTTCTTTTCTCCTAGCCGCAAACTCTGCATTTTTCTCTTCTGTTTCTTTTCTTCGTCCATGGCTCGTAGTCTTTCGTACTCGCGTCGTCGACTGGCTTTGTAGACGTGGAATTCTCCGCTGCCGGCTCCNGGCGCTGGAGCCTTGGACATTGGCTACGATCTCGGGAGGGAGGGTTGAGGACTTGTTGGTAGAGGAGGAGGGGACATTGATTGGTTTGTCGGGGTTTGCGAAGAGTGCTTCTAGGTGTGCGGATTGTTTGCTTCGGGGTGAGAGGGCGCGTTTTTTTGTTGCTTGGCCGCTGCGCGNGTCGCGATGGACGGGGATGGACTCGGGTATGTTTTCTGACATTGTGGATGATGGCTCTCGCAGTGTTGTGCTTGAGCGAGAAAGTGTGAAGAATTTCTTGTGATGTCGCGATGAAGAGTGAAGCTCAAAGTGCTGGTGTTTGGGCAAGCAAGAAAGTGGAGAAAGGTGTGACGTCCAAGTCGAACCTCAAGGTGCGACCCTGACCTTTGCTGCAGAGCCTCAATCTATTCTTGTCTTTTACCTTGATGTTCGGCCACCTCGAAGCCGACGTCACATCATTTGCATCTGCAAGTTCGTCCATGAAACCAGTTTTTAGATCACTACAGCTTCCACAAATGACAATCAAGCATAGCGAAAAGTGAATTGCTCAGCGTCATTTAGGCTGGCCGAATCTCCTTATGAACGCCCCAAGGCAATCAGCCTCCCCATGACTGTGAAAACAGACCTAAAATACCACACCCGTTCGTTCCTTCGTTGTTGACCAACTTGCCTTCCCTTCCATGCATGCAAAACGCCAATAACCCACCCGCAAATATGAATATGAAATGTATCCTTCAAAAGGTCAAAACGAATGGCTCGAGCTTTACCAAGCTCTCGATTAATACCTGCTTCTGCGGCGCAAGCCCTAATCCTGATCTTGCAGCTCCCGTGCGAGCTGCATGCTTTGTTCTTCCTCTTCCTCGAGGATGCTTTTTTCTCTGATAATGTGTTCAAACTTCTTTGACTTTGTCGTACCTGGTGTTGCCGATAGACTATCTCGCTTACGCTTGATGCTTCCAGGAGTCTTGAGCTCCGTGCCTGGTGTAGCTTGTGTTGGTACGGGTGTCTTGCTAAGGGACCTCTGCATGCGATTGATCGGTTTTTCGGTACTGACACTGAAAGAGTGGCGCTCAGTTCGAGGAGTCTGGGATTTCGTTAATGGTGGTGCCGGGGGTTGATAGAGTGGTATGCTAGCCAGACCTATGGTGGGTGCTACAGCAAGTGAAGCTGCCGATTTCTCGGGCGATGTGATGGCGCCTTTCGTAGGTACTAAAGGAGTGTCCACGGAAATAGGAGCAACTTTTGAAGCTGGCTGAACAGGGGCAGCATGAGCCAGGCCGTTTTCAAGTGGTTCACTTTGCGTCGCAACCTCTTTTGTCACGTCGGGGCCACTCTGGAGATGCAGTCCTGAAGTGTCAGTGGTGTGAGGTTGCACAGGTCCGCCAGACGAGCTCGGTCGATAGTCAGTCTCATTAGTATCAACGCGCCGAACAGCATGATCGAGGTCAGCCGGAACATGGTTGCTCGGGTAGGCTTTGGCTAGCGAAGGAGATGTATCCTCTCGGTGTCCTGAATTCTGACTCGAAACAGAGCCTTGTTGCTGTAATGCAGGATGAAGCACACTGTCACCATTGGCCTGAGGTACAGTATAATCACCGTCGTTGACGTATCTAGAGTCAAGGACTTCGTTTGCCAACTGCTCCAGTGATTGTGCATTATAAGGTCCATTCAAGTCAGACTGTTGATGGTATGGACCACCATGTAGAATGACACCACCACCGGTCGAGGTCGGATCGGGATACATGTATGAAGCATGCTGCCAGTGCGGGATATTGGCTTCAGGTGCATAGGAATACTGCTTGTACTGTTGAGGTGAGACCATGTTGGATTGGTAGCTGGACTCCATCGAGAAAGGCATCACAGGAGCAGCTTGTGGAGCTCGGGCTTGCTTGGACTTCTTGATCGGGCTCTCCATCTCCCCACTGGTCCTTCTTTTCTTGGAGACAATTGAACCACGAGGGACAGGCGTCTGTTCGGCCTTGATGGGATCGATCTTGCCGTTTTCGTCATGGATGCAACGACGNNCTGCTTATGTGTTAGTAATAACTTCGATATTAGAAGCGAAGACACGAACCTTGCTCTTGCGGCAGTCAAGACACGCCTTGCTTCTGCCACGCTTGCTGTTCGGGTCTGCTAGCAATGCATTTCCAGGAATGATAGCAGGACCGACGCCATCTGTCGAGGTCATTTGCGCCATGGGAGCGATGCCCACCATCGCGTTGGTATGTCCATTCTGCAAACCTTGTGAACCCTGGAGACTCTGCAGGCTCTGAATACTTGGCGTATTTGGCATATGTTGCTCAGGGTTCGGTAGAGATTGATTAAATGGTGCTATCGGTGTGACTTGCTCGGGTGCCTTTACAGGACTCATAGTGTTAGCGGCGAAGAAGTCGCGAGAGTCTCTCCTCTGGAAATCGATAGGCACAGTTTCAACAGCTCCATCAACGGATGGTGTCGATTGGAACATCACAGGTGGTTGTCCAAATGGTGTACTCGTGGTGACAACATCTTTATGCTTGCACTTGATTCGACGCTTCCGACATGCATCGCATGCGACTCTCTTAGGGCCGAGTACTGATGTTTTCGGCGTGCTCGTATGCTGACTGCTAGGGCCAGGTATAGTTTGTGTTTGAGGAGCCGATGCAGAAGGCATCGACTGCATGGGTGACGTGGCGGCGATGAACTCGGGCTCTCGAGATGCATGTTGGCGAGCAGACTGTCTCTCAGGGGCGGCTCTGTAAGCCTCAAATGCTTCTTGCCTTTGCATAGCTTTCAATGCTCGGGCACTAAGCTTTTTAGGAGCTGCACTCTCCTTATCTGGAAGATCAGCATCGGGATGCGCCCAAGCGGGTGGATCTTCATTGCCTCNTTTCCATGCTACCCAAAGAGCGAACGTTCGGGCCAGCTCAAGAGGTTCACCATGCGATTTTGGTATGGATCTCATGACTTTCTTGCGAGTGTCCTCCGTTACACCTTCAATTCGGCCGAGAGCGATCATGACGGTACGGAAGATGAAGTTGATCAGATCTGGTAGTCCATCCAACTCAGCCTGTGAGTAGTATCGGCAGTTGTAGTAAGCACTCCCAGAAGCACAACTTGAGAATTTTCCGTGCTGATCAAACTGTTCCCAAACAGGTCTTTCACGGACAAATCTCGCGCCACTGTAAAAGACCTGAGCAACTTCAGCAGGCAGTGGATCTGTCTCTAGGTATTTGATAACAGTGTACCACATGACTTTCTGGAAATGTGGATACCTGAACTTTTGGGGAGTCTTGATGGCCTTCTCAATGTCGACGATTCGGAACTGGGTTGAGTAGTGCATACGAGTCAAGAAGTTGCCTCCAATTACCAAACTGTTCTCTGGCGTCCACACAGCGTGAATCCAACCAGAAGGAATCAGCATGGTATCACCTGCAGACAGATCGACTCTGTAACACTCCTTGGTAGCATCCGGCAACCACGTGAAGTTTTGCTCGTGCGAGTTGTTCCAATCCTCATATTTCTTGAGATGGCCGGGCTTTGGCGGAATGAAGAAGAAAGTCTTCTTGCCACGTAGAATATGGTAGTACACCGACGAGCCACCGAAGTCGATGTGAAAGTCTGTGAAACTGTCGGCGACAGACATGAGGCAATAGAATTGTACTTTCGGAAAATTTCCTTTGAGCGTTTCTTCGTCTGGCCAAACCGAGTCTTGAAGATCGATGTCCCTGACAACCTTAGGTCTTCTTAGCAATCTTCCGAGCTTGGTAGAGGAGACCTCTAAACTGATGACGTTGCGGACAGCCTTCTCGCCGTCGGCTTCATAATAGTCTGCCCACTTTGCCAGATTCCATTTGCCTTCGGTACCTTGAGTTTTGACATCAATCACCTCGAGAGGTTCATGTGGGCCTACAAGCTCAGCAACGTGTCTGACAGTCAAACCTCGAGGCACAACCATATCAAGACGGTCTTGACCGTCATCAGGCACAGTCTCGTACTCGAAGTCATGCANAAGAGCCTCATCTTCTTCCGGTCCAGCGAAAGTAACATCCTGCTCCTCGCTGTCGTGCGCTGAAACTGGTCGCCCGTCAGAGAGCTTGGGATTATACTGGGCAGGTATTACAACAGGCTCAGAGAACGAAGAGCAAGTCTCAAAGAACTCGCGGGTGACAAGTTCAGGACGCATGCGTGGAAACATCTCCTGGTCAANGGTGAAAGAGCCGTCCTTGATTGGCTGAATATAGTGATGTTCAGGATTATCATCGGACGTCTTGAGAATGCCCTGATTCAAGCCGGCATAGTCGACAGCTGCGTGGGCACGACTCGACTTTCTTACGAACGTTGTTGAGCCATGCTTGGGCTCACAGGCTTTGCAGAAGAACTTGCTGACATCTCGCACATCGCGCTCGTTCTTGAAGCCAGCACAATCGAAGTGGAACCACAATTGACAGCCGTTACAGCTTATCCACTGATCCAGCTCGCCATGGTTAGATTCGCGAGTCAGAGCGCAGCTAGCGCATACCGTCTCTTGAACTTCCTTGGAAGGCTTGCGTGGTGCCGGCGCCGGTTTTGTAGGCAACTGCAGAATCTCGTAGCGTAGACTTGGAGGAACTGTCGCACATCGCGCATCTCCTGAACGAGATTGTAGTTGTTCTGAATATGGTAATGGTAACTCCGAGTCTGATTTGCGCCTGGGCCTCTTCTCTTCCGCGCTGGAGTCGCTACTGTCGGCAACCGATTTCGCTGTAGAAGCTCGCGATCGACGGGCTGATGATCGAGGCTTGGTGGTCGTCGAGTTCTTGTTCCGTGGTCCACGAGGTTTGCCCTTGGGCCATCCACGACGCGGTCTCGCTGCAGGAACATCTGTAGGCAAATGCTGTTCCACTGACCCGGCAGGTAGCTCGGTGGTCTCTTGTGTAGGGAGCATTACTTGTGCAACGGTCTGCTCAGATGTCCTGCGCTCCTCCTCAGGTGGAGTATGCGTCTGTTGTGGTGCACGAACTCTTGGTGGCTCCGACACAACGGCCACGGGCAACGGCTCATTCTCTGAGCTTTGAACCATTTCTTTGTCTGTATCCATGCTCTTTTCATCTTCGTTCGTATCCTGGGGAGAGGGCAGTGAAGCGGATGCATTCTCGGAAATAACGGACGGAGGAGCGACTAGGACGACCGGTTCCGGTACTGAGACTCGGGCAGCGTAGGGCGGTACTGGGACGTAAGGATATGGATGAGGTGGAGGTGCCTGTGGTGCGGTGTAGAAGCTCACAGGGTTTGCTGAGGGTCCAAGAGGAGGAGCATGGCGACGAGGCGGAGCGGGAGGTGGGGGTTGGGAAGCAACACGACCGGCGAAGTTCAAGAGTAACTCGGCGTCCTCTAGTGAGGTGACGGTAGCGGTATTGGTAGATTGACGACGTTGGCGATCAGTATTGTATGCCAAAGGAAGCACACTGGCCTGGGAGAAGTGGTGACTGGATGACGGCCGGGCAGGGAAAGAGTATGCTTGAGGACCGGGACCTGCATCGGAGCGGGCGCGTTTGGTAGCACGAATGGGCCCAGGAGTGACGAAATTGTCGGCAGCGGGCTGTACAGATGGCGCGGCCGGTGGGAGCTGTGGACTCGTGGAAAGGGCAACATCGGCCAGAGCCTCGATGGTTGAAGGTGAGCGCTTATGTCCTCGCGGCTTCTCGGATCGTTGCGATGTGGTCGAGGGAGGAGGCTGGGTTGAAGGAGTGGGTTGGGTCACGGCAGAATAGTTGAAGGTGGGCTCAATGGGACGCTGAGGAGAGAGCGGCTCCCATTCTGGTGACTCAGGAGATGGCGGACGCGCATGAGGAGCAATTGGGAGCGGAGAGGATTTGAAGGTAGAGCGCGATCGAGGCGCGATAGGCATGATTCGATCCATTGTTCGTCGTGAGTGCAAACAGAGGCAGTTGGTCGAGTCGAGTTCGAGCGCTGGAAGTGATGAATCGCGACTGAACCAGCTTGAGGACTAGAGCGCAACCGTAGAGGATCGCATCTGGACAGCGCGCGATCAAGCAAAGAAGGGAAAGGCTTGAACAGGCGACTCGCGATGGGTGGTGGTTGTGTTGGGTAGAAGATGGCACTTGCGATGGTCTACCGCGGTTGTTGGCGGGGTTCGTCGCTGCTTCCGCTGGAGGAGGGAGAGCACTTCAGCGGAACTTTGGCAGTGACTCGACGACGCCTTTGCGCTTTCCCCTTTACACAATTGAGCCAAGCCTTTTATTCTGGAGCTCCTCCTAGATCAACTACGACAGTCGCCAGATACAAAGAATTGCTCCGAAGTGCTTGCGTTCATTCCTCAGACGACAATCGCCCTCATCGACCCGCGCCATTGTCCTTGCCCGCCCGAGTCACGTGCAGCGCAGGTCTTGGCGACTCATTCCGCTCCGGCGACCTCCAAGGCCAGACACGACTGTGTAGTCTCAATCGGCCTTCTCAGCCTCCGTCACGAACACCATCTACCTGTATCCAAGCTATGAGTCGCGGCGGTAAACTTGCTCCCGAAGTGAACCGGTAAGCATTCGCTCGCAGGCCATTGCCCACGAGATCACCTCAGCTAACTGTGCCACAGNNCGCGCTTTTCGTCAAGAACCTCAACTACAACGTCAGTCCCGACGACCTCTTCGAGCTCTTTGGCAAATTCGGTCCTGTCCGGTGAGTACCAATCTCTTCCTCCGACCCTCGCGCGACATTGCGCTAACGAGCTATCAGCCAAATCCGTCAGGGCATCGCCAACAACACAAAGGGCACCGCATTCGTTGTCTACGAGGATGTTGTAGACGCCAAACAAGCCTGCGACAAGCTTAACGGTTTCAATTTCCAGAACCGCTACCTCGTCGTCCTCTACCACCAGCCAGAGAAGATGGCCCGTCAAGCACAAGATCTCCAGCAGCGCCAGGACGACTTAGAAAAGCTCAAACGCCAGCACGGTATCGATTAGCGCCACGCGGGAGCCCCAGCCGCCAACAATGGCGATATCTCTGACCCGGCTCTTTCGACTACAACCACTCTGGTCTCGTCCAAACGGCCCCAAGGTCTCAATGAATCGCCGGTTGTGGCTCCCAAGCGCGGCGTGCGCTCGACCTGCCATAATCTAGGCAACCACACCTTTTCTTCACCACGAATCAACACGAGCTTTTTAGGGAGAATCAAGGGGACATGGCGTATACGCGGCTAGCTGTTTGCCAACAGGCGACTTTTCATTACACTGGGCAATTGGGAGTTTTTCTTTTCTGCTGTTCCGTACAGAGTGCACTTGATTGTGCCCTGGCGGACTTTTGTTTCTCTGTTACTCTCTACTTTTTAACCACGACCTGAGCATACCCAACTCGGTCATTGAATTCCCGCTCGATTGAGATATTATCGAATGCGCTTTTACAAACACTGCTTTTCAAGTCCTACATCCTGATGTTGAATGTTTTGAGTTTGGGAATCACAGCTTACTCGCAGTTGCAAATCAGTCGTTTCATCAGGCAGCAGCCTGTAAGGAGTGTACGCGGCATCACATGATTACAAGGTTGATCCTCCTTATCTCTAACGCATCAGCTTATCAAAGTCAAGCGTAGCGAGCACCAATAGACGATAGCCGCCTGAAGCACATATGAAACACAAAGCAGCAGCAAACACCAGAGAGTGTGGGTGGACATTTTGTTTGTAATTTTCCAGTGACCGAAAAGACCCTTTTACATGGAGTGAGTGAGCACTTCCTTATCATTTCGCCAATCTAATCATATATGATCGTATAAGAGTTTTCCTCGATAGTGACCAACAACCACAAACAGAACAAAGAAACAAACGAGGAAAGAATACAAAGAAGTGAATGTCCAGCACACACCCTCCTATCCTCTATCATGCATCATCATTGGTTCCTCTAAGCGAGCGCTTAGTAGCCAGTAGGCACCGGAACAGGAGCAGTAGGGAAGCCCCAAGCGCCGGACTCAGCGGGAGGAGGACCCCAAGCGCCGGTAGGGAAAGCAGCGTTGCCGGTAGGAACAATGGGAGCAACAGCAGTGGCAGTGGGCTTAGGACCCCAGTTGCCCCAGTTGCCGCCCCAGTTACCCCACCAGAAGCCATCGTGGTTGCCACGGGCACCTTCGAATCTCTTCTCGAGGGGCTTGGGAGCGGTGCCGGTGGGTGCGGGGCCCTCGCCGGGAACCCAGCCTGGAGGGAAGCCGGTGGGGAAGCCTGTAGGGAAGGGGTTGAAGCCGCCGGTGGGCATTGGGAAGCCGCCAGTTGGGTGAGGGAAGCCACCAGTAGGATGAGGGAAACCGCCCTCTGGGTGAGGGAAGCCGCCGGGAGGTTGAGGGAAGGCTGCTGTAGGGCGAGGGTGCCAGCCGAAAGGAAGAGCAGCGGTGAGGTTGAGGAAGAAGGCAAGAGCCGAGACGATGAGAGATAGCCTTGCGAACATGTTTGCTTTATCGGTGTATCTTTTGTGTAGATGGATGATGAAATTGGATGGAAAGGTTGTGTAGTTCAGCGAATGGTGTTTTCTGCTTCCGAGGGGAGATATAGAGAGCGACAGAAGGGAAGATGGATGCAGAAAGAATGGACTTACAGGGAACACAGCATCCAAACCTCTTTATGTACTTCTTACCACAACGCATTCCAGGAAGCGAAAACAAAAAGACTTTCTACCTCTTACAGCAAAGGACAGGGATCTTCTCACCAACAGCCACCCTGCTAGGTCCCGAAACATAGCCAACGACTTTCCATGCACGATGTCCGTGGATCGCCTGCCTGCATCTCGAGCCAAAGAGAGCACTCCAGCCTCCCTTCCGAGCCAGGGTTCGTGTGTGAGGAAAAGTGCACAGTGTCGGAAGCAGATAGAGTGACTGCCCAAAGCAGAGGCCAACTCAGGTCCCGTTGGGCCAGTCAACCTTGCACCCGCCTACTCGACTCACCCATTGCTTGCGGAATGTCCGAGATCCGCCATCATGCGTGATACCGTCAGTGACCGTTGGCTATCCATGACAGACAGTGTCCACCAGCAGAGGCAAGATACGCAGGGGTTGACCACGGCCCCATGCTGCCGAGTTGTGTTACGCGTTCACCAGCCAGCGATTGATTGCTGATCTTATCAACTGATGACAGCCAGTGAGCCAGACGGGCGCCAGGCATGGTGTGAGAACTCTACGTCCATTTGACGTGGTCGCTACGGTCTCAGTGTTGTCCGTGACAGGAAAGAACGGCATGTTGTGCTTTTGCGCAAGTGTTTGTGTTGAGAAGCTTGTCCCTGGAGATCAAAAGGTGTGGGGAGTTGCCTGAGTGGAGCTGTTCCTTTTCGCCCTTCAGCCACTCCCGAACCAGCCTCTATTCTACAAGTAATAACCTTGTTCGCTCTTCTACCCATCACGGTTCCTTATCGCATCATCTCACTCAAAGATCACTAATGACATAGCCAGCGATTGCAAATATCTGGAGTCACTTTTGTCATCGTGTCTGCTTGCAACATGATCTGCTGGCAGTCGAAAACAGCCTCGCGCTTCTCAGTCGGTTCCTGAGGAAGCGGCTCTGTTGCGTTTCAGGATAACCTCTCAACTTGAACCCATGCGCAAGCCACCAAAAGTGTGACAAAACAGCCATGGCGGTTGGCGGGAAGAACGGGATGGCCGATCAAACATGCATGGCTGGACGTTTGTCACAAAACCCTTCATCATCCCATCATCACTTGCCGAGCGCTTCACTCAACCCTAGAAGCAACATCACATCAGGCAGACAAACTGCCCTACTCTTGTCGTCGATCTTGCAAACCAGGACTTGCCATCAAAGTCTTTGCTATGGGTGGTTCGCTTTCTCTGACTTCTTCCAAAGCTCAAAGGTTTCTTTTGCCGAATGCCACATCATAACGTTCGGCATTCGAAACAGCTGTAAGAAAGATATGGCTACCCACATGTGTAAGCGAATCTGGATTTCTACTTCTCTTACAGTTCTTTTCTTCTTCTGTCCCACCATTTCATATACTTCTTTCTCGCCCCATTGCTCAACCATCTAGTTGTGACGAAAGGAAGTACATCGCAGCATATCGCAAACAGATCTTCTTCTGGTCTCAAACTTCACGCTCTGTAGGCGAAGTAGATCCACCAAAAACCTTGGGCGACATGTCTGCGCCATCAAAATCTTTTCGCCACGTCGCCAGCCAAAGGCATTCGTAGTACCAAAAGCAGGAACAAAGAAAAACTGACGGCTAAGCCTCCGGCATACTTCTCAAAAACGTGCCTGCATGCTGCACAAACTGCGCCTACTTCCAGAAAAAAGTATCCTTGTCATGCTGCCGCGGCTCTTGCTTAGATCCAAACCCGATTCATGCAAATAAGGTAACTTAGGTAAGCAAAGCTCTTGATCGTATGTATGCAGCGTAAGAAAACATCCATCATGATTTGAGAGCGAGAAGAGCGAGAACGACCTTCGGGGTCTTGGCCTTCGGGTCTCCATTGACGGAAGAATCTTCAGATCTCCATCGAGCCTTCTCTATCTTTCGATACCGTCAAGGAGAGCCAAAGAGTTGCATCCTACGTAACTAGAGTGTTGATGAGCGCGGCCAATTATCTTTGCATTCTCGGTCCCGATCAAAGCGCAACCAGATCTAGTTCTAACTTGCAGGAGACGCAAAGAGAAATACTATTGGTTTCTACTAACACTTTTGGTATTATCTTGATAAGAAACCACGAGTAGATAAGAAAGATTGTCGTCGGTAAACTGCAGCCTGCACCACGATATATAAGATGCTGACATCCCACACGTCCCGTCAAAAATTATTTGCTGACCGCATACATATGTCTATCGAGTACCAATGTATCCTAGCACCCTTATCGCAAGTCTTGTTCTGTCATATTCGGCAATGCGCATGTGTCTCGAGCCAGTTCTTGTCAGGACGTCCAGCATGCAGGACTGTGACAGACTCTCCGCCCAAGCATGTTGATGCTAAAAGAAGCATTTGGGCTCGCCTATATCATGCAACGCATTGCCGACATATAGGAAATCGATTATCGCCCTGCAATATTTCGGACATCTTCTCTTCTGGACCAATAATAAAACATCGATTCATTGTTTTTCTGTCTTTCGGTAAAAAAGTCATAATAATACTACTACACATTACACACTTTTGTTATTCAAAGCTAACACCACGACCATTGCGGCTTCGGACTCCTCTAGAATTCCTCGAATGGGTCCACTTCCAAGCTCTCGCCGAAAATATACCCTTTGCCTGTCATCATGTCCCGTGTGTTATTATCACCTCTGCCCTGACCGATAAAGGCATCCATACGTACCGTACCGATTGAGCGGTCTGAACCATCTCGGTCGCCAGGTCTGAGATTCGGACGAGTCGGACCGCTGGCAGAAGTTTGGTATGTAGCTGTGTTTGACGATCTACGTGCAAACACTGAGGATGCCGTCATGGAAGGATCGTTGGACGATGTCGCGGCCGAGTNACGGGGGTTTGTGCTGCTTCGCTTGCGTTGGTGGCGGCCACCATTAATCCTAGAGATGTCAGGCGGAGCAGTCGAGTCAGCTGTATCCAGACGCTGATGTCCCTTGACATGGTTCTGTGCTAACGCTGGTCCAATGGCTGTCTTCGTCGGCAAGATAGGTCCTGGCAGTAATGACGACCGTCGTCGATGCGTATTGCCAGATGTAGGCTCTGGTTCGGGTGACAAACGAGGCACCTGAGGAGGACCACGACCCGACTGTGCAAGGAAAGATAGGGCTGTAAGCCAAAGATAGTGTCTTTCTTTGTTGCAAGCAGTAAGCTTGAGGGCTCGCTCTGGGGTCAAGATGAGTATTGACCTGTCAAAGATGGGCTCATGTGAAGCACTTTTGTGTAGCGGCGTCGTGTCTTTGACATCAAGCACTGATTTGATCACCACNNTAGCAAACATCAGTATCGAGAGCATGTGTCAGCAGCATGTTCACTTACATTTACGCCCAGCTTTTCCAAGTAATGCTGGACCTGAATTTGGTTGCTTGGAACTCCACATGACCGTTTGCTCGTATGGCGAAAGCCACACCCATCGCTTGTGTCGCACACCGCTGCCGGCTCCTTCATCTATCTGGTCTGCCCTAGACTCGCCGATGGTAAAGGATCGACGTCTGCGAACGTACTTCCACATCCACTCGCCGACCATGGTGGCTGCTATGGCATCAACAATAACATTGTCTTGGCTCTGCTCATCCTCTTCTTCCACTGCACTATCCTGGTCGAAGTCTGGAGAATCTATGATGTTTTGGTTTCTGTGAGGGTTACCGAAGCTTTCGTGTGTTGGAGTGACTATGTCAGGAAGGAGCAAGTTGTCTTTGGACGGTGTGTCAAATGCCATTGACTTGATAGGTTCGAGATCTGGTGCTCTTCTCCTACGTCTTGGAGACATGCGAGCATTTGTTCTCATAGCACCGGACGACTGTACCTTTCTAAGGCCGCCATCGGGCCCAACTCGAGACTCCTTGCTTAACCGACGTGATCGCATTGACTGAGACCCGCGTACGGTGGGGCTTTGGGGTCCTTCACTAGTAGGAGGCCTCGAGCTTATACGGCCAGGAATAGGGAATGGCGGTGCTGGTGTTGCGCCATAACTGCTTGCAGTATTCGGTCTGCTTGATTTACGCTCATGAGAGCTGAAGAAAGGTCCTGTTCTTACAGAATGGGCTGTCCCCCTTGAGCTAGGTGGACGACTCTGGTTTGAGCTGCCGTCAGATCCCATCCTCTTGCCATGAGCGAAGACAGAAGGTCTTTCAGGACTGATGACAAAATTGCCAGGAGAAACTGCTCGGTTTTCTGGTACAGTCTTTGGAGGGCCATTGAACAGTGACCGTACACTAGGACGAACGATACCAGGCATGTTCCCAAAGATGGCTCTCATATCATCACTCGACTCGGCTAATTGATCGTTGGCGTCCGTGTCCACATACCACTGCGGTGGTGTGGGTTCTGAGGAATTGTCTTCCGACTGCTGGTGCTGATGTTTGCCATTGTTCACCGAGCGAAGCCTAGGCGGTGGGAGGTCGATAGGCTTCAGAGGCAGACGATTACCATCTTTGCTAAAGGTGCTTCGATGCATGACCACACGGCGCTTCGTAGCTGTTTGAGACTCGTGGCCTGCGGTTGGAACACCTTGCTCCAGAGCGCTTGGCAATAGATAGGGTGGAAGCTTGATTGGTCTTCGGTCAATTCTGATCTCTTCTGTCTGCACGGCGGCGTCTAGCATCGGCGCAGGAGGTACTTCTTCTGTCTGCACAAAGCTACTGCGCATACCAGGAGGCAGGACGCTCTCACCAGCTCTAGGCGACAACGGAGGTTGGATGGTGATAGCTGGGATTGGAAGAACTTCTACCGCAGCCATGGCCACGTTTCGTCTGGATGCCAGATCCCCAGGAACAGCAAGTTCTGTTTGTGTCGAAACTGATTGATAGACCGGCTTCGCTGGGGTTTCTTTCTGGACATCTCCGTTGGTAACATAGTGCGGTGTATCTGGGGGACTAATAGGAGCTTCGACTAAGCGATCTGATGTCAATAGATTCGGTAATTTCGGCTGGGGGCCTCGTTCTGTCTGTTTCAGCTGGGCGGGTACTACGCCGGACTNCGACTCCCCATTATGATCGACTGTCAAAGTCTTTGATGCTTCGCCAGTAGTTTCATCTTTTTGTCTCGCGGGACTAGCAGAGCGCGAAAAACTCATCTNTGCCATCTGCTGGTTGAACCGTTCAGCAAACGAGGGAGTTCTCAGAGATTCGATCGATGGTTTCCTAAAACCTTCCCCNNCTTCAGTCAAGGCATCAGAATCGCTCTTGATTGTCAAGCCGAGAATCTTCTTCGCTTTGCGATCCGATATGGCTGAAGTTCTAGAGTTGATACTTGAACGATTCTGGGCGAACAAAGGAAGATCCTCGTCATCCCCTTTCAGGTCTTCTGTGTCATAGTCCTCATCGTCCGAGTTGAGCTCATTGGCCAGAGAAGTCATGGCTGGCCTTCGAACACTGCTTATAGAAGGTGCAAGACTCCGGACGCTCATACTGCTTTGGTTTCTAGCATGCCTTGCATGTCGGTAAGAGTGGACACTGGCAGCATCACTGTTGTCGCCGGATGTATCTTCAAGCTTCTGCTGAGCTTGAGAAGCAAGATGATGAGTTCGAACTTCTTCTACCACTGCTCGTAAGCGTGTTTCGGAAATGTGAACCTTCTGCTCTAGTTGGCGCTTGTCGGTTTGCCACGAACGTCTCTCCTGATCCCATGCTTCTCTCGCCCGGATGTTCTCTTCCTCCAAGGTCTTGGTCTTCTTGGTTGCTGCATCCAGCTTGTTTCGTAGCTCTTGATTCGCAATCTTGACATTGTCTCGCTCAGCGAGTAGACCCTCGACGGCATCGAAAGTGCCGTTCTCGAGGAGCTTGAACTTCTGTTCCAGTTGCCTTGTCTTCTTTGTACTTTCGCGAAGTTGGCCAGAAAGAGTTTCGTTTTCCGTATTTGTGTTCTTGAGATTTTCTTCGAGAGTATCGATGAATTGGTGTTTTGAGTCGAGCTCGCGTCGTAAGGTGAGGATCTCAGAGACTAGGGACGCATGGAGCGTGGNGGTGAAACGGTTCGCGTCGAACGCATGAGCGTTGGCATCTTTACTGTCGGATGCATCGAACGAGGGCAGTGGAGCCGATTTAGTGGAAAAGTCACGGTGTTTCGTACGACCACGTGAGGAAGGCTTCGATGCTGCAAGTTCTGGTGGAGTGTGTTCAGGCGTTCGTGCGGGTGATGCGAGGGCACCGTACTGAAAGTAATCTGTCGACATTACGGCGACGCGAGCGAACCTGTAGCAAGCAGAGGAGCTCTCTTTCTACCCGACATACAGTCTACCAAGCCATGATTCGATGCGTGTCGATAGTGTCGTGTGAGGGCGGGCGAGCTTCATACGAGAATGAGGAGAGTCTGAAAAGGCAGTGATGACAAAAGGAGAGGAAGAGAATCAAGAAGCGAGGTAGGAATGACGCTGTCTGAATAGATAGCGTGTGTTTCAACCTCTAGATATTGGACATGAATAAAGATTGACCGGGAACGACGCCGATCAGGAGAGAGGGCTGAGAAGGGACCTAGGAAGGAGCGAACACATCACAATGTGATTGCCTCAATCTATAGCAGCAGGAAGGCGCACCTCGCCGTCCCGCCGCCTGCGAAGCTGAGGGTCCATTCATTGTTGACTTTCTGCCGCGGATTGGACAAACTCGAGAAACACTGTGATAGAAGGCGTTGCAGCTGCGGACCCGGAGCTGTGGAAAGCCAACCCAGACTAAGTGCCGAGCATCTGCACGGCTCATCTGCAGGCGAGAGCGCGACGATTCTCCATGCAAGGGACTGACAAGATCGACTCAGTAGCTGCACCGTTTTGCGCTGCTCGAACAAGCTTCTGTTTCACCAAACAACGTCTGCTCGTGATGGATCAATAAGTTTTCCTTGACACGACACTGCCAATTTCAGCATCGAAACTAGCAGCCAAAGTAAGAAAGATTGACTCGCTGTTTAAATACGTCCTTGGCAAGCGCTCGAGCGTTTGTGACAGGGTGTGACCAAGATGAATAGGCTTGTACTTTTGCTGATCACTTTAATGCTTATGAACCAATAGATATCTTTGCTGTTCGTCCTACGTTACCGACTGACACTGCTGTGCCTCTCGAGATGGCCATGTCCAATCGTCAAATCATACCTGTAACAATTCTACAAGGATCTTTCCAAGCTATCATCAAGCCACACGGGTCAGCCAGACGAGTGCCGCACGGAAGTAGTGCGCCATAGCCGAAGAGTAGCAGTAGACTTCCTATGCACTTCATGCTATCACGGTCTCATGATTGACCTCTTCTCTACTGAGTCAGAGAATGACGTCGAACCACACAAGACCATTAGTACACAAACTAAATGCCGTCGAAGTAATATGATTGCTGATATGGGGACAACCCTGACTTCGGGCTGAGCTGTCCCGACCCCGAGCCCCGCGTCGAAACGTCAATTTTTTCGAATTGTTCAATCGTCAGACCGCCAAACTTTCTGACACTTGCTTGACACTTGATCCGCCAGCCCTAATTCAACTAAGGACCTAAGAACCGGGGTCGAACAAATCACACACCGAAAGTCAGAGTCTTCGACCAGTTGTACCATCGAAACTCTCAGTCGCCTACGAAGAGAAAGAGAAGGATACCTACCAACAAGAAATTTACACTCAATAAATCATGGCGTCGCGCGTTCAAGAACTTCCCGATGACTTCGACGACAAGATTGATCTTAACAAGGCTCCTGCCGAGACACATGGACCCGCGCCACCACCGGCTGCTGGCGACGGTGGCCTGTCCTTCGACATGATGATGGAGGCCGCTGCGAAACACTTCCCAGCCAAGAAGGATGCACCAGCTGAGGGCGATCCAAATCAGTCCGGCGCAGCGCTGCCTCCCGGCATGGCTACAGCAAGACAATACACAGCAGACGAAATGTGGCAGATGTTGAACAAGTCTCCCCTCTTCATGACCGAACTGGACGAGACAGGCGAAGACGGTGGTGAGAACGTGGCCCTGGAAGCAATCAAAGCCCTCGCATACGAAGGCACCCGTGCCGAGAACGCCGCTTCCTTCCGCGAACAAGGAAACGAGAACGCCCGCCTCAAACGCTGGAAGGATGCCCGTGAATTCTACGACCGTGCCTTGGGTGCACTCAAACTACCACAGAAGCGTGCAGACGCGGAAGAAGGCGACGAAGAAGTTGAGCACGACTTGGTAGAGCTCGATGAAGAGGAGGAAGCCCGCAAGGAGAAGGAACACGAGGAAGCATCTCTGGTCAACCGCGCCCTCTGCAATCTTGAGTTGAAGAATTACGGCTCCTGCAACCGCGACTGCGCTGCTGCCCTGAAACTCAACCCAATGAATGTGAAAGCATACTATCGCAGTGGTATGGCTAACTTCCATCTCGACAAACTACCCGCAGCAATCTGGTCTTGCAACCTGGGTCTCAAAATCGATCCTACCAACAAATCACTCCTCATCCTCCAAGACAAGATCGCAAAACGCAGAACTCAAGTAGAGTGCGCCGGACGCGAACAACGCGAAAGAGAAGAAAAGGCCCGTAGAGAAAAGGAGACTCTGGCTCTGGCATTGAAAGGTCGCAATATTGCAACCCGCTCGACAACTACAGCACCTCCTCAGCTCGAGGATGCAGCCGTTCAGCTCGAAGATCCTACCGATGCAGCATCAACATTGAGCTTCCCTTGCTTGCTCCTCTACCCTCTCCACAACCAAACAGACTTTATCAAATCCTTCGCCGAAGATGAGTCAGTGGGTCAACATCTCGAGTACATTCTCCCGTTGCCTTGGGATGAAGACGAGCAATACCTACCGGAGAACGTGGAATGCTACATCGAGACCACGACCGGAGGTTTGGTTAAAGCAGGCAAGAAAATGGCTCTGCTCAGAATCCTGAACACTGGCAAAGTGGAGATTGTGGATTCTCTGCTTAGAATCAACGTTGTGCCAAAGAGCAGAGCACAGGAATGGGTGGACAACTTCAAGAAGATCAAGGCCGCTACTAAGTAAGAAGAAGCAATCTAAGATCGCTTGCTGGATCTATCCAGGCCAGACGTTGCTGGAACGAAATCAATGCGACCGCGTTCAACTTGCGTTCCTCAAAAGATTCAACCAGCCTTTCTACTGCGTTTTGACATGAATCTTTGTCGTACAAAGACAAATCCGGCCAATTATACATTTGATAAGTGCGCCGGATCAAGTGTGTCTGAATCCACCTCTCACTTATTAAGTTGCCCTCGACTTCATCGAACCACTCTGTCATAGCATCCCATCCACTGGGCACAGCTCTCAGAAGTTTGAATTCATTCTTCAAGACTTCAAAGAAATCGGCAACGGCCCATGCCGTGTGACTCAATAATGTTCGTTTTCCGGAAGGCAGACCTCAAACCTCGCGATCGAGAAAAAGCTTTTTTACAGGATTTTCTCGATGCTGGTCGGGAGTGTCTAGCCAGTACACAATGCCAAATTGTGTATCAAGGATGAACCGATCGTTGTCACGGCCACCGCATGTAAGGCTGAAGGCTGATGATGGTATATCAGGCCAGCCCAATCCTTCTGTAATAATTCTTATTTCTTTAACTTTGTCTTGGCTGAGTATCTCTTGCTCAAGTAGCGGATGTCTTCGAGCGTCGGCATGGTAAGAGGAGTAGACGGAGGGAAAAGTTCAACAACGGATCAGGCGGAAGTTCCACCGATGGGAAGAGTATCGAAGCAATTACCATATTGGTGGGAAGAATGCAGTTTTGACTGTCTGTGGTCATTCGCATAATTGACTCGTTCGTATCCTACGTATGATTGCAATCTGAGTCACATGCATTGGCTACAGAGCAGGAGAACAACACCGCCTATAAATCAGCGGCTTTAATACTCGCGAACAACTCATAGAAGGCTGAAGGATCCTCCGCACCTTCAAGTCTTCTACCGTTAATCTCAAAAGTCGGCACCGAGTTGACTCCAGAGTCTTTGGCTCGCTGTGCCTCCTCATCAACTTCAACTTTACCGTTATCGCTTTGCAACCACTCCATTACCTCATTGCGCGCAAGACCAACAGCAATACCGGCCTCAATCAAATCATCGTGAGAACTCACATCAGCATCGCCCTCGAAGTGAACCCTGAACAACTCCTTTGCAAGTGCCATCTGCACTTCTTCGCCCTTTAGAACCGCAAGGTACATGAGCCTGTGCGAATCTCTGGTATTGCCGACCTTGCCAGCGAAAGTGAAATCGATACCGTAAGCTTTGCCTACACGTTTCAATCTCATCGTAATTCCTTCTGCACGCTCGATGCCGTTTTTCTGGGCTATGCGGGTTGAGGCAAGAATGCCTGGAGTAGGTGCAGATTGGTCCAGGTAGTAGGGTGACCAGGTTATGCGAAAATTGTCTTTTGAGCCATTGGGATAGGTGCGTTGGTAGAGAGATATCGCTTGTTCTAATGTTTTGAGACCGATGTAGCNACTGATGGTTTGGCTGCTGTTAGCGCTTTGGTGTGTGTAAATGGTCAAGGATAAATGTACCCAGGGACAAATCGTGTCCGAATGGATTTTGACTTTGAAGAGAACAGGTGCCATGATCTATGTTGTGGTGTGTCTTATCCGACTTTTGCTTTCTTCTGTACAACAAAGATCAAAAGCAGACAGTAGAATGCTCAAGATCTATAGTTTGGTGTTCGTGGAGAGCTTGTCGCGGCGTTGTTTGATCAGGCTCCATGATTACTTTGCTTGACTGCTTAATAATTATAATGCATAATTCAGCTGCCTGAAGGCTGTGGAATGTTTTTGGGGATTGATTCTCCTAGAAGAGGTTGTTTGTTATGCCTTTTCGATGCCATGTAGCGGGTGCTGCCGAGAGCCATGACCAGAGTGACTTGACCATACTCATTCACCTCTAGACGAATTGCCAACTTGTGGCAGACTATCATGACGGAAAATCAGCGTTTATCGTGTCAGTCATTTTTGACAACGTTTAGGCAACACTATTGAAGAAGGCACTATCCATACCAGCCACCTGCCAAGATGGGTATAGCGTCGTAGGATTCTTACAGCGGGATCGCGAGCTCAACATTGCATGATAAACCCAAGCTCGACCTCATTTGAGGATATTATTGTTGCTTCAAGAGAAGTCATCAGTAAAGTCATGTTGTTCAAAAACTCCGCCCTCTTGTCTGGCGCGTTGTGGGCTTCTTCCGCTGTTGCCCAATTTCCGCCGAAGCCTGAGCATGTCAAAACCGTGAAATCGAAGTTCCATCAAGGTATTGAGATCTCGTACAAGGAGGTTGATGTATGTAATTCCCAAGTTCAGCGCTACATGGCATCCAAAAAGTCGCGCGATTGATGCGCTGTATCTTGTTCACAGTGCTGATTGCATCTGCAGCCCGCTGTTTGCGAGACCACCGAAGGTGTTCGCAGTTTCTCTGGATATGTTCATCTGCCACCGCATAGCATCAACGAGACACATGAGAGACAGGACTATCCTATCAACACGTAAGTTCAACGATGGCGTGTTCATGATGTTCCCACATACTGATACGCACCAGCNTTCTTCTGGTTCTTCGAATCTCGCAAGGACGCTCACAAGGCTCCTTTGTCAATCTGGCTCAATGGTGGACCAGGAGGTAGTTCCATGATGGGAGCTCTTTCTGAGAATGGCCCTTGCTTCGTCAACAATGATAGCAACTCTACATACCTCAACCCTTGGTCGTGGAACAACGAAGTAGGACCAACCGAGCCACCTCACAAGATAGTGCTAATCTATGTCACANNGGTCAACATTCTGTACATTGACCAACCTGTGCAGGTCGGGTATTCTTATGATGTTCCAACAAACATCACTGTGGATTTGCTTGCCGACAATGAGGGTCCCAGTTCCATCAAGGTTGTCGACTTCGATTCTGGTGTTCCTGACCAGAACGCTACTTTCTTGGTTGGAACTGCTAGTAGTCAGAACGTTTCTAATACAGCCAACAGTACGCAGCATGCGGCTGTTGCTCTTTGGCACTTTGCTCAGACTTGGTTTGAAGAGTTCCCTCAGTACAAGCCTCACGACGAGAGAATCTCTTTATTCACCGAGTCCTACGGCGGTAGATATGGCCCTACATTTGTCAAGAAGTTCATGACTCAAAATGAGTTGATTGCCAATGGATCGATCTCAGGCCCCGGTACGCACTACTTGCACCTCGACACTCTGGGCATAATCAACGGATGCATTGATTCAGAGGATTCTACTTCTGCATACGTTGAGTTCCCTGTCGCCAACACCTATGGCATTCAAGGCTTTACCGAAGAGCAATACTACGAAGCCAAACACAATTTTATTCGCAAAGGAGGTCTCCGTGACCAAATCCACGAATGTCGTAGATTGCAGCTTGGAACAGACCCCAACGACTATGGTGATGTCGAGAACACAAACAACTACTGTATGCAAGCCGCCGAGAATGTTGCAAAACAAGTTGTCGACAAGTACATGGAGAGCAAGAAGTTTGGTTGGTTCGATGTCACTCACCAAGGCAATGATCCTTTCCCCGGCCAATACCTAGTCGGCTACTTGAACCAGCACTGGGTTCAGGAAGCTCTCGGTGTGCCTGTGAACTTCACCGCCGTTTCGCCCTCTGTATATGAGGCTTTCACACACACCGGTGATATCTCCAAGGGTGGCCTTATTGAGGACATTGCTTACATCTTGGACAATGGCGTCAAGGTAGCCATGATGTATGGTGATCGCGATTACGCCTGCAACTGGCTCGGCGGCGAAGCATCTTCCCTCCACATCCCATGGGAGTCACAAGAAGCATTCTCCAAAGCTGGATACACTCCTCTTGTGCTGTCTCCCGTCCACTCCGGTGGTCTGGTCAGACAATATGGTAACCTGAGTTTCACCAGAGTCTATCAGGCCGGCCACTTGGTACCCAGCTACCAGCCTCAGGCCGCTTATGAGATCTTCATGCGAAGTTTGTTCAACAAGGATGTTGCCACTGGCACAGTCGCCGTAACAGACCAGTACAAGACTAATGGTTCCGAAGACGCGTGGACGCCTAGTGATGTCCTGCCTGCTCCCAAGAGCGAGTGCTATACTCTGAACCCCGAAACTTGTACCGAGGAGGAGCAAGAGTGGCTCAAAGACGGCACTGCCATCATCAAGAACTGGATCCTTATCGGCCGTGAGAAGAGTGGCAGGAGAGGTGGAGAACAGCAGGTTCTGAGCGCAGAAGGCATGTATGAGCTTTAGATGGGCACAGCTTCCAATGTGTTGTTGGGTATGGCAGTCATTGGCTTTGTGCAATGGCCTGGGCATCATTCGGGCAGTATACTGCTGTGATGAGACAGAGGCAAACTTCGAGTACAGTTCGAATATCAATCGATATCATCTTTCGCAGCTTGCATATACAGATCTGTTCAGAAATGTTCCCCTGGTGTCCAAAAATTTGTCCCCATCGAAGATCACTTTGCAGGAACACTAAGCCATCTAACCCACCACAGCCGCTCCATCTGGTAGCAAGAAAGACATAAGGTTGTGTAGAAGCGCTTGAGGACATCAAACGAGCCACAGAACCAATACTACACAGAAACGGGACCAAAATAATCTCATTAGAGGAAGCAGAAAGACTCGATGCTACAATCAATGAGGGCAAGAGTGCGGCTCATCACCTCTGAACGACAGTCTCAGCCCTGGAAATAATGAGATTCATCAATCGGACCACAGAACCAAATTCTGTGATGAATACTGATTGGACTCAGCGTGGTGGCAGCAGGCTTGTGCCTGAGCGTTGCCGTCAAGTGAAGCAGCGGGAGCGTCGTGCCTTCCTCCATTGGAGCATCAACACTGCTGCCGACTTGTTGAGGGCATTCACGCGCAAACTCCTTCCTCTAAACGCTCTTTCACTTCATACTCCTCCACATCGACCTTCTGCGCGCTAATCTCAACTTCCACACCCTCGTCATGGCACAACAATTCAACTTCTATTACCACTATGGACCTGGCGACCTGACTCAGTTTGAATCTGCCAGCTTCACTTATTCCGGACCTGGCGGCTGGACCTACATTGGACCTGGTGGCTTAACCACTCAGAGCATCGCTGCTGCTACGAATGAGAACGAGCAGAAGAAGATCGGCTCTACAGACAACTCTGCCATCAAAAGCACAACCAAACGGAAGAAGAAATACTACTGTAAGCCTCTCTTGCACATTCACTTTCTTCATCCCATTCCTAATCACACACGGTGTAAAGGCTGCTACGGCCACGGCCAGAACAACACGCACAGCAGTAAACAATGCTTTAGGCGCAAGAAGGCAGCAGCCAATGTCTATCGCCCCGACAACTCGTACGAGAGAGTATGCAACATCCCTACATCCAAGACTTCAGCTTGGAGGCAAAGTTGACAGTTGTGACAGATCCTCCGCCAGGAAGTCCCTGCATCCGCTCAGGAGAAGTTCGTTGCTGTGAAGGCTAAAGACATCAAGAAAGAGATCGATGATGATCAGGTGAGCAACGAAAATGTCATGGCTCGTTACAGCAAGGCAGAGCTGAAGGGGGTCTTCGACAATGTCTTGGCTCATTTCAGCAATGCAGAGCTGAAGGAGATCTCTGGAGAGGTCAAGAAGGAAATGGAACGCCGTGGCATCGATGAGGATGCCTCGATCGGTGTGTACCGCGACCAGTCATCGGGTCCCTGGTGTGTTCTTCAGTAAACCTTCCTGTTGAAGGATAAAGATTGACATGGTGATGAAGAAGAAGAAGAAGAAGAAGAAGAAGAAGAAGAAGGAAACGACGAAATCATTCCTTGCTACTTGTTGCTTTCTGAAGGGTTGAGTATTCCTTTTCATGTCTATACTTTGCTTGTCAGAGCCCCAGACGCTATTCATACTCATCATCAGCCCCCTGACAGATCCATAGCTCAAGAACCATGTTTGCCTTGAGGCTTCCTTATCATGAAGTAATTCGTCACGGGCTCGACACCTCCAAACTCAGAGTAATCCACTGTGTGCGGCTCAACAACCTCGAAACCATGGTTCTGATACAGTTTGGCACCTGCTACAGAAGAAGTCACATACGTCTTCAATCCATGCGCATCAGCCACTTCGAGGCCAACTTTCAGAAGCATTGCGCCTATACCTCGGCGTTGATATTCTGGTGCAGTGGCCAGGTAATCCAGCTCNNTGCTCTCAGATGCATTGTTAGCTGAGTCTCCAGCTTGAGGTCAAGAGGAACAAGATCATGTATGCATACCTAGAAATGGACCGCTCTCACGAATCTTTGCATCTATTTNTTCAAGAGGCGTACTGCGATACTGAAGCAAATCCATCCTTAACCCTCGATCCGTAACATCCTTGAACATCTTCTCGAAAGCTGCCTTGTCCTCTTCTGTGGGTTCTTGGACTTGAGCTTCTGGCCATACCACTGGGTCTGCGGAAGCAAGGTGTTCTGGCAGTATCCATCTAGCATAAGCAACAGCTTCACCTGTGGTAGTGTCGATGGCGATCTGATGGCGTTTGGAAGCTCGTCCGTCGATGAGGTTCCAAGGTAATCGTTGTGCAGTCTCGGAAGTTACTCTGGAACATGAGATATCGGATCTGAAGAGAGCTACCCAGTGTGGATCTGCCCAGCGGGCTGAAACCATAGCGTTTGCAATGGAGGGAGCAAGGGTGGCATCGGCTGTGGTGATGGAGATAGACATGGTAGTGTCGCTGTCGGATACAGAGTCGCATGCACCTTATAGAACGTTGAACTCACCTCACAAGCTGGTTGTTAGGTATACGAAGGATCTTATCTCTTTGAACATCGTTCAGAATACAGGAATGCTGGTGCCTACTCGTACTTCAAGCAGATTGCTCTATCGCAAGACGTTGCGGGGAATGAGATGAACTCGGGAGTGGCGCTACCACCTTCCTGAAAGAGACGTGGAATGGTGAGAGCAGAAACTGATCGCAACCCAAGTGATGATTGCAGAGATAGACAGAACTTACAACAGCAACGAGTCATGATCAAGAAGACCAGATATCGAAATGGTCCTGGAGGACTTGAATAGATCCATCCACCAAAGCATCTTATCTGATCTTAGCTATACACCTCGTTCCCACCGACTGTACGAAAGACCATCTACAATTTAGGTCCCTGCCTCTTCTTCACCCACTCCTCAACCGCCTTGACCCCCGCCATCGCAACCTCCTCATCCTGCTTCGGCGTCCCCGTACTAACACCCACAGCACCAACAACCTGTCCCTCCACAACAATAGGCACACCACCCCCAATCAACATAAACCTACCACCATTAGAGTTGTGGATCCCATACGCCGGTCCTCCAGGCAAGAAATTGGGATTCTTGTATGCAGAGGTGGGTTGTTTGTGGCCTGCTGCGGTAAAGGCTTTGTCGATGGAAATGTTGATGGAAGTTAGTTTTGCGGTGGGTTGGCGCACAAAGTGCAAAAGGTTTAGTGTGGCATCTACAATGGCAATGTTGAAGTCTGTGCGAGGAGAAAGGGTTAGTGTGAGGTCTATATCGTGCTCAGAAAACGACACACCAATGCCTATTTCCTGTGCCTTTTTCTGAGCTGCTGCCGAGGCTATCTCGGCTGCGCGCAGGCTGAGGACAGGCAGCGAACGCGTTGCTGAATCTGAAGACGACATTGCGGATTCTTCTGTCTGATTTGAGAATTCGGTTGAGCTGGACTTTGGTATCCAAAATCACGATGGATATGTAATCGTTGATAGCTTCAAGCTATGCAGTCGTTGGAGTCGTCTCCACCCGAGGTTGCGGCTGGTCCTCTGCCCGCTCTGTGCTTGTTCCTCGAATGACTTCATGACTTTCACATGCCTAGGTATCCATTCATCCCTTGCAGGAAACACTGGAGGAAGTCATCAAGCAAGATTGGAAGGACAGGTGTCTGTCCATTTGTACAGCTGGCACCAATACATCCTTGCAAAGTGTCTCGCGAACCATTTGCAGTCAGTCCAGCACGTGGTTCGACATTTGTAAAGGTCTGAGCGCATTTCAACAATTGATACGCGCGAGTACGGAAATGAATACACATGCCGATAACGGCCTAGGGAAAAAAGCTAGAGGACTGAGATGGAGAGTTTAGAGGTCGTGAAAAAGTACACACTCCTGCTCTAGGAGTGTGTTGGTTGTAGTAGATTGTTGGTCTATCTTGAAAAAGAATTAGAATCATTTCCCATGATAACAAAATGCCGTGAGTCTGGGATATTGTTGAATCATCGCCAAACGCCGACGCTAGATGCATGCATAGCACGTTACAGCCAACCCGAGTCTATGTTGAATACCCCCTTAACACATTGCCTCAAGTCTGGCTGACCTGCGCTCCATAAAGAAGTGAGCCGCAGGGTTTGATGCAGATTTTCCCTTCCCAAAGATACCGTAAAACGCCATGCCCAGCTGTAAGCTCCGTTCGCACAGAATCCTACAGTAGGACTTTTAGAAAACAGAAAGAGCCCAACATGAAGTCAATAAATGTCGCGACATGTTTAGAACTTGAGCTCCTTGGGCTGCTCCCAGGTGAAGGTCTGGTCGCTGAAGTGACCGTTCTTGGCAGTACGGTTGTAGATGGGGTTGGTGAGGTTGAGCTCCTTGACAATGACACCGGGACGGAGGTCGAAGTTCTTGCGGATGATCTCGACAAGCTCGTCAGAAGACTTGTCAGAGGTACCGTAGGACTCGACGAAGAGCGAAAGAGGCTCGGCAACACCAATGGCGTAGGAGAGCTGGACGAGACAGCGGCGAGCGAGACCAGCCTTGACCAGGGACTTGGCGATCCAGCGGGAGAGGTAGGCAGCGGAACGGTCGACCTTGGAGTAATCCTTTCCGGAGAAAGCACCACCACCGTGGGCACCCCAACCACCGTAGGTGTCGACAATGATCTTACGGCCAGTAAGACCGGCGTCACCCTGGGGACCACCAATGATGAAGAGGCCTGAGGGCTGGATGTGGTAGACGGTCTTGTCGTCGAGGTACTTGGCGGGGATGACCTTCTTGATGATCTTCTCGAGGATCTCCTTGCGGAGCTGCTCAGTGGTGATGTCGGGGCTGTGCTGGGCGGAAACGACGACGGTGTCGACGCGCTTGGGGATGACGGCACCGCCGTCGTGCTCGTACTCAACGGTGACCTGAGTCTTGGTGTCGGGTCTCAACCAGGGNNGGAGGGAGCCGTCGTTTCTGGCCTGGGTCATGGCAGCGTTGAGCTTGTGGGCGAGCTGGATGGTGAGGGGAAGGAGCTCGGGGGTCTCGTCAGTGGCGTAACCNNTGGAGATGTTGTTAGAGCAAATATGCAGAATACAAGGACAGGAAAACTCACCGAACATGATACCCTGGTCACCAGCACCGAGCTTCTCAAGAGCCTCCTCGTAGTGGAGACCCTGGGCAATGTCGGGCGACTGCTCCTCAATGGCAACGAGGACGTTGCAGGTCTTGTAGTCGAAGCCCTTGTCGGAGCTGTCGTAACCAATGTCCTTGATGGCCTGACGAATGATCTTCTGGTAGTCGAGGCGGGCCTTGGTGGTGATTTCACCGAAGACCATGATCATACCGGTCTTGGTGGCAGTCTCGCAAGCAACCTTGGAGAGGGNGTCCTCCTTCAAGCAGGCATCGAGGACGGCATCCGAGACCTGGTCGGCAATCTTGTCGGGGTGACCCTTTTGGACGTGTCAGTACAGGCGCTGATGAGATGTTGAGAATTGGAAGCTGCGTACCTCACCGACAGACTCGGAGGTGAAGAGGAAGGTGTTACCCTTGACGTTTCCGTTGGCATGGACCATTGTGACGGGAGAGGTGGGGGAGGGGCAGGGAAAAGATGCAGGAGATAGAAGGGAAAGAGAGTGAAGTAGAAAAGTCAATCGTCGGGGGGGACAGATGACTCTTATGGAGGGGGATGGGTTAGGAGAAGAGGGGAGAAAGCGGAATGCGTTGAAAGAAAAGATCACGACCAGTGGAGGGCTGGGGCAGCGATGGGGCTAGAGACAGATTGGATTTTGCGCGTTGCGGCAAGCTTTGCAGAGAACTGCCGACAAAATTCAACATGACGCGATCTGAGGGATGCTTGGCGCAAATTTCCCGCTGCTCGAACAATATCAACCCATTATTTGCATAGCTGCCAAAGAACCACAAAGAACTTCAGCATAACCCAAAATGTCAAAGTACGGCGTGTTAGCCATTGGTCCAGCTGGTGCTGGCAAAACAACCTTCTGCTCGGCCTTGATTGGCCATCTGAAGAACTCGCGCCGTTCATGTTTCTACATCAATCTCGACCCTGCTGCTGAGGAGTTTGTCTACGAGCCTGATCTCGACATCAGAGAACTCATCACCCTCGAAGATGTCATGGAGGAGATGCATCTCGGCCCCAATGGTGGGTTGATCTACTGTTTCGAGTTTCTTCTGGAAAACATGGACTTCATTACCGACCCACTGGAGGAGGTGGGTGAAGAGTACCTCATTATCATCGATATGCCCGGCCAGATTGAGCTGTATACCCATGTGCCCATCCTGCCTACCCTCGTCAAGTCCTTGACTAGAGGCAGTCTGAACGTCAATCTCTGCGCAGCCTATCTGTTGGAAGCCACTTTTGTAGTAGACCGCGCAAAGTTCTTTGCTGGTACCCTGAGTGCCATGAGTGCTATGCTCATGCTCGAGGTCCCTCACGTCAACATCCTGAGCAAGATGGATCTCGTCAAGGGCACTGTCGCAAAGAAAGACCTCAAACGTTTCATTGACCCAGATGTCAGCCTGCTTGACGAAGATCCCACCACCGGCCTGTACTACGACGAAACAAACGACCCGGACGACGTCACCGACTCTCAAAGTGTCATGGCTGGTTCCTCTTTCAATAAGCTGAATCGCGCTGTTGGTCAGCTCATCGATGACTTTGCCATGGTCTCCTTCCTCAAACTCGACGCTCAAGACGAAGACAGTGTTGGCGCTGTGCTCTCATACATCGACGATGCCATTCAATTCCACGAAGCCCAGGAACCCAAGGAGCCCATGGACGAAGCCCAAGACGAAGAGATGGCTGAGATGGGTTGAGAAATGACACAAACACACTTTGCAAAACCTACAACCAACCTGCAAAGCGACCACCAGGCGCATTCAATGCTTCGCACCCGCACACCACCGGGCACTTCACCGGCCTAAGAGCTGTCACATTTCCTACTGTGTCGGCATGCGGCCCTGTTGACAAGCTGCGGAGAATCTGTAAGTCCGTCGAAAGGACTTGAGGCTTGGTACTTTTCGCGGCGGCGATATACTCCGATATGTCTCCGAAACACCGAGAAGTCACGGACTTCAGCTTAAACAATGGAAATTGAGAGCTCAGTCGAACAAGGACAATCGTGGCCAGGAACGAAAACTGCCAAACAACAGAGCCATCATTCTCGTCTGAGAGTACCTTGATCCGCCATCAGTACATATTTGTGCTTATAGATAGCGAATGTAGAACTGTTGACTCATTCTCTGCCTACCAGACAGATCCCCATCTTCTCTCTCGTCTGCATCTGCCTCTTCGCAACCATCCTGTCTGTGGCATTTGCACTATTGAACCTCCCATACTCTTCATCGACGGCATACTATGAGTTCCAAAACGAGCCACGAGAGCTACCTGCCTTGTTGACGTTATAGAATAGCGTTGAACCATAGACTCTCAACGTACTACGAGGGTTACCCGATCTTGCCGATGGTCCACGGATATCAAGTCGTGCTGTCGTCAGCTGAGCCGTAAGTCTTCAGATGCCCAACGAGAGGTGCCTGCTCTTGCCATCAATTTTCAGGTCAGTCGACCGAATAAAAGGCTCGCGTAAATCCAAGATGGCACAGCACAAAGGCGCGATGTAACATCAAATACTGACGGCAAGCGCATTGCAAGTGGACCTCGCTGTTAGACTCGAAGAGGTCGACTTGGTTTCGGATGTGCAACGTTTGAAGGCAGTCTCCTGCAGATTGTTGATGAGAGTTAGAGCCGTGGTCGTGTCGTCCCTGATAACTCACTGGTTTGACGACGAGTTGGCATCTGCAGTACATCACTCATGATATCAACACTTACCTTAACGCAAGTATTGCATGTTTTCCTTCTGGAATCCTGTCCATCATGGTTCTGGGTAGCGGCCCTTGCCGAAAACAAAATCCTCGTGACCAATAGGCATCGCTTTCTTCATATCTCTTGTATAGCACTGATGACAGTCAAAAACCTCAGGTCCGGTCTCATGCTGGGGTTCAGGTGTAGCTTCAGATGAAGACTCGGGCTCCGTCTCTGCTGATGCCAAACGCCGCCACCATGTCCTCGAGCCTCTACGATTCGATGCTCCACAGGAGGCACAGGTTTTGCAGACCGCATCAGCAAAGAGAACTGGAACATGTGTTTTCCACATAAATTCGTCCAACTCCGTTTGAGTACGACGTCCTAACCATTTCCGCATGCATTGACTTTGAGAATTGTTTTTCCACCATATAGCCTGGCGCTCGAGAACTCTCAGCCGATATTCCGGGTCGCTTGCATATTTTGCTGCGTGCGCTCGCAGCTTTCTCTGAAGCACAGGATTGGAGTCCTCCATGAGGCGATAGTACCTTTGTGCCGTGGTCAATACATGCTTTGCTAGATGTCAATAATGATACTGAGGCTTACTTTCTGTTCCATTCGTTGTGCTTCTCTCGATCCTTGTAAGCAAAACAGATCGACGTGGAAAGAAAGCTGTTCGACACAGCGAATGAATAGCAACGCTAGGCACATGGTAGGAAGTTTGCCATACAGACGGTAGTACTGAGAACATGGCTATCCGCGCCTCTTCATGCAACTCAGACCGTATTCTTCCTATCCACGAGAGATTGTTGGCGCGAGCGCAGGTTGTAGATTGTGAGATCTGAAGGAGGTGTCGAGTTGCACAAACATGCCAAGCCGGGATGTTTCGGGCCTGTGGGAGTCAGTAACCCTGGCCTTTCATCCACCAACCACGCTTTCTCAACTGCCTGCTCAAGATGACCACTTCATCTATACAGGTGCACTGCACTTCTTGGTGCAAGTCGAGCTGACAGTTTAATCCAATAATACCGCAAACATCCCGCGTAGATACCTGCAGCTCGATCCTCCCCTTCTACATCATCAGAGACCTGGACGTTGACAATGAGGCAAGATCGTAACTTCCATCAGTGTGTTGACCTACTGTCTATAGTAGCGACGCATTTCGAGGTATCGTTCTTTCCCAGTCTGCTGACTACCACTGCTCTGGAAGATAAGAAGAACGTGCGGGGCTTTGACCCAACCGCGCGATGCTGCATCTGATGTACATAGCCAAGGAAGTCTGATTGGAACATGTTTTGTACATGAACTCCCTCTCCCTGCTTTTTTTTTTTGCTGAGCTGCGACACACTCTCCTGCCACTTGCTTGTCTGTCCACGAAACATCATGGCCCCAAATGATGGAATCATAGTAGGCACAACAACACTTTCGCAATCGCAAGAAGAGCAGCATACTGACGCCATGCGAAGACCATGGAGTCGTCGAAGGTGAGATGTATTATCTTATCGCTGGTGACGGCAGATATGCTGATCCAATCAGCTATACTGGAACTCTCACTTTCAACATTTGCGCCTTCATACTACCTGCTCTCTATGGAACACTTAGCAAGCTTTGGGTCGCTAACATCGATTCATCCATGGTTGTGACTACTGATGTCTACACCTATATCGGCGTGGTTGCCGAGGTCATCAACGAAGGTCTCCCTCGTGCCTCGTGGTTGATCATCGGAGATCGAGCAAACAGATCCATCTCTGCAAGATACAGTTTGTCATTCACCCTGATCATCGTCCAAAGCATCCTGGGGTTGATCATGTCAATCGCATTCGTCGGCGCAGCTAAACAATTCGCGAGCGGGTTTGTCCCTGTCGAAGTACGAACAGCTTCTTTGACATATATTCGCATCTCAGCATTCTCGGCTCTGTCGTCTGCCATTGAAACAGCTGTTTCCACCAGCACCCGAGCTCTCGACAAACCTGATGTACCTTTGATCATATCGACAGTCAAGTTCCTCATCAACATCATTCTTGATCTCCTGATTATCTCCAAAGTTCATGTGGGCAACTTTACGCCTACAGTCAATATGCAGGCTGCTACACAGCTGGCATGCAACATGGCTGCTTCCTTCGTTGGTCTGGCCTACTTCTGCTTGGTCACTTTCAGAAAGGATCAGCGGCGGTTTGTGACATATCAGCCTGAGTCAGTCCGACCAAGCCTTAGATGCCTGGTCACGCTGGCGAGACCTGGTGTCTTGACGTTTGCTGAGTCTGCCATTCGCAATGCCCTATATTTGTGGCTGGTCAACGGCATTGTGGCCATGGGCTCAGATTATGCGACAGCCTGGGGCGTCTTTTCCTCAATCAGATGGGGGCTCATTATGGTACCGGTAAGCAATAGGGTCCACATTGTCGTGGTCTTCTGTTTCTGTGCTGACTGTACATCTACTCCANNGGTCCAAGCGCTCGAGGCAACCACATTGGCATTCATCGGCCACCTCTGCAGCGAATGGAGAAAAGAAACCGGTGACGAAAGGAAGCCTAGAGCATCACGACGCCAATTATACCACATAATCCGGCCAGCACTATTATCCTGCCTCATCGCATTAGCCGTCGAAATACCTCTCTGCATCTTCATGTCCGAATACGGTGCCCTTCGCTTCGCCTTCTACCTCTCCGAATCCCACACCGTCTCTCAGATCACCGCAAAAATGTGGAGAACAATTGATTGGTGCTACATCTTCTACGCTCTGTCTACACAACTAGCGGCAATTTTACTCGCTACCCGACCCCGGTGGTATCTATACCAGAGTCTGATCTCAAACCTTTTGTGGGTTCTGCCATGGGCTATTGTGGTAAGCAAGGCAGATATTACACCTAATGATGCTTGGACGTATCACTCGATTGTCTTTGGTGGCTCTCTTGTTTTCAGCTTNTTTGATGTTTTGATTGTGGATCTTGTGTGGGTGTGGGCATTGCTGAGAGCAAAGATGCGTTTGCCCAAGATATATTGAGGAGAGTTACTTCCGTCTCATGTTGCTACAAAGACTATCGTACTTTGAACTGGATCAAGGCTGCTACAATGGCATACAGTGATATCGTAAGAGAGGACCAACAAGATCTAAATTCTTGGTGAACCTTGCTTCTCTTTTAACAATATCGTGCTTGTTCATGGCTGTGATATGACAGTCTTCAGCTCTCGGGAAGAACATGGATACACCCAATGCACGCCTTGATTCCTGGCTGCTCTACGTTCTCCCTTCACTCCGAAAATCACAACGAAGACTGGAGAGACTATGTACATAAACTGCATGGAAAGCTGCAGGGTAGACTAGACAGAAGGTCAAGTAATGGATGTGCATCGATGTGCAAGGAACTGTATTGAGAAGAATATGGCGAAGGAAGATTTAGAAGATAAGAACAATGATGTTTAAGATGTGAATGTTTGCAACGCTTGCTGGTGTCTAGTCCACTCAAACGTAGACATACTCGATAGTGCAGCCAGCGTCATCAGTTGTAGGGAGAGCAGTCTCGGCAGTAGCGGTCGAAGAGACGACTGAGGCGACGCTCGAGGTGGGCTTAGTCATCGTCTGCAAAGTAGTGGGTACAGCGCTAGCGGAGCTCTTGATAGTGGTGGCAGCAGAAGAAGAAGCCTTGGAAGAGGTGGCCTGGGTTGTTGGTGCGACGATAGGAGCCTTGGAAGAGACGGCAGTGGCAGAAGAGGCAGCAGGAGCAGAGGAAGCCTTAGCAGGGGCATCACCACCAGAAGCAGAGATCGAAGTAGTCAACTCGCCGTCTTCGATGTAGACGCTGCTGAAGAACCAATCCTCCTTGGTCTTGGAGAACTTGAGCACACCAACGTGCCAATCAGCACCGTTGGAGCTGACAGAGGCCTTCATAGGACCAGCCTTGGACACCAACTTATCAGCGCCAGTGGAGTGATAGAACTCAACGGTGCTGGCATCGAAGTCAATACCATAGGCGACATTGTGCCAAACATCAGCTTCGAAGTCCATGTCGAATTGAGCCTTGCCATCGGCCATCCACTGCAGCTTTCCGTCGCTGCCATCAAGACCGTACTTGAGTTCGGTGAAGTGGGACTCGAAGAAGCCGATTTGGTGCTCGGCAGTGGTGTCGGGAGCATTCTCGGTGCCACGCTTGAGACTGAAGTGGTAGTATTTCTTGCCCTTGTTGATAGCGGCCTTGGTGGAAGGNNGAATGAGCTCGGTACGCATCATGGTCTGGCCGTTCCATGAGGAGGTACCATCGACGGTAATGCGGGCACCATCCGAGGATGAGGAGTCGGCAAGGTTGGCATAGTCAGGGCTGATATTGATGTAGTCGGCGGTCGCACCAGATCCGTGGATGTAGTATTGGTAGGCGCCAACCTGGTTGTTCCATGACCAGTCACCGATTTCTGCGGCAGACTTGTCGGTGAAGCGACCATCCCAGACGATTTCGGCCATGCTGGATCCTGCCAGCAAGGCGGTGGTGAGAGCGATAGAGTTGAAGTACATCCTGAATTTTGTTGTTACGCTTGATAAATGAATGGCAGTACGAGGTCAACTCGTTGTAGTCGGAAAGCGAAAAAGAATAAAAAGAGCAGGAGAATGTTTCGATGATCAAGGCTTGCTTAAGAAAGAAGAAGGAGCGAAGAGCTACACAGCGCGAGGTAGTAGCTTATATCGTTCGGCAAAACAACTTACAGTGCTTATAGTTCAATCTATTTGCCGGCTAGACTGTGGCTTTATTCAAGCCAAGAGGTTAGACATCTCTAGATTCTCTCACAGTACGAGATGAAAAGGATTCATAGCAAGCGTTTAGCGATGTTGAAAGAAACTCATGCCTCGCCCCGCAATGGTTTCGCCTCAGATTGATTGCTAGCGCACAGCAAAGAAGACGACATGGTTCGAGAACCATCACTCATACCAGTGCATTCTACAGATTGCAACACCATAAGCGCAGGATAAAGGACTTGTTGGAATCCAGGAGGTCGAGATGCTCTGTGATGGAGTTGAGAGACAGCAGGTTGAAGACATGAGGTTTGTGGTGGTGATATTCGCCAAGACCTGGATGCTGCAATCTGAAACTCGACAGCAGAGCCGAGCAAGAACAGACTCTGCACTCTGCAAGCGAGATTCGACAACAATCAGGACGAAAAGGAACCCGGGGATGCATCCATTCACTGTTACGATTCGACAAAGAAGACTATTCGGAGAGACAGAAGAGCAGAATAGTAGGTAGCCAAATGCCGGCAAAAGTCCGGTGAATCTCAACAGGCTGGGTCCTCTCTGAGCGATAGGATCAACCAACCGGTCAACAACGACACATGGGTCAGGGAGACAAAAGTCATGGAGCGAGTTGTGAGCGACTTGCTTGATGAGATGTCAGACGCGCTCCTTTGCTATCATAGAACAACGTGTTCTTTGTCAGCGGCGGCCTGCTGTAATCCTTCCGCGACTGAATAAGTCTCCGCGTTATGTGTCCGAAAAGTCTTGATTGGCCAGCGTGTTGCATACCACACTCGGAGGTCACCAGGCAGATCCTGATGGCTTATTACCTCGTAGGTTGCGATATAAATACTGGACCTTTACATCGCTCTTTCATTCTTTATGTTTCGCATCTTCGTTTCAATACTTAGATCTTGTTCTCGTTCACCGTTACCCGTCAGCCATCAAATCAAGATGTCTTCCTCTACCACCACCAACAATACGCCCGGTTTCAACGTGAAAGCTTCCGATTGGGACAAGACTTCTGGATCCTATACTCAGCTCGCCTCTAAAGGCAGTCCTATGTCGATACCTATCACAAGATTGGTCGAAATGCTACATACCTCCTCACCTTTTGACTCCGCAACGACCATCCTTGACATAGGCTGTGGACCGGGTAGCGCAACGGCTCAATTGATCTCAACCCATCACACGGCTATTCCAGCGAGCACTCAGCTCTTGGCCACTGACTTCAGCAGTGGAATGGTCAACGTCACGTCCCAAGTACGTGCCTCCAAGCTCGAAGCACTGCAAGAAGGCACAGAAAAAAGCACTTGGGCCAGAGTTGTTCCTTTGGTGCTAGATGCCACAGACCTGCGCCCTCTGCTCACCGAATCGATCTCACACATCATCGCCAATTTTGTATTGTTCATGACTGAGGACCCAGCGAAGGCGTTGGAAGAGGCTCATCGTGTGTTGAAGAGCGACGGGGTTGCAGCTTGCTCTTCCTGGAGCAGGATGGATTGGATAGAGAACCTTGCCCTTGCTGCCTCGCGCACATTCCCAACCCTCGGCAAAGCCCTCCCACAGTTGCCAATGATGCCTGCTCAGTGGACCAGTGTCGAGGGTGTCAGGGACCTGTTCACCGACGCTGGGTTCAGAGATATACACACCGAGTATGTCGAGGCGCCTATGGTGCTGCCTAGTGTAGAGGGATTTGCACACCAGTTCCTTACTAGCGGCAACCCTGCCGTTACTTGGGTTACAGATGTTTTGGACGAGACGGAGGTCGATCAACTCGAAAAACAGTTGGTGCAGGTTATCAAGGAGAAGTGCGAGGCAAACGACAAGGGCGGTCACATCCTTAACGGTACTGCTGTTCTTGCTAGCGGTCGCAAGTAGTGGTTCTATCAGGATAGTACAATGATCACTTTTTCTCTAATAATCAAGACTCATTCCCATAGCTGGAGGTATCTCAAAGGGTTGATCCATTAACAAAATCACAAACGCTGCACGAAAATGTTGGTCTTGAAGAAAGACAATACATTGTCTACAAGCAATGAAAGCCTTTGTCGAGAGAGCTTGTGTTGCGCGATACGATACGATACATGAGCGCAGAACATGTGAGCAAAATGAAGGCAAAAAGGGGGACGAGGCGAATCGAACCCACACCCTAGGCCAAAAACTGAGATCGCTGGGCGACTGTTCCCCTGCACCAAGGTGATTGCAGACACCGCAGGGCGGGAGATCACATGCAGGGCTTCAATTGGCTCGCTCTCTCAGTTGGAAATTGAGCAATGCTGCGTGGTATATAAAGCTTAGGATTACGGACACGTTAGCCGCCAACAACAAACGTAGACTCTCGATACATTTAAGTTTTCGTCCATTACCAACCCGTGAGTGACCCTAGAGTCCATTCCACCATCTCGTCTTTTGCACTTCGAAAGTGTCCTCAACAGCACTCTTGCTGGCAGCACTGCTCTCCGAAACAATGGCCTTGTACTTGCCCTTTTCAGAGACCCATGCGTTTCTGCTCTCGTCCCAGAAACTTGTTGCGTATTTGAGTGCAACTTTGAGCTCGACAGTCTTTTCTTGGCCAGCTTCAAGGAGCACCTTGGCAAAGGCCTTGAGTTCTTTCGTTGGTCGGCGAATAGATGGCGAGAGTGGTGAGATGTACAGTTGAGCCACTTGTGCTCCTGCGACTTTGCCAGTATTCTTCACTGTGACCTTGGCAATGAGATCGCCTTCGCTGTCTGAAGGTGTCTCAAGCTTAAGATCTGAGAAGCTGAATGATGAGTAGGATAGTCCATGGCCGAAGGGGAATGCCACAGGGCGACCAAGAGTATCGTAGTAGCGGTAGCCGACGTATACATCCTCACCATACAACACTCTGCCAGCTTCGGAGCGGTAGTTGAGGAATGCAGGGTTGTCTTCGTTTCTGATGGGGAATGACAAGGATGTTTTGCCGCAGGGGTTGACATCACCGAATACAACATCTGCGATGCCGTTGCCAGTCTCATTGCCGCCATACCAAGCTTGAAGCAAAGCTGGCACTTTGTCCAGCCAGGGCATCTCCACTGGTGTACCACTCTGAATGACAACTGCTGTACGAGGGTTGGCCTCTGCAACTGCGGAGATCAGGCGATCCAAGTGGCCTGGCAGCTTCATGTCAGGTCTGTCAAAGCCTTCGCTCTCCCAGTCCATGTTCAGACCTGCGCAAACCAAAACTTGGTCGGCAGACTTTGCGAGCTCAGCAGCACGGCGGACTTCTTCGTCGGCGTCGATCTTCCAAGCTCCTCCAATACGAACTGCACCACCGCCGAAATCTACAGTGCCGCCAGTCAACTTGCTGGTCGGTGCACTGCCGAACTCGAGGCGAACTTTGTAGGTCTGTCCTTTCTTCATAGGCACAGCACAGATATCTTCTTCAGTGCCGAGGCCGAAGAATGCAGAACCTTGGCGTTGGTTCTCCGTGACATCGAGTACGAGTTCATCATTGACGAAGATCTTTGCCGATCCGTACACACAAACACCGAGCTCGTATTCACCGTCGCGGTCAGCGGTGTAGTATGCCTCGATGTCGGCATACCAGAGTCCAGAATTGAGCTTTGGGTTCTTGTAATCCATGAACATCATCGAAGTGTTGGTAAAAGGACCCAATACATCAACACATTTGCGATCGTTCGCCTCCGGAGGCTCGTTATATGCTTTGAAGAGTACACCATGTTCGCCGTTCTCGTCGGCAGTTGTTCTCCAATCGATGCCCAAGCTAGGCAGTTCTTTGTGAGAGTATGCGCCAATGCTGAAGTCGACATTCTTCTCGCCAATTTTGTTGACGATTCCTTCATAAGGTGTTACAGCGTAGTATGGACGAAGAGAGGCTGAACCTCCACCACAGTATGTGGCAGCCTTCGCATTGGGTCCGATGACCAGGATCTTCTTGTCTTTCTTCAGTGGCAAGATGTCACCCTCGTTCTTCATCAGAACAATCGACTCAGCGGCAAGTCTTCGCAGCAGTTTCGACGTTTCAGGTGTGTCGACAGTCGTCTCCTCAGCATTCTCCTTCACACCTGATGCAGCGCATTCGTTTACCAGCTCCAGTACTTGTCTTGCTCTGTCGTCAATCACACCAGCAGGAATCTTGTTGGCAGTCGCCGCGTGAACCAGAGCGTCTCCTCTGAAACGAGTGGGGCCAGGCATCTCCAGGTCCAGACCAGCGATAACAGACTTGGATGTTGAGTACACTCCAAACCAATCACTCATCACCAATCNCTTCCAACCCCACTCCCCTCTCAAGATATCCTTTAGTATTCCTGTGTTCTCACTGACGTGTGTGCCATTGATCTTGTTGTAAGCAGTCATGAAGGATTTGGGATAAGCATCTCTGACTGCCAACTGGAATGGCATGAGATAGATCTCTCTCAGTGCACGTTCTGTGACAATCGAGTCCACTCTGTTACGTTCATGTTCCTGGTCATTGCCAACGAAATGCTTGATCGTGGCCACAACGCCATTCTCTTGCATTCCTCTGACCAGAGCTGCGGATCCTAAGCCAGCCAAGAAGGGATCTTCGCCAATGGATTCAAAGCCGCGTCCGCCGAGAGGAGAGCGCTGCATGTTGATGGTAGGTCCGAGAATTACATGGGCGCCTTTGGCAACTGCTTCTTTACCCATCAGACGCCCAGCTTCCTCGAGAAGTTCGGTGTCGAAGGTTGCGCCTAGGGCTGTACCGCAGGGNNGGAAACAAGCTGCTGGCACACCATTGAAGAAGCGAGTGCCACGAACGCCATTGGGACCATCAGAAAGTCGTAGAGATGGGATACCATGCTTGGGTATGGGCTGTGTATGCCAGAAGTCGATACCNNTGAGAACTGTGGTCAGAGATACGATAGATTGGTATCAAGCTGTTGATGACGATGGAGTACCTGCGAGCAATGATATCTTTTCTCTTTCGGTCAGCTTCGAAAGCACGTCTTCTACATCTATGGAAGCCATGATCTGTCTCTAACAAAAGCACGTGGATATCAACAAACAACGAAAATAGCAAATGTAACCAAGGGAAGTGGTGACACGACAGGCAGAAACGACGTTCTTATACGGCAAAGTGGAAACGCCATCTGATCAATCAAGCAGGTGTCATTTGTATCGAAACCAGCCAAGAGCAAGCCAAAAGGCAGACAACCACACCAACCGTTAGCTCCACACTTTCCGCGGCGGAATCTCTGTTTTCAGACACTCTTGCTTCCAGAAACAGCACGCGATGGGAAGTGACCAAGACTCTGCACGGTTGTTGTTGCGGGATTGCGGCCCTGCTTTCCGACCGAGGCTTTGCCGCCCAAAATACGGCGTTCTTCCCGGCTAAATCCAACGACGACCCCTCATTTTTCCTGCCACCATCATTATGCCTTGCTCGTCAAGGAGATTCATGCTCCAGGATTGCTGTCAAGTCTTTGCAACCGAGCCGAGTGATTGATATCTCGCGAATTCTGACCGCGTCTCTGACTCCGATAGCAAACACGAGGGCTCGGGATTTCGAAGAGCAACCATTTATCTGCCCCACCTTACAAGCATCAAACAAGTCCGAAGTTAGGCTCCGGCAGGATTGGTATTGGCAACAGGATCGATGATCACTGAGCAATGCAATCGCATTGAGGACCTCGTTGTTCAGTTAGACTACAAACATCTATCTATCATCTTCTCTCCGTCGATAAGAACGCTTACACGACCGTCAAAGTAGCATTAGCACGGAAATCAGCCGAACTGCTACCAACAAAAATAGTAAAGTTTCCGGGCTCGACCACATACTTCATACTCTTGTTCCACAAACCAATATCAGCCACGTTCAATGGAATACTGACTTGAGCCGTCTCGCCAGCCTTGATAAACACCTTTTCGAACCCTTTGAGTTGGATGTTGGGTACTGCGACACTAGCGACTTGATCCTTGACATAGAGCTGGATGACTTCAGCGCCATCGTAAGTGCCATTATTGGTGACTGAGACTGTAGCGGTAATGTTGTCGGTAGCTGAGACTTGCGAGGAGGAAAGCGTCACATTGCCATAGTCGAATGTGGTGTAGGAGAGGCCGTAGCCGAAGGGGAACCAAGGGACAGGTGTGTTCAGAATGTAGTTGGAGCCAAAGTAGAGATTTCCGTCTCCACCAATATAGCCAGGAGCTGTAGGCCTTCCACTGTTCAAGAAGTCGTAGTAGGCCGGTAGGGTACCGACGTCGTGAGGGAAGCTAACGGATAGTTTGCCTGATGGGTTGACTTTGCCGAACAAGATGTCTGCCAGGGCGTTGCCACCTTCCTCGCCAGGATAGAATTGTTGGACAAGACTGGCTGTGGTGTTCGAGATCCAATCTTCTGTGATAGGTTTGCCTGAGGAGAAGACAACTACAGTGGGTTTGCCGGTATCGATGACGGCCTTGACAAGGGCTCTTTGTGCGCCGACAAGACCAAGATCGCTGTCCAAAATCAGTATAAGTTTCATCAACTAGGTTTTGGTAACATACCTCTCATCAACATGCTCTCCAGTAGTGGCATTAAAACCAGCCCACAACTCCTTCTGGTCTCTGGACCAAGTGCCAACAATGACGACGGCCACGTCTGCATTTTTAGCAGTGTCAACAGCCTCGGGAATACCAGACTCGTCAGTCGACCATCTCTCACAGCCTAGAGCATAGGTCACAGTTGCATTGGCCGAAGGACCAACAGCATTTTGAATGCCCTCAAGATACTGCACTCCNNCCCTGTACTGAGACTGGTAAACGACATAATCGCCATAGTTCATGAAGCCAGAAGCCATAGGGCCGATAACGGCAATCTTGTCGGTCTTGCTGAGCGGAAGCGTCTTGTTGGGGTTTTGCAGAAGCACGATTGACTCTGCGTCCAGGTCACGGGCAAGCTTCTTCGCAGCGGCATTGTTTATGATGCTGTTCCATTGCTCTTTGGGTACAGCAGGGTTAGGGTTCTCGAACAGGCCCATTTGGAACTTGACTCTCAAGACTCTGGCGACGGCCTCATTGACAACGCTGATGTCGATTGTGTTGTTGCTGACGAGTTCAGGGATGGAGCGGTAGTTGAAGGAGCCCCCTCCCANTCTAGACAATATGTCAACATAGATTCGTCAATGAGAAAAGCCACCGCTTACCTCGACGTCGTTTCCAGCAGTCAGACATTGCTCAGTAACACATCCATAGTCATTGACACCACAAGTCAAGAAGTTCTTAAACAGGCGATCTGTAGCACCAGCGTCACTCGAGACAAAGTACTTGTACCCNNTATCAAAGAGGTCAGCAAGTCAAAGCCATGATATTCTGCCTCTCAACTTACCCCATTCGTCTCGCAGAATCTCAGTCAACATGTGGTAGTCAGCCACAGCCGGTATGCCATCATAAGCATGATACGCAGACATGATGGCATAAGCACCACCATCAATGATAGCTCTGTGGAAAGAAGGCAGCCAAGTTGTACGCAACTCACGCTCACCACCATGAACAGGTGCAGTATTGAGTCCTCCTTCTGGGTCAGAGTAAGCAGCAAAATGCTTAACCATAGAAGAGACATTCTGTCCCTGGCAACCAATGATATAGTTATAGGCCATCTCGCCAGCCAGATATCCATCCTCGCCATAAGTCTCTTCCACACGACCATAGCGCAGTTCGCGTGCCAGATCAGCCAGAGGAGCAAACAGCTGAGTAACTCCTAAAGCAGCGGCTTCAAGTGCAATCTGCTCACCCATCTGGCGTTGCAACTCGCGATTGAACGAGCAGGCTTGAGCGATCGGCGAGTTGAAGATTGTGGCATTTTCGATCAAGAAGCCGTGAATACCCTCAGTCTGGACAATTGCTGGGATACCAAGGCGAGTATTGTTAACTGCGTAGTCCTGGCCGACTTTGATGCCTTCGGCTAGCCAGTCCCAGCTGATTGGGTAGCCAACATAGAACATGCCGGAACGATTTGCAAAATTAAATTCGAGGCCTGTTTGGTTGTACTCTCCAGAAGTTGTATTGAGCCAGTTTGAGATGTCACNCTAGGAGAGGCGGTCAGCAAGTTCATAGAAAGAGTGTATCTGATATTGCATACCTTGCATCAACTGCGCCATCTTCTCCTCCAGAGTCATCAGAGACAAGAGGTTCTCGACCCTAGCATCAACAGATTGAGATGCATCTTTATAGATAGCATTAGCCAACGAGATATTCGAATGTGCTTGAGCAAGACCCAGACCAGCCAACGCTAGGCCAGTGACACAGAAGCGAACCATGATTACAGACACGATACTCTCTGCCAGAGAAAAGACACAACACAAAGCAGAAGAGGCAGACAAACAAGCTTATACTCCAACCTACTTCTACCTCACAGAATCCTTTGACCGTGATCGCTTAGAAGCATACCAAATACCAAGTCCCAAGGTCATCATGCATTGCTGATCTCTCATACAGGCTAATTTGTGAGGGAAGACAATCCTGTTCTTCAAAGCATGCAAAGAAAGAGGCTTTTGCTGGTCGACGGAAAAATTATTCTGTCAGAGGATTGTGAGGAGATAAGAGGTGAAGATCCCCGCATTGAATCACTTCATGCTGCCCCGCCTTCTGCTGCGATGCAAAAGGCCGTCTCTTGGTGAGGTGAGTTAGCCCTAACACACATATCGATCGAACATTTGCTCATCACTTCGCTGGCACAAGGTGGCTGGTGCGGTCTTCCTATGTAGAGCTTCGTGAAAAGACGACAATACGAGACGTTTGCTTGGAAGTACAATGGAGTCTGCAGTCTTTATCCTTACCTCGGCATGTATTGAACCGAAGCTCTCGCTCCGACATTGAAGTCGATCACTGCGGATTTGGGCATATCATGTGTTATGCTAAAACACGAGGTGTTGGACATTAGCTAGTATTTCGACTAGTGAAGTTGATAACAACTAGGTAGAAGAGTACGCTATGAAAGAACGATTCCAACGAAGCCAGCCCAAAGTGCTTCGTATAGAATGCAGAAGGTCGTAAAGAACAAAAGAAAGGAAGAAGACACACGCACGAGGTGGATCAGCCAAATCTGCTCCTGACTCTTCGCATGCCCACACCGCCTATTTCGCTGGCAGCACCCGCTTCGCTGCCAGCGTAACTTGTCGTTCTGCTCATGGGTATAGCAGCACCAATGACACTGGCTGGAGCGGCAGTAAGAGCGTTGCCATTGACTGCAGGTGCTGATGGTGCAGCAGCTGCAGCAGTCGCGGTACCCACACCAGCGCCATTTCTAAGAGCGAAGCGTAGAGAATCAGGGTCTGCAAAGCCGTAGGGAGGAATTCTATTCACACCGCCACTGATGGCGGCAGGCCCGGTCTCAAGAATTGGCAGACGGAAAGGCGCGACGCCATTAGTGGTTTGGCAAGCTTGTTCGAGCAGACGCTCACGTATTTGCTGAATGTTGCTGAGGTTCTCATCTTGTTCGTGGTTCGAGGCTGGCGCATCATCCTCTCTAAGCATGAGCGCGATATCGCTGTCAACTTCGCCAGAGCTTACACCTGGTGGGGTAGGCGCGCCCTTGTCTGTCTTTGTGATGGGGATCAAGACTGGCACGAAGGGATTTGTGGTAGTCGAGGTGAGAGCGGCGGCTTCTGAGAGGGCAGCCAGTGGGTTGGCCCTAGTGGCGCCACGAGTAGCATGATGGGAGATATTGCGCTCCATCTCAGGGGCTTGTGTGGGCGGTGGTGAGGCATTGGGATGGTTTGCGACAATGTCGTCCATCTCAGTGGTGATGGCAGGGGGACCAACTACAGCATCTGCAGCACCGTCGACAGAGGCGAGCGAAGAAGGGTTGTCGGTGTTCTGCTGGTTGTTTTGAGGTTGGTGGAAGAAGTGGTGGGTCGCGAGTTGAGCAACAACAGTGGCATGGTTCAGCTCTTTCTCAGTGAACAGACGGTCGATTGAGAAGGCGGGTGCCTCGTATTGTGTGTAGAGAGTCTTTGTGCGAGCTTCATGGAAGGGNNGCGAGGCGCCGCCATTGCTGTCGTTCTGCAGGGGACGGAAGGACGGTGCTGGCGAGTCGGCGGCTTCCTCATCGGCCGGCGCCTTGCGTTTTCTCTGGCCCTCTACGTCGGCCTCTCCAACACGATGACGGGTGTGACGAGTTTTGCGGTTGCTTTGAAGGCCGCCGGGACTCTGAGGGATGTTGACGGTGAACTGGCTGGGGTGGAAGAACAAGGCAGAATTGTCTGCAATATCGAGCTGCTCTTTTTCGCGCAACAGCTTGTCGCGCTTCTTCGTGACGCTGTTGATCAGACGGCTGCGAACGGTAGTCGCCAGCTCGAGATGCTCGCGTTGGGCAACCTGGACCTTGTAACTCGAGCTCTTTTCTAGTTCGGCGACGGCGGCTTCGTAACGGTTCTGNNCTTGTGTCAGTCTTTGGGAGCGTCGCGGTCGCAAAGTAGAGTCTCGTACTTGTAAAGCTGTCAGATCAGCGTCGCGCTGCTCTAGAGCATGGTTGATCTGTTGGACGTATTCATGGTATCTCTTGCCAGCCAAAGCAAGGTAGTCCTTGACAGCAGCGTCCGTGTTTGGCAAGCTGCCGCCCGTGACATTTTCAATCTCTCGCTCAACATCTTCGGCTGAATCGTCGAGTGGACTGTTCTCGTAAGGCTTTGCTCTCAGGATCATGGTCATGTCGACCTGGATCGCCTGCAGCTGGGCACGGTAATGCTGGTGCTGGTCTTGGGTGAAGGTCTGGATCATGTCCGAGAGCTTGTCGGTGATGTTGTTGCGTCTTTTGTCTCTTTTGGACAAGGGTTGCGGCGGCGGTGATGGCGATACTCGGCGGTCGAGCGCCATTGGTGAGGTGTGTGCCATGGTATCTGCGTGTCTGTTGTGTTGGTGACAAAGTTGCAACTTTCATCGCTCGTCATGAGCAAAGCCATTTTGAGATCGCAATGCTCCAAATCTGGGGACGACCGAGCACAGACTGCCCGTCGGTCATCTCTCGGCCCGACTGCCGACCGACACCTGTTGCCCTTGATGCTGCCTCTCTCTCTCTCCCTCTCTGCTTCATGCTCTCGTCAGCACAATCACAAAGGAGCACATATTAGAGGAAGCCAGTTTTTTTACATAACTCATGACAACTTTTTTTGTCTATCTAAGTGTTTTTGTCGTTATTCATGTTTCTTCATAATCCTGCTCCTTCTTGTTCCTGAATGCTTTTGTCTTTCCTTCCATGAGAACCCTGATTAAAACTCCTTCGCTAATGTATGCTGAAACTGATGCATGCTGAAACAATCAAAGAAAAACAAAAAAAAACAAAAAAAAAGAGCTCATCCTGCTGCTCAGAATGGCAATGCTGGAACGTTTCGTATGCCAAAACTTGGAGGACTTCAGTCATCCTGGATGAAGCCAGTTGAGAATTTAATCAAGGAGTTGAACTTTTCGTAGCCCAAAACACGGTCCTTTCCTGCGACAACACCCTCGCCTCCAGCAGCCAACAGCATCTGACGAGGGACGAGTTTGTACTCGCCATTGACATCGCGGATCAATTGCGTCTTTTGAGGCTTAGCCAGCTCAGCATCGATCTTGAACTTTGCGCCAGTACGTGTCTGCTTGGATCTGGGGTCTTGGTACTGAGGCAAGACAGTTGTGCGACGCTCACGATGCTCGAGGATGTCGACGTCAATGGTGTCGAGAGCAATCATGCGATAAACTTGAATAAGCCTGTTCTGACCCGGGCGACGAACACGTCCGAGGGCCTGAGCCATCTGTGCCTCGTACTCGTACTGAGTTTGCTTGAGCAAGGGACTGAAAAAGATGACATGGTTGGCACACGTCAAATTAGCCCCTGCAGCAGTCACGTCGTTCGAATTCAAGATCAAGACCGTGGGCAACTTCTCATTCTTCTCTTGGACCTCCTTGTTGGTCTCCTTGTCATTCTTCTCTTGGACCTTCTTGTTGGTCTCCTTGTCATTCTTCTTGCTCTTGCTGCCCTTCTTGGCCTTCTCGGCCTTCTTGGTCCCATAGATACCAGTAAAAGCCCCGAAGAGGTCATCCTTAACCTTTCGTGGATCGTGATAGCTGATCTCGGCAGCAACAAGAATTTCGATCATGTCATCAATCTGAAGATCGAACTGCACGAACAAGATTGCTTGCTCTCCTTGAGCGGCAATTCTGTTGAGAAGGGTTGTGAGCTCATCCGCCTTGTTGCCATAATTGCTGGCAACCGACTTTCCAAGCTTGCCGAGATCAAGAAGATGATAGGATCTGACATCCTTCTTGCATCCTTGAGCGAGACAAGTGCCGAGTCGGTGCCTGCTAATCTCGACGCAGTCTGAACACAAGACGTGGCCGCAGTTGGCCGAGAGATGGAGGTCAGCCTTGTTTTCACAGCCGTCACCATCGCAGGTTAGGCCATGTGAGGAGCCCTGGCCGCGCTTTTCATGCTTGAGAGCATTCTTGGCAAAACGAAGTGCTCTTGTCGAAGTGGCGTAGGCTTTGGCATCACTGCTGACCGCACCAATCTTCTTCTTGGCGTCCTCTGGGCCTGTTGATTCTTCTTGGTCGAGAGCATCGTCCTCCTCCTCCCCACTGTCGACTTGTTCTAGCTTTCGCTTTTTCCCAGATTTGCGTGCGTCCAAGAACTGCTGGGTGATCGCATCTATCATTCTCTCTATCTCGTCAACAACAGCTTCATCATTGAGAGCATTGGTCGTCGCAATATCCTTGACCCAGGTGGAGAATAACTTGATGCTGCTGGGAATCTTTTCAACACAGATTTTAATGCTTTGTTGAAGGGATTCTCGGACCCCCGCATGATCCTTTCCAAACTGCTTGACAAGACCTTCAAGTCCTGGAAGGGCGTCCTCCTCGACCTGCCCAGTTGACAGCCGCTTCAAGGGATTGTAGACTGCGGCTATGCATAACAAAGCTTCCTCTGCGGTGGTGACCTTGGGCATGATGCTGAACTCGCCTTCTCTACTCCGGCCCTTACGAATTCGCATATCCTGTGAATTCAACTTCTGTGAGATATTGGTGTAGACCAGGCGATGATCGGCGTTCAAGGTAATGGGAACAAGGTTGTCCACACTGGGATATTGACCAGACCTCATGACATTCTGGCGAACGAACGTGTCGAGGAATTGCTGAGCAAGAGTATGAATCGTCTTCTGTGCAGTGCGTGAAGGCAACTGTCTAAAGGTTTCGAATTCCTCCAGATCTGTCATGTCCTTGCGTAGAGCTGACATGTTCGCATTCGATAAAAGTCCAGGAGCACTAGCTCCGACCGGCAGATTGAGACCAAGGAAACATGCCATTCTCGAGACATCGTACGGGTCCTTCAGTCGAGGCGTGGCGGAAAGAGCCCAACGCTTGTCAGCATTGATGTTGCAGTACATCACGAGTTCGTAAGGTTCCGTGTAAGAGAACTCGTCGACGACTAAACGGTTGAAGCGGAACATTTCAAGAAGCACGCATGTCTCAATGTCTTTGCGATATTGGAACACATCGAAATCCTCTGACGCAGTATTGGAGACGTTTGCGGTTTTCTTCTTCTTGTTGGCATACGCCTTTCCCTTCAGTCGCTTTGACTCTTCCGCATACTGACGATACTTGGGATCTTTCAGAATCTCGCTGTACGCCTCCTGAAGGTGGGTTTGCAGTTTGCCAAAGTTTCCATTGACCCGAGTGCGAAGACGCTCACGAATACGAAGATGTCCAGGAATTCTGGAAACAGCGTCGCGGAGATATGAGCGCAAGCCTCGAGTGCTCTTACCGGTATATTCGGGCATTGCAGCAAACATTGCAAGCTGCTCAAGGTATTTTGACTTCTCTCCAAGGACGTTTTTGTCCATGATGACGATCTTGGCCTGCTTGAACACTTCCAAGTTTTTCTTCTTCAGATCATTGACCTTGACGATGGTGACGAGCTCCTCGTCATTGTATGCAAGCAATCTTCGGACCTCGTCCGCCCATTGTTGAACCAGCTTAGTCGGACAGATTATCAAGGTCGCAGCGATGTCGATGAGTGCGTCATCAGCACTGATATCTTGCATATCCTGGACGATGGCCCCGGCACCTCTCTCATGAAATTCCGAATGGATGAGTGCCAGGGAAGTGACCGTCTTGCCAAAGCCAGCATGGTCGGCAAGGATACCGCCCTTCACGTGAACTTCAGTAGACGCTTCTGACTCGAGCCGCCAACCAAGATGAGGAAGTAGAGCTTCTTCGACCTCCTTGACCAAGAAAGAAGGGCCGATGCCTTGTTCTTGATGCTTCATCCAAGTGAGGGATCTCTTCTGGATGTCATAGAGCTTGATCACATTTGACCAGCCCAAGGAAGTATCGTGTGTGACGTTGTCACTGTTGTTCAGCAGCGTGAAAGGAGGGAACTTCGCGCAAGGCTCTTCCACCCAAGATGTATCGAGGTTCCAAGACACGAAATCGACGGAGTTGGTCAGCATCCTGAGTTTCCCAGCGGCTCTGTGACAAAGAGTGGTGGTACTCAAACCAACGTCTATCGTGACAGATCTCTCTTGCATACTAAACTCGATGACAAATGGCTCGGGTCGAGACTTGATGGCGTTCTCGTACTTTCTAGCGGTCGTAGAATCTTCATATGGGATGAACTCGCAGCCACCCCTTGACTTCTCAATAACACGCCAGCAGATCTCGGGAAACGAAGGGGCACACTCCTCGCAATCAGAGTTGGCAAGCGGGTCTTGTGCACCTTGCTGACCTACAATCTGGCGGAGAGGTTCCATAGCCCATCCGAAGGCCGCAAAGAATGCCTCGTCATCAGGTCTGATTCGCTGCTGTCCTTCATAGAGTTTCATAGGCATCGATGAGGGCAATACAAAATTGAGCGAAACCAGTGCCTTCGTGGCACTACAGTCTGTAGTGAGATTCGAGAGGTCGGAGCTAATCGTAGTCTCCACGTTCGCTTCTTCGAGAAGACAAGAGCCCTCGGTAATCCAATGACCGTTCAGTAAGATTTTGAGACTCGATTGAGTCTGGCTCTGGGCCTCGGGGCGCCAAGCGGCGTCAACGCTGGCCGTGATCTCTCTGAATTGATCGTGTTGCAATTTTGAGTGGTCACGGGCAAAGACAAAGCAGTCATCTTTAGGATTGCCGATGGGCGCCGGATCGAGGAAAAGGAACATGTTGGATGCTTCAGTCGGTTCGATGCGCTTGTAAAGAGACTCACCGGCAGTACCACAATCGCGCAGAAGCTTGTATGTCCCTTGGATCTGCTTGTAAACAGCTTCATTGTAATTCGAAAGATGGTTAGTACTGCGCTTGGCAATACGCAGTTCTGACCAGACCTCTTCTTCAGCGTGTCTAGGTAGGCCGAGACGAGCAGCCCAGGATGGTACGCTCTGGCCCTGGCCTTGGATGAGAAGCTCGATCGAGGATTCATGGGACTCTTGGAGCATGCGCCATCGCCAGTCGACTCCAAAGAAGGCATCTTCCTCCACTTGAGCTGTAGCGACAGGTTCTTGGAAGAACTTGCGGATTTGGTCATCACCACTGAGTTTGTCGTCGGGCTTTGCGTATAACTTCCACATACAACCATGGGCACCCAGCACAAGTTCAAGGCGAGCGAACGACGACGACTCATAAGTGACGACCCAAGATGAGGTTCTCCTGAAACCCTTGAAAGTGAAAGGGTCACTGAAGATATTTTCGACAGCGTTAAGATATCGCTGCTTTAACTCTCTTTGCTTCATGGCTTCGTCATCGCTGGCGCTAGGCTCAGAGATATTGACAGACTCCTTGATACGCATAATGAGGTTCTTCGAGGAGCGAAATCTCAATACCATAGGGATGCAGGATCTCCACTTTTGAATGAAGTTGTCCGGCTCATCCCGCTCAGGTTCTGATGGCTCTCCGTACTGGTGGCTGGGCTTGACACCACAAGTGAGACAAGAGGTGTGGCCGCACTCGCTGCAGGTTTGGATGGCCTTCTCCGACACGCTAATCTGCCCCTCACAGCCACACATCGCAGCCGACTTGCAAGCATCAGCACAAAGTTCATGGATATCGATGCCTTCCACCATCGTCTGAGGAGCCGGCTGAGGGACGAGTCTGTCACGAGAGGTTATCACGCTCTCAAAGGCAGCTCTCTTGCTCGAGGTCAGATGAGCAGATGCTTGCGGCAACGTCTTGAATCCAGCAAGAAGGGCTGACGCGATGGCTGAACCCACCACTGTGGTACTCATGGCGTTGCCGGCAAGATCCTGGATTTGGCGTTCGGTCTCGGTTGTGAAAGAAATTCTGTCCAAGGGTAGACCCTGGAGCATCAGACTCTCCGTGTAAGTCAGAGGACCGCCTCTATCCGTGATGTAGAAAATACCAGATGGGGTTAGGCAGGGGGCGATGCCAAAGGGTGCGCCGTCGGTGAAGCGATGGATGTTTTGCGAAACATCCCAGATGCGAGTCTTGTACTGGGGGTCATATCCTGTAACAGAGCGCTGATTGCTCGTAGACTTGGTCTTGTTGACTTTACGAAGCTGTGACATGTCGATAAAATCCCAGACGCGCTCAACTTGTTTGCCGAACCAGAGACGATTGCAGTATTCCGGCAACTTGAGCGTGCCGCTCTCCTGCCAGTCTGTCAATGGCCGAGCGGTTCCAAGCTCGTTTTCTCTCCGGTAATTGATGTGGCCAATTTCGCAGACAGCCCAATCAACCTCTCTGAGCGAGGAGTCAAGCTCAGATTGACGAGCCATGGACTGGCTGGCCCGAGTGACCAGAGGATCATCGTTAGGCAGGATGAATGACGATAGGGGAGAGCTAGCTGGACGCTTGAAGTCCGCCATCCTGTCTTGAAAGTCTTCCCTGAAGACAGCGTGGTCAATGGAACAGGCGTCTAGCTTCTTCTCGTCGATGCAAACCATGTAGCCTCTTTGACGGGTCTGTGGAAGATAGTAGTGCTTGCTGTCGACAAGAACACCAGCCGAGATGTAACCATTCGACCGATATTCGCGCAACATTTCGTCCCAGGGTGCACCGTAGACATTTTCCAAGACGAGCATGGTTGGACGATATCTCACGGCATAAGCCAGAACTGCGGCGAACGTGTCACCAGATTCGCCCCGTTCCTGCAGGGTCTTCCTCTTGTTGTTCAATCTGGAGAAATCGACACAAGCGGTGCCAGCGATTACCAAATCCACGTTACCAGGGATATCAACCTCGCCGCCGTATGCGGTGATGGCCTTACCGTCCTTGCCGCGAGTGATATCGGTGATATCCCTGAAGATGATAGGGGGAGAGAAGTTGCGCTCAATATATGCTTGCTTGAATGGAACAATCTCAGCACTGAAGACATGCTCATATCTCAGCTCCAAACTGCCCTCTCTCTTCCGGATACAGTCTGAGATCATGTCCAAGGCAAGAAGAGGACTTTCAGTACCCGAACACATCGTAGCAACACGCAAGGGACGTGATCCGATATGCTTACATACATCCTCGAGGCTGTACTTGGGTGCATCCTTGTTTGCCTTGACTGAAGGGGGTTTTGACCTGCTATTCTGTTTCTTGGGCTCTTCTGGATCAATTGGAAGGGACAGCTTCGCGAATCCCTTTTCCACCATGTCATCGAAGATGGAGTGGATGTTGGAGAGTGGAGGCAGCGTGACGTCGATATCCCTGTCCTTGCCCGTGGTCAAGTTTAGCATGTTACCCTTGGACATGCTCGGCTTCTCTTGTTGTTCGGAAGTATTGGCTTCTTGGGTCGATTTGTTGCGAGCAGTAGACTCAGGAGTGGACTTTGCAGGTTTGCGAGCGTGTCCGCTGTTGGCCTTGACTTTCTTGCGCGACGGTTCGTCGACTGACTCGGGTTCAGAGGCAGGTTCATCAGATGACAAGGACTGAGTAGACGACATTATGGAAGATGCCGACTGCTCGTCTTCTGACTTTGTGTAGGAACCTTCCTCGATGTCGGAAGTTTCCTCGGGCTGTTGCTCAATCTCTTCGTTAGAGTCTCCAATGTCTGCGTAAGCAGTGTGATCGGAGTAGTCAAGGCGTTTGGTGGCACGCGTAGAACGGCGGGTGGTCAGGGGTGCCTCTTCAAGAGGCGCGGAAGACTTGGGTTGAGTTGATGAAGGAGTCTTCTTCTTGGATGCGCGTGAATCAGCGGCATAAGCAGCATCTGAGTTCCTCCTTCTCTTCGCCATGATGGGCGAAGGGATAAGAGAGAGTGCGCGTCTGCGGTTGTTGGTGAAGATTGCTGCTTGACAAACTGTTTAGGGGTTCCTGGTGTTTGCGCGAAGGGACAGTGACTGAAAGAAAGATATCAGCTTAGATCAGACAGTCTAATGATGTAGCTGAGCTTACTCTCAATGTGGGAAAGGATACGACGAGGGGTTATTGTTTTCCGCTTTGATTTCCCTGTAGGAGGTTGCATATGTGATTTGTTGTGATCCGCCTTGGTGGTGAAAGCGCTGGCCTCTAGGCGCTCCCCTCTCGCACGTCGGTTCTCTCGATCCTCCAGCCAGAACCGAATGTCCCCTACTCGCTTTCTCACTCCCGTAGAAGGTTTCCCACCCACAAAAATATGCTCCTCCATGTCAGAGTCTGGGCTTTGTGCCCTTTGTGCGTGGTAAGTCCATCTTCTGCGTGCCATAACGAACGTATTTGTCCCTGGCAATTACACTCCTAGAATTGATCAGTGTGTAGATGCTGACACACGTATCCATCCTCACCAATTCAGAAGAAAGATGGAAGACGCGACTCGACGCGACTGAACCTATACTTTTTCCCGAAGGGGCTGGCGTCGTCGGTGTATCGGAGGCCGAAGTACCGATCTGAGGATCAACGGAGCCAGTCAGGGTCATCCATTCCACAAGGTTTTTTGAGACAGGAAGCATTGCCGCACCACTGGGAGCGTACTAGAGACTTGAGACTCTGCTGGGAGATGGACTTCAAAGTACGTTCAGATCATCGGAGGCAAGAGTCGTATCAGATTCGGGTCCTGTATGGTGATATACTCGTGTATCGTCCTGGCCGCTGGATTGACAACGAAGATCCCCGAAGCACGAACGCATCATGGATGTCTTCCAGAAACAGCTGAGAGCAAGTGGGACTGCCCACAAATAACCAAGCCAGGACGCGAGAAGTTGATCCATGGTGACGAGGTTCAAGATCAATTCTGCTCGCTCATGCTGGCTCAGGCTCTGATGTCAATACTTGAACGAGGTCTCCAGACAGAGTGAACACGAGAAACAGTGCTCACAGTGGGCGACCACTGCCGGAGACTGAGGACCAGAGCGTTTCCTTGGCCGTCATAGTTTTGAAGATGGTATAGCCAGAGTCTGGGCACACCACATTGGCGTCAGCTTATATGTCTCAATATGTGGTGAGGATAGAACAGGTAAGCCATGGTGTTGGCCGAAGTGGAAGTGATATGATGACCAAGGTAAGAGAAGGAGCAACAGGACACGAACAAAAGAAAAGAAGGAGAGGTAAGAGATGATGAACGAGGAAGAGGTGAATGAACAAAAGGAGATACACGTACCCAACACTTGCGATGGTCCGGAAGCACGTGTCTTCGAAATCATCGCAAAGGATAAACGCTAACAGCGAACAGCAAGTGCAATCCACCTAAAACCGGAAACCTTCGATCAACGACAACAGCAAGCACAACGTGCTATATGGCGGAAGATGTTATGTATGAAGGTGTTGGAGAAATTGCTTCGTGTTGTGTGTGTGTGACGGGACCACTCGTCTCGGCAGGCACGATATGCACTGACCGCCGCGGACGAACAAACGACGAACAACCTTCTTGTGAAGAGATGTCGAAAAGAAGGAAGGAGCTTGGCTTCTAAGGAGGTGAGTTGGATGCCGGCAGCAAGAGGCAAGAGCGATGTGCAATTGATGCGAAGACAGGCACGAGGATTTTCATGCTCTCGATAACGCACCTCTGCTTCTGAGGGCTGGTGAGCGCACATGTTAGACACTCCGCACGGGCAGTTACGAACCGTCTTCATGCTCGTAGAGGTGAGTACGAGAGACGTGGGATATGACGTGGTATCGCTGTGGGGTCGACAGAGAAGGCAAGTGGCAGAGGACCTTCTGATATCGGCTTCTTCACGTAGCTGCTTGTTCATCCATGGTGGCAACCTCGATCACCAGTGAGAAGACGTACCTTCAAGACGACAAGGGTCGACGGAGTTGCGTACATACTCCAAATGAAGGCTGAAGAGGTTGATGGCGAGAGAAGACGACAACGAAGGCTTTTCGACGAGCCGACTCACGAAGGAGCGTGGAGAAGAAAACCTTTCGTCGAGCTGTTGACGAAAGAGTGAGCATGGTCGTGAGGTTTTCTTGCGTCTCTTGACGACCGAATGCGGTCAAGTGCTCGAAAGTCTCGGCATGAGAAGTCAACGCAAGTCATATTAGAGGTGCGACGGTAGGCCGCGGCATGCCTGCATCGTAACACGACATTCGACGATGATGTCGTTGGCGGCACGAACCATCGATGTTCAACGCTTCACACAAAATCTTCCGAATATCACAGGCGTTGTGTTCATGAGGGACAGTACAGACTAGGCAATTATGATATATTACTGCACACTGCATAGAGTATTCGTTACAGACTGCAGCTCCCATCTGTCATCATTCGAGCCATCATACCGTCTCCACGAATACAATCACATTAGACCAACAGCGGCTTGGTTGCGTTGTTGGGAAGCTTGACGCGGAAGAGAGCGAAGGGACGCTGTCTTCTATCAGTGCCAGGCCAGACGAGAGGACCAAAGGCAAGCTGGTTGTTGGTGAAGTAAAGGTAACCATCGGTACCCGTGCTCATNNCTACGAAAACTCTATTAGCAAGGACCGACGTCGAGAAACACTGACAGCAACTCACCGTATCAATCCAGTTGAGGCGAGGATCGCGCACGAACAGCGAATCAGTTCCATTTGCAGGGTTGTAAAAGCTGATGGCATTCTGCTCCGCGTTGCCATGGTAGATGTATCCATTAGTATCAGTTTCATAACCATCCGAGACACCCTTTTGACCACGGCTGACCACTGACGCCTGAGCAAGAGCTTCCGAGAATGGTCCGTTGGCACGCAATCTAGCAGTCGGGATCGAGTACAAATATCTTTTACCCACACCACCAAAGAAGAGGTTTTCACCATCAGCAGAAAGAGCAATACCATCAGCTCCAAAGCCTTGGAAGCTGAGCGGTTGTCCAGCCTGGAAGGCATAGATGGGCACGCCCCAGACGTAGGCAAGGAACTGTTGAGCGGGTGCTACATATTGAGAGCCGTCCAAGTGACGCCAGGACTCGCCGGTGCCGAGATCGACAATCACAAGGCCAGTGCGACCCTCGATGGAAGAATCAGTTATGTAGGCGATTCCCTTGCCGCTGGCTGTGACGTTTGGACGCAGGTCAAAGCGGACATCGTTCAAGTACGAGTCTCCAGGAGCGACGTTTGCAGGGAAGATGATGGTCTGGAACACAGTGTTGTTCGACAGGTTGATACCAACCAGCTTGGGCCCACCAACGACGGCATTGACAATGGTACCGTTAGGCTCTTGAACTCTGCCTGTGTCGAGAACCCAGAGACGGTCGAGTGAATCGATTACAACACTCTGAACGCCGATAAAGTGGTTTTGGTAGTTTGCTCCTGTAGGAGGATACGTGGTGTAGTTGATAGCTTTCGAGTTTAGTCAATGATCACAAGGCTCATAACAACTCAACTCACCTCCTCCTGGAGGATTGTTCCACTCAGCATTGGGGTAAGCTGCCTCGGTGGAGTTCGAGGTCAATTCGGCCACAGTGTATTTGCCGTTGGAGCCATTGTTCGTGTTGTTCTTGTCCAAAGCACCAGGGTAATTCGAGAACTTGCGGCCAGTCGAGGATACAGCAATACCAGTAGGCCATTCATCATAGTACAAATGAACGACTTCCAAAGCAGGTCCCGCCTTTCCAGGATCTTCAATGAGCTGCTGACCTGAGACGAGCAGAGGCAGCAATGAAGCTGCAGCAAAAATAGTCGATAACATTGTGATGGTGCTACTTCTACAAAAGCAAAGAAACGATTGACCTACCTCGATGGTCTGCTAGCTACTTGTATGTGTGCCTGACCTGCCATGACATAAACTCATCTACAAGATCGCCAGAGCACGTCATGAACGTCGTTACAAGGCTCGGCATCCAGGCACTCTGCAAAACGTGACGCCGCATCGAGGTGAGAGGGGATGAGGTTGTATGCAAGGACGGCAGGTCGGAGAAGCGGGGAAAGCACCCGACATCATCATCTTTGCGTCGAGACTTGAGACCTCGACGTTTTTGAGCTTCGGCTGGCAGAGCCTCAGGTATCACCCTGGCAAGGAAATCACTTGTTTCAATAAAGGACATAAACAGTGTCAGACCTGAAGTCTAGTAGGCCTGTCTTGAACAGAACACATGATTGAGCAAAGTCAGACCACATAGGCTCACATTCCAGTCTCAAGTTCACAAGTAGAATAAATGTCGAGGAACGGGGTTGAGAAAGTGGTTCATGAAGACATCGAAGTTGGCACGAAGGCTGTTTGGTAGCTGGAGGCATGATTTTGTATCTTTTTCTTTTTCGCTCGCCCGCCCGGCTCTTTTTTGCTTTTGCTTCATTCAAGCCGTGGCGGACAAAGGAGTAAAAACAACCCTAAGTCGAAATGCGTGACTCGTCCCAGCCCATTCGCTTACTCCGTGTTGACGATGATGATGATATTCCACTGAAGAAGCACCAGCCCAGCAACGTTGCCAGAATACACAAAACGCGCTTAGAAGACGAGGGCGGCACCCTTGGTCTTCTTGTCACCACTGTAGAAGGAGGCAGGTCAGTATTTGTTGACAGAGATGCAAACGGGAGCGGTGGAACATACCCNCAGCTCGAAGTGCTTGCAACGCTTGAGCGCAAGCTGTGCCTTGGTCTTGCATGCTGTGCACTCCAGTCTCAGGACAACCTTCTTGGTGGTCTTGGCCTTCTTGTGGAAGACAGGCTTGGTCTGACCACCGTAACCGGACTGCTTACGGTCGTAACGACGCTTACCCTGGGCGAAGAGGGAAGCNNCTGTAATGAAGATAATGAGTCCCTGTTGATGGTCTGTGTTTGCTCAGGGCACAATCCGTACCTTGCCAGCCTTGTACTGGGTGACCTTGTGCTGGGTGTGCTTCTTGCAGTCCTTGCCCTTGCAGTAGGTGCGGCGAGTCTTGGGAACGTTGACCTGAAGAGCGCGCCTTGATCAGCATTTGTCCAAGGGTGTCTGGTGTATTGTGCGCCGTGTCTGTCTTTTGCATCTGTCGTTTCCGCTCGGCCATGGCTAATCTCGTGGTGTTCACTTCGTTTTGTGGCTTATTTCGTCCTGCGTGTTTGCGATACGCGGCATTCGAGTGCGTCGTTCGAGAGGGATATCGAAGGCAGAAGATCAGGCTGCGTGTTGACTGTTCAGAGCTCGTGGGCGGCGAAGTGCGCTATTCGATCGTACGGTTGGTGGGATGGAGAGATGTGGCCTCGGTCGAGTCGAAAATAATCCAATACAGCATCCAAAGACACGGCGCACGAGACAACATGGCTGCTTACCATTTTGGCGGTATTTGTGTTAGTCGCTGGGTGGTGAAGAGTCTCGTTTTCGCAAATCAAAGCGTTGTGCCTTCTTGCCCCAGAAGCAAAAATATTGTGTGTGTGGGATTTGCCGAACTTTGCCAAGATGCATAAGCTTGTACATCTTTCTGCAACTCGACATGCTATCTACATGCAGGAGGTGAATGTACAGATGATTCATTTTCACGTAGAGGAACTCTCGCTTGTTACATTTCTATGTGAGAGCGCTTCACTTTGTCTTTGTGATGCTCATCAAGTCATGTTTACAAAGTGGTGTGTGTTCATGTGAGATGGTGCTTGGGAGGGCGCATCCGACGTTGACTTCAATGCTGATGGGAACGAAGCTTTGTTTAGTACTTGCCATCGTTGGCAACCATGACTATCTAATTGCTTTAAACTCAATAGTAAGGTCTTGATTCTTCCCATTTACGCTTCTCGATCTCTAGACCACTTCCAGATGCCATGCTATCGTCCAGTCTTCCAGGGCTTGTAATCTTTCCCACTGCTGGACTTTGGTGTGCTGAACCTCCTTCGATGCGGTAGACTGCACCAATCCATTCCCACATCCTGCTAACATCTCCCGTGCGGCCCTCACGCACCATGGTTCTGACGTTGGCATTACCCTCGACGAGTTTCTGCACGGCTGTCCAGATTCTGTTGCGCTCTTGTGCGCGGAACTCATCACGAAGCACGTCGTCACGTAGTGCGACCATGCTAATCAATGGCTCGGGATAACCAACGGGGTCTTGAGCATGCAGACTTGCCTGAGTGGCAAGCTTGTCAAGAGCCACACCTGCCAAATGCTTGGCCTGAGTTGAAGTAGAACGGCGTTTCGAGATGGTACGTTGACCATATGCAGCCGTAACAGCCAAGACAAGAATACCTACAAGTTCGCGAAGATGCTGTCTAATCGTGAGGCGAACTGATCGTTTGAGGGCGCATCTGAAGCTGACGGCTGCGAGAGATGTGCTGCGGAAGGAGCGGACAGAGGTTTGNNTCTGTTGTACCGAAGGCGGGTCTGTTAGTGAACTCTTCATGTAAGCCTGATGATGCATAATTGTAACAAAGGATTGAGCATAGAAGAGAGACATTACTTACGGATCGACTTTGGTCTTCACCTCATCACGTTTAGGGACATCATCGATTGCTTGATCAATCAAGTCGAGGATGTCTTTCATGTTCTTTCCCTTTGCGGCAATGGTTGCCTTGATCTCTGGCTCAGTAACGTATGGAGTCTTGGTCCNCCCACATTCATACTTCGCATTTGCCTCCCGCAAGACAGTCTCGACGGCATGACTTGTCAATGCCGTAATCTTGCGAAGCTTCTCACTGTCCGGCTCGCAGGTAGGTGGGATAGGAACGAGACCACCAAGCGCGAGAGGGTGCGAGACAGGCACAAACCCATCATCACAAACGATATGAAGGTTCTCTCGACATTCCGCATGCATTGGACACGGCTCGCATTCTGGCTTGAGGAACGAAGCCCACTCAGGAATATCAGCACCAGCAAATGTTTCTGACGGCTGTCCAATGCCACAGAAGCCGACCTTGATCTTCTCCTGCCGCCAAACAGCCGCAATTGCAACAAGTATGGTGAAAAGGACGGTCGTGAACCCAGCCTTGGCTGCTCCGGATCTTGGCTTTTGCTTGCGAGGTATACGGCTGAGTGCAGAGCGCGGGTTTTCTTCTTGGGCCTTGATGAGCTCGTTCTGTTCCTCCGGAGTAAACTCTTCACCAGCAACCATTTGATCGTACTCCTCCTCGTATTCTGGCTCAACTTTCACTCGTGCAACCGGTGTTCTCGACACAGCGGTAAGATCCTCTTCTTGGCGATAGAAGCCGTCGGTTCTGCGTCTGGCATCTCTGCTCTTTCTTCTCTCTCTGTCGGCTGACGGCCCAATGGTGGTTCGTCTTCGGTCTCCACTCTTGCTACGGTGACGGTATGCAGATGGTGGGGAGCTTCCGCTCTGGAAGGGGTTGTCCTTCGAGAATGGCGAATCTGCGCCCTGATCACGGTAGATGGGTTGTGGAGGCTCGCTCGGGAAAGAAGACCTGACAGCGCGTCTTGGAGTAGGCTCGGGCTCGACGGTAGCATGCTTGCTGGAAGCACGTCTAGCACTTGTCGGAGCGAATGACCTCCTGGTCGAACGAGGTGTGGGGGCAACGATGTCTTCGGCAGCTGGTCGCGTGACGGCACGCCTAGTAGTCCGTCTTGCTGGAGTTGCAGAGACAGTGATATTGTCGTCAGCGGTGCCTTCCTCGTCGTCGTCGTTATCGTCGTTGGTGCTCGATTGGCTAGAAGGTACGTCGACGATGCCTCTAGCGGAGCGCACAGTACGGGATTGAACGTTCAGTATCTTTCTAGCCTGAGGAGCAACGTTTGAGTTGAAGATAGCAATCAGATCGGACTTCTTTGCAGATGAAGGATAGGCGACATTGTGGGCAACCAGGATGGAGCGCAGGCGGGGTACTGTGAGAGAGCTTGGATCAAAGTCCGGCTGCAGGTATGCGTATTCGTCGTCGGCCATGGTTGCAGAACGCTGAAGGATGGTCGGTGTGCACCGTCTAGAAAGGGCCAGTCGCTTGTGCACCAACTCGTTTGCGCGCAGTTGTGCAAGAGGAAACAAGGAAAGAACGAAGAAGGCCGTGTTTATCACTGGTCCGAGCTTCCTGTTGCCTGTCCAATGTCGCTCCGATACGTCAGTAGTGCCTGCTCTTTTCATGCAAATGTGGGGAAACAACCATGACCTTTGAGATTTTGTCTGAGCTATGTAGAAACTTGTGTACCATTACAACAACTCACTATCTGTCAATATGTCGTGTGCAAAGTGCCAAAACCCTCTGGTTCTCGAGGTCGACTACTCGGACGATGAGGATGTGTCCATGGGCGCTGGCTCGTCCAGCGCAGCAGCAGCTCAGAACACTCACACTGTCCCTGATGATGTAGCTCTCAACTGTGGCTGCCACTTCCACTGGTATGTACAAATTTTCTGTATGCAGCTATATAGTTTATCTAATCATGTTTGTAAATGTATAGGNCAATGTTTGATCGACGAATACCAAGTCACCGAATGCCCTTCATGCCACCAAAACCTGCTTACGCCCGGCCCCAATGGAAGCCAACAGCTTCTTTGCACCTTGCACAACGAAGGTGGTGTGCAAGAGAACCTCGACATTCTACCTATCCTGACCGAGGAAGCCTACCTACACGCATACCCCGAGGACAGAATCAGCCGCGCTTTCCTTGAGCTTTGCCGTGAGGGCGACGTATCTGCAGTCGTCGACTTGCTGAAGAGCTGCAACGAACCTGACTCAGACGATGAAGAGATGGACGATGAGCCTGCCATACCCAAGAAATCTATGGATGAGATACTGCGTTACCAAGATCCCATTGGCGACATGCAGTCTGGTCTTCACGCAGCAGTCGCTGGAAACAGCCGTGAAGTTGCTTGGTTATTGCTGTTGCTCGCGTCCCAACTGCCTGAGATGGAGTTCCCTGCTCTGGTCTACCAACAAGCAGCCTCACTGGGCATCATGAGAGAGGACCAAACAGGCAAGGTCGACATCAGAAGTCTCAGGGATGGTCAGGGAAGAAGTGCAGAACATTTGGCTGTAGAACTTGGTGGAGTTTGGCACGGTTGGCCTGGTAGTGGTCGCTTGACGGTTTAATGACATCAACCCTTCATGTTGGGATCGCTGCCTGACTTTCGTACCGTTCTCTGTCTGGACAGAAGCTGCGAAATCATGAAGTGATTCACATCCTCATCCGCCCAGTAGGAAAGATGCGAAGCCACTGCTGCAATCAGGGAAATGTCGAAGGCACCNNCCTAGATCTTGGATTAGTCTCTTTTGGTACTGAGAAATAGCATTCTCACTTACTCTTGAATGCTGTAATCGACTCTTCCGTTCGAGTTTAATGCTCGAACCTTGGCTTCCTCCTTCTTCAGCTTGCGCCCACGTTCTTCCGCTTCTGCCCTTTCGCTCTCGGCCATCTCGTGATCCACATCGATCTGTGCACTCTTTCGTGTGTTCTGGAATCCAGCATATAGCGTCTCCAATTCAGCGTCGATGAGAGTTGGAGGGCGTTCGCCAGCTTCTTCGGCTCTCTGCGCGTCACCGACCAACTTATCTGTCGGGTCCCCCTCCACTTTGTCAATTTCAGTGTTTGTGGCTGGTGCAATAGGAACTGTGCCTCCAGCTACGTTCGTTCCGGCACCAAGAGAGAGTGGTGTGCGAGATTGACTGCTGCCTGCTGGTCCTCCCAGTTTTCCTGCATCCTCAGCCGTGAATCCGAGACTACGGTTGAGTAGACTGCTTGCTATGCCAGAGCTGAAACTCGACCAGAGACCAGAAACACTCTGACCTACACGCGCACCAATACCTGTGAGACCTTGGCCAGTCGCAGTGCTGAAGATACCTCGTTTGGTGTAGGGTAGCGGCTGTGGCTTGAGAGACGACATTGCAGGGGAGATCAGAGGTTCGATGCGATAGCTAATAGGATCAGTAGGATGGAAGATGTTGAAGACCTGCCGACATTTTGGTGAGGAAACAGGCAAGTCAGAGTTTTGAGTGCCCATGCCTGTCAAGTTGTCAGAGCTAGACGACGTCGAGCCAAGGAAGGCGGCTGCTTTGGAATCCATAGATCTCTGGTGTCCTTGGCCAGTATCTCTGGCAGAGATGGTGCGGCCCTTTAGCATCTGGAACAGGCCGATTGGCGATCCAAGAGCGTAAAAATCTTCGACTTCAAAGTCCAGCTTCATCGGGTTTCGCGCAGCTTTACCAGAAAGCTTTTGCTGCGATTCTTGTCTCTCCTGGAGACACAGAATGTCGAACATGATAGCTGATCCTAGCGAGTGGCCGACCAAGCTGACTTTTCCTTTGAATGAAGGGTTGCGTTCGCAGAACAACTTGTAGATCCTGTTGCACTCCTCAAGCACGATAGACGCAATGGCGTCTTTGTATGCCGGGCTTTGGTAGAGGAGAATGTCCAAAGCTAGATCGGTGATCAGATTTCTCACGGCTGGTACACCTTCAACGGAGATGTTATCCAGGTTGGGGTAGTCCTCCTCTTCGCCAAATCCACCGAATGCGAGATCGTGTTCCTTTCGGTTATGCTTGAGAGCGCGGTTAGGGAAGTCCAGCTTGTGCCTCCAGTTGATAGGCAGTACCTGGATCCGGCAATTCTTAGGAAGTGCGTTGACCTCTGAATTCAGTGCCTGCAAGTCAGCACTCTCGCTGTAAACAGCCTTGAGGGTTTTTCGAAGGGTGTTCACGTCTCCCACAAAGTTGACCGACTCCATGCGTAAGCCTAGACGCTGACCTATGCCATGGGTGACCAGCAGAAGATGTTCTATTTCTCGATCTTGTTGCTCGCCTTCTCTGTCACGATAGTCGTCTTGGATCTCCTTCTCATCACGTTTTCGAACCTCTTCCTCCTGCTTCTGAGGATCTTCCTGACCAGCATTCACAAGGGAACTCATCTGCTGCTCCAAGGTCAGGCGGTGTTTCTCGGATTCAGGACTTGCAACCTCTGCATGGAGACTGTCCGATTTGCTTCCTTCCGCAGGTACGAGTGCTTTACCCTTTCCAGGTTCTTGCGAAGAGACGTCTACAGTGGCAGACTTCGGGTCCGCATCCGTCTTGGAATCTTTCTCATCAGGCTTCTTGGCTTGGAAGACATAGCCACGAGTGACCTTGATACCGGCGTAATGGGCACCTCCGGCAAAACGCCTGTAGACACCACTGCTCATTCTGCTGATGAAATCGTCTGTGAGTATCCACGCAGTTGTTGTATCTTGATACGTCACGACAGAGTTTGAATGTGGTCCGAACAGACGATATGTCTGAACACGATGAGCGGCCTGCGCGTCTTCGGCATCTTTAGTGTTCTGGTCCCGGAGATTAGGAAGTGATCCTTTGGAAGCTAGTGGAGATGAGGTGGCAGAGCGAGACTGTGAAGCCGATCTGGTAGGGGTGGGCTCCTGTTTCTTCCATTCCCAGGGGGTAGCTCTAAGATATTGTTCCTCCAGCTGAGCAGCCAGGTTCTCATCGCAAGGCTTCTGGACAGTGCCCTCTGTTACAGCATTTCAGTATCAAGCTCTGATGGCATTTCGAAAAGACTAACCTTGATAGAACCAAGTACCACGGCGAACCTCATATACCGGACCTAGCCAGTATGCAGGAGCCAGTTCTCTGTTCAAGACATCGACATCAAAAAGGTAGTCCTCGTTGACAGGAACCTTGGCAGATTTGTGGTGGGAGTCAAGTCCAGGATGTTTTGTGACTGTGATATCATCCAAGTTCTCCAACTCCCTGCGTTCAGCAGCGTCATCCTCTTTTGAGATCCTATGAAATGCCCTTTCGATGGCGCGCGAGTCTTTCTGAGAGAATGGAGCGTATTTCTTGGGAACGACCTTGGGTGCTTCGACACCTTCGACTTTGCCCAGGGGCTTGTCGGAGTAGACAGGTTTGCGTTTGGGCACATCGACGGCAAAGAACCATTGAACACGAAGAGGTGGGCAGTCTCGCGGGTAACGCTTCAGACTAAGGCGATGTCTGTGGCTGACTTTGTGGTCCCCTCCTCGCTGCTGTCTGAGGCCAATGTCACCCGAAGCCTGCTCGGAAGCGTCTTGTGGCTTGGTGACGGGGCTACGAGGACCCCAGGGCGATAGCCTGTTGATGCCAGCGGCCAGATACGACTGGTTGTCTGGAGTGGACATGTTGCTGCCCTCAGCCCGGCGGGCAGGAGAGGCTTCTTTCGACCAGACGGGGTTGTGCGACGGGGAGCGAGGGGTTGAAGTAGCGGTCGGGGGATAAGCTAGTTGGGCTCGCACACGATTGATCAGGGGAAGCAATACGCGCCAACGTGTCTACAGCTCGAGGCTATCGGATCTATCGTCTTCACGTCTTGGCGGAGTGCTGCTGTGGTGCGCTGGGTTGAAGGATGAAAGAAGGACAAGGACTGCTGACTGTCTAACTATGAAACTGGAACAGCTGTTGAACTGTCTGTACAAAGACGTGGACACCCTGCATACTCAGTACTGTGACGTGCCTGCATGCTGCCCCTCGTCGCCGAAGCTCCCACTTAGCTAAACTTTACGCCAGTCGACTCCGACGTGCTTCAGCCCTATCGGCACTCCCACCTCAATTACCCGTCGTCTCAATTTTGTCCTTCTGTTTTTTCTTCCTTGTCCTCCTGCATCTCCATCTTCACCACCACAATCACTGCTCTTTGCAGCCGCCCTGCATCATGGCGTCAGAAAAGTCGGTTGAGCATGCTCACATCGAGAAGCTCATTGCCAACAACCTCCCTGGCAGTCCCATCTACGCCTTCCTGCTGACTCCTGTGCGTGTCGTCTCGGCATCCAAAGGACATGTAGTATGTCGCCTGCCCTTGACAAAGAGTCATATGAACTCCAAGGGAGGCATTCATGGTTCAGTCTCGGCTACTATTGTAGACTGGATGGGTGGCATGGCCATTGCTTCTTACGACTTGCGCGAGAAGACTGGTGTGAGTGTTGATGTTCATGTCACCTACCAGAGCTCTGCAAAGGAAGGTGATGAGATAGAGATCGAGGGCATCGCCGACAAGGTTGGTGGTTCTCTGGCCTTCACAAAGGTCAACATTTTCAAAGTCCAGGACGGCAAGCGCGGTGTCGCTGTCGTTACTGGCACCCATACCAAATTCGTCAGAGTTTGATGAACACAACACGCTTTCTTCTTTGCGTCTGCCATACATTTGCTCTTTAATGGCTCGGACTCACTCGGAATGCGAAGATCAACGTCTTTTGTGCTTTAGAAGCCACTGGGATCTTGCGATTTGACCAGTGCGCAATTTTTTGAAGACTACACCTAGATATCATCCTGTACACCTCTTGCATATCAGGCCTGCCAAATCTTTCGAATCATGCCACTGCCCATGTGTTGTTCTCCTGCAGCCTGTAGTCCTTGCATCGAAGTCCATGCAAGGCCTGGCCACACTGCCACTATTGTTTCATTGACATGTCTCTGGTACTTTGGGCTCTCTAAAAGTACGGGCGTAGGGTACGATGCGGCAGAGCCAGCCTCAGGGGGTGCAAATAGTCACTGCCTCTAGTCACTTAGGACGGTCATTATAGCAAAACCCACCAACTATTGAAATTCTCTCTCCGGCCTTGTCCGTGCAGCGGGCTGGGCTTTTGATGTTCCCACCAGAAAATCCATCCCTACACGGAAAGCGCAATCTAGTTTCTGCATCGAATAGACCACGCACTTGTTTTCAAAGGATCGAACATCTCATCTACTTTTTTTTAAACTCATCGTATGCATGTCTGTCATGCTGCGTCTGTGGGGTTAGGCGCAGTAGGTTCCGCTGCTGCATGTCAATCCGGTCGTTCGTGGTTTGTTTCATGGATAGAACGCTCACGCATGGAAGAGTCGAAACAATGGTCCGCTAAGATTGCTTACAGATGTCAACTCGAGATAAGATCCACCGTCGCTTGTAAACAACTGAGACACGGCAAGGTGTAAAACTAGGGGAGTAGTGACAACTCAGCAAACCCATCAAAGTGCCTGTTCACCAAGACCTTCGGTAGCCGAGTAGCTCACCAATAACTAACTAGCCCTGACACTTTTGGGTTTGGCGACCAGTCCTCCCTGCCGTCTTGATCATCGGCTTCCCGGGAGCTTGTTCACGAGTAATGGCGGTGAGAGCAGCCATCTCGCTGATCCGGAATCGCATGCTCATCATTCTTCCTCTTTTGGAACATTAATATACGCAGTGACAGGGGTTGAGAGGCTCTCCTAGTCAATCAAAATTGTCCAGAGTCGTCAGACGACGGCAAGGTGGCACGGTCGAGGAAAAGACATAGAGACATTTCGGGGCAGAAGGCTCCGTACGAAACTGCGGCCTGAGAAAACGGTTGGCTCTGCAAGGGACAAGCTGCTATGTTTTCTAGCACGGTGGCTTGAACTAAGGGCTTGGTAGTGGAGGATAAGCCTGATTGATGATGTGGCAGCTGTTTATTGGAGCCGTCTGTTGAGCCAATCAGCTCACCATCTCCTTTAGTCGCGATTGTTCTTGCTGCTAGGCTCATCGCCGGGTTCTCAATGGCTGAGTGGATTCACATGTTGAGGGCTCAGTGTTGGTGAGGAATGTGAACAAGCTTTTGTCCGTCCGCAGCCGCATTGCGAGCCAGGCAGTTTCAGATGGTCAGAAGTGCTCGACAGACAAAGTTTCTCGTGGCCTTTGCAGTGAACTGCACTGAGGCGGAGATCGTTCGCACACTCGCGTCATGCAGGCGGAGCGGGAAGAGTCGAACCAAATGGACGCTACCTAGATGGCGCAACTCAGGCGGCGCACCCGATGCCTAGTGCCGCTGTTAGTGCCGTTGTTACATCTGGGCTCCGTGCGGTATCACACAATGACCGGGTCGAGGACCAGAAATGAGGACGACCAAGTTCTCGGGTCAAGCTGGCGGACCAACGTTTTGCAGGGCAGATTGACATGCTCCCTGCGGGAGCGTCATCATGAATTTCTGGAGGCGGAAAGGAGCTCACCACAAGTGTAGCGTCTGCCTGGGATCCTGGATCCGTATCGGCTGGACATGCTGGACTCCACACATTCTCCATCTATCTTTTCGCATATGACTCGCTCTGCATGATGAACAAATTGGCAGTTGCAGCAGCAGACAAGTGCTGCGAGCTTGATTTTCTTGACAGCGACCAAGCTCTCCACATGTGCTGTCGTGTACGTAGCTTGACAAGTGACTTCACTCATTTGCTTTTGCCGGCGATAAAGATGCCAATCGTATCGTTGGCAGAGTGTTGTTGGCCCACGCCATCTTCTGACTTGAGAACCGTCATGCTTGTGCCAGTGGAGGCGCCTATCTTTGAGCGATTGGCGTCTGTGGTGCAAGCAGAGGCGCTACCTTTGTGAAGGTACTGGCCATGCCCGTTTCGACAGTCTCGACCGGTTCGGTGCGTTTCACACAACCACAACTGCTCCGACCTCCTCCTCCACCTGCAATCCGTCCGTCTCCTAGGAAAAGATCCAATCGCACCAAGAGACCAGAGATCGTACAATCGAGACGGCGATCCACCGCACGAGTAATGCTCAATATGTGGATTTGGAAGTAATAGATCAAGTATGACCCGAGTTGACAAGAATAATCACTCGACCACGAGCGCGCGCAGCCGGTTCCGCAGATTGAGAAGTCATTATTCCTCTTTATTCTGCCACCAAAAGCCATGTTGAGGTCTAGAAAATTGTCGACCTTCTCGCCGGGACAGCAAGGTACCCTAACCCGTTCGGGGAGGCGCAAAGCTACCCAGCAATCAGCAGTGCCAGCAGCAGCAGATGGATGGTCAAGTTTGAAGTCGAGAATGAACGAAAGCTTGCGTGCCGCGGGAAACGGTTCCTACCTCTGTCCACTCGTGGGTTTTCATTAAGGCCATGATCATCGTCCATCATGATCCACCATCCACGATCCCAGCGCGACTTTGCTTCGTGACTGTGGGTCCTCTTGCCAGTGGCGTGCATTCCGGACGATGCGAGTTTCGGAACGCCACATCGCGCCTTTTCCCCACCCACCTCAACGATGTTAAGAAACAACCTACCCACGCCGCCACTAGCCAACCAGCGTCCGTCTGCACATCGCGTCGGGCCGCTGTTTGCTGCACAGCTCCGCCGCATCTTCATCCCGGCGCGTTCTGCTGACCTGCTTTTCCCCGTGATATACGTAGGTACCTTGTTGCAATACCGACACGGGACACGCAGAGAGCGAGCCTCATCCACAAAGCTTCTCGAGCGTGAAATCGTGTGTGTGTGCATCGATCTGTGTGAACATGTGTCTGTGTCGTCTCGCTCCTCCCTCCGTCATGTCATGTCACGCAAAGCAGGGAAGGGCTTCGGAGGCAGCGGCCAGATTTAGATCATCTCCTACGTCTTTGCCCACCCCAACACGTGCGCTGCTGACGGCTGTGCCTCCTCCTTTGTTTCCCGCCCAGTTAGGCCAGGGGATAAACAGCATTTTACCCAGCCGTCGGCGACCACGCCAAGTAGGATCCCCGCTCGCGAGGGACAAGTTTAAACGGCCTAGCCGCTGGAGACCCCTGCACCTTTCGTAGTCTCACCGAATCGTGCACGCTGCTCCGGCCTTGCGCTAACGGTGCGCCTTCCTCCTCGGATAGACCCCAACCTCTTTGCAGAGAGCTCCGGCCTGTTCTAATACTATCTATCTGAGGGCTGCTCCACGCCCTTTTTCTCGTTCGCGTTCGTCTTTCATGCACTCCTGCAGCTAGGCCAACTACGAGGTGTGTGTGTCTCCAGCTACTTCTATCTGCTGCTTGTCCGTTGCCGATGCACCTGCATGCTTTCACCTTGCCTTACCTCAACCACCTCCACCACACACTACCACACTCACATCATCCCACACATAGTCGCTAACCCGTCCCGTCGCCCTGCAGCGTGTTTCTGTTCACGACCTACGAACTGCTACGACACGACCTTTTACGACCATTCAAGGACAATTTATTCATTTTGACCACATTTTTGTGCATCCTCCTGCAAAAGTATTCTGCTGCTTTTGCTTTCTGCACTCCATCCTGTAGACGTTTGATTAGTGCGTGCCTGCAACTTTTGCTCTCGCCGTACTACTTGCTCGTCGTCTGTTCACCCGACAAGCTTCGACCTCACGATATCAACGACCGGCACTCTGAATCACCTCGCGTACGCGTCTTGCATTGATTCACGTCCCATCACGACCTGCCTGCGACTGCTTTGTTTAGCTTCGAGGTTCAATTGATTCAGTCAGTCATCACTCAATTGACGTGTTGACGTTGGATTCTATCTCGTCGACTCTCGTGGTTACTTGGTAACCACCCCACACTCGCTTTATCCTAATCCACCAAGGATTATTCGGAGGTGCTTCCTTTGAGCAGCATCTTCGTTGTTGACGACNNAGACAAACTGGCTCTACCATCTATCTCTCACGTCCAGTCGCGCGGGTTCGAAGATCAGTGGTATCAACCAACCAACGTATTGCAAGCCACTTCCACTGCGGAGCGTTTGCCTGCCCTGTCCCAACTCCAGACCTTCCCGTCTGTGGGTTCTTCTCCAAGAGGAAGCTCTATCGCTTCAGCAGAACCTGTTTGCGGTACTGACACAGCTACCTCCTATTCATCCTCCTTCCACGGCGCATACAGCACCGGACTCAAGACNCCCTCGCCCGATCACACTCCCGCCTATCGCAGAGATAGTGTTCAATCCGGACTACACGGCCAATCGATTCCCATCACGAGTTACGACCACAACAGCACTTCTTGTATCAGCATGAACCAAACCCAGCCTTACATGGACGTGAGCCAGAGTCACATGTCTAGCAGCATCCCTTCTTCGGCTCCCCCGCCAGGCCTCGGCCATTATGCCAGTTACCACCAACCGCAGCCCATCTCGAGCCAGTCTCACCCATATGGTTCATCACCTTCATCCTACTCTCAATACTACACCAATGGCCTCGCTCCTCTCCATCACCCCTCGGCAAGTAGCTTAGGCTCGCAAATGGTCCCTCAATCACAACCGCCCCTTCCCAGTAAGTTTTGCGCAGAAGTGATCTGTCTCCGAAATGTCGCTAACCTTGTTTTCAGCNNACTTGCGAACAGCGTATCACCTAGTTCAGCACAAGGCCAATACTCTGGTGCTACATTCGACACAACAGGACAGGTCGCGCCGCCTGGCATGAAGCCTAGAGTGACTGCGACTCTCTGGGAAGATGAGGGAAGTCTTTGCTTCCAAGTCGAGGCAAATGGCATCTGCGTGGCCAGACGCGAAGACAACCACATGATCAACGGAACAAAATTGCTGAACGTGGCTGGCATGACGCGCGGTCGTCGCGATGGTATTCTCAAGAGCGAGAAGAACAGACACGTGGTCAAGATTGGTCCTATGCATCTGAAGGGAGTCTGGATTCCATTCGACCGTGCTCTGGAATTCGCCAACAAGGAGAAGATCACTGAGAAACTCTACCCTCTGTTTGTGCACAACATCGGTGCTCTGCTCTACCACCCTTCGAACAGCGCCAGCCGTACTATCGGTGGTGCTACTTCGCTGGTTCCTGGTGAACGTAGACGTCCCGAGGATTACATGAGAGCGCCCGTAAGCCAGTCCCCTGCCATGCCTCACGCTCACTCGATGGCTATGCCTCAACCGCCGCATTCGCTTGCTCCTCATCCCAATGCCGGAAGACCCAATCTGGACAGAGCTCACACGTTCCCCACTCCTCCCACGAGCGCATCCAGCATGATGGGCATTGGCAGCTCAGAAGGTTCTTACCAGTGGAGCGCTCAGCCTCCTTCTACAATGCAGCAGCAACAGCCTTCTCAACAACCCTTAGCTATTGACACCAACATGAGCAACAGATCTGTGCCTACCACTCCCGCTACCACTCCTCCTGGAAGCGCCATGCACAGTATGCCTCCTTACCAGACCAGCCAAGCATACGACAATGGTCGTCAACTGTACTCGGCTCCCTCGCAACCATCTCAGTACGGCCCTCGTTACGGTCAGCTTCAGCCCAGCCCTTACATTAAGAATGAAATGGCTCCTCCGGCTCGTGCTGGCGCAGAGGCCGATCATGCGATCGACCAGAAGCCCCAAGATGGTTACACTAACCACTCTGGTGCTCACGACGATGCCGAGGGTGAACACGAGGGCGAATACACTCACGCTTCTGGACCTTATGGTGGAAACCGTGCTTCATACGCTTACGCCACACCTGCCACAACTGCTTCATTGCACAGCGATCAGACACACATGTCCTCAGACATGACTGGCTCGCCTCATCACAAGGCTTCTGGCGGTGCTACTCCTCGTACAACTAACAGCTATCACGCTGGATACACCACGCCTCAGCGCCCTCAGCAACTTCAGTCCAACCTTTTCAGTGTCATGAGCGATAACCGTCCCAATGGCTCTGAGATGTACGGTCAGCCTGGTCATGCCTACGGCCAAGGCTATCAAGCTGTGAATGGTATGCAGAAGCGCATGCGCGATGACGATGCCGACGATCGCTACAACGAAGACTCGGACGGCCTCAAGCGAAGAAAGACAGTACGCGAAGGCAGCGCAGGAATCGGACGTCCTCGCTCCGTCCTAGCTGGGCACCGATAAGAACACCATTCTCATCTGTTCATTCTCGATGCATTTTTCTCCCTTTCTCCTTGCTGTGTTTTTCTAATGCCTCACTTCTTTCGAGGTCTTTTCGCTTTTTCCTTTTGTCCTTTATCGCGCTCCTTCTCTCCTTGACTCACTATAACGACAACCATGATGACGAACAAATAACTTTATGATGAATGATGTTTCCAATTCATAAAGCGGAATGGGGACCACAAACACGGCATAACCGGTCTCCCTTGTTGTTTGGATTTGCAGAACATTGTTTCCTTTTTTTTCCTCTTTCTCTCCTGTGTCTTTTTTTACGCGCTTTGCATTGTGTTTTCTTCGCGTCCTGGTTTTCCTCTGGCTCTTCCTAGGGGGTTGATGATGATGATGAAAGCATGCCTACACAAAAGAAGGGGCTGTGGCAGGGTGAAGACGGTGGCCAAAAGAAGAGGAGCTAGGAAGGTTGAGGGCAAGGATATAAAAACGGAACATTGGGTCTTTTGTAATGAACAACTCTCTCTCTCACACACACTCTTTGTCTCACAACAACCGACTTCTCGATCTTGCAGTTACAGAAGAAAAAGGGCCATGTCAGTGTAGACCTTTTCAACCTTCTTTTATCCCTGTGGCATCCTTCCTTCCACAGGCTATTCTTCTCTCTTTTGTATCCCAAAAAGTTCTGCTTGTTTCTTACTACTCGATATAATCTAACCATTCTTTTTGACTTTTTATCTCGTTCGTTAGTTTCCCACGAATCGTGGTAACGAAAAGTTTAGGTTGGCCGTTTTTCGCTCGTTGCTGTTGCTATCTTGATCCGATCTACAGATCTGAGACATGCCTGGGGTGGGTGGCTTTGTTTTCTCTTTTTCTCTTTTTTTTTTCTTCCTCGAGCATTGGTCTTTTGTCCGTTCATCTGGATTGCCGAGGATGTTGTTGTGCCTTTTCTGTAGACTCGCTGTAGACTTGCTGTACTCTCGGTATCTTCCAAAGACCATTGTAGACTGAGCATATACGAGCGAGAGAAATCGGTTGCTGATGGCAGTGCGAGACATATCGGATCACTTCACAAAACGTGGGAATTTGACATAATTATTGAGTCAACACATAACGACAGCCGTGATACAATATACACACAGAGACGAGATAAACTATGATAGGATGACACTCCAAGCGTGTCACAAAGAGATCAAGGGCTATGGATGATTGATAGCTTGGGATTCTGGTCGATGGCAGATTGTGACAGGGTCGTACGGACAACAAACGACTTGGTAAAATCCATATCTTTTCAACTCAATGATTCGTTCAATGTAAATCTCTTGCTGAGCGAAGGAATATATCGTTCACAGCGGTATCTACTGCGTGTCTGGTCGCAAACATCACATGACTGACAACGATACAGGTATTCATGGGAGTACAAAAGATCATAATACAGCCATCGCCCTCGCAACATGGCCTTGCAGCCCATCAGTTGTACTTGTACTTCTCGCTACCTCTCTTGACGAATTTGATAGGCACCTTTCCTGCGCGCATCTGAATCGTGATAATCGTCATCATGCCATGCCTGAGCAAGCCCTCTGCAGTATCTTTAGCCTTATCCCACGTCTGTCTCTTCAGCGTGTCATCCATAGCTGCAATCTCCTCTTCGCTCGCGTATTTGTCCAAATCTAGCTCTACGCTGTACTCGCGGAAAATGGCGGCTAGCACAGCGAGAACTTCGATTTGAGCAAAACGGCGCCCTAGACAGGCGCGATAACCCTCTGAGAAAGGGATAAAAGCACCCTTTTCTGGGTTCAAGAGATGAGACGATGTGTCTGCTGACTGCGGACCGCCAATGTCGTCTTCGGAATCAGAGTATTGTTGTGTATGCTGTTGTTTTACTGCAGCCGGGGTTGACTTCTTGGAAGGGTCCACGATCCACCGTTGGGGTTTCCAGGATGCCAAATCTTTCTCTATCTCGGCTTCTGAAGCGTCTGGACCGCAGAGGGTCGGCCAGTACTTGGGGTTGCGGTGGGATGCAACAGTAATGAGTGATATTGAGCTACGCTCAGGAATGATCACGCGACGACCAGAAATAGTTAGTGGTTGTGGTGAGCCTTTGAGTGTGCACTTGGGAATGCCGACGACAGGTGGAATCAGACGGAGCTCTTCGTTCATGACGGCGGCGCACATGCCGCCAAACAACTTCGGCATGTCTTGTTCATAGTCCCATTGATCAATGGTTCGGTCGCCGAAGATGCCGTCCAGGTCCTTCTGAAGCATCTCCTGAGTAGACCAATTCATAGCCAGGTACAACATCGCGAAGTGAAGAGTATTCGCTGTTGTCTCGTGACCGGCCAAGATGAAGACGAAGGCATTGCCGAGGATCTCGCTGTCGGTAAGCAGTTGTGCGTCGGCCTTTTCTGGGTCTTGGTTTGCCTTGATACCCGCTCCGCTCACAAGAGCTCCCATGAGATCCATACCCTCACGCTTTTCGCCTGCTCTAACTTCTGCCTTCTTGTCCTGATACATTTCTCGCATGTACTGGCCCCACTCGATAAATGATTTGTACGCAATCTTATTCTGCTTGATTGGTGNAATTTGCTGCGTACTACCGTTAGTCTTCGCACTGCCGACACAGCGAATTGTGAGCTTACCAAGGAACCATCTCGGAAGTAGCATCACAGCAATGATATTATGCAACAATGTGCTCAGGGCATCCTTGTAAGTCATGGTGTGACCTTCAGGTACGACACCAACTGTTCCATTCTCCTTGAGCTCTTCATGAGGCCATAACAGACGTCTGCCGAAACCAGCCAAACTGATGACATGCAGACTCAGCCGCATAGTAGCAGCAGCGATATCCTTTTCAGAATCTTTGTCCAGGAACGAAGCTACCAAACCTTGAGCCTGGTGCAGACTCTCCTGCCACACAAGATGATTGTTCTTCTCGGTGAATGGAGNGGATGTAATCTTGCGATGGTGACGCCATATCGAGCCTTCTGTACTAACCACATTCTTGCCAAACAAGTCCACAGAGCCATACATTTCAATTGGCTTGGGGAAGTCGTTGCGTCGAGTAGTAATCTGTACCATCGCCTCAGGATCGGCAACGAACACGGAGTTCCTGCCGGGAGAGCACACAATAAAGATGTCACTTCCAAGGGCTTTGAATGGCTCATGTCTTTTCAACCAGGTCCATTCGGGATCCAGGAANNCCTGCAAATCGGTTAACTCAATCCTGCACTGGGTGATAGGTATGCATTGTTGTAGTGCGACCTAGACGTTGACATACTGTAACCATGAATCTGTCCAGGTTGTGGGGAGTTTTGCGAGTAACGGCAACCAGAGCCTGTGTGTCACGAGCCAGAATGAATTGAATGTATAGACTGGTGCTACGACATAGGGCAGACCCGATCGTTTGGCTGCGGCGAGGTTGCGGGTGAAGCAGCGGTAGTAGTTAAAGGAGTAGACCCCGACCAAAGAGGCGATTGCCAGCCACACAAATGGCAACATGATGAGGGCAATTCTTGTATGTTGTGCAGGTGTTGGAATTCACGCCGTCTTTATCTTCCTTGTGCCAAGTGAATTGGAAACAGCTGAAGGCGATGGCTGTTTCGTTCCTTCTTTTCTAACTTTCTTGTTCGATGATGTCGTACATGTACTCGAACGATGTACGATAAACGAGCAACGGGTGGAAGCTGTCCGAGGAATGGTGAAACCCTAAAATCAAGAACCAAGAAGAGGGCGAGCACTTTCGTTCGCTCCAGAATACTGAGAGCAGTGAGAAGATATATCCATTGACATTTTGTTAAGCGCAGACGCGGCAGCTACGTTTGCATGGGTCATTGATGCGGTCTGGCAGTGCAAGTTGATCAAAGAGCCAGCCACCATGCGCCTCGGAAGCCGGCACCCTCGAAAGCCCTCTGCAATCTGCATCTCTGGCGTATTTTCATGTAATGCAACAAAGCTTGATACCCTCGGTAAGCGTCGAATAAATAGTGTGCGCTCGCCCTCGTCGAATGGTCTTTCGTGTTATGGCCAAGACGTTCTTCGTGACTGGTTTTCCCGCAAACCAAACTCCACATCGCGTAAATTGGCGTGTGGTGATCAGATCTCGCTTGGATGCAGCTTAAGGTAGATCTTTTGCAAGCGACGTTCGAGAGCTTTTATGATCCAAAAAGCCGTCTTCGCCATCAGCCAGATAATAACGTACGTCTAACTGCACAGAGGATGCATGAGACCCGCACATCCTCGCCGCGAACCATCCGTTGAGCCGAGTGCTGGAACGCAATTATCTCTCAAGCCAGATACGTGGTCTTGAGAGCACATGAAACTCTTCCCTTCAACAGCGAAGCCATGATCAGACTTTCAACAATTCAATTGCGGCTTTCTCGAGGATTGATATCTATGGAACTTCTGTGCCCTGAGTTCACGACATCAGCATGTGCTGTAGTTGAGGCAACGACGCATAGAACCAGCATGGCGCCTTCCTGTTTGTCGGAGCCATATCAATAGCCACGAGACTTCCTCGCTTCTGTCTTTCGTTCCTATTTTGTCCTGCACCAACAACCTCTTCACCGTCCTATCCATATCTAGAACACCTGAACCATCATTCCATCGGCTCCGTAACCTTGGGCAGCACGAGACCTCGTACCTGCAACAAACCTCTGACCCTGCATTCGCAACCATTGTCCGCTGAACATCCATACATTCGGTCCCGATATTCCTGTTACAACTATGCTCCTCTTCCTTATCAACTTCATCCTGATTATCTACTCCCTGTGCAGATTCGTCTGTGCCGATATGACTACAGATGCAATCCACCTGCAAGGCCTCGCTTCCAACACAGCGGATACCATCTTCGCCTCGCTCAATGGAACGGCTTATCTCGTGAGTGCTGCGAAAGGCTGGTTACCGAAGTCAACTAAAGATTCCAGNAATACCTCGGATCTCGTCTCTCAAGTCACTGCTGCCGTCCAAGGGGCTGATTCAATGGTGATGTCCAATGTCGTTCGTCTCATCCTGGGTCTCACTTAATCATTGAGAGCCTCATTGACTCGTTGTAGNTCCTCTTCGGGTGCCGCAAACGTCTCACTAAATGACGCCTACTTCAACGTATGGCGCTAGATATCTCCAAGAGCAAGCCTTGAAGGAAAAGCTAACCACAGCAGNTACGTTGACTCGATGCTCTATCTCGCCGATACTGTCCAACGCCGCGGTCGCCTCTTCCACTCGGAGCTAAACCTTCCGGTCTACCAAGCTCTCCAGAACTTGTCTTCTGCCGTTTCTGTANNAGTAACACTTTCCGTGGTACGGAACTCAAGCAGAAGCATTCTGATGCCCGTGCAGACTTATGGTCACGACCTCACATCACACAATTTGATTCAGCGAAACAGCACCATCCGTACTTTGACGACCGGCAGTGCCATTGTCAATGCACAAAGTGCGTGGGCCAACAATCAGAACTACCCGGGCAAGAGAGAGACTTCGAGCTGGTCGGGTTGAGGTCAATCGTCACTCTGTGACAGTGCGGAAGCGCTGGCTTGTTAGAACATAAACATAGTCCTCGAAGGATTGACTCTGTTTGCTTTCAATCATTCATTGCAAGTGTTCTGATTCCCTCTGTGTTCATGTGTCGTGTGTTTTAAGAAGCTCTCGAAAGGCAGCCCTAGATTTCCAGTCGCAGAAGACTGATGAGCGTTATACCTAAACAAAGAAATACAAAGATAGTCGTAGTTGTCATGAACACGAGGAGCCTTGAAACGTAGAGTAAATGATGGTGCTCGAATATGAAAAGTTAGACAGTGTCATAAAGGGGTATTTCCGCCGCCCAAGAAAGATCAACAAGACCAGCACGAATGCAACAACGCCATCGTTCGCCCCAAGAGTCCCAATTCAGACCAGCCAAAAGCACGACAACTTCCTCAAACGAATAAACCACCCTCTCACTTGCCAGCCTGATCCAAATACGCAGCAGCATCCCTCGCCTGCACCAGACTCGCACTCGTAGCCCCAACCCTCTCCTTGACATCCACCAACCCCTTTGTCGCTTGTTCCCAATTCCTCTCACACTCACTCCAATCCCTGAGTTGACTGACACCACACAAATCCTCCTCTTCTTTGATCTTTTGCCTTTGGCTTTCCTCTGCCACCATTCTCGCATTTTGGAATTGCTGGTCTTGGAGGTGGAGGTTAGCGGCATATGCAGCAGCAGCTTTGGCAGGGGCCTCTCGTCGCAAAGTCGCGAGTTGCAACGTCAGGTTTTCGATTTGCGCGGATAGGGATTGGAGTTTCATAGACAGTTTGGAGTCGTAAGGTTCCAATTNCTGCGCATCACACACTTTGTATTAGCATCCACACATGCTCCTCACCTTTGGGATGTTTGCAGCAACAGAAAACTCACCTTCCCCCTTTCCCTCCGCCATCTTCACCGCTTCTTCCATATCCTTGCCTTCCAACCCATTAATCGCCAAATTTTCCTTTGCATCCTCAAACACTTTTTGCAGGTATTGGGATACCAGCTCTTCAACGCGAGACTTTAAAACATCGTCAGAGGCAGAGGCGGGAGCGGCCGATGGAGGAAAATGTAGATCTAGCTTTTCGCGTGCGCAGAGAGTGGTGTTTTGGTGCAGGTAGGTCAGGTCTAGTGGGGATTGGAGTTCGATTTTGCGGTGGGTGGTTTCCATTGCTGGTGGGCGAGGGTTGGTGGGGGTGGGGTGTGGGAGGTGAGGGTGCTTGGTGGAGAGCACGATGCTTGTGTTCGCAAGAGGTCGAAGCTTCGGTACGGTATAGACTGAGTAGATGTGGTTGTGATGGTGCGCGAGCGAAAAATGTGTCTCTGTTTACTGCCCTTGCGCAAAACAGCCAGAGCAGTGACGGCGATTGTTTGTGGAGGATGTGCCAAGACGCTAACATGACTGCGGGGGTGGGAGTTTGCGAAGCCTTATCGCCGAGATAGGCCATCATGGTATTAAACGATGCCTACCTCGGCACCCGATCGATAGATGACACATTCGAAACACAGCCATGCAGACGACAGACAAGACAATACCAAGTGTAAGAAAGCACAATCAAAATCCCTTCTATGGGCTACCTAGTCAGTAATGCAAAAGCTGTTCTGCCAGAAATGCACATGTTCCATGCGCCCGCCGTGCTTCGCTTTGCCTGGACTGCTGTCCTCCGTCCTCCATGACCCTCAAGTATGTATACCCTGACCGCCTGCATACAACCTCTCCAGAACAAACGCCTCGTGTGAAGGAGAGAAGAAGACCAATATCCCATATGTGTACCCCATCCCTTGCCAATAACTCCATATTCCATTATCATCATCGTGTGTCTCAGTTTCGGTTTCGTTGTGGTTATCGATGACTCCCTCTATTTGGGAAGAATGGCTGCAGCCTCCTCATCTGTGAGGATGATCTCCTGGACGGGATCAGGTCTGTGCTCGAGGTCTGAAGAGTCGTAGTCGAGGTAGGATGGAAGGAAGATGTCNNTGCAATCGACGTTAGACGTTGAGTTGAGATATGAGATAAACAAGGCATGGCTTCACGTACCCTGGTTCCAGTCGAAGCCTTGAGATGTCTTGATGCATGTAATNNCTGTGGGGGAATATCAGTACTGACGAGGGCCAAAGCACCTTGATGTACTCACCAGACGAGGGTTCTCGGGTCCGCCAATGTTGACGACTGTGTACTCGGATTTGGAAAGCGAGTCACCTACACGCTCGTTAGTGACACTAGACTTGAGAGGAGCTGGTCTAGACATACCAAGCAGTGAAGGTCTTCTCTCGGCATAGCGGGCCATGGACGATTGGGTCGAGGCCGAAGACGGAGACGCAGACGTCGAGGCCAGAGATGAGGGTGAGAATGAAGGAGAGGCAGCGTTGTTGGCCCAGCTAGGGTAAGAAGACGACGAAGACGACGAGGCAGAAGCAAAGGCAGAGCTGCTGGAGCCAGGCTGCTTGCGTTTGGGGATTGCTATCGACGACGACATGGTATTAATCGTCGAGGTTGCGGGCTCGGCAATTGATGTGCTTTGGTGATGTGATAGATGGAATGCAACCAACTCGTAAGGGTCAACGGAAGCAACAAAGACAAAGTAACACTCAAGAGTGCGATGAATCACAGAAATAGCGACGCAGGACGGATAGAAGGGAGGCCTCGAGGTCGACTGGTACAGTAGGACAGATACGGAGCGACTATCGCCGAAGTGTGATGCCATCCCCAGTTCCAAGCCTCCGCCCGCTCCTCCGCATGTGACTCTGGGACGTTTCACCGCTATGCATCATACTCTTATCACTGCATGCAGATCTCTTATTAGACAATCTACTGTTCACAATCAGATCGTGCTTGCAATCAGATCGAAAAGCCAGAATCAAAATGCCACGAAGATGAATATACTATGACCAGGAGCCCGCCCGGTTTGTTGCCATGTTAAGAATCGGAATCAGAATCCCTCGGCCTGCAGAAGAAGTCCTTCCACTGCCTCACTCCTCTGCTATCCATGAGAGCATGCTGTAGATGCTCAAACACGCATGCTCGCACTTCCTTTCTCGCTGTTCGCCCGCGCTGCTCCTCCATTACTTCTCTGGTGAAAAGAGAATAAAAGGGTATCTCAAAATCCAAAAAGGTACTCAAAGCAAGAAAGAAAGAAAGTAAAAGGAAAAAAAAAAAAGAATCATCGCGCCCGCCCCTAGATTTGCGCCGCAGCATCCCATCGTGTCCCATGCCTTGCTCCAAGAAAGCCACAGACACCTAAATCGTTGTTGTTCTTCTCGTCATGATCAGATTGATTCAGAAGACGAACAGGATCGGTGACTGCACCTACCAGCCTCGTTTCCGTGCGAACTTCTTGTTGAGATGGACGAGCAGCTTCGACACATTGAACTGCACGTACTCGAGATCGAGATCTTCTTGGCTGTCTTTCTGCATTTCGAGCAAGTCGTCCAGTTTCAAGTCGAGTTCCAGTAAACCTCGATTACGGCNCTGAATACTAGTCAGTTCCTGAAGTGTAGCTTGTTCTTTTGACTTACCCTTATAATGCAAGGAGATGATGAATGTTCCGGGACTCGGGCTGGTCATATTGAAATAGATGTTCGCTTGTCGATTCGGGGGCACATTGCTCTTCTGGATGACGCCTTCCTTCTCCAGCTGAGCATGCGTGAACTTGTATGGTCCAAGCACTTNTTGGTTTTGCACTCGCTTGGTGGTTCCTTCGGACTGGCCTCTGACGTTGTGCAAATACGACTTGTAAGTCTCGAGCTGGCCGACAAGATATGCGTTATGGTCCCGAATCGTCTGATACACCTCCTCGAGCTTTTGACTTTCGGTCAAGACTCTGTCCTTCAACGAGCCGAGATGGTTTAACTCTTGCTCAACTTCGTCACGAAGAGATGCGTAGTTGTCTGCTTTGTCGATCATGCCCATATCGTTCAATTGGCTTAGCAGCTCCATGCTACGGATACCTTTGCGCACCATGACCGAGTCGTTCTTTGTAGTGGCAGCTGCTTCAGCAACTCTGTCGAGACGAAGCGGTCGTCGTGCAACCACTGCATTCGAAGGCAAAGAGCGCAAGATCATGACAAATGTCGACTTTGCTTCCATGAAGAAAACCTCCTCTTGAGTAATGTCGAGTGCAGCTGTAAGATCGTCGAGAGCCGTCTCCCATTTGCTGTACAGTGGGAGGTTGATGGCACGATTTTCTTTTCTTGGCAGTTGTGCTGGTGCTGGGCCCAGATCTTGCAACAAGATCTTCAAATGTGATCCCTCGTCTTTTGATACCAACTCTTGAGTATGCTTTTCGAGAAGTGCGTGCATAGCGTAGACTTCGTTGAGCGAGATGGGCAATTCGAGGTCCTTCTTGGAGAGGGCGACGTAGTTGTCCATTTCGAGTGTCTCGTAAAAGTCTTGAACCTCGCACAAATCGAGCAGAAACTTATTCATGCGCTCTTTGTTTTGCTGGATGAACGGTTGAAGCACGGACATGTACGGTTCTTTTGCGTAGGAGGGCTTGTTGGCGAGGTTTTGGAGCATCTTCGCGACCTGTAGGATAGTAAGTCAGTATACCAGCTGCAGACTGCGGAAATTGTGCAGACGTACCAAAGTAAGAGTACGCTTGGGGTTCTCGGCAGGGTTCTGCTCAATAAGCATATACGACCTGGGAGTGACTATGGCGGGGTTGATGAAACGCAGGAAGAAGAAACCACCGATCAAGGTACAGATGGTCTGGTCTTGAGCATCCGGGTATTTTCTCCTTGAGAGACTCCTAATCTGTTTGCATATCCATCGAATACCGTATGGCGTCTCGTCCATGCCGTTGACAATCGTGTCGAGGAAGTAGTTGGCAAGCTGGATTAATTGACCAACCCTGCGGCTGATGATGGCTTGGACTTGTGGGTTTGCAGCGGCTTCTTCGGCCGTGACGCCTCCAGGGGGCAGACTCGAAGTGGAACCGCGGATTGAGGCACGCTCAGCCATCATTGTCTCGTACACCTTCAAGGGGTTGATCTCGAGATCAACATCGCGCAACTTGCTTGTGACATAGTTGATTTGTTCGGAGAGTACCGTCTTGAGATAACCTTGACCTGGTCCTCTGCGTGTATATGTGGTCATCATGCGAGAGACGGGAGTATTGGCTCGAAGAAGGGAGGAGTAATCGGGAGTGTTGTCGAATTGGTAGGTCAGGACAGACTGNNTTGAAAAGACAGGTTAGACAATGTCTAGAGAAAGCGAGTGAGACTTGTCATCAAGACTGACCTGGAACATGGTGAGCAGCAGGTGCTCTTCACGACTCTCGTACTGGTTGCCGTAGATGGTGAACATGACTGTCTGGAGCAATTGGTCGATTTCGGCCAGCGTCACTAGGCGACACAGATGTGCAATGTGTTTCGGTTCGGACTGAAGTAGGAATAACAGGTTGCCGTACTTCTGCGTCTTGTCATCGTTAGGGAAAGCACCCTCGGTAAGTTCGTCGGACTCGTCAAGATGGTCGGCTACTTCGTTGCNGCTGTGTCTGGGTCAGCCAGGGCTCGAGGATGTGCGACGGGCTTCAAGACAAACCTCCTCCAGGGCCATGCGGTTCTGCACGAGCAGAGCAATTCTCGAGTCGAGGTATCGCACATCTTTCTCCAGCACAAAGTTCTTCTTGGACTGCGATGAGATCTTGGATTTGAGATCACGGAGGACTTTCTGGGNCTATATCGCTGTCAGCGAGAGCAGCAGGTGCTGGCGGGGGATCAATAACGCACCGCGTGCAAGGTCGTCTTCGATTTCAAGTTCGCGCGGGTTTGCATTCATAGACAGGTACAAAGCCGTCATGGAATAGCGCTTCGAGGTGCGCGTTGACCTTGCTCCATCGTGAGAGGAGCGCGTGTTCTGTCGGCCGACCATGGGCAAGTAGGATGAAGACGACGACGTGGAAGCCCGCGATGGCGCATGCAGTGTTGCGACCGACATGAATTGGACTGCAGTCGCTTAAGTCGTTTAGGAGGGGGGACGGGCGTCTCGACCTTCGGCAGCGCTATATTGCCCTCTTTGTTGATGTCTCGGGGCCGTCGAAACGAGAGGCAGCACGGCAATAAAGGAAAGTGGATAGAGAGCGAAGCAGAACTCGAGTACAGCGACACTGCCGCCGTCCGCTTCGGACAAAGTGCTCTCGTTCAAAGTCGAGGTTCAATCTGGTGGCAGGATGACAATTGCCTTGGGCGGATCGGGTTGCTCGGGCTCCCGTACGCTTGATTCGCAAAGTGCTTGAGCTGCAATCAACCGTTGAACAATTACACGTGCTTGGTTGGCATTCCACGTCTCGGTTGAAGCGTCGCAAAGAGGTAGACTGAAGCAAAGGAATGTAAGAGTTGATGAGTAGCAGCTCGATGCTTTCTTTGGTCTGTCTGACAAGTCTCGCGCGCATCATGCACCACCCTGACTCTTTGTACTAGTTGCACGTCCCCTTTGTATGGGCCCCAAGGGCCCCCTTTGCTGGGAGCAACCTTATTCTCTGGAATCTCTTCCGCAAAATGCTTCCAGCCTGCGCTGTGCCGCGGGCCCTGTAACGCCCTAGCTGCTGGCCGACCACTGAATGAGGTCAACGTCTTCGCATTGAGCTGTGAAAACTTCACACAACTGTCAATGGCCGTCTCTCTCAGCAGAAGCCATGGGTACTTTGCGCATACCTTTAAAGATATTGCCATACACTTTGCGAGCTTGGCGCCTCAATCTACCAGGTTGCACGACATGGGTATCAAAACTTGCATTTCGCGGTTACAAGAGCCGCCCTCAGCGACTTGGCCCACGTCTCTTATGATTTCACTGTCCTGATCTGACTCTGTTGCTTCGTTCTTCTTTCTCCATCAAGCCGTGTCCTAGTCCGCATGCGGCTCGTAGATCGCACCTGCAACGTGCGTTGATCAGGGTCGCACGGTCAAGCCCCTGACCACCACGCAACCATTGCCCAATTCTCTAACATTTCACCCTTCACTCGCTGCCGCAGAACCTCCAGATTGCAACTCTTGAAAGTCGCAGAAGTGGGTTTGAGACCGTGGGTCCCAACCGACCGCACAAACCCGATCTTTGAGAGCCGGCCGGCACGCACAGTAAAAAAAAGAATGCTACCGAACAATAATAATAACTCCGCGCTCGGCAGTCCCAAAAATTCCTCATGAAACACTTTGCTAGCGCCTAACCTGAAACCTCGAAATCGTCGGTCGTGATTTGCCGCTGCACTCCACACTAAGCGAGCATTTGTCTGCAAACAGCCCCTCCAGACCTCCAGCATCTGGAGCTGCGACTCTTAAACGATGTTATTTCATCCTTTGGCGCGAGATCAGCGAGCCATGGCAGCGATTAGTGTCATGAATGCCACATATCTGTGTGAGAATCAGATCAGTGCTCTGAATCTACGATCATGAGGACTAAATGCTAGCACTCACATGCCTGAGAAGAAGATCCGTTCGCGTGCAGTCAAAACATGTCTGATGTCCATGGTAGAGCACAGAAACCATTGGCCCATGGTGCATACAGCTACCATAAGGATACGGCAGAGAAAGTCCGGCACCACCGCAAAAGCTAGTAATGGCAAGAGTAGCAACAAAGGCAGGCAAGCTGTCGCTGCTGTCACTGACGCTCCGACATTCCTGTTTGGAAAGACGAATAGATCCTTTTCGTGCTTAAGGAAAGCCGCTTCTATCATGTCGACAGGACGATGTGTCGACATCCATTCGCGGTAACGTGCTATCTCTGCCTCTTGCGGTCTTTGCAAATCCTTGGAAGCATTGAAGAATGCCTCGACAGCACGNNATCTGCTGCTTCATCAGCCAAACACTTCAGTTTTGGCACCAAAAGCATACTTACGATATCTTTCCAGCTTGACGAAAATCTCACCCAACACAAACTTCCTCCTGAACATCAATTCACTGTCTGCAGGTGTGATTCGTGCTTCTGCGCGCCTTGACGCAGGCTTCGACTTTCCTTCAGAAACCACGAGTCCGATCTGAGATATCCATTCATCCAGACTGCGCAATTCTTCTTCGTACTCGCAGATCTCGTCTTGTAGGTATAGAAGCAAGCGATGGTGTAAGTGCTCAAAACTGCGATACATTGGTCGCGCTCCGATGGTTCCGTCTGTCAGCTTAGCTGCTAGAAGTTCATAACCTTCGAGCGTGGTCTTTTGGAAGTCAGGAAAGCCCGAAGCTGCCGGAGCAGGTGATGGTATCCCAGCTTGAGGAGGCGGTGGCCGTAAGCTTTGACCGTAGTCGTTCCAAATACTTGATCGTTGTGCTTGTAGACTGGTAGGGTACATTTGAGGCCGATATGGACCTGGCGTCGGAACAGGATTGCTATAAGTTGGACCAAAGGGTCTCTGTTGGGATGCAATGTGTTCGCGAAGGGCTTCCACCTGATCATCAAGCCTGACATTGGACCGAGGACTCTGAGGTAACGGACCTGCCCTCTNGTTCATGCCGGGTTGCACAACCTGATGCCCTTGTTGTTGGAACAGAGATACACCTGTTCGAATCGGGATGGGTGTGGGCCGACCAGGTCCTTGACTCCAGGCACCATCACCTTGCTGACTTGTCCAACCACTGTTCTGAGATGGAGGTATGGCTGGTCGAGCTAAGGGAGGTTCTGAAGATTCAGGCGAAGCATATGCTGAGCGTATAGACTGAGGCGAAGGCAGAGAAGTCGAGCCATCGGTGTTCAACAGTGGTGGCCTGCCAACACTCTCTGGAGTCAATGGCCATTGTGCCAAAGAGTCGGGATAATGTGGTTGGCTTCGTTGTCCAAGATCCGCGGAAGTCTTGGGTAAGGAAGATGTTCCTCTGTCGCCTGCTGCAGCTTCTTCGGCAGTGAGTTGTTGATGCTCTCGGTGCTGCGAAGCCATCTCAGGCTGTGGCTCCATATAAGCAAAGATGTCCCTCCTCAAAGTTCTTTCACTCTCACTCGGTCTACCAGACATGCCTGTAGTTTCAGAACCAGTTGTAAGCGTTGGAGAAGCATGAGCACTTGATTCCTCATCCATCATAGGCTTCTTGGAACGAGCAACATCGCCAGGCACCTTACGAGGCCCATGTCTCCTCATCAGCATACTTTCCGTGCCCGTGGTATTTGACAATCGCCGGCCAGTCTTTGCAACCTTGAAGGGCACGCGTTGTTGCACATTTGCCTGAGGTTGTGTATTTTCGCGTTTGTCCGTCGGGGTAAGCTCTGTCTGTAGGGCTGAGAGGCCTTCATCTATATCTGACCGTACCTCCGATCCTGACTGTGAGACTTTTCTGCAGCTTTGGTTGTTTAAAGGTAGTTCTGTAGAAGACTCTTGTGCTGAAGTGGATGGAGTTAATATCGGTGAGACTGGTGATGGCAGTGATGTTGGAGTGTTCGTAGGATTTGGCTATGATGCTTCTGAGTGAGGGTCCTCGATGGTCAAAAGAGGGGCAGTTGGACACCCACCATTCTGGCGCACGAGCGGCGGCACTTTAGACCGCAGATCTTGCTCTGATTGCTTGCTTCAACCTCAGCTCATCTAATCTCGTTGGTATTTGACAATCAGTGCTGTAAGATGAAGAGTATCGGATCTGTAGATCGAAAAGTACTTCACTGCTTAGCTGAACGAGAAAGAAGGCAAGTCATGATTGCGAGAACGTGATTGATGAACAGAGAGCAAGAGAATTGTGGGTGGACGAACGCTGGTCCTGTGCAACCAGAGGCTTCCCGATAGTCTGGTAGAATCTGGCCGCGTGCATGATCGGACATCGCTGCGCTGGCGACCGATATATCCAATGGTGATGACATGGAGCAGATGTGTGCATGATTCTCAAAAGGAAGGTAAATGCATTAATCTTGACCGCATGTTTGAGAAGCAGCGTCACATCTTAAGCTCTTTCGCATCTTCGAATAGCTACAAATATGCCTAGCAATAGACGCTATGCAGTTTGGATGGCTGAAGTCTGTAAAGAAAGGACCATTTCTCAGACTGGTGTTGGAACTGACAAAAGCTCTCTGAGGAGTACATCATGTGTTACGGATAAGATATTCGAAAAATGGTCTTCATGATAACATGCCTTTACTTGGCTATTTGTGAGATGTATCAACTGTCTGTTATTCACGGTACATGGTGGTATTGCTCGTAACAGTAGGAAAGTCGTCTATCCAATCAACAAATGACGATAAGGAGGGACAAGTGCACGTCAAGAAGGGAAGAACATTGGCTATTATTGGAACCCTCTGGGGGTAACTGCCTATCATAACGAAACCGTAACACATAACATCAGCGCCAACTCCAACGCTAAATCGACCTCAGCCATTTTCACGCTTTCGCGACACCACACATATACACATACTCAACCGCCTGACGTTCTCTATAGCAGAGTGTCACCAAGACCGCAGCGAACGATAGAGATACCGGCACGAACGGTCTCGCTAGCGCCGTGAGACTCGAGACTGGGGTTAACCTCGACCAAGTCTAGGGCAACAAGGCTGCCAGTCTCATGAACGCACTCGGCGATGAAGTCACCCTCACGCAAAGTCAAACCACCACGGACTGGTGTGCCAGTGCTGGGTGCCCACATGGGGTCGAGCGAATCGATATCGAAGGACAAGTGGATGGGAGTGTCGCTACCAATCCAGCCAAGAGCCATGTCCATGACCTTGCCAATACCGTATCNTGTGGTTGCCAATTAGTATCATAATGTCCCAAGGGCAAAGGATAGAACTTACCTGTCGATATCGTGCATAGAGAAGGCCTTGATGTTGTGCTCACGCAAAATCTTCTTCTCGCCGCGGTCGATATCTCTCAGACCGATGTAGACGAGCTTCTTGACGCTGACGCGCTGGTCGTCCTTGATCCAGCCGAAGCAGTCCTCCTTGTCTTCNNCCTTGGCCAAACCGGTCAAGAAAGCGACGGGCATGCCGTGAATGTTTCCACTGTCCGATGTCTCGGGAGTGTTGATATCGGCGTGTGCATCGACCCAGATGACGGCCATCTCTCTACCAGTTCTTTCTCTGATGGCCTTGGCTGTGCCGGAAATGGTGCCAATTGCAATCGAGTGGTCACCTCCGAGGGTCAGGACAAAGCGGCCATGGCGGGCATGCTCATAGACTTGCTCGCTGAGACGCTGGGTAACGGCACTGACAGCGCGAGGGTTCTTCATGCCGCGGTATACGGGGTCTTCCTTGGGCATGATGTCGGCGTACTGGTGCACCTCTCCGTCGTAGTGCACGTTGAATTCAAGCTCTTCTCTCAATTGTTCGACGAGACCGGACTCGATCAAGGCCATGGGAGCAGCATCGACGCCAGACTTGCCCTATCAACCGTGTCAGAGATATTGGCGTTCGCACAGGATGCCGGTTGCACTCACCTGGCCTCCGCAGAAGCCTACAGCAACGAGGCCCAATTCATTGCGAGAAGGCAGGAACTTGGGCTGAAGAGTTGGTGCATCCATTGTAGGCGGGGGTTTGGAGCAAACAGGCTCAGATGGTTCGTAGGAGGGAAAAATAGGTTACGATAAGAATTTACGAGTTAGGACAGCGAGGTTCACAGAAGAAGGTAGAGATGGAACAAAGAGATGGGAAGAAAGGGAATCAGCGAGCTTTTCAATAAGCCCCAGCTGACCCGTTGAAATCATCTTCGTGGCCTTTTGAAATAGACCATAACGTAAAGCGCGGTTGCAACTGTACTTAGCGGTATAAAGCAACAGCAGTGTCTCCTAAGCGCAGGTATAGACGGCGTCGAGGAAGTTTGGTGGTAGGAGGCCGCGTCTGTGCATTTTGGCCGGGCTTTGATCACAATCTTCATTACGAAGCAGAAACGAAATCTTATCTCAGCGTGGAGTCTGGGGATATATGACGAGACCACTATAACGATTGAGGTTCCTGCTCCAGAGACAACACTCGTACAGAGGCAGGGTGAGCTACAACTTTACATCTATGTGCTCGAGAGTCGAGAGTTACATAGCGAGCGGGAAAAGCCAAGAATTGAGTATGGCTTGACACTACAACAATCCGATTGATCCGAGACCTGGAGCAAGATTCGTAGGACTTAAGGATGTTCATGAGTCCATCTGATGCTGTTAAATTTCTCAGTCGAAAAAGCCTCAAAGGCGAGAATTGGCGCATTTCTCTAGTCAGGTCTGAACAATGATTCAATCTCGCGCAAGGGCAAGCATAGATGGGTATGCATTAATCTCTTGGCAGTATAAGTTATAAATGCCCTATGCGCCTAAGGGCTGGCTACGAGTACAAGGTCTCACTGAAACATGTTCTGGCTTCTCGCCTTGGCCGAAGTCTCACTCAAGACATGTAGAATTGGAATCAGGCCAGTACTACAAGGTCAGTTTCAAAGAGCATCAAGACCATGGAACGCAGCAACACCACAGACACAAACCACATTTATGCTTGTGCCTTAAGATGGCAGTATTGGGGATGACGGGCTTCTTTTAGCGCATGCCGCAACAGGAAATTTGTTGCCAGACTTTGCTTATACACTGTGCTCAAATTGTGCGCAAATGTGGCCATGGCTACAGCGCCCAAGTATGAGAAGTGTCAATAGAGTCTATTGGAAGCGTCGCATGCATGATACATGGGTACAAAGTAGTACCTGGTTTGCTCCAAGGTGAGATGAGATGTAGGCAGATATCCGGGCGGCGGGAAGCGGCAGACAAACGCAAGTGCACATGGCGATCTTCCAGTTCTTTGTCAAAGCAGCTCTTGGCTTGTTGGATGGGCGTTGCTGAGGGAGAGCGAAGGCTGGCTTAAGACTGCGGTGCAAAGAAGAGCACAGCGATGTAGCTAAGACAAGAAACAGCACAGAGGGCAAAGCTTAATAAAGAGATAGATTGCGGAGATGTCGGCATGTGTGTTGATATGCAGGGTATTTTGTGGCTGCAAGGTCGCGGTGCATGTGAAAGTGATGGATGTGAGCGAAGCGCGAGCCAAAATGGAGTCGGAGCTCGTCAACGGGGGTGCAGTCGACGCCCCTTTCAGCACAGAAAGCGGGTCTTTAGTGTCGTGATAATCGTGGGTGCAACCATGATTTGAATATACCACGCTGTTTTGAAAACATTGACGACGGCCGACTGCCACCATCGGGCCTGGAGCGAGACCAAGTCCAAGTGATCGCCGTGTCCAAGCAGCGACGCAAGACTCGACTCAATTGCACATCCCAAGTTGGCACTTGGACGCAGCCTGCCCTCCCAGGCTTCGAGCATTCTTGATCATCCATTGCATCCCCCATTGCCATCCAAATCCCTCGGCGCGACACGACCCATTTTCGACCCGAACCTATCCATTATTGTCCCCCGTCGCCATGCGCTGAAGACGACGACCACATAGGAGCCCCAGGAGATCACAGCATGCTCCATACCGGCGCAGCGCAAGCCGGCGATGCATCCCAAGCCCGACAGCACCAGCACCCTCACCAGCAGCGACCCTACCATGACCGCTTCGACCTGACACGTGCCCCCTCGCCCGGCGGAGATTCAATCTTGACTGTCCGCATCCCTGGCCACCAGAACCAACACCAAGATGACCCTAGTCGCAGGGTCAGTCTTCTCCACGATCGGGGTCCAAGCGACTCTTCACAGTGGTCGCATACTGAACAACACGGACATGGCTTGGCCAACCTGAATCGATGGTCTCATTCGACCGCCTCCAGTGTTGCATCCATTGACACCCCACCGACCGCCATCAAGTCGCAGCCCCATACCAATCCATCCAGCCACGGTTTCCATACAGGCTCAATATGGGCTCGCCGCAATCTCCCTGATACTCAAATGTCTCCAGAGGATGTATCACCACGATCAATTGCCTACCAGCGCCCTCAACCCATGCAGAGCCCCGAGTACCATCGCCGCCGTGTGCCTCGTTTTGAGAAGCCCCTGCCACCACGCATGTCAATTTCAAATCATTCTCCCAACGATGAAGCCCAGTTGACCAGCGCCACCTTCACTCCCACCAGCGCTGGCTTGCTCACCCCCAACAGCTACGTCAACTCGGACTACTTCGGAAGCACTGCCTCTGCTTCAAGCAGCTACGACAAGTCTCCGCATGCCTTGCCGCCACGCACCTCGTCGCGTCAGAATGGCTCCATATCGAGACAGGACATCAGCCCTGCCGAGAGTAGTTCGGGTAGAGGAAGAGGTCAGGACAAGAAGATGATGCTGTCCAAAGCTTTGGAGAAGGCGAACACTGCCGTTTTATTGGATAATGCCATGAACTATGAAGGCGCCTTAGACGCATACCGGGATGCCTGTCGTTTGCTTGAGAATGTTTTGGACCGTACATCCACCCCCGATGACCGCCGGAAACTTGACGCCATTCGCGACACTTATACCATTCGCATCGACGAGCTTCTGCAGATTCAGCTAAACACGCAAGCTACAAGGAGAGACAAGCAACTGCCTCCAAGACCCATGAGTAACGAGTCTCTTGTTTCGGATGTTTCTGGACCAGACCGCAGCTCGGCTATCATTGAGACTGCCACATTGACGCGAATCATCGATGCTCCACCTTCCGCAAATGCGTCAGCTGTGCCCTCACCGATTGAAGGTCCACCTACCTCCTTCCTGGCTGTATCGCCTTCTCATGGCCCACGTACTTCCTTCTTGACCAGTGCAATTCAAGAGGTTGAAGGCACCTCCGCCCCTGGCGCCTTCTTGGGTCCACTATGGGAGCGTGAACGATCGAGATCTCCTTTCAGAGATTCTACCATCAGCCACAAGACCGCTCGTCCTTACAACCTCGAGCCCGCACTTATGCCACGACCATTGACTCCTAGAGGATATGATGAGCACGAAAACTCCTTCGAGCTCGACTCTAGACCCACTACCGCAGAATCCCAGGATGTTCTTCAAAACACTGATCCAGTGTCATGGCTAGACACGATAGACGAATCTGGATCATCTGGTTCACCATCAAACACCACCACATCTACTCGCTCGCCTTCGTCTTCAGTACATGAACATTCGCTGAGACGGGGAGTTCACCGTAGAGACATAAGTGCTGCTGTCAGTCACGCTAGCTTGGACTTTGATGCTGCTTTTGATGCGGCCGTTGAAGCTGCTTATGAAGATGGCTATGAGGTTGATGATGACTTCCTCGTACATCATGCGCCTCTTCAAGACAACCAGATGTCGCTCGAGCCAGATTCAAGTCGACCTTCTGAGTCTTCTTTGGGCCAGTATCTTACGTTGGACGGTCAGCTCGACGACGACGAGGCCGAAGAGGAACGCATTCTGGCGGATATTACCAATGATTATATAGATCACGGTTTCGATTTTGGCATTCAATCCAAGTCTGCCCTGCCGCGGCAGTCCGACTCTAGCACATACTCCGGCCGTACATATCAGAGCTCGCAAGTATCCAACCGGACGACCGCAGGCACTTCACTGTCAACTGTTGCAGAGAATGTTGTATCACGCCACACACCATCTTCATCACTAGCAACCGACATTTCTAAGACATCCCCTGAGCAGACCAGCGGAGCCCAGCAGACGACCACACCAAGCCGACGAACCACCGGTCCCAACTTCAAACAGCTCAAAATCGAAACATCGCGCAAGCCCACTCTGAGATCACGAGGCTTTACGAATACTGAGCCCAAGGAGGCAGCAGATGCTTTAGATGTAGAAGATGAAGCGGATGCGGACCGTCGAATCTCAGAGGTTCCTAGCTTACGTCGCGTGGAGGCAGCGCTTGCCTCGCCTTATCACATGCGGTCTGCCGCTTCAGATATGGCAACACCCATGTCCTTAGACAGCCTGCCCGAAAATGGAGATGGCCTCAATAACAGTTTCCGTTCGCCAAGGCCAAAATTGTTCCGAGGCAGGAACAAATCCTCGCTCAGTCTCCGGGAGACAGGAGGCTTCATTTTGGAAGAAACTGATACTGCTCCAGCTTCTCCCATGTCAGCATTTCCAGGTGGCGGAGAGGTACCACCTTTCCGGAGGTACATAACACCACCTGGAGGTTCAATATCTATTACACGCACGGATTCGGCTTCTGGAGGTCATCATATCTTTGAAAGCTTCCTCAATCCCCCTAATCAACCGCCGTCTCCTGGGGCAGACGATTCATATTCACCATCATCATTAGAACCTTGTCCAGAGCCGACATTATTACGACCTTTCTGGATGCTCCGCTGCATCGCTAATGTCCTCAATCAACCTCGCGGTGGTTTCCTGACCACCCGGCTTTTCGTTCCTCGCCAGATATGGATGAACCGCAGCGTCAAACTCAAAAGTGTCGAAGACAAGATTTCCAACTGCGATCTGTTGACGGCAGCTCTTGGTAAATTATCTAAGGTTGATACATACGATGCAGATGCAGTGCTGGAGGGGCTTCAAGGGTTCGAGGAGGTAATGGAGCGCGTACAAGCTGTGCTCATCAAACGACTCGGCAGCGAAGTAGGCGTGCAGGGTGTCAGCGCAATCTTCAAGGATGCACCGGTCTCGATTGATAGCACTGGCACCACCGCCGATGCTCGTGAACCGAAGCCGAATAAAAGCTACCTCAGTTCTTGGCGCAAGCTTCGAGGCAAGAACTCCTCAGGAGGCGTCACAGTTCCTATAAGCAGCAGTCGCACAGACAAGGAAGTTGCAAACATGGCTAGCGTGCCCATGACCAGCTTCGTCTCCATTGACAAACGTACTGCACACAAGCACACTTCGCCCAAGGAAACGACCTCTTTCGAAGGCCCACACAGGGAATACATGAGCAGTGTGTCTCGACTGTGTGAAGCAGCACAGGTCCTCGATCAAGTTGCACGTCAAGTGGAAGATCCTGGCCTCAAGCACTCTTCACCGACACACATCGGTCTGGAACTCAGTACCCGTCATGCTGCAGAGTTCTTCGGTTTTTACATCTGCAGGTTCGTCCTTGGCGATGTGACTCTGCTAATGGACAAGTACGTCAAGAGGAGTACCGAGTGGGTCATTGCATGATCTTCACCCGTTGCACCTTGACACTATTTCTGGTTTTGAGAAACCTACTATTCTCAAACCTCTCGCATCATCTGCATTTTTCTATTGCAGCATATTGTTATGTTGTACACGTAGACGGTCATCACCATTGTTTTGTTTTTCTGGCATTTGGTTATTTGTTGGAAGCATACCCAAAAGGTCACAAGTGACCTCTGCGAGTTGTTTTTGGTTTTGTCTTTGCTTTTGCGAGTTTATCATGTTGTCCTGAAATCTAATATTTATGAATGGAGCGGCTGGAGGAAGAGGAAGAAAGGCGTGATTCAAAATCCTAAACGAGTTTCCAAGATGAATTATTCTTTCCTCTTATACAATCCTAAGGCAGTTGCCATAACGTTATTCAATTCCTCCTCTTCGACAGATTTGTGGTGATTTGTATAAAGACCTGAACTTCCGCTACCCACCACCCGCCAAGACCTACTGCACAGACCACTTCCGCCCTGTATGTCGCATCTCCAACAAGTTATCGAAAGCACCACTCAAAAAGTTGTCCAGTACATCTTTAGTGCATCACAATGGCCAAGAAAGGTATGCGCAAACCACTGCTATCCATCATCTCCCACAGATCTTTCAGCCATACTTACCAAAAATACAACAACAGCAAAGTCACGCACCATCGCCGTGCGCCTCATCTCCATGGCTTTGACCGGCTACTACAAGACCCTCGTGCGCCCGCGTCAACACAGACCGTTGAGCATGCTCAAGTACGATCCTGTTGGTACGTTTTTGTCTCCTTACGCCTAAAGATTCTTGGATGCGAATGAACGGTTGCGAAAGAAAGAGGAGGATTGGAATGAGAATGAGAGAAATGGGAGAAACACAAGAAGAAGAAAAGAGAAGGAAACAGGTCGCAAAGGAAACATGATCAAGAAGAGAACAATGGCTAATTTTGTATTTTGCGACTTACAGTCAAGAAGAAGGTTCTCTTCCTCGAGGCAAAGCGTGGTGGTTCAAAGTAATCGCATCAACGACACGGACCAAACGACGGTTGCTATACCTAGCAGCTTTTTCATACGCTTCACCGCGTCCGACCGATTACACAGCCGCCATATTTCCACTCTTGAGGATACCAGGGTCATTTTCTTTATGGAGTCAGGGAAGAGCATGGATCAGGCGTTTCTTGGGGTTCGACATTATCAGCAAAACGATGTCCGTATCAGGGCCATGTACAAAATGTATCATAACTCATACAATCTTCCCATCGAAGCCACTGTTCTCGAGCAATTCTCCCTGCTTCAGCCATACACGATCAATTCTCTACCGACACAGCGATTGCCATCCGACCTCGCCAACTGCATCTCGAGCAATTCCCAAAAGCATATCGTCATAAAATATTGTCCATCCATTCCGAAACAAACTCTTCTCATTTCTCGTCATCCATGTTAACGGGTGCGTGGGCTGCTGATCTCATCGTTGAAGCGGCTCATCATGTTCTGCTCCTTGTCTGCGTGTCCTTGTCAGATATGTCATGTGCATCAAAACATCTTGTTCTTACTGGTTCTGCTAGAGCGACGTCTCTGAGGACCTGGTGTCGCAGCTGTCGTCTGCGAGCGGCGTGGTGTCGCGGTGACGCTGCGTTTACTGGCCGTAGCTGCAGCAGGAGTTGCGTTCTCCGTGCGCTGTCTCTTGTTGGCCTTTGTGCTCTGAGAAGCGGATCGTTTTTGGGGACTGCGACTGCCGCGAGCTGAGCTGCTGGGAGGCGAGTACACATCGCTGTCTTCCGCATCCGAAACATCATAAGTGACGCGTTTACCCTTGCCGCTGCTTCCAGTCTTGAAGTTGTGAGGTCCACTGCTTAGTGCTGACACCTTCTTGGGCAGTTGGGAAGTGGCTGCTGATCCTTTGGGCACTTTCGGGATTGCTACGGACTGCAGAGCTCCAGGTCTGCTCTGCTTAGGCTGGCTCTCCGCTCTGGGTGTGGTGAGCTTCTTGCCCACACCTTGTAGGTTCTTGCCACCTGCTTTCATAGGTGTTTCAAACGCATGGGAAGCTACGGCCAAGTCATCAAAGGTGCTNNCAAACCCAGTGACTGTTGCTGTGATTGTAGCTGGGTGTTTAGATCCAGCGACTGCTGCTGTNNGTTTGGGTTTGCTGCTGGGAGACCTGCGTGCGATTCTGGCTTTGTGACTCTTCCCATGGGAACTGTGGCTGTTCTCTGATTGTATCAAAATCAGGGGCCTCGCTCAGAGATGAGGATGACGAGACACGCTTAGGTGACTGAGGTTGCGTCTGCGCCTGTGATTGATTGTTCTNNGGCTTCTGAATCTTACTCCTTCAGCATCCAAGACCTCTTGGGAACCGAGACTGAAAGCTCTCTGTGCCTCTGATTGTGAGCTGGCAGGCCTCGAGGTCGTCTTCGCAAACTGCAATCGTGAGTTGTCCAGATCCAGCATCTCCTCTTCTTCCTGTGAAGGATCGTTCAGACGACCGACTTGGCCATTACCTCTTGGCTCGCTGAAAGGCCCAAAGATGGATGAGCCGGTACTTTTTGGCTGCGTGCTTTGAAAAGCGCTGCTTGTAGGCTGGGTCACATTGGTAGATGCGGCAGAGCTAGCAGGCTTCGAGACCGAACGGACGTTTCTGTTGACTGCTCTTCTGACTTTCTTGGCAGGTGGAGTAGATGTTTGATCCTGAGTGTCTTCCTGTGGTTGGGAGTTGGAAATCTGAGTGGCAACTGCAGTAGCTTGGGCATGATCTCGTTTCAAGTTCTCGGTGTCCTGCTTCAGCTTTTCGGTCTCGGCGTCCTTCTGGCGTATCATCTCCGATTGCTGGGTATGACGTTCATCCATTTCCTTGAGACGACTGTTGGCGTTCTCCAAGCTTTGTCGCAGATCCGAGATTTCTCTTTGTCGCTGCTCAGCCGCATCGCCAGACCGCTTCTCGAGGTCACCAAGTCTGGTCTCAAAAGAACGTTTGGCGGAGTTTGCTTCAGTCAGATCAGCCTCCATGGCTTTCAACTTGATCTGGGCATCTTCGGACGTGCGAGACGCATTCTCCTGGATGGTCCTGACAGTTGTCTCCTTGGAGCGATTGACATCCTCGAGTTCTTGCTTCAGAGCCTTGATACTGTCCTGCGCGGCAGTATTCGCTCCGTTCAGACTTTCAATCTGACGATCCTTGTCCTGCAACTCTTGTGCCCCCTTTCTCAAAGACTTCTCGGTTGACTGACGTGCGTGGTCGAGATCTTGCTGAAGCTTCTGGAGGCGACGCTTTGCTTCATCACTTTCATCAGCCAGACGTTGTATATCTGCATCTTNTTGCTTCAAATCTTCTCTCCAGGTCGCAGCACTGCGGTCGCCGTATTCTTGCTTCAAGCGGTCGAGTTGAGACTGCAAGTCCTTGATAGAATCTTCTCTGACGACGAGCTCGCGGTCCACCTCCTCTTTTTTCTTCTCAAGTCTCAACTTTTCGTTGCTGAAGTCGGTAAGAAGCTTGCGGTTTTGAATGTTCATCTCGGCTACAGCGTCCTCGTGCTGTTTCTTGGCCTATTAACGTCAGTAGGTGTACTATCATTGGCACACATCCAAGATCCTTACATCTGCCTCAATCCTAGCCTTCTCCGGACCAAAGTCAGGAATCGCATGTCGCGCGTCTTCGAGCAGCTTGGTGATCTCGCTGATCTGACCCTAAATGCATGTTAGTACACAGTCTACAGCCACGATTCCCTGCCTGACACACCTGCAAATCTCCCTTTTCGCGTTGTAGAGTGGCCTTCTGCTCTGTCATGGATGCGATAGTGGCCCTGCTTTCGACTCTGTCACTCTTCAACTGTTCGAGTTCTTGCCTGAGGTTGTTCTCAGACGTAGTGAGTTCCAGTACTCTGGCCTTGCTTGCTTCTGCGGCGGCTTTGTTCGACTCAAGGGTGGCTTGGGAAGACTTGAGCTCGTCGATCTTCTCCCTGAGTCCTGCTTCGGCGTTCGTTTTGTTGGTCAGGTCCGCCTCAAGCTTTGTAATCTTCTCCTTGCTCGACTCCAGATTCTGTTGCACTTCGGCCATACTCTCTCGCGCGGCAGCACTCTGTTCTGATATGTCTTGCCAAGTCTTGCATTGCGATTTGATGCCATCAAGAGCTGATACAACCTTGTTCTCTGCTTCCGTACGAGTCTTGGAGATGGAGTCATTGGCTTCCTTCAACTCTCCGACGTGTTTCTCGATGCTAGCAACTGTTAGCATATACCATGATCAACGTTGGGAACACACTTACCCAGAGGACAGCTGTTCCACCGATATCTTCAACGCATTCATGTTTGTGCCAGAAGAACGGAGCTGTTCAGATATACTTTCGCCCTCTTCCTCCAACAATTCGAAAAGCCTGCGGAAATTTTCACTCGAAGAAGTGCCTTGCTCGATGAAAGGTTTGAATACGCTCAGGTGATCGCTGATCTTGCTGACACACCCTTTGAGCATCTCCTCGGTGGACTTTCTCTCGGTCTGGTAGGTCTGGAGATGTTTGTCAAAAGCATCGTGACGCTGCTTCTCTTTGACGAGTGACTCGGAGGTTTCACGAAGACGTCTTTCGAGATCAGACTTCTCCTTGGTCAGGGTCGTGACATATGACTTGGACTCCTTGATGGCAACCAAAATGTCAGCCTTCCATTTTTCGAGCTTTGTAATCTGTTCTGAGCTTTGGGTGGCTGCATCCGACTTGGCGTAAACCTGAGATTTGAGCTCTCGGAGATCGTTGTCATACTTGGCCCTGCTCTTTTNGAGGCTCCTGATATCGTGGCCGATTCCATTGTAAGCCTTCACGATAGTCACAAGATGTTCAGATACCCCAGAGTATTTTCGAATCCGGGCTTTGAGCTGTGTGCATTCAGTCTGGAGGCTCGCCCTGTGCTTGTTGGCTTTCTCCAGCTCGGCCTGTTTGGCTGCAAGATCCTTCATCCAGTCTTGCTTCTCTTGAAAGCGCTCTTGCTCTTTTAGGTGATCAGCAAGCTGGTACAGCTGTGCAGCCGTGTATGAAGAGGGAATGGGCTTGGGATCGGTCATTGCGTTCCGTGGGATTGGGCCAGGTTGTGACGGCTTTCTTCTGCTTTTAGTCACCCTTGGCGAGCCAGAGCGATTGGTGACTCCATGGAGAGATTGGTGAGCATTTACAAGAGAAGAAGGCATCGTGCTTTCCGAACTTGGTTGATGCTGCCCGTTGCGATGTACCTTGGACGACAGAGCATCGTGAGCAATCTCAGCATGTCGCTCAGGAGCGCCTGCTTGCTTGGTCTTTGAAAGTTGAAGTGCCTTGTCAGGATGACTGTCCTTGACAGGGTGCTGATCCTTAGCCAACTGCTGCTCAGAGATTGAGTGCTGCTCTTCACTAGGACGGTGATTGTCGTTCGAAAGCGGAGTCTGAACATGAAGCTGTTCTTCCAGGTTGACGTGGTGATCTTCTCGAGAGATGCCATTCACAAGCTGCTTCGACACGAAATCGTCATTGTTGCTTTCACGCAAGGGGTCTGCCGTAGTAGAATCTTGCAACAGGACGTCGATAGAGTCGGCGTGTGAGGTCTCGGCTGGGACAGAAGCGTCTTCCTCGATGCTCATATCTCGCTGTTTAGCATGTTCAGTAGAGCTCGATTGTGAGCCCACGGAAGCACCGAGTAGTCCACGATCAGTGACGACGAAGATGTCTGCCGTGTCTGAAGGAGTTTCAGGATTGACTTCCGCAGCCTTGACTGAACCGATGTGGGGGGAAGCATCTCTGCGGACGAGCGACGTGTTAAAGGAGACATTGTCTGCTTAGAGATTGGCTCTTTGATGCCATAGTTCTGTCGTGAGGTCGAACCGTTGAGACATTGCGAGAAGCAGAGCTGTAATGAATTTCAGCATGTGCAGATGTTCAACTTGAAAGATCGCTTACCTCCTGCCTTTGGGCTGCTTTTGACCCTGCACGTGTGAGTGCTCTGTATGCTGTGGAACATTCTGTCGTGCACGAGGGACCGGAGAAACCTTCGAGTCCTCGGCAACAGGGATGGTCTGAGTCAGAGGTGAGGCTGTTGGCTGCACAGTTTTCTGGTACTCCTCAGGGGCTTCAAGATTCAAAGTCAGCCAGGAACCCAACCAAGAGAAGATTCTGCTAAGACCTTGTGAAATTGGAGAAACCGATAGTTCCCGTTGATCACTGCTTGCCGACGCTTGGTGCTCTTGGTTTGATACTTCAAATGAGGCGGAAGGAACAGCGTGACTTGACTGGCTCGATGAGACTGACTGCGTCTTGGTCGAATCGTTGTTTGAAGGCGCGTTGGCCTTTCCAAAAGCACCGAAAGTAAAGCGAGATACCGGCTCAGGCTCAGTAAGAGGCTTCGAGATGGTTCTTGTCGAAACGTCAAACTCTTCTGTAGAAGGCATAGCAGAATTCTTCCGAATGATATCGATAGCATCGTAGTCAAGTTCGTCGCCTCTGCTACTGGGCCTACTACTGGGCCTGCTTGTGGGGATGTGACTGTCTGACTGAGAATGAGGGCGAATAGCCACCTCTGTGCCAGACTTTGTGGGAATGCTGGTAGTCTGGACGTTCCCGTAGTATTTCGGCTCAATCATGTTGTCGAAGTCTGGGTCGTCAGAAGAGGCGGCTCTCTCCATGCGATTGAGACGACTCTGTCTTCTTGGCTGGCTTGATTCGTGCATGGCTGTAGCCGAAAATCGTCGACCTTCAGAAGAGCGGGCAAGGAGAGTGAGCAACAAGAACAAGGAGATGGGGTGTGGAAGGTGAGAGGATGGAGAAGCAAGATGGAGTATGGAAGAGAAAGAACGAGAAAGCGTTGAGAGACATGTGAGTGTGTCGTCGCTTGCTGAGAAGGAGCTCTCGGAGGGAAGGAGCTGCCCAGCACCCTTCTGCTCACTGCACTACGCAAGAAGCCGCCATCGTGAACCCACCTACCCCAAATTAATTACACAGGTATGTGTACACCCTACGAATTGTACTATGGCTTGTTCGTAGATATGTTACAGGCCTTTCAAAGCCATGGATGCAACTAATGATAACTGCTTCCCAAATCACTAAAGTTGGTCCGCGCATAATCCGTTGAGAGCACATCACGTTTCAATGCCCATACGGATAGGTCTAAAGCTTTGGAGCTCGTCTGATGAAGGAAGAAAGTATTGCTTGATAGTGCAGACGAAGAGTCAAGGTCGAAGTCGGATGTTCTGTGAGGAAGACAGCTGTTGGCTTGGCAGGCACAACTCCGCGTCACCCCCGAGTCTCTTTGATAGTCCATGTTGAACAATAAACAGTACCATCATCACATGCAATCCAATGCGTAAATTTGATTAGCACAAGAACACCTGATATCTCGGTCCTACACGACTGGACATAGCCCAGCATGGCTGACCCACTATACGAACTTCTTGCACCCTACTTCGACCGGCCTACCCCAGCGTCTACGACACGCGAGTCGATACCTCTGCCAAACGACCCTACAACGAGCGCCTATCTAGCTCGGCTACCCACCCTTTCGCTACAGTCATTGACCACAACTGAACCCTCCTACCTCAACTCAGCAACTCAGTCAAGTCTACGCTCCTTGCAGGCATTATCCAAGCGCTCGCATCGCTCCGTCATTACCGCAACTGATCACCTCTCGAGTCTTTCTACCCTTCTTCCCTCGCTTTACACGCAGTCAAAGGAGTTGGAAAATGCATTGCCGAATCTGGAGTCGGCTGCTACAAGCTTTGCGACTAAATACGATAGGAATACCGACAATGCCGTGCTTGACAGGAGGAAAAGAGCAATGTTGCTAAGCAGAAATGTGGACAGAGTCAGCGATGTCATGGAGCTACCAACATTGCTATCTACCGCTATAAGCTCCTCGTCAGCTGCTGTTACTCAAGGCACTGGAGGCGCAGCTGCTTCTGGTTATGCTTCTGCCCTGGACTTGCATGCACATGTTAAACGTCTGAGAACCTTGTACCCAGACTCCAACCTGGTAGGAGATATCTCGCGACAGGCCGACGACGAAATTCAGAATCTCATAACTGTCTTGATCAATGGTCTACAGAATCCCTCACTCAAACTTGCTGGAGCGATGAGGATGATCGGTTGGTTGCGACGTGTCGCCCCTGAACTTGCCGATGATACGTACAGCAGCGTGAACGGACAAACAAGAGGAAGATCTTTGGGAGCTGCCACAGGGGAAGGATCATTGGGGGCGCTATTCTTGGTGTGTAGGCTGGGTACACTACGGCGGACGCTCGAAGCATTAGACCCTCTGAAGGACCTTGCAGATCAAGAGACAAGCCGACGATCAGAACACAGTGCTCGTCAAGAAGCCTGGATNGGGGGCGCTCAGACCGAACGTTATTTGAAAAGATATGTCGAAGTGTTCCGCGAGCAGAGCTTCGCCATCATCTCGATGTACAAGAGCATCTTTCCATCGGCATTACCGATGCCTGGAGTGGCTGGATCAGATATCACATCGCCTGCTGGTACGCCAACACAGACCTCAAATGCTTTAGATGATGCAACAACGTCCTTNTTCGAAACCGACGACGAAAAGACACCATCGGCGCTTGCGACTTTCGCACCGCATCTAGTCGACATGCTTTCTGATACTTTACGGACTTATATGCCGAATATCTCAGAAAGGTCGTCAAGGGACAGTCTACTCACTCAGGTACTATATTGCGCAGGCTCTTTGGGGAGACTAGGTGCAGACTTTGGTATGATGCTGGCCCTCCTTGAAGACGAATTGAACGAAGAGGCCGAGGCTGGCGACACAAAACCCGTAGACGAGGATGAGCATGAATGGGTCCAAGTCATGAAGAAACACAGAGTGCAGGCTAGTAGACTAGAAATCCTGGCGAGCGGTGTTGGGTCTGGGCGGAAGACAAGTGCCAGTCTTGAATCTCGCAGGCCTTCTGCCGTTCCTGGTTAAAGAATCACAGATGAACAGACGGGCATGTTTGCCCACCTCCCCAGTCTTGCATGATGTTTGATCGCGCTTTGCCGTGATTGCCGATCTGTTTGAGACTAACAAACAAGCGTGTACCACGAGAGGGTGTATAGCGATCGTCTTGAGAGCTGAACGTCTGAACAGAACCAAGATTGTAGACAGTGTGAGCATGAGATAAACATTACCTTGGCTACTTGCCGAGTCTAAACTCCTCCAACTTGGCAGCGCAGTCGATGGAGATTCGGAAAAGTGGCTGGAGTCTGCGGGAGTGGTTTGCATGGGGTCAGCCGCTGGCGCAAATCAATTCATGATCCGCGTCATTCTTCAGACCATATCTTTCTTTTCTCCGACGTCCAGCCTGACTGAGGATAGTCCATCGGGTGCATAGACATGGCACTCGATTTGTAGATTACGTGTCGGTAGCGTAGTCGCGATAGAAAATCGATCCTGGAGTCTCTGTCGAGCCTTGTAGCACATGTTTCATCGTCTGAAGATGACAATTCTCTTATACAGCTTGAGCCAGGGGAAGGGTGGGTCAAAGAAGTCGGGATGCGCATGTCCGTCGTTCGTCTGCCGCGCGGCCATGGTCGACTGCATCTGTTGCAGTATCGATATTTCAGCAGCCCCGTCTCAGGCACACGGCATGTAGAATAAGGTGACGCGGTCATTATTAGATGTGTGGCCAAGTTGTCTTGCTTCGCTGCTCGTCACCCAAGCCCTGGCCCGCCTATCTGATCTGCCTATTATCATCAGCTCCTGCCTTGAATTGTTGTTTTCTGATTGTAATCCGAGTTTTCTGGTTGTTTGCACCAACTCGCCTCGATCTGGTACTCGAATCTTGGACTCGCCTTTTACCTCTGGTTGTCAACTATAACACGCCCAATTATCATTGATATATGCCTGTTTAGACCATCACAAATAACAAGCCAAGCTGCGACAGATCCCCGCCGTTCGCAATGAAAGGATCACATGCTCTAGTATTTGCCGGTTTTATTCACACCTTCACATTAGCCAACGACATAGGAGCAGAAGGATATTTTGACCCTAGCGATGGTGAAGCGTGGGAATTGAACTATGGTTATTATCCATATCGCTCATACCAAACCACCGACCTTATCTCGCCACAATTCAGGACTCTGGTTGACTCACCTGAGTGCCACGATGACCGACATGTATTTTTTACCCCTCGAGGATTCTCCATTGCGGCACCCGGACCGATGATTGTGGACAGTCACGGCGAACTTATCTGGGCAAAGAGTACAGAAGGACAGGCCTATGACTTGAAAGTGCAGGAATACGAAGGCAAACAGTATTTGACATACTGGCAAGGTGACGACAGGATTCGAGGCCATGGTGCCGGAGACTATTACATGGTACGCTCTGTCCAGCACGTCAGCATCCACAAAGTGCTAACATGCCCANNGCTCAATACTGGCTACCAAGAAGTGCACAAGATCTCAGCTCTCAACGGTCTGACAGCCGATCTTCACGAACTCGTCATTACACCTCAAGGCACAGCGCTGCTCACTGTCTATGAAGTCTATCCGCACGATCTGAGCGAGCTTCGCAACTTCGAGGAGTGGGAAGAAGATCCACATTACATATGGGACAGTCTTTTCCAAGAGATCGACATCGAAACCAACGAGCTTCTGTTCCAGTGGCGCGCATCAGATCATTATTCCATCAGCGAAACCTTCAAAGCGATAGGAGGTACGGGCACCTTGAACGAGCCTTTTGATTGGTATCACATCAATTCTGTGAAGAAAGACGAATTCGACAACTACCTGGTCTCCGCCCGCTATACACACACTGTAACTTATATCAACGGTACTTCCGGGGACATCATCTGGATTTTGGGAGGCAAGCGCAACATGTTTAAAGACCTCGATGACGGCCTCGCGACATCTTTCAGCTGGCAGCACGACGCTCGATTCCAAGANAAGAAGGCTTTCCCCGAGCTTTTCCACGAAGACATCGCGCTCCATGGCAGNCAAAAAGAGGTGGACGGTGTCACGAAGCAGCTCGTCACTCTNTTTGACAATAGTGCCGAAGATATCGAACATACACTTGACTCGTCTCGTGGCCTTTTGCTCGAGATCACATATCCTTCTGCTCATTCGCCATTACCACAACATGACCTCGCCAAACGCGATGCCGCCCAGACCCAGGACGACAGGTATCTAGCCAAGATCATTCGATCGTATGTCCATCCTCAGGGCCCTCTGTCAACCAGTCAAGGTTCGCTACAGGTAGTACCCTCCGAGGATGACAAGACAGACTCAAAGGTCTTCGTCGGCTATGGATACAATGCTATCTTGTCCGAGTTCAGTGCAGATGGCACTCTCTTGTGCGACAATCATTTCGCGACTAATTACTCATGGGGTACTGGCCAGGTCCAATCTTACCGTGCTTTTAAATTTTCCTGGACCGGTCGCCCTGTGGATCCTCCTACAGCAGTGCTCTCAACGGACGGCCAAGTCTATGTTAGCTGGAATGGAGCCACAGAGGTCAGAGGATGGGTTCTGCAACACACCCGTACATTGTCTGCCGCCGAGGACGCCTGGAAGAACGTCCTCGATGTCGACAAATTCGGCTTCGAGACTGTCATTGATATCGAGGACGTCGATCTACTTCGGTACATCCGAGTCAAAGCGGTTGATCAAGATGGTGTGATGTTGGGTGTGTCAAGGGAGATTGACATGGGCTGGAGTGCTGTTTTGACAAGCTCCGTGCCACAACTCAATGCCATTGATATGGCACCCATCAAGCTGATCATGTTGATCTGTATCAACGTCACGATCGTGTTTGTTATGTACGAGCTCTGCAGGCGTCTCTATACGTGGCGTCAGACTCGCAAATGGCGGCAAAGAAGAGGCATCCGCTTGTTGTCTGACGCATAGAGATGAGTCTCGAGGTTGTTTTTCCTTTGTCATGTTGCATAGCGATGCGTACGCAAAGTGCTCTCTTTTGTTTCAAGACGGAGTTGGCCTGGCATATTTTTCTCATTCATGGAGATACCCCTTTTATATATCAAGCTGTTCAACGCCCTCTGTCGCGTTCACTTTCTTTGCTTTGTTCATACTCCGAGTTGCCGCATTCGCGCCACCAGATCTTTGGCTGTTCTGCAATCTTCAAAACCTTCGGGTAGCACTTCGTTCCAGTCCGCTTTTGCATAACAAGCATGGCAGATGTGGTCTTCCGATTCAATAGACTCCCACCAAATCCTCAAACCATCCCTGCGTGTAACACCACACCTCGTGCACGAATGCACGACCTTCTGAGGGTATAAAACTGGACGGTGAGATTTCCAGGGCAGCTGTTCACGAAACCATGGGCAAATCAAGATCCAATGATACACCACCCTGATCCTGCGATATGGCCCATCTATCTCATACAGTTCTTTGTGTCGCGCTAGAACTTTTGAAATTTCTTTGTTGCGATACTCTGAATCTGTGATGTATCGGTTGCGTTTGTGTATTGACTTTGATAGCAGTTGCGCTTTCCACCATTCTGGGTCCGACCTCTGTTTAAGATAAGCCTCTTTATCATATGAGGAGGCGAGACGCAATGATATCAAGGGTCGGATGAGGCATGCAGGTCGACCGACCAGTCTGCTGAAGGTCGACAACATGATTTGGGTATGGACCGTGGGAAGCAGAGATGACCAGAGTGCGATGGCATTCGCGGACAAATGGCAACGCAGGCTTTCTTTGCTACCGCTACACGTCAGTCATGGCTGCTCATGAGAAACTCCAAGGGGACCCAAGGAAACATGAGCCATTCACCACCTTCCGTGTGCGAAAGTATGTAACGCGTGTGGCTATAAAAACACATAATACTATCATGAACTAAGATAGTGTCCGCTGAGAAGCGATTATTCATCAGCTCTCTTTGGCCGTATCCTTATTTCATGATAGGATTGTGCATTGTTATAGCGTGTACTTTACTATCCTTGGGCACTCGGGGAGGCAGCAAAAACTCAGCGTGGGGCTGGCTCATGTTTGCTTGGAGCCACTCGCTCGACTCCATCCTCCAGAATCGTTTCTCGTACCAGGCAGTCAGTCTCAGAGCAGGTCTTGCGGTATGCCGAACTTAGCGTGTCCTGTCGTGTTGTGTTTCGCGTTCGCCGAAGCCGGCACGTTCAGTCAGGACGAAAGTGGTAACTAGAAGCGGACGACGCTCAGGCCATAACAGTTGGCAATCATCCTACCGAAGAAGACTTTCTCAGTTTCTACTTCATCTCAGCATGTAGGCAGTGAGTTGCTAATCAGACAACCGGTGATGCGTGAAGTGAAGCGATTTCCTAAGTGCAATGAACGATATGTTTGTGATGGTTTCCTCCACGCTTTTAAACAATTGCACTTTGAGAAGCTCTTCGAATGCAAAGGAATGACTTCGATATATGGCCATATCAAGCCACCTCGCCAAATTAGCGTCCGAGGGGACCAATCGCTCAAAGCTCAGGCTGACTTGTCAAAGGAAGGGCGCGCCCTCCAGAAGAGTCACAGGGTGACAGGCATCTAGGTACTCAACGGTAAGCAAAAGCCAATGATCTGACCTCCTTCTCTATTTCGATATTATCTATCTGGTCGTACGCCCTACACTTTCCTCTTTCATGATTCTTGACAAGTCGTGATTTTTTCTTTTCATTGTACGCCCTTGACATGTCGGCCTTGCAAGAAGAAGCCGATCTTGGCGAGTTCTTCGACTTTCAAAACGCCGTCTCGGATGGCGGTAGCATGCAAACTAGTGGTGCCATTGCTGATCTAGATTGTCTTTCGCATACTGCAGAGAGGTCAGCTCGTTGACAGATTACTCATTTACAGTGTTCTAATATCAAGCTTAGCGACCTCTACAACGAGAACGCTGCTCCCATCTTCGAGAACGAGGCAGTCGAAGCGGCAGAATACAGTAACTTCTCGAAATGGATTCCTAAATTCATTCAACCTGATGGACCTTGTACCTACTGTCGAGATCGCAAGCTTAACTGCTTCCTCAGTTATGGCAAGGTCACCTGTACTGCTTGTGTGAGTAGCGTACTTTCGTTTCGCCCAAGCATTTCGCTCATGACTTTGTGTAAANNGGATACTCTTTTCAGACCGTGCAGCTTCGTCAAGCCTCATAGCCACAATGCATATGAGCCACCCGAGGGAGAGTCGTCGATGGGTCTCATCGATACCTTACATCCTATTGGAGAGGATTGTCCTCAAGAACAGGGGAAGTTGACTGGTGTTCGATCACTCAAATCCATGCCGGACAAGAAGTCCAACAGCCGCTTCTCGAAAGCTGCCGTGAAAGTTCTAAGAAACTGGTTGGATGAACATCAAGCCAATCCATACCCTACTGAAGATGAGAAAGAGCAGTTAGGTCGCACGACTGGCCTTCGACTTGCTCAAATCAACACCTGGCTTGCCAACGCTCGACGCAGGGGCAAAGTCGGTGTCAAGAACAGGGCCACCTTGGATGGCCTATCACACTCAACCACTACTTCACTACCGCCTACAGCTGCCATTGGTATACCTGGTTCTACAGAGATCGAGATTAACAAGTGGTCAGACATGAACCCCCTTGAGCGATGGAAGCACTCGCCTCCTCAGAACGAACCTGCTCCTTTCAACGCTATCGCCGACGCTTTGGACAGAAGAGATCTACCCGACTATGCGGAGGAGTCAAGCTCCNNCCCTTCATCCTTGGGCTGGCGGGGTCTTGGATCAAGTCGCGATGACTCGAGATCCTCAAACCGTAGAGCAGCTTCTGTTACATCCTTGGAGAGGTCTACGTCCAATTCTGCTGCATCATCGGCATGGTCGAGCTCGCTCGCATCTTTTGGCTCGTACAGCTCTTTTGGGAGCAGTCTCAACGGCAGAAAAGAACGTAGACGCCGCCGAAAGATGCCTGGACCTGCCCTCAAGAAACCATCAAACGACAAGAACGTCAAGAAAGACAGAATCTACCAGTGTACATTCTGTACAGATACCTTCATCACCAAGTACGATTGGCAAAGGCACGAGAAGACATTGCATCTATCTTTGGAGAAATGGATATGCTGCCCATTGGGTCCTGAGACACTAGATCCCGTCACAGGCAAAACTATCTGTGCATATTGTGGTGTGCCTGAGCCAACACAAGATCACATAGAATCACACAACCACCGACAATGTCTGGACAAGGGATTTGAAGGGCGAACATTCTATCGTAAGGATCACTTACGACAGCATCTTCGACTTGTACACGAAATGAAGTTACTGCTGCACATGGAAGACTGGAAGACAAGTCTGTCAAAGGTCAATAGCAGATGTGGCTTCTGCAGTCAGCGATTCAGTGTGTGGTCAGAGCGCAATGATCACCTAGCTGCACACTTCAAAGACGGAGCCAAGATGAGCGATTGGAAGGGCTGTCGAGGCTTGGATCCAGGTATAGCTGCTCTTGTCAGCAGTGCCATGCCGCCCTACCTTATCGGCATCGAAACGAACTCGGTCAATCCATTCACTGCGACACAACCGATGAAATGTATGACGGTCCAGGCACACCTCGACGGCGGAGGCGCGCCAACCACATGCTGGGAGATACTGACTGTACGGCTTGGGAAATTCGCGAAAGAGCAGACAGATAAAGGCGTCGTCCTGACCGATGAGATGCTGCAGACACAGGCGAGACGCATCCTTTACGATTCTGATGATGCTTGGGACAATACTGCGGCTGACAACCCCGAATGGCTGGACCTTTTCAAACGAGCTCATGCGCTTGACTACATCCCAACCGAAGTATCGGGCATAGGCAAGAACATTCCTGAGGACCTCGAGATCTATACAGATCTTGGTATGAGGATTCCATTCAGCGTACAAGTGGCCCGTGGTATGTCGATCGACTACCCACCAGACAATCTACCGAGAACAGAAGATTTTGACCATCTTCAAGTAACACAAGAACAAACAGCGGCCAATGAAAGATTCGCTGCACAAAATGTTCACGGTGCAGCTACTTCAAGCAGGTCATCCCTGTCGCAGCCATCACCACAATATGGATCCAACTTCGCTACGCCAGCGACCTACCAAAGCTATGGCTCGACACCGCTGCAATTAGACACTCCTCAAGACATGGGCACAAACAACTGTTTTGATGCAGATATTGATGCCATGTTGGCAGAAGCAGGCTACCCGTCAGCCCCACAAGCTAGTGCAGGCGACCTCGCTCGGCAGCAAAATGCAATGGTCGCTCGTGAGCACGGACTAGATTCTTCTCTTACACCAGAAAAGGCCCAAGAGCAATTGGCTGAGCTGAACGCCGCCATGGCTGTGCTCACCGAACAGGCCGTCTTGTGCGACGCACCGTTCTCTGAGCAGTCATCAAGCACTATGGACTACACGAACTTGAGCATGGAAGCCGAGCTTTCGGACTTCATCAGGTCAACAACCACATCGACCAATGACAATATGTTTGCAACTACATGGGACAGTAAAGATCAGTTTGGAGTTCAAAATGCTTTTACCACTGCGGGAGATGAGGGTGGGATGATGGCAACGGATATGACGATGCAAGATTTGGACATGAGTGATATACAATTCGGCGATATGGACTTTGGATTGGGCTTCCAGTGATCAGGAAGTAAAAAGACAATATAACTTTTCGCGGATTTTCTTAAACACGATTGCTCTTACTTCTTTTCAGATCCTTTGGTTCTACCTCCCCGTGTACCAAAGTTTGTAACTTCACCGTACTCCGAACTATAGTTCAGAGCAAGATCTAGACTATAAAAGGCACAATCGTTATCAGAAACAGAGTGTGTCCACAGAAAGTCGACAACTTGTTGCCTCTCGGTGGGCACTATCTTGTTTCCGATTACTATTCTGTATTTCTACAGGTATACGTGTTACATACTTTAGTCCATGGGCAGGCGAGATGATCTTGGCGTACTTGTCATGGACAGACGATCGTCACAGCTGGCTTCTTGTTTGTTTGTTCTTTCACTATCATCTTTCTAACAAGATGCTCGGTATGGCTCTTTTGCGGTATGCTGCACTGCAGATATCCCCATTGAGGTGAATCTCAAAATGTAACAACAATGTGTTGCGCTAATCGAATGCAATCAGAGGATCAATTCCTTCCTTGAACAAACATACCACAACAGCAGGAGAATGGACTGCCAACCAAGCCTTCTGCTTATCTCGTCACTCCACGACATCAACTCAACCGAACAGCCTGGTGCAACACAAACACCAATCAGGCCTTTCCAGTCTCCATTTATCGGCCACTGTATCGAAGGCGTGGCNAAAACGCTACGATCGACGTCTAAATTCGCATCATCTAACACCATAGATTCCAGTCTATTCGCTATCTTAGACGAAAAATCTCTAGATGAAGATTCAGGTCTTATCGTTCAGGTCAAAGATGGTGAGGTAGACTCTGTACGCGTACATTTTGATACGATTAATGCAGAGTTGATCGGGGTGGACATGATTACCTTCGACATTGGAAAGACTAAGGGGCTTGTAGGAAAAGATGGTGTGTTTAGGACTAAACCACCGGAAGAGAGCAGGAAGGGAGGGCCTGCACCGAGGAAGAAATTGGGCTAAGTCGTGTTGAGTGTCTCATTTGCTTTCTTGTGTTTGCCACTGCAGCAATACACAATACTTTTGCAAAGAGACACGGCGTCTGTTGAGAGCTGTCATCACATTTGGTTCGGATAGAAGAAACTCCATTTCTAAAGCAACTGCGTATTTCTATAGCTAGCTGTCGTTTGGAGCCGTGATGAAAGAAAGGTGATCGGAAACCCAAGAGTCAATGGTGGTCTCAGCAAAGATATAAAACAGGCTTCACACAGTCCTGATAATCAGTAGGCTTCTCAAACTAGTACTTCTTGTGCGTTCGCCTCATTGCAACTTGCCAACCTCATGATGCTGGGTCTCAACATCTCCTATGGGTCCAACTTTGTTACTTGTCTTGCCAGCAACAACATCCTGCTCTTCCACTTTGTGAACTTCTTCAATCTCTCTGTCGATGTACTTCTGAGGTCTTTTGCTAGAGATGGCATCTTTGTCTCTGAAGACGAACAAGCTTGGATCAGATCTGAAATACTCGTCCAAGTCTTCCAGTGTTCGATAACTTGTTTCTGGGTAGAGCAGGAAGATAACAGGTAGGAAGAGGGCATTTGTCGCTACCCAGATAGGCCAGAACTTCCAGCCTAGATTTTGGAAACCAATAGGAGTAATCTCGACAATGACAAAGTTCGTGATCCAGTTCGTGGCAGTGGCCACAGCCGCACCCTTTGTGCGCATCGGCAAACTGTTGATTTCTGCCCAAGTCAGTCCACGTTTCCATCAGTTATATGAACCATGCGTAACTAACCGGCGGGNGAACAGCCAAGGCACGCCGAGCATCCCTACGGCAAATGCGATGTTGTAGAAAAGAAAAAGAANAATAGCCGCCTTAGCACATGCAGTAACGCCGTCGGCAATGGCATACTTCAGGAGGATAGAGATGCAAAGAAAAGCAATCAGCTGCAGCAAGGTGGATATCATCATCAAGGATCTGCGGCCCAAGCGTTCGACGAATAGAACCGCGACTCCTGCGAATATGAAGTAGGAGACCGCGTTACAAGCGGACAACAGTCGAGCCATCGAATTACTCAATCCAACGTATACAATGAGGACTGTTGGCTGGTAGTACGACATTATATTAATTCCGCCAAATTGCTGCATGAACTGTGTTCCAGCTCCAAGAAGAAGGCGACGAACGTTTTTAGTCCCGTCTTGAGTACGGCCGCGCAAGAGATCGCTCCACTTGATTGAGTGTTCCCGTTCGTACTGAACACCGTACGAGATCTCTTGGTACTGTGCTATGACATAAGCGTGGTCAATAGGCTTGTTCTCGAGATCAGCCAGAATTTGAGTAGCCTCTGTGTCTTGATCATGCGCAATGAGCCAACGAGGTGATTCGGGAAGCCAAGGCACCGTAGCAAACAGGACGAAGATGAAGATGAATTGCAGGGCTAGAGGCAACCTCCATTGGACCGAGCCCGGTACAAAGCTCAAGCCATAGTTGATCCAGTTGACAATCATGAAGCCTCCAACATTCGTCATCATTTCCAGGATGACAAGTTTTCCTCTGAGGTTTGCAGGAGCCGTCTCAGTCTGCCAGATCGGTGCTGTTGCCGTATTGATGCCGTTGCCGATGCCTAAGATCACCCGTCCGACGAACATTTGTGCTAGGCTGAACGAGCTGGTCTTGAGAACCACGCCGATGGACATGATTGCAGTGCCTACTATGATGGTCTTCTTGCGTCCTAGCCTTTCGCCGATGGTGAAGGCTACAATCGCACCAATGAAGCAACCCACATCATATATAGCCGCGAGAGTTGATAGGACCTTGGTCCTGGAAGGTCCTACAAGATCGTGTAACTCGAGAAAGTTGTCGCTTACAACAACACCAGAGAAGACACCCTGTATCGAAGAAGTGGTTAGCTAAGCTGGCTGCAGATCACCTGGCCTTCTACTTACCTGGTCATAACCAANAAGGGTCATATCCGTCGCACAAGCAACGGTAATCCAGAAAACGAGCCATCCTCCCCTCTGACCAAAGTATCTTTGCTTGGGAGCAAGTGACATAGCGTACGAGCCTCAGACGGAATCACAAATATCAGTTCATACACGAACTGTGAAAGTAACACTGCCATTCTCATGGTCGGAAGGAGCACTTCTTATATCTAGCTGCAGTCCCAACCACCTATCGTGGCTGGCCGGAACCATCACTGAGTGCTGAGGAATCGGCATACTCTTTCAAAAATACAATTCTGCCTAAAAGGCATCGGTCTTGCATGCCGCAGAATGAAACGATTCCCATCCTCCATGTACCTCCGCTAAGAAGGCCGTTGTGTCACGCTGTAAGTCGCGTCGTAACAGTTTTGTCAAGTAGTTGGAGTTTGTACTGGCAAAGCCGTCCCACATAATTGTCCATGGAGGATAGATTCGTCAAAGTAGTCGGGACGAATTGAAAAATTTATCATTTCTGTTAAGTATGCGGCGAGTCTCACACGAGCGTCCAGATTGTTCGTGCGGAGAAATCAACCGGACCAACTTGATGCAGCTTGAGTAGGGAAAGGGTCATGTGGTGTGATCCTTCGTGAGCGGCTATTGGCGACGGTAACACAACACCTCTTACCAGGTCTGCGGAACTGCAGTCTTGATTGACGCGACAATTCCGCGTGCAATCCTCCGGAAGATGCTTGGCAGCATGCGCGACAACAGCATCTCGGCTCAGAGAAGGCTCGAGCTAGAGGTGTAATGTGTTAGCCGTGTATGGCTGCAGAAGAGTCATCATGAAAACACTACAGCACCACAGGTTCTGGTGTCAATGGTCAATCGTGATGATCGTTGAAAGAGTTTGGCGAATACGCGCCAGAACTGCCGAAGATTTGGCAAAATCGCGGGCAAACTTCCAGTGGGTGGTCGGTCACGCTCCATGTTCAACATGTTACTTCCTCCCATCCGCAAGCATCACGAAGTGACAATAGAAGCACCCGGCTGCTGACATGTGCTGGGTCTCATATCAGCTAACCAGGAAGCACTATGTGGATACCCTCGTCATTATAGGTGGTTGGAGATCGACAGCTTTGCAAAGTACAGTGATGCTCTGACGAAGGAAGACTTCATGAATCATTGCCCGACTCGATCTGTGTAATGAGTCGAAAATGATTCTTTAGTACTTTCTTATGGTAGGGTCGTTGATAAATTGTAGCTGACAGACGGCACTTCTGGCGCAGCGAAGTTCTATAATAGAAGCATCTCATCAAGCACTTCACTATGGACGCGGCTTGTTCTGGAATGATTCCTAACTAAATGCAAGTGAACGCTTTCACAGATCGATGCTTGGAGAAGATTCATCGCGCATTTCCATCACTTTCCGTGTATGCCTTGTTTGTCAAGCACAACAAACGGACAATTCGACCTTCACTTGCAACACGGCGCACATCGCATAAGATCATCGCAACCACATCGATCCTCCTTCTTTCTGCATGTGCTCGACAAGATGCTGACCTACACGCGACTAAGCATAAAGCCGTTCTTCTATCCCCTGGGGAACACGCCAGCCGTCAACCTGCTGCGCAATCATCTTCCAGATATCGAGCCTGTTGAGATTCTCGCTATTGGCTGCGGCGACGTTCGAAATATCCTGTTTACCATCTGGTCTGAGCAGCGTCGCTCATGCAAACTCAACTTCACTGCGTGTGATTACGATGCTGCTGTTCTAGGTAAGCGCACTTCCTAACCCAGAGAGTTTGATTTTCCATCAGTAAGAGACACGGTGCTCCGCACAGGAGAGCATTCGTGTCTCTTGCCGACTCAACTTGACGAGCTCAGCTGAAATATAATCTGTTACTAACTATGTTCATANGCCCGCAACGTGTTCCTTCTGACAGCAATCATCACCAATCCCTCTTCTGAACTGATCGAACGCTTATGGCGCACCTACTATCACTTCTATGTTACCAAGACCGACCTCGAGTTCATTCAGAAGCACTGTAAACAGCTGTTTGCAGCCTCTGAGAGCATATCTACATGGAGTAACTCACCTTTCGGATCGTCGCTCAAGTTCTCTACCGAGACTTCTCTGTCTGAAGTGCGCCATTTCTGGGCTCTCTACGCTCAGACAAGAACCGAGCAGGAAGATGATGAAGTCAGACAAGCCATCAAGTCAGTTCACGACAGCAATGTGAAGGCCATGACAACGAGTGGCGCGCGATCTGCTGGCGCTCATGGTATTTCTGCCACTGGTCTCCTTAGCGACGCGTTCACTGCTTTTTGGAGCACTGGTGTCGTAGCAGGCAATGACCAGGATACGTCTATGCTTCGTGAGGATGACGGCGGCAGAGTCAATCCATTGCTGTCCGTTTCGCAATCGGATCAGTTCGACGTGTACCGCACCTCTGATCCATTGGTAGGGTTCCATTTGGCTGAAGTTTTTGACGTTCCTCAGCCAGCAGATGCAGCCCTGGACTCTCTTGCACGCCTGGCCAAATCTCAATTCTCTGGGTGATGTAACAGTTTTGCATCTATCATTTTATCGAGCTCGGTCAGCATTATACATCACTGTGGAGATGCTGTCAACTTCTCATATGCTTTGCAAGCTATTCAAGGATCTACTACTCTACCTCCTTCCACCTACTTCTACAATAAGCCATACAGCGCTGTTCCTCTCGATCCACCTACAACAGTGGCCACTAGCTACGATGTCATCGACACATCGAATGTCATGGATCATATCGGCCTTTTGACGCTTTTGCCTGCCGTTGTCCCTCTCTTATCCGAGAGACCTNNCAATCTTGTACAAGCCTCGGAAAAATCTGAAAGACTCCTGGAGACTCTGCTACATTCGAATGTCACAATGTCATCACTACTTCTTGGTATCGCTCCTACTGGGTACTTCATGGGATTGATGACAGATTCTACGCTTGTTGAGCAGATGAACGACACAGTACCGTCCAGTCGTCAAAAGCAATACCGTGTATGCATTCCGTGGCAGCGTGCTGCTCAAGGCGATAGCATGGTGCCTAACCTCGTATCGGCATCCTATCGTCTCGACATGGATCCGAATGAGCTCGCATCTTACTTCATGCAGATTTACATTGCTATGTTCCGTGAGACAGAAGACCAAAGTATTCAGTCCGAAGTCATGACACGCAAGGAGAACCAACCTTTGGCTCGCGACGTCGATTACTGTTCTCGACTCACGCTTGTTACACTCGTTGCCTCAGCCAAACGCACCATTTCTACCGACTGGCAAGAATGCATTGGCGCCCTCATCCGTATGATGGAGGACGACAAATCTCTTTCTGGNGGTTCGAAGAGACTCGCAGAATTTATGCTACACCTTCACCTGTCCGGCCTGTGGCATGTCTCTGGGCTCGAAGAGGGACCCTCAATAGTCAAGTACGACGGCGAGGCTTGCCCATCTAGCGAAGGAGGCGAATCTGGAGTGCTTGGAAAGCAAAACTTGCCTGGCACTCTTCAAGTCGCATTGATCGTCCCCAGAAGTAGCCTCACNATTTTCACGAATCCTCCTGTTGATCTGGTCGGAACCCCGGGGGTTNNACATCTTTGGCTGCGCAACAAAACTTTCGAGACTGCTTTCTTCGCTATTGATGTTTTCTTTGGCTACTTTGTATCAGATGGTCTTGATGAACCACGAGTCGTGGAAGATACTCATGGTTGGTCAGGCACTTCTGATTTGATTGTAACCTGCAAGATCCCTACCTATGCTTTGCTGCATGGCCCTCCTCAGGAAGCACACATTGAGCTTGACCTTAACACTTCACGTCCCATCCTGGGTCGAATTCCGGAGCCCAGATCCCGAGTCAGGCACTACAGTGCCACCTTGGACAGCAAGAATGTTCGGATCCTGACATCAGCTCCCAGTACAAAGCCTGATGCAGTGTTCGGTGCCCACCTTGCCGCCAAGTCAAAGCCAGCTGGATCGACTTGTGCTAGTGTGACTCTCAATTCTGATGGTACCGTGCAGTCTATTAGTGTGATCAACAATTTTGCACATGATTCAGAAGAGAGCCTTGCGCTCAGGAATGGTGGCATAGTTGAAGTCTCACAGAGGTCGCCATGCGTTCTTGCTGCTTCCATTGGCACTCTGAAGGATGTGAGCAAGTTCTACTTCCCCTTTCCTGTGAATGGAGCTGCGTACAAGATGAAGATCGCTCGCAAATCTTCATGGATAGAGATCAGAGCCCCTACATCGAACGCTCTGCAGCCTGGTGGCTACCATCTGGACCCGTTCCCTATCATCGATCAGGGCAATGGTTTCCTGGCTTTGGGGTTCAACCGCATCGATCCTGACCTTCAATCACAGATCGATACCTCAGCTTCGAACTGTACGTTCTTGCAACCACTCTCTGCCACGTCATTAAGCAGAAGAGAACATGCTCAAATCAACACAACTCAGATTACTAGCTCCCTGCCACCCATGACTCAGTTGAAGGAGATTGTTCGACAGTGGTTCTTCGCCTATGCTGGAATATTGGGCAACCCGAAGGGCCAAGATATCCGGTTGTTCACCTTGGTGCGCGAGGTAGAATCCAACAAGGTTGTACCTGACTGGATGGTCATTGCCAAAGCTTTGCGCCATGACCGAGACACGGGCTCAGTCTTTATGGATGCATTCTTCGTTCCTTCGACCCCAGAAGTGATCAAGTTGAACCCCTACAAAACCGTGAGAAACGGCAAGACGGTTCAGGACGCCGCAGTGATTATCGCAAGCAAGGAGGCCATGGATCTGTTCCAACGTCTTGTACCAGCTCTTGCTGAACGCTGTCGCTCATGGGAGCACACTCCAGACTGCAAGTACAGAGTCAAGTCTGACAAGACGTCTCTTTGCGGCTGTGGACAAGGTCAGGATGCTGCAATTATGCCTGAACCTTACAAGAAGGTCGCTCATCTCGCTACTCGTATCGCCATCCCCATCATCTTCGCCGTGCCTTATGTCGAGGCTGTGGGTGGTCAAGAAGTTATGATTGAGCTTGTTGCTGCCTTGCAACAACACCTGGAGGTGAGCCAGCATCACGGAAACACTGATTCCGTCTTGTCTGCTGCTCTAAAGATTGGCAAGGAAATGAAGCAGAAGACCGCTGACAATGCAAGCTGTGACCACTGTGGAAACAAGCAGCCCGGCCTCAAGCTCTGTGCTCAATGTGAGAAGGTCAAGTACTGTAACCGCGATTGCCAGAAAGCTGCCTGGAAGACTCACAAGAAGTTCTGCAAGCGTTGATGTTTTCCGATCCGATACAGGTTGAATTGGCTTGAGGTGGAGAAAGACGAAGAGGCATGGTACAGACAATATAGATACAGGAGGTTCTGTACAGCCCATCTCTGAAGTGTACGATAATAAGTAGCACACAGTACAACGAACTAGAACCCGATTGATGAGAAATATTGTCTTCTTTTCCGTGACTGCTTTGCCTTCTGTCAAAAGGGATGATCACTCCCAGGTGTTCATCCCCTTATCCTCTTTGTTTTTCTTTGCTTTCTTGTCTCTTTCTTCTTTCATAACTTATACCTTTAGCGCCTTTACGTCCACCGCCTGTGCACTTCTCGAAGTTCGTCGGCATCTCCCAAGATCAACTGACATAATGTAAAGCCCATAATACTATTTGAAGCTTCGATTCTTTTGAAATCACGAGGAAATGATTCCCAAGCACATTTAAATGGCTCCTCTGTTTGACGGATCCGAAGTCGTGAAGCATTGTGTTGATTGAGTGATTGATTTGGAAAGCATCGTCACGGAGGGTGACAGATGCTTGAGTCAGAGGGGAGTGCTGGAATGGGGTAGCTTGAGAGTTGGGGGAGATGACGACTACCAGGCCAGAGTATGTGTGTTGAGAAGACAAAGGGATGGAAGAGACGTAGATTGTCCAGAGAAGATGGAACGAAGTTTCATGGGAAACATGTGGTCCAGAGCAACGATGAGGCATAACTAGTTGCAGATCTGGAGCTTCCGGCTTGAAGTCAGCATGGCCGACCAAGAGTAGCAGTCAGGAATATGACAGAAGCAGGGAGCTATACCAGACACAAGTAACAAGGCGCAAGGTAAATTCATCACAGCTTCTATATTTTGCAACTGTACATATCCATCTACGCAAAAGCGACACTCCCACTTAAATCTCATCCTCGAACCTTCTAACCAACAACCCATCCTTCTCCAAAACCTCCTTGACCTGTCTAACCGTATACTCACCACGGTGGAACATTCCAGCGCCCAACGCAGCATCCACAGTAGTCTGATCAAACACCTCTGTAAAGTGGCCAGGGTTGCCAGCTCCACTAGACGCAATAACCGGGATCTTGATGGCGGACTTTACAGAACGGATCAACTCAAGATCAAAGCCAGAGTTTGTGCCGTCTTTGTCGATGCAGTTGAGCAGGATTTCTCCACAGCCCATGGCTTGGACGGCTGTGCAGAGTTGGATGACGTCCAGGTCGGAGGTGGTGCGGCCGCCGTGGATGGTGCATGCGTACCAGCAGTACTCCTCGCCGTTGGGGCCTGGATAGGGTGTTTTGAGGGTTGCGTGAGTGGTTTCTGAGGGGTGTTTGACGTAGATTCTGCGGGGGTCGACGGAGACGACGACGGCTTGGACACCGTAGGCTTTGCTGATTGTCTCGATGGCGGTTTTGCCGGACAGTGTGCTGTTGTTGGCGTAGTATTCTTGAGCGGCGGTTACGGCGTCGGAACCGATGCTTACTTTGTCGGCGCCGGACTTGAAGTAGAGGGTTGCGACTTCGAGGGCAGGAACGACGGTGTTTGTTTCGGGATCTTTTGTGTCGCGGATGCCACCGCCGATTGTGAGAGGAACGAAAACTGTGGATGAGGCCTGACGCAGGATCTCGAGCATGGGCTGGTCTTTAAGAGGAGTTTCGCGGAACGAGGTAATGTTGAGGAAGGTGACTTCGTCAGCGCCCTGTTCGTAGTATTTTTGAGCCATAGAGACGGGTTTGCCCAGGTTGCGTACGGCAGCGCCTTCCTCTTNTTCGCGAACGTCATATTGGTCACCCTTCGTTACGACGAGGTCGCCCTGGTCGTTTGTGCGGACATCGAGACAGGCAATGATGCGGCGAGTCAGACCCTCCTTTGTAGTCGAAGGCTCGGGTGTTTGTGGCAAGGTGGTGAGACGGTCGCCATTTAGGAAGGCCTTCAGGACGCGTAGACCGGCAGCACCGCTCTTCTCTGGGTGGAACTGGGTAACCAGGACATTGTCTCTTGCGACGGCACCGACGAACTCTTGGTTGCCGTAGCGGGCAGTGGCTACGGACCAACCAGCCTTCTCGAGAACGCCAGGCTCGTACATTTTTGCGTATGAGTGGACGTAGTAGTATTTGCTGTCGGGGCGCATGCCGTACAGGCTCTGGTTCGCATCGAGGCCGTGTTCTGAAGCCGTGTTGGCCGAGTTCCAGCCAATGTGAGGCACACTCTTGTCCGAGTCGTCGAATCGCTCCAGACGGCCAGGAATCACACCCAGACCAGGGACGCTTTCGTTTTCTTCGGAACCTTCGAACAGGGCTTGCAGACCGACACAGACGCCCATGAAGGGCTTACCGGTGGCAATGTGCTTCTTGATGGGCTCGACATAGCCAGAGTTGTTGAATTGACTGAGGCAGTGGCCAAAGTGGCCTACTCCGGGCAGGATGAGTTNTCTACGTGGCCTGTCAGTTTCCATCAGTTTGTCTTTTGATCGGCTTGTTTGGTGGGGTGTGAGGGGCTGTACCTCTGCCTTTTCCACATCTTCGGGCGACTTGATCCATTCGACTTGGTAGCCGACCTTCTCAATGGCATTGATCAGCGATCGGATGTTGCCAGCAACGTAGTCCAGAATGTGTACTGTCGGCATGTTGGTCTATATCAAGAGAAAAGGTGACGAGTCGGAAACAAAAAGACGACCAAGCACATGCCGATGACTGTGTTTGGTGACGCGAAGCTCTCGGTCCGCTCCGATGACCGCCCTCGGCCCGCAGTCTGGACGGTGGCAGAAATTATCTCAGCCCTATCGACGAACAAGCCTGAATCTGCAAAGACAGAGGCGCATTCTCGTCGCATCGCAAACCACACACCTGATTGCCCATCATGGTCAGACAACTCAAGCATCACGAGCACAAGCTCCTTCGCAAGGTCGACTTTTTCAAAGCCGACTCAAAACAAGGTTCCATCCGCCAGAATGATGTAGTGCGCCGCGTAAGTCCATGTCCTCCATTTTCTTCGCGCATATAGAACAAACACCACTAACACAGAACANNGTACATGATCCAAAAGCCCGAAGACTACACCTCCTACAACCGTCTCTGCGGCCAACTACGCCAACTCGCCCACCGCCTAACCCTGCTCCCACCCGACAACCCCTACCGCCTAGCCACCGAAAAGAAACTCCTCGACAAGCTCTACGACATGGCCATCCTCAGCGAACGCAGCAAACTCTCCGCCGTCGAAAACAAAGTCACCGTTTCCGCTTTCGCTCGCAGACGTCTAAACGTCATCCTCACAAGACTGCAAATGGCCCCTGATCTCAAAGCTGCCACTACTTTTATTGAGGGTGGCCAGGTTAGAGTGGGTACTGAGGTGGTTACTGATCCTGCCTTTTTGGTCACGAGGAATATGGAGGATTTTGTGACTTGGGTCGATTCGTCAAAGATCAAGAGGACTATCCACAGATACCGCGACAAGCTGGACGACTTCGATTTGCTCTAGATGGTCTTTTTTTCCAGCACGGCTCATACCACTTTTGGGAGACTTTTCTGCATTTATCAGCGTGGCGTTTTATGGGTTAAAATTGCATGGGATTAATTTATCCTCGAAAGGATTCAGAATTCCAAAGGATGATGAGGTTGAAATGCAAGATATTCGTAGAACTGTCTTGTCTCGTCTTGTCGGGTATCTTTGCTAAACACGAAACATGAAAACATCCGATCTACTCCAAGTACGCCATGCTTGTCCCACCCATATGCTTTTGTAGTCTTCATAGATCAGCTGAAGTGAATGCCCTCTTGGTTGAACGCATATAGCAACTTCAAGAAGTCACCCTCATCACACATTCTTGCACGCTTCTCAGAGAGCTCAGTGGTCTCGACGAGTACCTTGGTCACCTTCTGGCGCACCAACTCAGACACCTTGCCCTTCTTCTTGCGGTTGGGGTTGCCCAAAAGCTTCTTTGCCTTCTTGTCTGCCTCCTCTTTGAAGAAGTCGGGAACATCGCCTTCATCGTCAACATCCATGATAGCCTCCATATCGTCGTCCTGGTCATCCGCAGCCGTGTCAGTGTCCATAGCAGCATCAGAAGGGTCGAGCGGGCCGTCGTCAAGAACAATATTGTTCTGAGCACAGTAAGTGCGGTAGTTTGACTCGAGCATATCCATGACGCTGGTGGTACCAATGAATCCACTACGCAGAGTACGGTTCTTGCGGACAAAGCAGATGCGCAAGAGACCGTCCCACTCGTCGTAGCTGATCTGTGGACGTGGGACCTTGGGCACAATCTTGACGACATCACTCTCGACTTGAGGAGGAGGATTGAAGTTGTTCTTGCCGACCTTCATGACATGGCTAATCTTAGCCCACATCTGGGCGTTGACGGACAATCTCGAATATAGTTTTGTTCCAGGTTGAGCAAACAGACGCATGGCGAATTCACGCTGGAACATGAGCACGCAGGAGCGAGGAGCGGGACTCAGAGCCAAGAGTCTGAAAGTCAAGGGCGAAGAAATCTGGTAGGGCGTGTTTGAAATGCAGACGTCAAAGTAGGGCAGCTGTGGGTGCTTGAGAACATCTCCGAGGATGATTTCGAGTCTCTTCTGGGCCGGAGTGCCTTGGAAACGCTTTGTGATTTCGGCAGCCATTCGGGGATCGGCTTCGCATGCGATGACTTNTTTGGCCTTTTCCAGGATTTTTGTTGTCAAGTTACCAGTTCCGGGACCGACTTCGAGGACAANTCTGAGAGCTTGTTAGTAGATGTTTTCGAGTAGGGTGAGAGATTCGTAACGTACGTCAGACTGCTTCAGGTCGGCCTTGTCGACAATGGCCTGGGCGACACCAGGGTTCTTGAGAATGTGCTGACCGAGATCCGTGTTGAACTTGAAGACGTTGTTGGCGGCATGGCCCTTCTTGCGCGAGGCAGCGCCTGCATAGGGATCGCTTTTCGAGACACCGCCGCCGTTGTTCTTTCTCGCTGATTTGGGCATGTTGATTTGTGTTCTGGTATAGAGGAAGTGCGGAGAGGCGGGCGAAGGCAGATGGAATTTTTGGCGGCAGGAGCGACCCTAAAAGCTTATCGAGTCGATAAGCTTCAGCGTCAGGGTCTCGACGTATTCGTACCTGCCTTCAACTTCGACATCGTCATCAACCATTCAATCCACCAACAACATGCCTCGTCCATCGAGAGCTAAACCTGCTCGCGAAGACTCATCCGATCTGTCATCTGCTGCATCAGACACTCCCGAACCCAGCACCGTGCAAGACGCTTCCAACGGCACTAGAGGGACCAAGCGCAAGCGCCAGCTTAACCAAGAGACCACCCAAGTCATTGAAGAAGAGGAAGAGCAGGAAGACAAGGCTACCCCTGTCAAAAGACTCGACAACGTAAATCTGTCAAGGTCGAGCAGCCCATCTCTCCACCTCCCAAAAGAGCTACGAAATCCACCAAGACGACCAAGGTTGTCGAAGAGACTCAGGAAACAGAAACCACAACAGCAGACGTCCAGGAAACAAAGCCCAAGGTCGTGAGGAAGCGCAAGACCAAAGAGGAGAAGGAAGCAGAGGCAATGCCCCTAGCAGCTCGAACAATCGGCCACAAGCTTTTCATCGGTGCCCACGTCTCGGCCGCTGGTGGTGTTCCTAATGCTGTTCAAAATGCCATTCATATCGGTGCAAATGCCTTTGCCCTGTTCTTGAAGTCTCAACGCAAATGGGCCAACCCTCCGCTAGACGAGACCCATTCCATCAACTTCCATTCCCATTGCGACAAGCACAACTTTGACCAGAATCAACATGTCGTCCCACACGGCTCATACCTGGTCAATCTAGCACACACTGACCCCGACCGTACCAAACAAGCCTACGACTCCTTCCTCGATGATCTGAAGCGTTGTGAGAAGCTAGGCATCTCGCTCTACAATTTCCATCCTGGTAACAGCGTGGGCGGTGATCGTGATGCTGCCATTGCTCATTTGGCTGGCAATCTCAATCGCGCACACAAGGAGACCTCTAAAGTCATCACCCTACTCGAGAACATGGCCGCAGGTGGAAACGTCATCGGCTCAACATTTGAGGATTTGCGCGATGTCATTGACCTGATTGATGACAAGTCTCGCGTCGGCGTCTGTCTCGATACCTGCCATGCCTTTGCAGGTGGCTACGATCTACGCACACCCGAGACAGTCCAGAAGACCCTTTCGGAGTTCGACGAAACAGTCGGCATGAAGTACCTCCGTGCTCTGCATCTGAACGACAGCAAAGCTCCCTTNTCCAGCCACAGAGATCTCCACGCAAATATTGGCACTGGCTTCCTAGGCTTGCGCGGCTTCCACGCCATCATGAACGATGAGCGTGTCATCGGCCTCCTATGGTGCTTGGAAACACCAATCGAAGTCCGTGATGAGAATGGCAACCTTCAAAAAGATGCTAAGGGCAAGGAAATGGAGGACAAGAACATTTGGGCCAGAGAAATCAAGTTGCTGGAAAGCCTTGTGGGCATGGACGTGGAAAGTGAAGAGTTCAAGGAACTGGAAGATAAGCTGCAGAAGATGGGTAAGGTTGAGCGAGACAGGATCGCCGAGCAAGTTGAGAAGAAGACTACAAAGGTTAAGGAAAAGGAAGACAAGGCAAAGGCCAAACAGACCAAACTCAACTTTGGCAAGGCTGCTGCTCCGGCCAAAAGGGTAAGAAGGCCAAAAAGCAGGAGGATGCCGATTCAAGTGATGCTTCGGCCCGGCCTTCGGACGAGGAGACCTAGATGCCAATATAAGCACTGAGGTAACGAGACGAGCATCGATCGTGGACGACCACATGAAACACACCTTGAAAGTGACGACCGCCGGCTTCACTGCATGATCATATTACGCTGGAATCGCATCATGCTTCTGCATAGCCGGGACACTGTATGGTATAGATGGTGATCGAGCAACCCAACAGTATTAATCTGTAAGTAGCCTCAAATCAACATATCTTGACCAGCAGACCAGCTTCTAGCTGCCTAGCTGGACGCTGAAGTCATGATCCAATCTGCCATCCCCTCGGTTGGCCAATGCAAAAGCGAACACGACAGGCCATAGCAATCACAGTCGAAGGTAAGGGGAGAGCCTTCTTGGAAGAATAGCACTTAGCGTAAGCATGCTTGGTTCCTCAAAAAGGCACTTCTCAAATCCGCCATCACGCAGAAAAGCACCAAGGCACTACACAGGAAAAACACTACAGATACCACTCCACCCTCAATTCTCCAACAACATCCCCTCTGGTCTGGTGGTTACACCGTCACCTTTCACTCTAACTAACCCAATTCGGTAGTTTCTTTACGAGTCCTCACTCACTCGCATTGGCATATTCTTTGCTGGTGCTCCTTCCAACAATCCAAACTCTTGCGAGTTCAGAATCCGACTCTTGTCGTTTTCCCGCATCGTCATATTCTTTGGCGGTGCTCCTTCAAACACCCCCCCCCCCCCCGGCGGTGGCCCCGGCGAAAACTTGGGCTCCCGCTTGCATCGGGATATTCTTTCTCGGTGCTCCTTCAAAACAAGCCCTGTACATGGCTACTAAATAAACTGTACATACTAACTTTCAACTAGTCAGGTAGATTGTCGAAGCCTATGACTGTGCTGGCACAGGAGGCAATGGCAGATGGACTAGAAAAAACTTGAAAAAACATTTGAGGGTAAGTGAGACCATTCCCAGACCACCAGACCATATTTTTTGCTTCCGGCTTTACGAGTAGATCCCTTGATACGTGAGGGCTGTTTTTATAACCGATGTAAGTACAAGGGTCGACACTGGAAAGCACAGTGTGATGACTGTGATATGCTTATTGCTATCTGTAAGATCTTTTGATACTGCCTGACCATGTTCGTGGTGTCATTTTTCTCAACAAGCAACCCTCTATCTCTCCTTGCTCAACCTTCTACGCTTCACACTCCTGACATAAAGTTGTGACGAACGACTCGGTTAGCGGCACACCGAGCTTCTTGGTGATCATTTTTCTCTTCGCGTCAACCACAATGCTCGAGTCCCTCTTGCCGACTGTTGTCATCACGTTGTTACCTTGTCCCAGCACGGTTAGGCTCACGACGTTAGCATCGGTTGAGTAGCCAAAGCTACCACCCATGGCGAAGGTGCCATTCGCGTAGCTGAAGGTGATCAGACTCGTCTGAGGCTGCTCAATGGCATCGCCCTCGTCCAAGTACAGCGTACCCTCTGCCTTGCCCTCAAGGTCGGGTGCGATTATGAGAGCGAAGTCTTGCTTTCGAAGCTCGGTGGTTGTGTTGGCAGAGTTCTGACGTAGAGGTAAGATACTGCCGCCGCGGATGTGGGCAGTGATCTCAGTGAAGTCCACGTTGTCTCGAGTCACCCAGTCGCCAGTTCCATGCTCGGGTTCGTAGGTAAAGTAGTCGTAAAAGATGTCATCAGGAAGGTAGAACGTGACACTCGTACTGTTGTCATCTACAACAGGACTGACAAGAATACTGTCACCCCAGAAGAATTGATGTTCGATAGGGAATGTGTTGGAGTCCTCGGGGTAGACGAAGAACAAGGGCTGAATCAACGGCTTGCCGCTTACAGTCTGCTCGTGAAAGGCTGTGTAGAGGTAGTCGAGCAGTCTGTAACGCGTGTCGATCGCCTTTTGAGCGGCGACTGTGGTGAGGTTCCAGCGATAGAATTCATGATTGACAGAGCCGACCTCCGCATGGTTACGGTAGAAGGGGTAGAAAGCACCAAGAGTGGCCCATCGAGCACACAATTCAGGCCAAGTATTTCCCGCGTACCCACAGACATCGCTACCCACCATAGGCATCTNGTTAGAGTATGGTCAGTTCTATGTTTTCTTGATGGGATTAACGTGAGGTACCTGGAAGATGGCAGCGAACTCGAGCATCTGTGCAATTGACACTCTGTACCATGGCCAGCCAGCGACGTCTGTACTCTTGTCAATCTTGCTGGTGATATCAGAGCTTCCATAGAGGATACTNNTACTGTCTCCAAGCCAGTGCCCAACGTGATGTCCAGCACCTGCGAACGTACTACGCGTGATAACCATTGGTCTTCTTGTTGGCCTACGAGCCAGCATTGCGTCTCGGCTGACAGTCGACATCATAGTACCGTAGAGATTGTGAGTATCGTACATGGCTAAGCCGTTCTCGTGGTAAAGGTCAGTATCAATGGTCTTGTTAGATAAGCTTCCAGCAGCATTGTTGATGGTGTATGGTGGATCAATCAGATTTCTGCCCGGTAGACCTAGATGTGAGGTGCTATTGTTCGATTGACGCTTGACTTTGAGTGCTGTTGAGCCTGGCTGGAAATCGGCAGGGAAGCCAGGGATGGGATATCCTGCATTTGCTCTGACCGCTGGAGGAGTGGGAGGGTATCCATTAGCAGCAGCATATCCGAACGGATCACTGCATGGCCAGGGACAAAAGTTACTGGCCTCGTTCATGTCTTGATCGTTGTTAGCATGATTTTTCAATTATACAGATAGCGCAAAGCACTCACCAATCCATAGAGCATCGATGTCGACACCAGTGTCAGCATTGAAAAAGGTGGTAAATTCATGGTCCCAATATTCTTGGGTGCCACTTGCGAACCAATCGGGGAAAGCTGTGACGCCTGTGCTCTTGTCAGTTTCGTTGATGATATCAGAGCTTCCATAGATCTACTTACCAGGCCAGACGACACCCTGATAGATTGAGCCGTTCGATCTCTTCAGGAAGGCGTTTGCCTCGACACCATTGTTGAAGGCTGAATAGTTGTAGTAGGCAACGGCGGGATCGACCATGACGATATAAGATTGCTGTCTGGCGTGCAGAGTTGAGACCAGTTCTCGCATCTTATCCAGAGGGAAGCGCTCTGGGTCTGTAGTAAAGACATGTCGACTGTCCATGTAATCAATGTCGGTCCCTAATATAAGTCAATATGTGCACCGTCAAACAAGCAAGTGCAGTTACGTACACATGACTTCTAGAGGAATGTCTGCGCGACTGTAGTTTGCGACCACAGCTGCGACTTCGTACACATCTCTGTAACCATATCTGCATTGGTGGAAGCCGAAACCCCAATATGGCATTTCTGCTGGCAGCCCAACCACTTTAGAATACTGCTTGGCAACTTCGGTAGGCGATGGACCAGCCAAGAAGTAGAGGTCGACGATGCCACCGATAGTGTTGTATTCAAGGTACTGGCCAGTCTCTGCGGTGTTGTTGATCTTGATATCCATACCGTTGCTGTTCAAGAGGAAGACGCCATGCGTGCCGTCTGCACCACGGTGATCGAAGTAGACTGGGTGGTTTCCATACAAGTTGGTGCCTTCAGGGATAGAGTAAGCATCACGAGACCATAGAGTTCGGGTGTAGTTCGTGGTGTTTANGCTACGCAAATCGTCAGACGCGTATCTCACTCAAATAAACAACTAGCATACCTGAAATGGATCAGAGTGCTCGCCAAGTCCGTAGAGGTGAGGATTCTCAGGTAGTTGGGTGCGAAGCCTCAAGTACTGAGACTGGAAGACGAGTTCGGCTCCGGTAGTGTTGAACAAAGCTTGTCCGCCACTACGGCGAGACACTGCGAACGAGAAAGGATCGTTAACAACTTCGAAAACAAGCTGACTGGACGTAGACGAGACATTTCCATCAGCGCCAGGGCGCGGAAGAACGGACTCAGGGACCTGGTAGACATTCTCATCGGCATCATAGATCTGGACATGAAGCCTGTCTCCAGTCTCTTGACTGATCTCAAGCCTCAGATTCTCAATGTCTTGACCGTAGGTGTTGCATGCTGTGCCGGCAAGAGTGAGATCAGCCTAGCAATTGATATCAGCAAGACGAAACGACTGAAAAGATGTGATACTTACAGTCAGTCCCTGTCCAGTCTGTTGAACATTGGTAGCCTTGTATCCTGGACAACTCTCGATTGGTAACGAGTTCTGGCGGCGCACAAGGCCATGTGGACTAGCGAGGACCTGTGCAACGCTGGCAGCAGCGACAAGCCACTGCGCAGTGCAAGCCATGATTGTTGTGATGAAAGTTTAGAGGTAAACGAGGAACACTCGGTTCAGACTTGCCTACCCTCGAAAGCTTACTGGGCATAAACAGTAATTTATAGGAAGTCGCTACCTGCCATCGTCATCGCCAAATGAAGCTGCACAAGGATAGGTACGTGACTGCCTCTCCGAGGCTCCGAGCCCGCATAAGCTCTCTCTAAACATGCTTGGAACCCGAACCTCGCGGCGGCCTGCGGGGCAATATCGTGCTGTGTTGCATGCTCCTTGCTGCTACCACATGACAGCATCCCTTGTTGAACCCACTCGGACCTGTTCTCGGCAGGAACAAGAGAGGGGTTAAGATGCACAGTGCAAATCACCTTGGAGCTCCATCATATGACCTCTGGACTTGTGGAAGGCAGCAAGGGCACGACTCTGCACTTGCCATGCGGGGATGTTTGTTGCTGGAGAGAAGAGGTTTCAGATTGGGAAGGGATGCACGTTGTGCGGGGCATGCATGCATGCTTGTCGATCTCTCTACTTCGACTTTAGCCGATCGAGCATAATCAAGAATCTCTGACCTAGAATGGAAGATGAACGTTACGAGATGAAATGCCATCTCTGTAAATAGATAGAGAGGAATACGATTTCGAATGGATTCAAGAATTGAAAGCACCATCCCTGGTAACGAGAAATGTTGGTTAGGTAGACATACTGCTATCCCACTTTCCACTCGTCTCGTCGGACATCATCTCATTATCAAATCTTATGTCGTAGTTCATTGAGTCAGGCATGCTTCTTCTGGTCCGCTTCCTGACCCTTCATGACCCAAGCACTTGCCTTCTTAGCATGCTCCTCAGCCTTCTCCTTGGAGCTCATGATCTCCTTCAACTTGAACTCATCAGGAATGTTGACTCCCTTCTGCACAGCAGGGCGTGCGTTGATGGCATCCAGCCATCTCTCAATCTCGGGGAAAGGCTTGGTCTCGATACCTGCCCAGGCACCCCAGTTGATCCATGAGAACGAAGCAATGTCTGCAATGGTGAACTTGTTACCGACGAGCCAGAGACCTTGACCTGCCTTCTCCTGTTCAGCGAGGCGGTCATTCAAGACTTGGTACAGGCGCTTGGTCTCAGTCTGGTAGCGGTTGATGCCGTACTCGATCTTCTCGGGTGCATATCTGTAGAAGTGGTTCGCTTGTCCCTGNNATGGTTGGTAAGTATGGGAAAGTGTACTATCACAAACGGAGAGCTTTAATACCTGCATCGGTCCAAGACCAGACTGCATCCAGACGATCCACTCAACAGTCTCCCAGTATTCATCACTGTCGTGGTCGAAGCTGATCTTGTTGTCCTGGTCATACTTGTCGGTTAGGTAGAGCAACATAGCACCACCTTCGAAGACACGCTTCTCCTTGCCCGAGGTCTTGTCAACCATGGCAGGAATGCGCCCGTTGGCNNTGAAATATGTCAATATCCAAGCATAGCTCATGAATGACGAGATGGACTCACGGCAGATCTTCAAGAACCATTCTTCCTTCTGAGTGTTCTTGGAGATATCAATCTTGTGAACATTGTAGTTCAAACCCAGCTCCTCAAAGGCGATATGCACCTTGTGGCCGTTAGGGGTGCCTAGATTGTCATTAGTGGTTGTGTTGGCACACCGGATTGCTTCGGATACCTGCGGTGTAGCTGTTGATGGCGGTTAGCAGCTAGCAATGTGCGAGAACGTATCTTTATACTTACAGATCGATGTTTGTCTTTGAAGCCATGGCCGTGTATCAGTATTGTACAAATGTGTAGTCCGATGATGGTCGAGAGACAAGGTACTTTATATATGGTCAGAATTGAGATTAATAATATAGACCACACGTCATCGGGTGTCACGGAAACGTTAATCACTTCACTGTTGAGTATATGACCCTGCTCAAGTACAACATCATAACAACCAACCAGCAGGAAGCTTACAATGGATAATATGGTATGACGGTAGTTATGCTAGGTAGAGGCTATATCAGTACGACTATGTGTGGAACCTCTAATGCACTTTTGGCAGTGTAGAGGGTCCTTTGAACTATTGATATCAAATGAATTCAAATATAGCTTGCCGGTCACCTCTCGAGTGCGTTCGAGCCAGCATTCTGAACGGAAAATTAGTGCTAAGCATACTGCTGGAAGAAAAATAGTTTGCAGAACAGGTACCTTCATTTCCTCGAATAGCATTGTTAGTGCTACATACGTAGAGATTGGTCTAACTATGCTTACTATACAGTATGAACTGAGGTCAAAACAAGCTATTGATTAATGGTGGATCATGGCAGGCAGAGTTCATATTGCAACACAATGAAAGCTGCTTCAACAAAATCCGATATGGTCTAGTGGCTAGGATTTCTCGCTCTCAAGCAGTTTCTATACTAAGAAACAACCAGGTCCGAGGAGGCCGGGGTTCAATTCCCCGTGTCGGAATATCCTTTTGTTATCTGTTTAGAGTTGTTCAAGGTTGTTGGTGGTGTTTAGTTGCACTGAGAAAACTTTTTTTTGTTGCCCAGCTTTGGCCGTTTGTGTGCCCGAGTTCAACTCTCGGCGTCGGCGGCTTTCCCTTTGCTTTTCTGGCGTGCGCTAGGACAACATGAAGTATTGGAAAAGGAACACATGCAACAACATCTCTGTAGTGGTGGCACAGGTTGGCTTTGACACATTGAATAAGAGGAACACGAGAAAATAATCTTGTCTGCGAGTTCTATGCACAAACGCCATATATGCATCCACTTTGATCCTTCTTCTAAGCTCTGACCTCCCAACACCTAATCTTACCCTGCTCATTAGCAACAGCCAGACCATCACTACCCGGAGCAAACGCAACACCTGTGATTCTGCCCAAAGGCGTGTTGCTAGTGGGCCAATTCTTGAAGACTGTGCATGTAGGCAGATGCACAATTCTCAGAGCATCCTTCTTCCACCTCGAAGCCATGACGAGCATTTGTCCGTCAGGAGAGAATGTAAGATGCGAGATTGGTGTGGTGAGATTGTCGAGAGCGCGGGTGGGTTTAGGTGCAGAGGGAATGGGTGAGGCAAGCGGATCTGTAGACGATGAAGAGGCAACAAGCCAGGCACGGCGATCGTAGATGTTCACAACACCACTCGAGCTGCCAACAGCAACCCAGCGGTCTTTGCCAATAGGCGAGCCAGCGTTTCCGTTGTCACCACCGAGAGTAATGGTAGTAGTGCCGACGGCGCCTTCGTCTTGCCAGCGGGCTACCGCGCGCTGCTCGTCCATGTTCCACTCGGTGACTTCACCGTTCTTGCCTGCAATGCTCATACCACGGCTGTCGCGCCACCAGGCAAAGTCTGCGATACCGTTGTTGCTTTCTACGCGCACCTGGCTGGCCCATTGCAATGTGTATGCGTCGAGGATGTTGATCACACCGCCACCCTTGCGAGCACTACCAATGAGGGCCATGCTGCGACCATCAGGAGAGAGCTTGAAGCGCTCCATACTGCGCTGCTCGTGCTGGTGACCGTAGACACGAGCAATCTTCTCCACTTTACCAGTTTCGAGGTTCCAGACGTGGAAGTAGCGGCGACGGGCGGAAAGGAAGATGCGAGGGTCGTTGGGATGGAAGGCGGTTGTTGTGAGAGGAGTCTTGCGGATGTGCAGGGAGGTGAGGAGAGGATTGGCTTCGGGCGCGGGAGGAGAAGCGACAATGTGGTGAAGGTAGAGAGTCGAGGAGGGTCCGGAGGAGAGAAGCAGAGGAAGCTCGGGGTGGTATTGCAGGGAGGTGATGGCCGAGGGTTGCGTGGTGCCAATGTCCTTTGTGCGTTGAATATCGATGACTTCGGGTCGCAACTTGCGCTTCTTGTTCTCTGTTCGTCGTACGAGGCCTCCTCCTTGTAGCAGCTTGCTGAGCGGTTCGGCTGAGACGTCGTCATCTCCCTCTTCACCGTCTATATCCATGTCCTCGTCCGACTCGGCGTCGAGATCATCGTAGCTGAGTCTACGCTTCTTTCTAGGTCCTTTCTGGGCGGCTTCGACGGCCCAATCTGGTACGGGGTTAAGCATCTCGTANNACTGTAACATGTTAGCTATGTCGTTGGGGCGTGATTGAGCAGGATTGACGTACTGTTTGCGCAGACGACGGACGTATTCTTTGCCGGAAATGACATCCTCAGCTTCTGTCCTCCTCAGCTTGCGCAGTCTCGGTACCGAGGCCAACGACACAACCATTCTCTCGTCGTCGCTGTCTTGCCACGCTGCACCGTCCTCCTCTTCCTCCTCTTCAGTAGCCGGAGCAGGCTGTAGCTCGGTTGACGCGCCGACATCAGTGAAGAACAAGTCTGCATCTGCAAGACCATCGTATGTCTGTTCGTCTCCAGAAGCAGCAGCGCCTTCATCGGCTGAATCTTCGTCGTCCAGTCCAGTCTCGAACCCAGCCAGTCCAGCTCTGAATCCCATGCTGTCGCCGAACACGGCTCTCTCCAACTCTTCCTCAGCGGCATCCTTGTCGTCCTCGCTCATATCCATATCGTCCTGTCCAGCTGGGGCGTCGTATTGCTCGATGTCTGACATGTCGCTGGCCGAATCGTCCTGCACTGGTGCCGACTTCTTGGCTGGTGCAGCGATCTTTGACTTCACTCCATTCTGGCGATTATCCTTCTTGCTTTTCGTTCGCGCCATTGTGTAATTATTGTGTTGCGTTCAAGAAATGTTCAGGTCAAAAATCTCCATCCTCCAAACTCGGACATCGGAGCCCTGCAAAATTGTCCCGACCTTTATCGATAAGCACCAACTTTAAACTTTCGTAGAAGAGAAAAAGAAAAGAATTAGTAAATAATCAAACTGCTTGAACGCATCACACGTGAGTTCTCTACTCTCGCAAGGCTCATAAAAATGTTCAGACATAAATGCAATTATTATTGTTGTGCTGTTCAAGCTATCATACCAAAACCCTCCTCATTGACTTCTTTTAAGCCCACCAGTGGACGTTACACATACAACGAAAAGAGGTTTATAAACGACTGAAAGTGTCATCTAGTTTAGATGAGAAGAGCTGCGGCTGCCATAGCAATGGCGTAACCAGACAGGCTCATAATGCTGGCGGCGCCAGTGTAGGTTGTGGGTGACATTGGGTTGACTGAGCCAGTTCCCTGTGGAGCAACTGGTGATACACCAGTGCCATTGCCGTAAGGACCGGCGGCGCTGTTTGCAGGTGCTGCAGGAGTAGCAGCAGGGACAGCAGCAGGACGTGAGTAGCTACCGTCGAACGATGAACCATCCTCAGGGCAGTTCCAGTACTCAGCACTGTAGCCACCAGGCTTGCCGGCAGTCACACTGGTGAGTGCAGTAAAGGCACCCCATTGAGGGAACTCGTTCTCGCTAGCTGCAGGAGTAATGGGAGCTTGAACGACGTTGAGAGAAAGATCGGGCACATCTGCGACGTTGACTTCTCCTCCCTCGTACTTGGCCACTTTCCATTGGAGGTTCTTACGAAGGTATGGCTCGACGTGGACAGGGAGCATACTTTGCAACTCTCCGCTCTGGATCTTTCCGAGAAGAGAAGTGGTCAAAGGAACAGTGCCGGTGATCTTGAGATCCATGTTTGCCATGTGGTTGTTGTCCGATGGCATGTTGGAGAAGACAGAGTATGTACCAACAAGGTTACGTGAGAGTTGCAGCTCCTCTGTGGAGTTGGTCGAAACGTTACCCAAGAACACGTAGACAGCGTATGATCCGTTCATGGCAAACTTCTGTGATACAACGTTGCAAATGTACTCGTGGTGGTAATCGTCGGTACCGTTTGTGCTGACAGTGGTGTTGAGGTATGGTCCGCTGGTCATGTTGTCACGCTTCCACCAAGGAAGCGAAATGTGGATAGGGCCATTCTTCAAGATGTTGAGGGGCTGCCAAGTAGATTGCCAAGCAGGCTGTCTGGTAGTTCCTCTGACGGGTGCAGAAGGTGCCTTGGGAGGAGATGCAGGAGCCGCAGGAGCTGCAGGTGCTTTAGGGGCAGAAGCTGCTGAAGAAGCTGCTGCAGGTGCCTTAGAGGAAGAAGGAGCTGAAGAAGCTGCGGGTACTGCCGAACTGGTAGAGCTGCTTGAGCTTCCGAGATTGAGATTTACATTAGCATCAGCGGCAACAGCGTTCTTTCCGTAAAGTCTGTTGATTGCTGAACGAACGCTAGAAGCGGAAGCACCGTTCTGAAGCTCAGGGTAAGTGTAGCCAAAGGTAGTCATGTCACGAACACTGGTCGAGGTCCAGTTAGTGCCGGCTGTATCCTTGAAGAAAGGAGTAAGGGCTGAGTTGTCATCATTGACAGTGCCAGCAGGGTAGGTGAATGTGCTTCCGACTGCTGCGAGAGGCTCAACATAGCTTTCAGTGTGCAGAGTTTGCCACAATGCAAAACTACGATCGACCATTCTAGACAATATTAGTTTTCGTCGTGCGCAGAACATCTAGCTGGGTACCTACACATGGTGCAACCAGAACACGGGATCAAATGCAGCGTAGTCGAGGTAAGTCATATGTCCATTGTTACCGATGCTTGAGTGAATAGCATCGTGAACCGATTCAAGACTGTCAGCGTTTGTAGAGCTAGAGCTCATCCATGCCGAATCACCAAATTGACTGAAGTTGTTGTAGTTGGTGTAAAGGTTGTACAGACGGTCACGGTAGTTTGATTGACTGTTAGCGAAGATGTTGTTCAGCAAGTTGTTTTGACTGCTTGCAGAGGCGTCCCATGAAGTAGGGTATCTCTTGGTAACATCCCAAGATGCAAACTAATTATCCAAAGTCAGAAGTTGTCGTTGGAATGGCAAGGAAAGATCTTACGGNNGATTGTAGACCATGTCAGAGACAGAAACAGGGTGGAAATCATAACGGAAGAGAGGGTTCGGAATAGTCTGCACACCAGTGGGTGTAGTGACGGTAGCCCATTGGTCGCTTATCAGAGCCGGGAATGCCTTGCAGCTAGAGCAGGGTATCGCAGCCCAGTCCCAGTATGGGAAACGCCAGTTTTGAGCTGCGGCAACGTACTTNNTGTCTCTGGTCGCACCAGCGGGGAAAGACTGCGCGGCTTGTTGAACATGCTTGTAAAGCTCTTNGCTGCAGGCACAGCATGATCAGCAGGGAATTCGTATGTCTGTGATACAGTTACGCACCTCGATAAGAGCCAGGTAAGGTCTGTGCCATGGCAGGAACAGGTTGGAAGTGTGAGTGCAGTAACCACCGCCAAATCCAGGAGCGCTGCCGATACCATCCCAAGGAACGTAAGGTCTTCCGTGGATGCNCTGGAAACAAATGAGTCCGGAACTGGAATTGAAGAGTCTAGCCAAGGTATACATACCAGCAATTTGATAGTAGGAAAGAGGGTCTGACTGGTCCATCTGCATGAAGCTGCGAAGACCAAGAAGGAAGACATTGAACATGTCGGGATACTGTTGCTGCATGGTGCGAAGTTCCATTCTGACCTGGATACCGTTTCCAGTGATTCCGGTAACAGGAATCTTTCCTGTCGATTGACGAGTCTCAAGACGCTCAGCGTTCATGAGGTCGCCATCGGTGTTGACAAGATCACCCTCTACATCAAGCTGCATAGAGGCAGCGACATGCTGCAGGGCTGATGAGCCCAATAGAGCTGCGCCAATGACTCCTTGAAAACGCATATTGGACTGCTTTCAAACGATTGTGGTGTAAAGAAGAGAGAGGAATGCCGAAGCAAAGAAGCTATACACCTTCTTGAGTCGTGTCAAGAGGCGTATGTTTGCTCAGGGGTGACCGTGAAACAATGTCAAAAAGGTTCTGTGACTGGTGTTGTTTGATCTTTCAAGGCCCGTCGAGCTTGGATTAGAAATATTAATGAAGGATGGTGGCTGGGGCTAAACGAGAGAATGCAAGGGAATGGAAATGGCAAACAAGGGAAACTGCAGCGGAAGGGTCGCTCCTGTCAATCGAGAAGCAGAAAGAGAAGGGAAGGGCTATAAGTATGTATAGCAGTAGTAGTAGATTTCATATTGAGATGGTGGTGGAGATCAAAAGGTGGCTTACTTCCCGGAATGGATGATCGGAGATCATGATAGCGTCTTGAAGACTACCGCCAGGCACGCAGAGAGCACGGTGCGTATACGAACGTTGGGCATGCGGGAGTCATGAATCTCAGTACATGCGTACACATTACACACGGGAAGCATGACTAGGTAGGTCTGATTGTGAGACGGTCGTCGCAGAGTTAGCCCTTAGGCTGGACCACTCGTTCATCATGCATTGCAGGCAAGGTGAATACCGAAAACAGATCGGCTAGTGTGACCGAAGCCATGGGGACACTGTACCTGAGACGCGATATGATACAAATGTAGCTAGTGCTTGGAGGATGGTTGTTTGGGCCATGAGCATTGGGAAGAAGAGATGTGGGTGTCCTCCGCTTGCTTGCATTGCACAAAAGCCAAGCTTGTGCCGCGCCTTCCAATCCGCGAAGCCTTTTCTGGGATCTCATTTCGCTTCGTTGTTTCGGGCTTGCCCATCTTTTTGGTTGCTGTGTCGCACGAGGAAAGCTTCTCGAAAGAGGTGTCTGAGACACTTAACATTGTGAATTTTGCCGTTTTGAGAACACGAGAGATGAGTAGACCATCTGACCTGATTGTATGCGTCTATTCGGCTGTAACGACCGTCGCACAGACACGTCCAGATACAGAACCTCTCTCTGCCCTTCGTGCCCTGATCTACGAGGATGCTTTTGGGGATTAGCCAGCTCGGCTCTCGCTCGAACTTGACTTTTGAGGCTGTCATACCATAAATATACACGGGGTAACGCGTCGCTGTCTGTGCTGTTGAGTCGTTGTTTCGAGCATCTATCGCCTCTCAATGTTTCTCTGACTTCCGACGGACATACATCCAACTGCATCCTTCCACGAACACCGAGCAAAACTTTCCTCGTGCAATACACCAGGCGCAGCGAAAACTGCCGATATATCCACCCTGGCGTAGCTTCAACAAACGATCGACAAGACTGCTTTGCGCAGGCCGCTTATCCATCACTCTGAGCCACCATGTGGTGATACGAATGGTCAGGCCATGTGTGGGATGCAAGGCATCCTTGACATGGGTCCGTATGTTCGTCGTGAACAATGGACCCGCTTCTTTCAAAACCGCGAACAAAGCAGAGCTTGATGGATAGCCCGGTGTAACAGGATCCTACGAACCACGGCCGGGTCACCTGGCACAAGAACGAGCGTAGAGCATGGTTATGCAAGGAGGTCATGCTGGTCGTCAATACGACATCGTGGATATCTTCTTGAAGCTCGAACTGTACAGCTCTGCGCGTGCCACGTCAGACAGCAGTGCGTAATGTTGCGAAAATAGGTGAGCACAGTATGCTCGGTCTTGCATCAGTTCGTTCTTGCAGCGACTCGAGGCGTACGGGAGGTTTGAAAATGCATGATCCGACCAGAGTCAGAATTACGAACTCGAGTATAGATTGGTGACATTTCTCTTCTTCAACGTTCCGCGTCAGCGAAAGCATCAATGAAAAAAAGAGTAATAACAAGAAATGTTGTTTGTTTCCAAAAATTCCTTGACGATCGTGAGACCATCAAGAGCAGTCAGTTGATAGTTTTCAACTAGCAAAACACGATCTCGGACGAATCCTCACTGATACGCGTAAAGCTTTTTATAAGTTAGCATTGATTGATAGACAGAGACATGGACAAAACGTACCCCTTGCACTTGGATAAACCGGAGAAAGATGGAGCGCGAGGGAAGGCGAGGTTTTGTAGCTGCGCGGCGGGTGCGCTGATTATGTAAGCGGAGTCTGGGGGTCTTGGCATTCGATCCGAGTGACTGGCGGAGCGTGTTGGCCTGTCGCGTTCCAGCGCAACCAAGAATTCATGTGAACGGGGCCTTGAAGTCCATCAGAACAGCATTTCACCAATTCAGGACACAGGCGCTCGCGGAGTCATCGTCAAATACAGAGCCTATACCTACGCGCTTCACGCTTCTATCTTCATATCGTAGTCGAGATCGTCCGGCGCATCAACGCGTTGCGCAATGCAAGCGAGTATGGCAGACCCCAGCTTCGGAGTGCCTACACAACTTGTTAGTTCATGTGCTTCTTATATCGAGGCGTTTTCATACTGACCTGACATGGGTAGNTTGCCTCATGTGCATCTCATCTCGGGTCATAAATACCCCTTCTCTCCGCAACTCAGCATCGATGGCGCATACAGCTACCTCTTCGATGCCCCCAAGGTTGTCAAGCAGGTTGCTCCCATGTCATGGCAGTATATCTCTGCTCCACAGGACGGCACCGTCTTCTTGACCTGGATTGGCGGTCGCATGCAGAACCAGTTCCCTACAGATGGTTACGTCTGGGTTGACCCCGAACAGCGTTACACCCAAGACTTTGGAGGCTACGTGTGTCGCATACCCTTCTTTGTCCAATTCACAACTCACTAACATGCATCANNGACACTGGAGATTGCTTTCCACAACAACGGTTATCGCCCTGGAGTCGACAATGTGACTAGCCACTCACGCAGACGATACCGCTTCATGTCCAAGAACCCCAGTGTTCACGCTCTCCCTCCCGACCCAAGTCTCTGGCTCGTCCACTACAGCCAAGCCGATCCCCAAAACTGTTTCCCAACTGCCCAATTACCTCTGTCGCATCAGTCGCGCCAGCAACTGGCTGAACGTCAGTGGATCGAATCTCAAGGCCGCCTGGACCGCCAGGACTTCATGCTGCACGACCGTGAAAAGTGGCCTCAGCTCAGTATGCCTGGTCGTGCTGCTGTACCTGGCGTGCCTGCGTATAACCAGAGTATGTATCAGCAAAGCCCTATGGCTCATATTGGCAACCCTCGCTTTTCTGGCAACTTCTACCAACAGGCCCAACAAGGACCTGCGGGCCCTTCGCCTGCTAAACGCGCGCGACAGCACCCACCTGCCCATGTTCCTGCATCGAACGCTGCCCTGATGGCCCAGGACACCAGCATTGAAGATGAGGAGAATGTCCTCCTTGGAGACTTGCTGGATCATTTGACTCAGCGTGATATCAGTCTGACTCGCTACATGCAACACCACGACTGGATGGACGAAGTCTACTCGTCGCCNTTTGCTACTGGCCAAATCGTCCCTATGGATCTTGGTTTCGGCCTGATGGGCGAGCTGGCCGGCCTTACCGAAGGCTTGTTTGACACCCCTAACTCAGCACTGGAGAAAGCCGAGCCCAAACCAAAGGACACGCCAGCTGCATACAAGAAAGCCACATCAGAGCAATTGCAGGAGTTTGAGAAGCGAGTCCAGGCGCATAAAGAGAAGGAACAGAATGAGATTGCGCGTATGAAGGAGGAACATGCCAGGAGAATGGATAGTCTACGCAAGAGCAAAAGTCTGGTCAAGGCCGAGAAGAAGTTGAGAAATGCTACCTGGAAACCCTCAAGCTCAGGCAACGAGTTCTGGAGACTGGAAAAGACAAATGACCACGACGCCAACCAGATTGTCGAGCAGGTGGAAGAATTGCTGGGTGGATCTATTCAAGCACAAAAGGAGGCCACCATGATCAGTGAAGGAGGATACCGCAAAGAAGAAAAGAGAACACCGCCTGCCGATGCTGATATGACTGGAACGCAGATGGATGGCGCAAGCCTTGACGCCGCTCAGTCTCTGCAATCTGCTTCGGGTGCTGCTGCCGAGTCTGCTGCACAGACTGGACAGCCGCAACTGTCAACCCAACAAATGCCTGCCGTTCCTCAAGCACACCAACAACCCCCACAATCTGCCGTTCCTAGCGTGCCGGACACCAACATGGAGAACTTAGAAACAATGGACACTGGCAATTTCTCACTACCAGATGACATGGAGCTCGACACAGGTCACTTTAACTTCGACACACCCAAGACCGATGTCCAAACCCCAGGTACATCAAACTGGCCTGGTCAACAAGCACCTTCTCAACCGCAACCACAACAAACCGCCAACACGCAACCGGACGCTACCAACTCGGCAAGTGGTGACCTTTATGGCGCCGGTGGTGACGCAAACTTCGGCGATTTTGACGCAGGAGATGGTTTGATTGATTTCGAGGGTGGTGCAGGCGGAGACATTGATTTCAGTATGGACAACTCGGCGTTTGGTGATGCTTTCCATGGCACGGAGACACACGGAGATGAAGGTGCTGGTGAGGGACAGTAGAATGAGACCTTTCGAAAGCAGCCCTGTCTCCATCCGAAAAGTTGGCCTGTGTCAAATTGAGGATTGATTGTGAGCATCCTTAGTAATTTAGTACAATGAACCATGAAAGTATACTACCAAAGCACCTTGCGTCCCATGTTTTGCAATTGTCGCGCCCAGTAGACGAAGACTCAGTGCAGCATCCAAAGAATGACACTCGGGTATTCAAAGAGGAAGGGAGTGGCGTAGGGAAAATAGCAACACGCCGACGACTAGAGATAGATAGCCAGCTGAAAGTCAGTGAATTTGAATGATGATACGAACACTGTTCAAATGGAGATTGTAGTAAGAATCAGGACGACGCAGCCAAAAGAACAGGGGTAAGGGCAGCACACATGGCGATCACGATATAAGACGACCATAGGACGAAGAAAGAATACAGTCTGCAAGATTGGACATGGACGAGACATGTGGCAAGGCTCCCCGTGTGCTAAAGGATGTATCTTCCACTGAACTCGATCATAGTAGTGAGTAAATCACACGCTATAAAAATGCGCAGTCTTATTCAGAAACGAAGATTGGCCAAAGAGAGCTACTGAGAGATCGCTTCTCGGTGCATATTATTCTATCGTCTAATAGTTTTATGCGTTTTGGTAGCGACATGCGTTACATAGGTACTTCTGCGCACACGGCGAGGAGGGATGAGTGACAGTATAATGAAATACATGGCCTGAAACGCATAAGAAAGGAAAGCCTTTGCTAAACAAATGAGCGACTGAACGCAAGTGGCTGGTCAACATGAACTCAACTCAAGGACAAAAACATAAAGACTGGCTGCATAGAAGAAAAGATGCAAAGAAGAACAGGGCGATTAGAATATGTGGGCAGAGGAAGAAGCCTACTAAAGCCCTCAAGATGACAACCGAAATAGGGGATGATCTTATGTCATGCACGAAAGAAGCAATACTCAGAGCGTAGCATAAGACGAGGCAAAAGGAAATAAAGAGCACCGTAGGCAGGGATCGAACCTGCGACCTCCCGATCCTTGAGAGAGAGTATTAGGGACTTAGGTAAGCGGTACTAGGAACTTAGGTTACTGGATCAGGTGTGCTGACCACTGCACCACCACGGCTTTTTTGGGTACGGGGGCCAGAAAACAACTCAAATATAAAGGTTGGAGCTGATAGATGGAAGCGGCAGCGAGGCTTTGAACAGGAGGAAACCCTTCACCCTGGAACTTGAATGACTTCTTGCGACAAGGGCAGCTGATGTATCAGTTGGTTTGGCGACCTGGTGACGATGAAATGGTGTGCCTTGCTGTTACTGTTCGTTGCGACAAGATCTATAACTTGGAGAAACCTAGTTTATTCCTCTGATATAGAATTAAGACAGAGTCGTAGAGGTTCTCATGCTTTTCGGGTGGATGAAGGTCCATCCGGTGATCTGAGACGCCAGCAAGGTGGAAATGTTTTGGAAAGCAATTTTGAAAGTTGTTAATGAATGCTTTGTTGTCGGGTAGTTGTATATGGTTGATTGCGACTAGAGATACGGTTTCACCGAGTTCAGGGGTTACATCTTTAGGAAGCCGACCTGCTTGATATTGAGGCGAAGTTGACTGCTGGAACAAAACTCAAGACGACTGCTGGAACAAAACTGAAGACGACTGCTGGAACAAAACTGAAGACGACGTAGTTGTCAGATCAGTAGAAATATGCATGGCCGCTGGGTGGATTGAGAGACCTTCCAGGAACGCGTAAAGGTAGTCAGGGGTTGGGCTCGAATCCGCGTTCTTTCGCCATGTCAATGTGGTGTAAAGAAAAGCACGGTCCGAGGCATCCAGTTTTACAAACAACCAGCAACCCGACACCTTGAACAACATATCAAGGGTAGCAGAAGTGCACTGGCTATATCTCCAGAAGAAGAAGTCCAGGAGAATCATCCAGCAAGAAACTGATACACAGAAAAACGTCTCCCAGTGCTTTCATACTACGTGTTTGGTTCGTGTATTACTGAATCGTAGCACGTGGCGAGGTAATTTTTTGGTGAGCTTCCTAACCACCAGACCAAAGGCGTCCCTTTGGTGGCCAAACAGTGGAGAGGTTGCCGCTGGGAGGGTCCAGAATTTAGTCGTATATAATGGTTGACTGCACAACGCGAGCTCAATCTCTCTGACACTGTCAACCGCAAACAAAACCAATACAAAATGTTCAACGAGTGTTGACAAGCTATTTCAAAAGTATCGGCATGCCCGCGACATGGTTGTCGAGTGTCAGATGATCGTTGTATAGAGCCCAAGGCCTGCAGGCGTTGAGCGGTGTCGAGCGTCAGGGGTACCAGAGAGATCAGCAAAGAATCTTGCCAATGAATGCCCCTGAATAGCGAGTCGTCGCAATATGCATCTGTATGCAGGAGCGCAGATATCGAGCGAAGTCCCTCAACGAATGGCTTGTTGATCTGGAGGTATCGTGTTTTGCGACAGCCTTGTTCGCTAAATTTGGTCGGCTGCGGGAGTGTCGAGAACTATGCAAACAGCTTCTGAGTGATAAGCATGATCATTTGAGACTCGAGCCAATGACTCAATAATCCATCTGAAGCAAATCAAGAAAGAGCAATCGTGACAAGAGGTGCGATGGAGGAAGTGACGCGTTAGTTGTGTTGGTAAACACGCCAGGAAGAAACCACTCACTCTCGAGTCAACCGGCAATGCCATTTCTCGCGTTCATCTTACTCACCTTCACTTATTCTGAATGCCTTATGAACCAGCCAAATCAGCCTTCTTTCAGCAAGCGGTAAGTTGGCCCAATTGGGAAACCACACGTATTGCGATAAAACTCCACCAAGTCCTTGGTTCGATCCTCGGATGAAGCGGAACCTTTAGGTTCTGTTCTCTTCGTGGCAGAGGTAGAATACTCTACACGCAAGAAGGGGTTTTCCCAAGCTGCCAAAGCAGCTTGGTTTTTGCTTGTTCTTGTGTATACCATTTTTCGACTCCATTGCGAATGTCAGTAGACTTTGTAGCTGACAAACACGTAAACAAAAGACAAGGAAGCTGTTTTGGATGTACAAGATTTAGTATTTATGATATCAACTACTTTTGACCTTGACTGAGATCCAATTCTTGGGCTTCACAAGCCACTCAAGTCCAGTGAGGTCGCTGGTGTCAAGTTCTCGAGCAACCTCCCAAGCGCTTCTGATGCAGTCATTGACACCAACACCTCTGACCCAATTGCCGGCAATACGCAGACGGCCAGAGTAACGCAATGAGAGCTCGTCGTGGAATCTCTTTACTCGGTCCTCAAAGCCTACAGTGTATTGAGGGATGCAGTTGTGGTTGAGATTGACCGAGTGTGCTGCAGGTTTCTCCGTGATGCCAAGGTGCCTTGCAACGACAGATGATGCCATCTGAAGGCCTTCTTCCTTGGTGGGGTAGGATGCCCATCCATCCCAGAAATGACCTCCCAGCATGACTGTGAGTTTAGTTCCCCGGTTTGATACAGTATCCTGCATAGGGCCAACAAAGTCCTTGTCGCTAGGTGTTGAAGCAGAGTAAGCAGTGTCAAATGTGACACCAAGTGCACGCTCTGGGTTTTGGTCGATGGGAACGTCAAGAGGAACCAAGTATCCGAAGCCAGGCGGATTGAGGTCTGGAGTACGGTAATACAGGTTTACGGTCATGACCGTCGGTGTCGGGCACACAGGCAAATTCAGGAAGTCGCGATTCATTGAGGAGGCGACCTGTGATGTCGTGTCTGGTGATAGGGTAGAGATAACATGGGTGTGTATGTGTTTTGAGAGTGATTGTTTTGTCGAGTGTTTGGCTTCAAGTTCGACATTATGCTCGGTGTTCTTGATGTCGGTGATCTGTTCATTCAATTGGAAGGTCACATTTGATTGTTGCTTGAGTGACTCCTCCAACTTGTCGACCAGCTGCTGGAGACCATAACGAAAAGTGAAGACATTTGATCTTCGGAAGTTCTTCCTGAAGTCAGAACTGAATGGATATGGTTGTTTCATGGCGTTGATGAAGTCGATCTCTTTTGCAGGAATTTTTGCTCCTTCAGCCATGTTATGCACCAGACCGGCGAGAATACTACCGTGTTCTTCTTCCAGTCTCCAGATGCTAGGGAACAAGCTCTTCATGCTGAGTTGGTAGATGTCACCGGCGTAGATGCCGTGTACAACGGCCGACATGACTTGGTCGACCAGCCTTCTACCTATACGTCGAACGAAGAAATCACCAACAGACTCATCAGTCACACTAGGATCTCTAGCGGAGACAGAGGGCTCGAGCAAGACACGAGAAACAATGCCTTTGAAAGCTGGTTCGGAGGTGAGGGCGTAGATCAAGGCGCTCGCGTTGGTTACGAAGCCTTTCTGAGGGTCGGGTGCAGGGACACGAACAATATGATCGGGATAATAGATGTAGCGATTGGTTGCGGCGGGAGCAGTTTTCAGGGTAAAGATGGTATCGTCCTCAAGACCAATTTGGTGGACCAGGCGAGCGGTGAGAGCACCATTGCCGGCAGGTCGAAGTGTCCTTGGGCCCTTCTCAAAGAGAATGTGTCCATCATCTATTTCCACCTTTTCTGTGTGCAACCAGCCTCCTAGTCGTGGCGAACTTTCGTAGATGGTGACTTTGCGATTGGGATTCGATCGAGCAAGATAATGAGCGGTAGCAAGACCAGTGATACCTCCACCCAGGACAGCAACATCGTTCGGTTCAGCCGGCAGACTATAACACCTACATGACAGAGTGAGCTCTTGCGCTCAGCATAATCGCATTGAACCTCACCTTCTTGCAGGAGCTATCGAGCGACACGAAGCCGCTCTTGCAATTTTGTTCAACCCATGGCGCCTGTTCAGCATCTCCAATCGCTATTCCGTCCTAACAAAGGACCTGACTGTAACCAAAAGGCACAGCGATGTAATTGACGGTTGGCGACTGCGATGTGGTCTGAGACTCAAGAAGCACGAACCAATCATCGCATCGTCATCTCAGCCCCACGTCGACCACACCACTTTGCCGACCCTCTTCTCCTTCTCCGTAATCACCACCCATCAATGCCATGGAGCTGGGCATGAGGCTGGTATTTCACAATCTCACGTTCAGACTCCTCACAACGACACTTAGCGAGCTTGTGAGCCATTTAGAAGAGAATGTTCAACGCTTCAAGATGCGTTCATGAGAGACGTCGAAATCATGTCTTCATGATTGTCACTCGACTCTTGAGAGTACTTTGTTCTTTGATAGCTACCAGTATCGCAGACATAACACACGGAGGATACTTATTCTTCTCAACATTGTAAGTGTTTCGGTCATGTCCGATGTATATACTTGGCCAAGTCACAAAGGCCGACACGGCTTCAACGTCCGACGCATTGAGCTTGAAGTTTTAGCGTACTAATCACACACACGTTCGTGTGTATCTCACGGCTGGTATAAGCATGTATAACCACTGGCTCGTTGTACAAGTGGCGTCAACAAGTGTCAAAGATGGCTGCTGTAACAGCATATTTTGCGACTCATTGCAGTGCGCCGTTGGATCTGAGACTCCGAACCGTCCAGCCAGGAGTAAACGTTGAAATCGTCCAGGCACACACGAGCTGAACAACTGGAGAGCTACAACGGTTTCGTTGCCATCCTTGAAGAGTAAAAGAGAAAAACCGGCCATGTCCAGTTTACCTTTTGTTGACTTACTCGTGCCTCTAAGTCCTACGGGACTACCATTCGACTCTTGAGCAGACACCATGAAGGTCTCAAACTTCATATGGTGGCTTTCATGGTCGAGTCTGCTGATCGCTTCTCCTTTGGAGGAGCGTGCAGTCAGCTCTTCGATATGCAATAACGCTCAAGTCAAGGCCCTAAGATCGAGCAATGCCGGCTGCTATTGCTCTTCGTATCTCAAAATTCCAGTCTCGACTATCACAAAACTTACGACCCTTACATCAACGATACGAACGACAGTCACGCAAAAGCTTATAATGACCAAGTCGGTAGCAATATTGCGTTTGTTAGATTCTTTCTAACATATTCACAGAACATCAACCAATAATGTTAAATCCACTATAACGACTAGAACCATTACATCCAGCCCAAAAACTGGATATACCACTGTCACGAAAACTGTAACCATTACACCTCAGGCTCGATCACTGCATAGACGAAAGCATCTCGGCCATCCTTTAGAATTGGTTGAGAGAGCTGCTGCCTCAACATGTGTCACGCCAGCGGTGGTCAAGAGCATGAATAAAGCAGCCATCTCAAGTGCTTGCAAATGCTTATCAATAGCACCTCGCAAGACAACCATCACCAAGACCACCACGAAGCGTATCACTCAAGTCTCGACCAAGATTCTGAGCTCTACTGCTCTACGGACTACGACTATTAAATCTAGTTTCACTGCAGTAGCGATATTCACGCCGCCTCTAAAATTGATCACCCGGACCGTGGTGGTCACGGTGACTGCGAAAACTCCTACAACAACAAGGCCCAAGAGCACTTCGATCAGTTCTGTGCGAGATAACGGCGTATCTCGGTCATCATCAAAGACGTCCAGTCGGTCATTGAGCAGTCTCTCCACAATCTCATCCTCAAGCCAACCAGCGGCTAAGAGCCGGACGTCTAGCATCAAGTCATCAAGCTCTGCCTCAAGCAGTAGACTTGCCAGTGTGTCGTCAACGATTAGCTCCTCGAGCATTACTGCGACTAGTGTTCGATCTGTCAGCAAATCGACCGATTTGTCCAGCGACAAGCCAGCTAGCTTTTCTAGCAGTGGTCAATCTTTGAGCAGCAAGTCTAGCAGTACGACATCTGAGTTTCATACCTCGACGGCTGGAAACAATCAAGTGACGAGCATAGCACCAACGAGCTCTACAGACAAAGCGTCAAGCAAGCTTTCCAGCATTTCAACAAGCAATATATCCAGTATACCTACGCCGAAGTCCTCCAGCAAGCCATCAAGTACTATTTCAAGCAAGACTTCTACTACTTCGACAAGCAATCCTTCCAGAACATCGAGCAGCAGCTCAAAGACCAAAACAACGACCTCTGAGACAGCGTCGACCAGACTATACCCGCCAGAAGGACCATTATACACGCCTAACACCAACGCATGTGCGCCGAGAACTGCAATGTCTTTAGTCACCACGAGTACTCGGTCCAAAACATCGTCAACCCTCAGTCCAAGCAGATCTACCACGATATCTTCCTCCTTATCCTTGTCAAGCAAATCAGCAACATCGAGCTCAACACGAAGCAGCTCAACTCCACGATTCAGCTTTCCATCCAACAGCACAATATCAACACTTACAACCACGAACCCATCATCAACCTCAAGCTCTCCCCCAACAGTCAACAGATTCTCCTACGATGATTCCACATCTAACGACACATCTCCAACCTCCAACACACCTCCCTCCTCCTTGAACTCAACCTCCACAAACATAACCTCCCTCCTAAACTTCACCACAAACCAACCTTTCCGTCTGCAATCCCTATGTTCTTCCGGCCTTCAAATCAGCGGCCTCTACGCAACTCTAATCTCCACAACTGCAAACTCTGCTTTACAGTTTACTGCTTCTGCTTCTTTGGCTACTGTGTTCTACCTCTCCACTTCTGGATACTTGTACACTCTACCTCCTTCTGCTGCTTATCCATGGATATCCTACTCTGATGAAAAACTGATAGCGAATATCGATGCTGGAGTTACAGAGATGGATTTTTTCTTTAATGAACAAGGGGAGATTGATGCGGTTGGGGCTGAAAGAGCGAGGTGTGCTGTTGATGAGGATGGGGTTTTGCAGTGTAGGACGGGCCAAACGACAGAGGTTTTGTATTGCGAAGATGAAGGGACTGTCAAGTTGGCCGGGTGTGTGTTGGAGGGTTGTGATGCGGCGGAATTGGCGGTTGTGTATGTGTAAATGACTGTATTTTGTGGGTGGGTATTGCGATTTTTAGGAGCATCATGGTTGCATATAGAGGAGCATGTACGTCTTAAGGATATAGAGCATAGCGACAAGGAACACGCGAATAGACACGGAAAGAAGAACTTGCTTTTCTATTTCACTTGTCTAATATTCGGTAGCTGGGGTGGGGCAGTATGCAGAAAACGGTAATGGAAACACAACCCATCAAGCATGACACACACTCAGTCAATCTTGAGCGAGCCATAGATCCTATACACAAATGCCCACGTAGCCACAAATCCAATCGTGCCTATACAAAAGTCAGCATCTCAAGTCATGACAAGGGGGGGTAAACACAAGGGCAAACAAGACTTACCAGTCAACACAAACCACAATGCGCTAATCAGCGCACTGTAGCCCAGATACAACACTCCTGAAGTCCAAGACGTGAAACTCAACGCCCGTACCCAATAAAGCATGGCATACAAGAAGACGTAGATGGCAGAAGCGCCAGAAGTGAAAAAGGCTCTCCACTGCCAATGGTAGTTTTCAGCGCAGAGGGCAAAGTAGACCATAAGAATAGTGACAGCAGCAGAAGTCACAATCATAAGGCCGTAGCAGAGGAACAGGAAACCGAACATGTAGTAGATACGGCTGAACCAGATGCTGCTGATGATGAAGTACAGCTCGAGGAATATGGCACCGAAAGGAAGGATACCGACGAGAAGCATAGAGGGTAAGGGACGTAGGTATCCGGTTGATGGTGGGATCTGGCGAGGAATCTGGTTGGTGCGAACAGGAGGTGTCGATTCAGCGGCGCGGAAACCCAGCCATGAGCCACCGACAGAAAGAGGTACGGAGATTAGGAACCAGATGCTCACGATAACGAGCATGGTGGTGAATGGCACTGCTCCAGAAGACTGACGCGCCCAAACGAACAGATTGAGAAGGAAGAAGACAGCGAACACAGTGCCCGGAACGAGGAGAGGTGTGTAGGCGATGTTCTGCTTCCAAGATTCGCCGTGGAAGAACTTGTAGACGCGTGCCGAGACATAGCCTCCTACAGCACCGAAGAAGGTATACAGCATGACCATGACGGTGGTCAAGGACCCACGGTTTGAGGGAGACAAGAAGCCGAGTAGAGCAAAAGCAATAGTGAAACCGGTCATCATGAAGAGCTGGGCGCCGTTACCGACCAGAATCGACAAGACCATAGGGTGTCTCGGTGGGCGGAAGACATCTCCGTGCACAAGCTTCCACCCTGAATCTTCTTGCACTGTGTCATCAAGGCTTGTACCGCCAAAGTCATCGAGACCCAGGTCATCAAGGCGGTTGTAACGGGCAATGTCTTTGCGCAGAGTTCGGAGAAGGATAGTGGATACCATGCCGACAAGAGCGACGACAATGAGGGCGGAGATGGTCAGCGAGACCCAGTGAATACGCGGATCGTAGACATGGAGGTATTTGTCCCAGCGAGTGGCGAACGAGGTAGGAGAAGGCACCCAGTAAACACTATAAGTCCAAACAATCTCGGTAGCATCCTTCTCGGAGAGTATGACGGGGTGAGCAATGTCACCACACTGGACCTTGCCATCATCAAGTAGTTTAGAGTCGATGGATGACGCCGGCTCGACCAGAACGCCCACAACACGGTAGTGGTCCTGCGACGCCTGGTGGTACTCAACGAAAATGTTATAATGGTTGTTGAGAACAGGAGTCTGTGTGTCGACACCATGGACCTGACCAAGAGCGAAACCAGGACTGTAGAAGATGGCCTCATTGGCATCGATCATCTTCTGAGCAGCAGGCAAGCCGTCGATGTTCCAGTTGACATTGTAGTTCTGCAAGATACGGGCATTGACGAACTTGGCATCGCGAGGCTGGAAGGTCTGCTTGCCGCATACAGCCTTGCAGGTCTCGTTCTTGCCCATGTGTAGTTCTAGTGGTGAGGTCTGAATTCGATCTCCAAACAGGATGCTCCCCAAACTCTCGCTCTTTTGCTTTGGACCACCCTCGGGCTCGCAGTGGTGGAATGCATGGTGGTAATAGTCAAAGGCGAAGACAGATCGGACTTGGGTGTCTTGTTCGGATTGCGAGGGTGTAAGACGGTTGACTGTAAGGGGTACTCGATCTCCGAGCTGATAATTTGTCGGTGCGACTCCCGGAAGATAGAACGCTGCTACGCTGGAGGNGCCTGCCACCAGTAATGCACAAAGCGACAACGACAGCTCTGCGAGACGCATTGTGCCACCTAATCGAGAGTGATCATCAACTTGCGCCGGGCCTTCGGATTATTGTCTTGCTGCCACTACGAGATGGCAATCTGGAGCAATAGGTATAGTGCAATACAATTGAGCGATATCACCGGTCCTAGAGGATGCTAAAAGGACAAAAGAGCAGCGGCTGAAGACGGAACAAAGGAGTCGTTCTCCTGGACACTCAGCACGACTGCCATGGACTGGTCTGGGGAGAGCTCTCCTTGTGCCGGCGCTTGGGCCAGAGACATGACGAAGCCGCGTATGCTCATCATAACACCCTTGCACAACTTGCTCTCTTCTATTTCATTCAAGTTGGAAATATCATGTCTTCATTTAACATAGAAGTGTGTGTGCTGCTGTTTCTCCAGCACCGCGTGGAGAATCCTAGGTAATCACATGCTTGCCCCGAAATTCGTCTAAGGAAAGGAAAGAGAAATGCCCACAAACACCTTCCTTACACCAGTCCGTCATATAGAGACAGCGCCGAAACGATTGTCTCGTCGCGCTTGGATCCTTCCTTGAACTCGGCCATGTCCAGACTGCCGTTCTCGTCCTTGTCCATCATGCGGAAGATCTTGCGCACTCTCTTCTCTGGTGTATCCTCGTCTTCAGGCAACTTGACCATCGATCCAACCTGCCGTCGCATGTTAGCATTAATCCTTGACCTTTGCGAGTCGCTCTCTCTCACCATCTTGTAGATAGCCTCGACAATTGCCAACATCTCGTTGTAACTGATTTGTCCGTCTCCATCAATGTCGTATAGTTGGAACGCCCAGTCCAGCTTGTCCTCCATCTTGCCCCTGCTCGTCACGCTCAAGGCGCAGATGAACTCTTTGAAGTCGATCGAGCCTGACTTGTCTGCATCGAACACATTGAAGACGTAATCGGCGAATGATGACGGATCTCCGAATGGGAAGAACTGCTTATAGATCTTCTGGAACTCCTCCTTGGTGAGCATGCCCGAGGGACAGTCCTTAAGGAAACCNNTGCATGGCCGTGAGCGGCACGCCTTGTGTGTGTATGTCCAAGACCTTGTCTCACCCTTGTACCATTGCTGTAATTCCTTCTTGTCGAAGTGAGTGGCCTTCTGGAGATCGCTGAGCTCCTGTGCCGACAACTTGCTCTGACTAGTGTGTGGATATAGCGTCAGCGTGTCTGTCCTCAGTGTAATGTGTGATATCTGGCTGTGTGTTCCAAGCTCTTGCTCCAGATGGTGAACGGCTGTACGAAGTGCTGTGTCGCGGTTGACTGCATAATCCAAGTAGCTTTCGGATGTGTGACGCGGGATATGCTTCGGTCGTGTTCTGGCATGGTTGGCGGTCGCAAGGGCGGTTGCAACGTCACTGGTTGGCGAGGAGGAGTTTTTGTCATCGTCGTAGTTGGTCGAGTTCATTGTGTTGGCAGTGTTGATGTGGTTGGCCGGTGACGATTGAAGTCGATAGATGCTCGCCGAGGCATTGGTCAAGCAGTAGAGGGCTTGAATCGAGGCGACAGTGGACGAGCCATCACCAGAGGAGGGAGCAAACAACACGAGACAAAGAGGTAGGGGGGCTGTTACTCACGACTTCCCCATGTTGCGCCTTTGGAATGCTGATCGTTTGTCTGTAGCAGTTTGTTTTCGATGATGTCGGAAGCTGCGACTCTTGAATCACGAACTCGGCAGGATTGTGTTTAGGGTGATAGTGTGGTTGTTGCAAAGAGGATTGGAAAGCGCATATCAGGCCTGCCGTGCTTGTATAAGGTGCTCGACTAGCGCGGGGCTTAGGTGGTGGCTGTGAGAACGCCTCCCGTCACTTTCTCTGGAGAGCCGCCATGACCTCTTGCCCACAAACTTGCAAGCTCTTGTTGCAAGTTGCAACAGTGCCCGTCCCCACCCGTTTGACTACTACCGCATCCACTCATCGTGACCGCTCACAAACGACCATGTGCTAGAACCTGCAGAGAGCCTGCTTTCGGCACCTGCCCTCGTGGTCGGTACACCGTGACACCACATGTTTGTAATCACGGCTTAAGCAGTTGTGCAACCATCATCTACGAACTTGTAGAGAATGTAATGATTGAGAAAAGGACTGATCTACGTGGTCGCTGAAATGCCATGATCAGAAATTGATCAACATGGAAAGATGTCTTTGCGATGTAGACAGAAGAAATGAAACAACTAATAACCGCTTGCAAAGGAAAGTAACAACAGATGAAACACGTATGCTCAATAACAATCGTGCAGGTTCGCTTAATGCTGATGGCGGAAGTCAAACTGCCCAAACTCAATGTCAGGCAATTGTGGCTCTCGCCCTGCAGGGCTATTGCTTCGGTCTCTGCCACCCATACTGGCTGCGCCAGAGACAAGATTTTGTTGACTCTCGTCCCGCGAAAGTTCTGGTCTGCCTGCATACAAGCCGTTCGATTTCTTTGACATAGGATCGTACGCGATCTTGCTTTTTGATGTGCTGTTGAGCGAAGGAGACACAAGGGGTGCCTTTTTGTATTCGGACACTTGCGAGCCTGCACCCTTGTACTCGGTGAGTTGTGTAGGGTCCATGAGCAGAGAGTTGCGAGCGTCCAGGGGTGTAAGGTCGTCAAGATCACGATTGAGTTTTTCTGATACAGTATGTCAGTCTTGGTTTTGAACAAGCATGTAGTGTCAAACTTACCGGCTTCCCTTTCTTCGCTGGCGGTGAGGGTTGGCGCGAACACAAGTGATAATGGCGTTGACAGCAATAAGGATCGCAAGAACACCGGTCAGGACGGATTGCACAACAATCAGAATAAGGCCTGTCACGGTCTTGGTTGTCTGACTAATGCCCAACTCTTCAACGAAGACGAGCACACAGATCACCGAGATAACACGGACAACCTGAATGGTGATGTTGATGACGTTGCCGCTCTTCAGTGAATAGGGCCTTGACCAGACGAGCAGGATGAGCATAACGCACTCGATGGCGATTTGGCCGATAGTCTGGACCAATCCATGTCCGTTGGCTCCAGCGATCAGAGCATTTTTGGCAAAGGCGTAAACAATCGAAGGAATGAACAGCCACCAGTATCCTTTCTTGAAGTTCTCGTAGAGGAAGGCGTATCTGACCCAGGTCTCCTTGTGCTCAAACAGCATGCTTGCGTCACCGTCCATTTTCTTGTATTGGTTGGCTTTGTGCCAGATTGTGAACGCGAAGAATCCAAGAATGCATGTAAAGATGGCCCACGTGACTCCAGCAAGCACTTTGGCTGCCCACGAGTCACCATTGGTAAATTGGTACACGCAGTACAGAGTCCAAACACCATAAGCAAGCATAACCAGGTTGGTTATAGTCTTCGCCAGACGCCACCAGTAGCGCTTGCGGAAGCTGTTCATAGACTTAGGAAGGTTACCCATGAGTGCCAGAGCTTCGAGGATAACCTTGGTGAGCAAGATTCCGACGGTGATCGCAGCAATGACAATAGCAAAGAAGAGCAAGATGGTCATAAAGGTGTTTCCTTGAGGAATCGAAAGCTTCTCAACATAAGCTTGGATGCCGTGGACGTAGTGCATGGGTCTGCTCTCTGTACTTGTGCTGTTGCCAGAGCCTGTTGAATTGCCAACGGATGTTGTGCTACCATTAACACTAGCGGTGAAGTCTCTGGCATAAAGGAACATGGTGTCAATGCCGCGTTTAGTGAGGTTTCCGAGATCGCTACTGGTGCTGTCGTCGACCAGAGTGACATTTTGCAAGTAGTTCCAGCTGTCGGTTGTCAGATTTCCGCCAGTTCTATCGCGGAAGCTGTCGATGGTTGTTTGCATGCTACCCCAAGGAATGAGACCAGTACTGAATCCAAAGTTCTTGGAGAAGCTGCGATAGATGCTGGGATATGTGACACTGAGCATGCCATTCGTGGCGATACCTTGGAACCAGCCAAAGGTCTCTCCAAATGTAGGACTCGGTGAAGCTCCACCAACATGGAAACCACCAACCACTGCACCAAGAGCAGATATGCCCAGAGCAGCGCCGGCCATGCCAGCGGCGACATATGTGACTGCTGGAACGTTCATCGACTTTCCATTGCTGACGGTGGACTGAACGCAGGCAAGATCTTGAGTTTGGTCGTTGTCGGCAAACAACTCGAGCTTGGCGACACCATCCAAGTCTGGTACGTTGAAAGCGATCGCAGGAATCATACTTGCGAATTGGGAAGGGACGGTTTGACTGCCTTGAGCGGCAAAATTTCCAGCCGGTACTGCAAACAAAAAAAGGTTAGCTTTGCACCAAATGAATCGTCATGTTGGAGTAAACATACCAGGACAAAGCTGTTCGACGTAGGTGCCAGCATCGCAAGGATTAAAGGGTTTCTCGTATACCTGTCTTCCGTATGCTGTGACGACTATCTTGGCTGTGACATTCTGTGACTGGGAGCTGCTTCCTGCAAGATTAAACACAACCAAGTTTGTCGTTCGGTCGAATTGAACATCCAAGGCTTCGACCTTGATGGTGGGGTTGTTCGAACACAGACTGTATCCTTGAGTGGATAGGATGTCACCACCCAACACTCTGGCCGGCAGAGCGCTGAGCAGCACAAGTGGCAAAGTCCACGAGACGCCCGGAGACCACATGGTCGTTTTTGTGCGAAAGCAAGACCTCTTTATGCAATATCAAACTTCCAAACTTTTAAGCTTTCAGGGGTTCGAAGCCGAGTACGAGTCGCAATGAAAGCTGAACGTGTTGTGTATGTCCAGTGAGGGTTTTGGTGAATGTGTGTAACGAATGTGAGTGAAGTCGAAGACGACACAGTTGGATAAGCAAGAAGTGTTTAGGCCGGTCGCCAGGCAAAGACGTTCGTGTTGTATGTCGGCGGCGTAATAAGGGGCTGCGGGCAGGTGAAACGTGCTAACTGCGGGAGAAAGACGTTGTGGGTGTTTTGGAAAAAGACAGAAGAAAGGTGAAAAGCCAGACGAGAAATATGCAAAAGAAGGAACGATGCAGTAGAATGTGGACAAAATAAATCAAGGAGCGACAGGAAACTGCAAGTGTGCAGATGCAGGTAGCGAGCGAATGAGGTGAGATGAAGAGCGAGTGTCCAAGTCCAGGGTGCTTTGCTAGTCGACGCACCTACCTTCTTGCATCGCGCACGGGACTCTGTGCCATCGAGGCCTGACCATGCGACCCGACTGTTTCCTCGACTCTTTGTGACTGTCTTGTGTGTATCACCTGCGTTAACTCCCTCGTCACCTCTGCCATTGGCCTTCTTGGTTGTCATGTTGCCGCTTCCTCTCCGTTGCGAGTGTCTATGTTTACATGTGCAAACGGCCTTTGTTGCGTTCACAACGACGCTGCGCCTTAAGCCACAACTGCCACCCTGCAAGGTCTAAGCGCCCTGACACGAGTGAGTTCTGCTGCTCCCGATCCATAGACAAGACTAGCCGGTCGTAGATAGAATGGAGTCTCCAAGGCCCCATTCGCCGCCGCGGTCTCAAGCATCCCCTTAGGACTCGTCACCCATCTGTGCATCAATCGCTTGATCACTGCCATCGTGCCTCAATCACCCCTTGGCAAACAGTATTTAGACACCAGCCAATCTTGTTTGGTAGGGTACGCAATCATTATCCGCTTTGGATTGGCTGATCATTAGTGGTTTCTAAATATTGACACATGCAAGCACCTTTATTTTGCTGTCGAAGGAATGCTTGTTTGCTTGTCAGGAACCTCGCCTTTATCGTCCAACCACCCAACGTAATAATCTTACGGGCGACTCCGAGTATTGAAAGTATCCGGATCCTGGTCGAGGGAGACGTCGATCGTGCGTGCACAGTTCTCTCATCAGCGATGTTTTTGATTGCAGGATCATCATGTCGACTGGCCTCACACAGAACATTCCAGGCTTGAAGATCAGGCTTTGGCCGCAATACATTCGTGACATGTTGATCACTGATGTTTCTTCACATGTGGCTCAATCCGCCGTGGTCTTTAATCTGGTTTGGTTTTAACCATGCGAGAAGCCGGACGAAACTTATAGTAGAAACTCGACCATGCTGTCTGCTTCCTTGACTTAAAATCACCAGATTGTTGACGAAGATCGGAGTCGAAAAAAGTAACGTGGTTTCGTTATGTGAGTCAGGTTCTTTCCAAGATGACCAGCCTCTCTATAGGTAATCGAAATCTCTATGATGTATGCGCCCGCTCCCAACAATTAGACATACCAAATTCTTACAGAATGGTCCAGAAAACAGTAGCAGCAACAAGACCGCCCCAGCCAGCGAACTTAGCAACAGTGCTGGCAGAGCCGTGGGGAACAGCACCAGTGACAGCCTTGTTGAGGTACCAAGCACCAATATCGGTGAGCTTGCCCTTCTCGGTCAACATAGCAGCATTGGGTCCGACNNCTGTATATAAACGTCAGCAAGAAGAATCTATCAAAATGGAAATGCTAAAACTTACGTTGGAGACAGACGAACGGTAAGCACCGAAGTAAGAGTACTCCTTGACGGCGTCGTAGCGGTCAAGATAGGAGAAGCTCTGGTTGGCAAAGCTCTGGCTGGCCTCCAGGGTGCAATCGGCGCATGCGAACTCGGTGACCCACATGCTACTGATGTTTTGGTAGGTACCGTTGATTTGGCCCAAGTGGCTGGCTAGGCCTTGGAAGTCACCATACCAGTGCGCAGGAATAAAGTCAACCTCGCAAGAAGTGGTGTTGGAAGAACCTCCAGAGCTAGCAACAAGAGCAGCACACTCGGAGAACCAGTTCGCAAGCCAGTTGAATCCGTCGGGGGAACCAGTGACTGCTGGAGCACCAAGCTTAACACCGAACTCGTTCTTCAACGGCTCCATCTGCTTTTTCCAGATCTGAGCAGCAGTAGCAGCACTGGTGCAAGAGCCACCAGTACCACCGTAGCAGTTATCGGGCTCGTTGAATCCGAGAACGTATGTGATGTTTTGTCCCTCCTTGATCAGATTGCTGACAGTGTTGTAGAAGGTCATGTCATTCGCAGGGTCTTCGGGTGGTCCCCAGAGCATAGGGACGAAGTTGAGCTTGTTCTGGTAGTCGGGTGTGGGAACAGCGCCATAGTTGTAGTACCACGTTCTGGTTCGGTCAGTATGATATATCAAGCACGCCATATCATTGGTGTCTTACAGGTCAGTGTCGTTTGTCCAGATGGCGTCGTCCTGCGATGTCTCGGTGGTCGTGACGCAGAGACCGCGCTTGTTGGAAGCAGTGGCTGCCACGAGAGGTGCAGCCACGAGAAGTGCCGGAGCAATGTAACGCATGGTGGTATATACCTTGTATTATAGATGGCGATAGATGTATATATTCCGGAGATAGTGTACAGTCAGGAAGAAATCGGTTATTACAGGCGCGCGCTCGAGGGTAGTGAATGCGTTAGAGGCGGTGATTAATATGTTCGAGCGAATAAAAGGGTGCTTCGAGTAAAGTTGGTAGAACCAGGCTCCGGATGGATATAGCGAGAGACGGAATGGATGAAAAGAGCGAGAAGGGGAGAAATGCAGGAGGGAGGAAGAGGAAAATATCCACAGATCTCAGACAATACTTTTCCTCAGCTATCCAAGAGCGTTGGCGAGTCCATGCTAGAGCGCATCTGGGCTGCTTGAGAGAGTCAAAAACGGACTGACTCTCAACGTTATCAAGGCCGTTCGGTCCCGGATCTGCAGCCTCCCGCTAGAGCACCTATTTGTGGACTAGGATGACTTGGCTTTATCAAATCGTTCTTCGCCGACCTAACGCAGAAGGAAACGGCATAGAACACCGCGGCAACCCATGGTTCGTCGTCTACGATCTATCTGCCAAAAATCGGACCAGGAGTTTGGCGCCAATATCTGTCCTTGCTTGGAGTTGTTGAGCCAGGAGTTTGAGTTCGGTCCATATGGCCGGTCAGCCGCATGTCTCCCATCCATCCGCATCATCGGTTGAACTTTGGTGCGGCAGTCGGCATTGCCGCTTAACTTCCGTCAATAAAGAACGGGCACGACAGGCTTATGCAGGTCCTTCTTTCTCGAACCACTGCGCAAGCCACCTTTTGAAAGGAGATTTGGAGCTGAGAGATCGAAGCCAAAAACAGGCAGTCGAAGGTGTTTCAAGATGTCAGCGCCGAGGCATGAAGCTTTGCTTCTTGACACGACGGTCATTGGAGTGGTCATGAATTCGCCCAAGTCAAATTCGTTTCTGGTAGCACCCTGCCCGTGGAATATCATCCGGCAATAACAAGACGATTAGGCTTCTGTGGCTTGCGTAATGGACCACCATACTCCAAGGAGCTTATAGAAGATCTTCCTGGTATTGTTGCCAATGGTAAATAGTTCAGTGTCATGCTGACAGTGTCGTTGCGCTTCCAATATAGTTTCACTCGCTCCGGCGAAACCTCTACCTTTGGCATCTGATATACCCTCTGGAAGATCTGTGTGCATTGATAGCCGTGTATGGCCTCGGACTTGTTGTGATTATTGTCATTATGTCCTTATAGTCTAGCCCTTCGAACTAGGCAAGACGTAATCTCTGTGGCCCTCAGTGCTGAATAAGATAACAACTGCATCAGGGTCTTCCTGGAGCACGCCTCTGTGATGCAACTTCCTTAAAGCTGCTAACGGAGCCGCTCCACATGGGCCTGCATTAACACCATGATCTTGTAGATACAGGACACTGTGGTGTGCTTCAAGGTCAGTGACGACCACCGAAGCATAAACTCCTGACTTGAGAGATGGCCAGCAGTTGGTAGAAACAGTACCGCAATTCGTGCCTGCGTTCCTCGGTTAGCATAGACCGTGTATACTGGCAAGATTCTTACCATCCATAATTGTGGAGCCCGTCTCGACTGAAACGATCCTTCCATTGTGTAGACTTTCCATCAGACATGGCGCTGCTTCCGACTCGACTGTGACAACCTTTGTGTCTGAGCCCTGACCTGTGTAGTGAGAGACGACAGACTGCGCCCATGAGCCAACACCAACAGAGGCGATGCAAAGTGATGGCCGTTTCTCACATGCCTCCTCGAGCTGGCGATCTACCTCCCCGTGCATGGTGGCATAACCGTCGACGACCCACCGTGGTATTTGCGAATACCCCTCCCAGCTCGTGTCCATCACAAGCATAGCTGCAGAGCTCTCAGACTCTCTCATGGTTGCAGTGATACTATCGTCGTAACTGCCATTGACGACGTTGACAGTAGCACCCTCACTACGTAGTTTCTCCTGGGTCGCTTGGTCCATAGTCTTGGGAACGAAGATAGTAGCTTCAATGCCCATGTATTGGGCAGTACGCGCGACTGCTCTTCCCCAATTACCATCGGTACAAGATACCAACTTGATACCTGCCTTCCGAGCCGCACGGCCAGCTTCTTCAAGTGATGCAGATGATGGAAGACCCGTTCTTTCGCATATCGCTCTGAACACTCCCCAGCTTGCACCCAAAATTTTGAATGATGGGAGGCCAAATCGAAGACTCTCGTCTTTGACATATACGTGGCCAACACCTAGCTCTCGAGCCACTTCAGGCAGGTCTATCAAAGGAGTTGTCTTAGACTCTGGAAAAGAGCGATGGAATGTGATGAGATCAGGGTCAATAGACGTGTCTGTAGGGACCAAGGTTGATAACGAAGGATTGATAAGGGTATCATGTCTCTCGATGACATCGTCGCGCCCAAGGTGCTTAACCTTGAAAGTGCTGGGTTTCGACATGGAGCTCAAGACTTGCTGCTTGAAACACGACTGTCAGATGAGTGTACTGTTGAAGATGAACTTGGGAGCGTATTCAGTACGACCAGAGGCAGTGCTCTTGGCTTGCATGGCGATTTCATGTGTGCGGAGAAGAAACCGTCCGAGGGCCGTGACCAGCTTCAGTTCATGACAATCCCATGTTTGATCCAGAGCGACTTTGAAGCTGTAAAAATACACAATAACTTTGATACCAGAGGTTGGTACCAGAGAGAGCCCACGAAAAGGCGTCTCTCAGTGGTCATCACTCTGTCTGGGAGTATATCGTGCATTTTTATAGTTATGTCCGTGACAAAGTTCGACGAGGAGATGCTCTCCACACGAAAGTCTGTTTGACCGCGATTTGGTCAGGTGGATGTCATCATGATCTGAGAAAGCGAAACGGAAGGGCTCACTCGCGTATTCGCGTGCCTGGTCGGCGATTTTGTCAGTTGCAAGGGTGTTGTGGACGAGACGGGAAAGAGACAGCCGTAACAAAGTGCCTGTTTCAGTTGGGATCTTCTCTCCTCAGAGCCACAGCACATGCAACGGGTCATGTGTGGAGTAGGGAGCCGCAATTCGCGGAACCTGGAAGGCTTCAAATGCAGCCACAGGTTGGACTCGAGATGCAGTCAGGTCGTGCTGCTGCTCGTGGAAAGTCGGCCGCGAGCATCAGCATCTGACAGAAGAAGATGTTCCCTTACTCAAGGATAGAAAGATCTTCGCAGGGGTCAGTTTGATGGAGCATGGCTAGAATGCTGATCGGTTTAAGTGGGACCCCTACCAATACGGGGAAGAGCGCGGTGCATCAGCCAGGGCCCAGGGGAAAGATTGGCAAGCAACAGACATACATCATTAACATCCACTTCTTTGTCTCCCATCATTTCGGCCTTGTCATCATTGTCGCTCGATCCTTGAATAAACAGACAATGCTGGTTTGAACAATCTTTTGTACACTGTCACTCAGAACTTCTCACACGATCCTTGAATCGAGAAAGTTTATGATTACTCGCCCTCCACACGTGCTCACCCACTACCGTTACGCGGCGACATTTGACAAAACTCCTTAGCCACGCATAGTCACATCCAACCATGGACTCGGAAAGCTCGCAGGCGGGCTCGACAAGGCGACGAGGTTCGTCGCTCGTGCAACAGATCATCAACGAAGAGCGCAACGGCATCCGGAGGGCCAGTCCAAGGAGAATGCCTTCCGACATTCCCGAAGCNCCCCATGCCGAATCACCACACAGCTACGAAGAGGAAGAGAACAATCCCGTATCGTCAGGTTCAGACTGGGAGATGGACGACATTCGATCTGATGAGGGTCTCGAAGACGACGAAGAGACGGGCTTGACGGTTCAGGACCGTCAAAAGAGAACAAGACGCAAGAGACGGAATACCCTGGCAGATGCGCGAGTCGTTCCCGACGGCGACATGTCCAAGGAGGAAGAGCGCCTGGCTACTGAAAGCTTTATGCGCGATGCAATCATAAACAGCATATTGATAGGATTGTGGTACACCTTCTCAATATCCATCTCTGTTGTAAGCCACACACTCTGCCCATGCTCAATACTCGATACTTACCTACTCCTANNGTACAACAAATGGATGTTCTCAAAAGGCAACCTTGACTTCCACTTCCCTCTTTTCACCACCTGCGTACACATGCTCGTACAATTTCTCCTTTCCTCACTCGTTCTATACTTCATTCCCAATCTACGACCGAAACACAAACCGGCAGAGTACGCGCCGATCGCACAATCAGCAGACGGAGATACGCTTGAAGCACCGCGCAAGCCGCTCATGACTGGCTGGTTCTACCTGACCCGCATCGGCCCTTGCGGTGCAGCTACTGGTCTGGACATTGGCCTCGGAAACATGTCACTCAAGTTCATTACCTTGACCTTCTATACCATGTGCAAATCATCCGTGCTGGGCTTTGTACTCGTTTTCGCCTTACTCTTCCGTCTGGAGAAGCCTTCGCTAAAGGTTGGCGCTATCATCCTCACCATGATGGTTGGAGTCCTCATGATGGTAGCGGGAGAGACGGCTTTCAACATATTAGGGTTCATACTGGTTATGAGCGCAGCATTCTTCTCTGGTTTCCGCTGGAGTTTGACGCAAATCCTACTTCTTCGCAGCCCGGCCACAAGCAACCCATTCTCATCTATCTTNTTCCTGGCACCCGTCATGTTTGCAGTACTGCTGGTCATCGCATTGCCCGTAGAGGGTCCCATCGAGCTCGCCGGAGGGTTACGCAACCTATCAGAGTCCAGAGGTATTGCTGGTTCAATCGGGATTATTCTGTTCCCTGGCGTACTGGCCTTCTTGATGACAGCGTCCGAGTTCGCTCTTCTAAAGCGCACCAGCGCAGTGACATTGAGTGTATGTGGCATCTTCAAAGAAGTGTTGACTATCTCAGTTGCTGGGCTCATCTTTGGCGACCCACTCACACCTGTCAACATCTCTGGGCTGTGCGTGACTATCGCCAGTATTGCAGCGTACAACTACATGAAGATGCGAACAATGAGAGACGATTCGAAGAGAGAGGCGCACGAGCAAATTGTGGCTGCAGAGTCGAGGCGTTCTATTGAAGAGAGCAATGGCAAGATCAGCAAAGAGCATACAAGGAAGGCAAGCACAGCAGGAGGTTTGATCAGAAACAGTCTCAGTCTCAATATCGCTCCATTGCTGGAGCAGAACACGAAAGACAGGGCCAGCCCTGTCAAGAGGCCCGAAGACCTCGACTAGTCTATTTATCTCGATATAGCAGCCGCACAGTTGTATAGATCTGTCTCATTTGTTCAACAGGCCTCGTTCTTGTGTGAATCAGGAGTGCAAGTGAAGTGCTGAGAATAGTCATAAAGTGAGACAAAGACATGACGGAGTCTCGACGCCAAGATGTCGCGCGTCGGCCGGTTGCGTCTTGAAGCCATCACTTTCCCTTTCTTTTCTTTGCAGCCACCATCTGGAAGCTGTACGAGACAGAGTATTGTTACACCCTTCGCTCTCAAGAGATTGCTCATCCACCCTGGTCGGACTCGTTATCAACAATCAAAACCTACCGTCAAATCATCACACGACGCCTCTGGTTGCCACGCAAACCATCGTCATCTTCGCACGAAAACACCAGACAGACATCATGTCGGTCGAAGTAGCGACAGGAACACCGCTGGCCGAAGCCCTTCACAATGCCGTACAACCTAAACTCGCTGAGGTTGGCTGGAGCACTGGCGCCGCAGACGACTCAGCCCTCGCCGAGTACATCATCCTCATGCTCGTCAACGGCAAGACCCAGAGCCAAATCGCATCAGAGCTTTCCAACGACCTGCTTGGTCTCGGTCCCGACGACCCCAGTACCAACGAATTCGCGACATGGTTGTTCGAACAAGTTCACTCGCTAAATGCCCAGCTCAATGGCGGCCAAGATGCGCAAATGGATTCGGCGCAACCCGCAGTTGCCACAACTGTAAACCAGGACAACTCGAACCAAGATCAGACCATGGGTGATGGAGGCGAGTCGCTACCTGAGGGTGCAATGTATGTTCGCTCGCGACAAATTCACAGACATGATGTGCTAACCATACCTAGTCCCACTGGACCCAAATCAATGCGCAATGGCAACGGCAAGCAGCAAACACGAGACCGTCGCATGCTCGGACACATGAACAAAGCACTTGATCGCACAAATGATGCTGCGCTGCATAGAATAAGAGGTGGTGGAGGCGTCGGCAGAACCAATACCCACAACAACCGTGAGCCTCCCAAGGGCCCTCGAAACATGGCCAACCGCATGCAGAACATGAGCCAGATGAACTCGCCCATGACTCAGAACGCTATCATGGGAGCCAACCCGCAGCAACAAATGCAACTGTTCAAGATGCTGGAAGAGCAGTCGCGTATGATGGCTCAGATTCTTGGTCCTGGTCAGCAATTCCCCAATGCTCCCGCTATCAACCCAGCATTTTTCAATGGTCAGCAAGGCCAGCAGGGCCAGCAAGGCAAATCGCTATTCGAACGCGTTGAGAAGCCTAGGAAGAACAGCAACTTCAAGAACAACCAGCGACCCAATGCAGGAGCAGACGCCATGGAGACCGATGGCGCCGAGAATGCCGACTCGGAGCAGAAAGAACCCTCGACCATCCCTTGCCGCTTCCAACTATCTTGCACGAATCCTTCATGTCACTTCGGTCACCAATCTCCTGCTGCACCACCCGGCATTGCGCTTGATCTTACTGATACATGCCCTTACGGCGCCGCTTGCACGAACAAGAAGTGCGTCGCATCACACCCTTCTCCAGCGCAAAAGCGTGCCCACCTCTCGACTCAAGTGGATTGCAAGTTCTACCCCAACTGCACCAACCCGAACTGCCCCTTCAAACACCCCTCCACACCACCATGCAGGAATGGCGCCGATTGTCCCGAGCGTGACTCTGGTTGTCAGTTCTCACACAGCGACATCATGTGCCGCTACACGCCCTGCTTGAACCCCAACTGCCCTTACCGTCACAACGAAGGTCAAAAACGTAGCGCAAACTGGACAAACCCCAACGGCAAACACGTCAGCGACCGCACGTTTGTCACAGACGCAGATGGCGATGAAGAGTTGATTATACCTGGTCAGAGCAGTAGTGGCCAACAGCAAGAAGGGCAATTGGCAGAGCAGCAGCAACAGCAAGGCCAGGCTCAACAGGCCAATGCAGATGTCATTGCTTAGGGAGCTGATGTCCATTGGCCTACCCCTTCGCCTTAGTCACGCGGACGCTTCAATGTCAAGAAGGAAACTTTGGATCCGAGGATTGGAGGTGGCACTGGTAAAAAGGAGGACTCGAAGACATGCTCTGCGACGCCATCAAGCGCTGTGCTATTCAAGACTGGCTTCAGAAAATTCCTGAAGGACAGTAGGATTTTGCATCGTGCTGAAAAGAGATGGCATCCTTTCTGTTTGGAGCGCTGAGAGACAGCGGCTAGAAATTGGAACAGAAGATAAGGAGATGGTTAGAAGGGTTAGAGCGAAGGACAGTGGTTATTATTATTTGAATCAAGGCCTCAGAAAAAGAAGGTCGTTCGTTTTTTTTGGTGGATGCGCCATCAGCATTCTCTTATTTGTTATTTTCTCTTCGCTTGCTCTTTCTGCTCATATGCTCCCGTGACGTTCGTTGACTCTGTGCAAAGGCAGACGGAAAGAACAGGGCACCAGGTTTTGCAGACGGACAGTGTCTCCTGTAACGTGAGGCATATAAGGTGAAGATAGCCTATGCTTTCATCAATCTCTTCTTAGCTCAGTTGGTTTAGAGCGTCTGACTGTAATTGTTCGATTGTCATCAGAAGGTCCTTTGTTCGACTCAGAGAGAGGAGATTTCTTTTTGCACTTTGTTCTGCCTACGCCCTCTCTTTCCATGCCTTTTTACCATCGTCACGACTTATTTTGTTTTCTTACAAACCACAGAACTCCTCTGTTCGTTAACGATAAATCTTTTGTTCTGAAAAGTTAGAAGGCCAGGAGAGTAGGGCGTTTGTCTAACATTCAAACTCATGTAATTCATGTTTTCTCTTCGAGGCACTCCTGTCAGAAGAAGCAACTACCCTCAGTACCAAAATGTCATAAGCTCGAGATGTCATCAGTTCAAAAGATTCATAGTCAGTTCATATTGGGAGTCTCAGCTGGAAAGAACGTCTTAGAGAAACAGTTTGTTATTCACGAGCAGCAGTCAAAATCGTAGTCTTTTCTGAATGCGAAGCTGATCCAAACACATTCTTGTTCTTGCCCATCTTGTCCATTAACACAAAAGCGAGATGGAGTTACATCCTTCCTGTATGCCAAATACAATCGCAGTGTAGTTACAGAAATACACAATAGTTTCATGAAGAATGTGGTGTCCACAGTTAGAGAGAACCCTTATGAAGGCTATCTTAATGGCCAGAGTTATATTCGGATTGTAACTATCCATTTCGATAGCTTATGATAACCCTTGTAGCTAAGGATGGAAAGAGGTCAGTCACAAAAGTGACTGTTTTTAGCACACGGGGAGGATGGTTCATGCTTGAATGTAGTGACATGTCTCGATTGTGTGCTTCCTTGCCTAGCTGCGATCTTCTTTGCTGCGTTCAATCCCCTCTGTAGATGTAGCAATCCCGAAAGCATATCCCTTCCTAGCTAAAAAGTGTTTTGCCGAAGGCTCTCCTTGGAGTGTATGCGTGGCAGAGCAATCCTCGGCAAGTGCTTGTGTCTCTTACACCTGGCACTCTTGTGTTGACCTCTGCTCCCTACGACTCGAACTTCTTGGGGAAGAATCTCTTCTCATAGTCTTCCCAGAGACCCTCCTCAGTCTCCATTGGACCCGTCTCCAGCTCGTGCTCATGGTTCTGCAGTATGTCTTGCTCTTTCATGTAATTCCAGCGCCATGATTGTGTACTGGCATCATATGTACTGGGGCCCATCTCGAGGAAACTGAACTCAATACGCCTCAGATTACGCAGCTTGCCCTTCAATTGCGCAGCTAATGAACTCCAATTTGTTCGACCGTAGTAAATACTATCGTGCATCCTGAGTCTTTGCAGGGTGTTCGATTGACGTAGCAAAAAGCGAACTATATGATCTTCATCGACCAGGTGGCTCAGACTGCAGGCTCGAAGCTTCGTAAGAGGAGGTCCATCTGTCAGAGAAGACAACGGAGAAGCACGCTGGCGACCGTGAAGTCCTATGGTCCCGAAACTTTCCAGATTTGGTGCGGAGGCCACCAGAGATGTCAGGAAGTTCACAGGAGAATCGCTCTCACGGAGGTGCTTCAAACTTTCGAAGATTGATGTAGCCGGAAAGGCACGATCCGGGTGACACACGAGTTGTGAGTCAAGCAGCACGAGAGAATGCAATGCTCCGTTAGCATCGCGAATGGGTTTGAGCAAATTCCAGATATTAAATGTCATGTGATCCCAATAAGGCCAGATATGGGTCTGAGTGTGCGTAGCGGAAGAAGGAAAATCGTCCTTATAGAGGCGAAGCATACTCTTGGACATCCCAGACTCAACCAGAGACCTGCCACCAGATTCAACTACGAGGTGCTTTAGCCTCGGGCATCTCTGGAAAGCAAGAGCGATACTGTTGAACATGCGATTCTTGGAAGATTGTTTGCGTTGGTTGCAAGCTCTGTTTTGGTATGCCTTCCATTTTTCACNTAGGTGGAAAGTCAGTTGTGCGTTGCAGACATGGGGCAGTCTCTCCTACCAAACTTTCTCTCTACGTAATCTTCTCAGTGTCCGATCATCGAGGCTGCCTACGGAACCGTCCAACCTCTCTAATTCTGCTCGATATGCTGGAGTTGGTACAAACAGTCGAGTCCATTGATCATATTTTGGCCAAGAACGAAGACAGGATGTGTCGATAACCAAGGTAGTTACTGAGTGCTTCAAATCAGGATGGTCGGTGATGTCCTGTATCTCCTCAAAGCTGTTGGGATGGTTGTGCAGGAAGATACGCGGTAAGAAATAGCGGCAAGCGGCGGATGCGTAGGCCTTCGACGCCAGTCTCAGTGACTTCAGATCTTTGGGTGTCAGGTAGCTGCAGACACGTTGCTTGAGCTCAAGAGGTAGGGTGTCCATCTTGAAGAAGGGACGGATGGCGTGGCCAGAGATGGTAAGAGTTTTTCGTGGGGACGTCCAAGGAAGGGAAGAAGAGTGCTCGAGCAAAGTAGGAAAGAGGAAAATAGGTTGAGTAGACGGAGAGAAGGGAGTTGTGCAATGAAGCGGCTCTACGTGCTCTTCGCTCACGAGTGTTGAAGACGGTGAAGGCAAGAAGTGCAATAAGTTTCGTGTGCGTTGCGTGTTGTGTTGAGGTTGAAAGAAAGAAAGGCCGAAAGCAGCAGCGGATTTGCGCTTGTCGAATGATCAGAGGAAAGTGAAGATCCGGAGTCTATCGCTCCTTCCTTGAGCAGTGAATGAGAGACTTGGTGTTAGCGTCGAGAGTTGGCCAAGAGTCGAGGATGGAAGGTGTGTGAGTTAAGCGCGGGATGCAGCAAAGTCAACGATGCTCACACCTTCACTTTAATATGGCACTTCCGCTCTTGCTGTAAAGGTTATCAAGCGGAATCTTAGCGATGAGAAAGCAATAGGCGAATGTTTACCGAAAATCACGGATCTCCAAACACTTTATCGACGCATCTCTGTCCCTAGAACAATTGAGCTTTTCAATGGCTCCATCATCGCGAGGCAATGGTCACTCAAGCCAGGCTGTTGTGCTTCGGATTGCTTGGTACGATGCTTTCGCCGCTTAGTCTGTGGTCCGATATGTATCGGTGTATGGCTTAAGCAATTACTTGCTCCAGAGCACACTCTCTTGAATATTGTCGAAAGCCATTTTCTGTTTGGGTATTTGCATTTTTGTTCAATGAAGGCGGAGGTCAGGAGGTCGTAAACATTCAACATTTTTTTCTTCCATCACTGCGTCCGAAGTTGATGGCCACACTACATACCTACCACTAGCGATGGATTCATAGCGGCAGTCTCTTGTGCTTCCACTGTCTACTGCCACCTGCTCCATACATAGCTGCACCTTGTCCAGAACCCTTAATTCTGTACTCATGGATGCAGAGACCTTCAAGACCGACGGGCCCTCTAGCGTGCACCTTGTTTGTGCTGATACCGACCTCAGTGCCGAAGCCAAAACGCATGCCATCTGACATTCTTGTACTGCAGTTCCAGAACTTGCAAGCACTGTCAACGCCATTGCAGAAGCGGTCGGCGGTCTGTTCTGAAGAAGTAAGGATGGCGTCTGTGTGGTGAGAGCCGTGCATGTTGATGTGCTCAACGGCAGCATCAACAGCTTGAAGCGGGTCTTCAGTCTTAGGGATGGTCTTGATAGCGAGAATCAAGTCCAAGAACTCGGTGTCAAAGTCTGACTCGCCAGCGTCTTGCAACATGGCTGCTTGATGCTTGTCCATTGTCTCCGAAAGTGCGGCCTTTGAAGCAGGATCGCAACGCAATGACACACCCTTCGCGAGTAGAGCTGATGCGACGCCAGGCAAAATAGTCTTTAGTGCGTCTTCGTGAACGAGAAGAGATTCGAGAGAGTTGCAAGCTGCAGGGTAGTCTGTCTTTGAGTCTACAATGACACTTGCTGCCATCTCAGGCTCGGCATCTGGGTGGATGTAGTAGTGGCACAAACCATCAGCGTGACCGAGAACAGGCATGTGAGCCATACGTTGGCAATGGCGGACAAGTTCATTAGAACCGCGGGGAATGACAAGATCGATATACTGGCTGAGTTGAAGTAGAGGGTCCACAGCATCTCTGGTTGTGACAAGCTGGATCGAGTCATTGGGAACCTTAGTGCTCTGGAGAGCCTTGGAGATAACTGTAGCGATGGTCTTGAATGATTCTGTGGACTCTTTGCCGCNCTGTTCGTACTGTTAGCTTGATCGACCTCACCCAAATCCTAACCAGTACGAACCTTTCAAGATAGCAGCGTTTGCAGACTTGATAGCCAGCGAAGCAATATTGGCGATAACCTCAGGACGAGCCTCAAATATGATCAACAGAACACCAATAGGACATGACTGGCGATGCAAAATAAGGCCATCATCCAGCTCTGTACGCATATCGACCTTTCCAANCTGCAGAGAAAAATCAGCAACGATCTCTATACACACCCCTGAATTTATAAAGGACATACCAGGATCTTCCAAGCCTTTCACGTCCAGGATTCCTTTCAACATATCCTCAAACTTGCCAGGTCTAGAAAGGTCCAATCTTTTCAGGATACTTTGACTCAACTCGCCATCAGCAGCAGACTTTGTCGCAATTTCCAGATCACGAGCATTTGCTTGTAGGATATCTGATTTTGCTGCCGAGAGTGCATCGTGAATTGATTGAAGGGCAGAATTTCTGTCCTCAGTTGAGAGGATGGCGAGAGTTCGCGATGAAAGTTTTGCTGCTCTTGCAGCTTCTTCGGCAGAGCCGTTTGTGAGAGACATAACTATGAACTGATCAAAGGAAAAGGTTCTTGATCCGAGATCCAATTGGCGTGTTTCGGTATGAAAGTGTCGATGGTCGACTTTCGAGTCACAGCGTGCCAAGCATCCCGACTTTCGCTCAAAGTTCTTGGTCGAGCGTGACAAAATGCTTGATTTTTGTCATGATATTTGTCCGTAGTAACTGTAATCTTTGAGGGAGTCCAAAACGCGTTCACGATCAAGGGCATAACATACATCAGCAGGGATAATGAATCCTTGCCGCCGTAGATCTGGTCTTCGTCGCGTATAGCGCCTTCGAAGACCTTTACTCGTTCAAGGAGTCTATGGCTCTGAGGCACTGCTTTAGAAAATCAACCCTCCGTATCTTAGCTGCTAATACCATGTCTATAAGCAGGCAATTCACCCTCATCCTCAACCATCTCTCCACTTGACTCTCCTCTCTCAGCCATTCGTCTCTCCATCTCCCTCAACTCAGCCTCTCTCCTGATCCCAGCCGTCGTGTTCCAACTGGTCTCCCTGCTCTCCTGTCGCTGGCTTGGCAACTTTCTTTGCAACACTTGCATTGTTTTCGCAGCCTCATTCACCTTCTTCATTCTCTCCTCTGCACTTTCCTCGGGGTGTGCTTCCTCCAATTGCTGAGCATAGCTTGCCTTTCTAGCTTCTAGGTCGTTCCACCGATTCATCTCTTCGTCCCACCAGAAGAGTAGATTCACAAGAAGGGAGAGCTTGTGCCGAGTAATCAGAACAATCTTCTTGGCCATAGCAGCGCCGTTGATGGATGCGGCGTTTAAGTGGTTGTCCTGGCGGGTGAGAATGTCGAGTTCGACTAGCTGACGATGTACTTTGGTCGCAGTGCGCTCTTCATCNNTAAATGGAAAGAAGGAACTTGGTCAGCTTCAAAGACTTGAGATACTAAATTATCAACTGGACAAGTATTTAAAAATGCGCTTCGCCATATGTATGAAGCCTGGACTATGATCGTGAGAAAACTTAAGTCAGATCTTACCGCAGACACCTCCAAACACAAGCGTTTTAGGTGTGATTGTTTTGATATCCTGATGCGAGATCTGATAGAGAAACAGCTTGTCTTTTGTTGCTTCCGTAAATGTATCATCGTGGAAAGCCCAGCTCTCCACGCTTCCATTGTGAGTTGCTCTTCTCAGCACTTTTGAGAACATCGTGGTATAGGTCGGGAAGTTTGTGATAGCAAATAGGCATATGTTTGGTGAAGGAAAGCTTGATCTTATACTGTATAGTGCCATAGCTTGGTGGCGCTCAAGCCTCGAAATTGAATAGTTTGGTTCTAAACAGTGATTATCGCATGTGCTTGACGAAGGCCGTTTTATTGGCCAAGTTGATTCCTTGCTGTTGTTTCTCTTCCTGCCTTCTTCTTCAGGCTAATAGACGTTGTTTCGTGCCAAAAATCCTGCGCCCAAGCATGACGGAATTTTACACTAATCTCACCTCGACATGTCTTGTCGATCGGCGATGTGGCATAGAGAGAGTTCTTACAAGCGGCAACCAAGTACTGTCGCGACGCTTCAAACGTCTTTCCATGTCTCATCGTCTTTCGCAGCTTCCTTTGTTGATGATGGTCTCCTGAATGGACATGGCACCCTGCTAACAAACATTTCCGGTGCTTTCCAAATTTAACCAACCCAATAGGACGACAACACCAGCAAAAGCAGTCTGTACAGAAAGGGGTCTTGCAAGAGACGCTGAGCAGTTATTGTGCGACAAGCGTCTTGTTGCTTCCAGGATGTACCTCATATTCAATAGATGAAGCATGTCTCTCATGCTTTGTGCATTAGCAAACATCACTTGTCTTTACTAGCATGCACTTCATAAGATGATGAGATGGAGACTGCCTTCCATCATCTCAACACCTACTCCTAGACAAGTGGGACTTCAAGATGGAAGCCGAAAGCTTTGCCCAAGGTCAGCTCAAGAAGTATCTGATGAGAGACCCGGAATATGTCAGGTTGGCTGAATTACAAGCAAAGGTATTCCAACACCATAACGAGTACCTTGTTCAATGCTGATCACATTCCTTCAGGGCTGGCAGAACCCAGCAGGCGATAAGTTCTTCGAGCAGCGACGTCAGCGCGCCATAAATGCCGACGAGAAAAGCCAGAAGATCATGTTCGACATGATGGGCGGAATTGGAGAAGAGATGAATGCTTCTACTGGCGCGTTCAACTTTCTCAACGCCACGCCTACGGTCCTTGACCTCTGTGCAGCACCAGGAGGCTTCATCAAGTATGTCCTACACATCAATCCTTCTGCAAAGGTGGATGCTCTGAGTCTATTGGAGCANAAAGGCGGCCACAAGATCAGGGTCCCTTTTGGGCCTTCGGACCAACGTGTGTCAGTCGTATTCACGGACGTCAGAATGTTCGCCGATGAATTTGGACTGCCAGAAATCTTCAAGGACCCTAAGAGCAAGACAGATCTTGCACTTCGCTGGCCATACACGATCAATCGCTACGACATGGTCATCTGTGACGGACAAGTTCCACGTCAAAACCAGGTAGAAGGCAACCACTTCGAGCCCACACGCCTTACATACTCTCAGCTTTACCTGGGTCTGAAGAGAGTTGCGTCCGGAGGTACCATGATTGTGCTCTTGCACAGAAGCAGTCGCATCGGCATCTTCAGACTCATACGCATGTTCTGCCAATTCTCACAAGTCCAAATCTTCAAGCCTGCAAAGTTCCACGCCATAAAATCTTCCTTCTATCTTGTGGCCAAGAACATTCAACCTGAGAGCCCTGCCTGCGTCGAGTCCATGGATCTGTTCAGACTTGTCTGGGAGTGTGCAACGCTCAAAGATGAGGATGCATCGTCGGCCACGTTATGCAGAGACCTCGGTGTTGTCGAAAAGTCCTTGCAGCCCGAGCTCGAAGACTTTGGCCAGAAATTTGTTGACCTGGTCCGTCACACTTGGAAGATACAAGCAGATGCTCTGGAAAATGCACCTTTCACTAAACATCCATCGACTCCACGTCCCATCTACACACACTACCTCAAGGGCAAATGCGCGTACGGCAATCATTGCTTCAAGTCTCACGAGGTGCCCGATATGGACGGATGATCAAGACAAGAGGTTACAAACAGAAGGACTCATGATCAGGGATAAGTAGCTGGAAAGACAACCGCTATTCCAGATAGAGTAAGACTATTGAATAGGAGATTTGGTCGGTTCAGAAGGTCAAACAAATCATGCTTGTATTAGATTTGGGTGTGCAAATGCACAGTCTTTTACCACATGCAGAAGGGTTATCGTGTAGAACAGAAAAGCATAGTCAATCAAAGATGAGGATGATGCCCAGGTATAACTGTGCGGCTGAGAAGACATATGTCTGGAAAGGTTAATCGTGTTCGAAAGGTATCCATTACATTTATTCAGACCCGACTCCTTGCTTACAGAAGCCCGGTAACTGTGTGGTATCTATATGACTACATAAAAAGCTTGTGGGTATATCTATTCATCCTAATCCTTCTCCAATTTTGTGGTCTCCAAGTTCTCCAAGAACCAAAAGGGGTAGAATAAAACAAATCCAAGAACGAAAGCCAGTCCTCCTTGTTTCGAGAAAGGTAAAAGTGAGCAAAATCAATCTCAGATCATTGCCAGCAACGATGAGTAGAAGAGAAAGAAAGATTTAGACACCTCCAACAGTGACCAAGAGTTGCGATGGCTGAGCGACTGACAACAGACCAGCCATGTCAACACCACCAGTAGGAGTAACATCGTCGTAGGCGAATGCATAGCCCTTGCCATCAGCCTCATAGTCGTGCACGTATTTGCTGTACCAGTTTGCGGCTCTGCCGCTCTTGGTGTAGTAGCCAGAGACATCAGACATGGGTTGAATGTTTCCACCATCGATCAGGAGGGTAGAGCGATGGAAGGCAGCACACAGGCGAGGAACAACGGCACGGTGAATGTCGTTGTCACTGCCGATGATGGCGAAGGGACCACCGTTGCAGCCGAAGATATCGGCAGCAGTAGGTTTGGCGTAGGCTCTGTTGTCGCCATCGCAGTTGAGGTAGTCGCCTGTGGTGGTGCAGTTAACGAGGCCAGCAGAAACTTGAGTGTCGATGGTGAGAGGTGTAGTGCTGTAGTGGTTCCACACGTCGTCCACGTAAGAGGTCCAATAGTCTGAAAAGGCATTAGGGTATAGTGATATGTAGTCAANAGGTGCGAGGACACGCAGAGCGTTGGAGCTGGCGTCGTAGGCACATAGGTCGGCCCAGGGGTATCCGTCGATGCAAGTCTGCTCTTCGAGGTCGGCACAGATCTCTTCAACGGCATCAGAGTAGACACCCAGTGCTTGTTGGACAGTTCCATCGCATGCAGTCAACTTCTGTCCAAGTGGCAGACCGACGAAGTCAACGTAACTGAGATTGGTGTAGATGGCAGATTCGAGGTAGGTCAACTCAATGAAACCCCAGTTTACAGCTGCAGAAGGATCGGAGGGGTTGACAGCAGAGGGTTCGACCAGGGCAACTTGACCGCCAGCGTTGACAGTAAAGAACTGTAGGTTACCGTCGGCGAACCAAATGCGACCAGCGCTGATGTAACCGGGAAGAGAGATTGATACTGTCGAGCCCTGACCACCAAGAGGAATGGCGACATCCTCTGTGACAGGCTGCGGTGTCGTAGCTGTTGTTGCTGGGGGATAGTACCAGGTACCGTTAGGGTGCAACATGACGAGAGCATTATTGCTGTCTCTGCCTGTAACGTAGGCTTTGACATTTGAGCTTGCCATATGGTTGACGAATGATAGTTCGATGTAGTCTGAGTCTGCGGTAGCGAACATGTTGACTGGAGGGCGTGATGCTGCGACTGCGACTGCATTCGCCTGGATCGACTCTGTTGTGTTGACAGTATTGTCGTCTGTAAGGATAACATGGTTGGCATCTCCAGGTGAAATAGCGAAGGGTGCGGCCATAGCAGGCACCGCCAATAGAGCGCTAAAGGCACATGAGAGCGCCGTCGAGAAACGCATGATGTGTTGGGATTGAGTAAGAAGCACAGCTGTCTTTTCTCAAGGTACTGTGTTGAGGATTACTTGTCGGCTTGCGTATAGGGAAGAGTGTTTGAATGATAATGATTTAGGTAGATAGGGAAAGGGTTGGTTCTGGCCACAGCCGCACGCATACTTATAAGGTCTCGACTCCCACAGTATAGGAGAGAAATTTACTTATCCTTTATCCAACGGTATAAAGCCGTTGGAGAGGTTGGCAGGGTGGCGCGGATGATAATACAGGTGCCGAGAGGGGGCTCGCTGTATAACAGCCAATTGACTGTGCACATCTGCATCTGCAGCTTGTCTTGAAATGAAGATGTCACATCGTGAATGAAGTCGCGATAGCTTCAGACATGATATGTGTGGTATATGCGTGCCCGAAGAAAACCAAAATTGGTCAGATCCAGACCCGGCTTGCCGCACGTGGAAGTGGAAAGTAGGGAGAATATAAGGCTGGGGACCGTTTGATTCCCACACCACCAAACGGCGAACAGCCATATCAAAACGGTAGATGAAATTACATGGCAGAGGCTGCGCAATCGCATATGACGTGGCTTCCGTTCTCATCGTTATGCAAAAATACTGGTTGCAATAGCCTACACAAAAAAACAGCACAGCTTCTTTTCGCCCACACAACACCTTACCAAGCCTCCCCTGGTAATTCGATCGTAGATTAAACAGTCAGCCTCAAACCGCTAGCCGGAGCTCCGATGGCGCAGATCTCGCACACCTTACAGACCGTACCCTTGTACTGTGCTTGATACTTGACGCCATCGTAAGGGCAGCTTACGCTTTGCTCGCCGCTGTAGATCGGTGTGTATGATGCACCGCAAACGTCGAACTCGGCGAACGAGTCATACTCAATCTCGACCGCATCTCCGGGTTGGCGTTCGCATACAGCCTTAACCTTCTTGGCNNCTGTGACACCGAATTAGCTTGATCTTTAGGCTCGCCATTGATCTTGACTTACGTTCTCCTTGAAACGAGCGTTTGTTCCTCTCTCAATAAGCGCATTGGCGAAGTTAAGAGCACTGCTCAGCTGCTTGTTCTTGTGTGCAAAGTTCATGGCAGTGAACAAGGCCAGGGTCTGATGTTGGGGCTCGATAGCAGGGACTGTGAAATAAGCTGACAGTTCAAGGGCACGCTTCTTGTCCTCGTCGGAGAAAGAGCTCAAATCTGTGGTTCCCCCAACAAGCTCTCTGCGCGTCAACTCGATTGACATTGCAAGAACGTATTGTGCAGCTGTCTGGATAAGCTCCTTTGCCTGGTAAATGTTAGCGTCGTAGATCCTGTGGCATGTTCCAACTCAACATACCTCGTTGACTTGTGCTTGCGACGAGACAGCATTAACAATCAGGGTCTGCAAAATCTTGCGGAATATTTGAACACCATCCTCAAGCTTGTTCTTCTGCATCGATTGCTTTCCTGCTTGGAGATCTGTGGTGGTTATCGTCTCAAGATCGCCAGGAATGAAGGGCAGAATCTTTCGTGAATCGGTCTCCTTGAGTGTGCGGCGGACATAATTGACTAGAGGCGGCAACTCAGGGTTTGCCGGCAAGAATGTGCGCGAAGCAGTGTAAATCTCCTCGAACCTGGCCTCGAGAGGTTTGAAGTTGACTGCGCCAACTTGTCTGTTGAGGAGGTTCATGGCAGACTCGTAAGATCCAGCGGCAACGTGATCTGCAGCAACTGGTGAGTTGCGTGCCCACACATCTGCTTCGCTGCTACCAGCGCCTGCTTCGACGGTCTCAACGTTTACGAATTCTTCTTCGGCTTCAGCGAAGCTATCATCACCCATGTCCCAACCAGCAGCATCCTCATCATCTTCTTGTTCAATCTCAGCAGTCTCCTCAGGAGCAGCAGTCTCAGCCTCAAGGAAGTCAGCGTCGTAGCCATTGGTTGCGGGCACAACCTCCTCGGCGCCACCATCGGCGAGCAAAGCCTTCTCGAAGGACGATGCACCAGACGATTTAACGGGCCAATTTGACTGGAAGGTAGGAACAATGACGGGTGGTGTCGCTAGCGGCTTGCCAGTGTCAGGCATGGTAACTTGATCTTCCGTAAGACCGGCAGCCTCAAGGATGTTTTGACACTCCTCCTCCATACCGTTGGCCTTAGCAGTCAAGTAAGCAAGAGGATACTGGTCAATCTCCTTGAGCATTTCGATTCTGGTTTGAACATCACCAAGGTAGAGAGAGTTTTGGAAGCGAGAAGTCATGTCGCCACGGTGCTCGGCAATCTTAGCCATTCTGTGTAGCTTTGACTCGTCACCAGTCGACAAGTACAGGAACGAAAGCTTGTCAAAGTTGCGCAATTTTTGGTAGGTCATCTCAACAACTTGGTGGTTGCCATGAGCCAGAGCTTCTGTGCTCAAGCGTTGCCAAAGCTTGGGGCGGTCCAACTGCTTGGCCATCTCGACAGCAACCTCGAGGTTTCCGCACTCGATAGCCAGCTCGAATCTGGTTTGAGGATCCTGAACGAATTGGAGAGCGATCTCAGGGTATCCCTTCTTCTGCAAGTAAGAGATGATGCTCTGACCGACAAGACTTGAGTTCTTGATGATATTCAGCATCTCATCGTAGTGTCTCTTAACGAGAGCCATCTTGAAACGGTATTCTGTTGGGTCAATAGTCATGACCTTGGGCTTGGCAGCTCTATCCAGACAGTAGACACTTCTGCCCTTGACACGAACGAGGTAGACGGTCTGGTCGAGGGTGCGGACAATTCCGTTGTCGCCATTCATGAGAGTGTACTTGATGTGGTTGAGGGTCGAGTAAAGAAGGACACCGGTATCATCCCAAACAGCGCTCTTGATGCGGATAGTCTCATGCAGCGTGCTGACCTGTTCCAGAGACTTGTTGACAATAGTCACGTTGTGCTTGCTAAGCAGAGCGGCGTACAAACCATCAGAGGACCAGACAACATACTTCACGCCATTGACAGCAAGCTCGGCAAGCTGCTTCTTCTGCTGAATGTCGTAGAGAACAACCGAAGTAGGAGTAATGAGCAACAAGCAGCCAGTGCCACCAAAGTAGATGTCGACGGTGCCTGGCGGAGGCTTGATAGTCTTGGTAGTCGAGTTTTGAAGATCCTTGATGTCAATCTGCTGATTAGGCTGGTTGAAAACAGCAAAGCGGTTACGGGCGACGAAAACAGCTGAAGTTGCAGTGCCGCGCAAAGAGTTAGTAGGCTCTACGGCACCAGAGGCGTCTCTAGGCAAGTTAATCAATTCATAGCAACCACCATCTGCAGGTGAGGTAACCAGAACGGCACGCTCCGCAGGGTTGTATGAGATAGCACGCGGAGGCACCCAAGGGCTGCCAAGCTTCTTGAGTGAGAGCATCGAAGGACTCTCAATGTTCTTAGTGAAGTCGTACGAGCGAACTTGTTTGTCCTTTGTGATGTAAAAGAGGTTGTTTTGGTAGACAGCCGAAGCAGGACGTTCACGCTCGAGCTTGAAGACCATGACACCGTTATCGTGACCAGCGGCGAAAAGGTTGATCTCAGGATGAGCGGCAATGGTCCAGAAACGATCATTCTCACGCTTGAACGACTGGACCGAGGAGCGCTTGTTGAGGTCCCAGACGCGCAAAGTCTTGTCCTCACCAACCGAGAGGATCAGGTCCTGATGAGGGTGGAATAGAGCGGCTGAAGCGTTCTGGAAGTGACCTCTGCATGTATCAACCTCCCAAGCTTTTGTTTCGCTCATTCTCCAGAGCTTGATCAAGCGATCGTCGCCAGCCGAGACGATAAGCGGCAGAGTAGGGTGGAAGGAAACCCAGTTGACACCACGGTCGTGGCCTTCGAGCACAAACTTGACCACAGCGTCTGTGTTGCCGAACATGTCTGCCTGGTTTGCGTTGGCGCGAGCCATCTGGTCTTCAAAAGTCATCGAGGTGGGGGCCGAATGCTTCTTGCGGAGGCCCGAAATGTCCCAAACGCGAACAGACTGATCGAGCGAGGCAGAAACGACGAGGTCTTCTTTGGGGTGGAATTGAGCGCACATGGCGTAATGGTTGTGGCCGGTCATGGTACAGACTACGCATAATTGTTAGAGAAGCTTAATAGCCCAAGAGGGAAATAGTCGGCGTACTCAGCGAGCGGTTCTGCCAGTTCCAGATGCGAATGGTCTGGTCATCCGAGGCCGAAATGATCCAGGGAAGCTCGTGATGGAAGAAGACGGTGCGGACATAGTCAAGATGGCCATTGAGGGTGAAGAGGCAGCGACGAGTCTGAAGCGACCAGACCTTGATCTTGTAGTCGTCACCACCGGACACGAAGAGGGGTTGGGTCTTGTGGAAGTCGACACCTCGTACAGGGCCATCGTGTTCTTCGAAGCGGTCGANNTCAAGGTGCCCATACGGTAGTCCCATAGCTGGATGGTCGAAGAATGCAGAGAGACGAGGATCCATGGTCTNNTGTGTATGATCAGCATGCTGGCAGGTCTAGGTTGTTTAGATCAGGGGACGTACCGCTTGGGATGGAAGGCAATGCCCTTTGCTCTCGACGACTTGGACTCGAACTGCAACAGATTAGTTTGGAGGTGAGGCTTTGGTTGCAGCGGAGCGAGCGGACCTTTGTGAGCATGGTGGGATATGTGTTGGACGACATGTTGATGGAGGTATTTATAGAGCCGCAGCCGCAGCTTCACACATCGAGGTTCGGGGCGTGCGCAATTGCCAGAATGCAGCTTGTCGAATGCGCAGCAGCTGGCGACCAAGGAGCGGCGGGTGAGAGATGGATTGGTGGAGTTGGTAGAAGATGGAATGGGCAGTTACAGCTAGGTATCCTTGATCGTTACTGCCACGTCTATTTCGCCCTGAATCCATCCCTGACAGCCGCGACTTCTCCACGCTCTCGCCAAGCCCGCGCTCTCCTTCCTTGCACATGCCTACAACTTGCCTTTCTGCTCTTTCACAACATGTATACAAGTAATTGCTTTGTAAATTGCATCTCGAGTTCCTGGTCACATTGACAGACATGTGCTAGCCTTCGATTGACCCTTACCTCCACAGGTAACTCTTTCGATCGGAGTCTCTAAGCTTCCCCATCCTTCGTCCATGCTCCGCCGTCGTCATACCTCGTCCCTCGGATCAACCAGAGTCACAATGTTCAGCAAACCTCACACACCCTCTCATTTTTGTGGTCACTGACTCCGCGTTTTTCTTGCTCACCACTGAGCATTTTCGAAAAGACAAGGCTCTCCTGAGTCACTGCATGATGCCGCCTCCTGCCTTCAGTCCTCCATTCCCGCCTATCGCGCCATTCCCTTGATTGAGCCTCTGCTGCTACCTATCTTTCGCGAGGCTCGTGAGCTTGGTCAAGACAATGTCAGGCCATGTCGCGATTGACTCACGCATGCCCTCGTCACCTTTTGGATCTGCCAACTCCAAACATGCGTCAGTTTATGCGCCAGACTCTATCGCCGTCTGGCATTCCTCTCCTTCCAAGCCCGTTACAGCCCCACCAAACAATTACGACTTTGACGTAGAGGAACTGTCAGATAACGATGTCGATTACCCTCCTGGTGCCCAAGTCTTGTATCCTTACGAGCTGGAAGAGGCCGACACTCCGTCTGCAGACTACGGTCATGTCAATTCACCATCAGATATAGGCGAAAGAGACAACGAGGAGGATACCCAGGATTCTGACTCTACTACCTTTGCTCGTCGTACGCGCTTGAAACCAGCGTCCCGACCTTACGCCTTCACTCCTCTGTCACCCGCCCAGAAAAACTCTCGCAAGCGATTGCGATCAGAGGCTATAGATACCGACACCGACTCAGATGGCCTTGACAGTTCCTATGCACGATCCGAGCCTCCAAGATTGCGCCGACGTACACAAGGACCCGACAGCACACCCATGGTTGGCACTCCTCCAGACATGAACGGTGCATTCGTCCCACAAGCAACTACCACTGGCCTGTCTGTCGACCAAATGGATGTTGACGAACAAGCCACCTAGACATTCATCACGTCTCTTCCGCCTTCCCAGGCCTGTTTTCCACGATTCTGCGTTTCTAAGCGTCCCCCTATATACCCAATCTGCGTCGTCCTTTTTCTGACAAAGCGAACATCTTTCTGAATATTATACCAACTTTCTAACACTTGCTTCGACTTGTTCTTTGGGTTTTATTTTGTCTTCCTCTTCACGTCTGGTACATTTCGCCGCTTCTCCAAACTCTTGTCCTGTCGGCGTCACGGGTCCGATTCACCTAAACTTGCTCAGTCCTCTTTCGTCTTGCGTCACGAATTATCACGAAGCATCCAAGCTGCCATTTGCCTGGAAACTTATGTCAGCAACTTGCTCATCCAACCTTATGTCAGCAACCGCCTTGTCCCCGAATATTTAAACGCCTTTGACCCTCTGTCCTCCATCCTTCCTTCTTCTCATGTGATATATACTGCTATCTATCTCAGTGCTCGTGCTCACTGACAACGATGATCTTCTTATGCCATTTATCAGACCACTTACGACATAGATACTGTTTATTTTTCATACATACAGGTGCTCGTGCTCACCAATCATATTTATTCCGCCATTTATTTGCTTTTCAATTTTTATCGCGGACTTCGTTGCTCTTTTGGTCTGAGACTGGAAGGTGAAGAAGTTTGCTGCGGTGATGTTTGTATGGTCATGTTGTATTAGCCACTGAGATATCCTCTGTTGGCGTTGGTACATCTGAGAGAGTGGTGACTGAGGTGCAAAGCTGTTTTGATATGACCAAGACCTGTTGCTGGGGGTACCACCCTGGTGCATCCCTCGACAGATCTCAATCAGTGTGTATGGCTACCTGATGCTTTTCACTGCCATGGACAGGTGTGCAGACTATTGGGTCTGTACTTGTATGCTCATTGCGGAGACGTATGACTTATTGGAGAACAAGTGTAGTTCTCCGAGCACGACATTTTGACAAAGGCAGAACAGCTTGCGAAGTATTGAGTAGATTCTATGGGCTTGAAGCAACAGGCCTTGTACAAATGTCAACCTTTTGAGCTCTTCACTTCTACCTGGCAAACTGATAGCCACTAAGCAGTCACATCTTAAAAGCAAGTTGGCATTAACGATGTTGTTGCCTGTACTGAAGGGACACAGAAGATAGGGAGCTAGATGACGTGGGGTTCTGCGAAGGGCCACCAGCGTTGATTGGCCAGATCTCGCCAGCAGCACAGCTGTCCCGACTCCCCAGACAATCTACGGAGGTGTGCAATAATAACATAGACCTTCTTATAACCCGGAGCTGATCACATCTTATTCCGCCGCAGCATCTCGCCGTCGGCTACATCTATCAGCATCATGGCCAACCCCCAAGGATACCCTGCCCAGGGCTATTCGCAGGAANNGAGTACGACCAATCGCAGTCCGGCACCCCCGTGCCCGCTCCCTCCCAAAGCACCAGCAAGAAAGAAGAGAGCCTATGCCGGCCAGGCATTCGAATTCGGCGCCGGTCCCAATGCCGGCGTGCCCGCGACACAGACACCTCCTGCCGCTGCCTACGGCGCCGCTCAACCTGCTGCTGGCTATGGTTACGGAGCCCCAGTCCAACAGCCCGCAGGCTACCCTGACCCTCAACAGCAGTCCGCTGCAGGATATGGCGCTCCTGCCGCTGGATACCAACCTCCAGATGCTTATGGTGCCGCTCCCGGAGGAGTGCCCGGCATGACACAGCAGTTCGCGCAGATGGGCATGGCCCCGCAACAACAGCAGCCCGCACAAGCTCCCCAGCAACCTGCTCCTGTCGCCCAGCGTCTGAACCCTCTTCAGCCTGTCGACATCAGTGTCCAGGGTGCTCCCTTCCATGTGTCGGATCTGGATCTGCCTCCTCCTCCCATCATTTTGCCTCCTAACGTACGTCTGTCCTGCTCTGGTTTCGGCTCGATCACTGACACATGCTATAGNTCAAGCGTGACCCCCTCACCCAACGCAAACTGCCCACCAAAGTACGTCCGCTCGACATTGAACGCCATTCCTTCGACAAACTCCCTCCTCAAGAAGTCCAAACTTCCTTTCGCCCTAGTCATCCAACCCTACGCTACCCTCCACGACGCCGAAGACGACGTGCCTGTTCAACCCGACCAGGTGATTGCAAGATGTCGCAGATGCCGTACCTACATCAATCCTTTCGCCACTTTCCTCGATCACAGTCACCGATGGCGCTGCAACATGTGTAACCTGACCAACGACGTTCCTCAGGCCTTTGACTGGGACAACATGAAGCAACAAGCCATTGACCGCTGGCAGCGACCTGAGCTCAACTACTCGGTCATGGAGTTTGTTGCTCCCCAAGAGTACATGGTCAGAGCCCCACAGCCTCTGGTATACCTCTTCCTGTTCGACGTCAGTGTCGCTTCGGTCCAGAGTGGCCTCCTTGCCACTGCCGCTCGATGCGTTGCCGAGTCACTCGATCGCATTCCCAATGCTGACCGCAGAACCCGTCTGGCCTTCATGGCAGTTGACTCGAGCTTGCACTACTTCACAATTCCCCGCGATGACAGCGGTACCACCGATTCGAACATGCTGGTAGTGAGCGACCTCGACGAGCCTTTCCTTCCCACACCCGACGGTCTTCTCGTCAGCTTGGCCGATTCGCGTCAAAACATCGAGACTTTCCTTGGAAAACTACAGTCCATGTTCCAGAGCACTCAGAATAGTCTCTCAGCCATGGGCTCGGCTATGCGTGCTGGACACAAGATGATTTCTCATGTTGGTGGAAAGATGGTCGTTTTGACAGCCTCTCTGCCCAACCACGGTTACGGCAAACTTGACATGAGAGAAGACAAGAAGCTTCTTGGAACGAGCAAGGAGAGTTCTCTGCTTCAGACCGCCAACGCTTTCTACAAGAGTTTCGCAGTCGAATGTTCAAAAACTCAGGTTTCGATCGACATGTTCCTCTTCTCTTCACAATACCAGGATGTTGCATCACTTAGCAACTTGCCTAGATACACTGGAGGTCAGACATATTTCTACCCTGCTTGGAGCGCAGCCCGTACCGAGGATGCCATCAAGTTCGCAACAGAGTTCAGCGACTACTTGTCTTCAGAGATTGGTCTGGAGGCTGTCTTGCGTGTCAGAGCCACCACCGGATTGCGCCCAAGCACTTTCTACGGTAACTTCTTCAACCGCAGTTCAGATCTGTGCGCTTTCCCTGCCTTCCCTCGCGACCAGGCATACGTTGTCGAGATTGCCATCGATGAGTCGGTCACAAAACAGTTTGTCTGCTTGCAGGCTGGTGTCTTGCACACAACATGTAATGGCGAGCGCCGCATTCGTGTCATGACCTTGTCGATTCCTACCACACAAAACCTGGCCGATGTATACTCAAGTGCTGACCAACAAGCCATTGCTGTCTACTTCAGTCATAAGGCAGTCGAGAGAGCTTTGTCCAGCGGTCTCGATGCTGCTAGAGATGCCCTCCAAGCCAAGATCATCGAGCTCCTCCAAACATACAAGAAGGAACTTGCAGGTGGTAACATGGGCGGCGGTGGTCTCCAGTTCCCTGCGAACCTTAGAGGTCTACCAACTCTGTTCTTGGGTCTCATTAAAAACGTAAGTATCTGAAACTGCAAGGCTGACAACCGTATACTGACATGACCGCAGCTCGGTCTCCGCAAATCAGCCCAGATTCCCAGCGATCTTCGTTCTGCAGCGCTGTGTCTACTCTCGACGCTTCCCCTGCCTCTGATGATTCAGTACATTTACCCTCGCCTGTACTCGTTGCACGACATGCCTGAGACTGCTGGTCTTCCCGACCCGACTACTGGTGCCATTGCTTTGCCTCCTCCGCTCAACTTGACTTCAGGCAACATTGTTCCCTTTGGTCTGTACCTTATCGACGATGGTCAGACACAATTCTTGTGGCTTGGACGTGACGCTGTACCAGCACTAGTGATGGATGTCTTTGGCACTGACGACAAGAACGCTCTGAAGCAGGGCAAGACTTCATTGCCCGTCATAGACAGCGAGATGAACGAGCGCGTGCGTGCTGTGGTCGAGAAAAGCCGAGACCATCGTGCCAAGGGCTGCGGCAGCATTGTGGTACCTTCGCTATATCTTGTGCGCGAAGACGGCGACCCAAGTCTTCGACTGTGGGCTCAAAGTCTTCTCATCGAAGACCGTGCCGACATGGCCGTCAGCTCTGCTCAATTCATTGGCATGTTGAGAGAAAAGGTACGCATTTTCTAGAACTAAATGGCGTTTCGAGCCACTAACTTTTACGATAACAGGTCATGCAATAAACTATTGATACCAGCCAAACACAGCTCTACGAACCAGGAAGAATCGAGCAAGCATCCGGACTCTTGATAAACAGTAGAGCGTTCGCGATCCGGACATGAAAGCTTATGGGTGATGGTGACTTGGAAGCGAGATATTTGATTGAGAGCACTCGATGCCGTATGGTAAACCTTTCTAGACAAAAGAAGGAAAAGGCGCTTTCCAAACTTATTCTTCTCACCCCGTTAATCTATCTGCCATTGCCCTGACGCAGGAACACATGATCCTTGCCATTTGGGGATGTAGGAGTGCATGCTACCCGCTAGTCTAAGGAATAGGGATAGAGCTGAACAGAAAGAGTTCCGGGACGTATCTCGGATAAGTATGGAGCAAGCTGATATACAGAGCTGAGTGACAATCAAGACTCGACCAGGTGAAAGACGCAATAGGTGGGTAGTAGGCAAAATAGGCTTTTATCGTAACTTTTCTGTGCATTCGCGAGCTGGTACCTTGCGGGCAGGTGATTGCTCCGATCGCCCACTCACTCCACGTTCCTGCGCCCGCATCCTTTGAAGTTATCCGAGACATTTTGTCTGTTTTTATCTCTTTTGGTGCCTGTGATGGGAGGAAAAGAGGCTTGCTTTGCTTTTACGAGAAGAGAGGGCAGGTTCCTTGCACCAGCTTACTTATCATTCATGTACAAGAGAACATGAGATCTGGAACATTGGACTTCCCAGAGTTCGTTGCTTGCCTACGAGTTACATCATCTATGTACACAGGACAAAAGCTGAGATGTGGTTGTACAAGGGGGCGAGATTTCCGCTGCGAACAAGAACAATGGAAGCATGATCTTACTCACACCGGTCGAGAATCGGAACCTTGAAATCCTTTTGGCACCCGCGGGAGATAGATACGAAAGATAGTGGAAAGAGTGTAAAGTGCGAGTGTTGCGCGTCTGGGTGCCAGAAACTGTCACAGTTTTAAAGATCAATCCTTCTCCTACGGTGACATACTCTACAGTGACAAATGCACAGTTGCTTCCGAAACAGAAATCTGGCAATGGAAATCATCCTCAGATAATGTCTGCTCTGTGGATGACACTGTGCATATCTGTAGTCATGATGTGATGCTACCAAATCGCACTTGGAGAGGGGTTTGTGCTGTTTATTCCCAGACACCACCCGACTGTCGCATGACGAAAGGTTGCCACGAGACAAGTTGCGAGTCAAAGGCAGCGCCAGCAAGACCAACACGCAACAGCGCTTCCTCAGGGGCAAGAGAAGATCCAGGCGTGTCTGATTCATGAAAGATGTCTTGCCCTTGCAGCTCTAAAACTCTCCGCATGAGAGATGGCTTGCAAGCCTTCCGAATGGCAACAGAGATGTGGGACTGTGGAGGAGGGGCACAGATGGGTTTTCACATGACAAAGTTTAATGCACTCACTCCTTGTGGTACCTGGATCTGGATGGCACGCACTCGCATGTACCTGCAAGGCCTGGGGTTTCGGACTCGATAGAGCAGCGAGCAATAAACCACATCAACGTTCGGTGGATACCGCATGCGGATGAGTTAATCTATCAAGCATCGTGAAGGAAGGCGCGCTTGCCGAAACGCTGCTTCCTTTCATGCAGGTCAGCGGTGCTGAAGTCAACGGAGGAAGTTGTTAGCGTTCAGGTGTAATCGCAACCTGACGAATCGCCCGGCTTTCAAGACACATCATCGGCATCATCACCATAAGAAGCTTGGCTTGTCTGGCACCACGCTGAGTCTTTGTACCTTCTTCGTATTCCCCCTTCTTTTGTGCAGCCTCGACTGACTTTTGATGGGACCTGAAACCCAGTAGGTCTTGGGAGAAGACTGGGCAAGACGCAATCTGACATCTCTGACAAGAGCATGAATGCTATGGTAAGAGTAAGGCACGGATGAAACATGATCGAGCAAAAGCAACTCCCGCTCCGAGGGTGGTATCGAGACTCGAGAGCATCTCTTGATCACATTGTCATGCTAACGACCCGTTCCATCCCGTTTGCTCCTACTGTTGTTCCTCGTTTTCTCTACTTGCTGCCCTTCAACGACCTTCACCGTCTTTGTGGCTTGGCGGTGGCCGGGTAGCGGTGCCTTGGCCGGGTTTGTTCGCTGGCTGGTGAGTGGACACCTGCTCAGCACACCGTATATCGTGTGGAAGGGTAAATAGCCTCGCCCGAATTTCATCGAGGCACGTATGATGTGAGTGGGTGTGTGTGGTGTGCGTGACCCAAGAGTTTTGTACATAGATGATGGGGCCCGAGCATAACACGGAGTGGCCGGCGGGCGCGCGTGTTCAGGTGCAGTGCTGTCTTGCAGACAAGGTCAGAGTAGAGGGGTAAATAGGTACATGGACGCATTGTCTTGGGTTTGCCGTAGACTGGTTGGTTCGCACCTGAATATGCACCATCATGTACCTTCTTGTACATTGCATGCTGCGCACACCCCACCTCTTCAGTATTAGTGTTGAGGGGTACCTTTTCTACGCCTCTGCGCTCGCTCCCGGCTCTGTTTTGCGCAAGCGGCCAGTCAAGCATGGTGGTAGGCAGGGCGTCGACGGGTACAGGCATTGAGCTGGGAGGAGACATTTCCCGATGGTTGGCCGCCCGCCTGTCAGTTGGAAACGTTTCGCTCCAGACTTTCTGCATGAGCAAGCGCCCATTCGACATGTTCTCTGCCGATCCGGCGCGGTAGGCAAAGTTAATGGAGGCATCTGTCCGTGCTCAGATATGCGAGGGGAAGTCATCATCATCTGCTTTGCCTCGTGGATGCTCTCTTTCGTCCCGCAGTGGGCGCTCCTGCCCTCGTTTTGACTCTTTTGCGGCCCTTCTCGGACGCTTGTTCCTGCGCCCTGTCTTGGTCATCGTAACTACAGTTTTGATCGAGCCCCGGAAACAGTAGATTGTCTGACCGTTGGATTGCCGAGTTGCGCTACTCGTACCTTGGATAGCCAACTCTGATTCTGACGCAGCAGCCTCTGGCAGGATCACCAACGTTGCGTGTGGCGGGTTGGCTGCATCTCGCCGCTCTATCCATTACTATTGCTGCATCTGCTGCTTGCTTATCACCCTTGCGACCCTTTTGCCGCTCCGTCAGACGAGTCTTCGTCCTCTCTTACGTCTCCTCTACCACGACGGCCTTCTGATCTCCCATGTCCTATCGACTCACCATCTCGTAGTTCTGTCGACCCCATGTTCCGTGAACCCCCTCAGCTTCATGACATGCTCTAACCTGACCGGTACGCCTTTTATAAGCATATACGTCGGCAATACTGGGGCCGCTCTTGTGCCCCAGTACCAACGAATTATTTGCAAGTCCTTGATATGACGAATCGACTGATCTGAACAAGCCGGTTAGAAATCGATTTCATCTCAACACTTCTGGCTTTTTGATACTCGGTCATCGCTCCCCGACCGTCTGCCAGCCATGTCGAACCCCCAGAACAGCACGAGACCGATGCTTGTACCAAGCAGCAGNAAAAGAAGTGGTAGCACGACCGACGACTACCAACCCACGACGCCGCGACTCAGTGCGCGCTTTTCCGATCAACCCGCTGAAGAGATCCCCGCCGAAGACTCGACACTAAATACACCGACCAGAGGAACTTTCAAATTTCCCGCCGACAAATCGAATGCCTCTCAACAAGACGGCGACGGTGCTGGAGTAACTCGCGAAAACTCACGGCGGTCGGTACATTCGCACCAGTCCAGCGATTCGCAAGACATAGACATGGACGATGGCGACGACGACGGCCACGATCAAGCAGGCTCGGACAATGAAAGTGACGATGACGGAAAGCCGTCCAGGAAGAAGAAAAAGGGCCAGAGATTCTACTGCACCGATTTCCCACCTTGCAACCTCAGCTTCACTCGTAGTGAGCATCTGGCCCGGCATATCCGGTAAGCATATGGCTCAAGTCTGGTGGCAGAAGATCCAACACTGACAAGTGCCAGAAAACATACCGGTGAACGCCCCTTTGAATGCCACTGCTCCCGCCGGTTCTCTCGACTCGATAACCTGCGCCAACATGCTCAGACAGTACATGTCAACGAAGAGATTCCTGGTGACTCCCTGGCAGCGACTGGGACCAGGTTCCAGAGACAGATCCGAACAGACCGCGTACGTCCGCCGAACGTGAGATCTAGAGCATCTACTGCTGGTAGCGGCGGACACAGCGCGTACAGCAGAGGACACAGCAGAAATCTGTCTGCTTCTAGCGTCCTCTCGACTACGTCAAGTCTGGCCATGTCGGATATTGGAGAGAGTCGTCCGCGTCCATCTCCCTTAATGCTGAACCAGGATTCTGTGGCAAGAGCGAGACTTAGTCTGGACACCTTCAACCCAGCGATTCCTAACAACGGTCCTCAGTTTGGTTACTACCAACAGCCGCCTAGTGGCTACAGCTCTCCTACCTCTTCCAACTTCTCCACTGGCGAAGGCAGCCCTAGATTCCAAGCTAGCATGCAGTCGCCATCGCTCCCGATCGCTAGGTCGTCATTCTACAACGGCACTAGAACACCCTCTCGTCGTCTGTCCGTGCCATCTGGTGTCAGCCCCTACTCGCCGCAGACGGCAACCTACCAGCCTGTCTACTTTGCCCCTCTCCCTTCTGGTCCGACCCCTCAGTACTCGAACACAAACAGCATGGTCGCTAGTCCCACTGCCTCAACCTTTTCTCACCACCGCCGTGCTGAGTCTGACGCCGAGCTCGAGTGGAGGAGAAGAACATGGCATCCTGGCACTGCCGGCAATTATGCCAGTCGTCCCGCAACCAGTGGTCTGGCCTACAATCAGACTCCTGATGATGCCGCTCCTGCTCTTGCCTCGCAGCCGGCAGCAAGTCAAATCACCAGACTTCCTGGTATCGAAAGTTTCGACCATGCACCTCCCCCTCCTACTGTCCCAGCACGCAATGCTACCAGTCCTGTGCAGATCGACTCTGCACGTCGCTCATCTATACTCTCCGGGCCAGTCGAGCCTTCGACTTCAGCTCCAGGAGACCGAAGAAGCATAGGATGGGAGCACACTCTTCATCATGGCCTAAACAGGTTGGAGATTGCTCACCCCCCTGTGGACCAGTCTCGCATACTGCCAAGCCAGCGATTGACCACTGAACATGCTCAACAACCTACTTCTGGATATGCGTTGCCTCAGCTGCAGCCACCTGCTGATATACGTCCAGTCACTGATGACCGCGCAAACAAGCGTCAAGCCTGGTACGGTGGTCCAATGGGACCTCCTCAGGGGAGCCAGCCGATCATGATCGCGCATCGTACATCACCGGAATCCAGTAGCAGTGAAGGCATTCCCACACCCTCGACTTCTCAGGGCAGAGAACTGCATCCGGCTATCATGCACGCCAATGGCATGGTTGAGCTGCAACCTCCGGATGCCATGCTGACTGATGAGCAAAGAGCTCTCCAGGCGCATTACCAGGGCAAGCCCGAGCCCACTAGGGCAGATTCTGGCTTCCACAGCTACTTGCACATGCCCGGCCAAGCACCTACTGTGTATATGATGCAAGCTGGTCATAATATGCAGGTTCAATCTCCTGAATGGCGTCCCGCACCTGTCAACCAGCGAGCCAACCCCGATATGGGCAGACTTGAAGCACTCGTGGCTGTTGCTACCAGCGAGAATCGAGCTGTCGAGCACCGCAGCTGATTCAACCACCCGTCCCACAACGAAAAACCTCAGATACCGTTCTTCCCCCTCCCTCAACACCCACTTACACCTACAACTAATGTTTCATAATTTGATGAAACTTCCCGAGAAACGACCACGACCTGCGAATGACCTCTGACGACTCCCCTTCTCGCGATTATCCTCCTTTTGAGCGTTGTCTTTTGAGTTTACCTTTCTGCTACTTACTTCGTTCGAGCGTGTTCTTGCTATGCTTTTCACTCACTCCCCAAATACCCTTCTTCCCCTTTCTTCTTCTTCTGCAAGCACACGAAGCGCCGTTTATTTTTGGTGCGGTCTCAGTCAAGTTATTATTTCGATACCCTGATACCCCACTGGTTTTTTTGAATTTTTTCTGTTTTTACTCCCCCATCACCTACCTGTCCACGATCTATGAACTCCTTTTAGCTTAGTCCTCACTTCTTATTGTGGTGTTAATATCAAATATATGCTTTTCCCCTTCGATTATGTCTTCTAGTTGTTATCTCGGTTGTGATGCTGAAGAATTGCTTGCTCGTTTCCCAATACATGCTTGGTTGTCTAAGTAAAAGCAGAGGCTGTAACGAATCGACTGGAAGAGAAACGAAAACGAAGTATGTTTGGATCTCTTTTCCTTTTGGGAATCTATGATAATCCTATCTACTGATGGTTCTGCTGACCTCTCCAATAATAGTCCACCTATAATGTGTATCTCTCTCCTTCTGATTTGACGCAATCAAGTTACCACCTCATTGCAACGCCGAACAATGCCAGTACATGCTAATGAATCCCACCAACACCATGCTTTTGTTCTCAAATTGACCCAAAACAGAAACAACCCATCAGAAGGAAAATAATGCAAAGAAACAGCTAAAGATGCTGCTTCTTTCAAGCCATCACACCGGCCAAGCCCTCACGCATGCGTTCGACACCTTTGATGCCCACACCCTTCAATCTTCCCAATTCGCCTACATGTCTGACCTCATCGTCCATCTCACACAGCGCGTTAACGATCATCTCTGCTTTCTTGGCTCCCACGCCTTTGAGCAGACGGATTTGAGCAACGTCACGGCTGTTAATGATGCGCAGGATGTGCTTGGAGCGAGGTGTTTGGTCAGGACCAGCGTTGATGAGTGAATGTGCCAATTCATCTTCTGAATCAGAGTCTGCAGCCTGTCGTTGCGAACACGGTTGAGGTGCTGCAGCAGCTTCGTCGCGGAATACGCTGAGGTTGCGGCGGATGGCGGGTCTACTGCGCGGTTTTGTGCGTTGGTGGTTGTCAAAGACAGACTCGTCTTCGTCTTCCTGGTCGTGAGCTTCGGGTTGATAGTCGTCGTCGCCGTCATCAGCCATCAAAGGCACTCCACCGCTAGATTTTGGTCTGCGCTCCTCTTCTTTGCGGTTGATTTTCTCTTGCAGCTTGAGCATCTTCTGCGCTAGCTTTTGGTTGTCTGGGAAGTAAGGTAGTGCGAGCTGGTACATTTTGAGGGCGCTGACTTCTTCGCCACGCACAGTATGCTGTTTGGCCATGAGCAGGTATTGCAGGCCCTCTGCGCGTGCTGATTCTTGGTCGATGACTCTGCGCTCCAATGCGATTAAACGTGCTTGTACATCTGGTGCGATCTCTGTGCCTGCTGGTAGCTTTGTGCTGAGTGCCCGCTCGGCGAGCTTTTCGGCCACTTTTCTTTCGATGAGCTCTTCAATTGACTTTTGCGACATGGTCTCCGGTCTGGCTGCTACGGCAGACTTCAACACCTTCGATGGCCGGTTGATGGTAGGTACAGCTTCACTACTAGTGCGCTTTTGTGCCTCAGCGGTGCGTGGATGACCTTGTCCAGAGAGGTGACCAGGACGCGAAATGGCTGTTATCTTTGGCTTATCAGAATAAACGGAGAAGGCCTTGACTGGCTTCTCGATCTTGTCCTTCTCGGCTTGCTCCTTGCTAGGGACAACATTGTGCGACAATGCCTTGGGTCTTAAAGGTTGACGGTTAGCCAGAGGGATCGAAGGAATACAAGACTTGGACTCGGGCTTTGGTGCAGTGCGGAAGAAAGGTCTGTTTTCGACTTCGTTGACTTCGATCTTCTTTGTTCGGTTGGCAAAGTTCAAGGAGCTAAGAGTATCAAGGTGGTAGCTTCTGACAGGTGCCAAGTTCAGGATCATGACTGTGAGACCGTTGTTCTGACCAAGAGAAAGAATTCGTGTCATCTTGGACTCGCGGTACGGAATGCGACTTTGCTTCTTGCTAATAGCCTCGACGCATTGAGCGAGAACGAAAAGAGACTTGTTGATGCTCGCAGATTCGACCATTCTCTCCTTACCATTGTCGGTGCGGCGGTTGTCTTCCGAGCCAGCCAGATCGATGGCGCTTGCTGTGCTTACGCGAACTTCGTTACCAGTTACTTGAGTTACCTTGACGCAGAGAACTGCATGAGAGCGGGAGGAGTGTGCGTTCAGCTAGACATTTCGTTAGTGGTATGCGCCTTTGGGTAGACGGAAAGAGAGCACACCTTNTGTGGCAGAAGTAGAGCGGTTGACGTTGGCTTGGTCGTACAGAGATTCAAAGTCTTTGAGCGAGGTGCAAGGCCTTTCTGTCAAGCCAACGACAACCGTCTTGCCATTGTTGTCGCGGATTGGCAAACCAGCAGGGGTGCGCTTCTCAGGGGCTTCGAACAGATCAAAGACGCGATCGTTGTAGATTTCGTAGTAGCTCATGGCGACATCAACTTTGGTATCGCCTTCGGTATCCTTCTCGATTTTACGACTTCTGCGATAGATGCTGCTGAGCAAGCGTGGGATGACACCTCTGTCTGCCAGTAGTTTCCCGCCGCGCATAGTGTGCGTCTTTCCGGTTCCTGTGACTCCATATGCAAAGATGGTAACATCGAAGCCCTTGAAGAGATGCTTGACGGTTGGAGCAATCTCATTGTCAAAGACTTGTTGTTGTGTGGCTACTTGGTCGTAGACGCTGTTGAACTGGAAACTGAAAGCCTCGGCCTCGTTCTTGGGATTCGGAATGCGCACGATCGAGGGAGTGGCCAGTGGCTCGGAAGCATTTGTCGCAGCCTCGACAATCGTGTCCTTCTCCAGCTCTTGCTTGAGCAAGGGTCGGATGCGCGCGACGACCCGGACGCTCATGGTTGGCTGGGCTCAGGGGGGGGGGGGGGGGGGGGGCTGGTTAAAAATGGGGTGTCGGTAGATGGTCAACACGCCCTGCAGACGTGTCGAAGAATAGAAGAAAGAAGAAGAGAAGAATCGAAATGCCCTTCAGGGCTGGCCGTGTTGAATTGGCGTAGCGCGTGCCTCCCTGCTCCTGAGTCCAAACTGACGTTAAGCTGCAGGAGCCGTTCGAGACTTCACGCTTTTTCCCCACGCCAGACCATGTCAACAACACGTCGTTTTTCTCGTCGACCCAGAAACCGTTTTGGCTTTGGCTTCGGCTTGCCCCTTCTCCTTGTTCACGCGCAACCAACAGCTCTTGCGACGTCGATTCAGAATTCTGATTATGCCTGTACAGTCTTCATGTGTCGATGTTCGTATGCAATCTCGTTCAAGGTTTCGCATATACGATCGCGCTAACCATGTCGATCCGCCTAATTGTGCCAACAATCGCGTCTTCGATAACCCACTCGATAACCCAACTGTGCTAACGCTCTCCAAAAAGAAACTGTAGTTCGGACTGTGCTCATGACGGCCGGCACATGCTTGATCCTACGTCAGGTCCTGAAACCAGGCATCGTGCCGTGCCTGATTGTGAACCATTCAGAGTCATAGTCAGTGTGATAATCCTAGGCGGGACAATTACCCTCCTAATCGTATTTTCGTGCTGAGATCGCAGCTGTTGTTTCACGCGGATATATGAAAATCAATATTATATATCTATGTTTAGCGTATGATTCATTCTATCGAATATGAGAGGTCGAACGCAATTACTCTCGGCAACCAGCTCTTCAGCCTCCAAACATTTTATCATGTTGTAGCCTTCTTTGTCTGAACAGGTGCTGATTTAGCTGCTGCCTTCTGTGGAGCTTTGGCACCAGCAGTCTTGCTACTTGTCGCAGTGCCATTAGGCACGCCCGGTTTCTTGCTAGCACTCGATGCTTGAGCTGGCCGCTTTGTTGCTGCTGATGGAGCTGAACTTCCTGCCTTACTCGTGGTAGGGGTTGCCTGTTGCTTCTGCTTGTTCTCGGCTATTTTCTGTACACCTTGTTTGGCCTTTTGCATTGCTAGTGTCGATAGAGGTCGTGTGATGGCAGTCTCCGCCGGTGTCATTGGTAGCGACTTGCGAAGGTTTGGCGCAGGCTTTGAGGATGTCGTCTGCGTAGCTCGCATCAATCGCTGTCGTGTCTCTTCGTGTGCATTATCGATTGTCTTCTTCAGCTTAGGGTCGAGGTTCCGTCCAGCTGTTAGCTTCTCTGTTCCTTCCGGAAGAGGATGCTTTCGCATAGCTTCTTCAATCTCTCTCTGAGTCCGAGCAGCGTCTCTTGTGATCTTCTCTATAGCAGATCCTTTTATTGGTGGACCACCCGCTGATTTCGAGGCATAAGTCAGAGCCTGTCGCATGTCCTCAGTCGACTTTGGCGCCTTTGATGCCTTTCCTGCTGTCAGCAGATTCAATTGCTGCTGTTGAGCCACCTTGTTCAGTAGCGCGTCGAAGTCAATGTTTCCAGGTGCTATGTCTCCGCTCGAAAGTGCCGTTGCAGCAGCAGTGATGGGAGCAAAGATAGCAAGGAACTCTTCCCATCCACCTGCCTTGACTTCGGTAGTGATGAACTTGGCAGTTTTGTTGACAGGTTTGATGACTTTCTTGTCTCCATGACCGTTGCCATTTGCAAGTTTTTGAAGTGCAGCTTCGGCCTGCATGGCTTTGATCGGGCATCCGGCGGGGAATGAACCATGGCGGTAGAAGTGTTCCAGCAGGTAGTCTTTCTCGGTCCAGCGATTCTTGAGCCATCTCTCAAAGGCTTCGTCGTTGTCGATTGGGATATCACTGATCTTGAACCGTCTCCAGTACATGTTCACGGACTTTGGTGGACGGCCCTCGAAGAAGGAAGAGCGAAGTGTGAATATGTCCTGTCCGAACTGACCTTNCTCTGTCCTTTTGTCAGCTAGTAACTACCAAATTCATCTTCCAAAGACGTACGGAACACCCTCGTAGGCAATTGTGCAGTCGTATAACCAGTTTGTTGACTCCTTAAGGCGCTGGAGACAAAATTGCAGTCCGGTTTTGCGAGGCAACAGTTGATGCTTCATGTCGCTGATACCTTGCTTGTCTGCCCAGGCCTTACTCTTTGCACGAGTAGTTTCACTCAAGTTTGTGCCTTCCGGGAATATCAACAACCACATAGGATCTTTGGGGTCACTGAGTTGGCTCAGATGCCGTTGGAAACGGCTTTTATCTGTCTCCCATTTTCGCGACAGAAAGATGAAGTTGTAAAATTGGGCACCCCAACCAAAGATTGGAACGTTCTTCAGAGACTCCTTCAAGATGATATAGATGCGGCCATGCATCTTGTTCGTGTATGCAATCCACCAGAGATACAGCCAGTCGGTGTAGANGCTATGTCAATCAGTACCAATAGTTGTTCTCCAGCATTGTTCTCCAAAACATACCTGATGGTTGGCCATCATGACAAGCCTATGTGGGAAGTTGCATCGAAGACTCCCATCTTCCATTTGGTACAACTGATCCTTCATACTCTCGTCTCCGGTGACTCTGACAGCAGTAGGTGCCCACCATTGAGTCATGGTCGCAGTAAGGACAGCAAAGGACTCTTTAGTCCATGCCATGTACCCATCGTAGAATTTAGGGTCAATGAGCTTCAAAGGAGCACCAATGAATTGTGAAGCGCTTANTACTGAATTGCAATATGCTTATCAGATACGAACTTTCAGCACACATCCACGTTCTACTTACGCCAGTACACCTGAGAGGAAAGTCGATGCAGCAGAGAAGGCTCTCTCAGCCTGTCCCATAGCACCATGTTGAGGTGGCCCTGCTGGATGTTGGTCTCCAGCTTTTGACTTCAAGATATCGAATCCTGCCCCTAGCAAAGTATCGCCAATAGCTTTCGAAGCTGCCTCGACATGTTGTCTCGACATTTTTTACTTCGACAAAATCACAAAGAGTCAGGAAAACATCGAACAGCCACAGATCAGCTATTCATTTGATCGGACACGAAGCGAGTGACTTCGAGACCTTCAGACCCTGTCTCCGGCAGTGCAGCATTCCTGCTTTTCTGATGAGTTCTTTCATCGACTCGCGTCAGCAAGCGACGTGCGATGAGGCAATGTGGCACGGCGCTGGAGCCGAATCGAGGTTCGAGCTGCAGTTCAGCCACGACCAACCTGATTCGCGCCCCGCAAGGAAAAGTAAAATGACGTGTGGTTCATGAGCCGCTTTTTCGATTCGAGTCCAGCCACCCTGCCTTGCTCAAGTGCCCTTTAGATCTCGAGATCGCACCCTTCTTCTTTTGAATCCCACGTTAATACCACAAGAATACCGCGGAACTTTTACTTGACATTTCTTCGAACCAAGAGATCTATCCTTCACCCGAATATCTACCACTATTCGAACAAACATTTTCCGATAGATATACATCTGTCAGGAAACACACTTCTGTCACACGAATCCACCAAGACTCGATATGGCCAACGCTCCTTCAGCAACTCGTCCTCACACCAACCAATCGCGGGCCACAAACGGCGTAGCCAGAACGAACGGTGCTCCTCGTGCAAACGGAGTCGCTCGAACAAACGGTGCAGCTGCTGGTAAAGCAGGCGCATCTCGTCCAGCAGCCAGAGCAAACAGTATCTCTTCTCAAGGAGATACACCTGTGAACGGAGTCGGTTCAGCATACGCTATCATGGCCAACCGAATCGCAAACCGTGTTGCCGAGATGGCCGAGAGCATTACATTCGTCGAAAGGTGTGTTCACACGACCTGAAAACCATTGAATACATAACGCTGACAGCAAATGNNCAGACCAAAGCCGCAACAAAACGGACAAGTCTTTAACGAAGAGCCGGCCGANAAGAAGCGTCCTCGCAAGCTCGAAATGCGCCTCGACACTGGTAACGACGTCAGCTTCAGCGCACCTTTCCTCGACAACACACTTCAGAAGATGCTCGCACTCCAGAACCGCATGCTCAAGAGCACAGCAGACTTGTCGAAACAAGAGGGTGTGGATGAGAAGATCATCCGAGAATCAGCTGCTCAAAGCGCAGAGCTGAGTCGTATCATTGCTCTCATCTGTGCGGAGAAGGCACGTCAAGGAGCTTAGAGTTTCCCTCTTGTCTCGGAGCACGGAGAACAACAGTACGGCATCGATGTTTCCTATTTTCTTTAATTTAATAACGAAAGGCTATGAAAGGGCATGGTTTAACTGCTCAGGGCTTTATTTGCTTGGCCGCGGACGATTTATCTCTGTATCAATACCACTGAACTGGCGTTCTTGATTTTCCAGTCACGTTCATTTCACCAATCGCTTCTTGTGTCTGTGATCGCACTCTCTGAGGAGGATTCAGGAGAGCAGATCGTGCCGGCCCTCACGGTGTCTGCTTTCCGCAAAGTTCACCAGCCGCCGTCGGGTCGCGTGTTGTTGCACAAGGGGAACGCTACGTAACCTTAGACGGCTGTCTAACGACTCCAACCGTCGGCCGTAAACGGTTTGTCTCACTCTGCCGTGTGACATCTCGTGCCACTCCTCTCTCCACGTCTCTCGAAAATCGTTGCGCCACACTTTACGTCACCCTTGCGAAGCCCTCCCACGTAAATGTTCCGTTATCCTTGTCGAGCCCCAGATCTTCCAACCTTCGCTGCCAGGTTTGCGGGAAGACTTGCAAGGGATGTTTATGCACAGTGATGCTCTCTTGCTGGCAAAAGATGCGTCTGGATTCTTCTTTCGATCATTCGCTGGTTTGTGCTTTTGCTCTCTGCCCTTTGATCTCCTAAGGCTTCATCATCTCTAAACTTCCTTTCTGTGATTTTTCAAGTCTAAATAGTGAATTACTGATATATCGAAAATGACGGGCTTCATCACGAATTACATTCAAAACACTGCCATGGGCATGCTGTCCAGCGGCATTACCGCTGCTGGAAATGTAGCTGGTAATGCCGTTGGCGGTGTAGGCACTGTGATCCAGAACAGTGGACAAGCTGTTGGTAGTGGTATGAGTCTCTTCTGATCTAGCAACCTCCTCAAGTACACCCTCTAACACGTATCACAGGCATCGAAGGCAGCATCAAGAACTGGGGAGACTACATCAACAGCTACGGCGACCGCGCAATCGCCGCAACAGCACCAAACCCAGGTTCCGCACCAACAGCAGTCAAGAAGCAAAAGCTCTACCCGCACCAGCCAAAGGTGCAGGCGCAGTCGCAAAGCAAAAGCATTACCCGCTGCTCCTTCTTCAGCATACAAGGCACTTCCTGCTCCTGCGTCCAAGCCCAAGACACTAGGCGCAAACACACCTTCGTATGCAGGCGCAGTCAAGAAGACAGCCGTGTCTGCAGCATCAAAACCCAAGAGTGTGGTTGGAGGAAGCCCTGCACCTTCTGTTGGTGGCCTACCTAAGCCTTCTGCACCCTCTGTGTCTAAACCTTCCGTCTCGTCTCTGCCTCCCGTCAACTCAAAGCCCTTGAGCTCTCTGCCTCCTGTCAACCCTAAACCCTTGAGCACTTCGACAGCAGGCAAAGTCAAGATCAGCCCAGCAAGCAAGCCCAAGAGCAGTGGAGGACTGCCGAAAGCTCCGGCTGATGGATTGGCAAAACTGTCTGGAGGACTGCCCAAAGCGCCAGTCGGCGGACTGCCCAAACCGCCTGGTGTGAGTGGAGTCAGTAAAGCTCCTGCTGCTGCTGTGAATGGTCTGTCTAAACCGCCTGGTGTGAGCGGACTCACTAAAGCTCCTGCTACTGCTGCGAATGGCCTGCCTAAGGTTACAAGTCTGCCGCCTGCCAACGTGCCGAAACCTCCTTCGAGCGGGAGGGTGAGGATTGACCCTGCTAGCAGGCCCAAGAAGTGATGAAAGAAGGCAGAAAGGAGTTAGAGGTCGCATGATGGCATGTGGGATCGAGTATAGGATGTATGCTTGAGAGGAGGAAACATGGGCTTTACGAAGGATATACTTTTACATGTACTAATGATCTTTACGACAATTTGTTTGCCTGCTTCAATCTACTTTCCTTATCGATATATGTATCACAAGAAGCTCAATACTCTTGCTCTCAATAGCAGAATACACACTCCAGAAAACGGCAACTTTCGGCGACTGAAACTCCCCATCCTCCAGCCTCGGCATCTCCAACGTTCTTTGCGGAGCAGCAACAATACACCCCACTCTTCACCCTTCCAACCAACCACCACCTCTCAAATTACATCTCTTTCTTTGCTATACCAATCCCCTACACCCAAGTTTCTCACCAACCATCCAACTACCTCCAATACCAGCTACACGCCATCACACCAATCCTATTAACGAAACAAACCCCAAAACAACAATGTCCAAATCCATCACAGCAAAAGAAGTAAAAGACCACGCAACCCCCGAAAAAGGCCTCTACATCATTATTGATGGAAGCGTGTACTCGATGGCAGAGTTTGCAGATGAACATCCTGGTGGTTCCAAGATTTTGAAGAGGGTGGGTGGGAAAGGTGTGTTGTGTTCCTTGCCTTCATCCTTATCTGTATATGCAGTAGTGGATGCTATNAGTCTGGATATGAGGTTGCTGACAAGACTGAANTCAGACGCGAGCAAACAGTTTTGGAAGTATCATAATGAGGGTGTGTTGAAGAAGTATCAGCCCAAGCTAAAGATTGGTGAGCTCAAGGAGGAAGCGAAGCTCTGAGCAACGCACGTTTCTATAGTTGTTCAAGGGACAAGGCGTACTTGGATCAAACAAACATCACACAGCATTGTAGAAGGACAGAACTTCTCAAGACGTAAGATGATGTTCTATGTTCGATGCTCATGATCAAATGGAGGGGGTATTATACTGTATCAATCAGTACCAAGCAACAGCAGACCAAGAATAGAAGAAGAGCAAGACAAGGCCACCCTACAGCTCATCATGCCCAGATGCAACAGAAGGAGCGGGTCTACCAGCATCCTTTTGCAAATCGACTCCACTCTTCTTCCTCCACTTGTCCCATGTGTTCCAGAAGTCCTTTTCCATGTTCTTGTCCATCTGATCTGGCAACACGACAACATACTCAACGTGCAGTTTTCCAAACTCGGGGCCTTCCTCGTGGCGCCAGATTGGCATGCCTTCGTTTTCGAGCACTTCGACTGAGTTGGGTTGCACGACTTGACCACGCTTGCGTGATAGTTGGACAGTGTGGCCGTCCAAGTGTGTGAGGTTGCGAGTCCAGTCGCCCAACCATGCCTCCCGTAAGCTCAGGACTTCACGCCAGAACAGATCATCGCCCTTGCGACGGAAGAAAGTGCCATCCGTGCGATCGTTCTTTTCCTCTCCTTTGCCCAACTCGGGCTCTTTCTCCATAACCTGCACGAGAAGATCGCCAGCAATGTAATCCGGACTCTCGTCTCCTTCGTTCTCGTAGTTGATCCTCGCGCCCTTAGGCATGCCTTNTTCGATGTTCACAGTGAAGGTCTCGACTTCTCTGACATGACGAGAGCCGCCGCAGGTCTTGCATTTGTGTTGAATGGTTGTGCCTTTTCCACCGCAGTGGTCGCATTGCATTTGCATTTGCTGGAAGATGCCCGGTGCGAGTTGTGCTTTCTGGATGATCATACCGTGACCCTTGCACTTGTTGCACGTTTCTGTCTTGCCATCTTCAGAACCAGAGCCCTCGCAAGCTGAACAGATGGCCTGTTTCTCCAAAGCAATTTCGTGTTCGGCGCCGTTGTAGAAGTCGCGAAGGGGTACCGAAACACGCACTTCCATGTTAGGGCCTCTGCGTTGACCGGGAGCATGACCGAAGTGACCGCCACCACCGAAGAAGCGAGAGAAGAGATCGAAGGGGTTGCCTCCTTGACGGTGGCCTCCTTCCTTGTGTTGTTTGAGACCATCGTGGCCGTACTGATCGTAGATTTTGCGTGTCTCAGGTTCGGCAAGGGCTTCGTAGGCTTCGGCAATTTCGACAAACTTCTTCTGGGCTGTTTCATCACCNNACTACATTGTCCTTTGGTCAGTCGATGTTCTGAGGCCAGGGGTTGTGGAAGGGGAGCAGGATGCGACGGACGGGTTCTTGTCAGGGTGGTATTTCTTGCTCAGTGTTCGGTATGCCTNTTTGAGCTCGCGTTCCGATGCATTCTTCTCAATGCCGAGTAGNNCTGCGTGTTGCATGTCAGCACTGATCCAATAGTTGTATACAGTATTGTGGATGATCACCTTGTAGTAGTCCTCTGCGCAAAGTGCCACGAGCGGCAGCACGCACAGCAGAAGCCATGCAAGTTTGAACAACATCTCTTGTCTTCTGTGGCCAATTGTCCAGACAATTGGTAATGCTGTGCAAAGGAGCAGAGGGAAGTCGTGGAACTTTTGGGAATGAGACAACTGGCTGTTACAACCCCAAACGCCGATAACGCCTTTTCGGGGAATCTTGATGCGAAGGAGCGTCACCAGCATTGTTCTTTCCTATCACATCATTTCACCTTCTACCAGAAGTGTTGCTTGCGAGCATGCTAGAAGAAAGAGAATATGTTTTAGATCTCGGTTGTCAGTCTGAGTAGCGCGAGAGATGGACAGGAGCAGTTTGAGCGAATGAGGACTCGAAAGTGCGCTGTCTATCATAGCTGTCGAGAGCGAGACAATGCAAGAATAAAAATTAGAAGCAACAACGACGTTGAGAGACAACGAGGCACACGTCTTCAGTTCCAAGCATACAAGTCCACCTACTCTGTCTATAGAGAGGAAGAAGGCAGCAAATATCTTAGTCGACTGCGATATATCCATAAATGAAAGAGAAGACAGGGTGTTACCCCAGACAAGCCTGACATGGTTGTTATCGAGCTAACGACACCAAGCCAAAAAGTCGAACACAAGTCGAATAACTAATTGTCGCACAATTGGTTCACGATGTAGTTGATGTGCGTCAGGATATGACGTATTCGGAACACTCTTTGCATTGAATCAGTCACCAAAACGCCTCCTACAGTTTAGGCAGGAGCAACAAAATTTTGCTATACCCGGGCACCAGGCTCAAAAACAAGTCCCTCGCTTTAACGCTATCACATCCCAAACAATTATAGCTTTTCTTTTGCTCCCAGACAGGCTAGCCCCAATAAGGTGCCCTGAGACCTGCGAATGTAGACGCTACTGTGCTGCTGATATCTGCTCCACCATCATCCTTCTTACGTTGGCCGGAGAGNNCTGTTCGAGTTTGTCAGTCATTATGTCTTCATTTAGGCTTGAGATGACATCTTACCTCCAACTGGATCTGTCTGTGCACATGAACCAGCCAGTCGACATAGCTTTGAGCTTCACCGTTGCGGTCCTCGTACAGCAAACGAGCGAACTCGTACTCCGCACCATCCAATCCTTGTCTCGCCAGTTGAATCGTCATAGCCTTGGAGCCTCTTGTGGTCTCCATGTACTGCAGGATATTGCGGACCTGAGCATTAAGATGAGTCTCGAGCACAGGCAAGCTAGAGCTGAAGGGATCCAGATGCTTGAGTTCGTTGTAACCTTGACCATACAAGTCTTCAAGCAAATTGGGCGATACTTGAGTGTGCATCCAGAGCAGGCAAACCTGTCCATTGTCAACGATATATGCTCCGCCCTCCTCGATCTGCCCGAACGACGCTCTGATGGCAGCTGGCATGCGCAGACGACCGTTCTCATCCGCGAAACCATCTGTCTGCTCCAGGTTGTGAATGGCAATGATGCGAGGGTAGAGGTACAAAGACAGCTCCATAGGTCCCATGGATCTAATCAAGCGCATGTCGTGGATTCTACGATCGCTAGGCTCGCGACCACCCTTGAAAGCTCGCGACTTGATCAGTCCTAGCATGTACATGCTCAATTCCTTGAGATTTTCAGGCAAGACAAGCTGGCCAGGTGGATGCGAGCCAGAGAAGTTTTTGCGATAGCCAGCAAGTATGTCAATGGTCTTTTCGCTCAATGAGTTGCGAATCTCAGTTAAGGTCCTTTCCGAGACTCTGGATGCTGCCTCCTTGGAAATTACACTGACCACAGCATCTTGATCAACGACTTTCATCGCCTCAAGCGCGTTCTCACTTACGCTTGCGACAGTGTTGGTGCATCGAACTCTGCGTTCACCTGTCGCGGTGGTGTAGAGAAGAGCACTTTGGAAGTGCGCATCCAGTTTTGCGTCCAGCTTGCCATCGTAACTGAACATGACAGTAATCGCCTTATCTGCATCGATTGCGCCAAATTCGAGATCGGCGCCAAATGTGTGCTGAGTGAAGTTGCCGTGGTACGAAGACAGTTGCAGACCATTCGAACAGCGAACCTTCATAAGAGCCTGGAAACCAGTTTCACGTGTCACTGTGTGCTTTAGTTCCTTTGCTAGTCGCAAGTCGTCACGCGGGCTGTGGAAGTTGGGATAGTAGTAAGTTTCGCCTCCAGACACCGCACAGCAGTGTCCGATAGTTGCGATGTCCAGGTAGCCTCCACTGGGTGCGGCCATGAAAAAGTCTATACCTACACCGGCTTCGACCATCTTCGCAGCCGTACTTCTCCAACCAGGATGCTCAGTAGTGTATAGTTTCTTCTCGGCGTCTGTATCGCGACCTTCGTTCTTGTCGCGAGGGAACAGGCGTCCAGGACCAAATGTGGGAAGGCTTGACACTGAGCACACAATCTTGCCTCCAGTAGACGCAAGAGCAGCCAAAGCGGCATTGACAGCAGGAAGCAGTGCGAGTTCTGGACTCTTCACTGAGGAGAACATATCCGGTATCCGGCCAAGAAGAGAAGTGATAGCAGCTTTAGATGCCTGGGGATCCACGAACAGGCCTTGACTCAAAGGCACAAACGGATCCTCAATATCAGGCATGACGATCATCTGTGCTTGCTCAAGACCCGGCGACAAGTTGTAGAATTGCACTTCTCGATCAAACGTTACGAAACCAACCTTGACACCTGCAGGAACATTGTTTGTACCATCCTCGGCGTAAAGCGCGTGCAGAATACCTTTGCACATGGCATCGAGGAAACCTCTGCTAGAAGCCTCTAGACTGACATCAATCACGAAAAGCCATTGGAGAGGAACAGGATCTCTGGTCCAATACTCCTTGGGAACCAGGAAGTCAACAGTGCCCAACATCAGCTCAGGTCGTTGTGAACGATCGACTCTGATTCCTGTGGGGTCAGTAGGAGCAAAGTACTCAGAGGGCACATCATTAGGATGAGTGCACAAATTGCACACAAACTTGTTTCCACCAGAACGGAACGACATGAAAGGGTTGATGTAGGTTCTGCAACGTCTGCAACGTGGCGGGCCAACATCTCCGAAGTCGAGAACGGGAACAGGCTGCTCGCCATCCTGTAAAGGTGCCAGGGGTTGCAGAACAAGACCAAGAGGAAGACCAGTAGTTTGGAGAGCTTCGTACGAATGAGGAATGTTGTTCAAGGTGAGACGAGCGAACTTGGGAGAACTGTTTCCTTGGTCAAAAGCGACAAAAGGAACAGCGGCAGGAGGAGGGAGGTGTTGCTCCATGGTAGGATAGATGCGTTCTTGATAGTGGCGAGCTGGAATGTCGCGTGACCTTGGGACACTAGGGATCTGATCTGGATCAACCCGACCTGACTGTGAAGAAGCAGGAGCCGACAAGAGTTGGTCGCCCTGACGAGCAGCATGTTCCATAGGGGTTGCAGGATTGGCAGGCGCAAAGGTGGACGCTGCGGCAGGGAATTGCGACATGGCGGGTGTGATCTGCTGGGACATGTATGGGGCGGCTGTTCCAGGTATGGGAGCATTCTGAGAGTTGTAGAATTGCGACGATGTGGTTCCTGGTACGGCACCTGGCGGAGGTTGAGCAGCGGCGGGTGTTTCGATGTGGTGATATGCGTGTCGGTCTTTCTNTTTCGGTCGCGAGCTCGGTGCAGCGGTAGCAGGAGGCTGACCACCTAGACCCATTGCACCCATCTGATTTGACAAGCCGTCCATACTCTGAGGTTGCTGTTGCTGTGGTGGGAATTGTTGCTGTGGCTGAGCAGGGAAGTAACTGGCTTCTGAACCAGTTTGTTGGTATTCGGCGTAGGGACTTGGAGCGACTGGTGGTCGGAATCTCTGTTCTTNTTGTCTTGGGTTTGAGCCACCTGGTGTTGCCAGTGGTGTGGCTGCCGGCGATCCAGTAAGGGAGAACTCCATGATTAACGAAAGTGGTGGTGATGCTGTATTTCGGCGAAGCTGTAGACAAAGCTACGTGGTCCAATCCACCCGGCCTCTGTCGTCACCAGTCTTCTCTAGAAAGATAACAATCTGCTACTAGAGCTGGGGTGTTATTATTCCTTCTCTTACTCCGTACTATGCGTTCTTCAAAGTGCAGTCGATGCACGAGTTGGGTTGATTTGTGAGTAGAAAACAAAGTGCCACCATTGCTCTTCGGGAGTCTGGCCAATGCCAAGCCCGGTATACCCCTGAGAGGAAGGAGCATTTATCGCGAGCAACCACAACAACCAGTCATGTGAAGTGATCTGAGTAAGAAAATATCAAGCCATTATTGATGTTATCGTATCGTAATGTACAGCACGAAAGCTTTTTGATTCGAAGCCAATCCGGCTTCATCGCCTGTCCACCAAGCCACAAGCTCCTTATGCACCTTGCTACGTATCATTGAACCCCTTCCCACAAACGCCTCAGCCCTCCTAAACAATATTTGCAGCTAGTCAACCGAGACTAGACAATCCGCCTTGCTGTGCGAACTTGAGTTGATACTCACGAAGATCCGCCCAGTGTCGCTGCTCGGTTTCTTCGTCATTCACGTTGTGAGGGTCGTCATGTCCAGGGTTCACTCGTTCCAGCTTGACCAGAATCTCGAGGAATTCTTTGAGGGAGTCCTCAGCTTGCTGTGCCACTTGTCCCTTGCGAGATTTGGGCACTTCGAGGAGGGTGCTTGTTACTACGCGAATCTTTGTTGTNNCTGCAAATCGTTAGCCACTTTCTGCGCGTCCCTTGTCTACCATTGTACTCACGAGGCTGTCCGCGTTCGGCTCCATATTAACCCTGTCGATACTGCTCAGAACAGAAAGCAAGTCCCTCACGATGCCCTCGCGCTCTTCCGACATCTCGCGGTCCAATGCATCGGCCGACGATCCATCTGAGAGCAATCCATCAAGCTCTGCAGCAACTTCGCTCGACAAGCTAGATTCAGCATTCTCTGCCTGGAGCTTGCTTCTAGCCTGCGCCTCGATCAGAGTGAAATACTTCTCTACAATGTAGGACCGTGTGCATAGGCCGCTGCCGTGAATGTTTGCTTTTTGAATCTCGTATTGACGTCTTCTCCGATCCTCTGGCGTGGCGTCCACGGTGTTGGGGTTCAAAGTTGCTGGATCGCGTGCATACGATGTGTTTGAGAAATCGAGTCCGAGCTCGTTTCCGTTGTGGTTGGCGAAGGGGTTGTTGTCAGTCGGCCAGATGACAAGCACAGGTGGTAGCTCTCTGATAGCCGATTTGCATCGCTCGAGTGAATCATGGAGAACCTTCTTCTGGCGATCGATATCGACTAAGGCATCAACGCCCCAAGCCAGCTCCATCGTTGAAAGAGGACTGTAAGACATGAAGATCCTGACATTAGCATTNNGGAAGCCAGCAATCATAGGAACAAGGCCAGGAGGTTGCGGTTCGATGTGTCCAGGGAAGATGCAGAAGTCGTCAACCTCAACAGGAAGTGGAGGGTAAGGCATGGATGGAGTCTCGGGCGGGATAACAAGCTCGCTGAAAGCAGAGCCGCACTGATGGATTGTTTTTGAGCTCACAAACATGGTCCAGAAGATTCTTCTGCCCATCTCGAGAGTGATGTTGTCGAGAACGTCGTCACGGTTTCCTTCGACATTGGGACCGTTCGAACCAACAGCTGCTGGCAACATTCCCAAGCGCGTGAAGTTCTGCTCGGTCGGCTTGTGCAGGCCGAGAGCCCTGATGATAGTCAGACATTCACTCCAGTATAAGCGACATTGGCGCCATCTGAATGTGTAGCAAGCTGAGAGACCAAGGAAGTAGCTAGTCGCAGCATCATGGACACTCAGATTCTCACTATCGAGATAGCCTGGTCCACGAGCATCGGCGCAAACCTTCTGACATTTCAACACAAGCGCCATGTGGTTGGGAAAGTCGAGCTCTCTGCGTTGAGCTTTGAGGTGCAGCCTAGGCTTTCGTGGGAAGGAGGCTACGAGAGCCGCAACCATTGAAGATAGCAGTGCTAAGAAGGCACGGTTATTGTAGTCTTCTCTTCTCTTCCAGGCTTCGCGGAAACTGGGTTCGTGTGGGAAAGGACACAGCGGGTGGATGTATGTGAAGAAGTCATTAACAAGGAGATCCAAGGTCTGGATGTCGCAGATGGATTCGGCCGAGATAGGAGGGTGAGTGGGGTGAGAAGACAGAGCTGCTAGGGCTTGTGCGGCGTGTGTAGGAGAAGAGGGCGTCGACTGGCCGCTGATGTGCGGCGACTCCTCGAGGCGGCGACGCTTAATGGCTTCTGCATGACGGTTTGGAGGACCACGACGGCGACTAGGACGTTCGAATGTGCAGGGGATGTCTAGAGCAGCGCAAGCTCGGCATGGCGGGCCAGACTCGTCACANNCTAAGACGCAAAGTCAGTAGGGAATTACAGAAGACAAACTGGCACAACAGATGCAGCGTACCTTGACTTTGCGAATACTACACGAGTCGCATGCCTTGCGCAGACGATTGGCCTTTTGTGGAGTCTCTCCTTGGACTTGAGGGCCTTGAGGTTGTGCGGTTGGCGGCGGTGGAGGGGACCTAGAGGAGGTTGTTGATGTTGGTCATGGTGCTGGTCGTGCTGTTGGAGAGGATGTTGATGTTGATGTTGGTGCTGATGTTGAGGCTGAGGGTGTGGCGGTTGCTGCTGCAGCTGCTCGATGCGCTGTTCNGATGTGGTTTGGCGCATTGGGGTCGACCTCGCCCTCGGCCTTTGGGTAGATGGCTTGACCAAGCTGACCGAGCTGGCTGAATTGCAACTGGTCCTGCTGGACAGGGTCCAACAATTGTTGCTGGCCCGGAGCAGGATACAGAGTGTAATGCTGCTGGCTGTCGGGCTCAGGGTAGCTGGACATCTGGTCGTCCATGCAGGCGGATTGCGCCCGTGACAGGCGGCAGAACTGTGGCAGTCAGTATACACCTTTCTCTCTCTACGGACAATGTCCGGGTTGCGACGCGTGCCATGATCTAACTCGAATGCGCCGGGAAAAAAACTTACATTCTTGTGGAAGCTGCACACTCGACGATCAGTCGACGACGCGACGATTTCGACTCGGTTGATTGCTACGCGACGGAAAGATTGTTAAAACTCGATGTGAAACATGTAGAGCGCGTCGACGGAGACCGAGCAAGTCGCAGTTGACATGCAACTTCGACAAGACGCTATGACCACCCAGTCTGACAGCCCTCACCCTCCTGACAGACCCCGTCACTCGACCATGAGTGAAACTACTGCACACTCAGAAACCAAGTCTTTTCTGAATGCTCACTCTACGCATCTGAAGCACCTGGTAGTCTCATGTTCCAAACCATTAAGTAAACAGGCCAACTGTTGATGGTCCAAAGCTGGTTGCGCAAGATGCAGAACATGCAAACTTGATAAGGTCGAGTAACCAAATAGAGCACACAACGAGATGATAAGTGATTACAACCTAGCTTCCATACCTCTGTCACTTGCAAGAACAGAGTCTCGCAAATACACCTTGATAGACTCTCAACGTCGTTCCACGATATGGTAGAGATCAAGGAGAACAGTGTTTCGGCATTCTGCGCTACGGGCCGTCAAAAGGTGGAGTCGATGCATCCCGGGCGCGTGGGATGCGCATTCGATCCCTCATCCGCTTTTGTTGTCTACACACCGATTGTATTCTCCTCTCCGCCATTTCACTCTTACCAAGTCAATGAATACACCATACCAGTCGCCTAGCCTTACGGAAATATCAATATCAATCCCGCGTACACATCTCCCTAGATCATGCTCTGCTGAAGGCATATGGAGGCTTCACCGTGGCACAACGCTGTAAACACAGCCAACACGACCACATCCTACGCGTCTTTGCCCAATGGATCCTGCAACTTTCGCCCACTCAGTAGCGGCTCGAGAGCCCCGACCTGCGGCTGTCGTAGATTCTGGCTCGACAAGCCCCTAGATAGTCAGAATGCATCTCCCGTCCTCTGCGCCTGCGGCCATCACGCTTGTTTCCACGACGTTACAGTCGACTCTGCTCCAAATGCGACTGCAAACCTGATGCGACATAGCAGCGCCCCTTCCGTACCCACAGATCAACATAAAACCACTCTACAAATTCAACCGTCTGCCATTGCCCCACAAGATGAAAGCAGACATGATCGAATAGAGCCATCGAGAGTTGCACCATTGTCAAACGACATCTGGGGACGCTTGAATAACTTTGCGCGATGGCAACAAGACCCAACCTGGATTCCGTCTACTGCACCAGCCAGTGTTCTGTCATACGAACCGCAACCAGAGCCGCAGCAGACGCCCAGCGAACCATCGCCGGTGAAGAGTTCAACGTCCGAACGGCCATATGCGTCACTCTTCCCGAACATGGACGGCTTGATGGCCAGCCCTACTGTTCGAGGATCACCCACTGCCGAATACGTACCTGATTCACTACAAGCCAATGTACCTTCTGATGCTCAGCACAATCAAGGAGAAAATCATTCAGTTCACGATCAGCCTTCCATGCCTGAGAAGTCAAACACAGAAGCACCCGAGATCGTAGACACTAAACCATGTCTAGAGGTCACAAAATTTGTTGACAACAAATCACAAGAAACACCCAGTACACCGACTAAAGCGATAACGACAGACGTGCAAAACATTCTTCAGAGCTGCGTTCGGCGTTTAGAGACACTTGAGACTTACTCCTTCTCGCACGTACCCCTTGACGAAGTACATGAGAAGTTTGAGCTTTTGGATGGTCGCTTGCTAGAAATGGAGTACTGGAGGAAAGATATTGACGCCCGTCTTGAAAAATCTAGCATGGCTCTCGAGGACAAAGACTCACAAGCATCAACCTCTTCCCAGGACCTTCAGACCCGTGCTGGCAGCAAGGCACTTCTCTCGCGCGTTTCTGATGTCGAGGATCGATTGGCAGATCTGGAGGGCGCACAGCCTTCATACGCCAATCCGTGGGAGATCGAAGTCGTCCTTCTTCCTTTCGGCCGCACATTGAAAGGAGTCTGGCATGATTCGACTGACAACAACTCAAAGGATGCCGGCACGCCTGCAGAACAATGCGATCAAGCTGGATCGTCTAATAGCTTGCTTGCTCCGACAAACAACAAAGAACCTGCTTGGACTGCGGATACGATTGAAGCCTGGGCGAACACCATCAACCCATGGCTCTGGCCAAGGGCGCCTGGTCCTAATAGCAACCTGTTCAAACGCCTCCAAAGTCGAGGACTTATTCGTAATGTCAGCATTGTCGACACTGGCGCACATGGCATCTGGGAGTCGATCAAAGACGCCTTTGCAGACTTTGTTAAAACACAACCATTCTATCGTACAAATAACCAACAGCAACCATATGAGGCATTGAGAGAAGCATTCGTGCCGCTGCGAAAGATCAAGAAATCTTCGTGGCTTCGTTATCTGGAACCACACGAGTTGATCACACCCGCCACCTGGGATATATCATTCTTGGACTCAGGCGTGTTCATGAATGGCAAAGGCGGCCGCAAACGTCTTTATATGACCACTGCCGACGGATACATCCAGCCAGGAAAGACTGGTTGGACGTGGCAGCAAATACGTGACCTACCACGCTACGAGAATGCCATCGCCAGGTCCGGCTCACTGTTCAGTCGCGAAGCACCTTCAGAACCTTTTTGGGCACACATGGCCGCTCTTGACGATGCACCCGCATTTTCATCCTTTATATCGCAATGCAGTAACACTTCTCTCGGCAAACGTCGCAGCTCTGCTGTCACCTTCGAAGACTCGGACATCGGTAGCCCGTCAGCCAAATCTTACACCTCAAGCTCATCTGGCGACACAGTCACTCCTCGCTTCTCAGAATCCTTCCCTATCATCACGAAAAGAGCATCTCAGTCAAGACGTCGCGAGAGTCCATCGTGCACACCGGTCGCCTACCAAAAGCGTCGTCGCACATCTGGCTCTCCCAGCAGATACCGAGGAGGGCTTGAAGAGTTGACACCAAGGTGGTCTCACGAGCCGCCTACACCCATGATGGAGAATGCTTGGGAGACGCGCAGTCAATGCAAAGCAGGATCAAGCAGAAAGAGACTCAGCACACCTACCGCGTACGCGACGCCGCACAGCCACAATGTCTCGAATGTCGTCGACCTCGCTATGGCAGATGGAGGAGACACAGAAGTCGAATCTGTCGGCTCTGGTCCAGCCGAGAGCGAGCATGAATGGGCAGGACTTGATGAAGACGGAGACGTCAGCGATATGTCGCATCTAACTTCACAGTCCAGCTTCTCTGCTAGCGAGTGGGTCGAAGACGAAAACCAGTCCTTCGACCAAGATGGAGATGATGACGATAGTCTTTACGAGCCATGACCTCCCCGTGTGCAAAAAGTATCTAACGCGTGTGGCTATCAAAACGCGGATAGTGTCCACTGAGAAGCCAATTTTTAGCAGCTCTCTTTGGCCGATCTTCGTTTCTGAATAGAACTGTGCATTTTTATAGCGTGTACTCTACTCACTGCTATAGTGCGTGTGCAGTGAAAGTTACATCCCTTTAGCACACGGGGAGGGAGGAGTCCTTTGGAGTTTTTGTATATTTTTTCTCTGTTGGGTTGTACACACATAGCAAGGAGCGCATTTTTGTGGGTGTTTTGAATATGGACTAGGTTAGACATCATATCTCGGAGGTTACAATACATATGGAACGTGTTTTCAAAATAGGGAAGTCTTCTCATTATGCTCTTCAGTGAGCTTGTGATTACTATCTTGAGTGTCTCTTTCTCTGGACTTCTTGTGAGCAAGGAGGGGTCTTCCTGCCAAGCTTTTGTGCTTCAACCTCTCACGCTTCTGAGGGCGCAGCTCTCTTCCTCTAGTATCAGGTGGTGTACAGATGTTGCTCAACGGGAAAACTGTCGCATCCCGGATGAAATTCTTTGAGCACTTTCCTGATTGACGACGGATCATTCAGGGACGACCACGACCTTGGCTTTGCAGACAACGATAATCTCGGTCTTCACGTGTCAGTATCAGGTATCACTAACCGCAACAGTTGACTTACTGTGTTGTCGCTCTTNGACGACTTCTTTGGTGACTGCAGGGANAAGAGACGCTTGGAGGGCGCCACTCTCTTCGCCGTATACATCCTCCATCTCCTTCGCGTCAAGTGATTGCTGCGAGCTGCCAGACTTTGCAGCAAAAACGTTCTTGATGCGGTATTCTGCTTCTTGGAGGTGCAAGTCAAAAATGACTTGCATGAATGGCTTTATGGCAGTCTCAAGCGTGAGTAAGCTGTTTGAGTCGAAAGAAGATCCTACCATTTTCTTGTAATAGTCATCAGCAAAGGAAATGAACTCGGTCAAGATAGTAGATGTCTGTTCCGAAATCATTTCGTCTTTGGAAAGAAGCTCGTTGGTAAGAATCACCCACTGCTTCTTTCTTTGCTTAGCCACACCTCGAATCTCTGAAGATAATGATCAGCCTGGGAAAAGCAGAATTCTAACAGCAGACTCACTTTTGATGGCTTCAAGAAGAACCGTGGCCGATCGTATGGGCTCCATCGAAGGAAATCCGAAAGCGTAGTTTTTGTTCGTGAAATGAACCAAGGCCAAGGAGAACACAGCGACCAAGGTGTGCATCTTCTGCTTTGGTTTACGAATCTGGAAGTCTGGAACGAGAGCAGACAGACAACCACGGAACGCCTCAATTGACTTGATCTCTGCAGACTTCCTTATCAGTGGGCAAACTTCGAAAGATGTACAGTCGAACAATGTGTCCCTCCCAAACCTACCAAGCTTGTCCTGTCGCGACACGTCCATGGCCCAATTTCTCACAGCAGAGAAGAGTCCGCTCATCTTGTCACGGATGGTAGCGTCAGACACCTGTCCTCCCACATGCTTCGATGTGTTGATGGCTTTTTTGTACTGGATAATCTCCATTTGCAGCTTGTGAATTTCTTCGTCTTTCTTCTGCATTCGGATGTTGTCTTTCTGAAGTCGATCGATCTCATGTTCGCGTTCTCGGATTGTATGCATCGCTTCACTGCGAATATGCTTAATCGAATCGCTGTCTCCAACCTTGCGAACTCTTCCAAGCTCCTGTTCGAGATCATGGACTTTTGCGACAAGTTGTGTTTTCTCGATTTGGAGCTCATCGTATCCTTCTCTTGCACTCAGGTGGAGAACTTTTAGCCGCTGGACTTCGTCGTGAAGGTCCGCCTTCTCATTTTCCAGAATTTCGTTCTCGTGTTGAAGTTCAGTGATACGCCTGGAAAGGTGGCCAATCTGCTGACGCATTCTGGAAATTGCTGATCTAGTGCTGTATCAGTGACCGTGTATGACTCTGATTCAACAACAAATACCTTCTTGTACGTCTTCTTGAGTGTGGAAGGTTTTGCGAAGGCATCTTGAGCTGTGTGGAAAATCACTCCAGTAGAACGATTAGTTGACACTTTTATGTGGCACAGGAGTGAAAGATGAACCTAGTAATCGCAGCATAAGACAGTAAGTAACCGAAGAAAGCTCCAGATTCCGTCTCACTCAGTATAGGTTGAGTTCAAAGTCAACGAGCGCTACTATTTCTTCCGCTATCAATTCTCCTTAGAATCTTCAGCACGCAGTCACTCACGTCTCACTCCAAGGATAAAGTGCCATCAGAACGTCCCTGTTCACTTCAAGCTCCGCAGACTCTCACTCTTCCAGCATATCTTGACTATGTAAAGGTCGTCAATTCCTCCTTCCATCCCTCCTTCCACTTATCTCATCCCTCCCCACACCATCAACATGTCATCTCGCTCTCTCATCCGTACATCTTCTTCTCGAGCACTTGCACCTTCATCCTCTCACCTAATCCGTATCACTCCATCATCCTATACACACATGTCCATCATGGACTCTCCACAAGGAGCGCTGGATGTCATACTCGTCGGATTCGACTTTGGCACTACTTTTTCTGCAATTGGGATTGCATATTCTGGCAGTCTTGATACCGCACTTGAAATCACGGTGCTCAAAGAGTGAGTGATTCTTTGCCCCTCCTAAAGATTCGTGGAACTGACACCAACCAGCTGGCCCGGCTCGAACGGCATAACATCTGAGAAAGTGCCTTCTGAGATTGCCTACGAGCTCATCAAGCAAGGCATCAAGCGTGACTCCTCTGGTGAACAGATCGCTGGATCCGGACCAAGCGCCCATGAAATTAAATGGGGATTTGAGATTGGCCCCCACGATACCCGACTTCGTTACCTCAAACTGCGACTGGATGAGAGACAAGAATATCCGCCATCGGTCACCAAGGAAACCATTGATGGCTTGCTCAAGCAAAGCGGCGTCAGTACTGAACAGGCTGTCTCAGACTACATGTCCATGGTCTTCAAGCAGGCCAAGGAGGCAATGATCCTCAAGTTTGGAGAGGACATGGTCTCGAACACGACCATCAAGATGGTCCTGACTGTTCCTGCTGTCTGGTCAGATGCCGCCAAGGATGCAACTTTGAGAGCAGCAGAGAGAGCAGGCCTGGGCACAAACATCTGCATGATAAGTGAGCCCGAAGCCGCAGCAGCTTACGCGATCAGCAACATCAACCAAAAGAACAAAATTCTTCGCGTTGGTGACAACCTCATCATCTGTGATTGTGGAGGCGGGACGGTTGACCTAGTGACGGAAAAGATTGTCTCGCTCTCGCCTCTTCGAGTCGAAGAATCTGCNCCTGGCATCGGCGCACTTTGCGGTGGAGCTTTTCTCAACATGCGATTCGAAGACTTGGTCAGGGAGCGCATTGGCTCTGACACTTTCGACGATCTTTGTCGAAGAAAGCCTAGAGCTTGGGCAACTGCTCATAAAGAGTTTGAGCAGGACATCAAGAGAAACTTCGATCCTTCAAACTCTCAAGTTGAGTACGACAAGAAGAAGTTCTATATTCCCCTCCCGGGCGTACCTGATGATCCTGCTGCTGGAATAGAAGATGGGTATCTTGCACTTTCGACTGGTGAACTTGCAGAAGTCTTCAGGCCTATTGTCAACTCTGTCATCGATCTCGTTGAGAGACAGCGTATCATCCTTGAACAACATGGCGAGACAGCAAGCGCCTGCATACTTGTCGGCGGATTTGGGCAGTCAAAATACCTCTACAAGTGTTTGAAGCAACGTTTCGCCGACGAAGATCCTCCACCTACCTACACCTACTCTGCAAACAAATTCACTACACAGCACGAAGGTCCTGGGTTCATGATTCTACAGCCAGACAACCCTTGGACTGCAGTTGTTCGAGGTGCTGTAATGTCCGGCTTGGGAAAAGACCTTGTAGTCAGCCGAAAGGCAAGACGTCACTACGGCGTTGTGGTGGGTCGTACATGGGATCCTGAAGTACACTCATTCAAGAATAAGTACTGGTGCGACATTCGCGGAGAATGGAGAGCACACAATCAGATCACTTGGTGCATCAATTCGGGCCAAAGCTTGCCTGTCAACGAACCAGTCCTGTTCGAGTTCAATCACAAATGGGACTTCGAAGAGGGCTATCCCACTTCCGTCAAGCCGAAGATCATTGTCAGTGACGACTTGAACGCTCCTGATGAGTTCGAAGAGTCATTCCAGACCCGAATTCTCTGCCGTCTTATGACAAGCCTCCGCAACGTGCCCAGAAAACACTTCCAAGTTCGCACATCGAACCGCAGAAAGCATTACAAGCTGTCGTACACCATTGGAGTCCTCGTCGCCAGCGGCAGTCTCGAATTTGATCTCCGAGTCGACAGTATCGTCTACGGCAAGGTCAGGGCCGACTACGAATAAGGATGGATCGAACAAGCTTTGAGACACTCTTCTTGACTTACGACTTCACGAATCTCGGTTCACAAATCACAACTTACGACTTACGAATTTTCTTTTGTTCACGATTCCAACACTTGCACACAGCCTCAGGAGAGACGAGAAGAAGAGCAAAGGATGCTCAGCATACTTACACCCAAGATAACAGGAAGGGCATACAATACAGATGATACTCAATATCTGAAAGCAAAAGAAGAAAAAAAGCAGAAACTATATAAAGCACAAAAAAAATACAGAGTTTTGCTCTACCAAATCATTGTTCCATTCTGCTATTACCTTCTCAAAGTGACTCGAGCACAACTGACTAGGAAACAGTCAGGCCCGTTCGAAAGGAAGGAGCGAGTCAATAAACAATGCTGCACAAAAGAGATGCAGAAAGAGCGAACCGAAAGCTTGATCCTTCCGAAAGTTCATCCCACTCATCAAAAATGCACAATACTTTGCCGAATCAAGTCATGTCCATCGAGAGTCGTTAATCTGGCGGCTCTCAATGGACTGAACCCAAATCATGAAATGATTGTGTAGATTTACAGCTAAAAAACACGACGAGTTACAATGGGAGAGAACTCAAAGGGGATGCTGTACTGTCACTCTGATGGCATCCCCAAGCGCTAGACTACGCGATGCATGTAGCTATAAGAATGCACAGTAGTATTGTGAGACGAGGTAGGGTCCACTGAGAGTCGTTATTTGTCGACTCTCAGGCTATACTGTAATTCCGAAAACTATCGTGCATTTCTACAGTGTGTTTTTGCCATGAGATCGTTCATGGGAGGAGGTTGAGAGTAGGCGAGACTTACATCACTGTTGCAATGCACAAATGTGGAAGCTGATACTTTAGTCATAGAGACAACGTATGGTGAGGTCTATTCTCGAATATGCATCGAGATGAGAGGCCTTGTATACCAGGAAAGCACGACCAAGGAAAGGTAGGTAAGCATATGACTGCGCACCTTCCCTCAAGGGTTGGTCTTGAGTGTATCAAAGAGAATGATGAACATCCTATATACACGTAACTCATCAACGGAACTAATTGCCTGTATAACTATCCATGTTCCTGATCAACTCGTAGTAAAACTTGACACCTCCCAAATGCGCATGCATATCCACTCTCTCATCTACAGTATGTGGACCCTTGGCTGTTTCCTTTGACAAGGGCGAAAAGCGATATATGTTCCTCGTCAAGGACCAGTAGTGGGCAGTGTCGGTATTTCCAGCCGCGCTCGTGCCCACGGGGATAACTTTCTTCGCTGACAACTTTTCTGCTGTGTTTTCGAAAACCTGTCGGATGGAGCCTGCGAATACGTTCCAGATTCCTACGTCTGGCCCTGTCGGCGTGATTGGTGATGGTTGAAGGATGTTCATCGAAGAGATGTTAAGGACGCCAAAGCCACGGTCGATCTGCGAATAACCTGGCCCTTGAACTGCAATGCTGTAGTTGTTCGCAAGAGGAGCGATAACATCAGCGACAGCTTTCAGGACATCATCTATCCTGTCGCTCGGAAGGACGCGGTAGTTGATGATGGTTTCTGTAATCTCTGGCAGTTGATTGTCCTTGATGCCGCCGTTGACGATGTCTACCGCCTGTGTCGTCTGCATCCACCAGCGTACATTGTCGCCGCGTGAATCGATCAGCCTGTCTGCGAAGTCTTCGTTCTTCTCCAGAGCTTCCCGTAGCCATGGCTCTGCTGTTTTGGGCGAGTTTTCGACTTCACACTTTAGGTAGTTCCAAATAGGGTTGTTCTCGTCGATATGAGGAACAAAGGNGTGATCCTCCATAGCTGCGATGAGTCGTGACATGATGCCGATGTTTGTGTTCTTGGGCGGTGCAGAGCTGTGGCCACCTGGAGTGTTCAGAGTCAGGACGATGTCCAGGAATCCTTTCTCGGCAATCGCTGGCACCGCATAAGTCACACCGTCTTCGACGATCATGCCACCGCCTTCGTCGACAATCATTTCTATACTGTTCTCACCATACTTCTCTTTTAGATGGTCTGCCAAGTACTTCGCACCTCTGAAGCCACCAGTCTCTTCGTCGAACCCGAACGACAGGATGATGGTGCGTTTGTTCTTGAAGTCCTGCTCAAGAAGTCGTTCCATGGCGCTATAAATACCAATGAGAGTACCTTTGCAGTCAACAGTGCCTCTTCCCCAAAGCCACTGTCCATCAAAGTATGCTTCAAAAGGAGGATGACTCCATTTTGTTGGATCTGGTACAGGTACAACATCCAAATGAGCCATTAAGACAAGCGGCTTCAGATCCTGAGAGCTTCCGGGTAAGTTGTAAAGCAGACCATAACTATTCACTTTCTCGAGGGTCATATTTTCATNGTCTGTTCAAACCGTCAGAGACCGATTCAAGTGTTGTTGGCTTTTCACATACACTTTTGGGAACTGAGTTTTTAAAGTCTCATGTAAGGTGACAAAGGCATGCCATCTTGGATCCTTGTCTACATCATCGTTGTCGTCATATGAGATTGAAGGGATATTGACAGCAGCACTGAGTCGTTCAGCCTGCTGATGTATCAAGTCTTTGTTGCTTCCAAAGTCGGCCAGTGAGGTCAACCCGTCTTGTGACGGAGCTGGCAGTTGCGGCACTGGACACCATGTGTTGACTACTGCGTCTTCGTGTGGTTGCTCATCACTGGCATGGCCGTTTGCTGGAAGGTCAAAGACTTCTTTCCTTCGTATTACAGAGCTCACAGTGCTGAGAAGGAGGAACACGACGACCATGAACACGATGAGTCGTGGCCAAGCCAATTTGTCTTGCCATCTTTCAGTGAGAGCCATGATGAAGCACAAAGTCAAGTTCCAAACTCGAAAGATTGTTCAAGCAAATGGCAAAGTGACATGTAAGTGATAGAGATAGTGATGCAAGCATTGATAAGATCATGGTTGATTCCGTTCGGCCCGGAAGTATACTTTCCGAGCCCCACGATCACTCGGGTGCACCTTCCATCTTTGTCACCACGTCCAGACGACATCAAGTATAAAATGGGAAACAGAAGTGATATTCAGGTAACGATGCTGAAAGTAGCTCCAACACATTAGCTGTCCTCTTGAGTCCCGAATAGATCGGCTGTTTTACAGAATCAACCCAGCGTTCTCCTTCCCAGGCTTATCTTGAAGTAGAAGAAATATCCACGAAGAACTACTTTATCAACTCCCTGAAGGTCAGAATCTGGCGCCTAGCCAACACTGTAGTCCAACAAGAATCTCGCTGAGAAATTTAGCGCAGTTGGTCTGTCTCACCATATCCACCAGTACCGTCATGCCTTGTCATGATCGCTCGAGTCGGGCATGTAGGTCTTGCACAAGGCACGTGAGTGACGAACATCTTGACATGTCACGACGGCAGTCTTTTGAGGTTGATTTCGCGAATCTCATAAAGGAGATGGTGCAAGTCTAGGTTCGACTCTCAAGCGAAGCTAGGTTTTAGCACTCGCCCCGAGGCCAAAGGCCCACACCATCCATACATGTCACAGCGACACTGTTCATATTCAGGACAACTAGAGAATCACACGTTAGTATCATGACAGAGCATCCAGAAAGCAAAAACTTACTTGATCGCATCCATTCCAAAAACTGTATCCCAGACTTTCTCAAATACCCAGCCCACTCCAAAGTCATTCTCCCGACTCTGGTCAGCCCATCTAAGCATCCTTTCGTAATCCGATCTTGGCCGCTGGAGAATGCGAGCTCTGGTCACAGCAAATTGCGCACAGCAGACGTTGCCAATGTGTCTCGGTATTTGCTCGCGTGTCACGTCGAACAGCTCCATGTATATTTCGGCGAAGTAAGCTCTCGTGTCTTTGTTGCGAATGTCCTGCTCTGTAGGATCGAGAGGATTGACACCGAGTGGGCATCCAGGAAACAATGTGCAGCGTAGGTTGGCAAAGCCGGTGCTGTTGATGTGTTGGAAGCGAAGAGCCTTAATTGTATCTGCTGCTTTCTGTCCAAGGACGTCGTTGTGCCATTGCTCGTCTTTGGCGTGCATAAAGATAGAATACTCTGGTAGCGAGTCGTAGTTGTCGATGAGATAAGACAAGTAAGCTGAAGTTTCTCTGCCTCTTCTTGAAAGTGGAGCCAAGCAGCCAGGCTCGACAGAAGAGTCCAGAGAGTAGATGAAAGGTCGAAATGGCAAGTCTTCGTGAAGTTCCAGCAGCCAGTTGACGTCTTCAGGTCGAGTCTTCGCCATGACAATTCCTATGTCAGGGAACGCGTGCTCTGAGTCCATAGTTTTGGCATCGTTGCGGCTCTCTATGAGCCTGCGGAGTTCTGGCTTGAGGCTTTTCGTTTCGTCTCCCACAATCATGTGCAAGAAGAACACCAAACAGAATATGCAAAGAACTGCAGTCGCTCCATATCGAACAGCCAATGGTCTTGACCAGTTACGGCTCCACATGACATTCATTGTTGTCCGAGTAAATCAATGAGGTTGCAAGGATAAGGGAATGCTACGAATCTCGCTGCCTGGAATACTCACATTTTGACATCTTACGTAGTACAAGGCATCGTGGACTGTGCTGAGCCTATCTGCTCCTATACGGGGCGAAGGATTCGATTTGTCGATAGGTTCCACTCCTTCTGCCTCTAAATACTTACATGACTTGCGTACGCACGTAGAGCTTAATCTGCTGCCTGATACAAGTACCCTGCAGCATAATATCGACCCAAGCACCACATACCTGCTCATCAACAACATCTTGCACTCGTGCACGAGATGAGCCGAATAACCAGCGACCAGATGGACAGCCGAAGAAGTTTTCGCAGCGATTGTGTGGTGTAACCGAGATCAGCATGTGTCCGAGCGTGCTGTCTGTATACCGGTGCTGTGGTTTAGTCAGAACGCTATGTCTTGGCATCAGACAGATGGCCGGCGACATTGTGCCCCCTATTTTGAACTGGTGACTTCTACCGATCGCGACGGGGAACGAGGCTCTTTATACACAGATAGATGAGTGCTTGGTTTTGAACACATTCGAGAACAGGCAAGGGACCTCGGGAGGCCCGGCATGACAGGTCGGCGAATGTAGTCGCCGAGATCCGATGCTACCCGAGGTCAGCAAATCCCCAAAAGGAAATGCTTGCGAATGACTTCAGAAGTAACAGAGTTTCGCAGGTAAAATCAATGCAACGATATCCCTAGAAAACTTCACATGACTGTAACTCTTGATCTCTTTCATCTAGGCAGCCATCGTATGTAGTCCTGCTAGAACTCCAGGTGTGATCCTCCTCAGATTTCTCGTCGCTTTGTGTATCGCCATCACCCACTTCAGCCAGCAAACATGGTGTACGGGGGGTAAGGCAGAAAGGCAGAAACCGACAAAACATGAACAAATCAGCTAACCGGACCAAGCAAGCCCAGTCGAGGTTGCGGTACATGCAAGAAGCGAAAGATTAAAGTGGGTAAGAAGTTTTCTATTCATCATGCAAGCCACTCACCAAAGTATAGNTGCGATGAAGGTCGACCAACATGCACACAATGCGAGAAGAGTTCGCGGGTGTGTCTAGGCTATAAGGATGAAGCGGACTATATCTTCCGTAACCAAACCGAGAAGGTTACCAGTAGAGTCACAAAGACAAGGNNGAAGCCACGAGCATCCAAATCTCCTGATTCGACCAGGTGAGTACTGCTCGCAAGCTATGTACGATTTAGGACTAACATGACTTGCTATGGTAGCAAGGGAAGTGCGGTGACATTTCCAAAAGCCGTTACGACCGATGTGTCGTCCAACCTGCCAATGACTTTCGTCGACACTCAGCCAAAGTCTAGCTCGCATAACCAGTTAATTCTCATGCAGGAGCCCTCGCAAAGTGACCTTGAAGCTTTGACGACTATATACAAACAGCCTTCTTTCTCAATAGAGGAAGAGGTCGTCAATGTCTATTTCAGGAATTTTGCTCGCTTATACAGGACTCAAGATACAGTCCGAGGATTCCTTCCATATCTGGCTCCCATGTATGCCAACTCCCCAAAAGGATCTTTACTACGGACCGCGACTCATGCAGCAGCATTATGTGCTATATCACAATTGCCTAACCAGAAGCCTTTGCAATATCGTGCAGCCGATACTTACGGGAAGGCTATGCGAATTGCCGCAGAGGCTCTTCAAGATCCAGTACAAGCAACATCTGATGAGACTCTACAAGCGACTTTGCTGTTATGTCTCTACGAGGTAAGCATGCAGCAGTTTTGTAATTCAGAGGACCCCTTATTGACAATCTTGACANNGTCTATAAAGGCCACGGACCACTCTATCGATGCATGGTCAAATCACGTAGAAGGCGCGAGCGCGATTGTTCAAAGCAGAGGAACGGCACAACTTGAGACCGAGCAAAGTTTGGCACTCTTCCGTGCAGCCAGAACTCATATGCTCATCAACAGCATAAGACAAGGCAAGCCTACGAAACAGCTCGAGGCAGGAATGAATTGGCTTTGCGATCCTACCGAAGACGACCCACTGGCCTATCTCACTCACTGCACCATCGAACTTCCGTCGTTGATGGAAAGGACCCGACGAGTCTGTGAGCGACAACGCAACACCGAAAGCATGGCAGACATGGAAGCATTGATCGAGCGAGCATGTCATCTAGAAGCCACCATGCAGAACTGGGTAGCATCGCTATCTGACGATTGGCTTCCATACACGACCGACTACATACCAGAGAAGCCAGCCGATCCTCTCAACGCAGATGCATGGGTGGGACCTGTACATGCGTTTGTTGATGCGCATAAAGCCAGCGTTCTGAACAAGCTACACTCATGTCACATGCTCTGTGCTGCGGTGATTCTGGACGCACTAGAATGGCTTCGACCATATGATTATCCCATGGACGATCGCTACATCCACACGCGGTGGATCGAACAACGCACTGTTGATGATATCTGCTCAAGTGTTCCGTTCTTCTTGAAGTGTTCCGTTCTTCTTCGGACGCCGGATCAGATGGACACCATAGCAGATCTGATTGGCGGCTACTCGCTCATATGGCCTCTTCACGCAGCCGCCAGTTGCCCGCGTATAATGAAGGATCAATGGCTGTACATCTATGGCCGTCTTGCCAAGATAGCAAAAGATTGCGGACTAGAGCAGGCTCTCCTCATCTCGTCAGATGTCAAGGACAAGTTTGTACCCGTACCTAGTGCTTGAGTATAAGCTTGGCCCCTTCATCGAAGGCTCGATCGAAATCGAAAAGTCATATAGACAACCAAGGAAGCATGATAGGCTCATGAGCTATCAGATCAATAACTGAATGCGGCTTGTCTTTTCCATCACTGGTCAAGGCAGCAGCCGTTCAGAGTTAACTGTACAATACACCAACAGCCACGAACCAGCTTGTGTCGGAGAAGAGGAAGTCAGCAGGGTTTGCCCCAATGCTCTCTGTCGTTGCGGTACACGAGCTGACCTGGAACAACTACCGAAAACTACCGTCATGAACGGTCCAGGGAGACTCGGTGGCTGAAGCGTGATCGAGACATCGAAATAGGTAACATTCGCCGAAGCGGAGTGACAGGCCACCTAGGGTTCACTATACGAACTGGAGTCATCTCAGCTCTGGTCCAGAGCGCCAACATAACCGTCCAAGCTTCAGCGAGACGTTGATCCAAGTGTCATTTCGCAGAACTCGTATCGCGAGCTGAGTATCTTGACATGTTTTTGATAGCTTTCTGAAGGGAAGAGGGTGCACAGGCGCCAAAGCACAGGGATGGATTAAATAACTGTATATTTATGCATCTTCAATGATCCGCGTGCACGGCCTCGCTTTGTCTGTACACGAATCGCGCTCGGCGCTTGTGAGTACGCAACCCGAGTGGGTTTCTCAATCTCCAGAACACGAACAATCAATTCGACTTGTGAACCTCACGTTTTTGTTCACCTGTTCGCAGAACGACCGCGACTGCATCGCCTCACCTATTGCCCTCCGCTGGCTACCTACTGGGCAACGCCCGCACCAAACCCGCCGCGATACCACGACCGCAATCATGGGCGCTATCTCGAATCTCATCCCTCTCATCATTCTCTTCGTTGTCGTCGGCGCATTCGCTTTCGTCGGCTATCAGGTCAGACTATCCTCACTTCACAACCGCCTAAACGCGACAGGTGCTGACACAGCCCAACAGATGTACCTCTGGACCAACGATCTCGCCAACCAAGGAAAGAAGACCATGGAGAAGAAGAACGTCATGTTCACAAAAGACGGCATGAAGGTCGGAGTCAAAGAGATGAGCGAGGAAGAATACGCAGACAGAACACAGAGGTGCGTTTCTTCACTCCTTGCACGCGACAGACCAACACAGTACACCATCTTTGCGATCCTTGAGCCTTTTGCTGACTGGAAGTTGCGGATNAGCGTGTTGGTCAACACATGGAACCAGACTTCCTTCCCTGCATACAAGAGCAGGCTTTGGAACATGGAGGGACAGGCTAAAAACAAGGCAACTTCTTCCGGTAGAGCTTGATGGCATATCGTCGCGTAGAGAAGCAAAATGACGCGGCCTTGTTCTTTTCCCTATAACGAAAACTACATTCGGATTTTCCTTCTTCAGTGAGTGTACTATTGTGCTCTGCTCTTCCTCGCACACCTCTCAGAATCGATTTCCTTCACTGGACAGCCTTGTTTGCAACATTGCACATCGTACAGACGACCCATCAGACCCTTGAGTTCAGGTTGCAGTGTCAACAGGTAGATCTCACAAGTATACAGCTGTCAGATCGATTGCAATCAACCGGCAAGTACGGGAAAAGCATCAGCCTCGTAAGTTCCAGCGATTGACTTGATAAGATTCGAAGAAATCCGACACCAACACCTGCCTTCCCGGAGCTCCGCGCAACTGTAGCGTAACGTTCTACAAATCCATCATCAGCTCTAGGAACAGCAAATAGCCTGCGTGCGACACGAATGACATCCTCTGTGCTTTTCTTTGTAAGACGATGGAGCCTTGTTGGTCTTCAGGAGCCGTCCAGTAAGGTCAAGCTTGTAGCAGACACTCGTGCGATCAGCCCTAACGTCAGGCTCACCCTCACGGACCTGCCTGCAGGATAGCTGGGGATTTATGCTTGAAAAGAACGTTCTCGGCTAGCAAATGGAGGGGGCGGGTACAGTACATGTCTGTTGTACACGGAGAAAATACGTATCTGTACCTTGTGAGGCTCCCACTGAATCGTGTTGAGCTAACAAGTCGAGACACCCATGACTGCACAGTGATATTTCAATTAGCATGAAGAGCGCTGGAATCAAACTTTCTCGAGAATCCTGCAAGCGTGGGATCTGACTCACGGCAATTTAGTGGCTGTAGAAGATGTTTGCCGTCGAGCCCGAGAGAATCCGTATTATTGTGGCGTTGTTGCTCTATTCCTTCGTGTTTCCAGCACACGACAAACATCATGCGGGATCGGAATAAAGCTACACGCGACAAGGTTCTTCCACCACACAGTTCTGCCTTTGGTGACAGCGGTAAGCCCTGCTTCGATGTCATACGAAAGCAAACGTTCGGAGCACATCATTTGGAAACCAATAATGATCCCTACCGTACCTTCGCGGAGTGACCCCGAAAATGGAAAGCCCAGCTCTGAGACCCATCAAAGCATATCTTAGCCCTCGGCGCAAAGCAAGGAGGTACAATACAATACGTGGTAAGACTTGCCCGTTTCTCTGCGCTGGCTGGCGTTTGGTGGCGGTTAGGGTTCGATGCTAGTCAGTACGTACCATGCGTCGAGCCAAGCTTTATCCCGTCCTCGTGGACAGAGTCCTTAAATTCGACTCTATGCTTAATAACTAAACCGAATCACAAACCCAAAATCAACTTCATACGACAGATGACGCGACCTCAACCAGACAACGGCGCGAGTCGTGACATACGTAGCTGAAGAAGAAAGAGCTCATGAGCTCTCGTCAGACTGATGGAATTGCTGCAGTGTCCACTTTTCCCACTTGCGACGAAGGAGTGGACTCGGAAGGAAGAGGAGGCCAACCACTAAAAGTGGTCGATGCAAATGCGCAAACTTACCTAGCTGATAAGGATGCCGAGATCTATTGGATCTTGTCTGGGCTCGGCAGCGGGAACTCTGTTAGGCAAGTTTGGATAAGATGGTGACATGCCTCTTGAGGTTAGCTGTCACATCATAAGATCCAGGACTTCAAAAGATCGATTCTTTTGAGATGACTGAGAAGGATTCTGGTGCAGGGGCTTACGTGGCCGATACCACGTCCTCAACTCGTGACTTTTGGCATGGTCGGGGATAAGGTAACTTGTCTGCTTCACGATACGGGAGGACGGGGACGTCGTTTGATTTGACGACGATCCAACGCAGGAAAAGGCGAAGGCCTAGCGTTGTGCCACAAAGACGCCTCCAAACTCTTAAATCGAGCTCTTGTCCTTCTGGGCGTGGCATGACGGGTATGCATGGCGACGTTTAATTCTTGGTGCTTGACCCAAATTGAGATAGGATCGTGTTTGACGGTGGAGACGAGTGCTTGGCCTGTCTTGTGCCCTTTCTTGTCGCTCTTGCACAGCCTTCCTTGGCTCTCCCTTAGCTGTCTCGTCCGGATCGGCGCCAGGTCGCGCTATGATCGAGACAGGCCGCCAAGCGCGAGGTCAAGAATGCTTGGCCTATAAGACATGGATGGATGGGCATAGCGAGTGGCATCGGGGACCACTGGTAGTAAGTACGACTGCGGGCTGTGGTGATGCCGCGGACTTTTGAGCAAGCCATGATCGTGGATGCTGTACGACAGCGAATGGACGATGACGACCAGAAACACACTTTTGGGAAGTAGCGACTCGAACGTAGCCCCCGGGCCCCCTGCAAAGTTCGCTTAAACATGTCGACACGAGTCGATCCACCAGTTTAACGTTAATTTTAAGTACATTGCTAGCTTGAACGTTACCCACGTAGGGCAGGTCATTGTAGCCGGCAAACCCGAGCGCATTGCTCGAATAACACAGAAGAGTGTCTCCAATTGGCTCTACTAGGGTAGAGCCATATCTTGTGGAGCGGAAAACAACTAAGAATTCTCCGGTCATCAGGTCGCATATGTACCATGGTCAAGATGAAGGAGGGATCCCGCGAGGGCAAAGATGTCGAGACCCAGCCAGGCCAAAACTGGGGTACCAAAAAGAGGGTTTAGTGTGCGGCCTTAGCAATTCTTGGTGTCTTGGTGGTTCATCAAAGCGAAGCTAACTTAGTTTAACTATGGGCCAGTAAGCGCATGCGCAGGGCATTCCTTCGTGTTCGCAGCTGCTCGCCAAATCGTTTTGTCCTTGCCCTTTCCTTCCTGCTGCCTGCTTCAGTTTCTCTCAATCTCCTCTCTCCACGTCCATCACTCGCTCCATAGATCCAGTTGACTCGTGCACTTGCACTTTGTGCCAAACAAATCGAAGACTGCCCCACACTCTTCGACCGTCATCATCGCCAGTCATCTCTCTTCCCAACCAAGACTTGTCACCGCCTCGACAAGGCCAGACTTCACCAAGCCATGGAGACATATTACGGACACGTGCGAACGCCGGGAGATGCCATCTTGCTCTTCGAGGCGTGCAGAATCGGACTGTTGCCCAGAGTGCAGCGTCGCCTTTCAGAAAAGGAAAGACTATCAATCAAGTCTGGTTCCGTCTTCGTGTGGGATGAGCGCGAAGCCGGTATGAGACGCTGGACGGACGGAAAGTCATGGAGCGCGAGTCGCGTGTCGGGCAGCTTCCTCACATATCGTGAGATGGAAGGCAAGCGTGGTGGCAGCACCTTCAGCGCTGCTCCTAAAGCTCCTGCTGCCAAAGACCACGACGCCTCGGACGATGGCCCTGACGGCTATCGTTACAAGCCTGACGGCCTGATCAAGCAGTCATTCAGCATCACTACCTCGACCGGCCAGCACCTGCATCTCATCAGTTACTTCGCCCGTTCTACCGCCGTCTCGCAGAACCTGCAACAGCCCTCGACCGATCCTCAGCTGCGTCACATTCGTCCCGAGAAGGGCATGTACCCGGAGTCGACCGTTCACGAGCAGAACGCCATCCCCGCCGTCACAAGAGGTCCTATGACCAGCCCAGCCTTCACCAACGCTCCTCATCAGTCTGCAAACATCGGCGCTCCTTACCCTCCAAGACCCCAGTACACACATGGGCCCATGTCTTATGGTCCTCCAGGCTGGGCTCCTCCGAGTCCTATGCACACTCCTCCGCCGCACTACTCGCCCTATGGCGCCTATCATCACTCGCCCATGCACCACCTGCATCCTTCGCAGTATCCTCCACAGCACTCTCCGCACTACCCACCTCCGCTCACTGCCTTCGACCGCGCCCCTGCTCCGCTGTCCAACAACTCGTTGCCCGCTCCTCCTTCTCACCACCCACAACTGACTCCGATCCACAACCATCCTCCACCTCCTCCTGCTCTGCCTCAGATTAACCACGCCCACCGCCCTTCTCTACCGGATCGCCCTCCCAGNCCACGGCCAACCTTCGATCGATCCTGCTCTGGNCCAACGACTCGAGAAAGACTGCTCCTCCTCTCCCAAGCCCTAGATCTATGGGTGACACTGCACCGGGCGCTCCCACCGAGTCCGCCAAGTTGCCTCCTGCTACTCTGCCCCCTGTTAGCGGCNGGTACCACTATTCCAAGTATCAGCTCTCTCATTCACGAGACAAGCAATCCTCAGTCACTCAACGCTGGCCGCCCTGCAAGCCGAAGCCCTATCGGTGGCCGTCCCCAAGACATCCCCATGCACAAGATGGGCTACGATGCCGCACGTGATGTTCAGGCGCTGAGACACCTGGACAAGGCCACATTGAGGTTCTGAGTCGATTACATGTAACACTTTCCTCTATCCTTTGTTTGTAGCGAGCGAAAAGCGCGAGATATTCTCCGCTGGGAAACGGCGTTTCGGGTCGAGGCTTTTGAATAAAGCCATGGTTGCATGAAGTGGCGTCACTGTTAGCTGTCTTGTTGGCACACGAAGGGTCTTTTTTCTTAGCGTTCAGTACTGTGTATTCGTCTGTATCAAGACAATTTTGCTATGCTTCCTTGAATATGACCTGTCCGGATCGTTATCGAACACCCCTGTGCTCGTGTGAACCAGTCTGTGGATGGGCTCGCCTACTTCCCAAGCCCTGTCACGACAACCACCATAACGTAGTGTCGATGTTCTTTCGATGCCATGTCCCGCTCTCGCAAACCCTTTGGCAAGCGATAGACTTTGCTCACAGTGCATCACAAACGACTGCCGATGATTGAGAGTTGTGAGAGACTCTGGTGCTCTCCTGCATCAGCAAGATAGGAAGGCACGATGCTCGTAGTGGCAACGGAAGGAATGGCTGGAAAAGAATGGAAGGTGAAGCTAAGCAACTCAACCAGGAAAGAACGAGAAAGCGACCAGCAGAAGTGTTTCAAGTCTGGGAAGCGAAGGATTGCTTGATGAAGCTTCTGGGTTGTCGGAAATTGAGGGCAGTAAGATACACAGTTGCTTAAGGACAGACAGAGCGATATTGACACTGAACGCAAAGCATGGCTCGGCAAACTTGAAGTTTGGAGAAGGAATGGAGAGGAAGTGAGATGATGATAGATGCCGTGAACACTGTAAATAACTTGTATAATGCCGCTCTAAATACCCACAAACAAATACGCTTGGATGCGACCACATCCGTTTCATTTCAACACAAACTCTAGCACAGATGCTTCTTAGATCTAGGCCTTGACTCTGGGCTCGAGCAGCAGCTGTCCAGCAGGACCAGTCTTCTCAACAAATCCTTGCTCACGAGTATGGATTCTACGGCCACGAAGCCAAGTCTCCTTAACAATACCCTTGAGCGTCTTGTCCTGGTAAGGACTACACTTGTTGCGGAACAGCATAGTGTTAGGCTGAACAATAAACTCAGCCTCATCGTCAANGACTGCAATATCGCCGTCAAGGCCAACAGCGATATCTCCTTTTTGGTGTTCGAGGCCGACTTGCTTGGCAGTGTTGAGACAGCACCAGCGCACCACGTCTTCGATTGTGATGTTGCGGGCGGCGACTTCGGTCCAGAGGACACTGATGCCCAGACCTACGCTGCTGATGCCGCCCCAGGCGGAGAAGAAGTCTCCTTCGCCTTCTTTGCTGGTGGTTTCGATGGCGCCGGGCACGTTTGCAGGCAGCAGTTTGAGGTTGGGTGTGCAGGGAGAGTGATCGGAAACTACAGTCTTGATGACGCTGTCGTCGGGTCTGCACATCTCCTGCCAGAGTCCATCCTGGTTGCTCTGGCTGCGGATTGGTGGGCAGCACTTGTGTCTGGTATCTCCGTTCTTAATGGCCTCTGCTGCGAGCGAGAGGTAGTGGAAACATGTTTCCGCAGTAATATTGACGCCCTTAGCACGAGCCTTGCGCAACATAGGAATAGCCTCAACAGCCGACAGATGCACAATGTGCAAAGGCAACTGTGGTGCCAAATGTGCCAAACTCAAGATTTCCAGAATGGCGTATGTTTCGAAGGTCGACGGACGCGAGTCAAGGAAAGTTTGGTATACGTCCAGAGGGCCGGTGGGAGCCATTGGAGGGTCTGAAACTTGCACATCGTCACCGACAGACTTTGTGACCGGAGGAATCATTTCTGCGTGGAACATGACTGTTGTGGGCTCATCACCAAGCTCGCGGAAAACTTTGTCGATGTCTTCGGAGGATACGGCGGGGAACTCTTCGANCCTGGGTGTTGTTAGCTTATGCACATTAATCCTCAATACATGTTCTCCACGTACACCACTGTCGATGAGGAATCCCTTGAAGCCTCGGACACCCATCTTGACCAATGGCTTCAGTTCTTCAACATTGCCAGGAATGATACCGCCATAGAAGCCAACATCAACCCAGCACTTTCCTTGTGCTGCGGCGATCTTCTCCTTGAACCCTTCGACCGTTGTTGTAGGAGGAATGGCATTGAGAGGCATATCCACCACCGTTGTTACACCACCAAAAGCAGCTGCCCTTGTGCCCGTCCAAAAGCCTTCCCATTCTGTTCTTCCTGGCTCATTTAAATGCACATGTGCATCTACCAATCCTGGCATCAAGATGTGCGGCGAGTGGTCGACATACGGAGTCTCGGCAGGGAATGACGAGGCAGGCAAGACTGACTCCCAGATCGATTGGATTTTGCCAGTCACGGTAGAAATGACAATTGTTGCGGCTGTGAGACGGCCTTTGATCACTGCTCGAGACGACGCGAGGACGGTGATGTCGGACTGTGCTTGTGTAGGTGTTGGTGAAGTGGCCTCGGAACGGACGGCAGGAGAGAGGGCGTGAGGTGCCATTTTCTGGAATCCGAGTAGGATTTCTGTTTGGGTATATGTCCGGTACAAATCACTCTGAAAGTGTTCAAGAAACGCTCTGTATACACAAGGACAACCCGAGAGTCTCGAGGTGGTAGGCTAGCGGTAAAGAGGTCGTAGCGGGAGATCTAGCAGGAGAGGAAAGAAAACAAGGAGGAAAGATGTCAGAGTACGAAATAGATCTGGGGTAGGGCGACTCTTATTGTATGGGGTACATAGAGATGTTTCAAGGGCAGCCGCATACCCACCCGACTTACACATTAGCCATTGTCCCTCTACTCTGGCTAACGGCGCACGCAGAGACTTGTGAAGGCCAGCACGAAGAAGGGGCCTTTGACGAGGCAAGGAGCAGCCTGCTCAACAGAACCGGCCATTGACTTGCCTTTCGGAGGGCAGCACATCCCATTGAACCGAGAGGATTACTCGATAGAAACTACAAGCCAAGGTTGCGGTGAAGAGCCGCTTGCAGCGTTGGGCGGGCGTTGCTGATAAGAAAGGTCGAGGCCGGGTCAAGTTCGGAGCCGACCGCCAATGATGTTTTGAGTTTGGCATTCCGACTGAAGATAAGGACTGATGCGGTGGTAGCCAGGCGATAAGGACACACATATCAGTATATATAGAGTAGCGGCGTAAATGCGTCGCGCCGTGGTCTCACAAGTATGAGCATGTAGTCCACGACTACCTCGTAAGGTGTGCGATGCGGCAATCGCCAACAGCTGGTCAGGCTCGAGTTGCGGAGACGGCCGGAGAAGTCGAAAACGTGTCTCTTTAGCTTTTGATGTTGATCCCGAAATCGCCTAAGGTCTGGATGTTTTACTCGATATTTACTCGATTGCTTTAGATACTCGATACTCGATATTCGTAGAGAGCTTGTCAACCGCATCGCCGCAGGCCGGGCTTTCACCAATCGCGAACATTGGTGAGACCACGTGATCTTCTGAGGAACGACCTTCTCCCTGAGTACGATATTAGCACAATATATCGTGCAGAAAGCGCTGAAGAAGTATTGGGGAAAGACTGCAGTGTCAGTATGCGAGTGAATCATTCCGACAAGCAACATGCGCGAGCCTCGGAACCGGGTTTTGTCTTCGGCGTCAGTCGATGCTGCGATATGTAAGTCTATCTGCATTGCGATGTTATGTAGCGGTAGCAACGTGATAATTTAAAGGTTGGTAGCAAGACAAGAACTGTCACACAAGCAATAGCGAACCTCTGGCCTCTCTCACACTCAATTCACGTCTTTCTTTTCTTCCCATCACCAAGCATGGTGGTCAAGGTCTGCTGCTTTCTCTTCGATGGAAAACCTGCTGTAGTCTTCGAGAGACCGACGATGTCTTTACTGGAGTAAAGACTTGCTTTGAGGCCGTAAGCGTTTGAGGAATCGATGTTGAGATAAGTGTATGCGTCGGTTTTGTAGTAAATTGCACCGTCGGCAGCACGTGGAGCAAGGCCGAGCTCAATTAGCTCTTCAAGCACTCTTCTAACGTCGTTGAGATCGGAAAAGTCTTTGGTGTACACACAGATCAGATGACTTGCTTGTTGCTTTTTAGCAACACCGAAAGGCTCAGGTGGATCTGCCGGAGCGACTTTGGCGGTATCACCTAACCTGCCGTCGACCACTGCTTCAGCGACGATTTTCCACACCCTGTTGACATCTTCAGGTTTCGGAAACAGCATCCATTTGCCATTGGTCACTCCACTGGCCACCGCAAGATCAAGTATGTCTTCTTTCAACTGCTCTCTTAGAGGGCCCAACTTTCTGGTGATGGTCGATTGTGTTGAATTTGGATTGGCGCTGACGAGTCTCTCCTTCTCAGCGGCAAATTGGCTCAACAGACCACGAGCACGGTACATCAACTGTTCTGGCGACTCTTCCGACTCTCGATCGTGTCGCAATTCCGCTGCCTTGCCTTTGCCTTTGAGTATGGGGCNACCTAAAGACGAGGGTAGAGTTAGCATGTTTCTTGCTGCACTTGGTACGAACAGCAATCAAAGTAGCCACCTGATGGCCTTTCGAACCATCTGGTGCTGCTTGATATATGCTGGGTATATGTAATCGCGATTTACGTACGTAATCCAGATCCAGTCACCAGTGATTGTAGTTCTTGGTGGGAGGCGCTTGAGAAACTCATCCACGGTCTCATTCAACTGACGAGCTGTCGGGACACCTTCTAGTCTGTTGTGTAGGGCTGCCTGATCCACACTGTTTGACGATGTCGTGACAGAAGCTGTAGGGTGGGCTGCTTGTTCACTAATCCACTGCTGGACGAGCTGCTTGGTACTGGTCTCTTTGCTGCGTGCTTCGAGCTTCCCGCGTGTGCGGGNGGTACCTGCATGTGATTATGAGTATACACGTACTCATTGATAGAGAAAAGACTTGCCATAGAAGTCGGAGTCATCGCTGATATAGCCTGCAAATGGGATGAGGTCCATGTTTGAAAGAAAGTCACAAAGTGAATGACTATCTTGATTGTTAGGATGAGGAGTAGATGCTTGGGCGCGTAGAAGATTACAGGCTGGATTCAGGTCGCTGTCTGCATGATGTTGCGAGGAAGGTGCGCACGGCAACAACAGAAGCAACCTAGGTTCCAGTGAGTGGCTACATTGACTGACTGCTTCCTCTTTGGACTCTATCGTCGAACAACCACTATTGGACGCAAGAGATCTGGTGTCTTGAGTAATTGAATGAAAGCGATCGGCATCTCAGGACAACATCTTTGAGTGTCACATGTGATATCAGGAAGGAAGTTGACTCTGTCTGTACAAGCAGGAATTCTGTGTATTTGCATAATTGTGCATGAGTTATGCAACAATAAATCGACTGTTCTCGCGATCATACTAATACCATTAAAGGCTCCTCGTCCGCTAATTCGGTCACCCTATACGACCCACGGTACCTGAAGGTAACGCTTGCTCAATGCTGTCACGACTGGTGAGCCTCCTCACGGAGTTGTTCACAACATATGTGCGATCATCGATGAACGTCAGATCCATAACTCTTCCCACCACTCGGATCTCCTCGCTCTCAGCCTTGTCAGCACAAAGAGTCGCTCGCTCGTCCTCCAGCTCAGGTTCCGCCGGCTCTTCTTCCATGAGTCCGTTCACCAACCATTTTCAAGCCGTCTCAGGGACGCTGTGTCGGGACTAAGATGCTTGAACGAAATGCAGTCTGTCCAAGAAGTCAACATCATCCGCTGCCGGCTGGACAACTACACGAGGATGATCGAACTTATTGACCAGTTTGCGAGCATGGTTCAGGTCTACGTCGAAACTCGAGGGACGCTACCAATCCTCTTTGTTGACGACCTACGGGGTATGCTGGCGGACCGCCCTCGTGTTGGTGATTCAAGAGTAGACCATCCTCATCACTGGTACGAGATCCAGTGGGACAGCCATTACCTTGCTCGATATCGGGCAGAAAGTGCATGACCACACAACCACTACCTTTCTTGTGTGAGAGTCACTCTTTGAGCAAAGTCGGCAAGTGGTGAATCTTACAAAGGTTCATAGCAGAACCAAGAATGGACTATTTTGCAGCGAGCCAAACATACGATCAATCCAAACCAGATAGCACGAAACAGCACAGCTCACAACCTTTCCTCTTCTCGAATGTGAACCTCGAATTCTCCTTGTGTGCTATAGATAGTCACAATCTTACGACTGGCCCCTTCTTCATTCGAGGCATAAGGGTAATTATAAGCTGCCGAATTGCACAGTTGCAATTCAAATATGAGTCTGGCCATGAAGATATCCTTGAGTGAGGTTCTCTCTGTGGAAACGACATTCTTGCAATGGTATTGTGCATTTCTGCAGCTACACTGTGAAAGTCTCTAGCACACGATGAGGAGATATTGGAAAGGATGTTGACTGTAGGCGTGGGGTCTGCATAACTGTACAATAGTTGTGCAGCGAAGTCAATCAAACGCGCGGCGCGCGGCGCGTCTGTCGCTACTCGAGCGTGTCGTCAACAATCAAGGTCATTGATCAACATTATTTCACTCGAGCAAACCACAATACTACAGACTTCGATATGCCTCACGCTGAATCACCGAATCCGCCATCATCACCGCCTGTTGATGACACAGTCATGGAAGAGGCCGTGTCTGGCGCCCTCGATGAACAAGCAGAATCGCAGAATGAGACAAGTCAATCATCACCTGCACCCCCAGTCAATAATGCCGAGAAGGCATCGCTTGAAGACATGTTTGACGACGACGACATGGATGAAGATGATGAGTTCTCGTCGAGTGCGCANGACAAAGACTCAAGCATCATCACAACCGGAGCCGTAGGTCAGTCCCTATCATCATTTAGCCATGAACTAACGCAGCACAGAAAGTCTGGTAACGCCAATGTCGGTAAAGACGCAGAAGTCTTACGCGCTTTCTATCAAAGACTCTTCCCTTTCAAGTATCTATTCCAATGGCTAAACCACTCCCCAACGACGACGACCGACTTCAGCAACCGCGAATTGGCTTTTGTCTTGCCTAACGATGCTTACATCCGATACCAATCATTCAACTCGGCCGAAGAATTGCGCAAGCAGTGCATCCAACTCACTCCTACACGTTTCGAAATCGGCCCCGTATACTCTGCGAATCCTCGCGACAGAAAAACGCTACGCAACGCAAGTGCCTTCCGACCCCTGGCCAAAGAACTGGTCTTCGATATCGATATGACCGATTACGACGAGATCCGAACGTGTTGTTCTGGAGCTAGCATCTGCCAGAAGTGTTGGCAGTTTATAACCATGGCCATCAAGGTTATAGACAAGGCACTTAGAGAAGATTTTGGCTTCAAACACATTATGTGGGTCTACTCTGGTAGACGTGGTGCTCACGCGTGGATCAGTGACAAGCGAGCAAGAGATATGGATGACAGCAAGCGCAAGTCAATCGCCGGCTACCTTGAACTATTGAAGGGAGGTGACAAGACTGGCAAGAAGGTAAACCTGAAGAGACCGTTACATCCACACATCGAGTAAGCCGCACCCAAGCTATCTACTTGCCACAAGCTAACACTGTGTTTAGCNCGCAGTTTGAAAATCCTGAATGGTTACTTCCAGACCGATGTGCTGTTAGAGCAAGATCCCTGGGCATCATCAGACAAAGCAGCACACTTGCTGCAACTTCTACCGGATAAGAGCCTCACAGCGGCACTGCAAAGAAAATGGGACAGCACGCCACATCGCAGCAGTACGCAGAAATGGGCAGACATTGATGCTGTAGCTTCCGTGTCCGGCNNTCTCTCTAGTCTCACACCCGAGACGCTCGTACATGCCAAACAAGACATCCGCCTTGAGTACACATATCCACGGCTTGATGCTGAAGTTTCCAANAAGCTCAACCATTTACTCAAGAGTCCGTTTGTCATTCACCCGGGCACAGGGAGGGTCTGTGTTCCCATCGACGTTCGCCGGTTTGAGGAGTTTGAACCAGAGAAAGTGCCGACTGTGCAACAATTGCTATCCGAGATTGATTCATGGCAAGGCACCGACGACAAAGTGCAAGACTGGCAAAAGACGAGCCTCAAGCCGTATATTGAGCTATTCAGGGATCATGTAAATGCGATCATGAAGGAAGAGCGAGCTGCCGAGAAGCGAGGGCGCGAGGAAAGCGGAGAAGGAGTGGATTTCTAGGAAGGCGCATTGTACCTGCTGCAGGGCGCAAGCGTTATCGGACGATGTGTAGTATAAACCAGGATTAGTCGGTATGAGACAGATTACCATGGAGTACACAGCAATCGGCTCTCAATGCAAACCGGAGCGGGGTCCACCCCAAGGCTTGCTGGTCGCGCGGCATCGGAATTGGGACCGAGAATTGTGGGCCTGGAAGGATCGAATTGCGGCCAGATCGCAAGCGGGAAAGCGGCTCGACGTACTCTGTGGCGCCCGATGGTTCAAACGGAGCTGCCTCCCCCTCGACAGGAAACAGCACAAAGTGTTTCGCCAGATGGAATTTCTTTACCACAATCCAACAATGCCATGATGATGCATTCATTATCTCATGCCTGTAGCTTCTCCGGTCTCGACGCTCAGACAATACATTAGGCGTCAGCCGTCTAACCTGCTCACTCCTGCGTGCCAGAACGATAGCACATTGAAAGCTGCCGCGCGAGCAAATCTCATCTCTCGGCGACGGCTTACAGCCCCGACACTTGTCGCAAAATCGCCTAATCAGAACACGTCTATTGTTGATCTCAAAGCCCCTCGTCTCGCGGCTTGTCCATTTTGTTTCCTTCAAAGCGACAGGCTCCTTCGTTGCTCGCACAATCTTGCTTCTCAGACGGGTCTTGGCCCCTTTAGAGTTGCCGGCTCGCTTTGCGTTCCCGAGAGCAATGAATGAACGCTCTCGAAGCAAGAATGAGAGCTCGAGAAGGAGCTCAGGCTCGGCCAAGGAGGAGTCGCCGACCAGAGGTAAAGCCAAGCGGCATCAGATAGCTGTTGCTTGTAATGCTTGCCGCCGAAGAAAGACCAAGGTATGAAACGAGCGTTTCCGACGCAACAGTATAGGCGACCGGGTGAAAAGCCTTCTCTCCAGCTTTGACTGACTGACCCTCTTGTAGTGCGATGGTCATCGTCCAGTCTGTTCGGTCTGCGTTACCAAGAATTCCGAATGTACCTGGTCAGCGGATCCAGATGCCACGCCCATGGTTGCCATCAAGCGGAAGTTCCAAAACCTCGAAGCCGAATCGCGCGATCTCCAAGACCTCGTCCAGATGTTGACGGATCGCCCACGTCAGGAGGCCATTTTCATCCTCGACCACATGCGCAGGACCCGAGACGCTTCGTCGACACTTGCCTTTATCAAGGACGGAGACCTGCTTACTTGGGGTCTGAATGCCCGCGATACCCAACCTTCAGAGCCCGTTTCTTCCGACCAGGATCCTGTCCGCGACATCACTCAAAGGGTCAACCTCATGAACGGCCATGACGACCTGAGAGATGGCAGCGAGAGCGTCAGGGAGCCCACTACCTCACCNAAAAGACGTCTTGCTATTTCCGACCTCGTCAACAGTACATGATTAGCACCACCATGACTTTGGTCCGTCATCGCCTTACTTTCTCTTGCACCGCCTGCAGCAACAAAGGTCGATCGTTCATCCTTCGATGGTCGACTCCACCCTCGCCAAGATGTCAACGAGGCACATTTCCTGCTCGACACATATTATTAACATGTGCTGCTGTGCCAAGTTCACCAGGCATTACTCCTTATGCACTCATTCCGCTTGTGTACTTGAACTTGCACATTCTGAATCTGGTAGGAGTCAACACGCATATCTCTCATGCTCAACAGTCAGAGCGTGTAGCCCTGAACATATATCGTTTGGGCTTTTGGAGCAGCTTCCGAGTAGTAAAAGAGTTGGACGTGGCTTTTTTTATCTACAACAGTGTAGACTCGGCATCGGTAGTACCCAGCCAGGGCTCTCCAAGCTCGATTGGTTCGAGGTTTCATCACAGCAGACCTTGCCGTTGGTACGGTGGCTTACATCTTGCCAGTCGCTCGTGTCTATGAAACCGTGTTGGTCATCGCCCTAAGACTGTGCATGTCGACGACGATGGCAGTCGCAAGAACAATTGCTACCCAGTTTTACAAGCAATCAATTGTCAGTATACTCCAGTGTAGCTAGGTCCCAACAGGTAACTCGACTTCAAAAGTAAGATGTCGTTCCCTGTCGGTCACTCTCCGGCGTTCCCATCCATCACCTGCCTTCGTGTTACATACCTTGATGATTGAAACAGGCCTTTGTGTTTGTTGATGCCAGCCTTTGCATTCGACTGGAAGTTTTGTCGGTTCTCATGACATACGAAACAACGCGCCGGCCTTGAGGGATCGAGAGCTTCCAGGGAGGATCCTGCCTTGAACGTGCTTGAGGGATCTGATGGCGGACGTGTGCGCGCTCTTCACTCCTTACGGCGCCAGGACCGGTGTGAGGTCATCCAAGCCATCTGCGCGTGTCCTTTGAGCAGTGTGCGACCGTGCAGACCAAGAAGACTTTGGTGATGAGTGATCGCATATGACCTCTCGAAGGACGGCCTGAAGCTCTGCTGCGTACGCTAACCACAATCGGCTGCTCTTCGTCTCTACGCAGTCGCAAGCGTGTCGAATAACAATCCTCCATCACCTCATTAGCCCTGGGCACAACTCTCATTTTGCTTGCATGCAGTAAGACAAAGAACCTCCTCATACTCATACCTCTCCCGACCATGGAAAGCGCTGTTGTTGAGTGCTATACTTGTCAATGCCTTCAGGTTGCACATCCTTGGCATGACGAAAGGTGGTAATTTTGGCCGGGGTGAACTCCGGCCTGTTGTCTCCCACTCACCTATGAATAGGGCCTCACGTTTTGTTGCCTCAACCCAGCAAAGATGACGCACTTGTATCATGAGTCGTCGATTGGTTGGTCTCGGTCACAGATGACGGCGTTGACCTCCCAGGTCTCAGATTGCAGAGCTCAAATGGAGGATCGGAGTTTACTCCTGTAGCATCACTCGGTTTATCACATTGACTTGTAGGAGACACTTCGACTGCTGGCCTCTGAGTGGACAATACATGCCGCTGTGCATGATTGCTAGACATTGCCACATATGCGACTACAAAAGTATACGTGCGTAACGCTTTCGAGGCGCAAGCAGCCAAGGAACAGAGCCACTCCGAGAAGAGCTACATCAATAATATCGCCTTGGCAGAACGAGAGAAGAGCTCCACGCTTAGCTCAGGTACTGCTATCAGGCAATGTATGTATGGGCATAGGTACTCTTTCCAAATACGTGCCCAACAATAACATCCGGTATCAAATCCGATTATCATGGATCTCCCATCAAGCGGCCCTGAGTCCCTCATCTCACCTTATCAACGATACTCATTACACCACCTGACACGGCAGACAAGGATCGAAAACTCGATTTGGTTGCTCACAATCACGCCACACCCAACACTCGCAGACGGCTCCGCAGAACCCATCAGTCAAACATGGGATTGTAGAATCGCATTCTTCTGTTTACCGCTTAGCAGCGGGCCTGTCTCCTTTTGCTGTCGTGCACGGCTACTCATCTTTGCAGAAACAAAAAAGTGACACGAACACCCTTTTCCCACAACTCCACATGCCGACCGGCACTTTTTGATTAATGAACATGTGCATGCGTGCGGTAGCATCTCCGCTGTTTCTCGGTAGTGGCTCCGAAATCAGAAACACCAGATTGCATTCTACCACCATGCTATTGGTTGTGGCTTTTCCCACCGGCATGTTGAGGCTGCATGTTTGAGGGATACCCGGAGTTTGTGTGCACCCTAGTGTATGCATGCTTTGGGAATTGGTTTTGTGCGAGCTCGGCCTTTTGCAGTTTCTGAGTTGTGGTGCCCAGAGGGTATGGTACCAAGTCATGTGTCTCAGTCATGCTTATGTGAACCGAAAGTGACGAGTAATCAATTCAATCTAGAGTAAAATTGAAAAGATGCATTGTTTTGTAAGGACTAATTCGTCTCTATTCTCAAAAGATATTGCTGCCTTTTGCAAGATGGGAAAATGAACCAATGATATAATATAGTAATGCCTTGTGTTGTTTGGCCACAAAAAGATGAGAAAATCGCTAATCCGCTAAATCGCTGCTTCCTTTCTCAAGGAAGGATGTCATGTTTACAGTTGGTCTGACTCTGCCGTTACTTCCTTATTATCGTGTGTGCGTGTGGGAATGACTTCATAATCCTCCTCGTTCCTGCCTTTGTCCAATGGACTTCCTCGTCTTGTCAAATTCTGATGAACCAGCATCAGTCTTCGCCAGGTCTGGGTTTGATGATGGCACCATGATCTTGTATGCTCGGGAAGACCTCAAGCACGCGTTTTGAGAACGTCCAATTGTTTGGATCACACACGTGATCTTCGAAATGTTTTGTGAAGCGCAGACAACCAGCGACTTTGTCGTGGTAGACTGCTTTATCTAGCTCGTAAGGCCAGTTTATTACTGGGGCTGCCGTGATTTGGTTTTCTGGCGTAAGCCATTCTTCGTTGAAGGCTGTCATTAGCACACCACGGATTGCTGNGGCTGGAAAGTTGGGTTAGGTTTGTGGCTCTCAATGTCAAGAGATGTTCATGAGAACTTACTGAGGTGCAAGGTCGAGAGCTGGGCTGTGTGGTATGAATCTCTGACTGGGTAAGGGTCGCATGAGTGCTGGTATCCTTCGATAGTGTTCTGACGTAGGGAACAAGATCCANNCTGTGCTGCGTTAGCATCGAAGCAAGGCTTTATATAACAACAGGGCCAATCGTACTCTCATCAATGGCGCTAACAAAACCATGGTAGCCAACTTTGCGTACATATCTGGATTCGCAAGACTTTTCATGATCTCGCAAACAAACGTACTGACTGAGTGTCCATCTGTAGGCAACCGCTCACGGAAGTAAAGATCCAGGTTTATATAGTCTGGTGGCCCAAGAACGTCTCGGGCGGGCAGTCCATCAACGATCATCTGCAGCGTCGCGTCCCTGAAACTCAGGTATGCTCTGCCAAGTGCTTCTTGTTCGAACGAATGAAGTGGTAGCATGCTATACTCCGCAGAGGTGCTGAGATTTTGTAGTTGTTGATGTTGAATGTGTGCAGGGTAGCCATTCGCCTTGATGGCACTCGAAAATGGTAGATTGCCAAAGTCGGAGTTCAAGCCTATATTCGCCTGTCCAGAATAAGAACGTGCGTTGTTGAGAATTGACCCTGAGTTCGTCAATGCAGTTTCATTCATGAGTACATCCCGCGGGCTATGTCTGCTCTCGTTTGATGAACGAGGCTAAAGNNCATTGTTAGTCATGGTTTCTCTGGTAGTAGCACTGTATCGCCATACCGTAAAACCACCATCGCCAGTCTGTGCTGGTGAGATTTGAGACCAACTCACTGATCCTCGCGGGTCGTCTTCATGTTTCGGAACCACAGGACCCGACCCGTCAAAATCGGCAAAATCAAAGACATTCGTCTTATCGTCCAAGTTGAAGAGCTCACGCGCGAACGAAGAAAACTCGCTGTTGTTTTCTGCCAGTTGTCTGATCTGAGCGAATGCGGCATTCGAAGACGAGTCGCCGGCCTCGAGTTTCTTCAGCACGCGAAACACTTTCGACAGTGCCTTTTCGCTATTTCGAAGCTCCCTGTTGCGTTCTTGTGCATCTTTTCGTCCGTCAAAGATGCATTCGTTGCCTTCTGCCACACATCGAGAGCATGGCGCTGTGCCCGTGCANNCTACATGGACAAGTCAGTTGAGCTGATGCCGAATTTCCGCAAATGTCATGACACGACAATGGTCATGCAGATGCAAAAAGATTGATGGAATTACCTTCGATCTTCGTTTCCTACAAGGCTGACAAGCGACGTTGACTTGTTTTCGTGGCTTCCTCGGACGGTATTGTGGCGGTAGTTCGATGGGCTTGCTTATAGGCTGCGACACGATGGGCACGACAGGGCGATTCGAGGACTGACTAGCATGCGAAGCGTGCGCAGCAGGAGCGCTGCTTTCACCCTCTGCAGACGAGCTATCTGCCTGTCGAATCATCTGTGTGGCTGAAGTTCGTGTTGTCGATTGTGCGATTGTTCGTGGTTCTGGGCGCATCTGGAGAGAAACTCCGCAGAAAAGATGGTTCGCTGATTTTGAAGCTGAACGAATCTAGAAAGCTCGTCAGGGCGACACTTGCTGTTTGATCGGCGATCGTGTTTGAAAGTGTCAGGGTCTAGCCTTTGATGGAATGTTTTGGCGGCCGTACTTTTGACCGTTTGCTGATCCGTTTCTGCTGCATCCTTCCCTTCCATATTCCGCGCCATTTCTTCGCTCCTTCTTTTGCCATCCACGTCCGCACAAGCGTCAGTCTACCAGAGAGTCTTGCCTAAATACCTCAGCCTGGATAATCAACAAGCTTGGGATAGTCATCAAGCCTTGCATGACAGCAATTGCCCGAGTTGCCAAGGGCTGTGCAGGTGGCGCTAAGGTCGGTCAAGTTTTCGGAGAGCGGGACCCGAAGGTCTAATCTGGTGGCTCGCGGGCTCGAGCGCCGAGGGCTTGAGACAGAGTGCCTAGAATCCCTAGATCTGACAATTTTGACAAGCCTCTGACACATTTCTGACATCTGTGCTAAACGAACCACCAAGCAACTCCACGGACGACCATTGTGCACGACCTCCGTGATGACATAGGTGGAAAGTTGCTGGATTATGCCTCTGATGGATGAGAAAGCGCTTGCAAAGGTGAGAGGGTACACGCCCTTGCTGTGCACATACACAATACTCTCTTTGCGAACTTCTATCAACGAGGTAAGAATGATCAATCCGTGTTTCATTGCCATGATCTATAGATGAAAGTATCCGATAACTCCTCCAAATGCATGTAATGCTGCTAATGCAATATGCTCAAAGTGTCTCCCAACCTCCAGTGTTCATATCGCCTTCGAGTCTTCTTGAGATCACGCTAGGAATACCGTGATTAAGCCATGCTTCTCTGAGAAGCTTGTCGTATCTTTTCTGATTGAGGAAGAGTTGATGGTGACGACGCAGCGTAGGGTCGACCTCACCGTGTCGATCCAGGTAAGGCGCATGGTACCAGCTACCATGGCTGTGGTGCAGGAACAGAACCATGCACTTGCGAATGTTGATAAATATGCCAATATTGCCGCTGCANNCCTGCGTGGTTGTCAGTATTATCTCACATTGTGAACTTCAAATGACTTACTTCTCTCGGTGCTGGAAACAACCACCCTTATTGCGGTCTGTCATGCAGCAACTAGCTTGACTGCAGAAAATCTCTCCGCAGAACAAACAGATGGCTGGATCCGTCACTTCCTTGCCAGTCGTGGGACAACGTCGTTTGATAGCTTCTTCTGTCAAAGTATCATAGTGCTTCGGCAAGCCAACGAGCTCGAATATCGCTGGATGGCCGAGATATTGTGCGTCTGTTCGCAATCTTTCTTTTCCAGCAGTGCTGACGAGGACGCTATTGATCCATCGCGCAGCAATCGTCTGGAATCCTTCATCAGTACCTAGCTGCTCTACTACCTCTTGGGGCGAGGGNNGGAGGCGAAGGATCTTGCTCAGGCGTTGCAGCTCTGATAACTCTGGGTCCCCATGAGAGTTTGTGAAATCAACGCCGAAATGAACATGAGTCAGGAGCAAAGCTTTTCTGAGGAATGTGAGAGCGTATGCATCGATCAACTTGCCCAGAGCGGGTACGTCCCAATTCAGATCCCAGAACTCTTGCTGGGAGAGACGTGATCCTGAGATGTGTGGGCTAAATTTGATAGCATCGTGTTCCTTGCACCAAGTCTGGAACAGCTTGACTCCTGATAGATCCCAGCTATCCGATGAAGAATCATTCTGAGCATCTAGGATCGAGTTGCGGTAAAGGAACGTGACGATCACTTTGATCAGCTCTGCAGAGTAGCAGAGTCTGAGAATGTGATGCATGTTCTCACCCATGGGCACCTCGTTGATAGCGCAATTCGCGAAGAAGGTGAACAAGTCGTGGCCGAGCAATGAAGCATAGGCAAGTGCTGAATCTTCACCAGATGCATGGCCAAAGACCTTCTTGAGCTGGCTAGCCCATGAGTTGTGTACTCTGCTTTCTCTAAAATACTCGGGCATGCCGGCCTTAACGGCAGCGGTAGCAGTCGCAGTGCGAACAGTCTCCGAAAGGATGCGCAAGGTCTTCATACTCTGTTCTGAGATCGTGTCAAGGAAAGTGCCAGTTTCACCATCCATAGGACTTGCGACTCCTCGATACGAGATTTCAATGCTTGAAACAGTGAAGGCCAAGGTATTGCAAAGGGTTTCGGCTAGGCGGATCGTTGAAGACTGTGTTCCAGGCTCGAGTCCAATAGTGTTGGGTTTCAAAGCACCGATCGGGCTCAAGCTCTCTTCGATGCGATTGTATGCTCTCTTGAGCTCTGCAGATGGCGTCGCAGGTCGGTTCCGAGTATCGAATCTGCTAGCTAAGTTGGTCAAAGTCTCCAACCTTGGTGTCAAGTTGACTAGCGTTTCTAGCCCAGGCAGACCAGTTGCGTTGAGCTCGAACTGGTCCGCCACTCTACGAACCATTTCTGGCAGAATCGATCTCGACTCTTCTTCAGAGCTCTGCGTATCTGAATCCGGGTCCATCGAACGAGCTTCCATGGCATGCGAAGAAGAAGCTTGCGGGAAAGAAGATGCTAGCGTAGTGACTAAGGCTTTCTGCATATATTCCATGTGAGCCTCTCGAACAGAGACACTTGAAGGCAATTGGCCTATTTCGTCGGTGTTTCGGTGTGCTTCTTGATCGAGAATCCATTGATTGAAGGTCTTCTGCTGCTGGTCAAGAGTAGACGACGGATTGTAGTGCTTCTCCTTCCAGATGATTGGCAGAAAAGTGTTCCCAAGTGCTTTACAGAGAGGACAGATGAACTCGACCGTGTCGGGTCGCTCTGGATGGTTGCGTGAGATATGCTGTGTATGTCTTCTCTTAGTCGCTGCCAGGTATGCTTCAAAACAACCAAAGTGCATAATATGGCCGCAGCTGTTGAGGACAGGACCTTGGAAGGCACTGTTGTGCGGGAAGCCTTNTCCGAGACCTCGTTTCTCCTGTGTGCCTTTAGAGCCATCAGTGTTAACCTTCTCGATCGTCTCTGTTGCGAATTTGGCGACGCCGAAAGGCCTGATGGAATCCGCAGACTGATCAAGGCTTTCTGGTGTGTCCAAAACTTCTCTCACGAAGTCTTTGTCATCCAGAGGCGTTTGTCTGAGTATTCTGCTCGGCGCGATGAAAGCAAATGTGCCGTAAATCCTACTATCATCGGTATCTTCTTGGCACAGGATACAGGGCTCCTTGGGGAAGGGGCAGACCCTAGTCTCGACAGTCTTATCTTTCTCGTCATCTTGGTCCATATCACTATAGTCATCTGCTTCCCAATCAAGGCCTTGGTTTTCCATGAATGATGTTTGCTGTGCTTTGAATTGTGCCATAACTCGTGCCTGGCGTTCAAGCGCAGCCTTCTNTTTGGCCTCCTTGTCCTCAGATAGACTAGGTGCGGACTCCGAGCTCTCTTCTTTACTGTCAGGTGACAGCCTTGATTTGGCGGAGGCAAACTCTTCTGGCCACTTCTCAGACATTCTGTTGAGAATATGCAGAACCTTGGGTGTACAAGATGCGAATGCCTTGACCTTTGACAAGCGGAAAAGAGGGTCAACAATGGTCTTTTCTGCGCTCTCCTCACTGTGTGAGACAGCTAGAGCCAATCTAACGAAGCTATCTTCTGCCGCCATCGGCTTCGGCCCATGTGGAGTCGCGTCTTCGATTACGGCCAGGAGTGTAAGATGGAGAATGACATGCAGCATTGTCTCGATCCTGGTGATTTGTGCGTTGTCGATTGCCTCGTCATGACGCAAGCAGAATTCGAGACCCCAATATATGATCTCACTGAAGAGTGTGGTTTGTGTGAATGCACCAAGGGTTCTGAACAGTCCGGAGCTGATGGGCTGGAGCTGAGGCTCATAAACAATGTCTGCAGCACTCTTGTTGACTTTCTTGGCCATGTACTCTCTGTAAACGGTCTCGGCTTCTTCGCGCTGGTTGCGATTGTAGTAGGCGTAGTATGGGTCAATGAGTTCGATGAAACGAGGATGCAACTCGAATGTGCCTGAGTCGTTCAACCCTTCAGGCGCACGGAAATTCGTCATGCTCTCAAGTATTGCGTCGAACTCTTCCGAGTCCGCTACTCTGTCAGTCAGACGGTTGGAAATGTCTGAGAATGACAAAGGCTTGAAGCAGAGGACGTGTGCAATGTCACGCTGCAAAGGCTTGACATGTTGGCTTGGCTTGTCCTGGCCAGGCANAAGATTCTGTCTTTCGCTGAGCAGGATGATGAGTAGGTGGAAGAATTCTTCGGTGACATCAAGCCTTTGTTGCTCATCATAACCTGGGTAAAGATCAAAGACACCATTGACAAAACCAGACAGATCGAATCTGTCAACAATCTGGGCCAAAAATCGTTCGCCCAGTGATTCATCCGAGTTCCCGCACAGCACGAGACCTGCTTGCAGCATAAATATATCACGCTGATAAGAGACGTCTCGCTGAACTGTTCCGCGGTACTGATGCATCTGATGACGGAGGGTCACGCCATTACGGACCCACATACCAGCGCGCATCTGAGCAAGCCAGGCACAAACACGCAGGGGATGTTCAAAGAGCATGGTCATGATCTCAGCCGAGTCATAGTTGGTGTTCTGTGCAGCGGTCTTCCAACTTGTCTGCCAGGGATCCCTGAAATCGGCAGAGGTGAATTTCAGCACTCTAAGCATTTCCTCGCGTGTGATGTCAACACCTGCCTCAAGCAGCCACGACAGGAGGTAATGTAGAGGGTGATGGAAACTCATTGCACCAGTTGCTACGTCGAATTGAGGCAGACTGTAACTTTCATTGCGGCATGTCGCCTCGCGGCCAATCGCTTCGATGTGTTTTGGTCTCTTCTTGTTAAGTAGACGCAGGAAAGTCTGGGCTTCCTTGATTTCAGCACTCGGGAATCTGTTGCGCTCGAGGCCAAAGGCATTTATGAAAGTGGCTTGCGCAGCATATCTGATGGCTCTCTGTACTGGAGTTGTGTCTTCATCATCGGACCATCTGAAAGCTTCGGCAACTTGACGACAAAGCCTGTTGATCTCCTTGATGATCAACGTAGCGCTGATCCACGCATCTGCTTCATATTCCACGTGCTCGCCCACTGCTCGAACGTTTGGACAAATGCCCTGATGAAGTTTGACAAGGTCCAGGAACTGCATCAGGTATCGGGGTTCGTTTCGGACCTTTTCTTGTACAAAGGCAGATTGGAACATGTAACGTGTATCGAGGAAGAAGTGGAACATGCGTCTGTTGGTGACAGCACCTGCATCGAACGCAAGGGTCGCGTTTGGATTCACATCCTTTGGGAACCCAACTTGACGAGTGGTGAGGAATGTGTAGAGAATGGCAAGAAGATTAGTGAGGAAATTGCCTCTTTCCACAACTTCTGCTGTGATGGAAGGAGTCGTAAGCATTTGTACAGACAAATTGATGATGGAATGATCCGGCTCGCGGTCAGCGATAAGATAGAGCTGAGCCAACATGGTGTAGAGGCCAGCAAATCTCAGTCCTAGTATACGCTTGAACTGAGGCACAGTGACAACAGTACTGATGTAGAGATGGCGAAGGTCGATACGAAGGGTCTTCCACATCCTCAAATCGTACAATATGAGATAGTCGAGACGCACTCTTTGCCAAAGATCTTCCGCTGGGGTAGAGGCTGATTGTGATCTGTATTCTTCCGGAGTTTCGAGCCAATAGCGAGCAGGGCGGGTGGGTCGGCTGGGCTTGACTCTAAGCTTTGGTGTTTTTGGAAGATTGGAGAAGGGTGCCGAAGGTTGAGAAGGTGGGTCTGGCCTTGATGACGGTGTTGGTCNTCCGTCGTCAGATTCGTTCACAGTGACAGATCTCGTTCGACGACGTGTGGTAGGTGGAGGTGGCGGAGGTGCAGGATATCCAGCAAGAGTCGCTTCAAGATTCTCAGCAGGACCTTCAGTGTCAATATCCACAAGGTCAAGATCCATCTCGTTGTCATCAAGAGCCATAGCGAGGGGATCATGGTTGTTTAGGTCCAAGTCCATGGCTTCTTCGGCACCAAGATCTTCGTGTTCTGCCATGAGAAACTCCTCGATAGTCATGTCGTTCTCATCATCCTCGTCCTCATCGTCGTCACCTTCTTCGTTGTCGTCGTCGTCATTTTCAACATTGATTCTAACGACATTGATGCCGGCCAAAGGACGGAACCATCTAGCTTCCTCTCTCCGATTTCTGACGTTCTCTTCGTGCTCGTGATCGTCAATACCACCCTCTCCTATAGAAGCGTTTGTGGCTTCGCTTCCCATTCGCCAGGGATGCAGCAGCTCCTCACAAATCGTATTGCGAAGGACATGAGGGTCCGATGCCATTGAGCAACCTGATATATCCGAAATCCAGTCAACAATGGAGCTGCACATTTGCTCGCGAAAGGTATCTCTGGCAGATCGGACAGTAACAGTAACCTTGAGCTGTTCTATAATTGCAGCCATACGAAGGAGTTCGGCAAGGTCGTGCGAGTAATGTATGATGCTCCTGCCGTTGTCATTGACCTCCATGGCTTTCTGCAAACCAAAACTCTTTGATTTTCTGCAAGCTTTCGCTACTTGGTTTTGGACGTCGGTGACAGTGTGCTTTTCGTCGTTCCACAAGACTAAAGCATACTCTTCATCCGACTCATCGACCTCGGCTCCGCCGTAAAGTTGAGACGTGAGACGTGACAGCAGCTCGTCTCTTCGAACAGTATCCTCAGTCTTTTGCAGGCGTAGTTGCTCTGGCGAGCAGGAGAAGACATCGCACATGTAATCGAAGGCTTTCGCGATCGTCATACGAACGGGTATGAGCAGTTCATCAGACAAGGTCGGCGTTTGACTCGTCTTTCCAGCGGCCTTTAAGCCAGGCGCATCGTCGGCGCTGTGAATGGTGCAGTGGACTGGACGAACCCAAGCTTCGTCGTCGGCGCAATCGCAGCAACCACTGTTACCCGGGGAGACACTGATATAGACCATGTGGCCCTCGTGATCGGACTCGGCGAAGCATCTTGCGCAAAGAACGCATGTATCATCGGCAGCGCATGTCTTGCAGTGGTATGTTGACTCGCCGGCCTTGAATATGTGACCGCATGGATGGCCTTNTGCCGCCGCTGTGTATTCTGCACCATCTACGGCACCTTGGGCATCGCGTAGTACCCACTGGCCTTCTTCTGGCACGCCATTGGGGAATAGAAGAGTGAGCTTGGACTCGTCGTCGCCGACGAGAGCACGAAAGAGGCGAGAGCGGAGAAGCGAGTCTGTTTCTGATGTGTAGCGGTTGTTGAATTCTCGAGGCAAGTCCCTAAGGAAGACTCCCAAGGTCATTTCCTGGTCCGAGATGATCATGTTGCACCAAGGTAGTTTATGCGCCTAAAAGAACATGCCGCGGCGATGCGGGCGCGGGGCGGACGTGAGGTGTCTTGCTATTGATGGGCGTGGTCGAGTCGCTGCGGTCTGTAGGTGATGTACAGATAATCTGAGGGACGGTAGTAGATGATCGACGGCTTCTGGCAGGAGATTAGTGAGTTGCCTCGAGTCGTGCCAATTCTACAAAAGTGCAAGAGCATCCATTTCGGAAGTGACGTCCATCACGCGGAGAAGCCCAGACAACCCGCACCTGCCCTCGAAACAGCTTTCGATCACTCTCATATTATCGATCTGCCACACATATGTTCACTGCAATTCACGAGTGTATCCTGGTCTGAGATGTAGCCAAAGAGAGCTACTATGATGATGGCTCTCTCTGGACATGTGCTTCATCTAGAAGCAACTATGCGTTTTCATAGCTTACCGCGTTCTCTCTATGCCACGCGAGGGAGTAAGAGCTAGGGGTTTTAGTAGACAAAAAAAAAGACGTTCATCGCGCTGTCATATGGTTCAATAAGATTGGTTATCGTTCCGTCTACCATCAGAGTTGTCTGTATGATTACAAAGTTTGAGAAGTCATCAAGCACCAGCCGCCATAGAACGCCGATCCCGCTATGCATCCACGGTCAAGCCTGCCTACATCTAGTTCAAGTCGGCTGTGACGTTGGAGAACTCGCCCTTCTCAAGCTTGGTCTTCCAGAAGATGGGGTTGGTGTCGTTGAAGCCGTGCTTCACCCAGCCCTCCTCCTTGACGTGGTACAGGTTGATGTAACCACCTGAGTAAGCATCTCTGTGGGTGGCTGCCAAGATACTGCGGCGGCCGAGTTCAAGAGCATCCTCGTCTGACAGGTCGTAGCTGTATTCGGCGTCGAGCACACCGTAGGCGAATGTCTGACCCGAGCCGACACAGAAGAGGTTGCCGGCAAGGCGTGTGCCGTCGCTGTCGATGTAGTAGAGAGCAGGTCCTTCCTGCGGTGTGACACCAGCGCACATGGTTCCNNCTGTTGGGTAAAGTCAGTCACCTTGATCTGCGTGCTAAGAGCAGTGGCAACATACCATGCTCAATCCCATGCCCTTGTATTGGTAGACCAAGTTGGCCAGAATCTTTGAGGCGGCGGCAACCGAGATGCGGCGCTTGTGACGGAGCTCGTGAAGGCGACACTGCATACCGAGGTAGGCAAGCCAGTACTGGCAGTCGGCAGCGCCACCAGCCATGGTACCCAACAGCTGGGGGTTGATCTCAATAACCTTCTTGACTGTCTGACTGGCAATCCAGTTTCCGGCAGTTGCTCTCGAATCTGTTGCCACAATGATGCCACCCTTGAATCTGAAGGCCAGAGTAGTTGTTCCGTGAGCGAGCTTGATGGGGCAGTTGGGGTTCGAGTGGTCGTCGGTCATTGCGCGGAGCCATGATTGCGCCTNGCGAGAGGATTAGCCTTGGTTTCGACAGGTCGACGAGGTCGAGCTCACTTGTGCGACTGGAGGAAGCGCGAACTTGAGATCGATGGCAGTGGGCATGCAATCAACAAGCTCCAGCTGGTCCTGCTCTTGATAGCCTTCATCCTTGAAGGCGGGTCTGCTGTACTGCGCCACCAAGCTGTCCATTTTGTGTTGCGATTATGTGTGTCGAGTAGATCTGATGTGAATGATGCCGGGCGATATGATTAGAGTGACGGACAGAGCTGTGCAGATGAAAGCGCGCGAAATGCTTGGGTGAAGGTGATGGTTGACGAGTGTATGGAGGCAGCTGTCGGAGAGCTTACCAACGTCACGCTTTCCGAGCCGGCAACGTCTCTCAAGCTTCGGGCAACACCCTGTCACTGAATTTCGAAGCGCAACAACAACACAACATCGTGTTCTTGGGTCATTGCACATGTGAATCACCATAGATTTTGTTCAGATAAGCCAGGAACAGCGAGATGTAGGTATTGAATGTCTTCCTTGGTGCACATAACTCTTTCCGTATACTTAATATCCACGCTGGCATCCAGCCATATGGTAGGTATGGCTACCACTCAGGAAAGACGAGAATCTCCCCTGTCCATGCGCACATTGATATCACAATCACTTGATATCAATTCCCTCGGTCGAAACCTGACACGAGCTGGAGTGCAGGTACTCCGAATTTCATCTTCTCGCTGTCTTGTTCCCACCAAGCTCGCTTCTCCCAAATCACAACGCACTGTCAAAGTCGAGCAGAACGAGTGAGTGCAACTTTATAGCCCAGTATCTGTAGGTCTTGCATAGCGGTTACGGAGGCGGTTCTTCTGGGTAGACACTCTTCTTGGTTATCAATCTTTTCATGCTCAATGCTCGATGGATATGCAGACTCTGTGTGGACATCTCAGCCTGGGAAGTATCAACAAACATCCGCAACAGCATATCGACAGCGCTTTACCACATCATTCAGTGCGATCGAGACAGATACAAAGCACCACATTCTTCATTTCAATCAAGACAGACACAAAGCTCTTCTTCAAAGATTGGCTTTCAGCCAATCCATGGATGAAAAGTGCACACAAAAGCGTGGTGACATAAAAGATTCTGCTCGCCGAGCTTCCTTCGGAGGCTCGGTAGGGGTGCTTCTGCGCGCTGTGCAATGCACGAAGCTCCTCTAGACTTCCGGCCTTCTTGATCGCCAAAGTCCGGACAAGGTAAGTATGTTGGAGGGAGAGGGTGCAGGGGAGGCCAGGTATTGATACTGCTCGACAGCCTTTCCTGCTATCCCATCCGAATGCAAACACAAAAGCTCTTCTTCAAAGACCAGCTGCAAAGCCAGATCATTCAATGAAAAGGTAAACAACGTGATGAACACAAAGTGTGAAATAAAAATTCCGCCCGCCGAGCCCCCCGGAGGAGATCGGTAGAGGTGCCTCTGCGCGCTGTGCAATGCACGAAGCTCCTCTAGACTTCCGGCCTTCTTGATCGCCAAAGTCCGGACAAGGTAAGTATGTTGGAGGGAGAGGGTGCAGGGAAGGCCACTTATTTATGCTGCCTGACGGCCTTGTCTGCTTACCTAATCGTAGCAAACACTGAGAGTCTGAGACACTGTTTGCTAAGCGGTGAGATATGATTGGCTGGCAGAGTCATTGCAGAGTGACGCAAGATGAGAGATGACTCAGAAGGTGAGGCTTCACTGAGGAACGAGGTGAAGAGACCCCAGCTGTCATGCCAGCTGCGGAGGCTTTACCGAAGCAGGTGAGTGAAAGCTCACTGACAGCTTGCGATCTCCCAGCTCTCTTGAGCAGTCCAGCTCGATCAATGATACGTTGAAGACTATCAATATGCTTGTGGCTCTTTGTGATACCAATGGTGTCTCATAGAGGCTCAATTGTTCTCCGCAGAGAGCCGGGCTCTCATCTATATGTATTATGTGTATCGTGAACTGGATATGACGTTCACGTCTGTGATGAGCCGGCCGAAGCTACCGAACTTCCTATTTCATGCTGTCTCCTCCACCTTGTTACGAAAAACAACCAAGTGTTAGTTCTTACAAGTAGATTCATGCTCAATTGAAACCCTCTCATACCACCTCACATCTATCTCCCTGTTCTTCCAGCAACTATGGACACCTCCAAAGACATTAACCCTTCAGACCTCTTCTCAGCTAAGGGTCTTACTGTGGTCATCACAGGTGGAGGAAGTGGTCAGTAACTACTTGGATGTCAGTCAAACTCCTTGCTAACACTCTACNNAGGCATCGGCCTCGCTTTTGCCGCGAGTCTCGCTCGCTCCGGAGCTGAAAAGGTGTACCTACTGGGACGTAGAGTCAAGAACCTCGAAGACGCCGCCAAATCAATCGACTCCAAGATCATGAGACCCGTCCAATGCGATATCACCGACCCATCATCTATCGATGCTGCCGTCAAGCAAATCGAGAAAGAGTCGTCTCACATTGACGTCCTGATCAACAATGCTGGAGTAACCGGCCCGGACCACAAGGGCATCGACAAAGTGGAGACTATCCAAGAGATGCAAGAGATCATGAAGAGAGATTGGTCAGGCTGGGACACTTCATTCAAAACAAACACGTCTGCCATTGTGGCCGTCAGTGCTGCTTTCTTGCATCTGCTTGACGCAGGAAACAAGAAGAGAGGCTGGGCTACAGGACGCAGAGAAGTACACGAGAGAGTTGAAGGCGCAGACTACGATGCGAGCGACCTGAGAACAAGTCAGATCATCTCCGTCGCTAGTATTGCTTCTTTCAACCGCTTCGTTACCGCCGGCCTGGCGTACTCCGCAACCAAAGCTGGTGCTGCTATGCTGGGCAAGGCATTGGCTACTCTGCTTGCACCTTTCGGCATCAGAAGTAATGTCATCTGTCCTGGAAGTAAGTATACACTTGTCGCCGCCGGGATGTTGCATGGTAAACTGACAATATCTAGGNNATTCCCCTCCGACATGACCGCTGGAGACTCAAGTTCATTCCCTGTCACTCAAATCCCTGCAAGCAGATCCGGCTCGTATGAGGACATGGCCAGTATGATCCTATTCCTCGTCGGCAAGTCTGGTGCCTACCACAACGGCAATGTACAAATCATCGACGGTGGTCGCTTGAGCATGATGCCCTCAACATACTAATCATTCACACATCCTTACTAGTGTAATAGACGATGAGGTATATACATCCACAATCCATCAAAAGTATTCTCTTCGTACCCAATGTACTTGCTGATAAAGAAATGCTGCCTGATTTTGACCAACATGGTGGTGCCCAAGCCCAAATAGCGGTCTGCCCAGCGACCTTGAACTCGGACTTTTAGTCAGAAAGTCGAATAAAGAAAAAAAGATACACTTAGGCATCAAGGCGGTATGAATATGCATGCACGCCAAATCAAAGAGCCATGGTACCGGACCCTCCTTGGCTGCCCGACGCTGCATTGGCGAATCAGCATCGTCGTCTCGGACGTCGGACGGGCTGCGTTCCCTCGAGGAATTGGGTACGACATGTTCTGACTAGTTGAACAACATGCCATGACAGATGTCAAGGGTGTACTGCTAGCTTCGCACGACATGCAAGACGTCTACAAATCTACTGGACAGGCCCTCGTTGCCTGATGCCACGTCTGCCCAAACGAACCGAATTGCTCTGGCAGCGGCAGCTTCGGGTTGCGAGACGACAGGCTCCACGAGGCACTGCATGGCAACCATGAACTTTCAAGGATCCATTCATGCGAGTGCCCGTATGGTTTGAATTATTGGGGGAATGATACCTTCGGCTTAGCCGAAGTGAGTACAAAGGCAAGGGGTGATATAGAAGGAACGAACCCTCGCCTAACTCGCATTCATTGGCACTCAGCTGACTGTTGGGTGACGCGGGAAGGATAGTGCCAGGTATTGAGGTGGTGAGATGGAAAAGCAGATGTAGCGAGCAAGTTTTGCGATAGGAGATGAGGGGAAGGGTTGAAGGATGTGTCGGAGGTGGATAAGTAAGTGCAATGGTATGCTCATCTCAATCATCTCATCCCTCTCCAGCTTTGCCCTTTCGTATTCAAGAAGCACTTAGACAGAAACAATGTCTTCTGCAACATACTCCTACTCCAGACAGCCTACTACTCCCTGGGCTGTCTCTACAAAGACATCGGCATACACGGCCACATCTCAACCTTATCAACCATCTCCTGTCTACAGTCACCTATATCAACCTCCACCTTCGCGGTCGGAAAGCATCACAACGGGGGGAAGCTCATACTCGATCCCAAGCAGAGCCCCATCCGTGAGCTCGTACTCAGGCAGTGAGAGTAACAGCCCTGTCGACGCACTTGGTTACATGGGAGACCGACTCGGCAGAGCAATGGACCCTACTCCTCTGGATCGGAGTCTGGCAATGCAAGCCCAGAGGTAAATTGTTCTTCGGATGATGAGTTATGTAACCCACTAACGCAATGGTNNCAGATCAGGCGAACTCAATGCCAAAAATCGAGAATTGCAAGCTCTACAAGCCCTAGCACAATCTCGGCTCAAGTCTGCCAGAAGAAACTTTGCCGATGGCATCCAGGCTGCTAGAGATGTCCAGAGAGATCTTGAATGGACGCAAGGAAGAGTTGGGTAAGTGGATATGTGTATGTTACCGATCAAGAAAACTGACACGAAAACAGTNGCTCTGAATGAACGTGTCGCTCAGAGATGGCCAGCCCAATATAGCACCGCAAGCTCACGATTCCCTCCTCTTGAAGATTACTGATTGTGGAGTCTTCAGGTGGTACTGGGTGATGTCAAGCAGGAGAATATGATTGAATGGAGTTGTGAGGGCATGTACCCAAAGCTTTACAGCAATCAGATAATTCGCACAATGACAATTCCAGGTTGTACAGTTTGTGAAAGTGCAAACAACAAGTGAAAGACAAGCGACTGAATGCACCAACCTGGCCGCAAACGGAGGTGTTGAATGTGATTGCACCTCGCTCGGTCTGCTATCCACCTAACTTCTTTCCTGACCGACGGAGACGGGCACAAGTCATCATGTCATCCTCAGACGATCACTCTACACGACTCTACAGATGGAGAGAGAAAAAGGAACAGGAGGATCTCCAGGCCTTTGGTAGACATCGCAAGGTGAGAAGCAACCCCAGCGGCACTTGCCGTGCCAAGAAACAAAAGATGGCAAGCTCTCTCAGGCAGGAAGTCGCAGGGCCCAGCCACATCTTCTGCATCGTCATTTGACACAAGTTTATCGACTTTCTTTCTATCTCCATCGCGTCTGCTCGATATTGACAGATCCCTTGTTCAGTACACACCAAAGCTCCATTATCGATCCGGTGCCAAGATGTCGCGCTCTGCAACCACCCTCTACGTTTCCGGATTCGGTCCCGCAACTCGCGCTCGCGATCTTGCCTACGAGTTTGAACGGTATGCATCCTATCACATCAAAGGACATTTGCATTGCGCCGCGACGCGCATCGTGGATCTGTGTCAAAAGCGACTCAGTGCTGACCTTATTAGCTACGGACGTCTTGTGCGTTGCGACATTCCCGCTCCTCGTACCTCTTCCAGCAGACTGTAAGTCTTTCATCAGGCAATCGATGCCCCCAGCATGTCGCTGACCACGCGCAGTTTCGCCTTTGTCGAATACGAAAGCCGCCGTGATGCTGATGACGCTTACCACGAGATGCACAACCGCCGCATCAGCCGCAACGAGGAATTGAAGATCGAGGTGCGTTCTTCTTCAACTCGCTTTCCAACAACGACAGAAGACTAATTGCTCTCGACAGTGGGCCAGAACCCCTCCCTCCGCTTCTTGGCGCTTCGATGCTGGTCGCCCTCCTCGCGGTGAGCGTGGCGACCGTGGTGATCGTGGTGACCGCCGTGACCGTTCTCCTCGTCGCCGCTCAATCAGCCCTGCTCCTCGTTCTCGCCGTGGCGACCACTCTCCTCGAAAGGACGACCGCCGTGAACGTGACTACGACCGCCGCGACCGCACTCGTAGCCCTGAGGACCGTGAGCGTGAGAGAGACCGCGAGACCAGAGACCGTGACGATGACCGCGAGCGTGACACCAAGCGCGATGACGACCGCGAACGTGAGGAGCGCCCTCGCGAGGACCGCGAGGAGAGAGAAGAACGCGAAGAGCGTGAGCCTAACGGCGAAGAGCCCAAGGGTACGCGACCATCGACCTGAACTTTCACGACCTGGTAGTTAACACAGTGCTACAGAACCTGCCGTCGAGTCCCCTCCTGCCGCTGCTGCTCATGACGACCTTGACACTGCCGAGTAGTTATCCTGCGCTCGAGCCATTCCTACACCACTAACCCCATTGCTGCTAGTGTGCACTACTCCCACTGGGATAGCGCTAGATTTGGTGTCGCAGCCAGCCACCACGCCTGGCCAGCATAATTCACTCCTCCCTCTTCCCCAGTGCAGCAACCTCGTCGCCTCCTGCAGCGTTCCATTTTATGGGTAAAATGCGCGAGGTTCTGCTGTCTGACGCCCCATTCTACGTTTCTGTTTTTGTTGCTGTTGGGTGTGCTTTTCAGGCGGGCGTTTTTATCTGAGATTGATCAAAAATTAGCAGCAGTGCGGTTCGACCAGCTCGTACGAGGCGAGCGATTTACACGAGCGACCCGATCCTTCGATATCGTATCCAATCAATTAACAACCATTCGACGTCCACCTCCCCTCCGGCGCCATTGATCCACGAGATCAAGCGAAACGCAATTGCGATCCGATCCCCTTCCCCCCTCGTATCGTCCACGATCCACAACATGCATTTTTACTCCCGCCGTCGTTTTTCGTCTTCCGTCACCTCATTCTCACCACTTCGAGCCCCTTTTGCGACCGATCTACACCTTACCCGATGCATCGACATTCTTCGCCTTCCAGCTTTTCTCAAAGGTAGTTGTATCTCATTCGTAGGCTTGAATTCGTTGGGTGACACTGGTTTGTGTCCAACCCTTCAGCTATGGTTGTAAGTTCAGTGATCAATGTAAGCAGGGTCAGATGTCAATCTGCTCCTTGCCACGGTCAGAAGGGTTTCTTTGTAAATTTGTCGAGTCATCGATGTAAAACAAGAAGCGCAAGCTTTTAAGTACGTTTTAACCAGCGACATGCTTGTATATCAATCGTCTTCTCTCTGACTCGCCATGTCTATACCCACCACTAAGGTCGTACCGCCATCCAAGCACCTTGACTGCCTTGACCACTCATGGTGCGATCGAATTCCATACGCGTTGTATAAGCAGGAACGACCGTTCATATCAGGAAATATGTAGAGCACCCTTTTTGGAGTCCAATGCCAGTGCATCTTTCCAGGATCTGATGTTCATACTTTCTATAATATCATGAGGATCGTTGTATCTATATACCAGGTGCATAACGACTCCAACTTCTTATCGTCTTGCCCTTGTAGTAAAACACAATGGGCACAGGCATCATAGCCAAACACACAAAACCCAATACCGAGCACGCCCACCCAGTCCCCAAGCCCTCGAACATGGGGCCAGCAANAAGAGGAAACGAAGAAGACACAATACTCCTTACCACGATATGGATAGACATTGCCGAGTTGCTGTTGATCAAGTAGGTGTCTACAATGTACACTATACCAGCGATGAAAATTAGCAACAAGCCTAGGCCGACGAAGTAGGCGGCTATCAGTTGGGATGCCCAATGTGTTTCTTGTGACCAGCCAAGCCAGAAGAGCGCAGGGGGAAGAATGAAAGCGCCGAGAATCATGGGAGGCAGACGATCTTCGGGTGGTGCACTCTTGTTGACGAGCCATCGCTTCTTGTACCATGTCAATGTGAAGATGGAGAAGATGATCCAGGCAGAAATGATACCTAGGGTAATAGCGATGAAAGGGAGATAGGAAACCGAAGGACTCCACCCTCGATTACGGAAAGAGAAGGGAATGGCTTGATAAGAGAGATAGAGTGTTCCGTACACGATCGTGAGGTAGATGGTACAGAAGATCAAGATGGGCTCTTTGACAAACATGCGTACTGGCTTAGTGGCGTACTTCTGCACCAGAGTCTTGAAGTCGACAGGGGTTTCCTCGAACTTGGCATAGAGGTTGCTGTTTCCGGTCTGAGAACGAAGACGTTTGGCTTTGCGGGCCAGAAGGACTGGTTCGAAGGTTTCGCGAATAATGAAGATGCCAAGGAAGCCGACCAGACCAATATAGATGAGAGTGAGCCAGGCTGTCCATCTCCAATTGAGATGATTGGTAGCATAAGCGCCAATGATCGGAGCGAATGTTGAGCCAAGATTGATACAGGTCGCTGATGCTCCCAAACCAACACCTCGATGGATTGGAGTCCAGATGTCAACAAACATACCGCTAACGACAGCAAAGATAGCACTACCAAAGAGACCTTGTAGGAAGCGACATACGAGGATGGTCTGGACATTCTGAGCAACAGCTTCTGGTATTTGGAAGATGCCCATTCCGAAGAGACCTATCCAAAGTGGGATGGTACGCCCAAGAACTTCACTCAGCGGACCGAAGATCAGAGGGCCACAGGCAAACCCGAGGATATGAAAAGTGATGCCCAGATTCATCACCTCATGTAAGACATTGTACTTCTGGGCGGTAGTCTTGGTAGCTGGACCAAATATACTCGATGACATGGAGACCGCGATAACGAAGCAACTGGCAGTAATGGAGAAGCAGACTTTACGCCACATGGGCCAGTTCATGGGCTTCGCAGGATCGTCGTCTCCCTCCCAGAGCACAAGATTGGGATCCGTCTCGAAGCCATCATGCTTACGGCAAGGCTGCCCTTCTTCATCTGTGAGACCTTGCTTGCAGAGACGACATTGAGGGTGAGGTGGTTTGCGGGATACAGTACGTTTGAGTGTGATCCCATCGTCGTCCGAGCCTGAAGATTCAATGTCCTGTTCGAAGGATTCTTTGCTGAGGTGTGGTGACTCAGCCTCTTCAGCAATGTACTGTTCATGTGGCCTCGGCTGTTGCTTCTCAATGTCTGTATCCATGGCGAGTATTTATTGCTCAAAGAGAGGCAGATGATAGTAGTCCGACTGCCTTGAGAGACACATTAGTTTCCTCAATATACAATCTTAAGTATGAAGTGGCTGTATCTTCAGAGAAGCGGGCTGGCTCCAGACAAAGTACGAAGAAACACGAAAGAGGAACTGCGAGATCGCCTTTCGGCCAAATCGATCATCTCCCGAAGACGAGATCCGGAGATGGACTTTACCGAAATCTTGGTTCTAACAGTTTGTTGGCGTAGCACTGAGGACCACTCCTTCCCAACTTTGTACATTGCCGAGAACTCCTCCGTGGTGAGAGCAGATGACAGAGCCATCTGATATCCAGTCCCAATTTTTCCAATGCGCAGAGTCGTGAAAGTCATCGTCGAGTATGTTGCACCGGCGTTCTTTGCGATGGAAGGAGGATCTGTGCCTCGTGACGAGGAGCGTAAGCCCTCGGAAACGAGCTTCCGAAAGCCGATCTCAACGTCGTTTGGTGGTCAGCTCTTTCCATCTGTTTATCTCATAACCAACCAACAAAACATTTTCACAGACAATCAGCAACAGACATCTTTCACGTCAGCTCAATATTTTCTGAAACACAGTTGTAGCATTGGCTCAATTGTAATCGTGCGAAGCAGTGATGGCTTTTCTCTCCTTTACGACTCTTGATGCATCAAAGAACTCACGGTAAAGCTTCCGGCACAAAGGTTTCCCTCATCTCTCAGCTTGGTTGAGCGATGACCTCCTCACAACCTCTGTTGCAGCTTTCTTTCCTCTCAGAGATCTCTCAGAGAAAAACACAGAAATCCACTCTGCCCACATCGTCTCTTTCATCGTAGGTCTCAGTATTTCTGACGCTCCAGCTGTTCCCTGAGAAGTTCCACCTGTTCTTCATGATGGTTCTGTTGACGCTCCAGGTCTTCCAACCGGAGCTTCCTGAATCGCGCCTTCTCCTCTTCCACGAGCTTCATCAGTTCTTCTTCCATCAGCTTTTTCTTTCCTCTGGCAAACGACTGGATGGCGCGGTTGTTGAAGTGACGATGAACGGGATCTAGCTGATGACGAACGTAGATTTGTCTTTGCTCAGGAGTCAGCTTGGAGAGCAGGCGATTGCGGAGCAGGTCGTGTTCCCATCTAGACAAACGGGCCATCATCTGGACAGCAAACTTGCCGATGTCTCTTTGTTCTTCGAAGGTAAAACTGTGTTGGTTTTGCAGGATTTGCTTGTCGGTGGCCATCTCCTTCATGATCTTGATACCATCTGCTGAAAGCTTCAAGTCATGTCCGACCAGCAGAGTACGGACCACAGTCTGGAACTCGGCCAGGCCGACACCATGGCCCTCATCCTCAACCTTCTCCAAAGTTTCTCTGCACTCAGCAAAGAACGCGACTCTCAAACGCTGCAGCTCATCATCGAGAAGGTCTTGACCGATGCCCATGTTGTCCCACAAACACCTTATGTCGTTCTTGATGTTGTCGACCCAGGTTGCGTCTTCGGTCTGCTTTTGCAGTGCCCGGTTTTCGTCGCTGCGTTCGCCGGATGCTCGTTGCTTGCCGCCCCTGAGGCGTGCGGCCGGGTCGGTCACCCAATATTCCATGCGTTCTGCGAGCTTCCTGATGAAGCTGCGGTCGTCGGCGTAGTAGTCGAGGGGGTGAGGAGGTTTCTTTGGGTTCTTCTCGACCAGGATTGTACGAAGGTCGGGAACGATGTGGTACCCGGGTTCCTCGGTGTCGTCGTTGTCGACGAGGGTGTACTCGCGGTTCAGCTTTGCGTCTTCATACAGACTCCAGCTGTCGGCCATGGCGGGATCGGCCTCGGGACTGCTCTCGGATTGATGTGATGGCATTGTTGATGGTGTCGGTACCCGAAGGTCGTCGTCGGTGGTACCCGGTTGTGTGCTTGTGTTGCGCCGCGACGATTCTAGGGGTGAACTGGTGAGGTGAAGTTTCGCAAAGGTGAACGAGCTGACTTTGACTCTGCTATTCGACGTGTAATCGTCCCCGTTCGCTCTCGGCGCTGCCGAGACGACGGTGCCTGATAGAAGCCTACGGAGCATTCTTTCGATGACCCNGGTTGTGAGGCCTCGTATTCTGTGTATGGTTCTTTCTCCTGAATGTGGTATAGAGAAGTATGCTGTGTATAACCCAGCAAATGTGTCTTCACGCGCCTGAAATAGTGTTGGAGAGTGTTGGTACCTACTCTCACTCCTTAACCTATACTTCAGGAGTAATCAGGCCGACCCAGCCTACATCTGCTTCCCCTTGACCTCTCTCTGATGTGATATAGACCACTGTACAATTGTAGATTTGCACAGTAATATGGAAGTTCAGAGCTTCATCCGCTGAAAGTACTCCTTTCCAGTGCTCTCCTTGGACATAACTCTAATTCATAGACCACTGTGCATTTCGGCAGCTGATATCTCGGGTTCATGTCCACTGAGAGCGTCTATCTCCATGGGCTCTCTCTGGATATTCCTCCAATCTGAATACGTTTATGCATTGTGACAGCTAATGATCCACACTCATGCCTATTGGGGATGCCTGTTTCCACAGGCTCTCTCTGGACACATCTATGGTCTGGACAAGTTTGTGTATTTTGATAGCTGATGAATCATGTCTACATCCACTGAGAGCGTTGACTCCACCTGCTCTCTTTGGTCATATCCTAGAATTGAATAAGTTTGTGCATTTTGATAGCTAATATCTTACACCCATCTCGAACTGGGAGTGCCTACTTTTACGGGCTCTCCTTGGACACATCTCCGATCTGAATAAGTTCGTGTATTTTGACAATCGATATATTGCTACATATATCCACTGAGAGCCTGTATACTGTCTGCTCTCCATGGAATCATCTCCAACCTGGAAACTATTGTGCATTTTGACAGTGATACTTGACTGGCATCATCAGATGGGGAGTAATACACTTTCACTCATCTCGACTAGGATACAAGCATATCACATACCACTATAGAAGTGCACAATACATTCAAGAAACCAGAGCAACATCCACAGAAAGCTCTACATGTCAAATGCTCTCTTTGGACGCGTTTCTGATATCAGAGAACACTCTGTATTTTTACAGTAGCATTTATCTATATCCACGGAGATTTGTTTATCTTGTCGACTCTCTCTGGACATACTTGTGCTTCCAAAGATCATTCTGCATTCTGACAACTGATGTATCGTGCTGCGTTCACCATGGGAGCAGGATCCATTGATGTCTCGGGTTCCTGCACCTACCGCTAGAGGTCACATCCTAAAAGACCATGCCAGTCTATCTCGGAGCACAGAGTCAATTCTGTGTATCCTATACAAATGCACAGTATTTTGAATGATTGAACAGTATCCACAGAGAGCACGTAGTCTTCCAGGCTCTCTTTGGACATGTATTTGAGCTAGAAGAACATTCTGCATTTTCGACGGCTCTCTTAAAATTCTCACGTCCGCCGAGATGTGAAAGATGTGATGGCATAAGCTCCTTGCCTGGTGTCTTGGAGATTATCACGTCTTCTAATATTGATATTCAGAAAAGCAAAACTCCAATTTTTCCATGCCCTCCATATGCAAACATTTATCCTGTCTATTCTAATAATTATTTTGTCACTTTTTGGTCATGATCATCTCCCATCTTGTTAATTTCTCGTAGGTTCTGTCTGTCATCTGGTCAAATAGCACATGATACCCCAGAGGCAACGGAATGCCTCTATTCTGTCGTTGACGTTGAACAAGTCGAACCACTTGGAGCGTTGCAGCACTGGGTGACACCAGTCCTTATCCTCAGGGATGTTCTGTGGGAAGTTGCCGGTGGCTACAAAGTCGAGATAGGCACCGTGTACTCGCAATTTGAGGATTGAGACATGATAGTACATGCTTGATAGCACGTAGACCTGTCATGGTCGATTAGCCACATCATCTATAATCGGTTCAGGGCATCCTACCGTGTCCCACTCGCTACCCTCTTCTTTGCCGATCGCTTGATAGTCGCTGCTAGGGTCCCAGAAGGATCGCATTGGCTCCATGGCTTTCCATGTGTCGTACTGCGTTCTCTTCTTCTTCTTTCCATTTGCAAAGTGAACAGCGGCTTCCTTGCCTAATGCCGCAGCAATGAGGTCGTTGGCATCGTCCATGTCAGGTGTTTCCGGCTCTGCCGCATCCGACGCCATCTCGCTGAACCAGTACTTTCCACTCTTTGGGATCGGCTTTGCCCAAATCTTCTCTTCACGACCCTGTCGCCGTCTTTCTTGCGCAAGGTGCAAAAGACTACCGATCTCTTTCAGCTGGTCCAATCGTAGCTTGTCTCTCTTCTCGTCATCAGATCCAGAATCAAAATCTTCCAACTCTTTGCGGACGTATGCAGCCATGAGCGGTCCCTGTACCATGTGTCTCTTCTCCTTCTCTTTCGGCACACGATGTACCAAGAATGACTGATAATTGACAGGCAAGCGTACGCCACTCAACAGTAAAGTAGGATGCACGCGAGGCGGACCGATCTTGCAGCGGAAGGGAAAGGCGGCTGCTTCCATGAAGCCCTTGATGACGTCCATACGGTAGACCCAAGGCATCTTACTGCCGGTTGAGGTACGTCTACCACGATACAATTCCCTCAGAAAATCGTCCGAAGATGCATCAGAGCCATTGGAGATGATTTTTGAGAGCGGTGGGGATTCTTGATCTCTTGCGACGAGTTCGCTATAGGTTAATGGTGTAGCAGGACCAAGGTCGATAGGCTCCTCCAGATTCCGTACGTCAATCATCATATCCGGATCAGCGTATTCTGGATGGTCTTCTTCGCGGACACTCTTGCCGTCGTCATCCAAGACGAAGTAGTCGTCAAGATCTGTTTCCCAGTGCTCGCTCATGCTGTGCAGAGCAGTAAAAAATGTGCGAAAATCACTGAGACGAATCTTGTTCAAGCCCTCAGGGAGGTTTGTGCGAGTAACGGTACGGTAGGCGATGTCGTTCTCGGTCTTCAACTCGACAAGCCTGGTGACGAAATTGCCTTGGCTGTTATTGGTATTCGTGGCCATGGTCGGATTCAATTCCTCGTCGTTGGATGGCATGTATGGACGTCCCTCGTGGTCGGTCGGGACTAGCTGATCGACAGGGCATGGTACGGCGAAACGGACGTTCAGATCGGTGTAGAACTTTGCAGTGATATCCGAGACCCTGCGTGACTCGACGAAGTCGCGGCGCAAATCAGGACGATCAGACTCATCGTGCCAGTCTCTTATTCTCAAATGTTCTTGTCTGGCGTAGTTGGGCAGACCAACGTGGGTCGGGGGGTCGGGCTGGGGTCTTTCTTTGAAGGGGTCGATGTAGCTGGCGTAGTTGGTCGCTGTGTCGCATACAGTCAGATGGTGAGAGAATGGCACATGTGGTAAAGAAGCAATGTCTGAGAGGAGCAAAGGCGATTGGCATTCAGAGCGCTATATATGCGACTGCAGGAGTTGACAGGGTCTGCCATGCCGGATGCGATTGCTGCATATGTCTTGGTCCGACTTGACTAGGCAAAATGCGAGATAGCCGGTATGCGCCGGAGTGCTCGAGGGATGTGATAACTTGCGAGACGACAAACATACCAGCACCGAAACCACCAAACATGGTGGATGATTAATCGAGTCTGAAGTGCAGACAGTTTTGTGGTATTACTTGTACGAGTAGAGCGAGAGTGGTGGTGATGGTCAAACGAGAGGCGAGAGAAGATGCAAAAGAAAAGCGCACGCAGATCAATCAGCTAATGGGCGGCAACATGGCGACAGGTCAAGTCAAGTCATTGGCGTAGGTGATGTTTGGCAAAAGGAAACACGAGGAATTGACAAGATTTCCAGTCCTTCGGGCGTCTAAATTTCTTGTCACCTTGTTGCACGTCTCCGGCGGCACCCCTCTTTACGATGGTCCTTGCCTTTTACGAGTGACGGTGCGGCGTTCGGGAAAGAACGACTCGCCGCACTCACGGCCCGAATGTTGGATGCTTGTTTCCGCCCCCCAAGCCCGATGGCGGAGCAGTTACGGACACCCTCGAGATTGCTCCTGCGATTGTTGTTGCTGGGGGTGGTGTTACTATGCGCAACTCGAAGAGAGCAACGACCCCACCATCTGCTTGAAGCTCCGCTGGAGGAAGGTACAGCCATGCGGGTCATCAGCGATTGAGGGGCAGCCGCGTCTTGTAATCTGACATTTTGTCTTGCTCAACACATATCCTCCCTTCATATCAGCGATCAACACAAGACATAAAAATGGTTCTCAACTTTGGCATCATCGGCACAAACTGGATCACCGAGTCCTTCATCCAGTGTGCTCAAGCTACCAAACAATGGAAGCTGGCAGCCGTTTACTCTCGTAGTGAGGAGACCGCTCGTACCTTTGCCGACAAGTTCTCGGTCAAGACTGTCTACACGTCCATCGACTCTCTCGTCCAGGACTCGAACCTCGATGCCGTCTACATCGCCTCGCCCAACTCGCTGCACTACTCGCAAGCAAAGACAATCCTCCAAGCAAAGAAGCATGTCATTCTCGAAAAGCCCGCCACCTCAACCCTCGCCGAACTCCAAGACCTCTTCAAGATCGCNAAGGAAAACAACGTCTTCTTGATCGAAGCCTACCGTCACATTCAAGAAGTCAACTACAAGCTCCTCCGTCGCGTTCTGTTCGAAGAGAAGAAGTTGGGCACCATCTTTGGCGCCAGCCTCAACTTCTCAATGTACAGTTCTCGCTACAACAATGTTCTCGCTGGCGAGACCCCCAACATCTTCAGCCTTGACATGTCAGGCGGCTCGCTCGTCGATATGGGTGTCTATCCCGTCACTTTCGCCCTCGCTCTGTTCGGCAAGCCCAAGTCGCAGACCTATGCTCCCTTCATCTGCCACACTGGCGCCGATGCTGGCGGTTTCATCGTCCTGCAATACGAGAAGTTCGGTGTTCAGATCCAACAGAGCAAGTGCTTTACCTCCTTCGCTCCCACCGAGGTTTACGGCGAGAACGGTACCATCAGTCTCAACTCCGTCACCGACATTGCAAGTGTAAAGTTCTGGGACCGCAAGACCAAGCAGACCGAGGAGTTGGCTGAGAAGAAGGTGGATTTGAACTTGCAAGAGGAGGCTGAGGAGTTTGCTCGTATCATCAACAACAAGGATGTTGATGCTGCTGCTAAGCTCGAGCAATTGAGTTATGATATTGTTTCTGTTACTTCTGATTTGAGAAGACAGAATGGAATCCTCTACCCTGCCGATAAGGCATAGACGTCTACTATGACTTGTATATAATGTGCATAGATGAATGAAAAAAGCTGCATGATGCTGAACAATAAAGTCAATCAAAAACACCTCTCATCTGTGTTTCATCTATCTGCTGCACCTTGCTATGCAATCATTCTCGAAGTGAAGAAAGGTCTAAAAATATACACACATCCAATTCCCTTCTTCCGCCTTGGTTTTGCTGTTCTTACACCCTACTACTGTACCCACCAAGCACATTCCCCTTGGCAAGCTTCCTCTCATACCACTTCCTGCCCTCATCAACCCAAAACACCGTCGACGCCAATAACACCAACCCCACCAGATCCCTGAGACCCAAAGCCTCAGTCTGGAACACACCCTGCAGCGGCGGGAAATAAATCACCAAAGCCTGACCCAGCAAACTGCCCGCCACGGCATAATTAAACATGGCATTAGCTTTATGGCCCGTAAACTTGATCTCGCCGCGCAAAAGAGATTTTGTGGCGGAGCGGCAGGTGAGGGCGTTGAACATGTCGAACAGCACGAAAGCGGTGAAGGTGAGGGTTGTGTCGCGGGGAGAGACTTCGTGGCTTGCGAGGTCGGTGGTGGAGAGATTGGAAATGTAGGTGTAGAGTGTGCCTGCCATGATGACGAGTGCGGATTGCAGCACGCGGCGGATGAGGCGAGGGGTAAGGACGCGTGCGTGACGGGGTCGGGGTGGTAGTTGCAGCATTGTCTTGTCTACGGGCTCTACACCCAATGATTGGGCAGGAGGTCCGTCCATCAGGATATTGATCCAGAGGATTTGCATGGCGTTCAGTGGGTTCTTGTAGCCGAATGCGCTGCTCAACATGACAAGACCTAGTGCAGCGGCGGATGTGCTCAGTTGGAAGGTCAAGAAGTTTTGGATGTTGTGGAAGATGCCTTTGCCTTCTTCAATGGCTGCGAGGATGGTGCTGAAGTCGTCGTTGGTAAGGATCATGTCGGCGGCTTCCTTGGCCACGTCAGTCCCCAATCTGCCCATTGCTATGCCGATATCTGCCTTCTTGAGGGCAGGCGCATCGTTTACACCGTCGCCAGTCATGGCTACAACGTCTCCTCTTGACTGCAATGCTCGAATGATCTTCATCTTGTGATCTGGGCTTGTTCTTGCAAATACTGATGTACGCGAGATTGCTTGAGCGAGGTCTTCATCGCTCATTTGATCTAGCTGATCACCGCGCAGCACTGGTGAACCAAGTGCTGATGACATGTTGATGGGCATGCCTAGCTTCTTTGCAATCGCCACGGCGGTGGTCTCGGCATCACCAGTAATCATGATGACTTTGACACCACCAGCCATGAGACGGCGGATGGAACGATCCACACCCTTACGAGGAGGATCATTCATACCCACCAGACCAGCAAAACAAAGTCCAGTGTAGAGATGGTCTTCATCTGCTAATGAAGAGCCTTCAGGATTAGGAGACGTACCACGAGATGTGCGGCGATCTTTGGACTCACGAACAGATCCGCTTGCCAGACCAAGCACACGAAGTCCATCTTGCGCCATATTTTCAGCTGCTTTCAATGCTTCCTGACGTCTTTGCTCGTCGAGGACAACTTCACGTCCTTGTGAAGTCATGTAGGTATCGCATCGACCAAGAACACGTTCGAGGGCACCCTTGATATAGGCAGTTGCAGGTCCATTGGACTCGAGCGGATTGTGAATGACCACTCCCATCCATTTACGCTCTGAGCTGAACGGTGTCTCATTGCGCCTACTTCCAATATTTTGTCTTATATCGTCTTCACCAAATGCATCCAAGAGATCCAGGAGCGCAACATCAGTCGGCTGACCAGTCCATCGACTTTNTGCATTCGAGAGATCACCTCCCATGGTAGANNGGGAAAGAATAGCGGCCGAGGCTGCTGTAGCATGAGAAGATGACTCGGATCCCAATCTTCCATTGTTTACGATGTTACCAATACGAAGAATGGTGCGCGTGGCAGAATCCGAGGGAGCTTTCGCATGAACCTTGACAACATCTACAGGCGCTTCGTCGTCAAAGTGCCACATCTTGGTGACAGTCATGTGGTTCATAGTGAGAGTTCCTGTTTTGTCGCTGCAGATAACATTGACAGAGCCGAGAGTTTCCACACTGGGGAGTCTTCGCACGATGGCATGTCTTTTCGACATGCGAAGAACACCAAGAGCCAGTGTGACCGTGACAATGATGGGAAGACCTTCCGGAATAGCAGCAACCGCAAGGGAAACACCGATTTGGAACAACTCCAAAAATGGTCTGCCGCGAACGAATCCTATGAGCATGATGAAGGCGATGATTCCAAAAGACATGTAACTGAGTTCCTTGCCGAGATTGTCCATGGAAAGTTGTAGTGGTGTACGAGGGCTTTCAATCTCTTGCAGCGAAGCAGAGATGGCACCAAATTCGGTACCGCCTCCAGTGCCAATGACGATACCTTGTCCATAACCTGAGCGAACCAATGTTCCCATGAAAGCGATGTTCTTTTGCTCGTTGAGGCGGAGATCTGCACCCACCGTACCCGAAGCCTCGGATGCGTATACAGGCGAGCTGGGATATCCTTCTCTTTNTGATGCTGTGATGCTTGATGCAAACTTGTGTACGGGCTCGTTTTCGCCAGTCAGGTTGGACTCATCGATGGAAAGGTCGGCGGCACGGGTGATGCGAATGTCGGCAGGAATGCGATCACCAGTATGAAACAGAACGAGATCTCCCACAACCAATTGGCCAGCGGGTATAGTCACAGATGCCTTCTCGGCACTGGCCAATGGAATCTTTTCGGCCTCCTCCAAGGTGTCGTTGTCAGGTCTGCGTTCGGCGCTACGAATGACGTGGGCGGAATGGGGAACGAGCGAGTTTAGGGCTTCCATAGACTTCTCAGATCGGTACTCTTGCACGAAAGCAACCGTGACTACTATCAGAACGGCGATGGCGATACTGACGGCATCCTCCAGGTTGCCCATGACTGCCGAGATGAAGGCTGATGCCAGTAGCAACAATATCAGCGTCTCTTGAAATTGCTTGACGAATCGCAACCATAGCGGCTCTGGTTCCTCGTGAGGTAGTTCGTTCGGGCCATCGCTATGGAGGCGTGTGGCGGCTTCGTTCGGTTGCAAGCCATGTGTCAACGAGGTGGACAGGCGGGTAGCGGTCTCCTGAGGTGTAAGAACTGCATGATTGGCTGTGACGGTTTGNNCTGCGAGGACATGTGTTAGAAGCAAGCGATTCTCGATCATGCGGCATTCAGGGGATGGGGCGCAAGTGGTGCGAAGCACTCATGGTGGGCAGGCTGAGATAGAGACAAAAGAGGAGTGAGAGATAAATACCGGAGTCCTTTGGCGAGTCAATTGTGGACGAGCTTGGTCAGNGGGTGCTAGGTCCTGCCTCGAGGCATTGTACATGGGCAGAGCCGGCGTGGACGAATGGGACATGTCAATGGACCGTCGTCAACATGGAGCCCGAAATGCGAGTTGCGCTGGATTGCACGGCAGAGACGAGGCCGGACACGAAGAGGGTATTTGGAACTGACTTTCGGGCTGGTGCAAGTCTGTCGAGGTCACAGCCAGAGGATCAAATAAACCAACGCTCAAGTAGTGCCCAGGGTACGTGGCTCAGCCAGACTCCAAATGTGGAGAAAGCGGTTCGATCTTGTATTGGGGCTTGTCTATTGTTGGAATAGAAGCGAGGCTCGATATTATATTGGTTCATCCAGTTACTACCACTGCTTTAGCTCCCAGGAAGCAACATGACCGCGGTCGAGCACACCTTGTGAGTGCCATGCCATCGGCCATGCGGCAACAAATGCAGCTGCATCCGCATCGATCCCGAGGCTTATTCCCGCCTCATTCCCTAGCCTGTATAGGCAGTGAATGCTGCACTCAATCACTTACCATGAACAACAAGACTATTGTTCAACTTCTGACAATGAGATGAATAGATATACAGGATTCCTGTAGTATAATACAATTTCTTGCACCGACCATTGATGGAATCTGCAATAATACAGTTTGGAGCAAAAGACGTACGACACGTGACTGCCTTGGCTGAATGCATCCGTTGCTCTGACCGACGCGGTCCTGGTCTTGCTTGCTCCACCAACATCTATCCCAGCCACACGCGCCATCTGTCGCATCTCTACCAAATCTTGTCAACCGCTATCTTCACTCAGGCGATTGCCAAAAATCGACCCAGAATCCTTGCGCCCAAGGTGTAGTGGGCTTGCGACAGGCCGAAAAGTCAAAGTCAAATCCAAGACGCGTCGCGCGTCGTCTCTGTCGTCAGTCAACACCGCCAACACTCCGTCTTCTTCGCCCGCGAACCCACACCACACAACATGTTCTATTCAGAAACTCTTCTGTCAAAGACAGGTCCGCTCGCCCGTGTCTGGCTGGCCGCCAACATCGAGCGCAAATTGACAAAGAACAACATCCTTCAGTCCGACATTGGAAGCAGTGTCCACACCATCATCAAAAATGACCAAGCTCCCATTGCTCTGCGCCTGAGTGGTCAGCTTTTGCTCGGTGTCGTTCGTATCTACAGTAGAAAGGCCCGCTACCTGCTAGACGACTGCAATGAGGCCTTGATGAAGATCAAGCTCGCCTTCCGTCCTGGAAATGTCGACCTTCCCTCTAACCAATCCCACACTGCGAACCCTGCCGCCCTCGTGCTTCCCGACACAATCACTGAGCTAGACCTTTTCGCCCCAATGCCCGATCTTGACGAGCTGCTACTCGACAGCACTCCTGGACCTGGCCAAGACCCTACACTTTTGGATTGGGGTACCAGCCAGCTTTTGCCCGAGAGCATGAACACCCGCGGAGATGCCAGTCAGACTCTGCAACTCGAGGAAGATGATATCGACCTTGACATTGGCGACATTACTGAAGGCGCCGCCGGAGGAGACACCAGCATTGAAATCGGTAGACGCGCCGAGACGCCGCGCCCAGAAATGAATGATCAGAGCATGCTGTACAATGATGACATTGATCTTGATATTGGTGGCCCCGAAGACACTATTGANAAAGACATCTCCATGGCTCCTCTCCCCATGGACGACGATATCGAGATGGGCGGTCTTGACCTCCAAATCGAAGAAAGCAACCTTGATGCTTTGAACCGTGCAGATGTGCGCCGTGAGCGGGATAGTGTCTCGCCACTCTCGTCTGTTCGCTCTAGCGTCGAGCGCGACCTCGAGCAAACTTTCCAGCTCGAGCACCAGCCCACCGAACTCGAACAAGATGAGACCATGATCCAGGCACAACAACGCGCCAAGCGTCGCAAGGTTCTCCCTGCTGACCTCAACACCGAACTTCACAACTCACAAATTCGCGCCCAGCAGGAGGACCGCAGCAAGATTCTCAAAGCNCCCACTTTCCTCCCCAGAGATCCTGTCCTTCTAGCACTCATGGAGATGCAAAAGAACGGTGGATTCGTGTCTAACATTTTGGGTGATGGCCGTAGCATGGGCTGGGCTCCTGAGTTGAGAGGTGTGTTGTCTCTCGAGGTTGTCCGTACAGCTGGTGAGCTCAAGCGCAAGAGAGACAGCGGTCTNCCCCAAATCGAGATCCCTGAGGAGGAGGAAGAGACTCACGCTTTTGGGGCAGCCACATCACCTGCTCCCGAAGATCTCCAGGACCCCACTCTTGGTGCTGACGATCTTGCTCCCGCTTTTGGTGGTGATGACATTCCTTCTATCATCGAGCCTGCCCAAGAAGAGGAGATGGAAGCCTACTCACCAGCACCCGCTTTTGATGAAACTACTATGCCTGTTCTGCACCCTGCCGATTCTGGACCCGTCTCCCTCGGCACCAAGCACGCTGTGCATCTCTTGCGTGAGCGCTTTTCAGACGAATCGGGCGAGCCGCCATCACCCACAACACGCGCTCAGCGCAGTGTCCTTTTCACCGACTTCTGCCCTGAAGAGCGTACGAGCAAGCAAGACGCGACCAAGATGTTCTTCGAGGTCCTTGTTCTTGGTACAAAGGACGCCATCAAGGTCGAGCAAAGCTCAGACGAATTGGGTGCACCGCTTCGCATCCGGGGCAAGAGAGGTCTTTGGGGTGATTGGGCAGAGAGGGGAGCTGGTGGCGAGATTGCAAGCCAGCGACCCGAAGTTGCCGTCACCATTTAATGGCCTACTATACCTTACGTTGTGACGTCTTTGAGTGATTTCCAAGCGTTTGAGGGTTTGGTGTTCGACGGCGTTTCAAGGTTTTGTGATTGATATTAATGGCTTCATCGGCACGGAGGCACGGGTATTGTATCATGCTCGTTGAGCGAGCAGTGATAACAGTTGTGAATGCGCAGCTAGGGCATGGCAAGGCTACTTTGATCTTGCTTTCTTGATTTTTCTTGATGGGTAGTCGCAGCTCGCAGCCCTTGCCTACCTACTACATGCGGTAGAGTTATAGGGCATTCTTTCCCCGTTAGTTTAGCAGTCAAGTTAGAGTAGAAAGTTTAACCAACCTTTGACATCAAGAGAATAACGGTGCGGAGCGCAAGCCACCCGCTTCCCTCGACCTTCCTAGCTTGCATGTACTTTCTCTCCTCAACTCCTTCGATTCTATATCTGCAAGGTCAACATAACGCACCGCTTATATATGCCATGAATGATCACAAGTCTGCACCAGTATCTATCGCTATCTCGAAGCACGAAGAGTTCCGACAAGGACGGCGCCCACAAACTTCTCGTATCGGCCAAGCTTCTCCATTCAAAGGAACTTCGCTACACGCGTCGCCAATCTTCTACACGAAACAGACAACCTTGTTGAAGCATCGAAACCAAGCCCTAGGTCGCAGTACCGACGCAACCGAAGCCCTAACATCAATTGACTCGCTCTTCCTGAAGAGCGTCGCCAGAAAAGGTTAGTGAGTCTGCACGGAGCCTCAACTTGGTCCTTCAGACGCACCGCGCCTGTCCGAATGCATGCTAGCAGTAGAGGTCAAAGTGCTGGCCCTGTATGATCACCATGAATGTTTCCTCGTGGGTTCCCAAGCTGTCGATCCTAACATCCCGGCAGTAATATGTTGATAGATTTGTTTGGCGGATGAGTGCGGAGGAGCCCACGGAGTATAGATATGGTAGACCTGTATACGGCCACCCAGGTAGGGCTTGGTGATCTACAGGTAGGTCTTTGTGGGATAGGGATAGGGATAAGTATTGTAGTGGTCCTTGGTGTTTTATACTGGATCATCAGATATCACCTTTCTTCTCAAGCATTTACCTTCCTTTCTCTCATCGAAGATGCATATCTCGTCTTTGGTCTCTGCCTCTGCTGCTCTTTCGGTTGGCGCCTCAGCACGCAGCTTCCTCTATGTCGAGAACGCTCCTGACCATGTTCGCCCCTATGTTATTGAGAGATACGCCAATGCTCAGGCCGTCGCTGTTGGCCAGCAGATCTACAGATTCCCTGTTACTGGTGCATCTTCCGGTGGTGCCTTTTCCATCCTCATGACCAACTCTCCAGCATCAGATGCCCTGGGAGTCCTCCCTCACATCCACCAAACCCACTACGAGAACTTCTTCTGCAGCAAGGGTCGCTTCCAGCTTTGGACGGATAAATTTGGCGATGAGGAGGCTAGAGTCATGTTACCTGGTGACTATGGCGCTGTGCCTAGAAACACCACACACACCTTCCAGGTCCTGGACCCTGATACCGAGATGCTCGGTGTTATCCAACCTGGTGGCTTCGAGGCCTTGTTCTTCGCTATCGCAGACTCCAACTACACTTCTTCAACCTCATCACCTTATGTCCCCAGCTCGAGCTCTGGATCCACCGATGCAGGTGCCGGCTCCTCTGCCTCTATGATCTCCGCCCTCGAGTCTTTTGACGTATACGCCCAACTGGACTTCAACCCCCGCCGTGACTTGATCGACGGCAGCGCACCCGCCAACGCAACATGGCACACCGGCAANAACCTCGTTCCCTCTAACTCCGTAACACCTTTCTACATTGCCAAAAACCAAGGACCTATGTACCTCAACAGCGAACACGGCTACCAAATCATTGCCCCCTTCATCTCTTCCTCCATCCAAGGTGCTGGACAGTTCTCAGAAGGCACCATTACCATGTCCAGACAGCTTTCCAATACCACAGCACCTTCTCGCAGCTTTGAAGATCATATGGCTTTTGAGGTTTTGGAGGGTGCATTGAAGGTTAAGATGCAAGGAGAAGAGGTTCAGCTNTTGCAGGGCGATGTTGTGTTTGTGCCTGGAAACACTACTTTTGCCTATTGGAGTGAGGTTGCGTTTACAAAGTTTTTATATGTTTGTGCTGGGAGTAGGGGGTTGGATGTGGAGTTGAGAAGAAAGGCTGTTGAGTGGGAGTATCCTACTTGGCCTTCTTATGCTGTTTAGAAGGGTGCGGATTGTTGTAGATGAGTGTTATGTTGATAGATGAGTAGACTATAGGTGCATATAGATTTTGTGACCACAGAAGTTTGTTTCTTGATGATACTTCCAATTGTGACTTTTCTGGTATTCTAGATGAAAATGTATCTCAGAATACTGTCATGATAATCGTAGCTAGGCCAATGGACCAGTCTTTAGATGATGCCCATGATTCTTGGACAGTCCAGGTTCTACTCTATCGCCCATCCTTCGTAAGCCCTTCTTCTTCGAGGCATGTCTTTCCTAACCCGCCTCTGTGCTCACAAAGACGACGAGCTCTACCCAGGAGAAATGGCCGATATGTTCTTTTGCGGGACCTCTGGCATACTTGTCTCGTTCTCTCTCTCTTGACAAGTTTCATGGGCTGTTGCCCCCGGAACGACCACGATATCCTCTAAAGCTCATCAGGGTCGAAGACGTCTTCTGTTATGGCAGCTCTGTTACCACCCCTAGCAGCCCATTCTTCTCTTCGCCTGCGTTCTCTTTCTTCCTGCTCGGCTTGCAATCTCTCTTCCTCTTCTGCTCTTCTCTTGTCTGCTGCCTCTTGCTCTTCAGCACTGAGTACAGTAGTGGGATCCGTACCATCTTCCAGCATTCCTTGGATAGCAGCCAGAGCACCCATGCGAATGACTTCTTGGGATGGCCAAGGCACAAAAGGAAGTTGTGAGAGTGGGTCCAGCATGGCTTTTGTTTCTGCACTCAAATTAGCTACCGCTCTGTTTTCCGGTTGAGTGGATTGATCGGTTGGGTTGGTGCTGTCGCCGTTTTGGGCTGGTGTGGCCATGCCGTTTGTGATTTGAGTGGTTGGTGCATCGGTGATGGCGGGTTGTGGTTGTGACAGTAGTTCGGTTGAGATGTGGCCGCGGAAAGTGGGCGGTACAGTCGTCTTCGAGATAAACTTTGCATATGAGAGCAATTCTTCAACGCCAACTTGACGCGTGCTCGAAGCTGGCTGTGACGAGGGTATCTCGAGAAGTTCCTTGCGTGTGTCGGCCAGAGTGCGTAGGGTGGATTTGATCTTCTCGTCTAGGGCGTCGGCGGTAGCACGCAGCTCGAGAATGCGCGAGTAGTTTGCATGATGTACGGCGACTGTCCACACTCAGTGAGCTTCAATTAGTCGCGGGAGAGTGTGGTGAAGCGTACGCTGTTCCAGGCTCTCGTCCAAGTCTTCGTCCGCTGCGACTAGTGCATCTGCTGCTGAGATGGAGGGGTTGTAAGCTGCGACTGATTCGACCAGCGAATTCAGTGCTGTCTCTAGGCGCTGGAAGCGTGTCTGGAATACGCTCAGCATGTCTTGAATGTGTCAATGGTTGCTAAGAAGGAAGTTGACCAATCAACTGTCAGTCGCATCCAGCACTGTCAACAGATCGCCAAGCAATCGTCACTGCAAGCTGCGATTGAGGGGACCCCGTCTGTTGTCTTGACCTCTCACCAACCGACGTGCAGCAAACATCCAACTCGGCCTCAGACACAAGAACGATCCGTCTACTCTGGGATTACGGCCCTCGCCATGTGCTCTACCGTACTCCGATTATAGCAAAAGTAAAGCCCATGCGATAAAAAGACACAATACTTTTCGGAAGCATAGGCGTGTCCACAGAGAGCCGATAGGATGTCATTTTCAGTGGACACTATCCAGTTTCCTGACGGTATTGTGCATTTTCATAGCTACTTGCGTTACGAGAGGACGGTGTTGCCGACTGCGCGAGTCCCGTGTGGTGGGGTGGCTGTACGCTAGACATGCAGAGTACACGCCTTGCGAAGCTCTATCAGCCTGCTTGTCCGAGACCCAGACTGACAGCTGACTCGTCTCACCGACCTGTTGAACACGTACTGTACTCATGTAGGTTTGCTCGAATGAGACGGCCCTCAGAGCCGGCCTGGCGGCTTCTTGCTTCTTACCTCTTGTCATCTTGTGTCACTTCTCTTCCTAGCACCTGTATGATCAGCTCCGACATCTCTCCTTTAATAACAAGCGATCACATGCCTTCCTGAAGTCTAGCATCGCAAGACTAAATCACCTCGAGGGCCATGGATTTGCATGCCCTTGCACGAGCTTTCGAGAAGCAAACCGCTCGACACCCATCCTCCAGTGGCAGCACCACTCCCGACCGCATCACTCCGTTTCCTATTCGTCTGATACATGAAAAGGCTTCTCGAAGAGCCCATTCCGTCTTGCCGGTTACCAAACCTCAAAACGATGATTTCTATCGTTTCTGGGACCGATTCCTTGCAACATCTTCACGTGCGAATACATCTGCGCCGGGCCGTCGCATCGAGCAGACCTTGAAAGATACCAGTGACGAGAACAATGGCCTGCATACACAAGAAAGCTCAGTGGCGTCTTACGAAAAGGCCAAGAAAGAGTGTCAGGAAAAGGTTGAGGCTATCGTCAGCGAGTGTACTCGTCTGAACCAGAAATACCGTGACAGACATTTCGAAGTCGAACTCGCCCAGCATGATTGCATCGTGCCTTTAGTCGATGTAGAAGGTAACTCACATGCCATACAGCCGTCTGGCGTCAAACGAGTAAAGGACATATTCGAGAACCCCACGTTCAACGCAGAGGGTGCCTGCGGTGACGATGTCATGCAAGGCTCCCTCGGAAACTGCCGGTTCATTGCAGCCCTTGTGTCTGTCGCCGCAAAACCAGGACTCATGCAACGACTCTGCGTAGCCCGTGACGAGGCTGTCGGCGTATATGGTTTCGTCTTCTTCCGTGATGGAACCTGGATACCAGAGATCGTCGATGATCGCCTCTTCATACATGTCTCTGACGGCGATGATTTATTCGTCGGCAAGTACGTTGACGAGAGACAAATGAGGAGTACCTTCAACAACGGCAACGACATCACCAAGCTGAGAGAAACTCTGCAGAAAGGTGGCGAGGCTTTGTATTTTGCGCGATGTCGTGACAGCCAGGATACGTGGTTGCCGTTGATAGGGAAGGCGTATGCGAAAGCTCATGGCGATTATGGCTCACTGTACGGTGGCTGGGTCGGCGAGGGCACGGAAGACTTGACTGGTGGTGTATCAACATGTCTTGCAACATCAGACATCCTGGACAAATCATTGCTGTGGAAGCAGTTGATGCAAGTCAATGACACGTACCTCATTGCTGGTGGTGCGTTCTTCTATCGGGAGAACGGTGGCTTCGGCAGACATGCATATGCAGTACTGCAGGCCGTTGAACATAAAGAATTGCGACTGCTCAAAATCAGGTTTGCTCCTTCCTTCCCTCGTTTCTTCTCAAGCATCCTAATCGAACCAACACTGACGTGATGCAGAAATCCGTGGGGTAGCAACAAGAACCCAGACAACCTCGACGGACCCTTCAACCACAAGTTTGAGGAGTGGAATGCTGAGCTTGTCGAGCAGCTCAAATTCAATTTTAAAGATCCCGGCGCGAGTTGGCCACACGCGATACGGTTTGACGGATGTGCTGACATAGATCCANNGGTCTTCTGGGTCACCCTCGACAACTTTCTTCGATATTTCGACTCTGTCCAACGCACCCGTCTTTTCGACGAGACATGGACGTTGACCCAACAATGGACTTCTGTCGAGGTACCTGCAGGAGCATCTACCTACCTGGACACCAGCTTCCAGATAATTCTATCTCAACCAGGCCCTGTCGTCATTGTTCTCGCTCAACCAGATGACAGACACTTCCAGGGTCTTCAGGGACGATACACATACTGCCTACATTTCCGTGTATACAATGCCAACGACGAGACCAAGTTTCTGGCACGCAGCATGCACGTTTCTAGTGGATATTACATCAATACCCGCTCAGTCAGCGTGGATCTCGAGCTCGAAGCTGGCAGCTACAACATTCTCATCAAGATTGAGCCGACACGAAACTCCCGTCGTACTGCAGAGTCTGTCATCGAATCTGAAGCACTCTATCGGAAACAAAAGCTGCTTCAAACAGGTCGTAACTTCGAACTCGCACACGCCAAAGGCAAGCTTCGAGANAAAGGAGGTAGAAGTACGAAAACAGAAAAAGCACAAGCGAAAAGGAAAACTCGTGATCAACAAGCCAAGATGAGGGAGCGAAGGCACGAAGCAAAAGCTCGAGACAGGAAACGCAAAGATAGAATCATGCAAGAAAAGAAAGACCGAGAGACAAGCTTTCTTCTGAGGCGAGCTGGTTATGTTGCCATCGCTCCTCCTCTTCCACCCGACAATCTCGACCCACCTATCGTGATTATACCTGAACCCGGCAAAGTCACTGGATGCTTCGACAGGTTTGATAAAGACCCTAATGCCGAGCTGGACGACGATGATTTCTTGTGGGACAGCGATATGGATGGGGACGTCTATTCGTCATCTAGTGAGGACGAGCCAGATTGGTATGCTGAGGATCCATGGAATGCGCTTCTTGTGCTTGGGCTGAGAGTCTATTCGCAAGCAGGTGGTGTTACCATCAAAATCAGAGATGGTGAGGAGACAGACGACGAAGAAGTCACGCCATCGGCGAGTGCAGCTGAGTCCGACAGCCCGTCGGGATCCAAGGCAGGCAAATCAGAGCAAAAGCTTGAGAAGTACAAGGCNCAAAGTCAGCCGACTGACTCAAAGACTGCTATTGGTGAAGGCATCGCAAAACAGCCCCCGACTTCAAGTGGAACAACACTCACGCACAGTGAGGAAGGCAAGAGCTCGAGCAACACTGCAGACGTGACGACACCCTCTCCCAGCAGCGACTCAACAATCTCAGACACGAATGTCACAAACACTACAACACCGGAGCAAAAGAACTGAGTCCGTAGACTAGAGAAACCCGCACTAGCGACCTCGGGGGGAGAGGGTTTACAAAGCGCTTCGGAAGGGTTTACTTTTAAGCAGCAACCGGGACTCTCAACCACTGCTTGGAGGGAAAGACTGATGTGGTTGTGGCGAAAGAGTGGGCTATTGTGCCTCGCCTGGGATTCGAACCCAGGCTTGAGGCGAAACCGCTCCGCCAGAGGTTAGGGACTTACCAAACGGGCCACGGAACCAACTGGCAGTGATTGCTGCTTGAAGGGGAGGCGGGCTTAGCTGTATATGTAGTCTAGTGAAGAGTCTCTGGTAGTGAAGGACATTCGATCAGAAGCAGTATCACATGCAAGTGAAGATGATCCCTTCAAGCTTGGAGAAAAACAATGATATCTGTGACCATACAAGTCTGCTACTCGACCATCATCATCAGTCCTTAATACCTCCTTCTATGTGCTAAATGCTACCAAAGTCTAGTTGAGGGAATACACAATCGCTTCCCAGACCAGACCACAGCCACAGAGATGTCATTCAGTAACGTTTTCCTGTGATGGTCGCCCCCTTTCTTTATAATTGTGCATCTGATAGCTTGCTTGACCCTTATGTCGCCTTGTGAGATTCCAAACATGAGATGCTGACACTATATAACATGCGGCCCTCTATCCTTCAACACTATCATCCATCGCCTCTCATGAACAGACGCGAATTCGATATCCATAGCCTGCAAAGAACTCTGTGCTACAGTTCGGCCTGAACATCCCAAGGATTGGATTTATGTATGATTGTGCTGTTGTGATGCCATTCTAGAACGCGAATCTGCTACGGTAGTCTCCAGAGATAACAATCTTTGTACATTTGGCAGATGCGCCTGTTTGTTGAGGGCTCAAGAGGTTGTTGTGATTGCTTGACACCAGCTGCAAGTACTGGAAATGATAAGCAGGATAGATGGCTGACCATGGTGGCATAATCAATTTAGACATCACTGGATTTCAGCTATCATTCCATTGCATTGCCTTGTTTTGTTGTTCTTGAGTTCCATATTGTATGTCATAATTCGTGCCTCTCAACAGCCCGTACAGCCGGATCTAGGTAATCGAGTTTCGTTGTAATACCGTTGTTGATCCCGTCAAGTCAATAGTCGGCTTCTTTCAGGTACTCCTCGAGTTCCTGCTTACAAGCCTCTCTGTTGAAAGAGTTTGATGGCCACCTGTTGCGCTTGTATATTGTGTACACCTCCTGTCAATCGCGTTAGCAAAATAACAAACGAATACTTGAATCCAGATCTACAGTCGCTTGCGGACCTACCTTTGTGAATTCGTCCTCAATCTCAATGTCATCGCTATCGTCAGCCTCCAACAACTCATCCTCCTCTACAGTGTTGTCCGCTCTTGTGAAATAGATTCCTCCATCTCCGTGAGAATCATCGACAGGCGGTGCAACCATCCAAACAAGCTTCTCATACAGCTTCTTCCATCGTTCGAAGAATTGGCTTACGGGTGCTATGGGGAAAGCCCTCCATTTGTCATTATCAGCAAGGCGTTCATATTCTTCCCAGTTGCCCTCGATATTGTTGGCCATGATGTTGTAGCTAGTGATCTTGCCCGTCTGTGTGTCGAGCAACAAGTAACATCCATTGCGATCAGTCGGATCTGCAATTGGAACCACATGACCTGGCAAAGACTTGATAAGATCAGGGCTGTCATTGTAGCAAACACCTTTGTGATATTGGGTGCAATTGCTGCCTGAATCGATGGTCCAGCCGCCGCGAAGGCTGGGGTGCTCGAAGTAGGGTAAGTGGCGGAGAAGCTCAATCACTTCATCGCTCCTGCCGCGGTTCCTCAGCTCAGTCACACTGATGTCGGGCCAACCACCGTCTTCGGGCGCCAGAACTAGGGCATTGGGATCTAAGTATGGCAGCCTGATGCAGAATTTGTAGAAGTCCGTTATGGCGGCGACGGTTTTATTGCGAGAATATGATGCTGAAGCCATGGTTTGGTAATAGTAACTGATTGCTTTATGTCTGGATGTGGGATTGTGTTCAAAAGAAGGTGGGAAGGTGCTGCCAACGAAAGGGAGATTTATCATCATGCATGCTCGTTCGGGAACGGTCGTGCAAACGTAGCTTCCAGCCACATCGATTAGCAACTCCCGAAACAGAACAGTTTGTATCTCTGTTTACGCATACATCTACTACAACAGTTGAACATGTCAGCTAAGAGATCCATGACCAGAATCGATACTGGACGATATTTGGGCACGCGAGTCTTCTGTAAATAGCTTTGATTGCAACAAGCTTTGTGTGGTAGATTGATCTAACCAATTTTAGTCAAACAACTCTGTTTCGATCAACTTTGGTTTGACGACCATGGTTAAACAACTTCTGAGTCGATTTCACAAGTTTGTATTCTCCCAAATTTTCGACTTCTAGCCACTATAATTCTGTTCGCGATGACCGCTCCATGTCACTGAATGTCGTACCTACTTGGCGGAATCGCCAACTTCCACCTGTCTTTTCGAACTTCACAAGGATTTCTCGAGCTTCCTTTTCGATTTCCGATACACGGCCAGCTGCAGACCCTTCAGTTGTATGATCTGGTAGATGCATGCCATTAAAAATCAGAGGCAGAACCGAAGCTTTGAAATCGTTGCCGGTCGAGCGTCGTGTCTCTAACACCACAACAACAAAGAATGCCAGTGTCAGAAGGATCAACGCGGCTGGGAAACAGAGCCACTGCCAGCGTACGCGGACGCAAGTGGTCTCTTTAGCCATTAATCCAATGACGCTGTTCGTAGCGTTGTGTGCGCCATTCTGCCTCATGAAGTTTGTGATTGCTGTACTCATGTTGCGGTAGGCTCCATCGACGCCGGCAAAAGATATGTTGTTAGCTTCAAACATGACCATTAGTTGTTGTGGGCCACGAAGCTCTCTGATGCCGTACGAGACATTGCCAGCAAGGAAATCGATGAGATAGCGATTCAGACTGTTGGTGAAGACATAGTTCATGCGATACAGACAATCTGAGGGGACAGGGGCGTATACCTGACGCCCAGTCTGGTAGTCGCCACCGGCATATGAGGTATTGTAGGCCAGCCACTTGTCGTTCTCGCCGAAGCTGTATCCCTGCTTACGAAGTTCCGCTTTAGTAGATGCATTGGTGCAAGCCAGATCGACACTGTTCATAACGAAGTCTGATTTGTCGGCGGCCCAAGCTGAGCTTGTTTCCAGCAGTGTCTCTTGGAAGTCACTTTGCGAGATAGACGCTTCATATGTCCTTATGCATGGGAGTAAGTTGCATCGAGCTGCACCATAGCCACGACACGTCCAGTCATTCGTGCAATCCTCTGGGAAAGGCACAGCATAAACCATCTCGCTGGTAACATTATAATCATACTGATTCGATCCAGCTTCGGTAGCCATCGTGAAAGTTCGTATTCCAGGTAATGCCGAAAGGTTTGACGGAAGTGAATACGTCGTCTCTCTAGACTCGCTCTTTTCGACCAGCTCACCAGTCACATCTCTACATTCGGAACAATAGCCAACAGAGTGATATTTCTCTGGAAAAGTGCAGTTTCCCGAGGAGCACGTCCAGGAAACTGCGGTCGAGTCAGGGTTGTACAGTCCGTTGGATATCGCCGCTTGCATTTGATATGGCAAAGCGATCATATTTGAGCCAGTAAGATAGACTGAACCGCCACCTCCATTGTAATTTGAGGTCAAAGGAATGCTGGCTTGTGAACTAGGGGATGACATCGAGCAGGAATAGTAACGGATCAGTTGCTGTGAGAACGGGTCCAGGAGAAGTGCCAGGATGGTCAGAGATGCTCCTAGCGACGCTACGAAGGATCTGGTTTGGTCAGTGAAACCCGAGTATCAAATGGCACAAGAGCTAACCTTCCGCGTAACGTCCACAACAACCCTATGGGGCCTATCAATCCTCCACGCGAAGCATTATCGTACTTAGTAACGTCATTGAGAGGCCGGATCTTCTGGAACCATAGCCACTTCAACTGTCCGAGACCTATATTGCATTAGTTTTTATGCTGCACTGCAAGAGTTATTTTGGCGTACGCACCTTGAGCAAGCACAAACGCCATTGCAGCTTTCATAGCCACAGTATAGATAGAGATGAGTGTGTTCATTGAAAGCTCATGGGGCCATTGCGGCAAAGGCTTGTTCCGGAATGGGTATACCGTGCAAGCAATGGCTATGAGAGTTCCGACGGCGATTATACAACACAAACCTTCTAGCCACCAGGTATCTAAGAGGCCGAGTCTGGCTTGCTCGATTTTTGTTTCGGATCCCGTTGACTCTGAATCGATGGCAAGACACTGGTAGTCTGTGTGTGGTGTCTTTCCCGACGGAGTAGGCAACGGGATGGGCAATGATCTTTGAGAAGGTCTCGAATCAGAAATCGTGTTTTGAGAGACTTGTGGTGGCTCAGATTCATCGTTGCGAAGATCCTGCAATTGGTGGGCATCAGGATGCTTCAAGACAATGTTAACGAGCAAGACGGCCAGCAGAGGAGTCCAATGATACATACTGCCATATTTCGAACTACGCCTGGAGACGTGGTATGTGAGAGCCAAGAGGAAAAAAGAGCTTGTACAGGATTTCATAGTCCGAGTTGACTATAATGTATAAAGTGATCTACATCCAGGCGGCTGCGCAACATGCAGGACCTGGCGTAGCGTCGCGCAGATATATTACCCTGACCACTCAACATCCTCTGTAGATCCTCATTGCCATTATCTGAGCATTTATCGATTGGAGATATAAGGGAATGGTAGTGTGCTATTGAGAGCTATGATCACGGTCGCGATGGTGAGGTTCAGATTGGTTCTGAATACGAGCGCCGCGAGGAGCGAACGAAGCAACGAAGGTTCTGAAGATACGAAGATGGTGAAACGACCATGACTCATGTCTAGATAGTGCCGCACGCACGTGTTGAGTCTTCGATTCCTCATCCTCAAGGCAAGAAGAGCTGTTGTCACATAGCTCACAGTTTTCATGATCAAAAGAACAATATCGTTTGAAAAGATAGTTGATGGGACATTAAAAAGTCATTAGAGATATATGAAATAAATGCTAGACAGATACGAAATAATTCTTTTTATGTACAAAAAGATTCTGGAACTTAGAGAACCAGAGCGAAAGCGCCCAAGAGGACAACGGCAAGAGAGCCGGAAACGGCGCCAGAAATGGAGCTTGCGGCACCAGTGTAAGGCATAAGAGTGTGGGTGCCGTTGGCAGCGCTGGAAGACTTGGATCCAGCGGAGCCAGAGGTGGCGGAACCAGTGGTGGCAGCAGAGCCAGAGGCGGAGATAGAGCCACCAGTGGGACCAGCGCCAACGTTCTGAGTACCAGTGGCAGTGGAAGCCCAGGCAGAGGTGTAAGAGGCGATGGCAGAAGTGTCAACGGAAGCACAGTTGACAGTGACGGTCACAGTGGACTCGGCAGCAACAGTGGGGATGGCGATGACCGAGGACAGGATCGAGGTGAGAGCAGAAGAAGAAGCAGCAGTGAGAGCGGGATTAGTGGTGGCGGTGTTGTTGGTGTAAGCGTAGGTGGTAGGAACAGCCTTGCCAGAGGTGGCGACGGAAGTGAAGGTGCTGCTGGGGGAGACAATGGTGCTGGAGATAACAACATCGGCAGTAGCGATCTGGCTCTTGATCCAGGCAGCGGCAACATCGCTGTAGAGGTCGAAGTAGTTCAAGTGGTCGGCAACGACATCACCGCCAGCGCAGATAGGGTCCTCAGCAACGCAGTAGTCGTGGAGCTTAGAAGTCCAGGTAGCAAGGTTGGCCAGCTGGTAGTCAGGACGAGGGAAGATACCGTTGTCGGGAGCACCGCTGAACTGGTTGTAGGGCTGGTTGGCAGTGTGTCTGGTGTTACCGAAGACGGTGACAGCGACGATCTGCTTGCCGAGAGCAGAGTTAACATCAAGGGCAGGNNGGGAAGGGGTGGTGGTGCAGCCCTGGAAGAAAGTGCCGTTTCCACCACCGATGATGTCGCCAACAACCTGAGCACCCTGAGAGTAACCAGAGATGACCAACTTGGAGTTGGGGCAGCGAGCGGCGTAAGAGTTGAGCTGAGCAATGCCGTTTGCGACACNCTAAAGGAAAGTACGATTAGCCATGAGCATAGACTTGCATCAACTAAAACACGACTTACCCTCGTCGATAGACTGGCAGTAAGGAGCCTCAACAGGGTTGTAGAAGAGGATATCCTCGTAGCTGCAGCTGGGGAGGCCATCGCAGATAGCGTTCACGAGCTTGCCCTGACGACCGGGGTAGGGCTCGTTGTTTCNCCTGATGAAAGTCAGTCTGACTGTTGCTCAGAAGGCCTCAATGAAACTTACCTTGCCGAGGAAAATATGCACGTCAGTGCAGTCCTCTGAAGAAGACTGACGAGCCTGGAGTTGAGGAAGAGAGGCAGCAGTGGAGATCTGCGCAATGGCAAGAGCAATAGTGGGGGCGGCGACACGCATTTTTGCTGTGATTATGTTCGGCTTAACGAATGTGGGGTGCTAGAAGCAACAAGAGAAGAGAAAGAAATATTAGTAGATATTAGAGTACAAGACTGTAGCGATGAAGACGAGAAGGAAAGACGAGGTGAGAGTAATTGATATATAGGCGATGCTACTCACCCAACCATGGATAAGCGTGGAGGATGAACCATGTAAAATTGTGTTTAGGTCAACCTTCGTGTTCGGGCGAGTGCGGGGACAACGCTAGCGGCCGACTATTGGACGTGGAGATTGCAGCCGTGGTCTTGGAGGCTTCTGGCTACCTATCCACAGCGCTCGTTCTGACTATTCTGAGACGAGGTACTGGAATACTTGTGTGTGCATACGAGTCGCGTGAGAAGGCGCTCAACACTCGAGAACCTGTGGCTGCTCGCTCATTCAATGCTACGAGATGGCTTTGAGTTAGCACCTCAAACCAGACTGACTTTGTCCGAGGAAATTCGAAGGCGTTGTTCTTCTAGATGACGGTGTGTCAATCTCTGTGGCCAAGATGAGGACCGTTATTCCTGACCCAGCAACATCGAGATGTTACACTGTTCCTGCTTCCAAGAGATTGAAGCCTGCACACGGTGCCTGGAGGATTATTCATGGACTGGCGGCTCGTACTCCGGGTGTGGATACCATGGTACATCAACCGTGGCGCAAGGCACAGTGTCTTCTTGATTGGAGGAAACAAAGACAGAAGCGGCAGAAGACTCAGGCACAGAAGAGTCAAATCACTGTCCAAGCGCCTGACTAGTCAGCAATTCTTGCCGAAGGGTCCGCAGCCCTCACTCTTCTGGGAAACGCATCCACAACAATAATCAACAACAATGACAGAATACACGATCTCATTTCTATTATTACCGAATGAATATTATTACTGCTCGACTTGATACCTCCCATATCGCCATTCGCCAGGCAACCGACTCCCTTGTGCTAAAATTCATCAGGTCGTGTCAAGACCACCAGCGCAGCCCTCCACCCAGCTGGCTGTGGTCGTGTGCTTGATTCATTCAACCTACGTCAATGGATCTCATGTCTCAACGGTATCGAAAACCTTAACCCAGATGCTATAATGAGCGATCGACTCAGCTACTTCTTCGCATCGATGACTCCAACTGTTGCTCCGATCCAACGACTCTCACGGTCCTTCAAATCACTTGCAACGAAGTCGGCGTTCTGCTCGAGTGTCGTTTCGTATCTGGACGCGTTCACGCCAGCCAAGATCATTTNTCCAAGGAAAGGAATGTGTTTGAGCCACGGGTCTTTCCACAACGGTGGCGACGAGGCCTCGGCAGTCAATCTACCATGGCTGGACTTCGCCGGTACGCTGACTTCCGACCTCTCGGCCACCATGGTGCTTGGGCAGAGCAGAGACCAGTCGACCGAATGAGGTGGCAAGGCTCTCAAAAGCTTGATGTTCTCGCGATGTTCGAGAAATATGGGCACGCTGGAAGCCGTCATCAGTCATCTGTGCACGTCTGGGTTACGAGGTGTCCAACTTACTANATTTGAGAGCATGGTTTCCGTTCCAGGAAAGTTCAATACGCCCAGGCCACCAAGAAGCCAGATTCGTAGTGGTTGGTTCCTTTCTGATCCAGCTTGTTGTGTGCCTTTGAGTACGGCGGAGAAGATCTCTGGTAGGTTGTTTCTCTTCCACGGTGCCATGGCTGCTACACCAGCGGTATTGACGACAGCTTCGCAATCGTTCTCGAGTATAGCACGTTTGATTGAGGTCATGTCTGTAGCATCTCCCTCGAAGACAGCAATCTTGCTATATACGTTTGCTGGAAGGAGAGCTTCGAGTTTGTTGGAAGAACGAACATATGCGACGACTTCATGACCATGAGTGAGGAGCGCAGCGACAAAGCGAAGACCAAGATTTCCAGTTGCGCCGACAAGAAGGACTTTCATGTTTGTTGTTTGTTGCTTAGTGTTGATGTTTGATGTATGGTGTGTTGACTGTAGTCTAGTGATCTTGAGAGTATGTCGATTGTGTTCTGATGAGCTTTAGAGACCTTCTCCAGCAACCTAGTTATACACCACACTTGTAGGATCATCGGTCAATTCTCGCCGTGTTGTCCTACAGGTCGGCGGTATGTCTTATCATCACCTGCCGGCGATGACCTTCCGTGACACTGAAGCTCCGAGCATCGCTTAGAGCGACAGCAAGGTGTTCACGTACTGATTCGACAACCGGATGCATTATACTCTACTCTGCCAATTGATTCAGGACGGAGGCGGAGGGATGTCATCTGGTCGGAGGAAGCGGGGTCGACAACATTCGGGCCAACCTTTCCCCGACCACACCTGCCTCCCCATGTGCAAAAGCATGTAACGTGTGGCTATGAAAATGCACAATATTTTTAGAAAACAAGATAGTGTCCACTGAGAAGCGGTCCCTTATTAGCTCTCCTTGGCCAATCTTTGCTTTCAGATACATTCTTGTGGTGTGTCTCACTCTTTGCTATGGTCGGAGTCCAGTAGAAGTTACATCCTTTCGCACACGGGGGTGGCATGCACCCTCTGCATCCTCTGCATCAATCAGCGGCTGTAGTGAGCTTATCGCAGGATTCGTTAATCTGTACAGTACCATGTACAGTTGTTGTTGCTGCCTGAAAATTAGCGGTGCTTGATCGTTATATTGGGTGTTTTGAAAGCCGGTCGTTCTACTGCATCCACGCTGCTGCGACCATGCCTCGACCGTGGGCCGATCAGCCATACAGACTTATCAACACCAAACCGTTCTCACAAGATACATCTCATGCAGCCTACTATGTTGCGACAGAAATGGCGCTCGCTCACAATGGTATCATAAGAGGTCTCAACGCCATTTATCTCCAGGCACCAAACCTCCCAGCAGGAAATGCAACAGTGGCTCACAACTTCTTGATTTACTGTCAATACTGGAGCGAAAGTATGCATCATCATCACGATGCTGAAGAAGTAATCTTCTTTCCAGATATCGAGAGCATCACCAAGATCAAAGGAATCATGGAAAAGAATGTTGAACAACACCGAGCTTTCACGCCTGGGTTCGACAAGTTCTACGAGTACTGCAAGACCTGCCCTCCCAAAGATTACGACGGGGAGAAGTTGAGGACTATTGTTCAAGCCTTTGCGGAACCACTGACCAAACACCTCCATGATGAGATCGAGACCCTGCGAGCGCTTGATAAGTATGACAGTGAGAAGCTTCGTCAAGCATATCGATGCTTTGAGAAAAGCCTGATGGCAACTGATAACGTCAGACATGTGTTCTTATCAGTGAACATGAGACCTCTAACTTCTCCTAGNTTTCGAATCGCTCCTCTAGTTTTCGGTACTGCAGACAGGAGTTTCGAGGGTGGAATTCACAACTTTCCAGCTGTACCATTCTTTGTGCCATATGTCATCAACTACATATTTTGTATGCGATACCGTGGAGTATGGCGCTTCAATCCAAGTACGAGCTGGAGGGATCGCAGGGAACTAGCTTATGTCTGAGAAATTCAGTATAAATCTCACAAGTCGTGTCTGAGATAGCCATCTTGCTACATCTAACCCTATACAACAGTAACGTATATGCTGTAGAAATGCGCAGTACTATTGACAAGCACAAAAGTTTCCACAGAGACTGCTCAAGCTTCAGACTCTCTCTCTGGTCAATTCTTCTGTTCCGAATCAACTGTGCATGGCTACAAGCTCAAAGCATCACAACATCACATGGCAGAGAGAACAAAATCATTAATCACCACAGGCATGTACCGCTTACATCCACCATCAATCTATGGTTTCTATCTCTCATTAACGAACAGGAAAGCGGCATCTATCTTGTTGATCTTGATAGCAGTAGCTTCGATTGCGTTGCGATAGACATGTGCTACTGGGAACCATATCTCTCGGGCGCCAGAAATTTGTCTGGCTGATCTTTCCTATATCTCACTCTTGCTCGGCATTCATTTCAGCACTAAGATGTGAGATATTCTGTATCCGCGTGCGGACTGGATTGCCGCCACGCCAAATCCTTCAAAATCATGAGTCTGCGAATACAGGGGGGTAGCATCACCCTTAGATAGTCTGCGTGGCCTTCCGCCAGAGTTTGCCAGGATTACAGCAAATCGGAGGTGTTGGAAGAGTCGAGATAAGGGTTCCGCAAGTACCACGCTGTCTAACGGAGGCTCTACCCTCCTGTATGTCTAACTCCTGGTCCTCATCGTTGGTGAATCTTCGAGCGTTCGAATTGAAAACGACCCTTTAGGAGTGCGAAAATCAATCGGTTTCAAATGCGCGGCCTTGATTGGCTACGGCGTTTCTTCCACGTATGTTGGAGAGCATACACAGCCATTCTCTTTAGACATGAAGATACGCAACAAGTTGCATGTGTTGCAAAAGTCGAGATAGGCAATCTGTAAGCGATGTACCGTGCCTTCTCTGTAGACCAATTACTACCAATTACTCATCCAATAGGTGAGCAACAGATGCATAACAACCTGACCTATGGCAAACAGAATGCGACATGTACTTATCAAGATAGCCGAGAAGCGGTGAACATGATCTGCCAAAAGCTTACACACGTGCCAATATACGAAGCTTGACTTTTAGCCAATTCTTGCCTGAACTGGTATAGGCTTCGAGTCGAGATTCTGCAAATATATTAATCGCGCCTTGCTTACCCTGCCCTTCCATGTTTTTACCATACTGCTGTTCATTGTCCATGGGTCGTTCATGCATAGTCTGGCCTTCCCAACCCTGTAAATGCTTGTCCTCAGGCATTCATGTGCAAGCAGTTATTTGGACAAACAATTTATGAGTTAGTGATAAGCCAATGGTCAAGTCGCACGGCAGAAATAGCATCGACAAGGATTGTACGGGAGGATTTGCATCCTGATCTGCCGCTTCTCTCGCGTCCGACCTGTTACCCTACACTGACTTACTGCAGGCAATCTGCCCTAGCTTTAGCGTGCTGCCTCAAGGGATACATAACATAAGTCGTACCTCCCAGTTCCTTTCTCTAGGAGTTCTGCGCACTCGTTTTCGCAGTGACACATCGGCTACTGAGAACATGCATTTCTCTTTTGTTGGTGTGACTGTGTCGCTTCTGTGCGCGAGCGCTACGGCGTTCACTCCAGCATCGACCTTCGGAACAGACAAGCTCAACGACCATGGTATGACAAAGCTGAAGACATATCTTCACAAGCATCGTGGCCAAAACAACTGTACTTTGGAGACAGCTGTCAAACGTCAGGAGTGGTATGCACAAGTAAATCATTTTTGGTGTTGAGCACATACTGACGAGATTACGCAGNNGAGCACTCTCTCGAACTCGAGCAAGAAGAAGTATATCGATGCTGTGCTGTGCCTCCAGTCAAAGCCAGCGATTAGTGGCAGCCTCGCTCCAGGCGCAAGATCACGCTACGATGACTTTTTGGCGACTCACATCAATCANACTCTGACTATCCATGGAACTGGCAACTTTCTCAGCTGGCACCGTTACTACGTCCATACCTTTGAAGAAGCTCTTCGTAACGAATGTGGCTACGATGGTTATATCCCTTACGCAAACTGGGGAAAATATGCTGAAGATCTGCTGAATGCTCCTATCTTTGATGGCAGTGAATACTCCATCTCTGGGAACGGAGTGTATAGGAACCACACTGGTGCTTCGATTCCCGGTGCAGCCACACCTTTCATCCAGCTTCCTGCAGGTCCTGGAGGCGGTTGTGTTACCACTGGGCCATTCAAGAACATGACTGTCAATCTTGGTCCTGTCTCCCCAGTGTTCAGCGACGTCCCTACCAATCCTCGTCCTGATGGGTTGGGCTACAACCCACGCTGTCTGCGCCGGGATATTGGTGTCTATGCTGCCAGCATCGCTTCCACAGATGCCAACAGTACATCCCTGATCAGACAAAACACCTACATTGGCGACTTTCAGACCGTGATGCAAGGAGACTTTGCGGCAGGCTTGCTGGGCGTACATACAGCCGGTCACTTTTGGGTAGGCGGCGACCCTGGTGGAGATATCTTTTCATCGCCAGGAGATCCCTGGTTCTGGCTGCATCATGCACAGATTGACCGTACCTGGTGGATCTGGCAGAACCAAGATCCGGCGAATCGCAGCAGTGCCAAGGGTAACAACTCTTTGGCTGGAACCATTACCTTGAACAACAGCCCACCATCCAGGAACACCAGCATGGAGGATGTGATTGACTTGGGCGTTAATGCGAAGAGCATCTTGATCAAGGACGCGCTGAGTACCACAGCTGGTCCATTCTGTTACGTGTATGTTTAAAGTGTTTGTTGTTTTACCTACCATACGTTGGCGTATAGAACCTCTCCTTGTGCTAAAGACCGTCATAATCTCGCAATTGCTCCCTTTCCTATTTTGCGAGATAAGATTCATGGCAAGCTGTTGAGATACACAGTTGTGATTTGAAAATGGGTCTTTGACCATGGAGATAGCCTTCAATGGGCATTTTTCTTTAAAGACCACGTTCTGTGCGAAAGTGTTGTGCATCTTTGTAGTCACAATGTGACAGTCTCGAACACGGGGAGGGATGAGTGTAGGAGTGCAGAAGACATCGTGCCTGCAATAGATCACGATCGTGTTCTCTCATCATCTTCCTCGTTTACTTCGTAGGAAAAATCGTCCGGAAGGATGGAGACTAGGACCAGAACCAGATAGAAAGACCGAACATCAACTAGCAAGCAGACGAGTTGAGTCATGCTGGTGAATCCCATAGAGCGCATCCTCAGTTAAGGGCGTAGCGAGGATGGAACGGACGACTAGAACATCGCCAAAACAGGGAATGAGCCCGAGGGCACGAGTAGATGTTCGGCACTGACAAGCAACACAAGGTAGACATAAGCGATCGAACTAGCAAAATGCTTAGTCTCGGCTTGGATCCGATATGTGACCTATAACGCCGTCCATCGAGAAGAACCGAAGTCGACTTTTCTACAGATCTAATTGCGATAGTCCGTCCAGTCTTGACTAGATAAAGCTTTGAAGATAGGGCACATTTCGAAGTCTTACTCGTGTTCGAAGCGATGCGTTTTCCTTCGAGATCGGCATAGATCCAGCCTCCATCCAGCGTTTCGAATGCAAGCGATGTATCACCAGTCAAAACTTGTTAGCAGTGATGATCCAGAGCCGATGTGGACGAAATCTCCACGAAATGAGTCTATGCGGCCAGCAGTGTAGGCGACTGACGGCGAGTCAAACGTCGAAGAACTAGCCAGCTTCGGTCCAGACGTGCTTCGGTCCGAACACGACAAAACCAACAGGCTCGTCATGCTACGTATGCCGACGTATCAGATGTGCGGTTTCGCTTCAAGACGACTGCGGCTCGACGTTCAAGACAAATGGTCACGACGTGGTAGGTAAAGTTCTTCTTGTGTTGGCAATGCCACAACGATCACTTCTGGCCAAGCGCTCCCAGAAGCCAAAAATCCAATGGTCTCTGTATTACCCATCAAGACGCAGAAGTGCTCTGCAGGGGAAGGCGTCCGAGTCGCGTAGCTCTCAGGGTCCCATCGGCCAGCAAGATGACCAAGAAACATCGCAGCATCACAAGCTTGTGAGCACGACGCAGGTTTGTATACTTCAGCGAAAGCGAGGAACACTGGAGTACATGCATGTCATGTCCGCAAGCTTTTGTGAGCGAAAACCGCGCAGGTGCCCCTGGCTGACCAGCATCATGCGTTTGAGTTTACAGGTATACTCGTACTCAGTCTCTCTGGGATTGGGACGTGTGGAATGGACCCAGGAATGCGGGTGGTGAACAGGGCGGTAAACTCTGTTGGGACGTGGAAGAGGGATCACCAACGGGAAGGAATTAAAATGTTGGCAACAAAAGCTAAATCAAGTGACATGTCGGCGTGTTGAAGCTTAACGAGGCAGATCGATCTCCCTAATGTGTTTTTACGACATCTCCTGTTCTCCACGGAGTCATGTCTAGGCCAAATTCTGCGCAGGCAGCAGAACAACAAACAAACACACCAGATCTTTCGACAACGGGTGCTTCAGGATACGGAAAGAACCTTGTCCCCTTGACTCAGCTACTCGCGTCTTCTCTGTCAGTGGCATATGAATAAGACAGTCTTTGTAAGCAATCGATAGTCATCGGGGTATTGAATCAGGGGTTGTCGCAGGATGTGTTAAGTGGTTCGAGTGCAAGAGCGGACAAATGTGGTAGCCCTGGGGCGGCCACGGCCCGTCGGTTGGAAACACCTTTATGCAGCAGGGTAGGGCACGATTCATGGGGTAAAGCAGGATCGACCCTGACTCGCAAACAAATGGTGTCGAGCCGAGCCAGTTGAGTCGCGGGTGTTCGTCCATTACTACTGTCGTTCAATTTGAGGCTGACGGAAGGATTCACGGGACTGCGGCATTTGATGGTAACTTGCTGCGTCCCAGAACACGACGCTCACTTCTTTGGCTGCGGAGCAGACGAAAAGGTTGGGACTCTGGAGCGTCGATCTGAGTTTTTCTCAGAAAGGCAGGCCGCCTGAGAATGGAAAGAAGCATCGTCGTCTTAACTTTGCGCCAGATGTGTTCATGTCCGGGACTATCCGCCATTGGGTGCATAGGGTACACACGCGAGGTACAAGGAAAACCAACCTGAGTCGGGGGCTCAGTGGTGGTCGGTCGGTTCCGATGGTACTCTATCCGCAGGCGGCAAGGCTGCGGAAAAGCAGATCGCCGACATCAACAGCGACGAGTCGCACGCATCACCTAGATGAAGCGGCTCAGCTTTGCCTTGTAATAATAGGCACTTCTACTCCACCCGGGGGTCCTCGATTTTTGATCAACACCGGCCCTGATTCGAAAGATTGCTGGGCAGTGGTCACTGGAGTTGTCCCTGCTAGATACAGGCTAAATTCGATAGCCAATATACGATTCGTGGCCTGCAGCAAGTCGGTAAGCAACTTGGATCTATGCATGACAGATACAAAGTGGAGGTATAACTTCAAGATTGTTGAAAGATCTGAATCGCCTCGTGAGACACTAGGAGTCATGCTACGCTACAGCCACGGCAAACTGACAGAGGGTACGAATCGTGAGACGTGAACGTCAGAACATCATGACATGATATATTCAAGGAGAAATTTGGAGAGCGCTGAAGGCATGCTGCCGTGATGCAATGAACTGCCGAAAAACTCCTTGACTCGGAAGTGACCCCATGTATGACTTTTGATACTTGTCTCCTGTGCACCAAGCATTGGACATTGACAGATAATGAACCTTTGGATATTTCCCAAACACCGGCGTCATAAGGTCGTCAAGCGTGTGGTGAAGTAAGAGGTAAGCAAAATATGCTGAAAAATGCAACATGCGATATATATGAAGGCCGTCAGTCATATATGGTATCCGATGCTTCTCCCAAATGCAAAGTGGAGCTATGAGAAGCATTGTTCTTGATTTCAAACAATCTTTCTGAGCACGACTCAGCGAAAGATCGTGACTCGTCGTGTCATCTCATGTATGAGACGACCTGCATCTGCCAAAGCGATCTTGGAGTTTCCCTTCCAGTTAGAGAAAGGTGTATCAGGGTTGTTGATACACTTGACCTGGTCCGCTTTGATCTTCGTAAGATGTTCGATAAACCGCGTTTCGTCCTTGTTGTAAAAGACACGCCTTCCTTGGAAGCACAGATCTAGCGTCTTGAGCATGGTGTGATCACCCAGTATGCGTAGGATATCCATCAGGTCGTTGTCATTGGTAAATCTTCGCTCGTCGGCGTCCTTGAGGTGGGTGTTCATCGAAGGTTGGGCATCTTCAAACATGACGATCACCCGACGGAGCAGACTGACATTGGCAAGGCCGATGCTCTTGAGAAAGAAATGGATATCCTTGTAGCCAATCTCGCAAACATCTGTACTCCAACGGACAGCTTGCTCCTTCTTGCGGCGCTGGAAGTAGAAGGTGTTCTCGGAGTATAGGATACTGCGGCCCTCCTCATGGACTTGACGACAGGTTTGTAGCAATGATGAAGATCGGCTGAAGTTATTGGGATATGCAAAATCCAACTTCTCATCCGAGACGAAAGTGAGCCGATAAATCTGGTTACGGATCTCGGCCGGAAGGTCCAGAAAACTGCGTTTGGAGGTGGTGCTGGGCTTGCTGGTTTCCGAGGTAACACTGGACGTACTTGAGTAACCAGAATCCGCACAAGAGGTAGAGCGTGGAGAGAGACACGCGGGGAATGGACGTGTCAGAGATTGAGCTTGAGCGAGCAGAGATTTAATGTCCAGATTTAAAACCAGGGGTCCTTTGTGACCAGGCGGAACTTCGACAGTTAAGGTCATAGGTAGCGGATCTTGGTGCGGTGGGCTGAGTTCAAGAGATCCACAATGCGAAGCAGAGTCACTGTTAACGCCGGTCGGCAACATTGGGCTGCTTGGAGGAGATGCAGAACGCTTGCGCTTTAGGGAAGTGTTGAAGGGTTGGTCGCTATCGTTGATATATAAGTCCAGGATAGGTTTCGTTGTGGTTGCGTCCAGGCTCCGTGAATTGGGTATGTTGGTGTTCTCATAACTGTAGACACTATCTCGTGACGAAGGCTTGGTTGCTGTGGCCTGGGTTTTGCGGGCTTTGGTGACAGGAGCCATCTTGTGGGTTGTGACTGGCGGAGAGTGTCAAGATCCAGGTGGTATCGCACATGCAAGGACGTTCCAAGATGAAGAGAAGATTGCTTGATAGACTACTAAGATTGCAGTATCCAGAAGAGATGTTTCGATAATAAGAAATCACAGTCGATTTGGGCAGGGAAATGTGGCACACAAGGCTGGTTAAAGGGAAGATGGAATGATGTGATGATCGGGAAAAGGCGATTTGACGTGGACTGCAGAGGTACATGTATAAGTCAGCCCCGCGAGGAAATCACCTAGCGGAAGCTTGAAATTATTGAGTGTCGCCTATACAGTGTCGGAGACATGCTCGGAGCGTTGCTGCTCGGTAGGGCATGCTGAAAACAGCTAGGTTCGATGACCGTACAGTTCTGAGTTTTAGAAAGGAGCTTACGCGACGACGTAGACAAATGCCGAACCATAAAGCACTGACGACATTCAGAGTTAGCGATGGGACATGACTCCGGGGCATCAAGGCCGTTTGGGATTTTCTGGTAAAGTTTTGGTTTTGATTGTTTGCAGGGGGCGGCGTAAGCAGCCGCAGCTATCAAAGTCTCAAGATTTGCAAGGCGCGCCAATTCGTATCTGACTCGAGGTAATGCATGGTTTGGAACGTCAAAGGCACACGCAACTAAAAGGCGGCGCAGCACAATAACGGAACGGCTGTTTGTCGTGATACATTTTAACACGGCAGGATCCCGTGATTATCGAATGCTGAGTGATCACTGTCCGTCTCTCGGCATGATCATGATTATCCTGTCGGGCTCGCCGAGATGCACTTTCTTCACATGTTTGTGTTCACGTTTCACCGGAGCCAGTCCCGAGGCACACCCAAGATGTGAATGGTGAAGCAGGATCTTGTGAGAATGCGATTATTCATCCTACTGGGACTATTCCATCTTCTTAGCGGGCACTATGTTCGAACTGAAGCCGCCGAACAGTGATCGTTCCATGGAACTTGATGATCCTTCAAATAGTTTGAGCGGATGTGTTTGGTGGTGGTCTTTCCTGACTTTGTGATCGTGGACCGTTCCTTCTTGTACCTTCACATTTCCACACGAAACTGCATTATCGTAACAAGCTATACATCTCAGGTATGAAACTCATAGGCGCAGGTGGTATCGCGTGATAGATGGTACTTCCCGTAGACGTACGATCAGAGATACAGGTGGAGAGATGGAAGCAGGGTCATACAGGCTACAAGCACTTGGGGCTCGTATTCGTATTCGTACCAAGACACGCATCGGTGACCTAAAGCGGACACACAGCAAGTCGACGTGTTGAAGTCAGATATAAATCACTCCCAATCTCCAGGTTGACAGCTATAGTTGACACAAGAGCAATCCCACTGCTCAATCACTTTACAGCTCATCTTCGTCTCTACGTTTCTCCCTTCACCATTCCTTGCATCACTCAAATCATGTCTTCAGCGCCTTCCAAGCCTATCCTGTTCTATGACATAGCATTCAAGGAACCACGAGAGAAGACAAACAGTGCTCCAAACCCATGGAAGACTAGACTCGCATTGAACTTCAAGACCCTACCCTATGCCACGACCTGGGTACCTCTACCGGATGTGGAAAAGGTTCGACGGAGCCTGAATGTCCCTGCCTGTCGAAAGTGGGGAAACGGCAGCGACTACTACACTCTTCCTGTGATCACAGATCCCAATACCAACGAGTATGTTGGTGATTCTTTCGACATCGCTGTATACTTGCAAAAGACGTATCCAGGCTCAGGCTCAGACTTGTTTCCAGAACAGAAACTCGACTATGTGTACACACCAGAGCAAGCAACCCCAGTGCCGCTGACAGACGTTCGCGGAGGAGAGCATGATAATTATGCGGAGTTCAACATGAGCGTGGATGCAGTATTCACAGAGCACGTCATACTTATGGCGCACGGTATGCTGTTGGACTCAGCTGGAGAGGAGGTCTTTGTCAAGCGTGCGGGCGTAGAGTCNTTTGACGCATTTGCATTTGTTGGCGAACCGCGCAAGCAGATGATGCTGTCTTTTGAGCGCAAGCTGGAGGGGCTAGCTAATGTCTTCAAGAGAGACCTAAGCGGACCATTCGTGCTCGGTAANAAGGCTAGCTACGCAGATTTGATCGTTGGTGGATGGTTGCGAATGGCTAGCAGAACACTTGGCAGCACTGAGTGGGAGGCATTGAGAGGTTGGCATGGAGGCGTCTTCGGTCAGTTGCACGACGCGCTAGACAGATATGCAACAACAGATAGAGGACGTGAGGTCTGAGCAACCCAATCAAGGCATCAGATCCAAACACTCCTTCTTTAAGCACATTGAACTCAGGGTTATTATCAAGATGATTGTGATTGAACAAAACTCGGGTTGAATGCTTGTATACGGACTGGATGACGTCGGATATAGCAGTGTCAAGTTTATGACACGCAAGACAACATAAAATTGGTCAGAAAGAGTATAAAATCGCCTGCAAAATCGGTGGTTGGTGACCCCAGACGTATCAGCAACACCCACGTCACAAGACAGAAGCCTCGCAAGTGAGATTGTCTGCCGGATAAGTCATTTTCATCAGCTTTTTTAGTTGTAAAGGAGGAAAAGAGGTTGCCAGGCGAGTGCGCAAGAAATAGGCGTTGCGCACGAGCCTTCAGACGCTAGCCAGATGGGGTAGTCGAGACTCGCGGAAGTGGTCCGAGTGGGATGATGTTGCTAGGCGGAGGTGGGTGATGTCGACAGTCGCGAGAGACGGAGCAACGAGGTCTTGCAGTTGCTTCTTGTCAACCAACACACAATGTCAGCCTTGAGGACGACGTCGTTGCTGCGGGCGTCTCGAGCAGTCAGGCGGCCCTTTGCTGAGGCATGCCGCCCCGTCCAACTGCAAACACGCCGCACTATGTCCATTGAAGGACAGCAGAAGGTACCCTAGACCATCGTCAATGCGCCACCAAGCAATCACCAAGCCATGACTGACATCTATCCCAGNCTGCTCTCTGCCGACCTTGAGGAGGCTGATCCTACTGTTTACAACATCATCCAAAAGGTCCAAAACACTCAACAATAGCTGGAATACACGACACTGACCCCCGCACAGGAGAAGAGGAGGCAAAAGCACTTTATCAACCTGATTCCCTCGGAGAACTTCACATCGCAAGCTGTCTTGGATGCTCTGGGCAGTGTTATGCAGAGTAGGCTTTCCCTATTCTAGCGACATGGTCATAGGCTGACCGAAACAGACAAGTACTCGGAAGGATACCCGGGAGCAAGATATTATGGCGGCAACGAGCACATTGACGAGGCCGAAAGACTCTGCCAGCAGAGAGCACTCCAAGCCTTCCGTCTCGACCCTGAGAAGTGGGGCGTCAATGTCCAACGTATGCTATGCTTCTTATCACTAATCTTGGTATACACCAGCTCACAACTTCACNNAGCCCTGTCCGGATCACCCGCCAACCTCTACGCTTACTCGGCCCTCCTGAACACACACGACCGTATCATGGGTCTCGATCTCCCTCACGGCGGCCATTTGTCACATGGCTACCAAACTCCTACCAAGAAGATTTCGGCCATTTCGAAGTACTTCGAGACACTACCCTACAGACTCGACGAGAAGACTGGTCTGATCGATTACACAAAGCTGCATGAACTAGCCATGCTCTACCGCCCTAAGATCATCATTGCTGGCACTTCGGCCTACAGCAGATTGATCGACTACAAGAAGTTCCGCGATGTAGCCGACAGCGTGGGCTCGTATCTCCTTTCCGACATGGCTCACATCTCTGGTCTCGTCGCTGGCGGCGTTATCCCCTCTCCTTTCGACTACTCGGATGTGGTTACTACTACTACACACAAGTCACTGCGTGGTCCCCGTGGTGCCATGATCTTCTTCCGCAAGGGTGTCAGAAGTGCCGACAAGAAGGGCAACGAGATCATGTACGATCTTGAAGGCCCTATCAACTCCTCAGTCTTCCCTGGCCACCAAGGTGGTCCTCACAACCACACCATCACCGCATTGGCCGTTGCTTTGCAACAAGCTCAAAGCTCAGAGTTCAAGCAGTACCAACAGACTGTTCTCGACAACGCAAAGGCCTTTGCTTCTCGTCTCGGAAACAGCAAAGACAAGGGCGGTCTCGGCTACACAATCGTTTCTGGTGGTACTGACAACCATTTGGTTCTGATCGATCTCAAGGACAAGAACGTTGATGGTGCTCGTGTCGAGCGTATCCTTGAGCTTGTCGGTGTGGCTGCCAACAAGAACACTGTTCCTGGTGACAAGTCCGCTATGAAGCCTGGCGGTCTTCGTATGGGTACCCCTGCCATGACAACTCGTGGCTTCCAACCTGAAGACTTCAAGCGTGTCGCCGATGTTGTCCACCGCGCTGTTGAGATTACTCGCAGATTGGACGGTGTCGCAAAGGAGGCTGCTGAGAAGGCTGGTCGCAAGAACCCTGGCAGTGTTAACGCCTTCAGGGAGTATGTTGGCGAGGGTGAGGAGATCACTGAAGTTGTTCAGCTGAGAAAGGAGGTTGAAGACTGGGTCGGCACTTTCTCTCTTCCCTGGGACAAGTCATGAACATAATGTGCGTGTGAATTAATGGGGTGCTAGGAAGCGATTGTAATAACAGGAACAATGATAACGCATAGCAGAAGAATGCTTTGAACTTGCATATTGTGGATGATCAAAAGCACAATCATATCCACCCAACTCTTCTCTGCTCACAATACTTTCCCCCTCCATACACGTTTCGCGGAAACAATTGTGTCCAACCTCATATTGTAACCCCAGACTATGGAGTGGCGTACAAATAAATGCCTCTTTTCACTGTTCCTCCGTACCGTATCACCAACGCCGCACGCATCCCCCTTGCAAACAATTACCTAAGAATTCGTTTACCACCTTCCTCATCTCACACGAACACGCCATGCACATCATTGCCATCCCTTCTACCGGTGTCAATCCCAACTCGAGTTTCGACAACGATGCCACTTCTTTCACATCCATACAGACCGACATCACCAATTTGCCTTGGTAAGTTTTCTAACCCATGTTTGCTGCTTTTCCAGACTAGGGCACGTGAGAAAAGCTAACAGTTTTGGGTTTTGCCATATAGNNGTATATGGAAGAATGGATTACACCTGTTACGGCTGTGCTGGAGGCCTATGTGTTGATCTCTTTCTTGGTCTTTCTGGTCATGTTTCTGATGTGTGTTCATCGTCGTGGTTGTTTTGTAAGTTATGCTTCTTCTCCTTCTTTTTCTACATTCACCTCCTTTCATTGGTATACAGAATACATTGTTTCGATGACTGATTGCAGATAGCACATCTGCCATCGCAGACGCAGAAGAAGAATCATGCGGTATCAACAACTACCAAGACGTCGCGTGTGGATCGAAGAGCAAATCGACAACAACATACATGAAGACTCGGATGAAGACGTCAATCACTACGAAGTCAACAGTATCCAGTCCAGATATCCTGCCAATGTGGATACTGGGAATGGCGATCCTCGTGTGCAGGACATCCAGAGGCTGGAGAGCGCTCTGAGGGTCGCTGGAATGGCTTGAGACGACGAGAGGAGTTCTGGATCTGCGGGAAAGGGACGTTAACATCGAGGCGGATAAAGGCGTTGGTCAATCAGAGGATGAAAAGAGGAGTCACGAAGACATGAAGATACGAACCATGGGATCCAACAAAGATCCAGCTCAACAGGAAATGATCAATCACTCACAAAACGATGCTCTATGGATATCTTACCTCCCCTTAGATGTACTAAGAATGAATTGTGTGTATTCATGGTGCAAGTTTGCCTGTTCTGCGTTCGTCGTCAAACGGTTCTATGAGAGCAAAAATTATTGACATGCTATAACAGAGCAGAAAATGAATCAGTCAGCTGAAGAAACTCCGAGCATGATTCATTACTATCACTTCGCTTGCTCCCCATGTACTACAGATTATCATAATGTAGCTGTTGAAATGCACAATACTGTTCAATTCGAAAGCATAGCCACGATGACATCTTGACGGAACAGTCTCTCCGTGGACAGCAATCACCCATCAACGGCATTATGCATTTATAGCCCGGGATCTCGCTACATATCGCCGTAGGAAGGGATCTCGAGACAACAGTGGCAATCTTCGCATCTGAGGTGGTTGAGTCTACTCGCTATTGGTGGACAAGAAGCAAATAACCCTGTGTTTGAAGTTCCCCTGCTAGACTTCTTTCGTGACACAGTTCAGCCTGAGAATGTCAAAGTCGAAGGTCAAAACAGTACCTTAGAATCACTCTTGAAACACAGGAGTGGCTCGAGGGTCTTGGGGCAACCGGTTCTATCATTCATGAGCTCGACCGATGAAGATGAGAGACTATCGATTGCAAGTCTCACATCAAGCCTCATCCCACGATTTTTGCACCCGAAGATAGCCCGTATCGTGTGGACTTGTACACCCCGGTCACGAGCGCTTCCATCAATGGACCTGTGGCGCAGCGGTAGCGCGTGTGATTCCAGTGTCATCCGGAACATCCACAAGGTCATCCGTTCAAATCGGGTCAGGTTCATTAGAAGATTTGGTGCGTCAGCATCGAGTAATCACTTTTGTCCATATCACGATGGCATGCCAAGATTTTGTTAGAGGTCGCTCCTTCCTTGTTGTCGCTCTTGCCCTGCAGGGTAGTCGTGCATTGTGTTTTGCTGCACAGGCAACTGCAGCTTACAAGCAGTTACTGCCTCTGCGATGCCACTCTTACTATTACTAAAAACACAATCGTCACGTTGAGGTCTTATGCTACTAAGATGCGATCGTGAAGCATCTCTCGAATATGGCGTCTTATTCTTGTAACCCGTCAACTCATAACCTGTATCTAGCAAGGATTGATCGCTTTGGCAGATAAGCAGCAAGAAATCACCTATTAACTGTCAGCTCCCTCTTTATGCAACTCACGGCAAAAGACAACCATGATCACTGCGGATGAATGACCAGCTAGTGAGAAGCAAACGGACAATCTTTACATGTCAATGCAAGATTCTTGTACTACCAACGAACGGGGGTGAAGCATACAAGCGCCAGACTCACTCGTTGTGTTACCATGCCCTGCATGATGCCTCATATCAACCTTCACGACAGATACATCTCGATCTCCATGTTGACTAACATCCCAGACAACATCTCGACAATCCACAATGGCCCTCGTAGGAACCCTTCTATTCTGCACAGCCTGCGGCAGCATTCTCGACCGCCATGCACCAGACCATAACTTAATAAAATGCTCCATATGCTCAACCCTAAACAAAAGTACCTTACCATATCACACTCCAAACCACCCCAACCTCAAAAAGCTAACCAACACAGACAACTGGCCCGCCTCCCAAAGAACCACCAGTGCACCTGACGCATTCCCCTCTCGCCTTGTAGACAAGCGCTCAAATGTCCAAATACTCACAGCTGAAGATCGCGACACCTGGGCTAAGACGCAAAAGAGTTGTCCCAAGTGCGAACATGGCGAGTTGAAGTATCGCGATTTGCAGACGAGGGGGGCGGATGAGGGTAGTACTATCTTNTACAAGTGTCCTGCTTGTGAGTATGGGTAAGTGAGGTGCTTGTGATGTTCGAATAGTCATGTTGCTGATGGGTGTAAAGGTTTAAGGAAGATAATTGAGTACTCGTCACTCGGTCCAAAGTCCTTGTGTGCTAAACACTGCAACTGATGAAAGACACAATACTTTCTCAAAGAATGTGGATTCCGGAGGAAGACCCTATTAGTGGCTATATCTACGGGCAGACTCGTATTCATCATGCCATCATGCATTCTGATGTCTCATGATATCCTTATGCCTCGGGATGAAAAGGTGTTCTATCCCGCGATTGTGGCAGTCCTGCGCAAACAAGGGGGCAGCAAAAGTGAGCGATCAGCACCATCAGTCGTAGCACAAAACAAAGCAAGCTGTCGACGAGAAAATGGAATGAAACAGAGAATCTCAGGTTCAACAGATGTATTGAAAACATGAATCATTTCGATCATCTATGATGTATCGTACTCGTTCTATCGACATATATACCCAACTCTTTTACAACTTGCTACCAGTGGTAGTCTTGCAACATAAATCATTGCCACCACCAACAATACCCTCAACAGTAGGTTGCTTGTGCGTCTCACTAAGCAACGTCGACTTGTTGAACTCTTGAGTGGATGGCGGAACATCCAAAGCAGGGTTTCTGTCAAAGAAGTTGACTGGCTTCAAACTGACCTTGATAATCTCACAAGGCATGACTGGGAAGTCTTCGATGCGAGGTACGTGGTTGATGCCAAACTGCACAAACACGACCAGATCATCGTCGACAATGTTGTCTTTGCGGTCGGCCCAGCTACGCACGCCAGTGCCGCCGCGAGATTGGTTGGTGTACCTGCCGCCAGCGTAGAGTTCGCCATCGCGGTATTTGACAGCGTAGATGTTGCGGTCTGAAAACTCTGCGCGCTTGTAGTTGAAGCTCTCCTTGTCGGCGATACCTTTTTGGAAGGGAGGGGCGTGGATCTTGTATGCGACAGGCTTGTGGTTGATGGGGTTGAGAACATTTGCGTTTTGGATTTTGAAAGTGCGGTTCTTGTCTGGGTTAAGGTCATAGCCGCCTGATTGTGAGACGACGGTCTCTTCTGTGTAGTAGCCTGTTCCGTGAGGGTTGAAGTCGCTGCGAGGCATGGCGTGGGCTTCGTCATAAACGAGACGGTTGGAGTGTCCATCGATGGCGGGATCGACACGGAGGGAGAAGATGTGTTGGTGGTGAGTGGCGAGGACACCAGGGTGGACCACAGTGCCCCAAGGTACACTGATGCCATCATCGATGGGCTGAGTAGAGAGAATACCAGTGGCTCTGACTTCATAGGTCATCTCACCAGCTTGGTTAAACATGAAGGCCAAGATGTACTCGTAGTTGGCAACAGTGATGATGCTCTGGAGCACGAGCTCGCGGTTACGAACAACAGCAGCACGGCCAGTTCTGTAGTTGGTGTGCTTCCAGCCAATGCCACCGTCTTGCTCGTGGACGCAAATGACATTGGGCATATCTTCAGCCTCACCCTGGTCGTTAGCCAAGACACCAGAGAGGTACTGAATGGAACCGAGACAGTCGCAGCCGAGCTTCAGGTCGTTAGCCATGACTCCAGCACCGACGTCACCAAGATCGAAAGCAGCCTTCTTGTGGAAGGGGTGGCGGGGGTCACCGTAGGGAATAGACATGTCGGAAAGTGATAGACGGTAGAAGACGCTGCGGCCATCGTAACGAACGTTGTAAAGAACCATGCCTTCTCTTTGGTTGAAGCCAACACGGAAAGACCACTTCTGCCATTCAAGAGTTTGTGATGTGCCTTCCTGAGTGACGCTGAAACTCGCACCTTCGGGCTGCAGGACTTGGAGAGGCTTCAGGTCTGTACGCAGCGTTTGGGCCTCGGGAATATACTCGTTGGCGTGAACAGGCTTCCAGGGTTGGGTAGGCTTGATGGTGTTGTCCTTTCCGGTAGGCATCATGTCGATACGGATGACTTTGCGCTCGACAGCGCTGAGAACAGGCGAGATGGCGAGAGGGAAAGCGTAATGGTTCGAATCGAGTTCGTCGGTGTTCTTGGGGTCACGCATGTACAGGAAGCACTGGTACATGCGCTCGTCGTCACCCACGCCGTCCGAGCCATAGATCCAGGGATCGCATACGACAGCGGTGCCTTCGGGTAGTTGCAACTTGGCAATTTCAGCCTGCACACCCTCGTCCTCGAGCGCCAATCTCTCAATATCCAAGATTTCTTCTCCATCTCCTGCAGCGTGTACGTTGGGTCCGAGTCTAACGTTGCTTTCGACTGTCGACGTCGACAGGTTGACGATGGCTTCGTGTAGTTTGTTNNCTGAACAGAAGATCAGCATTTGTATCCTCTAACAACTTTATGATTGGTTGCGTACAGTCTTGCGGATGTAGTAAGCAATCATGACTCTGCGGTCGATGCTAGGGAGGCTTTGCCCCTTGAACTCGGCCTCCAGGTAGGGCACCATCTCAGCCTTTGCAGGCTCCTCGAGAGTGAGGACCTTGAACTGGAGGTCTGTCTTCTCGGGCCATTGGTTGCGGATCAGAGTAGATGCTGCATGGATCTCTTGTGCTGACAGTGGCGCAAGTGGGTGAGCCACGGTTGTCTTTGATGTGCGAACAGGCAGTGATGTGCTTTGTTGGAGAGACATTGTGAATGTGTGCTTGGTGGAAAAGCAGGAGAACAACAGTGGGGCAGCCGAGAGAGTTTATAACATGGCCACAGCATCTAAGAAAGATAAGACACCTGCGGGCACAGTGGAGTCGACGATCCGCAATCAGGGTCGCGGGGCTCTTACGCCTATCTCCGTATACCACTCATCGCATCTTGCTCTTGCCCGCTCTTGCATTAGACATGATAGCACTGATCATGCTCTTCAACAACATCGACAGTACTTGTCTGTGACCACTCATGCTTGTAGATATTCCATCGCCACGAACATGGCTCCGAAGGGCTTGATTCTGCGACCAACCATTTGCCTGTCAACAGAATCTCCAAAGTTTTGGCCGACCCCACGTTGTCCTATTGAGCAAGTCCATGCGATAGCTCGCGTGGACCGCGGTAGACTCGCCCCTGTAACGCGCACTACTTGTCCCAAAGAGGAAGGATAAGTGAGAAAATTGTCACTGCGGCAGATGAGGCATCGTTATCGGCGCATGAGATTAGCCACTTTGACGGTCTGCCGATTCTGTGCGACAAACATTTTATCAGCACCACCTTCCCATCTCATAAGCGATGCTTGGGGTGAGACCGAGGTTTGGAGGGGGTCCGCGAGGCCCCCTTTCGCCGGGCGCTTTGCGCTTCACCACGAAGGAGTGTTGACAAGTCGTCGTCCAGTTGCTCGTATCGGCTGGGGAATGTTGAGGCCACCATAGGAGGTTCAGGACCATATGGGTTGATAGCATGTCGATACCAAAGCAATACATCCACCGTGAGTTTCACTGTTGTTGGCCAAAAAGTTGTCTGAAGGTGACCCTGGTCGGAGTAGATCAGCCGAGATACCGACATCAGGCAGCCATCCCGCATTCATGCAAGGTGTCAAGCAGACGACCTTCACATCAACTTTCCCATCGACCAAACAAACATCAAAATCAACATGGATCCCTCGAAGAAAAAGCAATATCTTGCCGATAGCCCACCATCTGTCGTTCCTCTGGTGATCAAGCCGCACTTCGAAGCACTTGCCCACACTGAACAGCTCTATTCGCATTATATCAGTAGCGCTTGCTTCGCTGGTACTAGAATTGTCCTCAGACAGGTTTCTCCCGAATCTGAGCCCATTTACGACTTCATCTTGACCTTGCACCAACACTGCAATGGTGACTACTCCAAACTCAAATCCGAAACTGGCCTTAACGATGAGGACATGAACCACTGGTTGCACTACGCTGCCCAATTCCTTGGCAATGCTGGAAACTACAAATCATTTGGTGACTCCAAGTTCATCCCTCGTTTGGCACCGGAGAAGCTTGCAGCTCTTGGAAAGGTGTCTGGTGCATCCAAGCACTATGAGCTCTGCAAAGGTTCTTTCTATGAGACCAAGGTTGAAGATCTCATGCACCTCGGCTACCCACCTCAGCATCTCACCACTTACTATCCTGACTCTCCCGAAATTACCAAGGATGAGATTGCAGCCGTGGCAGACTTTGTCAAGGAGAACGGCAACCTGCTCCCTGAGAACACCCGTCTGAAGAAGCTATCATCAGGAGACTTCGAACTCCTAATTGCTTCTGCAGACACCGATCCCGCCAAGTCAGAAAGGGATGTTTCCGAGACCTCATTCACCCTGGATACTGAGCCTGTCAAGGGTAAGAAAATTACTCTCAAGTATGGCGACCATTCAAAGGAGATGGAGAAGATCGCAGCTTTCCTCACTGAGGCTAAGAAGCACTCCGCCAACAAGTATCAGAGCGATATGCACAGTGAGTATGTCAAGTCTTTCAAGACTGGCTCCATGACTGCCCATGTCCAATCACAGCGTCACTGGATCAAGGATAAGGGTCCTGATGTCGAGTCGAACATTGGCTTCATTGAGACCTACCGCGATCCCCACGGTATCCGCGGAGAGTGGGAAGGCTTTGTCTCCATGGTCAACAAGGAACGTACCAAGGCATTCGCTCACCTCGTTGCCGAAGCTCCCAAGAACATCAAGAAACTTCCCTGGCCCGCTGAGTTCGAGAAGACTTTCGTTGCACCTGACTTCACTGCTCTCGAAGTTTTGTCGTTTGCTGGCTCAGGTATCCCTGCTGGTATCAACATTCCCAACTATGATAGTGTCCGTCAGGATCCCGAAGGAGGTTTCAAGAACGTCAGTCTGTCCAACGTCCTCTCAGCTAAGCCTCCGAACGAGAAGATCCCATTCATCAAGGACGAGGATATGGAACTGTACAAGAAGTACGCAGATGCTGCCTTCGAGGTCCAAGTCGGTCTTCACGAGCTGCTTGGCCATGGTTGTGGCAAGATATTGCAAGAGACCGAGCCCGGAAAGTTCAACTTTGACCACAAGAACCCTCCTATCTCACCCATCACACAGAAGCCTATCACTTCCTACTACAAGCCTGGCGAGACCTGGGGCTCAGTATTTGGCGGCATGGGTCCCAGTTATGAGGAGTGCAGAGCAGAATGTGTCGCCATGGCTTTGTGCCCTGACTACGGCATTCTCCAGATCTTCGGCTTTGGAAATGGTGAAAAGGTATGTTGGAGAATTATGCCAGGATGATTCGTCTGCTAATGTGAAACGCAGGACCTTCACGGAGAAGCTGGAAACGTCCTCTATGCTGCATACCTGTCCATGGCCCGCGCCGGTGTAGCTGCTCTGCAGTTCTACAACGTGGAAGCCAAGAAGTGGGGACAAGCACACATGCAAGCCCGTCACGCCATTCTTAAGGTCTTCCTATCCGAGCCAGAGTTCTGCAAGCTCGAGTACGCCAAGGACGATCTCAGCGATCTAACCATCAAGCTCGACAGAACCAAGATCGCTACCCATGGCCGTCCTGCGGTCGAGAGGTTCTTGCAAAAGCTTCAAGTCTACAAAGCCACTGCAGATCTCAAGGCTGGCAAGGAGCTGTACGAGGGTATCACTAGCGTGGATGAGTGGTTTGCTACCAAGGTCAGACCTGCTGTTCTGGCAGCAGCTCCCCCTCGCAAGGTCTTTGTGCAGGCAAACACTTTCATCGAGGGTGACAAGGTTGTTCTCAAGGAATATCCCGCCACTCCCGAAGGTCTCATCCAGAGTTATGCCGACCGTGACTACATTTGATTGAACCAAGATGAGGTGAAGCATCTCCTTACAATAGCATAGCGTTGAACAATCAAGCAGATCTTGTGTTGACATCATAATGCACAAGACTTTCTCGAACCAAATCATGTTCACTGAGAGCCATTGATTTGGCAGCTCTCACTGGACTTGAGCCCAAACCACAAAACTATTGTGTATCCTGACAGTTCAAGAAATTGCAGATTCGTTGCTGAGAGAGTGCGAGAATTTATATGTGATGCTGTGACCCATATGACCTCTCCGACTGCTAAACCACGGTTGAGTGTAGCTATAGAAATGCAAAAGGGTTTTGAGAGACGACATAGTATCCATTGAGAGTCATCGTTCCATCAACCCTCTGATCTGCCAGGGAGGCAAAAATGGCACAAGAAGCAAAAAAAGAATTGCAGCGAGCAGGATTCGAACCCGCGATCTCCTCAATCGCTGGTACCCGAGTAGACGATGCCATTGCACGTAGGGTCCCTTAGTCTCTTGTGTTTGCAAGAAGACAAAGCTGAGGCGTCTTAACCACTAGACCACCGCTGCGATTGTTGGAAAGATATAATCCTGGAATAAATACAAAGGTTCAGAAAGGTCGAGGTGGTCAAGTGTTGCGGCGTCGGAAGGGAACAGCTCAGGGTAGTTGCTGCTTGGACGTGATTTCCCTGACTAGCAGGTCTGGATTTCTGACACATCAACCTTGCCTTTGCTACATCTCAATTTTCTCATTTTCCCCATCATTAGCCAGCTATCGTCACATCAGGTCTCATGATCTCTCGAATTTCCTCTTCGTCCTTTTCTGCTTGTGCAAGTCCTTTGCCAGCCAAGAATGCAGGACCCATGACTGAAGATTTGAAGCCTTCAGGGAAGTATTTGTCGCCTTCGTCGCCAGGGATTGGTCTTCCTGCTAACCAGTCTATCCATGATTGAAGACACCAGCGGTTTGCGAATGAAGGCTCGACGTACCTAGGGAATGGTGGTCAGTTATGGACACCGACGAGGATGTGCGCAAAGGTAATAAAGACGCACCATGGCTCCGTGTCCCAGATGAGTTTGTAGACCTTATCGTTCGCGTTGATGTCGTCGGCGATCATCCGTTTGCGCCAGGCATAAAGTCTTGGTAGAGTCAAATGCCGTAGGATCAGCTTGCGAGCTGTCAGTCCGCTGTTGACCAACCATTGCAACATTGCTGGCGGATCCGGATANNTCTGATGTCAAGCATGTCAGTATCTTTTATAGAGAGGGACGCCAAGATTGGAAACTTACAGCATAGCTCTCCTCAAGCGCTTATCCATCAAGGCACTGACAACTCTCCGCCCAGCATCCTTGAAAGCAGCAGGAACAGGATACAACAACAATTCGGTCGTATGATCCGCAGTCTCCTTATTGCTCTGCGAAGGCACCATATACTTTTCCTCATACGCATCACTCCACACCTCCAACTCGCGCATAAACTCACATCCATCCTCCCAGCCCGATTTCGCTCCAGGCAGAACCGAGAAATCAATCTTCATCCCTTGCCCAACCTTGAGCCAAAACAAGCCCATAGCCGCAATTTCCATATCTGTTAGTTTTCGCCATTCGTACCTCTCGATCCAGCGAATAGGTTCTAGCAGAAACAAACTCAAGGTATAGAGCAAGTCTTCATTCGAGATCTTTGCTCCATACAGACTATGCAAAANATTCGTTCTCGCAAGTGCTTCTGTAGATCTCTTGCTTGCCGGCGGATTGATCATGATTTCGAGCATGAGGATAGTGGTATCCGTCATTCGCTTGGACGCATGCTGTTTGCTAGACAATTGTTTCGTCTGCATGAGCAAAGAGCTGATGGAAGGAATCCCATAGGTACGGAATAAAGCAAACTCCAAAGCTTNTTGAGCGAGAAAAGGAAATTCGCGGTCATAGACATAGAGCTGGATCTCTTGGGCCTGGGAGAGAGTGATGCTGGAAAGAGTTTTGGGGTTGTATTGTTGTTGCTTTTGGTGCTTGCGGTAGTTGCGGAGATAAGCTACGGTAAGGAGGTAGCAGCCCGCTGCTGTCGCTAGAACATCTGGTCGTAGAAAGAAAGCCATCGCTGTGAGGAGTGATAGGAGAGAAACATGAGGTTGAGAGGTTTGTAGGAGTAAGCGATGTGTTACTTGAGTAGGTGGGTGTCTCGACACGTCTGACACGGACAATCGGCCGAGCTCCATGCCTGACTCGACTGGGGCTGACTGGACCACGCCAAGTAAAACGGTATACCCAAACTATATCAAACTTAATCAACGTTCTGGATTCAGCACTTGCGTGTCTCATCTGGACATATAGATAGAGGGCAGCCTTGACTCTGTGGACCTTGTTCTATGATTGATGAACGGATTCGTCCACAAACAGCCTTGGTTTATTCGAGCCGTGTCAGAGCTTGTACATGTACAAGGTGTTATCATACCACGTCAGCATGTTGGTAAAAGAGACAGGCTCAAGAAAAAATAGTGTACAAACATGATCCGATCAAATAATGGATCTTGGACCACTCATATCATCATCGAAACCACCAATTCACAGAGCCAATCATACCCTGTCCAACACCTTTGATACTATGCCACCACCCCTTGGGAATGAATAAACCATCACCTGGACCGACTTCACACTGCAATCTTTCCGATGCCCAAAAAGCGCTTGAGGAAGGACGCCAAACAGCCTGCTCGAGAGCTGTACGCTCGGCGCCTTCCATCATCTCGGCGCCTCTCATACTAGCATTCGCAGCTCCTCCGATACTCGTCTGGACGTGATGGAAGATGACATTGCCCAGGTCAGGTTTAAAGAGACGGACTTGCTTCTTGCCGGCCAATTGCACAAACAGATTCGGATTGGGATCACGGTGCAAAGGTGTGTAGGTTGGTGCTTGACCCAGCCAAATGCTTGTGTCGTAGACATCGCCTTTGCCAGCTTTCGACACGAGTTCTGGCGTAGGTAGATCTTCTAGGAGGGAAGACGGTAGATCAGACAAAGAAGCCTGGGCTAGATAGATGCTAGCTTTAGTTTCAAGCTCACAAGCACTATTNNGATGGTTAGTGAATTGTAAGCCTGCTAGAGCTGATCATGACAACATATACTCAAGAAAGAACTGAAGAGGTTGATGTATTTGGGCAAATCTACCATCTTCATTGGTAATCTCCAAAGGAACAACAGTTGGACCCCATTTTCTCAGATAGGCAGTATTGAGATGGTAATGACCAGCTCGTTCCGAAGACTCATGAAACCATGTTCGTATGGCAGGAATCGAAGAAAATGAGTCTCGAGGTAAAAGAAATGGCACGGCAGGACCAAATGCCTGGTCTCGGAAGGTCGTCAATGAGGCATCAGGCAAAATCGGTACAGCATGGATTGATGGAGTCGAAGTTGTGTAGAATCTACTACGGTGCAGAAGTCGCGATGGCAGCGAGGCAGACTTTGCTAGCATGACCAATGTTCATGGTCCAACAAATGATAGAGATGGTTCTTGTTGGACGAGAGTCGTGATGACCGAGGTGCGGGAAGCTCCGCAAATATTTGCGACATGCGACAATCATTTGCACTTGACTCTTCACATTATCTGCTCGCTCCTGATCTTATTGTAAATCAAGGCTTGCGTGATCAGACAGACAAGATGGTCTACTACTTCACAAGTAACGTAACGTCGCCGTCGGCGTACATCTACATGGGCAAGGACAAGGTCGAAAGTCAGCAACCATTCGTCGCATTCAACATACGAGGAAGTCGCTGACTGGGCTAGNNAGACGAGGACTTGATTGCTTACGGATTCGAGGAAGATGTTTGGGTATGACAGACAGGCTTGCGCCCGGACTCAACATGCGCCGTCTGACCACTTCTCACCACANNGTTCCACGTCGACAACCTCTCCAGTGCCCACGTCTATCTGCGTCTCCCAGAAGGAGAGTCATGGGAGGACATCTCCAAGCCGCTCTTGGAAGACTGCGCCCAGTTGACCAAAGCAAACTCGATCGAGGGTGAGGACGAACGCCTGAAAGCTACAAGAGAATGGGACTGAGATGGACAACACNNAGGCAACAAGAAGGACAACATCACAGTCATCTACACCCCATGGTCAAACCTGAAGAAGNNGGACGGCAGCATGGCCACTGGTCAAGTCGGCTTCAAGGACCAGAAGAAGGTCAAGCGCGTCTATGTCGCCAAGCGAGAGAATCCCATCGTCAACCGTCTGAACAAAACAAAGGTCGAGAAGTTCCCAGACTTCAGACAAGAGAAAGAAGACAGAGCAAAGGAGCTGAGAAAGAAGGACCGCTCTGTCATCGCAGCAAGGGTCTGTATAGCGAAATCTCAAAGCGAAAGAGACACACTGGCTTATACAATCACCAACAGGCAAAGGGAAGAGGCTCGCATTGCAAAGGAGAGGAAAGAGTTGGCATATCAAAGAGAACACGCTTACGACGAGTGGAATTCGGAGGAACAAGTCATGGCCTCCAGCAACCAGAACCGCGATTCAGACTGGGAGGACGACTTCATGTGAAAACAGTCATATCTACAAGATTAAACTCCGGCAGCCATGCAACTAATCCTTCCTCAACTTCTGTCTCGCTCATATCCGGTCAACATCACGCAGTGAAACGTCTGGGGGCTCTTCAAACAACATGGATCTTTGATAGAGCATCGGCCATGCCGAACAGCATCTAGGGGTGGAGATTTGTGCGCAGCGTTCATCCCAGTCTCGGAAAGAGGTAGTGGGGCTCTTCAGACACGCGAGAGGCACTTCAGCCGCATCAGAAACGGTATACACTTTCAACCACCGAGACTTTCTTCGTACTCTCCTAACTATGCAAGTCGACGGTTGCAGATCCGAGACCAGCACGGCATTGAACTCGGTTCGTCCTTCCTGCCTTCTCAATACAGTATCCCTTTGAACGTGCTTCATCACCAGTTATGCGAAAAGAGCCGCAGAATTTCACCAATGATCTGAATTACACTGCTACTCACGATAACAGAGCGAGTACAAGCCATAAAATGCTGAAAACATTGAACCCGCTAAAAACTCCTGAGGAATCTGTACCTGGCCTGGCCTGTCATGCATGTCACAACGGGTAAACGGCTAACGTACATGGAGCCAATATCCGAACAAACTACAACGGCGACTATACTATGTATCAAATCTATGGGCTATAGATATGTACACCCGTCAGCTGAAGATGCCTCCAGATGCTCTAGGGACTTGTTGAAGGAGTAAACAATGAGGAAGCTGGAAAGAATCGCTGGTATAAAGAGGAGCACTTAGCAGCACAAATTCTCCTCATCCATCAGTGGTAGTCTATTATTCTGAAGCTTCAGCAACAATGAAGGCCTCTATTTTGGCCAGTGGCCTCGTCCTCAGTACCTTCGCGTCATCTGCGATTGCCAATCCCCTTGAAGCCCGCGCTTTCGGAATTCGCACGAGCACGATAACAGCAACGACAACGCAAACGAATACAGTCACAAAGTACAAGACAACGACACAGACTGTCACCGAGATAGAGGAACAAATCATCAAAAGACGAAGACAAAGACGAAGACCGTCGTGAGCAGCACAACAGTCACCGTCCCAACCATCCTGACCAAGGTTTCAACTCGCACTGTCCCCGGCCCTACTACTACGAAAACTATCGTCAGCAGCACCACGCTTGTTGTCAACCGCCCTACCACGACAACAGCTTATAAGTCTTCGACAATCGTCTCGACGAAGACTTTGCCGGCCCAAACTATTCTGTCGACAAAGACGCTGCTTCCTTCGACGGTCGTCGTGACCAAGACTTTGCCTGTATCAACTTCAACTAAGACGTTGCCTGCCTCAACCGTCATTTCGACCAAGACAGTACAGTCTGTCAAGACATCTGTAGTCAGCGCCCCAGCACAAACCGTGACCTCTTTCTTAACTACGGAGATTTCTGGTCCAACAATCACAGACTTGTCGATTGCCACGATCACTGCAGTATCGACCGCATTCGTAAACAACGGAAATGGAACATGTGGTTCGCCTTCGTCTTGGAACGCCACGATTCCCTCGACTTCCTTGCCTAATTTGAACTTGACAACTTCAGCGATCCCGTATCCTACTCTCACAAGCTCCAACATGACAGTGCCAGCCACGTCGTCTGCTGCGGCTGCAAGCTCGACGGCAGCATACGCTAATGTCAAAACGGCAACTTGCGACAGCGCCCCAGCATACTACATTCAAGTCAGCAACTCAGGAACTTCAGTCGATGGAACCGTTCTCTGCAATCAAGGCGGTCCCACAAGTGAGGGATCGTGGATGTACATGTACCCTCCTGCGTCGGCCGACCACCTTGCCTCGTTGGGTGTTGGACCCATGATCCCACAGCCTTTCGTATATGACAAGCAGACCGGTGACCTAGTCAGCTATTGGAACAGAGAGGAATCTATGATTGCCTATACCACAACTCCAGACGACACTCGTGCTGGCTTCGTTTATTCGGGGTCCCGTGATCCTCCGTTGAGCTGCGGCTTGGAGGGCTCAACACTGGTCAATTGCGGCTCGAACTACACCGGCTCGTTCCAGTTGGGCGTGAGAGTCGAGGGAAGTGGCGATTGGCTGTACATGCTGAGGGTAGAGGGTGGCGACAACTACGATTCCGAGTACGATCACGACGCGACCTTTACCTTGATTCCAGCTTGCGAACTCAATGGAGGCGATGGTAGTAGCATGTCAACTTCCACGCCCGTAGCAGCGTCCACGACTTCTTCCTCTGCAGCAGCAACATCGACCGCGTCATCCTACGCCAATGTCATCACGACCACATGTGAGAATCCGAACGCATACTACATCGAGATCAACGACAGTGGCACAGACGTTGATGGAACAGTAATGCTTAACGGCAACGCCGGTCAACTAGATGGTTGGATGTACTATGAAGCGCCCAGCAGCGCAGCAACTCTTGGTCAACGACTGCCACAGCCTTTCAACTTCGACAGCTCCACGGGCGTGCTTACAACCACATGGAGCAGTGGAGAGTCCCTTATGGCCTATCCCATCCAGAATGTTGACACTCGCTCAGGCTATGTCTACGCAAACACGCAAGGACCCAACCTGATCTGTAGTATGGATGGTAATCAACTTGTCAACTGCCACTCCAGTCAAACGCCTTCGACCATCGGTCTTAGGTTCGAGGCGGACAGTGGAATGTTGCGCGTCGCGGGCGGCTATAATTACGACAGCGCAAAGGATGCGACCTTCACGTTGATTCCTGCTTGTGACCCCTATCAGTACAAGAAGTAGAGCTACCTATCCTAGCCCTGTTCACAGTGTAGTTACTTGGTAATAACAACAGTTCGTTCATTTACCATCGCTAAGCGCTTTCTTAATGCGAATATCTGTATTGATCAATTCACCTGGCGCTCTGCGATACTCGCGGCTATCCACTGCCTTGAGCGAGTTTGAACCGGAGTCACTCGCCAGACGTCTCTCCAACTGCCCCAAGCTATTGAAGACGAACTTGTGCAAGGAACATGGGAGTGAATCGTGACTGAAGTTAGCCAAAAATCTTGTCCCGAATCTTGGACAGAAATGTCGGCCATAACAACTTGTCACCTTGTGTTGCTCTTTCCGTGGTTGATTTATAGATACATTCCATAAAACATACTGTCTACCATTTCTGTCGCTTCGTTCATTCTCAAAATCAAGCGAGATATCGAAAGTTATCCTGCATGATCTAAGAAAGCATCTCTACCATCCACTTTGGTCTACCGTCTTCCTACACCAGCCAACACCGCAAAAGATATGTTTCGCGTAGTTTCGAGAGCATTTGGCCAAATCAGCTCGGTGAAATGGTACCGTGTCGAACCGCAGTGTTTCTTTACAACCTCGGTGGCTAGAGCCGGTTGGTCACCAGATTTTGAGGAACGTCAAAAGCAATACGCGGCGAGAAGAGAAAGATACAAGAACGATGCAGAAGGCACCTCAAGGCAAGCATACAGAGCAAGCGAAAGCGAAGAGCAACGCGTCCGACGACTCGACAGGCTCAGAGTTCAAAAATGGCTGACTCGGCGATTGGGAAACGGCGAGCGACTGACCTGGAAAACGCATGTCGTGGAGTATACGGATGTCAAAACTTTGCATCACTGTGGTACCTGTGACCGAACAAGGAATGCCAGGCTCTGGTGGCGTCGTTTTCAAGATGGAGCTTTTGAGTGTTTCCATTGTTTTAGCAACGACTTATCGTCGGTTGCCCCCATAGGCTACGAGAAATCACCCTACTTCGAGTCTTGGACAACCGAGAGTAATCAGGATCCTGCTGCTCGACGTCTCTATCTCAGAACCGCGCCTTGACCAGCGGTCATATGTCCTTCCTTTACTGGCCGAGGGTGGCCTGCTCTGCTTTCTAATCCATCGGAGCGACGAAGATGACACTGATTATCTTGATATAATCTTTCAGCGTCCACGAGGATATCGTCGTCGGTCATGTATGCTTGAGACAAGACACATTGCCCACATCATCGCTCGACGATTCCTTCGGAAGACGCCCGGGTTCATGCGCTTTGACATCAATCACCTTTTGTTAATATCCTTCCCAAGCGCTGAGGCTTTACGGTTTCAGAACAAACCTCTTCTCCACTGCGTCGCGTCGCGATATTGTTAGCTATGAAAGTGCACAATCAATCCAGAGCCGGGAGTGTGTTCACAGGGAGCCATCAAGACCAGTTATCGTGTTGGACCAAAGATGGCCACGTTTTCCGGGATTCGTCTTCGTATGCATATGCGACGAGTCAAGATCAGCCCAGTTGAAGTTCGGGGTTAGGTATTCAATAAGCAACGAAGCATTGTTCACTCCAGGGCAAGAACAAAATGGGATCTTGGAGAGAAGGCTCGAAAACACCATCACAGGCTTTTTTCCCCCTCTTGCATTACATCTCGACGAAAATGCCACTTACTCTACCGCCAAACGGTGACAGGACTGATGAGTTAGCATGGCCTAAAAGTCCAGATGTCTGTTGCGTAAACCATAAGTTGGTGTCCAGTTTGGGACGTCGCTAGAATCAATCCTCAATCGAGACAAAAAGCTCCTTCTGGAATTTGGCAAAACAAATCCCCTGCCACAGACTTAATCGTAGAAAGCCCATTTCTGCGGGGAGAAAGCCACCAGATGCACTGGTTTCATTTCGGAAGAGGAGAATCAAGCATCTCCGAAAGTTTTTGGTTCGACTGCCAGAATCGAACCAGTGACTTTTCAGCGGAGGTTGCGCCTGTTGGCGTAAGACCGCTGGGCCAATCCACCGCTTTGTCGGTAAAGCGATGGAGGCAGGTGAGAGAAAGGCGATGACACTGATATATAAGGTGTGCGTTGAGAGTGTCCCGTACTACGCCCTATCCTCAACAGGATTGGTTTTCGGCAGGAAGAATCCTCTCGCTTCCTTGACGACGGACCGTGTTATACGCTCCGATTCCAAAGAGTGTATAGGCTTCCTGTATGTTGCATTTCACGAGGGGGGTAAGGGCTGACAAAATACATGACTAGAACTTCTTTATATACCGTACCAGCCGGTACTAAGGAAGTACATACAATGACAGCGCTCACAGAGCAGACTAGACAATACTAAAGATCCTCTATACCTCACGTCCCTGGACATACATGAACCTCCCAATTGGGTGTTTGTTCTCTAAGCCCTCTGCCGGCAGCTGTCTCTCTCCCACTCTCTCCATCAACGACACTAGCAGTCGCGAGATCGAAAGGCCCACTACGTACACTCACGCTCGAGACTTCACTTCTCGTAGGCGACAGACTCTCAAATCTGGTGCTGCAATCGCTATTGGTTCTGGTCAATGGACTCACAGTGCCATGCCGAGGATGCGTAGGCGTAGATTGCATTGGCATCCGTGTTAGAAGCGGTGGTGGAGCAAGAAAGTCGCGACGAGCAATGCCATTGCCCGGTTGTAGACAATTCGGCAGCGGTGAGTTAGGAGTTGCAGATGTGACGAATGGATCATCAGGGACTTGATGACGGATGATGGTGTTGTTGGACATGGCTGATTGGGAAGAGATTGGACGGGAAGCCGAGACGCCTACAAGAATGGCTTCGGAGGGCATGGTGAGTTTGTTCGTATTCTTGTCTGGGATGTGGAGGGGTGATGGATGTGCTGATGGGTGCGCTGATGGCTGTAGATGTGATTCATCGCTTGCATGTCTCGGTACCACGTCTTGACTCGAGAAAGAACGCTTGATCGAAAGGAGAGCTGCTGTGAGTGCGGAGCGTTGCCTTTGGAGGAAGCTGTGTGGATTGTTTGGACCTGCATCAGGAGATATAGACGTCGCAGATGATCTGAAGGCAACTGGAGGCGTGGGCGTAGGATCTGGATTCATGAGTCGCAGAGGCGAGCCATCATCGCGCAGGTGGGGATCTTCGTGAGCGAAAGGCCGGTCCCAGTGGTCGAGATCCATATGGATGAGGTTGTGATCGATAACAGGCAATCGATCAGGATGAGCTCGTTGAGCGGCTAGGATAGCACTCCTATCCGAATCCCGTGTCGCTCCTGCTGCGGCGACCGCCGATGGTAATGCTTGAGAAGACGATGACATTCGAGGCTCTGCGGCAGCTCCATCTTTATCCTGGTATGGTAATCGTCGTTTCCTTCTTCGAAAGAAGAACAAGAAAAGCAATCCTACCAACGCGATTCCTGCAAGGCTGCCAGACATACCTCCAGCTATCGCCGCCGAATGTTGCGAACTTCCGTCTGGACTTACTAACAGGGAGCCGTGTCCTTGTGCACCAGTACTAGCGACAGCTGCTGCTGATGAGCTTGCGATAGATGTAGAGGTTGTAGATGTGGTGTCTTGAATAGCAGAATTCGACACTTTTGCGGCGTACTCGATGCTGCCGGGACAGTACGCGTACTTGTGATCAAGATAGTTGTCTTCACAGTCGTTGTTGAGTGCGTAGTCGCCCTCGCCGTTTTTGTGGTGGACAAAGTCGTTGGTTGATATATGATCGACCAGGAAGATGATGTCGACGCAGTATGCGAGGAAGTCTTGCTCGAAGGTCTGCTCATAGAAAGNGAGGCTTGACTTTGTTGATCTTTGAGATTGATCAGAGTATGAATTNNCGGAGTATATAAAAGTGGTATATTGTGTTCGCGTGAGGATTATGGTCGTGTAGTATTGTCCAGTCTCACTCCTGCCAGACGAAACAAGACTCTGTAGTAACGAATTAGCTATGCTGTAGACTGTTGTGATAGCAAGCTGTACCGCTGTTGGCGTTGGGCCTGATACTCCTTGCGAATTTGATGAGTTCTGCCACCAAGGTTGAGCTGAAGAAGAGATCAGAGCACGCCTTCGCCTCATAGCTAGAAGTGTTTGGATACTCTCAAAGCAAGCATATTATGTTCACCTGAGCAACGAGAAAGAGACTCAAGAACACAGAAAAGCGTTCTGGGCAGGGCGGACATGAAAGCATATCCGTCTCACGCGCCCTGCCGGCGGCTACTCGATACTGGTTGAACGCAGAGCCTGCATCGTAAGATTTATTTCTGAAACAACGACAGGGCTTCAAGAACACAAAATCGGCATGTACTGAGATCAAAAGGGCTTGCCTTAAATAACGGCTCGGAGTCCATGTGTAGAGCTGCAGGAAAATGTCCGAAGCGCTGAAGTCGAAATAATTTGGCGCCGAGATGGCGGCAAGGCTGCAATGGCAAGCCACCCCAGGAGCTCCTTCTGTTCCAGACTGCAGCTTCGCTTCTAGAGTAGAGAAGACAAGGATTCGATTACAAAAAGTTGTGTCAAGCAATACAGATCACAATAAATGTGTGAAAGATAGGCAAGTAATCTCAATATTGACAATTGCGATATAACCAAGAAGAGGTAAGAGAGAGGAACAGTTTCGTCATCATTGCAACCCAAGACCATTGCAACCTCATCGTTGTCCTAGAATCAAAGACCAGAAACTCCCAAAAAATTGAACAGTGAAGCAGGAAAAAAATACGAAAAAGTGTTGTCACATCGACAGCAATCAGCGACGACCATAAACAGGATCCTCGTTCCTGATTCTTCTGGCGTCCTTCTCATATCCTCCACGACGGTCAGTACGTGCTGGAGGCGATTCTCTGGGCGATGATCTCAAAGCGCCAGAGCCTGAACGGCGAGCAGCGGAGGAAGCACTGTTTCTCTTAGGTTCGGGGGCCAGCACCTTGGTGTTTCTGTTCCAGGGCTTGTTCTCATCGGTGCTACCGATACTCTCGCGACCGCCGACTGCACCAGGATTGTGGCCGAACAGACTCATGATGTCCTTCATGGTGAGCTTGGCCACAGCCTTACCACCTTCAATGGCAGCCTTTGCCAGCTCGCGTTTCTTCTCTTGCAGCTCGATGATGCGCTCCTCAACCGTGTTGCCAACAGTAAGCTTGTAGACGTGTACGTCGACAGTCTGATTGAGGCGGTGAACACGATCGATTGCTTGTTCCTCGACGAATGGGTTCCAGAAAGGCTCGATCAGGACCACTCGCGAAGCAGCTGTCAAATTCAATCCTAGAGAGCCACACTTGAGCGAACAAAGCAGTACGCGAGTCTTGGGATCGTTGCGGAGCGAGTTGAGAGAAGCTTCGCGAGCATCATTGCGCATACCACCATCATAACGAACATAGCGAATTGCAGATTTTTGCAAATGCGGTTCGATCAGATCCAGCATACTGGTGAACTGTGAGAAGACAATTGTCTTGTGCTCAGTAGCCTCGGCGTGCAAAATTCGCAGCAAGCGACGAATCTTTGTCGAAGCAGCCTCAACGCCTGTTGGGCCGGAGTATGAGATGTCTCCTTCTTCCTCTTCAGACTCCTCCTCAGATCCAGTATCTCCGTCTTCATCTCCAGATACAAAGTCGATCGAACCTAACGTCTCGCCACCTCCTTCTGCATCTTCATCATCAGTTCCGCCAGCTCTGCCTAGATGAGGTGTGTTCTGTTGAGACTCATCAACAAGCCACTCACCCTCACCCTCGTCATCTTCGTCATCACTATCAACGATGATCTTACGGTTTCTTCTGATAGGTGCAGAAGGAGCAGGCTTGCGCTCAGGCTTTGGCTTGAGCTTCTTCTCTTCTTNCACCTTGCGGCCGAGCTTCTTTGGTGTAGCTTTGGAAATATCCTCACATTCATTGCAGCGAACGGCACCGGCTTTCACCTCTGCTGGAAGAAGTCTGACGCTGCAAATGTCACAGTCCTTGACTTGAACGCCCATGCCACCGAACATATCAGCGAGAGCGTCGATATCATTGTCCTGGCTACTGGCGGCAGATGGTTTGCGAGGTGTCTGGCTTGGGTTGGGCTGTCCTGTAGATAAAGCGTCCTTGTCTTTGCCCATTGATCCAGAAACAAGCTTTGGGTGGTTACAGGCTTGACGAAGTCGCAGAAGCAAGACAAGAGCTCCGATATAGTCGGTCTTCTCACCGCCCATCATGTCGTCAAGACGCTTTTGTGCTCTCTCCTGGAGCTGGTCATAGAAGTCACGTTCCTTGGGATCAAGTTCGCAGATGATAGTCTCGACCTTGCGTTCAACAATCTTCATTCCAGTACTCTTCTTTTCGCCATTCTTTGACTTGCCGCCAAAGCTGAGTGCACCGTCTTCCTTGAGGATGTCCTTGGTTCGACGTTTCATGAAGCCCTTGAGGAAGTATTGAATGCGTTTGATGGCATAGTTTCCCTTGCCATTCTTCATTGGGATCGTGATCTGCTCTTTCCAGGTAGCGAGATTGTTGTACGGCTTGATCTGCAAGAAGCAGATCAAACTCTGTAGCTCATCAAGATTATTTTGCATTGGTGTGCCAGTCAAGCACCATCTGTACCAACTTCGTAGACCATAGGTAGCCTGTGTCGACTTTGCATTGCGGTTCTTGATTGAGTGTGCCTCATCGAGGATGACACGGTACCAATGGACGCCATAGCAGCCGACCTTTGCACCGTCCGGATGATCAGAAGATCCAGCAAACTCAGATGCGAGAATCTGATACGTCGTGACAACAACGTCATACTTCTTGAGTTCTGCAGCGAACTTCGTTCTCGATGGACCGTGATGAACCAAGACACGCAGTGCATGGCTTTTCTCGACCTTGGTCTTGATCTCGCTCTCCCACTGGCGGATCAGAGCCAGGGGAGCCACGACAAGCGTGCCTTTGCCGACTTCCTTTCCGGGCATCTTGCGTTTCGGGTTTTCAGGTGGGGGCTTCGCATCAAGCTCCGGACGAGGGTTGAGAAGAATCAAGCTGACGGACTGAACAGTTTTGCCCAGACCCATGTCATCAGCTAGGATACCACCCTTAGGTAGGACTCCGTTCTTCTTGCGCTCTCCGATTTCCTTGTCGATCATCCAAGAGACACCCTCGACCTGATGAGGGAGAAGCTTGACAGTCAGACCTTCGACTGTGCCATCTTCTTCATCCTCGTCTTCATCCTCTTTGTTGTCAGGTTCCTCCTCTTTTGGCTCATCCTTCACAGCATCCATGTCAAGCTTTCTAAGCTTTTCCTCGAGCGAAGAAATTTTCTTCTCGTCCTTGATTTTCTGCTGCTGCTTCTTTGCGGCTCTCTTGCGCAGGCGCATCTTAGGCTTGTCGCCGTCATCGTCAAAAGCGCCTTCAAGAAGGGCCTTGATGTTGTGGCTTGTCTGGCTAGGGTCGACGTAAGCATAGGGATCGGCGGCGCCGAAACCATCTTCTCTCAAAGCAGCATCGGGATCGAAGCCATCGTCATCATCATCAGCGTTGGTGAGGTCAATCGGTTTCGGTCTAGGCGCAGGAGCAGAAACTGGAGGTCTGTAATTGTTGCCAGGTCCGATGGAAGAGGAAAAGAGAGGTCTTGGGGCGGGTGGGATGTCTCTCGGCTTAGGATTTGAGGGCAGACGGATCACACCCGAGTTTGCGGCATTACCATAAAGAGGATTGCCATGGTGTGCGGAACGAGGTTGAGGCGGAGGTTGAGGTCTCTGGCCAGGCAGATAGAAGTTCTTAGCTTGGGTTCCGCTGGTCGAGGCTGAGGTCTGACGGAATTGCGGTTGAGGGATAGGACGATGCAGCTCGGGTCTACTGTGAGAGGTGTTGAAGACATTGGCATAGGGATCTCTCAGCGGGTTACGCAAAGGACTGGCTTTGCCGAATTCTGGTTGTGTGGCGAGCTTGGAGGCAGCTGTAGTAGGTGGGTGAACTGGGGCTTGAGACTGCTGTGCCTGATATGTCGAGCCGCTCGGAGCAGGGCGAGACTGTGAAGACTGGGTAGGTTGGGCAGATTGCTCTGCTGACGGACGGCGTTCGCGAGCCATGATAGTGTTTGTTGTTGCCGTTGGATGAAAATTGGGGATGTCGAATTCTAAGCTGCCATGCGTGCTATCGAAGAGAGAGCTTGTGTCGCTGATGATGCTGTGGTCGTCAAGAAGTTCGTGTGGTCTATGTCTGGACGAAAGTGTGTTGACGGGTCGGAAGGGTGTCTTTTTCTTGACTCGACTCTGACTTGACGAGTCCATGTACTTACTTGGTCAAGAAAAGAACAGCAAACACTGACAGTAAACAAAGCCCACAGCGATAACATGCGCAACAGGGTCTCACTGAAAATGTCTGTGCACCACCCTGTCACGGTCGCGCGCAGACACGACAGCGTGTTGATTGGCCTTGGCATTTCTCAATTTCAATCGATCAGATTAGATGCGGGGAGAAACGCTGACCTAAAGTTCCTCCGCGATCGGCTTTGTGATGGGTAAGCGGATGGCGTGCTTGTACGCCCGGCAGAGAGACTGGAGTCGACGGCAACGATTGTTCGCCATATCGACTTCTTGCCGTGTCGTTCGCCTCCTGTAGCCGTCCACTCTTCCTTTTCCTTTTCACTCGCTGTTTGTTCTTTGGAGTCGCTCTGTGCAATCAGCCAGGGCTTTTGATTGTATTTCTTGCTGCGGCTTTCTTGTTGTATACGCCGCATCTTTAGCCCCTCCACAAATTACGAAACATGTCGGCTTCCGAGCAACAATCGTCCAGCCTGCCTTTTGGCCAGAACGTTTCCCTGGGAGATGTCAGCGGTCCTACCTACCTGACTGCTCAGACTTTGGTCCAACAAGTCGCGTACTCGCTGTCGGACAAGATCTTCTCCTACTCGCCCGAGACCTTCGACCTCGATGTCGCCGCAAAGAGCTGGGAAAGCGCTGGTGAACAGAATGCCCACGGTTACAAGACCGGCCTCGCCTCGATGGAGACTCGCTCCGGCGCTGGCTCAATTGCTCTCGGTTACATGTTCTCCAAGGACTTTGACCTGAAGAAGCGCCACATTCCCCAGTCCATCGTCGCCTCGTCTGGCAGTCTTGCTCACTTGCGCCCTGCTCTCGACCAATTGGCTCTCCTGTACAATGTCGCCAACCCTACCGTCGCACACGTCGCCGCTGTCGACTATGCTGCCAACTCTTCTACCGGTCTCGTTACCGACTATGTTTCCGCCCTCCGTCTCGCTGAGGAGCTCGGTCTGGGTCTGGTTGCATCCGCCTCCACTTACGAGATGCAGCACATGTCCCTCTTCGCAACCCTCATGGCCTCGATCGTTCCTTCCATCCACGTTTATGACGGAATCACCGTTGGCAGAGAGACCACCAGAATCATTGACGTTCTCGACAAGTCCGGTCTCAAGAAGACCTACGACGCCATCCTGGGCGACTCGTCCCTGACCGAGAAGAAGCACTCTGACAACGAGGGCAGAGTCAGCCGTCTNTTGAAGGCCTTCAACAACGAGTTGGGTACTGAGTACAAGCTGTTCGAGTACTCTGGCCATGCCGAGCCTGAATCAGTCCTGGTTGTCTTTGGTACCGTCGAGGCTTCTCTGGCTTCCCAGATTGCTCGCGCTCTTTCCGAGAAGGGTGTCAAGATTGGCGTCATCAACGTTCGTGTGTACCGTCCTTTCGTCGAGGAGGAGTTCCTCGAGGTTCTTGCTCCCTCTGTTCAGAACGTTGCCGTCCTCGGCCAGGTCCTTGACCAGTCCGCTGTCACCGACGACTCTCAGCACTCCAACCTCTACACCGATGTTCTTGCTGCCCTCACCTTTGCTACTCTGAACAAGACTCCCAATGTCTTTGACATCAAGTATGCCAGAGAGCAGGTCTGGACCCCTACATCGGTCGCTGGCCTTCTGCAGCAAATCGGTCAGAAGATCGACCACGCCCCCACTGAAGAAGAGCGTTTCGAGCTTCCCACTGGCGATGTCCAGCAGTACACATTCTGGGACGTCGACAGCTCCAATGCAGTTTCCGCTCCCATCATGGTTGGTCAACTTCTGTCTGGCGACTCTAAGCTCAATGTTAGTGTCCGCAGTGGTCACGACAACCTCGTCGCTGGTGGTGCCGTTCGCACTGACATCAGAACCTCGACCAAATCTATCGAGGCCGCCTACTCTGTCAGCTCTGCCGATGTTGCCATTGTCAACGATTCGAGCCTTCTGAAGAGCTTCGACGTTCTCAAGTCTGTCAAGGACGAGGGTGTTGTTGTCGTCAAGCTTGCTGGAGTCAAGGATGATGAGATTGAGAAGCACATCTCTTCTGAGGTCCGCAAGGCCTTGGCCTCGAAGAAGATTCAGCTCTTCGCCCTTGATTCTGCTGCCTCTGCCAAGGTTCAGGAGCAGCCTGAGCTCGAGAGCTACCTGATCCAGCTTACTTTCCTCAAGCTTGCCCGTGGCGACCTCTACGAGACTGGAGTCAAGAAGCTCGCCGGTGGCAATGATGCTCTTGAGGCTCTTTCCAAGGAGCTTGACGAAGTTGTTCGCAAGGTCGAGATCCCTGAGTCTTGGCTCACTGTTGAGCCTGAGGCTGACCAGGCCCCCCTTATGCCTGAGGACTTGAACATCAACAGTTTCATTAAGTTCGACAAGGAAGAGCCCGAGGAGGCTTACCTTCTCAGAGACTGGCAGAAGGTCGCTAAGGGCCTCGCCTTCAAGGAGGCATACGGCACTCAGAACGCTCTGCGTCCCGACCTCAGCGTTAAGACTGCTGTGGTCACCGTCAAGGAGCGTCGCCGTCTTACTCCTAGAACATACGACCGTAACATCTTCCACATCGAGTTCGACCTCGGTGAGACTGGTCTTACCTACGCCATTGGTGAGGCTCTTGGTATCCACGCTGAGAACGACAAGACCGAGGTCGAGGAGTTCATCAAGTGGTACGGCCTCAACCCTGATGAGGTTGTCGAGGTTCCTTCTCGTGAGGATGCCCAGATTCTGGAGAACCGCACCGTCTACCAGGCCCTCCTCCAGAACGTCGACATCTTCGGTCGTCCTCCCAAGCGCTTCTACGAAGCTCTTTCAGAGTACGCTTCGGATGAAGCTGAGAAGACCCAGCTCCTTCTGCTTGGTACTGGTGGTAACCAGGAAGCTCAGGTCGACTTTAAGCGCCGTGCTGAGGTTGATACCGTCACTTACGCCGATCTTCTGCTCGAATTCCCTTCTGCCCACCCCTCTTTCCACGACATCGCTCGTCTCGTTGCTCCCATGAAGCGTCGTGAATACTCTATTGCTTCCTCGCAGAGAGTCACTCCCAACACTGTCACCCTTTGTATCGTCACTGTCAACTGGGTCGACCCCAAGGGACGCGACCGCTTCGGTCAAGCCACCCGCTACCTCAACGGCCTTGAGGTCGGTCAGGCTGTCACCGTCTCTGTGAAGCCTTCGGTCATGAAGCTTCCTCACAAGTCCACCGCTCCCATTATTATGGCTGGTCTCGGTACGGGTCTCGCTCCCTTCCGCGCCTTCGTTCAGGAACGTGCCTGGCAGAAGGAGCAGGGTATGGACATCGGTGCCGTCATGCTTTACATGGGTTCTCGTCACCAGAAGGAGGAATACCTTTACGGTGAGGAGTGGGAGGCTTACAAGGATGCTGGCATCATCACCCACATGGGTTGTGCCTTCTCTCGTGACCAGCCTGAGAAGATTTACATCCAGGATCGCATGCGCGAGACTCTGAAGGAGATTCGCCAGGCTTACCTCCGTGAGGAAGGTGCCTTCTACCTCTGTGGTCCTACCTGGCCTGTGCCTGATGTTACCAATGTCCTTGAGGAGGCCATTGACGTCGAGGCCAAGGAGACTGGCAAGAAGGTTGATGCTCGCAAGGTCATCGACCAGCTCAAGGATGAGGAGAGATACGTTCTTGAAGTCTACTAGATGCAGAACATCTGCCGCTCAAAAATGCTTTGTATATAGAACAACCGGCTTTGTCAATATGGGTGAAGTTTTGGAATAAAATCTCTTCCATGATCTCGATTGTTTGCACTATCCGTCAAATGCCATGTGACGTTCGTATCCAGGCAATCCAGTTTTTGTCCCATCCTCCAGAAAATCCTTCGGGGCCTTGACGATCAAACAAAACATCAAGGCTCGGCGGGGATACCCGGTTGACTTGTGCAGGAAGGGCCTGTCTGCAAGCCGCCACTTCCGCAAACCGAAGAAAAAAGTTTGGAGAGAACCAAAGGATTTTGGCAGGCATGCAGGTGCAGGGCTGTGCAAGGAACACGGTGGATCGGCAGCTTTTAGGATCCAGGAACAAGGAACACGGTCGATCTTTTGTTGGCTGTTGTGCTCACCCCAAACACAACGAGATTCTGAAACCGTACGGATTTTCTTCTGTTTCAACGACCAATTTTTGAACACTTCTTCGTTTAGACGATCATATGCTTCGGTATTAATCTTTCCATTCTTCTTGAATTAAAACTACAGTATCTACGTATCTTCAGCATTTTCACAACCCTCCCAGAAGTTGTCGCAAGCAAGTGACGTCGTGTTTCTTTTCTTAGGCCCCTGTCTCGTGCTCGGGAAGGCTCGTACTTTTAGGGGCTCCACTGCACACCATCACCTGGTTTTTCTGGTGTTTTCTGCCTGCGGCCGAGCATGCTCATGCTTTTCAACAACACTGTCAACACGCTAGCACAGAGGGCTTGGCTGCTTTTTGCTTGCAAAGACCCTGGTAAGAATAGAAAAGAGGCGACCAAAACAAGATGGCTGGTTGCTGGGGGTAAATTATGCAGGTACTCCCGAGAGGCTGACATCTCTGATCATCGCTTCGTGATAAGTATATTACTTCAAGCTACTTCTCGTGCCTGCCTTTTCTTCTTCCTCTCCTTCTTTCTATAGACTACCAATTACATCAATCCAACTCAATCTTTTCATCCTACAACAACAACTTCAACCGCAATTATGAGATTCTCCGCTATCTTCACCCTGGCTTCTGCCACTGCCGCCATGGCCATGAACTCCACTCCTGCTCTCTTCGCTCGTCAATCGACTGGTGCCGTCTGCTCAAACGGAGAGTCTGCCTGCGGTTCTGGATGCTTCGATCCTAATGCCTACATCTGCTGCGGTCAAGAGGGTCAGGTCTGCCCTACTGGCAACTGGTGCTCTGGCGCCAACACCTGCTGCCCCATCGGTCAAAACTGCGACGGGCAAGGACCCTCGACCACTAAGGGTTCATCTGCCACCATTGTTCAGTCCGGATCTACCATTCTTGGAAGCTGTAAGTCATGAATTTTTGTATTTTCCATTTCCTAGACTCGTAGTGACGAGCCATTGCTTGTAGCAGCATCATCTGCAGCCGCATCATCTGCTTCTCAGTCCTCTGTTTCGCAGTCTTCTGCTCCAGAGTCTTCTGCGTCGCAATCTTCCTCTGCTTCCTCTTCTCTTTCCTCAATCTCTTCTTCTGCGTCATCTGCGTCTTCCGCCGCTGCATCTTCTGCTTCATCGAGTCTGACATCAAACGCCGCAGCCGCATCTTCTGCCGCAAGCAGTGCCAGCTCCAGCATGTCTTCGGCTGCTTCATCTGCTTCTTCCTCGGGATCCAAGGCCGCTTCTTCCATGAGCAGCTCTATGTCGTCTGCTGCATCTTCCGCTTCTAAGTCTGCCTCATCTGCTGCTTCCTCGGCTTCCAAGTCTGCTTCTTCTGCTGCTTCGTCTGCCTCCAGCTCGGCAGCTGCAACTTCTTCTGGCGCCGCTGTTGCTGGTCCTGTTACCAACTTTGGTCTTGCCCTTCTCGGTCTTGCTGCCCTTATCTAAGCGATTTTAGATTCTTGGACAGACCATGATGTTTTATGGCACATGGTCTGCAGGAAGTCTTGTTCATTTTTTTTGCTTCGTGAGCTTATGCTAGACGAAAAAGTTTGGCTGGTTATATTCAATGTATTTATGATACCGGGTTGGCATTGTCACATAGGACAGGGGAGTTCACATATAAATTGGATTTTTCACCCATCGATCTTGATGTTCTTGTCATTGCTTTTGCTATAAGTCTGTCTGACCATCAATACTGCCGGTCCACGAGATACAGTCATGTCCGAATCCCTGATACAGACATTGAGCGATATCGAAATTGGTGGGATTTATAGGATGACTCAATTCTAGTCATTCTGTCATGCCTTCCATCTCCAATGCGAGTTGCTGATTCTCATAACCCATCAAGTTCAGCAACTTCATATCCGCAGCATACCCTTCAGTTTCTGACAAAAGCAACATCATGCTCCTTGTATAAAACACTCGAATCCAACACCTCGCCAGTATCACTTCTCAAAAACTCAATCTGCAAATTCTTCGCATCCTTGAACTTGAGCGTGGCATAGCTAAACTCATCTCCATAGGCAAAAACATTAGTCGAGTAATTAGCACCTACAGCACTCAAGCCTTCAATATTGCCTGCTCCTCCTGCAATGATATATGCAGGTGCTGTAGGATTGTTCAGTCCCGCAGTATCAGCGGTATTGTTGAAGACAGGATTAAATCGTTGGCTATTGTGCACATGTCCAAAAACCCCCAAATCGACGCCGTATTTGTAGAAAAGGGGTTCGAAGGCTGATTGGCAGGGAGTGCAGATGTTGCCGGAGCCGGTGGAGTACCAAGGGCGGTGGCCTGCTACGATAACCCAGGGAGTGATGGTGCGGTCGACGGAAGCCAGGTCTGCATCTAGGAAGTCGAGTTGTTGGTTGGGGGAACCGAAGGGCCCGGCGTCGAGGTGTGCACTGCCGTCTGGTCCATCGGGTGCAGATGGGAAGTCGGTTTCTGTGTCGATCATTACAATGTGAGCCATTCCGTACTCAAAAGAGTACCAAAAAGGTGGATTGGCAAGTGCTTGAGCTTTCTGTGCTGATGCCTGAGCAGTAGCATCCTTTGAAGAAGAGCCAAAGGCCGTAGGCATCTGACCAGCAAACCTAGTCTTGAAGTCTGTAAAGTTCTTTTGGCCTTGAGGACACAAACCACTGGTGTAAGGGATTTCAGTACAATCGGCTTCATGGTTTCCAGGGGATATCATGTAGGGCTTGGTTCCTGCAATGGGAGCTAGCTGCTCAAAGAAGTTTTCGAGGATGGCGGCGTAGGCGGCTTTGCCGTCGAGCAGGTTCTTGGGTTTGAGGTACCAGTCGTCTGCGTATGCAAAGTCTCCGGGGTGCAGCACAAACTCGTAGTCGTCGATTGTGCGGGCGAGGGCAGCGATAGTCGTGTGATTCAAGGCAGGCTGCACGTAAGGAATGTCTCGTTTGCGGGAAGTAGTGTAGCCATCTTCGCCGTAAACACCGANGCTGTTGATTAATTTTTAATCAGCACATTGACGAAGAGCATTTTGATAGGAAGAACTCACATCAATGACAACATCTAGGTTGAAGCTAGTCTTGTCTCCAGGAGCACGAGCAGTCATGAACTGATTGACAGTTGAGTTTGTCGAGTTGATCTTGTAGTAGTATGTGGTGGCAGCATCAAGCTCAGAGAGTGTGACTGAGTTTACCCAAGTGCGAGAAGTGTCGTAAGTCACAGATTGAGTTGAGCATGTTTGAGAGGTCAAGCTGTCAGCAGACTTGCCATACTGAACACAACCTTCGTTCAGCTTTTCGTAGGTGTTCCAAGCGACAGAGATGGNCTTTGGTCAAGTCAGCAAGATTGTGTCGGTAACCTCGACCGATTCCTTAGACGTACCATTTGGACCCTTGAAGGCGATACGTTGTTGCACAGGCGTCGTCAAATCTGTTGGAAGACCAGGATAATCTGCCGCAAGCACTAGTCCAGACAGCAGAGGCAGGGTCTGAACATAGAATAGAGTAGGTGCCATATCGAAAGATCTTCGTCACCGAGTATCAAAGAGAGACAACCACTTGTAGTTGTTTCGACCGACAATCCTTCATGGCAATCACATTGCTCTTATATAAAGCAGGGTCTTGCAAGCTTACCATTATCACCTACCTGTCTGGGATGATCGCCATCGCCTCGCAACATTCGCACGACAAATGCCTCTTGCATGAATCTAAAGTGTAGGCAAATAACCACACTTCTGACGACAGCCGTCTTGTGTGATGAGAATTCAAAACGTGGGTGAAGCAATCAAGCTTTCAATAAGCTTGGGCTTTCGTTTAGCGAAACACGCTTTACGCTCGCAAACGATGATTGGTCAGCATGGGAACTCGGAACGAAGGACATCTGATCATTCAAGAAGGTCGTTGTTGTACGCGTTGCTCAACTGGAAAGACGGCATCTTGTGACTTGTAGGTGTGGCTTCGGTAGAAGGCAGCCCTGATAATTCATCTTGTGTACCTGTTGATCATCTTGATCATCCTTGCACTAGATCATGCGCGTATTGTTGATTGCTCTGCGGCGTGATACATCAGGTCAAATCATGCGACGAAGGCAAGTGCCACTTCAAGCCATGGAAAAAACATATCAGAATAAAGACTGCCTTTTCGCGAAAACGTCTTTCTCATCACTCGTCCAACATCTTTTCTAGCGGCGTAAACGAGACGCAAGGCTAGGTGATAGATTTTGATGATATCACACACGGACTGATGAGCTTTCTTATATGATTCGTATTTCCATAGCTTCTCAATCATGCAGCGAGTCCTCTATCTGTGGCGAGNCCATATGGTTTCGAGATCTGCTAACAGTACCTCTCTCGATCTGGCATGAGGGAAGCCCAGACTCATCATATTCCAGTGGTAGTAGAGGCGTCTATATCTTTCAACTTTGTTGCATCTTGCTGCCTGGACGACGATATGTTCCAATTGCCGGGCAATCTGGTTGAAAACATCGACAGATAGAGGACTCGTGGAACAAAGAACCTTCCAACCATCAAAAGCTTTATGCAGCTCTCGTTTCAGTAACAAGTTTGTCACTGTTCTCCTCAAGCCCACTCTGTCTAGAGTGAGGTCATCCAGATCTCCTATGGCTCTACCATCGGGATCGGACAGGCTCATTAAGGGAGAAGCATTCTTCTGGGGTATGATGGTAACACCGATCTTCATATAACTAGACCATATGTATGTTTGACCGCACAGAGGCACGAGCTCAACCATATGGGTTTTGCAGAAATCGGTCCAGGAGCAGAGATAACCTGGAAGATATGCCCGCACTTTTCATTGGCGAGTAACAAGAGGTTGGAACATGAGTCGATCTGAGTTGTCAAAGCCGTAAGTGTCCAATAGATGCCGACGAGTGAGAGCGGACAGGGTCAATCGAAAGCCACTCATAAGTACAGGTTGGGATTCATGACGCAGTTGCTTGCATACAGCCATCAGTGGGTGATTCAGTCTCTGCTCCCTGTCGTCAAGCGACTCAGAAGATGTCTCGAACAGCTGTTCGTAGATCATAAACCTGATCTCAAGTGGTAGATCCAGGAGACCTGTAGGCTTAGTCAAAGACATGGTTGACACCGAAGCAGTTGATTTGGGACGTCCGCGCTGTGCTGAGATAGTGGTGATGAAAGCAACAAAGGAAAGAAGAGAAAACCATGGGAATGCATCAAACATATATAGTGTACTCGAAGCTTGAGTCATTACTTGTGAGACAGGTTAGCTGGCGACACGTGCTTTGCGAGCGTATCGCTCAAGACGCAAGTCAGAACGAGAGCTGGTCTGGACTTTGATAGGGTATGCATGTTGGATGCATAACGAGACAGGGAGCAAGGTAGTGTCGAAGTATTCAGGTTCAGAGCAGAGTGCTGATGAGGAAGGAACGACCAAGGGAGCGCAGCCAATGGTGCGACATTTCTATCTGCTGATGCTTTCGCCTCACCGCCCAAACGTCATGCGGCAATAAACATTCGTCCTTATCCGGACAATCAACACCAACACATCACAACACAAAGGGCAGCTACATAGCTTGCTATCTGTTCTTTGATCTTACCATACTCAGCAGCAGCACACGAAGATGGGCAAACCACGAGTAGGTGCAAAGCAGAGTAAAGCGGCAGCAGTTGAGTGGCTGACTGGTTGCAGATGATCATCGTGATTCGCCATGCGCAGAGCGAAGGAAACAAGAACCGCGACATCCACCAGATGATTCCGGATCATCGCGTCAAGTTGACTGAAGAGGGCTGGAAACAGGTAGAGGTCCCAGCCGCGGCTGCCAACAAGACCGACACTTACAAAGCTGGNCAGGCAGAGGAAGCAGGCCGACGACTACGAGGAATGCTCAAACCAGACGATACGATCCAATTTTTCACGTCCCCCTACCGCCGTACCCGCGAGACCACCGAAGGCATCCTTTCATCCCTGACGTCCGAAACCGAAGAAGAAGGTCCCTCGCCTTTTCCCCGCCACACCATCAAGGTCTTTGAAGAGCCGCGGTTGAGAGAACAAGACTTTGGAAATTTCCAACCATGCAGTTCCGAGATGGAACGCATGTGGCAAGAGCGCGCTGACTATGGTCATTTCTTCTACCGCATCCCTAACGGCGAGAGTGCTGCCGACGCCTACGATCGTGTCAGTGGCTTCAACGAGAGCCTGTGGCGCAACTTCAGTGACGATGATTTCCCCTCGGTCTGTGTGCTCGTCACCCATGGCTTGATGACAAGAGTCTTCCTCATGAAGTGGTACCACTGGTCGGTTGAATACTTCGAAGACCTCCGCAACGTCAACCACTGCGAGTTTGTCATCATGCAGAAGAACCTCGATAGCGGCAAGTACGTCCTACAGAACCAGATGCGAACTTGGTCTGAGTATAAGAGACGGGCCATACCGCAACACAACCAACAAGTCACTGCCTCGCAAGTCGCTTCTCCAGTCATACCCGCTCGCAAATGGGGTGGTTGCGTCGGCGGCTGCACACACCAACACTCGAAATTCCCTCGTCGCATCAAGAAGCAGGACGAAGCCACTGTGTCAGTCCCCAAACAAGAACAAGAAGATCATCCTATCGCTACCGAGGAAGTCGCCATATCCTCGACTCCGCTCAAGGCTTTTAGCACAGCAAGCACTACTGAGCCCAACTCTCCTATATCGCTCCGCCTTCCTACTCGCCCGAGCTTCCTTCATGGCCGTGACGGTGGGGGCTCACTCTCCGGTATGGCTACACCAGCCGAAGGATTTTCTGACTTCTCAGGCGCTGAGAGCGACTACTTCCATCGCAGCGAACAACACCACCGCAACCTCTCGGATGCTAATCCCAACAACCCCTCTGCTGCATCCTTCTCCAGACGTAAACGTACTGTTCAGGACCTCGAAAGATGGAGCCAACAAAGCGGCATGGGCACAGGAGCTCGAGCAGACGCTTTAGGAGACGAGTACAACGAGCACGACGAGCACATCGATGGTGATGATGAGCATGATGATCATGATGAGAATACTGTCCAGATGCATGAGCCTAGTGAGCTCATTGAAAAATTGAAGAAGCAGGAAATTGAGGACAAAAGCATTAGAGGCAGTGTTTACTGAGATGGGCATAGGGAACTCGGGCAGGTTTGCATCATGGCGCTTGTTTCTCTGACATTCTCTCCTAGCTTAACGACCTTTCATACGTACCTAATACCCAGATCTGTTTGTTTGTTACTTATTCGTATATCACAATCCATGCCACAAGCGTTGCCTTCGCACCAGATGCAAGGGATTGAATCAAGAAGGTGATCTGTTGCCAACACCTTGCACACCACACAAGTCATGTGAAGCTTGGCAACAATATGTCTTTGACTTTGGCGCTTACCACGGCCCGCAAACCTTAACCCCAACGTCTATCACATCAATCTATACCTCAAACGCTCATCCAAACCATGTCAAGGACAGTCAGAATCCTTGGCCCTAGTGGTTCTGGCAAGTCCACACTGCTCGGCAATCTCATCTACAAGGTCCGTCAACCATTGACCGCCCAATCTCAAAGCCACATTTATACCGAACGTGTAAACTGACAATGTGTCAAAGTAGTCTAGTCTAGACATGGCGACATTGGAACAACTTTGCAAGCTGGATGTTCAAACGTATGATCGGCTTCCTGGTGCTCTATCTGCTCTGAATAGTGGGCTTTTTATACGGACAAGGAAATACAACTACACAGTCACAGGTAATGATTCAATTCTTTTTTGCTTGTGGTATCCTCTGCAAACGAATAAGGTCCTAATATTGGAGAATTGGTGACAGCAGATTCAAATACACCAGACTGCGTCCTCTACGTACTGGAAGCAAGCAAAAGCAGCAGAAACCTCGCCTTGAACTTCTCTGGTGATGGAGATCTCGCTGCAGATGCAGAAGTCTTGAAGTGTGCCAAGAAGGTCATTGTGCTTATCAACAAAATGTACGTTCCTCATCGATCTCGGCATATAATGCTCCTTGCGAGGATTTCTTATCGACTGAACATTAGGGACAAGGTATGCTGGGACCAAAGCACCTACAATGACGCCGTGGAACACGTCAAGGCCATATTCAAGAGCTATGGTATCGAGTGTGCAAGGTACGTTTACTGTGGCCTGCTTGAACAAATCTGAATATGCTCATCTTGCGGCCCCAAACAGATTGAACTTTCTTCCCATCTCAGCTCTGCATGGCGATAACTTGCTCGACGAATCAGTCATGATGCCGTGGTCTGTGAACTCGACCTGTGATCGCAATACCAGAAAGGGCAGCAACACTCTGTTGGAGGCTATGGATGAGATATGATTTACGAAGGAATACGCCAGGTTATTTTTCGAGTGTCACGAAGTTTTCAGAGAAACGATTACGACAAAATTGCATCACGCATGCATTTGAGGCGATGGTTGGTTGGCAAAAGGATACATGGGCCATTGGTATCACGACATGACTTGCTTAGCTTACGAATAATACATGGTTCATTCTTCTACAACATTCCTTCTCCAGTCATCTCAAGGAAGATATTGTCTCCTAGCTTTGAGGTAGATCCATGTAGCAAGGAACACCGCACCTAGAGTGACGAATACCGCGGTAGCTATGCGCTATGTCAGCCTGATTACTTCCCATTGGATGGCACGACTAACCTAAGCGCTGTGTGACCCAGAAACTCTGGAAGCTGGTACTTCCATCCATATGAGGAAACTGCGATATATCCAAGGCATAATACGCCGTCATGAAGGGATAATGGTGCCTTCTCAAGATCAGTATCATAGTCAAATTCGTTTTATCGGATCCAATCAAGTACTTACAAACACAACCGTGGCTGTGGTGAAGACGAATGTGATCACGTTCTGAAGCTCTGCACTCTGTGCTTCGCGTTTTGTCCAGATGGCTATGTTGAGGCTTGCCTGTTTCTGCTTCAAATCCAAGAGATGTTGAAGCTATTCACCAGTCAGTAACGCAACCGAACAACAATCTGGATCACTAGGCACCTACAGACTCACCAGCCTCTCTTGCAAAGGCTTGCAACCGTGTCAACGACCTGAGACGATCGTCGCAACCATTTTGAGCATCGACGAGACTTTGCGGATCAATGATTTCGGTATTATTTTCACAAGCTGCGCGGAGCATCTTGATAGCTTCAGCTTGCGAGTTGTAAACAGGTCTAAGCATGTTGAGTTCTTCTTGAATGTCTTTAACCTCTTTGTACAAAGTAGCGTCTTGGACGAGCCGTAGGCTGTCTGAACTTGTAGTTTGGACAAGGCGAACGAATTCTGCATGCTGTCGCTCGCTTTGACTGGACTGCGAAAGAATCAGCAAAGCTGCGCGATGGTGACTGCACATACCTTCTCTACTATGGATTCTGTGAGCTTGTTTAGAGGATCGTGTAGGGTATAACCTGTGGCTCGATTCAACCGCTGCTGAATCAGGTAAGGCAGCAGAGATTGAGGCAGGTTTTCTGGTCGGTCTAGGTGCAGAAGTTTCTTGTTGATGGTCTCGAAAGATTGTTGATGTACCTGCACCTCAGGTGTGGCAGTTATCATTGTCTCTGCACATCGTTAGAACTGATGTGATACAACAATAACTTATTTCAAACATACTCGCACCACTCTCTTCCATTTTGATCATCCATAGCCAGAGATGGTTGATAGTGATGATTCTGCTAGAATACTGTGCTTGGCTGCAATCCTCAGATCCACAGAGATTCCCGTATTCCAAGTCCTTCTCGTATGAGTTTCGGAGTTGCGACTGAACCTGCTTGGCTTGGGGATCATCGGTTTCACTGGGTAGCGGAGCCTTCCAAGCATTATAATGATAACTTTCGCCAAAACCCGATCCTGAGGCTGAGCAGATCTGTGATATACATCTGTAGATTCGTTGGAGAAGTTGGCCGTTGTCAACTCTTCTGTCGTCGTCCTGACCGTGAAGTTCAGCTCTAACAGAGCGATGGAGTTTCATTTCTTTTCCGTAGAATGACTGTTGCAATGACCTTGCATCGTTCCTGGAATGAGGCAATCTTGCTGCCGCATGAAAGCAAGTAGGGCATTCCAGCTCGAGTATAGGCATCTACGTACAATGATTAGTCATCAGAAGTTTTCGGATAGATGACAAACTTACAAGAAGAGCCAGCATACTTGACCTGTCAGCATCATCCTATCATCTGATATCAGTGGTCGTCGAAAGAGAGCTTTGAGGCGCGTACAGAGACTGCCGCTAGGAGCTTCAGTGCAAAGAGTTCTCACATACATTGACTCCGAACAACAGGTCTTCTCGAGAATGATTTGGCTGGACCGCTTGCGTACTCTTTGAGAGACCGGCTGATGAAATGGTCGATTTCGCCATGTTGTTTCTCATTCTTTTCGTGCAGGGAGCATAACTTCTTCATCAGATTCTATCACAGTTAGCGGCTTTACAGTACATGCGCTGCTCAGAATGCGAGATACCAAGATCCATGTTTCCTAGGATCAGTTAGTTTACCCAACTATTGTCAATAAGCAGTAATTTGCACGTACCTCGTGTGATGGTAAATTTATGCAGCAGCTTTTGAGTGCAAGGTCGTCAACGCTGACTCTACCGCTCACCCAAGGCTTCTTCAGCTGTTGCAAAGCAATACTTCTACCAATAGGTTCAATTTCATTGAGACCTTCTCCAAGCACGAGGTCGCGAAGATTATGCTTGAAGACAGGATATGTGGAATATCTCTTCGATCCAACCTGCAACTCGAACTCATACACGATTGTTGCCTCTACTTGAGCGCCAAGGTCAACCACATCTTCAAATATAGGAGGATCCACCACCTGATTGCTGCGAGTCTCTCTCAAAATACAGGAATTGAGAGAGACGTCGAGGAGCTTCTGAATCTTGGGTGGGATATCTTCTTGCTTCATGCCGTGGTTGGCAGGATTGGCGCCATGGTAAAGCAGTTGGCGTACAACCTTTTCTTGCTGATTTCGAACAGCATGTGTCAAAGGCGTGGATCCATCTTCAGGATCCGTCAGATTGGGGTTCGCCCCAACGCAATGGCGGTCAAGCAAAAGCTCAACTACACGATCATGGCCTTGGCCTGCGGCGAAGGAAAGACAAGACATGCCTCCAAAGCTCATTCTCGGGTTTCTACCAAGGCCTTCCCTAACAAGCAACTTTACGACCTCCAAATGACTATTGTAGATTGCATGGTAGAGTGGTGTCCAGCCCTTGATGTCGGTACAATTCGAGCATGCCGAAAGACCGACTATGCCTTCGAGCTTTCTGTATGATGCGAGAATAGACTTCATGGCCAACATGTGTCCACCAGATGCTGCATGAGACAGTGGGCAACGCCTCTCAACGTCTAGGTGATATGGATTTGCGCCTATTGTGATCAGATGGTCCACGACTTCATGATGTCCTCTGAGTGCTGCAATGGATAAGGGTGTACGTCCCAAGTTGTTCTGATGGTCGATCTTGATCGCTTCTTTAGTCAATCTCTTAACCCGCTTGATATCTCCTGCATAAGCTGCCCAGGACAACGCAGTGTACTTGTTTCGATCTTCCGACTCTAGCTCGATAGATCGCTGTCCGAGAAGGAGATCCAGGGTACCCGGTCCACTTTCCCAGGTCATGGCTAAGGACAGGATCGAGCGGCCGTCGCCGTGGCAGCCATATAGACGACAATTATCATCGTGACCTTCTCGATAATGGTTTGGACCATCATGACCTCCTTTCCTCGGGCAGCTGGGCCCGTCGCAACGCAAGATGTGTTTGCGATTTATATCTGCAGAGCCCTGTTCAAGAAGTAGCCGAGCATGCTTCCGGTAGTGAGGTCCGTTCACAGTCCATTCCAATGGGGTATAGCCTTGACTGTCTGGCTCGTTGACTTTTTCCGGGCAAGCACGTATAAGACGTTCGAGAATGGCGTGGTTCCTGTGTCCGCAAGCCCAAGAAAGAGCGTTGCGACCATCGCTCAATGCAGATAGATCGACGCCGTATTGGATGAGTAGCTCCACGATGACAGTATGGGCGGGGGAATTTGAGCAGCTGGCAGCGTCCTGAAGAAGACTTATAAGAGGCGTCCGGCGTTTTGCGTCAAGCCAGTTGACGTTGGTATTCTTGTGCTGAAGCAGTCTTTCCACGCATGCAACACGACCGGTTCGGCAGGCTTCGTGTAGCAATGGACCTGGCTCTGCTTGTTTATCGAGAAAGCGCTGAACTGTACCATACAGGTGGAAGTGGGTGGCAAGGAAGAGAGGATTCGGTCTACCAGGGGTATCGTAGCTCTGTGTTTCGCGCTCGATCTCAGGGTGCTCAAGCCAATCTCGGTTTAGCAACTCGATGGCATTGTCGTGATCTTCTGTCGTGGCAATGTCGTTACAGTCTGCAAAATGAGTGGTCCAATTAGTCGAAGCGTAATCGAACAGACGATGATGATATTCCGCGAAGGTCAAGGTTATTGCTTCGGAGCTTGACAGCACTACATGTTCCTGCTGAAACGTAGGTGGAGAGGTAGGTGCGTTCTCGGAGTCTGACAACAAACATCGCATGCACAGACGCGCAAGGTCCAACGCAGCTTCCATATAATCCACTGCATTTTTATACAAAGTGAATTCGCCGCGTGATATCTTGTGATCTGTTATCTTGACGTAGGGGTCCAGGAGTTCCTTGAGTGATCCAATGCTAAGTTGTTCGATGAATGCTTCTTCGCGCTTGGTGAACTGCTTCTGAGGATCCGACTTCGATGATGCGAATAGATTGATGACAAGGAGAGCTTGGAGTTCCTCGATATCTAGAGCTCTGGCAGCACAAGCGACGACCGGGAGAACCAATTCTGCGACGAAAATCTGCGAAGGGAGAAATAGTTGCTGAATCTGTACCGAGGAGATTGGGAAGTTTTCCGAGTTCCTGTCATCCTCGATAATGTCTGTCATCTCGAGATACACCTTCGAAGTGACCAAAGGGTCGCGTCAAGGATCTTGCTGTGTGCAAAGTCTACAAGATCTTTCCTTATAAATATCAACATCCTGGTGTGAGCAACTCAAATCAGGGGCTGTTCTGTTCAGCTGCGTAGATTAGGAAAGATTTGCAGTCCCGACTGTGGTGTCAGTCGTGGTCTAATTGCTGTCTCAATCACAGTTCCGCCTACAACCTCGAGCTTCCCACCAATCTGACCATTCGACCATTTGACAACAAGCCAGAACAACCAACAGCGGCTCAGCTACTTATGGAGAAGATCCTCACATTCTGCAAGGGGCCGCGTTCGAGCTTTGTGTTGAGACGCCTTGCGTTTGCTCTCAGCTAGAACATGCGATTCATTTGCATTCCGCCGCATCGGCCGCTGTGACAAAGTATGTCTTCGCTGGCGACAAATCGACTGGTCAACATCTTGCGTACTGGATGGATCAATGGCCTCGTTGTTGACGGCGCGCGAAACGCGATCGGCGTCGCTCGGAGAGCATGGAGGATGATGTCGATGCCATGTCATCTCGTTGCTGGGAACACCCTGTCTGCTGTTTTACAGAGAACTGGCGTCAATATTCACGCTGGAAAAGGTCGTTGTGTTCCTCTATCCAACCATGGCAAGGCAAATGCTTTCTAAGCAGATCAGAATCCTTCATGAAGTGTGTGTCTAAAAGCAGCATGTCGTTCTCTTGAGCTATCACAGCACTTCTCAGTCGCCAAGTCTTTTGCACTTGAGCAGTCATCAGTTGGTATTATTGATAAACAATCAACACTAGTCCTCCATTGTCCCATTAGATCTAGAAAACGAACGCAAACCACAAAGTCCAGGAGAACGTCGACAACGTGAAAAAGTCGTAAATCTCATCCATGCACTGCTCGATCAAAACCCCTTGGCGTGAGGTTTCCTCATCCACCCAAGTCCCAATTTCTTCATCTTGCCTCCTCCATTCTTCTCCATAACTCCGCTGCCAACACTCAAACTCCTCCTCAAGATCACATCGGGGCCATCTGCTGCAAATTCACCACCCCCTTCCGCGCTGCTTTCGGTCGTGACTGATCCCAAGCTAGTGTCGGTAGACTCTTTCCCAGTAGCTTTTGGAGGCCGCCTGGTTGACATGCGAGGTCGCTGCTGAGCTGCCAATTCTGGATCCCAGTTCCGATCCTTACAGCAAAGAGAATGTAGGTTGGCTTGCTCAAGTGCAGCGGCTATACGATCGCGAATGGCTAGAGCAGTAGGTCTGTGACTCGGCTCTGGTAACAGCATGTCTCTGACTACGCCCAATATCGGCACCAAAGCCGATAGTACATGAACAGTGGGTGATAGCCGGATGGCATCAGATGCTAGGTGAGCAAGCCATGTGTGCAAGGTGGCCGTATCGGTGGGCAAGGGTGCCTTCGCCTGGGCCCGAAACTTTTGCAGATCAGAAAGTTTGCCTTTGACGATGTAAGTGACGAGATCGAGGTATACACAGCCTAGAGAGAAGACGTCGCTTTCGAACGCTGTGTCGTGGTGTGTGGATGTCGCCGCAAGGTTGTTGTCCAAAGAACTCTTTGATGCGGCCTTGCGTATGACAAGAGGCTTCGGAATACTCAAAGGTTCATTCAAGAGTTCGGAGAGTAGGCTAGACGGATCGGAGGCAGTGTCGGACGTAGGGCACGGCGAGGTACCCCAAGAAGCCCAGGATGGCCTTCTGTCAGCACCAATCGGTATTGGATGTGATGGTCCAACGTCATCGGGCGAGAAAAACTTTAGATCCTCATCAGGAGGAGAACCGCTCGATGATGCTGGAGGACTCCTCGATTTGCGAAGCAAGCGTCGAGATTTGCCCGAAGAAGCCGACCATATGTTCGCCGAGGCGAAGGTTGGTGGTGGAGGTAGATGCCTACTGAAGTTTCGAAACAGTGGTATCGGCGGAGACGTGGAGGGATGATTGAAGCTGTTCATCGGACTATCGACCATGGAGCTAGAACTGTGAATGAGTATCGGATTCGAGATCTTCGGTGAACCTGAGGAGGACAAAGAAGCTCCACTCAAGGTACTATCATCGGAGCCGCGCTTGATGTGGATTGTACTGCTCAGCGAATCGGCAAAGTGAACGCCACGCACCTTCTCCTCCACATGTGCCTCAGGTGCACAATAACCTGAAGTCTCGTTCTTCACAACCTNTTTGCCACGTTGAAAGGTCCGCAGAACGCCTATGTCAGAGAATGCGATACAGTTGTCATGATCGATGAGAATATTGGACGGTCTTATGGCGCCATGTGAGATGCCACGATGGTGTAACATGGCGAGCGCATCAGTTAGACAATGCATCCACTCGAGCAGAATGACAGGTCTTTCAGCTTGGGGCACACGCATGAACTGGTAAGGCGTCCGATGAGCAATGAACGATGCCAGGGTGTGCTCCGGCACAAAATCAGAGAGGACGTAGCCAGCATCTCCAGAGGTGTAAGATGCCCACACCCGAGCAATATGAGGATGAGCCAAACGTTTGGCCTCTGCAATATCCTGCATGTAAGCTTCTCGAAGATCATCTTTGTCGTTACCAGTCCCAAACGTGAATTTGCGCCGGACAAAAACTTGCTCATGATCTTTGGGAANATGTATCCTGTCCCAACTCTGGAGCGACACGGCTGGCGGCACTTTATGGACGTACTCCATAGGTATGTGTTCTTGAGGTCCATAATCAATATGACCGCCTTGATTAAGTCGACGTAGAAGGTACAGAAACTGGGTAGTATGAAATTTTCGATTCAAGCGCTCATCTGGCTCAACACAAAGGTCCATGTCGACAATACTCTCATATGAAANAGGTAGATCGTCATCGTCCAGTGAGTCGTCTATCAGACCAAAGATCTGCTCTGGCTTGCCGATCTCTGCTAAGATCAGAAAAAGTCGCCTCGCTCGACCTAGAATCCATTCCATGTAGGTGTCATCTGTCAGGCCCTCTCCAAACGCGAGGGGTCTGTCCAAGAAGTCTCTCTCTTCTCCCTTNNTGATCTGTGATACGACAAACTTCCTTGTGACTTTGCTGTCAATGCGATCCTCGGTCCACCACAGTTGTTTGAGAGCTGTATGAGGCGTTACCAAAGAGTGGCCTCCGAAACCGTAGATATAGGCGTTGAGAGCTATAGTTGCCGCCGTCGGAGGAACTTGGGCATAGCTTATAGTTCCCATCGTAGGCACATAACCTTAGGAGGATCTTGAGCAAAACGGTGGGAAGGCAGGCTATAGTAGTGTCTGTAGCAGAGCCGGAGCGCTTTTCGGTCGCAAAGTTTAGAGAGTGGCAGAATGGAGACTTCTTCCGTACGGAGTACTCTAGCCCTTCACAAGGAATGAGTTTCGAGCGGTCGAATGAGGTTTCGGAGAGCGCGAGTGTTTGAAAACAGTGTACTGATCCGCTGACATGGTGACGGAAAAGAAGTCAGACTCGAGAAGCGGTGTTGAATGTCTAGACGGATGGTGTTCCCCTGCGAGATACCGGACGATACTCAGTACATGTGTGAATCCGCCGAGGTTGTGTAGCCACCCATGTCGTACTGAGAAGAAAACAGGCGCCTATCTGCAGGGTTCACCAAACATATGGAAGGCTGACGCCACCATGCCACTGATTCAGCCAACGATGGCATTCGGTAGGAACAAGTGACCCGGCCGAACTACCTGAGGGTGTCATTTGTCCAATCAAGATATTGCCAAGGCTGCTATACCAGGTGAGGATAGTCGAATCAGAGACCCGAAGGCGGAATGAAAAAATGATTGTTAGATTTGGAATATAGTGTGCACGTTGTGACGCCGGAGGACTGAAGGGGATACATGTTGTGTAACAATAGGCTTACTGCCCACGTTCTCTGCCGAATCCAGGAACCAAAGGGGGAATAGGTTGCGTGTCACGGGTGAGACGGCGGTGGACGTGCGGTCAGTCATGGATTCAAGCCTCAGTAGCACGAGTGATGAACACTTTGGTGGATGCACTCGTGCCGTGGAATGATTTGTGTTGTTGTGTTGTCCGCAGCTAGCAAGTTACATGTCGATAAGGCATGTCTTGGACAGGTCCGTTGTCGCAAGCGCATCTCCGCTCGCGCGTACCTGACAAGTCATGACACGATGCCAGCTCGGAGTGACTTACATATTCAGGTCCGACCTGCCTGGAGAGAAGGTACAGGGCTCATGGCTTCGGAGAGTTTGTTGACAGGCAATCTGGAAAGACGAACAGAGTTTCGCTTCTGAGCTTCCGAAAGCACGCGCCTGAAGCTGCGTGGCGAAGCAGCGTGAGATTGCTCCGGTGTGTGCAGCGTATCACGGGAAGGAGCTCATGACGAAGTACGAACCAGGGCAATCAGTCTCTCGTCATCCTGATCACTGCAAAGAAGAGGAACAATGACACGAAGAATAACGTCGTATCATTTGCAGGGAGCATAATGATACAGCTTGTACAGAGGTTATCGGTTCGATCAAGTAGTATGTAGAAACGCCTCCGCCATTCTCGTACGAAATAACCCAAAGAACCCTTTGGACAGGAACAAATTCAAGAAACCGCTCTTTTAGACCCCACGACCAGCGACTCCGGGACTCCGACCATGATGATGGCACCCACATGCAAACATAAATGGCAACAGAAAAGAAGAATAAAAGATCAGAGCATACTAGCCACCTAGTCCTTGCTCTTCTTCTTCTTCTTCTTTTCCGTCTTGTCCTCATCGTCGTCGGCCTTTCTCTTCTTGGACGATTTGTCGGAGGCCTTCTTGGCTTCCTTCTCAGCCTTCTTCGCCTCCTTTGCGGCCTTCTTTGCTGCCTTTGCTGCCTTCTTCTGCTCCTTGGTCATCTCTTCCTCGTCGCTGGAAGCCTCGGCACCAGCCTCAGTAACGTCTTCCATCTCGGCGTCCTCGTTGGCGGCAGGTGCGTTGGCGGAAATACCGTCAGCATCAGCGTTGTACTTGCGGGCCTCCTTGACCTCCCACTTGGCAGGCTGAGCCTGACCGTTGGGTGCGACACCGGAAGCAGTGCTGCGGATGGGCTTGCCCTCAAGACCTCTCAATCTTCTCTCGACCAAAAGTCTGCCCTGAACACCAACAGCCATCTTCTCCTCCTCAGTAGGCTCAGGCTTGTCGCCCTCACCAGAAGTTCCCCAGTCGGAGAGAGCGTCGACACGCAGACCAAGAGCGGCCTTGGTAGCGAGCATGCGAGCAATCTTACCCTTGTTCTTGCCAGTTGCTTGGCCGATCAGGGAAGCGTGGTAGATAAGACCGTACTTGGGTGTGTCGTGCTTGGTCTTAAGAGCTCTGAACAGAGCCTTCTCGGCACCGAGAATCTGAATGGTCGAAGCAGGAGACTTGGCCAAGTTGAGGAGGGAACCAGAGTGAGCGATCAGGCGGGCACCAACAAGCTCGCCGACGAGAGCGGTAAGGTTGGGGGCAATGGCCTGCATACGGGCAGTGAGGTAAGATGAGAGCTGCTGTCTGTACTCGGTGAAGCCAACAACCTGCTCGGCGAGGGCCTGGATGTTGTCCAAATCCTCCTCGGTGATCTCAGTACCCATGGAAACCTCGGCGGCGGCCTTGACGGCGCCCTCGATCTCCTCGGGAAGAACATCGGAGAGGTCAGTGGTGGCAGCGTTTGTACGGACACCCATAGCCAGGATAACGCGAGCGAAAGCGAGGTTGTCGTTGATGATCTTGGCCATCTCGGNGAAGTGCCAGCCGTACCATTCCTTGACACGCATAGCGTAGGTGTTCAACTCCTTGTCCAGGTCGTCGAGAAGAGCAATGGCTTGGATGATCATGGTGTCGACCTTGTCGGGGGAGAACTTGAGCTTGTGGCGCGAAAGCGAATGCGACAGACCGAGAGACATGGTGGAAATATCGTCGGGCATAAGACCGGGGATGAGCGAAGGCAGGTGCTCACGAATGGCACGGTAGACGTCGGTGGTGGAGGAATCGGCGATGCACTCAATGTCGAGCTTGGGAAGCTTGCTGATGGATTGACCGAGCTTGGGATCGGCAACGGCGAGCTGGACCTTCTTCTCGTCNNCCTTCAGGGTGTCGAGCAGCGAGGCGAGCATGGGAGTGACCTTGCCATCGGTGAGAGCGGCAGCCTCCTCGAGGGCGGCGGCGGCGCTGTCAAACTTCTGGAACTGCTTGAGCTTGAGCCTGGAGAATTGGGATTAGTTTAGAACAGGGCGAGACAGAGGGAGCGAATCGTACAGGCCAGCGGCGCNCTCAGCAGTAGCAGCCTCCTCGTGGATGTCGGAGCGCTTCAAGAGCTTCTTGTCCTTGGACTTGAGCAGCGCATAACCGGCCGAGGTTTCTGTGAGGATGAAAAGAGTCATCTTGTCCGCGGAGTCTCTATGGTCGTGGTAAAGGATGGTCGAGGGTCGCTGAACAAGAAAAGACGCGACGCTGTAGATGGTGGGCTCGACGACCTTTTTTCTCGAAAAACGCAAGACGGACTTTCAGCTTGCGTGCAGGTTCTTGTCGAACCAAAAATTTCGGCGGCTTTTCCTCGGCTTTCGTCGAGCCCACTAGCGCGCGAGCTTCAGCATGCGCCCAAGCACAAGACGACAAACAGCTGCACCATACAACCATGATCGTTCAATTCTAATAGTCTTCTCTGGCGAGGCTCGCCCTCTGTCCACACACATTCCCTCATGGCCGCCCCAGACTACTTTGCGCGCAAACCGTCATACAACCGCTCCCGTTCTGGTCTGGGTGTCCCTGGAGCCACTACCCCGGCTTCACCTCACACCCCACTGTTGTCCCGCTCCCTCTCGAGCCAACTCACCTCGCCTGGTGCCTCTTATCGCGCTGAGGAAGACACCCTGATCTATGAACTCGGTTCACGATCCTTTCGTGCAGGATTCGCTGGCGACTCCGCTCCGAGATGCATCATTCCCTTTGGCCCTGACCAACAAAGGCGCCTGAACGACTTCACCACCACATCCACCACACGGCGCTCTGACAATGATTGGGCAAGAGATTGGGAACTATGGGATCTAGATATTCGGCATATGAATCTTGGTCTGATCGAGGACAAGATCGAACGCGCTATACGAAATGCCCATACCAGTTACCTCATGCTGGATCAACGCCCGCGTAAGGTCTTTCTTGTCCTGCCTTCGGCTTTGCCTCACCCACTCGTCTCTCTCACTCTCAACGTCGTCTTCAATGCCTTCCAACCCGCCACCGTTCAACTATGGACGCCACCTGTACTGTGCGCTGTCTCTGCCGGTTTGCGCTCCGCCTTGATTGTCGATATTGGATGGCACGAGACCACAATCACCGCCCTATACGAGTATCGCGAGGTCCTCCATAGAAGGTCAACTCGCGCTGGTAAACTGCTTACCCAAAATATGGCCGACACTCTTCGCAAGCACGCTCCTACCTCAGGTTCTCTCTCCTTTGATACGGCTGAAGATGTCGCAATGCGTATGGCTTGGTGCCGCAGTTCACACGATCAACACCTTGATGACAGCGTGAACCTCCCACTCGGATCCTCATCGGCGCAAATCCCGTTCAATTGTTTAGCGGACCCAGCCGAGAAAACCTTCTTCTCTACGTCTGTTCCACTCGAGCAGATTGATGACCACGATCTTCCTATACACCTTCTGGCATACAAGTGCTTGCTATCACTTCCACTAGATGTACGCGCCATCTGTGTTTCACGCATCCTCATCACTGGTGGTGTAAGCGACATACCGGGCTTCAAGCCTCGTCTGTTACGAGAAGTTGAGAGCATAGTCAATGCCAAAGGGTGGAATCCGGTCATGAACTATGGCTCTGCTACACAAAAGAGACAGCAATCAGTAAATCAGCAGACGATGTCAATACCAACAAGAACCAAGCAACCTGATGCCAATGATTCAGATAATCATGTCGCTGATCCAGCGGATGAACAGCTTCTGGCTCGCAACGCGCCGCAAGAACGCGATGAGGTTGCCGAAAAGCTACAGCGTGAAGTGCTGAAGCGCGGTATCACAACACAAGGCGAGGTGCGAGGAGTGCAGACGTTGGGCGCTTGGGCAGGAGCCTCGCTGGTTGCTAGTCTCAAGGTGGATGCTGCGTTTGAGGTAAAGAGGGATGACTTTTTCAAGAACGGTCTCGGTTCGTTAGGTCATGCCTTCTAGTTAGGATTCGGTGGCTAAGAACACGATTATCTGTTTCTCAAGTGATACTCGAACGTATTGAGGCCTAATTCGACATATTCTATTGCAACAGTTCAGGTGTGTTATGTCTGTGCCGTGGTGTATCCTTGGATAGAGTAGAACTTCAGGAAAGTGGACAAAGATGTTGGGCCTTGGCATCCGGACAAACGAAATGGCCGCAGGAGTTCACACGCGTCGACCATTGCTCTTTCCTTAAACCATATCCTATGCAAATTCGTGATAACGATTTTGATGGCCTTTCCCAAGCTCCGAACATGCTCGCTACCCTGAAATTCGGGTTCCATCCTATGACCCAACATCTTTGGCACCATTTTCATGCGCCACGTCCTTTTTCCATCTCTCTGGCCAGATCATATTGGCCAACAGACCCCGAGGAACGAAGACGGAAATACGACATCGAACAAGCCAGAGACAGGGCAAGGTATGCGCAGAATGCAGAGTACAGAGCGAGACGCATGGAAAAACAGCGGAGAATCCATGCCGCGATGAGCGAGTCCGAGTGGCGTGTTTTCTACCAACAGTCTGCCTTTCGCAGGTGGGTTATGAGGGGACTCGAGCGTGGCCACAAGCGCTCTTGGAAAACTCATACGCCAGAGTTGGCCGAGAAATCAGACGCCCGTTGGTGTTCTGGATGCAACAAGTTGTCGAGGAAATCTTTGTGGTGGAAGCGTAACAATGAGTCTGAAGACAGATATGATGTATGTACGAGGTTGGCGATCTTTTGGGTGTCTTGAACTGACTAAAGCTATGCTGACTTCTTCATCTATCTACAGTGTAGCCCATGTTTCATGAAAGATTGGTCAAGAGTACATCCAATTGGGTATGAACATCTCACGTGGACGAGGAAACCAGCCAAGAGTCATCAGAGACCAGATGTCACTTCCAGCGCAGAATCCGACTACGACCATACTCTACCAGAATCAAAGCCCTAAACCAGATTTGAGAATCAGGTCTAACACCCATCTCTGTGCTCAACGGAGCCTACGATGAAATGGCCCAAAACTTGTCACCGATCACTCAGATCTTGAACGTCTCATTACGCCCCGTTCGAGTTTCTCTAGATGACCATCAGACGGCAAAGGCGATACGACGTTCTAGCCCGACTTTCAGATATTTCAGAGCATTGCGACTGATACTCAGGATCCCTCAAGGAATGTTTCTCGGGCTTTTGCTTTGTCGTCGAAAAGAGTCTCACACGCTCCAACATCTCCAACATCACGAGCCATCTTGATCACGCCTCCGACAAGTCCAAGACCTTGACAGAATTGTCTGGTGACTTAAACCTGAGCTGCGCCCCATCTTTCAGTCCAAGCTGTAACGACAGGGCATCAACAATCAGCCAGTGGACGAATGATGACCTCGTATATGATACAAACGTACAGATAATGGTGTCTCATTGTCGAGAATGATCCTGGCAAATTTCGGTTGCGGTGTATACTGGGTGATGAATGCACACTCCAGGCGACGATTTCTGTCATCACTGATCTGAGCCTCAAGCGCTAAAGCCAGCTGTTTGAAAGGCATGTTTTGTCGCATTTTGATCTGCATATCCCGTTTGATATTATAGTAGGGGTCTATTATGATCTCGACAAGAATCACCACTGTTGGTTCATCATGTTCTTTGCAGATGCAGATGTCCGAAGAGCCGATTGTTGTCTTCGAGAGATCAGCACAAGCTCATCACTATGAGGCGCTAACATACTTTGGGCGTCATGATACCAGCTGTTGAGATGGTAGCAGTCTCATCGTCGTCAAACATGTGTTCCCTCATCTCTGCTGGAAGTTCATATCAAAGGACAGATACATCGACAGGGCAAGGCACGGGCTTTAAACCTCTAGCTCAAGCTCAGGATACGATAGGCCTCTTGCGTTATGTGGGATTCTGTTGTCAATACGACCGGCATTGACTTCTGACTGAGCAAGATTGCAGCAGATATAGAAAAATGAGCAGGTTCATTGTTTCTTCTCAGAGCAATACGGCTTTGTACCTTCACTTGGTTACAACAATGTTCCGATGCTAGCGGCTGGCGAACATGGTCTGTGTTCGGCTCGACACGTCTACGATCTGATTCTTCCCTTTGGACCATGTCTTTCGAAGATGCAACTTGAGCAAGCGCGTCACGACTTGAACTACACAGTCGAAACATTCAGAATCTCGATACCGGACTGGCGTACGAATCGGAGTTTCGCACGATTGGTCAGATGTAGTTGCACAAGTCATCAGTACGTGTCTGAGATCCAAATGATTGCAGATGAGTCGTTGGTAGATAGTCATCTAAGGACAAGGTGATACGAAACCCTAGCCGGCTTTCGATCTCTTGAGAGCGAAGGATTGGCCAACAGACCAAGTCACCAGCATCCATACCACGAGCTCCGCAGGCTGTCGCCAATGCATCAGGACATCATTTCAATCGCGACATGTGAGCGCTCAGTCACCTCCGTGACATATCGATGGCTTCGAAGTCTGGCATCCGGAATACAAATTTTGTGCGATCTTTCAGCTTCAGCTACGACAGAATTAGTAGACATCTGTGTTACACTCGAGTCATACGGCCTTACTGAATCAGGTGTGTCACTGTCGAAGACGGCTGCGTATGTCGACCAGACAGTCTCCGAGTCTAGCTCCATCTCTAAACCGAATGTTTCTGACTGGTCAAACTTTGTCTTGAGTAAGGCGACAAGCTCTCTGAAAGGCATGCTACGCCGTGTCTTGATCTGAAGATCCCGTCTCAAGTGGCCTTTTTGTCTCTGACGCTCACCAAGATGGTGATTGTGGGTCTTTGGAGCTCCCGGTTGATCGATTTACGTGTGATGGTCTTCTGAGCGTCAGCTATCTGAATCTGGCAGCCTGAGCGAGTGCGGACTCACCGTGGGGGTCATCATACCAGTTGTTGGTACGGTAGCAGTCTCGACCTCGTCAGACAGGTCTTTACTCATGTTGGTTGTGGCTTAGAATCAACAAGGACAAACACATGGTTTTGGGAAGGAACGAAACGATTCTTAAATCTCTTGCTTGTGTCCAAGACACGATTGACTTCTTACACCTTGAGGGATTTTCGTTATCGACTGACCGATTGTGACTTTCAGTTGAGCAAGAATGGAGTGAATGCGGATGTATGGATAGGATATCCTTCATTGATGATTGGTTCTGCTTGTTTTACCGAGCATGCTCCACGATCCTCATATCTTACTCTCGCACCACTCAATGATTACTCAATGGAGAACTGACTGGTTCATATGAGTGTTTCCGAGCTCAAACTCAAATTGTATTCAATGGATCCGTGTTGCCTCCACTCAGGCATTCGAAACATCCGGCTTCGATACTGTACATTTCCAAGAACTGAAGCCTCGTACGATTCTTTAAGCCTAGCTGTAAGAAATTGAAAAGAAGCGTTAGCGAGGACATGGACGAAGTCTAGCGCGAATGAACATACGGACGCGGGTGTGTCGCTGTCAAAGATGACTTGCCAATCTTCTTGAGTCTTCGAATCAATCGGCATCGTGGTCAAGGCCTTGCGAAGATAGAAGTGGGTTGTATTCTTGAATTTGGCCCTGAGCATTTCGGCAAGCTTCCCGAAAGGCATAGAGCGACGCATCTTGACCTGCACGTCTTCCGAAGCTGGGCGTTGACGCACGAGTAGCAAGATTGTTATCGTAGGCTCTTGCTGCTCTTAGCCACTTGTGCAGCGTGTGATGGTCTTCCAAGAGTCAGTCTTGAATTTTCTGGTGGAAGTAAGATACCTTACCGATGTGGGGGTCATTATGCCAGTTGTAGAAGTGGCAGCGGTCTCGTCATCTTTGAACATGTTGTCGACTGGGTTGAACATGGGGCTATAACACAGATGTATCCTGCCTAGGTAGCAAAGCAATGAAGCATGGGAGGAGACACAGTCTTATGTTTCTCACCGGCTCGCAACACCATGTGTCGTCCGTTCAAGACTCGAATATACTTTCATCAAGCTTTCACTTGTGAGCATGGATCACAACACCAGCATCGTACGAGAGCGTGTCACTTCCAGAAAGGTTCAGCCTACTGCGTGTCGAGCTCCTTTGAAACAACAACACAACACGAAAGTCCCCAAACTCTTAAAACAGTTCATCACGTCTGCAAGAACACACACAACTTCTTTCTACAACGCGGAGCAAATCATCTCAACATGAATCTGAAGATGAACGCTCTCCGATTCGATTCCGAAGACGACAGTCTACACGTCTCCGACAGCGACTTCTTGGACGTCCCTGGATAATACTGTCAAGAAACAACGATGAATCCACCAGCTCGGACGATGCTGACGATGTGTCAATGCTCCATCAAGTCGAAGTAAGTATACGCATCAAGAACGGTGTATGGACCCATGCTGAGGTTTTGGACAAGGCGCCTTCACAAGTCGAGCAACACGAGACGGAGATCTCTGAGCTGAAGGCGGAGGTTACACGCCTGAACATCGATGTTCAAGGATCACGCCGAACCTTTGCCAGAACCAAAGCCCTAAACAGAAATGAAGATAAGTTAACAAAGGCTGAATTTGGAGTTCTATCGTAGGCCTTGTGGTCTGGTGTATCCGATGACCATTGCTCAAGACCTGACACCAGCGCTGGTCCCGTCAACCAGCTGACGAGTCCAAATTCCGGCTCATTTGCAGTACGAGCTGCTTACTCCTACGCATCATACAACAGAACGAAACCCAGTTACACTCAATCTGTCTCAAGAAACAGATTTGATACATCAATAGCCTCGACGCCGAATTCGTACTGGAATCGAAGCTTTGCGCGATCTTCTAGTTCCAGCTGAGCAAGAACACACGTAGTTAGCAAAAGTGCGATATCTTGGGGGCAGAAACTCATACATGNATCAGGAGTATCACTGTCGAAGATTATTCTCCAGTCATCGGTCGACCATGGCCCAATAGCTCGTGGGTCCGAAACCGCCCACAAGCGAAGAAAGTAGTTTTCTCTGTTCTTGAACTTGGTTTTGAGCATTTCCACGAGCACTCCGAAAGGCATACTTCGACGCATCTTGATCTGCAGGAGTGTTCCGAAAGACTTTTGGGAATTCTCAATGTCAATCAAGATCGTGATGGTGGGCTCTCGATTCTTTGAAAACTGATGTGTGACAACCTTGCATTGGTTAGCTTACTAGATTACAAATCATGAACATTGACCTACTGATGCAGGAGTCATTGTGCCAGTGGACGAGACGGTGATAATCTCGTCGTCTTCAAACATTTGGTCGGTTTTGTTAATCATGAGGTCGTGTTCTGTCTGCTTAGCAATTTAGGAGGATGTGAGGAAGAGGCACGTTCTTATGTCTGTCTCCCAGTTCCCATACGACCATATATTAGTGTACCATGCGGGGTCGTTGTTATTGGAAAATTGATAGTCCATGTCTAAGTTTCGACCGAGCAAGAGTATAGCGGTGCATATCGGAACATACGTATTACTTAGGTTCCATCCTTATTTAGTTCTCAGAGCGCTGAGCATTATCTACAATGTTCAGACTCTCTTCTTTGCTTGGCTTAGCGGCACTCTTCTATGGAAAGAGAGGGTAGTTACTTCCGGTTCGTGTGTTGCGATGTTACTTTCATCAAGCTTTCTTTGTGAGCATGTTTGCAACTCCTGCGTCGTACGACCGCGAGTTTCTTCCAGTGAGTTCCATGCTCGTGTGTTGGACCATCACCAAATTCTCAAAAGTATTAAAAACTCCAAAAGAGCCCCTCTCACCTGCGAACACTCAGCATGGTCTCCTTCTATACCAGAAGATTTCCCAATTCGACCATGAATGCAAAGACAGGCGACTTGATCTCTGTTTTCGAGAACGGCATCATGAAAACTTACTCACTGCCTGAAACCGATAACAGTGATACCCCCAGCACCTTGGACAATGATGACGAAGAGTCGATGTTCCATCAAACCGACGTGAGTACAGACTTTAATGACCATAGACGAATACTAAGTAATCTCCAAGGCGCAGCCAAAAGTCGATGATTGGGTCGACGTCGATGCTCCTAGTCGTTCACGAGANNACGTCACCAATCAGACGAAGGCTCTTGCGTGATGAATGGCGTCACCTTGAAAACATCAACGAACCAGGCTCCCCTAGCATTCCGCCCTACTGCCATAAGCGCCATGCTACGTGAGATTCAGCTCGAAGAAGAGCGAATTGCCGCCAAAGAGTACGAGAAAATCAAAACAACAACCGAACTCACTTGTCATGAGGAGATGTCCATCCAGCACGAGGCGATGATCGCTAGCTTGACTGCCCGAGTTGCTGAGCTTGAAGAAGTGTCAAAGTCGATCGAACACACCGAAGCTGTCAAGCACATCTCTGACCGTCCTTTAGTCATGCGCATTGCCGTATGGGTCGGTGGAGAGGACGGAACCGATGTTGATTTTGCTCTTGTCAAGATGAACCCAGACACACCTTTCAAAATCGTCTTGGAAAACCTGCGCCAACAACACCCACTCAAAGCCCTCAAGCAGAATTCCACAGGAAGGTATATTTTCGACTCTGACACACCTGCNTTCTGTGAGTGCAACCTTTTCTTTCCTAGCCTTTGTATCTATGCTGACATTCTCTAGCTGGGTTTCAAGGACGGAGAGGAGTTGGTGTTCATCCAGCAGAGCGACGAACCGATGTTCATGTTGGATGCTACCATGGACGGTGCAGAGTGTTGGAGAGGTAACGACAGCAGGATATCATGGGAAGAGTCTGAGAAATCATGGTGATCTTTTTTAGTGCATATGGCACAGAACGGTTCCACATCGGTGGTGAGCTGACGGATGGATGATACACGACGTGGACAGTAGATGATGGCGTTACGAGTCGATACTATCGAAAATTTCATGAGAATCAGTCCTCAACCATCATTTGTGTACAAGCTAGGGCAACAAGGAGTTGGGAACCGTGATTGTGATCATCTTTTGAAGTGCCGGTAAGTCGAGGCCGCTCGGTGGTACTCTGGGTCAGAAACCAAACGGAAAGATGCGATAGATCTGCATGTAATCAGTATGATGAAAGAGTCGTCTTGAGTTGCAAATGCAGATATGTCCGGAGTCAAGGTAAGTGCCAATGCGGCTACCTGTTGGACTGCATTGTGGAAGTCACGAGCCACAAACCTCTCGCCTCTTCGTCAAATGTAGAGACTGTACCACGCAAGGAAAGAACGATGGGCTGTTGCAAACGTCAACGCTAGATACAAAGTAAAATTACATACCGCTATTTGGGCCTCGCGACACGGGTATACACAGTCTATAGAACATATGAACAACAAAAATGCAATTATACACAGCTTTCACCTTTCTCCCTTTTCAACTTGACAGGTCACACATTACTCGTTGAGACGACCCTTGAGATCGCCCCTGAGACCACCCTTGCTACCGTGTGTGAATCTGTAGGCAAAGGTGACGGTCACAGCGGCAAACAGAAGAACACATAACGCGCTAGGTCCCCACTTGTCGTGGTAGGTAATGGCGCGACGGCTGCGGATCGATTGCACACGGTAGAGGTAAAGTCCCATACTGTAGCAGATGGCGAACAGGGCGACGATGGTGAAGGCCCATGCAGAAGCCAGGGCGGTAGTGTCACCGAAGTTGAGGAGGGTAGCAGCGATACTGCCGATGATGATGCTGAACTCGANGCTACAATGCATGTTAGTACATAGTAAGGAAACAAAAACATAGCCGATAATGCTTACCCATGACAAGAACGTGCGCTCAGCCGCGAAGAAGACCTTAGGCTCGACACGCACTGGTACGTGAATCTTCTTGCCCTTAGGAGCCTTGTAACGCTTCTCGCGGACCTGGTCATTGTTTCTGGCATTCGGGATGCCCATAGAGGCGTTACCATTGGAAGGCATAGAGGTAGGTTTAGGTCCGGGTGCAGCAAGTCTGAAAGCGCCTGCAAGCTTGTCTCCGACCTTTTCGGCATAGTGTGTCATCAGCTTGCGACGATATGTCCAGCCGCCAATACGCTTTGCCTCCTCAAGGTCATCATCCTCATCATCACTGTCGTACAGGGGATAGTCATCGTCGTCAGTGATAGGTCGGGCAGCCAGACGCTCCTCCTCATCCAGCGAGTTGGGATCGGCGCCGCCGTTAGTGGTGCCGTAATCCATGCGTTGAGCAACCTCGTGCTGTTCAAGAGCGTCCCTAGCGGCTCGCAAGCGGCGATAGTTCTCATCGTCACCGTTAGGCAGGTTGGCAGCATCCTCCATCTCATCATCAGTGTCATCGTCCATGTGCCCGCTGGTAGAAATGTCTGTGCTTTGGCCGGGACGTTCAATACCGAAACGATGCGAGACAGGCTTTCGGATGTCGACATCCATCTGAGGCATCCAGAAGGGTAGCAAATCGATACGGGAAGGGTTGAGTTTGGCAGTACCATGAATGAACTTGGAGAACTTGGGCACGGCTTCCACCAAGTGAGATGCGACAAGCTCACGAATCCACTCAGGAGGCTGTTGGCCGGCCTGTGTTTGCAGCTTGACTTCAAGAACAGCATATGGGAAACGCTCGACGTCTTCAGCGGGCAATTGGCTGAAAGGCCAATCGATACCAATGTCCATACGACGCCAGTTCTTGCCGGCGCGGTCGCGTCCATCAAGGTTGTCCTCGCGAGTCATGGTCAATTCAGTATCGAGCGAGATACGAACACGAGCATCGCCAGGCAACTGGAAGGCGGTACGGTTGTAGAAAGAGCGGGTGACGGGTTGCAGCTTGCGGGTGATGATGCGATATTGAATCTCTCTGGCAAGTTGCTCGAGGTCGGCAATTTCCTTCTCGCTCTTCTTGCCATCACGGCGCATCTTCTCGAAGGCTTGTTCAACGGTGTAGTCTCCACGCATGAAGGCGTTGACGTTCTTCTCCTTGAGTGCGAAACGAGCCTTAACTGACTTCTCGCCAGTCCAGTCTTCTCTGTGGGTCTTGCGCTCAACGAAGATGGTGTCAACGTTCATGTCGCCATACCATCTCAAACGAATGGCCTCTGCACCCTCAGTCTTCTTGAGACGGCCTTCGTACAGCTCCCAAGTATCTGTGTTGTCGTAGTAGATGGAGGAGATGGCCGAATCCTTGATCTCAAACTCCTTGCTGGGGTTAAAGACGAGCACAGGCAAGTGCTTGAGGATGATGAGCTTGAGCTCGGTAATGTTGTCAGGATGGACCCAGTACTTTGTCGTCTGACGGATGAAGTTCTGTTGGCTTCCACCAGCGGCGGAGTCACCCTTGGTCGGGTTGCCGCGGGTGCGGACTTGGTCGTAGAGCTGGGACAAACGGACAATGGAAGCGTCGTAGTTGTCCTTGAAGAAGGGCTTTGCATTGAGACGAGCAGCAAAGAGGGGCTTCAGCTGCTGGTCAGGGTAGAGCTTGTCGTGCTTCTTGATGATCTTCTGGAAGCCCGTGTAGTTGAGCTGGGTGAACTTGGCCAGGTCGTGCACATCGGCAATAATGTCGGACAGGTCTTCCTCGAGCATTCCAAAGTCCTCCTCGCTGGGAACCTCCATGTTCTGCTGTGCATTGTCGCCTTGTTCCGCGGCGGCCTTTGCACGGGAGATGACCTCGGTGACCTCGCGCTCACTGATTTTGATGCGACGCTGGATCTCGCCGCTCTTGACTTGCTGAAAGTTGGAGACCTTGTCCAGCTCGGCCTCAAGCTCGCGGTAGAAGCGAGTTTCGTGTTCGTCGGTCCATTTCTTGGAAGGAGCGTTGGGGTTCTCGGCGGTCGACTTTGACTGGAGCTCGGGCTGGAGAAGTCTCTTGAGCTCGTCGTAGGAGATGTAGTAGTAGTACCAGTCCTTGATCAGGGAGCTCTGCAGCTGCTGGCCGAACCTGTCGAGCTGAGTTAGCTGTTGTTTGTGTAGGGTGGGGCGTGCTGGCAGCCNGTCGTGTAGTACGCACTTCATGATTGCCTCTAATCGCGCGCTTTCTTGCAGCAATTTGCGGTTGGAGGACAATTGCTTTGTCTAGTAGTACAAATCCCTTGCAGAACTGGTATGCCAGTCGCTCAACTGAAAAAAATCGTAGACAAAATGCGCAATGCGTCTTCGTAGCAATAAATTGTTCCTCTCGAGCTGCTCGTGGCCAGCAGCCAATCAGCGCTCGCACGTGTTCCAGACGAGGCCGCCTTGCTTACCCTCTCCACTCTTTCTTGTCCCCAAGCGTCATCAAGACAACCACAGCCAGCCGGTGACATCCTCCATATTACAAGCATTGCACGCCTATACACAATTTCAACATTTCGACTTGCACAGTTTTGTTTGTATCAAAGAGTTTCCATTCGCTTTGCATTTTCTGTGATGTTTCTTTATCCACCTTATCCATATCCCATGTCAAGCAGAAACCAGTCCTTGCCCTGTCTAGTCGTGCGAATTCATTGCCTGATGACCATCCGATCATCCCATTTTCCTGTCCGAATCCCACACCATATCCCATTTCCCATTCATGGTTCACATTTGTTAAAGTTGTCAATCAATGACTGTGACTGGAGCACTTAAGAAGAGTAGGTGGCGTAAGTCTGGCCGAAAGTCGAGGGCTCAGTACCGCTGATGAGGGCACCGTCCGAGGCCATGAAGTAGCTGTAGCGCTCGACGAATGACTGGCTGTCCATCCAAGGCATGACATCCTCGAGGAAGGTAGCGATTTGGCTGTCCGAGGCACCTGTGGGAGCGAACTCAGTGACCCAGACAGGCTTGCCACCAGCAACATCAGTAGCGTTCTGAACGTGCTGCTTGAAGTAGTCGGTGAGCGAGACATCAGCGTACCAGTGGATGGCGACGAAGTCAATCTGGCAGCCGTCACAAGCCTCGAGGAAGGCAGCGAGCCAGTCAAGACCCATGCCATTCGCGCCGTTGGTAACAGCAGGGGCACCGAGCTTAGCCTTGCCGGCAAAGGGCATCATCCAGGTCTTGTAAGCAGAAGCAGCATCCTCGGGAGACATGTTAGCCTGAGAGGTCATGTCGGGCTCGTTGAAGGACATCAAGTGAGTGGCACCGTTGGCAATGGCGCTGTTGGCGTTCGAGTTCCAGTTGGTGGTGTGGCCGTTGGTGGTGCCCCAAAGGAGAGGGACGTAGTTGAAGCTGTTAGACAGACCAGCGCTGGCGGAGTCCCAGTTGTAGGCCCAGCTGACTTGGTCGTTGTTCTCGAAGCAGGTGAGCAGAGAGGCAGTGTTGTAAGCAAGACCACGCTTGCCGTTACCAGTGCTGCTAGATTGAGGAACAGCCGAAGATGAAGTTGAGGAAGCCTTGGCAGAAGAGCTGCTGACAGCAACGGCAGAAGTAGGAGCAACGACAACGGCGGAGCTGGAGCTCGACTTGGTCGAGACAGCAGCAACAGAAGTGGCACTGGTCGACTGAGTGGTGGCAGCGGAGGTGGCGGCAGCGGAAGTGCGAGTCCAGTGGGGGCGCTTGCCCTGGAAGTCGTAGCCCTTGTTCTGAAGGTCAAGGTCAAGCGAGACGCTGGGGGATGCGGAGCTGCTCGCGCTAGCAGAGGAGCTCTCAACGATCACGGAGCTGCTAAGAGCAACAGAGCTGCTGAAAGTCACAGAACTCTCGGCAGGTCTGCTGTAGGCCTTGGTGCTGAAAGTGGTGTGGACAGGAGCAGCCTCGGCGGAGGATGCGTGAACAGTGACAGTGACACGGTTGGTGTGAGTGACACTCACAACGGAGTCGGTGCAGATGCTGGTGCTAACAGCAGCGACCTCAGAGGAACCAGTGTGAGGGCCAACAGCAGAAGGGTGGACGAAAGAATGACCAGAAGCGAAACCAGTCGAAGCGGCAGTGCCAGTGCCCCAGACTCCAGTGGCGTTGGCCATGCCATAGGGAGCACCAGTACCAGTAGCAACGCCGGAAGAGCCGAAGAAGTGCTTGTTGTGGTGGTGGTGCTTGCCGTGGTGCTTTCCGTGACCAAAGCTAGGGACAGCAACGGCAGAGCCGGCGAGAGCCAGGATGGCGAACTTGGTGTTGACAGAAGACATCTTTTCAAGAGTAGTGATGAGAAAGATAGAGAAGATTGATGATCTTGCTGCGTTTGGAAGTGCGTAAAAAAGTGCTGCTGCTAGAGCGCCTTGAACAAAAAGCCTACCAGGGCTTAAGGGTTGCTGAAAGAAAGAGAGTGTAGTCTGTACAGACGAGAGAACGGAACGAGCGAATGCTCTTGAAAGAGAGTGGATGGTAAGGTGGATGTGGTTAGGAAAGGGAGAGGCAGGACAAGGTGCGGCGGCAAGATACTTTTATAAACGCGCACCTGCCGGAATATTCGTTCACTCTTCACAACATGCGCATAGCGACAAACGCTTCACTTGGATCCGTGCTCTCGTCACTTCCGTCTTCACATGCATAGCGGCAAAAGTTACAACAAAGCCTTTCCAAGGGGTAAAGGGACCACGCAATCAGGTACCCGTTTTGCCCTCGGTGTAGTGCACAAGGAAAATCGAGCCGCGCACAGCGAGCTGCTGGGACGGCTGTCACATCGGGCCTAGAAGAAGATCAAGGGGCACACAGACGCCATTCGCTGCTGGCTGATATGGGGCTTGCACGGATCACACTGTAACGTGCTGCCGGTGCGTGTGGGAAAAGCTTGTGTATGGCGCCCACAACCTGAGCTGGTATCCCGTTGCCCATGTGCGATAGTCAAGGACGTTTCAAGATGCCTTGCCAATTGAATGCAATTGACTCTTTCACATGTGCTTGATTTTAAAGATGAAGGAGGATGAAACAAAACGCCCACCGTTCACAGTTCCGATCCCCGGAAGATCGGCCAAGCAGTCAGGTGAAGCCATCGGTTTCAGGTTGCGGACTGGACCGACAACCTTCTCCAAGAGCCGAAATGATTGACAGGGGTAAGCAGCCCATTCAAGCGGTGCTCAACAATTGACATCTTCTCCAGCTTCTCGGCCACAAGACAACATCCATGCGTTGCAAATCGTTTATTCGCCCTGCTTCAGGTTCTGGACGTCTGCATGCGATGCGTCTTTGAATCCTGAAAACCACGTGTTGACAGCATGACAGATTGTGCTGAGCTTTTCTTTTTGAACCTTGAAGAGACTCGCCCAAGTGTCTCCACCACACCACACAAAGTCCGGGCTACAGGCGCCGAGGAGCATTAAAACAAGCCTCGATCAGCCACCGAGATGCATTCGCAATCCCAGCACGGACAGACGTCCACATCACCACATGGCGAGTGGGGAGGAAACAACATCTAGCTCGATAATCGCAGCATGTGGAGTCTCAACGACAGGCACAGAAGACTTGGAAGAATTTTTGCCTTTGATTAACAACGACTTCTAGTCTGTTTCCACTACTCAGCTCGCCTTGTCCTCGGCGTTATGCATACAAGTACCATTGTACCTCTTGCGGGACGATATTGAACGAAGACCAAATCGAGGCTGACCCTTCCTAAGAACAAGCCCTTCACTGTTCTTCAGCGAGACATGGTTGGGACACCATGCCGCATAGCGTCGATATCCGAGCGAAACTAGAAGTTCCAAAGTGGTTTAGAATCATGAACCAGCTTGCAGGGTGTTGTTGATGGTTCCGACATGCAGTAGCGACAGCCTTGCCGTCGTCCGCTTAAACCTGCATCGTCACCAATGACCTGGTTCAACGTTTACACACCTACACTTCAACTTGTTCGACCGTGCATCAGGCGTAATCGTGTGTCGCCAGCTTGTGATCGCTTCTTGGGCATAAAGGCCGCTTGAGGCCCCCTTGCCGATATCCAAGAGCAACCAGGTGTCGTGGCGCATCGAGAGTGGTAGTCTGCGGCTCGAGTCATCAATATTCCAGCCCTGTTATTTCTTGTTGTCAGTCAGAAGGACCCTTGACACCGATCATGGGCGTCGGACACTCGGCTAGCATCCCGTCCTCGATCTTTCGTGATGTTTGGATGTATCTTCTTGGCTCAGTCAGGTTACTCTGTTTTATCCGCTTCGGAAGGCGTGGTGATAAGAAGACTCGCCTATTTGGTTGAGGGTAGGGTGGTTAGTGAATGGACTGCAGCCCTGAAGAAAGTCGGCGCGGTGCTTGATGTCCTACTTGATGTTTTCACGAGCGAATACCAACACGCCTATATCGATGCTGAAGCACACATAACTTCTGTAAAATCAACTCAGACAAAAGTTATGTCACGATTCTTTAGACTTCCCCAGACTGTGTTGACGATAATATAGACGATGTACTATTGATTCAAGCTTCAAGCCAGGGTTGTACCAGTAGCAAGTTTATTGATCCTTCGCTCCCATGACACTAGACCCTGGCTTGACGGACCATGACTTCAACAATCTATTTCCTTCTCGACGTTCTCGAACCTCCAGGCCGCATGGGTCATACATATGGGTAAGACAGATGAATGATGAGCCTAGCTAGGTAGTGCTTGGTTCACTGACACAACGCAGCGAATCATGGGCTTTCTTCTTTGATGATGCCAGCACTCCGATCGTGGACCGGGATCAAACGCATNNCTCAACACGGCCGAGCGAGGAAACAAGTCANCGATATGTTCCAGCAACACGAGTTGCACCACCGCAGGTGGAGGAACAGAACGAACCATCGAACATTGCCATACTAGCAGAGATCGGAAGATTACAACAAGAACTTGATGAGATACGACGGTCACAGTATTAATATCTATGTTGTGTTTACAACAAGTCTGTTGTACTAATTCATCCCGAAGACGAACAGAAATCATACCAGAACGATCAGTCNCACATTTCACAACAACCATCTATTCCATCTGCCGCATCGCTAGAACTGAATAATCGAGAAGCGGCTGAGCCTCCTCGCTGCTGGGATTCATGTTGTAATGGTCGCGCGTTTTCAAACAACAGTAACCTTGCCAGGCATCAGCGAGAGAAGCGTCGAGGAGAGGCGAAGCTGAAGTGCTCCTTNTGTGGTGCTGGGTTCAGTCGAAGTAGTGCGAGAAACGCGCACGAGGCCGAGAGGAGATGTCGAGAAGTGGGTGGTGATGCGATTGGCTAGAAGAACATATAATCAATGTGTACACCCGCATTATTGCTTTTGGTTGCCTTCACAATCCGAGTGAGGTATATCCGAGGCGACATTTCCGAGACGCTGCATACAGATCCTTTCCAGGAGTGCATGAAGTTCCTCAGCGGCCTTGAATGTATCGATGTCGTGACTGCATCATCTGAAGACGTATTGTATGGACTGAGAGCCACGGTTGTCTTGACTAATCGTCTGCAGTATAACTGCCTCTCATGGATGGGTGTGGTGGTCCTAGAGCAGTATCTACCATGACAATATTAGGGACAACTGCTCGGTACATATCCAAGGCTGTTGTCATCTCATACCAGGCCGTGAAGCAAGGAAATCGTGCTCTCCAGACCTTGTCAAAGACTTTTGCAAAGCCGAAACTAACCAGCCCGGCGCAGAACAGATCCGCTAAGGTCAAGCGATCTGCCACGAGGTATCTCTTATCCTGCAGATGGTTCTCGAAGATCTGAATAGCTTGAGCAGTCTGCTTTTTCGCCTGCTCTATGCCTTCCGGAGCATAAGGCGCCACGCCTAGCAACGGCAGAATCCAGGCACCCATCCTTTTGACCACGTCGCTATTGCAAAGTGACATCCAGCTGATGATGTTTATAAAGTCCATGTGCCCGGAGCCGAGCATCCTTGATTCAGAATCTTGACTTGCCACTATATGATCTTTGTCAGCGTACTCGAGGAGACATGGGAGCGGTAATGTGGTGAGAATATTCTTACCGTGTAACGCAATCGCCATACATTCTGTCACAACTGTGCCATCCGAGCTCACAAAAGTGGGCGTCTTACCCAGTCTGTTCAACTTTAGGTATTCTTCAGAAAGCCCATCTTGTGGGTTTGTCTCGACAACCTCAATATCAAAGCCGACAGCATGAGCGACAGCAAGTATACCAATTGATCTTGGACCACNCCTACCAAAGGAGTGAGCCATCAGGTCCAAAAAGTCTCGATCGTGTAATAGGATCTTATCTACCTTGTATGTATATAGCTTGTTACGAGATACCATTTTCGGGATCACAGCACTTCATCTTACCACACTTGAAGCAGAACGAGGATTGATGAAAAGAACATACTTCCAGCATCATTAAAAGGAACGAGGATGGCGGAGGTCTCAGTCTGATCCCTCGGTGGAAGATTGTGCCAAGCACGATCCGTCGGCATCCATCGGCATCTTTACAATCCTACACGATCCTACGAGATGCTCTATCTCAGCACCAGTTTGGTCGAATGTCTGAGTGGTAAAACGTTCAAAAATCGGTATGATGTTCTCGCTAACGAAACAGTCAGTAGTGAATAGTCGCAATTGTGGCATTGCGTGCTCATGATTCTACTGATGTGAAACTTTACCTCTTCATGAGATAAGAACGCTTTGTAAAGCATCACTCCTTGATTCGTTGCCTTCCGCAAGCAGATGCAGACGATATGACAAGGAGGACGGGCTCCATCGGTGCTTCCTGGTCCAACGCTAGTGCTAATCGTTGGTGTTCCCTGCCATATAAAGTAAAAGCTTTCGTCTCTCTTCTTCACTTTCCATCTCCCATGCACTTCGCTTTCAATAGTCTTCGTATCATTTCAAGATCCCAACAACCTTCCTTATCATAATCATCTGAACATGGTCAGCCTCGAACTCGTACGCAAAGCCAACAGCAGCCTGGGATCCAGGTTACCTAACCCCGTGGCACTCTTCGTGGGAGGGACCAGTGGCATTGGTCGAAGCACACTACGCCAACTTGCTCTCAATGCCAATGCTCCAAAGGCATATATCGTCGGACGCAGCGAAAGCAACGCTAAGCCTTTACTGGAGGAGCTCCATCAGATCAACCCTCTTGGCTCCTTCAACTTCATCGAGGCCGACGTATCACTCATCAGCAACGTCGACAAAGCTTGCGAGAGCATCAAGCAACAGGAGAAGGCTTTGAACCTGCTGTTCATGACCCCAGGTGGACTGTCACTAGTCGGACGTCGTGAAACAAGTGAGGGCATCGACAAGCTGTTCGCTCTGCGTTACTACGCTCGTATGCGCTTTACCCAGAATCTACTTCCACTGCTGGAGGCCGCAGAACACCAGCCAGGACGTGTTGTCAGCATCCTAGGTGGTGGCTTCGAGGGCAAGATCAATGCGGACGATCTTGACTTGAAGCACAACTACAACATCGTCAGCTGTGCTATGCATTCTGTCACCATGACCTCGCTGGCTATGGAACATCTAGCCACCTCACATCGCGCCTCTTTTGTCCACGTCTACCCTGGCTTGGTCGGCACAAACATTTACACCAATAGCTTCCCTCCACTATTAGCTGCGGTGTACAACTATGGCATGTGGCCTCTGATGTATCCATTCTCGGTTAACATCGATGAGAGTGGGCAGCGTCATCTGTTTCATGCGACATCGGATCACTATCCTGCCAACAAGCTCAACAGTCTCAAAGAGACAGCCGCTCGAGCTGAAATCAAACCAGCTGTAGGCTCTGATGGCACGCTTGGAAGTGGTGCATATTTGATGAACTGGAAGGGTGAGACATTTGCGGCGGGCAAGAAGATGCAAAGTCTGAGGGCAAAAGGTATGGCTCACAAAGTCTGGGACCACACTACCAATCTTCTTAACCATGCCGCGCACATGCAGTCGAACTTGGTTGCTGCTGTTTGAAGATGGTAGACTGTGGTATACGACGATCTCCCAAGTTTTCCGTTCTCATTCGAAGAACTGTGTCATAAGTTGTAGATTACCGTCGAAATCGAACGTACTTGTACTGAGATCCGTCCCGAACCAATCGATCAGTTGAGTTGCGTCCAGACTTGCGGAAGGTAGTGTAGACAGCATGTCATTCTGCATACTGTTGTTTTGGTCTGTACTTGACGCACGCCATGCCGGCGCATCCTCGTCGAACGTAGACAGCATTACTCTCTCTATAATCTCGAGGCTTTGAGAAGTAGCTGCCTCTTCCTCACCAGGCCAAGGCTGCTCCTGAATCCTTGATGTTTGGCCAAAGATGTCAGAGCTCGGTACCCCTTCCAAAGTCCACGTATTGAGCCAGGCCAGATCGGAAGCAACCCTCTGGTCACCACATTGCCGCAAAAGCTCTCGAAGCCTCCGGAATGTCTCCACAAGCTTTTGGGCAGGCCAAAGCGGACCCCAGCCACTAAATTTTGTCAACAAGCGTCTAAGGAACGCATCGGTCCCAGTCTCCGAGATCTTCTGCGCCGCATCTCTGTGATTGGAAAGTCGTGCTGCCGCCAAGTGAAGCTTGACAAGAACAAGTGTCGTATGTGTCACCTGAACGAGGTACGATGTTGGGAGAGTACGTATGAGAGGTATATCCAGGCACAAAAAGAAGTCTAGCGAGTTCTGCGTGACTGCAAGACAGTCTGAGAATTCGGACGGACTGACGATGACTGCGTATTCGTCATTTGCAGGAGTGTGATTGGCCAAGGAGGTTTTGGTCATTGCCAGCTCGTGAATGTAAAGAGTTACGAACTGCTGAGATAACTTGAGCGAATCTGGTCATGTCAGCAACCAACATAGCTTTTTGACGGATTGCGAGATACCATTCCATGCGTGCAGTGTTTTGGCCCACTCCGCAAGCTGACGTTCAGCGACTCTGTAAGCGACATCGATTGCTACTTGTCCATAAGAAGACGAGAGCTGTGTCTCAGTTTCCTCAAGAATGTGCTGCAATCTGACATGAGCGCACAGTACCTTGTCAGAAGCAAGAGCAGCAGGAGACGAGCTCAATACTTCTAGGCATTCATCCATCTGTCGACTCCAAGGCACCAAACTTGGTGTCTGTGTAGCCAATGATGCACTGCGCCATGTTAGTATGTGATAATCGGGAGATATGTGGAACAAGTACTTCGAGCAGATATAGTAGCACGCCAACCACAATCTCCTTACTTCCAGAGTAGAAAATTGGTACTCGCTGGTTGCACCGCGAAAGTGGTCTGACTGGTATGGCAATGATTTGTTCCAAGACCAGTTCTTCAGACGGGACTCTAAACCCATACCCGTGGCCATGTTCGCGGCTGTATGACTTAATTGGAACACATTCAGCTGTGAACCAGCTTGCGAGGGCTCAGGATCTCGGTTCCACAACACTGAGATAATCTGAGCTTGTAGCATGATTATGCCATCCGCGCTATTCTCATGAAAATAGGCAGAGTAAACTTCTGTGAGGCGTCTCCTAAGTCTACATGAAGTTTCCATGTCATAATAACCATCACCTGCGGCATCTAGGATGGCTAGAAGTAAGATGGATGCAGTCTGTCGGATCTCTGTTGCAACCACATCTGAAGGAAACGCTACAAATGGGAGGTGTTTTAACATATTCGTCCTGAAATGGTCAAAGATCATGCTTGTCGTTTCATCATCGATGATGTCGTGAATCGATGGCTCAATTTGAGCAGCATACATTCCAATCGGTGATGAATGAGGAAAGACAGCGGTCCTCTCTGCATCCAGGAGGGTAGGCGCAGGCAATGGATCTAGCTCATCCGTTCTTTCCGTTGTATTGATCTGGATCGCAGAAGTGTCGACACCTCGATGTTGCAGTATATGGGCCAATGCGCTTAGTCTCGCCTCAAAATCATCAATGGATCTGGTGTCGAGCCGCTTCTGCCTTTTGTTCGATTCTTCGAAAGGTACGCATGGTCTGCCCGCTTTGCTGCAGCGTGCACACGATGAACCGTCGTCTGGTTTGCTACAGCGGACTTTTGAGACACGACATGTTTGACAAGCTCGAGTCTGTCTTTGTCCTTCCTGATTGATTGACATCGTCCGAGCTGGAGTCATGGTAAGTCATCTTGACACAGTGTGATGCTGAAATGAAGAAGTCGCGATGTGTGCGTCTAGGACCAGTTTGTCGATCACATTATATCCGTGTTATTTCCGATTGCACCTCCCAGCATCATGACAGCTCCATCTAACGAGCAACAAGCGATACAAGACCAGGAAATACATCACTTACATGGTACTTGCAGACGTATGGAGTGCCCGCTTTTCGGCAGACCCAGGGGCCTCTCTAGTATTTCCATGCACTCCTTCACTACTGTAGCCAACCATGATACAGCTCTAAGCGCCGACGAGCATACTTAAGCGCAATATCGCGCAATGATGCCATGCGAGATAGCCGCCTGGGAACGTCCTGAATATTGCGGCAGATGGAAAAATAAAACATCATGAAAACTCATGGTCGCTGCCTCTCTTCAAGACTGGCAAACCCACCAGGAATCGATCAGAGATAATACCTTGTGGACGAACCTGCTTTGCACAGTATATGGAAGCTTACCACGATGAAGTTCCCCTACTCATCGACATGGCTTTTCCTTCTATCTGCTTTAGTGCAACATTCACTGCAGCAGTGTTACCATCGCGATGGCAGCATAGCAGTACACGACATTCAATGTACTGAATTCGCTAGCGGCAGTGATTCAGCAGTACCTTGCTGCGAGCCTGGCAGGAGCTGTCTACCAAATGGCATGTGCTCAAGTTCAGCGACGGATGAAAACCTAATGCAAGGAAGTTGCACCGATAAAACATTTGAGTCTGCACATTGCCCAAAGTTCTGTGGAGGTAAGCTTTGATCATAGTGATTATGAGTTGCTGAGAAGTTGATTCAAGACAGAAAACCAGGATACTACAATATTTAGTTGTACTGCGATGACTGGAATGACAAAGCAAGCCGATATGACTGCTTATTGCTGTGCTGGCAGTAGCTCACAGTGCTGTGACTTCCAGAATTTGATGTTTTCTGCACCTGATCTGGTCGTCTCTGTGAAGTCTTCTTCGTCATCGCTATCGGCATCCTCTTCGTCGAGTACCTCGTCGACTTCCTCGACTGCTGCCGCTTCTCAGTCGACATCTGGCTCGTCATCAACTTCTTCGAGCCTGTCCAGCTCATCAATATCAAGTTCATCATCGTCAAGCTCATCGTCAGGCTCGACATATACTTCTTTATCCTCCGTGTCGGATTCGACAACTGGACATTCCGAGACCAAAACCGGTATGCTCACTGCTAGCATACCTTCAATCATAGTGGCGGCTCCCACCACAACACCCTCGGACTCTTCAAGCTCAAAGCGAGATTGGACAGGCGTGGGGATAGGAGCAGGTATCGGCGCAGCAGTCCCACTAATCATCTTGGTAATCGTTGGTCTTCTTCTCTGGCGTCGCCATCGTCGTCGCGCATTACAAAAACTCCTTTCATCTGAAGAAGGTGCATCGTCAAGAATCACAAAAGACCCGTCGATACGTATGACAAGACCTGCGTATCTGAAGGCGCACGAGGCAGATGGAGTACCGCGTTATGAACTAGAGACTGTTCGTGGAGCGGAGATGCCCGTGCGAAGTCCAAGAGAGTTGCCAGGGTCAGAGGGAGAGAGGTATAGACATCAGACATATCGATCTGGATGTCCTAACAACCCGGCCGAGCTAAGTTAAGCGATGGAGTAGAGACAAATATAAGTAGATTGTACATATTCTTACAACAAAGTCCTAAAATACAATAATGCTATAGTAACGATCTCAGACTTGAAAGCTCAGGGCTTACAGCCTCCTTGCTCTTCAACGTCAGGACAGCAGCTTTCTGAGCAATATCGATCAATTCTTCGATCTTCGCATCTTTACCTCTTTTAGCGAGACCGGCGACAATAGTGCCAAGGAAGGTATCTCCCACACCGTTAACACTGACAATGTCCTTCTCATCGACCTTTTCAGCAGCAGGGAAGAGACGCATATAGACACCACCGACACCAGACGACTCCTCAGGAAGATTGAAGCAGCGACTGAGTATGTATGGCGAAGACGCAGGATCCTGTAGGCGCGGATCATCGGCAGGCAAGATTTGAGTGAGGAGTACGCCATCAGCGCCGAGCTTGACACATATTTTGGGGATGAAAGGTAAGAGCTGGATAGTCTGTTGGGGGATTCCGGCATCGACAAGGGCGGAGTTTGTAGCCATAGTCATTGCCACACGAGCTCCTGTGGAAGGAATGCCTAGGGAGTCAATGACTGCCCACCAGTCCTGACGATCGAAGAAGCCGAGCGAACTTGCTGCTGCATACATGGCTGATAGCTCCATAGAGTTGGGAGTGGACAGATGTATCGATGCGTTGGGGAATGTCTTCAGCGGCGTTTGTGGGAGTTGGAAGATCCTAGGCGCCTTCGCTGTGCTCACAGGCTCGAAGGCAACATGCGCAGAGATCGATTCTGCGGCTTCAAGCCAACGTGCCAAAGAAGGTGGCTGCCAGTTTGCGTCCAGAACTAGGTGTGTGGGCTTGCTCTCCCGTAGTTGTGGCAGCCAAAAGTCATTGAGCGTGTCGCTTGAAGTAGATGTAGATGTCGACGGCTGTCCTGGATGGGCTGCAGGCTCATCAAGAATGTCCATGTCGGCCATAGCGAGTACCAGATCTTTGCTGGCATCGTTGACCGCCACATATTGAGCCGTGCTGCTGCCTTGACGAGTCTTGATACCAGTGCTTCCGAGACCTTCGGTAGCAAGTGCATCAAGAGCAGCTCTGCCTGAGAGATCGTCGCCAACTGAACTGCAGAGACGCACTGGGTCGCCTACAAGGTTCGCTGCCCGAGCGACATTGTGAGCTACACCACCAAGCGATTGACTGATCTTAGCTGGGTTTGATGTATGCAGAGCAGGCTCTTTGCTTGCGGTAGAGGATATTGGAGCATAATCACACGAGAAATCAACAGCAAGGGCTCCAGCCACAAANNAGACCGATGAGGGTTGTGAACTCTTGGTCAGCTCGACGGGAGTAGATACAGACTCATGAACACCGGTTGTGGTATGGTTGGAAGATTTTGATCCGACTATCTGGGAGCGTGGGGCTGGTTGGAACATCCTACCTCAGTCAGTCGAAGTGACTTGAAGCCCTGACGATACACTCACTCACGAAGCTTGACCCGACTCGGTTTCGGCTTGCAGCTTCATCAGCTCGGCCGCCACCGAAGTACCTCTTCGGACATTGTTTTCGATCAAAGCCTGGTTGGACTTGACACTGTTCTTGCCTGTCAAGTCTTTGATCTTGGCAAGTATGAAAGGAGTGTTGGCAGCTCCAGTAGCACCGGCCTGTGCCGCCTCCTGCAGAGCCTCGTCGATTACCTTGTCCATCTCGGCTTTGGCAATACTAAAGGCTTCGGGGATGGGGTTTGCGAACAACAAACCAGACTGCAGACCCAATGACCTGTGCGCGTGTATGACTGAAGCAGCTGTCTTCTCACTGTCCAGAATAATTGGGCTCTGGATACCACTCTCCCTGGTCCAGAAAGCAGGGAAGTCTATTTTGCCCTCACGTCCATCGGCAAAGGTAGCAACAGGTACACCTTGGGTCTCCAAATACTCTAGAGTTCTTCCGATGTCTAGGAAGCTCTTACAGCCGCTGCTTACGACCGCGACTGGAGTGCGACCAAGCTCGGTCAAATCAGCCGAGATATCCATAGTGCTTTCAGCGCCTCTGTGAACACCGCCCAAGCCTCCTGTAGCGAAGACTTGAATGCCAGCCAGATGAGCCAGGATCATGGTACCCGCGACAGTCGTGCCGCCATTATAGCGACGTCCAGGNNGGGAGCCCATGCCGCAAGCAAAGCCCAAATCGCGTCTTGAGATTTTGAGTGTGTCAGATTTGCCAGCGGCACCAGCGAGACGGATGACTTCCTCAGCATCTAAGCCTACACGAGCAATACCGTCGAGAATGCCAATGGTAGCAGGTACGCCGCCGCCGGCTCTGACAATACTTTCCAAGTGCGAAGCCAAGGCAATATTGTCTGGATAAGGGAATCCATGAGTATAAATTGTGCTTTCGAGTGCAACAACCGGTCTGTTCTCGTGGATAGCTTGCTGGACTTCATCAGAGACTCTTAGATAAGGACTCTTGGACGAAAGCTTGCGAACGCCTCGCGAACAGATTGTTGACTGGCGCCATGTTTGGCTAGACAGTGCACTTTGGCGCAACCTGAACATTTACAGCAGACGGTGATGGAAATAATGCTGCTGATTGAGATTCAAGGATGACTTGACAGGACGGACGACTTGGTCAATGCCGTGCTATTCAAAGCGCAATTGATACGCAATCGATGTCCAGACAATGCTCTTCAGAGAATGCAATGGCGTGAATAAAAATATATCGTGAGGTCGAGGCACGAGGACGGATGGCTGCTGCAGAAAGTCGCGATTGGATGACGCGGCGGGTCGGGGGAAGGTGGGCCGAGAGCGACAGAGGCCACGCTTCCACCAAAGCTGGAGAGCTATCGGCCGGATGCTTCTGCTTCCTCAGGAACTCACCAACCCATACAACACTATGAGGAGTTTGAGTTTACTCGCAGGCTGCGCTGCAGCGCTGCTTTCCTTCGCAAATGCCGAGGCCAACCTCAGTAACCCTGATGTATCCAAGCAGATGCTCAGCGGCACCTTTGAACCTCCGCAGGTCTTCCAGCACACCAACCTCGTACGAACTGTCAACCTGGAGAAGGAGTACCCTCGTGAGACAGTCAATGTGGTTGTCGAGAACATCGATTCGAAGCCTCAACAGGACTACTACTTGCCCTTCCCTCAGGACCTGATCGCCAGAGTCGGAGGTCTGGACGTCAAGGACAAGAACAAGCCAGATGCCATCTTCCCTAGCCCGGAGATTGTTGGCATTGACACATACAGGTGAGTTGAACTTGCTCATGGCATCTGTGTCAATGCGCTAACAAAGAANAGCCCCATCGAGTACTACCGCATCAGGTTCCCCTCCCCCTTGGCCCCCAAGGAGAAGCTCACACTGTCCATCACCTACTCAATCCTGTCCGCTTTGAACCCTCTGCCCGCCACCATCAACCAAGCCGACAAGCAATATGTTCAGATTACTCTCAACGCCTACACCAACTCGGCCTACAAGACCATCAAGCAAAAGACTAAGCTCAAGATGCCCACCAATGATGTTCCTGAGTACACTGTAGTCGGCACCAACGCCGAAGGTCAGGAGGATCCCGTCAAGCAGGGCGTTACTTTCACCTATGGTCCCTATGGCGAAGTCCCTGCCGGTGCCAACCAGCCCGTCTCGTTGAGATACGAGTTTACCAAGCCTCTGCTACATGCCACTCTTGTGGAGCGTGACATCGAAGTCAGTCACTGGGGAGGTAACATTGCTACCGAAGAGCGTTACTGGCTCGAGAACAGAGGCGCCACCCTCAAGAACCAGTTCTCGCGTGTCCAATGGCAACAGACTCAGTACTTTAACCCTCCTACATCAGCTCTGAAGGAGCTTGAGTATCCTCTCATTATCGGAAGCGCAAACCCTTACTTCATCGACGACATCGGCAACGTCAGCACCTCTCGTTTCCGTCCTAGAAACACCCCCAAGGAGGCTCTTCTTCAGCTCAAGCCCCGTTACCCTGTGTTCGGTGGCTGGAAATACAGCTTCAAGGTTGGTTGGGACAACGACCTCAAGAGCTTCTTGCGCAAGCTCAAGACTGGCGATGGTTACGTCCTTAAGGTTCCTTTCATTGAGGGACCCAAGCAGTCCGAGGGTCTTGAGATTGAGAAGTTGACTGTCAGAATTGTCCTCCCCGAGGGCGCAACGTGAGTTTTGCTTCTTGTTCAGTGCGATGACCGTCCGATGCTAACAAGAGTTGCAGTNAACATCAAGTTTGAGACCAAGATCCCCATCATCTCGTCCGAGGTCAGCACACACCGCACCTTCATGGACACGATGGGCCGCTCGACGCTCAAGCTGACTGCATTGAACGTTGTCGACGACTTCCGCGGCAAGGACCTTGTCGTGACTTATGATTATCCCTTCCTCGCAGGCTTCAGGAAGCCTATTGTCATCTTCAGCTCCCTCATGGGTACTTTCGGTGTCGCATATCTCATTAGCAGACTCGATGTCAGCATCGGCAGAAAAGCGTAGATTGTTTTTGTACAATTGAAAATCGTTTCCCATTTAATATCTATACATGGTTGTTTATGTTCAAACTTTTCCCAAAAGATTGTCTACAGCAGATGGTGGAGAGGCCAGATGGAGTTGAGAAGTATTATGGCGCAGCCTCGCGGAGGTGTGCTTGTTGAGCAATGCAGGCCAGCTGCATTGTTTGAGTCGTTGAGAAAGATTCAAGGCTTCTTGGTACGTTCAGTCTGAGTACCGTCATCCCAGAACTCCATGTCGCTCTCAGAGTCCAAAGCACCCTTCTTCAGCAACTGGCCCTTTTGTGCGAGGATGTCTTCCAAAGTGATTCGCTTGTCGGAGAAGANTCTGAGACAAGTCAGCAGTTGTCGCATCAGATAATTGAGACGTGGATCACACACCTTCAAGTGGTCGGCAATCAGATGTCTGTTCTTGCAGCCGGGACATGTGATCAAGATGGTGCCGTGATGGTAGCCCTGCTTGGACATGCGGTGCGAAGAGCGAGTCGAGCATGCCTTGCAAGTGAAGGTCATCTCATACGAGGGCACCTCCTCGCGGGGCTCAGCCTTGGGTAAATGATCGGGGCGGTCGGTCAGCGGCCTGGCTGTGGATTCGCATCGTCGCTGTTGTGATTGAAAGGCTGGAACAAAGTGTGACTGAGTGCGGAGGAGAGGCGAGAAGGCCGAAGAGGGTCGCGACGAGAAGTGACGGAGTTGTTGGCGGCAGGGCTGGGCGACTGAAGATTGGCGCAAGCAGGTGCGCTGCAGGGCACGAGTTGCGGAACGGAGAGACATGGTCGCAGCAATTGGGTAGACGATTAGACAGAGTGAAAGTGAATTTGTCTGTCACATCCAGACTGAGCTGTTTGCGGCTGCGTCACAAGGCGGCGAGGAATTCTGCCAGCGGTGGGCCGTGCCTTGTGAGTTGGTGCTTTCCGAATGCGGCGAGCAGCTGCCATTGCCGACGCTGCTATCACGTACAAAACTCGCTCATCTTCATGTTGTTGCTTCCAGTCACATGTCTTTATTGCACATGATACTTCACTCTATCGTCCACTCTCTTTGAAAGCTGTCGACTCGAAGCTTCTCTCACAAAGCAGCAACAAAGACCCTGACCGCGCAAAGTCAAAGCTGTCCGCTGTCAGCACAACGGCTCTCCGACCCCGCCACCACCCAAAAGACGAGACCACAATTCTCGTTCTAACAACACCACAATCATGGCCAGTCGTCAGCGCACAAAGATTCGTGCTCCCAGAAGGGTAAGTTCAATCCATCGCCTACCACTTTCACCCCCCGAAGCCTTATTCCGTCGTCGCAATGCAATCCTCTCTAACATAAATCGCATACAGGGCGTCGCTGGTGCCAACGATGTCGACTTTGAGGAAACATGGGCAACCCTCTCACACGCCTTTGGCGAGATCCACACCAAGAACGCTTCCGCTCTTTCCTTCGAACAGTTGTACCGCGCTGCCTATAAGATAGTACTCAAGAAGAAGGGCGAAGACTTGTACAAGAAGGTTGCCGATTTCGAGACCCAATGGCTGTCTACTTCCGTCCGTCTGGATATTGCTCGCACCTTACAAGCCCACGTGCTCGCCAACGCCGACGACTCCTTACTAGACCCAAGTGCTACTGCCCCCGAACGTCGTGAAGCCGGCACCCGCTTCCTCGCTGCTCTCAAGACCGCCTGGCAAGACCACCAGACCTCCATGAGCATGTTGACAGACGTCCTCATGTACATGGATCGCGTCTACTGTGCCGACACTAGACAACCTTCCATCTTCTCAAAGGCTATGAGTCTTTTCAGGGATAGCATCCTGCACTCGACTGCCATCGCCGAGACACAACCTCCTCTCTCCTTTCTCGACACCTTAAACACCGTCATACTCGATCAGATTCGCATGGACCGTGACGGCGACTACATCGACAAGTCCCTGATCAAGGCAAACATGTATATGCTCGAAGGTCTATTTGAGACAGACACAGAAGGAGAAGACGAGAAATTGTACCTCACTAGATTCGAACAAGAATTCCTCGACAAGAGCGCCAAGTTCTACCGCGACGAGAGTGAGCAATTGTTGAAAGAGTCGGATGCAGGCACATACTGTCGCCATGTCAGAAGGAGACTGGACGAAGAAGCTGACCGCTGTCGTTCCACAATCTCAGAGTCGACTTCCGTTAAGATCACGAAGGTTGTCGAGGACGAGCTTATCCGTCAGCAAATCAAGGCCTTGATCGAGATGGACAGTGGCGTGCAGTTCATGGTTGCGAATGACAGGCACGAAGACCTTAGTCTGGTTTTCGAGCTGGAGAGCAGAGTCGACCCCAAGAAGCCCGAGCTGACCAAGGCCATTCAAAAGATCATCCAAGAAATGGGAACGAATGTGAACAGCAACGCCATGAATCAACCAACCGCACAACCAGCCGCCCAATCAGCTGCAGCCGAGGATGGAGAGACTGGAGAGAAAGAGAAGGCAAAACCAGTAGAAAAGGTCAACCAACAGACGGCCGCAGCTTTGAAGTGGGTTCAGGATGTGTTGGATCTGAAGGATCGTTTCGACCGCATCTGGAAACTCGCATTCAACCAGGACCAAGTTTTACAGACCGCCCAGACCCGCAGTTTTTCTGACACAATCAACGCTCTCCAGCGAAGTTCCGAGTACATCTCGCTCTTCATTGACGACAACATGAAGAAGGGTATCAAGGGAAAGACCGAGGAAGAGGTTGACCAGGTGCTCGAAAAGGCCATTACTTTGGTTCGCTACCTCCAAGACAAGGACATTTTCGAGACATACTACAAGAAGCATCTCTCCAAGCGCTTGCTTATGGGCAGATCCGTGAGTATTGACGTTGAGAAGCAGATGCTGAGTCGCATGAAGATTGAGCTCGGTAACAGCTTCACACTCAAGATGGAGGCGATGTTCAAGGATATGAACCTCTCAGAAGAACTCACTTCAGGCTACCAGACATATGTCTCGAAACTCGGCGACAACGACCCGAAGAGAACTGAGCTCAACATCCATGTGCTCACCAGTATGACATGGCCAGTCGAGAGCATGAGAGGACACGATGAGGAACGAGATGGCGCCCTGAAGATCATCTACCCACCCGCAATTGAGAAGATCAAGACCAGCTTCGAGCAATTTTACACTACCAAGTACTCTGGCCGTGTACTTACCTGGCAAGGTGGCATGGGAACAGCCGATATTAAAGGAACCTTCAAGCTACCCAGCAAGGATGGTGGTCCTCCTAAGACCAGAGTGCACGAGCTTAACGTGTCGACCTACATGATGATCATCCTATCTCTCTTCAACGATGTTCCTGCCGATGGCGTGCTCACCTACGAGGAGATTGCCGCACAGACAAATATCCCAGAGAACGAGCTCATCAGAAACCTGCAATCACTAGCAGTGGCGCCCAAGACTCGCATCCTTGTCAAGGAGCCCATGAGCAAGGACATCAAGCCTACAGACCGCTTCTCTTTCAACGAGAAATTCACCTCCAAGTTCATCAAAGTCAAGGTTGGCGTTGTCACTGCCGGCAACAAGGTCGAGAACGACAAAGAGCGCAAGGACACCGAAAAGAAGAACAACGACTCCCGCGGCTTTGTCATTGAAGCGGCTGTTGTCCGCATCATGAAGCAGCGCAAGGAGCTCTCACATCAACAACTTATCAACGAGACACTTACGCAACTGAGCCAACAGTTCAAGCCCGATATCACCATGATCAAGAAGAAGATTGAGAGCTTGATCGAGCGTGAGTACCTGGAGCGTATCGAGGATGCCAAGCTGCCTTCGTACCGCTACCTTGCATAGAGCGCATAAGGAATCTTCTTTTGCCACTCTTTCTTCTGATTCTGGCATGGCGTACTCGAGTGGTTTTTCTGCATTACAAGCATCAAAATGGAGTTCAAATCAAAGCGACGGTGTTTCTGGGGGTGGGATTGAGAAGAAAAGAATTTGGTCGATCTCAGGGGCATGGTTGAAACAACCAGGGGACAAGGCAAGGCGAGAGCATATCTTAGCGAATGGCGTTTTTCTGGGTTTCTGAGATTTTTCACAGATGTGATAGAACAAGACAAGGTCAACACGATCACTTTCTTTACATGACCATTGTTTCCCACTCTCATGTTCTTTGGTGGTGTACATCTCTAACTGCTTGCTATCGGAGAAGGAGCGACTGCGTAGGGAAGAGACTACTTTCGTGACTGTGTTGCAGCTTCCTCAATTAGCAGGGCAATCGCGATCCTCGACATGCCTCTCCAGTTTGCACCACACAACAAGGCAGGAGCGAAGCGTACCATCACAACCACATACTGTAACGAAGTAAACCTCCCTTACTCAACACGAACGTAATATGGAGAAGATGGATTTCGTGAAGAAAGAAAACATCAGGGATTTATTATTCTTTTCTCCTCGGGACCAGCAAGACATTTGCACGAAACCAAGAAGGCAGGAGTGAGGCACCACATTATGACACTAGGGGAAAAAAGAGAGACCAGGATTCACAGAGGAAGAGAATATAGGGGTTTTATCATTTACTTGATTGTGTTGTGATGGGAGAGGATCATATCAGCCGCAAGAAGACGAAAGGACTCCTGCCAGCATATGCAAAGAAAGGGAAGACAGGCACGAGATGGGTGCTTGAATAACGGACAAAAGCACTCGACCAGAGAACAAACGCCCTTCTAAATGCACTTTCTTTCGTCACAACAAAGACGCACATGCCCACTCTACCAGACCAACAACCCGAAAGCCAAGAGCATAAAAAGCACTGCAAGCACCAATTCATCAGATCTTAGGTTCTCTGGTTGAAGAACCAGCTGCTGCGTTTTGGGCCCTCTTGCTGTTGCTGTTGTTGCAGGCCGGCGAGGGTAGGGACCATGGGACCTGCGCCACCACCACCGCGAAGGGGTTTCGCGATGCGGCTGCCGAGTTCGCTGCCAAAACCATTGGGGGCTGCACCACCAGCGCCGGTAATGTTGCCGTTGCGGGAGGCAGCGCTGACCTTGGCGGCTTCGAGGCGCTCCTTTACTGCGGTGAGTTGGGCTTCGAANNACTGTGAGGTTTGTGTTAGCAATTATTGACTTGACATGCTTCTGTGATAAGAGTCAACGTACCGATGGTTAGCCTGCATGAGCTTTTCTTGACTCTCGCCGAGCAATTGCTCCAAACCGTGAATGCGCTCTCCACGTGCCGCAAGCTTGCGGTCGGCAATGGCGACCTCCTTCTTGAGTTGGGCGTTTTGCTCGACCAGTTGCCTTTGGACTTGAGTTAGCTGTTCCAAATTGCGTTCGAGGAAGGCCAGCTTCTTCTGTTGTTGCTTGCTGTTTGCCGAGCGAAGCACGCTGTTGTATTGCTCTCGAGTTGAGTCAAGCGAGATCTCAAGTTCTACAACGCGCTCGCAGCGGTTTTGCAAGTCACGCATCAATGACTTCTTCATTGCGTCAAAGTCTGCCAGTTGTTGGTGCAACGACTTGGCGCCATTTGCTCCATTTACTGTTTGCCTCCTCAGAGACTCTACCTCGTTGCGCATACGAGTGTTCTCTTCTTGCTGACGAGCCAGAGCAGCGTTGAGATCTGAGGATCCTGCTTCGCCGCCAGTATGTGATGCGAGCGATTCTTGTAGACGACGCTTGACATCTTCGACATCGGCCTCGGANNGATTCGTTTGCAGGAGGTCTTCGTACTGCTTTTGTACAGTCAGAAGCTTGTGCTCCAGAGCACCGCCTTGGCTGGAGTGGTCTACTTGACGAATAGCACCTTGAGTCTCGACCAACCTCTCTCTGAGTTTTGACAGAGATTCGGGACCAAGTGTTTCACCCTTGGAGGCAGACTCGAGGAGCGCATCAAGCTGCTTGATAGCCTCTTGTACGCTGCGTTCGTTCTCCGAGAAGACTTCGTCTCCAAGATCGAAGCCAGCCATCATTTGAGCCATGCGCTCCTTCTTCAGCTTCTCCTTCTCGTCAATGACGGCTGATGTCTCACGAGCATTCATCTTAGCCTCGAGCAGCTCTTTGCGTAACTCATCAAGTTCGTTAGAGAGGTCGTTGTTCGCTTCCTTGAGACTGTCCATCATGATGGACTCTTCTTTTGTCTCGAAGGTGATACGCTCAACTTGCATTTTCAAGCCTTCTACGTCGCCAGCAAGTTTCTCGTTGTCCTTGTTGACACGGCCGTGTGTTTCCCTCAGGTCACGCAACTCTTGACGTGTATCTTGAAGGGCCTTTTCAGTTGTAGCAATAACAGACTCTTTCTCAGCAAGCTGATCCTGTAATTCGTTCTCGCGTCGTAAAAATTCTTCTCTTTCGTCTTTCTCCAAAGCAGTTGTTGGAGTGCCGGCGCGCTCCAGATCCATTCTAGAGTCTGGCCTTGATGAAGTAGGTGTCTCTGCACCTTTTCGTTGTTCGCCGAGTAGTGATGGAGTGGCGGGACGAGGTGTAGACTTGGCGGGACCATCTTTGAGTGTAGGAGTCCACTGCTCTTTCGGTACAGTCTGACCCTTTCGCCAGGAGCCAACTTCTGACTCGAGGTTTGAGATGTATGTTTCGAAGCTGGAAACTTGGGACTGAGCCTTGCGGAGCAGAGCCTTGAGCTCGGCAGGAGAGAGTTCTTGGTTGACCTTGGCTTTGTTCTTGATGGATTTTGCTCGCATACCAAAGCGGAGAGTAGAAACGGTTTCGGCATCGTTGTAGCTCGAGGGTGAACAGTTGATGATGAGGGTGGTGCGCGAGTTACCACCAAGAGATTCTTGTAGGATACGAGTGAGTTTCGAGTCACGATAGGGGACGTGAGAGGATTTGCCGTCAGTCAAGGCGTTGATGACCATGCCCAGAGCACTCAGCGACTTGTTGATCTTCTTTGCTTCCTCGAGTGTTTGACCGCTGGCTCCAGTCTTTCCAACCTTTTCCGAACCAGCCAGATCGACCAGGAACAACTGACCCGATTTGACACTTCCGGTCTCGACGTTCTTCTGGCCGACGGTGATGACGAAGATGGAGTGAGAACGGGAGGATTCCTGGTTCATGTTTGTAGCAGCGACAGCACGAGACATGCCTCCTCGCTCTAGGATTTGGTAAACCTCATCGACACTGCTGACGTAGACTTCCATGAGACCCTTGACGTAGACACCACGGTTCTTTTCCTCGTGAACGGGCAGGTTGTCGTTTTGCGGGACGAGCAAATCGCGAATGCGTTCCATGTAGATTTCCATGTAGCTGACTCGGACTGTGTATTCGATGTTGCTCTCGCTGGCCATGATGGAAGCAAAGATCTGCTCAGTAATGCGCGGAATGACACCCTTGTGGTCAGGGCTGCCAATGTCTGAGCCCATCATGGTATACGACTTTCCGGCACCGGTCTGACCGTATGCAAAGACTGTTCCGTTGTAACCATTAAGGATATCGTCGACGGTGGGACGGATGGAGAAGTCGAAGACGTCGGACTGGCGACAGCCCATATCGAAGACGCGGTCGAAGGTGAAGGCGCCGCCGCCGCCATCTCTTGATTGGACATTGCAGGTATCGGGGCTCTCGAACTGGACGATAGGAGTACCTCCACTGGCGAGTTCGACTTTGTTTTGCGGCCTGAAACGAGCGACGACTGGCTTGTGTTAGTGGTGGGACAGTGGTAGACGGAGCGAGAGGAGTTGTCGAGTGATTGCAGACGTACCCTTGATAGAGTTGCTCCTGTCGGGAGTTGATTAGCATGGGGTTGTGATTGTTAGGTGGGGGTTCGGGCGTCAACTTACGCCATGGTGGCCAAGGTTGCGGCAGGTCGTGGCCTGCGTGTGAGAGGACGAGGGCAGAGTAGGCGAGCAACAGAGGAAACAGAGGCTAGAGGAGGTCGGCGCCAACGAATGCAGGATGCACGCACTGTGGACCTGCGGTGCACGTCTGGAGAAGTTCGTGATAAGTCGTGGACCGTGGACCGTGACTTTGGAATCGACAGGGGTCAGGGCCAAACTCAAAAGACCAAACCAAAACGATGACCTTCACAGCAACCGCCGTTGTATACAAATACTCGTGTCCACGCACAATGACGCCGTCGTCTGCTTCCAGAACAAACCAAGACGCGAAGACCAACGCACAATAACAATGACTAACTAGGTATCCTTCTGTGGCCAGCATTCACCTTCTCATGACAGCCAAGCTGCCCTCGGCCAGCAGCCCCGGTTTCAGCGTTTCAGCCTGAGTCAGCCCTACTATAAGCCCCTCCACATTTCCTTCATAACATATGCCGCCACAACTCCGCTGCACATGCACAAGTCATAGCCGTTGGTATATGCTTGGGCCTTCAAGCCATTTTGTATTTGACAAGGCGCCATCCTCGTAGAACAGCCTGTATTCTCCTATGCCATGCCTGTATCATGTTTCGTGTCTTGCGCGCAGTAGTAAAACAGCCGAAATGCAGTCCCTTATTGAACGCCTAGTGTAGCGACGCCCATGCCAAACGCCTCGCTGAATCTCATCCCATCTCTATACCCAGCCTGTGCTGTCTCCTCAATCTTCCCAGCTCTTCTCGACCGTCTCGCGCACGCGCTTGTAGTACTCCTTGCGGTTGTCTTTGTACAGATTCGATGCCTCAACGTTGGCCGGCGAACTGGTGTTGGGATCGTTAAGCAAACTATCCGACTGTGTTAGTCTGGTCCTGAGATCTGTGTAGTTTCTGACCCACCTTTGGATACTGGTCAGGATGGCGGCGACATCATAGGTAGGACTCCAGCGGTTCTGCAGAATGTCTAGACACAGCTCGCCAGTGGCGTAGACGTTGGGATGGAACATGGTGCTGATAAACTTGACGCCCGGAGGCTTGTTGGGGTACTGCTCCTCGAAGTGCATGACGAGTCTGAATGTGCCGTCTTCGAAGGGTGTGTCTGAGGGTCCGATAATCACTGCGTTNNCCTATGCAGCGAATGAGCACGTGTGGTCGTCGGCGAGTCTAGGTCAAGCATACCAGGTCATGACATTGTCGGCTATAGGCGAGGCTGAAACACCAGCAGGAGGGTCGGTTTGCATGCNGCTGCAGACATGGCCGTTAGCCACAAGAGCATGTCAAGATAGACGTCAAACTGCTCGCACCTTAAAGTCGCGCATCAAACGGCGGCGGGCTGAAGTCGACATGTTGTGAGGAGAGCTGAGATGAACGGCTGGAGCAACTAGGATGCAGTCTCAAGATGCGGAAAAGAAGAAGCTTGGAGGGGTGGCGGCGATGGTTCTGGTTAAGGACGGATGGATCTCGTGGTGAAAGTGACCGGAGGAGGGCAGACAGACGCTGACGCCACTCTTTGCACCCTTGGCCGTTGACAAACGCTTTGCGCAAAAGCTCATGAACACACCCTGACTCCCTGCCTTTCTGTCTTTTGTTTAAAGACTCCCTTTGATCTCTTCAGGAACCACGTGCGCTGTACGCTGCTGCTGTATGACAGCCACAAGACGCATCTCCTTATCGTCGACCGCCCGTAAACCAATATTTAATCAAATGTCCACCTCAACACAGTCCTCGACGCATCTCCGTACCTAACTTGCTTATTATTCTAAGCGAGTCCGATTTTTCTTCACCATTCGCATGAACAGCTGTTCAAGATCCTCTCTCTCCCGTATTCTTGGGTACCTTTGCAGGTCCCGATAATGTCGGAACCCGTTCGATCCGTTCCCAATCCATAATTCCTTGCCTCTCCAAGCCCGTTGCCCTGGTATATTGCAGCTGCACTTACAGTTGGAATTCATGCCAATTTGTTTCCCGGGAGAGAACTTTGACTGCATTTCTTGTGAGTTTCAAGGACAAAACTGATGACATACAGCTCTCCTCCTTCTGTGCAGCAATGGGCAATAAGCGACAAGATAGACTTCGAGCCTTGTCTCGCAACTGTCCACATGTTGCTTGTGAATTTGATTAACAAGGAGTCTGACCTCCGGGCGATGCATCGAACCTAGCCCACCTGTGCGGTATATCGATCATCTGATCTGAATATTGATTGCATGCAGTCACGGATACAGCAATTTCCAAGCCGAACTCGCCTCGGAGGGAGCCATGTGTTTGATGCTTTTCATGTAACTACATGAGCAAGATCCAAATACTGTGCCGCAAGAGATTGGTGCACCTTCCGGGTGAAGATCGTGTGTGCAAGGATACGTCTGACTGAGCGTCGCCAAGGTGATCTGCCTATTCAAGATAAAGGTCTACAAGTCCAGAGAGTGCGCTTACCAATCTCTCACATACGCATCTTTCCATCTTATTGACCTCACTCACGAGACTGACACCTAGTGTGATGTGCCTATTTTCATAAATCAAGAGACGCGAGGGATTCGAGCTGACGGTAAGCCTCATCTCAGCAATGAAGTCGATATAAGACATAACTCCCCCTATCCTCTTCCATCACGATCATCCATTCTGAACACTTTCTTGAGAAAACAACACAATGGGCCGCTCCGACATTGAATTCAAGACCATCGACCATGTCACTTTGCGAGGCTGGATCTATAAGCCGACCGATGCAACAGGAAAATATCCCTGTCTCATAATTTCTCATGGCCTGACTTGCCTCAAAGAGATGGGCCTGGACACTCTGGCCGAACGTCTGACCTCCGTCCTTCCAATCGCATGTCTGGTGTATGATCACCGTGGCTATGGCGCTAGCGATCAGAAGGACAATGAACCTCGTAACGAGATCGTCCCGACGTACCAGAACAGCGATTTGCAAGACGCCATCACCTATGCTCAGTCTCGTGAAGATATTGATGCGTCAAAGATCGGCCTCTGGGGCTACTCCTACAGTGGCGGTCATTCACTCTGGGTTGCTGCAATCGATCGTCGTGTCAAGACAGTAATCGCTGTGGCAACTTTCACCACAGGCGACCTCCTTGCAAACAACATGAGGACAGATTTTGAGGATTCTGTGGTCGAAATGCTTTCTCAAGGTATGTTGTCCAGATTTGAAGGATCTCGCAGGCTGATCTTCTGCNNAGAACGCCTATCACGTGCTGCAGGCAATGAGCCTGGAAGGATGCCTGTCATAGTGAAGAACCCACTGGACACAGCCGCGCTACCTCACGTCGAGAGCTATGCATTCTTTTCTCCTTGGGTTGAGAAGGGTGTCTGGAAAAATGATTTGACAATCAGAAGGCAAGTAGCGAGATTTAGACGAATGTCTTGCTAACGGCATTGTACNAGTTTCGAAGGTATACAATCCTACTTTCCTGCATGTCGAATCCATAAAATCGGTCCCACTCCACTCTTGATGCAGGTGCCCAAGAAGGATGTCGTTGCAAGCACTGAATTGATGCTCGAAGCGTACAGCCGTGCGTCTGAGCCTAAGGAAATTCAAATTCTGCCTGGTGGACATTTCAGCATGTTTGAGGGTGATGAATTTGAGATGATGCTTACCAAAGAGATTGAGTTTTTGAAGAGGACATTGCTCGAGTAAACAGGTTGATATTCTTGGTTCTTTGTAACGGGTAGATTTTTCTACATAGAACGCCTTATATTGATTATACTGTCAGTATGAACACCGATTTCTTCATCAGCAGCAGCATTCATAGTGAGCATCTGAGCAGACATGTAATGTAGGGGGTCCTGTTAGCAGGTCCTCCGCAGACACTTACTGAAGTACCCACCAAGCCATGCAAGGCTTACGGCCGAGAAGATTGTCGACCACCTCCAACTCGGCTTCAAGATTCCTCCGTATGAACATTGTTTACAGTCATTGCATGCTCTGGATTGCTGAACTCGCAGATTAGTCCCAAAGCAGTGTCCCGATATGACTGTTACCTAGCATGATTCTCTCGAATGACTTAGTTCGAGGTGGTAGGTAGGTAGGTACAATGAAGTGTCCGTCTGACAGCTTGCCGGTAAATATATTATGCATCGGTCTTGCCACTATATTCTCAAGAACAAGACGTTCTCAATACTTCATCATTATGCAAGACCTCAAAGTACCGCAAGCCATTGAGGCTAGACAAAGTTCGAGGCAGGACTCAGAAAACATGAACATCTCCGAAGCACCCTCCATACCAACCTGGCGTCTTATACTCTTGATCGTCAGCCTATGTATCGGTCTCTTCCTCTCCCTCCTCGACACTTCGATTGTAGCCACAGCTCTCTACGATATCAGCGTCTCGTTTTCTTCACCCCATACAGCTACTTGGATTGCTCTGTCCTACACTCTCTCCTACCTCAGCTTTGCCGTCCCTTTTGCCAATCTCAGCGATGTTATCGGCCGTCGCGCTGCCTGGTCGCTCGCCTTTTCCATCTTCTTTGCCTTCTCGTTGGCTTGTGGGTTTGCAAAGACATTGATGCAGTTGATTGGCTTTCGGGCTGTGCAGGGAGTGGGTGGAAGTGGACTGTACTCATTGACAATGATTGTGATGCCGGAAATCGTCAAAAAGGAACAGAGGAAGTGGATTGGTGCTGTTGTCGGCTTGGTTGTTGCTGTGGCAGGTGTCACGGGGCCAGTGATAGGAGGTATAATAACCAAGTTTGCGACTTGGAGATGGGTATTTTGGATCAAGTAAGTGTTTCAGATTTCTGGAAGTCGTCAGATTGCAGTCGGCTGATCATGCGTNAGTGGCCCTGTTGCTGCTGTCTCTGTTGTACTGTTCCTTCTTACTTGGCCTGCTGAGAGCATGGTAAAGCAACCTATTCGCCGTTCTTGGAAACAGCTCGACTTCCCTGGTTCTTTCCTCCTCATTGCCGCATCTGTCCTTGTTGTCTTTGCCTTCCAGCAAGCCGGCCTCAAACCCAACTCTTGGGACAAAGGTCTTTTCCTGACGCCCTTGCTTGTAGGCTGCTTCTGCTGGTGTGTTCTCTTCGCTTGGGAAACCTTCGCCTCAAGCCACTCCTTCTCAGTCATCCTGCCTCTTCGACTGCTCAAACACCGCGTGTATGCAACCACCGTAATGGTAACTGTGCTAACAGGCTTTGTAAACTTCATCGCTGTCTACAGTCTCCCTCTCCACTTCCAAATCGTCAATGGAACAAGCTCACCCATTGCCGGAGTGGCTTTACTCCCCTTACTGGTCTGGGCAGCTATAGGCAGTATGCTAGGTGGCCTCACCGCTAACCACTCTTTCCCTGCTTTGGCCATTGCAAACGGTATGATGGCTCTAGGAGCAGGTCTCTTGTCTACATTGACACAGCATCATGGCGTGCAAGCTAAGACGTATGGCTTTGAGGTGCCACTGGGACTAGGCATGGGACTTTCTATCTCGGCCTCAACGTTGCTGGCGGCGACGCAATGTGAGGCTACGGATTTAGCTGTAGCGCAGGGAGTTGTCGCGCAAGCTAGGGTCTTGGGTGGAAGTATTGGGATTGCGGCATCATCTGCTATCTTGGGCAGTATGAGTGCGAAGGCTGGCAGGTCAGGCGAAGTGGTTGATGAGAAGTCAATATATACGAATGCTTTCTCGAAAACGATGTGGGTTTGTGCTATCGTCGCTTGCATTGCTGTGGTGCTCTCGGCAGGGACTTATCAAAAAGGAGCAGGGCAGGCATCACAGTCGTCTGCAAGCGCCGAACAAGTCACCATACAGGAGCAAGAAATTGTTGTAGAAAAAGTAGTCTGAGCATAGCACAAGAGATACATACAGTGATTTAACCAAGTTCCATCTTGGGTACCTTATCGCCGACCCCTACGAACCACGCATCATAACATCAAAAACTTTTTCCAAGTCGTCTGACACCCTCAGAGCGTGCGAGAATAGTTGTGAAGCAATAAGAGGACTGACATCATTTTCGGGCGACCAAAGGTCCCATCGATGCGGCATCCCATCATCCATGCTCCACTCCGACCAAGTCCTCATGATTGCGAGAGACAGCATCAGCGGTGTAGAGATGCGCCCAAATAACGTGTCCGAAAAGTCCAGGGTGCAGAGAGCACGAGAACACACATCAGCAGATTTTGACGGGAGGACAGACCAACAAAGATGAAATTTGACCATGAACATGCCCAGAATGATCAGAGAGGATATCAAGATGGCTTTGTAGCACCATCTGTCCTTCTTGCCGGTCGGGAGGCGATTGCGCCGCCAGAGTGGTGTTTGACATGTTGGGCATACACCCTGGCCACGCTGCTTGACAAGACACGCTTTACAGAAAACATGGTGGCAGTCAAGGACAATCCCAGTCTTGTACACACAGGCCGAGCAGTATTGTTCGTTCGAATTAACAGGAGCGGTGGCGTCCACTGAAGGCGTATTTTCTTGACCTGTCGGCTGGGCGAGCTTTTCCTCGTCGTTTCCCTGGAGCTGCTGCTTCATAGCAAAGCCTGGTTCTGAGGTCTTCTTGAAAAATTCTTCCTTGCTGAGAAGTGTTGGAGGAGTAGCGGCTTCATCCAGCGGCTCCAGGAAATAGTGACGCCACATCAGGATCCAGAACAAGACCTCTAGGGCGTGCACATATTGCTTCAATATGAACAACGGTACCGTCAAGATGGTCGCCACGACAATTGTGCGTACAGTTCTCCCTAATTCCATATCGAAGATCTGGTGATGTAAACGTGATTTGTGTGGATGTCTCAAGAATGAACCCAAGAGCTGCTGAAAGAAGTAAAATAAAGAAGGAAGAAAGGTATCCGAGGAACATCTTATCTCCTAGAGCAGATCGAGTAGGATTCGCAAAAGTGGGGCCTCGGAGAGCAGGTCTCATATCATCTACAGTTTTGATCACTAGTACCGAGAGAGCGGTCACTTTTTGGCAAACAGAGAGTTACGGTGAAACTGTCATGGATGAAGTAGCTCGATTATGGTAAAGAAGTACATACTGTCACTTGTTTATAACATGGCTACTATGAGAAAGAAGAATCTTTGTATCGTCACATCATTGGGATCCTAATTCTCAAAGTTAGTGATCGATCTTGAAGATTGACTTGTGAGAATATGAGGTGTAAGAGGGAGAAAGTCAGGAACAGAATCGCGTTCGCATCAAGTGCACATTTGTGCATCAAAGTGAGCTGGGTGTAACGAAGAGTGGTCATCATTTCAAAGGGGGGTTGGAAGGTGCTTGGATTGGGAAGAGTGGAACATACTGTTTTGAGTCGTCTCTGTATACATCAAAGCCCTTACAGAACTCGCATATGGCGTTTCCACCATACGAACAAGTTCTGCAAAGGTTGTCGAGAATGTCCTGGAGTGTGTTGGTGAGTTTGTGCACGCGATGCGTGTCAACGCATTGCGTGCCTTGCCAGAAGATCATAGCAGGAAAGCTAGCTCGTGCACACGCTCTCGCGTCCATAGCCACTTGTCTCGAGGCGTTTGCACGTTGATGCGCATTCTAGCATGTAGTAGATTGACAAGGTGTATGCTGCAAANAGCCTCCTTGTCTTTCTTCCACTTGTCCAAGTCCAACTCTTCGTCATGACAGTCTAGCTCGTCGACGCGGTAGCCGATGGGTCCATTTGACTTTTGCAGACGGAAAGCAGCACGGTCGCCGTCCCACCATTTGCCCTTGAAGTCCACATAGGAGCCTCTTGAGCCAATAGCGACGATGGACCTGATCAGAGCTATCTTATGGTCTGGCAAGGCATCGAGCCACCGAGGTATGCACTGGTATGTGATCAAGCTCTTGCTGACAGGATCCAGGCGACCAGTGTCTCCTCCCACGCGCCGTGTCTTCACGACCCAATCATTGGTGCTGTAGAAGAGAGGGAGTGCCTCGGCGCGGACACGATGACAAGTAGAAAGAAGAGCAGGCTCGACGTCTAGACTGTCATCGTGAGAGGAGTCGAGAAGGTTGGTAGAAAGCGGCTTGGCTAGAGCAAGCAAGAAGACGAGATGGCGGATTTCATGAGGAAGACGAAAGAGCAGAGATTGAGGTTGCGCGTGTTCGGAATTTGTGCATTTCGGAGCTCTTCTGCTGGTTGTGGGCGGCGGCTGACTCCGTGTCGCGGTCAGGGTCATGGCGTAGACTTGGTATAATTGGTCGTATCAAGACGATCTATATCTCGTCCAGGCTTTGTAGTGCCAGAGGAACACCACTGGCACTCTGTGTAGGCTGGTCGTCAAGACCAGGTATTGTTCGAAGTACTGCGGCTGAGGTATGCGAGCATCGAAGGATATTTCCAACGACTGTCCGAGTCACGCCTCGGCAGGGGACTGTCTCATGACGTATCTTATCTCAACAACGAACCTCCAGAAGACAGAGACGACAAACAGTGGTTCATTCACGACATAATCTTCAGCATGGCTGCATCTCAAAAGCCCAGGGAATGGCGAAGAACCATTTCCGACCAAGAGTACCTCATCTCGACCGACTTGAACAACATCTCACACGACTTTGTTAACAATGCGTATGCCACCGACGACATGTATTGGGCCAAAGCAATGCCTGCTGCCATCCTTCGAAACATCTTGTCCAACTCCCTTGTGATGGGAGTATACGCAGTCCAACCACCATTTCCGCCAGCAAAGACAGCAGAAGAGCCATCATCACCAGACACGCCCTCGCCCACACTCGAGGATCCGTCATTCTATTTTTCAAATGAGTTCCAGGGCAACGGAGCTGGAGCAGAGAAGCTAGAACAGATGGGATTTGCTCGTTTTGTCACGGATCATGTCACAGTCTTCTACTTGACCGACGTGTACGTTGCGCCAGAGTCCCGAGGAAAGGGACTTGGAAAATGGTTGATTTCGTGCTGTCGCGAGATTCTCGATTCGAAGCCGCATCTGATGAGAGCGATGCTTATGGCTTCGCCAGGAGAGGGCAAGCAGTTCTACGAGAAGAACTTGGGCATGCGCGACATGCAGGAAGAGGTTGCTGAAGGACATGTACTTCCCATGACAAGGAACCGAAACCAATAAGGTCGATGTCAATTACTGTCAATGGTCGTGGCATCATGGAAAGATCAAAGAAGGATGGAAGAAGGCGGCGGAGGCGGCGACTTGCAAGTCCGGGGATGAAGGTTAACGCTCGGACTCGCCATGTGAAAGTCTCTACGAAATTCACCTTTGCCTCAACTTGCAAATCTACATCCACTTGTTTCCCTCGTTTTTGTGTATTTCTCTCTTCCATAATGTTGGGAGCTCTCAGAAGGTGCTCCACGGTGTTGCCGCGCAGTGTCGCTCAGTTGTCGAGCGCAACCAGAAGCTCCGCTGTTGCAAAAATCTCAAGGCCTTACAACCCAGCACTTATCACTAGGAGTCTGCACCAGACCAGCCGATGGAGACAACAAAATGCCGCCGTCGCTCAAGAGGAGGGTCTTGGTTTCCAGTCCGAGCAGAATGACAACGGTCCCATCACAACTTTCGCCGAGCTGGGCAAGAGACAGCTGGTCAGCAGAGGAGTTGTTCAGACTTTGATCAAGGACATGGGTCTTGAGAATATGACCGAGGTGCAGACCGCTACAATCAACCAGGCTCTCAATGGCAACGACATCCTCGCTCAGGCCAAGACCGGTACTGGCAAGACCCTGGGCTTCCTGATTCCCGTTCTGCAGAACATCCTCAAGCAAGATTCTTCCCTTGGTGAGCGCAGCAGAGGCTACGCCGCTCGTAGAGGCAACAGAACTACCGCCGACGACATCCGCGCCATCATTGTCTCGCCCACCCGTGAGCTGGCCGAACAGATTGCCATGGAGGCAAAGCGTCTTGTCGCAAACACCTCGGTTATTGTACAGACGGCAGTAGGAGGAACACAAAAGTCCGCTGGTCTGCGCGCCATTCAGCGCCAGGGTTGTCACATCTTGGTCGGTACTCCTGGTAGACTGAAGGACATCTTCAGCGACAAGTACTCTGGTGTCCAGGCTCCCGGTCTTGACGCTCTTGTCTTCGATGAGGCTGATCGTCTGCTTGACCAAGGTTTCTGGCCTGAGATTCAGNNGGAAATCATGGGCCTTCTGCCCAAGCCCGAGGAGAAGTCTCGTCAAACTCTCATGTTCAGTGCTACTGTGCCCCAAGAGGTGCAGAGACTGGTCAGACAAACTCTCAAACCTGGTTTCGACTTCGTTAAGACTGTGCGCGATGATGAAGAGCCCACCCATGCTCGCGTCCCTCAGCACCTCGTCACCGTCAACGGCCTGGAAAATACTGTCCCTGCTATTGTAGAGTTGTGCAAGAACGCTATCGCAGATGCTTCTCAGCCCGACGCTCGCCCTTTCAAGGCCATTGTCTACTTCAATTCTACTGCTGAAGTCACCCTGGCTTCCGCCGCTCTCACCGAGCTCCCGGTTGACGAGGACTCGATTGCTCCTCCTCAGCAAAACACTCGCAGTCGTTACCGCGAGGTTCCCACTGCTCTTTCCCCTGCTCGTGTTTACGAGATTCACTCGCGTTTGAGTCAGGCTCAGCGTACTCGTGCTTCCGACAACTTCCGCAAGTGCACTTCTGGCATTCTGGTATCCTCCGATGTGACTGCTCGTGGTATGGACTTCCCCAACGTCACCCACGTCATCCAGGTTGGTATGCCTCGCGATCGCGAGACCTACATTCACCGTATTGGTCGTACTGCTCGTGCCGGCAAGGAAGGTCAGGGTTGGTTGATCTCACCTATGATTGAGGCTCAGGATGTTCCTCGCAAGCTCAACAATCTTCCTCTGCANAAGGACACTTCTCTGGCCACTGCATCCATCGACATGACTCGTGAGGCAGATGTGCCCAAATCAGCAGCTACTATCCTGGCCCAGGTTGCTGAGGCATACAAGCGTGTTCCTATGCAGTTGAAGGGTGATGCCTACAGAGGCTACATCGGTACCTACGGCTTCATCCGCAAGAAGGCTCTTGTCAAGGCTATCAACAACCTCTCTCGCTACGCCTGGGGAATGTCTACTCCTCCGGAAATTTCCTCCGCTCTCGCCAGACGTGTTGGCCTCACATCGATACCCGGCCTGAACATCGATGGCAGAATCATTGAGGGTAACCTTGACGACATTGATGACAGGCCCATTCGCAGTCAAGACACCCGCTTTGGCTACGGCAGCGGTCGCAAGAGTTCCTGGTCGAACGACGGTGGCCGTGGAGGCTCCGGTCGCGGCAGCTTCGGTGGCGACCGCAGAGGTGGCTTCGGTGGCGACCGTGGTGGCGATCGCAGAGGTGGCTACGGGGGTGACCGCGGCGGCTTCTCCAGAGGTGGTGATCGTGGCGGCTTTGGTGGTGAGCGCAGAGGTGGTTTCAGCAGAGGCGGCGACAGAGGCTTCGGTGGTGACAGAAAGTTCGATGGAGAGAGCAGAAGTGGAAGGTGGTGAACGATACTAATCTCATCGGCTCAAAGCGTTCTTCAACGATGTTTGATCTACGAGTTGCATTTACTCAGGCGTTTCTCAGGGATACCAAAAACTTGTTACTGTACAATATGGGGATCTTATCCGGTAGGGGGTTGACACTACAACATGATTGGGACTTGGAGCACTTACCTTGTAAAAGCATTGGCGTTCGAGGGGCTACGGTTGTTGTGGTTAGACATGTATAAGACTGATCTCCTCTTTTGTTGTTACATTCAATCTGTCAGAGCCCTCTTTTGGTATGTGGATCTTGTGTTGAGCTGACTGCGCGAAGCAACAGATTCACAATGGGGGAAGGAGCATACCAACTTGCCAAGCCTCAGACCTTCCAGCATCTGACGACACCGTACGAATGATCGCTCCTGCAGCTTGAGGAGCAAGGCAACAAACAAATTCGTCTTCCAAACACTTGTCATCCAAACATTGGCTTCTCACATTCTATCCCAACATCACCAGATTATCACAACGCGTTCTTCTATTATCAGATTCCGCAAGAGTCATTCTTCTATCATCAACTTCTTGCAAGCCATTTTTCTATTGCATCACGTCAGTTCATCCGATCCAACCATGCTCTTCGATAAAGCTTCGGCTCTTTTGCTGGCCAGCTCGGGTCTGTTGCAGCCCTCCAGACATGTCATCAGCCGCCTTCAGACTCCAATCCAACCAGCCAAGTTTGATTGGAAGAACGTAAGTACACTCTTGAATGAGATAGCACACCTGAGGTCTAACTTCGACAAGATAACCGCACACGAATCACTGGTCTACCACGACTGTTACGGCGGCTTCCAGTGTGCTAGGTTACAGGTTCCTATGGACTGGACGGCAAAGAANGGAGCGGACAACCGAACTGTCCAGATAGCTCTAATCAGACTCCCTGCACCTGTCCCAGTGACTGATAGCAGATATGGTGGTGCTTTGGTTCTCAATCCTGGTAAGGCTTGCCGTGGCACTGCTGAGCCCACAACTTGGTCACTAACTTCGACTATTAGGTGGTCCTGGAGGTTCTGGTGTAGAAATGGTACGTGCAAATCCTGATCACGCAAGATGTTCGGTGCTGATTGCAGACAGGTTATCTCAAGTGGCAGAGCCATCCAAGTCCAGATCAATGCAGGATCAAAGGCGGACAACAAAACGGCCAAGTTCTTCGATGTCATCGGCTTCGACCCTCGCGGTGTTCTCTGCACTTCACCCACGTACCATTGTTTCCCCAACTTCATCGATAAATTGAACTACGGCAGTGCATTGTCAGCCTACGGTCCGCCTGGCAGCAGCGACACAGCATTTACCAATCTCTGGACCAATGCACGTACTCAAGCGGACTCATGTTCGAAAAGAGCCATCCAGGCAGGCATCGGAGAGCACATGTCTACAACGAGCGTCGCCAGAGATATTCTGGAAATCTTCGAGAGACACGGCGAGTGGAGAGAACAAGAGGCTCGCAAAATTCTGTCATCATCTGCGCCGTCACAGAGCGACTTGCCTGACCATGTCAGATACCAACCTGGCCAAGAGATGGTCCAGTACTGGGGAATCAGTTATGGCACTGTCCTAGGAGCTACACTCGCCGACATGTATCCCCATCGGGTGCAGCGGATGATCTTGGACGGCGTCGTTGATTCCTTCGACTACTACCAAGGTACACTGACCACTATGCTGCAAGACACAGATCTGGAGCTCGACAAGTTTGCTGAGTACTGTTGGAGGGGCGGACCCGAAAATTGCGCTCTTCACCACGCAGACGGACCCAACGCAATCGATCAAAGATTCTCAGCCATCACGCAGAACCTCATCCGGAATCCCATCGGTGTGCCAGGAACCGACGATTTCCCTCCTGACCTGGCGACCTATAGCGATCTTCAGGATCTCTTGGTACTAAGTTCTTACCTCCCTTTGGCAACTTTTCATAACCTCGCAGAAATCATGGCAGAAGTCGAAGCTGGCAACGCTACTGCTCTGGTCGAAGGCAGGCGCTCCATGAGTTCCTTGCTCGCCCGTGGTCTTTCCAAGAAGTGCCGTAGAGATGGACCTTACTCCGCTGCTTGCAATCCTCGGAGCATGGGCGAGCTAGATCACATGATAACTGTAGGCATTCAGTGCAGTGATGCCCAGCCTCAAACCAACATGACGAAAGAGCAGTATTGGAATTACCTGCAGGACGAAATGAAGGAGAGTAAGATGTTCGGAGATGTTGCTGCGAAGACCAGACTGTACTGCACGCAGGTAAACTCAAGTCTCTACTCTCCCAAGGTCAAATGGTGCTCGTACTGACCAAATATGTATAGNTGGCATGCACGCCCCAAATGGCCTTACACTGGTCACCTCAATGCAACAACTGCTCATCCCATTCTGTTCATCGGAAACACAATCGACAACGTTACGCCTATTCGTAATGCTTACAAGATGTCGAAGAGTTTTCCTGGCTCCGTCGTTCTACGTCTAGACGCAGAAGGACACGGTTCTACCGCCAGCNNAAAAGGTGAGTTGTTACTGTGCACGAGAATTCATAACTGTCTTCTGACCAGAATCTCTTTCAGCTTCTGCACTACTAGGGCCGTGAGGACGTACTTCCAGACCGGAGAGCTGCCAAAGGAAGACACTGTATGCATGCCCAACAGAGTCCCGCTTGATGGGTACAGCGAGGAGATGGACCCTCCTCTGCCCGAGGGCGAGACCGATGAGGAACTGTGGAAGGCTATCGTTGGTGTCGACTATCCTATTCCAGTGATTCCGGTGCTCTGATCCGGAACAGAAGCGCACTAGAACTTTTCCCACCCTACAATTCGCGAAGCAGATCAAGAAAGTACGAGTATGAGTAGCAAGAATGAATACGACCACGTTTTTGTGTATATCAGCATCCTTTCACATCAACATACCCTTCGTGAAAGTCGCAAGGATGTGGACTAGCAGTCAAGCGTCACCTCTACGTCATCCTAGTATATTGTTAGTGCCCTTCTCGCATTTACATCCCTGCAACCATGTAGCATTTTCTCATATCCCGGGTCATCGCAGTCGTAGAAGACCTTACTGAGAAGAACATTAGGTGGCTCAAAGTTACGATAGACTGATTGTTGCACAGTGAAAAGTCAAAATTCGTGCATACCAACCCTGTGTAAGTGAAATTCCTGAATTAAGTGTCATCGAAGCTTTTGGTCAAGACTGATCTGCAGGCGGACCTAACTTCCGTTCGGATATCAAGGAGACCCCGTCAGAATATATTGAATATGACCTTTAGACGACCTCATCCCGCACTTTCGTCTTTGCTTTCATTTGTGACCCGCTCACCTACGTTGCAATGACAGAGAAATACTTCGTGCGACCATAATTTGTTCTGCTTTGTCATGTATAGATGATAACACTCGGAGGTAGCGGACGAATATGTACACTCTACCCGTCACCATCCTCAAGTCCCTGTGGCACTTGATATCCTTCAACTCCTTCTCATTAACTCAATCTTGCAAACACCTATCACAGTTCTGGACTTGAAGTCGTTCTATACCTATAAACTTTACACAGCATGCCAGGAGTCAATGGCTTTTCACCCCAGGAGATTGCAGGCCTGACTTCTCGAGCGGGCATTGCGAAATCTCATCTCAGATGGGGCGAACTGATTGTCAAATCCTTTCTCGGTGGCGTCTTTATCTCTCTCGGCGGTCTTGTCGACCTCATCGTCTTAGCCGGTAGTCCAGGTCTACGGTCTTCAAATCCTGGACTCGCAACACTCATCGCCGGCTTCACATTTCCTCTGGGCTTCGTGCTCATCACCCTCACGAATATGGAGTTGTGTACAAGCAACATGTTTGTCATGCCCTTCACCGCCCTCCAACGCAAAATCTCCATCTTGGATATGGTCAAGAACCTCGTGGTTTCGTATCTTGCGAACCTGTGTGGTTGTTTGTTCGTCGCTGGCTTTTTGGGCTGGTGGAGCGATGTGTTCGATACAGATACCATGAGCTCTTACACCGTCACCCAAGCCGAAAACCGCGTCAATGTGCAATGGTCTGTCAATTTGCTCCGCGGCGTCGGTTGCAATTTCTTCGTTGCAATGGCTTTCTTCTTGTCCATTGGAGCTGTGGAGTTTGTGTCCAAGGTCTACACCATTTGGATCCCTGTCTGGGCTTTTGTCATTGCTGGATATCAACACAGTATCGCCAACTACTTCTTGGTACCTATCGGCATGTTCTACGGCACAAATTTTGGAGTTGGAAAGTTTATCTATCAGAGTATCATCCCTGTTACTATCGGCAACCTGATCGGTGGTATTGTTATGGCCAGTGTACCGTTCTGGTACTTGTACGGAAGAGAAGAGCAGGTGGCACCGAGTGTGCAGACTGGACAACCTGTTGCTGAAGATGAGAAGGTCAAGAAAAGAGGAAGCAGAAGTCCGGATAGCGATGATGAGACTGTGTTTAGTGGACAGGGATCGTCGAGTTCTGGGTTGAGATATGATCGCACTGACATGGCTCAGGCTGCTTGAGAAGCAAGTTGGGATATAAGAGCATGGATGTATTGTAGAGGTGCTTGTTTCATGATAAGACGACTATTTCGATTTAACTGCGAGGCAACGTGATTATGATGATGATACACAATAGAACACATACACTTTTTGATTACTCTGCTATTCGTCCTGATAAACTGTCGTTGTTGCGACAGTCAGTTGTCTAGATGAGTAACGATAGTGTACGACCATCTCCATCGTTCATGCACTTCAGTTGGATTGAACACATACCTCGAGAAAACGCTCACAGCTCATCAGCGGCAGAGTTCCTGCAATAACGTCTAAAAAAAAGAAGTCAGATCAACACACACACTTACAATTCCAACAAGGGTAATTTGGAAGATGTTAACAACAAGATAACAGATGGCATAGACAAGGATATCGAAAAGCAGTAACTAATGAAGTCCGCTTTCTCCAGTCTCAGCCATGAACTTCTGGCACTTGACTAACGTTTCAACCATCTTTCCTACTTCCTCGAGCCTGCTCAAGACAACCTGGTTGCCCTCGACAAAACCATAGCACTCATACTTGATGGTAGTCTTGTCGCAAAACTCGCGAACCAAAACTTGCAATCTTCGCAGATTGTGACGAGGCACACGAGGGAAGAGGTGATGGATAGCTTGGAATTGCAAGCCGCCATGCAAGAAATCTAGCCAGGCGGGGCAGTCGATATCCATAGTGGTGCGTAGTTGTCGCTGCGGGAAGCTCTCGGTAGGCCCGAGATCTGCTGTTGGCATACCCCAATGGCTCAGGGTGATTTGGACGTGCAAAAGCATGGTGATACAATGAGAAATAAGCACGAATGCAACTCTGATAGGCCAGGTAGGGAGTGTGCACCAGAGAAGTCCATAGCCAAAGACAGTCCAGTAGCCAGCCATGAAGAGGATTTCGACAGGTCGAGTCCACCAAGCGGAACCTAGGTTGGCGGCACGAGGTGACATGAGGTGCAGCCAGGATAGCAGATACAAGTTGAATCGCGCAATCGCCATAACAGGATAGTAGGTGTACTTCTGGTATGGCACAAGGAAATCGGCGGCAGCGTCCCAGACAAAGGTGAAGTTGTAGAAGGTGCTCAGAATAGAGCGGAAGTAGGTGGGCGATGTGGCGAACAAAGGGACATTCTGAAGATCAGGATCATGTTCTGGCATGTTTGTGATGAGATGGTGGACGTTGTGCGAGCTCTTCCACCACCCAATACTAAGGCCACAGCAGAAGTCGGCAATGAAAGCACCAATTAAAGTATCAGTAATAAAGTTGCCAGTGATGCCACGATGGCCAGCATCGTGAGCAGTAAACATGATTTGTTGCCAGAACATGCCCAGGAAGCAGGCGGATGTGAGATACCACTCGGCACGGAGGAAGTAGATGAAAGTGCCGAAGAGCACCGAGTAGCGAATCAACTCCTTGCCATATTCGGTGTATGGGCAGTTGTAGAAGCCTTCGTTCTTGACACGTTCGTGCAGAGCACGGAAGTCCATAGCGATAGCCAGTTGTGTATGTTCATCGACTGAGGGCATGCTGGCAAGCCCCTCAGTAATCTCTTTCTGTTCCATGGCCGAGGTGAAGGCCATGCGGGACGAGTGCTCTGCCCTCAGAGCATTTGCCTTGTTCTGTGCCAAGATGGCCTCTGTCTCATCGAGGACCACGTCTCCTTGTGTCTTCTCATCGTAGGGAATGTCGTCGTGCTGACGGATGGCGGCGCGGCGGATGGGCGGCTCCAGGTTTCTCCAGGGCTGGGCTATCCGGCCGATCCGGTATGCTCTCATGCGTTGGAGGGTGTGTGTAGAGTGATNAGCTTAATTCATGTCAGCAACCTAATCTGATCAAGCCTTGTGGGCAGCCAATAGCCGTCCCATGCTACTGGACCAATCTCGGTACGCATCATCAACGGTGCATGCTTGTTGTCGATGTTGTTATTTTTGGACAAGACCCCGGGACCCTGAGACCCTGACCCCAGAAAATCATGCGACAGTTGACCATGCACAAAAACGTCAAGCGACCATCTCGCAGCAGAACATCATCCAGAGAATTGAAAGACAAACTTACACGTTGATCTCGTCGGTCGCATCTCTGCCGACCATATGGAGGATAGCGAGCCGACCGCCAGGATGTTTGTCGAGCCATCCATCCAGCTTGAGGACGTATCCTTCGTGGACGACGATGATGTGACCTTCGTCAATCGATTGCTCGATGGCCGCCGTCGAAAGAGTCTGGTTGCGACTCATCATACCAATGCAGAACGAATAAGAATATAGAAACAGGAAGTGAACAGAACTCAAGAGATTGACAAGGAAGGCGCGACCTACGTACTGCGCCCATTACTTATAGGAAGACTCCGAATTGTCAAATCTCAGTGACATCGCCTATGGAGACCTGCGCACTGCATGGAACAACACTGCGCCCCAATTTCAACCAAATCCTGCCTCCCTGCTCCTGGAGGATCTGCCAAAGAACACGAAACTTATCCACAGGGTCCCAAGGGTCTCATGCCAAGGGTCTAGGCTTGAGGTGCAACTTCCACCAGACACGCGCGTCTGTGTGCGAATGTGCTAACCGACGCCCTGTCCTGCCGTGCTGGAAGATGCACGGTGATCTTTGACGACGCTCTGTCTTTGAACAATTGCCCAATGTGCATCTCGTGAGTTCTCTAGGTACCAGAGTTAGCCATACAAAACATGCTTGTTGCAAAATGATTGGAAAAAAGCAAGGAAAGAAACATGACCGATACGGACTGCGTAAAGGAGATACGCAGATCTGGTTCCATCTATTCTCTAACATCCTCGAAACAAGATTGACAGGGACTGAATACGGCGAAAGGGGGAACTTAAGACGACGTACTCCATACGCTCGTACTCTCTCCATTTAGATTCGGGAACCACTCCGCAAAAACATGAAACGAGTCGGACACGGACCTCTTACCCGCAAGCAAACACCGCTTTGGGAAAGTCGCTTGAAGACGGCACAGCGCAATAGTGGCGGGATGTTGTTGAATCGCTTAGTGGACGTGGCGGGGCATTGCCGTCTAGCTCCCTCCTGGAAACCTCTGTCTTTGTTGATCGAGACCCAGACGTGTCTTCTGTTTGGTCGACCACGATTGTGGCAAGATCTGATATTGATACGCTTGCAGATCGATCATTAGGAATTTAAGACGCATGGCCGAAGCATTAGCATGCATACAAGGCCTGGACCACTTCCTTTTGGACACAAATCGGTATACGAACATTGACCAGCCTTGGCAAAAGATGCATTTAGACTCTTTACGCGAATCCCAAACTGTGATATACAGTTTACTGCCGGGTATCTGCGACTTGGAGCCAAACACATGCTCGGAGTACTTGATGCCCATCAAGACCACACTCAGTGATTGTGAAAGTCCAGCCAATACCAATAGCGCGGACAGTTGGTGAGACTTCAGCTGTGTCTCCGGCACCCAGTAGGCAACGTATAATGTTCAAAGCCGCAGTGGCTGAGGCGCTTCGATCAGGAGAGATCAACCAGAAAGGTCGATTCGATGCTGTTTATTGAAGTGGCTGCCCAGCCAATATAGAAGAGCGAAATGAAGAATACCGAGACATGAGTATTTCTATCCACGACCCAGCTTAATACTAGAATGGCCACGCATTGCAGGCAGATTATACGTATTCGGACCTTCTCAAGGGGGGAAGTTGGACTCAGGTCGAGCGACGGCCTAAAGAATCTGCCAATGTTCCTCCGACCGAAGGTCCTAGGGCGACCGGGAGTAGGAGCTCTGCCTGGAAATATCCCATATACCCACCTCTTTTTCACGAGTCGTGATATCGCCTACGACACGAGCACCAATGGCAATAGTACTTGCACTTCCAGTACTTTGCAAGCAACGAAGCACTAACAATTGAGCATAGCTTCTACTCTGAACTAAGCCAATGCAGGCGGCGACGAAGATCATGAAAGTCCAGATGGATAGACACGTCTCCCATAGGTATCCGAGATGGCGCCCCATATATGGGCGAAAGATCTTGAAATATGAGATAGCCCGTCACTGTGAGATCATGCGCGATGGTGGGAATGGACGGAAAATAGATGTTTGAGGCGAATCCTGAGAAGGTGACCGCAACGATCACCAGCAAAATAATCCATAGCTTCTGTCCTGGTAGAGTACAGACTGAGAAAGAGGATGGAGGTGTGTCCTGTCAGCATGTGCGACTCGGCAATTACAGTCCCGGCCCGGGGCCCTCGTCGGTCTTGGCATCATCATCGTCCTCTGTTTGTTCAAGATTGATGTTGTCGTTGCAATTGTCATTGCTAAGAGAAGTCATGTTTGATTCAGCCTTGACTTCAAACATGTTCTATTACCAAAACAGTGTATGAACACCGTCAGTTCGTTGCTTGGTATTCAGGAGAGCCCTTCTCTGCTGAGAACAAAACTCGGAGCGAGTCGGAGCTTTCGACGCAACCTCCGACGATGCTCATACAAGATCTGCTCGGTGGTTCTTGTCACCTCCGAGTTCACTCAACATGACCACTTCCCTGCACAATGAACCAAACAGTGCGTCAAAGAATGGCAAACGAAGACTAACAGATTACACGGGTCCCGACCGTGTAGTTTGCGACTCGTGTCATCGAAGAAAACTCAAATGTGACCGTGGGCATCCCTGTTCTCGGTGCATCAAGAAGCAAGTTGACTGCATTTATCCTCCACCACCAGCACGTAAGACGCACCCTTCAGGACCCGATTGGAGGACAATACTGGACGCTGTCGAACGCCCCGTAACGAAAACTTGGTCCGAGTATCAGTCATCTTTCTCAACGGTCGACTTGCTATGTCCAACTGATGTCGAGCGCGTCAAGACCTGCTGGCTTGAAGGGTTTGCTTCTGCTCTTGACCGGCAGCCCAAGACACTCGGCCCAGGAGTGACATTCTTTACACTTACAACGCTGAGATCATGGCCACGCATGCTCACACAGTCGGGTACTGGATCACCCCCTTTTATCCATCCAAGTCAGCTGCAAAACAGTGATTATCCACCTTCACTCGCAAGATGTGTCACCATCGCTCATATGTGGGCGAATCAGGCTGACGGAGGGGATATCGTGCGAGAGACCATACTCAGAGAAGCTCAAGCTTTGTTCGAGTCGGACGGATTGAACTCCAGCAATGATATGGAACGTCTTGTGACTTTGCAAGCATATTTGCTCTTGTGTCTGATGCTATTACCACCGTGTACAACGGAACCGATAACGATGCCTCACGAGATCAAGATGAACCTCCAAGAGCTTACCGCTCGAAGTGCAAAAGAAGGGCTACTCTGCCCTGCTGAACAGACCGGCAGTCGTCCGGATCACTTGTCCTGGATCCTCGCCGAAGCCAAACGCCGGACTCTTTACGCAGTGTGCATGTTCGACGATGTGGTGAATACGTTGAGCAACATGCCTTGCGTGCTCGGTAATGAATTGGGCATTCTGCCTATGACTTGTAGTAAAATGCTCTGGCTGGCTTGCTCGTCTCAAGACAACGGCAAATATCTCCAACCACAATACACAGGAGTGGAAGACATTGATCGCCAAGCAGACGCACAAGATTCAGTCGTTCGCAAAGAAGACGAGGTAAAAGTACACGAACGAGAAGATGTCACGGTCAAGGAAGAGCAGAGAGGTGACCATAAGCCTCAACAGCCATGATCTCCAAAACGAGCGATTTCCTATGTCACCCATGCTTGGAACCACGTGCTCCAAGCTCATCAAGGTGCAGCTGTTGCTCTCGGAAGCGTCCAATGCCCGGAGGCCGCCACATTCACTGCTATCCGCACCCAGATACACCTTCTAGCACAAACCTGGAGACACGGCAGATTGTATTGATGCGCTTGCTTTTCCGTAGCGGCTGACAACTCTTGTCTCCAAGGTGAGCACTACTGGAATATGCAGCATTGGATCTGAAAGCGTGTAGCGCGTTTCCTATCAGCTTGGTGCTGTACAAAGCGATCGAGGACCGATATGGAATACCGTCTGACTGTTGACGGGTGACTCGTTGAACGGAATTGCAGGCATCCGTTCTCCTGAAAGTCGATTTTAGTGAAAGTGTTTTCTAAATAGGTATAATAAAGCCTTAAGGACGATCATCGTGGAGAACATGTAAAGCTGAAACACCTTGGCAGTATAACCGAGTCCTTAGAAACAAAACCCTCGCCAAAACAACGTCAGTTTAGGGTAACAGTGGTCCGAATGAGGATGAACTAGACGCAAGGGCACAGCACTTTATCTGCATACTCGAGTCCCTGTTGTATAAAGCCCTTATAATCAGAGATATATACTTCGGTTAACAGCTAATCAACTCAACAAAGGGGAACATCATGCTAAAACCCTTTATAAGCAGGTTACCCATACCCATGGCGGTAATTCAGCCAAATTCAACAGTGTCTCCTCTCTTCTCACCTCTGTTAATTTTCTTAGTGTGCATCAGAGCACTTGATTCTTTTCTCCATTCCAAGACATGAAGCCCAGTGTTTCAATCATCGGCGCCTTTGTGGCACTCCTCAGACTCGTCGCATCTGACGCCGTTGTTGGATAAGCTGAAGGCTTTGCATACGGTGTTACTGGTGGCGGCAATGCCCGGCCTGACTATCCTGCTAACATCGATGAGCTCAAGTCGATGCTCACAGAAGATGTCGCTCGTGTGATTGTTCTCAAGGATACCTTCGACTTCACGAAGTCTGAGGGCATTGAGACTGGCAATGTCTGTCTGTCCTGGGGTGCTGGAAGCAAATGCCAACAGATTATCCAATCCGATTGTGGCAGCACCGCTTCTACGACGGCGACTTGGTGGAAAGCGCCTACTCAACCGATCGATGTTGCTTCCAATAAGACTATCCTTGGTGTTGGTGCTAAGGCTCTCATCCGTGGCAAGGGTCTAAGGTTCCGCGATGGAGCGACCAATATCATCGTGCAAAACATCCAAGTCTCAGAGCTGAACCCAAAGTATGTCTGGGGAGGAGATGCCATCTCGTTCGATGGTGCCGATCTAGTATGGATCGACCACGTCACAGTAAGTCAAGAGCTTCGATTTTGGTCGCTTTGCCGCTAACACATGCAGACTCACAATCCTGGTCGCCAACACTATGTCTTTGGTTTCAACCCCAGCAAAAGGATCACCCTCTCCAACAACTATATCAACGGCAACTCTACCTATTCCACTAGCTGCAACAACTACCATTACTGGAACTTCGAAATGGTCGGTACCGATGACCAAATCACCATGAAGGGCAACTACATGTACCGCACCTCTGGCCGCGCACCTGCTCTCAGTGGCGGCACACTCCTGCACGCAGTAAACAATGTCTGGGCCGACAATCAGGGCCACATGCTTGAAGGTGGAGATACCGAAGCTCGTGGCATATTTGAGGGCAATGTGTTTGACAATGTCAACACCGTTATTCAGAACGCCGCTTCCTACTCAGGAAAATTGTTTGGGACCCCTGTTGGAAGCGAGAGCAAGTGCCAAGCTGCTCTAGGTCGCTCCTGCCAGGTCAACTCTTACTCGCAGTCTACTGGCGCATTGGACACTTACACAGACACTTCATTCTTCGGCGACTTTTCTGGTCTGCACATTGCTAGTGCTGGCTCTGCAGCTCAAGCTGCTGCAAATGTGCCTGGCAATGCTGGTGCTGGCCGCATTCATCCATAGGTTGGAATGTCGGTGTGTTAGAAAGAAGAGAAGGCATGGTGAAGTCTCAATAGGATTTGACTATTTAGACTGTTGGTGGACTACTCCTTACCATGACTACTAGCAATATTCTGAACCATAACAAGAGTGTTTATTTTCCTATTTTGCTTAGCCTCTGGTACTAATTGGTATAGGAGTATCACCAAGTCGAGCCCATGTTTACGAAAACCATCGGCAGACGCCCTTCTGAATGCACAACGAATGTCTCATTGACAGTATGAGAACAAAATTCAGTACTGAAAAACATGCTTGGTTACCGACAGGATGACTACTTTATGGTGCCACGTTTGTTCAATATTACTCAATCTTCTATCGGAGAAGCATCGAACCTGATTGGTGTGATTGTCAAAGGGCGGATCTGGCAAAGGATTCTCAGCAAGCATCTCGTTCTTCTTTGTGAATGAACATGGCAAGCAAATCACACTCTCCCAATTAAGGTTCCTATGGGAGGTCTGCAGCTGGAAAGGTCTAAGGGTCACAGTAGTAGCAATCCATAAGCAAAGTCTGCTTAGAGCAAGCAACTTCTCTATGGCTCTAGGCTACAAAGCCGTCTTTGAGGCACCTAAAAACAACGAAGTCGACATTCCATTGAACAGAAGATAGCTCCGTGCAATCTTAGGCTACGATGGTGTCGTTAAGTCCAGTGAAGAGAGTCCAGAGCAAACGACGGCTGTTCGGCGACTAAGCAGAATGTTCCGGAGCAAGCAAGTCCAGCTATATAGCATGGATGCTTTCGATCCCGTCTAGGACAACCAGTCAGCAAATTCATCCAGCACCACCGCAATCATGAATCGCATACCGTGCCCTGGTCCTGAAACATACATCGAAGCAAAAAACGAGTCTGTCCAGCCCGCACCACCTCCTAACAACGAGCCCCCTGATTTTATCACCATCCGCTGGATGACCGAGTCGAACTATCCTGGCGGCAGCGTCTGGATCATGCAGCTTCTCGTCTTCGAGCCCAACGAACCCATCTTCGACCGCATGACATACGAGGACAACATGGTCTATTGGAGCCAAGACACCAGAACTCATCTGGAACGTGACGCTACCTGCGCTTCTGTGAGTGTATTCTATGCTTTTGTTAGCCGCTCATGTTGCCTAACGACAATCTATAGNGCTGGCCTCCACAACAACTTCAGAGTCTTCGCTAGCCCGGAGGACTCTCCCGATGAGGACGCAGCTGAGGTAAGCATTCTTCCTGATCATAGTCAATAGAGAGAGAAACTGATAGCGTCAGGACCAGGGTTCCGAGGCATAGTCAACGCCAGGTCACCGACCACCTTTCGGGAGTCTGATGGACTGAGAGCAAGCTGAGCAATTGCAGTAATGTATAATTAGCATCAGAGCACCAATGAGATGAACACATGGAAACCATGAACCTGACAAGCGTCTCTTCGAATTCGTAACTCCAAACAAGACTCACTGTCAGAATTCTGCTATCGTAATACACAGTAGTTTCTTGAATATACCTCTGACCAAGGAGAGCATAGAGAGGTCGACACTCTCAGTGGACGCTTGTTCAACTCTGAAGAATTTGTGTATTTTGATGGCAGCATTTTCAATTGTATGCTCAAAGGAGATATACGTAAAAGACACGACTGACCTAGACCTGATCTACAGTTCTCAGAGATGCCCTGCTTTGGCTCGCATGCTCCTCGAGAGACATACAATCAGTGCAGTAGGGATGCAAAGTATCGACCAAAAGTGGTTGGGACGGACTTCACATGTCAAGGTGAGCATGGCGTTTTGCAAACCGGGCTGTCGGGGATGGTGACATGATGGTCAGAATACTTTATAGGCTTGGTGTATCTGTACATGTGCATTCACGAGATTGTCAAAGAAGATAGGTGGACTTGACTCGCAAGGATATGCTTGACTTTTTGATGACCCTTTGACAGAAAATGACGCGGGCAACCCCGGACGGATGATTTCTGAATGCTGAGGGGTGACCTCGTCCGAGAGTCGCTCTCCACGCCGTCATAACCAACGCATAACGCTGACCCGAGTCGTCGCACTGCATGCCGCCATTGGTAGGCACCCTCCGAGCAATCAACACCCAGGTACATCGTCGACGGTACCTCAATTTCCAATACCATGGCAGGCGGTGATGACGCCCCGGCCAGTCCACTGCCTCCGAGACGCCCTCCTCTAGGCCATCGACACTCGAGCACATCGTCGCATGTCTCGCAGTCCCCGAGCGACTCGACCACCAAAGGCCACCACAAACCTGCACATCACAAGCCCCAGCGACATGTCGTCAGCCATCACAATCGCATGGGGTCGCGCAATCCTAGCTTCCATCGTTCTCTGAGCAAGATCAAGATTCAGCAACACGACCAACGCCAGCACGACGACGACGAGCCCCCGACGCCAAAGGCGAAACAACAGGCCTCGGTAGCCTCACAATCCACCCTGGTACCGCCCAGTCCATCTAGGCCCAACATGAGGCGCAACAACACGACCGTTCACCTTCCACGCAACCACTCACATGCTGGTCTCAAGAAAAACCTCTCCAGTGGCCAATTGTCTCGTCTTACTGCTGCGAAAGGCACTGTACATGGTCGCAATGCCAGCCAGCATCAACGACCCGATATTCGACGCGCCCACACGCAACCATACAAGCGATCAAAAAGTCCTGCGCCCAAGGCTGCTCAAGTATCCTTCGATGTAGGCGACGATGACGACGACGATGATGCTGAAGAGATGGAAGGTGTCGATGATCAGTGGACAGAAGAGAGCGCATCAGCTTCACCCAGTACCACACGCGACAACACACGGAACAACACGCGCCAGAACTCGGTCGTCCTTGATCCCAAACAAAACCCCTACGCTCGCCAGCTCGCCGACGAAGAAGCTGCTGCTGACTCTTCTGGAAGCGACACTGTTGGCTCGCGTAGTCCGCCCAAACCTGCCAAAGCTCCCGTCTCTCTCAGCATTCGGACCAAGGACTTTGCTGCTCCTCAAGCCGCTCCTACCTCAGCACCACAGCAATACCAACAACAACAGCAACCTCCAACCTCATCTTACAATGCTCAGATCGCACAGCAGCACATGCCTGATGCTGATGCTATAGCTCGTCGTCTACTCGAGAGAAATTCTGCCGTAAATGCTGCGCCACCGAGGGTCTCGTCCGTTTCAGCTTTGGCAAACCCAAACTCTGGCGACCCAAAGAGCTTGTCGACTCCAAATGCTGGCTTGTCTGTTACAGGTGGCTCCAACACACCAGTCGTCTCACGCTTCATCTCAAACGATGGCATCAACAGTAAGGATGGGACGCCAGCCGACCTGTCGGGCTTCATACAAGGCGCCAAAGGTCATTCTCGGACCGTCTCACAAGCTCAGACACGCAAAGAACAATCAGACCTTTATCGTAACCAATCTACCCCCAACTTTGCCTCACAGAAACAACCGCCGACNCCCTCGGGCTCTGGTGCTGTCACCCCAGACCCGGCTCTAAATCAGAGCAGAACACAACAAAAACTATGGCTACAACGTGGTCTCTCCAATATTGAAGCCAGCTCACAGCCCCACCTACCTGGTCTGCTACCAACAGGCCGTGCTCAAGCCATGCGCACCCCGCATGCCGGCAAACAGTTTGAGTTTGTTGACAAGGAGTGGGCCGTCGTGCGTCGCTTCCAAAACCCACTCGATGCAGGCCTCGAACGACTACGGAAGATGAATGGAGGCTCTTTACCAGGGCGACCAGCCAAGTCCAAAGCAGGCGCAGCACAACAACACACCAATGGCGGTGTCAATGGCCATAGGAGAGGACACTCCAATGCCGCATCTATTGCTAGTAAGAAGAGCGATGCTACCGTCGTCTCAGGCCCGGAGCACCCGGCAGCAGGCAGAAAGTCTCGTGTCAGCTTCCACATGGGCGATGCTGAAGGCGATAACGACGACGATGAGCATGAAGAGCACAACTCACGTTCTGACCGCGAGAACCCTGCAGACATCGCTCGCAGGTTATGGGATTCGCCCGTCGGTATACAAGTAGAGGGGTAGGAGGAACTCTACGACTTTTAATATGCTGGGCCATCTCTTCGTCGCTCATCATTAACTCTTCCTCAGTCTTCGTTTCAGTCTATTCTGACATCTTTGCCTCATTTCCACACTCTCTTCTGCTTTTTAATATTTCGGTCGGCTCTGGTGGTATACATGCATCTGGCGTGGCGTTGGCTGGTCGTTCTTTGTCTTTGACATGTCCTTTTCACATGTCTCTTTTCTTGGGAAAGTCAATTGAACACATTTTTCTGGCAAGCAAACAATTTTCTCTCTTGTTGACAACATCGATCGGTTTGCGCAAGCGCGCATAGAAGTGTGAATGGTTACTTCTTGGCAACTCCAGGCAATAAAAACCCGTTTCCAAGACTTACTTCTACAAGCCACGATCCGCTTGCACAAAAGGTTGGTTGAGGTATGGCGGCCACGATGGCTGTAGTGCGAAAAAGTCACCAGACCAAGACTAGAGATCCAGGCACACGACGACAGCGATTGGATGCGCGATTTGTGCCGAGTCGAATTGTGCAAAAGTCTGTCAGTCTGTCGCAGCACTGGGATTTGTACGATGCAAAATGTAATTTCCGCATGGCAACGTGAATGACAATCGAACACAGATGCCGCATACCTGCCTATCTTGCAACACCGGTGACGATGATATCTAATCATTTCTTCTCGATGCTTCCGGTGTGAGAATGGTATAAGGCCGACCTGGCAGTTACTGCGCAAAAAGTCGTTGACCGGGTGTTCTGGGTTGCCTTTTTCTTTTCGCTTCTTCTTACACTTGCCTTCATAGCAACCACACCGGAACGTAGCCACAGACCCGTCGTCTAGGTTTTGTGAGACGGTCGTGAGGGTGTGGGGCAGTCAGGACACTATTGCCTGTAGTTCTACAATCCCACGAGTCGGAGAAGCTTGTCTCTTCTTCTTTCCTTTCGACCATGAGAAGAGAAATTTGTTGAATAAAATTCTATTGACAAATGTCTCAAGTGAATGCGTGTACACCGCCGGCATGTCACGATGGAAGACTTGCTTTCTAGTGGTAAGTGGCATAATCTTGATTTGCACATAAAGCCAATTTCTCTTTTCTCTCCTTTTGCCGAGGAAGCAAACCAATCTCTCTTCGCAGTATAGAAAGAGGGGTAGGTATTTCGAAATTTCGCTGGGCGATTCAGTCGTTGCAAAATGACGGCTTTCGCAATTTCGAATTTGCGAGTGATGCGTGAACTGTTGATCTTTTCATTTTCGATAGCATGGTCGTTGTTTGCCCGCGCCCGTTTTCTGTTGCGAGACTGTTGGCCTTTCTGTTCGTTTTCCCCCACATGTTGCTGCATGGAAGAGGTCAAAGTTGCTGCAGCGCAGGCGAGCACGACCAAGAGTTTCCGATGTGACAAGACACAAGCGCCAGGTACCAAAGTCTAATGGTCGCACCGGTTCGATCTAGCGCCCGCCTCGTGCATATCTTGTATGAAATGAGGTGCGATACTAGGCCGAGAATGGGTGTTTGCGACCAAGCGCATACCGGGAAATGAGATTGAGCACGTTCTCTGCCCTGCTTGTGCTCTCCACACGACCAACCTGTCCTCGTGCCCGCGGCTAAGATTGAGAACTCAGGTAGGTCAAGATGAAATCGGGTTGGTATATCTTGCGGGGACCCTCTCGTATCGCGCGCCTTCCCTTCCTTCCTCTATCGATACACAGTCTTTCCAGCTGCAAGACAGTAACAGTCACTCTTTCCTCTTGGATCTATCTGCCAACTGCGAGCTGAGCTCTGCCACCACACTCTTTACTCCATCATCAACACTAGCCAATCTCAGCGGCCCATCATCGACATTCATTGACCAAGCATCACCGCCATCCTTTGGACACATACAATCACCACACGCTATACAATCATCAAACATATCAGCCAGCCACAATGCAGTTCACCAACATCCTTCTCCCTCTTCTGTTCGCCATCTCTGGCGCCAACGCCCAGCAATCTAGCGATGTGACTTCCGTCCAGACTTACTACACCACCGTTACTGTCAGCCGTGTTGTCGAGACCACTACGTGCACTTCGACCACTACTCCCGCCGCCGCCGAGTCCACCACTTCTACTAGCGAGACTCCTGTCGTCTCTACTTCTTCTGAGGCTCCCGTCATGTCTACTTCTGAGGCCCCTGTTCCCACCAGTTCGCCTTCGACCTCATTCACCACCGAATTGCTCACCCAAACTGTCCAGAAGATCGCAGCCAGCCCTGTTGTCTCTTCATCCATGGTTACCGTCTACCCTGTTGCTGCCAGCGCTTCTGCTGCCATGCCTTACGCTTCGACCAACGGCACTGGTGTTGCCATGGCTTCTCCCACCATGACTCACTACACTGGTGCTGCCTCTGGCTTGACTGTTCAGTTCGGCGCTGTTGCTGTCATTGCCGCCGTCGCTGGCGTTGCTCAAATGCTCTAAGCAACTGAACCACCGCAATCTGCTCGTCATCGCTTCTTTACCTTCTTGGAAAATGCCCCGTTACGTCAGGCTCGAAACTCTTCAGCCCACCATTACCCTTACCTTTTTGTATAATGTTTTCTTCCGCCCCTCACATATATTGAGGGGTCGTTGATGATATACACCCTTTCTGTTTTTCGCCATTTCTTTTGTCTCTTCTAACGACTTCTACCAACCTTTTACCACACAACCCTTCTCAATCACGAAGAATGACACAAAAGCGAACAGAACGGCGTTCGGAGACAAAGTCTTCTTTCTTCTTTTATTCTATCGGCGGAAATACTCTTGGGCTTCGATGTTTTTTCTATCTTTCTATTCTTATATTTACTTATCCTCTGATTCTCTTATCAATTGGTTCATATGTCAAACATATCATTTACTCAAGAGCCATCTCCATACTTCGATCTACTCGTGACAATACTATATTTCCAGTGGCGTCATCTGTTCATAAAAGCTTCCAAGACCCTTTGGAAATGAGGAATGCAGGAGCGTTTGATTCTGTAACAACTTTCGTCATAGGAAGGCCTTGTTATCCACGATCGATGGCACAATCGTCTATTGATCGACCAACATACCTCGACGTCATCAAGTCAACATTGTTCACCATGTGTTGCTGTTGTCATTGCTGCACGCCTGAATGATCAGCAGATCTGCTCGGCTCCACGATCCAGCTGTCTAGAATAGCAAGCGTGGTATTCTTGACTTGAAACAGAGCATACGCACTACGGCTGTCAGAGATCTTGTTATTTTTGACAGGTGATGGATTTGGATTTTGGTTGTGCTGTTTGATCTTCTGGAGGGGGGAGTGTTTCAGGAGGTGGGAGTGTTTTCGGTGTGCTGTTGCTGTTCGTTGAGAACAGGAGACGAGACGTCTTATGAACCGACAGCTGCAGAACCTCGAAACATCGGTTTTTCTCTGAATATGGCAAAGCTGAGAACAGTTCAGCCCTACATATGACTCGGATCAAGAGTTCTGGAATGGAGAAAGCATCAGGAGTTGATGGTTGAATAAAGTAGAGCAAGACTATGTATGTTGCGGATTCTGTATATCCAGACTACCGTGAATTCTACCTGCTTGGCCTGCAGCAACAGAAACCAATCACAAATTCAGCGCCTAGGTGATTTCATCTATTTCATGCACAATACCATCGTCTGTCGCAAAACAGCAAGTGAACTCATATCCGTACGCGCCATATATGTAGCAATGCTGCCCATGGTTACTGCTAATGCAAGATAGCCGCTTGGGAAAAGCATCATGGCAATCGTGACGGCTATGAAGAACAACAAAACCAGCAGTTGGCCTCGAGATGTCTGCGAGATGGTTCGGTCCCAGAAATCAAGCAGTCAACCTCACAATCATCGATGATCATTAATTATGGCTCTTTCAATATCACTCCTCACCCTATCCCTCCTCATAAACCGTTCCTTACAACAGAACTGCTACTTCCCCAATGGAGTCATTGCAAGAAACGACTACCCTTGCACCGATCTAACCAACAACGACCCTGGTATCCAAATCCACTGCTGCGAAGTCGGCAGGACATGCCTCCCAAACCGCATGTGTTCAGGCAATGACAAAGACCCAAATCCCATGAGAGGCACTTGCACAGATTCCACCTGGAACTCTCCCAACTGTCCGAAGTTTTGTACGCCATGTGAGTTTATGTTGCCATGCCTTGTTCTTATGGGGATAAAATTGGCTGATTTCTGTACAGATTCGAGATTGGGCAAGATGTATGATTGCACTTCCACGGCGGGAGTTTTGGAAAATGATGATGTTGCGTTTTGTTGTGTGGATAGTGGACCTAATTGTTGCAACAATCAGAGCCAGATCTTTGTCGCCAATGACTGGAATTTTGCGGCTTCTGCGGCTCTTGTTGTTGAGACGAAAGAGTCCAGGACTTCTTTGGCGGTGTCGACCGTGACGAAGGTCTCTGACACGGCGAGCTCAAGCTCATCAACCACGGGACCGTCGTTCTCGAGCTCCTCAACTGCTCTATCACCAGCTGCTTCAGAATCGACTATCGGGATATTCAGTACGGCAACCATCACGAAAGGCAATGAGAATGCACCTTCCAACATACCCACACCCGCAGCCGCAACAACCAGCACAGCACCAGCAAACCCCCAAGGTTCGAAAAGAGATTGGACAGGCATAGGTATAGGAGCTGGCGTTGGCGCTGCCATCCCTTTGCTTGCATTGATAGTCGTCGGTGCTCTGCTCTGGCGTCGCCATCGCCGTCGCCGTGCGCTACTTAGATCACCTGTGACGAGTGGTTATACACGAGATAGTGCTTCGACAGGGACTACGAAGGAGTCGTTGGTACGCAGTGCTAAGCCTGACCATCTCAAGGGATACGAGTCAGGACAAGTACACGCATACGAACTGGATTCCGTGCGCGAAAGGGCAGAGTTGCCGCTGAAGAGCCCTAGAGAATTGCCAGGATCGGAGNNGGGGGAAAGGCAGAGATATCAGGCTTTTCAACCACGAGATGTCGGTAATCCTCATCAGCCAGCGTAATGTGGATAAAATAGAAGGCCTGCAGGCGTCTTACAGTTTTTAGAATGAAGTAAATTGACAAGTGTTACAACGGATATCAGTGCATACACCTAGACCTCAGGCATTGGCTTCTCGGCGTCTAATGAATAAGCCTCGAAAGGTACCCCTCTCATGACCGTCTCGCCGCGGCCATTGATCTCATACAGCTGTGGCTCAAAACCCTGAACACTGGCCCATGCTGAAAACAAACGACGCCAATAACATGCCGTTGCTGCTTGTGTCAAGTATCGTTCATGGAAGGTCTTGTAGTTGTTTTGGGCGATTCTTTGGGCCTCGTGCTCATGAGCCATGTAGTATTGCATNNCTGGAAAGTTGATTGTCAGTATAGATGTTTTCGTGAACAGGCATGGGAGTGACATTACCTTCTCGTCAAGGTCTGACCAATCAGCCTCGACCTCAATGTAGTTTTGCTGCGGCCCGCTGGAGATCATAGCCCCATGGTGATGTTCCAGCCACTTCAACTTGTGAACAACAGGTGCACTGTTGCAGAGCTGCAAGTACTTCAGACGCCCAGAGTATGTGTAGCCCTCTGTATGGAGAGGGAACTTGTAGCGGCAGAGTTGATCTTGCGTCATGCAATATTGCTTGGTTTCGGCATTGTAAATGTCGCAGACTCTGACGTCTCCCCAAGTTGTGTCTTTGGCTGTAGCGATGAGCTTGTTTCGAATACCTTGGTTCAAGCCAGCATCCCCTCGCCAAATGGCTTTGTTGAACTTCTTCTCCCATGGGAAGGCAGCATTGACTTGACGCACATTGCGGCGGACTTGGCCATGGCTCGCAACGCGTGCTGTCGGCCATGCCCAGTATGCATAATCGGGAAGAAGCCAGATGTGTCTTTGATGGGCAAGTCTGGTAAGTCCCCACACCGAGGTTTTGTTCGAATCTTTGCCGTGCGCGAAGTTCAGCGGTCGTTGAGGGTCGTCATCGAGGTCGAGCACGAACTCGATGTTGGGAACGGAGCCCGGAGGCGCGGTGATAACGGATTGGTGGATCATGTGTAGGAAACCGCTTGTTCTCTCATGCCAGCGTTGCATCCAACATTTCTTGTTTGTTCGGCCTTGGACAATGAAAAGCTGCGATGGCTGAGTTAGACCACTTGTTCCAGTGACATATTAACACATCATCTGTTTTCTCACCTCGGAATCGTAGATCAGTGCCCGAACAAGACATTTGTCATCCTCAATTTCGAGTTCGTCAAGCCGGATTGGATTGCCCTTGCGTGAGAGCACTGCTGATTCTATATCGCCATAGAAGTTTGGAAAGGCTGCATCACATTGTTGCGACGTGAGACCATAGTTTGCAGAATCGCGAGGATACTCGAACTGCCAGCCTCCGAGTGATGATCTGTGAGACAAGAGCCACCAAGTGCCCACCAAGCCAAGAANGAGTGTAAGAGTCGTCCTGTAACTCAGGACAGACGGAGAAGGTGCCATTGCAAATTCGGTCGCTCTTGTTCTGCTGAAAGAAGATGTCGAATGAAAGAGAAAACATGATCGGGAGGCAAGGTAATAACTACTCACCCATCTTCCCCTATTGAGACGGGGGTTTTGGGATGAGCGTCCAATCTTGATTCTTCGGGCTAGACTGGAGACATCTCTCCTAATAGCTCGATGATAACGTTGTATGCCCCTCGATCCTTTACATTGATGTCTCTGTTTCGATTTTGTATGCAACAGGATGACCACATGATGTTCTCTGGACAGAGGCACCTTAGCAGACGCAAAAATCGGTACCATGGTGAAGGCAACGCTGCAATCAGCCAAATCCACTCACGACCGAGGCACGGTTGGTTCTTCTGATCAGGAACAACGACTTCGTTGCATAGTCAGGCGCAAGTAGGCAAGCCCATAACATTGATGTCGAGGTATCGGCCGAACGAGAGGGTGACCTTTCCTGTTTTGTATATTGCTCTAGTCAAGATCTAGGTTAGTATGATACGATCCTGGGGTCCTGGTACTTGGAGATATGAAACGGCGTTTTGATTCCATGATCTAGTAACAGACTGAGCGATAATGTTAAGCTTAAGTATCAGCAATGTTAATCTTCGAACCAACAGGACGACCAGGCTGATGATGATCCAGATAGCAAGCCTATGTTTGCATCTGTCGTATTTCATGAGATACGAGCGCGAAAAGAATTATTCGATTATCTGGATAGGTACCATTGTATGTGAGCTGAACAGCCGTTGCGACTATTCGTCCTGCAGGATCCGGAACCTGGTTGTGGCTGGCTGACATTTGACAGCTGAGCTTGTGTCGAGGTGGCGAGTCCCATGCCCCTGCAGATAAATATATACCGTCCAGGCACATCCTTTGAGGTGAAGCGTGATCTCTTGAGGAAAAGTTTCGAGCTCACCATGGTCAGTATTGATCAAAGAGTTGGATGTTTGACGGGAAAAGTCGCAATGCGGCAAAATGTCGGACAGAGGGCCACGCTCGAGGCTCAGCTCTGCACCTTCCTCCGCTCATGCACCACCGTTACCCAGCAGCACAAACTTGGGGCAAAGAGTTAAACCTGGAGACGAGATTCCAGCAGAAGTTCGTTGACTTGCTCGGGTATGATCTCGAAGAATCAGCTACGACACCAGTCTACCTCAATAACACTATCTACATCGCTCTGTCCAGCAGAAGCCCCTTTAACATAAAACTGCCTCACACAACCATTGTCTGCTGTGACTGCAGTTACAAAAGTCCAACTGATTTTCTGTCGCCCTTCTTCCAAAGCTGGCCGCAACCTCCCAAGACTATCCTTGAACTCGCCACCAGCACCTGGCATCTTTGCACCGGGATATGGATGCATTGTTCCCTCGACAAGGTTCATGTCTGGTAGACCACCTGGATACTGCACAATGCTGTAGCCGTTGGTAAACACTACATTATCGATGTAGCTGTATCGCTGCAGGAAACTGTCTACACCTGCGACATCTGTGACTAGGTGCGCAAGAGGTATAGGGAACTGGTGCCAGCTCTTCCAGTGATGAATGCTGAGAAGCGGATTGGGACTCGACTCATACCAGCCAGCCATATTGCCGAACATGTCAAGTTGATTGAGGCCGGGGAGTCTGGTGAGATGCACCGTAGGCGTGGTGACTTTGAAGACACAATCTCGCCATAATGCATCACCCCACTGTTTTGCCATGGGTAGGCACTCACGATGATTCTCGGCTAGGGTGGTCAGCAGAGGTCGGGAGAGGAATATCCCTGCTCCGCCCCATGCTTTGAACCCTTCTCTGCTTGTGCTTAAACGACGCTCACTCAAGCCGCCAATGTACCAAGGAAGTGACGGATCATAAGGAGTAAGCGATGCCAGCAATCGTGGCAAGGATGGAAAGAAGGTATCATCGTCTATGATTCCAACCCATTGTGTGTTTTCCGAAAGACTCTTGTGCAGGTATGTTGCCAGACCAAAGTTGCTCTCTGCCTCTCCTGTCATCGAAGGGTCCGAGACCAATGTGACATCTATCTTCAGCTCTTCGGCCAAATCCATGACAACTTGCAGATCGGTGGTCTTCGGATTCTTGTCACGAAGAACCACTACAAGATTTGTGTTTGTGTTGGCGAGCCATCGAGCCATCTCTGGTAGACTTTGTTTGATGCGTTTGATAGAAGTTGCAGCTCCGAGCATGAGCCTGCCAGTGTCTATCAAGGCATTGGGGCGATCGAGAGGTACATTGAGTATCTGTCCTTGTTGACATGCTCTGTTGAAGCCATCGTGTTCAAGCTGCTCTGCAGCGATCTGGTTGGCCTGCGTATCCCTCAGCAACGGCCAGCTCAGGCCGATGAGGGGCTGTCTTTTGGTGTCTTTGTTCGGTCTGGCGCGGGAACAGTATCGACGGTATTCTATCCTCGACGTGTTGAGCTTGAGCGACCGAATCACTTCAGCGTCTTGTGTTGCGCTCCAGATGGGACCAGCATTGGCTCCATATCCGTACTTTGGCAGAATGCGATAGATCCCATCTTGGAGATGGCGCAGGACAAACACAGAGACAACGAACACAGATATCCACAATGTTATGCGGCGGTCGCGTAGGTCAGATCTCATCTTGAGGATTTGATTGCATGATGGGTAAGGACGTGACTGCTCAGCCAGCCTCGAGATTTCGTTCCAGTACCCCTTTTCTAATCGATATGCATGTACAATCTCCACAGTAACATGGTGGCAGGTAACTTTTCAGTGAAGAGCGAGCAGGATCTCGGAGCTGGAAATGCAGCTGAGGGTAGATGCAAGCCAAACGGTTTGGCTGAACCCTAACACCAAGGATGTCATCACGATGCCAACAATTGCAACACGCGCAATGTGGATTTGTTCCTTGCTACATTCTTCTGATGTGCCTCCTTATTCAAACAGAGATTTTCTAGCCACGATCTAAGGGGCCTCCCAGTAGACTTGTATTTCTGTCATATGCCAAAAACGCCAAGATGACCGCTATGCTCGACAAAACAATGAGACCGCACTGATGTCCACCATATTTACAAGGTCGGTGAGTTGGTGTCGCTCTTTATTCTTCTTTCTTGTTGGACGCTTTGTCTCCGTCCTTTTCGGCCTTGCCTAGCTNTGCCTTTTGGCGCTTCTCCTGGAGATACTTCCAAGAACGAGTCGGCCCGCCAGTGAGAATTCCTTTCAGGGACTGACTGGTACTCGGCCAGCTGATTGTCTTTTTGATACAATCACCAACAGCTTCTGGAATGTCGTCCTGAGTGCCAATGCGACGTTCAAAGTCACCGCCTTCACGACGTCTGATGCTCATAGCATCTTCGTCTGTGGCTTCCTCAATGACTTTGTCGAATGCTGAGCCAGGAATCTGGAACTTCTTTTGGTAGTTCCAGTACAGTTNTTGGCGGAAACTCTTAGGAAGACGGCGAACCATGTTTCCTCGGCGTTTGGGGTCCATGTCTTGCTGCAACTTGAACCCTTCCAAACCACCGATGACATCCTCGGCCGGGATCGCTCGTCCAGAAGACGAGAGAGCATTGGCGATAGCGGCTTCAGTCTCCCAACCGTGCTCTACAGGGACCCTTGAGTCGTTGAAATTCACGTTGGGCAGATTCTCGATGAGAGGAACATAGAGTTGACGGAAGCTAGGCAGCTGTGCATCGACAATGTTGGAAACCTTGCGAGGGTTCTCACTTCCGAATCTAGGGTTCATCCTAGGGTCACCCATGTAAGAAATTCCAGCGATAGTTGTGTAGAGTTGTCTTTCAGTGAAATTCTCAGGCAACATCAGCAAAGCAGTGCGGACTGCAGACATAAGGTTGATCTGATTTGCGAGTCTGACCCTCGGGTCGTCTCTGAGGATCTTGACGGGCTTTTGAAGCCTACCAGCCATGTATAAGGTGTTCCATTCACTAAGATCTTGGCAGATGGTGTTGATGTTGACCACGCCGTATTTGATCATGACACCATTGACGGTGATGTAAGGGTTGAAGTAGACTCCAGCACCAATGCTATCCTGTACTTTCGAGACTGTCCAAGAACCCAAGCTCTTCAAGAAACTGTAGTGATGAGGGTTCTGGCGCATGTTGGTAGAATGCCAATGTTCTGTGTGAGAGACACCAAAAATAAAGTCGATAATCTTGCCGCCTCCTTCTTGCCATTTTGTGACGGCCTCGGGTGGGTGAGGGTGAGGAGAGAAGGATTGGGCGACGCTAGCTGCTGACTGGTTGGTGGACTGGGTGAAGACACCACTACCGTATGCGAAAGCGTATCGGATTGGGGCGCGGAATTGCCATAAGATTTGGCGCATGGCTTCTTTGAAGTCTTCATTGATCTTAATGTGTTGATTGGTGCCGAAGAAACGGTGGGGAAGTTGCGAGAAGGCGGTGATTTGTGAGTAGTCGGCGTTGTCCTCCCAGCCCTCTGGCATGGTCTGATTGGGAGTAGCTGCTGCTGACGATTGCGGAGGCGATGTAGCAGCAATCGAAGCCTTGGAGTCGGACTGGGATGAGGAGGATGAGTATGCAGAGCGAGCAACATGTTGTCTCAAAAGAGCATCTGTAGAACGAAGACGACTGTAATGCAAAGCAGGAATTGGCGGGCTACGGCCTGCCAAAAGCGGCCGGACTGGGCGGAAGACCTTGAGACTACATCAGTTTGGTTGAACACAGGAAGGGATTGATGCAAGCATACAGTAAGCATTATAAAAGCTATAGACCAAGTAATGGAGGGGTGTTTCAAGCGGCTTTTTTAATCGGAGTTCGTATATAGCGTAGGGCGTAGGACGAGAACGAGCATGTTTATTCAGAGATTCAATACATGGCTCAAGTCAGGAAGAAAAACAACAAGAAGTGGTTCCTACAGAGGAAGGAACAGAGGTAGAGACAGAAAGACAAGAATGCAAGTCAGGAACAGGAAGCAGCTGGAACCTTTGGAAAGCACAGCCGGCCGGACCACCTGCACCTGCACTTTGCGTCAGAACTCGGAAGCTGGGGAAAGAAGCCCCACGCGTGCCTGACGTCGCGCCTTGGCAATCACGTGTCAATCGGCAGCTAAGCTTTCCATCGTGTTTGTTGTTGATCGAGAGTCGAGACGAATTGCGACCCTGGCAGAGCTGCTTTATTTCTCGACCGTCTTGTCTTAATCACATCCACCAACACCCGCGTCGTCGCCGCCACAATGGCTGCCATACCGGGCCTGGACATGTCTATGCTGACATACTCTGCTCGACTGGCCACTTTTAACACCGAACATCAACTCACNAAAAGACGCGCTTCGAACCAAAAGAAGAAACAACCCTCGACCGCGTCCTGGCCTCACGAGTCGCCCTCCGGCGAAGAGGTAAAGGCTCTCTCTCGTATTACACGAATCATTCTGACTTTGACANNGCTCGCTCGCGCTGGCTTCTTCTTCAAACCCGCTCCCGACAGCGACGACAATGTCCAATGTTTCCACTGCGCCGTAAAACTCGACGGATGGGAGAGCCAGGATGTCCCCCTCCAGGAGCATCTGGCCCACTCGGCGCATTGCTCTTATGCCCTCAGTCTGTCTGTCTCGGACAAGGGCGAAGAACGCGACCCCATGAGCCCCGAATTGGTCGAAGCCCGTACAAGCACATTTGGCGACATGTGGCCCCACGAACACAAGAAAGGATGGAAGCCCAAGGTCAAACAGATGGTTGAGGCAGGTTGGGCATACGACCCCTCGCCAGCAGACGAGGATGGCGCCACCTGTTTCTACTGCAACATGTCACTGGATGGATGGGAGCCCAAGGATAGCCCACTCGAGGAGCACCGCCGTAGAGAGCCTAGCTGCCTCTTCTTTGCCCTGATGGACCGTTACAAGTCTACAAGACGCAAAGGTGGGCGTGGTCGTGCATCTACTGCCTCGAGAGCTTCTCGCCTGTCTACCCAATCCGTACAATCGACCTTCTCTGAGGCTCCTTCACTAATGTCCTTGGGTGACACAGGTCCCCAACTCGAAGTCGAAGATAGCATTGCCCTCGATACAACCATCTCTTCTGACGCCGGCAAGGGTCGCAAGAAGGCCCCCAAGGGAAAGAAGAAGACAACCCGCCAGGAATCAGTCGAGCCCTCTATCCAATACCCGACCCTGCAAGAAACTTCGCAAGTTGAGGAAGACATATACGCTGTGCCTGATGAACCCGAGCCTGTGTCCGTCGTAGAACAACCCAAGCCCAAGCGCGGTCGCAAACCCAAAAACGCCCAAGAATCAACCATTATAGACGACTCCATGGCCGAGCCTGTACCAAAGCCTACGAGAGGCCGCAAGAAAGCAAAGGAGCCTTCTCCGCCTCTAGAAACCAGCTTGGACGAAAGTCAGTTGCAGTCTGAATTGCAGGAAGCTGCCGAAGTCGCTGTTGTCGCACAGAGTCCTCCAGCAAAATCTGGACGAGGTACCAAGAGAACGAGTGATGGACTCGAAAAAGCCCCGCTTAACCAAGATGAGGTGATTGATGAGGAGCCGACCAAGCCCAAGAAAGCCACGAAATCTACAAAATCAAAGAAGACCAAGAAGACGGCCAAAGATACTCAGGAAGAAGCAGAAGAATCCGTCGCAATCTCACAACCAGAGGAAAAGCCGAAACGAACAAGGTCTAAGAAGACCAAGAAGATCGAGCCCGAACCCGAGCCAGAGGTANNGAGCCTGAAACCGTTACCGAGCAGGCGATCGAGGTACAAACAGAACTGGCTCATCCCGCTGAAACTGAGAAACAGCTGGAACCCGAACAGGAAGCATTCGAAAGGAACTTCGAGATCGCCGATAGTGACGCCGAACTCGACAATGATTTGCACGACGAAGCGCAACAACAGCTACAAGAGCAAGAGATTNGATCAAGAAAATGTTGATCCAAGTGCAGAGGCCGACATTGATATGGAACCAGAAAACGAACAGTCTCTTGAAAACCACGAGCAACAAAATGCGGATGCACTTGACGACGAGTTCAACAATCTTGAGAACGTCGAAATTGAAGAAGAAGTCGTGGTTCAAACGGAGGACAACGAGGTAGATCAAGAGGAAGAACAACCCGCACAGACTCCTGCTGCTGAAGAATTCGAGCCCACACCAACACCCGAAGTCAAACGTGTTTCTGCAGCCTCTATGTCTTCCGTCAGGAGGTCTGTTATACAACGAGCCGACTCGGAGGAGGTCGAAGAATCGGCCCATTCGACACCACGTAGTGCGAGGAGCTCACAACAATCAGATGCCGAGAACCAACCACCGTCTTCGTTATCACACGCTCCAGCTACAGCCCAGAAGGATGTTCCTGCTCTGAGTGCAGCGAACTCGGCTATTCAACCCAAGGAGATATTTGCAAGCCCTACCAAGACTACTCGAGTGCCTCTTGCTGCATCTACACCCAATCGCTCCCCGACGAGACGATCGCCCTCAAAGTTCGGCAGACTCACTTCAACAACTCCCTGGGAAGCCGTTGATCTCGATTCGATCTTCTTCCCTGATTCGGAGAATGAGAATGGAGATGCAGATGATGTGTTCAACAAGCTGCTCGAGGTTGGTGGTGCACTTACTTCACCAGAGAAGAAGATGACGGTCGAGGAGTGGATTCGATCACGCGCAGAATTGGGAGAGAACAAGCTCAAGAACGAGTGTGAGCGCATGGTAATGCTGTTTGANAAAGAGGGTAACAGAGGTCTGGCAGCCCTGAACGGCATTCAGACCTCATCATAACTGACTGACGATTAATGACTCTCGTATTTCTGTTGCAAGGAAATGTTATCGGCTTCTCCAGGAGTTTTGGTTGGAGGAAGTAACACGTTGACCCGAGTCTCCTTTGTTTGGAGATAGTTTAGGGAACTTGTCGATCAACTCGTATTCTTCCAGCCCTTCTGCCTTTGGACACTTTCATATCAGCCTGTGATACGGCATGGTCGATAAGACTGAATTTCTCTCGCTCAACACCTTTTGTGCCTGCATGCAATATATTGTAGAAGCCCGAAGATCGCCATGGTTCGCACGCCCCTCGGGGCTAAATTGCTGTAAAGATACACACTTATCGGACCAATGATCGCCAAGCCTGACATAGGAATCTTCGTATCTTAGTGCTCGTGGCATCGAGAGAGAATAGAGGGTGGAAAGGCATTTCAGATTGCAGTCTGTGATCTTGTCAACAATAACCTTGGCGTACTAACAAGTATGCGAAAGCAAGTGGACGTTGACAGGAAGGAAGCATCCTTCGGAGGTCGAGCGCGGCGGGCCGATCCCAAAATCGACGACCACCTTCCTGTCTCGACGCGAGCTCGACCTCTTCGCCATTTACAGCGCTCATCACGATATCAGGGCCCAACTCAAGCTTTTGCCGATGAATGTCAAGTCGAACTAAGCCGGCTGGCATGCCTTCGCAGGCGCCTCGGAAGCTTGACACTATCTTACCTCGACCCCTCTTGGCCTCATCACGACCCGACTTTGTATTGATAAGGGCTATTTGGCTGTCTGCGTGACCTCCAGCGTTCAGGTCGTGTGTTCGTCTGCCTTCCACAATATCTGTAGCATAGTCGGTCGTTCACGACCTTGCTCACTGGTAGGCTGAGAAGTGCTGTACTGATAACGAGACGCCTCGGCTGTGGTTTTGCATCCAGCCTACTATGAAGCCTCAGGTTTGTGCCGCATAGACAGACGTGAGTTTGACCACTCTCAACCTCCGATAGGTCGATCCCGAACTCCCGCTCTATATCTCTCGGTCCAGCCCGCTCCTCTATACGAACCTTATGCATGAGTTTAGTTTCACGTAGGCGAGCAGAATGGCTGCCTTCCATACTGTTCACCAATTGCGACACGCTCTACGGCAACCCAAACACTGTAACCATGTACTACAAGGTCTAGAAGCTAGATGCCGACCACCTCCTTTGAGACTACACGGTCTCGTGTTCTTTCTAAAAGTACTTGTCGAAGCTCGTGGACTGTGACTCGATACCTCTATTGAAACGACACACCGCTTCGAGGTCAAGTATCTTCCAGGTAAGTGGTCGGTATCCTTGCTCGCAAATCATAGTTCGGCCAGGTGGGCCTCCCAATCAAACGAATCACACAATACGAGAGCCGCCATGAACCAAGATGGAAGGTCATACGCATCCTCAACACTGCAGGTTAGCGAGATACTCTACACCACAGCCATCACGCCTTTTCCAAGTCATAACAGAGCGATAGGAAAATTGTCGCTCTGTCTATAAAGTTGAAGGTCTCCCCATAGAAGTTCTTGGTCTTCATCCATCAGCACTACCATCTTTTCAACTTCATAAGATACTCTCGCTCTTCACAAATTCCTTTTGTTCAAAGCTTCATCTGACTCTACGAATTGGCCAACATGAAGCTCACCACTGCTTTCCTGACCGGTCTGCTGTCTGCCAGTACCGTCATTGCCGCCCCTGGCACTGCCATGCGTCGCAAGCGTGCTGAAAGTGCTCGCGCTGGCCTTCTCAAGGCTCCCAAGCCTTTCATTGCAGCTACCAATGTCACTGCCGCTGTTCATGGTCCTGAGAACAAGCAAGTCAGCTACTCCAACAACTGGGCCGGTGGTGTGCTTGAAGGCTCTGGCTGGAAGACCGTCACCGCCACTTTCACCGTCCCAAAAGTCACTGTGCCTTCTGGCGGTAGCTCCAGAACCCTGTACTCTGCCTCTGCTTGGGTCGGTATTGATGGCTACTCCTGCGAGTCTGCTATCCTGCAGACCGGCGTCGACTTTAGCATCCAGAATGGTGCAGTCACTTATGATGCCTGGTACGAATGGTTCCCCGACTACGCTTACGACTTCAGCGGCATCAGTTTCTCTGCCGGCGACAGCGTCACCATTACGGTGACCGCCTCCTCTACCACCAGCGGTGTAGCGACCATCAAGAACAACAGCAAAGGCACTTCCGTCAGCCATACTTTCAGCCGCCAAACCTCTGGCACACTCTGCCAAACTGATGCGGAGTGGATTGTCGAAGACTTTACGCAGATCCAGAATGGACAGGAGTCTTTGGTTCCTCTTGTCGACTTCGGTACTGTGACTTTCACTGGTGCTTCTGCTACTACCAACAGTGGATCCAAGGTCGGCCCTGCTAGTGCCGATGTCATTGATCTTATCTCTGCTAATGGCCGTACTGTTCTTACTGATGTTACTGTTGGTTCTTCTTCTGTTTCTGTCGTCCATGAGTAGGTGTTTTGACTAGAAGAGATCGTGCAGGAAATGGAATGAAGAGGCTTTATTCGACTACCTGCAAATCCATTCTCTGTGTAGTGGTTGGGTTGATATAGTGATAGATAGGTGCTTATGAAACATGATTTGAACCATCTCTATACAAGTAAATCAATTTTCAGTCATGGCCAAGGCCTTGTTGTATGCAAATTAGAGTGTGTGGGTCGCTGCATCCCTAGGGCTTGATTTTATTACAATCACAATGTCTAGTTTGTGTAGGAGCCTTTCTCCATTATAACTTTTTGCTACCTTGAATGTGAGCTTTTTCTAGAGTAGAGGCTATGGATCAGGCTTTTAACTGCTTGCAACTACTTTAAACTACTTTAAACTACTTTCAACTACTTCTTATTGATTCTTATCCAATTCTTATTCTTTTAAAACTCATTTATATTCCTAGGCTTGCCTATAAATACTCCTCTTCTTTCCCTACTTGTACTTGACCTTTTTGCAAGAAAAAAATATATTTTCTCTATTTTATTTCTCACTTCTCACAGAATGTCGGATGCTTCTACTTCCTCTACCTCTTCTCCATTTTCTCCTCCTATTAATATAAAGGAAGAACCTACTGCTACGACTAGCACCACCGACGTTACTATTGATACTAGCATTACTACTACTACTACTACTACCCCTACTACCATGTAAGTCATTTGTCTATCGAGTCCTATCATCTACTAATTTTTCGGAAAAGCAAAAGAAGCTCGGCCGCCCCAAAGGCTCTAGATCGAAACGCGAGGTCTATCTCGAGGGACGAGTTGCTTCTTTAAAACAAAAGCATGCGCAATCAAAGCAGAAAATCCAAGCGTTGGAAAAGAAGGTTAGAGAAAAGGAAAAGGAGGTTACAGAGAAGAAAAATGAGGTTATAGAGAAGGATCCGGCTTTGGAGGTCGAGGTGAGGACTTCGGCGATCAGAGATCAGCAGATCAGAACTGTTATTATGCAGAGAGATGCCGTGTACCAAGAGTATCTGGAATCAAAGAAGAAGATTGGGGTTTTGGAAAAGGAAGCTAGAGAAAAGGATGGGGTTTTGGTGGATAAGGATAGGGCTCTTGGGGTTAGGGATGATCAGATTAGACTTGTTACTATGCAGAGAGATGCTCTGGTCCAGAGACTCGAACTGCTCGGTGGAGAGAGACGGGAATGAGAGGTTGAGAAGGAGTTTGCGATTTTCTTGATTCCAGACTGCAGCTTTAATCAGTTATAGTTATTCAGGGAGAGGCAATTAAGTTCCGGTATGAGCTTTGTGAAATACCTGGGAGAGCATGACTGTTGTCTATGACTGGGTGTTCCTGTATGTAAGCTATTAAATGACTATCTGCAGCATCTGGTTGTTGTGATATCTATTGGCTCGAGCATCGTGATACTCTCGATATGCATAAGCAATCATCTGAAACCACGACCGGTCAATCTTCTTCTCTAGAGTACTGTGACATTTTGACACGTATGCTGCAGCCCTCTAACCTCGAGAAAGGCGCTAGCCAACCCTCTGTAATGCACTAACCCAGCAGCCAGAACCAGCACATGGAAAAGTTGATGACTTGCTCCCAAGATGTCGAATCTATAAGGAAACCAGGCTTCTGGGANACTTCATCTAAATCAGCATCCACAACGAAATGAAAAGAGCGTACTGAACCGACTTACGCGTAATGCATAGAAAGCTGCACCCATGAAATTCAGCAATGCCATCAAGACCATCCACTCCAACGCTAGCCTCCTCCGCTGAACCGTAAAGCCATACAGATACACTCCATGCATGGCAAATACCACAGCGAATAGCCCAAGGCTCGCGTACATCCCTGCTCTCGCGACCCGGAACGCCGGCTTGATAAACACCGGATACAACGTGAACGCGATGCAACCAGCAGCACTTGCCGAGACCAGAGCCCAGTGAACAGTTCTCAGCCAAGGATCACAGATGAAGGCGAAATGGATGGAAGCAAGACTGGCTCCCCACATGAGAATTACGATGTCGGAGAAATCGAGACGGTTTCCTAGACTTGCGACTGGTGGGCTGTGGTTCCAGACTACATGACAGCCGGCTGAGCAGGCGAAGCAAATTGCTACGCCGATGAAGTACAGCAGAAACACAACTGCGTCTATGGGTTGAGCGTCTTCGATGTGTCGGTATAAGGTGTAGTAGAAGTGGAAGGGGAGGATGGCGAACAAGACTGCGCCAAATGTGTGTGAATGGATGTTTACNNTTGTGACACAGTCAGTTTGGATATGCAAACCATAGTAAATCTTGGGTCACAGACTCGTCTCATTATGCCAACCCAGCATACTCTTCAGACATTGCTTCCCAGAGCCCGCGGTCGGTCTATCAGAGGTCAGCTTCATGAGACACAGCACTAGAGACTCTCCTACTAACCGATATCCTGATAGAAGATACTCATTATCCCTTTTTAGACGTTAACAATGACTTTTGGCTACATGATCTCTGAACTCACTTCTGCCACGCAGCTATACGGCGACAACGTTAGCAACGAGTCTTTGGGTTGCCAACGCGTGACATACGAATCTCATCATACAAAAGCAGTCTTTCCTTCCTTGCTCCAACACCATCCTTTTCAAGAGTGGATTCGACATAACCGCAAAACGAGCAAGAACAGAACACAGATTCTGGAAGGGGGTTCGCTGGCTTCATATACATGCCTTTTTGATCAGAGTCTCGCACGAAGCGCTGTCAATCGTAGGACTTTGACGGCCAAGAAGCATCGACAGGATGACATAACTCGACAACCAACATAGTCGGAATACGGCGCAATCACGCTTCTCGAGGTGAAAGTCATTCGAAATGTCATATGTGCCTTGGTACTGTATGCACTCTGGTGGTACAAGCCTTGTCGCATTGAGGAGCCTACTGTTCTCACAGGCTCCTGGACAGCTCCACTGGCAGCATTCATGGTCATATCGAGCCAGGTCAACGCAGCACCCAACTCTATACTTCCTGGTTATCAGGCCGCCGAGATAATGGCATTGAAGTTTTGAATCATGCCAGATGATGATAGTGTACGTGTGAAATATACATTTTCTCGACGCGCATAAGTAGAGATTCTGGTCTTAAAATGATATAATACACCTACTCGTACAATTCTTTATCTGGTCTCGAGATCATGAATTCAATCATTGATCACCTCGCCCTAGTTTTCCAAGAGATCAACAACGATGGGAGTGATTCTTTCAACACCCTGAGCCAATTTGGCACTGACAGGAATGGCATGAAGCTTCTTCTTCCAAGCATTCTTCTTGCCACTAGGATGCAGTGTCTCGCCCTTAGCAACCTTCTTCAAATAAGCCTGCAAAGCAGCAAAATTCTCCCTCGTCTCTGGCAAATCAGCCTTAGTGGCAACCACCAACCAAGGCTTTGACGAAATAGGGGGCAACTTGAGTTCAGGCAAGACCCTCGAACCATCAGGGTTAAACAAGACAGAACCATCTTCGAAAATGTTTGGAGGCTCGGCTTTGACGGGCGGAGAGTAGCGGACCATTTCTTTTTCTTCTTGGACGCGGCGTTCGGTTTCGGCGTTGACTTCGCGGTCGCGGAGGGCTTCGTATTGGCCGACTTCTTTCCAGAGGCCTTGCAGGGATTGGATTGCGTCGCCGGCGCTGAGGTCGACGACAAAGGCTAGGATGCCGGCGCGTTCGATGTGGCGGAGGAAACCGAGACCGAGACCGCGGTCGAGGTGGGCGTCTTCGATCAGACCGGGGATGTCGGCGATGGTGAAGTTTGTGCGAGGAGGACCTTTTCTGTTGGCTGAGGTGGCAACCAGAGGACGGCCTTTGTGGTTGTCAAGCACGACGGTGCCGATGTTTGGTTGCAGGGTTGTGAAGGCCCAGTTGCCGATACGAGCGCGGCTGTTGGTGATGGCTCGTAGCAGAGTGCTCTTTCCAGCATTCGGGAGACCGACGAGACCCACATCTGCAAGGAGCTTGAGTTCGAGCTGGATCTCTACCTTCATGCCCTCATCGCCCTTTGTGCCGTACTTGGGACGAGTAATGCTTTNTGTAACGAAATGAGGGTTACCTAAACCACCCATTGCACCAGCAGCAAGCAGCTGAGGGGTCTCCATAGGAGTATCCAGATCCAGGCGTATAGGTGCCGGAGGCTGGGCCATTGCGATCTGTGATCTTCTGGGACGCGGTAAAGGAGGGAAGTCGGCGGATGTGAAGGATTGAGGCATAGCACCAGGGAACAACAACCACTTGTCGCGCCTCCATTTGCGAGTGTTGTCGACGACACCAGGCTCATCGTCAAAGACGGCGTCTGCTCCCATGGCTTTTGCCCTCTTGTCTGCCAACTCTTCCTCTGCTACAGGATCGTGTCGCCACACCTCTCGAACAATTGTGCCCACTGGTACTGTGATCAATATGTCTTCTCCTCTAGTTCCTCCCTGACCCTTTCCTTGGCCATTCTTTCCTCGACCAGCTTTTAGGATTCCTCGTCGCGCAAGCTTGTGTAATGATGTCTCGCCTTGCACTGCCTGGATGTAGATGTTTCCTCCTGTTCCTCCGTCGCCGCCATTAGGTGGACCGTTCTCAATGTACTTTTCGCGCAAGAAACTGATACAGCCGTGGCCTCCTGCACCTGCGTGTAGGACAATCGAACATCGGTCGGTGAAAGGGGTAATTGAGTACGAGTCTGGCGGTGGATCCAAGCGATCGAGTTCACTTTCGGTTGAATCGTCAAAGCTCTCGTCTTCATGGCCTCCTTGTGTGCTGGAAACGGTTGCGAGGTGTCTTTTGGTTAGACATTGTGTATTTCTGGTCGGTCGTCCTAGTTGTAGCCACCTTCTCAAGGTGCGCGGCGCATTGCTTCTACTCGTGTGGAGACACGGATATAGAAAGGGCAGCAGTGTCCCATTCATGGCCATTATAGAGTTGCGACGGCGCTGCGGCACAAAGATGGCTCTACAACAGTGGCAATCACTTTTCAGAAAGCAGTCTCCATCCTCCAAGAAAGAAAATGGCAGGTTCTGGCGAGGACCTTGAGCCGAGGTTTGTCGCCTAAACTTGCTCTACCTGTCAACCTAGGCTTGACCATGGCTGGCTGACGATCCTTTTATTACCCCTCCTGCTTATGCTCAGCTATAAAATATTGCTGTCCCTTTTCTGCGCGATGACAGAATCTTCAGATTACTCTTGCATACACTTACCATGGCAAGCATTCTGAAACAAGCTCCTTTTTCGCCAGTCGTCACCGGTGCCGCCCTGCTGGTCCTGCTCAAAGGTCCAGAGTCCATACAACGACCAGTCTACGAGTACCTACACCAAATCCTGAAGCCTCACAACATCGAGCGTCTGATCACTACCCTGAAATGGCTGTTTGCTTGTGGCTTGATCAAGAATGTCAACGAAGCATTCAACCAGTTTGCTCGCAACAACTTCTCCCTTCGCTCCAGCAAGGCAGACTGGGACTGGAACAATGAGATTGCTGTTGTCACTGGAAGTTCCTCAGGCTTTGGAGCTCTGTTCTCTAAGGATCTCTCAGACAAGGGCATTCATGTCGTAGCCATCGATGTCAACCCTCTGCCCAAACACCTGGAAAACAACCCCAAGATCACCTTCTTCAAGTGCGATGTCACCGACGTCGAGGCCGTCAATGCCGTCGCCGAAGAAACAAAGTCAAAAATTGGTCATCCATCCATCTTGATCAACAACGCAGGCATCGGTGGCCAAAGAACGATCCTCAAAACCACTCCTGCGCAGCTTCAAAAACTTATGGGTGTAAACATCATATCGCACTACTACACCGTACAAGCCTTCCTTCCGGATATGCTCGCCAAGAGAAAGGGACATATCGTTTCCATAGCCAGCATGGCTTCCTTCTTCACCACTCCCGGCATAACAGATTACTCGTGCTCCAAAGCCGCCGTTCTAGCCTTCAACGAAGGTCTCAGCACCGAATTGCGCACCATCCACCGCTGCCCGGAGATAAAAACCACAGTCGTGCATCCCTTCTTCGCAGACACTCCCATCATCGCAGCAGGAAAAGCCGAACTCCAAAAAGCTGGTGCTAAGATTTTGGATCCACAAGATGTTAGTGATGCAGTGGTGGATCAGATTTTGAATGCAAGGAGTGGTCAGATTCTGTTGAGTAATGGCTTTGGACCTGCCTTGAGGGCCTTCAGAGGTCTGCCTTGGTGGTTGCAGGAGGGTCTCAAGAGACTGACTGAGAGTGATTTGTCGCGTTACGACAAGAAGTAACATCTGAATGCGCTTTTTCTGGGATCCACGGATGCAGGGAGTTGCTGGTACATTTTCATTTGGCCATCACGGCCTATGTAATCACAATATACTACTTTTCAACATAGTCTTACAAGAGAGCAAGAGCAAATCCAGCAAGTCCCACAAGAGCAGCTGCAGAATGCTGCAATGCTCCATTCGTAGGTGCGGCACCAGTGCTCTTTACAGTCTCACTTGTCGCAGTGCCACTCGCACTGCCCGAAGAACCACTCGTGACCTTCTCACTAGCACTGGCACTAGCAGTCCTCGTAGCCACAGCCTCCACCGAAGCAGCGGTAATCGTAAAGGTCGTGTTCCATGCTGTCCAGGTATAAGTTGGGCCGCTCACAGGGCTGGTAAGGATGCCGTTGACATCGCTCCAAGTTCCAGTAGCTGAGTGAAGTGGAGTAGGCTTTGCATAGTCAGAGGCATTCTTGCCATAGTTTGTAAAGCCATAGTCAGTGCAGCTGAAACTCTGGTTCGCCAAGATGGAAGGACAATCTCCTATGGTAATGTTGCCGCCCATTTCGGGCCAGTCGATATACAGTTGCTTGACAGTATCCAACATGATGAAGCCGGGGTTCTGGCTTGGGCATGTATCCCACAGTCNTGTTTGATGGAAAACGTCAGCAGCGAACGGAGATACAGCAAATGACATATCTACTCACTCAGCAGCGGTTGCACCATAGAGACAACAATTGCATTGTGGGGCTGGTTTTCCGAAGCCGCCGTATTGATCGTCCCAGTCATTCTTATAGCCTTCTTCATCGTGGACCTTTTGGAGACAAGTTTCGAATCCATCGAAGAGGTCCTCTGAACTGTCGCGAACGGTCTTGAGATTACAGCTGCATTCTCCAGCGGCATCAGCAGGAGCTGGGTAGAATGGCAGATCCAGAATCTGCCATATGTCCGAATCTGGGTCCGGATCATTACAGGTTTCGTTGTATGCTAGCAAGAGTTGCTGATAGTCGCACGAGTAGANCCTGTAACATGTCAACGCTTGAAGGTTGTTTTTTGGCAATGTGATGATAGTTACCCTGTTCCAGCAGTTTGTCAGAGTGCATTGGATTCTGTTTTGCAGACCTGAGCACGCGACATAGCCATATTCATCGGTGTAGTTCTGCGCTTGCCAGCAAGTTTGCATTTCTCCTGGTGCCGCACAATCGGTGAAGGTGAAAAGTGTGTTCACGCGATCGAATATGGAGGGTATCTGTTCCTCCACCGCGACATCATTTTGAGCGGAAACCACAGCAGACAAAGCTGCAACGCAGCCTGCGAGGAGATATCTGGCAACCATGATGAAGAGCAAATTCACACTTCGAAGCGATCAAAGAAAAGAAGAGAGGGCGCCTGCTGATATATAAAATCGCATTTCGCTTAGGCAACCGAGTCGAAAGCCTCGAAGGATTCAAGCACGGTCGCTGGCGTTGCATGCAAATTTGCAGTGCTCGAGACGAAACAGGTTCGACTCGTGCCAGCCTGTTAATTCCATGGTATAGCTGGGTCAGTCGTCAAACAGTACCAAGCAATCTGTTGGTTTAGACGCGCTGTGCGATCCTTTGAACTGCGGCATGGTGTTGTTCCTCAGGGGTCGGCCATTGAGACGGGTCTCCACGTTCCTGGTAAGCGGCTGTCAAACCAACCCTCAGCGCTCAAAAACAATCGTGGCCATAAACTGCGGTCAGCTGGACCACGTTCCAACGCGACGAGCAGTCGTGCAAGAAAGCAAGACAGCATAACCGGGCTATCAGAAAATCGATATTCAGATCTTCGAAGATCTCTGTCGATGGATCCCCGGCTATAGCTGATCACTTCCCCATCGAATTGCGACATTCTTCCCTGACGTATATCCTCGATGACTCCGAAGGCTTTTTGAGTCAGAATAAGCAAGCTTTTTGTATACAAGATTGGGGGCCGGTTAATCTGGCTTTTATATATGTTCAAAGGGTCCATACTGTGTTTTTTGTGTCATTTCCCTCCCTCACCACAATTCGAAATGTTCAAAGCGGCGTTGCTGGAGACAATCGACGCCGAGCGAAGTGACCTCATCGGCTTTTTACAAAACCTCACACGCACCGACTCTTCAAACCCTCCTGGCGATACCATAGCAGCAGCTTGTGTCGTTACTACTTTTCTGGCTTCTCGAGATGTTCCTTCTACGATTATCGCACCGAAAAGCCATGCACCGAACGTCACCAGCACTTTTCCAGCAGTATCGCAATCCCCGGCGCATAGTCGGTCCTCGTCGCTACATCAATTAGATGGCTACCCACCGACACCAGTCGACTCACCGTTCGAGAGGAGTGGAATCTCAACGCCGAAGCCTGGTCCGCGTTTGATCATGAATGGTCATATTGACGCCTTTGCCATCTCCGACGCTGAGAAATCACAATGGACCCACGATCCCTGGTCCGGAGACATTGAAAACAACAGACTCTATGGACGCGGGGTTGTCGATATGAAAGCTGGAACTGCCGCAACGATCGCAGCGTATTCATACATCTTCGCACATCGACATCTTTTGCACGGCATTGCTGTGCTGGAAGCAGTCTCAGATGAAGAGAATGGTGGAAAGTGGGGAAGCAAATACCTTCTGAATGATGATGATAGGAGAGAAACCTGGACAGGCGACGTAAACCTCAATGCCGAACCTACAGGCCTACAAAGCATACGATTTGCCGAGAAAGGCACTTTGCGATTGACTTTCTCGATCAAGGCCAAGAGTGCGCATGGAGCATACACACATTTATCGGAAGGAGCGATTCGAATTGCAACAAGGCTGATTATGGAGTTGGTCAAACTGGAGGATTTCTCCGATTTCAAGCTCGATCCTGAAGTGAGGAAATACCTCGATCGACAAGAAGTGCGGGACATAGTCGACGAGATCATGGGTGCTGGTGCCTCCAACAACATCCTCAAGCCAACAGTAAACATCGGAACCATCAGTGGCGGTACCAAAGTCAACACTATTCCAGGAGACTGCAAATTCGAAGCCGAAATTCGCCTACCAATCGGTTTAGTTGCAGAAACCATTCTCGGCGAGATCGATACGATTCTCAAAGATTTCCCCGGAGCCAGTTATGAGGTCCAAGAAGCAGCTTCCAATCCACCCAACTCATGTCCTTTCGATCACGCCCTCACACGCGCAATAGCGGATAATGCCGAACACATTCTTGGACGAAAGCCAATTGCTATACCATCGCTTGGTGCTACAGACGCTAAGCACTGGAGATACAAAGGCGTGCCTGCCTACAGCTATGGTCTTTCGCCAGAAGGCATGGCTGGTATCGATGAGAGCGTCGACCTCGATGATTATATCAACCTCGTCAAGATACTCACATTGACCGCGTGGGACTTCTTGACTGGCCCTGAGTAGCATTGATCATCTGGTCTGCATTTCTCAGTTGTATTCACGATCTAGAACCTTACGATAGACATGACACTTTGATTACACAAAAGCGAGTCTTTTTCTTGTACATAACGAGTCCAACAATATACCCCAGTTTTGTTTCTACGTTGTTCTCGATATCACTTCCTGCTTGCCGTTCGTTCTGGGTTTATCAAAACATCAGACTGTTCCTTTCGTCCACATAAACAAAGAGAACATTCTGCAGCACGGTTAGCGATTGGCAAAAGAAGATATCAATGGAGTAGCTGGGAATCGAACCCAGAACCTTCTCCAACTCAGTAATGCTCGAAGAGCAATGCTAAGAAGATGTCATACCACTAGACCACAACCCCTTTTGATGCAGGATTTCCGGGTAGGTTGCAATATGTTTTACTGTCTGTGCGCTCAGCGCCGAAAAAGTATTGCGCTTGCAGTCGAAATCTGCCAGTCCTTACTTGGTCGTCTCAAGTGTTCTGGAAGTATCGGTTGCCAGTGGGAGCAAGCGCGAGGTCCGCCATGAGAGAGCAGAACAAGATTGTTCCCAGGCACGATGTAGCAAACCTCGACATGGCTCCTACTGGCGCAGCAAAGAACCGGTTTACGTCGATGATGAAGCCAAGCTTCCTTCTCTCTTTCGCCGATTAAGCCACATCCTCCCACAATCAGATGCTTCATATCCGACGTCAACCACGTCATGTAACACTTCGTCGGCCCGGTATACCACTCTTATTAACCGCGATCGCCTGAGGAAGGGCATTTTCTCTGTGGAGGCTGGTGCGGGGATCGTGGGGCTGACCGAGTGATCATCCCAGTTGCCCTCGTCGATCACTTGCCATCTCCACGAACTGCTATTGTTCCTCCAACCAGCGGCAAGCATCAAGCAATATAGCATGTGGTACCTGCGTCCGACCATGGGTGAAGGGTTTTGTTTCGGCAGGTTTGGTGCCGAGATATGTCAGGGCAGAGGCATGGGTGGATGAATTGAAATCTACCGTGTTGATGCACTGTGATGAGACATGTAGAGGTAGATTTGATAAATAGAGGTTGTGTTCGCTGTTTGCTATGGTAGGTCAAGAACAGTTCAGCATGAAATTCTTTTCGCTACTGGCAGGCGCTGCCGCATTTGCAACTTCCACCGTTGCTCATTACACCAACAGTACACAGACTGGCGACATTGACCAAGTCACCGTCTTCACGCCGCCGAGCAATTACACCATCCCTCGTACCCTCTATGCAAGGACTCTGTTACTCAATCAGGATTGCGAGGAAGACAATGTGATCCTAGCGACTTGGGAGAACTACCTCTACAACAACAACACAAATCCTTACTTCCCCATCTATCAATCATATGATGGTGGCAAAACCTGGTCGGAACGTTCTCGCGTGTATGATCAGGTCAACGGATGGGGATTGAGATATCAACCCTTCCTCTATGAGTTGTCTGAACCCCTTGGCAACTTTTCAGCTGGCACTATCTTGCTTGCTGGCAACTCCATCCCTCAGGATCTCTCAGAGACCCAGCTCGAACTCTACGCCAGCACGGACAAGGGATATACATGGAAGTTTGTCTCTCACATTGCCCACGGTGGTGAGGCTCTACCCAACAACGGTCTCACCCCCGTCTGGGAACCCTTCCTAATGACCTACAACAACACCCTCATCTACTACTACTCCGACCAACGCGACCCGCGCTACGGCCAAAAACTAGTCCATCAAGTATCTTCCGACCTCATGACCTGGGGTCCCGTAGTCGACGACGTGGTCTACGATACCTACGACTTCCGCCCCGGAATGGCGATAGTCTCCGCCCTGCCCTTTGGCCAATACATCATGACCTACGAATTCTACGGCGCCAAAGAGGTGGATTTTGCAGTTTACTACCGTATCTCTAATGATCCTACAAATTTCAACGCTAGTGTTGGATACCCTTTGGTTGCTACCGATGGCTCTGTGCCTTATGGTAGCCCTTACAATGTTTGGACACCTGTTGGCGGCGATCTTGGCACTATCGTCGTTAGCTGCGGTAACCTTGGGGAAGTATACTTGAACCATAATCTGGGTGCTCCGGGGGCTTGGACCAAGATTAATACTGTGGAGCCTGCGTCGTATAGCAGGAGTTTGATGGTTTTGCCTGGTCAGGAGGATATTCTGATTGCTGGGGGTGGTGTTTTGGGAGGCGAGAACAATTCTGTTACGGTCAGCACTGTTGATGTCAAGCCCAAGGCTCCTGCTTTTGCCAAGTGCAAGGCCAAAAAGTAGATGATGTATTCTGTAGTGGTTGTATGACGCAGATGTGGTGTTGAACCATGATGATCGTCCTCTCATTCGACAAGCGTGAGAGTGAACATCGTTGTTGACGGTCAGAAGAGTCAGTATTGCATCAGAACTCGACAACGTCTAAGACTGCAGACACTGGAAATGCTTTAGAGGTAGCTTTCTCAATGTGTTAAGCCACCGTTGGCGAGCAGGGTGATACCCAAAACCAGCCTCAAAAGCACATTCGACAGCATTGCCAGACCACGCCTCAAACTATACTTGATGTTTCGTTATCAGACGCTCCTATAAGCGTAAAAGAGTAGTTTTGTAATTCAGCAGAGCATTAGATGGACTTCTCTGACCTCGAAGATTGGAAAATGATTTTCCTGGCCGTGTTCTTCGTAATGTCAAGTCAATGCTCATGTATTTCGAAGAGCATATTCGGATTCACCACATAAATTTTGTAAACCCGGCACGATGATGGAACTTGAGAACCCAACACCATCTGACCACCAAAAGGAACGTAGACGATCACCTGCTCAAGTGAAGCGAGCTGCATCAGAGACTCATGGTGATTTGATGTAGAGATAGTAGTAAGACAGGGTGATACTCCTAGCAAGAATCTTGTAAGGAAAAAAGAAAAAAAGGGAAAAGAAAAAAGAAGACAGACCAAACCACGTCCGCAAGTTCTTGTGAAGGAAAGAGCAAAGAGTGCGACTCAAAGAAGCATGTCTGGCAGAGAAGAATCAAAGGATCGCTTTTACGAATCTAAACTCCACTATATGTCATAAACCTATCTATCGCATGTACCACAGCTGCTTGTCCTTGGTCTCCGTACCCTTGATCTCCCAGTTCACCGAGATGTTCAGGTTGCGTTTGGCATCCTTGTTCTTCTTGAAGGTAACTTTACCCTCAATAACGGTACCTTGCTTCAGAGCCTGCTCGTCCTTCTCGGTAGCGTCGATCATCAAAACACCGCAGCGCCAGTGGGTCTCGGGGCCGAAGGGACTGGTGGTGAAGAAGACAGTCTTGTCCTCATCGGACTTGGGAGGCTTGACGCCGCGGAGCATACCGGCAGGGATCTCGTCCTTGCGAGACTGCAAGAAGAGGGTGTCAAACCAGGTGCAGAAGCCGTCAAGATTGTCAATGTCCTTGTTGAGGGTGAAGCTGACATCAGAAGTGAAGTCGAGATCGGCGACTGTGACAGTGTGGAGATCGAGGACCTTGAAGGGAAGCTCGTCTGTTGATCTCCCGACAATGGTGTCTTTGTTGGGGTAGCGGACCAATGTGTCCTCGTAGATCTTCTCCATCATCGAGGTCATGTCGAAACCGTAGACGTCTCTCCAGAAGGTGATGTTGTCTGAGATCCAGTCTTGGTCGGCGAGGGGNNGAGCGAGGTGCATGGTGCAGTGGCTGGGAATCATCAAACCATCGGGCTTGAGATATCTGTCTCTGGCGTAGAGGACAGAGTCAAGCATAGCCTCATACAAAAGACAGTAGCCCATCCACTCGCTGACAATAATATCGACCTTCTCAATACCATCGGGAAGCTGAATCTCCTCAATCTTACCTCTGACGCAGGTGATGACCTTCGACTGTCCGTTCATGGCAATGTTGGCACGGGCCTTGTTGATGATCTCCGAGTTATCAACAGCAATAACACGAGCAGCACCAGCCTTGGCGCAGAAGAGAGAAAGAATGCCAGTACCACATCCAACATCCAGCACAGTCTTGCCAGCAAAAAGGTGCTTGTTGGCGTAGATGAAGTCTCTGTAAGCGTCTGTGCGGACGGTGTCTTGAAGCATAGTCTGGTGAATGTCGTTGTATGAGTACGAGTCAAAGTAACCAGGATCCTGGTGGTTCTCGTCCTTGGTTTTGCTTGATCCAGCCTCGCCTTCTTTGGCAGGCTCGTTCCAGCGGTCGTCCAAAGTCTTCTCGACAGTCAACTTGTACTCTGCAAATTGGTTACACAGGCGGGCCAATTCAGCCTCTAGCTGAGCAGTCTTGTCGTTTGAAGTACCGATAGGCAGATCCTGTCCAGCGGCGTCGTCTTGGTCCAGGACATCGTCCAGGGAGAAAAGCAGAGCGTCGTCCTCCAAGACAGGTTGCATGTACTTGTCGTCGTCGAACAGAGATTTTGAAGAAACATCAGGTTTTGAGTTGCCGTTCTTGGCCTCGGCGCGGATGTAGTTGGCAAGCTTGATAGCACCAAAGAAGTCAAGGCCTTGTTTCGTTAGAAAAGCGGACCAAAGATACTGCCATCAGAAACATACCCACCGAANATTTTTTGCAATCTTCAGGAAATCAAAGTTGTGTTGTTCGGCAGCATACTTGATCATTTCAGCAGCATTGGGGAAAGTCTTGTCGCTGAAAAAGTCCTTGACGTGAATTTCTTCATTCTCTTCGGGCTCAGCATCCTCCCAACCTTCGCTGTCTTCACGCAACAACTCATCGATTGATGAGGTGCTCGAGGCGTCTGAAGATTCAATATCGTCGCGAACCATTTTCAATTGATGTGATAACAAAGATAGGCCTGTGATATTGACAGGCCGGCGCGGGCAGGAAATATTTGCTAAAAATGGGGTCTCGCTTAAGTCCGTCTTTCTCCGGTGGAGCTGGATGGGTCAAAACGTCATGCGAAAGCACGACATTGATAAGTCGTCGATGGCTCATGTGCCTATCGCCCACCGCTACTTGTACGTAGGATCGCAATAAAGACAGCATGGCGCCCGACAGGGGCTCAGTCGATAATCGCGACGACATGGACGGCCACTCAGACGCTGCTTCGGTCCTCTCAGCGCGTGCCCAACAGCCGCAAAACTTCACCCTCCGCTCCCTGCTCCTCGGACTGGCCATCGGCACCGTCATCTGCTTCTCCAACACCTACTTCGGCTTGCAAACAGGATGGGTCTCGAGCATGGCCATGCCGAGCGCTTTGCTGGGCTTTGCGTGGTTCAAGGCTGTCTCGAGGACGCTATCATATCCCTTCACGCCCGTCGAGAACGTCCTGGTGCAATCTGTTGCTGGATCTGTAGGTACAATGCCTCTGGGATGTGGCTTCGTTGGCGTCATTCCAGCTCTTGAGTACCTTCTCAAGCCCAACGAGACTCAGGGAGAAGGCACTGGCGTCCACCTTTCGCTCCTCAAGCTTATAGTCTGGGCTGTGGGCATCTGTTTCTTCGGTGTCGTCTTCGCTGTGCCATTGCGAAGGCAAGTCATCATTCGTGAGAAGCTCAAGTTTCCTTCTGGTACAGCGACTGCCCTGATGATCGGAGTACTTCACGGAGGAGAGAAGGATGCCACCATTGTTCATATGGACAACGAGGACGAACACCAGAATGGAAACATACAAGTTGAAGAGNNGGAGGAACGGAGGCTCATCGCAAGCGCCCCAACACAACGAAGGAGCCAACAAGAGACCGCTGCATCCGAGCCACAAGGTGATGTCGAGGCTTTGGACAAGGACCATCAGGCCGATTGGAAGGCCAGGATCAAGCTCTTGACCCTATCATTCGGTGTTTCTGCCATTTATGTACGTATAAACTGCAACTATCAAGTGTCAATACTCTTGCAAAAACCCTCCAAATTCGTTCGTGAGCTCATGTATATTCTTAGNACACTCATGTCCTACTTCGTTCCTTTCATCCGCGATATTCCATTCTTAGGCATGTATCTGGCCAAAGACTGGCTATGGACGCTCAATCCTTCACCTGCATATATTGGCCAAGGGATCATCATGGGTCCTGCGACCACTCTTCACATGCTCTTGGGCGCCATCCTTGGCTGGGGCATACTATCTCCTCTCTCTAAAGCCAGAGGGTGGGCACCAGGTGCTGTGGACGACTGGGAGAAAGGCAGCAAAGGCTGGATCGTCTGGGTCAGTCTCGCCATTATGCTTGCCGATTCAATCGTCAGCCTTGGATGGTTGGTTTTGCGTCCAACAATCCAGCTCATCCGAGTCTTTGGGCCCCGAGCCAAAGATAGCGTTGCTCGTGGCACCTGGAAAGAAGATCTTCGCAACTTTGCCCACCCTCACATGAGAGGATACAGTCCGGTCAATCTTAATGAGCCACATCACGAATCGCCCGAAACCGATGGTCTAATCTCTGGGGCCACGCAATCAAGGAAGACTGCACAGGATGCACCGGAACCTGATGCCCCACCTGAGCATTTGATCAGCAACAAGGTCACGCTGATCGGGCTGGTGCTGTCGTTGACTGCTTGCGTTGGTGCAGTCCACTTCGCGTTTGCAAACCTCATNCCCTTTGCGCTCACCCTTTTGTCGTTGGTGCTTGCTTTACTGTTGTCGATCATGGGTGTTCGTGCTTTGGGAGAGACGGATCTGAATCCGGTGTCGGGCATCTCCAAGTTGACACAGCTATTCTTCGCTCTAGTCACACCATCAGGCTCCCCCAATGCGGTTATTGTCAACCTTATTGCTGGTGCCATCAGCGAGTCAGGCGCCTTGCAGGCGGGAGATCTTCTTCAAGATCTCAAAACCGGGCACTTGCTCGGCGCCAGCCCGAAGGCGCAATTCTGGGGCCAAATCATTGGAAGCACTTTCGGTGCTGTGATCAGTGCTTGCATATACAAGCTCTACACCCGCGTGTATGAGGTTCCTGGAGGTATGTTTCAGGTACCCACGGCTTATGTTTGGGTATTTACCGCACGTCTTGTCACTGGGCAAGGTTTACCTCCCATGGTAGGTGAGTGGGCAGCAGGAGCTGCCGCCGTCTTTGCCGTCTTCACAGCAATGCGGATTTACGGAAATTCGATAGGAGCAAAGTGGACTCCCTTTGTTCCCGGAGGAATCGCAGTAGCAGTTGGTGAGTCAATCCATTCAACTTAATCCGACATAGCCTGAAGAGCAACTGCTAACAACGGATATGCATTTNNAGGCATGTACAATACTCCATCGTTCACCTTGGCACGAACAATCGGCGGAATGGTGAACTGGTATTGGCGCAACTGGCGGAAGGAGTCAGAGACACCCATCATCATTCTGGCCAGTGGACTCATACTGGGAGAAGGACTGTTCAGTATAGTAAATCTTGGCCTAGCATCTCTACAGGTACCACACTTGTAGGGTGTGAGTCTCGGTCGCCCGTAGTCGTCCGTGGCCGTTTATGGTTAAGTCAAGTCATGAATCATTTCCTGAACCCACTTCTGGTAGTCGTTACTATGTGTACCCTAACGTAGATGCAATAATAGGAAGGTGAAGTGCCGGGTTCCTGGTTCATGGGACTCTGCCAATCAAAGAGCGTGGGTGCGTTGGATGGGATTTGAGTTTGGCATTCCCTGCCAAGGCAGATGCTGCCGAAGTACGGCAACCACGGCACCGGTGACTCTTTCCATCTGCCGTTCAATCAGATGGAACATTTTTCTGGCCGTGTGTTTCTCACTTGTCCAAAAGCATCAATCGTGTATATCAATCTTGTTGAAGAACTGGTCCCGGCGGAGCGACTAGTACCACCCAGATACATCTGTGAGGGCTGTTTGTCATGGATGATTGCAAATTCGCAATCCTTGCACCTCGTGGCCAGTGGGACTGCGGGACCGCGAGCCGCAATACCATGCTTGAAGATCCTCTATCGTTTCAGATGTCGCGCAACATTTGGAAGCTCGAGAGCCGTTCGCGTCAACTCTTTTGCCTGAGTTGCCCGAGGTTTGACAACAGTTTGGCGTGAACTCATATGATCCTTCGCCTGGGCAAGGGTGTTGTCCTTCGCGAAAGCGAGTTCCCTCGTAAACTCTCCGCTTGTATGCGACAATGGTGGCTTGATGGTAGTCTCGCCATTCTCGCTAAGATAATCAACGTTCATCAGATTCCAAGGCCACGGCTCATCCGCAGTACAAGCACTGAGCACAGTCCTGCGCAACCAATGCAAACCCCACTGGCTCGAGCGGGCGATCATTGCTCTCAGCCCCGACGCGAACGAGCGGTCTCGACGAACTGCTGGGTCGACCGGTGCTGCATTGCCTTCGAACGGCCATTGTACCGTATACTGATTCAACAATGGCATATCTCTAGGATGCTTAGACCTTCCTCATCTTCTTTCGTATTATTTGCTGTTTGTCTCGCAGCTTCCACTGTACGCACGTTACAGAACCTAACGGCTTTCCATGTTTAAGCATGCTTTCCACCTGCCTAAATAGCATCCAGCAAGATTGTTGACCCTCGGCTCGCTACCAGCAAATATGGCTCTTGCACCGCTTGCAACCCGCAGACTAGGCGAGAAGTTCTCAGCCACTAGACTCTACCCAGCAATCTGCCGTAGTCCATCTTGCAACCTCCGTCATCTCATCGCTCTACAGCCTTGTGGATATGAAAGGGTTTCACTTGGTCTAGACATTGTAAGTTAGTAGGACAACTCCAACCGTGAGAGTTTCAAAATTGGGAACGGACTTTTACAAGCCACCCTTTCTCGATCTATGGTGTCGATCCACCCAAACCAGCAATAGTGATAAACCCTTCGAGCATACAGCAGCCTCGAACGTCTCGTTTTTTTTGCATGAGCCTGGACCTTCGGTTGCTTCGGTTTGGACTTCATGACCTCGGGCTTCCCTAACACGCCTTGCGCCTTCCTTTCTATTACATACACTCTCTGTTATTGATCTGCGGCCATGGGTAGTGAACCCCAGCATATGCCCCATGCCGTACTTGCCGCTGCTATACCAGTGTTGTGTTATTCGTTCTTTTGTCTTTCTCTTGGATTCTTGCTTGTGACCGTCTTATTGAAGACTAGAGACGGGTTTAATTGTGAGTTGCTCCTTAGCCTTTCATCCACATCTGCTAACCCTTTCAAAGATGTTACGTTATTTGCTCTTGCAACAACATGCACTACCATAGTGTCGATCATTCAACAATGCACTTATATCGCTAATTGGCACGACCTGCGAATCCAACAATACGAGCAATCCATCATTGTCAAAGGCAACCCAGCGCTGGCACTGGGTCCTCTGTCTCGAGGGTTCAATGCTGTCTTGTTTTGGACGATCTTATATTTTTACAATGTTGACTCAATCACCATGCTCTTCTGGTATGTCGACGTGCTTTATCACTCGGAGATCTCGCTGACACGNTGCAGGGCAATCGCACTGGTGTTCAGTGTATGGAACATTCGACCAAGATGGCTTCAACAGTGGCAAGGTGTCATCAGCTGGATCTCCAAGGTTTTGGCAGTCGTGCTTCCCGCCATATTCTCGGGGTTGCGAAAAGGATTTCAGGTCAATGCTGGATTCATTGGCACTCTGATTTTGATGAATTTACTGAGTATGTGTCTGCAGGTATCGATCACAATATACTCAAGCTGACAGGTAACAGTGCTCGTGAGCTTTGCGTTTGGCGCAATTTGTGTCATTCTCATCCTCTTCAAATATCTACGAGCCAAGATAGGCTTCGACAGCTATGCATCCGCATCTGCATCAAAGTCATACGCAGCAGGTAGCGTGACTGCANNGGGGGAGACCACGACTAGCCGAGTGGGACGCTCAGCTACTAAAGGACTCAGAGCCCGGGTCGATGGATGGCTCGTGGTGCGCTTCACCATCGCCTTCCTGATCCTAAGGTGAATATGATATCTTAACATCCTGAAAAGAAACACCTACTAACCTAGTGTTCTACCNAGTGGCTTCGAGATCTTCCTCATCTCTTTCGAAGTCAACAGATACCACAAGACAAAAAGTGCGAAAATTGCTGGCGCGCCAGACTTTGGTGTGCGCGCTTCCGTCGTCGACGTCCTGAACTACCTGCCCGGCGTTACTGCAAGTCTACTAGCTTTCCTTCTTTTCGGAACCACCGCACAACAACGAGCTATGTATGCTCCGATGCTGGCTGCTCTCTACCCCGCCCAATGGCGCAGACGACCAAAGTCAAGCAGATTCAGTGGCAACGTGGATCAATGGACGCGTATGGATGCAGGAGACTCAAGGCCGTCTGATCAAACAATGCATAGGGATATTGAGATGCAATTGCCGACGAGGAAGGACAAGGTCACGAGGACTATCATCACGACAGTGGAGAGTGAAGAAGCTCTGTTCAGTCCACCACCGATACCCGCCGAGAGGAAGGCGCACGTTGCAATCTTGGACGATCGGGACAACAAGAGGTTAACGAGATAAACTCGTTCTGTAATACCATAAACGACTTTCATATCTCAAAATCATTGTAATGATATTGACGCTACACATCTCGTTCGCACGTGTCCTAGTATGAGTTTGGCATAATATTCAGACGTCCTCCATCCTGTTTCGCGAGGTCAGTTTTCCGACTTTTGAGGATCAAGATATGGAGACTTACAATCATTAGAATGTTACCATTCAAGTAGGCACCCGCCCTAGAAGCGATGTACAGAATGGTTCCGGCCATGTCTTCTTCAGCGCCCGTTCTCTCAGCTGGGATATACGACTTGTCGAACGATCCTTCCTCTCTTGGATCGGCTTTTGAGTTGGAGATTAAACTCGTCGCCAATTCTGATGGGAACACNNTATAGCCGAATATCAGTACAAAAGTTGGCGTTCCAGGAGAGACAAGCAACTTACGGCCGGGTGCAAGGGCATTGCACCTGATATCAAAAGGCCACAGTTCACTCGACAAGTTCTTAGCCAGATGCATGACCGCCGCCTTACTCGCTTTGTACGCCATCGATTGGTTAGGCTGCTTGCTAAACCCAGCAATACTTCCCGTAACCAAGATCTGACTCTTGGTCTTGGGCGCTACCGGGTTCTTATTGCCCTTATCCAACAACTCCAAAAAGGCATATGCGGTAAACAGCACAGCTGTGACATTGATATTAAATGTTGATGTCACATCATCCCAGGATTGGTTCATGGCTGCAGCTGCATATTCGGCAATGCTGACTTCGCGATTGTTGACGCCTGAAGAAGGACCCATTGCACCGCTGTTACAGACCAAGAGATTGATATATCCGGTCTCTGATTCGATGCGCGAGGCAATGGCTTTCAAGGTGTCTTTTGAAGTTACATCGCCCACGACGGGGATGATCACGGTGGAATTGTAGGCAGCGGCTTCCTCGAGTACCGCTTTGCGGCGACCGATGATGTAGACTTTTTTTGCTCCGTTGGCTGCGAGGGCTTTTGTCATCATGAGGCCAATTCNCTGGACCTGTTAGCCTTTGGTTGTTTGGCGTTCAATCGAATGATAAGTGATACCGGAGCCTCCGCCGGTGATGACAGCCACAAGGCCATCAACCGAGAAGAGATTGTTTCTTTGGTAGATGTCAGTCATGTTGTGTATAATTTCGAGATCAATCAAGACAGAAGATTGTTAGTCTAGGACTTTTCAAGGAAGGCTCTTTGTCAAGTGGTGAAGTGGTTCTTTATACACGGACGGAGTTACCGGACTCAACAGCGAGCTCCGAATTGGTGAGCAACGACAAGGAGACGTCATCGGCAATTTATATTATCTCTTCGGATTTCGGAGTTTCGCTCCTTCTTTGTTTCCTGTAACACAATACGATGTGTTGTCTATCTATTGACAACATGTATGTCTAGTTCACTGGGTGCAGAGAGGCAGTCACCACCAGCTAGCAAGACCCTGGGCAGTTCGGCGACCGCGGTCGGAAGCTTCGGTTGTCGAGTCGCGCCTGCATTTGCGTCGGCGGTTCAACACGATCAACTACACATTCCAACCTCTCTGATCATGCTTTCGCGACTTGTAGGGAATCTTGTCAGATTCGTGACAGGTAATGATGGAAGCAATCGCGCCCTGCACATATTGACCGTGCCAGCCAGCCAATCAACAGCGAAATGGTTTGACTCATGTGGGCCGTAGGATCGAGGCAACAGCCATGGCGCAGCAGCTACTAATTATGAACGTATACTATATAGGTTGAGAGGTCTCTCTTTCAAGCTCCACACAACAACAGCACAATGCCGGGTTTACAAGATCTTCCTTTCGAGGTTCTGGAGCACATCTGCGAACTCGTCGCGGGGTCGCAACCAAGAAGCCTCGTCCCACTCTCAGAAGTCAGCAANAGATGTCTCGCAGCATCATCGCGGTCGCTCTGGCAGACCATACCGTTTAGGATCATTCGTCGAGGTCAGATCCCACAAGCGGTCGAAAGGCTCAACCATATTATTCAACACCGCCTGAATCGTGATGGAAGAATACGCTGCATTTCAATCAGGGGTCGCAAACCATTGGACAACCAGCAAGACAAGAAATTAAAGATCAGCCGCCTCGAGAAGGCCTATCTGGACAATATCGCCTGGCAACCGCTCGCGGATGTGCTGACCAAAATGCCGCCACTTACAGACATGGAGTGGGAGAAAGACGAGCTTCCGCCTTGTATTTTCCGTTCTCTCAATCGTTATCACCATGGCTGCAGGCTTCGGATAGTAGGATACAAATGTCATGTGGATGTGTCCCTGGATCCTCGAGAGTATCCCACGGCGACATCGTCCTTTATGTACGAAATGATCTTACCACTTGACAAAGACTTTGACTTTTGCAGTGAAAGCCTTGGCGGCAGAGGTATTCCTGACCGGCTAGGAATAAGACCCAGTCTAGCCATGGTCGGAACACTGTCAAGAAATCTTACCCAAATGAGACATCCTACGAAATATCGAAACCACGAAATGATCGAACAGACAGGCCCGCATGAGTTCGAGCTGCGTTGCAGACTCTTTGACGGACCTTTAGCACCGCGTTACAGAGCCGCTAGCCTTTCAACTTTGGAACTTCTTATCGATCCTTGGACAGATATCAATGAACCAGACATCGCTGTGTGGAGCACACTCACTCATCTTCCTGCTCTGATCCATTTCAAATCGGAGTGCCAATTTCACAGAGATGCACTCACGTGGTTGACAGCCAACAGTCCACTTGCTTCGCTGAAAACGCTTGATATCAACCTTCATAGCGAATGCATCTCACAATCTCCTTCGGTCTTAGTTGACTTCCTTTGCAGCCTTCCACCTCTGGAGGGTCTTGCGCTTGCCGGCGAGATACACCCAGCCCAGTCTGACGAATTGATATCGTTCCATGCTTCTACCCTCAAGCGACTACAACTCAAGACAATCGACCGCAGCGACACTGTGTTCGATTTAATGGCACTGAGAGCGTTGACCCAAACTCCGCTACTACTGCTCGAGCATTTGAGTATTACCATAAAACGCTCTAAAGGCGATTCGGATGAAGTCAGGATATACAAGATTCTTGGTACGATGCCTAGACTCCAGAGCATCATACTAGGACTAGATTGTTCAGACGTTATTGTTTCGACATCGCCGCACGAACCTTTTATGACAGACGCCTCGACTACTGATTTCTGGCAGCAGACTTGGCCAGTCGATGAAAACATACACGACCGACGCCCCACCTATAAGAACTTTAGGGATGCACTCATCAACAGCGCTGTCGATGAGAAGTTGGCAAAGGCCATTTTTCGCACCATCTCGGCCGCCAAACCTATTCGTTCGCTGCCATTAGAACGACTAGAAGTTCGGCCTTCTGGTGGTTGTGATTTTGGCGGGTCACTTCGCCGTTTCAGCCCAGAATGGTCGGCTGTCATGCAACATATTGAGTGTTCGTGGTTGGTCAAACGCAAATATCCAGGTCTGGGCTCGGACGTGCTATCCGTAAGCCAGATTCAATCCCAGCGTCCAGGAAGAAAGTGTCGTATACCTGCAAAGCTCGAGACCATTTTCCGCAGAATATTTCCGGTGCGCCCGGGGACCGAAGGAGACTGGCANAAGGATTGGCATAGCTTTCCACTTGAACAGCAAAACCAAGAGGTTTCTTGAGCGGAACGCACTTTATTAACAATCAGAACATCATGACCTTCCGTGCGACCGTGGTCAGCCGTTTAAAGGGGTAGCCGTCACGGTAGAAAGCGGGTTGCTCTCCACACTGCTCACACCTCCGTCACCAGCGTCTGGGGTTCAGGTATGCGGAATACGTGCCGTTCTCTACAGTTGCCTACTTCAGTACGGATCGGCTTTTATATGTTTCGAGTCATTCATTTTCCAGCCTTGTGACCATTCTTTCAGAAGCACAATGACGTTGGAATTTCTGTGACTAGAGAATAACGCAAGTGTGATGGTGAATACGTGTGGCTGACGACCACATGCGGCTCCTTGTTTTTGGGGCTCTGTTTGCGGCTCAATTACTATTAATACTACCCTCCGCACTCCTACCAAAATCACCTATACCAAATATCATGGAAACCTTTTCAGAGAAGAGCTCTCTTCTCGCAAACGGAGAGTCTGTTGCTGGCAACGGACTGCTTACTTTGACGAAATTCGTACGTCACTGCTGGTCATGGCTGAAAGCGTGCCTGAGCTAACCGCATTCCGTAACTAGCGTCGTGGCAGAAGTACGTCTGCTCTCTACTGACAGTTAGTATGCGAGCATACAGATACTAACTTTGTCTTAGAGATAGTCCACACATTCATACGGGATATCGGTAGGTCGATTGAGGGCTTTGTACTTTGTAAAGTGCTTTGCTGATTCTGAACAGACCGCTGACTGGATCATGGCCACAATCAATAAAGAGCGTATTTCGGTGGCACAATGAGACAAGTATGTTCTCTCTACAAAGATAATCGAGACCTCGTGCGAGATGCTGACACAGTAATCAGTCAACATTCACTCACATTCTATCGGATCGATAATATTTGCTATCATCCTACCGCTCCACTTCTACTTCGCTCTATACCGCAATGTGCCAGCAGCACAGCCAATTGATGCAGCAGTCTTCTTGCTATACTTTGCTGGTGTTGCGTCGTGTTTTGCCGTTTCAGCAGCGTGAGAAGGATCTCAACATGAGCAACGTCCAATGCTGATCGGACACAGATTTCATACTGCAGGCAGCCACAGTCAAGCTGTACACAAGAGGTACAACAGAGCCGACTGCTGTGGCATCGTACTGCTCATGTGGGGAGCAAGTCTTGCATCGATTCATTTCGCTTTCATCTGTGATGCTCGACTGAGAAGCCTACATTGGTTCCTGGTTGGTGTCTCCTGCTGCCCTTTGTTCCCTTTTTACATGGTACTGATGAACTTTTATAGACCTCCGCCAGTGCAACCGGATGCATCACCTTCATTCTAGGACCCCTTTTCATCCAACCGGCCTACAGAAGCCTCCGTGCACTTACCTATCTTAGCCTGGGTCTCTTCGCCATCGTCTTCATCTTGCATGGCATCTATCTTCACGGCTTTGCCCTTCAACGGCGAAGACTCTCATTGGAATGGATGGGCTTGATGGCTCTGCTCAACTTCCTTGGCTGTGCTGCATATGCTTTCCGCGTAAGTTATTGTGCTGAGATATTTCATGCGAGTACATGTTTTTCTGATGGTGAAGTACAGATTCCGGAGTCCAAGTTCCCTGGCAAATTCGATTTCGTGGGCGCGTCGCATCAGATTATGCATGTTGCTGTCTTGGCGGCTGGATTAGTGCATTATCACGGTCTTTCGAAGGCATTATTGGAAACACGGGGAGATTTGGGACAAACTTGTTAGAAGGCAAATGCTACAATATAAACATTGCATTTCACCCCAGGTTGTAAGATTTATAGCTCATGAACGACGTCCGGCTGATCAAAAAAGTAATCCTATCACGAGTCCACATGCACTTATTCAGATAGGCATGCAGATAAGGCTGATCTGGTTAGTACAGGGTATTCCAGCATAAGAGGGTTAGCGCACAAGCTGCAGACTGTTGATTTTCGCCTTGCTAACAACTTCGATTGGTTGAATACCCTGATTATGCAAGAGGGTGATCATGCAGACTAACCATCTAATGCAGGAATACCCTGTCAGATCCAACACCGAAAGCCGCGACAGTACAGATTGACGAATCGATGATTGTGACGTAGGATACTGTCTCAAGAAGACGCGATTAAAGTTGATGACCGGTCGCTCCGCCCCTTGCAGGTGCTGTGGCTGAGACGTGCAGGAAGTAACGTGGCCATCTGTCGATACCTGAGAATCATCGACTCGCTCGACAACTATTCGAAGCTTCGCCTGCCTCAAGATATCCATCACACGGGATAACACCAGATCTCTGATCGTCTACCACAGGTCAAAACGTTCACTTAGGTTTCTCGATGTTCGATTTCCACGGAGGGGGTACATCCTACGAGTATGAGGTTCCTTAGTTGCTCATATGATCACTCACTGAACATATCAGCCTGGTTCATGTTGGTACATACCCGAAGAGCTCTTCAAAGTACCTTTGTCCGGCGAAACCCCAGATTTCGAGAATGTTTCGAGACGAATTCCCGTATGCGCGAATCGCGTGTTGGTGGCTTTATGGTCAAAGTTCACCTTATGGAGAAGACGGACTCGAGCAAGAAGCAGACAAGTTGCTAGTCGAGCAAGAAGCAGACAAGTTGCTAGAGGGGCTTCGATGGTTGACAAAGGTTCATTGCACAAATGACAGGCCAAGTAGACCGATCATATTTGTCTGCCGGGGTATAGCAGGAGGACTTGTCCTAAAACAGGTAGATGGATACCGAAACGATCATTTCGGTTACCCAACTGACAGATGCATCTCAGGTCCTAATCAGTCTCAATAAGGATACGAACGTTGACAAAGACCTGCATGACAGTATTTCCGGCGTGCTTTTTCTGGGGTGCACACACGATGAGCGAAGCCATAGATTCAAGAAACGCGTCCTCTCAAGCCTGTTCATAGAGTACTTCGCGACGCTGAAGGACCCCCGATCACGCCTCCATGATCCTATGTTGGAGTGGGCTAGAGCGATCACGAAGAGATTTAGAAATCTCAAGCTAACGTTTCCGACTTGGACGTACTACGAAAGTGTCGAGACTGACTACACCCGTGATAGCAAGTGTCGATATATGGATTGGGATTCCGAAATTGTAAGGCAGACTCGAACATAAGATGCAGCAGACTGATTTCTTGACCGTTAGCTTTGCCCTGCGGAGACTATAAAACTTCAAGCCACGGCCTCTGGAACAAGATGCCCCGCCATGAATCATCGTGATGTCCGCGATGGCCTGTACCTAAACCACGAGGTCAGGGAGCAATTCTTAAACGACTTACGTACAATGGCCGCCGCTCTCCACACGAGCAAGCTCATGGCTCCGATTGTGGCGAAAGGGCACTCTGGGGAGGGACATGTGTCAGAATCAGGAACTGAAGCGGAAGAAACGGACAGTGTCAGAGGGGAACGTCTGAGGCAACAGCTTCAGGCAAAGCTTGGTGACAGTGTGTCAAAAGTTCCTGAGCCACTATTACGGAGGATGAAAAGAAGTCAAGATTATACCAAACGGCACGAGACCTTTTGACAAGCGGATCAATGACTACAGACTTCATGGAATCAAGCTATGTTCCAATGGCGACAATTCAGGCAAAGCTTGATGACAGCGTGTCAAAAGTTCCTGAGCCACCATCACGAAGAACGCAACAAAAGTTAATATTGTTCCGAGCACCACAAAAGCTTTTGACAAACGGATCGATGGCTACAGACTGCATAGAACCACGCTATGTTCCAATGGCGACATCACTGGAGAGGCAACATGAGTCAGTATCATACGGAGCCCCAGACCTTCTGGGAGCTTTGGAGACGCCTGGAATGGAAGAGATGGACAAGGTCAAAAGGGCCATCGGGAGCCAGAGCGTAGGGCAAGCATCCATGACACCGAATCAAGACTCAGAGCCCTGGAGTTTCTGAGCTGGCCGGAATCTCTGCAAAAGGAGTTCGATGCGGAACTATTACGAATAGAAAAAGCACGAGCTCGCACGGAAGCACCAGATATTACTGAAGCTCTAGATGTCACGGAAGCTCCACAGGTCATTGAAGCTCCAGATGTCACAGAGGCTCCAGATGTCACAGAAGCTTCAGATGTCACGGAAGCTTTAGATGTTACGGAAGCTCCGGGAAAGGCTCCAGATGTCACGGAAACATCAGCTGTCACGGAAGCTCTAGATGTCACGGAAACATCAGCTGTCACGGAAGCTCTAGATGTCACGGAAGCTCTAGATGTTACGGAAGCTCCAGGAAAGGTTCCAGAGGTCACGGAGACCCCAGAGGTCACGGAGGCCTCTCTGCAAACACCTGGTCCATCTATACCTATCGCGACTGAACAAGCTCCAGAATATGATAAGAATATTCAAGCGAACAAAAGCCCGGGTGAGCAACGAACGTTGGACCCAGTTCGGCTCCGGTCAAAGACGCCAGCGATCTCCGAATACAAAGTTGGCTGGATCTGTGCACTGCCGTTCGAAGCAGCCGCTGCTGAAGTTATGCTCGACGAAGAATATCCCCATCCACCATTCGATGGCTCGGCGTTGTACACACTCGGCCGAGTCGGTCCTCACAACATAGTGATTGCTTGTCTACCAGCTGGACGAGTTGGGACCTGAGCTGCAACAGCTGTAGCAAGAGGGATGCTCGCGAATTTTCGCGGCATTGCTTTCGGCTTCATGGTAGGCATAGGGGGTGGAGTACCTAGCAGCAAAGACGACATTCGATTGGGAGATGTGGTGGTCTCGAGCCCACATCTGGATCATGGAGGCGTCGTCCAGTACGACTTTGGTAAAGCAGAACAAGGTGGAGTCTTTCACCGGACTGGTTCCCTCAACAGTCCACCCATGTTGCTCTTGACCGTGGTCAATCGAGTTCGAACCAATCACGAGCGAGGTAGACGAACCCATCCCATACACATGGCACGATATGCCGAGGCAAATATGCAAAAGTACACTTTCCCTCAGAACGAGCGAGACATACTCTTCAATGCGACTTGCCCTCACATTGGAGACTTCGACTGTGCCAACTGCGACACCAACCAAATCATACATCGGCGCGAGAGAGATACCAGGAGCACCACCATCGAGATACACTATGGCACAATCGCATCCGGCAATCAAGTAATCAAAGACGCTCAAACACGAGATCGAATTGTCAGAGAGCTCGGCGGCCAGATCTTATGCTTCGAAATGGAAGCCGCAGGTCTTATGAACGACTTCCCATGTCTGGTGGTCAGGGGTATAAGCGATTATTGTGACTCGCATAAGAATGACGGATGGCAGAGGTATGCAGCTGCGAGTGCTGCGGCATATGCTAGAGAGTTGTTACTATTGATACCGTCGGAAGATGTGGTAGGGTAGTGTCGAAATGTCGGAAAGGTATAGAGGTAAAATTGGGCTTCATCATTGTTTCCTGCTCGATATCATTCTGCGTATCCAGCCCTTGCTTTTCCATCAATCTCCTGTCAGACCTGCTGCAGTATTGACGTTTGAAATCTCCATGTGATTCGCTTCGCCCTAAACGGGGTAATATCACTTGTTATCCTCGCCGTTCTGCGAGTCATCCTTCTCGATGCCCAATGTCTTCTCCAGCTGTCCGATCTTCTCCTCGTCGCTTGCATTCTCAGCCATCCACTGGTCGACGTGGTCTCTGAGAAACTGCACCCTGATTCTCAGGTTCATCATCAGGTGCATCTGGTACAGACTGCCCTTCTGAATGCCTCTACCAGCTGCATTGAGCTCAAGCTGGCGGCGAATGTAAGGAGTAATGTTGCGCTCAATGCTTGTCATGTGTTCGTCGTGCAGCGATCTGTAGTGTTCGATCTTGCCATTGCGTTCGGAGATTTGGTNCCTTGAGCTATATAAGATCAGCAATGGACAACAAGAAAGTGTGAAATGAGGACTTACGCTTGCGAGTTGAGTGTTCAGCTTAGCAATTTCGACCGCAGTAAGGCGCAAACGCGGCGATTTCGGACCTTTGTCTTCGTTGGAGTGACGATCTCTGGGGCTGAANNAAGGAGGGTCAATATATGTTACGAGATCACAGATCGTTAGGTTATACCTGAAGATAGGGGCCATGTTTGCTGCAATTTCGAACTACGAAAGAGAAAGCGTGATCGAATGGCGGCGGAGCGTTAAATATTGGTCAAGTGTGGCCGGTGAAAGCAAACTTGATATAGTGAAGCGTACGTGAATTACGGCGGAGCGTTAAATTTTTGCAGAGCAGCTCCGCTGGGAGTCAAGATTGTTGGCAAAAGAACAGCACAAAGTGACAGTATTTTGTATTGCGAAGTCGGAAGTGAAACAAGATTTTTGGAGTATTCTTTCACTTGCAGTGAAAGAACGGGTCAGAAACAGGAAAAGAACAGACTCCCACTGGCACCTGGCTTAGGAGATCGGACTGTAAGAATGCAGAGTATATTTGCAGACGCTAGTGATGTCCAGTGAGAGTGGTAAATTCATGGGCTCTCACTGGACACTTCTCTCTTCCAGGTTAGATTCGTGACTTTTGATGGGATCAAAATCGAGCTCAGCAAGCTGGGGAAGGGGTAAGGGCAACAACAGGATACTTCTATCTCCACTGGCACTAACGACAAGAGAGAGTGCCATAAAAATGCACGAATTGTTCAAGGATCGGAGCAGTGTCCGGTGAGAGCCCAAGATTTTACCACTCTCATTGGGCATCGCCAACAGCCTCGAATCATTCGTGCATTTTGACAGTCACGAGCAATCAACGGTAGTATCCAGTGAGAGTGGTAGACTCCGGTGCTTCTCGCTGGATGCGACACTGATCTCAAGACATTCGTGCCTTTTCATAGCCTCGGAACGACCGACATGGCAGAATAGAGACGATTTGTTCTAGCTTTTCCTTACAGATCTTTCCACTTCCATACACTCCATTCGACCAGTCTTTCGTCGTTGAATAGGTCCTGGCTTGCTTCTTCTCTTCCCTCCTCCATGGCTTCCATACCGCCATCCTCAAGTCTCTCCCACATCTCTCTGATGTAGTCGATATAGCACACCCTCAAAGGGTATGCAATCAGGAATCTAGCATCCTTGTCTTTCCTTAGCCACTTCAAGATCACATTCGCAAGCAGTTCGGGATGTTCTTCCGAGTAAATTGTATCGGCTGCAAAAATAACGTGAGCCTGTGTCTGGGGTCGCTCCTCCTCCTTGACGAGTAGAGTGGTAGGATATTTCCAGTCTAATGTTCCAGCTTCCATGTTTGTGTTCGCTTNTTGGAGACCCTCCAAGTTGAGATCAATGTTAGCATCCAAGGCAGGAACCAAAGGTGCCAGATCTGTGAGCACAACCGGCTGTTTCCAGAGGGTTGCCGCTGTAACACCGACAAGACCTGTGCCAGCACCAAGCTCCAGAATAGGAAGGACATCCGAGCTAGGCTCAGGGAATTGGATTTTCGGACCCAGATGGTGAAGCTGAGATGCCAGAATGTGAGACGCAGCCCAAGTCTCCAGACCCAAGTTCTCGGACGTCAAGTTGGGCTCGCTGATGCGAACCTGAATAGTTTCACCGGATCCATTCGACGGTACGGTAAAGTCTTGGGTTTTGAAACTACGTTCTTCGGCTGCCATGGTGTATGAGATTGGAAGAAACTGTCTTGTTCCAGGTTCTACGATCGGCCAAGTGGTTCTAGGATAGAGATATACGGGTCCTCGATTCGCAGCAGCAACACAAATATGCGATATGTTATGTCAAATTTTGTATTTTCCAGATGCAGGTGAGATCTCGAGAAGAATGTCGCCAAAATTTCTCCTTTCGACTTTTTGCACGGTCCGCAAATTTTGTGGGGTAGAAGAGATCTAGAATGCATGGTATGAACAACAGCCTGGGTTAACCTGCGCAGGATGAGTCATATACGGCAATAGCCTTTGCTGAATGAGCCAGATATGTTGTAGGACATCAGTGAAAAACAGCATGTTGATGACAAGGGATGCTGAGCAGGAAGAATTGCAGCAAATAGGAAGGGCACACCAGCTTACAAGCTAACCCAAAACGACAAATGTTGTGTCTAATCTGCACCCAAGACTAACACAAAAGAATGTGGGTAAGAGGTTCTCCAGACAGTGGTCTTTCAGCTCCAGAGAAAAGATATGCCACCAAGCGTACAGTTGCTGCGAAGTTAGTGTTGACGCTGATGGAAGTCCAGGCATTTGCTGCGAAAGAGTATCTGTGGTGGGTACTTCCGGATTTTGGTAAGAAACCCCTGCCCAGATAGACCCCCTCCTTCCTTCTCCAGATTTCTGCTTCGTTCGCGTTCTCCTCTTCGGCGGCCGCCACTAGAATATGGCACCATACCACCTCCTGATGCATGACTTTCCCGGTATTTGAGGCTTGATCTGGATTCCTTCTTGACTGCTCAGGGGTCTGCGAGTGTGATGCGAGTCGCGCAAGAGCGACGCGAAATCTCATTGGCGTTTTCCGACGCGTCTCGATCCCATCAACCTCTCGAGCTTCTTCTTACAAGATTTTCGCTATACCATATAGGCTATATGTATTTGCCATGCTACGGACGTACTTTTGCGAGCGCGGAGTCCTTGGATCGTACCATGCAGTCGCCCGCTCAGACGACAACGCCACGAAAATCGACACTGGTGCGTGAGTGACTGCCCGAGTCATACCAGATGCTGTGCCAGCACATGAGCAAGGTGATCTTTCCTCGACAGCTCGCGCTCAAACACACGAGTGTTTCAACGTGAGGTACGGGGTTTCGTCCACCAGGGTGCCGTAGTGATCCGCTGCGCTGCACGGCTGAAGACGTTGAGTTCTGGGAAAGACGTTTAGTTTTGCAAGTTCTCTGGTAAAGACGTTGAAGTGTCTCACGTGCAACTTTAGAACGACCACCGTGACATCAGCCCACGAGTTTCTTGCTTCCGCTGTTATCCACGGCTTAGGCTCTCTGTGATTGCACTATGGTCTTCTATCATTCGGCTTCTGCATCACCTCGGTTCACCTATCGAAACACGGAGCAATGCGTCACGAGGGTGGTCACTAGCATCGCCATGAAAACATATAGTGGTTGGTGGAGAGACATGTCAAACGTTCGACCTCGGGTATGGCTTGTCGTCCGTCTCTCCTCCCTTCTCTTAGCCCTAAGAATATTACCGCTTCCTGATTATGGTGCCCTATGAGTTGGTAGGAAGAAACGATTCATCGAGGCGATATACCATGGCGTGGTCATTGCACAGATTTTAGTTAGACGATTGCTAAATCTGCTGAGATCATGCTGACTCTTTTCCAGCGGAATCTCCTGGACCATGGATATCCTGCCTGAGACATCTCACGAGCTTACCCCGTACTAAGCTCGACACGGGTTGACAGGAAGATGAAGGGTCTTGACAGACAGTCCTGATTCACCACATGGCTGTCCACAAAGCAGCAGAGTGAGCCCTTACTCCACAAAGCAACCGTCATGCGCAAGCCATGCCCATGGACACGAGTCGACGGATGGAGAGGTTGATGCTACAAATACTCCTGATCATCGTCCTTGAAACTCTATTCGACAGACTCGTTGCCATCCCTTCCTTTACTCACCGGCATCTCTGGCAGAGTCGTTGTCGTCACGTTCTTGTTGCTCTTCCGTTCTTGTTAGCCTCTTCTACGTTTCTCCTTATATTCCCTTGGATGATCCCCGTTTTGCTGTGCAAAACCTGGAGTCTACCGTTTCACTATCTCTTCTCACAAGACAAGATGTACTTCACACGGACATTGTTATTATTCGTCGCAACCTCAAGCTTGGTTGCTTCATCACCATTCACACACAACAAGCGTGATGCAGCATCGACGAGCTCAAAGCAGCTATCTGCTACCACCGCAACATCCTCAGAGGCGCCTTGCCCTACCACACCCGAAGCAGGCACCTACTGCGGCTTCGTAAATCCAGAAGACCCATGTGCACCCCAACCAGGAGGACAAGGCCCAAGGATAGTCCCGGACACGGTATCAGCCTTCAAGCAGTACACACCCTTCCAAAGCATATCTTTAAACAACACATACGCGCCTGGCTACACGAACATCTTCAAAAACCTCACTGCAGCAGCCGACCTGCACGAGTACCTTGGCATGTACTATCTCGACACATACTCTCCCTCTGCCTGCGCACAGAAATGCAACACCGCTACAAACTGCACAAGTTTCAACATCTATGTGGAACGCGACCCGAGTCAAAATCCTACCAAGAATGACTCTACAGCACCTACAGTATGGGGATATTGGTGTCCCAATCCACCCTCCATCACAAACTACGTCTGTGCGCTTTGGGGCGATGGCATGTATAACTCTTCAGCGACGAACTATGGCCAATACCGAGGAGGCGATTTCGAAGTCGTTATTGTGGGCAGTAATGGCTTTGTCAAGAATGGAGTTTACAATTCTTCTTCGTATTGGAGTGCGGCACCGTCTCCAGTCTCGACGTCTGGGATGCCGCAGCCGAGCGCGAGTAGTATGGTGGCGTATACTGGAGGTGCTGGTGCGCTCGAGAGGGGATGGTTGTGGATGGCAAGTGCGTTGCTCGTTGCGACGATGATACTTCTGTGAGAGAAGGTGCGATGGGGATTTTGCTCATATCATCGTGAGTGCGTTTTGTTCTCGGTTATAGCTGGATCTATGTATTACTATAATGACTGAAATGCTTACGAATTCAAAAGCCCTCCCTCTCTCCTTCATGCTCTGTGCCATAATCAAGAAAGGTTGCAAGGTAGGACTTTGACCATGGACGTCTCTCAAGAGACAAAGAGATGGATATAGGTAGTGTCACTCTTGAGCAAGAAGATATTGTGCAGTTGTACAACTGCATTCTGGCGAGTTGTAAGAAACAAATAGATACATAGCGCATCGAAATAGCTGATATGGAGAAAGTACTGTTGAAACAAAACTCGTTTTCTGAATATGTACAAGGCTTCTTTTAGACCATCAAACAAACCACCCTCGACCAATATAAACAACAAGCATATAGAACAGTACAAAAGTCTAGAGATCATCTATCGTAAAGCAGAAAGAGAATATAGGACGTGTCTAAGCAAGTCCAGATGCTAGAAGAAAATCTAGCAGTAGGCGGTACCGTTGGATGCGGACTCGGGGAGAATGACACCGGCATTGATGAGATCGATGTACGACCAATAGTCTCTCTGGGTACCCTGTCCGTCAACGAGGGCGGTGGAGTAAGAAACGGCGGTCCAGAAGCTGCCACCGCTAACGTACTTCTCCCAGGCGTAACGCTGGGTGTTGAAGATCAATTGACGGTCAGAAACAGCCAAACTGTTGTTGTACATTGTTTGGAGACTCCACTCGCCGATGAAGTTAGGAAACTTGGTTGACTCGGCAATGAAGGCGGCTTGACCGCAGACGGCGGGAGCAACATATTGGGAGTAAGTACCAGCAGCGGCGAAGTAGTAAACGTGAGAATCGATGACGAGGTTAGCAGAAGCGTCGAAGTAAGGCTCCCAGAAAGCAACACCCTTGAAGCAGTCCTGGAGCATGACAGGGATGCGGCTGTCGACCTTTGCGACACGGGCGAGGACTTCGGTGGTGTAGTCAGCAATCCACTGAGCACCCTTCTCGGAGAGACCAGCAGAAGTACCAAATCCGGGGAGGTTGTCAGATGCCTCGTTGATGGGTGCGACAGTCCAGGCAGTCATGTTACCGCTGGCCTTTATGAAATCAAGGATGGCATCGACAGCATCGTAGGCGTAGTTGAGGTTGGTAGTGTTGTAGAAGAAGTCGTCGTGCATGAGAGCCTCACCGATATCGAGGTTGTTGACACCGCCAGGNNGGAGAGAGTGGAGGCCAACAATGACGTGCATGCCGTAAGTGTTGATGGCGTAATCGGTGATGGTCTTGAGGTATTCCTGCTGATTACCGTGGTAAAGCTGAGAGCCAGGAACCTTAACCCATGCCGAATACGTGGTAGGGATACGCAAAGTGTTAACACCGACGGAGGCGAGCTGGTCAATGGTCGAGGTGTTGAGGAAAGATGCGTAGCGAGCTTCCAGGGTAGGACCGCACTGGTCACCAAGGGTCTCGCAGAGAGTCCATTCATCAGGGGTGGTGGAGAGGTTGGCAACACTGGCCCACCAGATAGGGTCGTGGGTTTGCTCCTTCTCGAGCCATCCGCCAAGGTTAGCGCCGTTAGCCTTGAAGGTCTTCCAGTTGATAAAACCTCCAGCAGAAGTGGGCTGAGCGGTGGCGGTAGAGCTGGCAGTTGCAGTTGCAGAGCTGATGATCCAAGTAGAGGTAGTAGGCTTCTTGCAAGTACCAGCATCGGCGGAGCTGGAGAAACCGTATGAGTAAGAGACGGAGTACTTGTTGCTGTTGCTGTTAGAGCCCTTGTAGGTGGCATACGAAGATGCCCAGGTCTGAGAGTAAAGGTTGCAGTACTGGCCGATGGCGACGTTGTTGCGAGACAGAATGTAGGTGTTGAAGAACTTGCAAGTGGGCAAGTTGGCCTTCAGGTTGGTGGCTGACTGAGCATTGCAAGCAGCAGCGCAGAGGTTGGCATCGAAAGGACCACCGGTGAAGACCTTAGAACCAAGGAGGGTGTCCTTGCCGTTGCAGTCGTTGGGAGCGTCAATGGCAGTGTTTCCATAGTAGGCAGGAGAGTTGAAGCCATCAGCAGGCTCAATGGTGTTGTTGACGTATCCGTTGGAACCAGCAATGACGACCTGGAAGTTGCTTCTCCACTGTCCAGCGTTGTTGGCGTTGGCAGAAGTGACTGGACCTCCCAGAAAACACACTATACGGTGTTAGCCCTCGGTCAAAGAAAGAGACGTATCTTGAGTATTCACCTTGATGTTAGTTGTGCTTGAGGGGTTCTCACAACCAGTGCCAGGGTCCTTTAAGGGATCACGCTCGTAGTATAGGTTAAAGGCAGCGCAGCCGGAGATGGCGTTACACTTGGCAGCGCACTTCTCGGAGTCGTATGAGGGGAGGTTGGTGAATCCGAGGTAGCCGTAGCTGCACGAAACATTTAGTATATCGTATGAATGCAGGCTCATAGGGACTACTCACGCGTTGTTGGAAGCGTTCAAGTTCTTGAAGGCCTGGGTGTAGCCCGAGGGAGTGGCAGCGGCGGAAGCAGCGCTGGCAAAGGCAGAGTAGGAAAGGAAAGAAGAGGCAGTGTCGGGAGAAGGCACAGGACCAGAGCCAGTGGCCTGAACGGCACAGGTACCACGTCTTTGAAGAGTGGAAGAGCTAGTGCTGTTGGTGGTGCTGTTGGAGACATCAATCTCTGTCTGACCAGTCAAGACGGAGGTCTTGACGGCAGTAGCAGCAGAGTCGGAGTTGTAATTGACAATCAGCTCATCGGTGTTGGAAGGAATGGTGACGTTGGAGGGAGTCTCGACAGTGTCGACCAAAGAGAAGTCAAGCTCCTGAGGGACGGGAGAAGCGAGTGTAAGAGCCGCAGCTGCGGACAGGAGAGCGAACGAGCGCATGGTGAGATGAAACGAATGTCTTGATTGAGCTGTTGTCTGATCTGCTTGTGATTGGGGATTGTACTTCGCTTTATATCTGCTTCATGGCTGGCTCTTAAACTACGGAGATCGGCTTGTAGATCATAAGCATATTGTCAAGCTCTGACCAGCATGTCGAAATATTATTGACTCAGGAGCACTAAGCAGGCCTTACCTTGGGAAGATCTTGAATTGTTACAGATCGGGACAGATTTCTTCCAGAAGCCCTAGAAGAAGACCATAATGGGCGGATTCTCGTCCAGATGGTAGATCCAACAAGGGCACAAAACCTTGGTCCTGCATGCTTGACCATGATTGACATCAGTCAGGAGAAGTTGGCAGCTGAGAGGGCAATGGACGGCAGAGTTTGTACGGCACCCAGCACACGAGCGGGACACGAGGTTGCATGGGTAGCGAGTTTGGTCTGTGCTTGCCGAACGAAGATCCCCCCAAAGCCTTGTGCTGCATCTATAGATGGGCCTTGGTCGTTCAGCATGATCTAGAAGCTAAGATCATCGCATGCATTCATCGACACCAGAGGAAGTGTACTCTGGTCTGCAGATAGAACGGCTGCTTCAAAGAACATCTCTTTGTTTCGTCCTGCGTCAAGATACCGTTACACGAGGCTCTTCTACGTTGTCGCTTCATCGTTCAGAGTTCAAGGTAATTGTCGTTCCGAGTCACGAGAGCCACTTGTTTTTCGATAAGCGGGCCGGCTTCACTGTCTTGGTTGCAAAAGTCGTTCGTCGGAAGCGAGCAATATAGGGCCAGGTCGGTGCGCGGTATCGAGGATTGTTTCAAGATATGAACAGAGGGCTTGTAGGATCGAAGACATCAAGGGTCTCGTGGAGCCCTAAGTCGACAACAGGAACAAGTTTAAAGTTGTCCGGATGAGGCTTGGTTCGCTCTGTAGCTCGGCGAACACCCGCTTTTCTGCCCTCATCTCGCTCTGTATCTGGTATGGCCGCCTGCTCGTCCGTTCTGTGCCGAGCATCGGCATGATCATTGCGATTCAATCTCCCGACTTTCGGTAGAAACTATGAGTTGGCGGTGCTGCAGAGTGATCGCATGCGAATTTCTTGCACAAAAATCGAAGTTGATGAGCTGGCTGTCATAAAGCATATCATGACGGTGTGATCATGCTGAGCGATCATGACGCTCATGCTGATCGTGATCAGAAAGATCATTATACTCGAACAGTCTGTTTATGATGCACCCAGCAAAGACCTTTCAACAGCATGCCAAACTTGAACATCCTGTTGATCTTGGTACTGTAGTTTGCAGTTCTTCGCTGTACTCAGATTCGATTGGAATCTATTATGCATTGTCATGACTGCTTGCGCAGATGTCAGCGCACGAGCGGATGGAAACCAACACACCTAATCCCAAATCTCTTTGATACAGATCCCAAAGGCCACAATGATTGTCTGCCTACCTCAACTTCACACTCATATCCCTATTGCTTACCGATTTGATCTCATGGAAAGTTCGGGTCGATAGTACGTGGTACGAACTGATAGCAGTCACAAGTACAGTTGCTAGTAGGGACACCCTGACTCGATGCGTCATCGTCAGCAATGCTGTACCAGTACGTTTGACGGATGTGTGCGCCGCCGTGGCCATGTTTGGTTCATCGAGCTGTGTAGATGTAGTAGACGACATTTCTTGGAGTCAACAAAATCATTGCGATGTGAGGTATGAGGTCAATCAGGTGAGACATCCGAGGACCGTTGGACGAGCTCGAGACCGCTTCCACTGTCATCGATTTGTTCACCTTTCGCATCTTCATCCATCGCTTTCCCACCACTAACATCCACTTTGACGCATATCCAGCTCCAAGATGTATGCCAACATGACTTTCATGATCTCATAATATATGATGTGCGCGCTGACAAAAGTCGAACAGGTCCTCCCTCCTTACCAACCTCGGCCTCACCGCCAACAACTCGCTTGCCCCCCTTCCTAACTACGGACCTTACTTCCTACTCGGCAACTTCTTCCTCAGCTATGTTCTCACCACAACTCGCTTCCAAAAGACGGGCTACGGTGTCGACAACAACATGAACCCTCGCTACGACCTCGTCTCTCCTCGCGCCGAACAGCTCGTATCCAAGGGCAAGATCACACAAGAGCAATTGGCACAACTGCAACGCATTCAGGCTGCTCACTCGAACTCGATGGAGCACTACACCGTCTTCGCTGCCGCCGTCTTGTGCTCAATGGTCGCAAAGTTGGACAGTGGCATGCTCAACAAATATGCTACCTTGTACACTGTCATTAGAGCTGCATACTTCTTGGTTTACAGACAGAACACTACCAGACAGGCTGCTGGTGTCAGAAGCGTGCTGTGGTGGGCTGGAAACATTGTTTGCATCCGCCTTTTCTGGTTCGCCGGCAAGGCTTTGAACGCACATGTTCTGTAGAGCCATAGCAAGAGCCTATACGTCATGTCGAATAACGTTATCACCTCTGTACTCAGTATGAACAGATAGGTAGATACAACAGGTCTCCACACAGCATTACCTTTCGAGGTATGCAAGGAGATAGGCCATCGTCGACTTCTTCTACAAATTCCGCTCTGTTCACGATGTGCATCTAGCCGCATGTAAACCTGTTTTGTGCATCCCTCCACATCCCGCAGAACACCATCGACAACACTCCGAGCTTTCTTGAGCGACAAGACAAGTCAAATGCCGCCTCTCGCCAACATGCAGCCTGCATCAACATCTCCACATCCCCGCATGCAACCCCGCCTTCAACTTGCACATCTAGCGAATCCTCTGCCATCCTGCTGATCTTCCAGTCAAACTTGGGATTCCGACGCGATGAAGCTAACCCTGTTGTCTTCCATGCTTAGGGCCCGATCATTGAGATCTTGTCGATCTCTGACTCTCGGATGCTTTTGCACCGAGCAGTGTAGGATGCTCCGCTAGACATCATCCTTGCTACTACGCCTTCATATAAACCCGCGGGTGCCTCTCCCAAAGATGTGATCCTCACCGAGAACGCACTACAGAAAATGTATCGACTACCAGTGGTGGCTCTGACCTCTCTCCTTCCTCTCACAGCTTTCGCTGTTCCATATGACGAGTATATCCTCGCACCATCGCAGCGGGACTTGTCTCCTGTATCCGTTTACCAAGCCAATGGTACTGTTCTCAATGCTGCTGGCGTCACGACTTCTGGATCCGGAGATACCACTTTCAACAGTGTCTCAGCTGTCACATACGACTACGCCAAAAACATTGGCGGCTTGGTATCTTTGTTGTCAGCTCTGCATCCGACAGCGAACAATATATCGGCATCTCATTCACTGAGTCGTCCATGTGACTCTCACCTGACGGATCTGATGCCACTCAGAACATTGCCATCGATGAGACATTGTGGTTCAAGATCACTGGCCCAGGCAACTACTCTGTCGAGCCCCTGCATGACCGTGGTGGGTTCAGGTATCTGAACGTCTACCACAACACAACCGGAAATGTTACGCTCAGCCATTTGCAAACGTACTTCACTGCCATGCCACATTTCCCTGATGATGGTCTTCGCGAGTATACAGGATACTTTCACAGCAACGACGAGAAGTTGAACCGCGTTTGGTATGCTGGTATGTGTTTATTAACTCTTCCCGTGTGCAAAGTATGTAATCCGTGTGACTGTAAAAATGCACGATACTATCAGGAAATGAGATAGTGTCTACAGAGAAGCGACAATCTATCGGCTCTCTGTGGACACACCTCTGCCTCCGAAAACAGCCATGCGTTTTTATAGTGTCATTTCGCCTTTTGCTACAGTTGGAGTACGATGAATGTTACAGACCTTGGCACACGGGGAGTAGTCTTCTGCAGAACATTTGCTGGTCAGCTCGCAGGTGCCTATACTGACCAACTTTGCACCATCCCCTCGACTGCAGGCAACTCCTTGGTCGACCTCGATGCCACCGACCCAGATGTGCCAACAGTGTGGTGGTCCAACAGTACCTTGACCAACGGTAGCTCTGCATTCACTGATGGGCCTAAACGAGATAAGCTAATTTGGCCTGGTGACTTTGCTATCTCGGTACCTGGCGTCTTCCTCTCCACTGACGATGCAATCACTGTAAAGTTGTCTCTACAACAGCTATTTGCTAGTCAAAACACCACTACCGGTGCACTTCCTTGGTTCGCTTAACCAATATATGTGTTCCCAGAGAACTCTTTCATCGACTTTGGCAAGGTTGTTTTCAGTTTCAACTATCACCTGTTCACACTTCTGGGACTGCACAATTACTGGATCTATACCGGCGATGATGAGTATCTGCAAAACAACTGGAACAGATTCAAGCTTGGTCTGAATTACAGCTTGAGCTTCGTGGATGAAACTGGATTGGCTAATGTTACCTCATCCTTCGACTGGTTGAGGACAGGTATGGGTGGTCACAACATCGAGGCCAACAGCATTCTCAAACACACCTTGGATGTAGCAGTCACGCTTGCGTATGCCGTGAACGATACTTCCCAAATCGCTAGCTGGTCCAATGCGTCCACAGCCATTGTAACCGCCGCAAACACACTTCTCTGGGACGGCACAGCTTCACTCTACAAGGATAACGAGACTACCACTCTGCATCCTCAAGACGGCAACGTCTGGTCCATAATCTCGGGCGTCGCGTCCGCCAACCAGAGTACTGAAATCTCTTCCGCTCTCGCTGCACGATGGGGACCTTACGGTGCTCCAGCTCCGGAAGCCGGGACAACAATCTCACCTTTCATCTCAGGCTTTGAATTGCAAGCCCATTTCCTCGCCGGCCAGCCTCAGCGAGCCATCGATCTCATGCGCTTCATGTGGGCAGACTTCATGCTCGACGACCCACGCATGACCAACAGCACTTACATCGAAGGCTACGATACCAGTGGCGCATTGCACTATCCCGCCTATGCCGACGACGCACGTATTTCACATTCTCATGGCTGGAGTTCCGGTCCTGTGTTGGCTTTGTCGACGTTTGCAGCTGGGTTGCATGTGTTGAATGCAACGAATTGGGTCGCGTATTTGCAGCCTGGGAACTTGACGAATGTGGAAGCTGGGTTTAAGGTTGGACATGGCAGTTATGCCGCTAATTATTCTGTTACTGCTGATGGAGTGAGATACGCACTTTCGACACCAGCGGGCACGAAAGGCAGTCTTGTTATCGACACTCCTCCTGGTTGCAATGGCAAGGTGACCATCGTAGGTAGTGTCAGTGATGCTGATGACGGTCATTCAAGACCCGAGCGCGGTATCGGTCACGGCAAGAGTTTCCATTGGAGCAAGCAAATCAAGAACTCGGGCTCTGCAGCAAGTCCTTGGAGGTGCGGTGTTTGGGGTCCTTCTTCGCCTCCGGCGCATTCGAGTGTCAACAATGGCACAATTACAATCGATGGGCTGGCTGGAGGGAACTACAGTATTGATATCACATGTACATAAGTATGATCACAGACTTGAGTCTGACAAGGTCGCGGGCTGCTGGGTCTCTGCTCGTCGGCCCAAATGTCAATTGCAGTCATTCGTATCTCTTCCTTTCTTTAGCGGACACTGCTTTGAACATAGTCGTGTTCTCGTTATATCTCAACAATAAGACCGTGGCGTTCTGCTCGCTATCACCACCACACAGACGACACCTTATCTTTCATCTAACCTTTCATCCTCACAGTGATTGGTAGAGTTGGCGCAATCCGTAAGACCACACTCGTAAACCCAATGTAATAAAACTCCTAAAAGTCCTCGGTTCGATCCTTGGATGTAGCGGAACATTATGTTCTTTCTCTCTTGCAAAGGTAGAATACTTTGCAAGCAGGTAGGGTTTCCCAAGCAAACAACCTGGTTTTTGCTCCAGAGTGAAGATTCTACTATAATAGCTTAGACTTTGCTCTTTGATCGTGAACAGACAAATCAGAGGCACAACACTGTTGTTCACCATGGGCTCATCACTTAGCTAGCCATGCGGATAAGGTGCGTGTTTCGCAACAATGCGAGCTGGCCAGAAGTGAAAGACAGAAACGTTGAGTTTAGGGTCAAAAGAAATTGCTTTCTAATGAAACATAGATAGTGCGCCTGCTTAAAACTGCGGAAAAGATGATTCATGAAACCAATCACTAGAACGCTTATAATAAGTAGCCAATATTGTTACCTATCTCCCAGCAAACATATCAACACTCGATCTCGAGTACCCAACAATCTTATCCGGCCACCCACTCCAATCAGCAGAGAACAAAATCGCATCCTGGCATGCACTGCCCAATCCAGTATTATTCAGCCAGGTAGGCTCCCAATAATTGACACCCTTACCCCAACCACCAGCAACATTCTCAACTACACTGATGATATCTCTAACCCACTCTGTCTGGCCCGGAACGCTGATAGGCACAGAAGTATCGCTGAGTTCTGGCGCAGAAGGCCCGTCACAGATGGCAGGCCAATCCGTCTCCACCACATGAACGGGTTTCTGGTATTTTGTGGCCACGGCATTGAGGGTGTCCTTGAGATTGTCCAATGTAGCAGCAGTGCCATAGAAAGGATAGAAGGAAAATCCAAATATATCCCAGTCGGAAGTCTTGACCTTACCACTGCCGGTAAGAGCTTCGAACCAATCCAATTGCAAAGTCTTGTTCCAGCCATCGTCGATGTGGATCATGACGGAAGGTTTCTTGACACCGGCTTTGACGGCATCGTCGACGCCTTTACGAGCCGACGACCATAAGCTAGCCAAAGAGGTGAAATTGGCGATACGTGCAGAAGTGGGGAAAGTGTCGACATCAACATAACCAGTAGGCCACAACATGCCATGACGGATCTCATTACCAAGAGACACGAGCGAGAGATCAACGCCGCCAGCCTTGAAGGCCAAAAGCGTGGTTTTGACATAATGACGCAGGTCAGATGCTAAGGCCGAAACACTGCTTGTTGTCCATGCGGCAGGTGTATACTGTTTATTCGGATCTGCCCAGGTATCTGAGAAGTGGAAGTCGAGATAGATACGATAGCCCTNTTTGGCAAATCGCTGGGCTTGAGATAGTGTGTATGCTAGATCGTATTGCCCGGGCTCTGGATTGACCCAAATTCTAGAAGTCCTCAACGTTAGTCTTCATACCAAGCAACAACATCGAACTGATTTTCGATACCTCAACCTCACTGTATTCATCCCGCCATCGCCAAGGATGTCCTCAGCAGGTCTAGTGGCATTTCCTTTCGCGGTGTCTTTGTAGGTGACGTTGCCAAGTTCGAGTATATGCAGAGAAGACAGATCAAAACCTTTGTAGAAGAAAGGGTCAACACTCTGAGTCTGAACGGGTTTGTGGGGCGAGGCAGTCGCTGCTGACAGACACAACAGTGCGGCAGTAGTGACAGAAAGAATGGAAGGCATGATGGTAATGGAAAATCCAAGAAATGGCGGTGGGAGATCTTGCTTGGGGTAGCACCTGCCACTTTTATACTTGCCATGGGCATGTGGTAGATCAAGTGCTCGGGTACATGCACCACATGCCTACATTACTCCCTTCCCCAGCCGCTCCAGAACATGGAGCATCGAGCAGGACATGGAGAAGCTGCGGGGCGCATGTCGAACATCCACCAACTGGACGATCTTCCGTCAAGCACGGATGTCCATCACGTCCCGTGCGATGTGGACAATCAGGGCATGAAGTCGGACGGCAGCAGTCAAGAGAAGCAGGAAAGGTTACAAGCGAGGGCTTTGTAGTTGTTCGATGAATATTAACCGGCATTCAGCCTTATGAGCCCGGTAATTCGGGTGTCTTACAAGGTGGAAAGAGCAAACACATCTCGAAACAAGTCATTTTCGAGCGGAGGGATAAGCACCAAGACAAACACTGGCACGTTGGAGGAAATCGTTCTTTGGCATATCTCATATGTTCATTTGCAAAATTTTGTAACTGGATAAAGAGTAGAGAGCAAAATAAGATGCTTGCCATGCAAACAGAAGGGAAAGCTCCTGCCCTCCATGTACGCCTCTTTTCTCCTTTCTTTGATGTTTGTCCCTAATATGTTTCTTTCGTTCTTTCTCGTTCCAGAGCTCAATCTTCCTGCACCTTTGCGCCAACCCCTGAAAGCCGAAGGAAAGCTATGAAGGCAAGAGCAAGATATGCAGCTCTTCCGATGATGCTGAAGCCAGAAGTAATTGGAGAGGAATTAACCGTGGTCTCAAAGATCTTCGTGCGAATGTTGTCGCAAAGCTCAACTAGACATGGTGTACTTCTAGGCACCACCGCCGCCGCGAGCATAAGGATGGAAACCACGGTGACCACCTCTACCACCACCTCTGTAGTTAGCGCCAGGTCTTCCAGCATTCTTAGGACCTGTGGGTGCGTTGGCAGGTGCATTAGAAGGGCCAGCGGGCGGACCGCCGCCTCCTCTGCCGCGGCCTCTGCCTCCAAAGCCACCGCGAGGGGCAAAGCCGCCGTTGTTGCTACCGGGACCGCCGCCCTGGTTGGGAGCGGGAACGTCGTCATACATGCCCTCCCAGCTTGTGGGTGAGCCAGAGGGTTGGAAGCCGTTGCTACTGTTGGGTGTAGCAGATGCGCCTGGCATACCACCACGCTGCTGTTGCTGACGTTCGTACTTCTGTTGCTCGAAGGCGAGTTGCTCTTGAGCGTTGTAGGCAGGGCGCTGACCGGGGCCGCCGTTCATTGGAGACATGGGATTGTTGGAGGGTGCCGGGCTGCCTGAGTTACCAGTACCGCTGCCTTGCATCTGCTGCTGCATTTGTTGCATCTGTTGCATCATGGCTGGGTTCATGCCGCCTGTGTGGAGAAGCTTGTCAGTAATCTTGACGAACACGGAGAGATAGTAAACAACTTACCNCTGACCCATGCCTTGCTGCATGGCCATCATCTGCTGCATCATCTGAGGGTTCATGCCACCACCACCCATCATAGGGTTGCCGCCTCCGCCCATGCTGGTAGCCAACTGCTGCTGCATCATCTGGAAGTATTGTTGCATGCGCTGCCAGTACTGAGCCATCATGGCCGGGCTCATGTTGTTGCCTCCCATACCGGCAGGGCCGCCTTGTTGCATACCGCCTTGCTGGCTGGGGTCAAAGCCACCCTGCTGGCCGCCGAAACCCTGTTTCTTGAAACCACCGTTGTTGCCGTTATCGTCGTTGCCGCGCAAGTTGCCTCTGGGTTGGGCCTTCTTGACTTCGATGTATTTGCCCAGGATCTCCAAGGGACGTTCCAGGGTTCTGTCAACGGCAGCTTCACTGTCAAAGGTGACGAAACCGAAACCACGAGGACGGCCAGTATCCTTGTCCATCATAAGAGTGGCATCCAGAACACGACCAAACTGCATGAAGAAGTTCTTGAAATCAGCCTCGGTGGCTTCCTGCGAGACACCGCCAACGAAGATCTTGCTAGTACGCTCCTGCTCGTCGCGAGGAATAGCCCTCTTGGGATCGATNNCTGTGACATGATTAGTTGTGAGTATAACGGACGCGAGAGAAAGACTCACAATCTTGCCGTCAAGTTGGTGTTCCTTCACCATGACAATGTTTACGGTCTTTGGGTCTCTGAAAGTGAGGAACCCGAAACCGCGAGAACGTCCAGTTGCACCATCACGCATGACAGTGCATTCTGTGACTTCGCCAAACTGTGAAAAATACTCCCTAAGTGATTCTGCAATTATGCAAACATCAGTATACGATCGATTGAAGGACAGCACAAGACCTTAGGACTACTCACGATCTGTTGTCTCCCAGTTCAAGCCACCGATAAACATTTTACTGTCACACAAATTCACGTTAGCTATTTGTCATTGTATGTTGCATGTTGTTTGTTGTGAATCCAGCAAGACATGATTGCGCGGAGGAGCGGGCGATTTTCTTCGAGTTTCCGGAATGCGAAATCCTGGCGGCTGAGAGGACGTCTCCAAGATGATTTCTAGAGCTTTGGATATTTGAGACATGGCATTATGACGCAGGTGTGCTGCTATCATAAAATGCTCGACGCAGCAAAGCAAGATCAAGATCAGGTCGAAGTACGGTAGTGGTGTGCGTATCTTGAGGAATGGTCTGGAGAATCGCTTGCTGTGCTGGAGTGCTGGGGCGAAGCCCTCAACACACCAGACGAACAGCAGCCATCGAATTCCGTGCTTTAGCTAGGCTCTATGAAGAGTTATCGACATGAAGCTAAATAGCTATAGGCTTTGGCTAGATGGGTTCAGGAGGTGATTTGACCGTCATACAACGTACCACTACGATCTTGACTCTCCTGCCTCTGTCTGATATATATTGCCTGATTGGTCTTGCCGAGGTATGTAAATGGCTGCATAATGCTTGCTCTTGCGTTGGCGAACTTCCGACGCCGCTCTCCATATCTGGTTCAGAGCCATGTAGTATTTCAATCCATGCCTTTAAGGCCACAATGTAAGAGCACTCAGGCAAACACCAGATAAAGTGCCTGGGAACAAATAACGTTGAAAAGACCGCCGAGAAACGAGGCAACTTGACTTGTGCCTATGCAGAAGGCGGACCAAGCATACGTGCTTGTCGCATCACGTCTTGCAATAGTTCTGATTATCTGCTGGCGCAGAAGGTTGCCAATCATGCAAGTTCCAGCTAACTCCAGTTGCGCATCATGTCTTGTTTATGGAATACTTCCTGAGGTGGGTGTAACAAAGAAACGCGACACGACTTACCCGTCTTCCTTGATGCCAATAGGCTTGTAGTCATCATCGCCGGCTCCGCCGTGGTTCATTTGCTGAGCGGCACCATAGTCGTTACCTTGGTTCTGGTTGTTGTTGTTGTAGTCCCAGTTTTGCTGGCCTTGCTGCTGTTGTTCGTTCCAGCCATCGTTAGAGTATGATTGAGGTTCGGCGGGTACATTGGAGCCGTTTGCGATGGGTTCTGACTTGGGAGCCTGTTCTGACGAGACAGGGATCGACTCGGTCTGTTCGGTAACGGCAGTTTCGACAGTGGTGGGGCTGGAGCAGCTGCGGATGCTGCTGGGGCGGAAGGAGCGGCGTCGTCACCCTCGNNTAGCTAGCAAAGATGTCAAAAATCATGATGGACGAAATGTTGAGGGGATGAAGGAGGCGTACAGGTCGGCGAAGAGATCCTCTTCTTCGTTGTAATCAGCCATGTTTGCTATAGGTGAGGGGTCGTCTGGGCGTCGCGAGCGACGTGAACTGTTAATGCGAAAAGGGGAGAATGCGCTGAGAAGGTCAAAGGAAGGTCAGATATGGGTAAAAGACAAGATGAAGCAGACTCGGGGTGAAAGGAGTCGTCGTTTGAGAGTCGTTGAAGTGAGAAGTCAGAAGCAGCAAAGCTTCCTCGTCGGTCTCGTCGGCCAAGCCAACGCGCTCTGGGACCGATCACTCCATCATTCGCTTCCGCCGAAGATGACCCGTGTGGAATCTGCTTACCGCGCGTCTCACCTTCTCTTAGTGGTCGCCAACCGAGCCCTGTGTTCCTGCGAGACGGCAGCTTTTGATTGAGGAAATACGAGATTTGAACCTGGTAGAGAATTGCTGTGATATGCTCTGAACCGTACCTCGGAAACAAGATAGAAGATGTAGAGCCTTTGCAACAAGTCTGAAACCTTTTCCATACTCGAATCGTTAGACGCCGCGTACGAGAGTGGCTGCGTTCGCTATGGAGCGCGTCATTGGCGTCCCATGTTGGAGTGATGTGGGTGGCCGTTTGTTGTACAATCGTCTCATCTCGACACAAGCACTCGACTGTCTCGTCTACTAATTTCCGCATAAAATGGCTTCCAAGAAGCTGCAGCAGGTATCCTTCTGCCAACGGGTCTCTTCATCATGGCAATGCTAACCTTCCGCTCCCAGGAAATGGTTCAGGTCGGTTCGTCTCCTCTCATGACCCTGTCGTGCTTTCCCCACAACTCGTCTCCCTCAAGCTAACTGGTATACCTGTACCTTGCAGACAGGTCCGAGTATGACTACCTCCAATCTTTTGCCACTGTAGCGACCCATCTAACCAACTTCTAACAGGTCTGCCTCTCCTTTCTGGCGCACCTCATCATCCAATAGCAAGCGTGAGACCAGTCTCGCTGGTGAGAGAAAGGTCTTTGGAGCTTCATACTCTCACGCAGACATCCTCAACTTTGAGAACTTGTATGTCTTCACCACACCCCTTCACCCAAGCTCCCATCCTGATCATCATCTCAGAAACATATCCAACAGCAGCACACCACGTCCACACACACCTCCATCGCGCGACAACCGACCACCTTTAAAGTCCTCGACCAGTCTCTCTCCTCCAGGACCCCGACGCTCCTACTCAAACTTCTTTGGCGAATCAACAAAGACTTATGATCTGCCGCAAGATGAAGAAGCCTTGGACTTCGACGAAGATGAGGACGAATTCGGCCTACCGAGCATAGCGAGCATGAGGAGGAAGGGCAAAAGACAAGTCGCAAAGAAGAAGAGAGACACAGGGGGCTCACAATCGTCCTTGACCACTGTTCCGTCAGCTACTGCGACACTGGCTTCATGGTCCATGAACAATGGAGATATCGCCGAAGAACGCAGCTTGCCAAGTTATCCTACCACGAAGCGATCCGACGGCAAGATCCTCCGACCACAGTACAAAGACATCCTCAGGGATCCAGCAAACGCTCTCCATCTCATAAACCACGCACCTGCCCCACTTAACGCCTCCCCGAAAGAAATTGAAGCTCACTCAGCCCGCATTACTCGCATCAACAAGTTCAAACGTATTCTGCAGGCTTCTTCGATTAACTTGGCCGAGCTACGCGACTCTGCTTGGTCTGGACTGCCCGAAGAAGTCAGAGCTATGTCATGGCAAATCCTACTTGGCTATCTTCCGACAAATAGCGACAGAAGAGTGGCTACGCTGGAGCGCAAGAGGAATGAATACTTGGAGGCTGTGCGACAGGCTTTTGAGAAAGGTACATCCACGAATGAGGCCGAGTCTGTCATTGGGATTGGTGGTATCTCGTCATCACCCGCGACTCAACGAGGCAAGGGCCGAGGGCTGGACGAGGCTATCTGGCATCAAATTAGTATCGACGTGCCGCGAACGAACCCACACCTTGAGCTGTACAGCTTCGAAGCAACACAGAGATCTCTTGAGCGGATACTGTACGTATGGGCAATTCGCCATCCCGCAAGCGGCTATGTTCAAGGAATCAACGATCTGGTCTCGCCATTTTGGCAAGTCTTCCTTGGAATGTACATCACGGACCCAGAGATCGAATTCGGCATGGATCCTGGACAACTTCCCAAACAAGTTCTAGACGCGGTTGAGGCCGATACTTTCTGGTGTCTTTCCAAACTTCTTGATGGCATTCAGGACAATTACATTCACGCACAGCCTGGCATCCAGCGGCAGGTGGCCAGTCTTCGAGACTTGACCACGCGCATCGACGGCAACTTGGCCAAGCATCTCGAGAACGAAGGAGTAGAGTTCATACAATTCAGTTTCAGGTGGATGAATTGCTTGCTCATGCGCGAAATTAGCGTCAGAAACACCATCAGGATGTGGGACACGTATTTGGTATGTTTATCTTCACGCATACTCTATCTCAAGCTAATCGTGACANNGGCCGAGGATCAAGGGTTCTCTCACTTTCATCTCTATGTCTGTGCTGCTTTCCTGGTCAAATGGTCAGACCAACTGCTCAAGATGGATTTCCAAGAAATCATGATGTTCTTGCAAGCTTTGCCAACACGTGGTTGGAACGAGAAAGACATCGAGCTTCTTCTCAGCGAGGCTTTCATCTGGCAGAGTCTCTTCCGAAACTCCAAGGCTCATATTCAGAAGAGCTCCCAGAACGGACCCTTGTCAGTCACATTATAGTGACCACTTTTTAATACTCGATCCCTTGTACTCTGGCAGCGTGATGAACCCACGAAGGAGTCAATCGATCGATATCATGAGATTTTCTGCTCGAAGTGTTCCTCATGCCTGATCAGATTTCGCGATACCAAGGTCACAAAGATTGACGAGACCCTCTCGTGNGCTGTTGGCTGTCAGTGTGAGAACTGTCGGAAATGCCGAGGTGCTTACCGGAGCATATTGTCGCAGGTGCACGCCCGCCTCCTGGAAGATCTTTGCACTCTNGACACATGGTTAGTCATGATGAAATTAGTCGTGTAAGAGACACAAGCATCGATATACCTGAGTGTCCATGTGGTAACTTTGACTGAAAACGACCTCGGTGATGCCGACCTGGACAATCTTCACACTACATGTCAAGCAAGGACAACTATAACAGTCAGCACGAGCAGTAGTATCAGGAAGGGNAGAGACTTGCGTGTTACAGTATAGTACAGCGCCATCGCCTACGCGCTCTCGACCTGCCTCAAGAAGTGCATTCTCTTCTGCATGGAGACACAAGCATGTGCTTAGCCCGGTACCACCTCCTTTGCTGGTATTGCAACGAGCACAACCGCCCTCATTACAGTTGGTGACATTCCTTGGAGTACCGTTGTAACCGGTGCTGATGACACGCTTGCCTCGGACAAGAACACAGCCAACTTGTCTCCTCATACAATTGCTTCGTCGAGCAGCAAGATCAGCGAGTTGCATAAAGTACTGGTCCCAGGTCGGTCTCATCCTGGCAGGGTCGAGGAGATTCAAAGCATCGAGCGAAGCTTGCAGCTGAGGAATGGTGGTTGTGGGATTCAAAATCCTAATCTGAGCTCTGCTCGAAAGGGTAGCCAGACTTGACAAAGGATCATAAAGGTGCTCGTCGTTACGCAAAACAAAGTCATCCAGTGCTGGAGCTTCCTTGTTCTCTTGGGCACATCTCTCACGAAAGCGCTGCCATCGCACACTGATAGGAGCATCAATACTTAACAAAATGAAGTGAGGTCGTTTAGCCAAAGTGTCAAGAATAGCTTCGTTCCAGATAGTGGTTAAAACATAGTTTTCCCTCCAGTTCTCAGACACATATTGATCGAGTAAAAGAGCAGTGGGAAATTCGAGAGCGGCAGATGTCCAGTGAGCGAAGTTTGCAGATTTCTCGATGGTAGGGGTTCCATCGTCTCGTTTGATTGTTAGAGGAGTGAAATTGTGTTNTTTGATCAGGTAGTCTGCTACGGTCGCTTTGCCCGCGCATATTGCTGTTGTTGATGGGTTTAGTAAGGAGGAAAGAGTGTATGTCACATGTCTACTACTTACGGCCACATATACCGATGAGCATGTCTCAATGGAACTCTCGTTCGAGATGATCAATTTGTGAATCACTTCAAGATGCCCAACACAAAAGATATAGGTTTGCTGATCTCTGCGGAAGCCTCTGTCAAGTTGATCAATTTGTGAATCAAAGCAAGACACTCAGCACAAAGGCACCAAAATGGGGAAAGGAGCTTTCGCATGTGAGCGCGCTTCTTTGACGAGACCGTGCGCTGGAAAGCGCGACCCAGACCAACGTCACAAGTGAAGGAGCATCCGCTTGATCATTCAGCAGGTCACGATTGCCATCCGAATGATCTAGCGCGACCATCGTATGCCACGGCCATATAACAACATTCCCATCTTCAATTTCATTCTCGCGCAGGCGTAACCCGTATCAATAGCAAGCACGACTGCGAACATCACCGGCGCACAAAGACGAAGCACCCCGCAACGCGACAAACAACCATGATGGAGCCGCTCAAGTTTGCGCCATGGACGTCCGAAATCGACCTTGGTTTCTACTCAGCTCTTGGTAACCTCAAGCTCAATCATGATCGCTTGGATTCCTCGGCCCGCAGAGTTCTGGGTGTATACCAGATACAAACTCGGGACCCGCCTGAGCGCAGCGCTCGCATGCAGGTCCACAACCAAGCCTTGACCCAAGACCAGTATGCCTATGCCCGACACACTGTCCGTGATGATGATGGCCATGGCTAATGCAATATCGCAGTNGTCCCCGCCGGCTTCTATCGTGGCGAAGGCTACATTCGCAACTTCAACACCATGGACGAATACAAGCAAGTCGACAAGGCCGCCCACATCGAACGCGCTGGTCGAACCATCTGGGACGCCATTAACGACGGCACAATCTTCTCGTGTCCTTCATTGCTATCGTCATTCTCAGCTATTTGCTATGCCGACCTCAAGAAATTCAAATTTACCTACCAATTCGCATACCCAGCCTTACATTCAGACCCAACCTGGTCATGTTCAACCGCTCAAAAGATCACACCCAAAGAAACTGTCGAATTGGTCGATAAAGTACAAACCTGGAGGTACAGCGTAGATACCAGGCAGCATGGCTTCTTCCTGGCCAAAAAGATCAGAGGGGCTGACCTGAACGATGACCATGAGTCACATACCCCACTCGACGAACCTGATGACCGAGACTTTGAGCACGACCACTTTCAAGACACAGACAACGAGCCTGTCGACACACCGGATTATCGATGGAAAATCGGAGCTCTAGCAAATTACGAAACTGGCTTCTTTAACAATGTCGACCCCGATGACCAGTACATCTGTTTCGCCGACCCCTCGACTTTTGAGACAAACCCTGGTTGGATGCTGAGAAACTTGCTTGTGCTTGTTCGTCAGCGATGGAAGCTCGACAAACTTCAAATAATGTGCTATCGCGACACGCACGCTCGACGAGAGCAGCCACACAGCATCTTCTTCAAGGCCGAATCTGTCAAACCTACCGAAGGTGACCACTCAGCAACTTTCCCTTCAATGCCTACCCCTGAGAATCGCGACTCGTCATCGCCTACACCCAGGTCAATACCCCCGTCAGAACGTGGCCCAATGCCAAAAATCACTGGCTGGGAGCGGGATACAAGGTCTAGGAACACTTCCCGCACCATAGATATGGGTGCCTACATGGACCCTACTCGCCTTGCTGATCAGGCCGTCGACTTGAATCTGAAGCTCATCAAGTGGCGCATCGCGCCCTCGATTGATCTTGATATCATCAAAGAAACCAAGTGTCTTCTGCTAGGTGCCGGTACTTTGGGCTCTTATGTCGCACGCAATCTGATGGGCTGGGGTGTGAGAAACATCACGTTTGTCGACAATGGTAGGGTCAGCTTCAGCAATCCCGTACGACAGCCTCTCTTCGATTTCAATGATTGCTTGAAAGGTGGCTCACCAAAAGCCGAAACAGCTGCGCAAGCATTGAAACGTATCTACCCGGGTGTCAACGCTGCTAGCCACTCGCTATCGGTACCCATGGCTGGGCACCCCATTCTTGATGACAACAAAGTGAAAGCTGAGTTTGACAAGCTACACCAGCTTATTGAGGACCACGATGCGATCTTTATTCTCATGGATACACGCGAATCACGTTGGCTACCAACGGTCATGGGCAAAGCAGCAGATAAGATTGTACTTAATGCTGCTCTTGGGTTCGATTCATACATGGTCATGCGACATGGAGTTTCATCGCAGTCAAAAGAGGAGCAGCTAGGTTGCTACTTCTGCAACGATGTCGTTGCGCCAGCCAATTCACTCAAGTCAGCCACACTTGATCAGCAATGCACTGTTACTCGTCCTGGTGTAGCAGCTATTGCGTCAGCGTTGGCAGTCGAGTTGTTTGTGTCGATATTACAGCATCCGCATAAGGCTGCTGCGGCTGCGCCTCCTATCAATAATCCTTCAGCACAGCACCCAGACCATCCATTAGGCAGCGTACCTCACTCACTTCGCGGCTTCCTCACTGACTGGCGTACACTCACTATTAGGNNGGGGCAGGCGTATGACTGCTGTTCAGCTTGTTCACCTACGATCCTTTCACTCTATAAAAGTGAAGGATGGACCTTCGTCAAACGCGCCATTAATGAAAAGGGCTATGTTGAAGAGGTATCTGGCTTAGCAGAGGTACAAAGACGAGCTGAAGAGCTTGATAATGATGTGGATTGGCAAAGTGAAGGCGAAGAAGATAATGACGAGGCTGAGATGATTTAGGCAGGTACATTGCTCTCGGTATGCAAAACAGTGATTTGGAAGTGCTATCAAAATGCAGAATTGTATTGTAGAAAGCGGTATATCCATTGAGAGCCCGATTTTTTCTTGATTTTTTTCTTGCTTCTCTGGTCAAGAGGGATATTAGAATTAGTTTGTGCATTTTTACAAGTGGTTTGTTTAGAGTGTGCGAGTTGGGAGATGAAGTTTGTGGGAGAGGTGTCTTTAATGTGACCTTCCAGATTCGGTGCATCTCATGAGTGACATGCCTCCTTCTACATAGTTTGATGTCCCAGTGCCGAGTACCTAGAAGGGTAACTATTGGTCTTCGACAACCCCCTTCAACTGCATCTTCCCCGCTGGACCGCAGCGCGTGATGTATCGACGTCCCGCGCAGGCGGCTCTCACGGCCCGCGTGTGGGGATCCAGCTGCACCTTGTTGAAACCTCTTCTGCCGAAATGCAAGCACTGTCAAAGCAACATATGTGATATTCTCGCGCCTCACGCCCAGGCGTTTCTAGACTTCGGCCAACATGCTGCCATTTCTCCCATGAAAGGAGGTTGGAAGTCTCTTTCGCGTTGAAGTGCATTGCAAATCAGCTACCTATATCAACTCGGATGGACGACTAACTCTATTGTATGCTTGAGACAAACAAGCTTTTATGGAAGATCTTAGCGTTTACAGATCTGAGTCAGATGCGGGAGGGTAGCGGCAGCCGCAACAGATCATTCATGAAGGTCAAGAACCGACGTGCAGCTCCTTCCTAGGAGACAGAAGTCGAATGCGGAGCTGAAGACTGCAGAGCCTAGGTCGGTTAGCACTCTCCCTGCAGCCTCCTGCAGCTTCACCTTCTGTACCTTCAGCTTTGGCGAATGGCCCCTCTCGCGGGCAGGCCGAGGCGGTCGAGTCCATCAGTCATGGGATGTCACCCTGCATATCTCAATGATTCCATGAACCGTTCGATGGCCATGAGGACACATAAATAGTGGACCGTCCAGGGTTTCCAGTCCAATCTCCAAAAGTCGTTTCAACAAGTCAAGAAGACTCGAAGAATGAAGCTTATCAATTCTGCTCTTCTAGCATTGGCTGGCCATGCAGCTGCTCAGCATGTCCATCTAGATATCCCAGAGGTCTCGCATTATATATCTGCCATCGAGTCCGAATTCTCAGCATGGTACCATGGACCAAGACCAACATTTCCACATCCCACTCATCCGCCCAAACCCTTCCATAGCCCAGCACCATCGGCATGTGCATACTGGCTGGAGGACATCAAGCACCAGGGCATTGCAGCTTTCAACCCTAGCCCCTCAACTTATCAAGTCTTCCGCAACGTCAAGGATTTCGGTGCAAAGGGCGATGGTGTGACCGATGACACTGCCGCCATCCAAGAGGCCATCAGCTCAGGCGGTCGTTGTGCTCCAGGCTCATGCAGCTCGACTACAACTACACCTGCAGTTGTCTATTTCCCTGCTGGTACTTACATGATCTCCTCCTCCATCATCGACTACTACTACACTCAAATCATCGGAAACCCCAACTGTGTGCCTACGATCAGAGCCTTCGCCAACTACACTGGAACAAATGGTCTTGGTCTTATCGATGGCGACAAATATGGCGCCAATGGTCTTGGATTTGGTGCTACGAATGTCTTCTATCGACAGATCCGCAACTTTGTAATCGACACGACTTTGGTTCCTGCTAATGAATCGGTGACTGGTATTCATTGGCCAACTGCTCAGGCGACCTCTTTGCAATTTATCACCTTCAATATGAGTCAAGAAGCAGGTACACAACATCAAGGTGTGTTTATTGAGAGTGGATCTGGAGGCTTCATTGGTGATTTGACCTTTATCGGTGGATTGTACGGTATACAGGTAAGTTGGACTGTACTGTTGAAGTTCGTTTTCAGACACTAATATCCATGCTGNCAGAATGGCAATCAACAGTTTACTCAATCACGACTGAGCTTTAAGAATGTGGTAACAGCGATCAACCAACTGTGGGACTGGGGTAAGAGTCAAATTGAACTGATCCTGATGGTGCATGGGCTAATATTCTATTANGGCTGGCTCTACCAAGACATCACCATTGAGAATTGCTCTGTCGGCATCAACATGTCTTCAGGCGGTTCGGCAGCCCAAGCCGTGGGATCGGTAGTGTTGATTGACAGCACGATCAGCAATACACCGCTAGGCATCGTCACCGCACACAGCGAGAACTCGCAGCCTCCGGCCGGAGGTTCGCTTATCCTGGAGAATGTTGCTCTGAACAACGTGCCAATCGCTGTCCAAGGGGCTGGAGGCGTCACGGCTCTTTCAGGTTCATCTGGCTCAACTACCATTACCGCGTGGGGAGAAGGCCATGAATATACTCCGACTGGGCCTACGAACTTCGAAGGTACCTTCCCTGCCAACGTCAGGCCCGCTTCACTTCTTTCCGGGTCCAAGTACTACTCTCAAGCCAAACCTCAGTACCAGAAATATCCGACGTCGGCTTTTATTAGTGCTCGCTCTGCAGGTGCCACAGGAGATGGTCACACAGATGATACAAATGCGCTCCAGGCAGCTATCACTCTGGCAACCTTACAAGGAAAGATTCTGTTCCTTGATCAAGGCGACTACAAGGTCACGCGCACACTCAACATCCCACCAGGCGCTAGAATTGTTGGTGAGAGCTACAGTGTCATATTCTCATCTGGCGAATTCTTCAACAATATCAACTCTTCACAGCCAGTTCTTCGTGTTGGACTTAACAGGCAATGGGGAAGAGTCGAACTTTCGGATCTGATAATATCAACACAAGGCCCCCAAGCCGGCGCAGTCTTGATCGAGCACAATCTCGCAGCACCGCCAGGCAATCCGTCTGGATACTGGGATGTGCATACACGCATCGGTGGGTTCGCAGGCTCAGACTTGCAACTTGCAGAATGTCCAACGACGCCAAATGTTCTCACTCCACCTGCACCTGTAAACACGAATTGTATTGCAGCGTACATGTCTCTGCACATCACTTCCAGCGCATCAGGCTTCTACATGGAGAACAACTGGCTCTGGGTAGCTGACCATGACATCGACGATCCTCAACTCACGCAACTGACCATCTACGCCGGTCGCGGACTTCTCGACGAAAGCAACGGTCCAGTATGGCTGGTCGGCACCGCAGTCGAACACCACGTCAAATACCAATACCAATTCTCCTCCGCCGCAAACGTATTCGCCGGCTTCATACAAACCGAAATCCCATACTACCAACCCAATCCTCCAGCTTCAGAGCCNTTTCCCTACGTAACAGCCCTCAACGATCCTTACTTTGCTCCTGTAGCTACAGCTGTCAATCTCACTGCCTCCAACACATCCATCCCCACAGAAAATGCCTGGGGCTTGAGGATACTCGACTCCAACGATATTTTGATCTACGGCGCAGGTCTTTATTCCTTCTTTGACAATTACTCAACCAATTGCTCGGATCAAGGTAATGGCGAGGTTTGCCAAAACCACATTGCTGATATTGAGGGTAGTAAGGGTGTTAGTATTTATGCTTTGAATACTGTTGGTACGCATTATTCGGTGCAGTTGGATGGAGAAGATGTTGCGCTTTACAGCGAGAACTTGGATGGGTTTGTGGAGACGATTGCGATCTTTAGGACTGGATGAAGATGTTCATTGTCCTGTGTATTGATTTACAGAGGCTTTGGAAACTTTTGAAAGAACACAAAAGGAATGATACGCATACCACCAGCACAGTCTTGAGAATCAAAATTCATTATGTGTCGATGATGAGTCGCAGAAATCGGCAGCCAAGTTACGCTGAGTCAATTTTCAAAGAACGTGGCTATGCTCTGAGAAGATCCGAGATGTTGATTATAATGATTGGTCCCCACGTAATCTTGGGCAGCATGTTTTTTGCGCCGCAAACTAACTCCGCAAGCTCTCCACAACAACTCACATGTGCAAATGGTATGTGGCGAGGATATGAATTTTTCGTAACTGACTGGCTGAGAGAACATGCTCATTATGCCGCCGATCCACCCAGGCGGCAGAACCAGCCATGTCAATCGAATTCGATGGATATTTCTCACATGTTCTGTATAAAAGCTGCTTTTCCAGAGTATGAAACTTCTTGAAGGTGTCTTTTATCATCTTGCAGCGAATATGTCAGCACAGGCGCGATGCCCAGCACACAACCGGGCCCTTGAGCCTGCTTCCTATGGTCCCTTTTCAAGGCCATCAAACCATTTGCTATGCGCATGTCGGACTACAAACCCAACGCCGGAGCGCGAGAGCTTGACNGAAAAAGAGGCGCCTACGGGGATCGTCGACGGAAGCGATTCACAAGGGCGTTTTGAACGTCCTGACAACCCACAAGCACGACGATGTTGCATGCGTCAATACCAAACCATGCAGCAAACGCGCGCCGAACACTCCTGCGCCCAGGTGCCCTGCTTCGATGAGGCGTGTGCGCGCGATCTTCCCGAGGGCAAGGGATGCCGTTACAGCGGGGCCTTTCACGAGTGGTGTACGAGTCCTTGTGTGTGGGGTTGGGGCAAGATCTTGGTCGAGCATGCAGAGAGATATGGAGAGCAGTCGGCAATGACGGTCGATCTGAACAAGATAGCGCTGGGGTACAGGCAGCGACACTTGCGTGACAAAAGGTTTCCAGGTCCGGTAGTGGTCAGGGATTCACCCGACTATTGGGTCGTTGAACCGGCAGAGCAGAATGGGCAGAAGCGCAACATGTAGAAGTGATGGCATCCCAATAGAAGAATCTTCGTGGTCCTAGCAGTCAAAGGCTTCCACAAATAACGTCCCGTGTGACAAGTGTCTTAGAGCCAAGCGTGCCAGAATACAGCTTAATCGTGCTCAATTCATGAGTCGAGAATGGGATGGAGTCATAGAAAACCGATAAGCAAGGCAGCCGACCCCAGGAATGTATAAAAGAGTTGTCATCGAAGGAACATGAAAGTTCACCTTTTCCATCCAGCATTCGTCGCATATTCCCCCAAAAATCAAAAATACGATACAGCCATGCCATACGAATTCATGACCAGTTTGTGGGAAAGGGTTATCCCTCCGAACGGGCTTAATGGGCTCATGAAACGCATGGGAAATGTCGGCATTCTGCTAGCCCTGGGGAGATCGAAGTTGGCATATATGATCATGGGATTCGATGGGCCACAACTAACGCCAGAACAAGAAGCACATTTGGTGGCGGAGGTGCAGCGTGAGGAACCTCGCAAAGGCTCCTACGAAATGGGAAAATTCGGTTGTCCCTATCCGGAGAGATATGGTCAGCACCGGGAGATCAGAAACCCGGAACATGCTGCATGGCGAAACCGAGTCGTTGGCGCCTGGTGCAGCGGCAGATTCGAATTTCGAGGCTGTCGTTACAGCAACTCCTTCCACGCCCATGGGATGCGGCCGTGCAATCTGGGTTGGGGGAAAATACTCTACGAATACGCGCTTGCCCACGACAGCCAGTCGATGGAATCAGATCTGATGGACGACATCTTGACAGAATATCGTCGATTGCACGCCGAAGATGAGAGGTTCAGAAGCCCAATATTGAGATTCGAGCCCGGCGTCAATCCCGAGATCAGTACTTGGGAATTGCTACCATCACAATAGCTATCGTCTGCTTCCTTGTGGTGTGTATAGCAGGTCCCCAGAGATTCCAGCTGTGTTCCGAAATGCGAAGAACAACACACGATCGTGTATACGACGAATACAGTGGAATGGATGTGAGGTCTTGTCTTGGGTCCGATTTGGTACCAGGCGGGTTTGTCGTTCGGTGGAGTGTGTGTTTACAGCCCGACCTATTCACCTGCTTCTCAGCTGTCGGATGGTGCAGGCGGGTGTTGGTGGTACGTTATATCGAGAAGGTGCAAACGAAGAATTTCCTGAGCTTCGAGCACAACATACATATTATAGCATAGCTATTTGTTCAACTCAACAGATCAATATTTTCATCGATGTCTTTTCCTTCCAAGCTTTTGAATGCGTCTTTGTATCCGGACATGCAGAAGCTGATGTCGCTTGGAAGCAGCTGAAAAGTATCTGGAAGTGGTGCCATCAAGACACGAGGGTCTCTACAGTCCTAGTAGCTCTCAAGTATAAGCTATCAAAATGCACAGTCGTGTTCTGAATTTGAGCACGTCCACTGAGATAGCCTTGAATGAGACCCTCTCTGTGGAAACCGCGGTCTTTGCAAAACTTCTGTGCATTTCTTCAGTACACTGTGACGGTCTCCAGCATACGTGGAGGACGGAAAAGCAGAACGGACCGGAGCGCAGAGACACCATGTAGAAGCATTAGCATCAACACAAAGGGCTCCGGGCTCGCAGTAGCTCATGAAGTACTTGAAGGCACTATCGAAATGCAGAGTTGTGTTCTGCGTTTCAGTCTGTCCACTGAGATGCCCTTGAGTGAGGATCTCTCTGTGGAAACTGTATTCTTTGCATTGGCTTTGTGCATTTCTTCAGCCACATTGTGAGTCTTGACCACACGGGGAGCATGAGAAAAAAGCAGTGAACGGTTTTTCCTTTCGGTGAAATGTGTATCCAAAGCACGTACCTCTACCGATTTCTCAAGCTGTTAGATGGTATAGGCAGGTGCTGGTGATTTAGAAGGTGCGAGTGGGACATTTCATGGGCTCCGAGTCATGTCGTAGCAGCGCGACTACTTGGCCAAATCAACACAATTGTTCTCGTCAACGCGGGCCCTTGCATATATATGAGAATGCATCTTCGTGAGCTGAAATGCAGGAGCTGAAGTCGATGAGAGTAGCTGAAAAGTGCTTGGCCGTTTCGCCCGTTTCGGCCAGAACGCGTCTATTCTTGGGGACTGGCTTCACCCAACCAACTCTTCTACGCGTACAGCAGCCGACCCTGCATGCTTGTACGGATAACCGGCGCCTCCTAGCATCCGTAGAGCCGCTATTTGGGATAAGTTTTTGACTTTCTGATATCTCTGAGACACGAAAGCAGACCCAAGGAGTGAGAACAAAGTCAAGTCGTCCTTTTTCGTTTCTTTTCTTCTTCGCGTTCGGCCCATCTATCGTGACTTTCCTGTCCTCCGACCTCTCTGTGCTCACCTTCAGCTTCGTGTCTATCTGGAACTGTCGATCGCCGTAGCATCTCATCCGCCATGCTCGTCGCAACCATCGTCTCCGCTCTCTCGCTGTTCGCGGTCGCATCCGCCCAATCTACCAGCACCTCAGCTTCTGCCTCTGCCACCCGGTCCGTCGTCGCAAGCGCCGCCCCCGGAACAAACGGATACGATTACATTGGATGCTACAATGAGACTACCGGTATAGCAGGCACATCTGGTGCCCGCGCCATCACCGGCGGCAAGATGGACACTGGCGACAACACAACTGTCGCCGATTGCTTGCAGTACTGTGGTCAAAACAGCTACCAATATGCTGGCCTGGAATATTCGAAAGAGTACGTTACAACTGAGGGGGGTCATTATAGCAAGGAGTCATACTGATTCGGAATTCACAGGTGCTGGTGCGGTAGCTACCTCTCTGCTTTGTCGGATAAGTTGCCCGAGTCGAACTGCTCGCTTGCCTGTGTGGGCAACGACAGTGAGCTCTGTGGTGGTTTCCTTACGATTTCCCTCTACAACCTTACGAGCAAGAAGGCTGGCTCTGACGACTCCTCTTCTTCGACCAAAGGCGCTGCAACCTCGGTCTCTGCTTCGAGCTGGACCTACGTCATTGGTGCAGGTGTCATGGCTCTGACACTCGGTGCTGCTTTGTGAAGAAATGCTTGAGACGAGAATTATACCCTGGGAAGATGCAAGACGATCGTTGGGATATACGAGTACGGCGTTTGGTTATATCAACTATCATGAGGAGTTCTATGGCGTGATTACAGCGAACAACACTTTCGCATTTTGCTAAGCGATCGCATACTTCTTGAATCAACCTGTGTTGACCTCATCTTCTTGTGCAATCGACTGAGCTGCAAGCTGAACACGAACCCCACCGCCCTTCTTCTGTGTCCGCAGACCTAAGCTTGTTGCTGAATTAGTACTCCGACCGCTCGGGCCATAAATCATTGTCAGAAAGGCGTGAAGACGCAAATCCCGTATACTCTGGCGATACATTAGATGTGTACGTACTTGTGTCAATGGACATAGAAGTCAATGAATTTGTGTTCAAGTGACGATACTGATCATCACACAACTGAAGTATGCTTTGTTTGCAGAGTTGTTCAGAGTCCCGAAGGCACTATAATAACGAGGCCATAACACCGTTATGTAGCGAGGGGCAAAGACTTTGTCTGAAAGCGTGTAACCAACGTGTGTTGATTCACTCAGGCATATACTTCGAGCCGCAAACCCTCTTTGCAAAAATCAGCTATAGATCAATTCCATGTGTGCTGAGAACAACTTACTTGTCTCCTGTCTAAAAACTCGAAGTAGATTTCATTCCAGACATCACGGGTGCTGCAATCCTCTTCGCCCAGAACAGTCATTTGACAGGGTGGCTGCAGCTTATCATGTGTGTAATGCGAATATTCAGACCATGGTTTTGGGTAAGGCCAGTCGGAGAAGTGCAAATACTTTGCATCTCTCAGTGCTCTGCGAGCATTCCAGTGTTCGGTCCCCGAGTCTAGATAGCGGTGGTGGAAATTGTTACGGAACTCTCCAGTGATAAGATCATAGTATCGGTGTGGTAATATCAGGCACTCTTTGCCATAGAGATCGTTTAGAATTTCCATGTCAAAGTCACTCGTGTTGCGGTGGCTAAAGGCATCCTCTATACGCCCAAATTCCTGCTCAGATGGTTGTATGACAATTAGCTGAGATGAGAGGGTGTTGTCTAGCCAGTATGCGCGAGGCATAGCAACAGTAGCTTGTGGTAAGAAGAATAATTCATCCAGAGCNNCTAATCGGCGTTAGCACTTCTACAGCTTACAGAATAACGCATGAGGCACAGTGTCTACCTGAAGAACGTTGGCGTCTGAATCCAGAACAACGACACGATGATACTGTGTTTGGTTGAAGGCGAGAAGTTTCGTAAAACTCTCGACCCATGTGATGTCCGCTTCTAGTCTTTGAACACGGACAGGCTGCAATTTGACACTGTATTCATCCCTAGCCTTGCGAAGTAATGCAGCATCCGATGACTCTGACATGATGGACCATTCGTCGGGATACATCATCAAGCGTTCCGCTCTACTCCCCAGTCGATTTAGGGATTCAAAGATCATGAGTGAATTGCATAGATATGTCGAATCTGTGACATATTGGACGTATGCATATCTGGACCAATCGGCATCTGAGAGTCCAGCTATAGAGTTAGAGTAAGACGAAATCGAATCGATGCTCGGCTCGATAGAGTCCAGGGTATGCGTCTCTGGCATCGAGAAAGTGAGATTCGCAGACTGCTGCAGATATCGGTGTACAAGTACGCCAAAAACCAGCAAGGCAGATAGTAGTCGTAAAACACGATTCAGAAATCTGAATCGGAGGGTCGATGAGCCAGAAGCCCCGATAGTCGCGGGTCTGTTGCTTTCCTCGTCAGACGTCTTTATTGGATCATACTCCTAACGAATCGTCCATGGTAGTGAATGCGACCAAGATAACATGCCCTGAGCAGAAGAATCGTAGTTTATCCGGTTGAGAAATTAGAGAGAGGACTGTGGTGGCCAGCGAGCTAGGTGAGATTCTAGGCAAATCGGTATCAATTCGAGAAAGCTCCCAGGAGAGAGATGACAATGGAAGACACGGTACTTAGGATCGGGTCTGCGGCCATCTTTGGGTTTGTAGTGTCGCTAACGCCTACCTGAGCTGGTGGTTGATTTCAGTGTTGATGATTTCTCTAAGCGCTGCGGTGTTCAACTTGAGAATGCCTTCAGATCGCACCAGTCGCTTAGTTGCATACATTATCACATTGGGAGCGAATTACAGAATAAGAAAAGGCGCCGTGCTTTTTTTTGTAGCCGCTCTTGGAGAAGATGAGTGCTCGGAAGTCACCGTGTTGACACGCGCGCTCACGCGCGGTTCCTCCCTCTCTTGTTTCACTGAGATGCAACTCGTCCATGTCGATATATCTTCAGCCATGCATTTACTGAAAACTAGTATAACCAATAAAGTCTCCTGGCATATCCCGAGCCACCATTCTGCATTTTTATGAGACGTATCTCGCGACGATTTTCGACAAGAAGGCGGCTGATTTACAGGAAGCCGGAACTGGGACAAAGCCAACAAGATCGGGCGGTCGAGCACATGTGTGTTTACCGTACCAGGCTAGACATGGCTCAGCAGCATGTAGGTACATACCAGCTGCGATTTCGTTCGAGCGCTGCCTCTCAGGCTGAGGTGGATGGGTAGGCGCAAGGCTCGGAGCCGCCAAGCCCGGCCTCTTGGGCATATACGCCCATGTGATGCGCCTCAAACTTCTGTTCTTATGCATACACCAATAAGAGCGGATCTCTACAGACTACAGGCTGTTCTCGCATTGAATAATCAGCATGCATGATCTGTCTGATGCATTGCTAAGGTAATCGACTGATTGCACTGATGACTGTTGTGAAATCCAACTTTCTGCAGCCTGTACGCTAATCATCTTCTGCAAGAACAGTCTGTGGCGCCCTTATTCACTCTTTTGCATTCAGAGGTTCAGCAGTCCCTTTCCAACACGTGATGTTCGAGGCTAAGCCTGGTCGTCAATCAAGATACTGTGCTACAATGCAGTCAAAACTAGGTCGAAGGTCCAGAATCAACACCACTTGTACCACGATTACAAGGCTCAAGAGCATCAGTGATGGCCTCGAGACTTAGAGCAAAACTTGGAGCATGGCAACATGTTCACACAAGAAAATCAGTCATCCCATGGCAACCCAGAACAAAAAGGTGCGCCAGCAATGTGTTGGTAGTTGAGTCACGAGTCAACTTATGTTTTGACAAGGCTGATAATAAGTGGCATACATATAGCTCTTATCCCTTGTTCGAAATGTTAGTACTCTCTGGTTGCATGAACACGCATGTTCGCTAAAGAGTGCCAGTTGCCATAACGTTTGTATAGCGCTACCAAGGTCGAAACAAGCAGGAATCTGCAAGCCGTGTACGATGGAATAGACCGATATACACTGTGTACATGATGCACGGCTTGCAACTCAGCCACCGATTTGGGATTGACAAGGCTGAGGACTCATGATTCAGCTCCAAGCAACCCGTCATCTATCGCACAAGATTTAACCATGGTGGCTCTTGCAGGGTTCCGGTGTTGGAAGTATCTGACAGTCTTCACTCCCACGCATGCAAGATAATGCATACCGGCCAAGAAACAGCTGAGAGATTACTACTCCTGGCATGAAACACCACGATTGGTTCTTCGAGTACTGATGTGGAGGCTATGGCTGGACAAACTCTTCCCGGAACCCGCTACATGCATGATATACCCGTATCACACGCCTTAACTGCATAACGAAGGATTGTCTCACGCACTCCAGAGCAATCTAGCCGAGCTCGACCAACTCGGCTTCGATGCTCATGACAAGCAGCTGAGAAACCATATCTGACATCACGAAGAGTGATCCCCCAACAACTCAAATTACTCACTTTCCTCGTACTGTTTAAGCGTTCTACGCTGTCTCTTCAACCTTGCTCTGGAACCATGTCGACAACTGAGGCGTTGGCTCAGTTTTTCATCCCTCACATTCATTGTAGTCTTCTTTCCTTGTATCAATGCTCAGAGTTACCTCAAGATTGACTGGAGCCAGCGTACTTATGGGCCAGATGGACCATGGAATGCTGTTTCCGTTCAAGTCGGCGGAATGCAGAACTCGACGCCTATCAGACTGCAGCAGGTGCAAGTTGACCTCTATCCTGGCAGCACCTGGTCAACATTCATTCCTACACACGTGTCGTGTGATCTGGCTGCCAGCCCNTCTTGTGGTCAGGGGACAACATGGTTGCCGTCACTGGATCATGGTACAGAACAGTCCCCTGAGTGGAACATCAGCACTGATGATCACCCAACTTTCATCTACAACAACACACATACAAACCTCCGAGGAACCCTAATACCACAGGCGATTACTATGGGCGGGCAGACGATATATGCGGCCGACCTCGTGAGCGTTGGACCCGATGATGACGGCGTCTCGAACATTGTCACGTATCCTAACGGGGTGATGGCTTTGCCACAGCTCGGATTGCTGGCACTCAATGCTGGACCCAATGCCAAAAATGTGTACCAATCTTTCCCTGCGACCAATAATTCTGGCGAGTTTGTCACGGTCCAGATACCCGCAGGAAATCTCTTCAGTCAAAACATTATTCCTTCTTACTCCTATGGGCTGCACGTCGGAGCTGCTGCCTTGAACTATCCTGGGTCTCTATATCTGGGAGGCTACGACAAAGCAAGAGTCATTGGTCCTTATACAATTCTTGGCAGTCAACTCCCGACCTTACTTGACATCGGTATTGGCGTTGAGACAGGGGGTAGTCCCTTCTCGTTCCAGAACAAGAGTGGACTACTATTCCTTGACAATGAGAATGACAATATCAGTATAGACATTGTACCACATGCACCGTATCTTTACCTTCCACCCAAGACTTGCGAGGGCCTGGCCGAGATACTGCCAATCTACTTTGACCAGGGGACCAAATACTATCTTTGGAACACTTCGGACCCTGCGTACAAGCAAGTGGTCACCTCACCGGCATATTTGAGCTTCACTTTTCCTCCAGCGCCTCCAGACCCGAACAATGTCATCATCAAGATCCCCTTCGCTTTACTCAACCTGACTTTGAGCTCTCCCATCGTCTCTGCGCCAGTTCAATACTTCCCATGTCAAGCAGTACCCAATTTGAACGACGGATACGAATACGCTCTCGGCAGGGCATTCTTGCAAGGAGCTTTTGTTGGCTGGAACACGAATGCACACATTGGCTGGCTTGCTCAAGCTCCCGGTCCAGGTGACTCGAACATAGGGCTTGGTGAAGTAGGCCAGGATATAGCAAACGATGCTGTTGATCTCGACGTATACAACGGGACAACAACCAATCTTTTCGCGCAGTCTTGGGCTAAACATTGGACACCACTCCCGTCTCAAGCAACACCATCCTCTCCGACCTCCACGTCCGCAAAGAATTCGAAGACCATATCGTCAGGTGCCATAGCTGGCATCGCTGTTGGAGCCGCCATTGCAGTCATTGCACTTGTCTCGGGTATAGTCCTATGCATGAGACGAAGGAGAAAGCGTGAGGCTGCTAAAGAGATCTCACTCAACGACCGAAGCGAATCCCCTAAGACTGACGATGTATTGATCGAACTTCCGTCACGTCTATTGACACCTCCGCCTCCTTTCACTCACAGTCCCCATGAGCTGCATCAAGGCCAGTTCTACCAAGTTGCTGAGATGCCTGGTAGTCGTGCCGGACATGAATTACATTCGGATACTCGAGCTGCGCCTGTAAGACCTGGCAGGATAGAACAGCGTGATGCACACGAACTAGGACTTCCCCCAACCCCTAGCCCATGAAGGACGTTGAAGTATGGGTAGACAGCGGGTATTGGCTGTGTCATGGTAAATAGGAGACCTTCCTTGTCTGATGTCTTTGTGTAAAGTCTGTGTTCATATGTTATGACTTGTTGTTTTATTGGTTTCTCTATGGTCGCTCAACAACAACAACCAGCAGATTAGGGTAGATTGTGCCGCAATCACCTTGACTCCATTTTCAATTCATCATGTCTCAGGTAGTTGTTTGTTTGAGTGCTTTAGAGTAAAAATTTGCACAATACTGGGAAGAACAGCAGGACACCAGTCGGTTAGTCAAGTGACTCACTGATGCCTAGATCGCAGAACTATATCTATCACCATCGCTTTCATCCTTGAATAGCTGCACCTGACTCCACAGACTCATCGACGTAACGAGAGGTACAGACAAATCCTGCGAACGTCTGCTTCACTGTCGCTTTTTGTGGCCACACCAACATAGAAAAATTCCTCGCAGACAGCTTGGACCTTTCTTCACGGCCTTGTATCTCTGATCCTTGGTTCTTCAACATCCTTTATGGTCCAGACCGTCCCATCTCTTAGGTACCAGCAACAATTCAGTAGCAATGTCGTCGAAGGACTCTAAAGAACCCTTGCTCGGTACAATCGCCAGGTAAGTCGATGTCGAACGCAGTCCGTCACAATATTGACTGACAAAAGCATAGCCTCCACGAAAGCGGCGCATACTCAGATTTCAAGATCGTATGTGGACCAGAAACTTACAACGTCCACAGGAACATCGTCTGCCCTCAGTCAGATTTCTTCCGCGCGGCTTGTCGCCCACACACTTTCCGGGAAGGCAAGACTGGCATCGTAACGATTCCTGCGAATGCTGGACGTGACATGGGTGCCCTGAGTTCTCCCCTCGCTCCTGAAGAATTCTCTTGGGACCTGGACGTCGAAGATGTCAAGACCATCAAAGCTATGATTCATTACTTCTACCACCATGACTACCCTTCCGACAAGCCAACTCACGTCGACCACGCTAAGTTGACGTCAGCAAACATTGCCAAAGGCGTCCTGGCCGAACATGCGAAGATGTATGCGATAGGTGAGAAGTACGGAATAGCTGGACTGAAAGGTCTGGCTGCAAAAAGATTTGGTGAAGATTTCCAGAACACATTTGCAGGGCTCGGCACCGCTATAGTCATTGCATTCAAGAGTACTCCAGAGACTGATCAGACCTTGCGCAAGCTGATCGTCGACAAGCTGTGCTCTTATCGCTGGGTGGCAGCAAATGGAGTGGTGGATGAGGCGGTCGAGCAGATCCCAGAGCTTGTCCATAGTCTCTACCGCAGACTTCTGGGGCAGACTGGGACTAGCAGATAAGGGAAGCATGGCTCTCTGGTCGCAATGTTAATCTAGAGCAACATAATAGGTTGCTCTGGGCCTTCTAGTGTTCTTTCATCCACACTTTGTCTGATTACAGCCACTCTTTGGAGGTCAGTCATCCTGTAGTGTCATGCATTGCTACGTAAACGCATCCACTGACTGCACCCGAGGCTGACCTTGTACTCCTTCCGATGGAAGGCTGGGAATAGCTAGAGAGTGGAAAGGTCGCGGGTCCTGGATGACTTGGAGCCAGAAAGACCTAACGCGTGTAGCTACGGAAATGCACAATACTATCAGAAACAAGGACAGTGTCCATGGAGAAGCGACAAAACATCGACTCTCTGTGGATGAGTCTTTAGTTCCGGGGAAGGTTGTGCCTTTCCAAAGCAAAGAATTTGCTTTCTGTTCAATTGGAGTACGATGGAAGTTGCAGGTTCGGCACAGGGGGGAGGAAAGTGCGGTGTATTGAGAGACGAATACGAAGGAAAGTTTAGCCAAGACTTGCCCCAGATTCATCCCACTTCTGTGACTCCGCCGTGAATGACTCCCGCAGCGGCCAAAAAGTTGAATACCATTCCACGACCATTCTGGGCACACGACCGGAAACACTTACATCATGGCGGTCAACTTTCCCCAGGAGGAGGAACGCATCCTCGCCCAGTGGACCGTATGCTCTCACTGACCCGCACGCGCAGTCAGCCCGCTATGACTAACACCGGATCGTAGNGAGATTGATGCTTTCCAAAGGCAACTCGAGTTGTCGGCGCAGAAGAAGCCTTACACTTTCTACGATGGTCCTCCTTTCGCTACCGGTACCCCCCACTACGGCCATCTGCTGGCATCCACCATCAAGGACATTATCCCTCGTTACTGGTCTATGAAGGGACACCATGTCGAGCGTCGTTTCGGCTGGGACACCCACGGTCCGTTTCACACGCAATCTACTCCGACGATCGACTTCATCTGACAGTCTTTAGGTGTACCCATCGAGCAGATCATTGACAACAAACTCCAGGAAGAGCTGGGTGTGCGCGGTCGCAAGGCTGTTGAGCAGATCGGTATCGCCGAGTACAACCGCAGATGTCGCGAAGTTGTCATGACCTACGCCCAAGAGTGGAGAAGAGTTGTTGGACGCTTGGGAAGATGGATCGACTTCGACAATGACTACAAGGTGAGCATGGAGGACCAAAACACATAAGAGCAAGCGCTGACAAGGCGCAGNACCATGAACCCCACCTTCATGGAGTCGTGCTGGTGGGTTTTCAAGCAGCTTTACGAAAAGGACCTCGTGTACCACGGTGCAAAGGTTTTGCCTTACTCGACCGCTCTCAGCACTCCTCTCAGCAAGTCTGAAGCCCAGGAAGACTACCGTGATGTTTCGGATCCCGCTGTCGTTGTCAACTTCCCCATCCTTGGTCGCGATAACGAATACTTCCTTGCTTGGACCACTACTCCCTGGACACTTCCCTCACACACCGGCCTGTGTGTGCACCCCGACTTCGAATACATCAAGATCCATGATCAAGAGTCGGACAAGAAGTACATCTTGCTCGAGGTTGGTCTCAAGATGCTGTACAAGGACCCCAAGAAGGCCAAATACACTATTCTGGAGAAAATGAAGGGTTCAGACCTGCTTGGTGTTGAATACGAGCCTCCATTCGACTACTTCAAGGAGGAGTTCAAGGGAGTCGGTTTCAAGGTGCTCAACGACACATACGTCAAGGTCGACGAGGGTGTCGGTATTGTTCACCAGTCTCCGGCATTCGGTGAGGACGATTACCAAGTTGCTTGGAAGGCCGGCGTCATCAACGAGAAGCGTGCTCCNCCCAACCCTCTCGACCCTTCGGGACATTTCACCTCTCAGGTCCGTGACTTCGAGGGTCAACACGTCAAGGCTGCCGATAAGGACATCATCAAGCACCTCGAGAAGGCTGGTCGTCTTGTCAAGAAGAGTCAGATTGTTCACAGATACCCCCACTGCCCTCGTTCGAAGACTCCTCTCATCCAGCGTGCTGTTCCTTCGTGGTTCATCAAGGTCGAGCACGTTGTTCCCAAGCTTCTCGAGAACCTCGAAAAGACTCACTGGGTTCCTGGCTTCGTCAAGGATGGCCGTTTCCACAACTGGCTCGCATCGGCAAAGGACTGGAACGTCTCAAGAAACCGCTTCTGGGGTACCCCCATTCCTCTTTGGGTCAGCAGCGACTTCAAGGAGGTTGTCTGTGTTGGTAGCATTGCTGAGCTGAAGCAGCTCAGTGGTTACACTGGTGAGATCACTGATCTCCACAGAGATACTGTCGATGGCATCACCATCCCTAGCAAGCAGGGCAACGGTGAGCTCCGTCGCATTGAGGAGGTCTTCGATTGTTGGTTCGAGTCTGGTAGCATGCCTTACGCTTCCCAGCACTACCCCTTCGAGAACAAGGACACTTTCCACAGCAAGTTCCCTGGTGACTTCATTGCTGAGGGTCTCGACCAGACCCGTGGTTGGTTCTACACCATGTCTCTGCTCGGCACTTTCCTCTTCGACACTTTCCCTTACAAGAACTGTGTTGTCAACGGTATTGTCCTTGCTGAGGATGGTAAGAAGATGTCCAAGTCGCTCAAGAACTACCCCGACCCCAACCTCATCATGGACAAGTATGGTTCCGACCCTCTGCGTCTGTACATGATTAACTCTCCTGTCGTTCGCGCCGAGCCTCTCCGCTTCCAGGAACAGGGTGTCAAGCAGATCGTCTCAAGTGTCATTCTTCCTCTCTGGAACAGTTACAACTTCTTCGAGCAGCAGGTTGCTCTTCTCAAGAAGCAGGCTGACATTGACTTCATGTACGACACTTCCATTGAGGCCAAGAACACCAACGTCATGGACAAGTGGATTCTCGCTTCGTGCCAGTCTCTCCTCAAGTTTGTCAACAACGAGATGTCTGTCTACCGCCTTTACACTGTCGTGCCTCGTCTGCTTGAGTTGATCGACAACACCACAAACTGGTACATTCGTTTCAACCGCAGACGTCTGAAGGGTGAGACTGGCACAGACGATGCTCTTCACGCTCTGAACACTCTCTTCGAGGTCATCTACACTATGGTCAGAGGCCTTGCACCTTTCATCCCCTTCATCACCGACAACATCTACCAGCGCATCTCCAAGCACATTCCCGAGAGCTTGCACTACGAGGATATGCGTTCAGTCCACTTCCTTCCTTACCCCGAGGTCCGTGAGGAGCTGTTCGACGAGGTTGTTGAGAGACGTGTCAAGCGCATGCAAGTCGTCATTGAGCAAGGTCGTCTTTGCAGAGAAAGAAGAACTGTCTCGCTCAAGACTCCTCTCAAGTCATTGGTCGTCATCCACTCCGACCCTCAATACCTCGAGGATGTCAAGAGTCTCGAGTCATACATCGTCGAGGAGCTCAACATCCGTGACCTCATTCTCAGCTCCGACGAGGAGAAGTACCACGTTCAATACTCTGCCCTTGCTGACGTTAAGTCCTTGGGTATCAAGTTCAANAAGGATGCCGCCAAGATCAAGAAGGCTATTCCCAACCTCACATCGACTGACATCAAGTCATTCATGTCAAGTGGCGAGATCACCATCGAGGGTTGCCACCTCTCGAGCGAAGACCTCAGAGTGCAACGCGGTATCCAACAAACACCCGAGACCAAGCACCTCGAGGTTGCTGTTGATGACAGCTGCCTTGTCATCCTCGACAGCTTTGCATACCCCGAGCTCGCACAAGAAGGTATGGCCAGAGAGTTTGTCAACAGAGTGCAACGTCTGCGCAAGAGTGCCGGCTTGGTGCCGACAGACGATGTGCGCATGGTGTACAAGGTTGTCAAGGACGACAACAATGAGGTTGACAGCATGTTCAAGGATCAAAAGTCTCTGTTCGACAAGGCTATCCAGGGTGAGATCCAACGTGAGGATGCCACTACTGAAGGCGCTCTGGCTGAAGAGGATGCCAATGTCAGAGATGTGTCGGTTAAGTTGATGCTGTTCAAGCTATGATGAAAACTTGGAGGATAGAAGATGAGGTTTCTGCTAGTCGATAGAACACTACACCAGAGATATGAAATGACAACAAAAGCTGGTTTTCTTTTATTTTCGTTATTCGTGATTATGCTATTAACGCTTTCTGCCTGCTGCTGCCTTTGATGAACATGTCAGCTTCGCCGTTACGAACAAGAGAGTCCGAGACATCTACCAGATAACAGTTCTTGAGTTTCATGAACTCTTTCGCACACATGTCTTTGTGCACGTTTTGATATTCGGCGACAATACATTTGCCATATGCGGCGCCNNCTGGAAAGATGTGAGTATACCTTAGCGTGTCGAATGAGAGGCGACATACCTCAACTGTACACTTTGAGGAGGCTGTGATAAACTTTTCAAGCGGCTTTGCTCTGGGAGTCGACATGGTTGGAATGTGATGAATTGATTGTAGAGTAGTTGAAGGCGTTTGGCAGAGATGGAGCAATTGGCGATGTCATCGACCTGGAAGGCGGTGATCGGAAGCGACCGAGGGCTGGCACGCATGTGAAAGTCGCGTCTCTGCCACTAGCACCTTCCTGCGACAACAACAAGACCTGCATCTTTCAGCTGCATTCTTTCCTATTAACGACCGTCATGATACACGTTGTCTGCATTGCTTGATTTATTGACACGCCCTCACGAACTATATGGACGCGCGAATGCCGTCTCCGCCATTGATACAGCGACGGTCTAAACGACCGACCTGAAACGCGTCAACAGCACCATCATCACACACCGGATGCCAGACTCGTCGGCCATTGAGGAGTTGCCATCCTTGAGTGACNNCAAGGTACGCATCTCTCGTCAGGGAAGGACTTCCTCGAGACTAATTGGTTCCTTACCAGACATCAACATCCTCTTCCAGATTGTCAGCGACGCCCAACGATCGCAACACCCTCCGTTCAAAGCACTTTTCGCGGCATATGATAAAATCCTCGGAGACCATGGAATCGCTCAGGAACATGACCAGCGCATCTTCCGCTACCTCTTGCGGTTGGGCGAGGGCCGCTCACACAGTACCCGACCCTTGATGTTCAAGTTGCGAAACTTGCTCGCCAAACTAGACATCCACATTGTCGTACAGGACGAACAAGATGCTGCGGAAGACGTCGAAACCAACTTGTCTCCAGACAATGTCCGACCGACGCAAGAGATGGGACAAAGCAGTGCGACGAGAAGCCGCAGGGCAAGCTTTAACGATACCGGACTGGATGAGAGTTGGGTCAGTGGAGGAAGGCTTGATGCTGCTCGGTCTGGACATAGCCCTCGTACTTCGCTGGACGACTTATCGCGTATGCAAAGACCCTCGATCAACCCGCCGCCTGCCCCGAATGGTGCATTAACCCGAGGCAGAGTCACTGCGCAAAACCAGGCTCAGACACGCAGAAGTCACTCTGTGTCAACTCAAGGCAGTATCAGAGCTGCCCGTCCACCGGCTCCCGAACCCTGGCCTCGTCACCGACCTTCGATCGATTATCAAAATGCCGTGACAGACGACGAGACCGAGTCCGATATCCCCAGCTCGCCACCAGTCTTGCCGTCCAATCACCAATTTCCACCTCATCATAACGAACCCGTCGACGCCGAGCTGACCTACGAGGCTGAAGCCTTNTTTCACACTTCGCAAATCAAGACCGCGCGCCGATGCCTCCATCAATTGTCTTTGGAATCATCCCATCTCCAGCACATGGCACGCATTGCTCAGAACCACGATCAGCGTCTACTTAAAACCCAAGCCTTCAGCATCTGGGCCGCAAAGCTACTGGACAAACGTCAGGCTGCCGAAACAGAACAATTCTTCGAGCAATACGAACGCAGGGCTACTCGTGCACGCGACCTCTTTCTACTTAACAAAGCCTTTACACATTGGGCCCAATCCACGAGCGATGAGATTGCCAGAACATCTGTTGCTAGGAGACACATTCTGCGCACTCGCTACTTCAACGCCTGGCGCGATATCACAGCCGTCAATGATCTCAAGTGTCGTCGCTTGGGTCTTCGCAAATGGTTCTCTATTTGGAGAACAAACACTGCTCGCAAAGCTGTTGACAATGAGCGTGCCATTGCTGTGTACGAAGAAAATCTTGTTCAGAGGACTTATTGGAAGTGGTTCTGGGCTTTCTGTGAGCGAAAGGCTCCGGTGTGGCATGATCATCGTGCCAAACAGTCTTGTCTGCATAGCCTAGCCGGTGCGGTGACACGTCTTCGACAGCATGAAGCCACTGCCTCGCATATGCGGAACACCAATCTTCTCAANAAGACTTTCAGCACTTTGACTGCGCGCCAGGCTGCCATTCGTTCGTTACATGAACGCGCGGGGGAGCACCACAGAGCCAGTCTGGTCAACAACTGCTTCCACCATCTGGTACAAGAATCGAAACTGGGACATGCCTCGAAAGAGATGTCTACTGTCGTATCAAGACGACTGCTTACCACAGCTGTCTCTGTCTGGCAGCTTAACACTCAACTCTCGCATCAGGCGACCGCTGCAGATCGGCGACGCATCCTCCAAAATGCATGGACGAACTGGAATGACAACTTGCGAGCTCGTGCACTCGTTACGAAGATCGATGATAGAGTTGTACTCGAGAACCTCTACAAGTGGGTCTTGCAGTCTCGACTCGCACTCTTCAGACGTGTCACGGACAGCAGATTGCAAGAGCGTGCGCTGAAGACTTTGAGTTTGAGACTTACAGAGCAACGCTTCCACCTCGAAGAAGCAGCAATGATCTTCCAGGAACATAAGCGTAGGCGTATGTTGGCTTCTGTGATGCTAAGGTTCCATGGCATCTCAAGAGCGGAAGAGATTATGGAACGACAAGCACTTGAGTTCAGGAACACTCACGTCATGAATGCTGTATTACCGGTCTGGACGCAACGAACGAGACATTTGACGAAGCTGGATCGTTGGTCGAATGACGCCAGGTTTTATTGTCTGGCCAGCAGCGCCCTCAAGAAGTGGAAGGACGCAACATCGCAAGCACAACGTAACAAACGTAGGGATGCCTATGTTCAGATTCGAGGTCGTGTCAAGTTACGCATGGTCCGCGATTGCTTCGCCGCCTGGAGGGAAAGAGCCACCGTGGCTACGCAACTTGACGGCACTGCCATCGAGTATACCAATAATCGACACATCAACGCTGGCACCACGATCTTTAACTTGTGGCGTGACAAAACTCGACAAAACAATCAGCTCTCAATTCAAGCCGAAGAATTTTTCGCGCGGCTTCTCTTCCTCCGCACGATTGCTATCCTGGTATCCAAGGGACAAGAAGTTTTGCTTCATCACACGCAAGCTGTGGCACTCCGGTCTGAGACCATCGACTTACTCGCTACCGGCACACTCAAGAGACTCAAGTGGGCCCTCTTCTGCCATCGACGCAATCTTGACTCTGCAGCAGCACTTGAACAGCGTAATTCCCAACAGCATCGTAGAAACATGCTAAGGTACTGGGCTGAACAGGCTTCGAGGCGGAGGGCTGCCAGGACTTTGCCGTTGCCGCTCGATTCTCAACAGGATGATATACCTGAGTCACCTACAAAAGCACCAGTGCCAGCTACCGCTCCTACCCCAGTCCCTATCTCTCTTCCACCATCTTCAAATTTATTTAGCAGCCTCAGATTACCCTCTGCACGCAAGACTCCTGCTCCGTTGTCAGCTCAGAGCAGACTCGCACCCTTGCTTGATGATGACGAGGAGGAATCAGATGTCGAGGAGATGGACTTTGGCGCTACCCATCGCGCTGAAGAGTGGACATCNTTTGACGTCCTGAAAGATGTAATCAATCGGCCGCCACCCCAACAGCCTGTGTATCAATCTCAGGTACAGCAGCGTTTTGATAGTGCGGTAACGTCAACACCCGTTCCAGGCTACATGGCTCGGACGCCTAGCAAGCGCACGCAACGAGCGAAGGCTCTTTCTGCCATTCCATCCATCCAACCGACGCGCAGAGAAGTCATAGTCTCCACGACTCCGGCACCCGCCCGAAGCAACAATAATGTTCAGACACCTCAGGTTACACCTTTCGAACGCAAGATGAGGAAAGGAGGCTATGGAAGTTCTATGGGAAGTGGCGGCGGTGTTGACCTAGCTGAGGAGAGTTTTACTCCTGCTACTTTCAGGCGAACCAGATTTGGAGGCCCACCCGCCTTTGGTGGTGCCAACGGGAATGCAGCGCAGCAGACGGGTAGAAGTGTTAGGTTCTTTGATGTTGGAGAGGTCAAGGAGGATCCGGATGACGCAAAGTGAATGGACCAGGTTTTGTCTTTTATGTCCTGCTTTCTTGATACCCCATTTCTCTTTCTAGATCTTCTATTCCCGCTCCTGTTCTCTTCGTCCACCATTTTCTTCTCTCTTTTCTCTCTCTTATTTCTTTTTGAACCCCTGGTTGTGTATATATATATATCTATCTTACACTTTCTTGGCTGATTGGGATTGAACCCAAGCTATTGCAAATGATACTCAGAGTACTTTTTGATCTTCTAACGATTACTGGTAATCGTATCAAGACCGCAAAGTTTGTCAATGGAACTGGATTTCGATTCTAAATTTCGGGCCTGCACCAGCACCAGCACCGACGCCAGCACCAACGACCAAACACAAGGATCGACAGAACTATTTCTTACGACGATGCAAATAAATATCAAGGCAATTTTGGAAGACTGGAGAACAATTCCTTCATGTCTCGAGGTTTCGTTTTTGGAAAAAAGGATGTTGGTGCTGGTGCTGGCGCTGGTGCAGGCCCAAAATTCAGAGTCGAGATTCGAAGCCATGACGGATTTTCCAACAGGAGAAATCTCTCGCGATGATGCGAAGATACTCCCCCACCACGCTCTTTGATCGAACAACTCACCATGCCAACACCACGGCGAGGGTCCACACGTCCTTCGCCCTCTTGTACCTCTAACTTTACCTTTCTCGACCGTCTTGTCGCCGTCACACCGCCTGGCAGCGGTACAATGATGCCGAAACATGGATGATGCTGACAGATGGTTCGGCATGAAAGGCGAGATGGCCGAGCGGTCTAAGGCGCCAGCTTAAGGTTCTTCCAATACGCTGGTCCGAAAGGGCGTGGGTTCAAATCCCACTCTCGTCAACATTGCTTTTGCTTTTTGTTGTGTCCATCTGGACGAGGAGAGCGGCAAGGCATGGACGAAATTTTCGATTTTTGGTGACAATGCAGAATTTGTGTGGGTGTGAAGCCTCACATTGCATTATGTTGCATAGACATGCATAAAAGCGCTGCATTAGCACATCTTATGCAAGCTTGTGCCCTGACTTCTATGCCATCATTAAAACGAGTTGGCCGTGTGTCTCAGTCCCATCCACGACAACACCATTTTGGCTATTCAATTCACTGAGCTCGTTCGAGCTTCGGTAAAAGACTCTGGGCCGTTCTATGGGCGCATAAAACATGAATACTATAGGCTCAGTATTTGGATTTACTTACAGAACGATTGTAGAATGGAAAAACATTATAAAGAACTAATGGCTTTGGATTTTGCCAGTATCCATGTATGCGTGATGACAAGAAAGGATTAACACTATCTGTGTCCTGAACAGAACATTGCTTCGAAGCAGACAATGCAACACATTTTAAGGTTATTCGTCTATAGATGGTGAAAGCCTTCACTGTCATGAGGATTGTGCACATATGGTTATGGAGAAAACTGTGATTTGCAACATAAAAACCGAGATATCGACAAGATCGTAAAGGAGATATAGTGCTAAACTATGTGTGTTCTGCTAATGCTTACTGAAAAAAAACAAGCATAGCTGATAATTACAGTAACATTGCAGAGAGGGGAGCGATGGAGAAAAGAAAAAAGGAAACCATTTTTCACTTCATCTAGAGGATGAATGAGGCGACGCTGCCGAGAACGTAGGCACCGAGACCAATGATGCCTCTGAAGTGGCCGGCGAGCTCGATCTTGAGGCCGGCAACGACGTGGCAAGCGACAGTGATCAGACCCTGGCAGGCAGCGGCAAGGGAGAAGACGACACCCTTAAGAGCGGAGAAGCCGCAAACCTTGACAGCGAACTTGACGGTGAACTCAACCTCGAGGAGAAGGTCGGCGATCAAGCCGGCAAGCTCAGCGTTGCTGTGGCCAGAGATACCGCTGACGGTGCTGAGGTGAGCCTTGGCCTGGCCGATGAGGCCGATAAGAACTTGGATGTTCTCCTTGACATCAGCGATTTGAGAAGCGGAAGCCTTGCCTGAGATGCCGTTGCAGGTTGCGTTGATTGCAGCGGTGTAGGAGTGGACGTGGTCAGCGAGGATCTCCAAGGTACCCCAAACATTGACAGTACCGTTGAGGCCGAGGGAGACATCGAGAGAGCCGCCAGCAGCGCCAGAAACAGAGCCTGAGGCACCAAGACCAGCAGCACCACCGATTCCAGCACCTGCATCAAGACCAGCAGAACCTGCGCCGTTAACATCCGCGCCAGCATTAAGGCCAGCAGAGCCGCCAACTCCGGCACCTGCATCAAGACCAGCCTTTCCTGAGCCGTTGATATCTGCGCCAGCGTTGAGGCCAGCGGAGCCGCCGACATCAGCACCTGCACCAACACCAGCCTTTCCTGAGCCGTTGACATCTGCACCAGCCTTAAGGCCAGCATCGAGTCCAGCAGAACCACCAATACCTGCACCTGCACCTGCGTCAAGCCCAGCAGAGCCAGAACCGCCGAGACCTGCACCAGCCTTGAGGCCAGCTTCGCCTGAACCGTTGACACCAGCGCCTGCATCGAGACCAGCCTTTCCTGAACCGTTGACATCTGCACCAAGGCCAGCAGAACCACCAATACCAGCGGAGCCACCAAGGCCAGCGCCTGCGTTGAGACCAGCAGAGCCAGAGCCGCCGAGACCTGCGCCAGCGTTGAGACCAGCCTTTCCTGAGCCGTTGACGTCTGCACCAGCGCCCAGTCCAGCAGCACCACCAATTCCTGCACCAAGACCAGCAGCGCCTCCAATGCCTGCGCCGAGACCAGCAGAACCACCAAGGCCAGCAGAACCGCCAATGCCTGCACCAAGGCCGGCGTGACCACCAACATCTGCGCCAGCACCGAGGCCAGCAGAGCCTGAGCCACCGACATCTGCGCCTGCGTCGAGACCAGCAGAGCCAGATCCGCCAACGTTTGCGCCGAGACCAGCAGAACCACCAAGACCAGCAGAGCCACCGATACCTGCGCCGGCACCAAGACCAGCTGAGCCGCCAAGACCAGCAGCACCGGAAGGAGAAGCGCCGGCAGACAAGGCAGCGCCAGCTGAAGGAGAAGCACCACCAGACAGACCAGCCTCACCACCAATACCACCAGAGACACCACCTGCACCTCCAAGGCCTGCACCAGCCGAGCCAGTTACATCAGGGGAAGAAGCAGAGCCGGTGGGAGTACCGTTGGTGGCATCAGCGATCGAGTCACTAGGGATGGAGGAGGGGGACGAGTCAGAAGGAGATGAGTCGGAAGGAGATGAGCCAGAGTTGAGACCGTAGGCGGGAACGTCAGAGGAGCGGCAGCGTCAGAAGGGGAGGAAGTTGAGTCTGTTGCGGCAGGAGTGCCCTGGGCAGCGTCTGTCAGGTTGTCACTGGGAGATGCAGGAGCAGACTCAGCGGGAGCGGAAGGAGATGCGCCGGAAGGAGATGATCCAGAAGGAGACGAGCCATTGCCGGAGTCTGAGCCAGATGCCGAGCCGTATGCACTACCGCCGTAGGTGGGGACGTCAGTGCCAGCGGGCGAAGCAGCGGAATCAGTGGCGGCGGGAACATCAGAAGGAGCAGCAGACTCAGAAGGCGAAGCAGCGGAGTCAGGGGAAGCAGAGGAGTCAGTGGCAGCAGGTGTGGCTTGAGCGGCGTCGGTCAAGTTGTCGCTGGCAGACGCAGCCGAGGGAGCGGCGCCCGAGGGAATGGCACCCGAGGGAGCGGCAACACCAGCAGGGGCAGAGGGAGACGAGGCGTTGTAACCAGATGCCGAGCCGTATGCGCCAGCACCGTAGGTGGGAACGTCAGTGCCGGCGGGCGAAGCGGCAGAGTCAGTGCCGGCGGGAACATCAGAAGGAGCGGCAGAGTCCGAAGGCGAAGCAGCGGAGTCAGGGGAAGCAGAGGAGTCAGTGGCAGCAGGTGTGGCTTGAGCAGCATCAGTCAAGTTGTCGCTGGGAGATGCAGCCGAGGGAGAAGCTCCTGAAGGAACAGCACCTGAGGGAGCGGCGACACCGGCAGAGTAACCGCTCCAGGTGTAGCCAGCGCCAGTGGGCTGAGCGACTCCCGAGTGAATCAGAGAAGTACCGGTTGCGATAAGAGATGTCTTGGCTGGACAGTTTGTGACATCAGGAGCACACGAGGTAAGGGTATCAATCTGAGTGCTGTAGAGAGTGACAGTGATGGGACCGACGGAGGTAGGGACGGGAGTGTCAGGGCTGGCTGCGGACGAGCTGCCGGGGGCGGTCTGCCAGTTGCTGGGGTACCAGACTGAGGGCATCTGTCCAGAAGGAGCAGCAGCGCCGGCAGGCATAGTAGAAGAAGCACCGCCGCTTGCGGTTCCCCAGTATTGGCCGTAAGAAGGCATGTTGTTAGGGGTCTCGTCAGAGTTGGCAGGGGGGAGAAGGAACAGGCATGACAGTGGAGGTCTGGGGAACGACAACAGTGCTGCCATAGGCGGGAACGCCTTCGGAAGCAGCGGGAACACCCTCAGATCCAGCAGGAACACCCTGGGAAGCGGCAGGGACACCCTCAGAAGCGGCGGGAGTGGTCTCGGGAGTACCGTTGCCGTTAGCAGGAACGCCCTCAGAGGCAGCAGGGGTAGCAGCAGGAGATGAAGGCATAGCGGCATCAACATCAGAAGTAGACTGAGCGGCAGGGGTCGAGGCGCCGTAAGCGGGGACACCCTGGGATGCAGCAGGGACACCCTCGGACGCACCAGGGGTAGATCCGGGAGCACCGTAGGCAGGAATGCCAGAAGAGGCAGCGGGAACACCCTCAGATCCGGCAGGAACGCCTTGAGAAGCAGCAGGAACGCCCTCAGTAGCAGCAGGAGACGAGGGCATTGCGGCGTCGGCGCTGGAAGAGGAAGCAGCAGCCGAAGTAACAGTGGCTCTGTTGGTGATGGTCGAAGTGATAACGCTAGGAGCAGTCAAGACAGTAGTAGAACCACCCTGAGAAACTGTTTCGCCGGCAGGGCATGTTGTGACAGTCTCGGAGACAATGTCAGTCACGTAGACGACCTCAGGACCGGAAGCGCCCATGGTGGTGGTGCCAGTGACAGCGGGGACGTTGGCAGAGGCAGCGGGGGTGGTGGCACCCGAGCCGCCAGGAGCTGCGTGTGTAGGAGAGCCGTTGGAAGCATCGACATCCGAAGACGAAGGTGCAGCCGAAGGCGAACCACCGTAGTTGCCACCCTCGTAGGCAGGAGCAGACGAGGCAGCAGCGTCAGTCTGGACTGGGACTGCTGTACCAGCAGCAGTCGTGGTCATGTAGTGGGTGACGTGCTCTGTGATGGTGTGGGTGCGAGTCTGAGTAGACCATTGGGTAATGGTCTGAGTAGAAGTGCTAGCCTGGCCATTGGGAGCACAAGGGCAAGTGTTGGTATCACGCTTGTTGTTCCATGGAGCGGCAGTGGACAGACCAAAGAAGGCCGCCAAGTGCATATAAGTGCTGGGCTTCATCCTGAGAGAGAAGCGAAGCAGTGGTTTTGCTGTCGATTAGGGATGAATGAGGGACTAAAATGATTGATGGTTGGGTTGTTGGTAAAAACAAAGAGCGTGGAATTGCTTCAGAGCACAGCTCTGGAGAAGCAAAGGAAAGAAGGAAGGACGAAAGACGAAAGACAAAACTAAACTGATGAGAAGAGTACTGAGGGCAGGCAAGACAACATGTTTTATACGGAGGACGACGAGTATGTTGAATACGTCGACCGGAAAGAGTGGATTGCACTGCTACAGGATTAGCAACAGAGCATCGATCATACCAGTATTCTGATGAGATTAAGGATTTTGACAGGTCTGCAGTGACCGTGCTGACATGCCAGTCTTCGTAAAGACGGAGGTCCATGCGAGACATTTCAGACGAATCGTGTCTTCGCCGTGATGTGGAAGAGCACCGAGTTGCTAGAGGTGGGAAGCCTCGTGATGGTCGAACCGAAAAGAGCTTGATTAACAAATTAGCTTGTCTCAAAGCAGAATTGGCAGCAGTCATGGCAAGAAGAAGTATGGTGATCGACAGTCTCGAGGCCACTCTAGCCTTGTACAGATGAAACTGGCCTGCTACTCCACAAACCCCAGCTCGAGGATGATGGCTTCTTCAGTACAACGTTAAAAGCACGGTCAAGTTCATGCTTGGTCGTTGAATGCACAACCGAGTTGCATGCGTGAACACATGCAGGAAGTACTCTCTAGAGCTACGCATGGCAGCTGCGATGGCGATGAAGCGTTCACAGAGAGTTGGGAAGCTGCGAACAGAGACCCCTCCAAACTGCAGCAACACAGCCTGGCAGCATTGCAGAGTCTTGACACTCCAAAACTCAGGCAACCACGGTCCGCGGAAGGCACGGGAGTGTAGGGAGGATGGCGTGGATGAATGATTAAGTGGACGAAGTCTGTGCGTGCGGCGGTGTTGAAACTTGTCCCTATTTCTGGTTAGGTCGTCTGACGGCAGAGATTTGCCAATACACAAAGCGAAATTGAATATCTAGAAGCAGCGCGGTGTTATGAGACTTTCAATATTGTCTAAGAGCCCTCCTATTGAGAGTAGCGAAAAGATTAACAGCAGGTGGTTAGGAATCAGAATCATGTCGTGATGTTGTGATACGCAGCGGAAGAAGATGCATGATCGACAGGAAGTCGCGGGCCGGGGCCAGATTGGAAGACAAGCCGAGAAGCTTGGCCGACATCCGGCTCAAACTGCCCTGTGCCCGGAGAAAGGAAGGACATTTTCTGAAACACCTCCTCCAGCAAGGTCGCGTTTCAGCCTTGAAGCACTATCGGCTTTCGAAGCACCAGCTCAAACCCTTCCTTTTTTTGGGAGGTGCTTCTTTTGGCCACCAACTTGACGCCATACGATCGCCCTATGCTGTCCACACTGACACGGGAAGCTTCGACATGAAAGTGCGGTGTACGAATACGCACACGAAAGTGCCTACTTTGCAATTACAGAATAGGAGAAGTGATCTTCACTCTTGACCATGCAATGACTCTGCGTAGAGACACGGCAATGACCTGGTTGAAGTCAAATGCGTAATTTGGGAAGGCTGGATTGTCGCTGAACTTTTTGCTGCTGCATTTCTCGCACTTCGATTGTTTCTCCATCGTGACAGTTTCCTCACTTGCCACGAGTGAGCAATGCCGTAGCTGCAGATCCTGTCACATATTCCCTTCAACCACGGTTGGCCTTTTCAGATGTGCATCAGATGCATCAAGCTTCGTCATATGTTTCAATGATCATTGGTCTGACTGACGTACATGAGTCTTTCTTTGCTGAGAGCTCACTTCCTAGCGATATCACGGCCACCAAGCCAAACGAACATCCAGCTGATCGAGATCATTATCTTCCTTCTCCAGCTCCTCGTCCACGACAGACTGCCCGATCGCCACGCCAGCCACGCGCCCTCACCCGTCCAGTCCTGTTTGCCGCCGATCACACCGTCATGCTTGCCTAGGTAGGCCAGGTGAACCTTCTGCTTGTACTCGAAAGCCTGTGCTGCTGCGCCCATAGCCTCGTTGTTGAGCTCGCGTGTGAGATACTCGCCTTTCTGCAAGGCCGCTTCAGCCAGTGTCGGAAGGCTATAACCCTCGATGTCGGCCGCGTCACCCATTGCGTACGTGCCGTCAATTGGAGANNAACCATCAGGCCGCAAGACACGCAGATATTTGTCTGTCAAGATGCGAGGCATGCCTTTCTCTGTCTTCTTGACATCCAAAGTGTCCAGAAGAGGATTCGCCTTGTTACCAGTAGCCCAGATGAGCATACCGTACGGCAATCTGCCATCTTCCTTGGTGTAAATGGCGTCCTGCTCTACCTTCTCAATGTGGGAACTGGTCTTGAGCTCGACCTTCTTCTCATGCAAAGACTTGGTCGCATAATCGCCAAGCTTCGCATCAAAAGTCGACAAGATCGTAGGTGCGACATCATGGATAACGATGGAAAGCTTGCCATCGAGGTGAGGGTACAAGAACCTCATGTCCTGATACCAGAGATCGTATAGTTCTGCTGTAGCTTCGATACCAATGGCTCCTCCACCAACGACACGAATGGTAAGAATGTCTCTCTGCTGCTGTTCGGTGACGCCAGGCAAGGAAGCTGCATCGAGAATCTCCAGTATCCTCTGCTGAATCAGACGAGCATCATTTGTGGTTCTCAGAAACAATGCATGTTCCAGAGCTCCAGGCGTGCCGAAGGTTTGAATACCACAGCCAGGTGCAATCACGATCTTGTCATATGAGACATCATACTCTTTGTCTTTCCAGAACTCTGATACTGATGGCTTGCACTTGATGATGCGTTTTTCCAGGTCGATGTTCTCGGCAGTCGCCTTGTAGTACTGAACATTTGGTCTGCTGCGTCGACGGACAGGTTCTTCAGCAAGTCGAAAGTTGAAGAGACCACAGGCTGCACTCGCAAGCAGTGGTGTGTATTGGATCGTTCGGACAGGCGATATGACTTTGACGTTGTACTTTGCGACGTTCAATTGCTGCGACAAGACGAAGCCGGCCCAACCGCTTCCGATGACCGCTACTGTTGGTTTTGACATGATGAAGATGTGTCAACTCAAAAAGTTATTGCTGTTGTTTTCGTCTTGGACCAGCTCAAGTTTTGTATGTGAGCTGTGCAATCGCATATTAACTGATGTCACAATTCTTTGATTCTTGGATATCCTTGTCTTTGCCGAGATATGTCAGACCTATCGCCGATAGGATTCATCTCCGTCTACGCAACACAAAGTTGACTTACAAAGCAGCAGATGCTTGAGCAGAGTCGTGCGTACAAGTGCCGGGGAGCAAGCATTATTACTTAGTCTTCTGCTCCGTATGAGGTTGATGCAACGAGTTCATTGTGTACTCGCGACTCGCGAGATAATCGGTCCCTAGCCTGGAGCTCCGTTCAGACTAGTACTTTGGATGACCTCAGTATCTGCCCACAAGAAAGGATTGAAACCATTCAACAGACACAGCCATGTGAATGATAACTGAACTCAAGAAACCACAGCTCAAGCATATCTAGGTATCCTCGATAGCAGTTGGCGAATGGAATCTGACGTCATTCTCGAGTCCTCAGTAAAACAATTGTGAGAAGCAGGTCAACGATATATCCTTCAGATATTATCCCTGAAGCTCATATGCCGTAGCTTCGTGGTGCTACAGTTCTTGTCTCTTCTCGTGGTGAACGAGATGTTGTGTTTGTATAGTACATGTAGGAGGCGTTCAGACTTGAGCTGACATAACAATGCAGACTAGAGTCACTCTGTCTCAGCACGGCGCAGCCACTTAGGAGCCATCCCAAGCATCAGACATCGATCTGATGGCCTATAAACGCTATACTGTGCTCAAGAAATTGCACATCATGTCGTGGCGACTGTAATTGGTGGAAGTTGGTCGTGAGATAGATGTCGCACTTGCCACCCTGTCCTTCGCCAAATGATTGAGGTCACGACAAAGATCTCTTCACATGTAACAAACGAAAACATGATCCGATTAGACTCTGCGAAACATTTGAAAGAATATATTATTCTTTATGTCCAGAAGTCAAAATTCTCTGCTCGATCTTACGTACCCGAAGTGCGGGAGTATGTCCAAGGATTACTTTGTAGACCAAGCGGCATCTTAGGTAAAGACATGCGTGAACAAAGAATGTTGGTAAACGTGTATCGAGTGCCGTGCTACAGCAGCCCCGAGTGTAAGAAGCAGACAGACATCTCATTAGGTAGTTTGATCGAAGAATCGTCATCATTGCGATTGAAGTATTAGTAAAGCAAGTGGCCAAGTCACTACAACTATCTTTCTACATCGTTTGTGTGAGTCCGATTTGCACATAAACTAGGAGACAAGAAGATGTTATTCGTGAAAAGTGTACATGGTGGCTTCGCGGTGCTACAGGCCGTGTGCACTGGTGAAGGACAAGCTTTTGTGAATTGGAAGGAGCGCATTGGGCTTGGCGCGAGCGGACGCGCCACAGAACGCGTCTTCCCAAAACGATTTCTGGAGAGCTTCTGTCATCTGCCTGTTCAAGAACACAGTCAAAATGTCGCTACGGACGAGACATTCTACCGTCGCATCGACTCCTGCACGAGGTACGCCGAGCAGAGCCGCCACGGCTGCATCGACACAACGAGCACCTACGAACGAACTTCCACCTTACCAACCTCTGCAACATCCGCTTAGCGCTGCCGGCCGCGACAGGCTGCGCCAACTAGGACAACCCCTCAAGTTTCAGCAAAACCATCAACTGCTTGCCGAGGTCATCGCATGTCTGGGCGAAGCTGCCGCTGAGACAAATGAAGCTTTGAGCAACAAAGAACAAGCTCTGGAACGTGCTCGTAACAAGGCTAGGAACAATGACGACCCTGCGGCAAGTCAGCAACGAGTACAAGAGATGGAGGCACAGTTTGAAGAGCTTCAGGCCAAGGTCGATAGTATGACGGCTCAGATGGACAAGGATGTCCGCAAGATGATCGATGTCGACAACAACATCGAAGACATGCAACATACACTTTCCGACCTGGTCAGAGACGTCTCGAATGCTTCTACACAACGTACACAACGCACTCAACGAGGCGACGACGAGGAAGAATACCCAGACTTTGACCCTACCGATCCCACGAATGCCACACAACGCCCACTCGCCGTCGCTGAAATGTTCAATGATCGCGTTTCTCGTGCCAAAGAGCGGTATGGTTTACAAACCTCGACCGCCCGCTACAGCAGGAACAATCACTACGTCAACTTCAAGAGAATCACCCACGAGTCCCGGAACAGTGACGACAACCCACCGCCACCCGCCCATCTCTGGTTTAAAGAAGACCGTCCCGACGCCGGACAAACCGCCCTAGGCGCCGAAGAAAGCGACGACGACCTGCAAATCGCAAANGAGACAATCAGCACAAGATGTCCCTTGACACTACGAGAATTCCAAGATCCAGTTACGAGCAGCAAATGTCCTCATTCGTTCGAACGCGAAGCCATTACCTCGATGATCCAGATGCCTAACAATCATGTGCGCTCAGAGGGTGCTGCTGCTGTTCAATGTCCAGTGGGTGGATGTCAGAAGTTGTTGACTTTGGCCGATATCTACAGCGATACTATGCTGAAACGCAAGATTGCGAGACTACAAAAGGCTATGAGAGATGCTGAGGAGGAGAGTGATGAGGAAGGAGCAAACAGACCGCATAGCATTGCCAGTGATGACGATGATGACGCTATTGATGTCGATGAGACGCCTGTGCAGAGGTTAAAGAAGGAGAGGTTGAGTGGCAGGACACCTGGCCCATCTGCTGTGCCGGCTTCGAGTCAACGCAGAGGTAGAGCTGCTGTGTTGAGTATAGACCACGATGATGAGGACGAATGAGATGACTATCAAGGCAGACATGGGTTTTGAGGAAGGCGCAAGCAGCAAAAACATTCAGATACAATTAAGCTCTTGCAAGACTGCACATATAAACATTCTATGACCATGTTTGTGTCTCGGGTTCCGAAAAGCACTACTCTGCTTCCTCACTCACAAGGCTCTGAACAGGTCCTTCCAATCCCCTCTTTTCTTTTGTCCTCCTTGCACACCTCTCCCCTCTTCCATCCTGGATGCCACACCAGTATCAACCCTCAACTCAGGTTTCTTCCTCTGACTTTGACTCTGCTGCAATCTCTCCTTGGCCATTGCTTTTCTCCATGCCTCTGGCCCTCTAGATGCACTTCTTCCTACAGTCTCCACCCCTCGGTAATTGGTGTGTAATGTAGCATCAATGTTAGCAAAGCCTTGTTGACGTCTACTGGACGGTGCAGGGCGAGGACCCATGGGTTGACGCGGTTCGATGATTGGCAAGGTTGGTTCTTTCTCAGATCGCAATGCTGTTCTGTTTGGATGGGAAGAGAAGCGGCCGGTGATGCGGCGAGAGGCGCGCACGATGGATTGACGCACTTTCCATTGACGGCGTCTTGCGATCACGAAAAGGACTAGGAAGATTACNNTAGGATATTGTTAGTGTTTTGTTTGGAAAAAAGGTATGAGCGACTTACTGCCTAGACCAACACCAATGGAGACGACACTGATGATTGCTGCAAAGCCCTCTTTACTGAGTTGGAAACTGCCAGAGTCGCCTCCTGAAGCCCCGGCTGCATTGTCGGCGGCAATATCTGCTGCTGTAGACGCACTGCTTTGTGACCCGTAGACTGNTGAGAGTAGGGGCTGAGTCAGATGTTTCTGCTGCTGACGGTGTAGAAGCGCTATCGACAGAGGAAGTGGAAGTTGCGCTACTTATGGTGACGGGAATGGTGTAGACTTTGTTGCTGGTAGACGATGCAGAAATCGACGACACTACTTGTTGTGAACTTGATGTGCTTGAGGAACACTCTCCGAAGCATCCCTTAGTTGTCGCCGAGGAGGATACAGCTGAGCTGGTAACAGTGGCTTCATCGCTGTCAGAAGAAGATTGGATCAAAGCCGTTTGTGTGCTTTTGACTTGAGCCGCATTGGCGTCGATGGCTGTGGATGCGGCGCTAGTCTGTATGGNNTCTGTGTAGAATCCTCGAAGCTTGTAGTCTGTTGAGATATGCTTGACACTGATGTGGCTGAGATCTGCGAGGAAGCAATGCCAGCTAGCAGAGATGGAGGTACCGATGTCATGATTGATGTTGAAGAGCCAAAGATCACAGCAACCACCGTAGCTGGCGCTTCTGTCATTGTTGCCTGTTGTTGACCAGCCGTTGTTGCTCCTGCATTAGATCGAAGCTCAAGACCTATTGGTATCGCCGTATCGCTACTGCTACTGCCTTCATTCGAGCCAGCAGCCAGAGGCGCGGTGTATGCCGATACAGAGCTCGAGTTCGTGTTTTGTGGGGGCTCAGGTTGGGTGGACGATTGGGCAGCGGATGATGGTGCTGTGCCAGCAGATGAAACAGTGCCTGCTAGCAATGCAACAGTAGAGTGCGTCAGTGCATCAGCCTGAGCGGATGAAACTGCTGCCGCCATTTGCGAGGACGACAACTCTGCTGCATCCTTTGCAGCCTCATCAATCAGAGATTGTGGAGCATTCGTGATGGTCGACACCGAGGTCCCAATTTTGCTGGCAAATATTGTGGATTGGACCTGAGCTACAGTTTGAGTGACCTTGATATGCATCGTACTGGTTGCTTCTGAGCGCAGCTCGAGATGTGTTGCGGGTATTGCTTGCCACGGAACTGATTTGGCCATCATGGTAGCGGGGAGGTACTCCATGTACACAGTGGATGAACCCATACGCACAGCATAGATAGTGCTGGCAGAGTTCGTGATGGTTCTAGTGATGTGTATATGGCGAGTGCTTGTAATTGTTTCTTCTTCAGGAACGAGTGGCTGCTGCCATAGGCCAGCCACGGCAGCGAANNAAGCAAGAGAAGGGAATCGCATTGCGGTTTTGTTGCCTGGAGGATTCTTGTATGAACTCGATGGTCTCTCAAATCTGTGGAAAGAGGTTGCGTGAAACAGACAAAGACAGACAACTGAAAGACAACGATGATGAGAGAACCAGCTCGGAGAAGCAAAAAATTCGATCGCGATATACAAAGCAACGAAAGCAGAAGGAAGGAACAACAAGAAAAATGCTGGAGCAGAATACAAAGCAGGAAGTCACGTCTCGACCTACCATTCATACTTGTCGAACTTCTGGTTGTTACGCGCCGAAGCCCTTGTCAAAAGTCCGTGCCACATGCTGTGCACCTCTAGCATGTGCGCCAATCACTTGTTCTGGTACTCGATCTAATCAAAGATGAAAACTGTAGCCGCCCAGCGCTTGTTGCCGTACACAGTCTTCAGAGAGGTGATGAGTATATTTGGCAGGCGGTTATCGAAACGACAACTCGAGTCGTGATTGGCCAGTCAGAGATGGCGTGCAGGGTAGACCTTAGATCTATGCAACAAACCATCTGATCATTGCAGAAAATATCTGCAGTAATCTGACGTTTACAAGAACAATATCGCCTGTTGTTGGAAGAAGAAGATGGGCGAAATGAACTTGTCCTTGTGCCAAATTCATGGCAGAAACTCGGCATTTTCGGCGGAGCTTTCCTGACGACACCTCCTTCCTTCATACAACAGTGCGTATTCAACTCTTTATACTGAGTGTGGATTGATGTGATCAGTGCAAACATCTACTGTTTACCGTACCTTGATCTGTTGAGCGCGATGCCATACGTACCTGTCCCGCTATGTTTATCCTCATCGGGACACCGAAACAATTCAGCTGCGGGACGAGAATTCAACATATCGCCAGAGAAAGAAGAAAGCCTAGAGAACGATATGAAGTCTATCCACTAACTATCAATAATCCAATATCTGCCCCTCCTCCGGTCGCCCCCAGTTTGAACTCTTACGCTTGAAACTCATCAGCTCTCGGACCTTCTTCTTACCAAGAGACCAGACCATTGTGCGATCATCTCTCTCAGGTTGAAAGTAGCGCATCCTTCCATCCTGTACTGACACCTCTTCATTCTCATGCTGGCCAACATCACCACCAGCAAGCAGCTTTACGCCTCGGTTCGTGTATTGTTCCTGGAAGTAAATATAGGCAATCTGTTTACGCGTCTCTTGATAAAAGTCGAGAGCGATGATCAGTCGATTGTATTGGTCTCCCGGAAGGTATCCCAAATCAGTCTCGACGTACTCCCGTGTACTGACATACATTGTTTGATGTAGGCTGACGAAAGTCCTTGGTTTCAACACTCTTCGTCTCCCGGCATGAGGTCGAAATTCGAGGACGCCATAGCACTGTGTTTCACCTTCCCAATCGTCACCCTCCTCAGTGATGCTGAAGTACTCATATTGCTTCTCACCACTCCAATCTCTCCTGTTGAGACTGAACATGGGTGCGCAGCAGAGCCCGCTGACCGTAGGATACAGCACTATCATTGGTCGCATCTTTGCATACAACGGTGCCTGTTTGGTTATAGCAATGAGCGGATCTCCAGGTACAGCATTACGATTGTTTTGGAACACACTATGTGTTACCCAGATGATCATGCCTGGAAAGAAGCATTCAGGGTATAGACGCGGCTCCTGGCGGCAATAAAAGTGGCCCACAGATTTGCCTTCGAGATAGAGGTCTGTCCACAGGTAATTGATACCATCGATCGTATCCACTCTTGCGTCTCTTTTCAGATGAAGGTCGCGCTCGTCTGGATCCCTGTATGGCTCATCTCGCGTGAATCTAGAGTCGAATGAGTACATTGATGCATGCGATGCAGCTCGGGAGTGAGATGGCCGAGACTCCCGGGATCTAGATCTGTCGGGACGATATCGAGAGCCTCGAGATGAGGTACGTCCGTGCTAATACCCAGCTGGACGAAGAGAAGCATGAGAGTCAGATGGATGGAGTGATTGTCGAGATGGAACTCTCTGTATTTGCTTTTCAGCTGACTCGGGAAGTACAGCCGCTGATGCCAGTAATTTCTGGGGCTCAAATGGAGGCAGCGGCTTCTGGGTCTTTTCTGGACTTGTAGGAGAGAAACTCGACTTCTTCGGCGACAAAAAGCTAACAAGCTTGTGTCCTACACGCTTGAGTGCATTGGAAGACTGAGTGTCAATGGCCTGGGGTGTAGGCCTGTTCATATTGGACATAATGGTAGAACGATAAGCTGATCTGTTGTGTAGACCTGCGCTCGTCCCCCCTTATGTGTGAAGTGGACAAAGAAACTCGATGAGAAGAACGCTCTTTATTGTCAGTGGCAGCAAATCCGTTTTCGGGTATGAGAAAATATCTTTGTTTTGACCAAAGCCCTTCGGCATTGATGCACAAGAGCAGCCACTTCAGCCATCACCCTGGTTCAAGCTTATCGATATCCCAAACCAGCTTCAGCCTCAAACACGCTGGAACGTCTTCTTGCTCATCCTTTCTGACTTCTTATCGGCATATCTAACACCAGATTTCGGCTGGTGTTCGCTGTCAGGATCCCAAGGTACCCATTCCTCAGGTTGGTTGTCATCTGTATCAAATTTCGCAAAAGCAGCAGTTCTGAATTCCCGCTCCTTCATGGTGAGAAGATCAATCAGCCTGCTGTACTCTCCACCTTTGATGTGACCAACATCGTCGTAGACATGTTCCCATTGACTGATCCAGTGTGGACGGGAGAGATCAGCATAGCACTTATCTTCGCAACTGTAGGCCTTGTTGAATTTTGCAAGGATTGGCATTCCAGCCCATGGTGTATCCCCACGCCAGTCAGGTTTCGTAGAGACACTAACATACTTGTTCATTCTGGTGTCGCGTAGGTTTGCTTCTGATAGGGTTTAGAGTGGTATAGCTGCCACCCCAGCATTGGTCCTCCATACGACTATCATGTACCGAAACTTCGCGGCGATCGGACCAGCTACCGATGATCTTCCGATGGTACCATCATAAGGATCTGCTTTGGTGTCGACTTGAGGATAACAATCGATTGCTTTGACGATTCTTCCCGGCCACAGGTTGTCGAGCTTGACATTTAGTGCTCTGACGGCATAGAGCTTGAAGAACTTCTTCTTCTGAGTATTATAAAGCACACGCCTCTCGTATCTGACGCCGTTCTCTTGTTGAAGCTCTTTATAGAGCTCGTGCTTGCTTTCAGTTATTCTGAGGCGTTCAGATCGTCGCAGAGGCTGTCCATCTGGCCCACGCGGGACTTCTGTGAGTGAGAACAGAGTTGTGGTGGTAGTAGTTTTCATGGTATGTGGTCCAATACGGTCAGAAATATCCTGCGAGGTTGTTGTGTTTGTTCAATGCTACGGGTTTGGGGGCAATTTATCAAATTCATGTTCGTTCGAAATGTCTTTGTTCCGCTGACTGGATTAAACCTTTTCCGGCCAACGAAATCGAAATCATCATAGTCTTTCTTTGTCTTTACTGGCTCAAAGTAATCTTCAAGCATCTGACTGATTATGGAAACTATGCGAGTATTGTAATGGTAACACCGGTCTGAATAGTCCACGAGCGAAGTTGTACTGACAAAATGACCTCGAAACAGACTGATGAGACAAAGACGGAAGACAAAATTTTACCACTATACATAATACTGACAATGCCTGACTCAATTGTGTACGATCATCTCGAAACTCGTCCTTCTCTATCACCATCTCATACGCGTGATTTTGTCCATTCGAGCCTTGTTAGCACTCCTCGGTCGTGTTCGATTGACATCCGGCTGCCACATCTGGTTGGGGAAGAATTGGGCTTCGTACAGCAAAAATGCAGCTCTCCGTGCTTCGTTCTCTTTGTATGTTAAGAGCCTGATCAGTCTAGCATAATCTCCACCAGAGATATAGCCAACATCTTTGATTCGTGATTGAGCGAGAATATGGATGGGCTGACACAGATCAATGAAGCTGTTCTCAGCATATTGCCCGCCACCATACATGACCATGTGAAGGGGTCGTCCTGCCCAAGGCGTAGGTCCTTGAGCAGGCCAGCTCCGACTGACACTGACCAACTCTCGCATTCTTGCTTCGGGTAGTTGTGCGACTGACGTCAGGGTGGACATCGGTAAACATAGAACGCCATTGCTTGTATTGTTGATAACGACCATGTGCCGCATTTTGGCATTGATAGGGCCGCAGTCTGTCTGTGCAACCTCTCCATCGTCTAGCTTCCTACTCAAAACAGTTTGAGGATGAGGGTCCGTTGCCAGGATGAGCTGTCCGGGGTAGAAGGCTTTCCTGCGAGAATATTTGTCCACTCGATATGCCCAGTCGCCGTAAGATTTGGCTTCTAATCTGTTCCATCTGACTTTCTTCTCGACTGTTGCACCCCAAGTGTTAATTTTCTGGTACCGCAGTTCCCATTCGCCCCCGGGGGGCTCTCCAGCTAATCGAGCGGATCTTCGAAGAGGGGGTAGACTTGTACTGCGTGTCGGAGGTGGGTCGAAAGCTCCGGAGGGTAAGGCCATGGTAGTACGTGATCAAAAGTGATGATTGTTCAAACGATTGTTCCTGAAAGAGGCTGGGGAACACATCAAGATTCGAACAAGAAGATAGCTCACTTATTCGAACAAACACGTCAACTGTCTGACCGGAAATGGATAGCATGCTGATATGAAGTTATGGACGAACCACACCGATCTTTGTTCTCCAAGTCCAGTCTTTGATCTTCGGCTGAGTGTAATAATTCTTGAACAAAGCTGGGGAAGTTGAGGAAGCCTGAATCGCCCGATAAAGGAATGTGTCTTGACTCGGCAGCTGTCACTGGGAGACAAAGAGAGATGGAAATCAATTGTGAAACGTCGCCAGCATCAACTCAATCCGGCCGACAAGTCAGTCTTTGTGCATTCCAGGCTTCAATGTCTGTCAATGATGCCCTTGGATTCTGCACCATCCGGACTCGGAGGTTCGCCGTCACCAGGTCCCCTGATAACAGGGCTTTCACACTCCCAGTAATCTGACACCACAGCCTTTCGTACACCCAACATTCTTCGAGGCCGAAAGGTCGCAATGCCATATCGATTAACTTGCGCCCAGAACTCGTGTGTAAACATGCTTTGAACGAAGCTCATCTCCACGGCAAATTCTCGAAAGACATTGCTCATTCCCCATTTCTTGGGGCTCATGAGTTTTGTTGGATCTGTTTCATCTCCTTCGTAAGGAAAGGGCCAATCATCGATGCATAAGATCTNGGATGGTCGTTAGCAGATGTTCACCTTGGGATGATGTATAGCATGTATACTTACATAAGGACTACCTCTGTCTTCAGTTGGATTATCGATTATACCAGAGAATAGCAGTTGTTCCCACTGAAACCCCAGTTCTGCAACTACGGTGTCCATGCGAAAAGGCTCATGATTGGGATAGTACTTGTTGCGCCACAGCGCATGCATGACCTCGTGGACCATCGTGCTGGCGAGAAGAAACTTGACTCTCAATCGAGCGGACTCTTCGTCAGAGCCCGGGGTCCAATCGATGGCATCCTCGATACACGAGACTTCTCTGCAGACTTCGTCGATGTGCCGTTTGTTCAGGGCTATCTCAATAGAGCCTCGCGGGCCCCTCGTGCAGCCATGTAAGTCAAGCCCTTCCTCCTCGGTCCACCGAAGAGTCTTGGACAACTCATAGAGCTCTCTCCAGACCGTTTGTCTCTCCTTTTCGCTGAGGTTATGACGTGGTTCAAACCAGAACACTTTTTCGCCTAGATCCTCCTCTATACCATCCAAGGTGATCTGCTTGTGACTGTCGACGTCGAGCATGCTGAAGATATAACCAACGATGTTTTCGTCTTCGAGAAGCAGGGTAGCTAACTGCAACACTGGTTTCAGCTTGTTGAATAAGCAATTCGATTCGGCCCCCAACAACAGATCGTCTATAGTCCAATTGTCTTGACGAAATATAGGATGAATGCGATGAAACTCGTCCAGCTTTCCGTACCCTTCCTTGTCCCTGCGCTTCGTTGTGTATGGCTCGTTGACTTGAGCACACAAGCCTTTCTGGACTTCGTACTTTGCTCGCCATCTAGCTGGTCTAAGGGATCGATCACGAGAGTAACCAAACGTCCGATCTGTGTGAATTGAATTCAGGTTGACGTATCCCCTATCGTTCAATTTTTCAAGACCAATGTTTTTCAACAATAGATTGCCTTCGTGCCACTCGGTTTTTCCGCCATGATTCAGAGCCGGGGATGAGTGACCGGGATCTGTAATTTCTGTATCGTCATCGTAGGGCTCTTCATCGGTGTCCGTATCAGATTCTTCGACAGAAATCGAATCGGAGCTGTCCAGATCCATGTCTTCATCTTCGTCTGTTTCGACCTCACCAACGGAGTCGAGGATCTCCATATCAATTTCGTTGAGGCCAGGGTCATCGTTGCCTGAATCGCTGCTATCGATGTCCATCCAATCATCATCCATGGCCGGCTGTCTGAAATGTGTTTCGGCTTGTTGAATATGATGATATGAATTCAGGCAACTCAGAAGTGAATTAGATCAACAAATCGAGACCCATCTGTAAATTCTAGATCCGGAACAACAATGAAATGGTTCAAAATCCGGATATCGGGGTGCACGTTGAGCAGCAACTTTCTTTGTCTATAGCGGTCGCCAGTTCTCAGTCAGCAAATTCCATTCAAGCAAACCATAGTCCATGTTCAATATGCGCTTGAGTTATGATTATGACAGTGATTTGTTCAATAGTGAAATTGTTGCTAAAAAAAACATCACTCCGGGCAGTCGCGCTTGCCAAACGTGTAGCCTCACTCCAATTGACCACCAATGCATCTGTAAGCTCGCGATCAACTCGCATACGCCTTTCGACGATTTTAGTGACACTGGCTGCAGCTACTTACTCCTGCATCTTCACTTCCACAAGGCAAGACCATCCGGACTCTCAGAGACTGAAGTGAGCTGTATGTTGAAGTCGGAGCAACCTTGCTGCCATTCTGAACCGAGAAACCGAAGATCCGTCAGTGAAGAAGGTGAGACTGTCGTGCCCTAGAACGTCAGTGAGTGAATCCAAGGCATGAGCCCAAACTTGACGTCAACTCTTACAAATTGACTGGCATACTCTTTGGCTTGCAACATCGCCACCTCATCTACATCATGGCTGCCAACAACTCCCCTGAGAAGCAGTTAACTTCCATGCTCGATCGGTAGGTCGTTCCCCCCTTCCGATCTGGCGCATCTAATCGTTTTTTAGACTCCAAGCAAACGGCGCATACTCTGATCTGAAGATCGTGTGCGGCTCCGACACGTATCTCGTGCATCGAAACATCATCTGTCCTCAGTCAGATTTCTTCAGGGCCGCTTGCCGTCCAGACACGTTTGCAGAAGGAAGAACAGGCGTGATCAACATCCCTGCCAGCTCTGGTCGCAACGACGAATTCTTCGCCAAACCCATCAAGGTTGAGGACTTCGACTGGGATCTCGACGTCGAAACTACTGAAAGCGTCAAACTCATGATCCACTACTTCTATCATCACGACTATCTTGAGCGAGAGACAGCAAAGCTTCAGGGATTATTGTTCTACTCCGACGAACACCGCAAAGGAATCATGGCCGAGCACTCAAGAATGTACGCGATGGGGGAGAAGTATGGCATCCCAGGACTAAAGTCTCTGGCGGTCGCCAAGTTCCGGAGAGCGTACGCAGGCGCAACTCACACTGGTCTAGCTGCAAGTCTCGTCATTGTGTACAAGAGTACACCAGAATCAGACAAAGGATTGCGCAGCCTGCTCCTGGGTTTACTCAGCATCTATGGCAGGAGGTACAAGGAAAACACAGAGATCCAACAGATCATTTCGAGTATCCCGGACCTTTGTTATGGTCTATACCAGCGATGCCTCGAGGACAAGATCCTATACGAAGATGAACTGAACGAAGAGGGCAGATGATCGCTATTCTCGGTACCATGGTGGGAATCAGTGCGTATAGACCACAGCAGATATTAAAATCCGAAGGCACGTCTGTTTTCCTCGATTGCGTGTCAGGCATCGAAGAGTGAAGTGTAGAAATGTGTCAAAGGTCTAGAACAGCGCAGCGGGCCAACAAATATGACCAGCCACCTCCGCGATAATGCCAAGACTTCCGGTCGACGTCGATACAGCTACGTAACTTTGCGAATCGCGGATTGTATTGTTGTCGCGTGCATTTTCCATCCCAACGTCAATTGTCCGCCGCCTCTTTCATCTGCGCGCGCACCGGCCGGACTTCTCAGCCACCTCTCTCTACCACGGTCATTTCGCAGGATTCAAGAAAGAGCAAGGAACTACTCGGGAGCGCGCGTCTCTTTCGCATCCATCAACAGTTGAAGCGCCATTAGCTTGGTTGTCTTTCACTTCTTCGTCGCCGGATACTCTTCATCTCATCTCGCGACTCTAACACCTCCTACCATCACTCGTCAAAGAACGCTCTATCTCCCGCGCAACACTTACCGAGCCCTCTACCTTCCAGCGCAACACACTCACCCTCGCTCGACGCGCAAACCACCCTCTCCCACCATCAAAATGTTCTTCCTCCACGAGATGGAACGAGTAGTAAACCTACACCCCTCCTACTTCGACAAAGACACGCACAAATACATCACCGACACCTTGTACCAAGACGTCGAAGGCACCAACACCGGAAACTTCTACATCGTGTGCGTAGTGTCCGTGATCGACATTTCCGAACCTCGTGTGTTGCCAGGAAGCGGGTTTGCAGAGTTTACGATCATGTTCCAGGCGGTGGTGTGGAGGCCGTTCAAGGGTGAGGTTTGTGATGGTATGGTGAGCAGTGTGGTTAGCAATGGGTTCTTTGTGGATGTGGGCCCGTTGAATGTTTTTGTTAGCAAGGCTGTGAGTTTGCTGAGACTATTTTGGATGAGGGGGAGGGGAGTGTGCTGACAGGACGATTACAGNATGATTCCTAGTGACATCAAGTTCGATGGCAATGCGACGCCGCCGCAGTTTACCGATAATGCCGATCAGGTCATCGAAAGAGGCACTCATATCCGCGTCAAGATCAAGGGTATCAGAGGTGAGGTTGGTCAGATGTACGCTATCGCAACCATCAAGGAGGATTTCCTTGGGTAAGTCTATTCTGGTTTCTTGTCTGTTCTCTGGCGCGAGATGCTGACTATTTTTCTAGACCCCTACTCGAGGCTTGAGACTTGCTGGCCACAGAAGCACGTTAGCTATGAAACATTACGAACCAAGAAACATAAAACAAGCTGCCAGATGGAGAAGAGAGAAAGAGCATTCGAAAACTCAAAATCCCAATTTTGTTTTCCCATCAGGTATCAAGCGCGATTCTGGCGCAGAAAAGGCGGCTTCGCGAACAAGAGTTGCCATTCACCCTTTCGAGGATTGGGGACAGAAGCAAAAGAGACAGTCAAGGAAAGAAGCAAAAACGCCTTTGATATCATCCTTTGAGATAGAAACACCCCGCCCATAGCCCTTTCCAAATATTCGAAACAGTAAAAAAGCATCATCCATATCCACATCCAGTAACTTCTCAAGCCATACCAGTGACCCTTCTGACACTACGTCTCTGTCCCTCTCCCGAGATCAACAACTTGCCTTCTCCCTCAAGAGCGCGCAACGCCTCAGCCAACTCGACAGACTCGACAGGAACAGTCGAATCCTCGCCTACACGTCTCAACACATCTTGAACTCTAACACTCGAAGTGCCACTCCTGAGCATATCGTCCACAGCACTGAGCACCGCATCCTTGAGATCACTCTTGCGTTTTCTTTCAGAAGCACTGGTGCCTTCGGTCAACAGACCCATATCGATCAATCCAGTCCTTGCGTCTGTGGCTGATTGCTTGAGTGCTGATTGAATGAGGCGAACAGCTTCGTGTACATCGTCAGCGAGGACTTCACTACGCAGGTGCATCTTTGCATGTGCTTCGGCCAAGCGGATCATGGATTCCAGTTGACGGGTTGTGGCTGTGATACGGCGGTCTGCGGCGCGCACGTCGGCACCGAGACCGCGCATAGAGACGTAGGCATCTACCAAAGCTTTTGATGCCTCTTCTGAGATCTTTGGTTGGATGTTGTTGCGGGCGTAGGAGATGTATGAGGTCAAGAATTCGATAGNGCTGGATTTTAGTCAGTAATTTGGTCCCTCATAAAGCGTGCGAAAGAGACTTACGAGAATCTCATTTGCACTGGCGTTCTCGGGGGCGTCGTCGAGGTACATGCCGACCAAGTGCTTCGCCATGCGACGGTCATTCATCTCGTCGATGCGGTCAAGCACGAGGTACACCAAGTCGAAACGTGAAAGCAGTGTAGGTGGCAGATCGATGTTCTGCGGCACAGGCAAGTTCGGGTTGTACTTACTGCCAATAGGATTGGCAGATGCTAGAATACTGGTTCTTGCATTGAGGGTGGTGATGATACCAGCCTTTGCGATAGAGACAGTCTGCTGTTCCATGACTTCGTGCAGAACTGATCGTGTCGAGTCATTCATCTTGTCGAATTCATCAATACAGCAGACACCACCATCTGACAGAACAAGAGCACCAGACTCCAGGACAAGTGTCCGTGTCTCGGGGTCACGAGTGACATAGGCGGTCAGACCAACAGCGGACGAACCCTTACCACTGGTGTAGACACCACGCGGTGCGATTCTGTGAACGTAGGAGAGGATCTGCGACTTTGCTGTTGAGGGATCACCACAAAGCAAGACGTTGATGTCGCCACGATATTTAGGGCTACCACCCTTCTCGAACGACTTGTTGGTGCCACCGAAGAGTTGAAGTAGGATACCCTTCTTCACGTCGTCCATTTCGTAGATGCTGGGGGCTAAGGATCGTGATAGCAGGTCATAGACATCAGGTCGAGCGCCAGTCTCGAGAATCTTTGCCTCTTCCTCTGCGCTGACCTTTCTGACCTCTTCCTTACCACCAGAAGCTTGCTCTGACAACTCCTCCTCGAGTGTTGAGATGTCGATACCCATGCGACGCTTGTCGACCTTCTTGATGAAGACACAGTCGATATATGTCTTGAAGATGTTCTTGACTGATCTCTGGCGGGGGTTGATGCGAACTTGGTTGCACTTGAACACACCAGTAATCTCAACTCTGTCACCAGCTTTGCAGACGTCTACCAGGTCGTCGTACACGCATAACGAGACTGAGTGGGGAGTCTGACCATCAGGCACACGATCAGGGGTTTCTTGCAGTTTGATGACTTGCTTGTTGGAGAAAACGCAACGGTTGTGTACAATCTGCATAGAATTGGGAGAAGCACAAACCTCGCGAGGGCAGACAGTAGGCTCGGCGATCTTGCCACGATCGATATCGACCTTGACAGTATGGTGACATACAGAGCATCGGAAAAAGGCTTCTCTCATGTCGGGAATGATAGGTGTGGTTCTGATGACGAGACCCTTGACGCTGACCATCTTGTCCATATCTCCCGGGTTAAGGTCGCGCAGGTTGATAGTCTTGCCCATGTTGAAAGGTCTGATTCTGAAGATGCGACTCTCGACTTCCTGGATAAGATCAGGAATGTTCTCGTTCTGGGTAGGTCGCGGTGTGGTAGCATCGATATCTGAAGAGGGCATGGCTGGGACAGAGTCATCTCTAGCGGATTGATGACGTTGTGATGGAATGCGCATTTCTGACATGCGCTTCTCTGCCAGCTCGTACATGGTGTCCTTCAAGGCCTGATCGAAGATGGGAAGGATTTCGGCAGGGAAATTCTGCATCTGATACCACAGCTTTTGCGTTGAGGGATATGCTTTGAGGTTCTCCATGTCCAAGTTGAGCTGACTTGTTCCCAGATCCAGCATCAACTCAAGTGCGTCCATGTAGACCTTCTCGTTTCCAGGATGGTCGGCAGGCAGATTTTGAGTGTCTGTGACTTTCCCATCGTAGCGCATGCGGTACTTCTTCTGGAAGTCACGGAAGAAGCTCTGACATGTGCTCAATGTGTCCGAGACACTGATGTTGGTACCCCAGACAGTTCTGGTTGAATGGCCTCCGAGAATGTTAGCTTCAGAGGTGTGAGGATCGACGTTGGAGAAGGTGGCAGTATCGGAGTGTGATGTTTCATCGCGCGTGGGTCTTCCTTGCTCGTCTACGAAGAGTCTCCTTCGACCGCCACCGGAAAGAATGTCTGACTCAATGTCGTGGCGTCTGTTGGCTGCACCGACGGGGCCTCCAGAGTAGGGAGAACGCACAAACAGGCCGCTGCTGTCGCTTCTGAGTTGATTGGTCCTGTTACCCGTAGGCAAAGGTGCTCCGCTGGAACTGGATGCATAACGGATTGGGGACGAGTCTGTTGACCATGGTCAGTCCTGATTCGATCTTGCTATGGGTCGAGACGTGCGTACCTCCTATGGTCTGTCCCGAAGCTCTTGNNGTGTAAGACCGCCGTCGCTCGGTAGTGTGGACTCAGCCCTCATAGGCGAGCTCATGCCATCGGCGCCCGCATTGGCTGCAGGCGAAGATTGGAAGAAGAGTGGTGAAGAGGCTGGAGGAAGTTGTGATTGTGTGGTTCCATCGGTAGGGGGTTGTAGAGAGTTCTGCGATGCTGCTGCTTCGCTGCGTAGTTGTTCGTCAGGGCCATAGTTGTCCTGAGGCGGACTGCTCGGCGCTGCTGGTGGAGAAGACATTGTGATTGCGTTAAACACAAGAGCATAGACTGGCTATCGCTATGATGGAAGAAACAAACAGTGCGCTCGGACAATTTCCTGCCTGTCGCGACGTGCTGCTTTCGTGGAGCCAATCAATCATCCCTTTTGGGAATAGTCTCACTCCTCTACCAAAGTGTTCGACATCAACATCTGAACCCAGTCAATTCTCTAACAATCCACTACAAAATATCAAAATGGCTCCTCCTTCGCAGCTTGCAATCGCAACCTCAGCAGTAAACCGCCTTGTCAAGGAAGAGGCTAGCTACCACAAGGAGCTCGAACAGCAACAAGCCCGCATCGAAAAGCTCAAGCAGGCCAGTAGCGATGAGGAAAATGCCGAATGGAACTTGAAGCAGGAAGTATGTAATTCTTGNTATTCGTCTATACTGCGCACTGTTGTTGACGATTTACAGAACAGGGCACTTGAAGAGACCAAGGCCATCTTCCCTCAATTGCGCAACCGTATCCAAGAATCTCTGGCCAAGCTTGAGCAACAACTCGTAAGTTTGATCTAACAATCCATAAGGATCGTCACATCTGACTTCAACAACAGNGAACAGGGTGAACAGAACAGCCCCGAAGAAATTACAAAGGCAAAGGAAGCCGTGGCATCGGCCAAGAAAGCCATCAGAGAGACTTCTTAAAAATCCTGCGCTCTCGACACGAATGTAAATACACAAAAGCATAAATGAAATCCATGATGACCACAGTAGAACTATGGCTCGTTTCCAGACGCGACTTCAGGTGTGATAATCTACGTCACATCCATGTGCTCGCCTTCTTCAACCGAATCTTCTGCTGCTTCTCCTTCTTCAAGCTCAGAGACTGGTGCAGGTTGTGGTGTCTCCCCGGCTTCCATCATGTCCGTATCCATTGGCTTCTCTGCTGGAGCAGGCACAGTGTCTCCGGCATCAGGAGTTTGTGAGTCGCCTCCTGCGGCAGGTGTATTGGCTCCAGTGCCTTGTGATGGTCCTCGACTGCGTTTTGAGTTGGACACATCATCATCCTCGCCTCCTGTCTCAGGTCCGGGTGTGCCCATTCGGCTATTGTCCTTGGTAGCCTCGCCGTCTTCACGTTCTTCGCCGTCCTCCATAGTCTCATCTTTCTCTGGCTCGTCCTTTTCGCCTCTGATGACTCTGAGCATTTGTTTTCCAGCGGCCATGATGTTGTCAAACTGTTCCCTACGCTCGACCCAAGTTTGCTCGTATTCTTGACCTTCATGCTCCAAGTCTGCAATCTCTGCATTCAGCTTCTCCAAGTTTGCGCGTTGCTCTTCACGTGGCTTCAGCATGCGGTTGTTGGTGATCTTCTCAGCGAGCACATCGTATTCCTTGCGTAGAGTCAAGGTCTTTTGGGCTTCTTCCAGTTGCACGCGTAGCTCTGCAGTGTTGTCGCGTACTGCCTGAGCAGTCTCCAAGATTTTGTTCTTCTCGTCTGCATATCTTTGGCGCTCCTTCTCGTTGCTGTCTTTCAAGAACTGTATACGGATGAGGGTGCTTTCGAGGAGAGCAAAGTCGAGCATGACATCTTCGCGCCATTGCCTTCTCTCTTGCTCTTTCTTTTGACGGTCTGCTTCCTGGTCTGCGTCGGACTCATCGGGCGGCGGGGTCGGTAGTTGAGCAGGGAGTCTCAGGAGCGAGTCTTTGCCTAGTAGTCGTTTTGAAACGCGTGCGAATGGGCGCTCCTCGACATTCAGTAAGCGCGCAGTGTGCAGTGCATNCTGTAGTCATGTGTCAACATTCTGCCTATGGTCAGAGATTGTGTGTATCTTACCTTCTTCTGACTGGTCGAGCAGCCCAAATGGGTGGCCAGACATTGCGATTGATCACCTGGTGTGTTTGGTGGTCCGGGTGTAGGAAATGATGTTTTGGGAGCTGTCAAGATTCACCTTGTTGGCAGCGCAAGCAGCAAACGCCAGAGATCGAAAGCGCTGCCGATCAGCCAAGCAGGAATTACCCCAGACTTGCTGCAGCGGGCCGAGATCCGAAGCACATGCCCTACCCGCATGGGCCCAGCCCGTCGAGGTCATTCATCAGCGGCTGACCGATTGTCATTCCATTTCATTGTTGCTCGTTCGCTTTTGTACTTTTGAGTCACCAAACGACCTATTGCTCTCTTTCGGCTTCCCTTTTCTGGATCACATCCTATCACTTGACACTGCTACACCATAGATCTGCGACATATCTTACTCCTTTCTCTACACTCCTGGATTTACAAGATCTTGACAAAGAGTTGAGACTCGACGATACTCGGCAGGGGTATCGCTTCTAGATGGCAGCCACATTATTTGATATGGCACAACGTGCTTGTATCAGAAATGTTATGGACATGTACGACGTTGGCGACCTGCGGTATGAGATAATCAGACCTGTCCTCAAGAACGTCACTAATCCAGCACAACTCGTAAGCATTCACTAACTAATTACTTGTTCTGACCTTACTTACACATTTCCANNGCGTCAAATCGAAGAAGCTTCACCTCATATCGCCGAAGACGACGCCGAATTATGGCAAGCTTTTATCAGAAGAGACATATCGAAAGCCGAATCCAAGCTTCAAGTGACACGACCAAAGAATCCTTCTTCGTGGTGGAAGGTATATCGCAAACTCAAGAGAGAGGACGAAGCGGAAACACGCGAGGCAGAAGACAGGTTGAAGGCTGCTCTTAATAGACACAAGGTCGACAAGGGAGCCAAGCAGACCAACATCGTACATGCCGTCATACCCTCAGGCGAGAGACGTTCTGGCTGGAGTTCAGGGCCGCGCGAGAAGCCGTTTGGCGAGCAGGCCATGAAGAACGCGAAGACGACTGCTCAGAAACTCGCCGTCCTCAAGCGTCAAACCGTACAAAGACAAGCAGGTCGCAGTGTCGCTCAGTCTGTCCCTATGCATCAACTGTCCCAACTCAGAGGCAAGGTCACTGAAGCGCCCGCTCACATGATTCGAAATTATACTCAAAAACCTGGCCCATCGAGACCACCTCCGGCTTTACCTCAAAGTCAGGCATACCGACCGGTTTTCGCTCGCCAACCACAGACCTATGCTGATCGTGCTCTGACTACTGCTATCAACAAGACCAAACAAGAACAAGAAGCTAGAGAGAAAAGATTACTGGCTTTGACCAGTGGCTCGTCAGCAAACAAGCCCAGGCCTGCTGCTGCCTCTGCTCCTGCTGCTGCTGCACCGTCAACACAAAGATCTTCGACGACATCAGCGCCACCACGGAGGTCATCACCAGTGCAGACATCATCAAATCCCACGTTAGCAAGGAAACGTCCTGCATATGATCCATTNTTGCCCGCTCAGAAGAGACGAGCTTAAGGAGATGTTATTGTATGCCTACGGATTGGAACATTGAATTATCGCCAGACAGGGGCGATTTGAGTCATGATATCTTGCAGTGCACACAGCGTTCCAACATTGCATCTGGTTCACACGGACGGGTGCCAGAAGAATCGATACAGACGAAGACACCACTAGAGCATGATTGCATGAATGAAAAACCAATATAGAAGGATATTTTCTTGTGGGGCCATAATTTCATTCACATTGCAGAGGGGACCATGCAATCTGTAGCATAGTCGTGATAGCTGATCTTGGAAATAAAGCAGTCTTCCTCTTGCTGTTCTTCTCCTGGGCCTAAGCCCTCCACAATCGAACCGTGCAATCCCATCTTGTCATGTGAGGTGTCGATTGTCCTTCCATCCGCGCATCGAGGTTTGTTTGCAAGGTACTTGAGCTGTTCGTTCATCGTCCACCACGAAGGGCAAGGACCAGATGGAGAGTGGCGCCACCTTCGAGCTGGTACTCGCTGGCAGTCTTGTCGTCGTTCCTATATACCAATATCTCGTCAGTCGTGTGCCCCTAATCCTTGACATGTGGCCGCTGAGGACAGGTCCGGACGTACATTTGCTTGCCACCAAAGATGAGACGCTGTTGTGCTGGGGGAATGCCCTCCTTCTCTTCGACACGCTCCTTGATGCGAGAGANCCTGTGGGTGGCGCTGTGTCAGCCAAAGTGTCCTGCTGGTTCTGAAGCGTATGTATCGTCGTAGGTCGGTATATGAGGAGGGAAGATGCGGTAGCGTACTTTGTAGTCGGGCTCAATGTCGAGCTCGATCTCCTTGCCGGTCAGGGTGCGCACTCTACAAGGTTGTGTGATCAGTCGCTGTTTGTGGTATAGGATGCAGGTCTCTGTGCGCTTACTTGATCTGCATTTTGTGGGCTTTTCTTCAAGATTCCGAAGATAGTGTGGCCAGGGGATAACTTCTTGGGCGCGTGTGACAAGCAACTTTGATTTGTTCAGATAGATGGATTGAATGTGTTAAGGCCGACAATAATGACGGAGCGCGCGTTGCCGGCAGCTGTTTGGCGGGGCAAGCACTCACCGCCTTCGGAACGAGTTGCTGCCTGCCACCAATCCAAACCTTCTTGTGTCCTTCATGCGAGCACGTGTCTGTTAACTTTCACACCAGAGTCTCGTAGTTTCCACTCGAATTTTGATTGCGTGTCAACGTCTCGTAAGGTTGCTGTATATCTATCAAGCCTGTGGGTCCCTATCTAGGACCATGCATTCACTCCTGCATCTGCTTGCGTGACTTTTGTCCTGGCGTGTACGGCGGTACCTATCAGCTTCGACTAACTCCGTATTGCACGTCTCGTGGTACATCCTTAAGCGTCTGCATTGCAGTTCCTTCCTACCTTGATAACACCGCGACTTCGCCTACTACAGTCTTTGTTGTCTTTGATCTGCCTCGCTCCTACCAGCATGGAGGTCTCACATCCGGAACCTTGGCCATCTCCAGCTTCCATCTTCGATTCCATGATCTCATTCTGCTTGACCATCCTGGACTTGGTCAACTGCGCGGCACGTGAGATCCGTCCACTTTTCTGGGCTGCGTTGGAGTGGACAGAGAACATGCTCGTGGCTGCAGGAAACGCTTTGCTTGCCGCTACTTTGGCCCTTCTCTTATGGGTTTCCATTATCTACCTCTGCTGCTTCGCGATTCTCATGTTCTGCAGACTGCTGCGCCGGCATCAGAAGTATCGAAACCGTGCAGAACGCCAACCACTACTTGCTCGTCCTCCTCAGAGACGCAGACGTCTACCCTCCTGGACGCACTCAAACTCAAGTAGTGAAAGACGGCGACTTCATGACCATACGGCGTATGGGGATCTCTTCCGAGTTGATCTGGACCGGAGACGTCAGGACGTCCTCAGACGAGAACAACACAGAGCGGTGGAGACTCGCAGCCGAGAGTACCGCGAGCGTAGACTCAGAGAGGCACTCCGACAATCCACAAGCACGCCTCTGTATGGCCAGCCACAGACCATTATCAACTGGTTGCAGGCTTCTAGCAACTCGACGACAACCACCCATCATCCTAGTTATGGCACTCTCCCGACAAGAGGTGCCCAACCGCGGCAGGCACGTGCCGACCCACCACCGCCGTATTCTCAGAACTTGAAGGAATCACCACCACCGTATTCAAATCCTCGACAGGACATGCCACCCTCTTACGATTGACGACTATCACAAACATGCCCGGGAACGTTCTTCATGGAACGTAAGGCGCTTCCATATGACATATCCGCCTTTGATCGCAAAAGTTGTACATACTATGATTCATGAGCATTGACGAAATCAAAATTGCATGATTATTAACAATGGGTACACATTGCATGTAACTCCAACCCAGTATTACAGTTAATATCTCCCCAGACGCCAAACCAAAACCCCTACCCATTCTCCTTCATGAAGTCCTATTCATATCTTCGTTGGTCATATGGGGGCAACTACAAGCGTTCCCGTCTTCTTGGAGAGTCAACTACTCTGTTTCGAGAAGGATTTCTNTTTGCGTCTCCTGGCCGCAGTTTGCGGAGTCCATGTACCCATGAACAGATCCTCGCACTCGTCTTCGTCCTGGCTGTCAAACTCAACATCATCCAGTGCTCGAGATTGATTCCTTGCAGCAACGCCTCCAGCTTCTACCACAGCATCTGCTTGGCCCTCCCAGCCACTGCTCCGACAAGTCCTTCTGGTTTCCAAGATGAACTTGCCGACTTTGTATTGCTGGGACTCTTCCTCAGCAGCGACATACTTCCATCCTAGCACACTACCGCATTGCGCACAGCTGATGTCGCTGACAGTGTGAGCGCCAGTGACAAGCTGCCGAGGTACAGCCTTGTGCGTGAAGGTATTCGGAAGATTTGGCAGAGTGTCTTTCTTGCTTGCCGTGGGTGCAGCTTGAATCCAGCTATCGGAAGCAGAGACGAGGTATGCGCGTCCATGGCGGCCGGTGAAGCCTTTAGATACAATTTGACTTGTCAATACTAGATCGGCTAGACAGCGCGAACACCGTAGGTGAGATGTGTTGCCTTCTAAGTAGTTGTCGGAGCTTGTGCTGTCATTTGTAGCGGTACTTGAGGTGGAGATGTTGGAATCAGTGCTTGATTTACGACGTCGAAATGGTAGAGAAGGCACGAGATAAGACGGGAAAATGGACGGAGACATGTCGAGGTGTTCGAATTGTCGAACCTCTTCAAGTATCGCGCGTTTCGGCAACAAACAATGGCTTCTCTGAACAGTTGCAATATTTCGCTGTCGAGGATGAGATGAGGAAGCACAGAGCTCGACAGAGTAGAAACTCAGGACAAACGACAAACAGCTCTCAAACCCGAGCGGCATTTCCAACCTTCTTATTCATCCCTATTCGGCCCATCGCGCTGTCTCGGACCATGGGGACGCGTGACTGTCAGTTGACAGGTCGTGACGTTCGGCGGGGATCAAACCTCGCCAGCCCCGCGCAATGCCGTTGGTTGGAAAGCGGTGTGGGTGGGGAAAGGAGCTATTTGCATGTGACACGACATGCTTTCTCATGCTGTCAACCATGAGCATAGGTATAACTTGCTGTTACATCTATACGACATGTTGACTTATTAAAGATTGCTGTAGAGCGTGTCGCATCCTAAGCGGCTGTGCGGACTGTAGCAAGAAGCTGCACTACCCCATGCATTGTAAGGGTACGCAGGTTGAGAGCAGGAGCAAGCACGACGCTACTTCCCTACTCAGATCTTGTTGAGCCATGGACGCCAGCACAGTAAGTCGAGCGTAGACTCTTCTCTAACCTCCATCGTGTGCGTCCTGTCACACGAGTATCACATTCGGTACCATCTTTACGCCGCATTCTTTTTGACCTTCATCTTCATCATGCCCGTAACCCCCAATATCCAAATCCTCCGAGTTTTTGAGAAAAGGCCCTTCTCAACCCGTCGCCGAGATGAGCGTCGTTCACGTTCTCAGCTGAGTCCTGCTCAGCTACGCACACGTTCATCTGCATCAACCGTAACTCGTCCCAGTCAAGTCATCTATCTTGCAGATACTCCGGTGACTATCGTCGATCATGGTACCAGCGAGCTCAACATCCAGCCTCAGCAGTCTCTCAATCTGGATCCTGACCCTCTTGCATCTCCTTTGAACCGTCTACGCCGCAGAACAAGCAAGTGGTTTGCCAACAAGCGTGCTGCCCAAGGTATGTCTGTCATCCTTACTTCCCCTTATGCCCCTCTCTTCCCATATCTGAACCTTGATCATTAATGAAGGTTCAGACATCTCACCCCCAATCCTTCTCCATCCTCTGTCTTACCTGTTCCAAGGGAAGCGAATGAGACGACGAACCTTCGTTCAGCAATCAAAGCCCAAACCGAGAGTCAAGACGAAGCCCAAAGACTCTCAGAAATCCCAAAACCCTCCAAAGCAGTTCACTTCGATGGCGCCCCGGAATACATCGAGGACAAATTCTACAGTACCCCTTCTTCGGGAATCTGTCCCTCGTGGGTAGGCATTCGGAGCACTATGTACTACAGCCTGTCGGACTCTGCTGAGAATCTCAGTGATCTCCTACAGCCTGACACTGTTGTTCGACGTGTCCCCCGACGCCGAAGATCTGGCCTACCTATCGAGTACCGCAATGACAGTAAGACTGGTTCCTCCTTAGGTCTCGACGATGCCTCTTCTGCAAGTCCACTGAGCCAGAGGTCAACAGGACGAACCTCGCTGTAGGTCAGCGGTCCTAACTCTCGCAAGGGTTCTATGTTTGCAGGCCATACTCCTCCGGGCTCCATCCATTCCACTGTTCCGACCATAGTCATTCACTCAAACACAGGAGACATAGCTCCGAGTACACCCAAAGACTTGACCGAAGTACTCAAGAAGTTTCCTATCGATGAAAGATCTCCCAGAATGCAGCCAACCAGGATTGAAACAATCGAGGATATCTCCGCAGTCAAGGTCTATCTGGAAACGTTCTACAATGAACGCTACGTTCAACCGAGATCCGAGCGCTGTGTTCGAAGACAGCGCCTACTCGATCACCTTGCCCAAAGCTCTTTGTCATCGTCCGAGAAAGACGGACTGCTTCGATCATGGGAGCAGTCCGAGTCAACTCATCTTCGGCAATTACGTACTCTCAAAGCAACTTCAGTTGCAAGACACGCTACCAGAGGTGTATTTCATGCTGGCTTCCAGGAGGTTCGCATCCTTGGCAGAGGCACTTTTGGACTGGTCAAACTTGTGACCGATGCCGATCATTTCGTCGCCGAAGACCCATCACCTTGTATGTCAAATGGTACTCCGTGTCCTACTTTGGTGCCTCGTGGATCGCAGAACCCTCATCTCATGAAGCACTACTACGCCATGAAAGTCATTCGAAAGGCAGAAATGATCCGAACCAGTCAAGAGGGCCATCTTCGTGGTGAAAGAGACTTTCTCATCAAAGCAGAAGGGTCACAATGGGTGGTTCCGTTGATCGCAAGTTTCCAAGATAACACGAATCTGTATCTGGTCATGGAGTTCATGATCGGAGGAGACTTCCTCCAATATTTGTGCCGTCACGATATACTCAGTGAGGAAGACACCAGGTTCTACATGGCGGAAATGGTCCTGGCCATCGAGGAGACTCACAGATTAGGATGGATCCACCGCGATATCAAGCCAGACAACTTCTTGATACATTCCTCTGGTCACCTGAGAATATCTGACTTTGGCCTCGCATTCGACGGTCATTGGTCCCACATAAACGACTACTATGACACTACGCGGCACTCCATCTTGAACAAATACAAGATCAACATGCAAGGTGATGTTCAGGATATTCAAGCTGCAGCGCGCCGTACCCATGCTGGACTTCGTGTCACAAGCGGCCGTCTACCGTACGAGATGAACAGTGCACGCGATATGGAAGAACTTTTGAGGGAACCCGAGAGGATGCGGAAGGAACGTCCTCAGAGTATTGTAGGCACGAAGCAATACATGGCTCCAGAAGTGATTCAAGGTCACACATATGATGGCAGATGTGATTGGTGGAGCCTTGGCTGCATTGTCTATGAGGTATGTCTACTCTGGTCTCCTGGTGCAGCGTTGATCTAACAGTCCTAGTGCTTCTACTCGAGAACACCGTTTCTTAGTGCGGACAGGCAAGTAACAGCGAGGAACATCGTGGTATGGCTCTCCCTGCAACACTTGAACTCAAGATACTGACCATTCAGCACCATCGTGATGTGCTTCGATTTCCCTCGGGCNGAGCGTCACTCTGGTACTGGTCTTTGCTATCCAGCACCGACTGAATCTGCACTAGCCCTCATGAAAGATCTGCTGCGAGAGAAAGATCATCGATTGAGCTCATCAGCTTACGGTGCCAGGCCCTGTCGGCATTTGAGAAGGCATCAAAACATCCTTGAGCCAAGTTTTGTCGCTACTGGTGATGCTGAAGAGATCAAAGCGCATCCCTTTTTCAGAAACATTCGCTGGGACACGCTACATCGGTCAAAGCCACCATTCGTACCCGAGCCAGTGGAAGACATTGCGATGTACTTCGAGCATGAAGACACTTTCGTCAATGATGTCGGGACGAGCTATATGAGCCGGCGAGAGAAAGTCAGACCACATGCCGAACCGGGGTTCAACGAAAGACTGCTAGGTCCTTACTTTGAGAGATGGCAAGCTGAACAGCGAGAGATCGAGAAAGTTCAGATGGGCATCGAAACCTGGACTGACGCCAACGTCGAAGCGTGCAAAAGAGAGAAAGGCGAGCGCTGGGAGGCTTTCAAGCAAACCAGAATCAGAAAAACGCGTGAACGCAAGATACAAGAGGGCAGGGATCCGGATCTGGAGATCAAGCAGATTCTGGGACCGCGACCTCGAAAATGCAGACCCAAGGACATTATGGTGCGCGACTTGCGCTATGGAGAGCGGGTATTGGAGNNCCGAAGGNNGAAGAGGGGAGCGTTCTTGGGATACACATACCGAAGCCCTCGATACGTGTTTCCAGAGGTTGGCAAGGAGAGAAGGCCAGTCTTCTCACGACCTACGATTATACCTGTGACCGACGAGGCCGATGAATGAGATGGAGGAGAAAGATCGGGCTGTTATTATTCACTTCTCACCTAGATCCTTTAGACCTTATCTATTCTAATCCTTTACTCTCATATCTTCAAGTGCTGTCCCATGTGTGAATCTTAAGCTGGATCGTCTATTCTTCGAATGAAAGCTCTGCGCTTTGTAATATGGTTGGTTGCAATTGGCCGTACGAAGCCTTCACGTATTTCTCGCTGGCGTCCAGCAGTCGAAAGCTGGAGGCAAGGAATCTAACATGGCTTGTAAACAGTGAAGACACGATCGAAGTCTTTGAGGTCAAGAAAAAGTGTGAAGCGAGAAAGGAGCTTCTTGTTCTATTGGCGTGATATATAATGGAACTTTTCAAATGACTGATGAATCGAGTTGTGACATAGCTTCGATCGCGAGGAAGCTTCAGACAACAAAACACATTCCACAGCATAGTAGAAAGTGCGGGTATGCCGTCTAGAAGGGGAGGCAGGAAGAAGGGGTAGCCACCGTTCTTGATGCGGAAAGTGCTGAGAAGGTAGCTGTACATGGCGAGCATGACAAGACCCCAAGCGAGAGTAGCAATACCCTGGGTGCGAGGGTCTGTCATACGAGGGACCTTGAGAGCCAGAGAGATGGTTGCGAAAGCAAGAATAGCGTCTGCAGAACATTAGGCTTCTGTCTTCGGGCGAATTGTAGAGAAGAGAACTTACANCATGGCAGCAACAATCTGAGTCTCGAGACCAAACTGGTTCTGGAAACCACCGGCAAAGTAGGAGATGCCGCCCTTGCCGTCGCCTGCGACGTAGGGGACCTTGCGGATGTGGTTGAACATGTGGCCACTGGTGAAGAGGAGGACGGCGATCAAGCTGAGGGCGGCCCAAAGGTTACGGCTCTGAATGATGGGGAGAACGTAAGGAGCAGCAACGGTGAAAGCGGTGATGGTTCCAAGGATGGCTACGGTAGTGGTAACGATTTTGACGTAGTTGACAGGACGAACGATGGGAGGAGTAGGGCCTGCGACATGGCGAGCGAGCCAGGCGTGGACGGGTTCTGCGGCGATGANTACTAGGGACGGGTCAGTCGTGATTCAATGTAGAGGTAGGCTCCGAGAGTCGTACCCAGTGGTGAAGTCGAAACGGAGGGGTTGAGTGTCGGGCTTGGCGTCGGGACCAGTGGTAGGAGGGAAGTAGAGCAGAACAGGAGCAGTAGTGAGCTGCAGAGACTGGAAAGTTCTCTGGCCATTGACAAAGTCGAGGGTTCCCATGACCAGTCTAGACTCCTGCTTCTTGTCTCCCTTGGCCCAAGTCTTGCCCAGGAGGTCCCATTCAGGCTGGAATTCGTGACAGATGGCGCATCCGAATCTGGCCTCGAGGGCAGTCAGGAGGATGGCAACAGAGTAGTCGCGGGGAGCGGCCGTCAATCTGGAGTATTCATTGTCGTCGAGCTTGAGGGGAGCAGCTGCAGCCAGCTGTTGCGATCGGTAGTCACTGAACTTGTCGGTTGAACTCTTCTTTGCTGCCAAAGCTGTGAGTGGCAGCAGGAAAGCCGTCACCGTCTGGAAGAACTTCATCTTGTGTTGACGCGAGCAATTGGGACGACAGACAGACACATAGACAGCATTGACTACGTATGCTTCGTGTCCCCAAGCTCGGCCATTCGGTGCTTGGCATTCGCGGCTTCGGGAGAGGAAGCTGCGACTGGGGAGGGCTTAACAGCGGATGTTGCCGTGCCTGCGATAAACAAACAAGCACGCCGTCACGTCTGTCGCATCACATTCGCATCAAAAGCCCAAGCCCAAGCCAGCCTGTGGCCGACGTGCGAATATTCTTTCCATGACCACCGCAACCATGGTCCCTATCAATGCACCACATACTTCCACAAGCACTAATGTAACATATCCATCCTGTCCTCTCTCTCATCTTCAAGTCCTGACCCTCGCANNGTACGATCAATCACTCCAATCAGCATCGCTAGAACTCAACTATGAGCGGAGCTCACACCTAGTCGACATCATCTCCAAAGACGAGAATCTGCGTAAACTGCGTTTCGACATGCACAAACTCGAAGACGACAATGAGGAGTTGCGCGAACTCTTGACCCAGGAAGAGGACCGCTCTGAATCGTTAGAGAAGGCTGTTAATGACAATCTCACTCGCGCCGAGGATGCTGAAGCACACGCTGTTGATCTGCAGACTGACCTCCAAGCTGCCGAACAAGAGCTCTCCATACTCAGAGTATGTATCCTGCCTGGCTGTCGCATGCTTTGGCTTACCATATTCGCGCTTAGNGCCGAAACGAACGCTCTACGAAATGTCACGACAGACTCTGAGAAACTTCTGACTGAGAAGCTTGACCTCGCACGCCAACTATCCACCCTCAAACCAGAACTCGACCATCTACGCGCTCAAGTAGAATCAAACCAGGACCTCCTCTCCGAAAAGCTCGCCCTGCAACGACAAGTCAGCGAAATCCAAGTCGAGCTTGACCACGCCAAATCCGAAGCTAAGCGCGCAATCGCCAAACGCCGCAACACTCAACATGATCTGAACCAGCAAGACATAATTGACGACCTGCGCAAGGCTCTGACGAGAGAGAAGCGATTGAGAGAAAAGGCCCAAGAAGATTTGGAAACTGCTCAGGCCGAGCTGGAACGCGAGAAAGAGAATGCTCAGCGCAAGAACACAACGGAAGCTGCAAAGGCAGAAGAGAATGCCAATGTCCACGTCGAGACCGAAGAGTTGCGTCGCCAACTCGCAAAGGAGCGCAAGGAACGGGAAAGGACCGAGAAGACACATCAGAAGACTCAATCCGACTGGGACGCCACGAAAGCAATCCTGGACGACAAGCTCAATCAATTTCGCACCAAGCTGAAGTCGACCAAGGAGAAGCTGAAAGAAACCGAGGCACAACTCGAGGAAGCCCAAAGATCTGCCGCAGCCGATGCAAGATCAGCACCTGCCGCAGCTGAGAAGGTCACCAAACAGCCAAAGAAGAGAAGCGCTGCCCAAATGGATCCAGATTCACAAAAGCTAGGAACACCTGGCAATGCCAAACCCGCCAAAAAGGGCCGCAAAGCTGCAGCAGTTGGCGACAAGTCAACCTTCTCTATCACACCCTTTTTGAACCGCACAATGAGTGTTGCTCCCGAGAGCCCTGAGCAAGCTGAGGAAGCTTCAGCAGAAGCGGCCGCTCAAGAATCAGAATCGGAAGCTGAAGCCGAGTCTCCAAGCGCCGCCAACGTCCGATCAACGACAGAAACCGCTCCCAAACCTCTTGCGACCGTACCAGCCAGCAAGAGCAACATCAAGAAAGCCAAACCTGCAGCCGAGCCAAAGACCAAGAAACAAACAAAGAAGCAAGCGCTTGAACAAGTCATTGAGGAGGTTGAACCTGCGTCTCAAGAAGAGACTGCGGCAACAACCAAAGTACCTACCTTCAAAGCCAAGAAATCTGACGGAGAGACAAAACCAAAGCCCAAGCAACGCAAGTCTCTTGCTACTTTTGCTGCCTTCACTCATGAGCCAGAACCTGAGAAGAAACAGAAGAAGCGAAAGCTTGGTGGTCTGGGCAAGACTCTCTTTGATGACGAGGATGATGCGCCTAGCAAGCCACTTNNCCCTGGTCGCGGAGGCGGTCTGTTCGGTGCATCACGTCTGGGTCCTCTTGCAGCTGGTGGTGTAAGAGGTAGCTTCATTGGCGGTATGGGCAAGAAAAAGTCTGGTCTCCTGACAGCGGAAGATGGCTTCATGTTCTCGCCTCTTAAGAAGGAGAGGAAGGCTATGGCTAGTTTCATCCAGTGAGTTTTCTCGAGCTTGGGTCTTGGTGTTTCAAGGTTGGGTGTGTGTCCAGTGACACCGATGGGATTAGAAATCTGGCGTTCTGTTTTCGGGTTTGTTATGATACCTCATTGTATTTGTTTTCTTGTCAAGCATGAATCTTGATGAATGAAATCTTCCGACAGTATCATGCGTCTCATCTGCATCTCATCGATCAAACCAGTCCATCTTATCTCCCCATAAAAGACTCCTTGTTGATGATGTGTGTGTGAGTGAGCAGGGTCGCCCTATCAGACAAGATGGATCAAACAAAGCAAACAGAGATGTCCTCCCCAACCACATCCACCCAGCCTCATAATCACCTTATACTGTTCTCGCCAGAGCACTGTCCAAATCACATTATCCTTGCGGAACGCAATCAGAGTACCATCATGGTAGATTGCACTGTTCGCAAAATGCCATCATAGGTTAAAGACGAGCGTGTAGGACAGAGATATTTAAACATGCAGAAGTCCATGCTTCACCGGCTTTCCTGGCAATGGCGGGCCTCGAATATTCAAGACCAATCACGGCTTCGTTTGTAAAATCTGCATACCGAAAGTGGGCTCGGTTTGCCGATGCTTCTCGCCAACCACATGTGCTGAGGGTCAAACATCCCTTGCAGCTTGCGCCAAGAACGCTGGAAATGATGGTTCAGCATCGAAAGCCAAGAATGCTATCAACCAGCATTCCGTGGTATCAAGACCTATCATGCCGACCTGCATCGGAGGCGCCGAGTGGCTTGCAGTCCCTCATCCATGTGGTACCTGTCGACCATGTGACCTTGCTTCCAGACACCTCACTATAGTGGCTCGATCCATGCAATGCTTGGGATCGAAGACGCTCCTCATTCCATGGTGTTTCTCTAAGAGCACACAACCGTGGGTCCTTAGCGAACATGGCTCTCGACTTCATCTCGTTGCATTCCAATATCACCACCCTGTAAGTCTATCAACAAGTTAGCCATGAGAAAAGGCAGTTGCAAAATGCTGCTCTTTCCTGTAGCGGCTTCGTGAAGCCTAGTCGATCTTTCTGCGACGGCCATGTCGCTCCTCAACCTTCTACTGCTTGCTTCAGTAGCCTTGGCACAGTCAGTCGCTCCTGCACTTCCTAGCATGAGCTCTTGTGTCAAGAGAAGCATTATCGTCTACACTTTTAACTCTTCCACCTACTTTGTTACTGACGTCGGCACATCGACTTTGCCATCAACGCCAACGTTCTGCGCTAATGCCTCTGTATCTACTGTTGTTACTACACAATCAGCCTCGACTGTGACGATTTATTCACAAGCTACGTCAGCTCAGCAGTCTGCTGGTCCGCAGACTTTCGTCAATCCTGTCATCACGGACAGCAGTTTCGAGGATGGCACATCTAGTCCATTCAATTCCTCATCATCGGGATCTTCTGTCACGGCTGAGGTAGTCCAAAGTGGTATTTACGAGCCTCATACCGGAAACAACTATCTGTACGTTGATGTCATTGCACATTCGAGCCAGAACTGACTTGACGCCTAGNNTCTCATCTCTTTCAACGAGACTGCTCCGGGTCAAGGGCGAGTCCGTCGTCAGTCACCAAGTCCCGATGCATCTCTTGTCTACAACGTGACCCAGATGTTCTCAGCCTCAGCGGGTACTTCGTACACGTTGACAGCCTGGGCAGCTGTGACAGAACCCGCCGACAAACCGTATTGTTTCCTGACAATATGTGGCGATAACGACTGCAGCTTTGCCTCCCCAATCACAACTAACTACACACGCTTCTCTTATATATACCAGTCTCCCATTGACGAGGGCNNTGGCGCTGTTGCCACCTTCGAGGTCGCGTGCTCTACCTCTGGCTATGTGGCTCTAGATGATGTATCAGTCACCAACAACGCGTTGGCTGCAAGTGCCAGTAGTGCTCGTCAAGCATCTACCGCTACTGTTACAATTTTCGAGACGGCGACTGTTCAACAGACCCAGATTTACACACAAATCGAGACAACGACATTCGTCAGTGGTTCCGAAATTGTTCTCACCACTTCGGTACCTACGACTATATACCAGACTGTCAATGCACCAGTCACAGAGACTCGAACGGTATCGACNTATTCTCTTGTCAACTCAGACTGCCACGACGGCAGTACCACAGTATATCAATGTTACAGTCTCGAGTGTCTCGACAATCACTAGTGAGTACCGCGTTCATTCCTGCTGCTTGCTCTCATCTTCTTCAACTTCTCTTCTTGGGACTGACTGGGTTTAGCTACACTTACTACCGTCATCAACTCGACCGTGATTTCGTATCAGCCTTCTTTGGTCGTTGAGACTCAGTACGCTACATCTACGGCTATCTTCACAACGACGCAGCCAGGCGCGATGCAGCCGGCTTCGACAGTCTACCAAGAGCCATCAACAGCATACGTCACTCTGGAACCATCTACCCAAGTAATCACCCTCGAGCAACCAGTCATTACTATCACACCGCAACCAGTGACCTTGACTTCCACGCCAGATACACAGACTTCAATTCTCGTCTCGTATTTGGGTATCACGGACACAAGCCCGGTAACCTTGCCTCAAGAGACTGCCTATATCACACCTTCGCCTGTCACTAATTATGTGACCCTTACTCTCGAGCTCGAGACCACGACAGTGTATATCTCAGTTACGCTTCCGGCCTTAGTCGAAACTACGCAGATTGATGTCACGCCGCCTGTGGAGACGCAAGTACAGACATACACTATATCACCCGGAACAGAGACTTTGCAAGTTACTGCGACGCTACCACAAAACACTGAGACCCTTCCAATCACACAAACCCTCGAGACTACACAATATGAGCCAACGGTAACCGAAACTTACTCCCCAGTCTATGTACCGCCGCCTCCATCAGGTGTGCCTGCGGTTGCTCTTGCACGCCCGACAGCGATTGTTGGAGATGTGAACGGCGCGCCTTACAATGTTGACGATAATGCCTATTCTGTACGCCGATCTAAAAATCAGATTATGGTCTTCGCTCTGCTAATATGCCTCAAAGGTTGCNNACTTCCTGTGAACCTCACAATCTATGGCCAGTCCAGTGCAGACATTCGTGTTAGTTCGAACGCTGTAAGTTTTTTCATGCAGCCTCTGAATAGTGATCTGACAATGTTCAGNCTTCTGGGTCTGGGCGACCTCAGTTACGAATTCTCTAACTATCCTCTTCCATATACCACAAATACCGGGAGTTATAACAGCTATCCTACTTGTCTGCAGCAGCCGGAACCCCAAGAGGACCAAAATGGGAACACATACCCAAATTCTTGCTTTGGTGACGTTGTCGCCTTTGGCCTGTGGGACGATCTTTTCATTTATGCAGGTACACAGCAAGGTATCTACTACGAGGTTGACGGCGTTGCACCGAGCCGTCGGACGTCATTCGAGTTCTACATCAGCCACTTCAGCGACCAAAGCCAATACTATCACTTCCTGATGAATTTCTACGAGGACAGGCCAAACATTGTGAACTATCAGTATCTCAATGTTAGCGATCATGGCACCAGTGCAACCGTCGGTGTGCAAAGTGTCTCAGGTTTGTCATGCAGCATCCGNCAGACTTTCTCTTTCTTTTACTAATACAATCTTGAAGCAAACCTATACAATCAGTTCTCATTCAACCAACCCGTCGTTTGTCCTGGAATGCGACTGACTTTTGACACCACGCCTGGTGTCAACTCCCTTAGTATCGATAATCCTGGCGACTGCAGTGCTCCTACGACACCTCAAGGTAATAACGATGGAGAATCTGCTCCCATCGGTCGTATGTTAAAGGCCAGACCTGATTATCGTGGCGACACTGCCACTTATCCCAGGAAAGTTCTTTGATTGGATCACTTCCTTCTCAAATTGCCTGCATCTCAGTTTGGTAGATAGCTAAATAGACCCAAAGGATATCAATATTACGTTGTCTAACTATCATCGCTCTTCTCTTCGCTAAGATTTTGCAGATTTTAGTTTCGCTACTAGTGTAGCTTCTTCGTTAACACCATCAAGACATTTCGTTGGAATAAGGGTCATTCCACGTTTTCTTCCTTCGGCGAGTCCGAAGCAAGGGATATACCGAGCGCTCGCCAAGCATGACTCGGGTTTGTTTCTGCATGACCTCCGCTGATCGGTCCGGAGAGGTTCTGATCGGAGTACATTCCGATCACATTCCTGATCCGAAGAAATGAGGCGGCAAGGGGGTTTTATCTGCTCTCGGGCCGTATTGGCAAAGGTCGGTCCTCGTTCCTTCACGCTGGATGGTGCACGTGAGCACTTATGAGAATTATATCCCTGGCTATAGTTCACGTCACGCGTTGATCTTGCATCTCAGATGACGATGGATTGATTGGGTCTTCATACTACATAGTAATCTCGATGTCTGGTCCATCCGAATCCATGAACATTCCATATCACTACTTCTCTATTGGTACTGAGTAACCTGTATTAGTGGCCGAGTACGCAACGACGTAACCAGGCATTGCAGCAGGCTGAGCAACCGTGTTGGCATCCTTGAGATAGCACCACTGTTCATCTTGTCCCTGTTGTATCCAAACTGAGGCCGCGCATTGCGAGTTGGAGCTACAGTACTGTATACATGCAACGAGGGAAGTTGTTACCATCTGGACGATGTTACCTGTAGGGTAATCCACGGTACAACTGATACTGTAGTTATCTGGGGGTATCACTGAGGTGTCTTGGTATGTAGTGTCGCAGGCGTCTGTCAGAGTTGCTGCTGCAGAAGGAGCAGACGATGATGTGCTCGGCGAAGACATGTCATTGGCATCGTCAGATGAGTAAGTTTGCGTTATAGTAGGACCATACTCAGTAGTGGTCAGAGATCTGAGTCACAGAAAGCGTTTCTGTGACATCGGGCAAGGTTTGCGTCACTTGCAGAGTTTCAGTTTCTGCTGGAAGTGTGAAACTCTGTATCTCCGTTTGGGTTTCTGCTGGTAAGGTAACTGAGATACTGACAATCTCTGTGACTGGTGGGGGAGTAACCGAAATATAGATCGTTGTCGAGTCCGGTGGGAGAGTGAAGGTGATATATTGAGTCGACGGGTCGGTGGTGAAGTAAGCAGTCTCTTGAGGCAAAGTAGTAGATACAGTCTCTGTTAAGTTGAGCACTGACACAAATAGAGATGTCTGAGCACCCAAAATAGAAGTTTGGGTAATCTGATCAGGGTGATTGTGACGACGGGTTGTTCTAAAGTGACAACCACAGTCGAGGGATCTAGCGTCACATATGCGGTCGACGGATCCAGATAAACGATGGAGGCTGACTGATCTGGCTGGGTAGCAGTAAATATAGCCGTTGATGTGGCATAATCAGTCACAACGATGAATGAAGGCTGATAAGAAATGACAGTCGAGTTGAGTGTGCTCGTCAGAGTGGCTATGCTTGATTAGTCCACGAGCTTCGATTCGATTCACCGTTCCCACTTACTAGTCAGGGTCGAAATACTAGAAACCGTGACGTTGACATACTCCGGTACTGAGGTGGTCTCTATAGCCGTCGACAAGAGTTGTGACGAGACCGTTGCTGTCTCTATCGTTGGTGGGTCGTTGATAGTAGTTTATACTACGGTAGGTACTAAAGTAGTAAGAACGACTTCAGAGCCGCTGATTGAAGTTGTCGTCTCAATCTGGGTAAATGTCTGGCTTTGTACGATGGTTTCAGTCCGGTAGACCGTGGTCGTCTTCGTAGAGACCACTTGACCTTCACCGGAAGAACCTTCGTCGCTAGTGACGGACACGTCGTCAAGAGCGACATAGCCAGATTGAAAACAATTGAGTTGGAATGTGGCCACAGCGCTGTTTTCGTCCATTGGAGATTGATAAACGAACGAGTACGGTTGGTAGCTTGTTGTCAGAGCAAAAGAAGAGCTACAATTGTTGTCTCCACATATGGTGATAGAGCACTGTGGATCATCATTTCCATTAGCGACTTCAGCAGCCCAAGCAGTCAAAGTGTACGCAGCGCCTGAAGATGCATTGAACGTCTGCGTCACATTGTATACGAGTGGGGTGGCCGAGCTTGATGACTGGCGACGAACAGGTTTCTGCGTGGTAGGAGCTGTGTCGTTGAATGTGATCAAACTGGCGTCGATGTCAGCTTTGTTTCCTGATCTGGTGACTGCGACACATACAGATAGCTATCTCCTGTTCGAGGCTGATATGGGCCACTCTGGACTACATCGGCTGATACAGATGATGTTGAAGCAGATGAATTGAAAGGAATAGATGTGCCGTTTTCGAAGCCATTTTTGGTTACAACAGTGTTGAATCCTGTGGGTTGTTGAGCAGATGACGTCTGTTGGTTGACCGTGATGGTCAAAGTTGGCTCAAAAACTGTAGAAGTCAAGACGGTTTGCGAGATGTTCGAACAGATCGTCAGACTGGCTTCGAGCGTTGTGGTTCCAGCATCGGTGACAAAGTATGTCGATGAGTCTGAAGTATAGACGAGTACACTGCCAGGAGCGAATGATTGGGAGAAGGTGCACGAGGCAAAAAGCAGAACAGCAAGAAACCACATGATGAGAGAACAAGGAAAGAGCCAACGACACAACCGAGGCTTTTCGCTCGAGAATCTGTCTATAGGTGTCTAAAATGCTTTCAGTCCTGTTGTGAGTTTTCATCTACGTGAGAGACATGGAATGCCACAAGATACCATGTCACATGTGTCTCCGACTCTCTGTATTGGTCTAGTACTGTGCTAGACGGACTCCAGGAATGAGCTTCCACCCAGCCACGGCACATCCAGAAGTAGCACGAGCCACGTTATGATTCTCGGCGAATCCGAAGCAAGGACATGCGTGTATGGAAGCTGTTACAACCAGCACACTGGAATACTTTGACTGGGCCCGAAGATCGGACCGAGTCAATGCAATCACATTCTTGATTTTCAAGCGGCCAAGCTCTCAAGAATGTTGAAAGACGTACTGTACCAAGTTCCACTCACTTGGCAACATAAGCAAACTATACATCTTATAGCGATCGGCATGGTCTTTTGATTCAGTCAGCGAGCGTTGATACTATTCTCCGCGTCGAATCATGCGTTGAGTTATCCTATGGCATGGCTCGTTCCTTCATAGGCGATAGGCTCCTCTGGTACAGTCAATCGAGCCGAGAAACCACATAATGAAGTCCGTCGTGTATTCTCGTCATGTCCAAATCTTATCATTTGAACTGTTCCAACAGATCCAAAAGTCACTGCAAGGAATTTCCTCCAACTGTGACTCCTATCGTAGTATATTTGAATGTGAACAGACTTATGAGGAGCTTGTCTACCATCAAGTCGTCTGTAAATCTTGTTGTTGGCTTTTGAAGTACGACGCCAAATCTCGTTTTCTCTAATTCGCCCGATACTGATCGCCGGTGCGAAATGTGGTCATGATCTTAGGGAGAATGAGTCCAAGTGACGTGAAAGTAATCGAACGCAATACCAGTAATGACTACTTAAGCCTCCAGATATTTGAAGAAGGTCAGTGCGAAATATAAGAATTTACTCCTTCAGAAACGATCATGAATCCCTGGAATACCCTTGCGTCGCACTCTGTTCCATTCCAACTTGTCTTTCTCAGTATCGTTCTCTGGCTTTGGCATCTTCTCGAACCAGCTCTCCCATTCTGTGAGCTTTTCATCGAACCCATGTGTTTTGAGAGCTGCCACAAGAATTTGTGCCCATGCATCTCTGCTACCGTCAGACAACAAAAAAGCCACCAGTATTCGAGATTGGCACGGTGGCAACCCAGAACCGGGGCAGATAGCCTGCACTTGCCCAGTCTATGATTGCCACTAGGTTGTCTCCCACTGTCGGACACAAGTATATTGGTAGGACCCTGGTCGTCATGAAAGAGAACCATGGTGTCATCGAATTCAGGTGGTGGAGCGGATGATATGCTACGCATATAGGCTCGATACTCCATCGCTGAGAAAGGCCCAATTGTTCGTGGAAACCAGTTGTGGATTGGACTGTGATGATTGTAACCTTGCCTCAGCCGTGGGATTCCGATACCGTAGCCTGAGATAGACTGAAAGCGACCACAAGTAATACGGGCCAGAGTGGCAGTATGAGCTGCCACTTCTCTTGCTATGTTTAAGCGTTGTTGATGATTCAACTGCGGCCATGCTGTATCCAACGTACGAGCACGAATACGTCTCTTGATGAGGAACGACCGGTCGATTGATTTGTCGACCCAAGAGTAGATAACTTCGGGAACTGGTATCGTAGGCGCTTGCTCACGAACAAAGGCAATCGTCTCTGACTCCAGTTGAAGACCTTCTTTCCAAGCGTGAACTTTACAGATGGCTTCATTCCCGACGAGCCATACAGCACTGCCTCCGCCAGCTTGATATATGAGCTGATGCTCCAGCTTCTCCAAGGGCAAATCATGCAGTTGGTCGCGTTGAGTCTGCTCAGATCCCGGAAGAAGGTAGAGCACAGAGTCCCCATCTTGCCACGAGGCAAGCATGTTGGATGGACGCGTTGCACAGGCTTTAGCGCTCACACATACGACAGATGTGCCCATATCCAGTACTCCGGGGCTTGAGGTCGATATCGACTCAATGGATAGTGGATTCATTTCGCTGTACACAGTCAGCAAGCTGCCTGTGAGGATTCGTACGAGCGAAAGCGTACCAATACATTGCGAACGTTAGGAGTTTCACACTCGACAGTAAGGAAGTCAAATGTTTCTTTGTCTTTCCCGAGACTGGGTGTCTGAGAATTGAAGTGGCAAGAGCAAAGGAGGAAAAAGTGGGAGCTTTTCAATCCTTCGCGTCAAGCAGCTAAGCGCCAGGGCATGCTGCGATTTGTGACGGCGCCAATGACCACTCAATGTTCCCACCACCGCGCATATCCCTACAGCAAGCTAACGATCGGTTTATGCCCATAATGACATGATCATATGGTGAAATTTTCGTTCTGACTCTGGACACCACGATCTGAAAGCTGCATTGCGACTGTCACCTGCGTAAATCCGATGTGGTCTCTCTGATGTAGTTGGTTGACTTGCGTAAATAAATTATACAGTATATTTTGTATATATGTATTGACAAATTCAAAGTGTGGTCATGCCTAACGAACTTTGGGCGGGGCTTTTGCTCTAGCATAGTCTGGGCACATTGTATACGCCGCATTNTTGCCAGTCATCGATCATCTCACAGCTCCAGTTATCTGCATCGTTGCTGTCTCCGGAGCCCTTGTAAGTAGTGCGGTAAGGGAATCTGCAGTGATGTCTCTCCATCTGCACGCCCTGAGTGGGATCATCGTTGACGAACTTGGTACCAGTCATGGTATCTGGTGCCTCGCCCTTCTCGACCCAGTTGACGATATCCCAAACCACATTTGATGTACCATTCTGTGCGTTGCCATTTTGACCAAAGGCCCAGGCACCGATTCCGCCGGTGCAGTGGTACATACCACTGATGCGGAAGAAGCGAAGGAACTCATCAAGACCAGCGTGGTCAAGACCCATGTCTCGAGCAACATTCAGATAGTAACGCTGAGAATTTTCTGCCGTGATAGCGGGATCCATAAGGCCATGGTACATGATCAATTTCTTTCCAGCAGCGTGGAAGGCGCTGAGGTCGCTGTTGAAAGATGAAACGTTGCCGTGAAGCACATTCGTTTCATCGGCCTTTGTGTAATCTGTCTGAGAAAGAGTGGAAGGATCCCACGAGGAATCATTCCAGACACCTGCGCCGAACCAGTCCTTGACATGGCCTTGGACGCCGTGCAGGACGCCATTGGTAGATGAGTAGAGCTCGGCACCAGGAGTTAGACGAGGATAGTACAGGTTTCCGTCTTGGTCGTACAGCTGAGAGAAGACGTTCCAGACGGTCGATGTCTGCTGGAAGGTAAGGCAGTTGTCGGTTTGGCCATCGACGCAGGTCAATTTAGTGGCATTGAAGTCGCAGATGGTTGAGTCTTCGATGATGCCATCAGCAACACCATCAAGAGGCTCATCACACTGTTTCAAGACTTCATTGTGGACAATGACCCAGTCGTCATAGGTCAAGTACTTCGGGTCACTCTCGTCTGCACCAGTGAGTACAAACATTCTGCCAGACCAATCCATGTGGTGGTTGAAATCACTAGCAGCAGAGCCTGCGATGATGCCGTCGAAGTCTTCAGGGTACATCTGAGCTGACTGGAGAGCTTGGCGACCACCATTGGAGCAACCGATCATGTAGTTGTAGCTCGCAGCTTGACCGTAGTTTGTCTTGATGACCTGCTTTCCGGCCACGACAGCAGCGTGGCGAGCTCTGTAAGACCAATCGACAACCAACTCATTGTTGTTCAAGAACTGTTGAGCATCCATTCCAAGGTATTGGGTGTTGTTGTGACCACCATTGTCACCTACGACACTGAATCCAAGGCTTGAAGTGTAAATCATGTCGTCATAAGAAGGGCAACCTGAGAGACCTTTGTTATCGGTCGCCATGAACCTGCCGTTCCAGGCACTTTGTCCGGTTGGAAGCCAAACCTCGACATAATCGGAGGAAGCGTAAGAGGTGACGACGTTCAAGGTGACTCTGCGGAGATCGATCTGTACTGAACCGCCATGGCAGTTGGAAGGTCCATTTGGGAGTGTGAGGGCGGTTCCCGCGGTAATATCTTCGCAATCAACAACAGAAACCTGTTGGCCAGGGAAGGATAAAGCTTGAATCAGAGCCTGGCAACCGGAGATAGCTTGGGCAGCGGTGGAAGAAGTGGCAGCTGCAGCAGCTGTCGTGGATGTGGATGTAGATATGGCAGCGAGAACAGCACTGGATGTCGCTGCGGCCTGAACAGTCGAGGCGGCAGCTGCAGCACTTCCAGCAGTGTTTTTGTTTGTAAAGTGGAAAATGCTGTTGATCAGCTGGCCAATGGATATAAAGTGCACCATGGCAGGAAAGAGCCCTCAAGGGGGGAAACGAGTGACTGTGAAAAGATAAAAGGAAAGGACGAGAGACTTCTGGCAATGACAATTGACCAGATGAAACGAAGAGAAAAGAGACGTAGAAGAGAAGGACGAAAGAAGCGCGAGCACCTACCTATGTATGGCCCCATCTGTAATCGATCTGACCTACAAACAGGATGCGCGGCACATCCTTCGAAGAGAATAGCAGCTTTTCTCCAATCTCCGTGAAAGACCCATGTCGTTGCGTCTTGAATCGGGTGCATTGTATGTCAATGCTGCTCAGATGCAGGAACGGGTCGCAATGTGGATCTGCGACCAGCCCTCTCGCCGAGCAAGCCGGGCCGTGTCACCACAAGTGAAACGATCCCGCAAACACGCCACAACAGACTTCCCGAAACGGCTATCCACATCTTGAACTACCGAAAAGAATGTCAAATAGTCTTTTCTCAAATTTGGACCTGTCAGTTCTGTGCAAAGCGGGCCACAGGCCGATGACAGGAAATTAATTTCAGGAAAGCGACTGGTTTCATTGAGATGCGAACAAACAGGTGCATGCTTTTCGCTACAGAGCAAACCCTAAGAGGAAACCTAGATTCGACCGAGAAGGGACGAGCTCAAGATCGATCTATGCACTCTCGGTACTCTATCGACAACTGTCATTGCGCAAAGCACATACGTGGATTTACTCAGAGTCCCCTTCTAATCAAATTTCGAACCCATGAGCCATCGAACGCGGTTCCGGAACATGGATAGTCTCTATCTGCGACTTTCTTGCATCTGATCTTGGTGACCTTGATTCACCTTGAGCCAAGGCCTGACAACATGGGAAAGCTAGGGCAGCGCAAGCCAGAGCAGTAGTAGCTGGGCCGAAAGTAACACGACGACACTGATGACTGCGGCTGCAGTGGGGTGCTGAAGGCTTCAAAATGCTCGTGAGAGACTGGACGATTGCACATCGAACGACCTTGCCGACGTGTGCGTGATACGCGCAAAGATCAATAGCAGGCTGGAGGGATATCATGGATGACTCAAATTGCCAGAAGAAATGGGGCTGATTCGAATCCAAGCAAGAGGTCTGATGCATTCGGGTATTGTCGCGGAGGATGGATCCAGTTTGTGGTCGACATCAGTCCTGGGAGTGCCTTCAAGAGCTGGAACATTGCTGTCTCTCAACAAGCATCACAAGCAAGGTCATTTTGCTGATCATCACAGTTTTTCTCCCCCTCCTTGTGCCCATTGTTTTCAACAATCCTCTCATCAGCATCATCACACAACGCCTTATAACTCGGTACTTGCATCAAAACATCCACCTTCTGACAATTGCCAATCTGTTTCCTAGTATAAATCGAAAACGACCCATTAGCCTCAATAAACACACACTCCAACTCCGAAACATCCAAAACATTCTTCTGGCGCAAAGAAGCGTAAAAGTCTCCCAAGCAAATCCGATGTCGAACCATGACTTTGGTCAACAGCTTGCCGCGGAAAGCAATAATAATAGGAGGAGAAGTCAATATCCAGCCATGTTGAGCCGGCAAACGTGCACCCANAAAGGACATCAAGTATTGGAAACCGAGGATGGTGCAAAGTGACAGCAAGCCTCGGGTGAGCGAATTGCCATTGCAGATTCCAGCCAAGGTGCTGCCGATGGCGACATTGGCGATCCAGTCTGTCACGTTCATGGCTGCGATGGAGCGGTTGCTGAAGAAGCGGAGGCAGGTGAAGAGAACCACAATGGCTATTGAGCCAATCACCAGAGGATGGAGGATGGACGCTTTGACGAAGAAGTCTGCCACTTGGATGGTGTCTGGACCGGCTACTACCAAAGTGCCATTGTCACCTTGAGAACCTGAAGACATGTTGAATTGTTTGTGATATGATGAGAACAAAGTGTTTACCTTGAGAAATAGGTAGCGGGCTGTGCTCTTATCAGTATGCCTCGATCACCATTGTTGATCTGCTCTTCCCCTCAGTCCATCGTAGGCCAAGGCTGGCCAGGGTCCGCACGTCATGTTACAGGTACCAGAACTTTTATACTTCGACCCATCCCTCATGTCCTTCAACTCCTTGTGTTACCTATCTGTCTTGCAAACATATCGACATGGCAGACTCAACGATTACCTTACTGCCAACGCAAGCCTGTAGCCGCAGATTGCATACAACCTCATGAGTGCCTCAAGCATATGTGGAGCTCCCAGCTCACGAACTCTAAATGTCGAAGGTTCTGCTTGCCGTGTTTCATGCGGCTGACTTACGGCTGAGACAAACTCTAACCATCACTTCTTGGCTCTACGATGTCTGCCGTCTCTGCTGACAGAGAAACTTGAGCTGCACAGTGACGGTGATTGAGGTCGGTGGCTTCGAAGAGATCTGAGAGAGCAGCAAAGTGCATTGTCGACCAAGCTAATCTACCTGGTTGCTGAGTACATACCAGGAACGATCTACCAAGAATTCCAAATGATGTCTATGTAGCTAGATAGGTCAGCTGTGCTTGCGTCCATACTATTCGCCTATACAGATTCTCTACGGAAGAAGTAGACATAGGCGAATTTCTTCATCTCATCGACATCTCCGCCCAGGGCGACCTTCTCGTCGTTGAACAAGATCCATCCTGGATCCTTGCGAATGAAAGCGACGTAGTNGACTATTATGCTTGTCAATATATCTCCGTCGGCAAGCGATTAGATGTGAACTCACCCAGCATGAATCGAGCTGCCTTTGTGGCACACGATGGACTGAAGCTTGAACTTGGCAGGCTTGTTGTCTTCCACAACTGCCTTTGGTTCATTCTGCGGAACAATCATTAGCAAATTGAGTGAAAAAGCATCTTTGCTTGCCTAGCTCACCTCAGCCTTGTCGCCAGTATCCTGTTGCGCGTCTCCAAAGTCACCAGTGGCCTCGGGGTGGTTGAACAGCCACTCAACTGCACGCTCCATGTCGCCGTTGGTCTCTTTCAATGCCTGGCGCGCTTGCGGCGGCTCGAAGCCCATGTTTCCAAGCATCTCAATCTTCTCGGGGTCCACTGCGCCGCTGGCACCAGCACCAGCGCCACCTGCCGAGAGATTCATGGGTTCATCGATGTCCGGGTCTTCCATGTGCTCAAACAACCACAAGCTGGCCGTCTCTGCATCTGTGTTGCCAGTAGCATGGAGTGCCTTCTCACATCTAACTCGAGGGAATCCCATGGCTTCAAGCATACTGAGAGCAGCTTCGTTGGGAACAAAGGCATTTGAAGCGGCCCCTGCGTCGGTAGCATCTTCGGGCAGAAGCTCCTCACCAGGCTGTTGGCCTTTGCTGCGGTAAGCTTCGAAGTCGATAGTACCCTCGTCAACAATGACAGGAACGTCTTGCTTGGTGGGGACCCAATTCACAATCTCGAAGCGACGAGCGTTGACAGCCAGGACAGTAGGGAAAGTCTTGAATAGGGATTGCTTGGTAAAGTTCTTGCCTCCACATGCACTGCAATTCAACTCAACCACCTCTGGTGCGGTGAACTCTTCTAGGCAGCGTTGAAGAGTCACAGACTCAAACTCTTCTGTTTCCTTTTCCGCAGAACCATCAGGCGCAGGAGTCACACCTTCCATCTTTGTGTCCTTTGGCAAACGCTTGATGGGTACTGCGACGGAGATGTTCTCCACCTCGTCTTGACGGTAACGAACCTTGCTGCAGTCCAGACATTGTAGCTTTTGTTCCATGACGAAGCGGAAGGCATCGACAGGGTCCGAAACATCCTTGTACTGATCCTTTGCGGCACGTTGTGAGCGAGTGACGAGCTTGAGCAGGTGAAGCAAGAACTCAAAGGCATCTTGTTGGCGCATAGTGGAGAATTCTTCGTGACCTCTTCCGATAAGGTGCTTGAGCATGGCAGGAGCCAGGCCTTTCTGGTGTGGTTGTTCTGTAGTGTCTTCAGAGGCGATGACATCCGAGTTGGGAATCGCGTAACGTCCTGAAAGTAGACCATCTGCCATCTTGCGCAGCTGGATCTCGAGGTCTTCGGCAGGGTTTGTTGAAGGTGGTAGCTTCTCGTCAGGGCGGTAGTATCGCTGAGAAAATTCGGGCATAGCGAACAAACTTTGGACGACACTGGCGAGGTAGCAGCTGTTTCCAAGGTTCTTTAGACCAGTGAGACCTGGACCACACATAGGCTTGAGTTCCTTGCCATCCTCGTTGGTCATACTGAATTCCCAACGCAGGTTTTGCTCAAGTTGCATCTCTGTCAAGCTCTTTTCTGTCTTCTCGCGACCAGCAATGTCAATACCCCAGTGAGCAAGATGGGCGACAAGTTCGGGATCGGTACGTTCTTCGTTGCAAGCGTAGCAGTAAATATCGGCATTGCCATCGGCGGTCAGAGAGCCTAGCTTCACAGCGACAGGATGTCCCGTGGAATCGGTATGTGCCACACCATGTGAGTTGCCGCCAACACCACCAAACTGAGCTCTTCCGCAGCCCAGGTTACCGCAAGTAAGACAAAGCCAGAGGTTCTGGTTTAGATCGCACTGAGAGCAGTGACCCAGAGATTGCGAATGGATCTGACGAGCAGCCTCTTGTTCCAGACACAGTGTATGCTCACACGGAACCATCTCTTGTTCCCAAGCCTTGACCTCCTCTTGCTTTGCGAAAGTGTTTGCCTTGAGCACACCGTCAACTACGGCAGCTAGGGTTCCCTGGCTCTTGTCTAGATCATTTTGGCCACACTCGAAGCACTTGACAGTCGAGACAGTGTCGAAGCGATCTTCCTCTGTTTCGGCGTTGATGGCCAGCTTTGACATCTNTTGTGGTGGCTCATCTCTGTGCTTTTGCTTGCGTGTGCGCTTGATGTTGAGGGCTAGAGGGTGACTCGCTTCTTGGGCGTGTTTTGCGCCATGCTGGCGTTCAGTGGCACATCCTCCGTTGAAGCAATGCAGGCAAACGTCGAGACCTTCGGGCGAATCGATGCTATCAAAGCAGAGTGTGCAGTCTTCTCTGTAAACGGATTGATTGGGTCGGGGTGGGCTGAGTGATGCTGATGATATGTGTGGACAGGCTGACATGGTGGGCAAAGTTGATGAATTGAGGCACAAGGTAGAAGAGGAAGAAGTGGCAGCTCGATGGTTTGTTTGCTCTCTCGTGCTCGCAAGCTCCATTGGTTGCGTCAGTCAACGCGGGGTCAAACTCCGGCACCCGAACATTCACCAAAGCCCGCGTCACTTTCATCTCGTTTTGGTTAAACTTTCTCTCCTTCATTACGGCGTCACAAGCAATAAGTTAAGGTATTTTGTACACGAAGTCGTCCTTCTCTTCAGCTCTTCAGCCTCCAGCCTCAAGCATTGATATCCATCTTCACCCTCTCTCCGTTTGCCATTTTTCTACCATAATATCGCATGGTCCTCAGGCATACCATCTAGTTGACAAACAGGCTGTCATTGTCCGACAGGCTGTACTGCTTGATCATGTCTGCAAGCTTCTTTCCTTCTGCCGACCAGTTGACGGGGCCTGCTGATGACACTTGGTAACGCACCCNTGTATGCTGTTAGCTTCTAATTCCAAACTTGAATCACATCGCTGCTTACCTCTGCTGGTCTTGGAATGTGTCCATCTTGGCTCTGCATCTGAAGACGTAAGTCTGGCAGACAGCGTTGGCGAACACTTCCTTCTCGCCGTTGCTCATCTCGTCTCTCATCTTCATGATGTCGTTGGCAGGTCTGCCCATGATCATTCTACCCACATCGTCGAACAAGCTGAGCCACATCTGTCCTGTGTGATCACTGACGTTGATGCTCATGATGTATCTCCATTCAGGGTTGGGCCAGCCCTTGTCGCATCGCTCACAGCGCCATTCTCCTTCCGCAACCTCGACCACTTTCTTGTTACATCCTTCTGACAAGCAAGCAGGGTAGGCGAAGGTGGTGTCTGACTTGACGAACACGATGGTAGCCTTCAGGGAGAAATAGTCTGTTGACTCACCCATACCCAAGTTCTCGTCCCGCACTTGGGCGATGGTCTTCATCTGGTCGTTACGTCCACTCGTCGATGTTGTAGCCATGCTATTGGCGTGTGATGAGAATGTGTCGTTGCGACCTTGAGCGTCGTACCAGCCCTTGAGCTTGTGTCCCTCGTCAATATCCGGGTTGACATTCATTGTGCCCGATGACAGAAGTGAGAGACTGCGACCACCAAAGTCGCTGACCTTGACACCCTTGAATGCGATCACAGTTTCGGTAGGCACGTCGAAGTTGAGTGCAGTGTTGCCCCAGATGGTCAGGCGGACGTTGTAGCCTGTGTTGTCGACCAGGGTCAACTCTCGTTTGCTGAATGGCTTGGAGGTAGTCTTGGAAACGATCTCGTTAACATCGCCGACTTCCTTGAGCACACCGATAGTATCGATGGTTGTGTCCTTCTCGACGCTTTGAAGATCGGCGAGGGTAGTGAAGTTGTAGGTGATCTGAGGAACGCCCTCGTTGTCCTCTGCCTTCTCAATGTTGGTGTCTCTCTCGAATGTGAGCTCGTAATCGTGGTTAACGTTAGAGAATTGCTTCTTGGCCAGCTGGACCTTGCAAGAAGATACGTAATAGACTGAGCCTTCTTGCAAAACATCGTACCACTGATCTACGGCCTCTTTGAAGCCAGTCGCTCTGATCTCGCCACTCTCGTCGAGGAAGTTGCAGCTGAAGAGCTTGCCCTCGCCGTTCTTGTTGTGCCATGTCTTGATTTCACCCTTGTGCGAACATCTAGCTTTGATGGTCCATCTGGGCTGATATGGTGAGAGGGCTTCGATGGGGTAGATGTTGCCTCCATGAGGAGTATTCTGGCCGCTGGAGCGTGTGGGCAGCTGTCTTTGCGGAGCAGACTGTTGTGGTTGCTGTTGGGGCTTGTTTCCGTAGAACGAGTTGCCGGAGATGCCACCAGGCTGTGCTTGAGGAGCTGCGGCTGGGGCTGGAGCGGCGGCAGGTTCGGATTCGGACTTGACTACTTCGAGTGGGCCGGGCTGGCCAAGCTTCTCGCATTCACCGTACTCGTCGAGGACTTCCAGATCGATGATAACAAGGANTGCTGTAGAAAGGTCAGAAAGAGCAATACATACAAAGTTGTGGCGTGACACTCACGGCTTGTCCTTGACTGAGTTGGCTTGGAACGACTTGAGCTTGACAAGCGAGCCCTTCTTCAGCTTGCCATCGTGTACAATGTGGTTGGTCTGTTGAGCAAGCATGCTCTGAATGAAGTTGACAGTGTCGTTGAAGACAACGCGGAATCTCTCAACGCCGGTCGCTGAGTTGTTCATAGGCTTGATCTGAACACATTGGACAATGGGGTCGATGATCTGCTCGCCAGCGAAGACGCGGCGAAGACAGCCTGTCGTGATGGCGTCCATAGGGCTAGCCATGATGAAGTGTATTTAGGCTTGCTTTCGTATCTCTAGTTGTTATACACGTCGTAAAAAGCTTCTGTTGAATGCTGGCGGCCAAGTGAAGATGATTGTCTTGATCTCAGAAGTTGCTGTGAAAGAAGGCGTGGGTTGCCTGCGACGCGCCTTCCGCAACAAATCTATCTGGAGACGCGTTTCGCGTGGAAGTGATTTCTTGGCGCTGCCGTATCCTCGTTGAAGGCATCAAGAAGGTAACATGCCTCCAATGCTCACGCTTCCGAAACTCGCAGATGTCGTTGCAGAGATTTAGACTATGTCAGAAGAATGCTGACATCTCACACAAGCAGAAAGCTGATAGATGTAGCATCAAGCAAGGTCCGTCTCGTTATCATATCAAAGTGTGTATATGTCCGCCGTTGTCTTTCCGGTTTCGGACATCATGAACAACCCTCCCAGCATATCGGGTGATCTGACACCTTTGCTAATCAACTAAGGTGCAGTGCATCAGAACAAACCACATATACTCATACCAGATCGATAACTAGCAGCAGTTGTATTGTATTGAGGTCAGGAATGTGAAAATACTGACATAAAAAGATTGCTTTAGGGACAACCCTGTCTTACAACGATGTCACTTGCCTGCTGGAGATATAACGAGAAGTCTTAATAGTGTTGGTTCTGCATCTGCACTTCGCTTAACAGTCAAAGAATGGACGACAACACAGTTTCGATCCCAGATCATTCGAGACCAAGAATGCGTGATGGATGTAGGATAAAATCTGTTTTACTGTCTGATCACACAGTCTCTCGTGTCACACTCAGGATCTTTGATTGTCGAAGAACATCTTCCGTCTTGCTCCGGCTTCTTGCACAATTTCAGCACTCAACCTCAAGCTCGGCGCAAGGTGCGCCAGTCTGTTCAACTCCGCGACCACTTCTGCGATGATTGCTTCCACGGATATCGTCGGCGGAAGGAGAGCAGCAAGTTTAGGCGACATAGTGGCTCCCATGACCAACAGTGTTTGAGAAACCAGACTAAGAGCACCCTGCCAGAGATATGGGAGGTGTCCGACTTNGACTATATCCTTGTTAGCCTTACTGTTCATGGCTTAGTACACTGGAGATACTGACTGTGCGGAAACATGATCGATCTGTCTCAAACATGCTTCAAGGCATTTCCGGCAGTTTTCCTTCACGACCGGGTCTGCGACAGCATTCTCATCCGAAAGCACGGCAAAGACATAAGGTCGGAAGATGATGGTTCGACATGCAAAATATCGCAATCTCAGACAGACCTGGCCAGGCGAACCCGAAGAAATCGTCGTCATCGGAAACTTGATTGGTGATGGCAGGCCCTCATACCATTGTGACAGTTGGAAGTCCAGCTCTGCAGTGACTCGCGCCAGCTTTGAAGTAGGAACTGTGGTCGGCGTCTTGACATAGAGAAGATGGCTAACTCTGTTGAGAAGTCTGCGTAGCGCAATTTCTGCGAGGAAGTACCATAATTCATCCTTGCTTGTGTACTCGCCTTCCACATCGGAGAAAGGACCTGGCAAACCCACCATGTCCTCAAAATTTACAATGCCAGAGTGAGGAAGCTCCAGTTCTGCAAGCAAGTCTGACTCGGCCAGGAGGGTGTCCCAGAACAGCCTTACAAGAAGCTCTCTTTGCATAGCAGGTACCCTGTCAGGAACACCAAGCACCAGCTGTAATTTTGTGGAAGCAATAGTAATCATGTTCCATGCCTCCAGTGGCCGGACAAGATAGAACAGGTATGCTGCGGCTAGTATGTGGCATTGGATGGCCGGTATATCGTTCCTTATCGCCAGATTCGGTATAATCTTCCAGGCTGAAGCGAAGTAATCTATACCACGGGGTTCCGCGTTGTGAGGATGTCGCGAGATGCTTCCACCATGAGCTGCCGCTCCTAAAGCAAGGACCAACATTACCAGACAGCTGTCTGCTCCTTGGATAAAGCCAACTGATGTGGCCTCACGATAATGATTAGGCCATGCATTAGGATTCACGCATGCATACCAGACATTTACCAGATCGAAATATGAGCTCGCAAAGACTGCTGTGTTCGCCATGTCCGGCCGAGGAAAGTGTGGGAGATTGATAGGAGGTCGGGACATCTCCATTTCTACTAAAACCTGCGGATCTAAAGGCTGCGAAACCAGGTCGCGGATCAGCGGCCATTGTAAGAGGTTCAGGGCAGGTGTGGTATGTCCTTTGGGCATAGTCGAGATGTTCACACTACTGTCCCAAGTTCCGAGTCCGTTCAGTCTATTGTTTTCCAGAGCAACACTACAGCTGATACGTCTTGCGGCAGTATCATCTATAGTGCTAGTNNGCTTGCGGCAGGGGGAGGTGCCTGTGTGAGCTGCTGCCTTCGTAGCGTTGACGCTCGCGTGTGCGCTGGTCATGGCAGACTGCAACATATCCTCAATATGAGACAATCTTTCCAGAATGAGTTTGTCGCCTGCATCTAGTTTGATACCAGGTTCTCGATACACACATCGTGCGTCGAGTTCAACACACAATTTACATCTTGCNNTATACTGATGGTCAGCTATGATAGCATATCTAGCCAGAATCGACATACGCTTTCCGCCATCGCATCGTGATTTGCGACTTCGGCAGATTTCGCAAGCAATAATGGCTCGCTTTCGAGGATAATCAAGTGGCTCATGGACCAGACTTCGGGATGGAGCTTCATTTGGCGTTCCATCCTGAGTCGTCCCATCTCTTGGAGACTCTGATCCGGTTCGCGGTCTTTTCGAAGGACTTGCCTGCGACATGACTAGGTGGGTCTCACAGCTGCGAATCTACCACAAGGATTTGCGTGGATGTCAGAGGGCGGCTCCCTCCGCTAAAGATATTCACCAGGAAACTCAGCAAGGTAAAGGGAGATGTTTTCATATTCATGTAAAAGGATGTCTGAGTACAGCCGCGCGTATTGGGCCTTCACGCAGGATGGAAGAGCGAGTATCGTCACATCGTAGAAACATTGCGGTTGGAAGATGTGTGCAGGACAAAGAACACGATGCGGAGTCGGTGACTTGATCCTCTCCACCTTCCTCGTTCTCTCAAGGCCGGGGGTCGGCCTCGGCCCGCTCACACTAGCGCCTTTAGCCCGCAGATGGCATGAATTTTTTGGATCCATCAAGAGGCGTCGCGTCTTTGTCGCATACACAACCCAACACATTCACAATGGGCAAGAGAGAACGCGAAGAGGCTGCGGCCACTGTTGACGCCGAGGTCCACAAGAAGGCCAAGAAGGAGAAGAAGGACAAGACCGAAGATGCTGAGAAGGCGGCTCGCAAGGCAGCCCGCAAAGCTGCAAAGGCTCAGAAGCAGAGCGAGGGAACTTCTGGCGAGACCGAAGCCGACGATGCAAAGGCAGAGGCCAAGAGACTGAAGAAGGCTGCAAAGGCTGCTGCTAAGGCCGAGTCCACTGCCCCCTCAACCACTCCCTCCGAGACCGTCGCCGCTCCCGTTGCTGCAACCTCCGGCTACACCGAGCACCCTGGGTTGACCGCCCTGCCGCAATCCGAGATTGACGCCTTCATTGCCGAGAAGTTCATCACCGTCACCGACGAGGCCAAGGCATCGCCCGCTTACAGACCCATTACCTCGTTCGACTATGTCCCCATCACCGACAAGGCCCAGCGCGCTCCCTTTGCCGACTTCAAGACTCCCTCGCCCATTCAGGCTGCCGCCTGGCCCTACCTCTACGCAGGAAGAGATGTTATTGGTGTCGCCGAGACTGGTTCCGGCAAGACCATGGGTTTCGGTGTTCCCTGCATCAGATACATCTCTTCTCTTTCTGCAAAGGAGCAGAAGAAGGGCATCAAGGCCTGCATTGTTTCTCCCACCAGAGAACTTGCTGTGCAGATTCAGGAGCAGCTTGTCAAGCTGGCCGAGCCTGCTGGCCTCAAGACCGTCTGTGTCTACGGTGGTGTAAACAAGGACCAGCAGCGCGCAACTCTTACTGGTGCTCACATTGTTGTCGCAACTCCTGGTCGTCTCAACGACTTCGTTAGCGAAGGCTCTATTGACCTCAGCAACGTGACCTACGCTGTTCTGGACGAGGCCGATCGTATGCTTGACAAAGGTTTCGAGGAGGAAGTACGCAAGATTCTCGGAAGCTGTGCCCCTACTGGTCGTCAAACTCTCATGTTCACCGCAACCTGGCCTCCATCAGTACGCGAGCTTGCTGCTACTTTCATGAAGAAGCCTGTGCGTATCAACATTGGTGAGAACACCACCGGAGAGCTTCGCGCCAACACTAGAATCGTTCAAGAAGTTGAGGTTATGGACCCCTACGACAAGAACGACCGCCTTATCGCTCTCCTCAAGAAGTACCAGAGCGGCAAGAACAAGGAGGACCGTATCCTGGTCTTCTGCTTGTACAAGAAGGAAGCCACCAGAATTGAGGGCTTCATTCGTTCCAAGGGCTTCAACGTTGGTGGTATCCACGGTGATTTGAGCCAGGACCAGCGTCAAAGAAGTTTGGATGCCTTCAAGGCAGGCAAGGTCCCGCTTCTTGTTGCTACCGATGTTGCTGCCAGAGGTCTTGATATTCCTGCAGTCAAGGTCGTCATCAACGTTACTTTCCCCTTGACTGTTGAGGATTACGTTCACCGTATCGGTCGTACTGGTCGCGCTGGCCAGGACGGCAGAGCCATCACCTTCTTCACCGACCACGAGAAGGGTCTTGCTGGTGCTTTGATCAATGTCCTCAAGGGCGCCAACCAGCCCGTTCCTGAGAGTCTCATGAAGTTCGGAACCACCGTCAAGAAGAAGACTCACGACGCATATGGCGCTTTCTACAGAGACCCTGGTGAGATGAAGGCTGCCACTAAGGTCACTTTTGATGACTAGTTTTGTTATTGGGTATACCTAACAGGAGCATGCATATTACGGCGTTTCGGAGGAATATTGTACGACATAGATGGTCCTTTAGTTAGAGTCAAACCAAAAGTATTTTCTGAACCTGACAAAGGATCCTATCCATGCGCCTTGTGCACTGGATCTTGCTGCCTCCACGGCTGCCAAAGGATAGTAAAGTACACGCTATAAAAATGCACAATACTAGAATAACATAGGATAGTGTCGCCTGAGAAGCGATTTATCATTAGCTCTCTTTGGCCATATCCTTATTTCTAGATAGAATTGTGCACTTTTATGGCTACACGCGTTACATACTACCGCACACGGGAATTTGTGAATGGCTCATGTTTCCTTGGACCCCCTTGCCCGACTCGCCTTGTAAGCCTGTTTCTTCTTCAGAACGACCATTGCTTTGGTTATCGCAAGCCTTGGCAGATCTCGGGGATGACCAGCGGGCACCGTTGAATCGGCGACCTTCTCTTCGTTGGTCTTGGAATATTAGTATCTTCTACAATCGACCCAGTCTTTCGACAGATCAAATTCAGGTCAACCTCTCAGAATTGTCCTCATATCAATCAGCAGTCATGTGCAAAGGCGCCGTGTGCGACAACTGCAGTATGAACACCCCGCCACCCATCGCATCTCGCATCCCAGCCAGCCTCGTCTTGATAAACCAATATACCAGCCTTTTGCTGACCACTTCACTAGGCAAGCGCACTTGGTTCGGCTGCGGTATGCATGTACCATCGGTCATGGACTCGATCCCTAAGAGTGAATGGTGTGACTGCGAGCCAAAGACCGANAAAAACGGTACAGAGTACCCTCCCATGGGTAAGCTTGATCGTACATTTTATATTGCATAAGCCCGACTGATGACTTGCAGGTAGCATGACTGGTGTAGCGAAAGCTATGGCAGGGAACTAATAGTGTTCTTCTCTTCGATTTGGAGACATCACATTGAATGAATTGGACCTTTTTTTGGACTTGCTCGTCATTTTGGAGCACGATATTGAAACCTTGGGGTCGCGATCTGACAACCAGCCTCCTGCCTACTTCTTGCAGATGTGACTTCATTGCTCTTCCCACTGATCCCGCCGTACCAACCATCTGAATTATAGGGGTTTGAGATGCATTCACTCGTGCTCGACCAATCTTACTCTCTTGCTGACCACTGATCTGTTTCTTTTGACCTCGCCAATTGCGCCACATGGAAAACACGAGCACATTAGAGAAAAATTAATGGCTACGGATCATTTCATTCGTTGTTTGATGTATACGTCCGCTTCACCACGGATGACAAGCTAAAACAAGGTTTGAGGAGCCGAAGTTTGTACCTTTTCAGGGCCAAGTCTTTGGCCTTTGTCGCCCTGTTTCCTGCAGAAACGACAATAATTTTCATCACAAGGCAGAAACCCATGGCAAACAATGGCGCCTCATGATGCACTTCTCACAAGTAACTTGATAGCCTCAGCAATATATGACAGCATAGCACAGTAGGTTCAAGGCTGCTGACGATGGCTGGCACCAGCTATCCAGCCTTTTTTCTTTCTTACATCTGCGGGTTTCCCTTTGTACGAGCATCTCTTTCCTCGCACCGTTCTAGCACTTTCAGCAGTGTAACATGTCCACCGCAGGCGAAGCACAAGCAGGTATCCTTAGGCCCATGTTCTGGGCTCATGTTTCTACAGACGATGCTGGGTTCTCTAGTGTTCTGCACTTACGGGAGTCTGCGCATATCTCTTCTGACGAACAGAGTCATGGACCAGCCTCACCGACTGCAAGCTCCATATCAAGTACCAGGTCGAGTCATTCCCCAAGCGCGTCTTTCTCCTCGGCGTTCTCGACGACCTCCACAGAATCTACAGCTCCATCGCTAGAGGCATCAGAAGCGGGATATCCGGTCCAAATCAGGATCCAACGAGCACCTCAAAGACGCAAACCAGTACTGCGAAGATGCTGCTCGCCCATCACAGAAAGCTTACGCGAAATACGACAAAGGCAATCCGAGGAGGACTTGCGCAATCTGTACGAAGCGCAGACTCTGGCATATCTGAATGATGCGATCCAATTTTGAAGATCATGAGCACAACAAGGCGATACAACTTTTGTCATTGACTGTTGTGAGAAAAAGGGAGAGCTTGACAAAATGGCGGAAGCCTCGGTGAAGACGTCACTGTGAAACACCCCACCAAAACATCATGGTGCTTACTAAAGCCTCATTTTCCAATTGCCGAATTACCCTTGGACATTATCTTTTTTTGTTCGATCATCCTTGCTGCAATTGAACTTTCATACCTACAATCTCGAATTCTACAAATCTAGACACAATGGTTACCATGCGTGCAGTCGGTACATCTCCCTACTGACATCTGACGCTTCACCGAAGCTCTTTCGCCAAACATCCAAACTTACAAAAACACAGACATCAAGGATGGCAAGGGCCCCGCCACCTCCNNCCTCTTCATCAACGAGATCGAACGTCCCAAGCCCACCGCCGCTCAAGCCCTTATCCGCGTCAAAGCCTTTGGTCTCAACCGCATGGACCTGCTCCAGCGCGAAGGAAAATACCCCGTACCTCCCCAAGCTCCCAAGACCCTCGGTGTCGAGTTCAGCGGTATAATTGAGGAACTCGCTTCAGAGAGTGAGAATGGTTTCAAGAAGGGCGATGCTGTATTTGGTTTGGCATACGGTGGTGCTTATGCAGAGTACATTGTCGTCAGCACACATATGCTTGTCCACAAGCCTGATGAATTGAGCTTTGAGGAGTGTGCTGGTATTCCCGAGGTTTGTTGCATCTACTTTCCTTGTGCAAGGACTTTTTCTGACATAAAGGCAAAACACAGNACATGGATTACAGCCCTTCAAGCAATGTACATGGTCGCAGACTACAAACCCAACCAATCCATCCTCTGGCACGCCGGCGCCTCCAACGTCTCCATCGCCGGAATCCAACTCTCAAAAGCCGACTCGGCCTCCAAGATCTTCGCCACCACCCGCTCCGACGAAAAGAACAAATTTGTCGTTGAAAAGCTAGGTGCAACTGCTGCTTTCAACTCGGAAACCCAAGACTGGGCTGAGGAGCTTTTGAAGGCTACAGATGGCCAGGGTGTAGACGTCATTGTCGATTTCATGGGTGCTGGCTTCTTTGCAAGCAATTTGAAGGCTGCTGCTAAGGATGCCCATATCGTTACTTTGGTAACTTTGACGGGCATGAAGTTGCCCGCTGAGACTGATATTGGTGCTTTCTTGTTCAAGAGAGTGAGAATGGAGGGTTCGACACTCAGGGCAAGAGATGAAAAGTACCAGGGCAAGTTGAGGGACCAGCTTGTCGAGCACGCTCTTCCCAAGTTCAAGGATGGCACTTTCAAGGCTTACGTTGAGAAGGTCATGGATTGGGAGAAGATTGTCGAGGCTCACCAGCTCATGGAGTCTAACAAGACCAAGGGCAAGATCATCATGACCATCAACTGGTAAGAAGAACTCACTTGTACGTAATATAACACTGCATATGCCCAAACGAAGTCATGTTTTGATCATCGTTTTGAAGATACTTAGGCTAGTCGAAGACCCGTGTCACATGTCGCCTGTCATGAGTAGTAGGAATTTCGTTATACTAACAATACAAGTCTCTGATTCGCGATGGTTTCCTTCCTTCCAACCTCACACAATGGCCAATGACGGCATCAGCTGCCAGCGTCCTCGCAGGTCGATTCCACCTCTTACTGACACGGGACCACATCACCTGAATCCCTAGCTTGGACAGGGCCTCAATTTGATCTAGGAGGTCGACCAACATATCTCTTTCTCCAGACGGACCAACATCCAACGAGCGTCGAAGTTCATTGCTTGACTTCCAGCTGCTGATCTCATGCAACAGATCCCGAGAGTCGGTTGCAACTATAAGCTGAAAGCGTGCGACTGCCTGGACATCGATCTCTGACCAACCATAGCGCAGGGCAACATTTCGCAAAGCTTGTATCCTGTCTGGAACAATAGTTGTACGAACAGCTTGAAGCGCAGCTTNTGCTGCTGCCAGATGAGGAACCAAACCACGAGCTCCGGAACGAGATGACTCCAGCTGATATGTCATGTTGAAGGAGTCGGAAATATTCGAGGTAGAATGCTTGTTGAAGAAGACTCCAACGCCTGCAGGTTCGAAGTATTGGTGTCCATCGTCTAAACACACCGCAGCAATGAACACCACAAGCGATCTGGTAGTGGCGCCTGCTGCATCGTAATGTGTGTGGTGAAACGGATGCGATGCTCCTACTGCCTNTTTGCCTTCCAGATTTGGACGAAGCCATAGCAGATTGCACGACTCACAATTGTGCAGTCGTAGATTGAGCTGCGAAGGGATAGCAGCATCGTCCATCGTCCATCTGGTAGACTCTGCTTCATTCAGAGAACCGTGCGGTGTCAGCTCTATTATCAAATCACAACGTTGATCCGGCGACTCCTCAATCTGATGATCTTGTGCTTGAACTTTCAATTCTTTTGCTTCACCGGATTTTGCATGGACTCTGTTCAATGAACGAGGCTGTTCTGGTCGGGCATGAACATGGTGCAAAACACTCTGAGGGTCTGTTTTCGAGCTTGATTGGGAGACCGATAGCTCTCCGTGATCACGAGGGACACAAGGAGCAGGTAGGCGAAGTGTCGAAATCGAGGAGTCGTGATTTCTTTGGCCAATTGGGGAAATGGTTCTCTCCAGTGTGAAGTCCGTGTTCGTATCTGTTGTCGAATCGTCTTCAGCCAGAAAGATGTTCTCAATCCATCTCTTGATAAGATCAGGTCTCATGATTGTAAGCGATAGATACTTAGGTAGGAGATGCAGTGGTCATGACGCAAAAATTGTGATGACGGATGAGTGCTAGAGATATCAAGATTGGATGGGCGAATTAAATAGCACAAACGTGATAAGCGCACTCCCAGGTTGGAAACTGTGAGAGGAAAGAGCTCGTGGTCAACGTCGGCCATGTGCTGGCGACGAGAGGAGGGAGCGAGTCTTAGAAGGCCACTTCCCATACCCACGACTCCACGGGAGAATCCAAGAGCAGAGTGTCTTCTAAGAAGCATGTGTTTTATGTCTCAAGAGTCGTACTCTAGGAAAGACGAGATTCGGCCTTTCTTCCCATTTGAGAGAACCTACACCCGCTCCTAGAATTTATTCTTACAAGATGATCAAATCAACTGAACTCTGCCGAGGCAAATTGCGGTGAGCGAAACGACTTGCAGTCCATATTGATGCTTGGATAAAGTCGGTGGGAGGAGTTTACATACCGCTGTCTTTGTTTCAGTCCGGATGGGTACCTGCATATCAACCCTGCAAGAAGTCCCCATCAACTCGCAAACCGTCTGCCTGTCAAACGATGAGTCCCACGCTGTGCATCCTCTCCAGTGTATCTTGAGCACGTCATTTCATGGCGTGGATGTCCACAAAGCTCATGATACTGTTTTGAAAGCTCTCTTCTAAGGAGAAAATTTACCAGGACGATGCAGATCTATGAGATCCTTATGATGCATCCTCACTTGAGTCAGTCTAGCTGCCCAAGGATAACTGCTTGCCGTAGCGAGATCGGAAGTGTGTTTGTTCCCGTCTGCAGGTCTCGCAAATCAGCAAAACGTACAAAGCAAGACCAGTTTCTACCAGGCAGAGATCGAGAACCACCTGTTGGGGTTCCCACCCATATAAGCTCACTATCCAGCGTGGTTCCTTCTTTTCTTCCTTAGTTCGTCGCTCCTGCCTCCGATCTAAGAGTCAAGCGCTCCAGCTCGTGGTCCACTCTTCTCTTACCTCGCCTCTTACTTACCTGGACCAGCATTGTCAGTATCATTTCACCTCAACCTCTGACCTAACTTGTTTTTCTCACCTTACCTTCCCATCTTACCTTCTTACTATGCATAACCATCTCTTCTCCTAGCCTTTTGTCTTCACTCAATCTTCGTTAGCTTACCTTGTGACCTAGCTTTCCAGTCTTCAGAGGCTGCATTGGCTTCAAAGTCTCAACAAGCCTCTTACCTTCCCATCTTGTCACCTGCACTACTTGCTCGTCTCTTCTCCCTCGCCACTTGCACCTGCTTGTTCTACCTCTTCACATTGTCTTCGTCATAGACATTGTCAATGGCACTTGCCTCACCCGAGGTCAAGCCATTGGAACTACTGCGTTGCGACAGAGACGGTTGCAACAAGTGGTGGAGGAAGTCAGACTTGAAGACACTAGGCAGTGACGACTTCAAGAAGTGCCCACACTGTCGCGAGGCAAATACTACTCCCACCAAGTACTGGATCGGCGGTGTGAGCGGACCTCGTGAGCCTGCTTACGACTATCCAGCTCGGACACCTAAAATGCATTCACTACCACCAAAGTTGTCCGCGGATCGGCCAAGCAGCGCNAAAAGACAACTGTCAGGCGACTCATCTCTGGATTCTCCTACACAGAGCAAGAGGCCAAAGAGCCACCAAAATCAGCAGGTAGGTGTTGGGGAAGGTTTCTTCAGCGCGCGGGCTTGGTTGCTGACCAGTGATCAGGCGACTCCAATCAAGACTGTAAACGTCGCCGAAACCGCCAGAATGGAGCGCAAGGACAGTCTCCAAAGCATCACAGCATCTCCCACTACATCCTCAAAGACAACACCCAGCCGCGAGACGGTACGCTCAAGGAGCGACTATCTCTTCGCAGCATGGGAGGCCTGCAAAGGATGTCCAGACTTCCATCTGCAGAAGGAGCTGGAAAAGGCAGAAGCAAACCTCGACACGCTGCAAACCAGTATCCCAAGAATCGAGCGCAAAGTCCAGGAATCTCGAAAGCAGCATGAAGCGGCTGAAGCAGATTTGAAGAGGAAGGAGGTGTTTCAGGAAGAGCTCGACGCATCCATAGCCAAGGCAGGATTGGACGAGGATGACCACAAGCCGATCAAGGACAGATGGTACATCAGCTCAAGACAGCATGTTCAGCTGGCGTTCGAANNGAACAGCCGCCTTTCCAAGGCGTGGCAGGATGGTGTCAAGGACAGAGCAGAGGCGCTCAAAATGGAGAAGGACCTAAAGCAGAGGATCGAGGACATCAAGAGCGAGAGAAAGCATCTGAAGTCGTTTGCAGAGATAATGTCTCTTCCGCCATCAAACAATGGTGCCTGACTCTGGCGAGCGGTCCTGGAGTCTGCGCCTGCGTTGTTATTTGCGATGCTGACCTGATTTTGTTGACCATGGATATTGAGAGGGGGTTGAATGTGGGCCGGGGCAAATCATTGTTGTTTCTTTGAATCTTCTTTCAAATCTTTGCTTTTCCTTCGTTATGTTCTGATCTGATCACTTTTGAAAATGCGAATCCTTGGTTACCACGCTTGTCGCCAATTGTGTCGTACTGATCCTTTCGTGATGGTGCTTGAGAAAGTGTGAGCTGCCTGCAATGCATTGTTTTATATCAGTCAAGAATGCGTGGACCATTCGGTTCTCCTGCGCTACTCAAGTCTACCTTTCGAAGACGAGAGTACCATTGAATCGTTACACCACTCGACAGGGCAGTTCATTGCAAGAGTCAGAGCCAAAAGCGATAACATACTGCAGGAAGATGAGGAGACGAAGTGCCATTCTACATGAAACGCAAACCCCTCGAGTCATTCTTTCGTTTCAGAAAAGCCACCCACGACAACCCACGAAAAGGGTGGAGATTAGGCACTTTCCGAGGCCTCTGACCGACCATCACTTGCGAAGGAGATGTTCGTCGCATGTCACTGGGAACGGACTCCGAAAATCGTACAGTACACAAGCAATCCTTGACCTTGATGTTCGCTTTCGCAAAGATAACAAAAGTCCTGCTTACACTTATGCGCGGCAGATGACTGCAAAGCAGGTCTTGCGTCTATGACGCTTGTATGCAGGCAGAGCCGCAATACACTTTAAATCAACACCACCAACCCAATTTAACCACGGCCGACTACAAGGTAGATCCTGATTCCTCTCAGACTGTACCTCTGCACGACAAGAGAAGAACAAAATCGCCGAGATTTGACCTTTCCTTTGCTTGCTGCGCCTTCCTTCCCCAGCACAGTGACTTGAGGCTGATTATCAGAGACGAGATGAGATAGGACTTGGTCAAACGCGCGTCGGATGCAACCACAACACGTGGAAATGCCATTTAGGACTTCCTCCGACTTTGACTTTCAATGTTCCCGGCGGGTGGACGGTTGCCAGGTTTCTAAGAGACTTTGGGACGTGGACGTTGGGGCTTGGAATCGATTTCTGTCTAAACGGTTGCCGACCGTTTGTTTTGGGTGAGCAAAAGCGGTTGTGAAATTGTTCTGTAGACCAGCGAGCTCTGTTCGTGAGGCCTCTGAAGCTTTGGAAATGTGATTGTATTTTTGATGGTTTCGTAACATGGTATAAAGAAAACTCCGAAATGCCCACATCGCGTGCTCTATTTGTGAGGTGCCCTTGACCGGGGCCCACCTCGCATCCCAATAATCATTCACAGTATTATAGTGTTTCTTTTGGTCCGCAGTGTTGAGACCTGCCTCGAGCGCGCCAAAATGAATGTTTCTGCCTTTCCCCAGATCAAGCTCTTCTGACTATCCTTATACGCCGCCATTGCCGAAGAAACCAGTGTACTTGTTGCCGACGTATTGCTTAGGGTCGACAGGCAAGGAGGAGCTGAAAGAGCCGAGGAGGAGGAAGAGAACGAAGAGCACACCACCAAAGACAATGAGCTTTCTGAGGGCGGGGTGTCTGACACCGTAATCGGCCCAGGCGCGACCAGCACCACCGGCGTACTCCTTGAGGGCATCAGCTCCAAGCTTGTAGTAGACGAGACCACCGAGGGCGATCGAGTAACCGAAGAATTGAAGAGGNNGGGAAACGGGGTCGTGGAAAATGAGCATCGAGGCCACGACGAGGAGAATGTCCTTGAGGACACCGCAAAGGGTAAGGACGAGAGAGGAGGTTCTGCCAATCTGGATTGTTTGTTAGATACGATGCGTGCTCAATGCAGGAAAGAGACACATACCAAGAANAACGACTGAAACGTTGAGACCGAAGGCAACCATGGCGTTGAGCAAGAGGGTGAAGTAACCGACACGGTCGAAGTCAGCCCAGGTCATTGATGGGACCTCAGTAATCAAAGCGACGACACCGTTCATGATGGTGCAAGCGGGAGCGAAGTAGTAAAGAGAAACCAGAGGGTCCATCTTGAATTCGGCAGAAGAAAGGAGGCGCTGGACCATGGTCAGGCGAATGGCCTCGAAGATGATTCCAGCAACTTGGAGGAGGAAACCGAGCATGACGAATTGAATCTCTCCGAACGAGGCGATGATGACACCAAGAACGATGAAAGACACGTTTCCGAGCGTCTTCATGTTTGGGGGAGAAAGACCCATAACCCAGGATGTGATCAGAACGGCGACGGNGGTGGTTGCCTACACCTTAGTTAGTAGGAAGTCAAAGACAAGCGATTTCAAACATACCTTGATCATCTGGATGAAGGAAACAGAGAGGTAGAGGTAGGTGAGGTTACCGCAGATGAGCGACAGAGAGAAGAAAAGACCGATAGGAACGATAGCTCTGAGATAGACTCTGCCGTTCATAGGGACCTTCTTTCTTGAATCCAGAACGGTGGTGAAACGAGCGAGGATCTGAGTGCAGAGGGTTGCAAAGCCGAGATGCCATGTTGTAAGGAAAATTGGGAACTNCTGCGAAGCAATGAGCTGGTGTCAAATGACAGTGGGCTGCATGGTAGACTCACGGAAGTTCTTCCTTCTCTCGTCGAGGATGTACTTGTTGAAGAGGATGACGCTGGAGCTCATGCCAATCCACANCGCTGCGCACGCTGTCAGCTTCTGTTGTCGCCTTTTGCAGTATGTAGGCGCGACTCACACAACATAGAGAGCGGGGTGGATGCTGCTCTGAGGAGGAGCAGGCTTCTCGAGCGCCGGGTTGACGACGGGCAGAACAGGCTCGGCCTGCTCAGGTCTCTCGACCTCACCAGAGGTTCTTTCCTTCTCCATTGCGCCAAACGTGGGGTGTCGGGGTGACGAGTCGAGGCGAAGGGTGCACTGGACAGCGATGGACCAGCGGACAGGATGCTCGGAGCGGAGGGGAGACGAAGAATGGAAGTCAGAAGGATCGAATGAGAAATTTGGGTTGCGAGGTTGGGACAAGTTTTGATGTCTGCGCCGTCCAACCCCTTGATTGCATCGTCAGGAAAGCTTGGAACGCCCATGCTGTGCAAGTGGAGCCGCCCTTCGAAACCGTTGACACGCGCTTCACCTTCCTCGGGACACGCAATCACATCCACTCCAAAGACACGAACACCGTCGATACCACGACGATCTGAATACTACATGTTTCATCTTCAGACACTTGTGGAATTGTTTGCTTGAACACGCCGCTGTCATGCCATGTGTGATATGTTTCGCAGCTTGCTTTTGTCCTCGCCCGTCTCTCCTCGCCGCATCGTGTTACACAGTCACAATTTATCTCCTTCTCCTGACCATCATCTACAGCACCATCTGATCCAATCAATGCAAACACGCATCTCCAATGGACGGGCCCGAGCGAGGTCAATTGCAGCGTTCAAACAAAGCTTGGTCGAGCTTGATAGTTCCAACATGATAGGCACTTGTGTAACTTTGAGAAATGCCACAGAAAGCGTCAAACATTGTTAGTTCGGCATGCAATCTGGACGCGCGGAGGAGGTGGCTGTACTCTCCCACACATTTGCTGGAGCGGCAACCACTGACTCAAGACAACTAAACCGAGGGCAATTGACAGACGTTCGGATGACTGTCAAAGTGGCTTGAAGATCTGGTATGTTAGCGAATGGTGGTGGTATGGATTGAGATGTGATGGTTCATTGAAAGTCTGGATTGGGCATGGTGGGGCGGGCCAGGTCGGATAGTGCAGCAAGGATCTCTGATGTTGAAACTTGGGAGCGGCGAGCGATGCTTGAGGTCGGACCCTTCGCGACTGCCCGCCAAGTATTGAGAGCGGCGATTCACCTCCTTTCCCCAATCCAATCACAGCAGGCTCGAATAAAAGTGTCCAGACGACGCTCACTCTTCCTGTCTCTCTGCTCTCCAGTGATACCCTCTTTCGTTGCCCCGTCGCTTGTTGTTCTTAGTTTCTTTAATTCCTTCTTTACACTCCCCCGCCACAATGTCCAAGCAAATGTGAGCTCCCAATACGAGCCGTTGCCACCTCAACTCAGCTGACAAGTACACACAGTGAAGTCGATGTTCTCGTCATTGGTGCTGGCCCGACTGGTCTCGGTGCCGCAAAGCGTCTGAACCAGATCAACGACCACTCATGGATGATTATCGACTCCAACGAGGTTCCTGGTGGTCTTGCCTCGACCGACGTTACCCCTGAGGGCTTCGTGAGTAGCTTCCTTGAAACTTGCAAAGGCATTGAGCAGCGCTGACAGCAATTGACANNGCTCTACGACGTCGGTGGCCACGTTATCTTCTCCCACTACAAGTACTTCGACGACTGCATCAACGAGGCCCTTCCCAACGAGACCGACTGGTACACCCACCAGAGAATCTCCTACGTTCGCTGCAAGGAGCAATGGGTCCCCTACCCCTTCCAGAACAACATCTCCATGCTTCCCAAGGAAGAGCAGGTCAAGTGCATCGACGGCATGATCGATGCCGCCATGGAGGCCAGAGTTTCCAACACCAAGCCCAAGGACTTTGACGAGTGGATCGTCAGAATGATGGGTGAGGGTATTGCCGACCTCTTCATGCGCCCCTACAACTACAAGGTCTGGGCTGTTCCCACCACCAAGATGCAGTGCCAGTGGCTCGGTGAGCGTGTCGCTGCTCCTGACCTCAAGACTGTCACCAAGAACGTCATCTTGAACAAGACTGCCGGTAACTGGGGCCCCAACGCCACTTTCCGCTTCCCTGCTGAGGGTGGTACTGGTGGTATCTGGATTGCCGTCGCAAAGACTCTTCCCCAGGAGAAGACCATGTACGGCCCTCACGCCACTGTCACCAAGGTTGACGCCGATGCCCACACCGTTACGACCAAGGATGGCACCACCATCAAGTACGGTAAGCTCATCTCGACCATGTCGGTCGACTACCTCACTGAGGCCATGGGCAACCACGACCTTCACCAGCTCTCCAAGGGTCTGTTCTACAGCAGCACCCACGTCATTGGTGTCGGTATCCGCGGCCACCGCCCTGAGCGCATCGGTGACAAGTGCTGGCTCTACTTCCCCGAGAACGACTGCCCCTTCTACCGCGCCACCATCTTCTCCAACTACTCTCCNCACAACCAGCCCGTTGCTACCAAGAAGCTCGCCACCATGCAGCTTGCCGACGGCTCTGCTCCTGAGAGCACTGGCTTGAACGAGGGTCCTTACTGGAGCATCATGCTCGAGGTTTCCGAGTCTTCTATGAAGCCTGTCGATTCCGAGAACCTCCTCAAGGAGTGTATCCAGGGTCTTGTCAACACTGAGATGCTCCAGCCCAAGGACGAGATTGTCTCGACCTACCACCGCAAGTTCGACCACGGTTACCCTACTCCTTCGCTCGAGCGTGAGGGCGTTCTCAAGGAGCTCCTTCCCAAGCTCAAGGACATGGACATCTACTCACGTGGTCGCTTTGGTGCTTGGCGTTACGAGGTCGGTAACCAGGACCACTCGTTCATGCAGGGTGTTGAGGCCGTTGATGCCATTGTGAACGGCTCTGTTGAGNNCTCTCTCTTCTACCCTGACTTCGTCAACTCCCGTGCCAACAATGAGCGCAGACTGGTCGATGGTGCCCAGTACTTCAAGAGCATGAAGGGTATCCGCGACGACAGCAAGCCCCTCAAGCCTTGAAAAGAGGATATAAAAAAAGGAAAATGAGATACCCATACAGATCGTTATTCGGTGATGACCAGGCAAATCACGGCGCATGCAGGAGTTTCTGGAAGAGGACATTTTAGAGGTATTGGTGCATATTACCGAGCCACATTTTGCATCAAGTGTAAGAACAAATGATAGAGAATCGAACACAATCACATTGTCAAGACTATTGTATCCATCTGCTGTGGACATCAGGTTCTCGATCGGTCAACAAACAATTTGATTGCGTTTCACGTTGCGCCGTACTGACGTAGCAGACTCTTGACACCAGCTTCGTGACGTTGTGCACATGTCAGCAACAATCTTTCCTTCTTGTGCAACAATCTTTCCCTCTTGTCCATTCGATCAAGAAGCAATTTAATGCACCGCTCGGTACATGGATCCGCCAACGGGTAAATTGTCCAATGCGTAGAACAAAGGAGACTTCCATACTGACACAATACTCGGGCTGTCCTCTAGCTTGTTGGGGTTGCGCCTTTTGACAATAGAAACTCCAGCATAGGCTCGTTAGCATGATGGCGTGATGCCGAATAATACGAGATCATGCCTAGTGCGTAGTAAAGCTGCTCGCAGTAGAACGAGTCCCGGTTCGAATGGTTAATCTTGGCGCCATGCTTGAGCAGGAGCTCTACACATTCTATAGAGCCGCTCTCAACAGCATATGACAGAACCGATCGCCCATTTCTGTCTGTGTCTTGTGCTGGAGCCCCACGGTTCAGAAACAGCTGGACTATATCTGTCCAGCCATTGCGGGCGGCATAGGCCAAAGGCGGTTCTTCTCTGTTCATGGTGAGTTTCATGTGGCCACCATGTGCTGCCGACAAAAGCAGTCGAACGATTTCTTTTGGTCCGTATTTGCTTGCTTGATACAACGGATCTTTGGGGTTCGTCCACTCGTCGACCTTGGCTCCTGCTTCAATCAGAAGACGAACAGAATCTACAAGCTGGCCTTGAACCGCGTATGAGAGTGGCGTGTCTCCTTCTTGGCTCTTAATGTTGACCTCGGCTCCTTTTGCAAGCAGGAGCGATATGGTCTCTTCGGATCTAATTTCAGCGGCAAGAAGAAGAGGCGTCTGACCACGACAGTCTCGATGGTTCGCATCAGCGCCCTTCTCGAGGAATAATTTGGCCATCTGCGAATGCCCCTTTCCCGCAGCATACGAGAGTGGTGTATAAGCATCAACACTCCGATCACTTCCCTTCGACTGGGTCCTCGTCTTCACTGTTGGGATCGGCACCTGCAGCTATGAGGCGGCCAGCTGCCATTATATCGTTGAGCTCTGCTGCATAGGATAGAGGTCTTCGTCCGGAATTATCCTTGACATTGAGTCTAGATTGATGCAGCTGCAGATAGCCTTTTAGAGACTTGCCGAGTGAGTGGCGTACGGCAAAGTGTGCGCCTGTAGTCCTTGGAGCCATATTCTCGAGTGTTTGGCAGGACGCAGAGAGCTTATCATCGTCGGCTAGGAATTGCGTGACAATTTCAGCGCTTTCCGACTTGGTTCCTCGGATGTAGCTGGGCCAGTATTGCGAAGCGTATTCGTACAGGGATATTGATCCAGACGCCGCTTGTAGGCAAGTGTGGGATCCTCAGCTTGACACTTCGACCACAACGATGCCGCGTCGACTTCTGGACATGGGCCATCTGCAAAGTCATCAGAGGACAAATACCTAACGCACTCGAGGCCGATGCTTTCGTCTCCGTCGGGGAACCATCTCAATCGGTTCTTGACCACGTAATCGTGAAAGGTTTTGTGGAACAGACTAACACTGTCGTTGGCTTCATCAACTACGACCAGTCCAGCGCATGCGTCGATGACATCCGACGCAAGTGGTATAAAGTCCTTGCTGAGTTTAGGGTTATCCCCGTCGATGGCCAAGGCGTGCAAGAGTTCTCCTAAGCGAAGTGGTCGTTTAGCCAGACACAGCCAGCACATGACGAGCAATCCCAGCTTGATATCTCCACCGTCATCATCATCTTGCAATCGCTGCATTTCATTGGTGTATATGGTATGAAACGGACCCAACATATTCTCGGGATGGTCAAGAGCTCTGGAGAGATCGACCATGCGTCGGAAGCTAGCCAGATGCTTCGCGTAGATGATTGCAAGTCGAATTCTGAAGATTGTAAGTTTAAGCTCG